AGGATTTAAATCCGGTGACTGTGCAGGCCATTCCATTAATGAAAAAGGCTGATTTTCCAAGTATTCCTTGATCACTTTGGCTGTGTGCTTTGGATCATTGTCCTGTTGGAAGATCATTTTGCTCTGATCCATGCCATACCACTTGAAGGTATCTACCAATTCATGCTCCAAGATAGCCTGATAGAGTTCCTTGTCCAAAATGGTATCAATCTTGGCCATGTATCCAGGTCCATCATAAGAAATGCACCCCCAAATCTTGATGTTACCACCTCCATGCTTGATTGTTTGCTTCACATGCTTGGGTTGAAGCTTCTCATCTGCCCTTTTCCAAGCATAACGATGCCCATCTGACCCAAAGCGATTGATTTTGGTCTCATCCGACCAAACAACACGTCTCCAATCATCCATCGTCCAGTCTTTGTGGGTTTTTGCCCATGCCAAACGCGCCTTGATATTTTTAGCACTAAGCAAAGGCTTCTTCGGCTTGACAATAGATACCAATCCTTGTTCCCTGAGGGCTCTACGGATAGTAGAGGTACTAACAGCAACATCCAGTTCATCCTTCAATGCCTTACGAACTTGCGTGGCACTTGATTTGCCATCCTTGGTCACTTGGCGAACACAAAAGGACTTTTCCCTATCACTGAGCTTGGATACAGCACCACCAACAGCCTTGGGTATACCCCTTTCAACGCCAACAGAGTACTTGTGGATGGTACTGACGCTTACACCAACATCCTTGGCTATCTGACGAATTGATTTACCTTGTTTGAGAGAGTGGATGATTTGTTGTTGTGATATTGGTTGATTTTTTGTTACATAAATAAAGACGATAATAAATAAGTGAGATTCTTTTATGTTGTTTATTATGAAGAAAATAACTTAATTGATTATTTTATAAAATAAAAACTAAGGTATATTTATATAAGTAATCTGGAAATAAAATAAAATAAAAATAGATTGATTATTGAAGAACAATAGATTTTATGTGGTAGATGTCTCAGATCTATATTCATCTAACGACTTTTTATTTCATGATACGACATTATCCCCTGCCAGTCTTAACGACGATAGTTTATTTTGTCGTACATGAATAATCATGACTTGTATAGAATAAATAATACTTCAATGCATGGTATCATCTTATGTATCATTCATATCTACGTATTTTGATTTTGATGTTTTGTATATAATTCTATCAATAAATCATTTGGATTTTATCTTTTTTGTTGATTTACTTGAGTCTTCCTTATAATCAATATTTCTTTTGTTCCAGTATACTTTGATGGTGTTAATGTCATCAAACATGTCTGCAGGTTCCCATGTATCATCATCAGGTGTGAAACCCTTCCATCTAACTTTATATTCATATTTACCCGGTTTGCCTCTGTGATTGATGATTGATTCAACTTCCCATCTATCTTCTTCAGCAATGATTGGATCTTCTGATACACTTTTAAGTGCACTAGGTGGATAAGCCTTTGGTAATAATTCACCATCTCTTTGTTGCAATGTATATGCACCACCTGTGTTCTTTTTTACCACTGTAAAAGGTCCTTGATATTTAGGCTCCATTTGAGTGCTTTTAGTTGGTTTTAATAAACTAACTAACGATCCAATTGGGTATTCGATTATTTTATGATTTTTATTAAATGTCTTTTGCGATGCTTCTCGAACTTGTTTTGTTCGTTGTATTATAGCAGGCAAGACAATATCTGCCATGTCTTTGATTCTTAAGATTACATCATCATCATGACGTAAAGAATTATTTATTATTCTTTCTTTACTATAATCTTTGAATTCATTAAGTTTTCTTGCAAACATTAGTGCAAAAGGAGCAGAATTATGCAATCTAACTATTTTGGCATTGATTGCATATTGGACAGTGGGTACATAATAATCCCAATCCTTTGATTGACCCATGATTGTTTTTTCTAAGGTGTGCTTAACAGTTTGTACTGTTCTTTCAGCTGCACCATTAGCTCTTGGATGATAAGTCGAAATCAATCTATGGTCAATTTTAGTAGATGTAGTAATCGCATCTACTATTTTATTGACAAATTCGGTACCATTATCTGATTGTAGAATCTTTGGAAATCCGAATGTGCAAAATACATCAAGTAACATTTCAGCTATAGTTACAGATGTTTTATCGGGTATGGCCTTTATGATGACAAATTTTGTACAAATGTCAACCATTACTAAAATAAAGATATTACCACGATGTGTTTCTTGATAAGGTCCAGCTAAATCAATAGCCCAATGATCACCTGGTGACTTTGATGTAACAGAAGCCATTGGATGGTAACCTTTTCTTACTATGTTGTATTGCATACATTGATGGCACTTCTTTACCATTTCAATTGCATCTTTTCTTAAATTTGGCCAGTGCATGCCATCTGCATGGATAGCTCTTTCCATTGCTTCAGCACCAAAATGTCCGAAAGCATGTTGTCTTTCTAAGATGCTTTTTCTTTCTTTTATGTCTTTCACGTCTTTCCTTTCCATTTGTTCAGGTTGTCTAAGATGTGATTCAGTATAAATAGCTGCTTTGCGATGATATAGGCGAATGAGTTTTTTCTGATTATCTTCATCCGGTATAATATATTGATGATCAAATGATTGATCTTTTTGTTCTTTATGATTCATCATTATGTTTGTCATTTTTGTTTGACTATAATTTCTTTTTCTTTCTTTTTGATCATCATCATCCCCTGCCAGCTCTTTTTCTACGGGAAAAAGACGGGATAATGCATCAGGTAAAACATTATTCATACCAGGTACATGTGCCACAGTAAAATTATATTGTAAGATAGTATCTAACCAATTAATCATCATTGGATTAGCGATCTTTTGTGTATGAATGTAAACTAATGCACGATGATCAGTAAATAAGGTAAAATGATTACCCCACAAGTATTTGTGGTATTTGTTTAATGCAAATACTATAGCTAATAATTCTCTTTTTGTAGTAGAGTAATTACGTTCAGATGTTGACAGAGCTCGTGCAAAGAATCCTAAGTATCTAACTTTGGTGTCGATAAGCTGAAATAAGACAGCACCAATACCAGTGTTAGATGCATCAGTAGCTACATAAAATGGCTCATTTGTCAATGGATTTTTTATAATGGGTGTGCGACTGATTATACATTTAAGTTTGCGAAAAGCTATTTCACATAGATCAGTCCATTTAGTGCCCAATTTACCTTCTTTTCTTAGTTTATCTAATGGCGCAGTTAACATTGAAACTTTTGGTATATGACCTCTAAAATAATTGATGACACCCAAAAATCGTTCAATATCTTTTCCAGTTTGTGGAATAGGCCATTCTTGTACGTTTGTAATTTTTCTGGTATCTAAAGTCAAACCTTTTTCTGATACACAAAAACCTAACAAATAAACAGTGCGTTGTGCAAAGTGACATTTGCTTGGATTTAGAATTAAATTAACTGACGTTAATTTATCAATTACTTGTTTCACATGGATACTATGATCATCCATTGTTTTTGAAAATATGACTATATCATCAATGAACGATGTAGCAAAATCCATGTCTTGTAGGATCAGTGATGTTACTCGTTGGAATTTTGATGATAGAGGTTTGAGACCAAAAGGACATCCTTGAAACATATACTGGATACCTCGATGTGTAAATGTTGTTTTATGTTGATCCTTTGGTGCAATCATGAATCTATGAAAAGCGCTTTTTAAGTCCAACGTAGTGAAGACACGAGCATCACGCAATGTTTCATAAATTTCTCTGATGAGCGGTAATGGATATCTATCATCAGGTAAAAGTTGATTAATATGTCTAGGATCTAAACATGGTCTTTTCTTTGTTTTATTTCCATTAGCATCTTTTTTAGGAGCTAATGTTAAAGGACTATTCCATTGATTATTAACACTCGCTTTTACAATGGTACCCTCTTTATACCAATTATCGACAGCTTCATCCACTAAAGGCATTAAATTTTCTGCAATAGGGTATTGTCTACGATAACAAGTTTTTCCTGGAGGTGTATCCAATGTGATGATTGATTCAGGTATGGTACAGAAAGATTTTTTATCAATAGCTTGATTTGTTTTTATACTTTCTTGAATAGCTATTAAAAAACTTTTTTGTTCTTGTTCAGTACCTGCTGGAGAATTATCTGGAGTTGGAATATCTGATTTTTCCGTTTCATCAAATGTGATTATTCCTCTACTAGTATGTGATGTGGCTAAACCTGCAACAAAAATACCGAGGGAATTAAGTAAATCCATTCCTATAATACATTGATATTTTTCATCTTGTTGCATTTTTATAATTTCGAATGAATGTTCTAGTTTTTTATCAGTATTATATATAATTGATAATGGTTTTGTTTTTCCTATTCTCTTTTCTACATATGATGATGTTGCTAACAAAATTGTTCCTTGTGTTTTAACAATAGATATATTTTTATTTTTTATAAAAGTATAATCTATACTACTAAAGGTGCTACCAGTGTCTATGAGAGCGAATAACTGATGGCTTTCTATAGTAATAGGAACAATGATGGAATTGTCAGTTACATCATTCATTTTTTGTTTTTCTTTTTTATTATGATTATTTTTCGACATTCGTAATTTTAACTTACATTTGTCTAGATCATCGAGATCAATGTCTAACATATGATCATCATCTTCCTTTTTATTTTGCTTTGTCTCTTCCTGGTTAAGTTTAGCCATACGTGCCTTATGAATTTGTTTAGCATGTAACACTTCATAATATTCTTTGCACTTATGACCTTGTATCCAATGTTTTCCACAATAACGACATTCAGCAGTTATTTGTTTCTGAGTACCTTTTTCTTTTTTATTTTCATATGGTTGGTACTTTTTGACTTTGTTAAGATAGTTGATTGGATTAACAAATATAAAAATAATAATAAAAGACAAATCGAAAATACGATGAGACTGTTGATATAGTTTATTTCAATAAGAATTGAATGAGAGAGAAAAAAAAAGAAAAAACTATTCTAATCCAATCTTAAATGACAAGAAGCTGAGATCTTAAAGTTACACAATAATATCAGTCTAGATACGACATTTGTAATCATTTTTCTTGAAAGTATTCTTTTTTACTTCCTTATCTTCTTGATAATAATGATTTCTGTTTGAATGTTTCTTATGATCATCCACTTCGTAATCAACATGCATACGAGGTGCAATGTTATTGATATAGGTGACATCAATGATAGGAGATCTATCATGAGCCCTATCTGATGCTGCTGTACTTTTAATTTGTTTAACAAAATCACCATGATGTTTTGCTAATGACTTCAGCAACATCGTTCCGAATGCAACCGAGTCTGGTGCCCCAGCACTTTTGAATGTTGAATAAAATTTTTCAACAAAACGAATTGGATTCTCCCATTTGGAAGGTTTCATATCATAAAGTTTTTCCAAATATACAGACTGCGATTGATCACCGCTATATTTCATCTTCAACAAGTGTTTAGCGTGGTTCCATTTGTATTGTTTATTCATCAATGTTTCTTGGAACCAATCACACCTTTCTGTTGAGTGTTGTAAGGAAGTGATAAGACAAGCTTCCCATGAATCATCAGGCACTAAACGATGTTGGTGTAACACCATTTCAAATCTGTCAACGAACTTGTCAATAGTTTCGAAGACATTTTTGCCCTTAATAGCATCCATATCACCAGCGAACTGCAAGGATAGCAAATTGCGAGGAATCACCACCGTGATAGGTTTTTCAGTTTTATTTGTATATGAACGTAATTGTTCATTTAAATTTTCCAAACGATCTTTGATTCGTTGGTATAAATTTTCATTCTGAACTAAATCATTAGCATCAGCGACCCTGTTTAACAATTGTTTATATTCATCTAGCACTCTTATAAGGGTACTTTCAGAGGCAACAATAGCTTCTTTCAAGGATTTTATAATATTATGATTATTATCACTTTCATCAGAGGTGACAATCATAACATCAGAAGTAATACTATCCATTTCTATGTCCATATGATTTTCCAAAGCATCATTTACGAATGGAGCAGAAGAAACAGATTCAGATGATTGAGCAGACATACTTGATTATTGTTGTTGTTGAGAAAATTCACTTAAAAAAATGTGATATTGGTTGATTTTTTGTTACATAAATAAAGACGATAATAAATAAGTGAGATTCTTTTATGTTGTTTATTATAAAGAAAATAACTTTATTGATTATTTTATAAAATAAAAACTAAGGTATATTTATATAAGTAATCTGGAAATAAAATAAAATAAAAATAGATTGATTATTGAAGAACAATAGATTTTATGTGGTAGATGTCTCAGATCTATATTCATCTAACGACTTTTTATTTCATGATACGACAGACAAAAGTATATCTTTATTGAATGAGAATAAAGTGAGAGAAAAAGCTAACGCAATAAAAAACTCCCTAACATATAAATGACAGCTGTTACACAAAATGTTGATTTTAAGATAGATCATTCAGATCTATCTTATAGACACCACAGGCTATCCACAAATCATACAGTCGGATAACGGCACAGAATTCAAAAATCAACTTGATAAAGCACTACATAAAGCTATGGGAATAGATCGCAGATATTCCACACCATATCATCCAAGAGGAAACGGTCTTGCTGAAAGATATGTCCAAGTAGCCAAACTAATAATAAACAAAGAGATTCAAGGAACCAAACAAGATTGGGATTGGTACGTACCTAATGTACAATTAGCAATGAATAACAAGGTTTCAAAACGCCTTCAAACACCACCCTTTTCCCTAATGTTTGCACGCCATATGAATAAACCAACACTCACCAATAATCCACAAATCAACAAGACCACACTCAAACCAATGAGCTACGAAGAATTGGTAAAAAGACTTGAGTACATGCAAAGTGTTGTGTTTCCCGCCATAAAAGAGCGCACCCAAATAGTCGTTAATTCACAAAAAGAAGCATTCGACAAAACACACCGTATTGTTGATTTCCCTGTTGGTAGCTACGTAGTCGCTAAATTACCTACAAGAACAAATAAATCAGCTCCAGCATACGAAGGTCCATTTGAAGTCATGCAAAAAACAATACACGGTACTTACGTTTTAAAAGACACTACAGGTGCACTAGCTTCACGTAATTATGTTCCTTCAGAGTTGAAATCCGTTTCACACGACAATGATAACGATGAATATGAAATTGAAGCTATCCTTGATCATAAAGGTACACCTGGACAACGTCAATACAAGGTTCGATGGAAAGGATACACATCTGAACACGATCAATGGGTTAAAGCGAAAGATATGAATGCACAAGAAGAATTGGATATATATTGGAAAAGAAGAGAAGATATAGATAAAAAAGAAAAAAGTGAAAAAATAAACAAAAGAAAAACGAATAAATTCAAATCCGTCACAGCTAGAAAAAGAACGCGAGCGGTTGTTGAAAATGAAAAATAAAATTCACACATCTAAAATACACAACGAACACACCTTCTTTCACAACGTTTCTTCAAACTAGAGGGGGGTAATGTTGTATTCGTCGTCTCTTCATACCCAATCAACATGGAATCATTATACTTACTCAACAATTGTGCCTTTTATTCTAAATACGATATACATAACTGGTCATGTTTCATACGGGTAAGTAATCAATCTCCATATGAAGAATCCATCTATTCTATTTTATTTTATTTTTATCTTATCATCTAGAACTACACCAATGATCCATCAGAATAGTTATATGTAATATATTTATTCCAACTCCATTTTTTATATAAAAAGCCTTCTATTGTTTTATTTAATAAAAATCATCTATCTTTTGTATCACTGACTTTTATAAAGACTATCAAATATTACAGATTGCAGAAGATGATGTCGCAATTGTTGGCACACTGCTGGTCGACATTGCCGATGTAGATTGAATGCATTACGAAATCGTTTAGATCCGCTTCCAAGAAGTTCAAAAAGGTGTCAGAAGAGGAATTGTTGAATTGAGACATAGTACCTGGTAACTAAGGGGTAACATAAAACTATCAAGTTCACAATTGATCACCAAATAAAAATACAAAAAGCATCTCCATCACCTTTGCCATTCCGTCTTTCTGATTGCGTACTTACATGAGAATAGAAGTTTTCAAAAAGCTAAAGTAGTTTACACTTGTAGAGTATAAGGCAAAAAAAAAAAAATGGAGAGTAGTAATGAAAAGAAAAGAAAAGAAGACAACGAAAAAAAAAAGATATTCTTTTATTCACAAAATTTTCATATTCTGCTATACATTTATGGACGTACTTATTTTCTGTCGACGGCTAAATTGGCGGCTTCGGGAAATTTTTATCCAAAATCTTTTTTAAAGGTGACTCTTCCTTTTTTTTTTTCCTTTGACTCTTTTTTTCTTTTTCTTTTCTTTTTTTTTCTTTTCCTTTTTTTTTTTTTTTTTTTTTTTGTATTGACTTTAGTCTTAGTATATCATTTTAGTGGTCTTTAGTAGTCTTCAGTAGTTAAACTTTTATTCAATAAAGACTTTACTTTTATTGAAATCGCTTCATTACATTCAATGCAATTGATTCCATTTTTGAATGTACCTTTTTTTTTTATATGTGAATGCATTCCTTTTTATTTTCTCTTTTTTTTTTTTTTTTTTAATAGATAAGAGAAACGCTGATACGATACGATTCCAATATTCTTCACTTCGATATAAGTTTTTACTGTAGATTAGTTACTACGACAAACCAATGGCTTCGTCACCAAGCCATACTACTTGTGAAATAAATAGTGATACTCCTTTTTTTAAAAACGTTTTTTTCTTCTACTCTTTGTTTTTCTTTATATTTTCCGTTTCTTTACTATAGTGATATCTACATAAATAACAACATGTGTCGTATCAGCGTGTAATAAAAAATAAAAAGAATGATTCATACAAATATAATACATCTTGTAGATGACCCCATTTATATGTAATAAAAATAGTTGCAATAAAATAAAACCTTTATTGAATAAAAAAAGTATGTAATCTAACGGCTACACTAATGTATATAATAAAACCATAAAAAAAAAAGTCAATGGAAGAGAAAAAGAAAAGAAAAGAAAAAAAAAAATAAAAAGACTTCACCATTTTGGGTGAATTTATTCAATTCCTGGTCAGGCATAAACATTCATGCGGGAGTCCATCAGCTAAACAGCATGGTCCACTGGTGAATGCCAGTATCATTGTAAAAAAGCTCATTATCTAAATAGATAAAATACATATACTTTGATTTTTTTTTTCAAATCGAGTAACATGCCATTACCTGATACTATATACTGGATATAACAAATAAATAGACATATGGATGGGTAGATTGAATGATTGAATAATAAAAAAGTTTGCTATACAGCATTTTATTGAAATAATATACTTAATAATATACATATATAAAGATAAAATAAAACAAAGTACTCTTCCAACCTGTGGGTGCATTTCAAGAAATTGTATTCGATTGTCGTTGTTGTTGATAGTCGTAGATGCAAGCAGAGAAGAGAATGTAGTAAGACCAGCAAGAGCTCAAATAAGAAGTATAACCATTGTTGGAAGTGCCTTGATGCAGAATACATTGATTACGTGTTCGTTCAACACCAGGAGAGAAACAAGATGTACGGAATCCAAGTAGAAGCATCATAATACGATCCCTATAATGCAAACTTTTGATACAGCTATGAGACAATGAGCAGAATGATGAATAAACTACCCTTGGCATTGATCTTTTTTGCTACTCACATTTTCACCAACTTCGGTAAACTGTAGGTAATATCATCTTCGACGCCATCGGCTTTGTCCTCTACAATACGTTCCAACTTGATTCAATAACAATCATTTGACCCATAGAATTCCTCTATATCATATTGACAACAAACTAGCAATCATAACCTCTGATAAGATTACAGATTGTTTGTATAAAAGAGTATCCTATAATAAAAAAATACATCGAATCACCATCAGCTTGAAAATAATACGTCTACCAAGGTTTATTCCAAAAAAAAAAAAAAAGAATCCTGCCATAATAATACACTTTGCTTGCATATTGGGTGCATCCTTGAGAGTTTGTTCCATTTCTGGTTCACACCCTGATTACTTGATTTGTTGGTGAAGAGGACGGTAAGAAAGTAGTCATTTCAATATTAGTTGCAATCTCTAAAGAAAAAAGAAGAAAACCAAACGTTTTGATAAATGATGAATATATATTGAGTTAACGTACTCACGTCGTTTTTGAAGTTCAACAAGAGCTGTTTTTGCACACTTAGTATTGCTTTTATATAGAGTCAAATCGTACTACAAACGCATCATGTTGGTCCAATAAGTATATTCAATCAGTTGATGATCTGTACTCATTCAATCGTTCTCTATGCATTTAAATGTGTACAGTAAATTAGAAAAAAAACAGGCAGAGTCCATAGAAAAGTCGAGATAACTTACCAAACAAAAGGGTTGCTTCACTATCATCAATAACAAAACGACCAAAAGACACCAACCTTCTATTATCCAATAGCAGATAATAATATGCTATACAATTAGAATATAATGGAAACAACAAAAAAAAAAAAGAAAAAGAAAAAGAAAAGAAAAGAGAAGATACGAGCATTTGAGCCTTTTTTCGCGGAGTTGAATTGCCTTGATCGCATAGAATAATCATTATTTGATAGCTTCAATGGGATTGGAGATAAAAAAAAAAAAACACTATAAAAGACATTTTTTTTTATTTTCTCCTTTCTTTTGTTTTTCTTTCTTCTAAAAAACACAAAAAAAAAAAAAAAAAAAATTCAAAACCCAAAAAAACCAAAAAAAAAGATTTATTTGCTTCTTTTTGGCTGCTTCCTTATTGGTATCTTCTTCTTTCCGTTCGCCTGGTTCACGCAACAGAACACTCTCATTCTTGTTTGTGATTCTTGTTTCCCCGTGTTCCTCGTCGTTCTTTTGGTTTTGTCGTGCCTCTGGTTGTCTGTCTTTTGCGTCTTCTGTCTGTCTGTCTTCCTTGCTGTCTGGATCTTTTTTTTTTTTTTTTTTTTTTTTTTTTTTTTTTTTTTGGTAAGTGCACATATACAAATAATATTTAGTTGATCATAACACTAACCATTTTTCCATTTCTTCTTTTCAACCACCGAAATGGGGGTGAAAATAAGTAGGCCCATTTATGCATGTCCCATGGGACAGATAGTGTCCCATCCCATCTCATCCAACAGTCCCAAGTGCCATCCTTATCTTTAACTAAGTTTTTATTAATAAAAATTCTTACGTTTGCGTTACTTATTACGACTTATAGAAATACGGAACTTCCCTTATATTCTGTATTTATTGTCATACCTTTTTCAACAATCACTGATCTTCAACTATAAAATAAAAGACATATTATAAAATATTACTGTCGTATCATGAAATAAAAGAGTCGTTGGATGAATATAAATCTGAGACATCTACCACATAAAATCCATTGTTCTTCAATAATCAATCTATTTTTATTTTATTTTATTTCCAGATTGCTTATATCACATAGTTTTTATTTTATAAAATAATCAATCAAGTCATTTTCTTCATAATAAAACAATTAGAAAGAATCTCACTTATTTATTATCGTCTTTATTCATATAACAAAAAAATCAACTAATATCACAATTACATATAGTAAAATTATATTCTACAGTATAGTACCTTACAATGCGTCTGTCATAACACGGATTTCATCACGTCGTCGGTTCTCCATCGTAAAAAGCCTTCGTCTATTCATGTTTCCATCCATTGTGACATTGTCGTCATCATCATCGCTGCTGCCATCATCATCGTCATCTTCTATCGTCAAAGATCCATTTAATTCATTCAGAGCATCAATTTCGTCCAGCATTTGATGGTCTTCACTGGTTTGAGGAATCCAAAGATCATCACGATCTATACATATGTTGTGCAGGATACATGATGCATAGATCACCTTTGCCATTCGTTCTTCGGTCGTCAGATATAAGTAATGCTTCATAAATCGCCATCGTACAGTCAAGAAACCAAAGGCACGTTCGATTACCATGCGCGTGGAGGAGTGAATGGTGTTGAACTTCGCTATACTTGGTGATGAGTTTCTAGTTGAGGTCCGGTACGGTGTGATGATGTTTGGTTGAAGAGGATACGCCGAGTCTATGATCAACAGAAGAATAAATATAATATTTAGGAATGATGGTTCTTTTTTTTTTTTTTTTTTTTTTTTTTTTTTTACCTCCAATGATGAATGTGTTATTTGGCGTATATAAATTGCTTTGATTCAAAAGAGCATTGTGGAGTGAACTATTTTTGAAAGCTCTGGCATCATGAGTTCTACCTATGTAAAGATCAAATGTTATTCTACGGGTTAACCATCAGCAATATATCACTTTTCTTTTATCAGTAGACTTACCAGGACTTCCAGCATATACAAACATAAACTTGCAATTAGCATCACATACGGCCACCACATTCATTGACAGATGATTCCTGCGATCCCGATACCGTTCTCCTTCAACACCATGGGGATGATGAATCACCACCAATTTCCCATCAATGGCACCCATCACACCACCTGGCAGCGCTACCTTGATTCCATCACCCAAAAAGTCTTGAAGTACCTGTTGGAGTTCATCACCGCGAGGTCATCTGATTCTTTGTCCGTGAACTTCATATAAAGCCGTGAGAAACCGGTCGGTAAACATAGCATAAGATCCATGAGAGATTCCCATCTGCACCGAAGCCATCCTGTAACCGTAATGGCTATTCGAGAAACGCCAAAGAACACAAGCCACTTGCTGGTAAACTGGAGTCTGTAAACCATTAGTATTGTACACAGGATGTGCCGACAGTGTATCCACAATGTAATTGAAAGTCGCCCTGTTGACACGGTAGCTAGCCTTATAACTACGAGCACTTTCATCAATGTCGTTGAGCCTATCGTGTACAGCCATCCAATAATCCCTTCCTTGTCCATCAGAGACACATTCAGAATGAAAAACACCAGGGAAACATTCCAATGCAAGCAACCATTCATTGGTGAAAGTCCTTGTTGAAAAGCATGCACAAACGTTGGTATTCGACAAGATGGCGTTGTTCATACTCTGCTTCTTTAAGGAAGAAAAGTTCATCGTTGGTAATGTCGTTAGATTCGCGTTGGCTGGTCAAGTTACTTTCGAAGTTCATTATGAAGAATAAGTGGATAAGTGAAGTAGAGTAAAAAAGCAGAAAGAAAGAAAGAAAAAAAAAAAAAAGTCAAAAAATTGCCATGCGCAACCACGGAAAAAGAAAGCGATTTTCTTTATTTTGGACAAAGGAAGGTTAACAACCATCCATTTTTTGTTTTGTCTCCTGGTCGTCTCCTGGTACTACCTCGACCTTTGAAAGCCACTTTCATTTTTGTTTCGTCACTTCCTTTTTAGATTTCCGGGAGGAGGGGAGGGAAGTTGTCTTGAGAGCGACCTTAGTAACCTAACGTCTCTAAAAACGCGCTAAGAAGGCACGGTGGAAAATAAGGTTTCATGCTTTACTCCGCCTGGGCTTGTCGGCTCACTCTTGGGTCAATTGGGTCATTTTCTTTCTTTTTCTTTTTATTGACTTCAATTTTAGTATATCAATTAGTAACCCTTAGAAGTTATACTTTTTACTCAATAAAGCTTTCTATTTTTATTCGAATTACTTTGTTACATGTAAATGTAATTGATTCCATCTCTTCTGATGTCTCATTATATCATGTTATTTTTATTTTTTGAATGCTTCTTTTCTTTTTATTTATATATTTCGTAGGTACCGAATACGACAGAGAGAGTGGACCGAACGGACTGAGTCTGACCAGACGGGCTAACTGGGTCGGTTGGGCACGTTTAAGTTAAATGGGTGGATTGGGTTTAGTGGATCAACTGGGTTAATATGTGGATTGAGGTATGCCTAGCCCGACCAATGCCACGCTAAAATCAAAAAGCCCAATGACCCGTGGGTCAATCATCATGCCTGGCCCAGCCTCCCCGACTTCACATTGAGCCAGTCTTAATCATGTAAGACAAGATATCCTTAACATCCTCAACCACAACAAGAGATTAGTACCATCAAGGAATGAAATATCTAGTTCCCCCCATGCCAAGATCGTAGAACCTTCCTTCCAAGAAACTTCTTCCTAGTAAACCTTAGTATTCCTTGACACCCAAAAAGATATAAATTTGATCATTCATTTCCTTTTTTTTTTTCTTTAACAAATCAACTCACATTTTCTGTCTTAAAGAAACAACTCTCTTATTATCATCATGTCTGCTAATCCTTGTCGTATCATGAAATAAATAGTCGTTGGATAAATATAAATCTGACACATCTACCACACAAAACCTATTGTTCTTCCATAATCAATTTATTTTTATTTTATTTTATTTCCAGATTACATATATAAATATACCTTAGTTTTTTATTTCATATAATCAATGAAGTCATTTTAATAAAACAATTAGAAAGAATCTCACTTAATATTTTTTTTATTTACATAACAAAAAATTAACCAATATCACAGGGCCCAAGTGGTATAATTTGTGATGGAGTTATGACCCTGGTAGGAAGGTGGTACTATGTCTGACATGGATTCAAACTTGACTTGGTCCAAATCTATGTCACTTTCAACAGATTGGTTATTACTGGAGACTGATGAACTTCCCAGATCAAGGTACTGGATATCTAAAGGGCTGTTGTCCACATTATTGGAACAGATCAAACTGTCAGGATCCACAAAGGATGAGGGAGCAGGAGGAGCAGAGGGAACAACAAGAGAAGGGAAGGACCAAACAGAAGGAAGAGAAGAAGAGGACGATGATGATGATACTGATGATGATGAAGAGGAAGAAGCTGGGAAAAGACCTAAGGGGAAGAAGTCATCGAAGTGTCGAAGTGCAGGATTAGCAGACATGATAATAATAATATGATTGTTTATTTAAGACAGAAGTATTTAATGAGTTGATCTGTTAAAGAAAAAAGGAAGGGAAGAAACTAAACTATGATCTAATTTATATCTTTTGGATGCCAAGGAATGCTAAGGTATTCTAGGAAGAAGCTTCTTAGATGGAGGGTTCTATGATCTTGGCAGGGGAATCTAGATGTCTCATTCTTGATGATAATGATCTCTTGTCGTGTTTGGGGATGTTAAGAATATCTTGTCTTACATGATGATGGTACTTGATATGATGATGGTACTTGATCTTATAATATGTCAGGTGATTTATTGTTATTCAGGAATGGATCATTACAACGACTGCTATATATTTTTCTGATTATTACCTTGTTGATGTCGTCAGCATCCATATTCTTGGTCATCAGAGTTGTTTTTGTCATAGCCTTCATTGTATCTGGAAAGAAAAGTCCATCACAGCACGTACACGAGTCCGTTGGTCTCTTTTCGATGGCTTTATTGTAATCGTCAACAACCGCTTGTCACTAGAAAAGAGAAAACAATAAAAAATAATAATGAAAGAAGTTAGTGCATTTTCCATTTTACGAACACATAGTAATTTTTTTTTTCTAAAAAAAAAAAAAAAGTACTTACGTTTTCATCTGAATGACAAACCATTAGCAACTGTTGAATAGGTCTATTGGTTGATAAGGCACCAGAACTGTATTCTTCGTGAATCAATCTATTATCAAGTGGGTGGAAAGGAATGTCGGTTGAAGATGACTCAGTACTGTTTTCATCGTTATTTTTTATTATACACCTCCATGCTTTACCGTAAAGTTGACATTATGATCCTTCAATGACTTACCTTTTTGTACCATCGCTACCAAGCCGGTTGATTTTGGTTTCGTCACTGAATATCACCCTTCTCCAGTCCTCCACCGTCCAGTGTTGCTATTTGTTCGCGAATTTCAAACACAATTGCTTCCTTAGAGGTGTCAATGGCTTGTGAACCTCTCCACTGTTGAACGATCTAATAATCACGCGGCCCCAATGTTGTTGAAATCTTTCTTTTTCTTCCTGCCTTGTTAATTACATTGATGCCCAGTTGTTGTCGACACAATGAAAGAAACACCAACTGTTGTTGCTATTTCATGAGTAGTTTTGCCTTGTTGAAGAAGGGCTTGAATGGAGTTCTTTTTTTTTCAATGGAGATTGGTTCCAACTAATTCATTAAGGGATCTCTTAAGTATTAGCACATCATTAAGAATGATTACGTTAATTACCTTTGGAATATAGTAAGTCGTTCGCAAAAAAAAAGTGAATAAGGTAAATAAGGTCGAAAAACGCGTTGAAAGAAAAAAAAGGGGGTGGGTTAACTAGTGACTTTTCGATTTTGCATCTCCGATGCCTCTCACCCAAAAAATTGATCGAATGGCTGCTTTTCTGATTTTGGCCTCTATCTTCATGATTATTAAAGATACCGATATGAAATAAAAATAAAAATATTCATCATCAATTAAGCTTTCGAATGATGTAAAAAGTTACGGGCTTTATTAATAATGTTTTTGAGAAAAATAAAAAAAAAAAGATAAAAAATGCCGATCATTCGATCAATTTTTTGAGCCAGTGTAATATAATATATAGATGTTAGTAAGATATCCAAAAATTTCCATTTCTTTAACACAAAAAAAAAAAATGATTATCTAAAATAAATTACTGTATCATAGCTACCAAATCCTACTGATACCGATAGTGTGTGACAAGAGACATATAAAAAGAATGTGATTAACGTTTATTGTTATCGTATTATTGGTATTTAATATATGATGCACTAATATCCTCAAAGTTGTAACGCCTACAGATAGCTTTGTAATAGCAGCCAATATTAGGGAATCCATGCCGTCGTGTTCTCAAACTGACAAGATAATAGTGGTGTATTACTACTATTCAAATACCAATTCCAACTTGCAATTGAATGTCGTTCTCAGTTGTAGATTCTATGTTCGTTAGATTCAAATTTATTGTTAGAAATACATTTTTTTTATAAGGTTTTATTGTTCGTGATAAAAAGAGTGATAAAAAAGAAGATAATGCAGTACCTTAGAAACATAATAAAACATATCATAGTATTTTACCAAAAACAATTTGACGATATTTAAAAGAATCAAAATAAAGCGTAAGAGTTCAAGTAAAATAGTAGATTAAAAAAAAATAAGGAATGGAAAAAGAAGTAAAAAAAAAAAAAAGAGAATTCAAATTGTATCATATATATCAAAAAAAAAAAAAAAAATTAAATTAAATTTCAGAATCATATCAGGGGCTTAACGCTTCCCTATTTCTTTTGATATGCCACTGATTTTTTTTTTCTTTTTTATATATTGAATTTAGCTTTAGTATATCAATTAGTAGTCTTTAGATGTTATAATCTTATTCAATAAAGCTTTTTTGATTTTATTTCAACTATTTTGTTACATGTCAATGTAATTGATATATTGTTTTTATTTATGAAAGCATTCTTTGATTTTGTTTTACGCATATATTTATAGGTACGGATGATACCACAGTAATCTTTATTATTTTCTTCAATACTGCTAACTACTATCACTACTAATGACAATTGATTCTTGTCGTCTTCCTGCTGTAGGCCTTGGGCTTTCCTCTTCATCGGAAAGTACCTGATGTTGGGCAACACGAGAAACATAACCAATATCACTATCTTCTAACTGGGCACCGAACGACAAGCTACCCAAGGATTCCCACATGCCATCCCATATATTGTCCTTGTGCCACCGTCGCCAGACGAACTCCACGAGCTTCCAAGGGATGCCAGACGCCGTGCGTTGACGAGCAGAAACATTCATCTTGATCCCGTTCCAAGTATCTTCAATAGTGTTGGTATGGATACCATCTTCAGTAACGAAGTTGAGTCGATGATTCGCAACTCGATGTTGGTAAGAGTATCCCTCCCATTCTGGAATGGTGGCATACCCCCGCCAGCCATCGGTGTGAATCATCGACCCAGGCTTCACGAAACGGGTGATGATGGCCTTCAGCGTCTCGGCATTCCTGTTTTCCACTGTGGTTAAGAAAACCTTCCGCTCGGCAGTCCTCTCCACGCCACCAAGGACCCAGACACCCTCCACGCGATGGCCACGATTGTGCTTCCGCTTTCCAAACTTGGATTCATCGATTTCCACAATGATGGGGTTGCCATCATTGTCAATTCCACCTAAAGGAGAAAAAAAAGTTAGTATAAAGGATATCAGTAAAAAAAAAAAAAAAAAAAAACTTACCAATTTGAAGAGCTTCTTCAGGAAGTGACTCTTCCAAAGCATGGTACAGGTCGCCAAGTACCTGCTTGATGCTCTTTCTTGAGACACCAGTCATCGTCTCCATCGCCATCATCTTGGTTTTCATTCCCCAAAGATAAAGAATGAGAAAAGCCTTGGGGGTATCCATATGGATGTTAAAGAAAAAAGATCCATATTTAAAAGTTCGAAAGGTTCATCCGATAGTGAGTCTTGTAGCTCCAAGGACTAGCGTCTTCTGTCGTGGGTAAGTGCCCATTGTTACTCCTTGACATAACTCTCTGCATGAAAAGCACCGAGAAGTTTCTCCATTGGCATTGTCCAACCAGTAGTAAAAAAAAAAAAAAAGAAAAAAAGAAAAAAAGAAAAAAAAAGGGGGGGCTAAAGAAAAGAGACTAGGCACATGTTTTTTATTTTTTTTTGTTTTGGCGGAGGGGGGGAGCAATTTGGCTGGGGAGGGGATTGGCTATGATTTCATCTAAATTATTAAGGGGTAAAATAAGGTAACGTGGAACTTTACCATATAAGGGAATCCGAAGGAAGCTTTTTAACCTTTTCCTTTTTTTTTTTTTTTTTTGTAGGGAACATAATCATCAATTATTCATTATTCCTTTGAAGAGTACACATTTTATGTGAATAACGATATCCTCCTAATGTCTGGGTCATATCTACATTAGAAAATGGTAGCCATTCAACAAGTGGGTTCCTGTGGGCCAGATCAAACCAGCCTTCTTTCATCTCCACCATGCTGGTAGAATCTCACTAGTGGATACTGAAAACGCAATCACCTCTATCATCACAATCGCCCTAGGCTCGATTTTCTAGTATACATTATTATCAGATGAATCAAGATCCCGTTGATTTGTAGCACCAAGAGGTCATAGAAAAAAAAAAAAAACTTGACAAATTTAGTTGGGAACGACAATTTGTTTCAACTTGGAATCAATGCGACCTACAGGCCGATGCATTCCGCACTGATTATAATATAAATTTGAATTTTTGAATTTGTGAGTGCCTTTTTTTTCTTTTCTTTTTTTTTTTTTTTTTTTTTTTTTGCAGAAAGCAGATTTTTACTTTGGAAGTCTCTTGTAAAAAAAAAAATCGTGTAGGTGGTAGTCGCGTTATCCGATTTCTTTTAATCGAACATCGCGTACAACTTGCTATACTTCGTCTTCATAACATTTGTCCTATTTTTTTTCCCATCCTAGAGTCATTGTCAAACATCATCATTGATCGCGTGGTAAGAACGAGTACCATAATTAAAAAAAAAGAAAAAGATATATAAAAGAAAGGATATCTTTATTCAATATTTGACATATATAACTAAAACTAACTATATTATAGATTTCCGTCCACGCTACTTTCCATCCTGGCGGAATTGATCTTCAGTCTTCTTCCCATTCCACTCCATTCACTCCGTCATCTTATATGTCTCAATCATCGTTTTTTTTTTTTTTTTATCGGTCATGTCGTTCATAATCGATCATTTTACCTAATGTTTGTTGTGCCGAGTAATGATGAATCGTTCCAGAGCCACATGTCGCCGTTGATCAAGTAACTTTTACTATCGACAAACTGAATCAGAGTTGCAATCCGTTTATCAAAGCCGTCAAGAGAAGCAACGTCAAATAGAAGAATTGATGTCTCACTTACTTTTTTATATCGTCTTCACACTATTACACAATTCATATAATAAAATCGTTCACTACTATCACTATTCTAAGTATACTACACATTCATTCATATCCAACAACTTTGTTGATTTCTATGTCATAAAAAAAATGTCAATTGTCTTGTCTTCATTTTAGAAATAAAAATAAGAAAGTACTTCCATTACCTGAAGTTCATCTTGACATTAATTTATGTAATGAGGAATAAGTAAAAGTAGAATAGATTGATTAGTTACTAACTATGTATAACAAAAAAAAAAAAAAAAAAGAGAGAGAGAAGAAAGTACCAGTTAATAAATCTTGTACATACTTACTAATGGTGAGTTGTTTGCAATGGAGTATAACGTTTGAGAGAAGTGTTTTCCCTGGATACGGATACCGGGATTTAACGTCCGTGATTTTTTTTTTTTTTTTTTTTTGTGGAACTGGTATAGTTTTTTTTATTCCCGCCTTATTTTTTTTGATGCCAGTTGAACCCTTGATAAAAACTCAATGATCGGTATAATCCAAAAGTAAAGAGAAGTGACCGAGGCTTCCTTGGCGATACCATAAATGGTATACCAAGAGTGCCAGACAAAAGAAAATGAAGAGGTAAAAGAAAGATAATGAAAAATAATTTTTGTCCGCTTTATAACATATAGATCAGCAATTGTCCAATATATATATATATATATATATAAGTATGATTGTTCCTTTTTTTATTATTTTTATTTATTTTTTTTTTGATCCAACACTTAAAACTATATATACATATATATAATGGAATCAAAGAATCAGGCCCTCCTTTATTTTCATTACCAACCTGTCAACATTGCCCCACAAGTTTTTATCGCCTTATTTTGTTTTATCGCACTTGCATTTATTTATCGTATCCACCATAATAAAAGTGGCAAATGGTTGTATATTATACCTGGAACAGCTTTGGCAGAGGCAATTGGCTATGGATTTCGAACAGCATGTATGTATGATACTACTCTTTTGAAATATGTGATGATGAATCTTTTTCTTCTTCTTCCTCCAAACGCACTGGCTCTGATCAATTACAAGGCTCTAGGAAAGGTGATTGAAATTCAAATGGAACAGAAAACCAAGGCATCAAGTAACATCGGTCTTACTGATAATAACAATAATACATCTGAACCTTTTTGGTTACGTCCTAAAATAGTGACATGGTTCTTTTTTTCCAGTGATGTATTTTCTTTCCTCGTTCAAGGGAATGGTGGTGGTCTACTAGCCATCGATGGTATGCAAAATATAGGCATGATCATCGCATTATTTGGTCTTGCTATTCAATTGGTATTCTTCGGTTGTTTCACCATGATTGCTATCTATGTTCATCGCCAACCAAGATTTGATTATCAACTTGTGAATAAGAATCATGCAAAAAAGAAGGTCATGCTTTGTTTATTCATTACCATCGCCTTGTTGTATATTCGTTCTATATATCGGGTAGCTGAATTCGCTATGGGATATGATGGTCCTATTGCCACGGCTGAATGGGCCTTTTATACTTTTGACACCACTGTTATCACCATGTGTTTCATTACTTACTTTATTCTCTTTATTGGCGACTATTTTCCTAATGGTAATCATATTGGACTTGTTAGTGATAGTATTGTTAATGAAATGTCGGATATGTACAAATAAATAGAATATATAACAAAATCATAAAAAAAAAAAAAAAAACTTTTAATAATCATCAAGATAAAAAAAAAGAATTTGTTTATTTGCTTATACTTGGAATAAAAGTGTACATATATAAATAAAAAAAATCAAAAAGTAAATAATAACATGAACTATGCAAAATAAGGAATAACTATTCATTTTGAGACTTCCATGCAGATGGGTTAGTACGGTTATTGATAAGAGCAGCACGATCAAAGGAATTGCGGTTCTTGTTAGCAACAATTTGGAAACAAGTAGCACTACCTTGACGAGAGATGATAGTAGACCAAGCAAGGAAGATGTCCCAAACACGAGTACTAATAAATCATAATAAAAAGAAAAAATAGTATCATTCATTCCATAAACGCCTCTTTTTTTATTTTATTTTATTTTAGAACTTACATCTTGTCACCATATTTAGCTCGGATATCATCACGATTCTTCATCCAGTTCAAGTACCATTTTTCCAATGTAGAAGAGTAATGTACACCAACAGTATCAACGTTTTGAATTTCGAAACCAGCAGTTTCCAGTTGCTTAATGTACCAGTAAAGAGGAGTGGAAGCATCAGCACCAGGGAAAATGTAACGAGCCATAAAGAGACCCCAAATAAAATCTTCATATTGCCATGTAGCACGTAAACCAGCGACTTGCATATAGAACAAACCATCATCATCCAACAATTCACGCACCTCATGAAGGAATTGAGGGAAACGACGAAGACCAACATGTTCAGCCATTTCAACACAAGTGATCTTATCATAAGTCACATTGGAGGGAATATCACGGTAATCCATACAATTGATACGAGCAGTGTCCTTCACACCCCATTCTTCACAGCGTTTGTTACCGAATTCAGTTTGATTTTTAGCCAAAGTCACACCAGTAGAATCAGAGCCATAGTGTTTAGAAGCATATGCAGTCAAAGTACCCCAACCACAGCCAATATCCAAATGTTTTTCACCTTTTTTCAAATGAATCTTGTTACAAATCAAATCCATCTTGTTTTCTTGCATTTGTTCCAAAGTTTCACGCTTGGTGGCATCAGAGATAATACCAGAAGTGTATACCATAAGAGGACCCAAGAAGGCTTCATAGAAATCATTACCACGATCATAATGGTCACGTACCTGATTTTCATCTTGATCACGACTGTGCCAGAAAGTTTCAGGAATCCATTGAGTTAAAAAGAACTTGAATTGTCCAAATGTGAATTGGAAAGCAGCCCAGTCATGGCGTAATTCGAATACTTCCAAAATATCACCCTTGATATCAATCTTGCCTTCAAAGTAAGCTTCAAAGAATGTTTCCATAGGAATCTTATTGTGGCCATTGTATTGTTGTTTAAGTTCTGGGTCATGGATGGTCATATATTCTTCCAAAGGTTTACCAGGGAGACGGATACGGTTACGATAACGAGGAGCAAATCGACTGTACAAGTAAATGACAGATGCAAGAACAGGAAGAGCAAACAAGATGGTCAACACAATATAAGAAAACCAGGATAAGCCAAGATAGTACTTGAAGACATAAGGAAGACCAAGTCCAACACCAATAAGAATTCGATTGTCAAAAGTCTGGTTACCGGCTCCTTCTGCTGGATAAGTGGCATTATGAATGGCAGCCCATGTCTTGGGTTTATAAGTACCGTCTTGTTCCATACTACTAAAAGTCAGATGATAATTTGAGTTTCTACAAAAGTTTTTTTCATGTCATCTTGACGCGTTTTTGACAACCTTCTTTCATCCTTTTCGTGTTTTACTATTTTATTTCCTCCAACCTATTATTCTCATATTTATATAATGCTTTTTTTTTTTTACCTTTTATTAGTTTGACAGTAGAAAGACCAAAAGTGAGAAAAAGGAAAAAAAAAAAAAAAAGAAAAAGAAAAAAAAAAAAAGGAAAAAGATTTTTTTTAAAGTATTTTGAGTTTAGAAAAAAAAAAATGACAAAAAAAAAAAAACGTCTCGGCGCACATTGCGTACGACCTTGTTCCGGTCAAATCTAATCCAATCCTTATTTTTTTTTTTTTAAATCATCATTTCTGTTCATGATTCCTTGTTATTTTTGATAACTTAATAATAAGCACTCACTTTATATTCTTTAAGAAATGAAGATAGCCAATAATATTCACTTTAAATCATTTGTCCCGCCAATGACAAGTTGCCTTGTTCATTCATCGGTACTGGAAAAATCATCTTTTTTTTTTTTTTTTAATACCAAAGATTTGTATATTATCTCAAAACATATAGTCATAACATTTCATTCTTAATTTATTATTAATGCATCTATGAATATTATTTTTTATCTCGTTTCAATCATTGGAGATAATATCAAAAAAAACAGGTACAAATCTGATTTAACGTCCGAAGACAAACAACATAGCCCACGTCATTTATAAAAAAAAAAAAAAAAAAAAAGGCGGAAGAAAAAAAAATCTCATCTGGCACCACAAAATTTGAGAAGAGGCAAAAATGAACAAAGGAACGCGCGTCGCTTATTTCTCTTTCTCTCTCTTTTTTTTTTTTTTTTTTTTTTTTTTATAATTTTTACTACAACAAAACTAATCATAAGAAACCATGAGTTTGAAAAAGGGTGAAGTCAATCTTGGTGTAAGTTTGAAAAAAAAAGAGGAACATAAAAAAAAAATTACTAGAAAATAAAATTTCTTTTAAATGTATATATAGACATCCATTATGGCTGTACAGTTTAAAGACGGTGTAATTGTTGGAGCAGACTCACGTACAACCACTGGTGCTTATATTGCCAATCGAGTTACAGACAAGTTGACCAAAGTTCATGATCGTATTTATTGTTGTCGATCAGGATCAGCCGCTGATACCCAAGCCATTGCCGATATTGTACATTATTATCTCCAAATGTATAGGTAAAGTATTACACTAATATCTTTGAGTAAGCTTATCATTGTCCTTGATATAGTGTTCAAGAAAGTCAAGCACCTTCAGTTCGAACAGCAAGTGCTCTTTTCCAAGAATTATGTTACCAAAACAAAGACGGTTTGATGGCTGGGATTATTGTAGCAGGATGGGACGAAAAAGATGGACCTTCTGTGTATAATGTTCCTTTGGGTGGTTCATTACACAGACAACCTTTTGCTATTGGTGGTTCTGGCTCTACTTATATTTATGGTTATTGTGATTCTGTTTGGAGGGATGATATGACAAAAGAAGAAGCTGTGACTTTTGTCAAGAATGCTTTGTCTTTAGCAATGGCTCGTGATGGATCTTCTGGTGGTGTCATTAGGCTGGCTGTTATTACCAAGGACGGTGTCGATCGTCAATTCGTACCTGGCAATGAATTACCAAGTAAGTTTTATAAAAGAATGTTATTAGTATGGATTTGATTAACTCTCTCTACTTTTTTTTTTTTTTTTTTTTTTGTTTAGCTCACTGGGAAGGATAAGACGGATGAGTCTATTAATCGAAAATATAATATCGATTGCTTTGTAGATAATAGTTTTTTTTTTTTTTTATTATTTTGATCGATGGTTTTTATTGAATAAACGTATATTGAACTCTATAACAAAAATATGAATACAAATGATAATTTTATTGGGAAATAGAATGTATAAAAAGAGCTATGATGTACTCCACTCAATAAATGAATGATACCATTCTTTTTTTTAAAAAAAAAAATACAGTCAAAAAGTCACTACCAATGTTGATCATTTACTTCTCGAATCGTTCCTTATAGTCTGCAAGTGATTGGAAGGAAAAAAAAAGTAATTGTTAATATGTGCATTTGATCTTTTTTTTTTTAATGGAAAAGATAGTCAACTTACTCTAAATAAAAGTGAAATACGATCATACTTATCAAAAGGTTTATCATCCCAGATGGATTGGCTAGGTCCAGCCACAGCATGTTTGAAATGGTATCGTACATAATCCCTTTGAATATAAAAACAAGAGGTAGGTAAAAAGACGTCGACACGACAATCTACATTATCTTGATGTTCCAGAGTCATCTTGACAGGTGATTTCAAACAGAGTCCTGCCACCACTGATCCTGATGCCTCCACATTATCCACATGACCTCGGATTTCTCCTTGAGCATTCAAGTCCAAAATATGCGGTGATAACCATTCAAACGAAGAAGGAAATAAAGAATAAATCCGTTGTTGAATAAACTGTGACATCCATTCATCAACACCACCATGGGTTGGTGTTGCCCATGAGCTGGCATTACATTCTTTGTAGCCTGTAATCACGCCATCAAAATGTCCTTGCTCATAAGGTGCATGGCGACCAAGACTTCGTTTCAGTTTTTTCTCGCAATGTTGTACAATTATATCATGTTCTTCTTTGCTTATAAAGTTGGGTAGTAAGATAAAATCTTGAACGAGTCGCTTATAGGGTAAAAGTGATGAAGAACCACTTGAAGGTCGAAAATACTGAGCTGCTACCGCTGGATCGGTGGTTAATGAATCATAATCCTGCTGGCTAGTAGATGATCCGTTCCGCCGTTGTTGTCGTCCAATGTATTTTTTACAGTGTAAGCCACAACTAGACCTTATTTGTCTTAATGACAGAGAATAAAAAAGAAAAGAACAACTAATATGTTTGTACATGACTGACACAAAAGTTGTTCAATAAAAAAAAAGTGTATTTTTTTTTTTTTTTTTTTGTAAATAAAACGCCCCGATTGCTCTGAGTTGCACAGACTTCAGGGTATTCATTCGTGGAGGTTGAAAATATCAGGCCAATTACGATGGTAAGGATGATAATATGGATGATCTTTTTCAAAAAAAATCAATACAATCCTTTGGTGGATCATTGCACGTTAGGTGATAAGGTAAACGATAAAATGAGATTAGATGACATTAGACTACGTTTTGAGAGGAATCCAATGGTTTTCAATTTTATTGGGTGATGATGATTATTCTTGGATGAAGAATGACGATATTGACTTTTATTTTCTAAATTACTCTATATATTGTTATGAAACCAAGTGAAAGAGTATAAATTCAAGCTATGCTCAATCCAAATTTGGTGGCATGATGATGATGATGACGTTTGAGTGGAATACAAAAGTATAAAGAGGGAACATATCTATCTCATGTTGATTTAAAATGCAGCACATATACTAAAATATATATCTTTTTATTTATTTTACATACTATTTTAAAAACATCATAACTTATCGCAGGCATCTTTACAAGTAGCAGTAGCTTGTATGGCATAGGAACAATGTTGAACAGCTTGGAACAACAATGCAAGTTTTGCTGGGTCAGTGCATTGATCGATATCGTCGGTCAACTTTGTCATTTTGTCTGTAAGGCATTGTATAACATTATCAGTAATATTTCTACATTTTTCCAAGTAGTGAGGTATCGTATTTGATTGACTAATAGACTTTATGACCAAAAAAAAAAAGAGTTATTATATTTTTCCTCTTGTGTGTGTGTTTTTTTTTAAAAAAAGATCTACCTTTTGCCGCTTAATAGACCGATCCTAATTGACAAAAAAAAAAGTATATTGTAAATACAAGTTGGTATTTGATTTTTTTTTTTTTTTTTTACCGTGACAGGTGATCCCATAGGAGAATGTGGAATGACTTGAGAAAGTGTAGAGGAGATAGGTTGATCGATATCTAGTTTTTCACCTTGATTGATCAAATCTGACTGATCCTTTCTTGCAACCTGATTAGGCTTTGGTGTTTCTACCAACTGATGTTTACTTTCTTCTTCTCGTTGTTGTTCAAGTACAGTGATATCATTTTCAGATGGATAAGTTTGTTCACAAATAACACAATAGAGGGATTTATTCGATGGATGACGTACGAGTGGAATCTATAGATATAAGAGTAAAAATAAGTAATATAAAATGAACATTTTATCTATTACTTACTGCATAACAGGTATGATTAGGGCATGTGTCATTTAATAATGCCCATCTTTGCAGCATTTTTTGTCCAATCAATTGAGAAGCTCTAGAGGATTGTTCTCTTCGTTTCTGCATGATATCAACACTATCATCTGTGGTTGATAATTTGATGGTACTTGGTTTATCCATTTGATCTTGATCTTTCTTTTGCATTGCTGTTGATATGGTAGAAGATGACGTTGTGGTGGTTGCGACAGTTTTATTCACGGTGAGAGAGGAAGACGTTGATGTAGCAGTCGAAGGGAGAGGATGATCATGATTAACACAAAACTTTACTTGACCATCTTTAGATCTCATAAGAGGCACATAACATCCATCTTTTGAACAAGTTTCGTCCGTCATAACCTAATAAGAATGATCTCAAAAGAATGATTGTCACTATTAGTTACATAACAAGACAATTTGTATTATTGTTTACTTTACCCAGCCTTGTAGTAAATAAGTACCTAGCAAGCTCATGGGATCTTTATTATCACCATCAACGTTTGACATAGTGTTTTGGTTAAGTAAAGACTTTTTTTTTTTTTTTTTTTTTTCCTTTGTATTTATTCTCCACAGATTGTCGGTATTACCGGACCAGCGGCTAAAATATTTTTTTTTTCTTTCTTGGGAATAATATTGCAATTTGCCATTAAATTTGTCGATTTCTTCACTCTCATCTTTATATTATTATATATGTAATAGGTACGATTTCTGTAGTAATAGTCTATACAATATTCATAATGATGATTTATGTGATTTGCATGATAATGCCTTTTTTTTTAAAGATACCTTGTAAAAACACGATTTACTAGTTGATGTATGCGGAGATTCATTATTATTTCGTGTTCGCTACCAATTGAAAAAAAAAAAAAGGGGAAGGCGCGCAGACAAGAAATTTTTCTCATTTCCTTTTTTTTTTTCTTTTCATTAATCCTAAGACTAATGGAAAATGTAAGAATTGAAACAAGATAGACTGCTTGGTATGAAAGAAACTCATTTTAAAATATTTTTATTTATATACAGACATCTACTCAACGCCATCTTAACAACAACAACAACAAAAATCTGTCTAGGTCATCCACACCTCGATCGAAAACCACTTTGGTGGATAAGAATAACAATAGAAAACAACGTGCACCTTGGGATTTACGGGTAAAAGAAAAGTACTACCATAAAAAGAATATAAATAATAAAATCATTATATTATTATTATTATTTAAGGGCAAAATTGAAGACTTGGGTAGTAAAGCAACTGAGCAAGCCTCTGAAAGTAAGTATAAAAGTATACGTATGTATAGTAGTAAAATTAATATCTTTACGACCATTGCTTTTAACATAGTTGATTCTGTACGCAAACTGACGGAAGACTTGGAATCTACTTTAGGAAGTACTACTTCAGAAACACAAGAAGCTTTGGATCGTGTTTATGAACTGGAAACTATGGTCAAAGTAAAAATATATATATATGATATTTTCCTTTCTTTATCTAAGATACTCTTTTTTTTTCTCAACCAGACAAAACGTGAACAACATCAATTAGCTTTGAAAAAATTAAAGTTAAAACATCAACAACAAAACCGACAATTAGAGGAAAGCAATTATCAATATGAACAAAGATTAGGAACTATCGATATTGAACTCAATGATATTCGATCCAAAACTTCTCAATTACTTAGAGATTGGGAAGCAAAGACACGCGATATCTCTCAACTTCGAGTAAGAATAATAATTATTATTATATATTATTTTTTTTTTATTGAACTTTAATATTTTTTCACTAGTCTTCTGTAGAAACCGCTTATTCTACAATGGCAGCAAAAGAAGCTCAATTAACTGAACAAACCAAAAAATTACAGGTAAAAAAAAGGGGGGACTTAGCTACAAATAAAAATCATTCATCTATATTTTTTTCAATTAGGAAACGGATTGTACTTTGATGGAACGACAAAAGACATTAGAAGAATTAACAGATCTGATCAATAGTACAAGAAAACGTCGATTCGAAATTGATTCTCAATTATTGGAAGAAGAAAAAGTACGCCGCAAATTACACAACACACTTCAAGAATTGAAAGGCAATATTCGAGTCTTTTGTCGTATGCGACCTTCATTGGCATCAGAACGAACACACGATGGTGCAGTGGCTCAAGTTCGATTTTTTGGTAAACATGGTGAAAAAATGGAATTCACAGAACAAGTGATGTCGAGTACGATCACTGGAAAAATGGCGACCAAGACGTATCCTTTTTCTTTTGACAAAATATTCTCTCCAGAACACAGTCAACAAGATTGTTTTGAAGAAATTGCTCAATTGGTACAGTCGGCTTTAGATGGTTATCATGTATGTATCTTTGCTTATGGACAAACTGGGAGTGGCAAGACCTATACCATGCAAGGACCATCACAAGCCAATGATGATAGCTCGATGGGTATGATTCCTCGTGCAGTACTTCAGATCTATCAAGCTGTTCAGATGCTCACCGAACGTGGTTGGACTTACTCTATGGAAGGTCAATTCTTGGAAATTTATAATGAAGTCATCCATGATCTTTTAGGCGATGTTTCAGAATATGGGAAAATCAAACATGAAATTCGACATGAAAAGAATGGGAAAACATCTATTACTGGAATGACAACTGGTAAATATATAGATCAAAAAAAAAGTGTAAATAAATACTAATTATTTTCTTTTTCTTTTTTTTTCTTTTTAAAAAAAAATGATGAATGGAATAGTAAAACTGGATTCTCCAACCAAAGTGAAATTGATGCTTCGAAAGGCAAATCAAAACCGTGCAACAGGTGCAACATTATTGAACGAACGATCATCTCGAAGTCATAGCGTCTTTATATTACGATTAGAGGGTCATAACGCAACAACTGGTGAACAAACATCTGGAGTATTGAATTTAATTGATTTGGCAGGCTCAGAACGCTTAGCAACATCTGGATCTACTGGTGATCGATTGACGGAAGCAAAGGCAATTAACAAAAGTCTTAGTTGTCTAGGTGATGTCATACATGCTTTAGCAAGGAATAAAGAAGGTTGTTATATTCCTTATCGAAATTCCAAATTGACTTATTTACTACAGAACTCTCTAGGTAAAATTACACATAAAATATGAAGATTTTTTTTTTTTTTTTTACTTATTCTACTTTTATATTGACATTGGCATAGGTGGAAATAGTAAAACATTGATGTTTGTTAATATTTCACCTTTGACTGAACATTTTGGAGAAACTCTTTGCTCTCTTAGATTTGCTACAAAGGTAAAAAAGAAGAAGAAGAAAAAATTCTATTGTACTGAATCAAATCATCTTTTTTTTTTTTTTTGACAGGTCAACTCTTGCAGGATCGGGGTTGCTAGGAAGATGAAGTAGTTTATAGTGACTGATGGAGGTGATGAAGTGTCTTTTTTTTTATTTTATTTTATTTTTGCCTTTAAAAGGGCTTTTATTCCAATTACCTATAATAAACAAAGGAAGTCTTTATACACAATAATACTATTACTTTAATGATATTTTATGTTTTGAATAAAAAAAGCTTTATGATTGGGAAGAGAGCCCCCTCTCCTGAAATAAAAAGAAATTCTCGGGATTTCAAATTGTACAGTCATAGTGGAATGATCTCAACATTTAAGTTACTACATTGTTTTCTTTTTAGCACTCTTTTTATCTTGAACAATAAAACCTGATAAATAAAAAGTGTATTTATAACAATAAATTTGAATCTAACGAACATAGAATCGACAACAATTGCAAGTTGGTATTTGAATAGTAGTAATACAACCAGCAAGACACCACTATTATCTTTTCTTTGTTTGAGAACACCACGACGTGGATTCCCTGATATTAGTATTACAAGACTATCTGTAGGCGTTACGAGGATATTAATGCGTAAAACTTTAGGCGAACGAGTCTCTAAACGTGTCGAGGGAAAGAATATCAAAGGTCGGATGTTATACAAACTAAAGAACAATGCAATGGGAAACTTGGTGGAATCCACATCTGTCTTCCTCACAGAAATCAATAATGGGACAATTGGATAAATGTTGGACACGTTAGGAAATCTCCAGGCATTGAAAGCAAGGCGACACTCAAGCAATGATCGACTTCAACTCCATCAAAAAGATTCGACTTTGTATGTGATCTCATACGCTGGTTTTATCTATGCCACCTTCACTCTTATTTTCGAAGGAAGCTATATCAAGGTAGGTTAAAAGCCAATAAAAGTGATTCATATTTGTACCTATCTTTTTTTTTTTTTTATTTTTTTTTTTATTTTTCTTAGATTTTTGTTGGTTTACCACCACTGGTATCTTGGGTCGCGAAGGAAGTGGATGAAGGGATGTTTTATCCTGGTGACGTTGCCATATTTTTAAAGTATACAACTTTATTCCGAATATCAAACTTGTGATTCAGCTTTAATATGTCCAAAAAATTATTGATGGATAACACTATTGATAAAATGAGATCCATTGTCCGATAAAAGATGTGGTCCAAAGTAAAGAAGCTAATTATTTACAAGAAAAAATCTGATGAAATGTTACACACCAGCAAATTCAAGGTTGGAGACATTGTATTTATGAAAGATTATTCGACGTTCTGGAAAAACTAAAATGGATCCTATCTTCTCCCCAACCAAATATAAAATCGTCGCGGCGTATAGGAATTCTTTCAAACTCATCGACCCTCAAGGTTCTGTTCTTCAAGTCAACGGGAAACATCTGCGCAAAGTAACTGAACAGGAAGTGGTCCCTATTGCATCTACTTCTTCAAGGATGGGATGGGAGGATGATGGCTGACTGCGGTTTCCAATTTTTTTATTTCATGGACTTTCAAATTTTATACCTTTTTATAATTTATGCCCTTTTCATTTGTTTTATGTCCTTCTTTCTTTCTTTATTTCTTTAGGCTAGCACACTGGTATCAAGTTGTACATGGTCACCCTTTCCGTCCCTCTCGGCACCTTTTATCCATGCGCTCCCGACTACAGGTTATCTTACCACCACCCATAGATTAGTTGTATGTTATGTTAGTCTTCCCTCCTTCTACTTAGTTTTATTCCCTTTTAAGAAAAAAAAATGATTTCAACAACTGCCTCCATCCCTCATTATGACAGCTTTGAAATAAATAAATTCTCTTTACAAAAAAAAAAAAAAAAATCTTTATTTCTTTAGTCTTTTTATTGTTATTTTTTATATATTTATGATTCTTATACTATTAGTAAATTATAGGTTCTTTTATGCTTTAAATTATCTTTTTCTTGTCTTGTCACATATCATTTTGGTGCTCACTACAGGGGAAAGTTAATTTAGAGAGGGAATAAAAAAAAAAAAAAAATAGTAAAACATGTAGACACTTTTATGGGTCGCTGTAAAACCATCATCACATCATTTATCTTTGAACTACATATATTATTAAATAATAAAAAAGGAATTATGAACTTTATTGTCCAAATTTTCTATTCATGTGGGTAAAATGAAAAGTGGGGGGGGGGATATACATATAATATATAGAGAGAGTATTAGATTCTACTTGAGTTGACTTTGTAATTGATTGACCAATTGTATCAGCTGATCATTTTCATCTCGAAGTGAACCCCTTTCTCTTGTCAGAATTTGAATGGCATGCTGATCTTGTTTTTTTTGTTGTTCTAAAGTATCCAATTGAGATTGTAATGTCATCAACTTTTCGTTGTTGCTTCGGATCGTGATCTACATAAAAATATATTCATAGAAAAAAAAAGAGTAGATGGTACAAAAAAATAATAATAATAATAATTGGTATGAAGAGTACATGGGTATAAAGGAGATAAATAAGAAAAAAAAAAGAAAGAAAGAAAGGATCAGATCATGAGTGACAGATACTTGAAGAAAAAAAAAAAAAAGGAAAAAGAATCATCAGATCAACCAATGTAAAGAGAAAAAAAAAGGAAATGAAATAGATATAAAAAAAAAAAAAAAAAGAATGGGAAGAGGTAAACGATAAAAAAAAAATAATAATAAAAAAAAAAACACAGAAAAAAACATCTTACCTCGTAACCTTCAATTTGATGTTCTAAATGATTGATTCGATCACTCGCTTCAACACGACAAGATTCCAATTCCTTTAATCGAGCCACATTCAAAGACTTGACACGGTAAGCGTAAGCCTCTAATTCATGATCTTTGAGATCCACCAATTGTTGATATTGATCATAAAGAAGTTGAACTTCTTTCTTGTGTTGTTGTGCTACAAGGATCAATTTTTCATCGCTTTCAGCTTGTTGTTTATCTAATGCTAATTGATGTGATTGTGTATCTTTGGCTATCGACAATTCTTGTTGTACCCTTTCAAGCTGTTGTTGTAAATCCATATATTTCGTTTGACATTCCGCATGAAGATCCATAAGATCAGAGTCTTCTTGTTGAGGAATCATGTTATTAATAACAGTAGTGGCATTGGTTGAAGTAGAATATTGTTGTTGTTGTTGATATTCTTGATTGGATAAGGATGGTTTCAAAGTAGCAGCATGTTGTTCCAATCGTAAGGTAGCCTCCTCCAATTTTGTTTGAAGTTCTTCTATTTGATTTTCCAAGACATCAATGTGTTGCGCTTGATGATCATGATCTTCATTCACTTGAGCCAATCGAGCCTCCATTTCTTCTTGTTGTGCGATACTTTGTTCCTTCAACATGATCATCTCCTGAGCATGTTGTTCCTTGGTCTCTGTCAATAGTTGCTGTAACTGATCCAGTTCGAATTGTGATCGTTGATGTTTTTCTAGCCATGTCTGTGCGGTGTCATCATGATCATTCTGACTTTGCTTCATTTCATCACGGAATCGACGTTCTAGAGCTTCAGTGGCATGTCGAGCTGAATTCAAACGTTGCTCCAATTCTCGTACATAAAGACAATCCTTTGACGTGCTCAACATTGTTTCCATTTCTGTCAGCCTTTTTTCTAGTTCATCACGTTGATGGGTCATTTCCTGGTGCTGTTGAATCAAACTGTTATACTTTTGAGATAATGAATCATCATCCAATTTCAATTTTTCATATTGTTCTAGTAATGTCGCGTGTTCCTCTTGTATTTTACTTTGATTGGCTTCCCACTCCGTCTATCAAAAAAAAAATATGAATTGTTTCCATTTTGATTCCATCACTTTGTTTACCTTTAATCCCGTCATTTCCTTTTCATGAGTTAATGTCAGTTTTTCAAGTTCGGATTGATGTTTCACTAATAATGACTCCATTTCCTCTTGTGTACGTCTTTTTTGTTCTTCCATCATGTCATCCACTCGTTCCTTGCGGGCTATTTCCAATTGTGTCTAATAATAATCACAATAAAAGATGTAGAAAAACTTTTTAGTTTAATACGAATAAATTACTTCTTTATATTTTTTCTTTTCATATACCTTAAGAGATTGCTTTTCCTCTTCAAATTCTTCTTTTTGTCGCTGTAACGATGCCTGACTATCGTCTACTTTTTGTTGCAAAACGTTAATTTGATCCATTGCCTGTAAAAAAAAAAAAAATCAATCAATCAATCAATTCATCTCATTTTAATTGGTTCCTTTCCCATTTTTTTTCAGAACGAATAAAAGTTACCTTTTTCATTTCATCCTGTCTATCCCCATCTTGATGACAAGCCAATTTATTTTGAAGTTCTTTGATCAATATTTCTTGTTCTTCCATCTTTGCTACTTTTTGTGCTACCTATGAAAAAAAAAAGAAAAATGATTATAATCTTGTCAATATCCATCGAATTTTTTTTTTTTTTTTTTTACGTCGTCTTTTAATAATTTGATTTCAGATTCTGCAGAAAAAGAAGTGCGATTAGGAGTGGCAGATCGTGGAGATGCAGGTGGATTCAAAGAGGCACGTCTTGACATGGGTGAAGAAGTTGGTCGTGGTGATATTTGTTGAAGCGAAGTAGATGCTGGTCGTCGTTTTGTCGAAGATACAGGAGTAACATTAGCCACACCATGAACAGATGTAGGTCGTTGAGATGTTGAAGACACTTTTCTTGGTGTCGTTGTCGGACTTGCTGGTGAAGAAGGACGTCGATTTAAAGAGGTTGCTCTTACTGGTGCAGGCCCAGTTGAAGATTGTTTAGTGGAAGATTGCCTACTGAGTGAAGTAGTTTTCGGTTGAGATGATTTATTGCTGATACCATTATTGCCTCTTTCTTTTTGACTAGGTGTCACTGTTGTTGGTGCCGCTCCTCCAGGTTTGATACCCAGATCAGCAAGTATTGAACGTCGTTTATTATTAGTGGCAGGTGTCTTTGAAGGCCTTGTACTTGCATCAGACATATTACGAAAGAAAAAGGAAGGAAAGGAAAAAGAAAAAAAAAAAAAAAAAGAAAAGTGAAAACAAGGGGAGAAAAATAAAAAAAAAAGCCAGCCAAACAGACAAGAATCACGCTTGCTTCTTTCTTTTTTTGGGGCGGAACATACATTATTAATGTAGTACAGAAAGTTTGATCTTGTCAAAATGATGTTAGTATGGGTAGAGACCTTTTCTTTTTTCTCTTCCTTTCTTAATTGAATATATGAGAGAAATACTAATAATTGATGCCACTTCTTTGTTCTCACTTCATCCTAAGCATACTATCGAAAAATAGAATAAAATAAAGAGCTATAGAAATTTTCGACATGATCATGAAAATAATAATACTTTCAAAGTAACAAGATAAAAATAAAAATGACTATATCATCATTTTATTTATTGCATTAAAAAAAAAGAAAAGGGGGGTATATCTACATTAATTGATCTTTATAAGCCATTAGATATTCTTCAAGAGTCTCTGGTTTTCTACCAAGCAATATAGGAAGAGCACGAGTTACTTGAATGCCATTCTCGTTAAGGTCAGTAAGAGCATATGCAATACGATGAGGCAAACCAGCCTTGTCGGTCAGCATGGTATAGCGAGCAATAGGATCCATGTGAACATAAGGAATCTCTCGACCTACCACTGTAGAAATCACCGCGGCTGTCTTTCTAGGTGTCAAGACTTCACCTATCATTTCATAGACGGCATCCCCATGTTTAGCAACATCATCCATCAACATACGTCCAGCCACAGTACCAACATCATTAGGAGAAATCCATCCCATTGTTTCATCAGGTTCAGCACTACCAGGATACATATTGAGATGTTTGATCGCATGAATATCAAAGTCAACTATATTTGACGCAAGACGTCCTGGACGTAAACATACAAGACTTGACCGATTTGGAATTTCCATCAAGGTTTTTTCAGATGCCCAATGATCTTCTGCTGCAAAATTATATCGCCAACCTGCAAAAAAAAAAAAAAAAAAGTGTTTAAATTAAATTTAATAAAAAAAAAAAGAAAGGATTTTTCCACACACTTACGATCACCAGCAGCATAAGAGGAAATATCCACCACTTGAGAAACACCAGCTTCATAAGCAGCTGTTGCCAATTGCTTTTTTAAGAGAGGAGCATTCATGTTACCTGAATCGATTTGTACCAACAGTAAAAGTCGAGTATATCTACCTTTCTTGATGGCATCATAAAAAGGCATCAAGTCACTATAATCACCTTGCACAATAGTTAAAAGTGCATCATAGTCAGGAAAGAGACACAATGCTTTGGTGGGATTACGAGCATAAAGTGTCACTTTTATTCCATTGGATAAAAGATCCTTAACGGCCTTGGTACCAATATTACCTGTACCTCCAATGACGAAAATGTGTTCTAACATGATTTTTTTGATTTGTGTAACGACTATTTATTTTTATTTTTAATTTTTTTTTTTTTTTTTTTTTCAAGACGGCAATTCAAGGTATTTTATATCAAAGGTTATCGGGATCATTTATCCGAGATCCGCTTTTTATTGGATAAACACAGCCCCGCTGTTTAACATTGTCTTTCATATGACGGCATGATAAGAGGCCGATCAATAGATAATTGTAAAAATAAAAAAAAAAAATGCCGTTTCTCCCCCCTCCCTCTTTATCTGTCAAGCATCTACTATTTCCAATCTACTATTTTCAATAATATGCCATCAGTCACATCAATAGTAAAAAAAAAAAAAAAAAAAGAAAACATGTGTATGTTATTATTTTAAGCCATTACACAAGATCAAATATTATTAACCAAGTGACGCGGTTCATATTTCCCATTTTTTAATAGACACGGCAAAGTAAATTGTTTTCAACCCGTCTTTTATTTTTGATGAATGAATGATATATAAAGGGACTTATTCCTTTTTTTTTTTTCTTTTTCTTCTTAAAAAACTCTTCATTAAAAATGTCGTTTCCTTCTTTGGACAAGTTTTTCACCCAAGGTGATTTTGTTGGTGATTTTCAAAAACCATGCCACAGAAATACTCCTGAAGTGGCAGATCCTATTTGGCTTGATGTTCAAGGTGAAATTCCCACGTGGCTTCAAGGTGTATTATACAGAATTGGTAATGAATACAAAAACTTTATATTTGTGAAATATAATTTTTTTTATTTTTTTAATTTTTAAATGTAGGTCCTGGTAAATTCATTTTGGGTGAAGAAGGAGGTCGATCTCTTACCATTACACATGCATTTGATGGATTAGCATATATTCATCGATTTGAATTCGACGGCAACAGTCAAAAGATTCGGTACAATTCTCGTCATACAGCCAAGGCTTTTGAAAAACAACTTTTGGAAAACCCATTTGGTGGTTATACTTCTTATGGAACCGTTTATGCTGTAGGATCAGCTTGGCAACGTTTTATGGATTTCTTAGCTCGTGTCAATAAAAAACCCCACCCTGATCCTTCTTCTGGTCCTGTCAATGTCACTATCACACCTAATTTCCCTATACCTGGTTCTTGGGATACTCATGGAAATCCTGTTCTTGTCGCTAAAACTGATAGTAATCGTCTTCAAAAAGTACATCATGATACTCTTGGTAAAAAAAAAAAAAAAAAAAAAAAAAAAAAAAAAAAAAAAAAGATGATTGATCTTTTTTTTTTAAATGATTTATATGTAGAACCTGAAAAATTATTTGATTATTCCGCTTATGATGAACGTTTGAAAGGTCGACTCTCGGCATCCCATCATCAACATGATGACAGAACAAATGAAGTCTTCAACATTTCCATGGAGGTGGGTATGCGTCCATGTCTGACGGTATTCAAGATAGATGATAAAACGGGAACTGCTACTGTATTGGCGGAAATCACACATTATCTTGATGATGACAACAAGACACCCTTCAAGCCTGCCTATCTTCATTCATTTTGGCTCACTCAACATTACGTGATTGTACCTATCTCTCCGATTTACTTTAAAAACAATGGATTGGATCTCGCTGTTACGGGTAATTTGATGTCTGGGATGGAATACCATGCTGATACGCCCACGTTATTTTATATTGTCAGTCGAGAAGGTGGTCATGTTGCTACTGTGCCTGTGGATCCTCATTTTGCCTTCCATACCATTCATGGTCATGATTATTTGGATGCCAATGGAAACATTGTTCTTGAATTGAATACACAGGCCTTTGATGGATGTGAGGCTGTATTTCAAACTGCTGATCTTACTCATCTTCCTCGAGCTTCTGAAATCGATGAAGTCAAGGCTTTGGAAAATATTCCTCGAACTAAAGTGAATGGATTTACGTAATAAAAAAAAAAAGAAATGAAAAGATAGATTATCATTATTCACCTTTTTTTTTTTTTTTGTGGATAGTGTTCCTCCTTTGAATACCTTCAGTCAAAATTCATTTGGTGATCTTCGACAATATAAAATAGTATTGGACAAACATCAACCTCACAAGAATCCCAAGGCAGATTTCATTACATTGATCAAGAACATTGAATTTGCTCGTGTCCATCCTGCTTATCAATTCAAGACATATCAATATATTTATTTTAATTATATGGCGCCTGGTATCCAGAATCAAAAAGGATCCATGTTTGGATTGAAGAAGGTAGACCTCAAGTCTGGACAAGAAACTATATGGAAACCTGATACCACAGATGCTTATGTTTGTTCTGAACCTGTGTTTATCCCTCGTCCTGGTGATGCTCTTGAAGAAGATGATGGTGTTGTTCTTAGCTTGGTCAATGTCTACGATAATAGAGGTCATCATCATGATCATTGTTATATGTTGATCTTGAATGCTAAGGATTTCACTGAATATGGTCGTGTCCCCTTGGGTCAATTCACTGCTGTTACTTTCCATGGCTCGTTTGTCGATCATGAATTTATTTCTACCACTTATAACTAGGTTTTTGTTAGTGAATAAATAAATAAATCAATGATAAAAAATATGATTTTATTTAAACGAGAATGTAAAATAAAAAAAAAAGATAATATAAGACACACTGATCATTCCTTATCCAATAGAAAAACCTATTGTATTTTCACAGAAAGAGTACTAAAAAAAAACAATTTATTTCATAGTATGAGAGACTAAGAAGAAGAAGAAGAAGAAGAAGAAGAAAAGATAGTAAATGTATAATAAGTATAGAATGTATAATATGTAAAGAGTGACTTTATAATATAGGTTAGTAAAGTAATGTATAATGGTAACTTACAATGTTCATTGGTTAAAAAGAAAAAGAAAAAAAAGTAAAAGGAAAAAAAAAAAAAGTAAGGAGCGCGCCAACTTTTTTTTTGTCAGAGCTTGGTCCAACTTGTCTCCACAATTCAAAGGTTGACGAAACGAAGACTAAAAATGTGATACATACTCTCTAAGAGCCGCTTTATTTTTCATATATATAAATTCAATTCAAATTAATAATACCCCTTTCCCTTATATCTTCTAAGCAAGCTATAAATGCTATTCTATTCAATTTTTTTTTTTTTTTTTTTTTTTTTTTTTTTTGGGAGGGTTTAAACTATTTAAGATTTTTTTTTTTTTTTTTTTTTTTACCAAAAAGATCTGTACCATGGGCGGGTATGTATCACATTTTTAGTCTTCGTTTCGTCAACCTTTGAATTGCATGTCGTTCCTAATCCAATTCTAGTTGACTCCACTCCGACTTCCAATGTGATACTGTTATCCGAAGAAAAAATTGAATTACTGATTGCCGTACTTGAAGATCTTTGGGATGATGGTTTATAATAATGTTTTTCAAAGGTGTTGGTTGACAAACTCCAATTCGCGTGTTTTTTAACCTCTTGAATAGCGTGGCCGTTTTCAACTGCTTTTGTGCTGGAAGCTGCCCTGATTGAATGTGCTTGGAATTGTTTTGTGTCGATGCCAGCCGTTGTCATTTCATTTTTTATCCAATTTGCCACTGTCGCTGGTCGAACGGAATTTGTTGGTTTTGAGTCATCTTCCAAGTATGTCAAGAATAATGAGTGATCAATTGGTAAGTGTTGTCTAAGATTTGCTGTTTTGTCCAAGAACATCCTCATTGTTCTGACCGGGCATAATTGTTCCTCTCCAATTTCTCCCAACGTAATTGATTTGACTTGGCATTCCTTTGGTTCGCGTACATGTAATGAAAGAGACCAGTGTTCCCCTTCTTGTCGTATAATCACATCCCTGAATTGTAACCGTCCAATGTCGGATCGTGGTCTCCACATAGTAGCTATACATGTCACTAGAATAGTTTTCAATTGTAAGGCTTTCAAAGATAAACTTGAAGTTGGAGACAAAGAGATCTTGATATGGTTGACTAATAGAGAAATATCCCATGTGAACAGTTGTTGTGTGGTTGGAATGGTGACCTGTGATCTTCTTTTTGCTTTGAAAAAATCCCTGAGTAGTTTGTTTCCTGCTAAAGAAGGTTTATCTTCATGGATGATCGAAAAAACTGAAGCGATAGCTGTACGTAAACTGTTCAAATGTGTAACACTATAATGCTGATTGTCCACTAGAAATTGTAAAACTTGTCTTGGTTCATATGCACAAGGATTTTGTTGAGGTTGTTGACTTTTGCACCATCGTACCCATATCTTCCAATTTCCATCATAAGTTTTGACAGTATGTTCTCTAGACGTCTTGAGTAAAAAACTTGCTGTTTTTTCATCTATACCCATCTTTTCCCGGAAGTTGTTGATAACAGCCATGCGGCTAAAAACCATTTCGTATTGATCTTCCAAATTATCGGTGGTTGGAGGTGTTTCATGTTCAGAATCATTGGAAACCAAAACTGGCTGGGCCACCAAGGTGTCACCAAAACTGTCTTCTTCACCTTGTCCTTCTTGATCTTGTGCAAAACTTGTGGAATCATCCTCCAAGGTGGGTAGAGATATAGTCCTGTCCGTTGCCAATCTTGTTGGAATGCATCCACTGCTGTGGCTCCTGGATCCATCTTCAAAGTCCAATATTCTTTCAGTTGGTGATTGTGTCTTGCTGCAAATGCATCCACTTTCAGTTTTCCCCATTGTTTCTCTATCATCTTGAACATCGCTTTTGGAATTGATGTTTCGTATAATGGTTTCTTGGTCCTGCTCAATTTGTCTGCCTGTGTATTGAGTATGCCTGGTACATGTTGGTAGATGACTTGTAACTTGTGTGTATTGCAAAGATCTTGTATCTTGATCGCTAGATCTTGTAGAAGTAGTGATGCTGTTCCTCCTGATTTTGTTGTATATTTCAATGCTGTCATGTTGTCTGACAAAATCTTGATTGTTGAATTTTCGCATTTTTTTGCGTGAAGTTGAAGGGCAAATAAGATCGTCTTCAGTTCGCGCACGTTTATTGAGTGTTGAGTTTCTTCTTTGGTCCAAAATCCAGCTGTTTCGATCATTGGTGAACTGATCCCCCATCCTGTATCGGAAGCATCGACGTAAATCGTTGTCTTTGGGTTTGTTGGTGTTAACTTCTGTATTGGTAATCCATTCTTTTGAACTAAGAACTGTATCCACCAGTCTAGGTCTTGAAGGCTTGTAGATGATAACTTGCATGTTGCTTCCCAGTTTTGCTTTGTTGCTTGGAGTGTTCGTGCCAGATCTCGTTGCAAGTAACGGATGTGTAAAAGAGATTCCCCCACTGCTGGTATCATGGCCGTCATTTTTCCCAACAATCCTGCTATCCACCTGCATGATTTCTTCTGGAAACTTTTTATTTGTCGAATCTTCTTTAATAGATTGTTGATCTTCAGTTGTGGTACGGAGATGATCATCTTCTTGGTGTTGAATGTAAAGCCTAGGAAGTCTTGGATCTTTGATGGAGAAAACGAACTCTTGTTGTGGTTGATTATAAAACCCAGTGATTCTAAATGTAAACGAATTTTGAGTGTCAATTTTGTTCATTGCTTCTTTTGATTTTTCCAGAACGCAGATGTCGTCCAGGTAAAAGACTAAACGTATACCTTCTTTCCTCAATGGTTCTATCGCATATTTCATCAACTTGGAAAAAACCCTTGGAGCTATACTCAGGCCAAAAGCTAGAGACTTGTAACGGTAAACTGTTCCTTGATTTTCGAAGCTCAAGTAATCCTGTGATTCTGGGTGTATTGGTACTACTACATAAGCATCCTTGAGGTCGATTTTGCAAATGTAATCGTTTTCTTCGATAATATCCCTGAGTGCTGGAATCCCTTCCATTTTGAAGTGCTCGATTTGTATAAAACTGTTCAGTTTTTGGCAGTCCAGAATCGGCCGTCGTTTCGTCTTTTCTTGTAAGGTGAAAAACTTCGACAGAAAATTTCGGTTTTGTGATGGTGAAATTTCTATCATTCCCCCTTCCAAAAATTTGGTGATTGCTGAGTTGATATGAACTTGATCTTCTTCTGAAACATCCCTCTTCGAAATTTTCCATGGAATTGGTTGTTGAGCAAATTGAATCTTGTATCCGTTTTGAATTACTGAAAGAGGCCATGTGTGTGATGTGATCTTCTTCCAGTTGTTGATGAATTGTTGCAGACGTCCCCCTGGTAATATCCCATCCTGTGGAATGGAATAATTTTGAGCTTTCGTTGTGATTTGTTGTGAATTGTTGTGATACATCATTGTTGTTCCACAGAGTTTTCTTGGTGACGATGTTGGTTTGGTGATTGGTTGTGAGAGTTGTTTGAGTTGATGAAGGTTGGAGTCCCACGTCCCCTTCCCCCAAAGTAGTTTTTTCCACCACGGAAAAAACCTCGTCCTCCTCGATGTTGGTGCCAGTTATGTGAGTATCCACCTCGATTTCCATAAGATTGTGTTGATGTTGCTGCTTTGATGACTCGTTGTTGGTAGTTTGCTTCATGATATTGTTCCAGGAATTCTTGGCTAAATGCTTCTTTTTTCCCTGTTGGTTTGGATTCCAAATGTTTGAGACTTTGGGGCAATTTGAGAGCTTTGATGGCGAAGTCTCTAGCCTCATTGTCTTGTTGTTTTGCTTGAGCCCATGCGAATACTGCGAGTCGCCTAGTACTTTCCATTGTTTCGTCCAATAGTTGAGAGGCTTCTGTTTGAGTGAGAGATCCTTCTTTGATGTGATTGAGTTGTTCAAAGATTTCTGTTGCTGCTCGTCCAGTTGTACGGATGATATCTGATCCCTTGTAAATGCTGTTGACCACTTGAGTGGTGTCCACAGTGTATGATTTGAGTTTTGGAATGAGTGATTTATTGATTTCTTCACCCACTGTCCATTCGTCATGTTGGTATTTTGTAAGATCTCGTTTGTATCTTTTGAAGTTTTCTTGTAATTGTAAGATCGTACTTTCTTCCAAATTTTCAGCGATTGCCAATGGTAATTGACGTTCTTCTCTGATTTGTTGGTTTGATGCTTGTTCATCTGCTCGGAAGCGTTGGAATAGTTGATATACTTCTTCTTCTGTATACAATCTTCCATTGTTATCATTCATATTTAATCCTCGTTGCGCGGCTTAGAAAGATATAAGGGAAAGGGGTATTATTAATTTGAATTGAATTTATATATATGAAAAATAAAGCGGCTCTTAGAGAGTATGTATCACATTGGAAGTCGGAGTGGAGTCAACTAGAATTGGATTAGGAACGACATGCAATTTTTTTTTTTTCAATCTCCAGATTTTATTTTTTTTGGATCGCCAGACCTTTTTCTTTTTTTTTTTTTTGATCTCACCAGGCTTTTTTTTTTTTTTGATCCAACATTCCACATTGAGACCGGACTTTAAACTTATACCATTTATGGAAACCCTTTAGATGAATTAAAAGAAAAGTATGATGAGTAACAAATAAGATTGATGATGATAATTTGTATTGAAACTATTAATAAATGATAATACTGTAATAATAAATCATTCCTCATCTTGATATGTATAAAAATAAGGTATTCTTTAAAATGACTTGCTTGAAAATTACCGTATAATTTTATGTATATACATATAATAGCTTGTATTTTTTATTATAATAATCACATAAATAATGAGTAGTATATATATATATATATATATAAACTATAGTAAAGGATGATCATCTAATCATAAGGTATGTAAAATAAGTAAGTAAGAAGGATTATGCCTTGGCAATAGCAGCACGTTTGCGAGCACCAGCAATAACAAGTATCCAGACAGCCCAATCAAATAATACTTCCTTAGCCATGAACAAGAAAGCAGCAGTCAATACACTTTGTACAATCTTGCTCTTCAAACCACCATAAAGACCAGCAATCCCTTCAGTAGCAAGAATCTTTTTGAACCCATCCAAAATAGAGGAATATCGTTCATTATCATTTTGACTGATTTGCATACGAGATTTGACAACACTAATAATAATATTTTTTTAATAAAAGTACTCTATTTTTTTTTTTTTTTACTTACATATAAGGATAAGTCAAGCCAGTGGCTACCAATTTGGAAAGAGCACCCAAAAGGAAAAAGTCAAAATTACCTAAAGTTTTGAATTTGGTTACTTTATTCTTGACTTGTTCAAATACGGTATATTGAATGATAGGATTGATCACCAATACCAAAGCAGCACCAACACCAGAATATAAACCAGAAAGTCCTTCCTTTTTCAAAATACTAGAGGCAACAGAAAAAGCATTTTCTCCTTTGTTATCTTCTACACCTTTACGCACAGTTAAACGAGTCTATATATATATATATATAATAAAAGTTTGAAAATCCATTCCTTCTTTTTTTTTTTTTTTAATATTACGTTCACAGTCCAGATAGGATGAGTGGCTAATACAACAGCACTACCAGCAATGGCACCTGCAAGCATAGATTCAGCAGTAGACATAGGTTGATTCTTTGATTTTGCCTTTTCAAATACAGCCTTGACAGCTTCATAACAATAATAATATACACCATTAGTGATAGCAATACCAAAAATACCAGAAGATAAACCACTAGAAATAATGACAAAAAAAAAATAAAAATAAAAAGGTAAGTAACTTGTTGTTAATAAAAGGGATATTTAAGGTACAATATCAAGAACGTATATTAACAAAATATAAAACCTCTCTCTTTTTTTTTTATGAACACATACGCATATAAACCCTTGGGACCTTCTTTGGCAAGAATCTTGAAGAAAGCATCAGCCGTGTTCTAATTCAAGTTAAAATAAAAAAGTTGTATTTGTTTATAATCTAATTGGATAAATATATATAAATTAAGAAATAAATACCTTGTAATCGTCTTTATCTTGACCACCACGTTGTACTTGAAGACGAGAACTAATGGAGACAAGAGGATAAGTCAAAGTCATGGCGACAATACCACCACCAGCACCTATTATATATATTAGTATAAATAATAATAAAGTAATAATAACATACCAGAAAGAGCATGAGCAACGTTATCAGACATGATTAATAACAAGAGAGATGTAGTAAAGTAACAAAAAAGGGGGGAGAGGAGAAAGAAAAAAAAAAAAAGATAAAATAAATAAAAAAATTCAAATAGAGAATGATTTTTATGTCATTTTAGATCAGTCATCGCGAAAATCTGGGGAAAATGTTTTTTATAGTGATTCAATTTAAAACCAGTGCAAAAAAGATCCCTTAATAAAAAAAAAGCATGTGCTTTCTATCGAAATGACAGGCATCCAATCAATTATTCAAAACTATTTTACTTTTTCACATGAGTAAGTTTGATGAACCGCTTTCATTTCCGATAGTCTCCTTTAATATTATATTGAATCAACTTGTTTTATTTCAAAAAAAAAAAAAAAAAAAAAAAGAAAAAAAAATGTTATTCATAATATCAATGAGTTTTGATGAAATGATTTTTGTTTTGTTTAAATATTATTATATTCATCATCATCATCTCATAATAATAATAATTTCGGCGACTTTGTTGAGCTGCATGTGAATTCGTATTTCAGTTTGATAAGCATAATAGTATTTTATGTGTAGTGACTGGTTGTCAAAAAATAAGAGTGCCTCTTTTGGCATTCATTGATAAAAAAAGTTTCTTTTTCTTTTTCTTTCTTTCTTTCTTTTTCTCCACAAATATTATATACTCCCCACTCTTTATAACTATGTCTACTGAACAAGCTTCTCCTGATAAATATCTTGCTGTACGTAAAGATATTATTAAAGTCTTCCCTAAAGAAGATTATGACGATGGATCTTTTGCTCCTGTTGTGTAAGTTTTTAAAAAAACTCGAAATAAATGATATATACTCAATTTATATTTTAGTCTTCGTCTTGCTTGGCATGCTTCTGGTACTTATGATAAGAACCATAAAGATGGTGGTTCTGATGGAAGTAAGTTACAAAAAAAAAAGATATATCATAATAATATTTATGTATCTCTTTTTAAATTAGGTACTATGAGATATAAAACTGAAGCTGAAGACCCTGCTAATGCTGGTTTGGAAGTAGCACGTGGTGTTCTTGAACCTGTCAAAGCTGCTCATCCTTGGATTTCATATGCTGATTTGTGGACGTAAGTTTTTTTTTTTTATCTTTTTCTATATATATTTATCTTTTTCTTTTAATATATAGTCTTGCTGGATGTGTTGCTGTTGAACATATGGGTGGACCTCATATTGAAGTAAGTATATCAAAAAAAAAAATTGGATGGATGAATTAAAAAAAACTTTATATTTAATTTTTTTAATGTAAAAAAGTGGACTGGTGGTCGTCGTGATAAAGCTTCAGAAGCTGATTGTCCTCCTGTAGGACGTCTTCCTGATGGTGCATTGGGTAAAGATCATGTATTGGATGTTTTTGTATCTCGTATGGGATTCACTGTACAAGAAACTGTTTGTTTGATTGGTGCTCATACTGTTGGTCGTTGTCATAAAGATCGTTCTGGTTTTGATGGACCTTGGACTGTAAGTTGATCTATTTTATTTATTTATTTATTTATAAAACTTAAATCTATGTCCTCTCTATAGGAAACACCTACTCGATTTTCCAATCAATTCTATAAGCAACTTTTACACAACACATGGAAGGAAAAGAAATGGGATGGTCCTAGACAATTTGAAGATGAAGATGGAGATTTGATGATGTTACCTACTGATATGGCTCTTTTGGAACCTCCTTTCCGTGAATATGTTGAAATTTATGCCAAGGACAAGCAACGTTTCTTTGATGATTTTGCTGCCGCCTTCCTTAAATTGATTGAATTGGGTGTCACTAAACGTGGTCGTTTATAATTTTTTTTTTTGTATTTTACTCTATTTCCCCCCACTTTTGTTAGTTTATTTATACAAATTTGATATCTGTTTTAGAAAAAAAAAATAAAATAAAACCATTTTCTTTTATCAAAATATGACTCTATTTGTAGTACAAACAGTAAAATAATATATATATAAAACCTCTTTTTTTTTCCCATCCTTTTTTTTTTTTTTTTTTAATAAAATGCAAAGTCCTTTTGGACCTATTTATCCTCCTTTTATACAGATCATCGAAGGACCTGAAGACCAGTTAAGATGTCTTCTCAAATGCAAATCAAAGATAAAAAAGAAGAAACGTATGCTATTATACCCGATGTTTGATGCCATGCTACCTCCTACTTTATTCTATCCTGTTTACATTCATATCCCTTATCATGATATTTTTAACAATGATCATCCATATCAACATGATCCATACCATCATCCCTACTATCACCAGTATCAATATCATCAAAAAGATACCTTTAAAGATGAAAAGACTATTCAAGATAATGATGATGATGTTGTTATTGTTTCTTTACCTTCATCTCCCACCCTTGCTCCCTCCTGGCCACCTCCAGTGATTACTCAACAATCTAATCATCAATAAAAAAAAAAGATCATTCTTTCAATTTCAATTTTAATCAAATAATAAAAAAAAGTCAACCCAAAAGATAGTATTGTATAAAAAGGATAATATAATCACAGATCATATATTTTTTTCCAAGTATATTTTATTCATAATTTATTTATATTGGCATATATAAAGATAATGATAATAATAATAATAATAAAAATAAAAAAGATAAGAAAGGGAAAAATGTGTATTGTGTGCGTATGTGTAAAGTGTATTTGTTTTTGGTTTTTTTTTTTTCAAATCCCCACCAGGCATCCGTACAGGTTGGGTGCTAAAAACTACTAAACTTGATAACAAAAATAAAGTTGAGAAAGAAATGTGGGTGATATGAAAAAAAGAAGAAGAAAATCTTCTTTACAACAGTAAAAGAGAAGTCCATGTAAGATGGAATAATAAAAAGAAGAGGTCATCCGGTTGTTGTTGGTTTTTTTTTGTTTGTCCAAAAAAAAAAAGAATTGACTAGTCGCTGTTCTTGCTGTAATAATTATCTTTATCCATTGGAAAAATTTAATCGACATGTTTTTGAGTTTGATGACGATGAAGAGCATCTCGACGAGAGAAGGAGACTTGACAAGTATGACAGGTGTAAAGTCGTTCACCCATATGAACAGTTGAGATATGACGTTCACAATCATGTTTTCGATCAAAGGACTTGGTACATAAATGGCAGGCAAAAGGTTTTACTCGATCCTTGTTATGAGTTTTGATATGAGTTCCCAAATTATAACGACGGCTAAATCCACGATCACAGATAGGACAGACAAAGAGACGGGTGTCATTGGTTTTAACTTGTTTTGATTGTTTTTCTTCTTCTTCCTTTTCTTCTTCCACATGTTTGCGTTTTAAAGTTGGAACATCATCTTTGGGTTTTTCATTGGTACCAAAAATATCATCAAAAAGTAAATCCCAATGATTTTCAGAAGTAGTATCATTTTGTTTTTGTTGTTCTTCTTCTTTAGAAAGAGGAGGGAAAAGAGAATCATCTTCTTGTTGTTGAAGAGTCATCGTAGGTTGAGATTCAATAGCCAATTGAGAAGGATCCACCACAGAAGAAAAATCATGTTCAGAAGTCAAAGCAGGAGTAAAATATTGTTCCATACAATCCAAATCCATACCAACAGCACCCATGAAAGGAGTTGTTGTAGTAGTATCCATCATTGGTGTAGAGAAATGAGAACCAATTAAAGGATCCATATAAGGTGTAGACATCATAGGACTATCACCCATAAAACCAGTTGCAGGAGTAAAAGGTGTTGCAAAAGAATCCAAAGAAGGAGTATTCATCATGGGTGAAATTATATTTTGTTGTTGTTGTTGTTGTTGTTGTGAAGTAAAAGAAGTTGAATGAATTAAAGAATGCATCAAGTTATCAGTTGTATGTAAAGTTTTGGAAGGTTGATCTAAAGACAAAGTTTGTTCTACTGCATCAGTATGAGAAGATAACAGTAAAAGATATACAATTAAAAATTCTTCATACTCACCATCAAAATCTTCAAAAAGTGCTTCAATATCAAAAGGAGTAGAGTTCATAATACCAGCTTGTGAAATAATTTGATCAATAGTAGGTGTATAGGAATTAGTCATATAAGAATAAAGAATAATAAAAGAAGACTAATTGGTATAATGGGGTTTTAAAAAGAATAAGAAAGAGGGAAAAGGTATAAAAAGAAAAAAGAAAGAAAAAAAAAAGGAAAGAGAAATAAAAAAAGAGCAAAGATGACTCAGCAAAAGTGGGGGCGTTATAAGGTAAATTGCCGCAGTTGGTAGGTAACGTTGTACGACTGGAATCATTTTGAGGCTTGTCTCTCTCTTTTATTATTTACATTCATACTCCGGAACCAATATCTTTATTTGGAAAGGATGGAAAATCAATACTAAAATGGTAATTAGCGAAAAAAAAAAAAAGAATCATCCATTTTGAATATCATAGAAAAATACAGTATACAGCTTTTTTTTTTTTTATTTCTTTCTTTTCATAAAAAATAAAAAAAAAATAATACAAAAACTAAACTAATCTAAAAAAATAAATAAATAAAATTAAAAAACTATATTACAATTTTTTACTAGCAGCTTCAATACTAGAAATGATACGATCCAAAGCCAAATCAGTTTCTTCTTTAGTAATATTAAGAGGAGGAATCAAACGAAGAGTTTCATAAATAGAAGTAGTCAAAACAATAGTATCCAAATTGAAAGCTTCATTAGCAACAGCATTAGCAAATCCTTTAGGAGCATTTAAGAATTCAATACCGATCATTAAACCGAGACCACGAATATCTACCTTGATATTATCAGGTAATAATTTGGGAATCTTTTCTTTCAAAGTGGAAAAGAATTGTTCAGATCTAAAAAAAAAAAAAAAAAAAAAAAAAAAAAAAAAAAAAAAAAAAAAAAAAAAATATTATTAGTGAATACTATAATAATAATAATAATAATATATATATTTACCTAGCATTACAATTTGCCAAAATATTTTCATCTTTAAATACTTGTAATGTAGCATTAGCAGCAGCACATGCTACAGCATTTCCAGAATAAGTACCACCCATTGATCCAGGAGGTTGAGTATCCATTAATTCTTTAGTAGATACAATAGCAGATAAAGGATAACCAGAAGCAATACCTTTAGCCATCACCATGATATCAGGACGAACATCAAAATGTTCTACAGCAAACATTTTACCAGTACGACCAAAACCAGATTGAACTTCATCACAAATTAAAAGAATATTATGTTTATCACATATTTCACGAAGACCCTTCATAAAATCTATAAATAATAACAATCAATCATCATTCTCTTTTTTTTTTTAATAAAAACTTACTCTTTGGAGGAACAACATAACCACCTTCACCTTGAACAGGTTCAATCAAAATAGCAGCTGTATCTTCAGGATCACTTCTTTGTTTAAGAACAAGATCCAATTGATGTAAAGCCTCTTCACCACACCATTCAGCATTGAATTTCACAGGATCCGCCTTATGAGCAGCCCATTGTTGAAAATAAGGATAAGCACATACATGAACACCAGGCATCAAAGGACCAAATCCTTTAGCATAAACAGTTTTAGAAGTAGTCAAAGCCATAGTACCCATGGTACGACCATGATAAGAACCTTGGAAAACAATGATATTTTGTTTCTTGGTAGCATGACGAGCTAACTTGACGGCGGCTTCTACAGCTTCAGAGCCAGAATTCCAAAAAAAGAATGTATCCAAAGAAGAATGAGGCATCTTGGGTTTTAACCCTTCAATTAAATCTAACATTGGTTTTTGATAAAAGATGTTGACTTGACCATGAGTTAAAGTGGCAGCTTGGTCTTGAACAGCTTTCACAACAGTAGGGTGACAATGTCCTAAAAAATAAAATAAAATATTATAAGATGAAGGCAAGTTTTTTTTTTTTTTCGTAATGTTTTACCTGTATTAGTGACACCAATACCAGTGGTCAAGTCAAGATATTTCTTTCCTTCAACTGACCAAACATAAGTTCCTTTTGCTTTTTCAATAACAAGTTCTGTACTTCGACCAATGCCTTTAGCAATATGACGTTTTCCGAATTGAGCAAGTTTTGAAGTCATTCTAACAGATAAATAATAATAAATAATAAAAAAAAAAAGAAAAGAAAAGAAAAACAACAACAAAGAAGAAGAGGTTGGGGGGAACATTTTTATAATCTCTTTTTTTTTTTCTTTACCATTTAGGGATTTTCACTACTAGTCAGCTTATGAGTATGATTGGTTGAAATTTGTAAGCTGGAGCCAATAAAAACTAGAAAGTATGCTTTGTTGACAAATATCCTCAACCCCCGATATTCTTTTTTTTTTTTTTTTGTTATGATGTATTACTATTCTCACGATAATATAAGTATAAAATATGTAAAGAGATTTTATTATTATTATTATATATAATATAATTTTGTATTAAAAGATTCTCTTATTTCTTTTTTGCATAAAAATAAAAAAGGTAAGATAAGCCTCTTGGATGGGAATACTATATACAACATTTCCATAGATTTAAAATTCCGTTCGTTCCTTTTTTTTTTTCTTCAATTTTTTTTTTACTCTTGTTCTTTCTTTTGATTAAACTATTATAATGCGTTATTTTACAGGAGACGAAAGTGGTTTGATCAAAAGTAATATCCATATATTATTGTATTATTGTTTTTTAAACTAATAAAAAAAAGTATTTTATTAGGTATTGTGTTTTTACCACCACGGGTTGAAGACAAATCAAAGAAAAGATCTCATCCTGATGAAGTAAAACAAGAAAAAGGCAAAAAGAAACAAGAAGAAGAAGAACCTTTACATCAAGTTTCTATTTTTGGTCAACTCGATAAACAAGCTGCTATACAAAAAATGGTTTGGGCTAATATTAATGGAGAACGAATGGTAAATAACGAAATAAAAAAAATAAATAAAAAAAAAGAAAGATCTAATTATATATATATATAAAATAGATTGTTGTAGCAAGACGAAATGGTATCATTGACATTATTCATCCTGATACTGGTGCCATTCAAAAATCTTTTCAAGATATAGAAATTCAACAAGCTAAAACAGATAAACCAAAACCTAATCAAGTACGATTCATTGGATTAGAAACAACAGATACTCACTTGATGACATGTAACTCAAATGGAACTTTGACTTGGACGGAATGGACTGCTTCTACTTTGAATATAATAGCTCATTTGGATAAGAGTAGTACCACTGGAGGATCAACTATTGCTGGACCTGGAACTGATCTCACTATTGTACGCGCTCATCCTATTCATCGCCATTTGATTGCCATTGGTGGAAAGGATATTGATGTTCAAATTTATGACATTAATAAATTTTTAAAAAAATCATCAAAAGAAACAACAAAAGTAACCACTCATCCTCGACAAAATAAAAAGGAAACTAAACTTGGTTTGATCTATCAAGCAAAAAATGTAAGTTCATTATAAGTTTATTTATATAAAATTCATCTTATTATTATTTAATCATAATAGATCAAGAATGATCATTTAGATTTACCACAACCTGTATGGATTCGTGATTTACAATTTATGAATGAAGAAGGAACTCAAGTAGCAGTGGCAACTCATTATCATCAGGTATAAAAAAAAAAAAGAACTTTATTACCGGATCAAAAAATAATTCAAAAACTTTCTTCTTTTTAGATCCGATTATATGATTTCAAAAAAGCACGTCGACCTGTATTGAATGTTGACGTTGGTAAACTTCCATTAGCTACATTGTCAGTGGGTATAGATTATGATCATGTGATATTTACTGATACTATGACAGATGTTGGTATGATGAATATCAGAAATGGGAAAGTCATGGCTCAATTGAAAGGTAAGAATATAGTGAAAAAAAAAAAATCGGACATCAAGGAAAAACGTTATAGCGATGATACTCATAATATATTTAGGATTTTCGGGTGCAACAAGAGCCACCCAAATCATCCCCGCAGCCAGTTTCAACGAATCATCATCGATGAATAATCAAACAGGCAATGGATTTAGTTTGGTCAGTGCAGGATTGGATCGAACTTTACGTATACATGAAATGAATACAAAATATCGAAAATTAGAAAAAAAAGCTTATTTGAAACAACAATTGAATTGTGTATTGGTGGATACTGAATTTATTGTCCCTACTCCTGAACTTGATCTTGAACAACAAGAAGAAGAAGAACTATGGAATACATTGGATACTGTACAAGATGATAAAAGGAAGAAAACTCGTTTGGCTTGAAAATGATCTTTTTACTTAGTTTATGGTTAGTGACTTTTTTTTTTGGTAGTTTGTTTCCATTAGCAATTCATGTATATATATTCATCATCATCATCATCAATAAAAAATAAAAAAAAAAAACTCATTGTGCAATTTGATTGGCTTATAAAAAAGTGGGTTGATGTTTTTTTTTTTCTTTTTTTTTTTTTTTTTTTGGATGGATATGATTTTATCCAAAAGGCTGGCATTGGATGCTCCCTGGTTCTTACTTATTTTTAGGCTCCTACTTTTTTTTTTTATTCTTTCTTTTCTTTCTTTCTCTTTCATATAACTTTTTTTTTTTTATTACATACCTAAAAATGACCAAACATTTGAATGAACAACAATTAGATGAAAGTGAACGTATTGGTTTGACTTATGGTGCTCGAGGAGCTGCTATTGGTTTTGGTCTTGGTGCTATTGCCACTATGATTGCTTTGAAACGTTCTCCTAATTTTCAAGCCTTATCTACTCCTCTAAAATCTTCCATGATGGTAGCTGGTAAAATAATAAATAAAAAAAAAAAAAGCTAAAGCTCAACTCTATTTTTTTTTTTTTTGTCTAATTAGGTGCTGCATCTGGGTTTTTGTTTGGAGCGGATCGAGCTATCACTAGTTATGAAAATAGAGAACTTGGTTATATGGATGAAGAAATGTATTTGAATTTACAAAAAGCTAGATTTGATAAACAACCTGTTGGATCGTTTGATCGTGCTTTGATTTACTTGAATGAAAACCGTTGGAGTGTGATTGGTAAAAAAAAAAAAAAAAAAAGAAGCAAGGAAAACAAAAAAAAAAACTAAAGATACTCATCGTTTCCTTTTTTTTTTTAATAATAGGTTGTACTTGGGCTCTTTCTATGGTAGCAGCTTTAGGATTTTCATTTTCCAATCGTTATCTCAGCACACAACAAAAATTGGTTCAAGCTCGTATGTATGCACAAGCAGCTACTATTGGTGTCTTGATGGCTTCTGCTGGTCTCTCGATCTATTTGGGTGAAGATGAAGAAGAAAGACGTAAACAACGTAATGCTCCAGATGCTCAACTTTTAGCCGTACTTCAGTTACCTGATGATCGTGTGAATGAACATAAAGCTGTACACTGAGGGATAAGTAATTGGAAGTTGAATGGGATCATTATTAGAGTGAGTTAGTTAGTTAGTTAGTTGAAGATTTCCCCTTTTTGTTTTGTAAATATAGACTCTTTTTTTTTTTTCTCTTTTCGTTTTTTATTTGTTTGAATTTTTTTTCTTTCCACCCTTCTCATTTTGTTTGAAAATAAAAAATATGCTTGTTTATTATGACTTTTTGAAAAACTGCTCTCTTTTTTTCCATAGAGATGATGTGGTATATATGATTATTTGATCCATGCTTTTTTTGACTAGGGTTTTTTTTTGATTTTAATAGTTCACATAGCCCTTGCGTATCCACGGAATCTTGACGTTTTATCAGCTCCGTCCTTGGTGAAGTTTTGGGACTGCCTCAAGTAATGATTCAATATATGATCTAAAAAGAAATCATCAAATTTGACTGTAATCTTTTGCTTTTCCTTAGAATACACAGACTCAAAAGAATCATTTCACAGTTTCATGTTCTTCAATAGGTGGATGGAATTATTTTCCTTATTTAGCCATTGAGCTGTCATCTTTGTTAAAAAAAAAAAAAAGAGAGTGTCCATTTCTACTTCATGTACATCGAACGCAGTTCATAAATAAATATAGGTCATTTTTTTTTCATTCGAACTAACACAACCTTTTCTTTTCTCAACAATATTCTTTTTTGTACCGGTTTTTTTCTTTTTCATGAATCTCGTTTATTTTTCCTTCTCTGCGATGTCCTTCTTTTTTTTTTTTTTTATAGAAAAGTGAATGATATGAAATGGTCATGGACAAATGAATGTTGATGGTTGAAAAAGAATGATTCTTTGTTTGATGATTAAAAAAAAAGGTATAAATTTCGAACATTTCAGATCTTACAGGATTTTGTTCATATCCATCATCATCTATCTGCTCTAATTACTACTACTAAAATCTGCTTGTGCCGTGCAACTATTTTTTTTTTTAATTCTCATTCAACACATACTACATACTTCTCGTTTATTCTTTTACCTTTGCAACTTACCTTTTTTTTATTCTTCTCCGCTAATGATTAAAAAATAGAACAATTCAAAGCTATACCTTTATCCTTTGGAAGTCATGCAAAGTATAAGCTTCAGCGGAGACGAATCATATCTAGATCGGGAAGGGCCGATTATTCTGCTCCATGGATTTTTTTTCTGGTGGGGAGAAGCGGTAAAATGATACAACCGAAAAAGGAAAAGAGGCCAAAAAGAAAGAAGTCTGCTGACCTGGTATGTCAAATTTTTTATTTGCCCTTTTTTTTTCATGCTTTCATTATCAGCTGGAGATTGTCATTATTATGAATGGATGATGATCAACAACTACAATTGATCTACAAATACTATTCTTCTATAACTGATCAATAAATCATGTTGGTTAACATTCAATTATAACTCTATGATGATGATGAATGAGCATCATGATAAAGGTTTGAAATTATCAGATGTGAAAATGACAGAAACTTAGATCGGTAATTCAATGAATTTTTGTTCCGGTTCCTTGGATCCATCTCTTTTTTTTTTTTCTTATTAGATTGCCAAGAAAACGACAATTGTTTTATTTATATCCTGCAAAGGTTGCCTTTTATTGCATATTAAAAAATAAAATCAAGTCTGTAACCAAATATCTGGTTTCATACCTTGTTTGCTATGTTATCATCATCATCATCTTGGTCTGGACAATGGGTTTTCATTGATTGTTATCCTTGTCTAGATCAATCATGTCATCATCTCATTCTATCATTTTTTTAAAAAAATAATTGATATTACAAAAAAAAAAAAAAAAAAAAAAGAGAGAGAGAGAGAGAGAGAGAGACAAACGATGTATCATTATCACCAAGGAATACAGACATTTGGGTAAGACAAAAGATGTCAACCGAAAATTAAAATATCCTTTTTGGAGAGACTTGCATTTCCATGGCTGCCAAGTGATAACCATTCCAGGTTTTACCGACAGACTGTATTTCTTTTATAGCTGGTCAAAAGAATCCTTGTATTGATTTTAAACCATTAGATGATTATACGTTTTGCAACAATAAATAAAAAAAAAATAGATGAACCATTCCTGTCTTTCGAATGTATCATTATCTTTTTTTTTTTTTTTTTTTTTTTTTTGCTCAATTGGGTATCAAATGCTATATAATATGAACATTAAGATGATAATCATAAAGAGGTACAACATGAATTGATTTGTCTTGGCAAAGTTTTCTAAAAATAAGATAATTTGTGGGGGAAAAGATGTTAATGAGAAAGAGAAACTAATACCAACTAAGACAAAAAAAAAAAAAAAACTTTCCCAGCTTCTTCAGTTCCTTTAGAGCTATTCCTTTTTATGCAACAGATGCTGAAAGAAAGTATCATTGGATGATAGTCTTTGACGCAATTGGCGGTGTACAGATTTCAGCTTTGATTTACCCTTTACTGGGTGAATCGAGATCGCGTTTCACACACATTTTTTTTTAATTCAATGGGTATATAAAGGATGATTGAATCGGCCTTTTTTTTTATCATTATTCCAAACAAATCTCAATCAATCAAATCAATAAAATGAAGATCAACGCTGTTATTGCTGCCTGTATTTTGTCCTTTATCGCTGTTGGACATGCTGAAGGTGTTCCAGTTGCCGCTGGTGAACATGCTCTTGGTAACCCATCTCCTCTCGGTGCCCATCCTAGCCCATCTCCTCTTCCTATCAAGGGTGGAAAGAAGCATCATCCAGGTCAAGACAAGCGTGAAGTGCCTGAACATGGTCAACCTCCTCGTCCTTCATCCTCTGTTATTCCTCCTCCTCCTCCTCAACAAGGTGAAAAGAAACATGACAAGCGTGAAGTACCTGGACATGGTCAACCTCCTCGTCCTTCTTCCTCTGTTGTTCCTCCTCCTTCATCCTCTGTCATTCCTCCTCCTCCTCCTCCTCAACAAGGTGAAAAGAAACATGGCAAGCGTGAAGTACCTGAACATGGTCGACCTCCTCATCCTTCTTCCTCTGCTGTTCCTCCTCCTCGTCCTCAACATGGTGAAAAGAAACATGACAAGCGTGAAGTACCTGAGCATGGTCAACCTCCTCGTCCTTCTTCCTCTGTTGTTCCTCCTCCTCCTCCTCCTCAACAAGGTGAAAAGAAACATGGCAAGCGTGAAGTACCTGAACATGGCCAACCTCCTCGTCCTTCTTCCTCTGTTGTCCCTCCTCCTCCTAAGCATGATGACAAGAAGCCTGCTGGTCAAGACAAGCGTGAAGTAGCTGATAAGGCTCCCGAACGTGGTCAACCTCCTCGTCCGTCATCCTCTGTTATTCCTCCTCCTCCTCCTCAACAAGGTGAAAAAAAGCATGGCAAGCGTGCCGTTGATTCCAAGAAAAAACCCGCTCCTGTGAATGATCCTAAGAAGAAGAAACAACCTCCTAAGAAGCCTTCTCATTAAGATAGTTGGTTATATTACCTTTTTTTTTTTTTTTTTTGGTCCTTCTTCTCATTTCGTTTTCTTATAGTGTTAAGATGAATATTTGAATTGAAATAAAGTCTTTTTTTTTTTTTTTTTTTTTTTTTTATGATTTCCTTCTTTCTTTAAGATCACGGTCATCCATTATCCAACATTATCAAAAATCATGTTCATAGCGTGATCATCATAGAGAGAAAAAAAAAGTAATAATCACCCTTGTCGTATTATCGAATCTTGTACTTATAAGATATATTGGCAAGATATTAAGAACATATTCAACAATCTAAATAAATAAAAGTACATCCCAAAGAATGACACATCGGTAAAAATCAGTTCCATTGACATATAGCAAACTAGTTGTAATAAAAATAAAAGCTAAAAGGGAATCTCACTGAACTTTTTTTCTCCGTTTTTAAAATTTCTATCTATATCAATGTAAATACCTAAAAAGTGCTGCTATAAAAAAGTAGAAAGGAATCTCACTGACTTATCAACTGTCTACTTTATTATATTGATTTTCCATACTACAAATACACCTGATTCCACAATTTTTTCAGTGAATTTTTCAACTTACAATCAAGATAATCAAGATGAACAACAACAACGTTAACAATCAAGTATCGAGAATGAATTGATCAAAAAGAGTGATGATTTCATCATCAACGGTGTCGCTAATGATGAAGCACTTGCTGTTTCTCGTCAATTGGCTAATGTTCGTGTTCATATCGAACAACACCTAAAATCTAAAGAAGTACATAAAAGATTAAATCATGAAAATCAAGTAATGATTTAAAATTTCAAATTCCTCATGGTCTATCCATACTTCAATTGAAATATGATACAAACCTGAAGGAAGACAAAGCAGCTTATAGCACCGTTGATCATTTCATAGATTGTTTTGAAGCAATTCTACATCAACACGAAATTGATCAGAACATGCATTGGAAACGATGTTTTGTTAGTACAGTTATTCATAATCATGATCGATTGACATGGTATAATACTGAACTAAAAAATAAAGATATCACATGGGAAGATGCCAAAGTGATCATCAAAAACAAGTATGGAGGCAAACATTCTAAAAGTGCTTACCTTACTAAAATACAAAAAATGAAGGTTAAAAACAGAGAATCACCTGTTGATTTTGCTGACCGCTTCATGAACAACCTAATCAATGCTGGAATCCCTGATGGTGTAGCCTTTGATGACAGAGTATTGAACATTTTATATAAATCGAAATACAAAGAAGTCGCTGGAGCTATACAACAAAGTTATTCACAAATATCTGAGATCGATGGTAGAACAGAATTGAATGTAGATTTTATTAGAAGAAAACTACCTATTCTATATATACCAGAGACATATGAATCAGATGAGATATCGATGAAGAACCTAAAAGTTACAAAAACAACAAAAGAAAAAATCATCAGTCAAATCATCATCACAACAAAAATATGGATTACTCCAAAAAATTCAAATACCAGGACAAAAGACCCAAAGTCCAAAACACAAAACACTTACCTACAATTGAAGATAAACCCTTTAACTTCAAACAAATCCAAGAGTTAAAGTTGGCCGGTAAATGCACCTCTTGCACAAAAAACTACTCCAAGGAGCATCGCTGCAGTGAATATATTCAAGATAAGGCGGCAAGAGAAATCCACAAGAAAAAAGATGCGTGCCATGAAGTTGGAAGACGAAAAGCTATCAAAAAATATAAAAAAAACTGGAAGATAAAGTCAATGAACATGTAGACGTAAACATGGAGGATCTATCCGTAAACGATTCTGAATGTAAGTACCTAAAAAGTGCTGCTATAAAAAACAAAAGTAAAAAGTCAATAACCTAAAAAACAATTCTATCATTGTACCTGTTATCATAGAAAACGTGAAAACTTTTGCTTTGGTAGATACTGGCAGTACTTTTACAGGCATAGATAAAAAATTTATTGTAAAAAATAATATAAATCATGTTAAAATAAATAAAGGTTATATAAGTCTAGTAGTAGAAGAAAAGAAAACAAAAAGAATTGGAAAAACAAAAAATTTAAAAATTTATCATGACCGCCCACCGATGATGGTGATAAATGTGTAATAGGCACTGATTTAATGAATAAACTAGGTATATACTTACAAGGCTTAGCAGTATCACATGATACACATGTTCAACCCAATGTGGAAAGAACATATGGATATCCCTACACCTGATAATTCCCCCCTGCAGGATCATCATCCGAAAGAAAAGTATTCCAAGAAAAAATAAAAATAAGCATGGACAAAAATCAATCCATTCCCAAAGGATCATTTTGTACGATACCTGAATCGATTGTAGAATTAAATACCCCCGAAGGTAAAACCTGTTATAAAAGACAATATCCTTTACCTGATACCATGATGCCTATTGTTGATGAAGTTATTAAAAAATGGCTTGATCAAGGTATCATCACAAGCACATGCATTGATAATCAATGGAATACTCCTTTGACACTTGCACCTAAAAAAGATGAAAACTAAGAAACGTCCGTACCTTGATCCCAGACATACTTTTGTTTAATAAAACTTTTATTTTTATTTCTACTACTTTGTTGCACGTCAATATAATTGATTCCATCTTTTGATGTACTTTTCATTCTTTTGTTTGTGAATACACTCCTTAGTTTTATTTTACGCATATGGTTACGGAACACGCTGATCCGATAATTTTATTCTTTATAAAAAGGAGTCTTGCATTTAAAATTTACGTCTTGAGTTTTAATTTCCATATATAGTTTAATTCAACACAAAAAAGGCATTTCTTTATTTTTTTTTTCTTGGCGTACATAAACAAAAAAAAAGTATAAAAATCGAATAATAAATATAATAAAAAGAATTTTCATTATTATCTTAACAAAAATGAAAATGGTTAACTTTTCTGTTTTTCTATTTATCTTTATTTTTACTATAATTACTATTTTTAACAGGAACGTTGAAGCATGTGAACAAGTATGTTTTTATGGAGCTGGTGATGGTCTAGGTTATTGTGATTATTGGTGTCAAGCTGATAGTGGAGGACATAATTCAGGTTCAGACTATGCTTATAATTTTAAGGATGCATTAGGTCGTGGTTGCACTGTAGAAGGTTCAGCAGAAACTTCAGTTCACTGTCCGGGTATGTCTAATTGTAGAAGCCACTCATGGTGGGCTGGTAGTGATTGTCCAGAAAGTGCCTCCCACAAGTGATCAAATGTTTTTATTTTTTTACAAAATCAACCATCCTAATAAAACTTACTATTTAACCCGTTGATGCTTTTATACCAATCAAAAGATCTATAGATTTCATTTCCATGCTCTTTCCATACTCAGATATCTCAACAGATCTGGATGATAAAATCGAATTGACGGTAGACTTCATGCGAAGGAAATTACCAGCTCTATATGTTCCTCAACGTAATATGTCAGATGATGATTCTGATGATACTCAAGAAGAACGAAAAAAAAAATTCAAGAATAACAAAAGAAAAAGTGTTCATCAAAAATTCAACCAGTCCAAAAAACATAAAAATCAAGAACGTTCAAACATTCATCATGGTTTGCCCTCCATTAACGATAAACCCTTCAACTATAAACAGATACAAGAACTAAAGTCAGCTGGCAAGTGTACTTCTTGCACACGTCAATACTCAAAAGAACATCGTTGTCAGGAATATATCCAAGATAAAGCTGCCAGAGAACTCCATCAGAAAAAGATGCGTATTATGAAGCTGGAAAAAGAAAAAATATCAAAAAATATAAAGAAACTGGAAGATAAAGTCAATGAACATATTGATGTTAATATGGAAGACCTCTCCGTTCATGACTCTGAATGTAAGTACCTAAAAAGTGCTGCTATAAAAAATAAAAATAAAGAAGTAAATAACCTAAAAAATAATTCTATTGTCGTACCTATTACCATAGAGAATCATAGGACTTTTGCCCTGGTTAACACTGGTAGTACTTTTAGCGCCTTAGATAAAAACTTTGTTATAAAAAATAATATAAATTATTTAACAATAAATAAAGGTCATATAAACTTAGCAGAAAAAGAAACAAAAACGAAAAGAATTGGAAACAAATTTAAAAATTTATCATGATCGGAGTCATACTAATCATCAGCTTGAAATCATGGATTTACCCACAAATGATTGTTATGAATGTGTAATAGGCACTGATTTAATGAATAAACTAGGTATATACTTACAAGACTTGGCAGTATCATATGATGCTAACATCCAACCAAATGTCGAAGAACATATCGACATACCCACTCCTGATGATTCCCCCTGCAGGATCATCATCCGAAAGAAAAGTATTCCAAGAAAAAATAAAAATAAGCATGGACAAAAATCAATCTATTCCCGAAGGATCATTCTGTACGATACCTGAATCGATTGTAGAATTAAATACACCTGAAGGTAAAACTTGTTATAAAGACAATATCCTTTACCTGATACTATGATACCTATTGTTGATGAAGTTATTAAAAAATGGCTTGATCAAGGTATCATCACAAGAGCAAACATTGATAATCAATGGAATACTCCTTTGACACTTGCATCTAAAAAAGATGAAAACTAAAAAACGTCCGTGTCTTGATCCCAGACATTCTTTTGTTTAATAAAACTTTTATTTTTATTTCTACTACTTTGTTGCACGTCAATACAATTGATTCCATCTTTTGATGTACTGTACTTTTCATTCTTTTGTTTGTGAATACACTCTTTAGTTTTATTTTTACGCATATGGTTACGGAATACGCTGATCCGATAATTTTATTCTTTATAAAAAGGAGTCTTGCATTTAAAATTTACGTCTTGAGTTTTAATGTCCATATATAGTTTAATTAAATACACAAAAAAGGCGTTTCTTTATTTTTTTCTTGGCATATATAAAAATCGAATAATAAATATAATAAAAAGAATTTTCATTATTATCTTAACAAAAATGAAAATGGTTTCTGTTTTTCTATTTATCTTTATTTTTACTATAATTACTATTTTTAACAGGAATGTTGAAGCATGTGAACAAGTATGTTTTTATGGAGCTGGTGATAATCTAGGTTATTGTGATTATTGGTGTTACGGTGATAGTGATGAACATAAGTCAGGTTCAGACTATGCTTTAGCTTTTAGGAACAAATTACATGATGATGGATTTGGTTGTTTTGTAGTCGGTTCAGCAAAATCTTCAGTTCACTGTGAAAATATGTCTGGTTGTACAGGTCACGAATGGGTAGCTGGTAGTGATTGTCCACAAAGTGCCCTCCCCAAGTGATCAAATGTTTTTTTTTTTTTATTTTTTATTTTTTTTTTTTTTTTTTTTTACAAAATCGACCATCCTAATAAAAAAAACTTACTATTTAACCCTTTGATGTTTTTATACCATGATTCCTATTGTTGATGAAGTCATTTATGAGAGAATGACGATATTCCAATGTTAATTTACTCTATAAATTGAGGGGTAATGTATAAGTCATTATTAATACAATTGAAAGAGAATGATTTCATCGATGTTCAATTCAAATTTGGTACAATGATGATCCTTTTTGAGTGGGATACAAAAGTATAAACAGATGCACACCTTTAGCCACGTTTAATGCAAAAAGAAAAATCAGTAAATTTACCAGAATATTAAAAAAAAAAAAAAGAGCGCCTTATCGATCAATATGCTTCTTTGATTTTGAGCTCAGCATAAAATAAAAAATCGGGACGCGTAAAATTGATTTTTGTTGTTTCTTTCTTATTTTCCATTAATTCTTTCCTAACCAATGTCATTGTTCAAGACTGGTGAGTACTCATATTTCCAACAACAACCTTGCCTTATGATGTCACCAACAGAAATCAATGGTTTGGCCTTCTGTCAGCAACTGGGTTGAATCAAGTGTTTGGATCGAAGAAAAGTTCCCGCAGTCAATGTAAGTCGACAACATCTAAAAGTTACTTCTCTCTCTCTTATTAATCTTTTTTGGTAGTAATCAGCTCAGAATAGGTCGTAGGAAGGTCATGCTAATGGTCACGCCATTTAAATTATCCAGTGATGAATGCGCCGGTAAAGTGGTCAAAAGGAATCAACAATATTCGAACATAATCATTAAAATCATATCTCTTTTTTTTTTTTTTTTTTTTTTTATTTAGTGGTTTTTTGTGGGCAGAAGCAATATGAATCACAATAAAGTGAACAAGAGGACGAAAACAAGTCAATCCTTCTTCTTGCAATAGAATGTCGAAAAGCAAACAACCAGACGTAGAGCAAATTAGAAACAATACAGCGCAGATTTCTGGTGACATCTTTTTTGATAACAATATCTCATCGTCTGTCTTGATTCCACCCATGAAGGTCTTGGTATTTTGAACCCGTTTTTAGACTTTGAAGTGGTACAATGCAGCACAACCTATCCATTTATGTACTACTTCAATAGTTGATGCGTCCCACACTGATTACCTGAATAACATTTGGAAAGTTGCTGACCTTGAATGACCAAAAGTAAATTTATGGAAAACAACAATCGACCTGGGCCAATTATTTGATCTATTATCAACGTGATTACACAACCATCTCATGAAAATCCGGTATTCGCTAAACGAACTCCTTTTTTATCTTTTGAAATCGATTTTTTTTTTTTTTTTTGCTCTGGATTAAAGTGTGCGTAGAGAACATATAAAAAAGAATGCACCTAAAGATCTTATAGGCATGGCTTGGTTTACAATCTACGGTATCAAAACTTATCCAATATTGACAAGATTAAGTGAAATGGATGTTAATGGTGTTTTTCTTTGCCATCAAGGTGCGTGCTGATCAAGAGCTGGAAGAATATGATCAAATCGTATTGGGTTAAGTATATGGTCTGCCTGTTTGATAAGATATACTGACCTTTCTTTTTTTTTTTTTTTTTTTTTTTTAGGATGACCTTTATATTTCTTAGATTCTTATTTTTCCAACGGTATCTACCTTGTCTGACTGGGGGTACTACGTTTGTGTGTGATTCAATGCGTTATTTATTAAAAAATGGTGTTTTTCAGTTTTGATTCTCTATAGTGATTCTTTTATTGATAGTTGGTGTTTTGACTTGGAATTAGTTTACTTGACAAAGTATATTCTATTTTATATTCTATTTTATATTTTCCTTCAATAAAACTATTCAGTATTCTTGTATTTTTTTTATTTCTTATTTTTTTTTTCCTACCATTGTCACTACAGTGTTATTAGGGGTTTCAATCACCGTACTATCATCACTTATCAACCATCCGCCATTCTCATCTATCTTCTATTATTATCATTATTATTATTGGTTTCCTTTACTATCCTTTTGTTTTCTTTTAACTTAATGCTGAACATATTTTTTTTTTGTTTATCTTTACTGTCAACAACAAAAAAAAGAGCCTTCGCATTTCCTTTTTTGGGTGCAGAGAGCCTTTTTCCCATGCTTGGCTAAGAATAGGCAGTTTTAATAATAGTATATTATTTATTTATTGAACATACATATGATGTAAACAAGACAAAAAAAAAGACACTAGTCTGTTACTATCATCAACTAGTTTCAATGCTAAAAACTTTTTATTTTTATTTTTTATTTTTATTTTTTATTTTTATTTTTATTTTTTTTTTTTTATTTTTTTGATGTTTTTGCCAAGACCAGGCTAGATCAATATAAAAAAGTGGGGTAACCAGAACTAGACTCATGCTAATGTTTCATGCTTGTGACTTTTTTTATCTTGATTGGTATGGTTCTTTATTCTGATCTCTAATAATATCAAAGATCGATAAGATCCTTCATAAAAAAAAAAAGGAGAAAAAAAATTCAAATATTTGATGTATACTGTCTGTGCCACCCAAAAGAAAATGATCCTTTTTTGGGCATTTTTTTTTTTTTTTTTTTTTTTTTTTTTTACTTTGTTCATTAAGGAGGTGTTCTAATATGATATAAAAATTGGGAAAAATGATATGATCTTATCTTGAAACCATATGTACTAATATGTATCACCAAAAAAAAAAAAGAACAGTAATCAAGGGCGATCATCTTTTTGTAAAAGTAAATGGTTGTTAATTGATTTGTCTTGGCAAAAAAAAAAAAAGCTAAAAATAAAAAGTAGAACATGATCAGTAAATAAAAAAGACTTTGAACACTGGCTTAGTTGATAATAGCCTATTAAGCGGTTATATTGTTATGCTATGTTTCTCAAAGAATGCAGGTTACATAAAGTTTTATGTTTCACAAAGGTGATCATTTTACCATGTTTGGGCAAATTTGAATTGGCGGGGTGATGCTGATAGGTCGATCCTTTTTTTGGCACGCTGTCTTTTTTTTTTTTTAAATATAAAAAGGAACATTCATCTTTTTTTATTATTATTATTATTATTCTTTTTTTTTTTTTTATATATTCAAAAAACAAAAACTCTCCCATTCCTTATCAATAAGAAAATGAAATTCAACGCTTTGATTGCTGCCTGTATTTTAGCCTTTGTCGCTGTTGGTCAATGTGAAGAAAGCCATTTTGCTATGGCTGAACGTGGTCTTGACAATGCTGCTCATAATGCTACTCATCATAAATCTGGTAAACATCACCCCACTGGTCATGGTAAGCGTGATGCTACTGCTGCTAGTGTCAATCATGCCTCTCCTACTCCTCATCACAAAGGTGACAAGAAACATCATGGTAGTAAGCATCATCCCACTGGTCATGGTAAGCGTGATGTTGTCGCCGATGCTGCTAGTGTCCACCATGCCTCTCCTACTCCTCATCACAAAGGTGACAAGAAGCATCATGGTTCTGGAAAGAAACATCACACCTCTGCTGTTAGTGGTAGTCATGGTAAGCGTGACGTTGTCGCTGATGCCGCTAGTGTTCACCATGCCTCTCCTACTCCTCATCACAAAGGTGGCAAGAAACATCACAAGGGTGGCAAGAAGCATCACACTAAACGTGCTGTTCCCCAAGCTCCTGCTGGTCATGAAGCCAAGAAGCGCTCTGGTAGCAAACATCACAAAGGTGGCAAGAAACATCACAAGGGTGGCAAGCAACATCCTCCCACTCCCTCTCATTAATATGAGTTGTACTATCTTTCTTTGATAAACGATATATTATATAAATGAATTGAAATAAACTTTTCTTTTTTTTGTACACTATAATATTTGTTTTGATAAAAAGAGAAATGATTTTTATTTTTATTTTTATTTTTATTTTTTTTTTCAAAAAAAAAAAGATATATAAACTAATGTGGGGGGGGGGGTTATCTAAATATTACTAAAATTCGAAACGTTCTGATTTGATATTCCAAAAGGCATTTGCGTGACTGAATTTGGAGCTTCGAGCAAGATTTCCACAGATTTGAATAGAATCTTCATGAGCACAGATCCCAAGAGCCACATCTTGATCTATATGATGAGTTCGAATGGTATCCAAAACGGTAGGATAATGAGGTCGACCATGATGAAGTTGTAATGTGGATGTTGATGGTAATGTAGACGAGAATCCTTCATCATCTTCATTATCATCTTGTTGCCTGGTTGTTTTTGGTCTTGTCACATAAATATCCCAATGTAGATAAAGTCGAATGGATTCTTTGCCTCTATCATCAGATGTGATGAACGTTGTTTCTATGGTTGTCATCATAGCTTCCATATCCTTTTTCAATTGATTAAACATCTCAACATCCCGTACTGTCCATATCATATAAATATGTTTTGTCATCATATTGTTGTTGTTGTCGGTTGTTGTCGCTGTTGCCAGTGCTTGTAATACAGATATCCATGGAGTGATTCCAATCCCTTCAGCTATTAATACCACCACTGGATAACCTTCATATATATCTCTTTCATCACTATAATATAATGGATCACCTAAAGGAGTACTGATCCGTACTGAAGGCCATTTTGTTTGATTTCTTGCTGCATCGTATAATTGAGTTGTTTGTTTTCCATTGGATTTGATATAAAAAGTGAATACTTCAGCATGATTGATCATCTTGTCTTCTATATTTTCATAAAAAAAAATATGTATGAGTTCGGTCATTCTAAAAGTTTTGATATAAAAAAAAAATATACATACCTAAATAATCCACACGACTAATAGAAAACGGATGAGGCCATAAAAGATCTTTCCATATGGAACCATAAAAAGAACAAAAAACATATTGTCCAGGTAAAAGTAATTTTCGTTGTTGCCATGATGAACGATTATTATTAGGAGGAAGGACGGAGACTTGTAATTTGACGACACCATCAACAACAGGTTCTAATGATAAGACAGTAGACAGACAAGTGGTTCGCCAGCGATACACTACATCCATCAACCAAAAAAAGACCACAGCCGCATAGAATACCGCAAATGCCCAATGATGCCATCCACCTAACAAGACCAAGCCGATGAATGCTGAAACATGAGATAATCGGAAGACTCGGTACCATTTTGTACGAACCAATGGATGGGAACCCAAGAAAAGAATGACGAGACAAAACGCCATCAGAAGCCCGCTGACATATTGAGGACTCCATACCAAGAGATCAGCCAACGTGATATTATTATTATTATTGTCTATAGACTGAATCCAATAATGCCGATAGTAATGTTTGGTCCATTGGAAGGTTCCATGATAAGCTATACATACCACACCGCAACGAGCAAACCATCGATGCCAAGGTAAAGTCGCAGGTCCATTGAATAAACCAATCGCTCGCCAAACAACCGATGTCCGTACCGACAGGGCAATGGCCAAAGTAAAATCCACCAGAGCAAGTTGAGCTGTGCCATTACTGATCTGTTGATATTGTGTAGAAGGATCGTCCGAAGAATAGATGGGCCAGACAACCATCACGATATGGAAGGCGATCATGACCAACACAATCACATATCGTCCTACTACCAAAGTCAAGTCGAAACACCGGATTTCATATAGCCACCATCGTCGCCAGATCAGGTACATGGAACTATACCGTCGCTTTTGCCGAAAAAGCACCCCTTGCTGAGATTCCATGTCATGATGGGTCTGAAGTCTTGAGAATGGTCGATACCGAGTGTTGATGAAGAGGAGACAATAAATAACACATAGGCCAATAAGATAGACAGTCATTGTGGTATAATCTTGTTGATATCGTATTGATGAAGTTTCTGTTGGAGTTGGTGTTATAGAGGTTGTAGTTGATGGTGAAGGATCTACAGGAGTAGGTGTGGCTGAAGAGGTGAACACCCATTGAATAGAATAACGTATACTAACAATGGCTGAAATACATGTTGCAGTCAATAAAAATCCAATGACTGAACGTTTGGTAGGACGGATCATACCAAGAAAGTAATATAGAATATAAAAAAAGGAGAAGGGAAAATGAAAGAAAAGGAAAAGAAAAAGAAAAGTTGACATCTTTTAAATACCGCAAAAAAAAGGTTCGAGTTCAATCTAAAACGGGGAAAAAGGAGAAGAGATCCAAAAAAAAAAAGAGGGAATTCCTTTATTGGTAAAAATGAGAAGGACGGAATATATACAAAGTTCTAAACTACAAAAGAATGATGATCGATCAATTCAGGAAATACTTTGGCAATCACCAAATCAATCAAAAGATACATGAGATGTTTGTTGATATATTTATGTTGTAAAGGAGCCAAAGTATCATGAAGATGAGATTGTAATTGATTCAAATCATCTGTACCAAATAATGTTCGACCTAAAGGTTGAGGTAATGCAATCACTAATAAACGTTCTGCTCGGATTCGCATTTGTTCTCGTTGTAATGGCGTCACTGTTGGTCCACGTTGAATCAAAGTTCCCTCAGGCCATAATAAATCTCTTCCTAGTCTTAAATAAAATACTAAGAAAGGTTCACTAAGTACATGAAGAATCGTTTGTTCTAGAAATCTATCATCCCAAAAAAAAAAAAAAATGTTAATAGAAACAACTTTTTTTTTTTAGTTATTATTATTATTTTTACTTATCAATCAATAAACCACCACCAAATACTCTTAGAATAGGCCATAAAAACATAGCAATCATTTGCCAACCCCATTGTACAATTGGTCGATCATCCACCAAAAATGCCACACGTAAAAATTTCATGGTAGGTTCAATCAGTCGTACATGCCGTGTTTTCTTTTGATGCCGATTTACTTTGTGATATCGTTGCTGAGAATGAGTCAATACTGCTTGAAGATAAAAATAGAGTGAACGAAAGGGTGATAATATAACTTGAAGAGCGATGTAACCAAAAGAGAAAAGTTTTTGTGAGGATGATAATGATGATGAGGAATTGTTATTATTATTGGTGGTTAAATCGTCATATGGATCGCCTACTCCTTGTTGTAATCGTTCTTCTTTTTGTTGTTCCTGTAGTTGTCTTAATTTGGAGACTAAACCAGGATTATGTTGTTCCGATGTATTCTCTTCTTCCTGTCTCTTGGTTTCCTGTAATGGTGTTGTATCAGTAGTAATTTGATCATGTGTCAAAGCACTAAAATAAGTCCCAGCAAACTGTCCCGATGATTCTAATGTATCCAACAATGGATCATAACCTTGAAGTAACTAAATATAAATAATAATAATAATAATAATGAATAAATAATATTATATAAAGATTTAAAATTTACCTTGCAAATGATCATATGGATAGTATAAGGATCTGTTAATGTTTCGGTTAAACTTGATAAAACAATATTGGATAAGATTTCTCGTAAAAGTAAACGAAATGAATCATTCTTGTAATCGTTTTTATCCAATAAAAGAGATAAAACTGCATCAGTCAGTTGTCGTCTATATTCCTGTTCATCAACTTGCATGGCAATATGTGGTTGCATTCCATGAAATAAACCATCTAAAGTGTTGATACCACTAGCATGATTCATATGAAGTCGTATCTTTGCTTGTCGATAATCACGCCAATGAAGTGTAAGTAGTTTTGGAATACTTACTAAAAGTAGTTCAGTCCAATCTACCTAATAGGGATGAAAGAAGAAATTAGATAAGATAAAAAAAAAAAGAAGAAAGAAAGATTACCTGTTGACAACACCTTTTTTCTAAATGTTGTACTACACCAGTAAGAATATCTACAATAGCATCAGTTAAATCTTGATCTTGAGTCACTAAATGATACCAAGGATGAATAAAGTCTCTCATCAATAAAGCCATATACATGAAAAGTTCTTGATCAATGGCTGGAGACTGAGTAATTACAGGTGTGGCGTTACGTCTAGGATCGGTTTTAGGAAGTGTGAGAAGGTGAGGGAATAAAAGTCGTAAATGAAGTGGTCGACTCACAGAAGTAGTCGACATTATTAATGATGATATTAAAAAAAAAAAAAAGAGACAAAGAAAGAAAAAAAGAAAAAAAGTATGATATTTTTTTTTTTTATTTAAAAAAAAAAATAAAATTAAAAAGTACGCTTTCCAGAAACAACCTCTGCCCACATTTTGAAATCACCTCTCAAAGAATAGAAAGGATATTTGAAAGTAGCAGGTTTACTATATATAATATAATAAAAAAAAATGAATGAATATAATTTTAATAATAATAAATGTTTTTTTAACTTTTACTTTTTCTCAAAAATAAAATGACCAATCCATGCCCATACATAACCTTAAAGAATTTAATATGAGTAAGCGGCGATCTATTCAAATTAGGTAATGCAAATATTATTTATTATTATTTTACCTTGAATAATACCAATCAAAATTAAATTAGGTCTTTTTCGAAGTATAGATAAAATTATTAATATATTTGAAATGGATGTTCCTATATATATAATTTATTATTATTATTATTATTTTATAAATATAAAAATTACCAATAAGATGTAAACGTCGATTTGTTTGATTACAATGTTCAGATAAATAATATGGATAAAAAGAATCAAATGTTTTAAAACCATCTTTAGGAATTGTTCTTTTGGAATAATTATGATTTGCTATTTTATTTGTCATTTTGATTTAAAAAAAAAAAAAAAAAAAAAAAAAGAAAGAAAGAAAGAAAGAAAAAAAAAAAAACTTTTGATTTTTCTTTTACATTGGATCGTGTGACCCACAAGTTACTAATCAAATTTAAAGATCTTTTGAGCTGGATCAATCCCAAAAAAAAAAAAAAAAATCAACTCCACTTTTTATTTCCCTTTTCTGTTTAAATATTCAACACATTCAAAGGGATTGTACGGTGGTCAGAATATATCTTTTTTCTTTATAGTCATTTAAAAAAAAAAACTGATATATACTTTATTTAATGTATATATTGAAGAGACTATTTGAGAACAAAAAAAAAAAAAAAAAAAAAAAAGAAAATATACATTATTTATTTATTTATTTTTTTTTTTTAATTATAATGAAGAATTAATCTACATGATGATACATTTAGAACTTATTTCTTCTTTTTTGTTTGGAATATGAATTATTTTTTCTTTTTGATCTATATGTTCTATTGATTCTTGATCATCTTCTTTTATTGTTTTTTTCTTCTTCATGGTCGACAAACAATGTCTTGCTCCTACATGACCCAAGGCAGCCGCTTTTGACATCCATTGTCTTGCTTTTTCTTTATCAACAGTAGTACCAATGCCTCGCTCGGTATACATGGCCACAGCAAAATAAGCTTTGGCAATGGTCCATGGTTCAGTGGCTTGCATGGAAGAAGAAGCAGCACGACGTGCCCAAAGATAAGCTTCACGATCAGATGCTCGTAATATGCCTTGTGTGGTTGATCCTGTCAGATACCATCCACTGAGTGCTAAACATCCTTCAGGATTACCTTGTTCGGCAGCTCGTGCATACCAATAGATCGACAAGGCATCATCCATGGTCACCCATTGTCCATGTTCATAACAATGTCCTAATTGTACTTGACTGGGTACATAACCTCCTTGTGCTGCTTGATGTAATAATTCCATGGCATACGCTGGATCGGCAATCAAACTTGTGGCATCTCCTACTTCCCCTGTCAGTTGGATCATGGCAAGGGCATGTAAAGCATGAGGCGCTTGATCACCATGATGTTTGGGTCGTATAAGATGACTCGTGTTGGCTGTGATCATAGATGCTGCTGCTGCTATGGCTGCTGATGTAGATGATGCTGTGGAAGAAAGACCAAAACTATTATCACAAGTATTACCAAATACACCATCATCCTTATTATCATTATTATTGTTATTATTGTTGTTATGGTAACTAGATTGAGAGGATGATAAAGATGGTGTATTATTCGGTGCATGACTTGCAGCACGTTGTAACCAACTAATAGCTTCTCGAGGTAGAGGTGTCATATGATAATAACCACGAAGAAGGATGATGCCTAATTTATACATACTTCCAACATGAGCCAAATGAGCAGCTTTTCGATAAAAGGCCATGGCACGTTGTCCATCCTTTCGAGTACCAATGCCCAATTCATGACATACGGCTGTACGATAAGTCGCTTCAGGATGAGCTTGTTTGGATGCTTGAACATACCATTGAAACGCCTTGGCGTGATCCTCCGTTAATCCCAATAATCCCATACCATAACAATTGGCTAATATAAATTGAGCTTCACTATCCCCTCCTTTTCCTAACCCTTGGCCAGCACTAAGACGTTTCAATAGACGAAGACATTCAATCATCATGGTTTTTCGAACATGTTCTTTTTCTGGCGTGAGAGAAGACAAAGACGATGAAAGTGATAAGGTAATGGCCATACTACTATGATGTCGATGATCAAGAAAGGATTTAGCATGTTCTTGTAGATGGATGGCTTCATCTTGTGCAAGTGTGATCAATAACCTTTTGCATAACTTTAATTGACCTGATGGATCATTGGATTGTCTTGCTAGTTTACACCAACCATAAATAGGAGCAGTGGACTCTGGCCAAGGAAAAGGTCGTAGTCGTTGATGATTGTGATGTTGAAGAGATGACGAAATAGAAAATGAGGCTGATGGTCTATTAGTAGCAATAAAAGAGGAATCAGTGGAAGAAGAACGACGTAAATCACCCAAATCCCCGAAATTTGGTTTTTGTAAAAAAGAGGATGAGAATGAAAATGAAAGATCATCGGTGGTATTTGGAAAAGAAGAAATGGAGACTGATGCTTTGCTTGGTTGCTTTTGTTGTGATCTTGTTGATGATGATTGTTGATCAGAAGATGATGGAGGTCGTTCTTTTGGTCGATCTTTTATATTTCTTTGTAAAATTTGTCGATACAGGCCTGAATATTCATCAAAATACCATTGATTCAGATCGGTTTCTTGTGATCGGAGTCGATATTCTTCACCCATTTTTGTCTCTGGTTTCCATGGATTATCCACTTTCTTTTTTTTTTGCGATTCATTGAACATCGTTTTTGTTGATGTAAAGAAAATATCATCATTCGTTGGTTGAAAATTTGAATCATTGAGAAACGTACTAGATACAACCTTATTGTTGTGATTGATGTTTTTAGTCTTTTTGTCAAAAGTTTGTACAGTGGTTGATGATGATGATGGTGTCGATTTTAAATAAGAAACAGGTTGATGTGATGATCGATGGTCGGATTTCGATGAATGTGAAGATGTTTTTGTTTTTTTCATCATCATCACTGTACAAAACTGGTTGATGTTTAAAAAAAAAAAAGGAAGAGAAAAAAAAACAAGTATGAAAATAATAATTCAAACTAGCACCCCCCACACTCTACTTGTAAAAAATTGTTTGTTTTTCTTTTTTTAAAAAATAAAAATAAAAATAAAAGAAAAGACGGTTTCGATCTATTTTCTTTTTTTTTTTTTTCTCATTCTCTGGTTTTTCCTTGTTTGAGTGGCCATAAGTATCAGTCTGTCAATCAGGAAAAAATAAAAATACAAAACTTGGTTTGAGATGTAAAAGTAAAGACAAAATATAAAAAATGTTCCGAGGTTGTTTATTAATACAAGAATTTACAATATATATATATTATATAGATTGATAATTGGTGGATATGTTTTGATCGGGTATCTGTTGTTGTTGTTGTTCTTGTTCTTGTTTTCGTTCCTTTAAAGCTGCTATATTCACTGTAACGAATCCAATAACGACCAATAAAGCACCAATAATATAATGAGGTTGAGGGATAAAACCTTTAAATACGATATCACCAAATAAGGCCAAGGGAATCTAAATAAATAATAATAATAGATCAGTAAAGTTCTTTTTTTTTTTTTTTTTGAATTTACCGTCAAAGAGATTCCTAAAGTGACTACTAAAGGAGAAGTCATCAACATAGCCAAAAGCCAAAGATAATCAGATAGGAAAGTACCAATAAATGCATTCAATAAGACCATGAACCATAAAGTAGAAGTAAAAGGTAATTGAAAAGTTTCAATGCCTAACCAATCCAAAAGAGGAAAAACTGGCCATAATAAGAGTAGATTAAAGGCACCAACAAAACCAAAAAAGAGAGGCATATCAATACGATCTTCATCACCAATTCGTACTTTCAACATTGTGGTGTAACATCCATAAAACACAGCGCCCAATAATGCTAATATATCCCCTATCAATGCTGATGATATATTTGTTGTTATGGTTGGATCTTGTTCAGTTGGATAGGTTTTTTGATCAGAATAAGATACTAATATCACTCCAATGAAACTATACAAAAATATAAATAAATAAATAAATAAATAATAAATTTTCTTTTTCTTTACCTAACACAGACTGATATCAATTTGATCAAAGTAATTTTTTCAACATTAAACATAGCCCCAATTCCCAATGTAAATAAACCTATAAATAATAATAATAATAAGAATAAGAATATATCATTTAATATATATATATATATATATATATATATTTACCAGACATAGAAGCCAAAATGGTACTACTACCAACACTGGTATAAGCCAAACTTGCATTTGTGGTATAATTGGCAAAGAACCAAAGAATACAAAAAGCAAAACTTAATTTGATAGTTTCCATGGTACTTAGTTTGGTTGTATTATTATTGATAGATAGATGAGATCTTGACTCTAACTCCGAGAACTGCGGTCAAATAAGATAATATTAAGATAAAAATCATCATCATCAAACAAATAAAAAAATTTAACTATTATTCTTACTTGTAATCTGGTTTCAGTTGTATTCAAGATTCTATTATAATAATAAAAAGAGAAATCAATACATAATCTATAGTTTAAATGACGCCATTTACTTGATTGTTTCTTCATTCTTTTTCTTTGAATTTTTAAATAAAAATGGTATTAAATAAAAAGAAAAAGTAGCAGTATTCAAATAGGTCACAAGAAAAGGCTTGTTATATTGTAATTCACCAAAAATACTCTATATTCAAACCAAAAAAAAAAAAAAAAAAAGGTTTAACAGAATAATAACAATAATATATAATATCACTTACATTCATGGCAAAAGAAGAAGTTACCCATATAAAGACTACACCTAATAAAGCAAATATACCACCATAATAACGATGTTTTGACAGATCAGATTCTGCCATTGAAATATATATAAATATAAAACAAAAGAATGGGATAAAAAGAAGAAGAAGAAGACAAAAAAAAGTTTTTTTTTTTTTCCTTATTGTTATCCAAAGAAAGAGTCATCTGATATTCAAACACCGCAGAACAGTTATGTTTTATTTTTTATTATTGATGGTAATGAATGATTTTTATGTTGTATGACATAAGGAGACTTTAAAAATGAGGGGAAGGATTAGTAAGAAATGGGATTTGATTGATTATCAAAGGAGTGAATTGATTTATTTGATTTCTTTTCTTGTCTTTTTTAAGGGAGCCAATCGTACGACATTACTTTTTCAGAGGCTGAGATTCATTCAGTAAAGAAAAAAAAATATCTTTTTCTTTTTTTGTTCCTTTTACTTTTTTTTTTTCTTTCTTTCTGCCATTATCATCATCATCATCTATTATTATTTACTCTCCTTTTTATTCATTCAATATACTTTCCTTTGATCTTTACCACTACTACTACTACTACTACTACAACAACAAAATAACAATTCATTAGGTAATGGAGTATTCCTAAAATAGACTTGGTAAAAAAAAACAGATAAAAAAAAAAACTTATTCTTAATATATATCTATTAAACCTTTCTTTCTCTCTTTTTATATTAGTACTTTATATCAGTTTTATACCTTATCAACAACTATTACTATTTCAATCATGTCTTTTATGATAAAACGACGACCTTTAATGGATCAAGATTGGGAAAATAACCGACGTTATGGTGTTATTATTGATGCTGGTTCTTCTGGTTCAAGAGTTTATATATATTCTTGGAAAGATCATGACTTTTTAAGAACAACTATTACAAAAGAAGACTTACAAGGTAGTATTCCAATGGTAGAAAGAGCTGATAAACATGGTTTAAAATGGACTCATCGACAAGAACCTGGTAAGTTATTATTATTATTATCATAAAATAAATAATAATAATATAATATATTCTTTTTAGGCATCTCTACATTTGGATCACGACCTCATGAAGTTGGTGAACATTTAAAAGGACTTTTGGATTTTGCTCAAGAAGTAGTACCTATGCAACTTCAATCTTCTACACCTATATTTCTTATGGCAACAGCTGGCATGCGACTTTTACCAACGGAAGAACAACATACTTTAATGAATACAACATGTCAATATATAAAACAAAATACTGCCTTTTTCATTAGTGATTGTGATACTCATATACGAACTATTCCTGGTGAATTAGAAGGTGTTTATGGATGGGTAGCTGTGAATTATTTAATGGGTGGATTCGATGCAACTATACAACAACAACGGCAACAACATACATTTGGATTTTTGGATATGGGTGGTGCTAGTGCACAAATTGCATTTGAACCAGATCATCATCAAAAAGAAGAACATGGTGCAGATTTAACAAAAATTCACTTACGAACTTTGGATGGGTCTGCTATGGATTATGATGTTTTTGTTACTACATTTTTGGGTTATGGTAGTAATGAAGCACGTCGACGATATTTAGAACAACGTGTCAAACAATTATTTGATCAACAACAACAAAATGAAACAACAACCAAAGGAATGGAAAATTCTACTATGGATGAATATCATCGTTTACATTTGGATGATCCTTGTTTACCTCTCAATCTAGAATTAACGGATGCTGATACTACGAGTGTGCCTCTTCAACTCAAAGGAACTGGTCAATTTTCTACTTGTTTGGATCTCACTTTACCTCTTCTCAATAAGGATGCTGAATGTCCTACTCAACCGTGTCTCTTCAATGGTGTACATACTCCCAAAATTGACTGGTCAGTACATCAATTTGTTGGTATTTCGGAATATTGGTATACTTCTCATGATGTTTTAGGTCTAGGTGGTGTCTATGATTTTACGGAATATGAACAAAAAGCAACAGCATTTTGTGCAAAGGATTGGGCTTTGGAACTTCAAGATCATCCAGATTGGGATCCTATAGAAATTCAACGTTATCAATTACAATGTTTCAAATCTGCTTGGATGGTCAACGTTTTACATGGTGGTATTGAAGTACCTCGTTTGGTGGATAATCCAAAGGATCACCTAAGTCAAACATCCTCTACTCAATGGCTAGAACAATCTATTGAAAGTGTGGAACACAAAAATTGGAATCCTCCATTTAGAAGTATCGATACTATCAATGATATTCAAGTTTCATGGACTTTAGGCGCTATGCTCCTTCATGTGGCAAATCAAATTCCTCTTGCTGAAAATGTGAACAGTGGACATAGTAGTGATGACGAATTACCTCATCCTATTGCTGATGGTGTAGAACTTCCTCTTGGTGATGCTGGGCATCATCTCCCTGAAACAAATTATTGGCCATCTACTCCTGAAGACACAAGTGATACTCATGCATCTTCTTGGTGGGATTTGGGCAATACCATATCAGTGATTGGACTCTTGGCCATGTTGACTGTTTTATTTGGTGTGGTGATTTGGGAATGGTACCGTTATTCAAAGAAAAGACGTTCAAGAGGAGGATATGGAGATTATCGACGTGTAGATACCAATGGAGGCATTTTAGGAAATATCGCAACTCCTTCACCAAATACAACATCATCATCATCATTTTTGGCAGGCCCAATCATGGTTATGAAACAAATCACAGTACGACCTATGATTGTATTACGATATTGGACCTCTCATTTATTATCACGACGTGGTGGTTTAGGAAACAATATCAACAACAACAACAACAATAACAATAATAATAATAATAATAGTAGTGGTGGTATTAATATGACGACATCAATGGATGACTCTGTCTATCATGTAGGCATGTCGGGTGGTAACATGACTAATGGCAACAATGGTGAAATATATAATCTGGAAAGCAATGGAAATTATCCTGATTCTGTATCAATAGCAATGTATCAACAACAAATGCAACAACAACAACATTCCCAATTACAACAACATCAAGCATCTTCCATTCCATCTAATGGCATCTTGGGTCCATCCAATAAATCATCTAGTATGATCTCTATGAAGTACTGGCACAAGAAACGATATAGTGGTGATAGTCATAATATATCTCAATGGATTCAACCTGGATACAACAACAATAATAATAATAGTAGTAATATCAATATTGATCGTGGTGGAGCAACTTCAGCCATTGGTTTAGGAAATCGATCCAATAGTGCGGCGAATTTGATAGCAAGGACAGGATCACCTGTGATATTAGGAGATGGACAAACTTCATCAAGTACTTCAATGTCAAGATCAAGATCAAGAATTGGATTTGCTATTCATGAAACATCGGATGAAGATGATTATTTGACAGTGGGTGAAACTCTAGGTGGTAGTGGAGGTAGTGGTGGTGTTAACAATTTAAATTCATCTGAACTTCATCGGTTTACTGCAATAACAAGTATATCAAGAACTCCTTCTCCTTCTCAAGCTATCAACATGACAAAAAGAACAACAAGTCCTAGAGTTAGTCCTAGATCTAGTTTAGAAAAGCGTAGAAAAGATGATATAGAGTAGTTTTTTTATATATTCCTTCTTTTATATATTTATACCTTTTTTTTTAAAAAAAAAAAAAGAACAAAGAAAAAAAATAAAGTGTATACCCTTGATTATTGAATCTTTTTTTTCTAATAATAATAATAATATTCAATCATGTGATGATCTCAAAGGAAAAAAAAAAAAAAAAGAAAATGTATCTATTCTTATTTATGATGAGATGATTTCCCACTTCAATGTAACAATAAAAGAATACTTATCATTTGTTGTAATGTAAAGAAAACCTGTATTAGATATCTTAGGTAAGATTTGTAGCAGTCCTAATATGGTAATCTTCATTGTTCATCTATAATACTAATAAGATATTCATATATATATATATATATATATGAAGAGATCATTCATTTCTATTTTGTTTTAAAGGTAAAATACTTGAGATTTGTTATTTTTGATAAAAATAGCATCATCCCTCGCTTTTTTATTGAGGTTCCGAGGTCTTGAACTACAAAAATTCATTCTCCACTGCTTACCTAAACATCAATTGGTAAGTAGGACCCTTCCATTCGTTCATTAAAAAAGTTTTTTCTTTTTTTTCCCTTTCTGACTGGTCCTTAAAAAGTTTTTTTTTTTCTCTTTCTTTCCTTCTTCTTTTTTTTCTTTAGTTTTCCATTTCTATTTATTACTTGATGGATATAAGACAACATGATCCAACTCCTTTACAAAGACAAAAACGTATTAAAGTATCTAAAGCATGTTATGCCTGTAGAGTAAAGAAAATCAAGGTACAGTTCATAAATAAACAAAGGAGGGGGGGAACTGAATATGAAATATATATATATATATATAATTGAAAATGGGAAAATGCTGAAAATAATGGGAAAAATGCCGTTTTCTTTCTTATTAAAAAAGTCTTTTTTTTTTTTAATCAACAGTGTGATGGTCTTAATCCATGTATGCAGGTAAACTATTAACAAACAAGAAATAGAAAATGAAAAAATATAGTTTAAAGAGACACTAAATCTCTTTTTTCTATATCTCTTTTATTTCAGTGCAAAGGTATTTGAAATATAGACAACTTGATGATAAAGTTTTATTCATTGACTTTTTTTATACTTTTAGCACGACAACGACCTTGTTCTTTTTCGGCTGATGGTTCCGTTGACATTCAATATCGTTCTAATGTAACATTGGAAAAAACAACAACAACAACAACAGCTGATATACATTCGCCCAATCTCTATTCTTCAAATAATAATACTTCACCACCATTATCACCGAGACAACAACAACATGGTACACCATCTTCTTCCAGATGGATAAAAGAAAAACAACTTTTAGATACTACAACTCATCGACTGGACACTTTAAGACAATCATGGCCAGGATGTGAATATGAATCTCAAAGTCCTTATACGACATATCAGCAACCTCCTTTATCCTTCTTTTTATTGGAACAACCTAGTCAACAACAACAACAACGACAGAACTCATCACCGAAAATACAACAATCTCTCATTACATTATATTATCGACATCGGTATCATCTATTGCCACTGATCCCCAAATCGACTTTTTTTACTCTATTGGATCAACCTTCTGCAGAAGCATCCGTATCACCTTTATTATTGAATATCATGTACGCTCATGCCGCTCTCAGTTCTCCAACATTTAGTACAGATGCAGATAACTATGCTCGTTCAGCAAAGGCCATGTTGGATGATTACTTGGAAGAACCTCCTCAAGTATGTACAGTGATTGCACTAGTTTTATTAGCTTGTTATGAATCCAACCGACACAGTTATACTTGGTCACCATGTCAAACTTCCATGTACAGTGCGATGGCTTTTCAGATGTGTTACGATTTGAAACTTGATAGCGATACGGACAACATGACAAAGATGATCAAGGCACTGAAACAACGCGTATTTTGGTGTTGTTATTGTTTGGACAAATGGACAAGTCTATGTACGGATCGACCTTGGACTTTATATACCAACAATAAACATGGATTACATGGATCAATAGTGTTACATATGGAAGGATTGACCATGGATCATGATGAACAAATAGTTATGGAAGGATTGGTGGCTTCAGTACAATTAACACAACTAGGTGAACAACTACTACTACAACAACGATCTTCTTCAACAATCGATACTACTTTCCGAGCTGATCAACGATTACTCTCCTTTTTACAAAAACTGCCTGCTTCTTTACATTGGACTCCTTTACCTACACCTGAATCTCTATCATCACCCACCTCATCTTTATACCAACCGATTCCTTCACATCCACCTCACAATGCCATTGTCGGTCATTTTCACCTTATCTTCAACCTGTTACATCTTACACTTCTTGTACGACCATTGATTGAAAACATAGACGACAAAGATCGGATATCACTTTTGTTACAACGGTGTGCTACAGTGGCGACGAATCTGACACAATTGGGATGTGCGTTGACAGATCAAACTGCCTTTATCTTGTGTTATCGAATGGTGGCCCATGCCTTGATGTTATCTGTGCGAGTCCATCTGATTCAGTGTTATAATGTCATGGAAGGAAGTGATCAACATCGTGTGACCAAACATGCTCAATTGATGTTCCAACGGTCTCTCCGATCCTTGCGAATCTTGATACAACAACGTGCTATACCCAATGTCGATGAATTTACTCGTTCTGTGGAAAAAATGTTGACGACCATGTCAAATCAACGTTCTCATCATCATCATCATCATCAAGGACCTAATTATTTGAATGGAGCAGAAAGAAGCGCCGCCGAAATTTTATCAAATGCTTTCAATACAAATCCATATGCCAACAACCACGACAATAACAAGAGAAATACAACTGATAACAGTACTTCTCCTCGTTCTACAAAACAACAAAAACAGACAATGATAGATGTAGCTGCTCTCTATACCTCCATCACCAGCAATCCTTTATATCAACAACAACAACAAATTCAACCTCACTATGGATATTCTTTACCTTTTGGAAAACATGATGAAGTATGGGTATTACAAGAACAATACCAACAACAACAACAACAACAACAACAACAACAACAACAACAGGAACAACAAAATAATTCTTCATCATCGCCAACTTCCTATGATCCTTTACATATGTACTCTACTCCATTATGGTCATCCTCCTCATCATCTACATCGTCATCTACTAATCAATTGGAAAAGAAGCAATCCAAGTCCACAACATCCACTCCCATCGTATCACCTTCATCCCCATCAATTTCATCAAGCACCAGTCAACCCTCTTCTTTAGGCATGACGCCATCACCTCACAAGAATATTGGATTGGGTGTATATGCAAGTGCTCATCGTCATCATTCGGATGTCATTGGTCAACATCTTCAGCAAAATACAGGTAATAATGATGATGACGGGAACAAGAAGGAACATCGTCCTGTTATTTTGAATTGTCATGGTCAAGTCTTGGTGGATTCTACTTCTTCTTCTCGTACTTCTTCTACCACCACTACACCATCTCGTTTGAATGTAGTTAGTGTATCATCTAGTCTTTAAACATTTTGTTATTATAGTTTGAAACGTCATTTGTATCATAGCCTTTTTTTGTCATGAATAATAATAATAATAAAAAAAAACCATTTTTTTTCCATTTACATGTGTTTTGTCTTGTTTCGGGTTGAATTATGTGGCATGATTTTTTTTTATATGTATATAAATCCTATTTTCTTTCTTTCTTTCTTTCTTATGACCGTGCGCATTATCTGGGCGTAAAAAAAAAAAGAAAAAAATTGCCCTGAATGATGATTCTTTTCTAAATATCTTCCTCTCTCTTTCTTTACCTTTTTTTTTTTTTAATTCACTTTATTATTTTTTTTGTATTGATTTTTGAATATATTCCCTCCATTGTTTCATCATAATGATGATGATGCATAGAGGAGATAATGGTATGCGATATGGAAAAATAACATCCTTTACATCATTTCAAGGTGCAACAACAGCGATGATGGTTGGAAGAAACAACTATAATATCACTTTTCAGCATATTCTTCAAACTGTATTTCAACAACCGAGGATCATGGCACCGCCCTTGTTGGAGTTAAGTCGACGAATGCAATGTCACATCTCAACAACACCAGAACAACAAAAGGTACAACAGCACAAAAAGGTCATTCCATGGGATCCATCATCAATAAGGAACAACAAGGGCTTGTCTTCAACAAACAGTTTTTCTCTCTTTTTTTTCTTGCTTCCCTTTCAATTGGGGTTCCTGGATATTCTTTGCTACAAGTACAATGCTGGTCATTTGTCCCTAGTGATGATGAACATGGATCCTTTATTGATGATGGACCGATGTATCATTATCACCGTGACTGATCTTATGAGGATACCAGCTCTACATATAGATGAACGACTCATATTCAACCCATCTGGATATCTTTCTTGGATGGATCAAGATACAACACACTATCCATCATCATTTCTACCCTTCCAATGGCCACACTTTGAAGAGGAGCAAGATGATGATTCATCTATTTCTTCATCATCGTCCTTACCATCACCTCCACTGACACCTTCCTTACGAAACACAACCAATGATGATGATGATAGCATTGATAGTATAGATACAAACCATGCTCCTTTACTAGCCCTTATCCAAGAAACATTAAATTACATTCATTCCTTCCCTTCTGACCATCCTTATTCAACTGAGCTAAAATCTCTTGTCCCCAAAATGGACGAGCGCTTAAATCAATCAATCATCTATGACTAATAAAAAGAGATTTTTTCTCTATATCTCTCTCTTTTTTTTTTTTCATCAGTACCTCGGTTACACATGTAATGGGAAAAAGAAAAGATCAATCTTTTTTTTTTTTTTTTGTTTATTCCATCCTAAGCAAGTCATTCATATCATCTTTTTTTTTTGGAGGTGATTTATCAGCTGTGATATTACACAAAACAAGGAAATCGATGACTGATGATTTTTTTTTTTTAACAGTCAACCATTTCCGGTCATGGTTCATCTGACCAGATAATAGGATCGTTATTGTTGAAAATCATCCTTTTTTTTTTTTTGGGTTTTTCCTAGTTATCCCTATAGAAAAATAGTACAGGCACGCTTTTTCGCGAATTGTTGGAACTCCGCGTGTCCTTTTTTTTTCATTTCCTTGTTTTTTTTTCCCCCTCTTTTCCCTGTATTATTATTATTATACATCCCTATTTCTTTTTCTTTTCTTGTTTACCCACAATTATATAAATGTAAGACGAATGAAATTGAATCAATGGACTTTTTTCTAATCTTTTTTTTTTTTTGCTTGTATTCCATTAATAGAACTTTTGTTTTGTACGTATCAAACGAATAGAAAAAAAACATGAATGGTAATAAACCTAGTATTCCTACAACACGTATTCACAAAACCACAGTTCGACCAACAAGAGCATCCTTAGCTCGAGCGAATACTGTCCAAGCTAAACAACAGCAGCAGCAAAATAATACAACAAATGGTCAACGATCTTCTTTACCTTCACGGGTCAAGAAACCATCGACAGAAACATCCACTCATCATATGAATAAAAAGACGGCAAATTCTTCAACAACAGCTATAAGACCAACAAAGAAATCTCGACCAGACAATATGAACAATCATACTTCATCCTCGACCATTGGTAACAAACGGAAATCTATAACGACAAAGGAATCCATTAAAAAAAGACCAGCTTGGGATATGCGAGTAAAATCAAATCAAATCAACTTTTGAAAAAAAAAAAAAAGCAAATTGATTTTTTTTTTTTTTGTTTTGTTGATTAGGGTAAAATCAGTGATTTAGAAGCTCAATTGGAGAAAAGCAATGATAAATTGAAAGGATTATATAAATTCAAGGATGAATTACATGTTATGAAAGAAGATAAAGAATCTGAACGAAAACAGGCCATACAGAAAGCAGTAGCATTGAAAGCTGAATTACAGGTAAATCATCTTTTTTTTTTTTTAATATAACTCATGTCTATAAATATTAGACTTTGGAACGCGAACATGAACAAGAAATTGAAAATCTTAATGCTCAACAAAGAATCCATCATCAAGAATTACAAGATAAGCAGCTGATCTATAAAAGACGGGTGACGACCATTGAAATCGAATTACAAGATGCCCAGCGGAAACTCAAAGATGCTGAAAAGAGATCGGATCAAGTGATGCAGGAATATCAACAATTGGAGGTAATCATCTTTTTGTCTTTTTTTGGAATGAACTGAATTTTTTTTTTTTTTATTAGGCTAAACTTTCCCAAGCAAAAACGGAAACCATGGAAATGGAAACATCATTAAAACGTATTGATTTGAAATTAGAGGTAATTATTTTTAATTCCCTAAACATTTTCTTTTTTTTTTTTTAATTTACTTTATTATCTTTTGAAAAAAAAAAAAAGCGATTTGGTGGGACATTGAGTGACCGGGAACGTGATATCACTTTACAGAAAAAGACATTAGCTAAGGAACAACCTGCCACGAAGACCGCCGAAGAAAAATTACAAGAAGCTCAGTCCAATAGAGAAAGGATACAAGCCATGATTAATGATCTACAACATTCTTCTTAGTTTTCTTTTTTTTTTGGGAATAAAATGGTATTACAATAAATCTTTTGTTTCATATTGATCATTTTTGTTTCATTGGTCCCAATATATATGTGATATTAGTTGATTTTTGTTATATGAATAAAGACGATAATAAGTGAGATTCTTTCTAACTTTTTATTATTTTTTTAGAAAGAATGACTTGATTGATTATTTTATAAAATAAAAACTAAGGTACATTTATATATGTAATCTGGAAATAAAATAAAAATAGATTGATTATTGAAGAACAATAGATTTTGTGTGGTAAATGTCTTAGATCTATATTCTTTTATTTCATGATACGACAATATATATATATATATTTAATATAGATTTCATTTATCTATTTCTTTTTTAACGAGTTAGTAGAATAAAAAAAAAAGATGAGTCAATTAAGGGATGATTTTCTTTTTACTAAGTTGATATGATTTCTTTTTTTTTTTTTTTTTTCGAAGGTGCCACCAATACGGCTTCGGAATGACATTATCCAGCCCCCACTTGATAATCATCTATTGTATATAAAAGAATATCTCCTTTTTTTTTCGTCTTTTATCCTTTTTCGCCTTTTATCCTTTTCTCATCGATTTCAACTCCGTCCTGCTTAAATTTTCTCTCTCTCTCTCTTTTTTTTTTTTCTGTTTTTTTTTTTTTTTTTTCCTTCTTTTTCTCTCTCTCTCTTTTTTTTTTCTTCTTTCTTGAAATATCTATTTATTTTATTTTATTATTTATATGATTTCATGGCGTCTAGTACCTTATCATCTTACCCAACAAGTCAACCTACCGACTATTTTACATATTCACCTGATATCCAAAGTACAACAAATGTTCCTAACGATTTAATCAACCAATATAACAAATTAACAACAAGAGAATGTTTATTATTTCCTACCTATGCTTTTCGTAATCCTGAAAGTAATCATCACATTATTGATCTTTTTTTTTTTTTATTAACCCCATGATTTTCTCTCTCTCTTATCGTTTTTTAGACTCATCGGAATGGGTTATCCGAACAAGAGGATGGGCACTTTCTCATAATCGTTCTGGAGCTAAACAAAAATTCGTGACCAGTAAGTTAGATGAACTTTAATACGATTTTTATTTATTTATTTATTTACATTAGGTCTTTCAAAAGGGGTAGTCGGACAAAATTCAGGTGATCAGGCAACTTTTGAAGAACGATTTAAATATTTTTTGGCCAAAAACAAACGGAACAAACAATTCATCATTCAAGCTATTGGTACAACCACATTACCTTCTTGGACGTATGAATCTTCTGACAACAATACTCAAAGAAGAGATTCCAATGGATCGACCGATTCGGGTTTTCAATCGGCAAGTGATAAAGACGATGATGATGCTTTCTTCTCCATGGAACGACCCGTCAATCCTTTATCAAGTATTCTTAGTGGTCGACGCATGCAATCTTCTACTTCTTTATCTTCCAACAGCAGTAATGATAGTCGACAATATCATTATGAAGATGAAGATGAATTAACTTCCAATGAACTTACATCCTCAACCACCAAGTCTTCACTTTTCACTTATCCTTCATTTACAAGCTTTAATACATCTTCTTCTTCCTCTTCTTCTTCTTCTTCTTCTTCTTACTCAGCCAACATATCTATCAAAACGAATGGACAAAACATCTTCAAATCAGAAAGTTCAGGTTTTTTCTCTGGACCCACCCATTTATCTCATCGACAAGTACTTCAATGGGCCAAAGAACAAGATTGTTGTGACGCTCGATTATTACGATTACAATCTATTCCTTATTATCACCATCATCCATTGGATACCTCTTTTCCAACAAGTACAGGTATGGTGAGTTTGATTGAACCTACTGGTATTTCCATTATCTCTGATATTGATGATACTATCAAGGAAACGCAAATTTTACATGGCGCTCGAACGGTATTGGCCAACACTTTTTTCAATCCAAGTAAGGATATTTCTGGTATGGCTGAAGCTTATATGAAATGGGTAAAAAAAAAAAAAAAAAATATGTGAAAAAAAAAAGATAAAAAACTGATGATCTTTTTTTTTTTCTTTAATAATATAGTATACACAAGGTGCTTCCTTTCATTATGTATCCAATAGTCCATTCCAATTATTATCTTTTCTTCACAAGTTCTTGAATCAACATCAATTCCCACCTGGTAGTATGCATTTACGACTGGATGGCAGTTTGATGGCCCGATTGATTGAAATTCCTGGACGAGCCAAACGAGACGCCATTCTTACCATCATGAACGATTTCCCTCAACGACAATTTGTACTTGTGGGTGACTCTGGCGAAATTGATTTGGAAATCTATACAAAGATCGCTTTGGAGAAACCTGGTCGTGTGCTCAAGATCTTTATTCATGATGTCACCACTCCTTATTATAAAAACAAGAAGAAAAATGATCATCGACGGAACAGTATGTCACTCTTTCCTACCAAACGTTCCACACTTGAACCGACCAAAACCTTGGCCGAGCTGGTCATCGAGCCGTCTATGTCTTCTTCATTGATGCCTCCCTCTCAACAATGTATACAACTCTATGATCGTGTTCGAAAAGCTCAAGATCAATTACCTCATGTTGATATTGTCTTATTCCAACATGCTGATCAACTCCGTGACGATGCTACTATCCAAGATGCTTTATGGCAACATTGGGATAATCAATGTATTTTACCATAGTTTTATATATATATATATATATATATATATTTTTTACATCTATATCTCATTGGAAAATTTTATAATTTTATACATTATAATGACTAATACTACTATTGTTACGATGATTATTATTATAGACTTTATACAAAAAATAACTATTTCATCATCATGACTTTATAACTCTATTTTTTTTTTTTTTTGGATGGACAAATGATCATTTTGTTTATTTGTTCATGAGATAAAAAAGAAGAAGGTTCAGAAGCAAGAAAAAAACATGATACTAAATAAACTACTACTATTATTTCATTATTGACTATTTGTTCCACATGGTCTTGAGCATTTTCCAAGCTGATTTCAAAGATGGTCTATTTTTTTTTTTTTTTAAAAAAAAAGAGTCAGTCATTCTATAGATACTAACAAAATTAATACCTATTGTCCGGAAGCATAGGATACTATAAAAAAATAAAATCAGTCAAGGAACAATAAAATAAAAAAAAAAATTACCTGTAATTTTGGAATAGGTTTAATGGGTTCACCATAAAGAAGACATTGAAATACATAGGTGGAGAAATAATGAGCACTTAATCTTTTCCATAATAACATGTATTGGAAAAAGATAGCTCCAAATGGAATGGGTGTATTCTATAATTCATACAAGTGAATAGTGTCAAAAAAAAATGATATTCATGTTGTACGATAAAAAAAAAAGTTTACCTTGATCCATAAATAAGTTCCTTCTGGGGTATTTTGTTGTTCTTTTTGTTGTCGTCTTTTTTGTTGATCATTGGGTAATTGGAATCGAACTAATCTTCGATGATGCTTGATTCTATTTTCTTTATACTGTTGTTGATGTGTCCATCTTAACCAAGTTTGTCGGAACCAATGATGTTTATATAAGAAAGTATCATATTGGAAAAGATCAAAACAAAGTCCACCTAATAGAAGGGAGTTGAGTTTCACTTTTTTTTTTTTTTTTTTTTTTTTTTTTTTTTTTTACCTGGAACACGATCAGGATCCTTGATACGTAACATAATAGCAAACAAAGGAAAATGATTGAAAAAGGCCAATAAGGTTTCCATAATCGCCTGTAAAAAGATGACACTTACTCGACTCTAAAAAAAAAAAGAATTAGTATCCATTTATTATTATTATTATTATTACCAAAGCAAATGTCAAATAATAGATCAACACGGTTGGGAAGAGAAAGGTTAAGAGTGTGAATAAACAAGTCCCCAGTAACAATTGATCCAAATCATAATCACAGCTATCAATTCGATTTCGTAACATGTTACGTTTCTTGCCTCGGAAGAGATTGAATAATGCATAAAGAGTAATGAGTTGCCAATTGAAGATCCGAGCAGCCACCATATAAAAACAATATATTTGCATAGTCATACAGGCCAACATATCCGATAGGAGTGCAATGATCATCGATACACCAAAAATACCTGATCCTCCTATCATGTAAATAATACGAGGTGTCCATGGTTCCATGAGTGTCATACATTCTGTCCAGAGATGGATCAGCCAAAGAAAGAGTTCACTTAGAAAGGTTCCCAATTGAGTATTCAGTTTCAAACCTGCTGGTGTTTCCAAAAACCAATACATCATCGATTGTAATGATTCCACTGTATATGTCTTTCCCAATAAAATTTATTAATCAATCTATTTTATCTTTGTCATTTCTCTTACCTTCAATACATCATGTAGTTTATTGGAAACTATATCACGATTGTTCATCAAGTAGGATCCAATAGCCACTCCAATAATGATATCATTGGCCACTAACCACATACTATTGTAAAAACTTTATAAAAAAAAGAAGGAAGGTTTTATTTAGTATTGTCATTCTTTTTCCCATGATATCATATTTACCTGATGTAATAAGCCCTTGTCTCTGCAGTGTTTGCTCTATTCCTTTTCCTTAACATCATATATTGTCGAGGCCAAAAATACAATTGCTGTAACCTCAAATCTATCTGCTGACCTAGTAAAATAGTTTTTTTTTTTTTTTAATATTTCCTTTGTTTTTATTTTCTTATTTTCATACCAGCTGCAGATAAATCCTTCATAGCTACATGTATTTTGGGTAATTGTAAACTGAGAACATGGATCGTGATTTCTGCCAAACATAAAAGTAAAAAGACGAAACATAAAAGAGGACCCTTGATAAGGCGTTGTAAATAACAAACTAATTTTCGTAAAGGATGAAGAAATATTCCTTGTCGAATAAAAGAATATTGAAATATGTTTGACCAATGTCGTGGTTGATAGGACTGTTGTTGTCGATCTTGATTATCTTGATGTTTTTTACGATGTAATATCCCATGTTCCAAATAATAGGAAGAGTTAATCTAAGGAAGAAAGAATTAAATTTGAATATACGAGAGATTCATCCCTATTACATACCTGAACCAACACAGAAGTCAAATCATCAGAAGTCTCCATATTTTGTAATCCCAATATCCTTTGTTCAACATCTATACTTTTTGCCAAATTTTGAAGTGTCAAAGCTGTCTGTCTTTGTAAAGCTGTACTGTTGTCCATAGATCTATGTTGCTTTTGTTGATGATGTTGTTTTGGTGTAATATCTAACGCCAAAGGTTCAAGAGCCAAAAACTGAAGTCGTTCGGGATTAGGTTGTTCATAAAACATGATTTGATAAGAACTCAACGCTATAGTTTTTCCTCGTGTTGATAAGGATCTATCCAAAAAGTGAAAAAAAAAATTAGATACCATGTATATTTTTTCGTTTCTATTTTTTTTACATGGGTATCGGTATATAAGCATCGTCTAGTAGCATTGTCAACCAGCATTCTATAGAAAAGAAAACAAAATGAACTTTTATATTCATAATATATTATATTACCTGCATCTAGAGGAGAGGAAGGTTTATTGGGTCGTGTTGTAACAAGTTCACCAAGTAAAGTAGGTCTTGCTTTGCAAACTCTATAAATTCGTTGAAAGTGTTGTATATCGTCAGAAGTACAAAAATCTTGAACTAGTCGTTTTAAATCCTTTAACTACATAAAAAAAAAGTTGATTCATTTTCAAAATACTAAACTTTTTTTTTTTTTATTACTTTGATATCTTGTACTAGAGCCGCTACACAAAAGGTCCAAGGATTATTCTGCCATCCTATCAAGTAACCTGGTTGACTATTGGGTATACACAGATGAGAAGGCCAAAATATTTTCAAGGCATGAGAAGTTGAGACCATAAAAGAAAAAAAAAATACACGCTTTTATCGTCAATCCTTGTTTCCGTTTAATGTGAAAGAGAAGGAAAAGGCGATAACAAAAAAAAAAAATTCAATTTTACAGGACACACTGGGTTCGAAAATAATTTATATGAAAAAAAAAAAAAAGCCAGGCAACACAACTTGCCCTCATTTTTTTCTTCCATTATTTTCCCATATTCCATGTTTCATTTATATTATCGAGTATATAGATCATGTCATCATAAAATAATATGTCATACCCGACGACGACTTGGTGTATTATCAACAACTTTGAAAAACAAATCAAAACCACTCGACGTATCAACACCTTTAGATCTTCCACAGAAACAATTGATATTCAAGACTTGTGCAGGAGTAAGAAAATCAGATGGCAAACCATGTAGACGACGGTTTTTGGTCAATCCAAATGATATATCAGCATCCACTCTTACTTATTGTCATGATCATCGACCTTCTTCTACTAAACCAGCTTTTACAAATACCATACCAACTCAAGGCACGAGTTCTTCATCGACTGCTTTGATACCTCACATCTTGACTTCCTTCAGTACACAAGCTAAACAATCGATCGAAACTTCCCCAGTATATGATTGTTGGTCACGTAAGTTTCAAATTATATATCTATGTATATATTTTTAACCTATCTCCTTTTTTTTTTTTTTTTTATTAGTATGGATTGGAAAACATATCAAAACCAAAAAACGTAACCAAATAGTACGAGAAATGCTCAAACCATTTTCAGAAAAGGATGAAGCTGGGTATTTGTATGCTTACCGATTGACGCAAGGACCTCGTGTTCCCACCACACTTTATTGTTACTTCAAGATCGGTCGATCCACCAACCCAACCCGACGTATGTTCCAAGTCAAGAGTACGTGTCATTATCACCCCAAATTATTAGACATTATACCACGCAAAGTAAAAAACAATCAAGAAGATGATATCTCACGTCATGATCAATTACAAAAATGTCCATTATCACATCGCGTCGAACGATTAATTCATTTAGAATTGACAAGTCTTTATCCAATCACTGGCGGATTCAAATGTCAAGTATGCGGTACAACACATAGAGAATGGTTTCGTGTGAAACGACCTCTGGTTCAAGTGGAAAAAAACAAGACACGACGGATGACAGATCAAGAAGTATGGATGACCAAGATTCGACCTATCATGTTACATTGGATTCGTTATGGTGTAGTTGCTTCCGCTTCTTTACAAGCTTCCTCTTCCTGTTGATAGATTATATACATAGTGTAGATACATAGATAAAACAAATAGATAGATAGACATGTGGATAGCTTTATCTCTTTTTTTTTTTTTTTGTGATACAATAAAGAACATCGGATACAACGTAGTACCATCTTTAAACACTATTGTTAGAACCCACGTACCTACAGTCGTACAAACTTTTTTTTTTTGTAATATCCGAGTAAGGTTAAGAAATGCATTCATGGTTCAGATTGTCTGTGAGCATTCAATGACATTTTGAAGGTAGCACTGTCATTGGTTGAGAGATAAAGCCAAAAAGAGAAAGAAAAGTTTATACAAAAGATAAATTTTTTTATTTTATTTCAATTTGAAGATTTATACTAAAAAAAAAAAAAGATGAAAAGTGATGATCATCAACAAAAGACCTGATCATCTAAAATGGCTAAACTTGATTTTCCAGGCCGAACGAAGAATGCAAACGTATTCGACATTTGTTGCACACAATGCACCTTTTTCTTTGTGAGCCATGCTTCAATCCTTTTCGCATTTGATGAGACTATAAAACTTATTCATCAAATGCCTAGCCAAAAAAAGAAAAAAGGGTTTTATTCTATCCATATTCCCAGTGTTCAGTTTATCCATCTTCCTCCGGCATACAATGATCAAGGTTTCCGTATTATATTTCATTACTTTATTCTAAAATACAATGCTTGTTGCTTAATAAAAGGAAAAACTAATTAATTTAAAAGGATAATAACAACGATATAAAATAAAAAAGAAAGGAAAGAAAAAAAAATAATAGAAACAAAAAATTATAAAATAAAAAGATTCAGAGAAAATTTCAGAGTTCACCACGATGAAGAGAGCCTTTTTAAAATTTAAAAGAAAAAGATGAAGAATTTTTTTATTATATGGAATGATAAAATCGAAAAAAAAAGGTAAAATAAAATAATAAAAAAAGGGGAAAAATACAATGAAAAGAAGTGAATAATGAAAAAAAAAAAAAAATTGGAGGGATATGACGAAAATAGGCATTTGTCATCCTGCCTATTAATAATAGTACATGGGTGATATATAGTAACAAGTATGAAGAATAAAAATATAAATATGAATAATAAAATAAAATAAAAAAAAAGGATGTGTAAATATAGAACAAGAGAAGTATATAACAAAAGATGTGTAAAGACCTCCTAATAACATCATCAACCAAATATAACCCAACATATACAACCAAAATGAGAAGAAAAAGAAAAGAAAAAAAATATAAAAAAAGAAAAACCAAATTAAGCAGTAGTGGTTTGAATAGGACTTTCAGTATCATCAGCAGTAGAAGAAGTAGTAGCAGAGGTAGCAGAAGTAGTAGCAGCAGCAGCAGCAGTAGAAGCAGAGCTGATGACTACAGAAGAAGGAGCAGATGAAGTAGAAGGAGCAGGAGTACCACCAGCCAAAGGTAAACGAGCACGAATACGATCCTTCAATTCAGTCCACATCAAAGCACGTTCCTTATTCACACCACCCATGACAGAAGAATTTTCTTGAGCACGACGTAACAAATAAGGAATAACTTCATCAATCATACCATAGGGAAGGTACTTATAAATAGAGTAACCATTTTTACCAAGACTGTAAGAGATTTGATCCTGCATTCCAAATAATTGACCAAAATGAACAACACCTGACCTTGGTAACACACCTTGTTTATCCATTTCTTCCACTGTTTGCACCACTGAATCACGATTATGAGTAGCCACCATAAAGACAATAGGAGCTGTAGTAGAAGATAATGGTTCTCCAGTAGTCATTTGATGATGATGTAATCTACCTAACAAGAATTTTACACCTCCATTGAAAGAATCATGGGTATCTTCCAAAGTGTCATGAATAGGTGAAGGATATCCAAGTTGCATAGCACGCTATCAATTTAAAAAAAAAATAGTCAATTATCTATCTGTCATAGAGTCTTCACCAATCATTTCAATTCCGAGGAAATTCCTAATAAAAAAAACTCCTTCGTCCTACCCCACTTTTTTTTTTTTTTTTTTTTTTTTTTTTACCTTTCTTTCTGAAACCATATAAGCACCACGCACCAATTTAGCAGCAAAAGCAAAATTTTCACGTCTAGCCAATTCAACATCTCTTTCCAATTTAGCACGAGCTGCTTTTGTATACATTTGATCTAAAATAATAATAATAATAATAATAATAATAATAATAATAATAATAATAATAATAATAATAATAATAAAAAAAGGAGTTTAGAATTCATTCATTTTCTTTTTTTTTATATATAAAACTTACAAGTATTATAAACAGTGGGAGTATGATCTTGATCATCACGACGATTATATTTAGCTTGAAGATTCATAGCGACATGATCAATAGCTTCTTGGAAATAAGATTGTTCAGCATCAACCATAATACCAACACGATAACGATGAGCTAAAGAGCAAACTTGGTCCAAACGATTCACCATACGATCATAAGCATTCAATTCATCCAAAGTCAATAAAGTATCAGATTCTTGAGTTTGAGGATCGGTTGCCCACCAGATATCACGAGAAGGACCTTGTAAATTGAAGAGTTGAGAGAAAGTGATACTATCAATATTGGGATGTTGTTGATGCATATATTCAATCATAGCATCCCGTTGTTGTTGTTGATGATCGGAATGAGCAGGTGGTAAGACTTGAGAGACAACATCCTTGAGAGCAGCTGTACCTACCATACCATCGACTTGATGAGCTTGAAAGATATGTTCCATTCTTGTGATGACATGATTCAACCGTAATAAAAGTTCAGGAGGAGCGAAAGCAGTGACTTTGATAGCAGCAAAAGCACCACCAGCACCACCATTACTATTTGCCGCCGCCACAGCCGCATCTTCATCTTCATCAAACAGAGCACGATTGGAACCACGAGCAGCTGTCCTGACACAATGTTCCGTCATTGTGACAATCACATCGGCCGATTGTTCTTGTCGCCACCATTTGCCAAGAGGTTGAGAGAGTTCATCATACATTTGAGGTACATCCGCTTGTTCCAAATGTAAATCTGCTTCCACAGATAAGTCCAAGATACAACGAATCCCCGATTGGGCCAACTTGTCCATACTTTTCACACATTCTTCCGGTGTTTCACCTCCGCAGAATTGACGGAAAAAGGTTTCCTTGACAAAACCATACACCAAACTTTCCAGATGTAACTTTTCAGCCAAATGAATCACATGGGGTGCCATATCCACAATCCATGGAAAGGTACATAACTTGTAGACAAACAATCCAATCAATAATTCTTCGGTAGATCTTACATCCAATGCCGTACGATTTTCATCATCCAATAAATCATGAATGGTCCCCATAGCTGTAGGTTGACTAAAAGCAGAAATACTAGGAGACGCTTCAGCTTGCACGGATGGATAAAAAAGAGATCCAACTGTAATCAAAGTAGTAGCAGCAGCAATACTGGTCATCATCTTACGTCCTTGAACAAAGCCTGATGATGATTTCGGTTGACTTGCACCATGAAAAAAAGCACGTTGAGGATGAAAAAGACGACGACTAACAGTAGGATAATTAAAACTTGTAATGGGAGAAAAACGAATGGTACGTGATAAATAAGGTCGATACATACCAATCATGCAATATGGAATAAACTAGATAACTACAATTGATATATAAAAAACTGTTGTATATATTTGAATATATAATAAAAAAAAAATAAAAATAATAATAATAATAAAAAAAAAAAAGAGAAAAAAAAGAAAAAAAAAAATGAAAAGAAAAGGATGGAAAGATCAGAAATCGGGGGGTTTAATATTTTTTTTTTTCACTTTTTTTTCTTTGCAGTTGTTGGTTGGTGGCACTGAGTACCAAAAAAGTGACGGGGAACCACTTTTTTTTTTTTTTTTTCCTCCCAACCTAAAAAAAAAAAAAAGGGACGATCTCCACTTAGACTAAATTTTTTTTTCTTTTTTTTCTTTTTTTTAATTGAAAAATTATTCTTTCTTTTTTTTTATTTTTATGAAGAAGTATAATGAATATATATGTGAATAAAATGAAGAATAAAAATAACTTCTATATATAGAATAGTAACTTTCTTTGAAAACATCTACATAATAATAATAATAATAAAAAGAAAGACAATGGAAAAAGTGAACAAGAGGACAAAATAGAAGAAAAAGGAAAATTGAGGGTGGTAAGGGAGTGACAAATATGGGAATTTTTTTTCTTTTTCCCACAATGAAACCAATCATATTTCAAGGATTTCAAACAAGGCAAGGTAAGGTTTACTTTTTTTTTTTTTTTTGACAGCGCAGTCTCGCATGCTTGGAAAAGATGAACCTTATCTTTCTGGATAATCGGAGAATCAAAAAAACATGGTGATACGAAAATATCAAAATATCAAGGTTTAAGGAAACACGTTGCACATACACACACACATATACATTCTCAATCATTTAACTGAACTCCTTCATTTTAAAAAGATCTCCCTATATAAATAAAAAAAAATTGATTACTTTATTTATATACAAATATATATATTATATATATTTCATATTTAGAACAAAAAAAAAAAAGTCAGTCTAATGGATAATTTTTTTTTCTTCTTCTTCAAATTTGCATGAAATAAGGAAAAAAAAGTGGCTTTTTGTTTTTTTTTTTTTTAAAAAATTGAAAAGATAAGAATTTTATCTTGCCCATGAAAGTGATTGATGAATATGTAACGTTTCTAAATAAGCCTGATCAGCCATTTCTTGCATATAAGAAGATTTGATGATTTGACGTTGATGAGCTAATGCTTCTAACTTTGTCTTGATGGGTTTCTTTTGATTTTTCATCATTTCTTGTAATGTTGTTGTTTGCCATTGAGATGTTGTTTCTAATAATTTTACTTCATCCAATTGATAAATAGTTTCTTGTTTGATTGTATGATTTTCTAGTTCAAATCAATATATTTAAACTCTTTTTTTTTTCTGCGTTCTCCATTTTTTTTTTTTTACCATTTCTTTTCCATAGGTTACTTTGTTCTTTTCCTGCAGGGTCCTTTGATTTGCTATAAAAAAAAAAAAAAAAGTCGCATAAATAATCATCCTTTCTCCGATTTCCCGAATCTTCTTGCCATAACGCAGAATGTCACGTTTTCTTCTACATATTTTTTTTTTACCGTTGATATGATGATTTTGTCTTTTTAGAATGACGTTGATGCTGGAACGGTGATGATGATTTTAGAAAAAACTCTTTCCAGTCATATAATGAAAATGGTAATGATAACCTCATTTTTGTGTATTTGATGATTACCAGTAAATAACAAGATTTGAATAATAAGAAAAAAATAGTGAGAAAAAAAAAAAACTAAAAAGAAAGAGAAAAGAAAAAAAAAACATAGGTTTTCTCTTTTATCTTTTTTTTTTTTTTGTGTTGTTGTACGTGGGTATTAGAAATGAACAGGATCATCCGGAATGCCTTTTCCGGTCTTGGCTTTGTTATTACATCACTTTATTTTTTTTAAAGTTTTCCATTCCTTTCCTTCTCTTTTTTTTTTTCTCTTCTGTCTTCACTTGATTTTAGTATGGATGATACTTTTCTTTCTATCGTATTTATAAAATTTGTTTACTCCCAAACTAGTTTTACTTCATTAAACGAATCATCAGTAGTTTAGGATGGGTATGCTACACTCTTTCTTTGCATAGTTAGTGATACTTTGGTGTAACCCGCATGATCGAAGCATTTTTTCTGTATAGATCATCTACAAGTCAAATCATTTGTAATCATCTTATATAGTGAATAAAATAGAATCAAAAAAAATATAATGAGGATAGTAATATTGATCAATGACACCCAATTTGATCATTTGGTAACACTCTTTTGTCATCATCATCTTAAATAACCATCAAGTAAAAAAATCACACATCTATTTTTTTCCTTCTTTATGAATTATTTCCATTGTAGTGTCCTATAATAATTATTTTTTTCCTTTATCCGTTCTAGTCAGTAGTATATACTAAGTGAAACTCATCATTCATTTAAAAAAAAAAGATACCCGCATTTCAATCTTTTTTTTTTTTTTTAACAATTCCGCCTCAAATATCAAAAAAGTTACCAGCATTCGTCTTGAAAAAAAAAAAGTCAGCCTTTTTTTCATTTGTCATTCATTAATGATGGGGCCTTTTCAAAAGATTGAAACTTTGATTCTCACATCATATCATTGATTTGTCCATTCAAAATGTGTATCTAGATAGAATATATAGTAAATGATCACATTTGAAAATCATTCTCCTTTCCTTATCATAACGTTCATGATACTGTATTCACCATCCATCAGTGAAACATCCTTTCATCATTCACATCCAGTCATTTTTTTTTTCATAACTTGAAAGGTCTAGAGTAAAGATTACACAAGTGTTCCTATTTTATTGATGAAATGATTATTCAAAATTACTTATTAGGCAATTCAAAAAATCCAATGGTTGTCGTTATTGGATAGTGATGAAAATATCGACAACCTCCTGTAAAATAAAATGAAAACATGAATATATAAAAAAAGGATGACTGTACCGTAATCTATATTATCTGCATATGATACTTCATAAATCCATCAGCGTAGAATACTGTAGTTCTTAATGTGATAAAAAGATAATCTCCCTTTTTGTAGATTGTCGTTAAATATTCCTGTTGAAAAAAAAAATAAAAGAAAAAACTCAATATAGCCTACATTCATATTAGAAACATAAGAATATAGATCAGTGGTGATTTTCGTACAGAAAAAAAGGCTGAAAGGCTACATTCCCATTTTTTTTTCCCCCTTGCATAGATAACTCTAAACTAGACTAAATCGTAACACTTTTTATTTACAGATATTTTTTAAGGGAGGAAAACAACAACAATACTAATAAAAAAACAGCAACAACTAACTACTATTGGTTCTTGTTTGTAATGCTTGTTGAGGTTTGTTTTGTTCTTGCTGGTTTTGGTGTTCCTTTTGTTGAGATGAGCCAAATATGTTGCAGCTATCCCTAACAGCGTCATCCAATGATCGTACTTTATTAAACTAAAATCTGCACACCATCTAGTCGAATTCAGTGCCGTCTTTGCTTCAAACATCGATATTGTCGTCATTGCTTTGCATTTTGATTAGTTGGATCGAAAAGGTAAATGTTGTGTTAGAGCCAAAAGCCGTAATTCAGACAGTTGTTCCACCGAATTGGACAGCTGGAGTGTGTTAGATTTGAACCGGTAGCATAGTTCAAAAAAAAAAAAAAGGGTGTTGTCTTCCATTTCAGAGAGATAATGTCCACCAAATATTTTCGGAAATGCCAAAAAATCACTGTATGGATCTGTTGTCACAGCCAACGGGGTTTCACCTTCCACAGGAGCCATTCGAATACCATGATCTTGAGTGACTAATAACATTTCTTCCAGTCCACCAGCTATATCCAAATAATCATCATCACCACCATCGTTTCCATCGTCATTGTTGTCATCAATTTCCATAGGCTGTTCGTCCAAGCCATGATTGTCACTATCATCGCCATTGTTGTCATTGTTGTCGACGTTATCAATTCCCATTCCCTGTTGGCCCAAATCGAGATCGCCACCATCATTGTCATTGCTGTCGTTGTCATCAGTTTCCGTTCGCTGTTGGATCAGGCCATGGTCGTTGAACCCAATATTAAACATTCGATATACAGGTTGCTGGCATAATATCCGTGCTGATGATTTCACTAGATCCACCCTAACATTGCCGTCCGCATAATTGTGACGATATCGTAATCTTCGAGTCAGTTGAATGTGCAGTATACCAGTGTCGTTCATTGGACGAGGGATAGAAGATACAACTCGGTTCACACGGGCAGGTACTATTGACGATGGCACCTCTTGATCTGTATTGTCCACCATAAACCTTCCATATAGTTTGAAAAACATGTCGAGCTACTACCAGTCGTTCTTCCAGCCTTGTTGTAAGTTGGCTAATCTCCGTTAGGATATCCATAAACTTCAATCCATTTGACAAACATAAATTGGGCACCCTTTTCTTCATTATATCGTGGTGACAGGTAGCACAGAACTTGCCTACTTCTTCACTACTATCATTGAAAACCTAGTGAGCGGAAATATCAGATTTATCATTAGTAATTAAAGAATAACGTATCACCACAAAACATATCTATTTTTCTGATTATTACCTTGTTGATGTTGTCAGCATCCATATTCTTGGTCATCAGAGTTATTTTTGTCATAGCCTTCATTGTATCTGGAAAGAAAAGTCCATCACAGCACGTGCACGAGTCCGTTGGTCCCTTTTTGATGGCTTTATTGTAATCATCAATAACCGCTTGCCACTAGAAGAGAGAAAAAATAAAAAAAAAAAATAATAATGAAAGAAGTTAGTGCATTCGCTCCATTTTACGAGAAACACATATTAATTTTTTTTTCTAAAAAAAAAATACTTACGTTTTCATCTGAATGACAAACCATTAGCAACTGTTGAATATGTCTATTGGTCAGTAAGGCAACCAGAACTGTATTCGTCGTGAACCAATCTATTATCAAGTGGGTGGAAAGGAATGTCGGTTGAAGATGACCCAGTAGTGTTTTCGTCGTGATTGAGTATACCGGGAGGAGATTGATGTACATTCCAAGTGTTCCTTTCATTAACGAACATGTATTGTTGTGGGCGAGCTGCATTTGAAGATGTTTGAGAATTGCCTTCACGAATGAAAATATATTCACCAGATCTTCTTCCTTCATTAATGAAAGAGTATTGTCGAGATCCTTGTCACCATGAGCCAGAATCAATTTGACGGAAGTCCATAACAGTAACAATAAATTTAGAGGAAAAAAAAAAAAAAGAAGAAAAAGAAGAAAGAAAGAAAGAAAAAAATAAAAAATAAATAAAAAAAAAACAGTAACAATAATTTTTTTAAAAAAATAGAGGTCTATTTATGCATTGGTGAATGAAACCTTCTTCCATCCACTACTGGATATAGATAAGTGAATCAGGAAAATTGGATGAGAGAGGTATCAACACTTGGAAATATTTGTAAAAATTAAGAAACGAATATAAAGGAGACGAAAATATCATCGGAATATTAGGTAAGTATTAGCTTGTACTATTTGAAAGTGATATCAATGAACAGATACCAATACTTTACTTTTTTTTTTTTTTTTGTAGTGCTCAATACATTGAAGCTGGATAAAGACTTAGGAATGATGGTATACAGACAATTCTTTAAGCAAGATAGTCGATCTGATACCAAAAATCAAGGACTCAATCATGGAAGGTTGCAATGATAAATGGAAACCAGACAAGCTACACATCACCAAGCATGACTCTATTCACATGAACCGACTACTTGGATAAGATCGTCGATAGTGTGAAACATGATCCATTGGACAACATTTATTCTCTTCCCATCTATGCCTCACGTTTGATCACCCCCATACTCATACAAAAGTTGCATGCATTGTTGAACACGAAAAATACTATCTCTGCAAGGATCTCTTCATGGATACGCTTTGAAGACTGTCTCAATGGAGAGACTATTTAGTTTATTTCCTTTAGATGATTTGATTCATTCCCCTATATCTTATGCAGTCAATAAACTCTTCCATTATTTATGTTATCCTATTTTTTTTTTTAAATCATGTCTTTGATCTTTTACTTGGAACATCTAGATTTTATGGCATGTCGTTGAGGACAAACTTTCCAAATGAGGCTTGATCAATTTTACAGTATTCCTTCAAAGTCCGTCTGAAAGACTTGTAGTCTGCCTTCCAGGTGTTCCTTTTTTTTTTTTTTTTTTTAGATATTTTCTTTTTTTGTTTCCCCTCTTTGCACGTTTATTTTCTTATTTTTTTTTTTATTCTTCTTTTATATAGATCTAGATGTTAGCAAAATCTTCTTCACAGAAGAGGTTACATCTAGGCCTAATTCTCTTCATCATCACTTTTTTACTTATCATCTTTTATATCCGTCATTCTTCATTTGATACATCTCAAACCTCTTTTAAAACTCATCCAAAAGATAATGCTCTCTCTTCTCAAGACCGTTTATCTTTTATCCTCAATAACGAAGAAGCCATTGCTTGTAATAATGCTGATATTACTTGGCTGTAAGTTTATGAATAAAGGAAAGCCATAATAATGTTATTCATCCATTTTTTTTTTTAAAAAAAATAATAGTGCTTCTGATAGACAGTTTTGGGATGGCTGGTCCACCAAAGCCATGTTTCTTCAACCAAATGGAAACTTTACTACCAATAATGTTTTAACAACTGAAGGAGTTGCTATTTGTATTGTTGTTCTTGTAAGTTGGATGGAGTACAAAAAGACAAAAAAGAACTCATATTATATATTTAGCTTGGACCAAGCCCTGCAACATCAGTGATTCGGGCTGAAAATCATTTAGGACCTGCAGATAGTATTGTGATTGAAGCGATTGGCAATACAACGGTGATTCCTATAGAATTACAACAACATCATCAACAACCTAATGCCTATTTTGCTTCGGTTTATTTTGCACAAGCAGATACTTATGTATTGAAAGGACGAATAGAATATCGATCTTACTTTTGGGAACAACCTATTTATCATTCTTATCGACCCATCACATTTACTTCTGTCAATAAGGCCATGGTGAAATCTTTATATAAATTGCATCAACCTGCTTGTAATGCTCGCAACCCTGATCATTGGCAAGGTGTATGGATGAATAAAACAACTTTTCAATCTGTCTATCCTTTGGATTTTTATGGTATGTTTGGTCCTGTACAAGAAGATCATGCTGAATTTGATCGTCTCTTTGTTCCTGACCATTGTCGAATGGAATATATCAGTTATGGTCAAGCATCTCAATGTTTACAAGAAAAGGTGATTCATGTATGGGCTGATGGTAATCTACGAAGGTAAATATGAGATAAATCATGAATAATAATGATATACTTAATTTTTTTTTTAAATATATAGAAATCTTAAAGCATTTGATTCAGCAAATCGATGGTGTAATGAAAATAAAACAGCAGAATGTATATGTAACGATGATAAAGAAGATCCAAATCATAAAATGTACCCGTGGGCAGTAGATCCAACTATTCCATTGGTGATCAATAAAACATGGCATGGAAATACAGAAATATATTACAATCAAGTGGACAGTATTACAACTATGGATTGGAAAAAGAAGATCAAATTCCAAACCAACAAATTATCATCCAAAGCTGATATTGTCATTCTAGGTTTTGGAAATCAAGATATTCCACTTACTGGTGTCTCACCTAAAGATTTTGGTCAAGTATTTTATGATCTATTACACTATGTGATGAATGATATATATCCTTATCAAACCATTATTGTTCGATCTCCTCAATATTACTGCTGTGGTACTCTTGGATCTACTTCTTGGAATAGTGGAAGAAGTGCTGCCTTTGCTAGGGTGGTTCGACAGATTGTGCAACAATTATCAGATGATCGTGTTTTATTATGGGATGTTTACAAACTTGGTATTGAAGAGAATACTTGTATCGAGGATGGATCAACTTATTCAAGAAAAAATGTTATCAATGTGGAAAATATATTACTATGGAACCTTCTTTGTCCTTCAAAATCAGTCTAGTTACCTTTCTTTTTTTTTATCGTTATTTACATTATACCATTTTATTACCATAATAAATAGTCTCTTTTTTTCGAAATCGAAGATTTGTCTGGATTAGATGGGAAGGTGTGATCGTAGAAACTTTTTTTTCGGAAAGAGTCAACCATCATCAATCATCTTTAGAAAGGAAAAAAAAACAACAACTTTTTATTATATAATATGATAATAGCAATGATATAGTAAACTACAAAATAAAAAACTAACACCAATATAGACAAAAAAAAAAAAAAGAAATTCATCAAAGCAGTATTTCCATGTATACAGTCTTGATAGTTGATGGTGGAGTTGATGATGCAAAACTATGTTGCTGGTTTCGGAGATGCAATCCTTAGAGTCATTGGATTTGTTGATCTTGATAGAGCCACATAGAGTTTCTCCTTGGGTGAACACTGGTTCTTGGAGTTGTACATAGACATGTTATAAAGATTGGCTTTAGCTTTTGTGGATGGTCATAGCAAAAGCAAGTTTGACAGGGAATTGCTTCCGTCGAAGAGAACAAATAAAAAACCCTTTAGAAGAAGTTGATGACATGGCAGACCATTCGCGTTCATCATTCAAAGAAATTCAATAAGGCTATGTGTCATTGTTGGATCCTTTCGCTGTCGCTAATTGTGTCGATGCTGAAGTATTCAGGTGAAATCATCAGGGTTGGTGATAATCGTATGGTTCATAATAAAAATGAAGAAAAGAAGAAAAGAATTATTTTCTTTTTAAATTTTCATTGGTAGCGGAGTGTATTTTCAGCCACCAGTGAATTTCTTTTCTTATTGAGATGATGACGCTTAAAACATTGAACTGTGCGTTGTTTGTATATCCAGCAATTTTTTTTTTCTTTTTCAGTTTTTTCATTTTTTTCTTTTCTTTACTTTATTTTTTTTTATTTATTTTTATTTTCATTTTATATATATATATATATTCTTCTTTTTATATATTTTATTCGATTAAGCAAGGCATTCTCATCTCTGCAATATTATAGATATATATCATGGCCGAGAACATTGCCAAAGCTAGTCAATATCAATATGCAGCAAATGCTAGTTTAGTTCTTCAAGCAGATCGAAGTGGATTACCTAGACGAGATCAAGAACCTACTGGTGAACCCGAAACATTATGGGGTAAAATAGATCCAAAATCTTTTGGTTCAAGGGCAGAACGAGAAGTACCAAAAGATATTGAAGAAAAGAAGAAAAAGGCAGCTAAACGATCCGAAGATGCAGCAGAAAAACAACGACGACGAAAGGAAGAACACGCATTCAACAAAGCTTATGGATATTCTTCAGTTATATCAGCAACAGAAGATTGGGAAGATTTGAATTATCGACCACGTACCAAGGAAACTCGTGAAGCTTATGAACATATTCTCTCTTTTGTTTATGACCATCTTGGTGATCAAGCTCGTGATGTTGTTCGTAGTGCTGCTGATGCCGTATTGGAAACTCTCAAGACTGACTCTCTCAAGGACTTTGACAAGAAACGTGAAATTGAATCCGTCATTGGTCCTATTGAATCTGATCGTTTTGCACAACTTGTCAATTTATCAAAGAAAATTACAGATTACTCGGCCGAAGGAGATGCTATGGATGTCGATGAACAAGGTGAAAAAGCGGGTGACATTGACGACGAACTTGGTGTAGCTGTTGTGTTTGATGAAGAGGAAGAAGAAGAAGAACAAGACGACCAATACGAAATCAAGGACGAAGACGAAGAGGATGAAGACGAAGAAGCTGGTGTTCCTATGGACGAAGAAGCTGAATATGAACAAGAAGGTGAAGAATCTCCTGATGAAGAAGAAGGGTTCAAAACTGTTTTACCTGGTGAATCTGAACGCAAAAAGAAGACCAAACTTGGAAAAACTCAATCCCCTGACTTTGTGGCTCCTCATGATATTGATGCTTTCTGGTTACAACGACATATTGCTACTTACTATTCAGATCCTCATGAAGCTCAAGAAAAGACAATCAAAGCATTTGATATTTTGGGCGCTGAAGCTATTGGTATCCGTGATTGTGAAAATGAATTGATGGGTCTTTTTGATTACGACAAATTTGACTTGGTACGTGTTTTGATCAAGAATCGAGATGCTATTTATTGGTGCACTCGATTAGCAAGAGTCACCGGTGATGATAAGGTTGCTGTGGAAAAGGAAATTCAACAAAAGAATCTTGGTTGGCTTTTACGTGATCTCAGTGGTGATCGTATACAAAAGGATGATATGGATATAGATCGCCAAAGAGGTAAGCTATCACTATATATATATAAGATAGGGATTTTGGTGATTAATTTTTTTTTTATTTTTATTTTTCTATTGTAGGAAAATCTGTTTCAAAAGATATGATGGATGTTGACAAAAATGCTGGTGTGGAAGGTAAATGATTAAAAAAAAAAAAAAGAAAAGAGATAAAAGGTTATTAAAAAAAAAAAACGAAAATAAATCTTATTTTGTTATAGGTCGTAGTCGAGGTCAAGTTCCTACAACAGCTACCATTACTCCTGGTACAACATTAACACCTAGACGTATTTTGGATTTGGATGATTTGGCATTTGAACAAGGTTCTCATCTCATGTCAAATAAAAAAGTGAAACTTCCTGATGGTTCTTTCAAACGATCCAAGAAAGGTTATGAAGAAATCCATGTACCAGCTCCCAAACCTCAAGCCTTTGCTAGTAACGAAAAATTGGTCACTATTCAATCCTTGCCTGAATGGACTCATGTTGCTTTCCCTGGTGCAAAAAGTTTGAATCGTGTTCAAAGTCGTTTATATCCTACTGCCTTTGGTAGTGATGAAAATGTACTCCTTTGTGCTCCTACTGGTGCTGGCAAGACCAATGTGGCAATGCTGACTATTCTTCACGAAATTGATCGAAACCGTGATCCTGCTACTGGTAACATTGATTTGGATGCTTTCAAGATTGTTTATATTGCTCCTATGAAAGCTCTTGTACAAGAAATGGTTGGTAACTTCTCAAGTCGTCTTCAAGTCTATGGTATCAAGGTGGCCGAACTGACGGGTGATCGACAATTAACGAAACAACAAATCGCAGAAACACAAATTATCGTCACTACTCCTGAAAAATGGGATGTCATTACACGCAAAGCAACTGATCGTAGCTACACAGCCTTGGTTCGTTTGATTATTATTGATGAAATCCATTTACTTCATGATGATCGTGGTCCGGTATTGGAAAGTATTGTTTCAAGAACCATTCGCAATATGGAACAAACTCAAGAATTGGTTCGTCTGGTGGGTCTCTCTGCTACTCTTCCAAACTATGCTGATGTGGCCGCATTTTTACGTGTGGATCCTAAATCTGGTCTTTTCCATTTCGACAGTACTTATCGTCCATGTCCATTGAAGCAACAATTTATTGGTGTGACTGAAAAGAAAGCCATCAAACGATTCCAAGTATCTAACGAGGTATGTTATGAAAAGGTGATTGAACAAATTGATCAACGTGAAGAAAACCAAGTCCTGGTATTTGTGCATTCTCGAAAAGAAACAGCCAAGACTGCAAAGACTTTACGGGACATGGCTTTAGATCAAGATACAATTGGACGCTTTTTGAAACAAGATTCTGCCAGTCGGGAAATTCTCCAATCCGAAGCTGCCACTGTCAAGGATAGTAATCTTCAAGAACTCTTGCCTTACGGTTTTGGTATCCATCATGCTGGTATGACTCGTGCTGATCGTACTCTGGTGGAAGAATTATTCAACGACGGTCATATTAAGGTGCTATGCTCTACTGCTACATTGGCTTGGGGTGTGAATTTACCTGCTCACGCTGTCATTATCAAGGGTACTCAAATTTATTCTCCTGAAAAGGGTCGTTGGGTTGAATTATCTCCTCAAGATGTGTTGCAAATGCTTGGTCGTGCTGGTCGTCCACAATATGATACATTTGGTGAAGGTATCATCATCACTGCCCATTCCGAACTTCAATACTACTTATCTCTTCTCAATACTCAATTGCCTATCGAATCTCAATTTGTCAAACGTCTTGCTGATAACATGAATGCTGAAATTGTTCTTGGTACCATCCGAAACCGTGATGAAGCTGTACAATGGCTTGGTTATACTTATCTCTATGTCCGTATGCTTCGTAATCCTGCTCTGTATGGTGTATCTGCTGATGATTTGGCGGATGATGCTTATTTGGAACAAAAACGTGTGGATCTTGCTCATTCGGCTGCCATTCTATTGGACAAATGTAATCTTATCAAGTATGACAAGAAATCCGGTCGCTTCCAAATCACTGAACTTGGTCGTATTGCTTCTCACTACTATGTCACTCATCATTCTATGGCCACTTACAATCAACATTTGAAACCTATGATGGGTCATATCGAACTCTTCCGAGTATTTGCCTTGTCTGATGAATTCAAGTATATTCCTGTGCGTGAAGAAGAAAAAATGGAATTGGCGAAATTATTGGAACGTGTACCTATTCCAGTCAAGGAAAGTCTGGACGAACCTACGGCAAAAATCAATGTGCTTTTACAATCTTATATTTCACAACTCAAATTGGAAGGATTCGCTTTGGTGTCTGATATGGTATACGTGACTCAAAGTGCTGGTCGTATTCTTCGTGCTATGTTTGAAATCTGTTTGAAACGGGGATGGGCTCAATTGACAAAGAAGGCTTTGGATCTTTGCAAGATGGTGGAAAAACGTTCATGGTTATCAATGTCTCCTTTACGACAATTCAAGGGTATGCCTCAAGATTTGATTCGACGTTTGGAACGCAAGGAATTCCCCTGGGATCGTTACTTTGATTTAAATCCTCAAGAATTGGGTGAATTGGCAGGACAACCAAAAGCTGGACGTATTCTTCACAAGTATATTCATCAATTCCCCAAACTGGACATTCAAGCTCATGTACAACCTATTACTCGATCTCTACTCAAGATGGAATTGACAATTACTCCTGATTTCCAATGGGATGAAAAAGTTCATGGCGCTGCCGAAGCATTCTGGATTCTTGTGGAAGATGTTGATGGCGAACATATATTGCATCATGAATACTTTGTTCTCAAGCAACGATATGCGGAAGAAGAACATATGGTATCCTTCACTGTTCCTCTTTACGAACCTTTACCTCCCAACTACTTTGTGACGGTGGTGGCAGATCGATGGCTCCATTCTGAAACCAAACTTCCTGTCTCGTTCAAGCATTTGATCCTTCCTGAAAAGTATGCTCCTCATACTGAACTTCATGATTTACAACCTCTTCCTGTGTCTGCTTTGCGTAACAAACAATACGAACAAATTTATTCTGGATGGATGGATCACTTCAACCCTATTCAAACACAAACATTCAACACTTTATACACAACGGATGACAATACCTTTGTTGGTGCTCCTACTGGTAGTGGTAAGACGGTATGTGCTGAATTTGCCATTTTACGATTATGGTCTCAGAACAACAATGGAAAATGTATATTTGTGTCTCCCTTCCAAGAATTAGTGGATGAACGTGTTTTGGACTGGCAAAAGAAATTCCAAGGACTTGACAAGATGGTGGTTGCATTGACGGGTGAAACAAGTGCTGATCTCAAGTTATTAGAACAAGGTGATATCGTTGTATGTACTCCAACACAATGGGATGTGATTTCACGACGATGGAAACAACGCAAGAATGTACAAAATGTGGATCTTTTCATTACAGACGAATTACATTTGATTGGTGGCGATCTTGGTCCTACTTATGAAGTGATTGTATCTCGTATGCGATATATTGCCTCTCAAACCCAAAAGCCTATCCGTGTGATTGCTCTTAGCACATCTTTGGCGAACGCTCGTGATCTTGGTGAATGGATTGGTACGACATCTCATTCTATCTTCAACTTCCATCCATCTGTGCGACCTGTACCACTGGAAATCCATATTCAAAGTTACAATGTGCCTCATTTTGCTTCGTTGATGATGGCGATGGCGAAGCCTACTTACCTAGCTATTGCTGAACATTCTGGAAACAAACCTGTGATTGTATTTGTACCTTCAAGAAAACAATGCCGACTGACTGCAGAAGACATCATCACTTATTGTGTGGCGGATGACACACCACATCGATTCTTACATTGTGCTGTTGAAGAAATTCAAGATATACTTGGTCGTGTACAAAACAAGGCGTTGGAAGAGACTTTACGACATGGTATTGGGTTCTATCATGAAGCTCTCTCAAAACAGGACAAGCGTATTGTGGCACAACTCTATGAATCTGGTGCTATTCAAGTAGTGATTGCTTCTCGTGATACTTGTTGGGGTTTACCGCTACATTCTCATATGGTGATCGTGATGGGTACGCAATACTTTGAAGGCAAGGAACATCGCTATGCCGACTACCCAATTACAGATGTGCTACAAATGATTGGACGAGCTTGTCGACCATTGGAGGATGATACTGGCAAATGTGTTTTGATGTGTCAAGGTACCAAGAAGGAATTCTACAAAAAATTCTTGTATGAAGCTTTACCAGTAGAATCTCATTTGGATCAACTGTTACACGACCACTTTAATGCTGAAATTGTTACCAAGACGATTGAAAATAAGCAAGATGCTGTGGATTACTTGACATGGACATTCTTATACCGACGTATGGCACACAACCCTAACTATTATGGATTACAAGGAACAACTCATCGACATTTATCTGATCATCTGTCTGAACTGGTTGAAAACACACTCAATGATCTCCAAGACACAAAATGTATTACGATTGAAGATGAAATGGATATCCATCCTCTCAATTTGGGTATGATTGCCGCTTATTACAACATCAACTACACCACTGTGGACATGTTCAGTGTAAGTTTGAAACCAACCACGAAATTGAAGGGACTTTTGGAAATTGTGGCATCTGCTACTGAATTCGATACTCTTCCCATCCGACATCACGAAGATGGTATTCTCAAACGAATGTACGAACGCTTACCTGTGAAATTGGGATCACCTAAATTCAATACACCACGTATCAAGACCAATATTTTATTACAAGCTCACTTTTCAAGAATGCAATTACCTCCCGACTTACATTCTGATCAAACGATGGTTGTTGGTCGAGTGATTCCTTTGTTACAAGCATGTGTTGATGTGATTTCATCGAATGGATGGTTATCACCTGCCCTGGCAGCCATGGAATTATCACAAATGTCCGTCCAAGCTATGTGGGATCGTGATTCACCATTGAAACAAGTACCTTACTTTACCTCAGAAGTGATCAAACGATGTGAAGCCAAGGGAGTGGAATCTATTTTTGATATTATGGAAATGGAAGATGAAGATCGAAATGAAGCTCTACAAATGGATCAACGTCAATTGGCCGAAGTGGCAAGATTTGTGAATCGATATCCTAATATTGAAGTTGGATTTGAGGTGATGGATGAAGATGACATCACATCAGGTAATGTGGTGAATGTCAAAGTACAACTGGAACGTGAATGGGATGAAGATGAAGCACTTGGACCTGTTTTGGCACCTTTCTATCCAAAGAAGAAGGATGAAGGTTGGTGGATTGTACTTGGTGATACAGATAAAACATTATTGGCTATTAAACGTGTGACATTACAACAAAAATTAACTGTCAAATTGGACTTTGTGGCTCCCAAGGCTGGTCAACATACTCTCAAATTATATTTGATGGCTGATAGTTATAATGGATGTGATCAAGAATTAGATATGAATCTTAAAGTAGCTGAAGGGGAATCTAGTGATGAAGAAGAAGACATGGATACAGATGAAGAAGATTAAATATTTTTTGTTTTTTAGTTCAGTTTTAGTTTTATTTTTTTGTTAGTATTTCTTTTTTTTTTTTTCTTCTTTGTTATAATAATAATAAAAAAAAAAGTATCTTTTTATTCCAATATAGATGATGGGTGGGAAAAATATCTAAAAAGAGTAAACTTTGGTAATGTATCTTGTGTCAGGTGAGAAAAAAAAGAAAAAGATAAAAATATGCTGGGAAAACTTTATCTTTGATAATACCAAGATTAAGACGGAGTAAGATCTACTATCTATCATTTTTTGTCAAGAATCCCGGAGTTTATTACGTACTAAAATTTTTTTTTCCCATTTCTTTTTTTCTTTCTTTCTTCTTCCTTTCTTTGTTTTTTTTCATTTTATTTATTTATTTATTTATTCTAATACTCTCCCTTTTATAAACGGGGAGATACATAAATTATTATTATGAACGAAAAAATAGAACTTGCTGAGCATCATGAAATCACAGTGGATCATAGTAGTTCCTCTCAACAACAACAAGAAAAAATCCAAGTATTTGAACGATCATCTGATTATGCTTCCTATACATCTGAAGAACGACGAAGTCTTCAACAAGGTACCAAACGTGGATTATCAGCAAGACATATTCAAATGATTTCTCTTGGTGGTTCCATCGGGTAAAAAATCAATAACGTCATTAGTAGTTTTTTTTTTTTTTTTATAGCTGAGCCTTTTTTTTTTTTTTTTTTTTTAGTACTGGTTTATTCTTAAACTCGGGTCAAAACATTGCAGTGGCTGGTCCAGCAGGTGCTTTAATAGCATATCTTGTTATTGGCTTTATGGTGTTTTGTTTTATGGTCTGTATGGGTGAAATGGCTACTTTTTTACCCGTAAGTTCATTTAAATCATTCATCAATCAATCAATGAATGTTTACCTTTTTTTTTTTTTTTTTTTTGTTTAGGTATCTGGTTCTTTCAATCATTATGCTACAAGATTTGTTGATCCTGCGTTTGGGTTTGCTTTAGGTTGGAATTATTGGTAAAGACAATTAAAAAAAAAAAAAAAATAAATAAAACTGGTATTCACTCTCCGTCCATATGATGTGTTTCTATAGGTTCTCTGTAAGTTAAATGGAAAGTTGCGGAAATCATCATTGGTTTGGACTGATTATCTTTTTTTTTTTTTCATTCTCCTATTTGATCTTTGATAATAATAGTGGGTAAAGTAGTCTTGAACAAGAAGAAAAAAAAAATAAAATAAATCAATTCTATATTTACTAATATTATATTTGGTCTTTTTTTTTTATAGAGTGTAACTATTGCTACAGGTAAATCATCAAAACATATATAAAAAGAAGAGGAAACTAATGATATGATAATATATAGAACTTTCTGCTGCTGCTACTATCATCAATTGGTGGAAACCTGTCATGCCTGATGCGGCTTGGTCTGTGATTTTTTTAGTTATCATTATTGCCATCAATTTGGTGGGTGTTCGACTTTATGGTGAAATGGAGTATTGGATGTGTATGATCAAAATCCTAATTGTATTAGTATTTATCATCATTGCTATTTTGGTTACTTCTGGCGCTGTTGGGGATCATCAAGTGATTGGTTTCAAGTATTGGTCTGATCCTGGTGCTTTTGTGGGTGGAGCTGTTGGTACTGTATCTGTACTTTTATCAGCTGGTTTTTCATTCCAAGGAACTGAAATTGGTAAATAGGGACGTGGGAGAAGAGTGTGAGAAAAAAAAAAAGAAGATTGATTTTTATTTTTATTTTTTTTTTTTATAGTTGGTATTACTGCTGGTGAAGCGAAAAATCCTACCAAGACAGTACCTCGTGCTATTCGAAATGTATTTTGGCGTATTATTGTATTTTATATCATTACCATCTTCTTGATTGGTTTATGTATTCCTGCTACTGATCCTAATCTTTCCAATGAAACTGGGGATGCTGCTACTGCTTCATTTACTTTGGTATTTAAACTTGCTGGTATCAATGCTGGGGCTGATGTGATTAATGCCATTATTCTCACAAGTAAGTAATTGAACTTCCGCGTGTGAACTACTTATTCAATTTTTTTTTTGTTTTTGTTAGGTGTCTTGTCAGCCGCCAATTCGGATCTTTATACCTGTTCTCGTACTTTACTGGGTTTAGCTAGAGATGGAAATGCACCTATGATTTTAGCTAAAACCAACAAATATGGTTCTCCTTATTGGGCCGTGATTGTATCTTCTATTCTTGGTTTTTCTTGTGTGTTTGTCTCCATCTATTCTGCAAGTGTTGGTTTTGCTTGGTTCTTATCCATCACTGCAGTAACTGGTTTCATTAGTTGGTGGGGTATTGCTGTTATCCATCTTCGCTTCCGTCGTGCTTATGTCAAACAAGGTCGAAGTGTAGCTGATTTACCCTATAAAGCTATCTGGTATCCTTTTACTCCTCTTTTTGCTGCTATCCTTTGTTTTTTGATTGTTTTCGGTCAAGGTTATACCGCTTTCACTCCTACATTCTCGGTGGAAAAATTCTTCTCTAATTATATAGGCATCTTACCCTTCTGTCTGTGTTACATCATTTACAAGATCGTGAGACGTTCCAAGGTGGTACCTTTGGATGAATGTGATTTTGATACTGGTCGCGTGACTCGAATGGAAATTGAAGTGGAAGATGACGAAGAAAAGAATTTACCTTGGTACAAGAAGGCATTAAATATTATTTCTTGATTGTAGTATAGTTATTATTAGTTTAGAGGTTTTTTTTTGTATTTGACCTTTTTGTATTTTATCTGAAATAAAGCAATGTAATTCTATGACTGACTTTGAACTGACATTATTTCATGTGATGGTGAAAAAAAAGAGATCTCTTTTCTCTTCTCTATTCTTTTTTTTTTATTCTATCTTTGATGTATACCTGTCTGACTTGACATTGCTTAGTAGAAAATATTAAAGATTATTTCGATTGTCAACAGTCAGACGAAGCCATTTATCTCTCGGATTCTATCGAGTCGTCAACTAGACAAGCTGTAAAGTAAGAAAGAACGTGGAAATAGAAAAAGCTCTAAATAACATTTAAAAATAAATGATATCGCGTATTTATTAGAATGAACTACCAACCATATACACAGAAAATCAGCAAAAGAAGATGACATTTGAAGAGACAAGTGGCTGTACGACTTTTGAAAAACAGAACAGCAACTAATGACTAAATACTAATAGCTTTATTCATTTAATAGTAGCTTGTGACAACAGCAACAACAAGTGATGATCCAGACATCGAAGAAGATATGCGCATGCAAGGTATTTTACAACGCTGAAGAGATGAGACAAACAATAAACGATGTAATCAACCGTTTAGAACCAGGCAAATCAAAATATAATCCTCTACTTGTGTATTTTTATATATATTGATTGTTAACTTTTTGTTTGTTTTCTCTATAGAACACCCAGCTGGTTCCATATAATTATATATTTGTTATGATACAAGATACACTTCTCTCATTGGATTCTTTACAACTGTACATCAAATCACTGTACGAAATGGCCAATATGCATTACGATCGCTATTACTGAACCCTCAATTAATATGAAAACGAAATTCCAGGCATCTGTTGCAATTCCTTTTGCTTCAATCCCTTCAAATACCTTATCTCTCTCTCTCTCTTCCGTTTGTTATTTGCCACCCAAGATATCGAACAACTAGCAAGAATAAATGGAACACCTATGTAAAAAAAAAGAAGCCGACAAGCAACGACAAAGCAAGGGCCATCGTTGTTCTTTCCTTTCTATTTTCGATATTCATTTTTTATTGTTGTGCTATAGACCAATGATGACTTTGTCATTCTCCTAATCTTTTTTTTTTTTCCACAAGATACCCATCATAGTCCAATGCATGTATGAATTGAACAAGCGTCAATAATTGTGTCGAATTGTTTATTGTGTAGCCTTAGTTTATCATCTTTTTCAATAAAGACATATTTTATCATTATTACTATAATCATGATTAGCAATAGTCTCAATCATCGTTGATCATCATTATATCAAGGAAAAGAAACGTTCATATATCTATCAAATACTGTATCACAGAAAGAAAAAAAAAACAGAGGTTAATGACTTATCAATCAATACCCTTTAATATCTAATAAAAATGATAGTATGATGATAATCGAAGTATTTCTTTTTTTTTTTATTGTTGATCATCTAACAGGCATTTAGCAATTTTTTTTTTTTTTTACCTTTGTTTTTCTGCCTTAAAAGTCATTTCTTATTTTGACTCAGAAATTCAACTTTTTCTCTTTCTTCAGTCATCATCTTGATGAAATAACATTTGAACTGAGAACGGTCTTTTTTTTTTCCTTTAATAAACCAACCATCATGATGAATAATAATAATAAACTATCGTCGAATTGAATCCATCATCAAGCATTCCATTCAAATGCATGACGACATCCAATGTTTGGTACCTGATTTTTCTTCTTCTTCTTTAAATTGAAATGCCGCCTCTTTTTTGTTGTTCTATTTCATTCCTTGTGTGGCGTTCAAATATAATATATGCTATTCAAACGATGATTAAAATAATGAAATAACTTTAAAGTAAGAAACAAAAATGAACAATGTAATCTTTTTCATATATTTATTATAACATTTCAATGACGTTTCATGTTTCTTTTTTTTATAAAGAATACGAAAAAGAGAGTATCGATGCATCTACAAACAAATTCCGAAAACTGTACCAATGATGAGTTCCCTGATCCCCCGTATCAAAAAAGGGAAAATTCAAAGACAGGCCAACATTCAATATTCAAACAGCGGTACTTCTCTTTCTCTCATATTTTTTTTTTCTTCCTTTTTTCCTTCTTTTCTATCTGTTCCCGTTGACGACCCTTTTCTACTCTTTTTTTTTTTATTATTATTTTGTTCTATTCCTTATACCCCCCTTTCTATTTGACTCTATCTCCCTTCTTTCCTCTCCCCCCTTCTTTCTCCTCTTTCTCTCCACCTTGTTTTATTTGAAATGGCTAATAAGAAACAAGCATTCTCAGTACGTCTAAATCGTGAAGCATATAATATGATAATGCGACAACCACAGTCTATGCGGATAGAAATGGGTGATACTTCTTCGGTATGAACATTTGTACAAAAAAACTATTTCTTTGTCTAATATAGATATATATATATATTTTTCATGTTGAAAAAAAAAATAGATTATGTTTATAGGTGACCGTCCATTTGATTTGAATCTTCGAAGAGAATTGTCTACTGTACAACTATATGAAAAGGACCAACTTACTAGACAGGAAGACGATAATCGAATACGATATGTAGGTGATATTACTCATGTAGGTCATATGAAACAAGTATTATCCGAAGAAGACAAGAAACGTATACGAAGTCGCACTGAACAAATTGAAAAGGAAAAGAATGCAAGAAGGATCGAACTTTTGGAGGTACCAAGTATTCCTACTCCATCTAAACTATACAATTCTCCTTCAAACCATACTAAACGACATAACAACAATTTACTTTCACCCTCCTCAAAGCCACATACTTCTACTTCTCCTGCAACCGCCACAACTCCAAATACAACAAGTGTGGGACGTTTGGAAGGTGCAGCCTTAGCAAACCTTCGGGAAAGATTGATTCATTTATTGGCTTTGGACCCTCGACCTACTGATCAGCTGATACAAATGCTCAAGGTAGCACCTGTGGATTTATTACCATTACTGAAAATAGTAAGTTAAAATGTTATGAAAAAATATATATATATATTTAATGTTCTTCATTTTAAATAAAAAAAAATAGGTGGCGGTTCATACAAACTCCAATTGGTGCTTACGACCTGAACTATTTAAGGAAATCCGAATCTGGGAATGGTCTCGCTATGACGACAAGGAACGGGCAACGGTACGCAAAAAGGCTGAAGATGCTTACAATTTCTTAGGACTTCCACGTAATGCTCCTGAACGATCCAATTTGATTCAACGCAAACCACATCGAGTATCTCCCAAATTGATTCCTCCACCATCACAACATAATAGCAATACTACCCCTACCAAAAATGGTTCACATACACCTAATATCGATCATTCTATCAATACTACACCTACCAATACTAATATACATCATCAAAACAATACTCATAAATCTGGTCGATTAGAAATGGATGATCACAACCCCAAATTATCCAAGAAAAAAACATCAGAAAAACAGACAAAATCCAAATCATCATCTTCGGAACCAGCAACAACCAAATCTTCCTCACCGAAAACAAAAACATCTCATGAAATCAAGAAACCAAAAATACCAAAAGGTATACTTATAAAAAATGAAAAAGATAAAAATATATTAACTATTATTTATTTATTAAAGTACAACGATCCAATAATGACCAAGAATTAAGTACAGATATAGAAGAGGATGATGATGACGATAAGCATAGATTACAACCAACCAAACGGAAACTCAGTGAGGAGGATGGTACCAGCATCAAGAAACAAAAATACGTGGCGCCCACCATACACACACAGCAGGACTTTGATATGTTATGCAAGGAACACCAGGATACACAACAAGATTATATTCGATTCAAGAGGACCTTTGTACAGAATCATCCACTTTACATCCAAGCGTTGATGGCAGTCAATGAACAAGACAAGGAATTGTTTGCGCGAAAACTCAAAGCTTATTACAAGTCCAAAGGTGGAGATATGAATAAGTGGCGATTACTGATGCAACTTTCCAGGCAATTCAATGGCACTCATACAAAAATCAATATCATGTGGGATACCATAGAAAAGGCTTATCGACAACACAAATTCTCACTTCGTTTGAATCAACATAATCGAAAATCATCATCGTCATCTTCTTCTTCTTCTTCTTCATCCACTTCACCACCCAAATCGGCATCTACTATATCAACATATCGCAAACGAACTTCACGTTAGATAGATTATACTTTTTTTTTTTTTTTTTGGCTATCTAGTGACTTTTGTGTATTTATTCAATGGGTGCAAAAATTTAATATCATTTACTTCTTTTTCCTTTTTTACAGCCTATTTTTGATTCAATAATAAATAAAAAAAAAAGCTCTGTATCATGTCATTCTTCCTATATGCTTTATTCTAGTTTTTTTTTTTTTTTTTATTATTAGATGAGTAGGTTCTGTTCACAAGTGAAATGCTTCTGATTTGTCGAATCTTCTGGACTTTTTTTTTTTTTTACAGCTGCTCTTTTTTTTTTTTCTCTCTGCCCTATGGTGTAATAAAATATTATTCACAGTCTTCATATAGACTTGGTGCAATGATGATCATCTCTGAACGAAAGCATATAAAGAGATTATTATCTATTCCATAAATTTTTTGATGGGCGGTGATTGAAAATAGACAAGATGCTGGTCTTTCATTTGACCAAAGGTACCCATCAAAAAAAAAAAAAAAAATCTGTTTGAATTTCTCTCTCTTTCTCTCCTTTTTTTCATCCAATTTCTGTCATGGCAAATACTGTTTGGGATACCAAGACACAAACCTTTCATGGAGGACAAGAACATATGTTTTTAGACAATTTTATAGAAGATTTCAGTGTGACCACCAACTATTTGGGTACACCTGTTGGTGCATTGGAAGCTGCTAAACAAGCGGTAAGACATATTCTTTATTATTAGCAAAACTATTTATTTATCTTTTTTTTTTTTTTAAATAAGATCCACGATATTCATCATTATCCTGCTGCAAATCAAGAACCTGCCAAAACATCATTGGCTCAATTCTTATGGCCTAATGACTACAAGGAACATCATGGTCGTTTATTAATGGGTAATGGTGCATCTGAATTGATTGATCTCGTTGTTCGACAATGTTTGAAACAACATGATACAAATCAACCTACTTGGAAAGGTAGTCCATGGAATGTACAGGTAAAAAAAAAAAAAAAAGAAGTATAAATGATTACTGATAATATTTTTGATTAGTATCAAGAATATCAACGTAGTGCAACTACCAATGGATTCAAGATTCTGGAACCTAGTAATCCTGATCGTGTAGATATGTTATGTATTGTGAATCCTTGTAATCCTACTGGTGATTATTTCTCTGTGGAACCTTTAAAAGCTTGGATTAAGGCCAATATTGCTGTGGGTGGTACAGTGATTGTTGGTAAGATTTTCTTTTTTTTTTTTTGGATGTTTTCAACTCTTTGTATAACCTTTTATTATTATTTAGATGAATCAATGCAACCTTGGCATTCATGTGAATTTCGTAATGATTCATTGATATCTGAACATGAATTTGCTCGAGAAATGTGGGAACAAGAAAAAGTATCTATTCATGTCATGCATTCATGGACAAAGATTTGGTCATGTACAGGACTTCGTATTGGATCAGTGATTTGTCCTACCGCCATGCATTGTGAACAACTCAAGAAAATTCAAGTACCATGGTCAGTGAATGGTCCAGCCCTCAAGTTTGTGGAAGCAGTGGTACAAGATAAGGCATATCTGGAAGAAACATGGCAACATACCACTCGATTACGGGCTCACTTGGTTGATCGTTTACTTGGTCTTCATCCTGAATGGATCATTCATGGCAAACCTTTCCTAAGTTGGGTCTGGGTGGATATGGGTTCACAACAAATGGCCGATCAAGCCGTCGATTTGGCTCGTCAAGCTGGTGTTCCTGTACGAAGTGGTACTCCTGGATACAAATGTCTTTCCTTTGTTCGTGTGGCAGTACGCAAAGAAACTGAAGTGGATGTTTTGATCTCGGCTTGGAAATCTCTTTAGGATTGTATTATTGAGGGAGTCAAAGCGGAACGATACATTTATATACAAAAAAGAGGAGTGTTAGGGGGGTTATATGAAGGTTAATATATCATCGTCATCATCATGATATCATTGTTATATACTTTTTTTTTATTATTATTATTTGATTTAGTTTAGTTCCTTTTTGGATGTAATATAATAGGATAGACATTATTTAAAAACCTCAATAAAACTTTGTATTTAGTTAATGTTTGTTTTCAATCTAATATTCTAGTAAATAAATAAAGAAAGAAAAATGATATGTTTTTCTATATGTAGGATAATGAGAATGATTTATATGGCAATGATTGAATGATATGTAAGATGATGACAGTGGATGAAATGAAGGAGATAGTTTTTCTGAAAGGTATATATATGATAACAACACAAGTTATACTTGCATATTTATGCACGTCTGTCACCATATTTTATAACTCCTCCGATGATTCTTTCAATCATACTTCTCCTAATGAAATTTTACTCCTAATTCATCATGGTAAGAAACCCAAATGAATAGAATAAACAAAAGAACAAAACCGTAATTATATATATATAAAGACTTTATTCTTTTTTTGAAAAAAAAATTTTTTTTCTTTATTCTTCTTTTTATTTTTATTTGCTTTTTTTTTTTGTTTCTTTCTTCCTACAATTCTTTTTTTCTTTGTTTTCAACTTTTTTATTTACTTTGAATCAAAAAAGGCAATGTTACGGTCTTTCATTCTTTTGATAATGATTCTTTCATCATGCATTCTTGTTATCGATGGTACCCCTGTTCAACCTCGGGCCAAAGTGGTGAAAGAGATAAAAAGTGCTTTATTTAAAGGTATAGGGACTTACTATGAAGTACCAGGTGTTGGTTCTTGTGGAAAAGAAGATAATGATGATGAATTGGTTGTTGCAGTCAATCAACCTCAAATGAAAAATGGTAAATCAAAAAATATATATATATTATGTAGATCATTTATCATCATTTCTCCTTAGGTGCGAATCCAAATCAAAACCCAGAATGTGAGAAAAAAGTAATCATCACGGGGGAACAAGGTAAATCTACTACAGCAAGAATCGTTGACACGTGTCCAACATGCCCTCGAGGCAATCTAGATATGTCACCTAAAGGTAACAAAAATTGTTTTGAACAATCAAAAAGACAATCAAAATGAATCTAATAACTCCCTTTTTTGTTTCAATTTTTTAGTATTTAAAACTATTTGTGGTAATCTTGAAAAAGGAAAGTGTAAGATCAAATGGCGCTTTCAGGATAACTAAAAGAAGAAAGAAAATGTAATATATAAATATAGATATAAATAAATCAAGCCTATATTTCTCTCTTTCTCTTATAATTGTAATCATTTCATTTTCTTCCGAAGAATAAAAATGAATAAAGAAATAATAAAAAAAGCTTTTTTTTTTTCATATTATGCTTGTGTCGGGAATTGAAACATGAAGAAAAGTGATTTTCAAACCTTATATAATCTCTTCTCTTTTTTTTCTTTTTTTCTTTTCTTTCTCTTTCTTTTTTTTTTTTTTTATTATTTCATTTTATTTTTATTTGTTATCAAGTATGGACGAAACATCTGGTTTATTTGATAAGAAACCTGAACTTTACAAGACAGAAATGTGTCGAAATTGGCAAGAAATGGGACAATGCAGGTATGATCAAAATAAGAAATTAGTATAATAGAATACTTAAAAACGATCAAAAACAATAGATATGCGAAAAAGTGTTGTTTTGCTCATGGTATCAAGGAATTACGAGCAGTTCAACGACATGTTCGATATAAGACACAGATTTGTCGGACCTACCATTTGACAGGGACATGTTTATATGGAGTACGATGTACATTTATTCATGAAGACAATTTTGTTCGACCAACCTTATCATCATCATCATCATCAACGGATATGGAACCAACTAAATCTTTCTCTTCTCCCAGTATCTCGGGTAACTCATCAGTATGTTCATCGGTTGATTCTTCTATGACAGCTTCTTCCCCACGGCTTTCAGCGGCATCCGATAATGGTAGTGAAGATGGACATACGTCATCTTCTTATTGTACACGGATTTCTATGGGAACTGATCATCCTTTACCTACTTTTTCTCTTCAAACTTCATGGTTAGCAACTACAAATCCTGGATTCTCTTCTATTTGGTTACCAACGACGACAAAACATCAATACAACGATCATTCTTCCTCCCCTATTACTTGGTGACCCCCCCTTCATCCCTTTCCCCATTTATCATATTTATGTATCTATCCATATTAGCTCAACTTTGTATTCCCTTATTATTAGTCTTCCCGCATATTCATTCATACCTAGCTCGATTGATATATATATATAGATATATATATTTCATACTAGACAATCTTCATTAATTTATCTTTTATTATTATTACTATCTATCTTTATTTTTACCCCACTAGTTTAGTCCATATATATCATTCCCCATTTTACATAATAAATGAAATAAAGATTATATTAATTCTTTTATAACGTGGGGTCAAGGAGAGTTACCAGTAAGAAAAAAAAATTATAGGATGTTCCAAATCAAACGGTGTTTATTATAAAATCATCATATTCATCCTTTTCATTTTTTGACTAACAACAACCTGGATGACCAAACAAAAAAAAAAAAAAAAATCTCCTAATCAATTAGTTGAAAGTGCACAGACCAAGTCTTTCTTTGTGCTGATAGCATCAAAAAAAAAAAAAAACCTAATTTTACCATTTATTACTTGTGAGCTTTGACTAATAAGCACCCTATATTGTGTATCGTTTTCTTTCTTTCTTTTTTTTTTTTTAATTATATATGAATGAAGAGTTTGAAGAAGCTTAAACCTCTGTCTTCTTCTTTTTTTTTTTTTATCATGGATGAATGCCTTTTTTTTTTTTTTTTTTTATCATGGTGATGAATGATATCCAGTCAAATGGATGACTAATAGAACTATACTCCTAGCTTATTTTCACCGGGAATGAATATTGAAAGAATAGAATGGATGATTTTTACTAAGGTGATCGATCATTCATATATCAAATATGATGATCATCATTTCAACAAATGAATTTTTTTTTTTTATCTGACAAAAGAAGGACATGGATGGATAATGATGATTTTGAGGAACATGATCATAGAAAGAATGAAATGATTTATTGATGTTATTATTAAATTAATTTATATGTATTCTATTATTATTATTTTTTTTTAAAAAAAAAAAAAGAACGAGAAATAATGCTAGTATTTTTAATTTACACAGGGTTGATGACATCGACACGATTAGGTTGATTGGTAGATTCTTGTTGTTGTTGTTGTTGAGGTATAGGCGCAGCAAGTTTTCCATTATGATCAGCCATGAAAGCATCCTTTTCATAATCAATGACGGTGATGTTATTCTTAGCGATTTTGACAGAACAATAGATCAAGTAGGCAAAGAAACTACCGATCAAGGGACCGAACCAAAAGATCCAATGATTTGCCCATTTACCAGTGACGATGGCAGGACCAAAAGAACGAGCAGGGTTGACGGATGTACCATCAATGGGTGTACCGACCATATGGACCATAAATAAGGTGATACCAACCACCAAGGGGTTAAAAGCAGGGGATGAGAATTGATTATCGACAATGACAAACAAAATCACCAAACAAAAGATCATGGTCAATAACACTTCAGCAAAGAACCCTTGTGCATAGTTGAAGCCTGGTTTCAATAGATTCACACCTTGTAATTCGTTCCCAGTGACAAAATTGGCAAAATACGCACCGATGATCGACCCACCAAGTTCAGCAAAAAAGAAGAGAATGCCTCGTAACCAATTGACCTTGCGACACAGCACAAGTGAAAACAATACTGCCGTGTTCAAAGCTCCTTCAGAATAAGGACAACACATGAATAATCCAACCATCACTGATCCACCAAAACTTAATGCCACACTTTGAATTTGACTATATAAAATAAAAAAAAAAAAGAGTGTGAGCAAAAAAAAAAAAAAAAAAAAAGAAAACTTTACCTAGTAGTAGCACTAGGACCATATTGAGCTTCCAAAGCGGCTTGAACACCACCAAGAGCTAAAAAGATGAAGATGGCCATACCAATGAATTCAGCAAATGCAGCTACCAAATCTTCTTTCCAATTAGGTTGTTGACGATTGGGACCAACCGTTACCACATCTCTTAAACGCGCCATGATTTACAATCAAAAAAAAAAAAAAAAAAAAAAATAGATCTAAAAAAAATCTTTTTTGTGAAGAGTTTATATAGAACCAAGGAATCTTCGGAGTGTCCAGAAAGAAAAAAAAAAAAAAAAAAAAAAAAACTTTTTAACAGTCAGAAAGGAACAATAATAATTTATGCAAGATGGGGTCTTGGAAAGCGGAGATATCGGAAGGAACAACCGTTGAAACATGAAACCAAAAGGTTCAAAAAAAGAATTACTTGATCCGGACCCCTTGGAAATGAACAAGAAGTATTGAATCCAAATGGACTAAAATGGTTATAAATATCGGAATTAAAAACAACTATTCATGATCCTTACAAATCATTATTGTTATCAGTAAAAAAAAAAAAAAAAAATCAATCTAGGAATGAAATTCCGTATCATTCATATTGAAAATGAAAGCAATACAAATGAAATCAAAAATAGAAAAAAAAAAAAAAACCGGAAGTTTATATAGTCACCTTTTCATTTCCATAGATCTGGAATCACTTTTGATTTCCAACTGTTATTAATAAATCACATATAGATATCTCTAGCAAAAAGATAATAATCATAAAAAAATATATATTTTATTAAGGAAAAAAAAAAAAAACTAATGTACATGTACTTCATTCAATAGGGGCATTCAATTGGGATCTAATTGTAACCGTTGTTTAAATTCCAATCGTAAAGCATCAAAGGCCTTTTCCTTGACATCAAACCACTGTTGAGAATGACCTTCCAATAAGGGTTTTCCCAAACCAGAACCATCGGTATTGAGCCAATCGACAATGTCCTTGATATAAGCTTGTTCGAGATCAGCACCCAAAGCATGGAATTCGCGTCCAGCGCCTTTTTGTTTCAGTCGGTCGGTCCATTCTTGCCGCATTCGTTCAGTGGAAGGTAAAAAAGCAGATTGACTATACACTCTTGCCACGGCATAAGCTTGGAATTCGAAGAAGGAGAACGTCGCGATATGGAAAGGTACGCCGATAAAGCTGAGTGTCGGATTAGGAATGTAAAAAATATCTTTGTGGAGATTAAAGAGTTGTGATCCATCTTGTTTCACTAATACACGATCCTCCGTCGGTCTTTTGTTGTTCTTGCTGTTGGCGTATGGATCATCATGAAGTTCTTGTAAAAAGTGATAGTTGAACAGATATCCTGTACATACGATAATCACATCCACATCTGTCACTGTTGTTCCATCCAAGAATTCAAAAATACAATCGTTGGCATGATGATTAAAAATGATATTGTTGATAGAAGGTACTCGTTTGACATTAGGTGGTAACCATGTCTTGACTTCTTCACGAAATGCACGGTATTTTTCATCAAATCCATGGTTAGATTCACGTACTGATTGATAAATGATCTTGGCTACATCACCCACATCCCGAGATATATCAAGAGCAGAAGTACCATCACCAATAAGTAAAATAGTCTATACAAAAGAAAAAAAAAAGTTCAAATCTTTCTTCTTTCCATTCAACGAAAACTCTCTCTTGCTTACTTTTCCTTCATATTCTTTGGGAGTACGGTATTGTTTTGAATGAATAATAGCTTCAGGATATCGTTTCTTCCATTCCACTAGACCAGGAATGTCAGGTACAAAAGGAGCATGATAATGACCAGTAGCTAATACAACACTATCAAAGACCTAACAAAATAAAAAAATATGTCAATGGATAATATTTATTTTTAAATAACACTAACCTCTTCTTTCCATGATGTTTTAACTACTTGACGTTTGTGACCATGGACAGTGGTCAAGACTGATTTTTTTGTCAAGACTTTCCATCCACATTGATCAGGTAGTTCTGTGAGTTTTTCCAAAGATGTATCAAATTCTGTAAGTGCATCCAAATCAAACTTTTTTGAATAAGCTTGAAGATAATCCAATATTTTATCGTGTGTCGTGAACCATGGCTAAAAAAAAAAAAAGGAAAAGAAAAAGAAAAAAAAAAGTTGAGATACATATTAAAAAAAAGGACGGAGTTGAAAGTTTTACCATTTCATTGGGCCAATCTAAATCCTTATATTTGATCAAAGGAGTTGCCACATTATTTCTTAAAGATTGATAACAAGGTGTGGGAGGAGCATGACGTAAAAGAGAATCATGAGCTTGTTGATTATAATCTTCTATTTTTTCAAAAGGTAATGAAGTGTTGGAAGGAGGAAGACTAGGTTGAACTGATTGACTAGGAATCGTGGAAGGAAATGTTGGACCCAATGGTGGCTCTGGATTGTAAATCCAAGTCCCTCCAGCTGCTGGACTTCTTTCATAGATCACTACATCCAATCCTTCTTCCTTCAATAACTTGGCCGTAGGTAACTATATATATATTGATTATTAAAAAAAAAAAAAAAAAGAGAGAATCTATCATGATACTTACACCTGCTGGACCAGCACCAATAACTGCAACTCGTTTGATTGGATGCTTTAATTTATATTTATGTTGATGTAAAGAGACTGAAACATGTTCAATTACATGATCTGGTTTCCAATGAGATTGATTGATTAATTCTTCAACAGGCATTTTAAGTTAAATGAGGAAAAAGAACAAATGTTTGGAAAAAAAAAAGATGTTTATTTATTTTTTTTCAATGCTGACATATCAAAACACGATCCTTATCATTGAGAAAAAAAAAAAAACAAAAACAAAAAAATTATATATGTGTGCATTTGATTACATCCATTGAAAATTACAATAAAAAATGATACCATTATTTGACTTCATTGCGTGCATTTGAGTTTCTTGTGATCGGTAAATACATTTCCCTCAACTTTTTTGCATAGGAAAATGAGATCATTTTTAAGGTTTTCCTGCAACGATCATTCCTGGGGTTCCCAGTTCGTGCAACATCCAGCTTATCAATGATGATGGATTAGGTCATTAAAGTGTACTATTAGCATTTTTTTTTTCTTTATTGACCGGGAAAATGACTAAAAGATATGGAGAATATGTTTAAAACATCAGTTGTATCATAAAGTTGTATTGTTCTTCTCGAGACAATCAAACTAAGGTTTTTGCTTTTTTTATCAAGCATGCTTTTACTAAGATGGAAGAAGATGATGCATTACTAATTAGATTTTTTACTACCCACATAAATAAAAAAAAAACATTGGATGTTCTATTTTAAATATCGAAAATATAAACAAGAAGAAACTTAATATTCGACATATTTTTTTTATTGTTATAGAAGGTTGATCAAAGATAAATGATTGACTAACTAACTAAAAGAAGGACTTAATGTCTTATGGTGGGTTCCAAGGGGAAGACTTCTTCTCTTTCGTTCACATATAACTTATTCCAAAGTTCTTTGAGTTGTTCAGGAGTATCCCAAGCATTTTCAGGTCGAAGCCAAAGTCGTAAAAGATGACGTCTAAGTTAAAAGAAAGAAATAAATCATCATGATGTTTAAAAAAAAAAAAAAAAGAAGCCATCCTTCCTAGTAAGCCTATCATTGATGACTTTTTTTACCTGTTTTCTTTGCTATCAGTGTAACCGTTTCTTGCATGGAAGATGGAAGTATTGCTGATATATTGAATATCACCTTTTTGGAAATTGACTTGGAGATGATACTTTTCTGCTGTATAATGAAGGTAATCCAATGCCTCAGCTTGTGCTTCCGTGATAGGAGGAAGATCATCCCTATAATAACAATAATAATAACAATAATAATAAAAGGAGATAAGTTTTTTTTTTTAAAAAAGCCAAAGAAAGGACTTGATTCTCATGAGCAAAGTAAATTACCTTCTTGGATTTTTACCAAAACCAGTAAAATTGCGACGAGCATATTGAATAATCAAATGTTTATCATGATAATAAAGAAGAGGACGAGAGGATGAACCAGTTTCTGAATAGTCACTAACAAAAAAAAGAAAACAATCATCAGTGATGTATTCTTTTTTTTTTTTTTTTTTTTTTGTTAGTACTTTTGGAAAACCCAGTCATTTGCCAAAGTTTCAATCAAATCAGGTCGATCTCTTGCAATTTCATTGTAAACAGTCCAACTGGAAGCAATTTTAGATTCTCCACCTGTTTCAGCCACCCCAATAGCATAAAGAGAAATGACATCTCCTGCATCTATATATCAATAAAGAATGTTAGAATGAATAGCTGATGAACATGTGAATATACTTACCAGTATGAAAAACTTGATGATCGTTCGTATAAGCAGGAGCCAAGATTTCTTCCAGCTGACGTTCTTTGCTAGTAACAAGATCAGTGATATGAGCTAATCAAAAAAAAAAAAAAAGGTGTGTTTAGATTTGATTCTCTTTTTTTTTTTTTTTTTTTTTTTTTTTTTTTTTTTTTTTACCCAAGATATGTTTGGCTTGTAAACCTCTTTTACCAACATACGAAGAAATACCGGCATAAGCAATGATATTTTGTAAACGAGTATAACGATCAGGATCTAGACCACGCACGACCAAAAACCCACGACCTTCAATGACATCATCCTCAATCAATTGTTTTAATTTGGGACCCAAAGTAGGTAAAGAAAAGGTATCCTTATCAATGGCTGATAAAGGTTTTTCAGAGGTTTCAAAGTCCAAGACAGCTTGATGTACTTCATCCAATTCTTGAGGATTTAATTGATATACCCAACGATCTTCTTGTCCTTGGTAATCTTCTCCTTTCCATATTTTTGGTCCTTCCAATTGTTCAGGAAATCCTTCAGGTAATTCTTTGGTTAAATCTTCTTCAGCAAGTCGACGTGCAGTACGTTGTTGCCAAATCTTACGATCAGGCAAATAAGTAATATTGGGTTGAGTTTTATTTAAGATTTGAACTGTAGGCATTTTTTTTTGTATAGGATAACGAAAGAACTAATAATAATAAAAAAAAAGAGTACATAATATTTATAATGATTTGTCTGTGCGTTCTATTTGAATGACTTATTAATCCATACTTTACCCGGTGTATGTGTGTGAAAAAAAAAAACAATCTATGATGACATTTCTTAGTTTTTTCTCATCATCGATAAAAAAAAAAAATAAAAGAAAGATAAAGCTTTTTTTCTGGTTTGATTTGTACTTTTGATGAAATCAAAAAAAGGGATGGCGACATTTTGTTGTTGTTGCACGCGTCTATGGTATCATTCAGTTAGTTTTTCTTCGGAGTTAGTGTCACATGGAATACAGGAAAGATAACTTGAATAACATCATGTACTTATATTATGCCATTACTTTTTATATAGAAATGATCTTGTTATAAATACCATCGATTAATAATCTAATCGACTTTTTTTTTTTATACTTTTTTTCCCCTTTTCTTACACTGAAACACCATGCCGTCGGACGTTGAAAATGTTCATGCAAAAACACCTGAACAAATTGATAAATTGGCCCCATTGGCAGTAGGAGGTACGCTTTCTCTCTTATATATATATATATATATATATATATATCAACCATGCTCATATTTTATTTTCATTAGATCAAAAATTAACTAGACATTTGGGTTACTTCAGTGGAACAATGATCAATAGTAAGTTTATTTATTTTGAATAATCACATACATATATTCTTATCTTTTTTTTTTTTAAAAAAACAATAAACAGTCGGTCAAATCATCGGTACTGGTATATTTTCCAATCCTGCACTTATTCTGCAAAACACTGGTTCAGGTGCTATGATGTTGATCCTTTGGGGTAAATAAATATATTCTAATTTGATCTCATTTGTTTTAATATTATCTTTTTCTTTTTCTTTTCTTTCTAGTTATTGGTGCTATTACTGCCATTTCTGGTTTGGCTGTTTTTATGGAACTAGGAACTATGGTAAAAAAAAAAAAAAAAAAAATACATTAAATTTGATTGTACACTAACATATCCTATTTTGTGTTTCATCTTTCTTGCATACAGCTTCCAAGAAGGTAAATAAAAGAATTTCCTATAGGGCTGAAATTTGATATCTAATTCTCACTTTTTTTTTTATTCACGTGTTCTTCCATTCTAGTGCAGGTAATATATATATATATAAATGATGATGATGTATTAATTTTATACTTTATTAGCTGAAAAGGAATATTTGGCTTATTCATTTCCTAATCCGCGTCAGTTGGTGGCTTTTGTATTTATGATCATGATTGGTGTCTTCTCAAGAGGTGGTGGAATTGCTCAAGGTTCTACCGTATTTGGTAATAACATTGTGTATGCAATCAATGCAGGACAAGCTACCAATGATTGGCAAGCTCGTGGTTTTGGTGGTAAATAAAAATGATCCCTTTATACAAATGTGTATGTGTGTTGATTCATCTTCTTTCCCTAGTATTCTGTATTACCTTTTGGATCATTGTCAACATATTTTCTGCAAAGGTAAAAAAAAAAAAAAAAAAAAAAAGAACGAAGGATTGATGTTTTTTTTTATATATGTATAATCACTAGGGTGCTATTCGATTCAATAACTTTTTTACCGTGTTAAAAATCACACTTTTACTTTTATTGATTTGTGTTGGATTTGCAGGTATGGCTGGACGTTTACCTGATCGCCCTAATTATCAAGAAAACTTTTCATTTGATGGTACATTGAACAATGCCGGTTCTTATGCAAATGCTATTTATTATGTCATTTTCTCTTATGGTGGTTACTACAATTTGCAAAAAGTAACTGATGAACTCAAGGATCCAATTAAGAATTTACCTCGATGTGGTGTTTCTTCTGTTGCATTTACAACTGTGTTGTATCTGTTGGCAAATGTTGGTAAGTAAACAACAGATGTATTTATGATCATTGATTAAATTCTTCCCTTTTTTTTAAGCTTATCTTGCTGTATTACCTTTGGATAAAATTCGATCTTCAGATTTGACGGTGGCTGCCAACTTGTAAAGTGACATAAGTCCAAAAAAAAAAAAAGATCTAATCATCTTTGACGTTTTACTTTGTTTTTTAGATTCAATACTGCTTTTGGTGGGATATTTGGTAGTCGAGTACTTCCAGTTTTTGTTGGATTATCTTCCTTTGGATTTGTGGGTGTAAGTAAAAAAGGAGAAGAATGAAAATGAGGGAAATCGAATGTTCATCTTTTTTTTTTTTTTATTAGGTAGTAACTTATTCAGGATCTCGAGTGATATTGGAATTTGCTCGTGAAGGTCATTTACCATTTGATCGCGTATTCAGTCGAGTTCATCCTAAATTACAAACACCTGTTGCTTCTCTGTTACTTTTGTATGTGATTTCTTTGATCTTCATGTTGGCTCCTCCTCCAGGTACCGCATTTCAATTCATTATGGCGTTCTGTAGTTATGCTGATTACTTCTTTGGTAAGATTAATATAGGGGATTTGATGAGAAGGTCTGATTCCTTCTTTTTTTTTATTTTATTATTATTATTAGCTGCTCTTTGTGCTATTGGTTTATTGATTTTGCGTCGTAGGGAACCTAATATCAAACGACCCATTCGTTCTCCTTTCCCTTTAACCGTGTTTTATCTACTTGTTTGTATTTTCACTCTGGTCTTTGTCTATATTCCTCCTACAAAAGCACCAGCTCAATATCCTTATTGGGGTAAGTATTGTTTGATAAATATAATAGAGAAAAGATACTTATTTGATATTTATATATAGTTCCTTATATTGCTTCCATCATTCTCGGTATTGTTTGTATTGGATTTTGGGTAAAATAATATAGATTATTTATACTGAAACATCAAAATATATATATATATATATTCTGAATAGAGACTGACATATATTATTTTTATATTAGTATATTAAAATGTATCGATATGATGGACTTGGAAAATCATATAACAATGAAATTCGATCAGAAGGACAATTGGAACTTTACAAGGATGTTTACAAAGGATATCAAAGTTCTGGCACTACAATTACCACATTTGAAAATAATATAACCACGATTCCAACTAAAGATTCTTCTATTGATAATGGTCCTGTGGATGATAACAACTCTATCAAAAAACAAGATCAAGTCGTTCGAATTCAAGAAATCGATAAATTATAATTTTTTTTTTAATGATTCCCCTTTCCATTTATCATTACCCCTCTGTATTATTATTATTATCTTGTTTTTTCTATCAAAAATAAAATAAAATTATCAAATGCATTAATATATATGTCACGGAGCGGAGATCCGTTCTTTTCACTCGATGACCCGAAAAAAAAACAAACACCAAAAAAAAAAAATGTTTTCTCTTTCTTTTCTTTTTTGCTTTGTCTCTTCTTTTCTCCCATCATGTCCGATGCTAGAACTCAGTTATTGGCTGTGCTTATGGAAGCGGCCAGTCAAGATTACACTAGAATGAAACAAGCCGAAGAACTTTTAAAGCAATGGGAAACTGAACCAAGTTTCTTCGCCACTTTACAGGTGAGTGATATTATTGTAAAACATTCAAGCTAATGTTCTAGCTTTATCTTTAGGATATCTTTTATGATACTACTGTTGAATATAATGTTCGATTCCTTAGCGGTATTTATCTCAAGAATGGCATCGACCGGTTTTGGAGACGAACAGCAAAAAAGTAAGTAATCATTATTTTCTTCACCGAGTTTTGACTCAACTATTGGAAATAGTCCTTTGAATCCAGAAGAAAAGACCATGATCCGTGAACGATTACTTCAATTCATGAGTGAACCAAGCAAACAGGTAAAAAACAATACATTATTACTACCAATGTTACTCATACCTTATTATTATTATATAGCTCGCTGCTCAGAATACAGTCATCATTGCTCGAATCGCACGATTAGACTTCCCGACTCAATGGTAAGAAAAAAAAAAAAAAAAAAAAAAAAGAGAGAATTACATTGATTAAATCATATGGTATTGAATAGGCCACAATTATTGACTTCATTGATTCAAGGAATCGAAACACCAGGAACCGATACAAATGCCATTATTATTCATCATCGATGTTTGGAAACCATGTATGAAGTTCTATCCGAATTATCTACACGTGTATTAGCATCAGGTCGACGACAATTTGCTCAACTGGCACCTCATACTTTTCAAGTGATTGCTAACGTATACCTGATTTATGTGAATCGAATCATCTCTCAATTAGTGGATCTTTTGAATCAGCCTACGGGTCAACGTATATCATCTATGGAACTTGATGCATTTGAAATCTTGGCTATTTGTATTCGATGTTTGCGAATTTTGATGGTTAGTGGTATTCGCGATGTACACAAATTTGATGAAACAAAGGTAAACAAGAGAAATACTTTTGTCATTGTTCTCACTTTTTATTTCTAGACATTCCTTGATCTCAGCTATCAACACCTGCAAACTTTTATGGAATCATTGTCACGTAAGTTTCAAAAGAGAAAAAAAAAAGAGTCCAAAGAAATAACAATAATAATAAAAAAAACTTGTCTTGTGAAATTAGGTTTGAGATCCGTCTTGATAAATAATAAACCATTCAAAGGAGCTTTGGAAACCGTGATAGATGAATATGGATCATTGTATCTCCATTTACAAAAGGCACATCCTGTGTCAGTCGTTCTATGTCCTAAATGGATGGATATTGTTTCTTATTATTGGAACAAAGTCATGGAACAAGGTGATCATGTAGCAAATCAATTCGATAAAAGTAATGATAAAAGAATGAATAGGAAAGAAATTGAAAAAAAGTGCAAGTTGAAGACTAACTTTATTATTTCTTTCTCATTGATTGATCTGGAATTAAAATTAGGTGATAGAAATAAGCCTGAGGTATATCAACAATTCTTACTTCAAGGAATGCAACTTGTGAAAGGAACAATCAAAAATGCGGGATATGATGCTGAAACACCAGGTAAAAAAAAAAAAAAAAAGGATAAAGACAAGACAGTGTTTGATAGGATGATTGAATTTTTTTTTTCCTTATATTGATGATTTTTTTTTATTAGGTACTGATAATCTGGCGATCACGGAGGAAGAAAAGGCACTGGCTCTGGAAGCTCGCAACATTATACGACAGAGATTTGTAACAGACAGTTTTGTCAACATGTGCGCAGAAACATTGATCACTAAATATATGTTATTGACACCATCTGATTTGGAACAATGGGAAGAGGATCCTGAAGCTTGGGCCAATTCTGTAGATGCTGAAAATTGGGAATTCGAATTAAGAGTAAGTTTTATCAAAAGAAAAAAAAAATAAAGAGACTCATCTATCTTAATAATAGCCATGTGCCGAAGCTACATTTATCAATTTATTGGCCCAACATCGTGATCAATTGACTCCTATCCTATTAAACTTGTTGGAACAATCAAATGTGCAAGATTTTGCAGGACTTTTATTCCTTGATGCTATTTATGATGCTGTTGGTTTAGGTGTACATTCACTTTATGGTAGATTGGATTTTGAAAGTTTTGTGGCTAATCGATTAGTATCCGAAATTACAAACAAGGAAGCCAGGCAAGTCACTAAAATGACAATAATAATAAAAAAAAAGATATACTGACATGATTTATTTAGCTTTAAAATTCTTCGTCGTCGCATTGCTTGGGTACTTGGTCGATGGGTAACAGAAAGTATTAGTGCTGATTGCCGAACAACTATCTATGAAATCTTATTACAACTCATGGTCAAAGAAGAAGATCTAGTGGTGCGTCTTTCTGCCGCTCATAGTTTGAAAATGGCCATCGATGATTGGGATTTTGATATTTCTATTCTCTTACCTTATCTTGGATCTGCTATGGAGATGATGATGACTTTAGTGAATGAAGTAGAAGAATCTGATACTGTAATGAAATTGATTGCTGATTTGAATACTATTATTGACAGAGCAGGTGCTCACGTAAGTTACCAAAAAAAAAAAAAAAAAAAGAAAAAGAATAGTTTTCATTTTTCTATATTTTTAACTTTAGGTCACTCCTTATGCTCCTAAAATCATCGATTTATTGACACCTTTTTGGACTCGTGCTCAAAATGAACCACTTTTTCAATCAGCTTTAGTGGTAACATTTACAAAAGCGGCAGCGGTAAAGAAAGAAAGAAAGAAAGAAAAAAAAAGAATATAAAATATGAATGTTAAAAATTTCATCTATTTCTTTTAGGTACTTGTGGAACAATCTAATCAACTTTATCCTCTTCTTCTACCTATGGTCACCTATTGTGTCAATCGAAACAATGCAAGTTAGAAGATGCAATTTATATATTATATATTAATTCAATCATCTATTTATAGGAAGCTCATGTCTACTTGTTGGAAGATGCTTTGGATCTTTGGTGGACTTTACTTCAAGGTGCTACGACTTCCACTCCTGAATTGATGGATCTTCTTCCTACAGCAGTAGAATTATTAGATTATGATACGGAAAATGTGAAAAAGGTTCTTTGGATTATTGAAAGTTATATTCTTCTTGATCCTCAAGGATCTGCTCAGGTAACTATTATTATTTGGATGATGATAAAATACTCACCTTTTTTTTTTTCCTTAGAAATGTGCTCTTTCTCTTTTTACCCATTTGGCATCTTATGTTGTTCATTCCAAGGCTGAAGTTGCTTCCAATATATCACATACTATCGACTTGGTTTTCAGATCATTACCTATCACTGTTTATGGGGATGCCTTATTCCAATCTGGGTTATTGAATAATATTTTGGATGTGTTTTTACAAGGACAGGTAAAAAAAAAAAAAATTCATCATGATTATGAATCAACATCCATTCATCTTTTTTTTTTTTGTTGTAGCTCTATGCTTATGCTTGTATGTCATATATGGGATTATTTGCTCGACTTGCCCTTCAAGATGCCACTATGGTCATCCAATTTATTCAAACAGCTGGTCAACCATTCAACCCTTCAAGTCCGGATATTCTAGGTGATATCATTGACAAATGGATGGATAAGGTAATGATAGTATAGTCCAAAGAAGAAGAGTTATATTGACTTCCCTTTATATAGTTCGATAACATTGGTCATCCACGACAAAGAAAATTGACATGTCTTGCATTCACCAGTCTACTAAAAACCAATCATCCATCCTTGATACAGCGATTACCTGGTATACTTTCCATTTGGAGTGATGTGGGTGCAGAAGTGAAAGAATCAGATGGTGAAAGGTAAAGAAAACAAAAAGATAAAAAAAAAATCTTGTTGACATTTTTTTTTTTCTTTGATACAGTGTATTATATAGTGAAGCCGATTTGGAAGATGACATTAATCAATTAGAACAATCTCCGGAAAAGGAACGAAAATCAGAGGTAAAAAAAAAAAAAAGAAAAAAGAAATGATCTTGTCACTGATCATTTATATATATATATAGTTATTATACAAGGATCCTGTCTACACCACTGATCTATTGATATTGATACAACAAACACTCGCAGAACTCGGAGGAAGATTAGTAGAGAAAGTGGATCCTTTAGTATTAGAACACATCCATCAATTGTTACAATAAACACTATGTAGTTTTATTTTGTCATGCATAATGTGAATCCAAAAAAGGTGATTCCTACTTGTAAAAAAAAGATAACGTTGAGCATTTACTATTAGCACATCTACAAAAGATACACAACAAGCATTGACTGAGTAGTATTTTTTTATGTTTTATTGATTTTTGAAATGGATAATAATAAAAAAGTGAAAAAAAAATAATGTCTATCATAGGATTATTCTACATCACTTATCCCCGGAGATTGGTAATATCTAAAGGGTAAGCTAAAATAAATAATAAAAAAAAAGGTAAATACATCATTCCACTTTTATTTTGTCATTTACCATTGCCACGAGTTTCACCACTAGGATACACATGTCTTGTTGTTTGATGTTGTCTTGGCGAAGGGAATGTAGAGATGGCCCGGAATTGGAATTTACCATTAGACTCAGTGAGTGATGGTTGATATGATGTTCTATTGCCAGGGACTGGAGGTAATGGAGATCTAGGAGGAGTGATAGAAGCACCTTTGGTAAAACTAGAAGGTACTGGAGGTGCAGTTGGACGAGGAAATCGATTGGATACTGGCATAGGGGGTGCTGAGGGTGCTGAGGGTGCTGAAGTAACTGGAGGTGGTGGTGGCGGTGGTGGTGGTGGTACAGAAGTATCTTGTTGTGAAGTAGTAGATGCTGAGCGAGGTCGACCTGGTGGTAAAGGAGGAGGAACAATAAGACCACGTTGATTGTTATTGTTAGTTGGAGGTGGTGCTGGGATAGATCGATTTGGAAAAGCAGGACGAGAAGGAGGAGGACGAACAGAAGAGATTGGTTTGGCTGGACTTGAAGGAGGTGAAGGAACACTTCTTGGCGGTGGTGGGGGTATTGGACGTTGTGGAGAACTATTTGATCTTGATCTACCTGGTACTGGAGGGACTAAGGATGAAACATGACTTGTCGAAGGTATTGAAGGAGTAGATGGTGCTGGAGGACTGGATGGTGCTGGAGGAGCAGGAGGAGGTGGTGGTGGAGGAGGTGGAGCACCTGATGGTACTTGTGGAGATGCTCTTCCAGGAATGGGTGGGGGTGCTTTAAATGATCGTGGTAAAGTATGACTACCTGAAGAAGGTTTATTGAATGTAGGTGGTCGAGGTGCTGAAGGTACGTGAGATGGAGGAGAAACTACAAAAAAAAAAAAAAAAAAAAAAAAAAAAGAAAATAATAGTTATTTTTTTTTATCAAACTTACCAATGATTTTTTATTATTATTATTATTATTATTATTATTACCATTAGGGGGAGATTCTCGACCAGTAGAGATGGCAGATCCTTTTGTTTTTCGTAAAGTTGGCATACCTTGAGAGAAAAGTCCACCTAATTGAGGAGCACTACTGACAGCAGGAGTAGAAGAAGAGGAACTTGTATGAGAACTCGGTATCATAGGAGGAGGTCTTGCCATACCGGGTGATGTACCGCTTGGTTTAGAACCTATTGAAAGGAGATGATAAAAAAAGATGAGATGAATAGTGTATTGAATAAGTCTTACCTCCACCAGAAATCATTGGAGCTGATCTATCATTTGTTTGAGTCTTTTTGAGACTTTTTCCCTTTTGAATTTGTGCCAATAGTCCAGAATCCATGATGATATTAAAAAAAAAAAAAAAAAAAAAAAGGAAAAAGAAAAGTAGTTTCTTTTTTTTTTTAAAAAAAAGTGCGAAACAAACAAAAAAAAAATAAGGGTTGCCGAGAGATTTTCATTCTTAAGTCTTAATTGAACTTCCGTTCCGTTTGGATAAATTACCAGTTTGGAGAACAAATCACGTTCTTTTTTATTGATCAAATAATATATAAAAAACTATACTAATCATTGTTGTTTCTTGATTTTGGAGATATCTCTAAAAGTTTGATAAGCTTTGGAAACACTAGGAGGTACCTTTGGATGAGCAGTAGGAGGAAGTAAAAAAGTATCAAGTTGTTTACCTATTTCAGAAAGAGTTTCACGCATAGATATTGAAGTATAATATCGCATACGAAGAAAATGACTATAAAACAATATTGAGAAAATAGAGGATCGGAATCTATATAAAAGAAGTAAATAAAACAGTATTATTAAAACAAATAAAAATAAAAAAAATAGATTTTACACAAATAATCCAAAGATTAAACGACCCATCACGACAAAAAGTTCATATTTAGCTACTAAATGTATGACTTGAGTATGATATTGATCTATCCAATTCTTAAGTTTGTCACTTATATAAGATAAATGAGGAGCCATAGATGGAATTAAAGAAGATTGTAAATATTGAGCCACATGAAACAATGAATAAACAAAGAATGGAACCAATGTCACTGTTAAAAAAAGAAAAAAAAAAAAAAAAAGCGCGTTTAGATATATTATTAATGAATATTAGGTATCTATTACCAGTCAATCGTCTCGTCCAAAACAAGTAGAAGGCCAAAAAGAGATAGGAGAAATCTTCGTCTAATAACATACGTTTGATCATCAATTCATTTGTATTGGAAGAAGGCTATAAATATTTAAATATAATAGAACTATTAGATCAATATATATATATATATATATGTGTTTTAAGTTACCTTGTATGCACTATAAAGAGTGATTGTATAAGTGACTATGGCAAGTAAATATGATAAACGATAAAGAAAATGACTTGGGTGTACAAGTAACCAAGATAGGAAGTATAATGTACTTGTCGCTGTGAGTGCTCCATGACTGACAAACCAAACAAAATGAAGAGACTATATAAAAAGTGAAACAGTAAGAAGAGTAGTATATAATATGGTAGACTATAACTTACCTTATATTCAGTTGTACGAGTAGTAGTAGTAGTAGTAGTAGTAGTAGTCGTAGTAGATTCAGATGTTGTTTCTGATAAATCCGTCATATTTTTTTTTTTTTTAAAAAAAAGGAGAGAAAGAAAGAGAGTGATCGGCTATACGGCAAAACACGACCACACACCTATTTTATATAGTTTATTCATTTCCCGCTCGAAACCAACAAACATTCACATAAAAGAAAGATCAGTAAAATGATGATAAAATATACAACTTGATTATTATTATGATTACGATTATGATTATTGATTATATTGTATCCAGTATCAAATATGGATATGTCCTTTGTGAGCTGAGTTTTGATAAAAGTCATAAAACTCTCCCCTTGCCTTGTTTCTGCATTTTAGCTGGGGGTGGGTGACAAAAAAAAAAAAAAGGTCCTCGTTCTTTTTTTTTTCTTTTTTTTTTTTTTTCCCTTCTTTTCTCTTTCCACTTTATTTCCTAATTCTCTTTTGTTGTTTTACTTTCACTTTAATATAATAGTATTATTTAATAATAGAAAAATTCCATTGATGACATCAAGTAAGAAAAAAAAAACTATCTTAAAAAAAAAAAAGAAGACTACTATGGAACTCATCTTTTTTTTTTTCGTGTTTCTAATATGATTGGTTATAGATATCAAACTGGCCTGCGTGGTATGTGGTGACACCTCTCTCTCTTTTTTTTTCACCTGATAATTATAAACTAATCTCCTGTTATTTTATTATTTTAGATGGTAGGTTTACCAGCTCGAGGGAAAACCTTCATATCGTACAAAGGTGAGGCAATATATTGATAATTTTTGCTAGTATAACTAAACTTCTTTTTTTTTCTATATATATATTAGTATCAAGGTACCTTCAATGGTTAGGCATCAAGACTAAAGTATTTGATGTTGACGATTATCAAAGAAAACTTAAGAATATATTATACCACCAAGACCATTGTGAATTATCAGAAACGACGGCAGAAAAACAAGTGTTAGACGATATGTTGGATTGGTTCCAGTTAGATGACAATAAAACAAAAGCGACTATGAGTGGTACTGTGGCAATATATGATGGAACGAATATTACAAAAGCAAAACGAAAATGGATTCATGATACTTTGAATAATAAGAATGTACAAGTATTATTTGTGGAATCACAATGTGATGATGACAACTTGATTCGTGAAAATATTCGTAATGTCAAACTATCACCTACAATTATGCAACAAGAAAAAGCAATTGATGATTATTTGGCTTATGTTAATAAACATAAAGATACATATGAAACAATGACTGAACCTGATTATACCTATATCAAACTTATCAATGCTGGTCAACAATATGTTATCAACCTAGTTCGTGGTTATTTGGAAAGTCGAATTGTATATTACCTCATCAATCTTAATATCAAAAAGAAACGTATTTGGCTTAGTAGGGTAATCATATATCAATCTTTATTTATTGTTTATTAATCATTTTTATATAGCATGGTGAATCACAATTCAATGTACAAGATAGAATAGGTGGTGATGCAGATTTATCACCAAGAGGAGAAGAATATGCTCGAAAACTTCCCTCGTTGATCTCCAAACATATAGGTGATGAACTTCCTTTAACTGTATGGACATCTACTATGAAACGAACCAATCAAACTGCTCGATACATCAAGTACCCAAAGAAACAATGGAAAGCTTTGGATGAATTGGATACTGGTGTATGTGATGGAATGACTTATGATGAAATCGCGGTAAGAAAAGGAAAAAAAAAAGGATATATCGTACTCATTCATCATTTTATATAGAAAAAATACCCTGAAGATTTTATTCAACGTGATCAAGACAAGTTCAACTTTCGATATAGTGGTGGAGAAGTAATAATGACAAATTTATATATATATATATATCTAAGTATATTATTATTTTTTTTTCTTATTAGAGTTATAGAGATTTGGTTTTACGATTGGAACCTGTGATTATGGAATTGGAACAACATGAAAGAATACTTATTATTGCTCATCAAGCGACTATTCGATGTCTTTATGCCTATTTTATGAATTTGGATCATGAACAACTTCCTTATGCAAGGGTACCTTTACATACTTTGATTGAATTAACACCAACAGCTTATAACTGTGAAGAAAAATTATATAAAGGTAATAATACTAATATATATATATATAATATGATACTGATCTTTTTTTTTTTTTTCATTAGCCGATATTGAAAGTGTTGATACTTATCGTCCAAAATTCGCAGGTGTGGAAAATGCCAAAAAATCATCCAATAAAACTAGTGGTGTCAGTGGAGAAATAATAGATAGTTCAGAACCCATTTTACCCCTTAGTCCACATCCTTGAATATATAGAAATAAAAACATGTAATTGTATACTTCCTCCTTATTTATGTCATTTTTTCTTTTCTTTATAGACTGAATTTTAATAATTTATACTCAACAGACTGAAACCAAGCATTACATTTTTTTTTTTTCATTTTCTCACTCTTTTTTTTTCATTTTCTTTTTATTTTATTTTATTTATCTTTCATACTCTAATGTACCATGATTGAAGTAGAACAAAACTGGCCAACAACAACCAATGAACAACAAAATTATCCTTTGGATTTGATAGCGTCTTTACGTCAACATTCTTTATTTCAACGCACTAACAATGAAGAGTTTTTATCCAAACTAGCCAGCAGTATGCATGTACGTATTTATAGTCCACGCGATATCATCATTGCCAAAGGTGAAGTGTCCAAAGCCATGTTCTTTCTGTTACGTGGTCAAGTAGAAGTGTGTTCAGCCGACTTTGAACGGATCTATGCAACGTTACCTCAAGGTTCTTGTTTCGGTGAAATAGGTATTTTATATTCTATGCCTCGTACTGCTACTGTAGTTGCCAGCACCAAATGTACTGTAGCCGCCTTGACTGCCGATCAAGTCCATACTTTATTACCTCAGTTCCCTGATGTGGAAAAAATCATACGTTTTGAAGCTGAAGAACGACTTTGTATCATGTCAAAATCAGATCAACAACAAAAATCAGAAACATCATCTCCTTCTTCTTCTTCCTCTTCTTCTTCTACTACTTCTACTACAGGATGGTTAGGTGATACTGAAAAGGTGAATACTGTAGAACCTTCTGGGATAGCTGGAACTGGTGGAAATACCACTAGACAACGAAGATCAAGTGTACAATACAATGTTGAATCTTTTAGTAAAACCGGTATTCGAAGTCATCTTGAAAAGGTAATCGAATAAGGAGAAAAAAAAAAGGGATGAAAATATTGAATTTTTTTTTTTTTTGTTAGATCCCTTTCTTTTTTGGTTGTTCTATTGACTTTTTACATCTTATTTGTCTCTCTATTCAACCAAGAAATCATGGTCCAAATACAATTATTTTCAATCAAGGTGAACAAGGCGATGAAATGTATTTTATTGTGGATGGTAAAAAAAAAAAAAAAAAAAAAAGGAATAATATCTATGGAATGACTATGAATTGATTTTTTTTCTTTCTTTTTTTTTTTTTTGAAGGATACTTGGATGTTGAATTGGATGAAAAACAACTCAATCGATTAGGCCCTGGTGATTATTTTGGTGACACTTCAGTTTTACTCAACATACCAAGAGCAACTACAGTGAAAACTGTAACAGATGTCGAACTCTATGTTCTCAATCGAATGAATCTACAACGAGTATGTGACATGTTTCCTGATACTGGTAGTCATTTGAAAACAACAACTGAAAGCAGATTACATGATCTCTATCAAGATAATCTCAGTGAATTACCAGGTATTGCCCCAAAAAAAAAAAAAAAGCATCATCATCCTAAACTTTACTTATGACCTTGATATTTTCTTTTTATTTTTTATAGGTGCACGATCTCCTCATGAAATGGAAACCATTCAACCACAATCTATTTGTCGAACTACCTGTGATCAAGATCCTACATTACCTATCACACCAGCAACAGAACTTCGGAACAAAGAAACCAAGAAACGGCGTGCAAGCGTTGCAGTTTGGAGTGATCCTATGTTAGTAGATTTGGCAAAGAGAACAACCAGCAAACCTCTAGATGATGACGAAATGGAATTACCGAATGAAATAGAATTACCTCCTGTATGGGCTGTTCCACATACACCACCTGAAGAGATGGATATGGATACTTTGAAAAAAATGCCAGGTGACCGATTTACCAGTTTGAACCCATCGATCCTAGTCCATATCATGTCGTTTCTTGATTTTGGTACATTGATCCAAGTCATCCGTGTCAATCAAGCGATGCGATCCATGTTCAAGAATGACCAACTAGTACAGTCTATCGATCTCAGCCTAGCGCATAAGAAAGTCACCGATGACACTTTTGCGTATTTGATGCCTATGGTTCGTCGACGTCTCCGATCACTCTGTTTAGCCCAATGTTTCCATCTGACGGATGTTGGCTTTCGATCCTTATGGATGGAAAAAGAAGATTCACCCTTGTTTTCACCAGCACCTTTGCAATATTTACATACTTTGGATTTGAATTCCTGTTGGCTCTTGACGGATAAAAGTTTACAATTATTGGGAGAAAAGTGTCCTCAACTGACAAGATTAGATCTATCCAATTGTCGAAAGATCACCAATGGCGGCATGTATTTATTTTTGGAGGCCAAACGGGTCAATCACAGCAAAGGATTGGAATGGCTTTCGTTATCGTACTGCAAGAACCTGAACGATGTGACCATGCAACATTTGGCGGAATATACAAACACGACATTGACGTACCTGAATATACAACGATGTACCAAGATCACCGACCAAGGCTTTGTGGCATGGACAAGCAATCCTGTCTTCATCAAGTTGCAGCACTTGTTACTGATGGATTGTAGCTTTTTGACCGATCGAACCATCCAATTGATCTGCCAGGCCGCTCCCTTGTTGACAAGACTGTCGCTTAGTTTCTGTTGTTCTCTGAGTGATAGTGCCATGATCCCTCTCTCCCACATGACAAACTTGGCCGATCTGGATATGAGCTTTTGTGGTGCTGCTGTGTCCGATCATTCTTTGAAATTATTATTATCCATGACTCCTTCTTTGAAATGCCTGAATTTACGTGGCTGTGTGCGTGTCACGGGCGATGGACTCTTGGCTTTACTGGATCATCGTCAACTGCATGAACTCAACATCTCTCAATGTCCTTGTGTCTCCATACAATCTGGCAAAAAACTCGCGGCACTTGTACATCATCTTTCCATCTAAATACATTTTTTATTTATTTATCATTTTTTATCATTCTTTTTTTTTTATATATCTATTTACATCTATGCATCTTTTTTTTTTTTTGTTTTTGTTTTTTTGGAAATAAAAATCATTCTTCTTTTATAATACATCACAAGAAATTAATCGATTTTTGGCAACTTCACCTCTTTTTTGGCCCTGAACTCTCCTGATCAACAGGTCAGTCACTAAAACAGGATCCTTTATTAAATAATAATATAAGTGTAAGTATGTATAAAGTAATAAGTAATATAGCTATATGTGTAAAAATAAAAAAAAAGGAATATATTATAAACAGAAAGAGAGAGAGAGAGAGAGGGAATATCAACAAATATATATATATATATATGTATATAAACTAGAGAAGGAGAATCATCCATCAATGAGCAGTAACAGTAATAGAATGAGCGTGATCCTCTTGTTGTTGTTGTTGTTGTTGTAGTAATCCACGATCCCAAAACTCTCGTAACCTTTCAGATGAACGATACAAATCTCTTGATAGATTATCGGGTAGTCTATCAGCCAATCGTTGAATCATGTGCTGAGATGTGAAGTTGGAAAAGTCAGCAGGTGAGGAAGGAAGATGACGACGTAGACGTTCGGTATTGATAGATCCAGGACGTTTCTTTATAGAAGAAACATTGATTGGTTTTTTATTGATAGATACTTTAGTGGATGAAGGTTGAATGGTCACACTAATATTCTTCTTTTTCCTTTGTTGGTATAGTCGTTTTTGTTGTTGAATAAACCCTGAAAAAAAAAAAAAATAACCGAGTTTAAAAAAAAAAAAAAAAAAAAGATAAATATATATATATTTACCGAAAAACCAATAACAATGAAGTGGTAAAAAAGCAGCCAAAGCCAAAGTAATAGCACCAAAACGATAAAGAGAAAAAGCACTTGAAATCATAAATGTATGAAAAACAATACGAGTGGAAACAAATGTCAATGCAAACAAAGTATCCGATCGATAGGCACGATGAACAGAACCCAAGGCCAAGATAAACGTAGGGATTTCAAGGACACACATGGCAACAAAGATAGGACTATAATGCTGTCGTAGTACCCAGGTCAACACACCAAGATAGGTCATGTGATGAACCCAACCCGTCAATGGATCGATCTTGTTACGATATCGGAACCAACCTATCAGTAGATCCAAGCATAAGAAGGTCATGAAAAAAGTCGTCAACCCAACGGCAAGTAACATGAATGTTTCATCCATAAGTAAAGCATTCAAATTTCCCCTTGGTAAATGAAACAGGACTTGATATACAAACGGTAAGGATCCAACACTGGTGATAAAACTACTAAGAAGTGATAACACATATGCTCGTTGACGCTCACTATGGACATGACGTTCCCATTGCTTAAACCAAACTAATTGAACTATGGCTGAAAATCCAATGGTCCATAGAATCACTTTGATTTCAATATTTGTCAATCCAATCGATAACATTACTTTCATAAAAAAAAAAAAAAAAAAAAAGCGGAAGAAAAAAAGAGAGAGGGGAAATAGTTTTTTTTTTTTTTTTATTTTCTGGTCTCCCCCCAACAAAAAAAGACATGTGACAAAAACGAAAGGGGAACAACGTGCAAGAATCATCTCATGTTATTTGATCATCCCCATCAAAACTGTTTTAAATCAGGTTTCGTATAAAATAATCATTTCTTTTTTATTCAATCAATATCTAAGTATTGTCCAATAAAAAGTTGGTAGCCCGAGTCAAATCATTTTCATTCTTTTGCAAGGCGTCCGCAGCTTGAGAATGAGAAAAACCCATATTTGCCAGTTCTTGTATCAAAGATTCTTGAGTACCATTTGGAAGTGGAGGTAAAGGAGGAGGTAACGTTGGAGATCCATGATGACTTGAAGAAGGAGAAGAAGAAGATGGTGGTGGAGGAGGTGGTGGAGGTGGTATCTGTGGTGAAGCATTAGGTGAATTACCATTTGGATGAAGTTCTTCTTTGAGTAGTTTAGGTGGTAATGCTGGAGCATGATGTCCAGGAGTTGGATATTGAGGTGGTCGAATCCAGGGTCCTAATCATTATATATATATATATATATATGTTAGTTATTATTTAACCATCCATCACTTTTTTTTTTTTTACCTTCTGGATACATGTTAGTAGATGGAGCATGTCTTAAATAAGGTGAAGAATATTGTGGAGTTGGCATAGCAGATGGATTGGGTGGTGGTGTATAATGTTGTTGATCTTGATTTCCTTTTCCATCTTGATTTCCCAGTATCGATCTTAATGCTACAAAATCATTTTCAGGAGTGTCCCATGGATCTGGAGGTGCTAATCCTTGTTCAAACTTGAGATAATCAATATGAGATTGTGCTGATGTCTAATCATTTTATAAAAAAAAAAAAAGTTAAAATAAATCATATATCAAAAACATCATCACTTACTCTTTTTTCTTGTTGTTGTAGTGATGAATAGGAGGGATGAATAAAATCAGCTGGATTGGATGATGATCTATATCTTTGATAAGGTGAATGTTGAAGTTGTTGCTGACGAGTTTGATGTTGTTGTTGAGGAGAAGAATGTGTAGAGGGAGGGTCATCTTGATTTGTTTTGTTTATTTCATGATCAAGGTCTTCACTGAGAAGTGTCTTGTTGCTGTGAAATGGTTGAGGATGAAGAATGCGTGTTTCTGTATCCAAGAATCCAGGTGCAATTTTTCTTGCTGCAGCTTTTCTCTGTTGTAATTTTTCTGCTTGATAGGCCTCTAGACGATCCGCCAATTCTTTTTCTGCTTGTTGTTGTTTTTCTCTCATGGCCACCACATTACTGATAGCTTGACGTTCCACAGAAAAGGAATAATTGGTCTATGTATATAAAAGAGTAATAACGTCATCTATCCATTTCATTCTATTTTATTTATATTATTAGTTTTTTACCAGTTTTAAGGCTTCTTCAGATATAGGTACCAATTCTTTATCAATAACAATCTAGAAATAAAAAATAGGTTAGAATGTCTATATAAGACCCACTTTTTTTTGAAAAGTACCTGTTTCGGTAGTCTATAATGAGGTGAGACCATCACCGGGATATCTTGTAAAACAGAATAACTTGAACCTATAAAACACAATACATTAGTTTATGACATTAGAACTTGTTTATTTACCTTGATCACCCATAAAACTACACTTTTGAAAAGAGCGAGAATAAGGAAAAAAAATGAGTGGTATTTTTGGAGTCCAAAAGAAAAAAAAAAAAAAAGAAATCTCGTTTACTGAGTCAACAATACTTATCGGGCATTCAACTAGACCTCACGTGCAAGACTTCCTCCACTCATTGTATCTTACATAAAACTGTTGTCGTTGCTCAAATCCAGTATATCATATCATTAATACACAAAGTAGTTTTATTAAAATAATAATACATTATAAAAAAAAAAAAAGAATCTATCATCAAATCTATTTTGGAGTTGCTATCCATCCATCACTGTATGCATCCAAGCCATATCGTCTTCACTATCAGATACCTCTTCTTTTGAGTTGGTAGCATCTTCAAACCACAAGTGATCACCATAAGAAATACAGAGTTCTTCATCTTGACCAATATCTCTTAAAGCAACGTATCGAATCAACTGATTTGTAAAGTCACGAATAAAGCCCACATTGGGATCCTTGTTATGATTGAACATGGATCCTAAACCAAGCGCCAATGCCATATAACCATCTTTCCATTTGTATGTATAGTGATCCAGTTGCGTGTACCGTCCATGAGTAGCGTATTCATCCTGAGGAAACAGCAATACTGGTGACACATCGATCAAGGTACGTCGTTTGATAGGTATGGTGGCAAATACCCCTCGACCTTTAAGTTCATCATGACGAAGTTCAAGGCATAATTTATGTTGTGGTAAGGTTATTGCTGAATCATCCATTCCATGCTATACAAACTGTATAGAAAGAAAATAAAAAAAAAAAATTCAAAACAGAAGAAAGAAAAAAAAAATCATTTTGTGCTCCGAATAAGTTTAATTTTATTTTATAGTCAGGTGAAAGCACCATGTCAAAAATGCAATAGATGAATAAAGTTGTGTATGTGTATAATGAATAATAATAATAATAATAAAAGAAAAATACATTGTAAACAAAATAATGACCAAAAAAAAAAAAAAAGATCTTATAAACCACCCAATAATTTGAGTGCCAAAGCTTCTTGATCTTGAATAGTTTCTGGTTCATCCACTTGAAGGACCCGTTTCTTACGACTAGATTCTTCTTGATCATCACTTTCATCCTCATTGTCTGAGCCTTGGAACCATTTACGTTTTTGAGTATATTCTTCTTCTTCTTCTTCTTCTTCTTCTTCTTCTTCGGTGTATTGTTCCATATCATCTTCAGAACCTTTGCCAGCAGCCAATTCACGAGCCTATTAATAACAATAAAGGTGAATAACATATATAATCTATTTAGATCAAACTTACTTCTCTTTCCTTCATCTTTCGTTTCATTTTCTTTTCAGCCCGTTTTTGTTTTGCAACAGCCTTATCATCAATATCAGCCACCTTCATCAATTCACCAGTTTCACTGATAAATGCATCCTTTTGTGTCTTTGCATCACCAGCCTTTAAGAAATCAGATTCATCCAACATTTCGTAAAGTTGATGAGGCTACAATAAATAATAAAAAAACGTCAATATATCATTCCATCATCATCATATAAAACTTACCTTTCCTTCTTCATCAAATACAAGTTTTTCACCTTTAGCTGATCGTTTGGCCAATTCCTTTTTACCCATTTTTGCTTGTCGTTTAGATAAATTATTTGCCTTGGTGTCCTAATATAAAAATGTTTATTAGTTTTCATGAGTTTAATTATTATTATTTTTTTTTTTTGTATTTACCTTCATGTTATCCTCTTCATCACTTTCCAAAGTATGATTGACACGACCCAAAGTCATAAAGTCATCATCATCTTCATCTCCCAATTTATCACCTTCATAATCCACAAGTTTGGTGTAATGTTCAGATAGGATATCTTGATTACGTTTTTGGAACATACGATCATATTTGGTTTTGGTCTACAAGTAAAAAAAAAAAAGTCAATATATTGAAAATATTTTGTATTGATTTTACCTGTTGATTTTCTTCTTGTTCTTGTTCTTCTTCTTCTTTAGTATCAACCACTTTAGGACCCATGGCTTTTTCAGCTTTTTTGACAAACTTGATTTTGGGAGTACCAGCCAAACCAAGAGAATGAGCAAAAGCATCTGCTGGTAATTCAGTCACTTTGAAAATATTCTTTTTACGTTGAAGGTATACGGATCTCATGTATGCCACAAATGCCTAATAATAATAATGATAATAATAAATAATGAATCATAAAGTGATATTATATATATATATATATATATATATTTTTTACCCGTTGACCAAGATATTTAATTTCAGGATCTTGAAAACAAAAGCTTTGTAATTGAGTTTGAATGGATTGTTGTTTATTGGCACGAATCTTGATTTCTTCAATAGGCACCTTTTTATTCTTGAGTTCTTCCAACATACCCTCCTTTTCAGAAGGAACAAGCATCAGAAGAGCATGACCTTCAGCATCAAAACGAGCAGTACGGCCTACACGGTGAATATAAGTATCAGCATCTTCAGGACAATCCAATTGTACCACCCAGTCCACAGCAGGGAAATCCAATCCACGAGCAGCAATATCGGTACAAAATAAGACAGCATGTTGACTATTTGTAAATTGTCGAAAGATATCCACACGTTTGGTTTGTTTCTGTTTGCCATGAAGATGGATGATGGGAATACCAGGTTGAAGTTTACAAAAGCTTTCAAATACAAATCGAGTCTGTTTACAACTGGATAAAAACACAATCACCTTGCTTTTCAAATGTGTCTTGATAAAAGAATAGAGAATATCTAATTTTTCTTGAAGTTCACACACCACATAATGTTGAGTCAACTTCTGAGGAGTGCTGTGTTCTGCTTGTTCATGTACTGCCACGTATTCTGGATCACGTAAACTGAGTCGTGCTAAATCCTTGACTGATCGAGTTTGTGTTGCTGAAAAGAGTAATGTTTGTCGTTGTTTTGGTAAGTTTTCTACCACTGCATTGATTGTACGTTGAAAACCCATATCCATAATACGATCCGCTTCATCCAATACTATATAATACAATCATTATCAGTTTCTTGTTTTTTTTTTTTATTATTATTATTTTACCTAATACTTGAAGATTATCACAATGAAAACCTACAGATTGATCCATATGTTGAAGTAAACGACCTGGTGTAGCCACTAAAATATTCATCATAGCAATACGTTCTTGTTCTACATGGAATTCCTTGCCACCAATAATCAATCCTGCCGAAAAAGTATGAGTTCGTCCAATCTTTTTTAATACTTCAAAAATTTGTACTGCCAATTCTCGAGTAGGTGAAATGATCAAAGCACCAAGACCATCAGAAGCATTCCATTGAGATCGATAAAGAAGATCAAGAATCTTTTTTTTTTTTTAAAAAAAAAAAAATGAGTTTATTATAACATAAAAATGAAATAAATAACTTACAGGGATCAAAAAGGAAAGAGTTTTACCACTTCCAGTTTTAGCAGCACCAAGTACGTCTCGTTTTGCCAAAGCCAAAGGGATGGCCTTACGTTGAATTTCAGTCAATTGAGTGAAATTGGCTTTTTTCAGACCTTCTTTGGTTTTTTCAGATAAAGGTAAATCATTAAAGTATTTTACGTCAGACAATGGTTCCTAGAATGAAGAAGAATATAAGTTTCTATATTGATCAAAGTTTCAAAATATACTTACAGGAGAAGCAAGTTTACTTTCAATAGCTTCAATTTCAGCCTTCTCATTTCGACGACGTATAACACGCTGACTTTCTTTCTTTGGAGGTTGTTTTGATTTTTGTTGATGAGGTGCCATTGTTGTAATTTATTATAGATAGATCGTAACAACAATGAAAAAAAAAAAAAAAAATTAGGTAGCAGGATAAAAAAATGGATTTCCATTTCCGACAAAAAAAAAGGCGAAGCCACTCACTAAAAAAACAGTTTCAGGAGTTTTCTCACTTACTTTTTTTTCAGTCGTTGTACTTTTCTTTTCTTCCAATAACAACATGGATATACGTATTCTCTCACCAGTTTCTACTGATACTGTAGCAGAACGAAGCAATAAAAACAATAAAAAGATGGATGTGGATCAAGTTGAAGCACCACTAGTGAATCCTGGTGAAATCATTACGACTGATCAACAATTCATGAGAGGTCATGGTACATATGCTGAAGAAGATGGTGGACCTGCAGTTATTTCGTCTGTAGCTGGTACTGTGGAACGCGTCAATAAACTTTTATCTGTACGTCCTATGAAAAGTAGATATACTCCCGAAATTGGTGATATTGTCGTGGGTCGAATTACTGAGGTAAGAAATAAAAATAAAATAAAATATATTAATTCTAATTATTATTATCCAAAATAGGTGGCCATGAAACGATGGAAATTGGATGTTAATGGTAGACAAGATGCCATGTTACTATTAAGTTCTGTCAGTTTACCTGGTGGTGTACAGGTAACAAAAAAAAAGAAAAAAAAGAAAGTATATGATTTTTTTTTTTTTGACTTTCTATATATTTATTTATGTAGAGACGAAAAACAGAATCGGATGAACTTCAAATGCGACAATTTTTTGCAGAAGGGGACGTTTTAGTGGTAAAGATCATTTTATCTATTTGGTATAAAAAATATATATTCATTTTCTTTTGGTTTTGTTAGGCGGAAGTACAAAGTTTTTATTCAGATGGAACAATGGGTCTTCATACACGTGGATTCAAGTTTTGTAAATTAAGAAATGGTTCATTCTTATGTGTACCTCCTGTCTTAGTGCAACGATGTAAATCACAATTTCATACTTTACCTTGTGGTGTGGATATCATCTTGGGATTGAATGGATATATTTGGGTCAATAAAAAGTTACAAGGATTATCCAATGTAGCTACTGATGATTTCGATACAAGCGTGGTTTATTCTAGTGTTAACGATGTAAGCATAAGAACAAAATGCCATTATTAGTAAAACCTCATGAACTTAATTTTTTTTCTTTCTTTCATTCATCATAGCCTATCACTGAAGAAGAACGAAGTGATATTGCTCGTGTTGTCAATTGCATTGCTGCTTTGGCTAAGCAATATATGTATATCAATGATACCATTGTGGTTTATACTTATGAAGGTAAGCAAAAAAAAAAAAAAAAAAAAAAGCAAAATAGAAAAAATGATTTGAACTGATGAACGATTCTTTTTTGACATTAGCTTCACTGGAATACTCTGTCAAGGAACTTCTCGATCTGAATGTCATTGAAGCGATTACAAACGAAGCAAAATCACGCATGAACGCCTAATAGGATCTTAACCATTTTGACAATTACATACTCTATATGCATTCACTTTTTATCATATCTTCATCGTCTCCTTCTACAAAGCATTCCATATATACATATATACACTTTATTTTTATTACGAATTCAACCTTATTTCCCTTGTACATACATAGTAGTAGTAGTAGAATTGAAAATCATGAATCAATAAAAACTGATATACAACAAAAAAAAAATGATGATCAAGTAGAGATTTCTTTATTTAACTTTGGACATTATCATCAAAAGGAGTATCAATAAAAAAAAAAGAGGTGGACGAAAACAACTAGGTATAAAGAACTAAAGAAAGAAAGAAAAAAAAAGGAGGAGAACCAGATCAAGGATAATCAGAAGAAGAATCAGTTCTTGATGATTCCACAAGAGTCCAATCTTGATCTTGTTCATCCATCATGATGGTAGTGGTCGCTATATCATGTTCTTCTTCTTTTTCTTGTTCTGTAGCTACCGGATTCTTCGCTCGTGTTTTCTCTGCTGATGATATTGTTCGGTTCCTAGCAAGTTCCATGTCCCGATAAATACACTGTATAGCTGTCTCTACACCAGTTTCCTACCATCATCAAAATAAAAACAGTTAATCCTCTTTTTTTTTTTTCTATATATATATCACTTACTGATCGTATTTTTTCACCAACGAATTTAGCAGTTTTTAGCATAGATTCATCAGTGGACACCACCCTCAAAGCAGCCGATAAAGATTCCACCGAAAGTTGCTTTATACAAAGACCGACTCCCATTTCTTCTACACGTTCACCCCAAAAGAATTGATCAGCAAAGAAAGGTTTGACAACAGTTGGTCTACCAGCACGTAACCCAGCAGCAGTGGTACCTATCATTTTTTAATTAATTAGTAATCACTAAATCATTCATTAGTTTTATGAACTTTACCAGCACCACCATGATGAACCACAGCACGTACTTTTGGGAATAACCAATCATGAGGTACAGATTGAATATTCAGAATCACTTTAGGATATTTTTCCAATAATGAAGGTTCTTCTTGTACTGTGTTTCCTTGACTAAGACGAGAGGACCATCCTTCCGATACAATGGCACGTACATTGGATAAAAGAACAGCTTCCACAATGATACGAATGATTTCTTGAGGATCTGATACAATAATGGAACCAAACCCAATATAAACAATAGGTCGTTTATCAGGTTCATTGAGAAAAGTAAGGAGTTTATTATCAGGTTGCCATCCAGTCTAAATTTAAAAAATAAAGTATAAAAAAGTCGTATCATTTGAAAATCATCTTTTTTTTTTTTTTTTTTTTTTTTTTTTTTTGATACCTGAGGATTATCTAGGAACCAATAACCAGTACAATGAACCCAATCCATCCAATCGAGAGGACTTGGAACGATACTTGTACTAAAGGAATACAGATATGGGATTTTCCAAACTTCCAAGTTTTCATACGTCGTAGCAGGTAATCCAAGAATTTTTTCACGAAAGGCATTGGTACGAGAAGAGATAGCACGCCATACTGCATGATCAAATAGAACATAAGTCATATCGTTATATAGTCGACCTTTTGGACTGTTGGGTGTCGCAAATGGATGTGGAAAAGATCGAGTTCTAGTCATTGGCATTGGGAATGATCTAAAATAAGGTACACCTAGAAAAGAAAAAAAGAGTTAATGATCATATGTATATATTTATATATTGTGACATACGTAGTTTTTCTGCGATATGAACACCAATCATAGCACTTGGGCTTTCAATAAGAACATCCGTACCTTGACATGCTTTCCAAGTTAATTCCAAAAGTTCATCAATCCATACTTTGAACTAATAAAATGAATAAATGAGTTTACATTTCTAATTGTTATTATTATTATTTTCTTACCAATCTTAATCCTTCCACCACAAAATTAACACTGAAAAAATTATTTTCCACACAGATACGCTAAAAATAAAGTAACTCATTAGTAATCGTAATAATAAGATTCGAGACTTACCATCAATTCACCAGGATCACCACCAATACATCGAAATTCAATGTGATGTTCTTCGATCCAGTCCTTGAATTCTTCATGAGTAGCGATACGACATGTATGACCATCCTTCATCAATGACTTGCATAAAGCAATGTAAGGTTGAACATCCCCACGAGTACCAATGGTAATACATGTAAAGTGTAATGGTCTGTCAGGTTTCTGATATTGAAGTTCATTGCTGGTCATTTTGGATAAGATAGGACGACCTACATTATTGGAAAAAAAAAAAATAAAAAGAATGAAAATGAAATTTATCTTGTTTTTTTTTTTTTTTTCTTACCTTGTTCCAAAGGTGGTATAATATGAGGCATATCCTCGTCTCGATAATCAGTTCCTAAAAGTCGATCTTCCCAATCTTTCAAGTCTCTACATAAAAAAAAAAAAAAAATGTTGATCATAATAATATCGTTAGATTATATAAATAAATCACATTTATGCTTTTTTTTTTCTTTCTCAGACTTACTCTTCCGTTTCTTTACTTGCTAAACGACTATCATGAGTTCTTTTGTGTTGTAAAAAAAGTTGAGCAAAGCAACTGTTTCTTCTTGATAATGAGGAGAATTCCAGGAATATCTAACGAAAATCAAATATCCAAGTTGATAAAGGTGAAAACATACATATAATGTCACTTACTTCTTTTTTCTTTTGAGTGAGAATACTAAGAGAATGGAAAATATAACCTTTGCTTTGTAATTTTTGTATACGGAGGACATCTTCAAATGGTATAATCATCTATTGTAAAAATAGAAGTCAATTCAAACTTCCTTTCTTATTTGACAAATAATCTCCTATTAACTTACCTTTGCTTTCGTTGCAAATCCTTTGGAATTGAATGAGATATGATTGGTGGAGATATAAAGTTTGCCATAACATGGAAGAGTTTTGAGTAATGAGCATCGAAAGACTATAAATAAAATGAAAATAATTGAGTATATATATATAATCGACCAATAAATAAATATATATATATTACCTGCAATGAGTTTTTCGGATTCAGGAAGGACAAAATATTTTCGAAAATTGGTTAAAATACGGTCATCAATGACTTCCCCATGGACAGAATAAGAAGAAAGTTCGGTTTCGGTAGTTTCCTTTGATAAGTTTTCTTGATTAGATTCTTTATGATCGTTGTTTTCTTGCATATGATACACGGTTGCTGTGCTACCAGTATTGCCACTTCCAGCCAATAGTCCATAAACCAATTTCATACCTGAGCGTCTTTTTTCATCCAACCAATCCACCATGGCCTTTTCTTCTTCACCAGAACTGGACGAATCTCCTTCATCACTTGACCTTGTATCATTTGGTGTACCATGTCTTTCCAAAACTCGTTGCTGTTGTTGTTGTCGTTCCATACTATCTACAGTGGTTGATTGTTTTGTACTTGAGGTACTATCAGAGGAGGATGGATAAATTAATTCTTTCAGCGCCCCAGGCACTGCAAGAGCATTGGCAACAACGGATCCTACACTAGATGTTCTTGGTAATTTGGCTGGTACAGATGCTGGTTTTTGCTGTTGTTGTACTTGATCGGTATAAGAAGAAGTATCTGCTTTTTCCGATAAAGACTGAATCACTATAGGCTGAGAATTGGCATCATACAAATCGGAAATGGATAAGGAAGGCGAACCACTTGCTATTGAGGATGAATCAGGATGATAACTGGTGTCATTGATTTCCGTTGATAACTTGTCTTCATTATTGGATCTTGATTCAAGTTGAGAACTATTCCATGCGTCCAAAATTCGTTGATAGGTAGATTTAATATCAGGAAAGTAAGCAAAATAATACTATGGATAAAAAAAAAAAGTATCAGCTGCTGCATTATTATTAATGCAATATATATATAAAGGATAACTTTACCTCATCCATAACAAAACTATCTTCTATACCGACCACCCGGATTTTCAAAAATTGTTGGAATTCAAATGCGTCAGTGTATTCAATATCCAGGATGCTGCTAAAGGGAAATGTCATCTTGAGGTTTGAACCAGAATTTTTTGCCTTGAAAATTGCCTTTTGAAAGATTGCCAACCTATTAAAAGGAAAAAGACGAGTAAATTGATAGACTCTCATTTGATCATATGATAACTTACCATTCCATCATTGCAGAATCAGTATCAGCTTTCAAATGCCAAGTCTTATTCATAGTAACGATTCTGAATCCATGTTGTCGTTTCTTGGATGGTCGAACGGATAAAGTATATTTGAGATCAATTTTGCCCAGGGGTGAGTAAGTATCAGTGGCGCTTTCATACCATGCAAGCACGTCATTTTTGAGATCAAAATAACAACGTCGATAATAATTGCCCATTTTTCTTGAAGTCTTGATCATCATATATCCAGTCTTGTGATATCCTTGCTATTCATGTGATCAGTCATATAAAATAAAAGATAATGAATATCCTATTTTTATTTTTATTTTTATTTTTAAATACCTGATTACTAGGTAATGATGCATAAAAGCATACATGTTGTTCAGTCAAATAAAGGAAACCTGGTACAATGGCAGACCGTACAATATAACATGGCCATTCTAAAAGAATATATATATATAAAGTGAGTCAGTCGCTTGTCAAATGATAAACAGTTGTTATTCATACCTGCTTGAAGTTTCTCTGTACGTGGTAGGTGGAAAATGAGTTGTACAGTTTGATCTATACTTCTTTTCATTATATTGTCGTTACTACTGCTTAAATTATGTAGTTCAGACTCTTCGTCATCTTCTTCTTCTTCGTCGTCGTCATCTTCATCGTCTTCTTCTTCTTGTTTGTCACTAAAAGATCTATGAGATAGTTGATCATTACTTGTTCCCGTTGCTTCGGCTAATAGTTCTTGTATATACAGTGGTTGATTGGTGTTGTCTTTGTCAGTGCTGGTCAAGTCCAATTGGAAGTCGTGTTCTTGATGCTGAGATGAAGAGTCGACATCTGACCATGTTTGTGTACTATAAATGGCTTCTATAGATCGGCCTAGATCTTTTCATCAATACAATAAAATGATAAAAAAAAACATTAGTATATATCAAATATGTTTTGTTTTTATTTTTTATTTACCACTTGAAGATCCTGTCATGGAGTTAAAAAAAAAAAAAAAGAAAACTTATTAGTATAAAATGTAGGAGAGAAAGTCATCTTTTCATCTTTGAAATAAGTTTTAAGATTTACCTAGTCTTGTCCCATCACCGTCTTGAGCTTCCAACTAAGAAATAAAAAGAAGAAGAATAATGATAATAGATGAGTTAATGAAGTGTATAATATGAATAATGAAGAAGAAAAAGAAGAAAAGAACGAGGGAAAAAAAGGGGGGAGGAAAGTAAAAAGTTACTTACTGCTAATGCTGCTGCCGAGACAAATTGTAATACACTATGATTGACGGTATCCATATATATTAATATATCAATATATCAATATATATATATATATATATTATGTTATATTATATTATATAAGTATATATGTTTATATTAAAAAAAAAAAAGAATAAAAAAATAGAAAAGGAAGATAAACGAAAAAAAGGTCAACTGCTGCATTTTTTTTTTTTTTTTTTTTGGGCTATCACGTCGTTGCTGCATTGTTCGCAACCTCAGCAATCACACGGCATCTTTTTATTCTTTTCCAAACTCAGTCTCATTTCTCATTGGTCACTTTTACTTACGTTTTTTTTGGCCTTAACTCATTATGGCTACAAAAAAAAAAAAAAGGAAAAATGAAGTATAGGGAAATAATCAAAGTAAAACTATATCATTATTATTAAGTTCAATGATTTGTATGATAATGTTGTTGATTGATTTATTTCCTTTAATGATGATTTCCATTTGGTCCTACCATACGCTGATTCAACGTTGTTACATATGATGCTTACAATCTCCGAGTTTTTTTTTTTTTTTTCTTGTTCAGGCGGTCAAACACTTTGGAGTTTTTTTTTTTTCTTTTTAACTTTTTTTCTTTCACTTATTGATCATGTTTGAAAAGTCCCTGACAGACCTTATTCGTGGAATACGGGCAAACAAGAAAAATGAACAACGATATATTACTGTTTGTTTACAAGAAATACGAAACGAAGTAAAATCAAACGATGCTGATATTAAAGCCATGGCTGTTGCCAAGTTGACCTATGTAAGATGAAACACATACTCCTATTATTTCTTTATTTAACGCGCTTTTTGTATAGTTACAAATGCTTGGTTATGATATGTCATGGGCTTCATTTCATATAGTTGAAGTTATGTCAAGTCCTCGTTTCCTTCATAAACGTAGTGGTTATCTTGCCGCTACACAATCTTTTCAACAAGATACTGATGTTCTTATGCTTACCACTAATCTTATCAAAAAGGTATACTAAAGAAAAAATATAATTTCATATGAAACTAACTTGTATTCTTTAGGACCTTGCATCTCCCAATCCTCTAGATATCAGTGTGGCTGTCAATGGTTTATCTCATATTGTCACTCCTGACCTTGCTCGGGACCTATGTCAAGACTTGGTGGCCATGCTAAATCATTCTCGTCCTTATATACGGAAAAAGGTAGTTCTGATGCTTTACAAGGTGTTTTTAAAGTATCCTGAAGCACTTCGTCTTAGTTTCCCTCGTATTAAGGAAAAACTTGAAGATGCTGATCCTTGTAAGTCCAATATTTATATATCACCTTGAAATTGATATTGACCCTCTTTTCTTTTTTTAAAGCGGTTGTTTCTGCGGTAGTGGGTGTGATATGTGAATTAGCTCGAAAGAATCCCAAAAGTTATCTTTCGTTGGCTCCTCAATTATTCAAATTGTTGACAACTTCTTCAAATAACTGGATGCTTATCAAAATCATTAAACTGGTAAATAAGATTAAAAAAAAAAACAAATAAAAAAAAAGAGTATATCAAAATAGTGAATTTATTTATTATTATTCTTATTATTAGTTCGCATCATTAACACCATTGGAACCTCGTCTGATTAAAAAACTCTTACCTCCTTTGACCTCACTGATTCAGACTACTCCTGCTATGTCTCTTCTTTATGAATGTATATATACTGTGATTACTGGTGGATTTTTGGAAGCAGCCGGTGAATCAAGTCATGCTTTGGCTTCTACATGTGCAAAAAAGTTGAGAACCTTTTTGGAGGATCCAGATCAAAATTGTAAGAAGAAAGAAAAAAAAAACTGTAATATCTTTAAACCACTCACTTTTTTTTGTTTTCTTTTTTTTTTTTTCCTTTTTTCTATTTGATTATTAATTTTAGTGAAATATGTTGGTCTGTTGGCTATGGGAAAACTTCTTTTAACTCATCCTAAATTGGTAGCAGAACAAAAAGACATCATTTTGGAATGTATCGACGATGAAGATATCAGTATCCGTTTACGTGCTTTAGATTTGGTTGTTGGATTGGTAAATCAATGAATGATCATTTTATTACAGAATGTATTTCTGACATGAACATATGGATTTTTTTTTCCTTTAGGTCAACCGCAAAAATACTATGGATATTGTTCAACGCCTAGTATCACATCTTTCGGTTCCTTCCTCTGAAGATTCACCTGCTTCAATTCATGAACCTTCAACCATCCTTGATCCTGTTTATAGAATGGATATCATCAATCGTATTGTCTTTATTTGCTCTCAAGCCCAATATCATAATATCACCAATTTCGAATGGTATATCTCTGTCTTGGTTGGAATCACCCATACTGCTGGAGTAAATGTAGGCGAACTCTTGATGAATCAATTAATGGATGTGGCCGTCAGGGTGAAAAGTGTACGAGAATATTGTGTTCAACAAATGGTAAGTACATAATGATCTCCAAAGAAAAAGGTGTTTGGAAAGACTAATAGTTTTTGTTCTTTCCTTTGTTCTTTAGTTCCATCTACTATCCGATCGACAATTTATAGAAACATGCAAGAAAAGAGATTCCAACATTGAGGTATTGACGGCTGCAGCATGGATCTGTGGTGAATATTGCAAGTAAGTATCAGAAAACAAAAGATCCATATGAGGATATCGTCACTCTGTAATATAAGAGTTAACCATGCCTCCGTCTCTCTCTCTCTTTTTTTTTTTTATTCTATTTGTTTAGTTACTTGGAAGATATACCTACTACTTTGGAATGTTTACTTGTTCCCATGGTTGCTCGATTACCTGTCAAAGTCCAATCAGTCTATGTTCAAAACATTATGAAGATCTATGCTTTCTGGGTAACGGAACTGATGCATCAATGGAATCCTGAACTTCAAGGCGAATTTCTCAAAGTGACTCAGGTTATCACCGACAAAATGGATATGTTTACTAAAAGTTCGGATATTGAAGTTCAAGAACGAGTAAGTACAAAGAAAGATATAAAAACTTGTGTATTTGCTTACCATTTTTTTTTCGTAGGCATGCAATGTCAAGACTATATTCAAGATTATTATCGATACAGTATCCGGATTTACTAGTGATACTGATGGTCAACCTCCTCTTATACTTGAAGGTCTTCCAGCCCTCTTCTTTATTTATGAACTGAATCCTGTGGCTCCCAAAGCACAAAGGAAGGTCCCTGTTCCTGAAGGTCTTGACTTGGATGCATGGATCAATGCTCCTTTGCCAGATTTGATTGAAGACATGTATTCGGATGAGTCATCTATGGAAGGTGTGGTCAACTCTATAGTTTCAAAATCGAAATCAAAGAAAAGCAAATCTAAACGCCGTCATTCCAGACGACGCAGTAGTGAAAACGATGAAGAAAAAGAACGAGTAAGTGATTTGAATAAAATAAACAATAAGAACAAAAGGGAAAAAAAAAGATAAGATAAATTTACTAACTGCTTTTTATTATGTATAGCGTCGTATTGCGCGTATGGAAGCTCATCGCAATGATCCTTACTATATCATGTCTGACAAGTCCGAACAAAGGAAACATGATCGTCTATTGGAACTAGAAGATGTGGATTCGATACCCATTGTACAATTATCTTTGGATGAAGAAAGTAAGAAAAAAAAAAGAAAACAAGAATACAAGAATACAAATGAATCCTTGAATCATTATGATTTACTTTTCCTTTTTTTTTTTTTGTCTGTAGGTGATAGACCAGTGAAACATAAGAAAACAAAAGGTGGAAGTAAGAAACGCAATCATACCAGGATACCTACACCACCTCCACCAGTCTATGCGGAAGAAGAAATGCCAGAAAATGCTGCGATATCAGGAAGTGAAATCGATGAAGACAATACAAATAAGAAGACAAAAAAGAAGAAGGCAATCGTACCAACCATGACATACACTAGAAAGGAAACCCATGATATATTTGCATCTAATGATGACGCTATTTCTGGTCTTCACAGTGTAGATCTCAACACTCCTCTTGGAGAAGAAGAACATTTTCCTCCACCTCAAAGTTATCTCAGTCCTGAACAGGTGCGTGAAAAGGAACTTATTCGTTTGAAGGCAGAACGAAAGGAACGTCGTGCTGCTGCTGCTGCTGCTGCTGCCAGTGATTCTGTTAAGAAAAGCAAAAAGAAATCATCTGCTGAAAAGGTACGATTGAAAAGAAAAAATGGATGATGACCTATTGAATTCACTCTCTTTTTTTTTTTTTTTTTTTCCTTAGAGCGAAAAAGCTAAAAGCAAGAAATCGAAAAAGTCGAAATCCAAATCTGTAGAAAATGACAAATTGGTAGAGAAACAAGAACTAGGACACGAACAAGAACAAGAACAAGAACAAGAACATGTACAAGAACAGGACGAGAAACTTAGCAAGGACTCGAATTTGATATCCCTTTAGTATAGTTTAGTATAGATAATAATAAAATGTGATTTTTTATTGAATAATATAATCTAGCTACAAAGTTGAAGTTATTATCTTCGACAAATGGTATCACGTTTTGGAGGAAATCAACGAAGAGGGAAAGATGATAATATGTGGAGATATTGATACTTAACAAATATTGTTGCCAGGAGGAATCACAATTGCCATTGAGGGAGAAAGCTTCGGTTTTGTGTTGGTTGAATTGAGCGTTGGATACAGAGGCGTATTGGGACATATGGATTGCAGCACGTTCATAATCATCAAGGTTGGACAGGAATAAACAAACATCATCAGCATAAGCCAGGCATTTCAGAGCATCAGAAATAACAGACACGGAAAGATAAAAAAAAATAAGGAAAAGGGCATAGATCATAAAAGGCATAAAAATTTAAAAGTCAATAGAAATAAAAAAAAAAAATTGAAAAATCACAGTCGGCCATCAGTCATCAGAGTCAATTTTTTAATTGCACTGTATTCTTCCAAGAAATCTTTAATAATATAGGAACGTGAGGAAAGTCCAGCAAAGTCGATCGAAGCCAAACAAACATTATGATCGACTGATTGAAGATACTTGAGCATATCTATCGTGAATCAAATAGAATGTCAGTGATGTTTTTTTGTAGCTGAATAATTTTAATTTACCTGGAGTACTTCCTGTTACATGTTCTGACATAATACTGCTGTAATTTACTGAAACAAGCTTCAGCCGCTTTCTTCACTGATAAATCGCTCCAAGGAATCCATCAAGAAATTGTATGCGGGGATGACTATGTTGATGGTGGGATATTGTTGAATTGATATGAATTTCGTTGCTTCTTCAAACTCCTGAATAAAAAAAAAAAAAATGTTAGAGCATATACAGAACTACTACAGTAATAGATAAAATATATCATTTTACCTCCAGTAACACTTTGATCCGGCCAAGGTAGCTCCATTCGTCATCAGTCAATAAGTTTGGGCTGTAGGTCAGTGTCTGTTGATATCAGCATAGTAAGAGGGGGGTACAAAGTTCAATAGCCTTGTCGATCATAAAGTAAGTAGAGCTCCATCTGGTAACCACGTCCAGTACAGGCTTGATTTTTTTCACATTGGCACATCCGTCCCGTAATCGCAAAAGATGATCCATCTTTTGTGGTGGCATCCTGGTTGACTTTAGGCATCTTCCCAACTAGCGTAAGACAAAATTGGTTAAAGTCAAGTAGACAATAATATTTATGATATAGTATTAAGTATTTTTCTTTTCATACCTTCTTCAAACAAGCCGGAACACTTTCATCATCGGTACCGTCATTGGTGGGTTGACAACAGAGAGCAGCAAGAGCAGATTGGATAGCGATATTCATAATGTGAGCCAGACATCGATCATGGTTTTGTTTGTGATCAAAATCGAGTCCTTCCATCGTCCACAATTTTTCCAGTTTTCCTTCATCATAGTCCCGTATCAGTCACTACAGCCAGAATCTATAGAAGAGCAGCGGTATAAAATAGATCCAGGTATCAGTAAAATCAAAATAAAGTAAATAAAAATAGAAACATTTAGTTACCTTGTTCTTTATACCAGTTAAACACTTGTCCAAATGATTAGCTAGTTCTTCACCCGAGTGTCTTGTTTCAACATGAATAAAATCCAAAAGAATATGGTTCAATCTAAACTGCTTGTCTACAAAATGACCAGTTACACCCATGAACGAGAGTTGGTTAGGAGAAGTTCACATGTCAAATGTAATAGATATCTTGGACTCCAGTTGTCGGGAAGGGTCCAATATAGTCCAGGGAGAATTGTTCAAACAGAGAGGTACCAACCACATGATGATGATACCGAGGACGTCCTGGAGGTGAAAAGAGTTGACATGTGTTGCAAATTTTGAGATATTCCTTGAGTTCAGAATATGCAGAGTGCCATATGGACGCAGAAGCATTGAGATAGGAAATCAGCTTCTTGAAAAAAGGGGATTCCACAGAAGTAAAGGCTTGATCATCACCGGCCACCCATTCAGCCAACAGAACGTTAAACCTGTCGTTATCAAATATGACTTGCCTACAAAAAAAAAAAAAAAAAGAGCTAATACATAAACAACATATCCTTCTTCGACCTATCCCAATTACCTTTGGAAGAGTTCGTCAATATTCCGTTGCGTTCTATCAGGCTGTTTCTTCAATTCATTTGTAAACGATTGTATGCTTCGCTTTCAGATGCTTCCATTGTCCTGATGTAGATCCATTAAGACACTTCACCGTAAATTGACTAAGAAAAGATAAAATATAATAGTTAGTAAAAGGCTATAGTATAGTTAGTCTATTGCAATTACCTATTGCTTTCCAAGCACAACAAACATTGAGCCCCTTCGCCATTGTCAGCTGCCATGTAGTATGTCCATACACCACTCTGCTTTTGACGCTTACTTGGACGTTCTGCGGTTTGTTGTTGATTGACTCTCTGTTGCCGATGGACTAGCTAAGGGATCCATGTCAAGACTCGAGATGTTTCACCTTCATACAAGTCAAAATGGCCATATACCAAGAAAAGTAGTTGGATCAGTAATGTCGTTCAAAGAGGAGTTCAGTGGAAAAAAAAAAAAAAAAAAAAAAAAGAAGGCACCGCTGTGTCAAAAACGACTTTGATTTTTGGATGATTTTTGAACACCAGCAAAAAAGATCATCCAAAATCAAAAGTTGTTGCAAAGCAGTTACACACATGCGTGTATCATCTACGTGCACCACGAAAACCATTTGGCGTGTACCATTTCGCGTGAGCTAGAAAAAATGATTCACGTGCGCCACAATTCATTTGCACGTCAACTTTTTTTTTTTTTATTTGCGCGTTAAAAAGAATCCGGCCACCCCACAAGAAACTTTGAAAATCCAGTATATTCCCAACATGGAAGAATTGAAACACAAAAAGAAAAAGGGACCATCTTTATTTTTTTTCAAAAGAATCATGTGCCACTAGATTGTCAGGTTTCATAATAGGTGTAGCAACTGGAGCATCATCAATGTGCGGCAAACTTCGAATGCTATTGGCTGGGAAGTCGTAACACAATAGGTCAAGTTCGGGAAAACTATATATTAAAGATAATATCATCATGACATCTAATCTCTATGAAAAAAAATAAAAAAATAAAAAAATAAAACACCATGAGAGATAATAAGCGAGACGATTGGATCGATTGAAAATTAAAATAAAAAAGCACTTTTGTTTTGAGTAAAAAAACTTTATTTTGTTTTCACTTTATTTATAATTTTATCGTCCCCCTTTTTTTTTCTTTTTTCTTTCTTTCTTTTTTTTTTTTTTCTTCATTACTCCAAATATAGGATGAAGTGTCAATTATTCAGTGTTTTTGCTGGATTTTGTTTGTTGGCTACAACCGTTTCTGCAGCCAAGACGGAAGTAGGTGCACCTGGAGTGATGACTGCCCCTGATCAGTACAATACTTTTGGTAATGTAAATTGGAATAGAACCTATGGTCCTACTGAACCTCAACAAATCCATATTAGTTTGGCCAATGATGCTAAATATGCCAAGGTACAATTCGCTACTAGTCAAGCCATTCAAGGTGGTCAATTGAAATATTGGTCTAAAAAACAAGCTTCTAATAACAAGGCGGTTGTGATTACCACCAGTGAAGTAAATAATCATAAAAAGAGAATAAAATGGAGTGATTGATTTTTTTTTTTTTTTTTTTTTTTTTTGTATAGGATTGGACATTTGTGGATGGTGGTAATGCCAAACGACCTTTGTATTTGCATAATATTCAAACTGATCCTCTTCAACCTGCTACCATTTATCAATATCAAGTCGGTGCTGTTAGCAACAGCTCAAGTACCATTTGGTCACCTATTTTTGAATTCCATACTGCTTCTAAATCCAGTTCTTTCAAATTCATTGCTACTGGTGATATTGTAAGAATCATCATCTTAAAAAAAAAAATATCTATATCTCATAATATCATTTCTTTAGGGTGTTAACAATGCAGTGGCAATGGAACAAATGGTAAAATTGGCAGGTACTCATCAATATGATTTCATTACTGTTTCGGGGGATCAAGCTTATGATATGGCTGATTTTGATGGTATCAAGGGGGATGAATTTATGAATTTTGCTCAACAAATCTATTCCACTGTTCCTTATATTGGTGTTACCGGCAATCATGAAGGCGCTTACAACTTTTCTCATTATAAAAACAGGTAAATCACTTGTTAATATACTCTTCTTTTTTTTATTTTATTAATATATGTATATTTATATATTAGATTCAACATTGTACCATATCAAGAATCCAAGTCTGAAGATGCATTATTCTATTCCTTCAACTATAAATCACTTCATCTTGTCTCTTTCTCCACCGAAGTTTATTTGAAACAAGGCTCTCATGAACAAGTACAAACTGCTTTGAATTGGTTGGATGAAGATCTGACTTTGGCCAATGAACAACGACATCTTCGACCATGGATCATCCTTATCACCCATCATCCTATTTATTGTTCGGATAATAGTACTGATTGTACTGTTGATGCTCCTATGATCCGTAACGGTCCTATTGTGAATGGTGCTGCTTGGGGAGGTTTGGAACCTATTCTTTTAAAACATAAAGTGGATTTATATCTCGGTAAGAAAAAAAAAAAAAAGGAGGGAAGTGTGATGATCATTCTTCTTTGATTCTTATTTTTTTTTCTTCTTTTGTTTTTTTTTTTTAGCTGGTCATGTGCATAACTATGAACGTACTTACCCTCTTTCCAATGATACTCTTCAATCTACATCTTATCACAATCCTCCTTCCTTTTTCCAAGTGATCAATGGTAATGCAGGTAATCCTGGAGCTCCTACTCCTTTTTCCCCTGATGATCCTCATGCTGACTGGTCTGCCAAACGATATGGTTCTTTTGGTTTCTCTGAATTCAAAGTATCTCCTACCACATTAAAACTCACTCATCATGCTGTCAATACTGATGGTTCCTTGGGTCAAATCATTGATCAAGTCTCTGTCACCAAATCACTTCCCAAGAGAAAATGAGGTTAACACTAGTTGTTTCATTTTTATTTTCTTTTCTATGATATGCTGGTTACTTCATAGTTATGTATTCTTTTTAGAAAAATTTATTTACCGCCTATTTATTCAAAAAAAAAAAAATCCTTTTATTCAAAAAAAAAAAAAAAAATCCTTTCCTTTCCTTCCCTTTCTCTTTTTCACTAGTATTAATAAAATCTCCCAACTACTTATTATTATCATCGTATTTATCACAATGTCCAAATAACTTTTTCTCAAGCAAATCATTCTACTCTGGAACGTCAATTCAGCACAGATTCAACGTAGTCAATCTCTTGTTGTCACCTTTTTGGATGAACTTACAAAAACCAAGGTTTTGGACTACTGAATCATTATCATGGATAGAAGAGATCAGGCAAACTCGGTAAAATACGATAACACAAACGATCTTTTTTTTTTCTTTTGGGTGAAAGATAACAATAGTAAGAACGCGTTGTATATAATTGAACTTGACTGTTAAGAAGCACAGTACTAATCGTCCATTTCTTTTTTTTTTTACAATAGTTACTATTCTATTTATCAAACCTTGGATTGATAAAACTACGACTAGCCGAGCTATCAGCTTTTGTATGATTCAAGAAAAAAAACGCTTTAGGCCTTTCTTTTGGAGGTAAGCAATAAGTAACGATGACAAATAGAGAAATAAATATTCTATAAATTTTTTTTTTAAAAAAAAAAAAAGGTACACAAGAAAGGAAATAGAGAAGTGATTATTGACGTATGATTTTTCTTTTATGGTTGCTTTATGCCATCTTTAGGCTTTTTGTACAACTTGGATGAACACTGGGGTATCAGAGGGGAACGTACAAAGTTGGTTGACATTATCCTTTTGTAGCAAAGAAAGGTTACAAAAAAAATATATATATCAAAAGGAAACTATCTGGTAGTATACCATCAACCTCGATCAACCTGGAATTCTGCGTGTATCAGTCGATAGAATTATCTAGAATAGTATTACTTTTTTTTTATTATTATATTATTGACATTGTTATTGAATAAAGGTATCATTACACAATAGTTATTGAAGATAAGTGAATTCGGGTTTGATTTATCCGCTCCATCAGTGAAACCAGGTCTACGGACGATTATTAATCCTTCTTTTTTTTTGCATAAATAGAAGCTGAATCGTAATGCTTTTTTTTTTCTTTTGTTAGTTTTATAAAGTATTTACCATCTTTTTTTTTTTTTTGAACAAATCTACTTTTGAACACAATCCATATCATGTCAGTAACCAATGAACGTATTTTTATTATTGGAGGCACTGGCAATGTAGGTGAAAGAACAGTGAAAGCGATTGCTGCCAAAAAGGTTCCTATCACTGTCCTTTCTCGTGATCCTAGTAAAGCACAATCAACATTCAGCAGCATTGATGCCAGCTTATTAACCGTGGTGAAAGGTGGCTATGATGATCTGGATACATTAAAACAAGTTTTTCCTGGTCATACACGGCTCTTCCTCCTGATCAACCATGCCCTCGGTCGGATGGTACAAGTCAAAGGAGCCATTGCAAGATTGGCATTTGCTTCTGGTATCAAACAAATTGTGGATCTCTCATCTTCCGGCTTTGGTATTCCGTTGTATGATAATTATCTTCTTACACAACATACCCTTGCTGAACAAGCCATCTTGGATGCCGCTGCTGACCATGATGATGATCGATACGTGGTTTTGTTACGTCCCACTCGATTCATGACTAATCTGGTGACTTATTATCGTCCTGGCCTCAATGATTTTGAAGACACTTTGGATCCTGATGAAAAACAATCATGGATTTCTCCCAATGACATTGCCGGTGTTGCTGCCTACGTGTTGACCGATGCCATGGCCAATCACGCTACCTCCGCCTATGAACTCACTAGTCAAGTCATCACCCCTACGGAACGTGCTGCCATCTTGAGTCGTGTGCTAGGCAGATCCTACACCTATCGTCAAATCTCGCCCGCTGACTACTTTAGCACACTTTCTCAATCGCTCGCTAATTACTTGCCTATCCGTTGCATTTACGATATTGCTACCATGGTTGAACACACTCCTCATGTTTCCCGTGGCATCTCCATTTTCTTGGGTCGTGAACCTGAAACACTTGAAGCCTTCTTGACTGCTAATAAACACCTTTTACCTTAATCACTCTTCTACAAAAAAATAATAAAAAAAAAGTACTGAATTTGTTGGCATCCCTTCTAACCGTAATGAGTAGGGCCTATTTATGAAAGTGATGATGATTGAATGTTGGATAAGAGGATGATGATAATGATGATGATGAAGAAGATATAGAAACATAATTTTATTGAAGAAGAATAAATGATACACTATATATAATATAGCTAACGCTTGAACCAACTACCAGTATAAGTATCACCACGATGTAAGAGTAAAAGAAAAGAGAAGCTAATCAAACCAGAAGAAGATCAAGAAAAAAGAAAATACTTTTTAAGATTTGTCTTCCTTGACCAATCGGCTCTTGTCGTAAAACAGTACATCCATCCTCTCATAATACCTATTCACTTGATCCAGTTGTAATATTCATTCATTTGATCCAGTTGTTCACTTGTCCTTGCTGTATATCCACCTAATCTAACTTAACTCTATCCACATAAATGTGCACAGTAAAAAAAAAAAAAAAAAAAAAAAGTGATGAAGAACGGAAAGAGAAGAGAAATTTGTTGAGTGGAGGAAAAGTCTTTTTTATTTTGGATAACTCAGAGCCAAAAATTTGAAGCCAAAAGATTTCAAAACTCCTCAATCGACTGGGATGAAGGTTGAGCCTTATCCTTAAGCTGATTATGGCAACGTCGATGATGAATGACAAAAGTGATTCTGATTTCCATTATTTTATCTCGACTAAATTCTTATGATTTTGTTTGCTCTCAGTGTTGCTATGATTTTTGATTGCATTGACATCACGTTAAAAAAATCCAACTAGTTAAAACGAGTATATAATGATGATTGCGTATAATCATGAATGCATATAAAATAAGTAATTGTAAAGAAATAAAGCTCTTTAAATTTTTTTTTTTTAAAAAAAAAAAAAAAAAAAAAGGAAAAAGGAATACTGTAATGGCAAAAAAATTTTATTGAATGAAGATTAATATTATGCTGAAGTTTGGTGCTTTGATGATGATTGCTCAGATGGATGAGGAATAACCTCAAATGATGGTGATCGAGAAGAAGATGGTGGGGACTTGAAACCGAGATCTTTAGCAGATTGATATGTATTACTGGAAACATTAGATGGCCGTGAAGGAGTTTGAGGAAGCCCTTTTTTATCAATGGATGGTAATCTATCGTTGCAAGGACCATTGGTATTCATGCTGCAAGAGGAATGTAGACGAGATTGCTTTGGAGATAATGGCGAATGGCATATGGTTGATGATGGTGGGGATGATAATCTTTTGTCCATTTTGGTAACCCATGCTGGCATCTCTCCATTCATCTTATCCATATAATCATCATGGTGTATCTGACGTTGTAAGGCTTCCTTTTCCAATTCTGATATTTCGAATGCAATGGCTTCTGATCGACACATCCGACCCTTGAAAAGAAAAGCCAATGCACCCATCAAGGCTGTCAAGATGGTCAACAATAACAATGCACGTTGCATATTGTTGATTGGCTCACCCTTGGGATCACGAAGTGCATCCATCACTGCTAGAATGATGAATCCAAAGATTTGTCCACCTTGCCATAAAAAGGAACTTGACGTTGCTTCTGACACTGGATAAGCCGCTATATAAAGAAAAAAAAAGGTTTATTCATTCTCTTTCTATATATAGTTATTTAAATAACGCTTACTTTCACATCCCGTCTCCATAGCAACTGGGACTAAAAAGGAAACGACAAACTGGTTGAATACAGTCAAATATAAAACCATCATGAATGAATCCTTTTTCACTGATGATAAATGGATATGATTGGTTAGTCATCATCATTGACTCTTAGAGTTAACTTACTCAATAGGTAAAAACCTAGATTGGAAAAAAAGACCAAAGGTGGAGTAGCTTTCAAAAAGAGTTTATGTTGTTTTGTGGCATCAAGAACACAACCAGCAATAGCTAAAAAAAAAAAAAAAAAGGATGTTAAATCGATTCATTCTTCCATCCTTTTTTTTTTTTAATTTTACCACAACCAATGGTTCCAGTAAAAAAGGCGATAGCATTGATTTGTCCAGCTTGAGTATCGGTGTACCCATAGGGAGAAATGATTTGTGTAAATATGGTGCCAAACGCAATACTGATACCAACATTAATACCTTGAATGAGAAAGATGATCCAAAAAGGATAATTTTTTGACAGTAACTTTAGACCTTGATAGAAAGAAGGTCGAGGTTGTCGAGAGACATGGGATGGAGGATGAGGAGGCTTGACAGGCATGAATAATAACGCAAGTAATGCACAAGCGGCAGTAGCACCAACTATATAGAGCTATTGATTGATATGGATGAGATTGCCTGGTCTTGACGATGATGATGCCTTTTTTTTTTTTTTTTTTTTTTTTTTTTTTTTTACCGTTCTTGGAAGATCGCTTGTTGATTTTGTGATGGTTGGAAAAACAAACATAACTAGGATAGCCCCGTAATTTGAAGCTTTATAAAAGTGATCCACAAATAAATCCAGTCAATATACATATACAGTCATTCGTACTTTTTTTTTTTTTTTTTTTTTTTACCAACAATCATTCCGGCTGTAGCTCTTAGGTTTTCAGTAAACCAAGTTGAAGCAAACTGAAAGTAAAGTTATTCAATGATCATCGTTAAGAAACAAAAAAAAAGTATATTATTCTTTACCAGAGACATGATGTTTAATGCAAGAGGTGCAGCAATTGATCCGATAATTTGGCCTATCATGGTTAATGCAAAAGAAGGTGGTTTTATATTGATGGCAATGATACGAATAACAGCACCTAAAGTACAAAAGAATCCTGCAATCAACACCTTTTTTTTTTTTAAAAAAAAAATAGAAAGCATTAATTGTCTAAATCTTTTCTTTTTATATTTGAAACTTACTGAACGTTTAACACCTAGTTTTTCATAAATCCATCCAGTGAAAAAACTCATGATGACATATACCAGTCCTTGAACATTAGCTAACCAATTGATGGCTGTCAAGGATACTTGGAAAGTCTGTGATGTTAGATTGGGTACTGCACTATAGGTGAATTGGAATACCGCTGTTGCTATACGAAGTAGAGTCAAAATAAATAATGCAATCCATGCTTGAGGGTATGTTTTGAATGTTGTATCATCATCTTTTGGAGAAAATGAGAAATCCATTTGTTTTTTGACAGTATCATGTTTCCTTTTAGTACGAAACACCATCATGATTTAAACGGTAATATTTTAGAAAAAGAAAAAAGAAAAAAAAAAGAAAGTTTATAGATCTACACTGTTTCGTTTTTTATCCCGATATGATTTTAAGCAATGTAACAATCAAACATAGTGTACCAATGAAATGAAGGTTGTTTGTCAAAAGTAAAGAATCGGGATTTATCATTCAAAGGAGTTACACATTAATGATTTATGATAAAATGATGGCTCTTCATATGCTCATATATCTATATCTATATATATATATATATATATATATGAGATCTTGTCTTCATTTAGATCATTATGATTTGATCTTGTGTGAATATAATCATATAATATATTTTTATCTTATCTTCTCGAGGAACATCGTTTTTTCTATACAGCGAATGAGGCGGGCTTCAGAAACTGGAGGATCAGAAAAAAAAAAAAAAAAAGGAATTTTTGTAGTTTCTTAAACTCTCTCTTTCACTCTTCAAATATTTATGACTATTACAGATCAAGACTGGATCAATAGAATCACTTGCAGTATTGGTGGTTATGATTCTCTTATCACTTACCTTGTTACCAAGATTTGTACAAGAAAGGCTCAACTTGAACGCCAATGTACTAATATTTCTAAAGGTGTCGTTCTTCATGGAAAGCCTGGTACTGGCAAAACAGCCTTAGCTTTAGCGCTTGCAAGTAAGTCTAATATCCTTACATTCTTTTTATTTCTCATTATAACGTTTATTAATTCTTTATAGAAACATCCAATTTGCCTTACTATGTTGTGAACGGACCTGATATCTTCCAAACAGGTAAATAATAATAATAATAATAATAAAAATGGAGAATACACGCGTGAATCTAATGATTATTATGTATTTAATAGAGGAAGGGGCTTCCGAAAATAGACTACGATCCATCTTTACCAAGGCAGCTAAAGAAGGACAGGAAAACAAAAGTATGGTATTAGTGATTGTAGACGAATGGGATATGCTTGCTGGAATCATGGCTAAGAATAAGTCAGGATTGGATACACGAATTACTTCCATGATGCAAAGTTGTATAGATCAACTTGACAACAACAATCATATCTTTTTACTTTGCTTGACGAACCGGTTACATGCTATTGATCCTTGTTTTTTACGGTCTGGAAGAATGGACGATGTACAAGAACTAGTGGTTAAATTACCAGCTCAACGATTGGCGATTCTATCTATTCTCACTTCAAGTATGATTTCATTTTTTTTTTTTTTAATATATGATACTAACTGATGTTTTATTGCTTATTGTTAGAACTCTCATTTTCATCCGAACAAGATCGACATGACATTCTATCTTCTTTGGCTAACCAAACTCATGGATTTGTCCCTAGTGATCTATCAAGTCTTTGTAGTCAAATTGTGCTACAATTGGTGAGACAAGAAATCATGTCAAAGCAGGTAATGATCTATTTTCATTTATGTCTATATAGAATTTTTCCACCTTTTTTTTTAACATATATATATGTATATATACAGAAATCTATAGTCCAATGGGAACATGTTGAAAAAGCTTTATCTGTTGTTCATCCATCCAACATGAATGCCTTTACCAATCGGGTGCCCTCTGTGAGATTCTCTGATCTTTATGGTATAGATGATGTGATTGAAGATATCAAGGTAAAGTAAAAAAAAAATATATATATATATAGAGGACGAACTAATACAACTTTATTTTTTTATTTTTTTTTTTTCTAAATGTTAGACATCAGTGATTTATCCATTCAAACATCCTGAACATTATCTTCAATTGGGAATATCTCCTCCTCGTGGTATTATGCTTCATGGGCCAACTGGAACAGGCAAAACGATGCTTTGCTCTGCTTTGGCTTTGGAATCCGGTGTGAATTTTGTCTTTGTCGAAGTAAGATTTGTCTCATATAATAAAGATACTCAATATTTATTTTCTATTTTTTTTTTTTTTTTTTTTTTAGAGCACTCAACTGCGATCCAAAATTGTGGGGGAATCCGAAAAGAACATTGCTGCCATGTTTGCTCATGCTAGGTCCAATGCTCCATGTATCTTATTCATTGACCAGGTAAAATTATATTCTTGGAAATGACTATTATCCATTCTCACATGTGATTCTTTTTTTTTTTTTTTTATTTATAGATTGATATGTTGTTACCAATGCGAGGGACTGGATCAAGTTCTGAAAATACAAGTGATCGTATTGTTACTGGATTCTTGACAGGTAAGAAAGTGTAAAAATAGATTGAATCAGCGTATTAAATGTATCTTCTTCTTTTTTTTTTAATTTGACATCATATAGAAATGGATGGTTTATTGACCAAGGATAATAATAATAATAATACAAACATGGAATCATCAGCACAAATGGATGTACTTGTAGTGGCTGGTAAAATCAAAAATAAATAAAAAAAAAATGAATCACACAATGGTGAAACTGATACCTATTATTTATTAGCAACCAATCGATTACATGCGGTGGATAGCGCAGTATTACGTCCTGGTCGATTTGATGAACATATTCAATTATCTATACCCACACAAGACCAACGATTTGCCATTCTCCGGGGATTATCTAGCAAGATGCCATTAGAATTGACTGATCTGGAACTCAAGACGCTGGCGTCAACACATACTCAAGGCTGGTCAGGTAAAAAGAGAGAAAAAAAAAAAAAGAAATCATGCTAAATAGCAAAATTTCATAACACGCTTATTGTCTTTTAGGTGCGGAACTGGACAATTTATTACGAGAATCAGCCATGATCTGTTTACGAGAAAATGTGACAAATGACAAGGTATAGTAGAAAAGATTTATCTCTTTTGATCCTTATTGACTTTTATTTGATTTAGATTTGTATTCGACATATAGATCAGGCTCTTTTACAGAGAAATCAATCAGTATAGACTTTTTGTATTATATTTGAATAAACTCATATCGATGATTTGGTTGTTTCCAAGAACCTTTTTTTCATTATTTTCTCTTCATAAATGAACCATCTAGTATTGACAACTTTATTATTACCACCTGAAACCTACTTTTCTATAAAATGTACTTTCTTGGTATTTTTATTTTCTTCTCTTTCTTTTTTTCTTTTCTTTTCTATTTCTTCACTATCATGACATATTATTTGAGACTTTTTTTGTCCCTCGCATCTTATAAAAAAAAAAAAAAAACAGTATTGACTTGTTGACTGACACATACATTTTGAACGCATGATATTTTTATTTCCCGACGGTCACTTTTTCTTTATTCCAGTTTTTCACTTTCTTCTTTTTTTTATTCTTTTTTTCTTTTCCTCTTTATTTCTTTACTTTGATTCAGCATGTATGGTATATATGTGACCCTCAGTTATTTAGTGTTTTTGCCGTTGGTTCCTGCCTTAGCTCACTGTGCCTTGTTTCGACATGAATTCCTACCGTTAGTGTCTCATTGGTTCAGTTTATCCAAAGTACCATTGGATCCCTTGTTATTAGCGGTCAGTTTGGTATCAGTGTACGTGTATTTCTTTTTGAATCTTGTTCTGGACGTTGTACAATCCATTCGTACTTTTTGTCTTCAATGTGAACAAGACAAAACTACTACTAGTAATAGTTCCAGGAGAACTCAAGAATCAACATCTTCATGTGTATCCAAAACTTGTAAAATCAGTGCGCGAGTGACTCGTGCTTATCAACAAGCTGTCCATTATTATCCTGGTAAGTAATAAAAAGAAAAATTGACTTTTTTTAATTTTTTTTTTTCCTCGGTAGGTTTTATCGCGTCGACTTTACTTGTATGGGCCAACACCAATCGATTTGATACTTTTAGTACAGCGTAAGTTCTTTGAATAAAAAAAAAAAGGAGGTATTCATTTTTTTTTTTTTTTTTGGATTAGGTTTGTCATTATTCAAGTATTTTTCCTTTTGATGTTACCATTGACCTATGGATGTCCAGATACAATGATTAGTCATATAAATCGTATTGGATACCAATGTGCTTTGTTTTGGACATTGATCTATGCTATGTTTCCTCGTGATATTGGTTTTTTAATGGATCTTGCTGCTTATCAAATCCACCAATTGTGCACTCCAACCCCTACTGATATATATTATACCCCGATTCTTTAGTTTTTCATCCTTTCTTTTTCTTTTTAGCTAGTTAGTTTATTCGTATTCATAAATAATTATCCAACCTATAATAACTAGCCATACTTCAAAAATATATATCAATAAAAAAAATGCTGTTGTGTTCTTTATTTGTTAATTCAAAAAAAAAAAAAGATATGTGTATAAAAAAGAAGTGGAATAATGAAAAAGATATATAAATGAAATCAAAGAGGAGGAAAGGGTAATACTGATTGTGAAGCTGGAGAGGTAGAAGTAGGATTTCGACCTTCATCAACATCTTGATCCGGAAGAGTATCCTTATTATTATTGTTGTTTTTATCTGGAAAGTTGGGACAACTCTTATTTGTTTTCATATGACCTAATTGACCACAATTACCACATCGTCGCTAAAAAAAAAAAAGGATGATTAATATGATAAAATAATATATTCATCACAAAGTTTCTTACCATAGCACCTTCTCGTTTACCACGCATCAAACCCAATACTGGATTCTCAGCTAAAGCCGCCGTTTTAGATAACTGTCGTTGCCGTCTTCGTTCTGTCATTTTCTTTAGTTTGGCCAATTGTTGTTGAGTTTGTTTCTTCATACGAGCATTCTTTTCATGACTATTGGTAGGATCGATGGCTTCCAAACTAATTCAAAAAAAAAAAAAAAGGTGAATCATTTCATTCTCTTTTTTTTTTTTTTTTTTTTTTTTTTTTTTTTTTGCATACTCTGCTGTATTTTCTATAATCAATTGTCGTTGAGCTATATATGCTTTGATGACGGCTGGATCACGTACAATTTCCACTACTGGCTTGATTTCCCCATTTTCTTGACGCATTTGTCTGGTGATCTTTAATTCCCGATTTCGATGTTGTGCTTGTGAACTATAACTTTCTGTCACTGATATATTGTCATCCATATCATCATAATAACCTTCTGAATTCGCTCGATCGTATCGTCGTTGATGTCGCCATTCCATATGATCTGGCTATAAAATATTAATGTGAGCAATTTTTCTTCATAATTTTTTTTTTTACTTACTGTCATCGGGCTATTGATTTGATCCAATTCCCTTTCATCTGCAGAAGAATCATCCATATTATCTTGTGGAGTATAATCAGGTTCTTCAGTTTGACTCAATGCATTCCACTGAGCATTCCAAATACGTTCAATCTATTCATAAAATAATTAGTCTATCATCCTACTCCATTAATTTTGACTTCACCTCTTCCTTGTAAACTTGTTGTTGTTCAGCCACATTATAACGATGTGCACTTTTGGGTCTTGACTTGATTTGGGCTAAATAAAAATAAAAAAATATATATGTATATTCGGTTTTACATACATACATATATATATATATATATATTCTTCACTTTACCTAGTTTCATTTCTGCAGATTCCCCAGCACGTAAAAAGATATCTTTCATAGATACTCGAATAAAGCTAAAGCCTTCACCACAACCAGTAGGATCTCCATCACCTGATAATTTCAACATGGCTTTGCCCTGACATGCATTGATAAAATTCCGAGTGGCAAACCAAGGAGCGAGTTGTTGTTCTGTTTCCAGTTGAGAAGTACTATTATCATCTTGATCCACAGTATCGTTGATGTTACTATACCCAAGATCTTGCAAATGTCGTTCACCCACCAACATACTTTCATAGAGACAAACCATTTCGGGTGTACACATGAGCCGTAATTGATCTTCTGTAGGTGGATGTCGTTCTCCCGTTTCCTTTGATGGTCGTACTTTCCAATAGCCACCACCTTTATCCTTGCTATGTCTGTTGAATTCCAAAAATTCCTTGAGTCGTTGTCGTACTTGGATATCTTGATATTCAGGGAATCGGGATGCCAATTTGGACATCTTCAGTCTATGTTGAGGGTGTTTAGCGAGTAATCGATAGGCAACAATTTGAAGTCGATTTTTGACTGTTGTAGTGACACGTCTTGATTGCGGACCTGGCACTTCTTGTACTGGATATGTTTGTCCCATCACATATAAAGCTGGAATTTCGCGAAGATAGTAGCGTGATTGACCATGATACGTGCTGCGTACAAGTAAAAAATCAGTATGACGTACTTGGTGACTGAATAGAGGAGCTCGGACCATGTTATTATACATCACTGGTATAGTTTGTCCTGGTTCCACATTTCCAAATGTCATAAAAGGTGATGTATCCTCTACTTCGAGTACAAATGGTTCACCGATATCCATCTACATTGGTGTTTTTTTTTAAATATATATATAAGATTAAAATGGGTGAGTAAAATTTGTGTTATACTACTTGTTTTTCTTTCTTTTTTTTTTTTTTCTTACATGAGGAATATGATCATCTTTTGGGTCAGTCTTTCGATAATAATTCACAATCAAAGTTCCCATTCCAACATTTGATATGATAGGAGGATGTTCTTCCTAATTAAATAAACAGAATGTAAGAGAAGCAAGTCAATTTATCATTATAAGTATTTTTTTTTACCGAGTATTCCAACAAAACGAAAGAAGAAGTATCTTTCAAAGTTAAATCTTTGGTTGTTCGCATGATAGCATCATCATCAGCTGTTGATCCATTAACATTTGTCCCATTTGCCGAGGATGGTTTCTTGTTCTTTTGTTTTTTCTTCATCAATCGTACACGAGTAAAAGATATATCAGTATTGACAGGGAATTGGAATAAAGGTCGATGGAATGACCGTAGTTCGGATTTGGTCATCTTAGTTTTATATAAAGTACGATGAAGTTGTAAGGCAGGAATAGAATGTTGAACTACAAGTTGTCCATGAGTTTGACGAACACGTACTACAGCAAAATTCATATCGTAATGTCGATCGTTTGAAATGTTGAATCTACTTTGAGGTAATTTACTTCGGGAATCAGGATCACTAGTGTATATCAAAGGCATCTAAATAAATTAAGAAAAGGAGTTAATTATATCTTCTCTTTTTCACTTTTGATCAACTTGCCTTTGGAATAGGTCTTGGATTAGGTTTTCTTCCTTTTTTAACCACATGCTTAATAGGTAATAATTGTTGTTGACTGTCTTCCATGGATTCTGCATCAAATAACATATGAGGATCATTCAAGTCCAGTATCACCTTGATGGAGTCTGGATCCAGTCGTGATCGATCTGTTGATGTCGTTGTTGATTTTGTAGTTTTATCGTCACCTTCATCATCCCATATGACAGATTCAAGCCAGTCTCCATTTTCCAAATCATGGTTAAGGATACTGTCGCCAAAGGTCGTTCGTTTGATTCTTCCTTTATTTGTTGTAGTGATTGCCGTCATAACAGCTGCATTTGATCTTGCCAGTTCGCCGGTTGCCCGTAATCTTTTTTTTTTTTTTTTGTGCAAATGATAGCAGGGAAGTCAAAATCCATCATCATAATTATATTTTTTTTTTTTTTGCTTATTTCTTTACCTTGTTGGTTCAGGATCATCCCATAATATTTCCTTTTCCCATGGTTCAAGCATAATAGCATGATAAAGATGATTGTCCATACCCAAATATCTTTGTTGATGTAATCCTTTTGTTGTCGTAGATTGATGTCTTTGTTCTAGATCATCATCGTCACTATCATCTTGATCATTTTTTGATATATCCAATTTTCTGCGTTTGTAAGGTTGATGAAGGAATATATTTTGTTGATCAGCTGCCATAACATAATTGAAACCATCTCCCATATACACTATTAAAAAAAAAATAGAAGAAAGAATTGAATAAAAGAAAAAAGAAAAAAAAGAATTTGCATAACAATGACATTACTATGATCAAGAGGAGTTTGTATTTTGGTGCGCCGTTTAATCCGAGTCATGAATAGATCAGAGAATTTTAGAACCTTGCCCCTTTCAAATGCAGGAAAAAGTTGAGTAATATCCATAGCAGCATTATTAGTGACGGACTCCGGGAGAGATGATAAGTAAGAAGGGGATGATGATTTAGGAAGTGGTGTTGATAATTGAGAAAGAGGTGATGATGACATGGTTGTGGTGATGGATGGTAAAATAGGAGGTTCCTGGGTATCGTAATCATCATCTTCTTCTTCAAGATATCGTCGAGTAATTGATTTTGATACTGGATTCTTCTTCATCCTTGATACTGGCATTTTCGATAATTTTGAAGGTATTGAGTTTCGAGGTCGAGGTAAATATGGAGTGTTGTTTTTTGTTGGTGAATCATCAGGTACAGTTTCGTCAAAGTCAGAATAGTCAATAGCAGTTGCTGCATGTTGTGTCATGGGAACGACATGAATCGCAGTTTCTTCTTCTTCTTGTTGTCCATTTGTCATATCATCGTCATCGTCCAAATCGCTACCAGTTTGATTATGGGAAGTCTGAATGCCAAAAGTATCTGGGTTGAATATTTGTGAGAAGACATTAGCATCAACATGTTGTAGAGTTTGTTTTAATTCCTTTTGTAAAATGTAAAACAATAAATATTAGTAAACTCTTCCCATTTCGACTTTCTTTCCCCTTTTTATTCTTCTTCTTCTTCTTTTCATTATTTACTTCATCTAGGTCATTATCCAACCGTCCTTGTTCATCCACATTTCCAAACAAATAACCGGCGAGAGACATGATAACAAAGATATTATTATATTTACAACTAATAGAAAGAAAAAAAATTGATAAGTAAAGAGAAAGAGAAAAGAAAGGGAGGAACTGTTTTTTTTTTTTTTTTTTTTTTTTTTTTTTTCTGGAGTGCTCTTTGCTTCCCACTCTTGGATTTCATTCTCCGTTGTCGATAAATTGGTTGGAGCAAGAAAAGTTCTTTTGTCTATCCCTCTTCTCTCTAATGATTTCGTTACTTATTTTACCAGATTTATTTACCCTTTATCAATTACCAAAAAAACACTTGATAAATATGCAAGAAGTTCTTGAATGGCCTTGGTATACAATCAGCAAGACAAAGGACGAACTTTCTCTTTTACTTCCTTCTCAAATCAATCCTAGTTTCCTTCAAGATAATGTTGCTAAAGTGGAAGAAAACTGGCGTGCTTTACAAGTGGATGCACAGATGGATTTTGGCCTTGTTGGTATTCTAGCATCTATTATTAATCCTTTACGTGATAATGGTATTCCTATCTTTTGTATTTCTACCTTCAATACAGACTATGTGTTGGTGAAGCAAGACTCTTTCGAAAATGCTATTGGTGTATTGACTGCTGCGCCTGGTATTGTGGTTAAGTCTGGACTCTCAGTAATGGATGAATAATTGGTAAAAAAATTACAAACTTCTTATATACAATAGACTTGACTGTTTTATTTCTTTGATGATAATATTAATAATAATAAAAAAAGATCCAATTCATTTTTCGACTATGTCTATGTATTGTTACGCGTAACTACAGGTGCGGTGGTTGAACATTGTTATATTCAATGAAAAAAAAAATCTATACTGACTCTTCTCTTTTCATCTTATCTTAGAAGAATGTCAATACATCCATATTATCCTCGGCACTTGGAACTAAACGATTATCAACCCAACCAACGAACCAGCATACAATTGTTACTTACAGTAGGGAGTATTGTGGGCACAATACTCATTGGATCCTTCTATGCAGCAAAACGACAAAGACAACATGTCAAGAACTCTGATTATTTCTATTTCTGTTGGTTCATCTTGTGTGGTTTCTTACATTGTGGGTTTGAATCATATTGGGTGCTGTATCGTGATCAAATAGCAAGTCGAACCGATCTTTTCGCCGAGTTGTTTCGTGAATACGCTCATAGTGATTCTCGTTACATGATATCGGATCCTTTACTGGTTGCTTTGGAATCTATGACTGTGGTAAATAATAATAACAATAATAATAAAAAGAATTGAAATAGATAAATAATATATAATATTAATGTAGTTTGTTTGGGGCCCTCTTTGCTTTGCTTCTGCTTGGACATGGTGGCAAGAATCAAATCATTATATATTTTATCAATTATTGGCGTCCCTGGGTCACTGTTTTACTTGTACTCTTTATTTTGTATTGGACATACCAACTGGATTTCAACATTGCAATCCACATCCTTTTTATTTTTGGGTCTACTTTGTGGCTTTCAATGCACCTTGGATTATCGTTCCCTGTACTATCCTTTATTACAATAGTCGAATCATTTTACATAGTTTAGATTTATACCATGAAAACAAGAACACAGATACAAATAAAACCAAGAATGCCTAGTTGGGATATTATTACTTTTTTTTATATAATTATTACTATTATAAGATTATATACATATACATATACATATATGTATATTAAGATAGATAAGTAAATAAGTGAATATAAGGATATATGGATTGGTTGATAGATAGATAAATATAAAATCAAATACCAGAGTCATTGGATAAAAAAAAAAAAAAAAAAAAAGGAATTCATATAGCAGTGATTTGATCTTCTAGAAAGGGTGATGGAGGAGTACCTTCGAACATGGCATCAAGATAGGAAGGTAATTTACATTCGGTCACAAAATCATGTGGGGTGGTATTAGTATCGCCATGGTAAAGCATCATTGTCATGGAAGAATGAAGTGAAGACATAGGGATTTGAGTTGGCTGAACAGGAGCTGGAGAACTGGGTGGTATACTACAAAACACAATAGGGAAAGAAAGAGTCATTTTTTTCTCTTTGCCTTCAAAATACACAGCTAATCGTAATTTATGTGTAATGATTAAACTAGTGGTATTAACGGGTGGTACCAGCTGAGGATTATTCAATGAAATAGAAATAGCTAAAATAAAATCAAATAGTGAGTCATCAAAAAAAAAAAAAAAAAAAAAAAAAAAAAACTTACATAATCTTTCCAAATCATCATCTTCTGAAATTATATGTTCTTTATAACCTACTTTTCGAGGTTTGACTTCTACTTGATTAGTAGGTAAAGGTTCCGTTGATGATTGAACTTGACCTGCTTTTATTCTAATTAAAAAAAAAAAAAAAAAAAAAAAATAGAAAACATGATGTGAATTTGCAGATAATAAAAGAAGAATAAATGACGAAAGATGTTGTCATGACAATCTATGATCATCATCAACATTTTTTTTTTTTTTGAATGAACTTCCTTCCTCCTGACCCCCCTCCTTTTATATATATATATTTGATGATAAACTTACGGAAAAGTTTCATATTGAACAAGGTAACATACTAGTTTGGAGAGCCGAATCAAAGGAGATAATGGGAAAAAAGAACATTGAAAAGAGAATTCTGTAGGTTTGGAGATACCTTGGAACCGAATATATTTCGCTAAATGAATTTGATATCGTAAGGCATTCGGCCGGGCGCCACAATAACGGATTCTTGGTTGATGGGTCAGGGCATACAGACTACCTAAATGATGACATTCTATCGTCAATGGCAATCGCACCGTTGGTGGCGCCGGGGTTGAAAAGGATGCGAAAGACGCGGATGATTTGAGTGATAACATGGAAGTAGATAAAGGTACCGAAGAGGATGATTTCTTTTTAAGCACCTTGAAAAATGGCCATTTTTTTGAAAATAATTGAGAACGATATTTTTTTGATGATGACGATGGTACTTGTGATGATGATGATGATGATGATGATGACGTTGATGGAGTAGGTAATGATACATCAGAAGTAGTTGGTAGAGAAAAAACAATATCCTCTTGTACTGTAGCCGTTATATAATAACTAATTAAATGCTTGGGTGATGTGATGGATGGTGGTAAGTGTTGAGTGTTTTCAATAGGAAATCGAAATGGAACATCAGTTACTTCGGTCAAAGAAAGAATGCCAGGAGTGATGGTCAACTGTTGGTCTAATACGCATTCCGTCACATTCGCATACCCTCGTGCGGAATAAAGAATGCGATCTAAAAGTGGAAGTGTCGTTGTATCTTTACACCACCGATAATCACCCATTCTATCAGAATCCGAAAAATCAGAAGTCAACATAGTTTGAACATGGCCTTTCAAATGTAAATGGATTTGTTGAACAGAGATGGGCTTGTACGATTGTTTTTTATGATTGACATTGTAGTTCTTTTTATCCTTTTTATAGATGATCGGAATTAATCGAATATGACCACGTAGATCATATGTCTCATTCATCGTCGTCGTTTCATCACGAAATAAATGGATAGTATCCGATTCTGGTATGATTTGAATTTGAACAGTATTTGGCGGCATCTTTCGTAAAAAAAAAAAAAAAAAAAAAAGATGAAGAGAAAAGAGAAGAAAAGAAAAAAAAAAGAACGAAAAAAGGTTGATTTGTGATCAAAACAGAGAGAAAGGAAAGAAACACAAGAATGATTAGATAGAGGGCACAAAGGAATAAATTCACATGACCAACCTGAAAGCATCATCACTTCCATTTTCAGTAACTTTTGACTGGGTACAACAAAAAAAAAAAAAAAAAAAAAAGGTCGTAAGGATAAACCTTACTTATCGCCCTTTCAATCTACTCTTGATTGTTTAAAACACTCCTTGCATATTTTTTTTATGATTTGATGTTTGATATTGAACATAATGAAAAAGAAAATATCGAAGTAACGATGATTTTCTTTTACCTTAAGATCTCATGAGTAGATTTTTTTGAATCATCACCTTCAGTTTAAGAGTAAGTAGCGTAAATCAAGTATTTGAAAAAAGAGGGGAAGCTACTATGACAACATGCTCATCGATTTTTTTTTTTAAAAAAATAAATTATAATGACCAAGATTTATCATTAAGGATGAAATAATTGCCCTTTTGATAGGAATCATCTATTGAATAATGATCCCTTCAATAGTAGTAAATATCTTAAATATATATATGTATTTATCCTTACAACAAGTTAAAGAGGAAACAGCAAAAGAACTTTCACATTCTTTATATTAGGCATTCCAATCTTTTTTTTTTTGGAAGATAACATATTGAAATACCGCTCTTATCGTATGATTCATTGGATAAGTTTATATCTAAGATCAACATCGATGGAATCATTCATGGCGTAAACAAAAAAAATAAAATACATTCAGATCCAATGCATGTTTGTTAGATCTTTACTTTTATTTTTTTTTTTTCCCATGACTATCAGCAGGTATATCCACCCCACACATAGTTTGTGGCTAAAAGTCTTTTTTTAAACTTTGTATTCAATCCGTTTTGGCGCTTCACGTGCTCTCACTATTTTGTTGTTGTCTTTTTTTTTTTTTTTTTTTTTTTAATCATAAAGCCTATTCACTTGACTACATTTCTCTGTGACAACGTTGCCATTCAAAAAAAAAAAAAAAAAAAAAAAAAAAAAAAAAGAAAAAGGAGATGATTCATTTACAAACAAACATCTCAGGGCAAATGAATCAACACAAAAAAAAACATTCCAAGTAGAATCAATGATCATTCTCTCAAGATATGATGATGGTCCCTTCACTCCTTGAAATCTTGTTTGGTGTGGGTAGTTTCACGAATAAACTTTCTTTTGAACTTCAATATCTAAAGAAAGGACAAATGACCGCACGTCCCTTTTTTTTTTTAGTGATTCTTGAATTCATTTTTGGTAAAGAAAAGAATGAATGATAATCATAAAACGTTCCTTAAATCATATTAAATTCTGACTTACCTATCTACAATATCTAACTAACTAATTAACTATTTTTTTTTTCTTTTGGATTTATTTCGAAAGTTTGGCATGTGTTGCCCAAGTGGTTTCCTTTTTAGTCGATTTTGATTTGGAGCCATCTGGCTTTTTCGTGGTAGTGGTAGTGATGGTGGTGATGGTTACTTCTTCCACAATCAATGATGCATTGTCAGGAACTCGAGGATTCCAAAACGTGGGTTTGATGACATATTTCTTTTTTGGTTCTTTTACTACAGTGTCACACATTGTATTAAAAAGTTCTTCTCTATACGCTCAGTGGGAAAAAAAAAAAAAAAGAATATAAAGTGATGATGTTTGTTTACCAAGCAAAAAAAAAAAAAAAAAAAAAAAAAATTAAAGTGCTCCCTTTATATGATGTTTTTTTTTTTTTTTTTTTTTTTTTTTTTTGCAAACTTTTTGATGACAACTGAATGACACATCATCTGATGGAATATCTCTCGACTTGATGATCAGAGTCATGCATAGAAGAAAGAGATATCTACTATCACCATGGATCATCATTCTAAAAAGTCATGAATGCTCAAAGAATATTTTGTACCTGGTGTCGTGACATTGAAACAGCGTATGGCCTCTTTGGTGAAACACGCTTCTCTTCCTCTCTTTCTTTCTTTCTTTCTTTTTTCTTCTCTATTGCCTTTTTTTTTTCCTTCTTTAAAACCTGGATATGGAACTTACTCTGGAGCCTTAATTCAACTTGCTAGGTTAGTGCATTGTTTACAATAATCGCGAATGGATTCACGGCACACGTTGATATCACAATCAGGCAAAGAAATAGTCAAGGATACATGTAGTGACAAGAGCTTGACTGAAATGGTCATGGTAAGAAAGGCAAAGGTGCACGTATCAATAGGGTCTCATTTAAGATTGCTTCTTTTCTTTTTTTTTTTTTTTTTGTTTCTTTTTTGCTTGATACGCGTCTGACGTTACTTTAGAAAGGTTGATGGTCACCAATCCCGATAGGCAAATAGTAGAAAAAATTCGGCCAGCTTCATGCAAGTTGACCAAATTCCAAACAAAAGCTTATTTAAAGGTGCTAGTTTTAGATTACTGTAATATAGACGACGGATTGGTTTTTGAAATAAAGTTTATACTTTCTTTTTATCTTTATATTGACGGCTTTTTGTATCGTACAACTACTGATGATGATCGATTCTTTACAATGATGAGTTGATGATGTATGATAACGGATGGGAGTGATGGTGATAGATCATCTGTGTTGCGGGATGGTAGATGACAAAAGTTGATAAGTTCTAATTTCTATAACCATGACTAATAATGGTTGATGGTGATTGATGATCAGTCATTACCTGCTAATTTTAATTCAATAAGAACTGGCTATCCTTATTCATTGAAACATTCTCTCTCTTTTTTTTTTTTTTTGAAGGTGGATATCGCTAATGTCAATGCTACAAACTGCTTTCACCTTGATCGTCACCATGATTGAGATCAATGTATGTATATAACAAACTGTATTAGTATTTTTATTTTCCATGGAGAAATCCTTAACGAGCCAACGAATCACAGAGCTCCAAGTAAATATTAAAAGAAAAGAAAGAAACTAGGACATCAAGCCATATTAGTAGAAGCCACAGTCTGAATGATACAAAATCAGGCACATTTAAGAATGTTATATAAAGAAAATACAATATTGGACATAAAAATTGTTGTTTATTTGGTAATAGGAAACTATCAAAATAATCTATAGTACGATCAACTAAGCTACTTTCGATCTTCCTATTGGAATAATAATAATAATAATATTAAGTATATCAAATATCTTTAAAAGGCCAAGTACTTACCACCATGATGATATGATAACCGAAATTGGTCTTGACCTGCCGTTTGTGTGATATTAGTGCACAATGAATAAAGAAAAATACATTAGTATCCATTAAGCACACAGATATAATAAATATCAATTCTACACTATATAATACTTACAGGAGGGTCTGTAAAAATAGGTTTGTCTGTTGGAAACATAAGAAAAAAAAGGAACGATTTAGTGATATGCTGGCAATACATATAATCACCAATGAGATCACGCTTTCTTTTATCTTCAAAACTTACCGCATGTACTTGGTTGTAAAGCGAAAGCTAAGATAAAAGGTAAATAAGAACAAAAGATCGTTAGTATATACAAGAGATATATAATCTTTTCGTCGTCGTCTTCTTTACCAGCATCTTGGAAAGTACCCACCATAGAACCACGATTCATCCAACCAAGGGATCCTGAGAAGAATATAATAAAAAAAAAAAAAAGATAGTCTATTAGTAGCCACACACACACACGTACAAGTGATTTTTCTTCTATTTTCTTACCACCAGCCTTGGCTTTGTCTTCACTATATTGTTCAGCAACCTAAAAAAATCCAAACAGTTGCCAGTTTGCATTAAAGAAATGAAATCAATCCAAGCATGCATCTTTTATTTTTTCGTTCAATATTACCTTATCAAAACGCATATTATCTTCTTTCAATTTGGCCATAGCTTCCATTACCTACCAAGAAAAGAAAAAAAAATCAATTATCGAGAAGAAGAAGAAGAAAAAAAAAAAAAAAGTAAGATAACTTGACTTTCCTACCTTGCCGTGTTTTTCGCATAGAATATGTCGCACCTATAAGAAATAATATGACCAAAGAATGACGGTCATAAATATATATATCCTAACTCTTTTTTTGTAATTATATTACCTTGATACTGTTGGCAGCCTTCAATTTACCAGTATCCTTCTTGTCATCGCCACCGCCTATTTTTCAACCAACCAACATAATCATAAGAAATGGTGATTGACACGTATGGTAACTATTTTTATTAATACTTTACCTTTTCCTTTTTGTCCACTTGCTTGTTTGCCTTTTGCCATGGTTCGTGAAATAGTAGACAAACAAACAAAAAAAAAGGGAGAGGGGAATTTTTTAAGTCGGGTCTCCAAAATCATTTTACAGTAGAATATTATCGATTGATGTATTTGCATGATGATATCAAAGTTCAAACGTCTTTATTGATGTAGGTAACGATGTTGTCAATTGCAAGATATACTAAAACTATAATACCAATAAAACTAACTAAACTGTACAATATATATCAAATTAAAAAAAAAAAAAAAAGAAAGAGAGAAAACAACTAGGTTTCCTTTCATTTGGATGCAACGGCTGATGATGATTTGACAAGTTCAATAGTGGTTGTTGTTGTTTGTTCTGAATAACAGGATGGTCCACGATAATAAACACAATATATTAAAGTAAAGAGAAGAATAATCATTCCCCAACCACCGATAATAATACATAAGACGGATAAAGGACCAAGACTCTGTGCTGCATTGGTATCACTGAGAATTGCCACAAGTACTGAGGTCCATAAAATACATGAAAACGATGCTGTTCGGAAAAAGTTGATCTATCAACAAAACAAAATAAAAAAAAAATGGCTCATTAAGCCAAAAGAAATAAAGTAAAAAAAAAAAAAAAAAGTCTTACCTTGTCAACATAACATGGTTTCGTTTTGATATTGTAACAGATCATAGTCAATAAAATGATGATGGATAAAATGGCACGCATTCTATTTTTGTTGGTGGTTGATTCTACTAAAAGGAATACAATGGCAAGAAGTAAACCTATTTTTTTTAAGAAAAGAAAAGCGAAATCAGTCAACAGGAAAATGTACTTTATCATTCTTACCCATATTTTTGATAAACGCAACACTGATGGATTTGAAGGCAATTTCATTGTAAACTGGTATCCGTTCATAACTTGTTAAAAACATGGTCATCATAAAGTAAGCAATAACATATCCAAGAAGTGATAACCAGAGATAGAGCTGTTGTGAGATATTTGGAGCATGACATCGTAAGGTTGTAGCATAATCATTTGTAGATACATTCAAAGACTGACATGCTGCTGAGCTAACAAAAGTTGTCTATAAAGAAAAAAAAAACAAATCAATAAGAAAAGAGTTTTGATCAAAATATATCTATACACTTACCAACACTGGTATATAAAGTAATGTCTATCATCCAAAAAAAAAAAAAAAAAAAAAAAAAAAAGTTAGAGAAAAAAAAAATTTATGTGGATGATTTACCGCTACAGAGATACACCAACGAACCCAACGATTTGGAATTTTATAAGGATGATACAGATTCACAGTATGGACAAGCACAGCAACAGAAACACTGATGACGGTGATAACAAAGGCAGACCAAACAGTATAAGTATACCACACAGGGGTTCGCATATCTGGCATGAGACCACCGGCATTGAGGACCAAGGAAGCGAAACGACTGAATTGAGAGGAAGTTGAAGAATTGTCGAACGAGTTGACAGTGATAAGGTCGCGTAAAGGAAATGTCAAAAGTTGGAAAAATTCGATGATCAAGATAGCGATCTGTACCCAATTTGACCACATGGATTTGTCCCAGTCTTCAAATTGAGTTTTGTAAATGGCATTCATATGGGCGTCATTGTCACCAAAGAGTTGTTTTCTTTCACGGTAATAGAATCGTTGACGAGTGATGAGGAAGAGATTGATACACAGAACAAAGACAAAGAGACCAGCTTGCAGAGTTGCTGATGTGGTATGAGTAATAACGCGATTACTAACGGTAGCGATAAGTAAGACAAGAGATATCAGGATACCGAGAAGGAATAGTATGGAAAAAGAATGATGAAAACGATGTGCCCATACTTTATAATGTTCCCTGGATATAAGAATAGGTTGCGGTCGACCAAGGTAGGAAGATAAACTAGGATGAAAAGATTCTTGGTGTAAAGAGTTTGTAGGTAAAATAGAAAGCGAAGATGTATTCGATAGTATAATATTTTCTTTGTTGTTGTTGTTGTTGGATGAATAGTGATGAGGAAAAGTGGTGAAAAAAGAACCTTTCCAGACAACGACTAAAAGACCCAAAAAAGGAATTTTAAATGCCGCCTTGACTTGATCTTTCAAATTCTCGACTAATTGATCCACTTCCTTTTGACGTTCTAATTCTTCTTCGTGACGTTGTTGTAGAGGTACTTTATGCCATTCAGTAAACCAAAAATAAAAAACGAAGGATAGTAGTAATAAAAAGATAATGGAAAAGAATAAGATGATAGATACTAAGTCATTAGGAGCAAAATCATTTCCATTGTATTGTTGTTGATATGATGCATAACCGATACTTGAATTGTTGGCCATTATAATTGTTTATACAAATATAATATACAATAACATATATATATAAAAATATTCCCGTCAAAAATATATAGGATTATATATATATGATTGATATCAATTCTATGAATAGATAATGATTACTTGTATCTTCATATATAAGATATGATTGTCTATAGTACAATTTGTTTCAGAATGAATCTAGTTTTGAATTCACTCTATTCGAAAAGTAAATATGTAAATACAAGTAATAAAAAGTCAAAAAAAAAGAAGAGAAAAGAAAGAATAAGAAAGACGAAATTGAAATGGAAATCTATAATGATCCTGACCACTTGTTACGCTAATAATGCAATCTAGCTTCCTTTTTTAGATAATTGTTTTTGATGAAAACAAATCATCTTCACCCACAACCAAAAAATGAAGTAACACTGTGTCATACCTCTTTCTTTCTTTCTTTTTTTTTTTTTTTTTGTGCGTAGAGATAACATCATCTTATCATCTTTTTATTTTCTTTTCCAGTTCTTTTTTCCACTTGTTATTAATGTTAATATTTCTCTCCAGTCAAGACGCGTCGAGCGGAGTATTAAACCCGATTTTTTTTTTTTTGTGGATGAAATGATTAGATTGTTTCTTTTTTTTGTTCTTCTTCTTATTATTATTATATTCTCAATAACAAGATCTCTTTCTGTTATTGAAGGTCAGTCTTCTTTCCACTTGGATCAATATAAAATACAATGCTTCAAAAACGACCAAGAAGTGATCATCAAAGTAACCGTGATAGACTGACAAGAAACGTGTTATCTCGCCAAAATAACGATGCCAGGTCCGTTATTACTGTACCTGCTTCTTTACCTGTACTTCCAACTGTATCTCCTGAACAAATGTATTCCAACTTTGAAGAATGGATCAAAATGGCTACAGACAATGTAAAATATTATTTAATTTCCAATATTAGTTTTAACCCATTCTTTCTTTAGAAAATCAATGCTGCCAATAGTTGGAACTTTGCACTTATCGATTACTTTCACGAAATGACCTTTATTCGAGAAGGTGATTCTATCAACTTTCAACGGGCTTCTTGTACTTTGGATGGCTGTGTCAAAATCTATACATCGCGGGTGGATTCCGTTGCTACCGAAACTGGCAAACTCCTTACCGGTTTGACTGATCATGCTAGTAAGCAACAAAAGAATTTTTTTTTCTTTCATATTGATTGTCTTTTCTTACTATTCTCTCCTTCTTCTATTTTTATAATGACATGTAGAGGATGATGGAGAAGATGGTTCTCAAGATGGCGAAGATGGTGTCCATGAACGACGAGTGCGACGAAGGGTAAGATTATTTGTGTTATGCTGTTTGTTTGTTTTTTTTTTATTATTATTTTTACGTAAAAGCGGAAAGGATGTCAATTGAAACAGTTTTTATTTTACAATTAGGCTCATCGATCTGAAGCAACATTACTCAAGGACTTTTCCAGTTTGGCACTAAAAAAATTAGATGTTGACTTTGCTGTAGATCCTCTATTCAAGAAAACATCTGCCGATTTTGATGAAGGAGGTGCGAGGGGGTTACTATTGAATCACTTGAATTTGGACCAAGACTGCAAAATCATTTTTGACTCGTCGGATGCACGTCCTGAAGATGATGAAGATAAACATTCAGAAACTGAAACGTCCACCCAAGTGTTTAGCGATATAACAACCAAAGAACGAACGGATGATAATACCAGCACCAGACTTGCTAAATCTCCTGATGATGATGATGATGAAGATGATGAAGGTATGGATATAGATGAATTGGAGCATCAAATCAAAATGGGAAGTCAAATGATTACTATGGATGATCCTGGACAACAATTACTGACAGAACAACAAGATATTGATATCTCAAATCTCAAAGGCAAAAAAAAAAAAAAAAATTAAATGAAAGCAATGATATTCTAATTTTTTTTTTTGATACTTTATAGCCAAAATTGCATTGGACGAATCTTTCGATGACCTTCACATCTGTCCAACACTAAGTCAGGTCAATTTCTTTACAGACGCTACGATATCAATACCAGGAACTGATAAGGATATTAATATGAACGATGATAACAAGAACCAAGATGGCAATACCCTGGACGAACATTACGATTATGGATTCGATACTTTCGACTTTGATGAAGACAATGAACAAGAGGGTGAATTGATGGATCCTTTTGCAGATAATGATATAAGTCAAATCAATGACACGGAACAAGATGATCTAGTTAATAATACTGGCTTACCTGGGGATACCACTATCGATCAAGTCACAACTATATCCACCAGTCAAGAGAATGAACTACTTAGCTATTTCGACACAACGTTAACGAAAAATTGGGCTGGACCAGCACATTGGAAATTACGACGCACAAAGACAAGTAAGTATATAGATCGATAATATTTTTGATTTGTCTTCAAATATTGTCCTTTTTTTTTATAGTTGATGCATTACATATCACAGGATCGCAACCTATCGGCGATAATGAACATCCACCACCTAAAGAACGACCTCAGAAGAAACCTACTGTACCACGATCCATGATTGACTTTTTGGAGGGTGAAGATATTGTTGAATTGGACATCTTTGCAAAGAGCAAGCGATCGATTATTATTAATCATCCCAAGGAACATTTGACCTATCTTTTACCGGATGATGAACAATTTTCTTCTAAACAACTTTTACGATATTTCTTGAAACCTGTATTTTCGGTAAGAAATGAAAATATCTTTTTATCTCATTTTTTTTTAATTATTATTTTTAGTTGAGTAGATACAAGGGAACGAAACCTCGAGGGGATAATGGTATGATCAAGAGTCAATCGAGGAAAATGAGTATTCATATATTTCTTCCTTTTTTTTTTTTGATAGTATACGAAACAAGTCATGAACCACTTGGTGATGATTTCAATATGGATCAAGAACCTGATATAGAATATTGGGCCAATGCTGATTCTGGTGGAGGATATACTCAAGATATCGATAATGATGATGATGACAATTTGCAAACACGAGAAGGTAATATATATATATATATATATATATGACTGATTTTTTTTTTTTTTTATAGATACCATGACACCATTTGACGATGTTTCAGGATTTCAAGATACTTTTATTGAGGATACTTTTGATAACGAGGGATCTGCTACCTATGGAGATCAACTGATTACGAATCATCAGGTCAAGAAAATCAAGCCTCCCTATGTCAATTATGCTCGCACTGCCAAACGTGTAGATGTTCGAAAATTGAAAGAAAATCTTTGGAAAGCATTGACCTTGCCTCCTACTGTAAGAATGAAAAAGAAATATATATATACAGTATTTTTTTTTTATTTTTTATTTTACTGATTTATCTATTCAATAGGATGGAAATGAACATCAAGTAGGCAAAGTTTATGGTGAAAGAAAATTCACCGAGGTATTGCAAGATTTGAAGAAAATGTATACACCCCAAACGATGAAGGATATTTCAGTACCATTTTGTTTCATTTGTCTTCTTCATTTGGCTAATGAACAAAACCTGACAATTACTGGACTTGGACGTGATGATCAAGACGATGACTTTGTGCTTGGTGACGATCCTCATTGGATGTCAAATGAAGATTTGCTTAGTGAAGTCAAGATTGTTCAAGTTGCCTAGGATTCTTCTTTATACATCTACAAATATATACATATATCACTTCATCCTCTCTCTTTTTTTTTTTTTTTCTTAATATTCCTTTTTCTGTAGTATAGTTCAAATGATCCATTTTCCCACCAACCATTATCAATTCCTCCCCACCTCTTTTTTTTTTTTTTTTCTTTTACGCACCGTTGTATACTATATATATATTTATATCATAATCATATTGAAAATATGTCCAAAATAAAACAATGTCTTTTACTTTATTCAATATACAAAAAAAAAAAAAAATATATGAAAAACTAATGATTAAAATGAATGAATATGATACAATTGTATGATGACTAAGTAAGGGTATAAATTTTACAAAATGGATAGCCAAGAAAGAGAAGGAGTACCAGTACATACCAGAAGACCAGGCATGGCTTGTTTGTTCAAATCAAGATGATTAAGAAAAACAGAAGACAATGGAGGAGGACGAGAGAGAATGGATGCTTGACATACATTATCAGAGAAAGCACAAGAAGTCCAAAAGGGTTGTACTTCCGATTGTTGATCCAGTAATGACCATAAACGTACTTTGTTGTCATCACCCGACATGGCCAATAAGTGCAAGTCCGAATGAACGTCAAAAGCCAATTGTCGTGTATGCTCGTTGCTGTGGCCATAGAATCGACGGAGAGGTGAATGTTTTCGAGTATCCCAAAGAGAAATAGATCCATTCATTCCAGCCGCCAATATAGAATGACCTGAAGAAACATCTTCTAATGGTTTGAGATGAGTTACTGCTGAATCCAAACGATATTTTTGTTGTGGTGATTTATGTTGAATTCGATTGTCCACCAATAAAATACGACCATTACGACATCCCATCCAAGCGACCCGTGGTTGATGTTGTGAAAGTTGAGTAGCAAAGACGGCGGATGGACTAGGTATCTGGGAAATAAAGTCGAAAGAACTGGACAGAATAAACATATGTCGTTCGCCACCTACAAGAATGATATCATCCGTAATAAAAGAAGTCCAAAAGGTATCTTTGCGTCTAACAAAACTACAATCCCATCTTGGTTCGGGTAAAAGAAGAGGATCAATGACTGATTGATAAGAAGAAATGTTGTTATTGTTGAATTCAATACGATCCACATTGTCATTAGTCAAAGGTGGTGTCAGTGGTAATGAATATCGCCATAATTGGTTTGGTCTAGTCGATCCTTGTCCCATACTTGTACCCAGAACAGGTTGAAAAGCATCATGTGTTGATTGACCAAAATGAAGGGAAGTAATATCGGAATCTGTTTGCCAAGCTTGACTTGTTTTCCATGCTTGAAAGTAAGGAGTCACTTGAAATCCATATCGTACTATAGAACCACCTTTGTAGCCAATCAATATATCACTGCCACATTGAGAAGAAGAAGAAGAAGAAGAATTAGAAACAACCATATTGGTACATGTTGCTCGATGGTTGTTTTCTAATAAAGAGAGGTCGACTTGTCCTTGAGGTGTCAATTGAGTATAAGCTGAAGTAGTAGCGTATTTGATCATAGATCTTGCAGGAAGAGAAGCTTGAATGGCTCGTTGTCGATAAAAAGTAAGAATGGAGGAAGTATTGACACAAAGATGTTGCCTTTTATTTTGTCGAATATTATCCTTTTTTTGTTGTAATTGTATCTTTTCTGATTTTCGTTTTGCTTGATTGATCGAAGCTAAACTATATGGACCAGAAGGCATGATCTTGAAGTATCGTTTCTTGTTTTGATCATAAAAATAACCTGGTATATCAGTTACCGGCATTTTTAGTCAGGTGTATGTTCAGAAACCAAATATATATATATATATATATAAACAAAAGCTAATAATATAAAAAGGATGAGAGAAAAGAAATGATAAAACAGAAAAACAAGTTTTTGTCAAGTGGGGTTTCAAAAAAAAAAAAAATGAAGACATATAACAAAAGTTTCCATTTCAGGATGAACAATATAAAAAAAAAAAGGGTCTTCCTTTTTTCTTTTCTTTCTCTCCTTTTTCTTTCTTTTTTTTTTTTTTTTTTTTTTTGCAAATAAAAAAATCAAAATGAGTAATAACATGAATCAAGCTACTGACTTACCAAAATTCAATTTACCATCAGATAATATTCTCACTCAACGCAAATCTTTAATCCAAACTTTATATCAAGAAAATCATGAAAATGAAAAATATCCACTTGTAACAAATCCTTCTGTAAGTACTTTTTTTATATAATTGATAAAATAATAATATTATTTCTATTAGCAATTGGATTCTCTTCCTTTGGAGGATATTGCTACATCCTATTTGGATCTTTGGACACTTTATAACAAGGCCGGTATGAATCCAAAAGTTCAAGTCTGTCAACTCAACTGTCGTCTTTTTGATCTTTGTTGTCGTGCTCATAAACTTTATCAAGAGTATATTCAATATGTTATCCGTGAACCGTTGAATGTTAGCAAGCTTCCTTTTCATGTTTGGATACATACCTTAGCCAAGTCAGGTAAATCTTTTCTTTTTTTTTTTTTCTATTTTCTAATATTTATTTATTCTTGATGATAGATAATGAAGATGCTGTCGATGGAGGATATCGTGCTTTTTCTGGGAAGAAATCCACCAAAAACTCTCTACCATTGGACTCCAAAAATCGTTCCCGTATCCTTGATTTGGTGAACAATCATGGTCATAGTGTATTAGTCCTTCAAGATATGGTGAACCTTGCAAAGATTGGATCCATGAAAAATGCCACATATACTGCTCTAAATGAATTACTACTTGCTAACAAGGATGCCATTACTACTGCTGCCAAGTCTATCAACATAGATGAAGCCTTTCCAACCACTGCCTCCAATGCTACTACCACAACCCATTAGTATTATATTTCCCTGACTTCCTTAGTTCAAATTTTTTTTTTTTGATTCTCTATATCTTTAATATATCAATAAATATTTCTATCGTATCTTCTCCCACATCTTTTTTTTTTTTTGGTCTCTCCAAGATAAAATTTATCATTACTTTTTATTGGATGGATCATCATCTATCATTATATGTTTGAAACGAAACCAAAAAAAAAAAAAAAAAAAAGGTAATCATATGAAAAAAAAGAGAGGTAGTTTATTTAATGGTATGGCATAAATCATCATAAGGGTTTCACTATATTAAAGTGATTCATATAATCATAAATAATGCGTGTCATCCATATCGTCATCATCATTTGTTCCATTATGCATAATACGTAATATAATTTATCAGCGATGTTATATCTATCAAGTGGAACTGTTTTGAAACTCATTGATACGTTGTATTAAGAGTGAGTTAAGCTTTAGTTGATCGAGATCTTCTTTATGATCGATGGACCAAGGTGGACATACTAAGGCTTCTTCCTTTGGATCTGAGAAACTGATAACAAAAGGATGATGAAAAGCATGAGTAATGGAAATACGATGTTGAGGATGCCATTGAAGAAGAGCACGTAATAACTGGATGCCATCCGAAGGACAATGTGGAAACATAGATTCAAAATCAATCACCTTGATCTGATCATCATTAATATTCTTATTATGTCTATGTAAATAAATCTCATGCAACCGTTTCATTACAAAAGAAGATGATTGCCAAAAGGATGTACCTTCTTTTTCAATGGTTGGTAAACCACAATGTAAAAGGATCATGTAAAGTTGATCCATATAATCTTTGCCTGGGAAAAGTACCTTTCTGCCCAATATTTCTCCAAATATACATCCAAGTGACCATACATCTACTTTTTTTTTTAATATATATATAGATAAAGTTAAGATCGTCTCCTCTTTTTTTTTTTTTTTAATTTTACCAAGTTCATCATATTGACCGTCACCAATCATTACTTCTGGAGCACGATACCATCTAGTACAAATGTATTCAGTAAAATAACTAGGTTGTTTTTGATGAATGGAATATTGTCTTGCCATTCCAAAATCAGCAATTCTTATATGTCCATTCTTATTAACAAGAATATTAGCTTTCAAAAAAAAAAAAAGAGAGTTAAATAATTGTACAATAATGATGATGATGATGGTTCTTACCTGGCTTCAGGTCCCGATGTATGACACCAGAAGAATGAATATAATGAAGTCCAGAAAATAATTGATACATAAACCATTGAGCATGGATAATATCCAAAGATTGATTTGAATAAATAACATCATGTAAAGTGGCATCCATACATCGGAAAATCAGGTACAACTCCAAATCCAAGAGATAAACATCTAATAACTCAACAATACGAGGATGCCCACGAAAATGATGTAAACATTCAATTTCTCGTAAATTCCGTAGGGTGGAAGAAACAAGTGGACCCATCACTTGTCTAATTTTCTTGATAGCACAATAAGTATTTGTTTGTTGGTCATATGCCGAACAAACAATACCTGTAGATCCAGAACCTATGTTTCTGATGATACGATAACGTGTGTCAATTCTAAATGCCACGGATGTTCCTTCATCCTCTATTTGGATGGATTGATACATGCAGAAAATAAATAAATAAAAAGACAAAAAAAAAAAAAACCTCATGGAAGATTTATGATACCATCTTTCTCCTTTTGTCATCTCATTCCAGCCACGTACCCGAAGAATATGGAAAAAACATATGGAAATTAGCATGACAAGTGTAAAGTGTGGCTTCATACTCCTTATTTAGGTTATGGACTTACCAAAGTGATGTCGTATCTCCATTGACGTTAGGTTCCTTGATGGTCATCTGACTCCTTTGTCATTCTTTTTTTTTTTTTACTCCTGTCATTATCTACTTGACTAACATTAAACCATCTCACTTTTTAAGGTTTCCTCTTTCTCGGCGTTTCAACACCATTAGGGAAAAAAGGAAGCTCTTCATCTTATTTCAAACACAGTGGATAACTTTCATGTTCTATTTGCGGTTCCTGAGAAATCTCGGAAGGGACATCCCGACAACCTATTTTTTTTTCTCTTTCTCTTTTTTCTTTTCTTTTTTTTTTTTTTTTTTTAATCCTTTACTATCATATCATGTCACATCAACTTCCTTGGAATGAAGATACTCGTATGAATCTATCCGACTTTTTACAAAAGGTAATTGTCCTTTCTCCTTAGTGTACGTTTTTTTTGTCTGTCTGACATACCACCATTACCTATTTTAGTCCATGAGTTTTGCTAGTGCCATTATGGAAAACCAACAATCACAATCTCAAGCAGCTAAACATCTTGGTTCATTACTCCAACTCCAACAACAACGACAACAACCTGAAGATCATGGTCGTTCAGCTACTATTTTTAACCAACTTTTTACTACTGCTGAACAAAGTATGGAATCCGATAATGATAAACGTGTCCTTGGTTTACTCAAGTCTCAACTTGCCACTTTTATTTCCACTACTTTGGGTATGGATGGATTTGAGGAGGCAACACAACAGGATCCTATTGAAGAAGAAGAAAATCATGCAGGTTTGTCTTGGGCAGATGTGACTTCCATGTCTACTCCTAGACCTTCTAGATTAGATGATGATGATGATGATGAAGATATTGGTTATGCTGAACGTGCTGAACAAAACCATTTGAAACAATTGGCATCTGATTATAATAGTTATGACAAAGAGGACGATGAACCTGATTCTGAAGAAGAAGAAGAAGAAGAAGAAGGACAAGTCAAATCTCGTGGTGTGGTCACTCGGAGTGCCGATGGATTCCAAACTGTACAAAAGAAGAAACGATACAGAAGAAACCAGTATCGTCGTCAACCTGTTGATAATTATCAAGAATTTAATCCAGATCCTCTTGAACCTTTGTCTCCTGATGTTTATTGTATACCTATTTTCTTTCCTTCTGAAGAAAGTTATGATGTAAGTGATGATGGAAAATATTAAATTTGTTTATTCATCTCTCTCTCTATATATATATAAAAGATCTTCCATGGTGCATTATCGACTGCTCAATCAACTTTACATGTGGCTGTGTTTTCACTCACTGATAACAAAACAGCCAATGTATTGATTGACGCCAAGGAACGTGGTGTAGATGTCAAAATTGTAACGGATAATGATCAACTTGATGGTAAAGGTGCTGACGTAAGAAGATTAAATCAAGATTATGGTATTCCATTCAAAACTGATACAAGGTAAATATTAAAAAAAAAAAAAAAATAGGATACTATGATGAACTCATTCTTTTAATAGTGAACAATTTATGCACAACAAATTTGCAGTGATTGATGGGAAAATAGTTATTACTGGTAGTTTTAACTGGTCTATTGGGTAAGATTTTTGAAGTTTAAACTATATTTTATTTTAATCATCTTTTTTTGTTTAGTGCACGATTCAAGAATCGAGAAAATGTGATTGTTACGAATATTCCCTCTTTGGCTGAAGCATATGAAAAAGAATTTGAAAAATTATGGGAAATCTTGGAATATGAATAAACTATTGTTGATTAAGTTTGAATATAGATTAGTTTTTTTGAAATAAAATAGATAATAGTGATGATAGTGATCAACTATTTTAATAGTGATATATTTTACTTTTTTTCTTTCTTTTTTTTTTTTTTCTGCCCTGTAGGATCTATATATATATATATCTTGTGTTACATGATATTGGTGATACAGCAGAGAATCGAGAATATATAAATCGACCCATATCGAACTAGTTTTCTTAAGGGGGAGAAAATATGCGGTGATTGATTTCTTCTTCTTCTTCTTGCTTTAACAACAACAATGAAATATCAAAATAAATAAAAAAAAGAAAGAGATGATTTGAAAAAAGAAAAAAAGAAAGTTGAGGAACCAGGTAAAAAAAGGAAAAGCTCATGACTCCTTTCTTTTTGATCTTGGCGAGACCAAACTTGGATATGAGACCGACACAGTCTTATTTTGTAACCATTTTATATATCAGTTGATTTTTTGTACCTTATAAAAATAGTTCTCCACTCTTTTTTTTTTGTTTTTGATTTATTATTATTTTTTCTTTTTTCTTTATTTTTTTTTATATGTCTCCACATTCCATCAGTAAAATTCGTCCTCAGCAAAAATTACCAACAAAACAACATTGTCAAAAAGTATGTCAAGCACTTTTAAAAAGTTATCCTGAAGAAAAGAATGGATTTATTTATCATCGAGGGGCGATCTATGCAAATAGACATGATACTGATATTGAATTAGATTATCGTCAAGAAAGTTACTTTTTTTATCTTACTGGTAAAGTAAAAAATCAAATAAAAAAAAAAAAATAATTTAATTTCCGTTATTCCTTTTTTTTTTTTTATAGGTGTAGAAGATCCTGGTTATCATGTACTTATTCATATTAATACAACAACCGTTTATTTGATTACGCCATCTATTGATTATACTGAATATTTATGGAAATGTCCTCCTGCTTCTCCCAACAAATTATTACGTATGTATGATATCGATAATGTCATGAATGAACAAGACCTTGTTACTTTTTTACATCAAAACAATCCTTCCATCATTTATACTTTGGATACTGTCAATACTTCCATCATTCCATCTTCTTTTTGTTTGTCCAACCAACTCGACTCTCAAGACCCTCGTTTTTTCCTTCTTCGTCAAGTATTGGATGAATCTCGACTGATCAAATTCCCTTGGGAAATCAAATTATTACGAAAAGTCGCTCAAGCCAGTTCTCAAGCTCATATTGCTCTGATGCAAGAAGCTCATCCTCATCAACGTGAATCTGATCTAGTAGCCTTATTTCATTGGATTTGTTCTCGTCATGGTCTTACTCGTCAAGCCTATGTAAACCTTAAATTAAAATAATCATTGTCATTCTTATCTCTCTATTTTTTTTTCTAATAGGTACCTATTGTTGTTTCTGGAAGAAGAACTGCTGTCTTACATGAAACTAGACATAAACATTATCTTCCTTTAGATGATCCACATGCTATGGTTTTGGTAGATGCTGGTGGTGAAAGATTATGTTATGGTACTGATATTACTCGATGTTATCCTGTTTCTGGTGTATTTTCCAAAGAATCAAAAACTATTTATGAAATTGTATTGAAAATGCAAGAGGTAATTTTTTTTTACTATATTCAATTGCATGATTCAATCATTATTTGTTTATTTATTTATGTAATAGACAGTGTTAGACAATCTGAAACCTGGTGTCATGTGGGCTGATATGGAAAAATTAGCTATTAAGATCTTATGTCAAGAATTATGTCGCATTGGTATCTTATTAGGTGATGAAGAAGAATTACTTGAATTGAATATTCCCACTACCTTTTATTTTCATGGTAAAACAAAAAAAAAACATATACAAAAGAAAGGTAATAATGATATTTTATTTTGTTCATAGGACTCGGTCATTCAGTTGGATTAGATGTGCATGATGTTGGCGGGTAAGATATTAAAGGTTAAAATTTGTTTTACTAATTTTTTTTTTTTTTTTTTTTTTTTTTTTTTTTTTTTTTTTTAGTCGAAAAAGAAGAAAACAAGAGCATGATGATGAAGAGGAGGAAAGTTTATCGACATTTTTGGTAGATCGTCCATTAGAAGCAAATATGGTATTGACGGTAGAACCTGGGATGTATTTCAATGATGCATGGATCAACACTTGGACAGAATGCCCTGGATATGAACATTATTTTGACATGGATAGGATACGACAATATAGTGTAGTAGGTGGTATTCGAGTGGAAGATACTGTAGTGATTACTGATTCTGGTTATGAAAATCTGACTACTGCTCCCAAAACAGTACAAGATATTGAAAAGATCATGGCTTCTGGTGCAGGCCATAGAATCGATAATAGCAATATGTTACATTCCTTTTGGTAGATCCTTCTCTTCTCTCAGTTGTATTTTTGTTTTTTTTATACATATATCCTCATCTCATCTTCATTCCTGTACTTTATATGCATATGATATTCCCTTTATTATCTCATTTACATATTGTTTTTTTCTTTTCTTATAATAAAGCATTTTTCATTCCAATATCACAATTCCTTTTTTTTTAAAAAAAAAAATAACAATAAACAAGACAAAATCAAATTAATGTAGAAAGAATATTAGGTTTTTTTTTTATTAGTTGAAATATTAATAGAGTAAATATGCTAATACTGTGGAATTAAGGTTTGATTTCGCTCCATAAATAAGGAAAGATGGTGATGCAGGCAGTATAGAGTAAGAGAATGGATTTGTTGAAACTTGTCCAAGGCCAATCACCAGAAGAGCACCATTGTTGATAGACAGCATACATTGCCACAGCAAAGAAATGATAGATCAGAGTCCAGGGTTCACGACGCAGACCCGATAAAAGACCCACTGGACCTTCGAGACATTGACCACCTAGATTAAAGTAATCCACACACGCTTGTTGTAATTGGAGCAAAGCAGGATGAGATCCAGCTGAAAAGAGACGATAAAGGGACATGGCCAGGATGTTGATAGACATGGCATGACGTTTTCGTTTCCAATGAAAACAATCAATGGCTTGCATCACCAGATCATGTGCGTGTAAATCCGGAATCACACTACGGTCCAGTAATTGTTGAAGTAGGATCACATCTTGTAAAGCCACTGTCATGCCTCCACCCGTCAAAGGATGTCTGATATTCATAGCATCACCCAGTACAATCACACCAAGGCATTGGTTGGCAAAAGGAGGAAGGAAACCATTCGGCATCATACGTAGTACTTGTTGATCATCATTCAAATACGATTGGAGTTTTGGTTGAAGTGACTTGGGTAGTTGTGGTATCACGACTTCCTGAAGATGTCGCCTTAAATCACCATTAGCATTGGATGGTACAGGTTCAGGGATATCTACTAATACACGTGTTTCATGGGATCCAATTTGATACATTAACACAACTGATGGATCAGTAATTGCAACAAATCCATGATTAATCATAGGTAAATCGAGATTTTTAACAATGAATCTAAAAAAAAAAATTGAATTTTTCTGTTTTCTTTTTCTCTTTTTTTTTAAATAATATTACCCAACAAATTGTGATCTTATATCTGGTTTGGTATCAGTAAATTCTTTTCTGAATTTGGAAAATATGCCATCTGCCACAATAGTCAAAGGAGCATAAAACTAGAAAATAAAAAAAAAAAAAGATATCAATAACGTACTTTGCATTTATAAGGATTTACCTCTTCTTGTATATCCTTGCCTTTTTCTTGAGCTCGTACACCAATCACTTGTTCCAATCCATCTTCACGAATCAAACTATCCACTGTCATTTGTTTGAAGGTGACACTAAATGAGTATAAAAGGTAATCAAAAGTTTCCCTTTTTTAGTTCGATGCTCTTTTTTTTTTTTTAAAAAAAAAAACAAGAATTTACTTGATGGTATTCTTGGCTTGTTGACGTAAATTTTGAATAAATCGACCATGATGAAAAGATTTGCCTTGAATCTTCTTTTTCAAATCATCAGTATTTGATTGTATTGGATAAGGGACATGGGTATATTGACCATCACGGTAGATAGAGTAACCAAAACAAGACACAGCATCTATTTTTTCAGTACAATCTAAACACAAAAAAAAAAAAAAAAAAAAAAGATCAGGTATATATAAATATATATTTTAAATTATTTTACCTTCAAGTCCTAATGTTTTCAAAGCATCCATTCCACCTGGTTGCATAAGTTCACCAACAATACGATCAGGTTCTGTCAAATCGCGTTCCAATACAAGTACTCTTCTACCATCGGATCCAAAGATTTTTGCTGCAGCACACCCTACTACACCAGCTCCCACACATATAATATCATAGTGATGATTCATTTTGATCTCTCCTTCCAAAGTAAATAATAATAAGATATGATATAAAGAATATTGAAATACAAAGAAAAAAGAAAGAAAGAAAAAGAAAAAGAGTTTGAAAGTCCTTTTTAAATTGGAAATAAAAAAATCACGCCTGAAATTTGGGACAACTCATAATCGTAAGTTTTTGTGCTGGGTTTGGATAATTGATGAATTGTTTAGATAGATAAAAAAGACACCTATCTAATTCTTTTTTTTCATTTCATTTCAATTTACGTCTATTGTCTTTCTAGATGATTATTTTATTATTATTATTATTATTATTATTTATTAAATCTATTCATAATTTACTATTTCTTCAAAATCAATAGAACTATTATTTTATATACCAAAAAGGGTAGAATAGATTTGGTTTTCAATCCCAGTTGGCTCATTGATTTTACACCTTGCCAAACCAGCTAGAATAACAAAAAAGAAAGTCCAAATTTCGGGCGGGAGGATTCTTTCTTTTTTTTTTCACTCTCTCTTTCTCCTATATTCACCCATTCTCCTTTTTTTTTTTTTTTCCTTCTTTTTTTTTTTTACATTAACTTCCTTTTATTTTACATAACCTCTTTATATCAACTTATTCATCATGTTTTGGCGTTTTGGATTTCATAATCCTTCAGCTGTAGATACTTTACTTGAACGCGAAGATATTACATTGGAAGAAATATTGGAAGAAGAGGATTTATTACAAGAAGCCAAGTCTCATAATCAAAAGCTTATCAATTTGTATCCTTTTTTTTCAATTTTTTATTTATGAAGAATAATTGTATTCAACTCTTTATTTTCAACAACAAATGGATACGGAAGAGAAATACAGCATCGATGATGTTTCTTACCTTCTATTTTTCTATTGTTGCTGGGTTATTTTATTTTCTCATTTTAGTGTATACGTATACTATTTTTTTTTTTTTATCCTTGACTATCTTTTTTTTTTATTAGTTTATGTCAACCTTCTAACTGTGAAAAATTACTCTATTATATTACAGCCAATGATTTAGAAGAAGGTCAAAAATTCAAGTAAGTAACCGAAAAAAAAGTGAAATCGGATGTTTTATTTGGAACGACATGAGGAACGCAAAACTCATCTATTTTTCCTTATAGGTATCCATTCTTATGTTCTGAAATCATAGCATGCGAAATCCCTGCATTGGTAGAAATGATTATATTGGAACAAAAAGAACTACTGGAAAAATTTTGGCTCTTTTTGGATCGACCTATACATCAAACTTCGTCTGATAGTGAACAAGAAAAAGATAATAACGTGGATCATGGTTTGGAATCTTTATTATCATCTTATTTTGCGAAAACTATCACAGTTTTTCTAACAAAACAACCTGCTGAAGTAAAATGATATATTGATATGATTTTATATAGTCTAACTTTTTTTTAATATATTATAGATGCTAGAATTTATCGAATCCAAACCTGAAAATTTGACCAAAATTCTCAATCATCTTCATAGTTCGGCTATTATGGATTTATTACTCACTTTGGTCCGTATGGAAGAATTACCTGAAGGAAAAGGCATTGTACAGGTAAAATAGCGAGAGAGAATATTTATTGGGTCTTATTTGGAAAAATCATTTACTTATCTTTTTGATTTTAAAAAACTTAGTGGTTAAGTGATGGTGGCTTGATGGACAATTTAATTGATCGCCTAAATCCTTATTTAGATACTGAAGTAAGTTGGTTATATCGTTGGGAATAGATAATGATAGCTAATATACATATATTATCTAGGAACACTCTATTGCTCAACAATGTATCTGTGAAATTATTCGCTTGTCACAAACTAGTTTATTAGAACAACCTAGTATTGGATTAAATGATTTGATCATCAAATTGAAAAGGTATATCAAGACAATGAATATTTCTACTTGAACTCATTTACTTTATATTTAATAGTGAAGCAGTGATGCGAAAATTGGCTGGTTTTATGCTTGATCCAAAAGCTCCAAATGCTACTTCTACTTTGATTAATGGTGTTACTATTATTATTGATTTGATTCGACACAACAACAGGTAAAATAAAGTTTTCTTATCTGAATTTTTTCTTAAGGTTTTATTTTCTTTACTCAACATGTTCCTTTTTTTTTTTTTTTTCTTAAATAGTGATATGGAAAACGATCCCATGATTGGAAATAATTATGGCTACACTGGTAACAACAATCCAATGGTTCGTCCCACCCCAGTCTCATTGGCCGATATGCTCAAAGTACTTTCTGACCATGTTGTGGACTTTAACCGACTTTTGACTGAACCAAGATCTGTGGTAAATAATCATAAAGAAGAAAATTATATAATTCACTAATATTTTCTTATATTTATTCTTATGTGGTTAGACTGGACCTATGCGTACATCTATTGGTGAACAAACCCCACTTGGTTTTGAAAGACTCAAGATTTGTGAACTCTTTGCCGAATTATTACATTGTTCCAATATGTCCAACTTGAACGCAATCGAAGAAAGTGAGGATATGCCTCCTCAACTTGAAGAAGAAGAAAGCGAGGAATCCGACGAACAGGAAGAAATGAAGGATCAACACAAACAACATAAAGACAACGATAACGGCGTGGCATCGCAACATCTGCAGGCAGAGTCTCCAAAGGAAGAGGATGCGACAATGACCGTAGAAGAAAGTGAAGATAAGCAAATCAATGATAACAAAGAAACCAATACTACTATCACAGCAACAACAACTACTGCTTTTACTAATACTCAGCATGAAGAAGTAAGAGACAGAACAAGTGAACTCAAGGAACCTGAAGTACAAGATTTACCTATGGGTGATTATCTCAAATGGCAATTGGTACAACACAAGGTGTTGCCAACATGTACAGTAAGTTGTTATTTGAAAAAAAATATGGGACATATATGGATACTAATCTAATATCATTTCAAATGATAGAGTTTATTTTTTGCCTTTCCTTGGAATAACTTCCTTCACTATGTTGCCTATGATATGTTACATCAAGTTTTTAATGGCCGAATGGATAGAGGGTATAACAGACTTCTTGCATTATCTATATTGAAGGATGGTCAACTTACAACAAGGATGGTCCAGGCTCAAAAAGAAAATGATGAAGAATGGTAAGCAAAATGTGATAGAAAACGTCTTTTTTTTTATAACATATGTTATTATTGTTATAATAGGGCTAAGCCAAAAGGAATGCGATTAGGTTACATGGGTCATTTGACATTTATTGCTGATGAAGTGATCAAATTATTTGAAGGTTATCCTGAAGCTATTGTACAAGATATCAAGGATGATGTGGATTTGGATAGTTGGTATCAATATTGTGAAACTGAACTCCGGGAAACCAAAGAACGTGATTGTTTACCATTGGGTGGGGATCGACCTAACGATGAGGATGGTGGTATGCGTGAAGATGATGACGAAGAAGATGAATTGGATGGTGCGACTGCTAGTCAGGTAAATAGAGAGAATAGAATGTTGATTGAGTTTCTTATTGACCGATTTTTCATAACTAGTACTCCCAATATCTTGCTCAACGTGCAGCTGATGGTGGATTAGAAGATGATGAAGATGATGCTCATTGGATCACGTAAGTGACTAGCAAATGTCATATTTTAGTTATCTGTTGACTCATGCTTTTGTTGTTTTTTTTTTAGTGGAAGAAATGACAATATCTATGGTAATGCTTTTGGTGTGATGGGTGATGGACACAATCAAGTTGGTGGTATTGATGATGAAGCAGAATATGACAGTGATGAAGATGAAGTAAGTTCAATATAAAAAAGAAATTATGTAAAATCAATTATTAACTGATGTCCATAGCATGATAATCAGGTCATTACTCAAGATTGGTCTCGTGGTTTTACTGAATTCCCTCAGGCAAATATGCTTCGACGTACTCAAAGTCATGTTGAGGATGAATATGATGAAGGTGAAAATGGCGATTATGACCATGTGAAGGATGGACGACAGCAACAAAATACAATGATGAATCATAACGATGAAGAAGAGGATGATCCTTTTGGTGAATTTGCATCCAGTGATAACGTGGGTCAAGACGATGATGATAGCGCATGGGCGGTGTCTACTACGATGGAACAAATGGATATTTCCGCGGATAAAGGAAAGGATAATGTTGGATTTGATCATATTCCTGAAGATCATTATGTACGCGCCATTCGAACAAAAGAAGAAGATGAACGATATAAAAAGGAATATCAAGCTGGACAAGATGAAGAACAAGAAGGAGAAATATAGTCTTTAGAATCTCATTCATCCTCTTCTGTACATTTTTTTTTATCATTATTCTCTTCTTTCACCCTTTTAGTTTGTTTTCCCTGCATTTGTTTGTTGATCTGTATTTTTTTTTTTTATAGTTTATCACTCTCTCTCTCCCTCCTCTTATCAAAATCAATTCACGCACACATATCACAAAACAATTGTTCCCAACATTTATTCGTATTATTATTATTATATTATTATTATATTATTATTATTACTTTATTCTTTTTCTGTATACATACAATCAATAAATGATCTGCTTTATATTTTTTTTTATTCAAACCTTGATCGTCCCATGAACTAAATAGATGGTGTTTATATATATTTGAAAATTCTGGTTTTCATAGCTAAAAGTTTCCAATTCCTCAGCCAAATTTTGGATGTAAAAAATTGAAAGAAAGATATTTGAAAATGTATCATTCATGGTGCTATTTCGAAAAGAAAAAAAAACACAGGATGAACAAAATAGTATTTTTTTTTTAAAAAAAAAAAAGAATCTAGAAGTAGCTTGCATCCATAGTTCTTTTTTTTTCCTTTGGTCAATGAAAAGACTTACCATCAGGATAAATCAATATAGCTATGATCATCTATGTTATTAATAGAAACTATAAAAAAAAAGTGCTGTGCTCTATGCAATTGTGTTTCAAACTAAAAAAAAAAAAAAAAAAAAAAGACATGATGTGGTAACTGAACTAAAAAAGATACAGTACCATCATACAAAGAGTATCATACAAATGCATATTATAACTAAAGGGTATATACTGGATATCTAAAACTGATTTTTTTTTATTTTAAGTATGGAGACGTATATCATCTTTTGATTCCGGATGGTAGGCATAAAATTATATTGTATTTCAGAAATCCGGAAGTTAATAAAGAGATAATGGAAAATCATGAATTATCAGGGATATTTTTTTTTTTTTTCGTCGTCTATGGTTTTCCTAAAAAAAAAGGGAATCATCGGCTATAACAAACAAACAGCCGATGATTTATTCTAGGCGCCGTATGTGTAACCATACTACATAGTATAATATACAAATATATTGATGATGGAATATGGAGGATAAATCAGCAATCAAAATATATATATAATATATATATATATATATATATATATGATTTTTGTAGATGCATGCAAAGACTAAATAGGCAATATCAAAAAAAGCATAGAATGTTGTGTCAAAACAAGTTTTTTGTGTACCCCACAACATCAAATCATCATAAATTTAGAGAAAAAAAAAAGTTTTTTACGCTCCTTTCCGATATCTTTTTTTTTTTCCTATTTGTTTATTTTTTATTTTTTTTTTTTTTTATTTATTTACTTTTTTTTTTTTTTTTAATTATTATTCATTCATTTAACATTATATCATTATGTCCATCTTTCATCCACAGGACATTATGACGATACCATCTATGGAAGAGGATGATTCTTGTTCTGAAGCCGACACAGAACTTTCTACACCTATTTATCAACGATCACCATGGTTTTCATCACCTTCACTTCATCCAAGTAGATCGACCATAGTAAGGAAACACAAAAGTGCAGAACTTTTTTATGATCGTTCTGTACATTATCAAACGGTGATTCGTCGTATGAGTCAACAAATCGATGATTTTCTTCAATCTCGACCATCCTTGCGTGTAAAGGGCCCAGATGAGACCTTGATAGAAATGATCCATCAATTTCGTGCAACACTACCCTCCAATGAACAACAAGTGTGTGATGCCATGCTGGCATGGCTTCCGTCCGAAACAAAAAGAAAGAATCAATGTCTGATCAGTGACCAACATCATATTACGCAACTACGGCAGGCATTGGAGAAAGAACAACAGGCCAAGCAAGAAGTGGAAGAGACATTGGATATCGTACGAGCGGAAATGGAAATCATGATGGAGGAACATCAACAATACAAAGATTGGAAACAAAAAGTGGCACAAGCAGAACGACGAGCGGCCGAATATGATTTGAAACTAGTGGTGCTGGAATCACAACATAAAAAAGAAAAGGAAGAGAATGAAGCCCTGATCAAGGCCCTTCAACGTGATGTCGTGGAAAAGACACAAGCCCTGGCCCGTTGGGACAAGCAATGGCAACGTCAACAACAACAATGGCAACAACAACAACAATCCACCGACTTGGCCCATCGTGCCGATCAGACAGCATGGCAGCAGGAATGGAAAGATAATTGTCAAAAACAAGTCGACTTGATCTCCCTTCGATTATCACGCGAATCTCGCCAGTTGGAACTTCAGCTCGCCGACATGCTCATGGACAACGAACGTCTTGAACAATCCATCGACCAGTACAAACAACAATGGCATCGGATCGATCAAGCCGCCAAGGATCGTGAACACACATGGATCGCTCGTCAAACCGCTTGGGAACGTGCTGAAAAGGATGCAAAAACAACCATCTTTGATTTGGAACAAAAAGTCATTCATCTTGAAGCTGAGGTTTTACGACTTTATGGGAAAAATATCACTTTGGCAAATCAATTAGGTGAATGTGATTAAAGTTTTTTTTTTTTTTTTTTTTTTTTTTTTTTTTTTTTTTTTAAAAAAAAATAAAGAAAATAAAAATAGAAAATAACACGTTGTTTATACAATAAAACCACTCCTTTTTTTATTATTATATAAAACAAATATCTATTCTAAAAAAAAAAAAAAAAACATCTATTTTTTTTTTATATATCATCACGTTGAATATGGCACATCGCATATGTCAAAGAAGGAGTTGTCAAATTTGTTCTTGCCAAACCAAGTTCTTGAAGAGGGGAATCCAATGTGTCAATAAACAATTGTAATCCAGTATCGGTAATAGATCGACAGAGAGTTAAATTCAGTTTCACTAAACGGCGACAATGCAGTGCGATGGAAAGAAGTACCATGTCTGTCACACCCGATAATCCTGATACATCCAATATTCGCAAATGTGGTGTGTTTTGAAGAAATGAACAAAGTCCCAAGGTCGTAATATTCATACATCCTGCCAATTTACATTCTTCTAATGATGATGGAATCATGTTGAAAAGACATTCATCCGTCAGTCCTAAGCTGCCAGTCAGATCAAGTGATTGAATCGTGTGATAAGATCCAAATAAAACATAGTGTAATAAATCGTTCGTCAAAGCCCTTGTTTGTATTAATGACAGTTTTTTCCAAGATTGTAATAAGCCTGAATGAATCCTATCGTTTGATGATGTAGTTGGTTGTATCATCATTGTCAAAGGTAGAGTTGGAGATACTGAAGAATGAATTGGATTGTGTTCAATGATAGGATTGCGTCCAAGTTGATTCCGGTGATAAACAAAATTCGCTAGATCAGGACAACAATGGCGTAGAACGTTGACAATAGGAATGATATTCACCAAACAATTGCGTAAAGTCAAATCTACCAAACATGGACTCCGTAAAAGAATCGAGGCTAAATGGATAATAGTCAAACCATGTATATCTGATAGTTCAAGTTGACGAAGACCTAATATTGGCAAATGTTCCACATAATTGTTTATTGTGATAGGTAAAGATTCGCAGATATGTTCCAAGGATGCCAAACCATCGAGAGGAAGAATAGTTTGAGAGGTGAAGCAGTCGCGTAAATCCAACAGTTCCAGCTGTGGGCATGCTTTGGATACAAGATCCATGATATCATCCAGTTTGAAACTACTTGAACCAAGTTTTAATTTCTTGAATGCTTTTCCAGTAGAATAGATCACTTTTTGGAAAAGTAACCAACCATTTCTATTTACACAGTGCAACCGAGTTAGATCTATCTCAAAAAAAAAAAAAAGGAATTAGTTTTTTTTTTTTTTCACCCTATACTGCCTATTTTTAGAAGAATTTCTATCTTATTATTATTACCTAATACTTGAAGTTGGGTACAATTTGAGTTGCAAAGAGAGGATAATAAAGTTTCGGCATCAAGATCGCAATTGATATGTAGACTTGTAAGGGGAGCACCTTGTAAGCGAGATAGATAAAGATCCACAGTGTTGGCTGAAAGAGATCCATCAAAGTATAAATGTTGCCAGAGTAGAGGTGTGCTCAATAGTAACTTTCTCCATGTATGTGAGACCCGCGAACAACGTACAAGACTATCCAATGGTAATAAAGCGAATATCGAATGTACCACTTCACAAGGTAGTACGAGAACCAGATCCAAATAAAAATAAGAGGTAACTTGAACAGGAGTCACTTGCCGAACTACTTGATGCCAATGGAGCTCATTATCATTGAATAAAAACATATAGCATTGTCGAAAGAGTTGCCAAGCTTTATCTAACGGCGGTTCCATATAGTCATATGACACTAAATACCAGTTACAATTTGGATAACATTTCACAATGAGTTTGCATAGCTGGAGTGCTTGTTGGTATTTCCCTAATTGAACAAGACATTGTAAACGATATCGAAAACATAGTTGTTGTAAGCGATGGTATTGTTCACGCGTCTGATTTTTATCCCAGTGTTGTCGTTGTAAGTCTTGCATACCAGTAACTAGACGATATACTTGTTCATATTGTCCATGTTGATAAAGTATTTCCCCTTTTTGTTGTATAATATGTAAACTTGTTGAATGTGTTCCAAAGTAAGTGGATAAGATTCTAAGAAAATAGAAAAAAAAAAAGAAGGAAGGAAAAAAAAGAAAAATAAAAAATAAAATCAAATGTTTTATATCGCTCAGGTCGCCGTGTTTCAAACTACGACAAGAATCTGTGAACTCACCTGGAGAACGCTGTAGAGAGTAAAAAGATAAATGATGCCATGAAAAATGTGTGTAAGAATAAAATAAATAAATAAAAAAAAAAAAAAAAAGGAAAAGAAAGAAAGAAAGAAAGAAGAAAGAAAGAAAGAAAGAAAGAAAGAAAGAAAGAAAGAAAGAAAGAAAGAAAGAAAGAAAGAGAAGAAGCGGAAAAAAAAAAGAAGAGGAAGAGTTATCGGCCTGAGCAATATTAAGGAATAACAATTAGATTAAGAGATATATACAGAAGGAAAAAAAAAAAAAGGTAACACGAGAGATTGATTCTTTATTCAATGTAATGTAAAAATAACAAGTGGAAAATATATATATATATATAATTCATATCTTTGGTAGAATGCCAATATGCCAAGAAAGCCTATTAGAATCGGAAGAATGTGATGATTGTTGATGTATACACCATACACGTTTATGAGACTTGATAGTTGCAACAGCTTTTTGATTTTCTTGATTGATCCAATGTACGTTCGATTCATCATCATTTATTGTCCAATCATTGTTATCATTACTATCTTGATTTGTTTCATTTCCACCCACCACAATAGCAACCAAAGTATTACATTTATGTAATAACATCCATAAACCTTGAGCTTTGACATGAGGAATTTGTAAATAACGTAATCGAGGACATTTTTGAGAGATGATTTCAGCCACGGAAAGAGTGAGTATATCATATACATTCAAAGTCAAAGAGAGTAAATCAGGACCAAAGGTAGGTAAAATAGCATTTCTTAAAGCACCAGGATGATGAAAATAATGTGAGATATGAGTCAAGGTGGTATCGGGTATAGGAGGATGAGGAAATAAAAAAATGGACGAACAACAGGATAATTTCGTGACATTGTAATGGTCCTGAGTCATTCCTATCAAATCATCCAAATCGTCACCATAATCATAGTGTTGAGTCAACATAAAACAAGTCAATGGGTAATGAGTTCGAAAAAGGAATCGTTGAATTTGTTTTGGAGTCATACTGGATTGTAAAAAGTTGAGATTGGGACAGAGTTGAAAGAGGAGCATAAAGAAAGTATCGGGGTATCGTTTACCATGAGGAAGTTTGATAGTGACCAAAGAAGAACCGTGTTTTTGACAAAAATTCATAATATCAGATAATGGCAAGTCATCTGGAAACATTGTTTTTCGATAAGCTTTTCCACTGACTAGTTGATGCGTATATCGACAAACGAATAAGAAGACTGATAAATGATTGGAAGGGATATAGTCAATAACGTGCATCAAGAGTTCATTAGGTAAAGACTTCATGACGATCTATTAATAAAAGTAATAATAATAATAATATAATAATGTCATAAAAAAAAAGGAAAGTTTAAAAAGAGAGGGAAGGAGAGAAAGAGAGAATCTATATATATATGGAAAAGAAAAAGAAAAGAGTTTTAAAAAGAAACAGGATTTTTTTTTTATTTTTCAAGATGTGGGAGGTTCCTATTCCTACCAAAAAAAAAAAAAAAATCAATGGCCAATCATTTCTAGGGTGTTTTTTTTTTTTTTTTAACTTACCAACTCTCTTCAGGTCAGAGGTATGATATATCCATCTTCAACCAGTCCAGGATGAGAAGAGATCAAGGTTTGGAATACTTTATCGATATTGTTGTTGTCTGTTGATGAAGTTGACCACTGGAAGGGATGAAGGAAAGTTTGCTTGTTGTCATATTCCAGTGATGATCATATTATTCATACTTGCATTCGTATCTCGTGATCCAGCCAGCTTGACGCCCTTTGCAATCGGGGTTTTGACAGATAACAGTTCTCAAATTCAAATTTTCCATCTTTGGATGATATAATGACAACGGCAGTAGAGTTTTGTAAATTCATCAATATGGAAGATAGAAGAAATGTTGTAATAAATCCACTTCGTAAGAATCCACCAATACGTGAGCTTTTGCCACGGCCCACCTTTCCATAAAAGTAATGTAGCCTTCATCCAGGTTCTTCTTTTACTTGTTGTTGGTGATGCTTGATCACCACATGTGTTCCCTTTTCGCTGTATATCACTGCTCTTCATTTCCACCGATGATTGTATTTTTGATCACAAAAGAATAGATACTTGACCAACTAGATAAATTGAAATGACTGCATTAATTAATATCCATTGTCTCTTTTTTTTTTCCCTGATGATGTATAATAATTGATCCTACCTTGTGATTTGTGTTTCATACAAACGGACAGCTAGCTTTTCTTCTACTTCCTTGATGGAACCAATGATAAAGCAAATCCTGGAGATCTACAAAAAAAAAAAAAAACCAGTGTCAATAATCCAAATTTGTTTTTCTTTATAATTGAGGTACAAAGAAACTTACTTTTCCACTTTCTATATAATTTATCGACATCCATATAGACATAAACATTAGAGCTATAACGATTCAATATAGACCTAGGTCATTCAACAAGTCGGTTTGTGATGATACTCGAATACACTACGAATTTTTAGAATTCTTCCTTCATCAGTCAGTTGGATTGGTTTCAGTATATCAGTACAAGCAGATACTACTTCATGACCACTAAGAGAAGGTGTTTTCGTAAATCTGTTCCCAAAAAAACGGGTGATTAGTTATATCATCATCATTTCTGAGTTACTTATAGGATTACCTTGAGTTGAATATTGTTGTCCAATACCAAATCGACTTGACTAAGGATTCAAAAATGTACAAATAATATATCAATGTAAGAGAAAGAGACCCCCAAAGAAATCAATCTATCTATATATGGCAAAAAATCTTTTTTTTTCTTACCTAGATATCAATGCGATCTGTGGTGATAGCCTCCTAATATAAAAGCAAAAGGTTTCTTGGAGAAGGACGCCAAAACAAGAAGAGGTTCCAAAAAGTAATTAATACTACGTTCCTTTTCATCGTTGGGTTCGATTCAACCGCCTATGATGGACCCAGGTTTGTAAAGAATCGATGTACCTTGAAGGAAAGAACGAAAGTATTTAATAAATCTTTGATCTCTTTTATGATCTTGTTCTTTCAATTTTTTTTTTTTTTTTTTTTGATACTTACCAGTATAATTGATTTCTATCATAGAGTCATTGGTCACCTTTTTCCAAAAGTTGTAAGAATTTCGCCTCGTAATCTATTATTTATTTTGTGTCAACCTTCTGCATCAAACTTTTATTCTTATAGTATTTACCTCAAATACCAGAATCTTCATCGTCAGAACGAACCTTGAAGATAATTGTGCCTCAAACTTATAACAATTGATTGACGGAGAATGAATACTTATAGGTAGAGATATGATAGATTGACATGTTACTCAAAAGGACAAATTGTATATATGATGAATGATTCAATAATAATAATAATAAACAGTTTTATATTGTTTAGTCTTTAAGGAAGAGAGAGTATGTACTTTTTTTTGATCAAACGGTGTTTTAATTGATGTTTGAGCTGGACTTTTTTTTTTTGGATCAGTTCCCGTCCTTTTCTAATTTTTTTTTTTTCTTGTTATTCTATTTTTCTTTCTTCTTTTTCTTGATTTCTTTTTTTTTTTTTCTTAATTATTATTTACAATATAGTTATATATATATATTCTTGAATTCTTTTTGTTTTATTATAACATTCTAAAAAAAAACTTACTTATGAAAAGTTTAGAATGGGTAAGTTCATCATAAAAAAACCAGTTTATTTTATTTGTTGACTAAGCTCCTATTCCTAATAGACAATCTCGCGGACAATCTTCATTTCAACCTGAGTTATCCGGATTTTACCCAACATGTTATTCACCAACAAGACCCTTCCTTTCAAAATTTACCAACAACATATTCAACCTTCTCGTTATTACAAACTAATATTTCTCCACCTGAACTTCATCCATCTTCTGTTGATAAAGATACAACAACAAGAAAACAACAACTCTTATCTTCTACTTCTTTATTGCCATCTCGAAATTTGACTAGAACTCGAGTCACAAGACCTCCCAATGCTTTTTTACTCTTCAATAAAGAAATGAGAAAACGACTCAAGATCGATAATCCTACTTGGACTGTTAGTGATATCAGTAAAGAAATTGGTGATCGTTGGAGAACCCTTAGTCAAGTAAATATTCATAACATAATATAAAAAAAAAAAAAGGTTATTCATCATCACTGTTTTTTTTTCTTTATAGGAAGACAAGCATCAATATGTAGTACAAGCCAATAAAATCAAAGAAAGTCAACAAGCATTACATCCCAATGCGATGTATATTCGACGATCAAAAGCAGAATTGACAAAGGCTGGTCATTATGAAAAAGTGGAAAAGAAAAAAGCAGATACAAGAGAACAACAATTTGCTCAAGTTATGGCTGCTGCTGCTGCTGCTGTTTCCACATCGTCTTCTTCGTCTTCATCTCCAACAATGTCATCAACAACGTCTTCACCGTCATCAACTAATATAGGATTATTAACCAATGGTGTAGAAATGGATAATGGTACTACTTTTTTTACCAATGATGGTTTTTCATTACAACAATCTTCAAGACCAAAACGAACAAGACGAAAACAAAAAAGGGATAAAAATCCAGGTGCTCCAAAACATCCTTTATCAGCCTACATGTGGTATTTGACTGAAGTACGACCGGAAACTCGACAATCTTATCCTGGATCTACTGTGGGTCAAATCAGTAAATTATGTGCAGATCGATGGAATACAATGACAGAATCTGAACGACTTCCGTGGATGAACAAGGCTACAGCGGACAAGGCTCGTTATGCAAGGGAAATGCGAGTATATGCTTCACAAAACAATCATCCTATGGGAAGAGGCACTCGACAAAAATATCGATCCACATCCCCTTCTTTATTTTTAATGACAAATGACAAACTTCAACAACAAGAACAACATTATCATCAACATTCACATCTTCATCATGGTTTATTTTACTCTTCTTCATCATCATCGAATGGTTTGGTTTCAGCCTGTTCTTCTCCAACTCCAACATCTTCCCATATGCACTTTGAGTCTTCCTCTATTCTACGAAACTCTCTACCAGGCAATATCCCAATGCAAGATACCATGAATCCAAACGAATTATTACAAACTCCTTTATCCTCTTCATTGCATGACACCGATACATATTGATCCTCATCCTTATTCTTTAGTTTAATATCATCATCATCATATCTATCTATCTATCTATCTATATCTATTCCGTAGTGTATATACGTCACTTTTTTTGTTATTGTTTTTTTTTTTTTTTTCATTATATTCATTTATTATTTATTTCATCTTTTTTTTTTTTGTGTGTGCATTTTTGAAACAATATAATAAAGAAGAATAAAAAAAAATATCCCATATTTTTGTATACAATATTTTTTTTCTTTGTTTATTTAATATAATACAATTGGTATATAGTAGAAATAAATAATATAATAATCATAATAAGAGTATACAAAAAAGATAGAATGGGAAAGCAACCAGTGCCACCTCTTTGATATCCGATAGAGTAAGTAATACAGTTCCATATAGTAAAGAAGTCGTAGTCATTGTTGAATCCACATCCAAGACTTGTTCTTCATCATTCTTTTTCATTCGTTTCATTCTTCTTTTGACAATAAGAGAATAAATATGGCTGATGAAGGACAAGATCATGGTGACACCAGCCAGGAAACCATACATGATAAAGATCCCCAATTGATCAGGTAGCCAACATAATTGCGGGACCAAAGATTGCTCTGTTGCTTGTAATAACATATAACCAGGTTGTCGTACACCTTGAGACATACTAAACGTCGGTACGGTATATTCCAAAGCCAATAAATCATCCTTTTTGTACTTGTGTGTCACCTTGCAAAAATCATGATCATCACCCGAAAACACAAGCTCAGGTTGGACTTGTTCAAGAATGGCTTGAGAGATATCATGCTCCATCAGATTTTGGTATTGGTGTCCATAACCTTGATAGATAAAAGGTCGTGATTGTACTCGTAATGGACCACAAGAGGTTTGTTCAGGTCGATATAAAGGAACATGTGTCATCAATACCCGTTGTCCTATCTTATTGGTATGCGCTATTTGGTCCAATATTGCCAAGGCGTCTTGTCGGATGGATGGTTGTGTATTTGTGAGTGTAACGGTATCGATGATCACCAGGGTATGATTGTATGCCAAAGAATGAATGGATGAGCTTGGTCCAAATTCTTGTTGGAATCGTTCGTAGATATGAGGTTGGATACCGTCACGAATCCCAATATCATGATTACCGCTCATATATAACGTCTTGGTTTGTTGGTTGAAGATCTTGTAGAATCGTCCCAGTTGTGTTTTGAACCTAAAAAAAAAAAAAAAAAAAAAAAAAAAAAAAAAGATGAGGATCACTATTTTTTTTTTTTTTTTTGGAAACTTTACCCTTGGTCATCCCATTCTCTTCCACCATCCATTAGATCACCAAGGATTACAATTTTATCAGGTTGCCTTTGTCTTGTCACATGTTGATAGCTACGTTGCATATAAAGATCACTATAGAATTCTGTTAACCAAAGTAAAACACCTTGTCTATCGTAAGAATAAGCATCAGTCACTTGTGGATCGGCAATCAAGAGAACTCGTTCAGGAGCCTATTCATAGAATTTAAAAAAAAAAAAAGAAGGAATGAGAATACATCTTTTTTTTTTAAAAAAAAAAAAAAAGAAGGGGTAGGCTTACGTTGGAGTCTAAAGAGGTAGAAGGAGCTGGCCATGGACATCTTGTTACAGCTAAACGAAAAACAAGCCATTCACCTATAAGTAATATAAGAATCCATATCCAACGCCACGTAGTCACCATAGGTTTTTGACCAGTTTTCCCTTTCCAAATCCATCGAACCATATATACAGTATTCAAAAAGAGAAAAAAAAAAAGGATGAAAAAATAGAGAGGAAAAAATATAGAAAACAAAAAGTGGGGAATATTTTTGATTTTAGCGTGTGTGCCAACGAAATTCTGTCAAATAGGAAGTGCCCGGTCAACGAGCAAAAACAAATAATTTCCAACTAAATGATTGGCTGCGGATTTTATGAAGAGAAGAATCCTTCTCTCTGCTTAGAAATAGTATTAAAATATATACGATTACTTTTTTTTTTTTTCCAAAAAAATGATTTACCGATACGTTTTAAAAAAATATTTGCTATCGAAATGAAACCCGTAAAAATACTTCCCCCGTATGAACTGGCGGAGAATAAAACTGATGAGTATAAGCTATGCATGATCTCTCTTGCTTTCCTTTTTCTTTCTTTTTTAGTTTTTATCTTCTATCTTTATCAAACTTTATAATATTATCTTTTAATTATCAACTTTTATTATTATGATACCAGAAGAAGATCCCCATTTTCAAAAACATGGTAGAAGACAATCTATCATTGTAGAATCTGATTCTCCTGATCCTTCTTTACTTCGTGTCATCAATCTCAAACCAAGGTAAAATAATAATAATAAGAAAAAAAAGAAATGAATTCGTATTTATATATATATTAAAAATAGTGATGATTATATACAACAACCATGGAAAAATGGAGAAGGAACAACAGGTCAAATTGCTATTTATCCTCCAGATAAAGATTTTACAAAGGATCCTTTTTTCTGGAGACTTAGTATCAATACTATTTATAATCATCAATGTGAATTTTCCCGTTTCCCTGGTTATCAATGGTAAAAAATAATAATAATAATAATTAAAATATCAATAATAATTTATTTATTCAACGTCATTTATTTAGTTCTACAGTCATTTTACCTTCTTCTAATGAAGAATATACTCAACCTAGTGTTGTATTGGCTCATCAAGAAGGGGATACTGATACAAATGTAAAATCTTTATTTCCATATTCTTGGGATGGCAATTGGTAAAAAAAAAAAAAAAATATTTCTCACGACAAAAAATAATTTTGGTTTCATTTAATAGGACAACCACATGTAAAATTCGACAACCACCAGTAACATGTCTTCAATTGATATTTCAACCTCAGATTGGATCTGCTCGGATCAATGTAGATAAACTTGGTTCAAATAATATGGATGATGAAGATACTGGGGATGATTATGGAAAAAAACGACTTTTGGGTGCTTTCTGTTTAGTTTATGTTGTAGAAGGTTATGTTCAGGTCTATTTGGATGGTGATCGTTATCATGAAAATGCTATTGGTGGTCCTCATTTACCTCAATTTTTGGAACAAGGTCAAACTGTATTAATTGAACGTGATGAAGAATCTAGTCCAACAACAATGATTTTACGACCTGCTGATAATAATGGTATTGTTGGTATTCAAGGCATAGGTAAAATATCATTTCATTTTATTTTTTTTATTTATTTATTTATTTATTTTATATTTTACTTTTTACTTTTTTTTTTTTAGATGCAACTGTCATATGTATTCAAATTGCAGAAGGAAAACATAATAAATGGACAATGGATACAATCTCTAAATCATATAAATCACCAGAACCTCTTGAAAATCGACTTGAAAATACTTTCCAACATCCAACTTATACAGCCGAACCAGACGAAGACTTATCGATTGGTCCAACAACAACAACAACTGCACCAGTACCTAAATACGATGATCATAATGATTTGAAGCCAAGTCGACGACGCCAAAGCATGACACGAAGACGATCTTTAGTTCCATATGAAATGGCTAGTGATGATTATCCTGCACCAACGACTTTGAAGGACGACACCCAAGTTTTACCTTCTTTGGCTGAACGTCTGGCCAGTGCTTCGTTTTCGACAGTCGATGAAGCCATTCGACGAGATAGTTTAGCCATGCTTGCTCATATCTATGATCCAACTCAACTTTACAAACCTGATTCTGTACCTGCTATCCATGTTCGAGTTGATTTGCCTCATCCTGTGGTTCGGGAACGATTGAAGGTGGAAGATTTTGAAGAATATAGTACCAATACTGTATGGATTAAAATGGTCACACAAGGATTGAATGAATGGGTTCGTATTCCTGTCATTGTTTTACGTGGATCTGAAAATGGGTAAATACATAATAAAAAAACAATGGGAATGATACTAATGAATCCATTTGATAGACCTGTTGTAGGATTAACGGCAGCTGTTCATGGAAATGAATTAAATGGTGTTCCTTGCATACATAGGTAAAAATGGAAAAATAATATTTATTCTAATGAAAAAAAAATATTCATATCATTCTTTTTTATAGAGTCATTTCTCAAATTGATGTCAAGAAATTGAAAGGAACTTTGGTAGCTATTCCATGCGTCAATGTGGTTGGTTATTTGAAATTTCAACGTGAATTTGCCGATGGACGTGATCTAAATCGACAATTCCCTGGTAAAGAAGATGGATTTGCCTCTCAAGTCTATTGTTTTCATCTGATGCACAAATTATTATCACAATTCAACTATCTGATTGATCTTCACACTGCAAGTTTCGGTCGTGTCAATTCATTTTATGTTCGGGCTGATATGGTAAGAAACTATACTTTATTGATGTTTATTCATTATTATTATTTTTATAGAATGATCCAGTAGCGGCTCATATGGCAAAATTACAGAAATCACAAATCATACTCCATAACTCTGGACAAGATGGTACCATGCGTTCTGCAGCTGCAGCAAAGAATATCAAAGCCATCACTGTTGAAATTGGAAATCCTCAACTCTTTCAAGATCAATATGTTCAGGTAAATCCTATTTTTATTTATTTTTATTTGATAATCAACATTTTTTTTTTATAGTGGGCTTATTGGGGTGTGATGAGGGTATTGGATCATTTCAATATGTATTCTTTAGAACATATTCAATTTGCAGAACAAGCTGATGATGGGCCTTTCAACACCATTTTATGTTCCAGTGGATTCTGGGTAATAGAGAAAAAAAATATTTAATTTCTATTGATAACTGATTCTCATTTTTCTTTATAGATTTATACTCGTACAGGTGGTGTTTTGGAAGTATACCCAGGTGTCAATACAATCATTAGTAAAGGTGCTCTTATTGCTAGGATCAAAGATATGTTTGGTAGTTTGGTTGAGGAATATTTCGCTCCTTGTACATCTGTAGTAAGTATATTTATATTCTACATATATATATATAGGTATTTATTATTATTATTTTGTTTTAGGTGATTGGAAGAAGTTCGAATCCTGTAGCTATCACCGGTGATAGGATCATCCATCTGGGTGTCATCAAGAAAAAAGGTGAAACTTTGGCAAAAGTGGCAAAAGAAAATTACTGATTTATCTAATTTGTACATAATCTAATAATAAAGTATTTACCGTATATATTCATATATTCAATTTATATACGTTGTCTTGTATATGTGAATCATGGATGATGATGATCTTTTTTTTTTTTTGATGAAAACTTTCACCAGGACATGAATAACGAATGTACTCCATCGTTTCTAAAAAAGGAAATGTAAAATGATTTCTTTTTTTTTTTTTTTTCTGTGGTGAATGGCTATCTTTTTTTTTTTTTAAACTGAAGGCTAGTTATGAAAAATGACTTTATATATCAATCATTGATCTGACATTTCAGAGTTTGACTTCCTCATTTGGTACCTGAGTAGATGGCGTATTACATCATTTTTTTTTCGCGGGCCATATTCGCCTGAAAAGGAAATCCGATATTTTCGCAGCCAAAAAAAAAAAAAAAAGAACGTCCTACGGAGATTCCCGTTTCAGCTGATCAAAAAGTATAAAAAAGCTTATTTTTTTTTTTTATTTCTCTTTTCTATTAGTTATCATCATGTTTGGAAAGGATGAAAAAAAATCATTAGATAGCGACAGTATTTCGCTGGAAAACAATTATACAGGCAAGTTTACAAGAAACCAAGTCTTACTCTGTTCTACTCATGGCAAGATTTATGCTATCAATAAGAAAGATGGATCTCGGTTTTGGCGTCAAGATTTCCCTACTGGTGCCATGGGAGGGATTGTGTCTCTTTTTATTACTGATCAAGATACTGTGATTATTGGTGGGAATGGTAAAACAGCTTGTTTGGATCTTTTTACAGGTGAACCCAGATGGGTGAATAAAATGAAGGTAAACTTATTATTATTATTATTATTTCAATTTTAACATTTTTTTTATTTGAATTAGGGTTTTGGATATGAAGAAGTGGGTGTGATTGCTACACCTAGTCGATTCCTTTCTCCTTCACAACAAGCACAACTCGATAATAGTATAGAACCACCAAGTTATGATCAACAGGAAGAAGTGGAAGAAAAACAAATGATCTATGGATGTTCGCGTGGTAAAGTACTAGCGGTGGATCCACTCACAGGAGAAGAACAATGGCGATTCAATTGTCCTAATGGTGGATTTAATATTCCGGCCATATTGGTGGAACCTACAAGTCAGGATGCTACATGGCCATGTCAAGTCATTTATATTGGATGTGGTCGATGGGTCTATTGTTTGAAATCTATCACTGGTGAACCTCTTTGGAGTTTACGTATTACCAATTCTAAACTCGGTTTGGGCTTTATGAGTTTGGCTACCCCTTGGAGTTCAAGATTATTGGCTGAAGCTCATACTTCCTTCTCGGCTACCCCTCATCCACAAGTGAGAGAAGTAAAGCAACGATGTATTTGTTTGATCTTGTTACTCATATTATTTTTTTTTTTTTTTGATAGATGGAAAGACGACGACAATCCTCTGGAGGTGGCGGTGGTGGTGGTGGTGGTGGTAGTTAAGCAAACCATTCCTCCTTTTATTTACATATACCTACCTTGTTTTTTTTTTATTCTATTATTATATATATCTTAATAAAACTCTTATTTTATTTATTTATTTATTTTCTTTTTTTTTTTTCTCTGATCATTCTACCGCGTACCTGATTTGGATTGATCAGTAGGAGGATGAAATTTCAGATGAGGACGAAAAATGCTTTTTCCATTTGAGAGGAACAAGTTGACAAAGGATTTCATTGTTACAATGTAGATGGAGATAAATCTTTAGCTAAATCAAAATAAATAGTTTATTATTATAAGAAGATGATTCATTTTTATTTTTGTATACAATAGAATCCCAAAAAAAAAGAGGTATGTACAAATCTAATAGAAGTATGCGAAATATTAAAAAAAAAATAACTAGTGGATAGTAATAACAAATCGGTTGGGGGGAATAAAACTACTTTTCTATTAATTATTGAAAATCATTGTCCGCTGGATCATCCCGTTTTGATTTGGCTAATAGTTTTCAAATGTAATGTAAAGAAAAAGGGATATCAGTTAAGACAAAATCAATCTATCTGTTACTTTTGTCCTCTTACATGACTCTCCAGTTCCATTTGAGGTTTTTTGTTTGGATTTCTTGCGTGCCTTGTCAATAAGTAATCTATATTCATCATCATATTTCTGTTGTAATCAAAAAAAAAAAAAGAGTAGTCAAGGATAATATACATTTAATCATCATTTTTTAAGAAAAAAAAAAAGAAAAAAAAAAGGATATTGTGTAATTGAGCATCAGGTGCTGATCGTTTCGTAGTGGTTCTACCAGAGAATTGCAGAGTTTCAGCAGCTTGAAGTTGTCGAATCAATTGTTTAATGTCCATAGGATCTGATGAATCCATATTTGCATTATACATTGTCACATATTCTTTATATCGCCATATAAGTAGAGACCTATCACCATGATCTGGTAAATCCATATCCTATAGAAAAAAAAACATCATCAACACATATCTCCTTTCCTTTTTTTTTTTTTGTTATTATTTCATTTACTTTCAACATTCGCCGTAAATCTTTATCCTTATACATATCATAAACTATCTTGATAGGTTTCTTCCCTGTGTTGATTCTATCAAAAAAAAAAAGATCAAATAATAAATAAAAAAAAAAAAAAGATAATCATTTTTAGTACTTACTTTTTCTTCCCTAGGGTGGTTGGTTTGCTTGGTAAAGGAGGTATAGTACTATCACCATCAAGACATCGATCTACATGTTGATTCAATACAAGCATATGCATTTTTTGTTGGCATATTGGACAAGTAACAAGGTCAGGATCTAAAAATAATTGAATAAATAAAATAAGTATATACTTCCATCTTTTTATTCGTTATGATATACCTTCTGTTCTACTTGATACTGTTTTTAATCGAGTAGATCGTCTTGTTGAACAAGTTGATTCCATTTGACTAACATGACTAGATTCTTCTTGTTGTATCGTTGTCTGACTTGTATATGATCCAGTTGTTTCCTGAAGTTCCAAGATTTTCTTTCTATATGTGTCAAAAAAGTTTAATAATAATAAAAAAAAAAATTCATATATAATAATTTTACCTTGCTAATTTCCAAGCATGAATAACATTATCTAGATCGTAATTATTATGAAGATTAGAATCGTGACCAGGAGCTCTACATTTAGGACAACATTGTTCAGCAGCAAGACTTCGTCGAATACACATGGCGCAGAAGGAATGAGAACAAGTACTAAGAATCATGGCTGTATCATAAAATTCTTTACAAATAGGACATCGAAAGTTTTCATCTAATGTTTGTAATTCAGTGGTTTCAAAATCCAAAGGATCATCTATGGTATCCATCACAAAATGTTTTGTTGTATTAAAAAAATAAAAGAAATGAAAAAATAAAAAAAAAAAAAAGAGGCGCGGAAATCAGAACCAAAAAAATTTCGCGTTGCTGAGCTCAAAATAGATATGTTGTAAGAAAGAGAAGTTTGAAAATATCAATCATGATATTAACTTCATTTTCAAATATTACCTTCAGACAATCAATATTCACCTTTCAAGTAAAATGTATTTGATTGAAAATAAATACCCAAAAGTACCCCAAAACTCGAGGACATCGGGAAGGGTGGAATATATCTCTAGACAAAATTGTTTCTTTTTTTTGTTTTTGAATGTATTTTGAGAGAAATAATGTTCTTATTAACAAGTGATCTATTGTAATACACTGATAGAATAATTGGTGGAATGATCAAAAAAACAGGGTTTAAAGTTGAACACCGACAACAGAAGAAAACTTTTTTTCGCACGGCTATTCTTTTTTTTTTGCAGGGTCAACTTTTTTTTTGTTCAGTCTTTCTTTTTATTTTTTTTTTTTTATTTTATTTTTCTCTTTTTACCTCACTCATAAAAATGGTTCATAACAAAATTCCTACTCGTAGTAATGTACAAAAAGTCCTTGGTCACCTAAAGTTAAGTGAAGGTATTATCTATTTGAATGGTAATGTCATGCAAGAACGTGATAATACCGATTGTGAACTTCCTTTTCGTCAAGAATCCAACTTTTATTATGTTACTGGTAAGACTTTATATTTTAAAATAAAAAAAAAAATTCAATTTTTTTTTATATTAGGTGTGAATGAACCTGATTTTCATGTGGTGATTGATATTGCTACGAAAAAGACGATTTTGGTTGCTCCTAATATTGATCCTGATCATGTCATGTGGATGGGTTTACCTGATACTCTTGAAGAAATGCAAGCTAAATATGATGTAGATCAGGTTGTATATGCTGATAAACTCAATGCATTGGTTCAAACTGCTTCCAAGATCTATACTTTACCCATTTCCAAGACCACTGCTATTGATAGTGTATCTTCTAAATTGGTCGATGCTGCTGGACAAAAGAAATTGGAAAATGCCTTTATTGATGCTCGTTTAATCAAGGCTGATTGGGAAGTAGAAATCATGCGTAAAGCAAATAAGATTTCTTCAGATGCTCACATAAAGGTAAAAAAAAAAAAAAAAAAAATGTATATTATTCAAAATAATCAATCTATTTTTTTAAATAGCTTTGGAAAGCTGCTCATCCTGGTTGTAATGAAGCTCAATTACATGCCTTGTTCTTGTATGAATCTGCTCGTCATGGTGCCTTTTTCCAATCTTATTTTCCTATTGTTGGGTCTGGGATGAATGCTGCCACTTTACATTATAACAAGAATAATGCTATTATGAATGCGAATGATGTGGTTTTGGTCGATGCTGGTGCCGAATTCGAATTATATGCTTCTGATATCACTCGTGTTTTCCCTGTCAATGGTAAATTCACTCCTGAAGCTCGTGTCATTTATTCTATTGTTTTGGAAATGCAAAAGGTAAGAAGAACAATATGATTTTTTTTTTTTTGTAAAAAGGATCTCATCCTTTTATATATATATATATATATATATAACATTGTCTTAGAAATGTATTGATCTTTGCAAAGCTGGTGTTGCTTGGGAAGATATTCATTATACTGCCACTGAAGTTGGTTGTGATGGTTTATTGAAGACTGGTATTCTTGTTGGTGATAAACAAGAAATTTTGGATAAATCTGTCATGGCTGCCTTTTTCCCTCATGGAAGTAAGTAACATTTTTATTATGAAATAAATGAAGGATTTAACTCTATTTTTTTAAATAGTTGGTCATTCCATTGGTATGGATGTTCATGATGTAGGTGGTTACCCTGATGGTGTGGAACGTATCAATAAACCTGGTATTCGTAACTTGCGTATGCGTCGTGTATTAGCCCCTGGTTTTGCTGTCACTGTAGAACCTGGTATCTACTTTTTTGATTACTTGATCAACCCTGTGCTTAACAATGCTGATACTGGCAAGTACATTAATGTGGATGTTTTGAACAAGTACAAATCTGTTGGTGGTGTTCGTATTGAAGACAACATTATCGTCACTGAAGGTGCTCCTATTAACTTGACCACTGTCCCCAAGGAAATCGACCAAATCGAAGCATTGATGGCTTCCAACTAGATCTTTTTTTTTTTTTGTTAGGTTGTACTTTATATTACTAGTTGTATGAATATCTAGTTTTTCTTTTATATATATATATGATGATGATGTTTATGTTCTGTACAATAGTGAAAATAAAGAAATATAAATATTTCTCATGTTATTCCAATGTTGATTCAGTATATACAAAATGTTATATATTAGGCGCCCAATTTAGAGATCCAGAATAAAATCTCAACAAAAAAATAAAATAAAATAGACAAACAGAGATTTATTCAAATAATAAGAGAAATCAATATTCATTTCTTTTTTGAGGGTAATAATAATAAGAAAAAGAGGAATAATACAAAAAAAAAAAAAAAAAAGAACTATTCAAATAAACAAAACGAGAATGATGGTCCTATAGATGTTTGTTGATCCAGTTTGCATAATATTCAATGACTTTTTCTCGATCTTCTTTCCGTTCATTGTGTACTAATATAAAAAAAAGATGAATAAGTTGTATTTTATATATATATATATATACTTACATTCATGATAAAGTCCTTCCCAAGATTTGAATTCCTTGTCGGTGCTTGAAGTGATATGGTACAAACGTTGAGTTGCTTCATGAGAATTGACGGGATCCTCATCACCATGTGAAAACAAAATAGGTAGTGTGATATTAGATCCAATATTCAATAAATTCTTGCCAGCATCCAAAAAACTACCAACTATCCAAAAAAAAAAAAAAAAAAATATTAAAAATGAAAATGTTTATTTTGATCAATTTTTTTTTTTACCAGTGCCAATGGTAGCATAATCATGGATCAAGGGATCATTTTTATATTTTTCAATTTCATCTTGATCATGACTCATGAAAGAGGGATCCATATCGGCACGAATACCAAAACTTGGAGTAATATAAGAGGCCAATTTCAAAGGATAATATTTCAAAGGAGAGACTGGTTTGGTCAAGATCACCAAGGGAGCAGATGCAATGACGCCATTGAGTTTGGATACACCATCAAATTCATCCTTACGAGCCACATAATTCAAAATCAAACCTCCTCCCATACTATGACCTAATAAAAATAATGGGATATTGGCTTGTTTGGTCCGATGGACGGCTTCATTGATATCATTCAATGCAGTTTTATACCTATCCATAGTTTTTATTAATGATCATGTTTTTCTTCTTTTAGTTTTTTTTTTTTTTACCCTTGATTGTTACCAAACGATTGATCTTTTTTGCCAGTTTCACCCCAACCACGTTCATCAAAAGCATGGGTTTGAATACCTGACTCGGCTAATACTCTACAAACAGCATCATATCGAGCACAATGTTCACCAAAACCGTGAACAATCCTATATATAAAAAAAAAAAATAAAAATTAGTCATGTTTTATAAATATATATATTTTTTTTTTTTTGCTTACAAGAGGTTTGCTTTAGGAGTGGAAGAAAGTTTCCATGTCTTTGTAAAAAGTTTCTGACCATCGGATGCAGTTATCCATTCATCATGAACTTGAACAGTGGACATTATTATGTAGAACAGTAAAGAAAGAAAAACAGGGAAAAAGGAGAAGAAAGAAATAATGTGGTCGGTCTTTCAATACATAGCTTTTTTTTTTTTTTTTTAGTAAGATCTTTTTTTAACCTCATATAGAGAAATCACTCTACAAGGATATGCAAAAAACTTAGAAATTCCAAGGATACAAAGGGAATTCCACGTGATTTTTTTTTTTTTATAATGTAGTACCAGTCAAGGGCAGATAGGGGAATGTTTTTTTTCTTTTTTTTTTTTTTTGGTAGATATCAGTTGATAGATTCTTTTTTTTTCTTTTTAGATGCATCATAGAATGGGGTACTTTACAATAAAAAAAAAAAAAAAACTTTTTGTTAGGCATAAATCGGCTGATTAAAAAAAAAAAAAAAAAAAAAAAAAAAACTCGCCGATAAACTGTAGACTGACACTTTTTTTATCATTTGGAGAACAAAAGTCAAGTGTGAGGATGTTAGCTCCGATGGCATTGAAACCTTTTTTTCATTTATTTTTATTTTATCTTCTTTTTTCCTTCCTTCTTTCTTTTCTTTTTTCTTCTTTATTTTTTTTTTTTTTTTAATAGAGATTTATTTTATTCTTAATGGGTTTATCCATTTTAATATCATGTTGTTTGCTTTTTATATCTTCAATACAAGCTACCATTCTCGTTTTGGTAAATATTCTATCATTTATTATATTTACATATTGATATCTTTTTATTATAGTCTACGAATGATACCTATATGGATCGTCAAGCAGTATTTGGTCCACGATTGGAACAAGAACTTATTGGTCATCTTAGCATTCCTATTCTGTCTCGATATGGTTGTGAACCTATTGATGCTCCTTCAATGGATTGGATTGCATTGGTTGAAAGAGGTAAATGTTCTTTTGCAGATAAAGTCCGGGCTATGCAAGCTTCTCAAGCAAAAGCTGTGATTATTGGTGATCCTCATTTTAATGGTTGGATTACCATGTATGCTACGGGTAAAATTTATCATATTGAGTTTTTTTTTTCTGTATTAAATACTTTTTTTTTTTTTTTCGTGTTATAGGTAATACATCGGATATTCTGATTCCTAGTATGTACGTGGCACAATATCAATTCAAGGCTTTAGAATTACATTCATGGAAAGGACCCATATTGGTTCAATTGATTAGAAATGAAGAAGCTTCATGGTAAAAAAAAAAGTTTGTATCTATCTTTGTTATATTCATTTTTTTTTTTTGGTAGGTCATTCACTGATATGATGATTGTCATTGTACTTTCACCTTCTGTCATGATGTTAGTGGTCTATTTTACTTGGAAATGTCGTGAATATCAACGTCATTTACGTGATCTTGCACCTTGTCATGTTGTGGCCAGTCTTCCTTCTAGATTATATCGACGAGAAAAAACACCTAATTCCTCTCCAACTATCTCAGACGATGATGCAGATGAAGAATGTGCTATTTGTTTGGAAAAATATTTAGATGATGATCGAATACGAACATTACCTTGTCATCATGAATTTCATGTCACATGTATAGATACCTGGTTGATCACTCGAAAGAAATTTGTATGTATATGAATGATGATATCAAATGACAAAAAAAAAAAAACTTATCTTTCTTTGATCATCCTCCCCCCCTTAGTGTCCTATTTGCAAGTTCAATATTTGTCAAGCTATACAACGACAACAAGAACATCCTCCATTAGACAATAGACTTCCTCCTTCCCATATGAATGAACAAACACCTCTTCTTCCCTGTTGAATCTTATACCATACCCATAAAAAAAAACCTCCTCCAATATATAGACATTTATGCATACAGAATAGTTTTTATGTTTATATTTACATTTAGAGTCATAGGTTTTTTTTTTTATCCTTATAATTCATTTATTCCTTTTTTACTTGTACATATCACACATACATACGCACATATATATATATATACATATATAGAGAGAGAGAAAAAATAAACATAAGTTAATAAAAAAAAAAGACATATTTTGTTGTAATTGAGAAAAAAAAAAAAGGAAAGAACAGGGGGGCATTACACTTTATTCAAAAATAAGATGTTGCAAAAATAGGAAATAAAAAATATCGTCAACAAAAAGAATTATATCTAAGATAAGGGTACTAAATAATATGCTTTTTTTTTATCGATTGGAGGACCCACCATTTCGTTTCGGTAGTATACCCTATCATTGTTTTTTTTTTTTTAAGAAAAATTCAATTCTAAATCAATTCAAGACATTATATATTACCTTCATCATCATATATTCAGCATCGACATCTTCTTCTTCTTTGGATGAAAGAGGTGCATTAATATTATGAGGAGTCACATTATTTTCTAATTAAAAAAAAAAAAAAAAGTTGAAGTATTATCTATCTATCATAATAGGAACTTACTAAGCCGCCTTCCTCTACTTGAAGTAGTTTCTTGTCTTGCAGGAGACCCTCGATCTGAATTAGAAGGAAGAGTTCGTTTCCTTAAACTTCTCTTTTGTTTGATTCTTTCATATGCTTCTTGAAAAATCCCATCCATATCCAATTGATCAGAATCTTCACGATCTTCTTTAATTTGTTTTCGATGTTCATCAATCACTAACATAAGTACATCATTTAAATGATGCATTTCATTCTATATACAAAAAAAAAATTTTTTTTTGAGTAAAAAAAAAAAAAAAAAAAAAAAAAAAAAAAAAAATCAAGGTACCTGAAATTCATCCTCTATCATCATCACATCCAAATCAAATTCTTGTTTGGTCATGGTCAGTTGATAATATTCAAAACATAAAGCATTTTCGATGGTCTGATCGCGAATCATTTCAAGGTCCGTTACCATTTCTTGAAAAGCAGCATGGTCACCTACTCAAAAAAAAAAAAAAAAAATGAATATAATGATTTTTTTTTCTTCCTTTTTAATTTCTTTACCATCTTGAATACTTTGTAATTCTTTTTGTAATGCTTGTAATTTTTCTGTATATACTCTAAAAAAAAAGGAAAATAAGATCATTTGAAATCTTTTTTTTTTGAACATACTCATCATTTTGTTCCCAGAATTCATTGTCCATCCAAGTCATTAAATCATTGTATTCACGTAATCGACGGAACATTTTACTATCATTGGTTTCCAAAGTATCTTCTAATTTCATAGATAAATGTTATTTTTATCATCCTATTTATTTATTTATATATTTTTTTACCTTGATGCCATCGAGTTTTATGCGGTTGTTCTGTATAATAAGGTGATTCATACATCGAAGTATCTTTTGCAATGATATCATGTGATGGATAATGACCACGATAGGTATCATATGTTGAAGGAACATCCATTTGTAAATAAGTACCAGTGGATGATTTACTTGATGTGTGTGGCGGTGGCTGAGAAGTCATAAAAGCATGATGCGTTTTACTACTTGTAGGTGGCGGAACTCGGTAAGGATGATCCATATATGGGTCATGTGGTTGCCATGGATAGGTTGTACTGGAAGGTTGTAAAGGTCGGAAAGAACCAGTATTGGTTCGTTGGTCAAATTTGTTGGAATAATAATGATAATTGTCTACATTAGATGACGCGGTAGGTGGCATTTTGGATGAGTACATATAAGGAGGGGGTACCGAAGTTTGTTTTTGTATAGCCGGTGGTGGTACAGGTGGTGGAGGTAAGATTGGAATAGATGGTGTATTATTGGTTTTATTGGGATGTATAGAATTAGTGCCTTGTAAAGGAGATCGCGTGTTATTATAATATGAGTTTGTTTCCTTGGCACTGCCATTACCATGTTGTTTCTGTAGTTGATGCTCTTGTTGATGGTGAGAGTGTTGTTCTTGTTGTTGTTGTTGTGGAGGTTGTGTGCTTTGTGGTGGAGACCTTGGGTGACTATACAAAGGTTGAGTTGGAGGTGGGCGTGAGTCAGCACCTGCTTGAGCGACAATGTAACCAAACTGAGGTAACATGGTTGTTGTATGTAAAAGAAAGTCAGAAATGGTAGATAAAACAAAAAAATAAACAAAAAAAAAAAACAGTGATGACTATAAGTTTTGTTGTAAGTATATGAAGAACTGGTTATAAATAAAGGAAGGATAATAAAACGAAAAGGAAGGAGAAAAAAAAAAAGCAAAGCAAGCAAAAAAAAGAAAAGAGAAAAAAAAGAGAGAGAGAAAAAAAAACTGAGTGTGGGTAATTTAAAATACCGATCAATGGATTTTTTTTTGATGGGACAAATACGTAAAAATATAACATCATGTCCAAAGATGGAAGGATTGACTATTGATTCCATTCGAGATGTTTCCAAGGAGGTTGACCAAGGAGAGAGAGAAATGAAATAAAAGAAGAAAAAAGAAAAATAACTATTTTACCTACAACATAAAATTTGATGTTCTTTTTTTTTTTTTTTGTTATTTATTCAAAAAGGTATGTAAGGCACAAAAAAAAAAAAAAGGGATAACTACAAAATCATCAATATGATATCTAAACTAGTTGTGTTCAGTTGGATTAAAGGAGTTACGAGCAGAAGCATGTTGTGGAGGAGTGAATGTACCAGAAGCCCTTGGAGATGCTAGATTTGGCAATTTCGTTGTGGAACCATGGTTACCCAAACTGAGACTGGAAGATTTGGCATAGTCAGGCGTGGTCAAATATACCATACTCGCTCGTTTGTTGTCTAATCCAATAGAAGGAGGAGGTTGAAGTCCAGTTGTATCATCATAATAAGAATCATCATCGTGTTCCAACATGGCATATTTTGCAAAATCTTCATTGTCCCCAAAGAATTTACCGATCTTTTGATGTTCCTTTTTAGATTGATAGCGTTGTAATGCCCATAAGAGTAAAAGAACAATCAAGATAAATACTACGATAGCTGCACCAATAACTCCCCATAACCAATTCGCAATTTGATGGAAAACATCTGGTCCATTCACACATACACCATCAGGACTACATGTGTTGGAGATACATTCACGATCTTGAGAGCAGGTAGCACCATTCACTTTGGACGTAATACATGCTTGATTCACACAATAAGTTCCATCCGTACAATTATCTCGAACGATTGTTTGAAGTTCCGCATTGCCTTCAGCGTCGTTAGATACATATTGAGTCCTATAAGGAGAGATTGATAAGCCAAGCCCGCCTTTATTCCAAAAAAAGAATAATCTGATTATTGTACTTACGTATCATTTCCACACTTCCCACCTAAAGGAACTGCCTTAACATTACAAACACCATTTAAGCAAATCGAATTAGACCCTTGACATTCATCATCACGTTGCTAAAATAAAATTAAAAAAATCATTCCATGATTAATTTTTTTTTTATCGATGATTTTTTTTTTATGATTACCATTTCACATTGTGCATTTGTAGGAACAGTAGGCATACATTTTGATCGATTATCAGGACAGTAAGTATTATTTCCACATCTGGGTGGATAGGGGCGAACACTTGTCATCCATCTAATAATAGATCGCTGTTAAATATTACTCTTGATTTTTTTTTTTTTTTTTTTTGCTTTCTATTACCCTTTTGTATAATCAGCATTAGTACAACCTATATAGTTACATTTGCTAGTAGAAGGATCACAGAATAAGTAAATACTTTGACAAGCATCATTGTATTGCCAAGTCAATCTAATATATATATATATAAAAAAAGGGGGGATTGAGTATATTCGCCTTGTTATATAAGTTTATTTTGGGAAACTTACTGGTCATAATAAGGAGTTGGATCACAGACTTGACCATAAGTACCAACTGCTGAAACTGTGGAGATTAATAATGATAGTCCTAAAACTAGACGATATATTGACATGGGAGACATATAAAAGGGAAAAAGGAAAAGAAAACAAAAAGAAAGAAAAAGAAAAACAAAAAGGAACAAAAAGATTTGTATTTTTTAAGACTCCTACTGTTGCTATTTTATTTTTGGCATTGAGATGTTACACGATTGCTACTAAAAAAAAAAAAAAAAAAATGAAAAAAAAAATGAAATAAAAAGTTGGTAACTATCTATGAAAAGGATTTATAAAACAAGCAAGGAGAATGAATTATAAAAAGGGGTTGAAAGAAAAGGGATCATCTTTCTATTAACAAAATGATCGCCCAATGGATACATTAGACATGGTAACACGTGGATCAGTAGTATTATGCTTATTGGAACAAATAAGTTCTGTGTGACCAAAGGAAAATAGGATCTTATAGTATAAATGTATTTCAGAATAAATCAAATTGAATAAAATGAAGAGTATATGTATTTTTTTTAAAAAAAAGATTTATTGATGGACTGTTATCTATATATTTTGATTCATCATCAGACTTAAAAGATTTGTTGATATATTGTTTCATCACGTGGAGATATTGATCATTAGACACTTGTAGATATCATAATGTATTGCAGTCTTGACATTATGCAAATATATTATGTGTGACAGTTTTCTGGAGCTTGATATCACACTTTGAGTCATCCATACAGTATTGCAATCAATGGAAAGTCGTGATGGTAGAAAACGAATGACAAGAGAAAAACAAAAAGATGATTTTGGATCATAGAATCAGTAATATAAATGTATATATAAGGAGTTAGTGTCATACTTTTTGTTGACAAAATAAAAAAAAAAAAGAACATACCATAATATGATTTGTACGATAGATAGCCAAATAATATATCAAGACAGTATATGAATGTCAAATAAGAAAAAGATAAAGAAAAAGAAAAAAAATAAAAAAGATCATGGAAGAGTATTTTATAGAAAATGATAAATTTTTTGCTGAGGATGGTAAGAATAAAAAGAGGTGGTTAATTCTTTCTTCTTTTTTTTTATATCAGTGATCGGATGACGATGATTGTTTTTTATTGATGATAGAAAAAAGAAACAATGAAAAAAAGGAGCTTACTTTTTCTACAATAGTTTGGTTCTTTTTCATAGGGATGCTGAGAATAGAAAGAGATGTAAATTCTTATTTTTTTTATCAGTCATCGGGTAATGATTGTTTTGCATTGATTATAGAAAAAAGAGTGATGACAAACAATGCAAGAAAAAAGAACAGGTTTTGCTATTGAGAACAATTAAATTATCGATTTAGCAATGATCATTAAGAAACCTATAATAAAGAAGAAGAAAGCTTCTATTGATATCATCCATCATCCATCATCCATAATATGAAAAAAGGATCACTGCAAGTATATTCATAACTCCAATGCGAACAAGCCTCTAATCACAACACAGAAAAGATGAACACACTTCACATGGAAAAAACCAGTAAATTTAAAAGCTGAGGATCGTGCACTTTCCCTTGTTATCTATTCCTCCTTACCCACCTCATCCGCGCTTCCTTGCTTTATTTTTATTTTGATCATTGTTTGGCTGAAGAAAAGAACCTGTAGATCTTTTTTTTTTATTGAAATAAAGATAGTATAAGCTTTTACTTATTTTTGCAGGAATTCCGATTGACAAACTTAAAAATAAGGCAGCGCAAACTCATTTTTTTTTATTGTGCAAATTTTATTTGGGTCAACGCAAATTGATAGGAAAAAAAACCAGTAATTCACTACACTTGAAAAAAAAAAAGTGTCATTAGGTATACTCAACTATTAAAAACTTATCTTATTATTGGATCATCATAGTGGACTTACTTTAATGATTATTACCATGATGAAGGAAAATAAATAATGCTTACAATGATCTATGATTTTTATTATAATGTTTAACTCATATGATGATGGACTCAAGAAAGATTACCCTCACTCTACCATGTTCATCCATCCTTAGACTTTGTCAAGAGTTGGATCATGCACAACGTTCTATTGCAAGAGACTTTTCTTTTTCTTTCAAAACGTGACCATCATCCCTGAAAAAAAAAATAAACATTCACAGAGTTTTTAATTTGTACATCATCAAAGCTTGGTGTTCTTTTTTTTTTCTGAAGCGATATTATCACTCTCAACAGAAGAACTAAGATAATCATGACATGTGGTTCCTAACATCACGATAATACTTCTCTTAATACAACATCTAATTCTGAAAAGACTGTGCTCCTCATCCAAATATGGTCTCCTCCTAATTTGTTTTTTTTTTTTCGTTTATTTTTTCCCTTATTTTGTCTTAAATTAGAAAACATGTAGATAGGCTTCAGTGAATTACATAAACAGTTAGATAAGTAATCAAGTATTATTTATTAAAAAGAATTTTAGGATAAAAGGATTATTTATTTAATACCTCAATAATCCCTATACTGCTTAGATTAACATGATTACCCTGATTACAACTCGGTTTCACCGTCGGAACATGAATCCAGGGCACACACATTAATTATGATGACCCTTAAAGTAGTAATAAGGGTAATTTACCGAAAAAATAAAAAAGAAACTTTTTCAATCGCTTTTTTTTTTTATTTCTTTTTCTCTTCTTTCTTTCATTATTTTTTTTTAAAAGGAAAAACTTTCTTCTTTGTTACTTTTTTTTTTTATTTTGATAATGAAAGCCATTCTCTTGTTGATGCTGGCCATGCCAAGTGTTCTTTTAGCTCAAAATGCTTATTGTAAAAACGAATTTGCTCAAACACCCAAAAACTGTGACAAATTTGACTTTAAGCATGTCACGCCTGATGATCAACAATGTGGAAAAAACAAGAAACCTCATAAAGTCCATGGTGGTGTCAAACAAACAAATTGTACAACTTTTTATGATATTAGCAAGTTACCTTCTGAAGATATTGATGATCATACGTTAACCATGGCCCAACTCATTACCAATGTGTAAGTATAGAATAGAAATAGGAGAAGTAAAAACAGGAGATTAATATATGAAATTGACAACTTTTGTTTTTTTTTTTTTTTTTTTTTTTTTTTTTTTTTTTTAGATTTGAAAATGGAAACACTCAAATGGGTTATTCTGTAAGTTTTTTTTTTTTTCTTCTTATCATTGTATGATTGATTTTTTTTTTGTCATGATTAGGCTGCTTCCGATATTGGTGATTGTCGTGGATATACTTGGTAAAAAAAAAAAAAGAAAAGAAAGAAAAGAAAGAATATGGAATAATCATTCATTTTAAACTTTGATAACTTATAGTGGTTACATTGGATTTACGACGGGAACAAATGATGCTTATGCGGTAGTAGAACAATATGGACATAGAAAACACAAGAATCCATTTGAACCATACTTGGATGAATTGAAGAAATTAAGTAGTTATGAATTCAATGATCCTCGTCGTGCTGATACCTCCAAACTCGATGGATTTGCTTCTCTTTGGACTGAAACTGCTTGTACTGATCCTAGTTTTGTTCAAACTCAATTGGATGTTGGTCATGCTATGTATATGAAACCGGCTTTGAAATATGCTGCTTCTGTGGATGTGAAATCTAATCTTGGCAAAGCCTTGTTTTATGGTAAAAAAAAAAAAAAAAAAAAAAAAAAGATGATTACTTAATTTTCCCACACACTTTTGATAGATACCATTGTTCAACATGGGTGGCAGGTAAATTTACATTTATATTTTATGATCTCTATTTTTTTTTACTTATTATTATTTCTTTAGTATGTGGAACCTCTGATTAATCTCCCACGTATTCTCGAAATCACAGGCCCACGTGAAAAAGATGAAAGTGAAAAGAGTTTCTTGACTCGATTTTTGACAACAAGACGTCAACTTGTATGTTGTTATCCTGGCAAGGTATGGAATGATTCATCCGATCGTATGTCAGATTTACAAAATTTGGTGGATGATTGGGAAAAGAACAAGGATTTGACTGACCCTGTACATTTGGTCAAGTTTGATGTGACAGTGACTGGAAAAGAATCCATTAGTTTTGACAAGGCTGGTTGCAAAAAAGCTAGTAAAAGACATCGTTATAGACCTTTTACCCATTTACCTTCTGCTGATGATTTACCCATCCCTCAATGCCCTGATACTTTATAACCCTCATTCTATTTTTCTTCAATAAAAAATTTAAGTTATTATACCATTTAAGATGAAGAATGATCTTTTGTCCACAATGATCCAAGTTAAATCCCCGAATGAGGAGGAAAATCATTTTTTCATTCAATCAAAAGTGTGCAATGTTTACCCGGCTTTTTATTTTTTATGACACCTTTTTTTTTTTTTTCTTCGATTTCTTTTCCTTCTATTTCTTTGTCGGTCAAATTTAGTCCTTCCTTCACTTTTTTCTTGCACTTTTTCTTTTTGAATCTATCTGAACCACATCAATACTTATCAGACATAAAAGTGGAGGAGAAAAAAAAAACTATATAATGTCTATCAAGAACCATGAAGAAGGCATGCAATATCGTTATTTAGGAAACTCGGGTCTAAAAATAAGTGTTTTATCACTTGGCACTTGGATTACTTTTGGTAAATATCTTTGATCTATATTACATTCTACAATAATAAATATTAATTTGCTTTCATTTTATTTGTTAGGAGGACAACTTACACCAGGTAATTTCAAAAATAAATTTATATAGGTTAGAAAACTAATTTTTTTTTTTCCATTTATAACAAAGAACAAGCTACCGAAATAGTGAAAACAGCATTGGAACTTGGTATTAACCATTTTGATGTAGCGGAAAGTCATTCAGGTAAAAGACCAATACTGGTGAGACGCGTGAATTGTACTAACTTATATAATTAAAAAGGTGGACAAGGAGAAATTGATCTTGGTTTAGCATTACGGAATCAAAAGGGTTTACGACGCTCGGATTTTGTCATTTCAACCAAAGTGTTTTGGGGTGGCAAAGGACCTAATGACCGTGGGTTGTCAAGGAAACATGTGTTTGAAGGCACGGTGGCTTGTTTGCAACGACTTCAGCTGGACTATGTCGATGTATTATATGCCCAACGTCCAGGTAAGATATACAAATTTATATATATCAAAAAAAAAAGGATATTATCAAAACTAATTTTTATATTAGATCCTGATACCCCTATGGAAGAAGTGGTCCGGGCTTTTAATTGGTGCATAGACAAGGGAATGGCTTTATACTGGGGAACAAGTGAATGGCCGGCCTATATGATTGTAGAAGCTATGATGATTGCCAAACAATTGAATTTGATTGCTCCTATTACTGAGGTAACAAATATAAAAAAAAAAAAACGGATAAACAAATTTGATATTGATCTCTTCTTTTTTTTACAGTCACCTCAATATAATATGCTGAATAGGGAACGAGTAGAGAAAGAATATTGTCCAATGTATAGTCAATTTAAATTGGGAATTTGCACTTGGTCACCATTAGCATCAGGTAACTATCGTTGAAAGAGGATGATACAGTAACTGATTATATACATGATAGGCTTACTTACTGGGAAATATAATGATGGAACGATTCCTCCCTTTACAAGATTGGCTATACAAGATCATCCTGTGATTAATCGACTGCGTGTTGGTTATTATAGTGAAGAAGGACGAAGAAAATTGGAAAAGATCAAAAGGGTGTGCGTAAGTTTAAGAAAAAAAGGAAAAAAAAAAAAGAAATTTAAATTGATTCAATTTATTTGGATAGGAACTTGCTCATAGGATGAAATGTACACCTGCACAACTTGCCATTGCTTGGTGTTTGAATTATCCACATGTGACATCTGTTATTATAGGTGCATCCACTCCTGCTCAAGCCATAGAAAATATTCAAGCTCTCAAGATTCGATCTCAATTGACAGAAGAAATCATGCAAGAATTGGAAAAGGTAAAAAAAAAAAAAATATACATGCCTTTTCTTATCTTATTTTCTTTTTTTTTTAATTAGTTATTGGCCAACAAACCTGAACCAGTATTTGATTTCCGGAAATCATGATATCATTTATATTGGATTAGTTTTTATATATTATAAATAAATATACTATTAAAATGTTTTATTCGCGTTTATATGCATGATGATTTTACTGTTGTGCATTGAATCTCCGTGCCTCGTCATCTTTGGCCATTTGAGGGAACAAAGGATGCTTCTCTCCATTTCTATAAAAGAGATAAATTCATTTTAAACACTAGTAGCCACTGCATCTGAGTTTTAACGCCACGATGATGCAAAAAAAAAAAAAGTGGGGGGCCATTCTAGTTTGAGTTTTAAGGCTTACGTGTTTCTACAAAAAAAAAAAAAAAAAACTTTATCTTTGATTCATTCACTTATAAACATTTATCCGTCCATTCATTTAATGAGACCATGGTAATGAAAATTAGATTTAAAAAAAAAAAAAAAAAGAAAATCCTTTTTTTTTTTTTCTGAATGTGCTACGTTTGTTTTTTTTTTTTTTTTCTGTTCAACACTTTTTTGTTTTGTTTTACCGGGTGCCTCGCTCACAGCCGACCGACGTTTCGCGCGCCATGATATCCGATCATCCATTTTGAGGATACAATGATGTGATTGTTTATGGGTAATGATCATCAGATAGATAACTATAGTAAAATGATGATAAATCATTATGGAAATAAGCATTGATAGGAAATAATAAATGAAAGCAAATGAATGATATATATAAAAAAGATGGTCATTTTTTTTTTTAAGTTTTCATTTGTTCCCTGGGTACCCCTGATCATTGTTACTATAAAATAGCAATGACCGAGATGACTGAAGTTAAATCCCATTCCCTTTTTATTGAATGACAGCCGAGAGATCTCTTTTCAACCAAATGATAATAAACAACTTTTTGGTGTATCACTATATATATAAATAAATGTTATCTATTTATAAACTCAATGAATAGTTCATTATGAGAAATTGATGTTTTGTTGATGTTCAGTTGGGGATCAAATGGGAAAATAGGATCGGGTGTGAAATCTATGGCACTTTTGCGTAACACAAATAACAAATTTTTGTTAAATGAATTTGAGTGTGAGATAGAAACAAGATATACAGTTTATTATAATAAGTGAGGGAATGATGATATCTTTTATATAAATAACTAAGGGGGTGAATAAATAAAAAGTAAAGACAGACAGAAAAAGAGAGAGGAGTAAAAAGAGAGGAGAAAAGGGGGGAAATATTAATGAAGACATATAATAAGAATAAGATAAAGTATAACAAAAATAAAATATAAAAGAGAGAATTGATCTACCATGATTGAGTAGTAGTAGTAGTATTAGAATAATGAGTTGTTGAAGATGGGGTATAGGATCCGTAAAAGTCCATTGTGGCTTGATGAAAAGAGCAAGAGGAAGAAGATGGTAACTTGGAGATATCATTTGAAAGATGATCATGGAAAGATGTAGTTGATACACAAGGATGAGTATAATAAAAGGAGGAATCCAAGGAAGTGTTTGAAGGTAAAGTAGGAGCACTAGGTAAATCCATCATATCGTTATGTATAGAAGGTCGTCGAATTTGTTGTTGTTCCATGGAATAAGAATGAGGTGATGGAGGGAAACCAGAGTTTGTTGTCATGGTAGAATCATAAAATAAGGATTGTTGTGATGGTGTTGCTGGTGAAGAATCTGAAACTGTCAATGAGAACATGGAGCTACTTCCTTTACTTGAATAATCAATCAAACTATGTTGATCTAAATGATCGACAGAAGATGTTGTATAATCTTGAAGGGATTGTTGATTATTATTATTATTATTATTATTGGGTTCACGATAAGCATAATAATCTTGTTGTTGTTGTTGAGACATCATCATGGAAGGAACAGAACGAGTAGGTGGTAAACGATCCATAGAAGAAGAAGGTGTACTGGTAGTAGAAGGATAAGATGATGATGATGGTATTTGTTGTTGAGCATGTCGATGAGGTGAATAAATTTCTTCTACAGAATTGGATGCTTGAGGTAGATACATTTGGTTGGTGGGTATAAAATAATTTGCATGAGGAGGAGCCATAGGGTTGGAATAGAAATAGATGGAAGGATCATCGACAAACAAAGGGTGAAGTACGTCTTTGATATTATGTTGAATAGCCAAAGCCTTTGCACGTGAGAAGGTCACCCTATATTGAAAGAATAATAATAAATACTAAAGTTGGTGACACTCTTTTTTGTTGTTATTGTTTTGTTTTTATTTACCAAACGCCTTTTAGATGCATAGCACCTACTTTAACCACCACCCGACCTTTTTCGTTCTTGAGTATACCATCTCTTTTGCCACGAGACATACCAGTAACATTCAATAATTTTGTACCATTGACCATATCATTATCTATAAAGAAATATATAATCAATGGATAAATAAAAATGAGGAGAAATAAAGAAAGGAGGTCCTTACCCCAAAAGGGTGATCAAAAAAAAAAAAAAAAAGAAAAGGGGGAGGGATACTAACCTTGTCTTCTTGCCACACAAATGCCACGAGCGTCTACTTGATAACATATAGTACCTTCATCTTCCCAAAGTGAAGTAGTAATTTTTGGTCGATTAGAAGTATGAGGAGGAGATGGTGGAGTACCAGTATTTGTTGTATTTGTTGTTAGGACAGGAGTTGAAGAAGCAGCTAAAGGTTGTTGTGTATACCAGCCATAATTTTGTTGAGGTTGTGAAGGATAATAAGTATCGGGTAAACTATGGTAACTAGTTTCTTTGGTGTAAGTGGGTACTGAATGGTTGGTATACTGGTACATTGATAAAATAAAAAAAAAAAAAGTCGGAAGAGAAAGTAACAAAAAAAAAAAAAAAAGAAAGAGAAAAAGAAAGAGAAAAAGAAAGAGAAAAAAAAAAGGTAAAGCGCGTGAAAATAAATATGTGAGAAGAGGTGTTTCAAAATAAAAAGAGAGAGAGAGTCAAAATACAAAGAAAAAAAAAAAGAGCCCCCTTATTTCTATAAACACAAATAAAAAGAAAGAATGAATGAAAAGAGGGAAACTTTTTTTTTCAAGTTATTAAAAGAAAAGGAAAGAAAAAGTAATTAAAAAAAAAAGAATATGAAATAATAATAATAATAATAATAATAATAATGAGTTAAAAAAGAAGCAGTAACAATTTTCATTTTTTTAATATCAGAATGGGGGGAGTGGGATGACAAGAATTATAAAGTATCACACACACACACTTATAAAGAAATATATATACACACACACACACAGAGAGAGAGAGAGAGAGAGAGAGAGATAGAGACATATATATATATATAGTGATGGATACATATAATATATTATTATAATATTTATTTAAATAAGCCTAGGCTCTCTTTCATATATATATGAAATCAATAATAATAATAAAAAAAAAAAGAAAATGGGGGTGTACAAAAACAAAGCGGAATACAAATCCATCTTTTCATTATTATTATTATAATTATTATTATCATTCATCCATTACCATCTTTGAACTTTAAAGAGAAATCTTCCAAGTTTCTGTCATTTGATAGGTTAAAATATAAAACATCAAAATGAAAAGATAATGATTTCATTCAACCCACCAATGATGTTAACTATTCTTCATCATGAAAAACGTTTTATTTCTACTTATGCCTTTTAGGGCCATTTGACACGAGTTTAAGTCTCCGCTATCTTTTCATTTTTTTTTATTATTTTTCATAAATGTGAACTTTTTGGGCATACAGTTCATTTCCTTTGTTCTTTTTTGATTATTATTGTTCTTGTATGATGTAGTGTATCATTTCGAACCCAACTGGTTGAACCAATCAATTCCCACGTGCACTCTTTTTGTATATTCTAAAAAGTTCCAAGTGATGTGTCATTATAAAAGAATCAATGCTAACATGAGGGGAGAATAAGCTTTTTTTTTTTTTAGTGTCTTTGTTTTTTTTTTGCCCAATAACGTTAAATTGGCGCGCCGGACTTTATGATCTTTATTCCCATCATCTCTTCCAACTTTTTCACTTTCCAATTTTATACTAAACTTACCATTTGACCGGGTTCCCCTTTCTTTTTTTTTTTTTTACATCCCAGCCAACAAAAAGAAAAAAAAAAAAGGTTTCTGATAGATAAACTTGTCATTGGGAACCATAATTATCCAATGGCAAATTGACCTAATTGAATCATCATTATCATCAATATGAAAATGATGTAGAAAAAAAAAAAAAACTTGACGGAGTTTCCATATGAAGGAATCAGGTGTCAAAAAACAAAAACTTTTCTCTTTCACGATCGACTATGTTTTTACTCATCCCCATCGCCCCACACAAACATTTATAATAAACATTTTTCTTTTTGGAAATATAAAAAAAAAAAAAACTTAAAAGTTGGTTTCTTTTTATATATGATCTTCATCACGTTATGTGAAATAAACAAGTGGTGATTCATTTATGGTATAGAAAAAGGAGATGATATATGTAAAAAAGGCGACAATCTAAAATGAAAAGAAATCACCTGATGAAAAATTTTTGGTTGGGATACAAAAAAGATGCGGAGCTTCTTTTCATTCTAAACTAGGCAAAACAAGGTGGTCAAGGATGATTACTGTTTTTATAGTAAAGTACAACTTTTTTTTTATTATTATGGTTGATAAGAAAAGTAAAGTCCGTATATAGTGTGTAAAAAAAAAATGAAGTTGCTGTCTAAAACTAAAAATGAATGATGTTGATGATATAAAACTAATAATAATAAATGATGTTTAACGTTTGATATACATATAGAATTGTTTATGCTGTTAATTTGACAAATTTTCTTTTCTTGTCTTCGCCATTGTTGGTTTCCTTGGTCATGGTGGTTTCATCTACAAAATCAGTAGTATTCCTTGCCTTCCAATCACGTTGCATATATGATAAAGCTGCTCGGTTATAACCCATGACATCCTTTTGTCGTTGAAGTTGTAAACGTAAATGAACTCGAATAGAATCAAGCATAGGTCGCATAATTCGATTGGATGCTATTTGATTATGATGTGTCTTGGTTAAAATAAATAATACTTTGGACACAAGAATAATGTTCCAATTCTATAATAATGACATTAGCATCCTTTCTTTCTGTTTTTTCTTTTTTTCTATAATTACCTTCTTTGCCCAAATTTCAATATATGCTAAAAGAGACATCACTTTGGAGAATGGTAATACCAAAAGAGATTCTTCCAAATCATTGGCTTTGATCTTTTGAATCACATCAAGGACATACTTGTCAGGACTGACATCACCCATAGCAATTAGAATCGTGTTTCGTGTAGGTGGTACAGCAGGTAATCCTTTGGATTTTGCCTATTAATCAAGCATATATCCGATTAGTCAGTTTTTACAAATCATCTTTTCCTATCCTACCATTTCATAGTCTTCCCATCCTTTTCGTTCTTCATCAGCAATATCAATGGCTTCCATGATCCGTTCACCGGCTTTGAGAGTTTCCATGGTTTGAATACCAGCCGCATCCACTTCTGTGTTATCATCCACATTGGTTTTTTCCATTTGACTGATCAAGGTTGATTCATACAATTGTTCCAATTCCTTTTCACGTTCTTCCTCCAAGAATAACTAAAACATAGAAAAAAAAAGAATGAAAAAATTAGAAAAAAATAAATAAAACATTTTTTTTTTTACCTGTTCATCAGTCTTTTCCCAAATACGCAGTGATCGATCATGAGAACCAGTAACAATAAAAGATCCATTTTTTGCAATAGCCAATGCCCATACTTCACCATGATGACCTTCCAATTTCATGATATTTTCAAACTAAAGTAATATATATAAAGTGAGTCTATCTTTTTTTCTCTCTTTATTCTATTCTCTTACCTTGTCACCATCCCAATATTTGATCGTTTTATCTTTACTAACAGTAAAGAAGTAGTGTGTACCCCATACAAACTTGACAGCCATGACACTTTCTTGATGAGCAAATAAAGATTTATGACAATCACCAAAATCAAGACCCCAAAGTTTGACATTCTTATCTGCAGAACAAGTAGCAATAAGTGTATTATCAGAAGAAATATCCATATCTAACACAGGTAACTAAATAACAACATTCAAAATAGTAAACTGAATCAATCAAAATATGTACCTTTTTTTTTAATCTTATCTCGTACCTTATGACCATATAATGATAAAAAGAATTTGAGAGTGTCATGATAAAACACTTTGACAGTGGTATCAAGTAAGGAAACAGCCAATAAGTTTTGATCAGGACTATATCGTACACAAAGGACTTCATCAGACATTTTAAGCGTTCGCATATGAGTAAATGTAAGAGATTTTTCCGCCTAAAGAAAGAAGAAATAAGTATACATAATTGAATCTTCTTTTTTTTTTCCCCATTTCTTACTTTTGAATTTTCTACCAAGTCGAAATCCCAAAATTTAACATCCTTATCTGCACTACCGGTGACAAAACCACGTTTATCAGGACGAATGGCCAAAGAATAAACAGCTCCTTCATGTGCTTTGACAGATTGTATCATGACAGCTGATCCAATATCATATAATTCAAGTTCTCCAGTCTTAGTACCAATCAAAATCTAATCACAACAAATAAATAAACTATAGTAAGCAATGTGGATTCTTTCATTCTATTCTACCAAAAAAAAAAAAAAGATACTTACATGTCTATCACCAGGTAAGAAAGCACTACAGATAGCATAACCACAATCAATAGTTCTAATACAGAGTCTTGTTTTGGTATTCCAAAGCTTGAGTAAATCTATAAATTGAAAAAAAAAGAATCAATTCAATACTTGTACATACTTGATTTTCGATCAGTACTAAGAACATACTATGAGAAGCTGATGCCAAAATACTATCATCACTGCTTAATGCCAATGTACGAATGTCAGATCGATGTCCTTGCAAATCAAGAGAATAAAGCTTGGTGTAATCTTCAGATTCTTCATCCTTTTTGTCAATATCATAAGGTGCATTATATACTTCAATCACATTATTGCTTAAAGACACAAGGATCTATATATATAATAATAATTAGATTATTTCGTTCGAATTCTTTTTTTTTTCTCAATGTCATTACTTTTTTTTTTTTTTTTTTTTTTTTTTACCTGAACATAACCTGCTTTAGCAATATCTTTCACAGGAGCAAAATCAAAGCTACTGACCTTGGCTGGAGTACGTACAATGGTTTGAGATTTGATTTCATCTTCCAGTTGGATTTCATCACTGATTTCGTCGGCAGATTTTCCTTTTTCCATTGCTCGCTTGCGTCGTCGTTGAATCTTTTTCTTGATATAAGCCTTATCTCGAATACGATAAAGTTGGACTGCCTTGTCAGCTGCTTGAATACCAACAAATTCGCCACTTGGATGGAATTGAATAGTGGAAATACGTTCACGAGAATGTCGAGGTAGATCTCCATAGACAGTGATTGCTTTTTGTAAAGTAGCTGCTTCCAACTTCTTCTCATCCTCATCTATATCCATTGCATCTGTTTTTAAATCATTTTCCATTGTTCCCAAATCTTCCAAAGGTAATCCCAAAACACGCCAATCAATTTTCCATGCTTTGACACTAGGTTCAGATCCACCCGATAGAATGATACGTTGATCAGGAGATACAGCAAAAGACCATACTTCACTACGATGACCCACAATGGTTTCCCGGCAGAATTGAGCAGATAAATCCCATAATTTCAATAGAGTATCTTTAGAGGCAGAAATCAAATACCCTTCTTTGGCCACCCCTACATTATCGTCTTCCATAACATCATTGGTTGTTGGTTTTGTTAAAAACGCAAGACAAGTGACTTGATCCTTATGTCCTTTTAATCGATATAAACCAGATTCAGCAATGACATCCCATACAATCAAATCGGTGTCCCTTGATCCAGATGCCAATCGAGTACCTTGTTGATCGAAAACTAAAGCGGTTACTGCTGCACGATGTCCACTAAGTGTTACTGTTGAAGTCGATGTTTCGATATTCCAGATTCTGATTGTACCGTCTGCATAACTATTTCAAAAATAAAGTCAAGAATATATATATATTAGAAGGAAGAAGGGTACGAGTTTAACAAAGTATTATTCCAAAATCTTTTACCCAACAGCATAATCTTTTCCATTAGGACTTTTACAAATGCAAGTGACAGCCGCTTTGTTTCCATATTCGTGCCATTTTCCAACCTATTCATGTACAAATCCAGAACAAGATAGAGTGAATACCATTAAACAAAAAAAAAAAAAGGTAAAACATATTATTTCCTTTCTTTACCTGAACACCTTTACGAAGATCCCAAACTAGAACTTCTTCAAGAGCAGGAGCGATAGCAAGTTTGCCTTTATCATCGTAACAAATATTAGATTGTGTCGATGAAATGATACCAAAGCTTGCAAGAGCTTCATAACGAAGATATGCTTTCACCATGATTCAATTACAATATTAAAAAAAATGAAAGACAAAAATGACAAAAAGGAAGTATTAGAAAAAAAAAAAAGACAGAAGAAAGCGAAGAGACATTTAGAGTGTGGCTTGTTCCAGGCAGCAAGGTTCAAATGCCGCCTATCCCATTAGCGAGTTCGAATCTCATGCATGAACAAAAAAAAAAAAAAAAAGAATCTGAAACAACAGGTACAACGTTTTTATTCCAATTTGTCATCTAAGAAAAAAAAATCTAACTAAATCTAAACCTATTTCTTGTAATCATAAAAACCTTTTCCAGACTTTCGACCAAGATGACCTTCCTTCACCAAATCATCCAATGACTTGGAAGGTTGAACCAAAGCAGGTTCGATTTTTCCTTCCTTTGCCCATCCATCCACAATAAATTTCATTGTATCCAATCCAACAAACTATTTTAATAAAATCAAGTTAGTTCATCATCTTTTTTTTCTTCTTCTTTTATTACTTACATCAGCGAGTTCAAATGGACCCATGGGCATACCGGCACCCAATTTCATGGCAGTATCAATATCCTTGATGCTTGCTTCCTTACGATCTAGTACACGGAAGGCTTCAAACATATAAGGCACCAAAAGACGGTTGACGATAAAACTATATTCAAAAAAAAAAGAAAAAGAAAATTCAACATGTTAACTTCATAACAGAGTCTGTTATCCATCCTTTTTTTTTCTCTTTTAAAACTTTACCCAGGAGTATCCTTGCAAGAAACAGGAGTTTTGCCCACCTTGGTTGTAAAGTCTTGTAAAGATTGGAATACTTCATCAGAGACAGTATCAGTACGAACGATTTCCACCAGTTTCATAGCAGGGACAGGGTTGAAGAAATGGAGACCAGCAAATTGTTGTTGACGTTCAGGAGAAGTGGATTCAGCAATAGCGGTGATGGGTAAAGAAGAGGTATTGGAGCAAAAAATAGAATGCTTGGGAGCCACTTTATCCAAAGTAGAGAACAATTTGCGTTTGATATCAATATTTTCTACAATAGCTTCGACCACCAGATCAGCATCATGAACAGCTTTTTCAGCTTGAGTGGAAGTAGTGATATTGGCAAGAACTTTATCAATGAATTGCTTTTGTTGTTGTTCATCTTCGGCAAACTTCTTGCGTGCCACGCGTTTCAAAGAAGAAGCAATGATGGATTGACCATTGGCAATAGCAGCATCAGAGGTATCGACCATGGTGACTTTGCAATTAGCTTGAGCGGCTACTTGAACTATGCCTGATCCCATAAGACCTGCACCTACGATAGTCACTGTATTGATATCCTTTAGTAAGTTGGTAGTGCTAGAGAAGTTGGCAGAAAGAGAAGGTTGTTTGGTAAGAACACGCTTGATAACACCAGTAGAAAGTATATGAGCCATAGTGAATGAGGATAAAAAGAAAAGAAGAAAGAAGAAAAAAAAAAAAAGAGGAAAGAAGAAGAGAGAGAGAGAGAAAAAAAAATATTATATAAACTATTTTATTTTTATTCATCATCACATGCGGGGGAGAAAATCTACCAAGACAGTGAGAGACAGAGAGTCGTCCAAAATAGGCAATTCAATCAATATGGCTTAATTCTTACTGGAAATCAAGTGATACAAAAAAAAAAAAAAAAAAAAAAAAAGGAAAAAAGCTTGGAGCATTCAGCTCAGCCCAGCCCAACCATGTTTTCAGTTCCCGGTGTCCCTTTTTTTTTCGTTTCTTTTTCTTTCTCTTGCTTTTACTTTTTTTTTTCTTTCTTTTTGCTCCTTCGTTTTTTTTTTTCTAATAAGGAATTTCCTTTTACTTTAGTTATTCTATTCTTGTGAAAATATAACTTCTTTATATTATCTCACGTGTTTATTACTGTATTACGAACTATCCCTGACCAACATCCTCCTTTTTTTTTTCTCTTTTATATTCTTGGTTGAAATAAAAAGAAAAAAGGGATGACACTTGTACCTACGATATCTATCACTACTCCAGATTTAGAAAGTAAGGATTTTATCATGAACAGCCCTTTATCACCTTCTGCTCCACAATCTCCAACAATATTTGACGTGGTGAAAAATATGGACGATATGCCAGAATTAGGCTCAGACGATGAACTTGCTCTGGATCAACCTATCATCACTGAAGAACCTCAAGAACTACAAGACCATGACCACCTTCATCGTGATACTCAACAACAAGAAGAAGAACAACAAAAGAATACAGTTATATCTCAAGACGTACGTCAATTTTATCACAATAAATCTATCCTTATTACGGGTGCAACTGGGTTTATTGGTAAAGCTGTATTTTGGAAATTATTACATTCTCTTCATGGTGATATCGATCGTATCTTTTTATTGATTCGTATGGGCCCTTCTCACCGTCGTCTGTCTAACCCTATTGTACGACTTCAAGAGGAAATTTTATCAAACAAGGTAAGTAGTATGTGATTGAATTTTATAGAAATGCTAATAAAAATCATTTTATAGGCATTCATCAGTTTACGACGACAAATGGGAACAACAGTATTTGATCAACTTATCCGGGAAAAAGTGGTACCAATCAATGGTGACTTTATGGAACATAATCTCGGTTTATCTACTAACGATCATACTATGCTTGTTAAACATGTTAATGTGATCTTACACTGTGCTGGAAATATGGATGGCAATGAACGTTTGGATATTTCCGTCAAGGTAATTGTTCTTTTCTTTTTTTTTTTTTAAAAAAAAAAATTGATGCAATGTGACGCTATTTGAAATCAAATCGATTGAACACAATTTTTTATTTTTATCTATTTATCTATGATTAGGTCAATGCTGCTGGAACAAATTCTTTAATCAATTTGGCAAATGAATGTGGGTTATTATCTTCTTTTGTTCATTTGTCTCCTTTGCAAATCTATGGATCTTCTGGTGTGGCATGCGATAGGGTTGGTATCTTACCTGAAGAATCATCGGTAGAAGATATCATTGATCATATCGTGGAATCAAATTTGGAAGGTAACAAATAGGCCGGGGAATCTATCAAAAAAGGGGAAAAAAGGTAAATTCATTCATTTCTATTTCTGTTATTCTTAGATCTACCTGTGATCATGAATCAAGTTAGGCCTTATTATCAAAATGTATATACTTTCTCTAAAGCTCTTGCTGAACAAGTCTTGGTTAGTGATGTACGAAAAAAGCAAATCACCAATTCTCAACAATTCCCTATTGGTATCATACGACTTGGTCATATTGGACCTAGTGTATCTGAACCTTTGAAAGGATGGGTAATGAAAAAAAAAAAAATAATGCAACAAGATAAATGATATTGACTCTTATTTCTTTCAATAGGCAGATGAAGTTAATGGTGCAAATGGTGTGATTTTATTGACTGGCCGTGGAACTAGAATTATTGATACTAATCATGGTGACATGACGGCAGATGTTATACCTGTTGATTTTGCAGTACGAACCATCATAGCATGTGCGGCTACTATGACACCTCCTCCAACTACATTTGTTTTACCTATGACTGATGATACCAAACCTGATACTACACCTGAAAGAACATCATCAACTCCTACCATTGGTAACAATAGAGACTCAACATCCTCCTATTCATCCACTGGAACAGCAGCAACATTAGCTACAGCGGCTACAGAACCAGCAAATGAAATATCAGGTCGACCTTCTCAATCATCATCGACAGGAACTTTATCCATGAACTATCACGCTGAAGATTGTTTTCCTTATATTTATCATGTCTCAGCTACTGGCATGCGTGCTATTACTTGGCGACTAGCCTATGAAGCGATGCGACATTATTGGACTCGAACAACAGGTATCAATCTCGCACCAGCCAACTCTTACTTCACAGCCAGTGCTCAAGGTTTATCTCGGGCACGCACAGTCATGAATTCTCTGCGATCAGCGGCTTCAGTGTATATTAGCAATACTACAACGACAAACACAGGAAACAATGGAGGTGGCGATTCAAATGGATGGCGTTCTGCAAGACCTTCTAGCAAGAGAAGTTCCCATCGGATGAGTAAATCTGTGGACAAGGCAGCAAGATTAGCACCGAATGTGATGCGTACCTATACTGCAATGAATCATTACAACAACAACAATTACAACAAGAAATCACAACAGGCCACATCATTATTATTATATCATGGTGGTCCATGGATAGCACAACTCAAACAACGATTACGAGAAGATACTGCCAGCGAGATATTTGATCCTTACATATTGGTACCGGAAGATGCAGATACTGTGTTTTGGATGAATTACTTTACAAACTCAAGTTATGGGATGCACTATTTTGTTGGAACAGAACCTAATGTACGATTACCTACCGCAGCTATAGGATGGAGTTGCGCTTTACAATTCCAAGGTGCAGGCAGCAACGACGCTCATGGAGTGATTGATCATCAAGTACGCAGTGAAATCTATTCTCCTGACCAGATGAATAAACGAACCTATCGAATGATGGAGCATCTCAAGCATTTATTGGTACAAGATGAAGCCGCAGCAACTCAGCAACAACAAAAAGATGAAGTTTGGCTTGTAGATGTGGATGATAGTTTGGAAGATTGGTCTCAGGATCAAACCGTGATCAATGCTGAACATGACAAACGACTTGTACTTGGAAAATGGAGAAAAAAGGTTGGAAGCAACGATGATGCTGTCAAGGTAGTTGTACTGAATGACAAACGAGTCAACCAAGCTATTCATCAGGTAGTTTTTTTTTTTGTTTTTTTTTTTTTTTTTTTTTGGGGGGGGGAATAATGATGATATTATTAACACCTTTTTTTTTTTTTCTTAATTCGTAGATCACGCAAAATGCTGGTGTTTCTAAGCAAACAGCCGTCAATGAAGCTATGGTAAGTCATGATATATATATATATATATATATATATATATATATATATATAGATCAATGATATACTCACGTAACACGTTATGTTTATTATTTTTATTTAGAAAATCCTTATTCGAATGAGTGAACGTACGCAATTGACTTTTGTCTGGTTTACCGGCTCCTTCCTCAAATCCTTCTTTGATCATATGTTTGAAAGTGTCCGAATCAGTGAAGAAAGCATCCGCTATGTAAGTTGATTGACTCCTATTATCTGTTTTGATTTTTTTTTTAAACTTTCTCTTTTGGTATTTTAGATTCGAGACTCTACTCTTGGTAAACGAGTTGTTTATGTTCCTGTATCAAAAAGTATTTTGGATCCATTATTGGTATGGTATATCTCTATTCGATATCATCTTCCTGTACCAGCTCTAGTATGTGATGAAGGTAATCTTTTTTTTTTTTTTTTTAGAAAAAAAAAAGAATAGAAATAGATATTCATCCATTTTTATTTCGTACGTATAGTGATGGCACAATTGGGTCCTATTTCTGATATCTATCGTTTGGCTGGGGCTTACTATGTGAAAAGGGATAAACATCAACGATCACCTCTCAACTCGGCAGTGACAGCAGCTTATACTCAAGTACTTTTACGTGAACATGGCGCACTATCGATGTGTCTTGAAAAATCAAGGTCTCGGACAGGAAAGTACCAAGAAGCATTTGATGATGAAATGATCGATATGGTGATGGAATCTACACTACAATCCAATCAATCGCGCACCTCTACAAGCACTGTATCCAAGGTTGCCAATTCTGATTTGACCAGTCCTCCTGAATCTCCTGCTTCCCCTGCTACGCCAACAAGTACAACAACAGGGATGGATGCTAGTACTACTGGAAGTACTCCTCGCAAGGCTCATCGTGATGTGATGATTGTTCCTATCAACATTTCTTATGAAATTGTACCTGAACTTGGATTCCTTATTGATCAAGTATTAGATCAACAACCAAAAGGTGTTTATATGGGAAACAGCAACAACAGTAGCAACAATAACAACAACAATACTCTCAGTAGCATGAGTGGAAATAATATGCCTTCTACAAGATCATCACCTCTTTTGGCCTCGCAAGCACCTTCTTCACCTTTACCCAATATGGTTCGACCTAGTCAAGCTATGGATAGACGCAATCGATTACTGGATGGCATCGATGCTCCTAAGAAATGTGGACGTGTTCATGTCGGCATTGGACAACTGATCAGTATACAAGATGTGGCTGCTGAATACAATAAATCTTCAAGGTATTATAAAAGATAAACTCACAACATAATAGAATGGAATATATATCTTTTTTTTTTTTTGAAGCCTTACTGATACTTATCTTAATTTTTTATTTTTTATATATATAGTGACAAATCAGATGAACAATCGAATCTTGCCAATATTATTGTCAAGCGTATTCAACATAGTCAACATGAAGCTTTAGTAGTGACTCCACTTTCTTTAGTGTGTGCGATTATTTTATATGGAAGAGCCACAGGTGGTGTCTGCTTAGGTAATGAAATGAAATGACAAAAAAAAAGAAAAGGTATCTGAGTGATATTTTTTTTTTATTTCATAATAGGCAAAATCAAAGAATTACTGGATTGGCTTCGAATAGAAATACTTGAAAGACAATATAAAATAGATTGGCAAGGTAAATAAATATTTTATTTGAAATGATGATGAAAACTTATTTTTTTATATCTAGATGGGGAAGACTTGGAAGCCATCATTTTTAGTGTATTCAAATTGATTAACGAACCCAAGAATCTTATCATTGAAGGCAAAGAAATGACGGATGATACCAATATCAAGGTGAATGATCATGCTGACAATATCATGACATTATCTTATTACTCCAATCAAGTAAGATCTTATTATATATATATATATATATAAAATCAATTTATTCATATCTTTATTTTTTATATTAGATTGTGGACATTTTCCTTTTGGATGCCTTTTTCAGTGTGATCTATTTATCCTTTTCTGAAGACACTGTTAGCGAAGATGAATTTATTGATCGATTCCGATTCCTTGTGCAATTACTTGAAAATGAATTTGTTTTGACTTGGGATGTTGACAAGGTAAGAGAGAGAGAGAAAGAAAGAAGGCTCACATTATTGATCTCCATTTGATATTATTAGCAATTCAAAACCATTATGAGCCGGTATGAAAAAGAAGGAGTGATACGAAAAAAGGAAAACAATCAACTTTCTCTAAAGGTGAATATGGAAACCAGTCATGTACGATATGAGCAACTGATATTTTTGGCATCCTTGATATATCCTACCATCGATACCTATTGGATTACATCATGCTCACTCTCAGCTTTGGAACGTGTGCCAACTTTACCACGTAGTATTGTACCATTGCTCAGTCAATGGATTGCTACTCATTTGATTGCAGGACGAAGGACAATTTATCGTGAAGTATTATCAACAGAATCAAGTCGGATGGCAGTGGATGTATTCATGGCTATGGGTTTTTTGACCGAATTTAAAGCAAAAGAAAAGTTATCACCTGATGCACAGATCTTATTGCATGAACTTAAGATTCCTACAACAGAAACTTTGATTGAACTTTGTGGTCAAAATAGTGATGGAGGTATGACACCAGTTTCACCTATTGATCCTGAAGGAATGATGGTAAGTTAAAAAAAAATATTGATGATTCTTTTTTTTTTATAATTTTTTTTATTTATTTATTTATATATATAAATTTTATAGAAGGCATTGATGGCACAAATTCAAATGAATCGAGCCAATTCTAATATGGCAGATCTTTGTCAACAAATTGATTCTTATCGATTAGGAGCAGCTTCTCAACGTGAAAGCTTCCAAAATGCTCAAGTTTTTCAAAAATGTTTGAAACAAATCAAAGGGATTTTACAAGTGGATGTTAGTTTTGCCAAGAAACAAAAGGTAGACTTGAATGATGCTGAAGATGGATTGGTTCAATTAGTTTATGCTCTTCGGGTGAATAGTACAACAAGTAATGATCGATCTACTCGAAGGATATCTGAAGCTTACAATTTAAAATAATAGTAGTTTGTATAGTTCAATAAATAAATATATATATATTCTTTTATCACTTTGACTCAAAAACATCATTTGAAAAAATATGTACAACGAATTTACCCGATAGGAAGGTTACACTTACCTTATATGCCGCCATTGTGTAACCAATCATCATCATCCATCAGCCCATTTCTTTCTTGTTTTATTCACCAGCTTAAAAGATATGGTTCACTGCAAAAAAACAAGAGTACGTGGCGACGGAGTTTACATCTTTTAAAAAAGGCAAGGGGGTGTGAATATAAAAAAGAACCGCCTTTTTCTTCTTTTTTCTCTTTTTTTTTTTTTTTTTTTTTTTTTTTTTTTCTCACACACATACATATACTCTCTCTCTCTCTCTCGATAAGATGCTTTCTCGATCTATTACTCGGTTCCGATCCAACATTGTCATGACTACCAAACGTTATGCTTCCAATGAATCTACTACCAGTGCTGGTGCCACTGCTTCTTCCAAGACTTTTAGTGATAAGGAAAAGGCTGCTGAAAACCAATGGGCCCGTGCTCACGTAAGTCAATAAAAGAGGAATGGAACCGTTATCTCATCTGTTTTATATATATAGGATAAAGAAAAGTTAAAGCTTCTTCGTGAAGAATTGAATAAGCAAAAGAAAGCTACTGAAGATCTCGAAAAGAAAGTGAATGAATTATCTGGCAAGCATTAGGGACCATGGTTTACACATAATAATTTTTATAGTTGTCTAGTATAGTTTTTATATTGTTTTTGTTTTTGTTGTTTTTAATCAAACTGATCTTTTGAAAATATAATATATATATTACTTATGACTTACGCGTCTTTGACTATATTATTATATCTTTTTTTGTTTTGTTTTATTTCTATCACCCTGTCAATTCCCAAGATTTTGGCTGAAAATAGCCTGAAACCTCATGGTTTTACCTTTTTTTTTTTTCTTGGATGTTCCATTGAATGTTTTTCCCCGCTCGTTCATTGTTGAGTACCAAATACGAAAATAATAGATATCCTCATAGGAAATCATCTTTATCATAGATATCATCATCAACATAGTCAGAGTACATTTTCATGACTTATTCCTCTTAGAATCCCACAGTTCGTTCCTCTTACCTAAAGATCACAACCAGCTTATCCAATCAGAATGTTGAAATATCTCTACACTTGCATACTTATGATTTACATAGGCATCTTTTACTTTCATTACTTTACTATGAAAGTTTTTTTTTTTTTTTTTTTTTTTTTTTTTTTAATTCGTGTCCTTAATCATCCGTCTATTTTTTCATACTCGGTTTCTATTGCTTGGAACGGTATCATTTATCCATCATCACCGTAAATCATCTATATTACTCTAGTAGGAATGTTCCTTTCAATCAAACATCACTGATCCATCATCACTCATCCTTTTCTATATATCGTGCTTAAAAAAAAAGTAAAAATAAAAGAATCCAACAAAAAGTTTATTGATTTGATAAAAAATGGGGGGATTGTGTAGCAAAATAAAAGAAGAAAGAAATTCATCATCTACTTTTCATATCATTTTGAAGATTTGCTTAAACCTTGAAACCACGAGAAGCACGCTTACCACGAGCCTTTTCAAACTTGCGACCCTTGGAACGGACATAAGGCTTCTTGTTCTTATGAGGACCAAAACCAAAGTGCTTGACGGCTTCACGAGAGTTCTTGGCACCACGGACAAGGACAGTGTTGGCACCAGTAGGAGCACGAAGAGCCAATTGATCCAAAGTCAAGATTTCACCACCAGCCTTCAAGATACGAGCCTTGGCAGTCTTGGTGACATGGAGAGCAGCAAGAGACAACTTGGGCAAATCCAAAAGACGAGAGTCATCAGTCACAGTACCAACAACAACAAAGGTCTTGTTGGCAACATCCTTCTTGGCAGCATACTTGGCCAAACGGGAAACAGTGACAGGAGGACGGTTGATACGAGACATAAAGAGACGCTTCAACACAACCTTGTTAAAGTTGGCATCGGTACGACGAGCGAGGAAACGATACAACTATTATATAAAAGATCAGTTATTTGATTCATTAATTAATTTTACTAACTCACCTTGACCAACAATTGCAAGTAGACATTGTTAGACTTGGGAGCAGTACGGTTGCTGTTCTTAACGTGATGCTTCTTGATGTCGATACCCTAAAAAAAGAAAAATCGTTGGTGAGTTTATTCGAATGTTTGGATCGTATGCCGTATTCTCCCTCTTTCCTTTTCATCGTCCTTTTATCAAAACACACACACACACACATATATATATATAGTCGTTCATCCTATTTGGTGAATGGTAAGTTTCTCCTCTTCCTTTATATATATATATATTTTCCAAGTTGAATATAAAAATTCATCCATCCAATCGTCCAGTTGTTCATTTCATCCATCCATCCATCCATCCATCCATCCATTCATATATCAACGAGGTATGTGTGTGTGTGTTTTGTTCTTTTCAATGAATGCATTTAACTATCTACATACCATGGCGGATTCAAGTGGGTGAGAAAAGAGAAGGTAATTGTAGATTTGGCCCACATCCTGCTTTTTGAAAAAAAAAAAAAAATTGGGCAAACCTGAGTGGACAATGAAATCACACCGGCCCGCATCAGTTCATTTTCCGCTTTTGACAATTGATTTTTTTTTATTGCATTAAAGAAGTGATATATACAAAAAAAAAAAAAAAAAAAAAAGAGAACAAAGATAAATATAACTACAACAGATAAATTAAAGTAGACAGTTCTATATTCTAGTGAATGATATGGGTATTTCCGAGTTTGTCAACAATCACTTGAGTATCTTGGTGTGCTTTGGACTTGTTATCATCATCTTCTTCTTCACTGTCATCTTCATCATCTTCATCTTCTTCACTGTCATCTTCATCTTCTTCGTCGTCGTCATCATCATCTTCATCAAACGCAGTGAATGCAGTTTGTCGATTGTTGTTTCGGAATAAGAGATCATCATCATCATTACTATCATCATCATCGTCCTCGTCATCATCTGTAGGAGGATACATGCTATCATCCTTTTCTTTTCGTCGTTCATCTTCTTCCAATGAAGCCAAATATTCATTTTGAACAGCCACTACTTCAGCCGAATCCTTACATTTTGCATATCGATTCAATAATCCCCTAAAAAAAAATAATATGTTCATTTCCCATTCATTTGTTTTACATTTCACTTACGCATTCACTTTATAAAAAGCATGACCCCATTTGAATTTAGACATTAATGCTTCTCCATGTTCAGGATACCCAGTAACATAGAAAATCGCAGCTAAAGCCTCAGCACAATTCAATTTCCAAGGTTTTCCATAATTAACAGGATTCGTTGCCACAAGATAAGGTACTTATAAAAAAAAATGTAAGTCATAATGAAAAAAAAAATGGAATACACTTACATAGTCGATCAGTAGGACCCTTGATCTTGGTAAATGGTACTTCATCTATCCTTGCCCAAGAACAATCTACAACACCAGCACCATATTGTTCAACAATAGATCGATCAGCTGGTGATACCGCCTTCTCTCCAACAGGACTAACAAATAAATAAATAAATATATAAATATATAAACAGTACAATATATATATGTACTCCAATCCATTCCTTTTTTTTTATTTTTATTTTCTGTTTATACCTTGCCACAATACCTCGAAATCGTTGAGTCAATTTCAAAGTTTTCAACATATCACATCTTGCTAATTTGACACCAGAACATCTTTTTGGATCACAATGCTTGAAATCCTATTATGAAAAGAAATCAATCATATGTTCCGAGTTTTCTTTATGCCTACTTTACCCACATAACAACTGGCATAGGAATGGTTGATTCGGATGCTAACAAAAAAAAAAAAAAAAAAAAAGAAACCTTAGTGACATGAAAAAGACATTAGGAAATGTTCCATATACCTTGTTCATTGTTTGCACCATATCTTTCAAAACGAGAATTTGTTTTCCTAATAAAAAAAAAAAAGAAACTATGAGATGGAAGAATGATATCTATAATGAATACATACGTCTTTCCTCGAGTGTCGGTATATTGCTTTCTACCCATTTTTTTTTTTTTTTGAAATAGATAAAAAGGAAAAAGACAAAAATGAACCCAGACAGAAAAGAAAGAGAGAGAGAGAGAGAGACGTGGCTTATCATATTACATTTATTTTTTTTTCGGTGGTTCAAAGAAAAGAAGTAAGTAAAAAAAAGACCTAAAAAAGGGAAAGAAAGGCATGTAGGATGATGAATGGTAAAGAAGTAAAAAAAAAAAAAAGATATATGCATAGAGAAAAAAAACCATCATAAAAAAGGGAATCATCTTATATATATATATAATAATATGTACAACTATAAAGGGTAAAAAGATACTGAAATAGGTTTAGGTCATGATATCAGATAACCATTGATGAAATGACCGACGATGTTGTTTCTTAATCATCCATTGTCGTACTTTGGTTCGGATGCCTTCTTTTGAAGTAATGTTATCATCTGCTAATTCCATGGCTAATTGAGAATCATCCCATCTTTGGTTTGATTCCTTTAACAAGGTGGATCCAGTCGATGCAGACCTTTGAGGAAGAGTGGTGGTGATCGAACGATGCACAGAAATGGAATGAGGTCGTTTCTCCAATCGCAATGATGAATAATAAGGGCTTGTAGAAGAAGTAGGGGAGGTTGAATACATACTGGAGTCACAACTAGTGGTTGTAGATATAGATAAACTGGGTAGATGATTACTTTTTGTACTTAGTTCACTGTTTTGACGAGAAAATGAAGGTGATGATGATTTCATGATGATTTATCTAGTTTTGAAAAAAGAAAGAAAGAAAAAAGAAAGAAGAAAGAAGAAAGTTTTATTTATTTTATTGAATCTGTAACCTTAATTTTTTTTTAATATACAACAATTATTCACGTAACCCACGCTTTTTATAAAACAGCCATCCATGAGATCCACGTGCTTTGGGAAAATAGGTGTAACTTGACAATGGGGACCTTGCTTTTTTATGATACCACGTTGTCATTCCATCTCAGCCATCCTTACTTGTGCATTGAACATTCGATATTCTCTTCCTTTCAGGGGGGATTACGTTCAACGTAATATATTACGTTTCACTACCATTAACAACAAAAAAAGAAAAAATAAGATCAAATCTGGATTTTTTTTATTTTATATAGTACAAAACATGAATATAAATATATATATATATATAAATGATGATAAAAAAAAAGAATATATATATGAAAACAGACCAGCCATAATCAATCAATGCATAAAAATGGGATAGACAAATAATCTAATGAGATAAAGGATCATGAGGATTGATAAAATCAAATGCTTCATTGGAATGAGATGATAAACTAGGATGTAATGAATGATGATTAAAATGAGAATGGACTGGACTTGTTCCCATAGAAGTTGTTACAGGTACAGCACTTGCAGATAAATGTCGTCGATGTTGATGATGATGATGTGGTTGTTGATGATATGCACTTGCAGTTTCTAAATCATCTTCTGAAATCATTGTACTTGCACCTGGACTAGGTGGTAAATAACTGTTCAATGTATGTGGTGATCGAGAACCCAATGATGTTGGTGTAATAGGTGTATCATGTATATTCAGCATTCCATTATTGTTGCCTGTTGTAGATTGACTAGGTTGATGTGATGTAACGAATATAGATGGTGTTTGTTTTTCAGTTTTGACTACATTACTGACATGAAATGATTCCATATTCAATTCTGGAGGTAATTGTCCTAGATTATATCAAAAAAAAAAAAAGATGAATCCATCAACATAAAGATAAATAATCTACCTTCTTTTTTTTTTTTTTTTTACCATTGTTTTGGTGACAAATATACTGCATCATGTTACGTAGTAAATGATCTTGAGATTCTTGTTTCCTTCTTGTATCATTGAGTTCCTTCACCACATGATTAAAGTTTTCAAACAAGCTTGAGAGTTGTTGCATCATATCAGATTGAGAAGTTTGAATCATGTCCATATGTGCTTGAATATCACCATTCGCCAAACGTTGTTGATTGTCAGATGTTTCCATGGTTTTTCGTTTGATATCATCCAATAATTCAGGTCTTCCACGTAAAAACTTTTGATGAGAGAACTCCCAAATCTGATTCTCGGCTAGTGTACGATGACCTCTTGGTGACTTGTTCACTTTGTGGAATCCATACCTATGGAATATATTAGTAAACAGTTAAGGTTCATTCTCCGTAACGTAGTTCTATTGCATAAGTCTTTGCCTATTAACCGACCCATTTTTTCTTTTTTTTTTTACTTACATATTCAATTGACGGACAAAACTTGAAAAGTTATTATGTTTAAAATGTTTGGGTAAGACATCACGAGAGAATTCCATAATATTACATACAATAAAAGAAGATCCTGTATAACTCCAAGAGATCAAATGTTGATACTGATTGTCTAAAACTGTGTTATATAACTTGTGAACAAAAGTATTTGCATTAGTTGTTTTTACTGGTGGCGTTTGAACAGTCAAATGGTGATTTGGTTGAGAATAATAAGAGTTTGCTGATGAGGGAGGAGGAGAAGAAGTGGCTGAAGAGAGTGAAGTTTGTGATGATTCAAATAATACATAACCATTACTACCAGTAGATGTATTTGAAGATGTACGACGGTGGTGCATAATAAAGAAGATATAATTCAGTAAAAAAAAAGATAATAACTGAAAGAAAAAAAGGGGGAAAAGAAAAAAAAAAAAGGGCATAAAAATAAAAAAAAAAATTGTAACTTAAAAAAGGGAATTGGACAGTTCCGAAAATATAGAAACTTGAGAAAATCGGTTAATGAAACTATTATCAGATGGATTGAAACACCGGCTAATGGATGCCATTAATGTTACTCGTGATAACAAGTGGGGCAGTATGAAAAGCAATCAATAGCCACTCATGGCCACAACGTGCCGAAATCAATGACCAATCATTCCTCTTACCTGATTTTTCTTTTTTTTTTTGTTTATTTTAGCTTGGACCCCGTTTTTGCGTTACCCAATCTTATCCGTTTGTTAACCTGGAACAATTCAAATCATTTTCTTTTTTTTTATTTTATTATTTTCTTTTTTCACATGATTCATCCTTTTCAATGCATCATTGAAAATGATTGATTATTTAGTATTGATCTCCGATGACTTCTTTTTTGACTTTTCTATAGTTATAAATTAAAAAATTAAAAAAAAAAGATATCCTCCATTTTACTCTTAGATATTGATTGATATTCTTTTTTTGAACTATATAACTTGATACATGATCCCATGCGCTATTTGGCAACTTCAAATAATTCTTAAACACATCGAATAGAAAGAGATAAAAAAAAAAAAAAAAAGAAACAGACCATGTCATCACTGCATACAAAAAAAAAACTCAGTACATCCGCTGAGTTGAAAGTAGAACCTTAAGACCCTTAAATGACTATATCGAACTATGCAATTGAAAAATTTGATCGAGTGTAGACATCATATACAATCTTTGTTTTGTCTTCTGATGTATGCTGAAGCTTCACATAGATATAGATAATGTATTATTGAGAAAATTTTACCCATTGTGTAAATAATGATGATTAGATTCAAACATCTAGAATGCCAGTGATAACTACCTAAAATGGAACATGGAAAGGTGCGGATTAATTTTTTTTTTTTTGAAAAAGGAAAAAAAAATAAATAGGTATGTAGTCCGATAATCAAATGGAGCGTTTCATCATAGTTATCAATTGTCTGACAAATATTCTTTGGATAATGATTTCTTATGCTGATAACAAGTGATGATGTAATATAAAAAAAACAAATATATATTTTTCTTATGATATGCTACAGTGTGATTGCAGGAACAAAAAAGACAAGCAATAGTTTACAATAGTGTACAAAATAAAAATTGCACTACTGTATCCATATAAGATCATACCTATACAATACAGATTCTAAATAATTGGATTATATCAAAGTTAACAACGAAGGATTTTACGTATGCCATCTTTTTTTTTTTTTTTTTTTTTAGAGTTGAAGCCATGAACCTAATAAGGAAATTCTGTTCATTGATAGGCGTTGGACGGACATGCTCTCGGCAGTACCACAACTCCTTTTTTTTTTTTTTTTTTTGGTATTTATTGCGCATTAGATGGAAAGGTAGCCAATAAACTGAGGCTAAATGATGTTAGACTACATTTTTAAGAATCAATGGTGATAATTTTATTGGATGATGATCATTATGGACGACCCAATTGACATTTTATTTTTTTTTAATTTACTCTATAAATTGGGAGGCAAGGTACAAATGACTATTAAGAAAAATGCAAGAGAATGATTTTATCTATGTAGGTACTAATTACTAGTAAGAAAAATGCAAGAGAATGATTTTATCTATGTTCAGTCCAAATTTGGCGCGATGATGATGACTTTTTGGGTGAATTACAAAATTGTAAGAAGACATTGTCTACCTCATATAAAGTTACAGTGATAAATGATTACAGTAGTTGAACCAGTAAATGGAAAAACATAATATTCTGTCAAATGAAAGTCTGATGACAAACTCTTTTTATGATTATTGGGATGTTGAATGTATCAACGATTCTATGGTGTTGATATCAATGAGGGACAAATCCAATAGGTGGAAAAAAAAGGTATTATTTTATTTTCAGTGGAAATAATAAACAAAAAAGAGTTAAATCAATAATAATAATAATAATAAAAAACAGGATGAATAACTAAATGCTTAATAACACATGGATGAAGATTGCTAAAACTATATGAATATATGTATATATGTAAACAAAAAAAAAAAAGAAGAAACTAATGTTTTCTTTTCTTTTGCTTGGTGATGGCAGCCCGTAAAGATTTTTGTTTGTCGAATAAACTACGTTTGGATTTCCATAAAACCGAGTTCTTTTGTGAGACCATTTGGAAGTTCTTGTTGCGAGCCTTTTCCCGATTGGTCGTACTACCGCGATCCTTGTTACCCTTCTTTGATCCAAACTTTTCACGACCTTCACGTCCTTCTTGAATAGATGCCATACGTGCTTCGTAATCTTGCTTCATCTTCTTGCGAGGACCCAAAATAGCATATTCATCCACTTGACCATCATCCTTTTCATCAGTCGCAGCAGATCGTTTCTTGGTGGTTGTGGTGCCATCTTCTTTAGCTTGGCGTAATTCTTCCAATTTGGCGAAATCTGCAGGTGTAAGAATACGAGTGGTGGCCATCTTGAGAACAGCTTCTTGCTTCTTTTGTTGTTCTGCACGACGAATTTCCATTTCTTCCACCAATTTCTTTTGTTGTTCTTCTGTCAGAGGTTCGTCCTTTTCTAGATCTTGTAATTTACGTAATTGTCGTTTGCCGATACGTCGTTTTGGTTTGCCATCTTCTTCAGCGGTCGGTTTTTCCTTGTCGTCTTCATCACCCATATCGATATCGAACTCATCTTCATTGTCGCTGGGAACATTGATCCATCCATCGCTGTCATCACTATCACTGTCTTCATCCACTTCCCATTCATCCCAACCATCATCTTCTTTTTCTTCGGCAGCATTTTCATCCAAGAGTTCCACACCTTGAAGACCGACAAGACCATCGCTTGTTTCACCATAGTGTACTACCTTGACTGAACCATCTTTGAGTCGTACAGTAGCTGATTTACCTCGATCTTTCTTCATGAGCATTTCAGGATTGATCTCACGGAACAACGTGATCAATGATCTAGCGGCCATCATCACACTCTTTTCACGGTGATTCTTGTATTGTGTTAAATCTTGAAGTAAGGCTGTATCAATTGCTAAAGGTTGACGAGAACAAATTTCACGAATACCATTGATACTAAAATGAATGATTATCAAAAAAAAAAGGTTAGATGATAACATGTTTTTCAATGTTCCTTTTTCTTACCCAACAGCCATGACTTCATTCGAAGTACGATCAGTGACAAAATTGTTAGCAATGGCTTTCAAAACAGGTTCTAGAACATCAGGTGGTACCAAAGAGTGAGTTGCTTGTGCAGTACAAACCAATACCATAGTAACATCACGTTGCGAAGGTTGTAAATACTTGATCAATAGTGGATAAAAGCCAAGAATGGTCAATTGATGGATACCAATCACTCGAGATACCAAATTCATTTTCATTATCCTGACTTCCCAACGATCTTCCTTTGATGCCAAACGAGAATATAACTTTTCTGCAAAACCTTGAGGATCATTCAATAGATGAAGAGCTGAAAAGTTGAATGATTCTGCCTTTTGACTTTTTCCCTTTCTCTTGATCTTCTTTTTTGCTAAATCAATCTTGCGAGCCTTGGCCTTGGTTTTCTTGGTATGTACTTGAGCCATTTGCATTTTCTTCAAATCCGCTTCCTATTTATGATTCCATAAAATCGAACCATTAGTCTAATGTTATACTATGACTTCTTTTACAAACGCCTACATCATCATCATCATCTTCAGATTCTTCTTTGTCTTCATTGGTGTTCAGGAAAAACTTGACAGCTGTAACAGAGATCTTTGTGACAGGAGAGAAACAAGCTTCAGCAATCACATTGACAGTCTTTGAATCATTCCTATGTAAAAAAAAAAAAAAAAAAAGTAGATGAATATCATGTTTATATATCTATATATACTAGGATCTTACCAAATGTTTTTTTGATAAAGATCAACACAAATGTCCACACTCTTCTTAGCAGCTACAGCATTTTCGTCACTACTTCCAGTTTTGGCAGATTCCAGAATGGTAAACATAAATGATTGAAGAGTCTTGTTCAATTTATTGTTTTTGGCTTTGGCGTTGGCATTCTTGATATCGGTAACAATATGGTTGTATAATAGTTCACGCAAAGCCTTATCTTTACACTTGAATAAAGTAAAGAAAAGAGGTAAAAGTCTATCAATATTAAAAGAAAAATAAAAGATGAGTCAACTGTATATCAAGATCTTTCAAAAAAAGAAAAAAAATTTACTTTGTATTATCCAGAACATTTCTGTTCCGTAAAAGAATAAGAGCTTGTACCAAACTTCGACGTAATTCAGGATTTAGTACCAAACAATGTTCTTGAAGTAAATCGACAATGTGTTGAGGGAATTGAGCAGTTTCTTTGGGATAACAAACAGATACTTGACTAATAAAGGTGATCAGTTCTGCAAGTTCTTTAGCATCTTCATCGGGTTTCATGACAAAGATGGATAACGTCGATTGGAAATGACGATATTGTTGTAAGAATTCGGCTTCATATGATTTTGGATCTCGTTTGATCAAATTTTGTAGTTGAGGTAAATGTGTTGGTAACAAGGCAGCTCTATTGCGTTTCCCCATGATGACTATTATATACCAAAGAGGAAAGACGGAAAGGTGGAAAAAGAAAAAAAAAAGATTAAAAAAAAAAGTTCATGCTGCTTTAAGGAACCAAGCCATCAGGCACCCGCTGTCACAAACAAAAATTGACCAATCAAATGTATTCTAATGCATACAACAGGATATTTCTTTTTTTTTTATTTAAAATATCTAAAAAATCTAAAGTAAAAGATCAATACCAACACTCTTAAGAGCAGCGACAGCCCATGTAGGATATTTACTCTTGTCACCAAAATAACTAGCAAAGAATTTCTTGACATGAGCAGGGAATTCGTCCTTTTGAATTGCCTCCCGCATCCCATTCATTAACCGTAATTGGAAGGCTACATTATGCACAGATACCAAATGACAACCAACCGTCTCTTTACTTGCCGTTAGTAAGTGGATATAAGATCTTGTATAATTCTTGCATGTTGTACAGTCGCAACCTTCTTCTATAGGACCAAAATCAGTTGCATATTTTCCAGATTTCAATGAGACAATACCATTCATTGTCAGTGCATTCCCAAAACGCTACAAAAAAAAAAAAAAAAAAAATAGAAATATAAACAATATGAATAAGAAAGAAAAAAAAAGAAGGAAATATCATTACTTACAGCAGTTCGAGTAGGATAAACACAATCAAACATATCAACACCTAAAGCTACACAAACCACCAAATCTTCAGCATAACCAACACCCATACAATAAATTGGTTTGTTCTTTGGTAATAGATCTGTACATAAAGATACACTATAATAAAGGGATATGAGAAATCACAAGTTTTTTTTTTTCTTATGAAAACCTCTTTTAAAAAGGAAGTACTTACATTTGCCAGAATTCATTTTTTTCTTCACCACCACTTAAACCACCTACAGCATATCCAGGAGTATCCCGTTTCACCATTTCTTCTACACATTTTCTTCGTAAATCCTTATTCAATCCACCTTGAATAATAGCAAACAAATTTTGATCATGAGGTCGTTCATGAGCTTTAATACATCGATCCAGCCAGCGAATAGACCGCCACATTGCTTCTTCCACTCTTGGTCCAGTTGTCAAAGAAGAAATAACATCATCCAATTGCATCATAATATCAGCACCAATGGAATTTTGTAAAGCCATGGAATGTTCAGGTGTCAACATCATTAACGAACCATCATGAGGAGATGCAAACTGGACACCTTTTTCTGTGATTTCCGCCAACTTGAGTAATGATACCATTTGGAAACCTCCACTATCTGTCAATAAATTACCATTCCATTGTTGAAATACATGTGATCCACCAGCTAAATCTAATGTTTCCTTGCCAGGTTTCAAGCCCTATTTTTTTTTTTTTTTTTTTTTTTTGGTATGGTCCTGTTAGATACAATATATTAACTTCTTTTTTTTTTTTTTTAGTTAGTTACCAAATGATAGGTATTATTTAACATGATTTGACAGTTCATATCCTTTAGTTGTTGAGGAGTGATGCCCTTCAAAGTACCTTGAGTCCCTACTGGCATAAATACAGGAGTATTGACAGGTCCATGAGGTAAAGTCAGAAGAGAAGCTCTTGCTTTGGTTGTAGAGCAAGTAGCCACCGTTTCAAATGTCAGTGCACTTTTCATTATAGGAGATAGTTTTCGTAATGAAGACGACAGTGTGATGATATTATGATAAAAAGAAGAAAAAAAAAGGAACAAAAGAGGGAAAGAGGTTGACAAGAAAAAAAAAAAAAAAAAAAAAAAAACTTGGATTTTTTTCAACTCAGCCACCAATCTTTTTGTCTTTTTTTTTTTTTTTTCTTATGTTGTTGATTTTTTTCTTTTCTTTCTCTCATTACTGCAAACCTTATAAAACAGATCAATGGTAATAAGCATCATATACCATATTAATCCAATTCTTACCTATCACTATTCTTTTTATATATATATATATGTAGGGTAAAGCAAGAACTACAAGAAAGTTTGCTCAAGTCAAACGTATGATCAGTACTAAGGATGCAAGATTGTAAGTATATATATTAAATGATCTTGAAAATGAAAAGATTAAACAAAGTTTTTCTTTAATGTGTTGAATAGGAAGGAAAATAAGGAAAAGTTAAAGAAGAAAGAAGAAGATAAGGAAAAGGCTATTGTTCGTAACATGTAAGTAAAATCATTGTGGTGGAATAGAGTTCACTTTTAACTTTTTTTTTTTTTCTGTATAGTCCTCAAGTAGCATCGTCCATGTTCTTCCAGTATAATTCTGCTCTTGGTCCTCCTTACCATATTCTTGTCGATACCAATTTTATCAACTTTTCTATTCAAAATAAACTTGAACTTGTCAAGTCCATGATGGATTGTCTTTATGCTAAATGTAAGTTGAAATATTTTAAAATAGGTGTGCTTATATATTTTTTATATTGTATTCTAGCCATTCCTTGTATTACTGATTGTGTCTTGGCTGAATTGGAAAAACTTGGTCCAAAATATAGAATTGCTTTGAAGTAAGTAAACATGATAGAAAATATGATATATATTAAACTATTCTTCATAGGATTGCTCGGGATCCTCGATTTGAACGATTACCATGCTCACACAAGGGTACTTATGCGGATGATTGTCTTGTTCAACGAATTATGCAACACAAATGTTACATTGTCGCCACTTGTGATCGTGATTTGAAGCGTCGTATTCGTAAAGTTCCTGGAATTCCCATCATGTATATCTCCAACCGAAAATATGTTATTGAACGCTTACCAGAATTGGGTACCAACACTTTTTAGTCTATCCTTTTTATTATAGTTTTTAGATTCCTCTACTCTTTTTTTTTTATTTTATTATTTTTTTATCCCTTTGAATATTTGTACATAGAATAGATCATCATCATAAAATCAAATAAAGTCATCGTATTACGTATTATCCTTCATTTTTGGGATTGACACTGACGACAGTTGCCTTTTTCAATCCAAACTCAGATCACACATAAAAAAACGAGTTTGTTTCTCTTTTTTTTTTTTTTTATTCCATCGTATCTCAATGTCAAATAATAATAATAACGACTCTACTATGAAAACAGCATTAGTTTTAGGAGCAACAGGTAAATTTTATTTATTTATTATTATAATATCATAACTCTATTATTTTTATCTTTACTGAATAGGCGCGGTTGGTAAGCAATTACTCAAAGATCTATTGAAGAATGGACCTTATGCAAAGGTGGTGACAGTAGGAAGACGTAATGTTGAATTGGATAATACTGTTCCTCAAGATAAATTGGTAAAAAAAAAAAAATAGAAGAAGAAATAATACATCATTATAATTCATTTATGATCTTTATTTTGTTTAGGTACAAAACACGGTCAATTTCGATAACCTTGAAGCTTCTCGTCAAGTGTTTCGGGATGTAGAGTAAGTAAAACAAAAAGAATGATGATGATCCTCTTTCTCATCCAATCGATAATAAATAGTGATGTCTATTGTTGTCTTGGTACGACTCGGAAGGATGCCGGTTCAGCTGAACAGTTTCGAAAGATAGATCAAGATTATGTTGTAAATTCTGCAAAGATGATCGTTGAGGAAAATCCAACAAAGACTACTACAACCTTCAAAAGTCCTGTTCACTTTTTATATTGCTCATCAATGGTATGTATAAATTGAATGCAATTCATTATCAATTTATTTATATTTTTCATTTATTGATTTATGTAGGGGGCCAATAAGGATTCATATTTATTGTATCCTCAAAGCAAAGGTCAAACGGAAGATCGAATCAGTCGTGCTGGATTTGAAAAGGTGTCCATCTTTAGACCAGGTAAGAGAAAATTTTTTTTATATATATTTTTATTAATCATCATCATCATATAGGTGCTCTTGAAACGGTAGAACCACGTCCTCAATATAGACCTGCAGAAGCTTTTATTGGTAGTTTCTTCTTCAAAGTCAATTCTATGTTGAATTTACACATGGGAATCTCTGTATTGGATGTGGGTCGATCTATGCGATTAGCGGCTACTTCACCATCATCTGTGCCTGCTAATGTCAAGTCAACTACGAAAATTATCGATGGAACAAATGTGAATATATTTACAAACAAGGATATGGATAATATGAAAGTTTAGTTAAATAAACGAATTTTTTTTTTTTTTTTGGTGATTTTGGCTTATATTGTGGTGATGATTCATTGTGTAACAATAAATACTAACCTTAAAACGCTATTACCAACAAACGAGTTGACAATGACGACAAGCATTGGCTCTGTTTAGTTACTCCAAATCTAGTATGTGTAACCTTAACTCCTTTGTTTCTCCTTTGTTCCTTGAAAAGTAAAGTTTTTTTTTTTTTTTACAAGGTTATCTTTTTATTTGTCCAACTGTAATATTTATTAAACTTTTTATATTATTTGTTTTTTTTTGTCTTTCTTTTTCTCATCTTTTTTTTTTCTCTTCTCTGATCATCACCTTTTTTTTTATTTTTTTTAAATAATAATATAGTGATGTTATCAACGTCTACCAATAATCTCATTTCACCTCATACTTGTATAGGTTGTTCTGGTCCAATCAATGGGGGATCAGTGATTTCGTTTGGAGAAGCGCTATTTCATTTAAATTGGTAGGAGATATATACTAAAAATGTTATAAATTGATCTTTTATTTTTTTTTTCATATAGTTTTTCATGTGCTAAATGTCATCAACAAATGGATTGTGAATCAAATTTATTATTATTAACAGATGGTCGACCTGTTTGTGAAGATTGTTCTTATATTTGTAATAAATGTGGTCTCAGTATTGGAGAAGAGGCAATCATTACTGGTATAGTACTAGCGCAGTTTTTTTTTTTATATATATAATAATAATAAAAGATTACACAGGGGGGTAAAAATATTAATATATTCATTTTATCATCATCAATAGGTAATGAATCATACCATGCCGCTTGTTTCCGTTGCATCTCCTGTAATAAAAGAATGGATGATCTAATTTATACTCAAACTAGCAAAGTAAAGTTAAAAACTATTTATATATAATTTGTGTATATTAAAAAAATAAGTATCTATATATAGGGAATCTATTGTACAATATGTCATAAAGCAACCAAAATGAAAAAATCATTTGTAGATCGTCCTTTACCAAGTATTCCTTCATCAACTAACAAAGAGGTAATATATTATTTCATACATATCGCGCTAAAATTTATCTCCCATTTACAATTCAGGTCGTACAAAATTCACACCTCCGACAACCTACTCAAATGGATGAAATTGGCGGTCGCCCTCGAAGTAATTCTTTTCACACTTGTTCTTCCTCTTCTTCCTTCTCCTCCTCCTCCTCCTCCTCCTCTTCTTCATTGTCACCCACTTCTTCCAATATGAAACTTTCCAATGTTTTGGGTACAGGATCTCTTTCAACTTCCATTTCAGAATCTTCTACTTCAAAAAGATCAATATCTGGTGGTGCTTCTTATAATACTCGACCACCAAGTCGTATGATAAAACCATTAGAATTAGCTTTACCTGATATTCCTTCTCTTAACCTTTCTTTCTTTGACGATGATTCAACTGAACTTGCCAATTTAACTAAATCTCTTGGTGTCAACTTATCCACTACAACAACAACAACAAAACCTCTTCCTTCACCTGGCAACATTGGTACCAATAAACTCAATCGTGCTTCTGATTTATTGAAATCTTCTTTAGAACATCTTCCTGAGTCTACAACAAGTAACAACGACACTATTATATCTACTGACAACATTGATCATTTACGACAAAAATTGAAAGCAACCACTGAACTTTTAATATCTACTGAATCCAATTTTGAAAAATTAAAGGTAAAAAAAAAAAAAAACCAATCAATCGATTGCTTCCAAGAATAGTAACGAATCATCTCGTGATAAATACTTTTGTATCTATTTTCTATATTTACATCTTTTTTTTTATATATATATATATGTAATAGTCTGCTAGTCAAAAGGCATTGGATGAATTTACAAAAGCCAAAGAAGAATTTGCAAAGGAAATGTTAACAAGACAACAACATGAATATACTATATTACAATTACGACAACAATTGGCAGAACAACAATCATCCTCATCATCTTCATTATCATTATCAAATACAACAGTCAAAGATGGAACATCATCAGTAGTTGAAAAAGAAATTGATCGATTGGCAGGGATGAAGGTGGAATTGGAACAATCTTGCAATAAACTTAAAGAATATAGGGATACCTTGGCATCTCAAATTGATCAAAAAGTCCAAGAGGCTCAAGCTGGTCTTGAAAGGTATAAAAAAAAAAAAAAAGCAAAAACTTCTTATTTGTGGAGGCACAATGGTGATACTAAACTTTAAATTTTTTTTTTATTTTTTTCATTTGATTTTAGCTCCGTTTTGGAACAACATCAATTGGCTTTGCAAGAACAGATCCGATCATTAATATCAGAACGCGATGCACTCAAGATGGAAACTCAGGAATTGAACAAGACTCGAGATGAAGTGATTCATGAAATGGTGATACTCAACACAAAGAATGCCGAATTATCCTCCATGAATAATGATTTATCACGACGTATGACTGAACGTGAACGAGAAGCAGCAGCGATCATGGCCGGCACATCGTTTATTCACCATGCTCCCTCACCTTCACCTTCTACTGAATTACTCGCCAGCTCACCTGTTTCCATGCAACGGAAAAGTAGTGAAACAAGTATTATGATGCAAAGAATGACTTCTCGGGACAGCAGTAATAGCAAAGAAGGATCATCCAAGATGTTCAAGATGAAGAAACCCAAGACCAATGTATTTAACAAGATCACTAGTTATGGATTCAGTAATGGAAGTGCCAATCATCTTAACAAAAAGGATAATGATGCGGCTCATGCACTTTATGGTGCTCATGAAAATCATAGTCTCTACAATCTCAACACATCTTCATCTGTCAACATGCTTAGTGATATGAAAAGGAAAGGATCGAAACAGTCATGTGATGGTACAGTTAGTCCTGGCTCTCATTCTTTTATACCAACTTCCTTTTTACGACCCGTCAAATGTATGGGTTGTGGAGAAAAGATTTGGGGTGCTACAGAATATCGATGTCAAGGTTGTGGATCTATTAGTCATATGAAATGTATATCACATCTTCCTTCTTTATGTTATGCTACTTCAAGTAGTTTAGAATTGGTTAGTAGTCCTACTGATTCTGAAAGTTCAAAACCAGGTAAAAAAAAAAAAAAAAAGGAAAAAAAAAGGAAAATCAAAAAGTTGTATTCATTCTTTTTTTCTTCTTCCTAAAAAATATATATCTATTTATAGTCAGTATGTTTGGTACTAGTCTTGTATGTCGAGTGGCAATTGAAGAACGTGACATTCCATTATTGGTAGAACAATGTATTGAAGCTGTGGAAGCACGAGGTATGGATTATGAAGGGATATATCGAAAATCAGGAGGAGCAGCTCAGATGCGAGCCATTCAATTGGCCTTTGAAAGCAATGAACCTTTGGATTTGAAGGATGAAGATGAAATCAATGATATTTGTGCCGTGACAAGTGTTCTCAAACAATATTTCCGTGAATTACCTGATCCTTTATTAACCTATCAACTTTATGATCATTTTATGGAGGCTGTTCGTAAGTTCATCCTTAAAAAAAATAATAATAATATGTATTGATTTTTTTTTTTTTTGATGATAGGTATGCCTTCTGGTGATAACAAAAATGATAAATTCATCGAATTGATTTCTCAACTTCCTAAAGCCAACTATGATACCATGAAATTACTGATGAACCATTTGAACAAGTAAGTAAAAAAAAAAAAAAAAAAAAAAAAAAAAAAAAAAAAAAAAAAAAAAAAAAAAAAACGTATTTTATCCATCATGTTGACCCTGTTTCTATATGTAGTGTTCGAAAACAAAGCGAAACCAACTTGATGACAACAAAAAACCTTGCCATGGTATTTGGTCCAACCTTACTACGGGACAAGGATGCTTCCAGGGATCTAGTGGACATGAGCTACAAGAATGCTACTATAGAATACATCATCAATCATACCCAACTTTTATTTGCAGATTAGATTATTTTTTTTTTTTTGAATACTTTTACCTTTTTTTTTTCTACATATGCCTTGTACACTTTTTTTCTTCTTCTTTTGTATTTTATTTTTACTTTTTTTTTTACATTTCGCTTTGACAGCATCAATAAAAAGAAAAATATATGAAATGCTTTCTATTGTACAACTGGATAGATCTTCCCGCCAATTTTTAGGTTATTTTCAGGCACAAAAGAGAAATGTGGCTCTCAAAATATGATATTTATTTGATCAACTCGTTTAAAATCATCTCCAAGAAAGAGTCATATCCAGGAAATGAAATAATCAGTCATTTCTATCATCATCTTCACCAAAGAGATCAACATGACATGTAATGAGAATCACCATAGTCATTCATTATAAAATGTATTTTTTTTATATATATTTATTTATTTAGAAAAAAAAAAATGGTACACATGAAGATCGAAAAAAGAAAAAAAAATACAAAGGGTAAGTGAGAAAAAAAAAAAAGAGAATCCAAAAACAACTAGGAAGGGGGGGAAATAATGTACTACAAGTAAAAAGAAAATAATAGTAAAAATAAAAATAATAATAACAAAAAAAAAAAAAAAAAAAGGTGAATGGGAGGGAAAAAAAATCAAGGGAGAAAAAAAAAAAGTGAGAGAAAGGAATATACAAGCTAGCTAGTGACTTTTTTTTTTTGATCAAAAGGAATGATACATACATACATACAAACACACAGATACACACACATATATAATTTCAATCCAATATTCCTACAATGCATTTCCACATCATCCAGTTGTGGGACGTCGATTCAGTGAAGATTGTTGTTGACGATTTTGTAATTGAATTTGCTGAGGAAGCTGTTGTTGTTGTGTTGAACGATGTTGTTCGCGAAATATCTTTCCATGAATCCGCTTCCCATATGGAGTACTACGAACAGAAGCTAATAAAGGACGAATACAATCTACCAACTATAATAATGGATGCATTAGTATACCTTTGTCATTTTTTTTTTTTTTAGTTTGTTTACTTCAGCACGTTGATCTGGTTCAGCATAATCCAAAGATGTTTGAATGACATAATTGGCAAAGGAATCCCTTAGTAGTTTTTCCATAGCAGAAGGGTCAATAAACTCGGCGATCAGTAATTTGCGCGTTTCCGGAGAAGCAACACGAATGCACTAAAAAAAAAAAATAAAAAAAATAAAAATAAAATAAGCATCATCGGAAAATACTAAATATGTATCCATTCTTAAAATTTTACCTTTTCGATCACATTAGAGCTAAATTTCTGAGCCGAAAGATAACATGTATGTCCAACAAATCTTCTGATCAATGCGTCCGAGAATCGTGCATCACCAAGTTCCAAAACATATTGTACAACATAGTTTCCATAAGGATCTTGAACCAAAGGAAGAGCATGACGAGTGATTTCTTCTACCAATTGTGCCTAATAATATATATATATAATTTTAGTCTTTTTCTCATGTTTCTCTTTTTTTTTTAATATATACCTTTTGGGCATCAGATGCGTAATCAATGCATCTTTGTAATACACAACATCCATGCTTGTGTGTGGCAACTTCAACACATTTACTACTAACAGCATCATAGATGAATTGACGGTGTTCAGCAGATAGTCGATGTAAACATTTTTGAATGACATGATTGCCATTCAAATCTTTGATCAGAGGTACAACACTAGGATTCAAAGCCGAAGTAATCATTTGAATCTAAAAAGTTAAAATAAATGATGATTAATTTTTGTTTTGACTTTCTACTGATCATAGCTTACCTGTTCAGGAGTTGACAAAAACTCAATCAATTTTTGTACTGCCCTAGTCCCATGCATATTTAGAGAAATATTGACTATATCAGGTGCCACGATTTCTACTATTGTATCTCGTTGTTCATTGTCACATCGTTCCAATAATTTTTGACACAGGTAGTTTCCAAACGAATCTAACATATGACAAACAAATAAAAATGAAAAAAAAATATGATTAGTTGTATTTTCAATGAGTGTTTCTCTTATCTTACTCGTCATAAGTTCCACAAAATGCCCATGTATTTCTTCGTAAATCGCTAAGATGGCTTGATTGTTATTCTGAGAAGTATCTTCAATCTTTCGTTGTAAAAATCGACATCCATTTTGATCCTTGGCTAATTCGTACAAATGACCTTTGAAATCATCCAAACTAGCATTCATGAATCGAGCAGTATCTTGATCGCTTGAAGGTCGTCGAACCTGTTGTTGTTGTTGTTGTTGCTGCTGCTGCTGCTGCTGCTGCTGTTGTTGCTGTTGTTGCTGTTGTTGCTGTTGCTGTTGTTGCTGCTGTTGTTGCTGTTGCTGTTGTTGCTGCTGCTGTATTTGTTGCTCTTGTTGTTGTTTATATATTTGATGATGAGGAGTGTTTGTAGGGAAAGGTAAAATACCATTACCACGTCCATAGACAGAAGAGGATGCACCAACAGGGAATATAGGTAAAGTAGTTGCGCTATTGATTGGGTTGGTCACACTTTGATTGTTGAAAATAGAGGCAGATGAATTGAAGATTGCATTCATAGGATAAGGAGAATACAAAGCGGGATGAACAGATGCAGAAGTATGAAAAGAGCCAGAAGTTGGTGAATGTTGTTGTAGTCGTGGTGATGAGGAAGTTGTTGGATCGTTCATGGATGATATAACTGGATGAATGTAATGACATTGATCTCCAAGTGTACAATAGCCATATTGAAGATATTGCTGACAAAGAGGAGGTTGATCCTTGTTGGTTGCTGAGATCATGTCGTTCATCGCAGAAACATCGGAAGTTCCATTGTAAAAACCAAACGAGGCAGCCGCTGACCCAACATTTTGGTTCCCATCATTGATGCTAGCTGCACGCAGATCCGAGTGAGATTGTGATGCCGTTAAACGTGACTTGATACCAGCCAGATCAGGAGAAAAACCTTGATATCGATTCGAATCAGAGTTTTGCCAACCATATGATGATCTTCGAGGAGGATTGTAAAAAGATGTGGTTGCATTTGGCGCATAATTCATTCGGTTACTTGTAGTTCTTTGAAAATCTTCAAATGTAGATTCCATAGGATTGGTTCCATTTGTAACAGCACGATGTAGGAAGGCTCCATTAGTGGTAGGATGGTCAAGATACTGAGTCCAGGATTTGCTACGTAAGGATTCCAAACTTTTGTTGTGGCGTGTTGGTGTTTTTTGCATAGAAAACTATAACATTTATAAGTCAATAAAAATCAAATATTATTTATTAAATCAATTTACATACCAGATCACCATAATCATCAGGTGGGACAAAAGTAGAGGGTTGATGTTGGTACACAGACCGATTCTGGGACAAATGAGGAGACTGCTGAAAAAGAGGATTGACGCCTTGGAATAAACAAAGAGAGAAAAAAAAAAAGAAAGATTTTTTTTTTAGTAAAATAAAGAAAAAAGCCAAATAAATAATTACCTGAATTGTCTTGTTCAAATCCAAACGAAGATATCATAGTTTCCGAAGTAGAACCAGTGGAGGATATATATGCACTTGTCATATCACTTTGGGTAGAAGGTTGTTGAGACCTAGTTCTTTGGTTGCTATCAGTGGTTGTCAAAGAAGTAGGATGAGTAGATTTATCAAAGTGGACATCGTGATGAAAAAGTAAGCTGGGATCGGGTATAGAAGATAGTCTACAGAAATACGTATTTATGTTAAAAAAAAAAAAAAGATGATGAATATAAAGTCAACAAAAGAAAGAAAGAAAAAAAGACATACTTTTGATCAACAGTTCCCACTTGAAGTTTAGAATTAAATAGAGATTCCAATGTAGCTTGCTTCATATTGTTATCTTTTTCGTTTGAGTTTCGTCGTGAGCTTGGTACGGACCGAGAAGTATGAGAAAACTTGGAAGGAGAATAACGATCTGTGGTTGCGATTGAGTCTTTTGGAACTATTGGTTGATATTCATAAAGATCGACAGAGTCATTAAAAAGAAGGTGATGTGGTTGATTCCTAGCAGCTTGTTGGTTTTCTGTATTCAAGTTCTAAAAAAAAAAAAAGAAATAGGAATATTTATTAATATAGTCAAAACAGTTGTTAATCAATCTTACATTTAAACCAGAGTCGTTCCGTTCGTCGTTGAGCATTTTATTTGAGAAAGAAAAGGAAGAGTCACAAGGATGTACATACGAGAAGGAAGGATTGGCCATTCAAAAAGTGAATAAAATCATACAAAATAATAAAAGAGAAAGTAAAAAATAAAAAAAAAAAAAAAAAAAAAAAGAAAGAGAGGAAAATAATGGATGAACGCGTTTAAACAAAATAAAAATAAAAAGTGAAGCTTAGTTCTAGAGCTAGTTGATGACAGTCAAGTTGAGCAGATATTTAAAATAAAAATACAAAATGAATAAAAGAATGGTAAAAAAAAAAGAAAAGAAAAAAAAAAAAGATAGGAAATAGCTTCGGTATAGAAAGAGGAAAAGGAGAAAAAAAAAAAAGCGAAAATTTTTTTTTTTTGTATGCACCTTCTAGCTTGACATCACAGAATTGTATTTGTTTTTTTTTTTTTTTTTTTTTCTGCACAAGAATTCAAATTCCGTACATCTCCCATTCGTTGTGGTCCATACCTTGTTTGGCGTTCAATGAAAAAAGGCGTACAAATCAATGGTGGCCAAAAAATCATCCAAAAACTCAATTTTTTGCATTACATTTGTTGCAAAGCTATAGACGTGTACCCAAAAATCATCGAAGTTCACTACAAAAATGATGGCCAGAAAAATGACTCGTGTGTATCACAATTGATTTGCACACATTCCCTTTTTACACTTTAAAAAAAGAAAGTTATGCAAATTACAACTCAGAATACATTTACTTTTTATATAGATTATTATTTGGATTGGATAATCAGTGAGATTCCTTTTAGTTTATTTGACAAATTAAAAAAAAAAAAGATAAATCCTATTGAAAAATTTGTATCTACCTTATATTTTGTTTGAAAATAAAATTTCAATCATGTATTAAATACAGTATCTACTTCTTGTTGGTACATCTGATTTTGTTTTAAAAATATGTTGTGTTTCATTGCTATGATGATGATTATATGGTAAACATATTTTGATATTTTCTTTAATATAATGATTTTTGATGGATGATATATTGGTGGAAAATGAATGATGATGGTATCAACGGTATGAATAAAGTTAGATTAAAATTCGTACACATGGAGAAGGAGCTTCACTGAAATGGATCAGACTGTTATAATAGAAAAAAATTTTTTTATTAAAGATTAGTACAAATGATAAATAATAATAATACTAATATAAAACTATAACAACTATATGTAAAAGATAACAATAAAAATATCATCCATCAAAATCACTGAAGAAGAGGATTATCCCACGTTTTGTCACCTGATTCAAAAGGTATTGTTGGGGCCAATGGGTTGTCCAAGAATAGCCTTCAAATCATCCCAAATCAATTGTCCAAATACAGGAATAGCACCAGGATCTAAAGCAGATGTCACAGTAGTTCTAGTCGAGCAACCAGAAGGAGCAGTCTTGTTATTGAATCCATCAATCAAAAAATTCATCGCGTTAGCAGCACCAGTGATGGCCAAAATAGCATGCTCTGATAGTTCATCCTTCACAAATTGAATACTAGTAGCACTATTGGAAGAGCACCAAGAGTTGTACATATCAAATGCAGGTTGCATAGGGACGACTTCATCATGGATGGCATGATACATAAATAAAGGGATCTTGGGAGCACCTACCTTGCCCATGATATTATCAGTGATTACCTTGGTGGCGATAGGATCAGCCATGAAATCCGGACGACTGACAAAGGAATTGATGTTCTTGAAAGCATACTTGAGAATCAAAGGTGCCAAGCACGAGTTTTGAGCATCCAAAAATTCTTGTTTTTTATCAGGTAAAAGAATTTGATTAATATAAGCGGCCAGATCATCATATTGATGGGATAGACCAAGAATACCAGCAGGAATAAGACCAGCAAAAGGACCTCCATTAATAGCATTCAATGTCGCATTCACATTCACAGGAGTACCACCCATAGCTGCACCAACAATCTTGAGTTCAGAAGCATAAGAAGGTTGAAGTTGAGCAGCCCATCCTGTAGCAAGAGCACCACCAGAATAACCCCACATTTGTACAGTTGCATCAGAATGTAATTGAGTCTGATTACCACTCGCTAACACAGCACGAATGGAATCAAGTACACCATGACCTGCCATAGCACCTACAGTAAACATAGACTTGGGTCCTTCATAATCAGCTGTATTGACATAGTAACCGCGACCGAGAAGAGCATCCATTAATAAAATTTCAACTTGGGGAAGAACACCAGTAAGACTTGTTCCTTTTTGAAGAGCATAAGAAGGTGCACAATCAATGAAAGGAGCATCTTCAGCGACTTGATAAGAAACTAGCTTGGTGGGATCGGCATTGTTGGGAACCATAAGTGTGGTCACAGTAGCAGTGGCATTACCAAGACCATCAGTAGTACGATAAAGGAATTGATAAACAGCTTTGAGATTTTGAGGTAAACCGGAAAGAAGAGCAAGAGAATTCCCTGAGAGGGTTCTTGATTTTAGAATAGTCCCAGGTTTTTGATTTTCGAACCCAGCTGATGGAATGTAAAAAGGATCATTGGCTGGTGAGACGGCGTCCCTGAGCCAAAGAGGTGCAGTAGAAACCATAGATACATAAAGACATAATAATGTCATCAATATCATGACACTATGAGCCATGGACTTTAATAAAAATGAATAGATAGGATGAGATGATTGTTTACTTTTATTCTTTAAGCTCGTCCTATAAACTTACCCTTTTCATCTTTGCTAAAAAAAAAAAAAAGAAAGAGGCAACGTTGTCAAAACGAAGATGGATATTACGTGACAAATGATGCATGATGATTTCTCTTTTTATATATCTTCACAAACAAAACATAGTTTGCTTGGCCGCACTCAGTTGTTTTCACGTGGAGTTCCCCTCTAACCCATGAAAGGAAAAGTTAAAGGTTAGCATTGATTATATGCCTTTTTTTTTTTTTTTTTAAGAGAATTTGTTTTAAATGGGGTAGAATTGGCTTGTGAAAGTCGTCTAATAAAATTAAGAGAATGGAGAGATAATTTGTGGAGAAATAAGATCTTGAGTAACCAAGAAATTGATTTGACAATGGGATATTACCTTCTTTTGGAAGGATACGTTATTGACTTTTATTAACCTTGTGCCTCGTTCCCACTGATGTGATCTTTTCTTTTCTTTTTTTTTTTTTTTTTTTAACAGGATAATGCAAGTAACTAGGTTACATTGTGTCCTATTTTAATTCTTCCATTGAACATATGATGACAACCATATTGAATAAGAGAGGTCCTCATGAACAAAAAAAAAAATCTAGATTTTACCCGTTACATTTTTTTTTTATTTCGTTTCTTTTGACGCTAATAGATCATGATGATGGTACTACAATAGTACTATATTCTCACCCCAAAATTATCATCAACATTGTGGATGATTAGAAAATGAATACAAAGGTTTATTCAATGTCTTTTTTTTTTTCCTTCAGTCATTCAACTGCTAATCATTCTATAAAAAAGAAATCATTACTTTAGTTTGTAGATATAATATTCGATTGGAGTGAGTATCTCTAAATGTGCAACAATTGAACTCCAGATATTCATCCATCAACTTTGTTTTTCTTTTGTGCACCGGCGCGGAAGTAGCATCCTTCAATGGTACAAACCCTTTTTGAATCAATGTCATTCTCTAATTTTTTTTCACTGGCCTGCTATCATTATAATATGTCTCCCTATATGATCTAAGATAGCTGATGATGATGATGGAAGATTAAATGTACGAATGATTGAGTGTATGGATGATTGAATGTATGGATGATTAAATGAATGGATGATTGAATATATGGATGATTAAATGTATGGATGATTAAGTGTATGGATGATTGAATGTACGGATGATTAAATGTATGGATGATTAAATGTATGGATAATTAAATATATGGATGATTAAATGTATGGATGGTTAAATGTATGGATGATTAAATGTATGGATGATTAAATGTATGGATAATTAAATGTATGGATGATTAAATGTATGGATGATTAAACGTATGGATGATTGAATATATAGATGATTGAATATATGGATGATTGAACATATGGATGATGATGGATGATGATGTACGAATGATATAGAGATGGGTGTTGATGATAAGAGTTAATGATAATTGTTGAACAAATGGATGACGCGTATTTTTTTTTTAATTACACTATGAGACAGGCTGAAGATAAGCTGTTTATTATATATATATATAAATACAACAACACTAAAAGAATAATAAACTAATATCACAAACAACAATATTAATGCTATGTAAATAAGGAGAAAAATACAATCCACAAGAATAAATAAACACCCTGTTATCCTACTTTGTCACTGTGGAGTTTTTGGGTCCAACGGCTTGTCCGAGAAGAGCGTTCAAAGCATTCCAAATGATTTGTCCAAACATAGGAACAGCACCAGGATCCAAAGCTGAAGTAGCAGTCGTTCTGTATGTACAACCAGCAGAAGCGGTCTTGTTGTTGAATTGATCAATCAAAAAATTCATCGCGTTAGCAGCACCAGTAATAGCCAAGGTAACATGTTCTGAGATTTCGTCCTTCACGAATTGAATACTGGCAGCGTTGCCGGAAGAACACCAAGAGTTGTACATATCAAATGCAGGTTGCATAGGGACGATTTCATCATGAACGGCATGATACATAAATAAAGGAATCTTGGGAGCACCAACCTTACCCATCAAGTTATCAATGATCACCTTGGTAGCGATAGGATCAGCCATATAATCCGAGCGATTGAAATAGGAGTTAATGTTTTTGAAAGCATACTCAGTTGTGAGATCGTTCAGACACTTGTTTTGAGAGTCCAAAAATTCTTTCTTTTTATCAGGTAAAAGGATTTGATCGATGTAAGCAGTCAAGTCATCATATTGATGCATCATACCAAGAATACCAGAAGGAATAAGACCAGCAAAAGGACCTCCATTGACAGCATTGATTGTCGCATTCACATTCACAGGAGTACCACCCATAGCTGCACCAATAATCTTAAGTTCAGAAGCATAAGAAGGTTGAAGTTGAGCAGCCCATCCTGTAGCAAGAGCACCACCAGAATAACCCCACAATTGTACAGCTGCATCAGGATGTAATTGAGTCTGACTGCCACTCGCTAACAGAGCACGAATGGAATCAAGTACACCATGACCTGCCATAGCACCTACAGTAAACATAGACTTAGGTCCTTCATAATCAGGCGTGGAAACATAGTAACCGTGATCGAAAAGAGTATCCATCATCAAGACTTGCACATTGGGAATAATACTCTGACTTGCATTCTTTTGAAGAGTATAAGAGGGAGCACAGTTAATATAGGGAGAATCTTCAGGAAATTGAATAGATACAAGTTTAGTAGGATCGGCATTGTTGGGCACCATAAGCGTGGTCACAGTAGCAGTGGCATTACCAAGACCATCAGTAGTACGATAAAGGAATTGATAAACAGCTTTGAGTTTTTGATTGGAAAAGGAAGAAGAAGCAATAGAATCAGACGGCAAGATTCGAGATTTTAAAATAGTGCCAGGTTTTTCTTTTTCGAACCCAGCTGAAGGATTGTAAAAAGGATCATTGGAAGGCATAAGGTTGTCCCTGATAAAAAGTGGCACACTTGCCACTGTGGATATAAAGAGACATAGTAATGCTATCAACATCACGACAGTATGAACTATAGACTATAATAAAAATGAGTATAAATGATATGATGATTTGTTTTAGATAGATTTTTTTTCTTTTTTCTTTTTCTTTTTCTTTTTTTTTTTATCGTAATCACCTTTTTCATCATCATCATAAAAAAATGTCGTCAAGGGTTGAACTTCGATGATAGCTATTATGTGACAGATGGCATATCAACGTTGACCTTTTTATATAATTTTTTTCTATGTATATATGGTAGAATTTCCTTCCTACTGTAGTTACGTTGCACGTGTATTTTTCTCATCTGTGAAAACCGAATGTCATCTGCGTTCTATTTTTTTTTTTCTAAAGGGAATCCATTCCGCAAAAGGTAGAATATATGCGAAGATTTATGAAAAAAAGGAACGGAGTGCAAGTTCGTGGAGAAATTCAGATCTAGATTTCACCATACGATTTACCCTTTTGGAAATAGACTTTTTTGAGTTTTATTAAACTTGTTCCCACTGATTTTCTCTTTTTATTACAATACCTTGATGCTACTGATCGTCATCATCATCATTCCTATCCCATTGAACGATCATCATCAATCATCATTCTTGTATTGAGATATATGACAAGCTTTTCATCCGAGACAGTGAATCAAGTCGGTTTTAATTCTTCTTCTTGGCTAGTGGGCTTTCATTGAAATGTATGACAGCAAATCATGACTAAAAAAAAAAAAAATAAGGTTTACTGGTTACATTTTTTTATTTCATTTTTTTATACTAAGAAAAATAGATATCTCAATGTCATCAAGGTATAAAATTTATCCTGTCATTTCCACCAATCATTTTTTGTTTAAAGATGTTGAATGATCATTGATAGAATAAGCAAATGGCTCTTTTTTTTTTGAGTAACGGCGCTACTGCTAACTGATCGATGGCAAATGATCATAGATTGTAGAAAGAAAGCGTTAAAAATATATGCGTATGTAAGCATCTATAGGAGAATAAATGTGTGAGAATATATGATGTCTTGTCATCAACTATCTTCTTCTTTTAAGTGATGAAACATGTGAGCATAGACCTTTAAATTAAATAAGTACGTTTGCGAGAATGGCAGACTATCTTCCAGTTTTTTTTTTTTTTTTTTTTTTTTTTTTTTTTTTTTTAACATTGACAACAACGCCAAGTCCAGGATAACTATGTCTTTCTCTAGGAACACGGTTAGAAGCATGATTAAGGTTTCGTCTCTTATATCTCTCAATCTAACTTAAGTAATGTAATGAACGCACACGATACCATTGAAATAACAGGATCTCTTTCATTAGTGATGGCCAACAAATAATATATAACGGACGATGGATGATGATTACTGTGTAAAGATTGAGAATGCTGATGGTTGATTCTAGTTAGTGTTGCTATGACAGTGATATAACCTTTTTTTTTTTTTTTTTACAATGTGATAACCAGAATATTATTGAATAAGTTATCCTTTTGACATCAAGATAAATAAAATGGTTGGACTATTGAGATTCTTTATTATACTACACAACACTAAAGCCAAACTAACACTAAAACTAACAACCAGCGCTAATACTAACAAAAATAAGACAGTCCACAAAAGGTATATCCGATCGAAGAAGTGACCATCATCTCTTCCTGTTGTTCAAAAAGGTATTGTTAGAGACTGGTAGGTATCCAAGAAGAGTCTCCAATTCATACAAAATCAATCTGACCGTGAAAGGAAGAGCATCATCGTCCAAAGCTGAAGTAACAGTTGTTCTATATGTGCAACCAGGAGGAGCTGTCTTATTGTTGAATTGATCCACTAGAAAATTGATTGCATTGGCAGTACCGGTGACAGTCAAAATAAAATGTTCTGAGAGTTCATCCGCCACGAATTGGATACTGGTAGACGTGTCGGCACACCAAGAGTTATACAAGTCCATGGCAGGTGCTATGGGAACAATTTCGTCATGAATGGCATGAAACATAAACAAAGGAAATCGAGGAGCACCCATTTTACCCATGATATTGTTGCTGATCGCCTTGATTGCCACAGGATCCGCCAAAAAGTCGGGTCGACTGAAATAGGAAAAAATATCCTGGAAAGCATACTTGTCAAGGATATCCTGACTACACATACTTTGAGCTTCCAAAAACTCTTGTTTCTTGTCAGGTAAAATGATTTGATCAACGTAATCAGCCAAGTCATCGTATTGATGCATCATACCAAGGATACCAGAAGGAATCAGACTAGCAAAAGGACCACCATTGACTGCATTGATTGTCGCATTCACATCCACAGGAGTACCACCCATAGCCGCACCAATAATCTTAAGTTCAGAAGCATAAGAAGATTGAAGTTGAGCAGCCCATCCTGTAGCATGAGCACCAGCAGAATAACCTAACATTTGCACGGTTGCATCAGGATGTAATTGGGTCAAATTGCCACTGTTTAGAACTGCCCGTATAGAGTCAAGCACAGCATGACCAGCCATAAGTCCAACCGCAAACATAGCTTGAAGACCTTCATAATCAGCCATGTTGAGATAATAACCACGAGAAAGAAGGTCATCTAACAAGAAAGGCTCAGGACTGGGAATCGGAATCGGACCAGGATTTAATTCTTGCTGATAAATATAAGAAGGAGCACAATCTTTGGAAGCGGAATCTTCAGACGCTTGATAAGAAATAAGTTTCGTAGGATCAGCATTGGTGGGAACAAGAAGAGTGGTTACAGAAGCAGTGGGTTTACCAAGACCATCATTGGTACGATAAAGGAATTGATAAATAGCTTTGAGATTTTCATTAGAAATGGAAGGAAGAGAAGAGGTTGGCAATATTCTAAATTTTAAAATGGTGCCAGGCTTTTTATTTTCGAATTTGGCAGGCGGAGTGTAAAAAGGATCATTGGATGGTGCTTGAAGTGTGCTTGCTTGTATAGACAGAAAAAGGCATAGAAATGTCATCAACATCATAATACTACAGATCATCAACGATAAATAATAATAAAAATAATAAAAAGAGATGATTATTCTGGTTATATATTCTTTTTTCATTTTTATCATAGCGATTCCTTTCTGTCAAGTAAAAAAAAAAAAAAAGGAGTCTTTAGCCTATGATACAGTACCTCCCATAGCAGTTGTTGAAGAGGATATGTAAGGGATTTGCTTACATTTTATTCATTAAGAAATGAAGGAATTCAAAATTAAGGTGTTGCAAAAATATGAAATAAACATATCGTATGGATAGAAAATAGATGACAGAAGAGGGAAAAAAAAGTGTTGGCTCATAACTCAAATTCAGAGGATATGAAAATAGATTGCATGAAAAAAAAAAAAAGGCAGAAGGAGGACAGGTGAAAAAGAAGGCAGAAAACGAAAAGAGAAGAAACGTCAAAGAAGAAGGCAAGCAAGCCCAAAAGAGAACAGGAAGGAAGGATGTCAAGAAGAGAAAAAAAAAAAAAAAACCTTCCTTTTATAAGAGATCAAACTCGTAAAGAAAAAAAAATATATAGATCTTCGCTGTAATTATGAGCTTTTTTTGTTCCCTCATCAAAAACCAGGTTAAAGAGATCGATAAGATAACTCGGTAGTAAGAAAAGAAAAGAAAAAAAAAAACGAAAAGAAAAAAAAGGACTATTATGCAAATTTGTATTTGTCAGTTATGGAAAAAGGGATCGATCGATGCACGTCTCAATAATGAAAACAATCAAAGAGACCTGATTAAATAATTTCAAAAAAAAAAAAAGAAAAGAAAGGAACCGTTTTAGAGCTTTTGCATTAAGTAAAGAGTCAAACATCATCTATTCATGCCGTCATCCATTCATACTATCATCTTATTACCCTATCGTCCCTGTCGTATTAACCTATTCCATACCTATATGCTTAAACTAGAAAGAATACAAGTGAAAAAAAAAGTAACAAAGCATAGTACACCAGAAGAAGATTGGAATCAATTACATAGACTCGTAAAGGTAGTTGGAATAAAAACAAAGATTTTATTGAATAAAAAAAAAATGCTATTAATTGATATCACTAGAACTAAAGTCAATAAAAAGAAAAGAAAAGAAAAGAAAAGAAAAAGAAAAGAAAAAGAAAAGAAAAGAAAAGAAAAGAAAGAAAAGAAAAGAAAGAAAAGAAAAAAGAAAGAAAGAAAGAAAGAAAGAAAACCGGACTCTGAAAATCACCATGATTCATAATCTACCACTGCAGGAAAAACATATATCAAGTGTCTAAATATTTCGAAATATGCAGCACAAACCCATTTTTTATATAGTGTAAATTTTACTTTGTCGACACAAATTACTAGGAGCAAACATGTGTATCAACATCATCAAGGTATAAAAGATATCCCTGTTATTTTCACCAATCATTCCTGTCTGAAGATGTTGGATGATCATAAATAAAATAAATAAATGGAATCTGCTCAATTTTTTTTTTTTTAACATTGACAATAATACCAAGTCAAGGACAACTATGTCTTTCTCTAGGAACATGGTTAGAAGCATGATTAAGGTTTCGTCTCTTATATCTCTCAAGCTAACTTAAGCAATGTAATGAATGCACATGATACCATTAAAATAACAGGATCTCTTTCATTAACGACAGCTAACAGATAATATATAACGGACGATGGATGATGATTACTGTGTGAAGATTGAGAATGCTGATGGTTGATAATGATTCGTGTTGCTATGTCAATGATATAACCTTTTTTTTTTTTTTTTTTTTTTTTTTTTTACAATGTGACAACCAGGATATTATTGAATAAGTTTTCCTTTCAACATCAAGATAAATAAAACGGTTGAATTATTGAGATTCTTTATTATACTACACTAACACTAAAGCCAAACTAACACTAGAACTATCACTAATACTAATAAACAAGACAACCTGTCAATAAATATATACCTGAGTGACGAAGGCATCATATCATCCTATTGTTCAAAAGGGTCATCCAAGGACAGTTTTTAATTCATCCAATATCAATCTGATAGAGAGAGGGAGTGCACCAGGATCCAAAGCTGAAGTAGCAGTTGTTCTATATGTGCAACCAGGAGGAGCCTTCTTGTTGTTGAATCGATCCACTAAAAAGTTGATTGCATTAGCAGCACCGGTAGTAGCCAAGGTAATATGTTCTGAGACTTCATCCGCCACGAATTGGAGACTGATAGACTTGTCGGCACACCAAGAGTTGTACAGATCCATGACAGATGCTATGGGAACAATTTCGTCATGGATGGCATGATACATAAACAAAGGAAACCGAGGAGCATCCATTTTACCTATGATGTTACTGTTGATTGCTTTAACCGCCACAGGATCCGCCAAAAAATCAGGTCGACTGAAATAGGAAAAAATGTCCTGAAAAGCATACTTGTAAAGGACATCCCGATTGCACAGATGTTGAGCTTCCAAAAATTTTTGTTTCTTGTCAGGTAAAATGATTTGATCAATATAATCAGCCAAGTCATCGTATTGATGCATCATACCAAGGATACCAGAAGTAATCAGGCCAGCAAAAAGACCACCGTTGACAACATTGGTTGTCGCATTCATATTCACAGGAGTACCACCCATAGCCGCACCAATAATCTTAAGTTCAGAAGCATAAGAAGGTTGAATTTGAGCAGCCCATCCTGTAGCATGAGCACCAGCAGAATAACCCCACAATTGTACGATGGCATCAGGATGTAATTGAGTCAAATTGCCACTGTTTAGAACTGCCCGTATAGAGTCAAGCACAGCATGACCAGCCATAAGTCCAACCGCAAACATAGCTTGAAGACCTTCATAATCAGCCATGTTGAGATAATAACCACGAGAAAGAAGGTCATCTAACAAGAAAGGCTCAGGATTGGGAATCGGAATCGGACCAGGATTTGGTTTTTGCTGATAAGTATAAGAAGGAGCACAATCTTTGGAAGAGGAATCTTCAGACGTTTGATAAGAAATAAGTTTCGTAGGATCAGCATTGGTGGGAACAAGAAGAGTGGTTACAGAAGCAGTGGGTTTACCAAGACCATCATTGGTACGATAAAGGAATTGATAAATAGCTTTGAGATTTTCATTAGAAATGGAAGGAAAAGAAGAGGTTGACAATATTCTAAATTTTAAAATGGTACCAGGCTTTTTATTTTCGAATTTGGCAGGCGGAGTGTAAAAAGGATCATTGGAAGGTACTTGATGTGTGCTTGCTTGTATAGACAGAAAAAGGCATAGAAATGCCATCAACATCATAATACTACAGATCATCAACAATAAATAATACTAACAATAATAAAAAGAGATGGTTACTCCGGCTATATTTTCTTTTTTCATTTTTATCATAGTGACCTTTTTTTTTTTTTTATCAACCAAGTAAAAAAAAAAAAAAAAAAAAAAGGAGTCTTTAACGTTATGATACCTCCCACTAGCTACTTGTGGCACAGGAGATGTAAGGGATTTGCTTACATATATAGGTTGGATTGTCTCCCTAATGATGATTGTACTCGTGTTTTCCTCGCTGTCCCTAAAAATGAAATGTAAAAGTTTATATCATGAATTATCATCTATTTATTTATTTACCGTGTAGATAGTATTTATGGGCAAAGGGAGTTTATGAAGACATCAGATTCCTGTTAACCATGAACTTGGTTTGACAATGCGATTTATATTTTTTTTTTTGTGAAAACATTTTTTCAGTCTCAATCCTTGTTTTTAATTTGACTAATGAAAAAATAACTTGACATTCGTTTTTTTATGGGTAGATCATTGTCACGTTATATTCCCTTGATCATCATCATTGTCCTCCTTTGATTTTATTAGTAAATGTAATGTCATTATTCAAGGAATAGGGTGATTATTCATTTTACAGTATAGTGTGTAAGATGAAACAAAGAAAAAAAAATAACTCTTACAATTATGTAATCAAGAAGATTTTCAAAAAAGTAAATAATAGTATGATGTGAATGATCATCCATTCTCTTTTACTTTGAATAAAATCGATCATCAAACATGATTTTCCTCTTGCAATAAGCAATCTTGGCGGATTATGAAACTGAAGGTGGGTGAAAGGGGAGATTGGATCAAAAGCTCTGAAAAATTTTCTTCCTTTTTTCTTCCTTTTACTTTTTTCTTTTTAAAAATATATATATAATATGCCACCCAAACAGAAACCATATAATAAAAAGACCAAACCTTTAACATCTTTGGAACGTCGAGGTAAATATCAATATATCACCTATCTACTTTTTTCTAGAAAAAAAAATATTCATTAATATTCATTATTGATCATCGATATAGCCAAAAAAAAGAAACAAGAATTAATCCAAAAGGCGACTGTGAAGAGTCAATACTACAAAGCTTTAGCAAAAGAACATGCCGATGATACACCTGACTATGTCAAAGAAGTAAGGATAAAGAAAAAAAAATGTCAACATGGCTTATCTGTTGTACATTCTTATCTTTTTTTTTCTTTTTCTTTTTTTTTTTCTTTAGATCTTTGAAAAAACGATCGATGAAGATGGAAACGTAGTGGAATATCAATCTGGGACTACGAAACGGAAAAGAGAGGAAATTGATAGTGACAAAGTATTTGATTTGGATCAGGAAGAATCATCATCAGACGAGAGTGATGGAAGTGATCAAGATCAAAAGACGAAGAAATCAACCAAGGATACCACAAAGTCGTAAGTGATATTTACTTTGTATACAGTAATAGATGATTTTACTCACCTTTATATATATTAGACATAAGCCAAACCCATTCAAAACACAACTTGAAGAACAACAAAAGAAAAAACAACTGAATCAACAAGAACGTGAAGCTCGACAAAAGGAAATCGAACAAAAGATGAGCGAACGCAAACGATATTATCAACAACGGAATAAACAACGGGGCAAGATGTTGGCCAAGAACAAGAATGGTCAACCCAATTTGGCCACTCAAATGGAAATATTGATTGGACGTATTAAGAAGGACTAGCATCATTCATCGTTTATTTTTGTAATTTACTTCATTTCACCTCTATAGAATCATCATCATTCATTTCAATATTTTGTAATAAAAAAAAAATACTCTTCATTTTTCAATATATTTCTTTTTTTTTTTCCTTATTACTACCATTGAATCCTTCATCACTTTCAAAACAAAGACATTAAAGTATATACACTGGAATTTATGATCAAATCTATCAATTTATTTTATTTACAAAGTTTTTTTTTTTTTCTTTTTTTCTACAGAATATACTAATAAAACTAAATTAATATCTATCGTTTACCCCAGAAGCTCAACAGATTTTTTTGTTGTCCAGAGGTCTTTTTTGATGGAGTGGATGGTGGGGTTTTCTTTGGTGAAGGAGCACTCGTCTTTGGTACTTCATCGGCATCTACTTCTTCCCATTCCCAAACATCTTCTGTCACTATAATAATAAAAAAAAAAAGGTTATAAACAGTGATTTTTTTTTCATGGTCTTTTTTTTTCTCTCCTTTCTTACCTAAGAATCCACGTTCATTTTTGTAGGTTTTCTTCTTTTGCACCTTGCGTCGTACCTTGCCTGGTGTAGTTACTATAAAGACAAAGTCATGGAATATGAGTTATCAATTTTTTTTCTTTGCCGTTGATTTACCTTGTTCCTGTTGCTGATCTTCCTCTTCATCTGACTTGCTTGAAATGGATGCTTTATCCGCTGTTGTTTCGTTTTCTTCATCAACATCCATAGTCGGTGACGGTGCTCCTTTATCTTCGGCGTTATCTTCCTTACCAGTATCTGTCATGGCTTCATCATCATCATCACCATCATCGCTGAATATGTCATCCACTTCGATCTTGGCAGACCTGGCTAATCTTGCATCAAGTTCTTCTTCATCCTCAGATTCATCATCATCAGATTCTACAGTGGTATCACAAATCATATCCCAACAAAACAAAGAACAAGTCAAAATCATCCACCTATTTTCTTTGCTTGTTTGTCATTTTATTTCTTTACCTTGAATTGTTTTGACCTTGCGCGGTTGAGATGTTGAAGAAGGTGATGTCTTTGGTGCCTCCACAGCTTGTTTCTTAGGTTGACTACTAGCCTTTGCAAAAGATAAGGTTCCCTTTCGTTTGCTTGGAGTAACTGGTTTTGTTGCAGCTGGTGCAGGCTGATGATAGAATAATATCAAAATATTAAAAAAAAAAGATTAGTAAAATCGAAGTCATCTTATTTCCACTTTGCAACACCTCTTTCTCTCTCTTTTTTTTTTCCAGTTTATTTGTTTTATCTTTGTTTTACCTTTTTGGTAGTGGAAGATGAGACTGGAGCAGTAGATGGTTCCTTCTTACTAACAGAAGGTGGTTGTGTAGCGGCAGGAGTGGTGGTGGAAGATGTGTTATTTATAATTTTCAGTGACTTATTCTGTATCAACCCATTCCTAGTTTAAGAGAGAGAGATATGGATGAATATCCTTCCTATTTTATTTTCATCATACACTTACTTGATTTTATCGTCAAGAGAACTAGTCACCATATCCGTATTAGTTGTTACCAAAACAGAAAGATCCTATAAATCAAAAAAAAAAAAAAGAGATCTATTAGTCTTCTATCGATCATCTTATCATCATCCATCCTTTTTACCTTGGGATCATAAGGTAATACACTATACACATGAATACCAGTGATTTGACGATATCTTTTCTTCATTTCTACAAGAGAACCAAGGAAAATAAAAAGTGTACTTTTAGTATTTATCAAGCAGTAAATAAAATAATTGATTACCTTGGAGATCAGCTTGATTCACCAATCGAACGGATAAAGTATTGTCAGCAAGAGTACCAGTAAGACAATAGATGGCAACAGCACTTGACTCGACAGTGGTATAATGGTATAAAGCTCTATATGCAAAGGAGTAAATAATGATCAAACAATGGATAGAGTTATATGGACTTACTGTTTTGCAACATTGACATGTATATTTTGACTTCTGGCTAAAGATCGGTAAGTGACCTAAAATACTTAAATAATAAATATATGATGTAGAAAAAAAAATAAATCATTGCATGAGTATACCGGTCGTTTTTCTTGAAGTATTGTAGTATCAAGGAAGGCTTTGTATTCCATAATGTTGTACGATCAATAGCGAACAAAAAGGAAGAAAAAAAAAAAAAAAAAAAGAAAGAAAAAAAGAATTGGAACGCGACGTGGCGACCTTTTTTTTTTTTTTTTTTCCTGGCACACAGACTGGGATTAAATAGGATTTTTTATTTTTAATAATGCATCTAAAAACTATATTTATTCTACAAAGTTATCTATTCTATAAAGAAGATGATTGATGTACCCGATCAGCCCATTTGTGTATCTTTTCCATCATATCATCTACCACCAAAGAAGATCGTCGACTAAAAATAGTCTTGATCACTGGTATCCATTGTATTGCCACCACATTCACCATTTCATTGAGAGTCGTTTTCCATTCAGCAGGCATAGCAACCACAAGAGGATCAAGTAATATAGGTTGTTCCATATCATCATCAGAATCATCGTCATCATCATCATTAGATTGCTTCTTCTTTTTGGTTGGTATAAAATATTGCTTCTCTTCTGTGCCATCCATGGTTGCTTGTATCACAGGTGCCAGAACATGCCATGCAGCAAAGAACGCAGGGACAGGGTTGGATGACCATAGTTGCTGATGTAAAAAGTCCACAATATAAAGTCTTGCTTCTTTTAATCCAGTTTCCATCAATCCTAACTGACTGGCCAATCCTTTGCCAAACATACCAGGAAATAGTTCCACATGATAGATAGCCAGTAAACCATGTATATAACCAAAAGTCCAATGATGTCGAGGAATCGCTGTTGTTTGATCCTTGTCGTTTCCACGCTGTAGTAAATCATTCAAATAGCCTTCCATCATATGTATAATGCTAGACATATTACTACCATTCCGTAATTTCGTGGCCAAACCAGTCACCATGCGTTCAACATAGGCTTCACCTTTTTCCATGTCCTTCAGTACAAAAGAGGGTATGTCTTTTGAATGACAGTGTTCACATTCCCAGGTTCGACTTGATCCATCATACCAACTTGTTTGAGACGTAGTGGATGATTTCCAACATTCAGGGCAGTAGCAACCTCTACAAAGATCTTTGGCTTGACATCGTTCACAGGCGCAATCGAAGAACTTGAATTGTTGTAGTTTTGTACGTCGATCATCAGTAGTACCACATACCAACCCACCAAGAGATTCGTCTTCGGGTAAATAAGAAAAGGTCAAAAGATCACCAGCAGGGATAGTTCGCGTAGCCACAAATGCCATTGTATTGGTAGGTGGATCGTATTGAAGTAATAAATTTGGTGAACAGGCATGTGCAAATTTGGAACCCCATAACATCAATGCAATACTTGGTCGTGATACCGAGGCCCATACATTCGAATAGTTTTCATCATCATCATCGTCATCATCATCATCATTAGATGGTCGTCGGTTAGCGTAAATGGTATGTCGTCGATGATGTTTCTTACTGTGAGTAGGAGGTGATAATTTGGCACGTTGATTTGCTTTTCGATCCAAGGCAACTGTGTGAGCATTTCCATAGATTTTGAGGATAAATTCGCACATCAATTCAGGATCTGTATGCTGGAAGAGTTCAAGTTCGACTGAAGCACGTTTTGCTGTTCGTGATACTAGTTGTACGGTGGCATGATCCATGTCAGTTGAAGGATAGTAAAAGAATTCAAAATCAGAAGGTGGAGAAGATTTGAAATGTTTTGGTAGTGAGCTTGGTTTTGTTGTAGGTGGGTAAAGTTGTAAAAAAGCAAGCATGGCCGCCGGAATGCCTGGCACAAATGATGATGTTGGAGTTGAAGTTTGATCTTCGTTGTCAGTATCATCGCTATCATCGTAATCACTGTCCGTATAGTCATCGTCGTTGTTATTATTATTGTTGGAAGATTGATTGTTGACTGATGGTTGTATAGATGGATCTTCAGATATGACAATATCGACCAAAGCTTTCCATAGTTTCTTTGAGTAAAAAGGAGATAAAGAAGAACGACAATTGGGTTCTAACAAGTATTGAAGTAGAGGTGATTCTATAAGAACGGTATCACCACATGACAGCTGTTGCCGAGCAACCAATGACCTTCCCACATATTCCATTTCCTTTAATTCCACCGAATCGATGAATTGATTCCTATTGACGACAATATCAAGACCATATTGAGATAAACTTATTGACATATCTATGAATGATCTATAAAGAAAGTGAAAGAGATACTATTTTATTTTGCAAGAGAAAAATTTTGTTTGATATCAGGGCCAACTTTCCAAGTCCGCGGAAAACGAGCAAAGGGTGTTTATTCCTGTCGACGGCTAAATTGGCGGCTTCGGTGACCCTTCCTTTTTTTTTGTCTTGCACTCTTTTTCTTCTCTTTTCTTTTCTTTTTTTTTTCCTTTTTTTTTTTTTTTTTTTTTGTATTGACTTTAGTGTTAGTATATCATTTTAGTAGTGTTTATTAGTCTTTAGTAGTTAAACTTTTATTTAATAAAGACTTTACTTTTATTGAAATCACTTCATTACATGTCAATGCAATTGATTCCATCTTCGAATGTACCTTTTTTTTTATATATGTGAATGCATTCCTTTTTATTTTCTCTTTTTTTTTATAGATAAGAGAAACGATACGATTCCAATATTCTTCACTTCGATATAAGTTTTTACTGTAGATTAGTTACTACGACAAACCAGTGACTTCGTCACCAAACCACACTACTTGTGAAATAAATAGTGATACTCCTTTTTCTAAAAACGTTTTTTCCTTCTATTCTTTGTTTTTCTTTATATTTTCCTTTTCTTTACTATAGTGATATCTACATAAATAACAACATATGTCGTATCAGCGTGTAATAAAAAATAAAAAGAATGATTCATACATATATAATACATCTTGTAGATGACCCCATTTATATGTAATAAAAATAGTTGTAATAAAATAAAACCTTTATTGAATAAAAAAAGTATGTAATCTAACGACTACACTAATGTATATAATAAAACCATAAAGAAAAAAGTCAATGGAAGAGAAAAAGAAAAGAAAAGAAAAAAATAAAAAGGCTTCACCATTTTGGGTGAATTTATTCAATTCCTGGTCAGCTAAACAGCATGGTCCACTGGTGAATGCCAGTATCATTGTAAAAAAGCTCATTATCTAAATATAAAAAAGATAAAATACATATACTTTGATTTTTTTTTTCAAATCGAGTAACATACTATTGCCTGATACTATATACTGGATATAACAGATAAATAGACATATGGATGGGTAGATTGAATGATTGAATAAAAAAAAGTTTGCTATACAGCATTTTATTGAAATAATATACTAGTAATCATGAGTAAAATAATATACATATATAAAGATAAAATAAAACCAAGTACTCTTCCAATCTGTGGGTGTATTTCAAGAAATTGTATTCGATTGTCGTTGTTGTTGATGGTCGTAGATGCAGGCAGAGAAGAGAATGTAGTAAGACCAGCAGGAATTCAAATAAGAAGTATAACCATTGTTGGAAGTGCCTTGATGCAGAAACTACCCTTGGCATTGGTCCTTTTTGCTAATCACATTTTCACAAACTTCAGTAAACTGTGGCTAATATCAGCTTCGAACGCCATCGGCTTTGTCCTCTACAATGCGTTCCAACTTGATTCAATAACAATCATTTGACCCATAGAATTCCTCTATATCATATTGACAACAACTAGCAATCATAACTTCAGGTAAGATACAGATTATTTGTATAAAAAAGTATCCTATAATAAAAAAAAAATACATCAGATCACCATCAGCTTGAAAATAATACTTCTTACAAGGTTTGTTCCAAAAAAAAAAAAAAAAAAAAAAAAAAGAATCCTGCCATAATAATACACTTTGCTTGCATATTGGGTGCATCCTTGAGAGTTTGCTCCATTTCTGGTTCACATCCTGATATCTTGATTGTTGATGAAGAGGACGGCAAGAAAGTAGTCATTTCAATATTAGTTGCAATCTCTAAAGGAAAAAGAAGAAAACCAAACGTTTTGATAAATGATGAATATAAATTGAGTTAACGTACTCACGTCGTTTTCGAAGTTCAACCAGAGGTGTTTTTGCACATTTAGTATTGCTTTCATATAGAGTCAATTCGTACTATAAACGCATCACATTGGTCCAATAGTATATTCAATCAGTTGATCTTGATCTGTACCCATTTAAACGTTCTCTATGCATATAAATGTGTACAGTAAATTAGAAAAAAACAAAAACAGGCAGAGTCCATAGAAAAGTCGAGATAACTTACCAAACAAAAGGGTTGCTTCACTACCATCAATAAAAAAAAAAAAGACCAAAAGACACCAACCTTCTATTATCCAATAGCAGATACTATACAATTAAAATATAATGGAAACAACAAAAAAAAAAAAAAAAAGAAAAAGAAAAGAAAAGAGAAGATACGAGCATTTGAGCCTTTTTTCGCGGAGTTGAATTTCCTTGATCGCATAGAATAATCATTATTTGATAGCTACAATAAGACTTTTTTTATTTCCTCCTTTCTTTTGTTTTTCTTTCTTCTACAAAACACAAAAAAAAAAAAAAAAAAAATTCAAAATCCAAAAATCAAAAAAAAAATTATTTGCTTCTTTTTGGCTGCTTCCTTATTGGTATCTTCTTCTTTCCGTTCGCTTGGTTAACGCAACAGAACACTCTCATCCTTGTTTGTGATTCTTGTTTCCCCGTTTTCCTTGCTGTTCGTGTCCTCGTTGTGCCTTTGGTTGTCTGTCCTTGCTGTCTGTCTGTCTTCCTTGCTGTCTGGATCTCTTTTTTTTTTTTTTTTTTTTTTTTTTTTTTTTTTTTTTTTTTTTTTTTTTTTTTACCATTTATGATATTTACACTATCCTTTTGCGTCGCGCACATCCTGGATGGGTTGATGCGTGGCGACCGTGCCTCAGAGCCGGAGGGTCTTCTTTTTTTCTTTTTGGTAAGTGCACGTATACAAATAATGTTTAGTTGATCATAACACTAACCATTTTTCCATTTCTTCTTTTCAACCACCGAAATGCGGGTGAAAATACCGTCGATAGAAAATAAGTAGGCCCAAGAGCAAAAGTCGCTTTTTTATTTGCGTCCTTTTGGGTCCTTTTCTTTTTCTTTTCTTTTTTTTTTTTTTTACACTTTTTATATTCGACATGGCTCTTGGATTAGGTCAATTATTTTATGTACTTCTCTTTTTTATCAATGGTATTGCTGTATTGAGTGAAGAACGGTTCCTTGCTCGAAGTAAGTGAAGACGACACGATAGTAGGAAAAGCAATCTATTTGCTCTTACTACTTTTTTTTTTTTTTTTTTTGTGTGTGTCGATGATCAAAACTATCATGGAAACAACCATAACTCAAATAGACACGTTTTATATATGTACTCATCATACTTTATTTTTTCTTTTCTTTTACTCTTGTACTTTCTTCTTTTTTGTTTTTAGTTGGTTGGAGTGCACAGATGGAACCAGCTGGTTTTGGTGGTGGTGAATCTCAATCTATCAAATACAAAATCATCAATCTTATATCGGCAGTACGAACACTCATGAGAAGTAAGTATAAATGTGGTTTTAGTGTCAAGTGAAGGATGATGAATATATATATCGTTCCTTGGCAAGACTTATGTGGTAGAGGAACTGTTGACTGACCTTCAATCTCTTTTTTTTTTTGTAAACACGTAGTTCCACTGATTGGCATCAATATAGTTGTTATCATTTATGAATTAATATTAGGTTAGAACATACATTTTATCATCATCATTATTATTATTATTCCCCCCAATATCCCACTCTCCATCAAAAATTCAAAAAAAAAAATAAATAAATAAATAAATAAAATATATCTTTTGTTTTTACTATCATTTACATCTTCATTTTATCTTCATTATCCACACACAATCAATCTTGTTAGTATATCAACTTTTTTTTTTATTTTATTGAAAATAATAGTCACTATTCTATCATATCAAGCTACTACACTAATGAATAAACTACGATTGTACCATCCCAAGACCAACAAGACACCAGAAAGAGTAACTCTTGATCTTGTCGTCATCCATTCGTATAGAAGAATTTGCCTTTCTTGATCCATCAATACTACTATCCATATCTATATTTTCAATTTCTTCTTCATCAATATCGCCTGAAGAGACATCCATTCTATCTTCGTCTGATTTGTAATTGCATGTAACCAATAGAGGAAACTATACAAACATAATGATGAGTCTAAAATCTTGTCATTCTTTTTTTTTTTTTTTTTTTTTTGATTTTACCTTGAATTCACCAGGTTTTTCTGGAATCACTTCGACAATGACACTGGTATAATTATTTCGTTTTTCATAGATCCCACTTGCCCAAGATGCTGATATACCGGGTTTGGATTTACTAGAAGAAGAATTGCTGAGAGGATACATTTCATCATCATATTCTATAGTTTCGTTGTATGCATTGACAGTAAAATGAGGTGAGATGATAGTGACTCGACCGTTCACAGTAGCTGATGTATCATCCTCATTTCCAAAGTTTTTCTTTTGTTGCGGAGGAGGTGTAGCCAAGGTGACACTCATCACTTCGTACAGTGGATTGGTGAATTTCAATGCAAATTGTGTCGCCACACCAAGTTTCAATACAAGAGGTTGTTGTTGTTGAAGAATCGTACTTGTTGATGGTTGTTGTGTAAATATTTTGGTAATGGTGATATTGGGAATGTAATTCATAGCAACAAGTTTAATCTTGAATCTTGTAGCCTGAGCTTTTTGTTCCGGTTTGATAAGGATATGACGACACGTTCGACATCGTTTTGATCGTTTAATACATAAGTGAATACGTTGAGGATGAATTTGATCCATATGATAGGGTTGATCATGTAATTGAGTATATCGTTGAGCCAAAGTTGATATACGATTCATATCACGTAAACCCATTAAAGATTCCAAAGTGGCTGATTCCTTTTCTGGTACTTGTACACTGGTTTCATATGTTGAAATATCGTCCAATCGTCCTTGCATTTGTTGCTGTTGTTGATGATGTCCAGCTGAATGATACAAATCGTATGAACTACCTAACATACCACCACTGCCAAGTATTTTGTTGTATCCACTACCCGAAAATGATAAGTAACTGCTTGGTAACGATGGTGTATTCACGCGTAGATGTTTTTCAAAGTGTTCTTTCAAATGATCAAATTCTTGTACGTCTGGTAAAGCATCTTCATTCTTTTGTAATTGCACTGTCCATTTAAAAGCAGAGTTAACCAAAAAAAAAAAAAAAAAACTGAATAATATATGTTTCTACTTACATGCAAGACTAGTAGGTTTTTCAAAGACCATGCCAATCTCTTGAGAATTCCATCGACAAACATTACATGCTAAAAAGTATGGACCTGTGTTCGTTGCACTCATTGAAGAAGAAGTTGCTTCTTTAGACGCGACAACTGCCAATGTGTTATGACAGATAGGACACTGGAAACAATTTCGAGCACACCGATTTTTTTCACTCTTGACACTTGCTGTAGGTACCTATCATAAAAAAAAAAAGTAATTAAAAACAGATCTATGGCGTGTTTGATATAATATATATATATATATATATAAAAGAAGTCTTCTTACTTCAAATAGACAATTAGGACAATAATAGGATATAATTTCGTCTTGAACACAACAAGGGCATCTGATTTCATGACAATCTTCACAAAAATAAAGTCTTGATAACGGATACAAATAGTTGGAAGCTTCAGGAGAAAGTAAATGGCGTCCAGTGTTAAAAGCTGTATTTTCATCTAGTCGATCGAGTCGGGAAGAGTTGGAAGGTGAAAGTAATAAAGAAGGAGGGGAAGATATTTTGTTGTTGCCGCTTTCATCTAAAAGAACTGGATCTTTAGTCAACCGTGCTTGTTCATGACTTGAAGTTTTCAAATCAGGGCAATCACAATGATAATGGACAAAAGGAATAGGTGAGATGGTATCTGTTGACTGGTTGGTCATGGTAATGGAAACAAGGAAAAGATGTAGAAAAAAAAAATATATACAAAGTCAGATCAAATAAACTTTATTTTGGGACACGAAAAAAAAAAATCTAACATCTAAGCAGTATCATCAACTAAACCATGCAGCCACTATATAATATATATTAAAAAAAAAAAAAAAAAAGATCAACAACACTCTATTTTGTATATTTTTTTGATTTACCTTGATGCGTTTGTTATAACTTTGAGTATTTGAGCCTGTCAAATTGTATATCGCCACCACCGCATCAGCAAACGTGATCAAAGATTGTTCCAAGTACAAAATGGGTAAAAATGTGTTCCGCATAACATTAGATCGTCTTATAGAAACTTGATTTTGTTTCAATGATCTCTGATCGATGAATGATATCACGTTGAATGTTACGTCCACTAGTGATGAAGCCAATGTGTTTAAAGGTTGTAGATCGAATGATTGGTTGCTGGGTAGAAAGATAGAGATCAATGAGTTGAATGCTGTGAGTATACGAGTCATATTGTTTAATAATTGCAATAGTCTAAGAGCTAAACGACTGGAACCAGTATTGTTTGTATAACCTAATGATTGCATTTCTTGACAAGTCCATTGACCGTAAAGGATCACTAGTGATCTCCAAAAAGTAAATTGTTCTATAGTAAGAGGTTGACCTGTGAGCTTGGTTGCCACTACCACTAGTTCTAATCCAGATATATTGCAATCCATCACCTATATTATATATAATATTCAGTTCAATTTTCTTCATCATGCTCTTTTTTTTTTTTTTTGGAGCATACCTTTTCCGTATAGCCATGCTTTGACATTTCTTCATATAATTCATCTTGCAAGTTGATACAAATATCCATAAGTCGTTGTTTCGTTGCATCCAAGATGGATTGATCTACTAACCAACCCATTTCCTTCCATATTTGACCATTATTTATCAAGTGTGTTCCAAGAAAGTCGGTATAATTCTCCAATATGGATTGTAGATGATAGATATTATCAAGGAGTTTATCTGTTCTTTGAATGATATCCGATTCATACATGATTTCATGAGCCTATTAACCAAAAAAGAGGACAAAATAAGCATTGTAGTTTTTTTTTTTTTTTTTTTTTTTTTTGTTCTAACCTTGATAAAGTTCATCATTCCATAAAGATAATCTTCCATAGAAGACCAATCCGGGAAAAGCACCTATATATGTATTAGTTTTAAATCATCATCCATTTATTCGTGATTGCCATTATTTTTTTCCTTTTTTTTTTTTTTTGTTTTCTTACCTGTACTGAGTTACTAGGATCCATACTCAACCATTGCTTGATCATATTTGAAAACAATAGAAGACTATTTTTAAGATACAGTAAATATTGTCGCTGTGAGGATGACCGGGACGTTGTCACAGAATGACGTGTTCCATTTGATAGTGTTTTGAGTTGAGTGGCAATTTCTTTGATTTCATGTTCAAGTCGTTGCTGAGGTGTATCATGATCCTTTCTATTTTCATTAGCTATTGTGGTATAAGGTCTCAAAATATAATCCGGATATTGAAGGGGAAGCAGTAACCAGTGATCTAGTCGCGATTTATGATGATGAGTGAAGTCAAAACGCGGTCGATGTCCATGATCGTTTGTGGTGGCGTAGTGTTGTCTATTTTCGTTACTTGGTTTGCATCGTGGCGTCAAAATAATATCTGTCATTTTACTATTGTTGATCTTTGACATGGCTGTTTCGTGTGATCTATTTACATCAGGAGCTACGATGACCGAGTCAGTAATGGATGTGCGCAGTATCTTACGATCCCTATTATTGAAACCCATAGCTCGTTTCCTTTTAAATGATTGACTATTGATAAGAGGTGATTTCCAACAAGGCTCTATACAACGTGCATGAGAAAGAGAGGGAAAAAACAATCTATAGTAAGTAATGATTTACATTCGTGGTACCAAAATATGAAGAGTGATATTTCTTGATCTTTTGTAAACAAATCCATTTACCAGTGTATGAAGAATATCTTGAAGACTTGTTTGGCATTTTGTTTGCTGTTGTTGTAGTAGTAGTAGTAGTTTGAGAGTGATGTTTAGATAGCTGTCCTTCTAAATAAAGTATAAGATATATTATTTATGTAAAAAGAAAGATCAAAGATATTAGATTTCAATGATTTACAGGTAAAGTGTTCAAATTACATGCTTACCCATCATTTCCAAAATAGACTCTATACAAGCATTCCAGTGATCAATTTCGGTCATCTCAATAAAAAAGGGGGTATGTAAATTAAAGATGGCTACAACAATAATAACTTTAAGAACAAGAAGAAGGGAGGAAAAAAAAAAAAAGAAGACAGAGCGTAAAAAAAAAAAAAAAAATTCAGTTGGTACACCGAAAACCGTGAATTGACGATTTCCCATTTTTGGACATGGTGATGATGGGTAGATCAAGGGGAAGTGATCACTAGAAAAAAAAAAAAAAGATACAGTAAACCTATCAATGATGGTGAAATAATATTCATCATACTATAAGACATAGTACTGTAGTCGTTAAGGCAATACAGTATTAAAATATTAAAGTTCATCATCTACATACAAATAATCCCTTCTTTTCACTACGATATCTTATCATCTTCCACAAAGAGTGTTGAGAACAATCAAATTATTGATTTAGCAATGGTCATTAAGAAGACTATAATAAAGAAGAAGAAAGCTTCTATTGATATCATCCATCATCCATCATCCATCATCCATAATATAAAAAAAAAGGATCACCACAAATATATTCAGACCCTAATGCAAACAAGCCTCTAAACATAATGCAGAAAAAAAAATAAACGTACTTCACATGAAAAAAACCAGTAATTTATTCAAACAGATATAATAAAAAGAAAATGAAACTAAGAATCTATATTAGCTAAGTCAGTTTTTTTTTTTTTTTTTTTTGATGATGATCTTCAAATATTTCCAGGACCAATAGGAAGGCCAAGCAACCCATCCAAAGCATTCCAAATCGCTTCACCAAAGACTTCAAGAGCGCCAGGATCCAAAGCAGAGGTGACAGTGGTACGAGAAGAACAACCAGTTTCAACAGCGACGCCTTTGAATCGATTTTCCAAAAAGTTGATAGCATTGGCAGCACCGGTAACATAAAGAACGAGATGTTCTGAGAGTTCATCCTTGACAAATTGAATGTTTGCCCCACGTTTGCACCAGTTTGTATACAAGTTAGCAGCCGGAGCATAAGGAACCACTTCATCATGTTCGGCATGGTACATGAATAAAGGAAACTTTGGTACACTAGCATGACCCATCACATTAGCTTCCATTGCCTTCTTTGCCACGGGAGCATTGGTATAATCAGGACGAGTCACATACGAAGACATCTTTTGGAAAGCATAGTTAGCCACCAGTTCAGAAAGACAGAGTTCTTTGGCTTTGTAAAAGGCTTCCTTCTTTTCAGGTACAAGAATAGAATCCACATACTTGGCTACGTCAGGGTATTGTTGAGAGAGACCGATGATACCAGAAGGCGCCAGGCCAGCAAAAACAGTTCCACTCACAGCATTCAATGTCGCATTCAGATCCACAGGCGTTCCACCAAGAGCAGCACCAATAATGTTCAGTTCAGGAGCATAGGTAGGTTGTAATTGTGTAGCCCATCCAGAAGCAAGAGCTCCTCCAGAGTAGCCCCAGATTTGGATATCAGCATCAGGTTGAATCTTCGTTTGATTGCTGCTATGTAACACTGCGCGAACAGAATCCAGAATACCATGTCCTGCCATAGCACCCACTGTGAATGCTGCTTTTGATCCTTCGTAATCAGCTGTGTTGACATACCATCCACGTGCAAGAAGTGTATCGATGAATAAAAGTTCACCTTGACTAATGATACCCTTTAAACCATCGCCTTTTCGCAACACTTGAGAAGGAGAACAACCAGTAGAAGGACTATCTTGCATGATTTGATAAGTGACGAGTTTGGAAGGATCAGCATTGTAAGGAACCATAAGGGTTGTCACTGTAGTAATGGGCTCTCCAAGCGCATCGGTGGTTCGATAAAGAAATTGATAAACATTTTTAATATTTTGAGGAAAAACAGAGAAAGCGGCAAGAGATTTGGGAGGAAGAAGACGAGATTTTAAAATTGTACCAGGCTTTTCCTTTTCAAAGCCCGAAGGTGGTTGGTAAAATGGATCATCACTAGGTGAAAGGACTCCCTTTTTGTAAGGTGCAGCAGTAACACTATTCAAAAAGATGAAACAGAAGCATACAAATAAAACAATACGATTCATCATCATACCCTATTAAAAAAAAACCATCAAGATAAATCAGTTGAATGAATGTATCAATATAAGAAAAATTATTTATTGATTACCATCGTTTTCATCGATTTCAGGTACAAAGTTTCTTTTTTTTTTTTTTTTTATTTCATGATCGTTTAGTTTTTATATCATTTTGATGGAAGCGGGATTAACGGTTTTTTTTTTCCAGCGTTATCTACACGTGTAATTCTACATTTACCATTTTGACATTTTTATTAAAGTTTAACTTGGATACACAATTAAGAGCGGTAAAATAAATAAAGCCTTTCATTCAATTTCTGTGGTGCACTGTGGGGGATGAATGTGTAACGACCAAATACTTAAAGAAGTTTAAATCAGTATTGATGAAATAGGCTGTGATCATAAAAGAGAGCGGATGATAGAATTTTTTTTTTTCAAGGTTTTAGATCATTGTTAGATATACCTATACATATATAACATTGGATGATCAGTATGGCTTTTTTTTTTTTTTTTTTTTCGAAAAAGTAGAAATGAAATTATACATAGAAAGAGTGTACCATTGGTTCGGTCAATGGTTCCAATTAGTATATCAGTGGTATAACGGAAAAGACTCCGCGCCATCTTTTCATCATTTCACAACATCAACTTATCGTCAATGGTGCAACTCTCCATTGGTTTTTCTTGCTACCTTGGCGGCCATTAATAATAATAGTATTAATAATAGTACTAATATTAAGACCTCATCATGTTGATGACAATGCATAATAGTAATGCTGATGATGATGATGATGATCGATAATGAGTTAAATATTCCATATGATAATCAAATTACTCTATGAAATTAACTTTTATAAAATACGATGATGATGATGATGGTCTGGAAACTAGAGATCATAACACCTTTATTTTATTCTAAAGTAGTGATTTAGAATGATCGGTGTGATATTCGCACAATGATCGTTACACTCAGACGAAATCTTTCCTTATTTTATAATGATGAATTATCTGATGGTCTACATTTAGTTTCTTCTATGTTAAGAAATAAGAGGATGTTAAAATATATTAACAAAGTCGTACCGTACACGAGTAGTATTAAAAATAATAAAGAAAATTTTCAGGCTGAGCAGAAAAAAGAAAAATAAAAGATGGAAAAAGTATGTATAGATTGGAAAAGCATATGAAAAGATAAAACATAACTTATATGGTATAGAAAAACGTTGGATGATCAAAGACAGTTTGACCTTTTTTTTTTTTTTTTTTTCCAAATGTCTATCGGTCTCTCAATATATAAAATCATTGATGAGACGAAAGAAATCATTTTAGCAATGATGAAAATGACAGATCTTGAGTGTTATTGCATTTTCATGATTTTTCTTTCTAGTCTTTCTCTTATCATTTTCACAATTTTTATTTTAATATTCTTCTTTTATTTTCTCTTATTTTTTTTTCTAACCCATCATTGTCACTTACATCCAATGCTTTTTTCGATTGGATCGTAACCGGAGAGTAGATTGAGCTGACCAATCAAAAGGTAGAATTCGACAACCATCTCTTTTCCAAATCTCTCTTTTTTTTTTTAACACTCACTTTTTTTTTTGATTCTCCTCATTTTTTTTTCTCTTTTTTCTTTCTTTCTTTCTTTATATTCTTCTTTTTCATATATAAACACAAACATATCTACAAATGTCATTAAATCCTTCTATCAATTCATTGGTATCGTCTCCAGCTCAAAGTCGACCATCTACTCCTATTGATCCTAATGGTCTAAGTTGGCCAAGTAAGTTCCAACAAAGCAAGAAAACGGACTTTTTATTATTATACTACAATTATTGATATTTTTTTTTCTCAACAAAGGTAAAGGAGCACAAACTCGAAGGGATGAAACTATTGCCGAACGACAAGTAAGACAAGATAAGATTGCTGGAGCTGTACGAACAATATTGGAATGTATTGGTGAAGATCCTGATCGTGAAGGTTTATTGAAAACTCCTGATCGTTATGCAAAGGCTTTAATGTTTTTTACAAAAGGATATGAACAAAATATCAAAGGTAAACAAAAGAGAGAAAGAGAGAGAGGTAGTATATGTGTATGTATGTTGCTAATCTTTCTTCCTTTTTTTTTTTGTATGACTAATCTTAGAGGTGATCAATGATGCTGTTTTTGAAGAAGGTAAGAAAAACATTCATTTTTATTCTGACTATATGTACCTGTGTCATTGACAAGTTCTCTTTAATTTGTATGGTTGTAGATCATGATGAAATGGTTATTGTTAAGGATGTAGATGTCTTTTCATTATGTGAACATCATATGGTACCATTTACAGGCAAGATCAGTATTGGTTATATCCCCAATCGTCGTGTGGTTGGACTTAGTAAATTGGCTCGAATTGCAGAAATGATCACTAGAAGGTAATATATATATATATATTGAAAGGAAAATAATAACAACAGAAAAAAAAAACAAACAATTAAATGATATTATATTTTTCCTCATTTAGGTTACAAGTTCAGGAACGAGTGACCAAACAAGTGGCTACATCTTTGATGGAAATTTTACAACCTCAAGGAGTTGCTGTCATTATGGAATCTACACATTTATGTATGTGTATGCGGTAAGTTGCATTCATTTTATGAATTCATTTCTATGGAAGGGATAGGGGAGGTTATGATTGTTTGGGATATTGTATGCTTACCCGTGGGAAATTGTCTGACTTTGTATATTCTTTTATCCTTGTTACTCATTCTGACATAGTGGAGTGGAAAAGCCTGGTAGTACTACTGTAACAAGTTGCATGATGGGTGTTTTTAGAAGTGATCCAAGGACAAGAGAAGAATTTTTGACTCTGGTTAGACGTCGATAGGGGAATATAGTTTAGGGATACTAGATTAGATTAGATTTTTTTTGGAATATATTTTGAAATAAAAATCATATTAGATATTGTAACTGCTTATATTCTATGGTAGCTCTGTAATATGTGATAATACGATATGTGATGATGAGTCTTATTATGTACAATTAGCCATACTGAAGAACAAAGTGTGCGTATGTTTTCTCTCTTGTCATATTATGAATTTATAATGTAAAAGATCTTGACTGATTTTATTGCTTTCAGACAAGGTTATAATGGAAAAAGAAATATATATATATATAACAATTTTTTTTTTGTAAAATAATGTGTAGGAAGGACTAAAATGATATACAGTATAAAGAAAGAAATAAAACAAAAAAAAAAAAAAAAAAAAAAAAAAAAAAAAACTAAAATGATAGATAATAATAATAAATCAAAGCTTGCCAGAAGTCACTTCAGCACGAATCACAGATAACGTCTTCATATAATCACCATTGGCTTGTTCCAAATAAGTTTTTAATACGGATCGGTCTACATGAGTCAAGATTTCGCATAGATCATCCAATGCCTTTTCAAAAGGTTCAGATGTTTCTTGTATTGAGGCAGGAGGCTGATAAATCTGATTGATAAAAATACAGATCAATATCACTTTCAATAGTTCCATCAACCTATCTTTATTTTCTTTACCTTTTCAATTGAGCGAATAGATGGAGTGCCACTACGAGATTTTGATGATCTTCTTCCCAAGGATGACCATAGTTTGCTTGATTTGGAAGGTCGATCCATGTCCATTGATGTTAAACTATCCTTCTAAGAAATAATAATGAAGATAAGGAGAATGAGTCACTATTCTCTCCTATCCATCCCTTGTTATAAAGAAAAAGTGTATAAACAAGAGCTTTTTTTTTTTTGTTACTTACATCTACACTATTTCTGCTCTTAGAAAATGGCTTACTTGGTGTATCTACATAATCATAAGGTTTTGTATTTGAATTTGGTTTGTTTGTTGGTTGATTGAGGGTAATAGATGATTGAGTAGGCATCAAGGCATTGGCAGTAGATAAAACATCAATGGGTGTAATGCTATGGTTATTGTTGTTATTGTTGTTATTGTTGTTGTTGCTGCTGTTGCTGTTGTTGCTGCTGTTGTCGCTTGTTGTTAACTGTGATGATTGAGAATCAGTTAGTTTGGTTGTACGTAACCAAAGATCTTCTGCTGTTGATTTTTGTTTTCGACCTGGTAAATGTAAAATGGACTTTTTTGTTGACTTTTTCAAAGATAAACTTGGCCTAGAAGCTATTAATAAAAAGGTCAATGATCACAATATGAATGAACAAAAATGCATCACTTACTCATGATACATGTGTCAGGAGCAGGTTGATTTGATTGTTTTTCTATCCATGAGGATAATCCACTATCGGCACGAATACAATGTTGAAATGCTTTACCTAGAATGGAAATCATGAATAAAATATAAAAAAAAAATTCATCAATGTCGTACCATTTTTAACCTATCAGCTCACTCTCTTTTTTTTTTTTAAAGAAAAAGTAATAATCTTACTATAAGCAGCCATTCGTTCATCAGGACCCCTCATTTTCATAGTGTGATATAAAGTCAAATGTCGATGAGTAGGACCATCCCTATAACTAAGAGTTAAACAATCAGATCGTTTTGGCGGTTTACTGGGTTCCATTTGTTGTTGTAACAGTTGTTGAGCTAATTCTTGTTCTTGATGAATTTTTTGTAATTTGATTTCCTTGGCTCGTACTTCCAATAAATCAGAAAGTCCTTCATTTCCATGTGGTTTTTCGTCAAATATGGTTTGAAATGTTCGTAAAGAAGATAATATATCATCACCAGTTTCGTCTTTCCATGATATTTCATATGAATCCTTGTTGTATTTCTGAAGATCATTTTGTGCATAGTTGTTTTCCATTGTCTTTTCAGATTGTTGTTTTGCGCGATAAATACTATCCAATTCTGAATAAGTGGGTCGTGGTAAATGCTTTTCATAAGATTTAATACTTGGTTTTTTTCTTAAAACAAATGATCCATTTCGAGATATAGTTGGTCTTGGTGTGTTGGGTGGTTCAAGTTTTACTATATTTGGTGTTAGTGCTGTAGGTGAAATTTCAGGTGAAGAAATTGGCTGTTGTTCTTGTTGTATTGATGAAGTTGATTTTGTTGTATTCAAATTTGTTAAATTTGGATCATTTGGTATCATTCGTATCCTCGTACCAGCACGTCGTCTTTGCCGTTGACATTTATAACATGAACAATCCGTTGTTCCTTGACAAGATCCTGTCGTAGTCATAGTAGTCGTAGTAGTATCAATGTTATTGTTCGATTTTGTTGAAGATACAATTGAACTAAGATATGAATCACTGGTAGGAATTGAAGTAGGATCCGGTCTAGAAATTAGTTGAAGCATAAAAAAAAATAGATAATAGTAAGTATATTATTATTATTAAGAAAAAAAAAAAAAAAGAAAGAAAGAAAAAAATAATATTTACATTGAATTCTTTTTCTCCACCAATAGTGATTTAAAATCATCTTTGTTGTCCAAGGAGGGTAAACCAAGTTGAGGTATATGTTCAGGAGGAATGTCACCTACTTGAACTTTCATCGATTCACCAGACGCAGGTATCTGCAAATTCACTATCCATACAAATAATAATAATAATAATAATAATAATAATAATATCAGTTGTTGTCATTTTGTTTTTGGAGTTTAGAACTTACAATCCACACGATTTTCAAAATGTAACTTTTTTACCCATTCTATTTAAATGTAAAGAGAGAGAAAAAAAGAAAGTTATATATCGATATATTCTTATTATTTTTTTCTTACCATCAGTAAGTACATCAATATTGGTCATTATATATATGTAAATATTAAAAAAGGAGGAAGGTTAAGGAGAGTAAAATAATGATAATAGTGAATAATCAAGCCAGTTGATGAGTATAAAAAGGAATGGGATGAAAAAGAAAAAAAAAATATAACAAAGAAAGAAAGAAAGAAAAAAAAATGAAATCACGAAAATGTAAAACGTAAAATAAAAATGATGGTGATACGAAGCCAATTTTTATGGGAATTACACTCGTTAAAGCTAAATTTTGTTGGTAAATAGTTAAAGAAACGTGAATATTAAATTATTTATTTTTTCTTCTTTTATCCCTTCTTTTTTTTTTTCCTTTCTCTCTCTTTCTCCTCTCTCTATATCAACATACACATGCTTATTTAGTTATTTAATTGAGGCGGGGAAACTATTTTTTTTTCATGTGACATTCGCCCTGAATTTGGTTTGAACCATATGGCAAAAGACTGATCAATCAAAAAAAGACTGAAGTGGGAAATTTCTCCTTCCGCTCATATTCGCTTTTTTTCGCTTTTGCTTGTAAAAAGGCTGGTCATTCGATTCCAGGGGTGTCTGTCTTCATTTTTGCCACCAACGGGTAAAGGTTTATTTTCATCCAATCAACTATGGCCGTCGTTGATTTAAAAAAATTTTCAAAAGTCTCCCGCTTTGTACTTGTTTTTTTATTCGTTTTTTTCCCTTCTTCCCTCTTCTTTTTTTTTTTTCTTTACTTCTCTTTTATACTTTCACCATGCTTTTCAAGGTTATCTCTAGACCCACTAACGTCGCTGCTGTTAAGAAGGTAAAGTCTTCTTTCTTACGAAAAACCTATCATTGTCACCTATTGAGAAAATACAATTAAAAAAAAATAGAATAAAACTGTTATCTAAACTACCATTTTTTTTTTTAGGTTGCTGTTCGTTCTTTCGCTTCTCAATCTACTTCCATTCCTACCCCTGCTCCTGCTGAACAAAAGACGGTAAAAAAAAGAAAAAAACTTTAAAACTCGACATATGGAACGAACACTTACCCTTTTTTTCTTTTGTAAAGATTAACCCCAAGAAGTACGGTGGTAAATATACTGTGACCTTGATTCCCGGTGATGGTGTTGGTCAAGAAACTGCTGCTTCTTTGAAGGATGTTTTCAAGGCTGCCAACGTACCTGTTGAATTTGAACAATACGATGTTTCTGGTTTGACTTCTGAAGATGAAGACCTTTTCCAAGAATCTCTTGCCTCTCTTCGTCGCAACAAGGTTGGTATCAAGGGTACTCTTTTCACTCCTACCTCTCGCTTGGGTCACAAGTCTTTCAACGTTACCATGCGTAAGGATTTGGATATCTATGCCTCTCTTTCTCTCTGCAAGAACGTTCCTGGTGTCGATTCTCGCTTGAAGAACGTCGATATTGCCATTATTCGTGAAAACACTGAAGGTGAATACTCTGGTTTGGAACATCAAGTAAAGTGACTAATATATATATATATTTATATTTTGTCAATGATTATTTTCTAACCTTTTTTTTCCTTCTCTTTTTATTAGTCTGTTCCTGGTGTTGTTGAATCTTTAAAGATCATTACTCGTGCTAAGACTGAACGTATTGCCCGTTTCGCTTTCGACTTTGCTGTCAAGAACAACCGTAAGAAGGTTACTGCTGTTCACAAGGCTAACATCATGTAAGTTTTTGATATTGAAGTCAAAAGAGGAAAAAGAAAAGTATCAAATAGGAAGAAAGAAATGTTCGTGATTTTGCATATAATTTGTGAAACTAAATTTTGTTTTTTTATTTTTTTCAATAATAGGAAATTAGCTGATGGTCTCTTCTTGCGTACTTGTCGTGATGTTGCCAAGGAATATGAACATCATAACATTGAATTCAACGATATGATTGTCGACAATACTGCTATGCAACTTGTGTCTCGCCCTCAACAATTCGACGTTATGGTCATGCCTAATCTTTACGGTAACATTGTCTCTAATGTCGTAAGTAGAATTTAGATAAATAGAAATGTCAATAATGATTCTCTTAACATTTCTTTTTTTTTTTTTTCTTCTTCTTTTTCTATTTAGGGTGCTGGTTTAGTTGGTGGTCCTGGTTTGATCCCTGGCTGTAACATTGGTCGTGAATACGCTATGTTCGAACCTGGATGTCGTCATGTTGGTATGGATTTGTTGAATAAGAACGCTGCCAACCCTACCGCTTTGTTGTTGTCTTCCGTCATGATGTTGCGTCACTTGAACTTGGATGAACATGCCAGCCGTATCTCTAATGCTGTCTATGAAACTATCGAAACTGGTGCTGCTAGAACTGCCGATATGGGTGGCAACAACACTACTCGTGAATTCACTGCTGCTGTCATGTCCAAGTTGTAAAATGATTATTTTATTACATTGATTCATCTATTTTTTAGTTACTTTCTCTCTTTCCTTTATTATTTCCCCCCCTCGTTTCCGTTCTTCATATTAAAAAAATACATATCCTTCATTTTTATTTTATTTGTTTTGCTTCCCTTTATATGAAGACACATTGTATTTTACTTTTTTTTTTATTTGTACACATCGTTCTTCTCCCTCAAAAAAAGAAACAAAACAATAAAAACTCTATAGATTCTGAATATCATTAATGTTTGTTATCAATGTGTTATGTGCTTTATTCAAACGCCGACAAGACCTACTGCCAAAAGCGCGTCGTATGTGCCTATTTCGCTTTTTCGTGTTTCCTTCGCCTCCTTTTCTCTTGACCTTTTTTTCCTTCTTTTTTTTTTTATGACAGTAAATGGATCACACCATTTTGAAATTGGCAAAACAGACTAATCGAACTGCTCTCAAGGAATATGTTGCAAGCTTGACATCTGACCAGGTAAACAAACGGAAGGAAAAATATTAGTTTAAATCTTCCAATGGTTAACTTTTTTTTTTTCCTTCTTTTTGTGTCTTACCAATGTAGATTGAAACCCTCCTCAAAAACAAGTTTTCACAATCTACTCATGCTGGCATTGATCCTATTTTGGTTATACGTGGACTTTTATTAGGTATATTCCATTATGCCAAGGAAAAAAGAATGTTATATTAAATATAGTTTGGAATAGGTGATCCCAATGGCATGCAGACTCGTTTAGTGATTACAAAGACAATTATTGACTGGTAAAACTATATACTTTTTTAAATAATTATTATTCCTGTTAAATTATTTATATTATAGGCTAGGTACTGAAACGGAATCCACCAATGGCTCGGGAACAAAAGTCAAACTTGCAACTACAGCTATCAACCTGCTTTTACCAGAGGTGAACAGACCGAAAAAAAAGAAAAAGAGATATTCATATCTTTTTTTTTTTTCTTTACCTCTTGTATTTGGATCTTGTTAGATAGAGATATTTACACCAGGAATGATTGAAGAAATAGCACAACAAATCATTCAACTTATTGAAAATAATGTTCCTGTCCAACCCCGAATCTTTGAAATCTTAGGAAAATCATACAACTTATTATCAGCAATGGAAGCAAATGATAGAACAAAAACCATACTAAATCAAATATGTGACTCAAATTGGCATCCGAACTCTACAGTTGGCTTAGCATCTTGTATGAATGAAATGGAATTGGCAACCCCACAACTGAATCAAGTGATCAAAAGGATGTTATTGTAAGTTTACTTTATAAATGAGCTAGGATTTCATTTTTTTTTTTAATTTTACTCTAGACAACTCAAAGAGCTTGAAACTGAAGAAGTACCTCCATTTATATACCAGTTACTCTTACTCTCTAGAAAGGTAAATGATTCTCTCTTTATTTGAATATATCCCAATAGACTACGGATTTAACTTTTCTTCTATCTCTCAATCTTAGGGTAACAAGCGAGAAATTCTTGCCGGCATATGTCAGTTCTTCGATTGGCTTCATAACTCTCCAATACAAGACGATACGTCGAGGTGAAAAAGCAAAAGATACAATGAAAGAAAACATCAATTGATACTAACCATATTGTCTCTATTAATTTCATTATAATAGAATGGAAGGAACAGTTATGCTTCACATATCGTTTGCCATCAAACAAGATCAGGTAATTGCTGAGATATGGATTTACACAATGTCCTAAATAACCACCTTTCTTTTTTTTCTATTGTTATTCAGGAACTTGGTATGGAATTGGTCAAATATATCAAGAGTGACAAGGCATTATTACTAGAAAAATTCAAGATGGCTTGTTTGTTATCGGCTGCACGCATACATCGACTGGAAGAAATCGTAAGAAATGATAGTCCAATACGGATACATGACTGGTCCATTTATTCATTTCTTTATCTATTAAAACAGATATTTGATCTATTAAAAACAACTGTTATATCCATTTACAAGGACAGCGACAAATTTGACAAATCTTCTTGGATCATTGGTAATTGATTAGGCACAAATGATAATTGTTAAATGAGTGGTAATGCTAACTAATTTATTCCGAAAATGTAGAATATGCCAACATTGACACATGTGCATTACGAAAGGTACTTTTAGACATTGCAGACAAATCAGCATCAGGATGGGATCAAGTTATACAAAGTTTGACACAATTGGCAATGGTACTTATTGATGGAGCAACAAACCCAACCCCACTGAAAGCACCTGGTAAATTGAAGAAGGAAAAAAGCAAAATCATTTGGATAACATTATTGATATTATCATCTTATTAGGTACCATTGTACGAAGCAAAAGACCAAAACCTGGACCTTTGGACGAAGTGATTTCTCTTGGTATAGATATTCTGTTGAAAATGTTCAAGGTAAGAAAAGATCGAATTAATATAAATCATATTTCTAACAAAATTCCCAATACTTTTCAAGCTCCATGATATCACTCGAGCCGAAATTTTGGAACAAATCACATCACGTGTCGTATCCCGATCAAGTAGTTCCATGCACTTTTTGGATCTCCTGGAAACTCTTACTACAAACTGTCCATATGAAATAGAAAAATATATCAGTAACGTAAGTTCCTGGAAACAAAAAAAAAAAAAAAAATAAAGAAATAAAGAAACCTGTATTGATTTATTTTGTTGATGGATTAGATCAAAGATACCTTGGATTACCTATCGTTCCTGTCACATCCTACAGCAAAAAGACTTCTCACCGCGATTCAACCTGTCTCTTGCGGTAACTATCAATTCCGAGATGGGTTGATACTGGTATTACGAAAAAGCATGTTTGCAAGGTAATAAAGAAAAAAAAAGATACCATGTAATAGGAAGACAAGTCGATTCAACTTTTTAATTCATTTAGAGAATTGGATAGCAGAATGATTGCAGTGAATGGATTCCTTAGCCTTTTACAAAATCAACTTGATACAACCAAACAGACGTCATCTTCACGTATAGAGGCGACCGAGGGTGTTGCGTTCGAAATATTAGGTATATGAAACAAACAAACCCAAAAGGCTATTACTAATGATTCATGTCTATAGGATTGTTACGACGGTGCTTTAGTCAACAATGCGAAGTCCGTGCAGAAGCATATGATGGACTTGGAGCCTTATCAATACAATGTGAGTCTCTCTCTGGTGATATTTTTGAAATATTATATGCACAGGTAAGGAAAATCATTATCATCATCATTATCATCATCATCATCATCCGATATTAATGGGATTTTAATCCTAACTAGTTCCTACATTATTTTGAAACTGATAATGGTGTTGTGACTCCTTTACAACTATCATCATGTGTGGAAAGTAATGTCAAGTCAAGATTGTTAGAGCCTATTCACCTGCTTTTGGCCAACTTACTCAAGACGGTACGGAATTTGAAGAATGGGAAGCATCATTCTGGTAATAAATAATAATAAAAAAATGGGTTGATTAAACGGAGACTAATGGATGCTCATCTATCTCTTTTGTTTTATTTTTTTCATTAGTGATTACTTCAGCTCTTACTTCATGTAAAGAGCATATAAAGTCATTGACCTTTCGACTTACCAAGTTGGACACAGAGGATTATGAACTCGACAAGGCAACCAATTTTGATACTACAACTTCTACTGGGTTACGCTACTATTATTTTGCTGAATTACTCTTAGGAACTTTGGATACTGTGATGGAATATGAATTTATCACTCAAGGTGATACTGTTGAATCTTGTCAAGTTATTATCACTCTATTCAAGAAACGGAAAACGTTATTGACTCTGATTAAGGAAAACAGTAGCAAGGATAAAGGTAAAATGTATAGTTTGGAAGACATCTTATTCTGATACTCTTTTGTTTTTTTTTTTTTTGGTATGATTAGGACGCAAGTTATCTTCTCTTGGTACATCATCATTATTGAGTTTGGAATTCACTGCAAAAATCACAAAAGCTCTCTTCTTACAAGGTGATCGACAATCTCCTATCTTGATGCTACGTTCAGATATTGATTTCTTACATTATATCGTATCTATCACACCAATTGTACTGGCTACTGTAAAGTTTATTCATATGATGGGGTTAAGATATAAATGCTGATTCATAACCTTTTCTTTTGATTCTATATTTAGACGGTAGATAATGAAAAGATACGACAAGATAACATATACTTTGAATATTGTGTTGATCTGGCCAAAGTTTACACACATATTCTCATTCACGAAGATTCTGATAGCAGTTTCATCAATCATCAACCAAAAAAGGTAACAACTATCAAATAGGAACTACTATGTCTTAAGAAAATCAGATTATGATACTAACAGCCTTTTTATTTATTTTTTTTTTTGACGTAATCAGGGTCAATCTCTCTTAGCATCTGTCACAGCAAGTTTGAAGTATATTCTGGATCTTACCTACAATTTGTGGCCTGATCGACTACCTACATTATTATCTCAATTACAATCCATGTCAAACGTTGAACATCCATCTGAAAAGGTCAATACTGTTATTACTGATTTACTCAACCAATTCAAGGTACTTCCTTTTTTTTATTTTTTTTATTTTGCATCTATCATGAATGATCTCAATTTTTGTTTCATAATAGGAAATTTTGGACAAACATTTGAATGCTCAGACACCGCTTTATAAAGAGTCAGCATATGTTATTCAAGTGATTTCATTTCTTGCCAATCAATTGGACCGTACGGAGGACGATTTTGCTGATCATTCCAATAGGGTGATACAATGGCTCACAAAACTTGCGCAAGATCGACCTATTGAAGATACTGGTGTGGCCAAAGAAATCATGACATTACTTATTCAACTCTCTGCCGACTCGAATCAATTGGATGTGATCAAAGCAATGGCGGAAGATATACATGCTCTACAAGGGGAAGTAGAGATCAATGAAGATAGCCAGGCGGATGTAACTCTCACTTATCCATTGATTAATGCCAAAACCCATGGTGTTATTACAGCTCTTCTCCTTTCCTTTACTGATCAATCGAATGATAGTATGATATGGTGTATTGGTCGGTTGAAAATTTCAGGTAAATATAACTTTCTATAGAAAAAAAAAAAAAGAATAAAAAGAAAATAAAGGGGTTGTTTGACTTATTTTTTTTTCTTTCTTTCTTTTTGTTATAGCCATGTCGAATGATATAGATCAGCATTCTGAATTTGAAAAGATGATCTGTGATCGTCTTGCATCCTATGTGGATATTGTGAGTGAACTCACCAGGGCGGCTCTAGTTGGTTCTCATGCGGAAACTCTCATCAAAGTGTTAACAAAAACATATCGAACTTTCACTGCGTTTGTGAAATATGTAAGATAGATCATCCCTCTCTCTCTCTCATTTTTTTTAAAAAAGATATATCTCACCCTCTCTTTTTTATTTTTATTTTTTTTTGTTATAGAAAATGACGAATTTGAAAATCGAACTTTCTCAAAATGTCATTCAACTGATTGCTAATGTGGGAAGTAAGGTGACGGATAAAATGTACAAGTTCTTGACAATGTATGCTCATCATCGACAAGAAGAATATGAATTTTCTGGGACTAAAAAGGGCAAGAAGAAGGAAATCAATGCAAGAGAAAAGGTAAATCATCTATTTTTTTTAAAAAAAAAAAAAAAAAAAAAGAAAGAAAAATGCAAACTAAGATGAATGATGCATTTTTTTTTTTTTTTTGGTAGGCCAAGATTTTACGTGAAGCCAAAACAATTCCAGGTTTGATTTTTGTGGTAGAACAATTTGAACGACATTTGATTCAATTGACTCGAAAATCCAAAGTGGATTTGATGCAATATATGAAACGAAGTACATCTCGCGATTTTCAAATCAAATTGGACAAGTATGTGGAATCTAGTTCAGATGACGATGACAAGAACCCAAAAAGAGTAAGTACCCAAAACCAAAAAAGATAAATGGTCGATCGGAGATAGGGTGTTTCATGTAGTTTTTTTTTTTTTTTTTTTATTCATGAACTTACTTTTTTATTATTATTGATGATTAGCCTCGTGTTGAACCATATGATGAAGAAGAAGAAGACGATCAAATCTTGGATTCGGAATCAGATCAAGAAACAAGTAGTGGGCCAAGGAAAAGGACAAGGCAATGATGATATGTCTTATGTAGAATAGTGTGATTATCTTAATCAAATGAATAATAATAAAAAAAAAAAACAAGTGTATCTTTATCTGTTTATTTGTGGAAAAAAAAAAAGAATACAATAAAAGAGGGATGATCAAAAAAAAAAAATTATATATGGATCTATAAAGTGAATTGAAACAAATGATGATTGTATAAAAAAAGTATATGAAAGAAAAGAATAAACTATTTAGCAAGGTCTTTAGGGGGTAAACCAAGAAGAGAATGATGGATATCAATAGAAGGTAATCGAGTAATAGCACTACGACGAGCTTCTTGTTGCATGGCCATACTAATTAAAAAAAAAAAGATGAATTCATTTGTTGATAAATCAAATAATGTTGATGACTTACTCCATAATCACCAATGCAGCCATAGATTCTACAATAGGAACAGCTCTTGGAACAACACAAGGATCATGACGACCACGAGCAGCCAAAGTACCCCAAACACCATCATAGGAAGTAGTTTCTTGATCACGGGAAATAGTAGCAGCAGGTTTGAATGCTACTCGGAAGTAAATATTTTCACCATTGGAAATACCACCTTGAACACCACCGGAATGATTTGTCTTTGTACCAAATGTACCATCTTCTTTACGAACAAAAGGATCGTTGTGTTGATGACCTGGCATGGTAGTACCGTTGAATCCTGAACCAAATTCAAATCCTTTTGTGGCCGGAATAGACAACATGGCATGGGCAAGAATAGCTTCTAACTTGTCAAAACAGGGTTCACCTAATCCGACTGGACAACGACGAATCACACAAGTCACTGTACCACCGATAGAATCCTTTTCTTCTGATTTTTGAGTAATCACCTATCAAAAAAAAAAAAAAGTTATTACCTTATTTTCTTTATATTATATTAATCTTACTTGTTTGATAGCTTCAGCAGTTTCTTGATGAGGACAACGAGTAATATCAGCATCAACAGTATCACGATCAATAGAATTCAAAAAATCATAGAATTCAGGTTTGACCACATCATTTTCTTGAATATCATGAATAAATGGCATAGACACTTTTCCAACACTTGAAGTAAAAGCAACGATTTCCACACCAAATGCTTCCTTCAAATACTTTTCAGCAATAGCACCAGCAGCAACACGACCAATGGTTTCACGAGCAGATGCACGACCACCACCAGAAGAAGCCTTAAGACCGTATTTTTGAAGATAAGTATAATCAGCATGAGAAGGACGAGGGTAAACATCGGTTTCACTATAATCATGAGGTCGTTGATCCAAGTTGGGTACAGTAATGCCAATAGGAGTACCTAAAGTCACACCGAATTCTGTTCCTGACATGATAGTAACACGATCCTTTTCATCACGCTATCATAATATATATATATATATAGTTATTGTGAATAAATAAATAAATAAATAAATAGAAAGAAAAAAAAATAGAATAAAAGTCAAAAAAAAAAAAAAACTTACAGGAGTAGTAAGTTTGCTTTGACCAGGTCGTCTTCTAGTAAGTTGAGGTTGAATATCAGTTTCAGTCAAAGCCATACCAGGAGGAACACCATCAATAATTGCACCAACACCTTTACAATGTGATTCACCAAAAGTTGTAACACGGAAGATTTTACCAAAACTACTCATTATTATTCTATACTAAGAGACAATAAAGAAAGAAAAAAAAGAAAAAAAGAAAAAAAAAAAGAAATCGATTCGGATTTTATAAATTCTTTTTTTTTTTCTAGCCCAGTCACTCTACTTCATTTCTTTGGTGGTTGAAGTGAGTCATCCCAAAGTGAGTTATTCTACAGTGGGTTTCGAAAGATTATATCGATTATAAAATTATTCTATATTCTCTCTTCTACTTCATTTTATTTAATATTTGATGTTTTAATAAGATGAAATGATTATATATAGAAGATGATTTTATTGATATTCATTGATTGCTTTTTTTTTCTCTATTATTTTATTATACAAAGATGTAGTCGGTCACTCAAAATTAAACTCACAAGTTCGTAAAATTGTCAAACTCAAAAGGAAGTAGAACCTTGCATAAAAAAAAAAAACTCATTTTTTTCCGTTTTATTATTTCCTTTGTTCCCGAAAACTTCTTTAAGGTACCAAACCCTATTTTTTTTATTTTTTTATTTATTTATTTATTTATAATTCAGATGATCAATTTATACTAGATAATTTGATTGAAAACATAAAAAATTTCTTATATCTTTTGATTTTGAATGCAAATGATATGAAATTTCAATATAGAAGTTTAAAGGGGCCAATATGATTGGTTGATTATTTTTTTTCCCAGTTCCTCATGAAATTTGGCCACTGAAAATCTTCGGTTTCCTTTATTGTTATTTTCTTTACTTCTCCTTTCATTTTTTTTTTTTTTCGTTTTTTTGTAGTTATCATTGAACACACTTATTTTTTTATTTTTTTAATATTTTTTTTTTTTTGTTTCAACTTGTTTTTTTTTCTTTCTTATTTTGTTTTTATCTTATTTACCATTTATTGTTGAACCAAAAACCAGTTTTATTGGAATACAATAGCATCATCCTCAGCTTATCACCATCCAACTTTATCTTCAGATCAGGTTTAATTCTTTTTTTTTTTTTTTTTTTTTGATATTCAATTACATTACTTGTTGAAAACTTGTCCTATTATCCAACAAAACTTTCCGGTCATAGTGGAATAGAATAGACTACTATGGCCTCCACTATTGAATGCTTGGCAAAGCAACAGAATACAACTTCCAACTCGGATATTTTAACTGATGATCTAGACTCAAGAATAGATGAAGAAGATAAGATAACTACTCAAGTAAGACAATTATTTGTGGGGAATGTAAGTAATAATGAATAATAAATAAGTAAATAAAAAATAATATATTAAATAAACAATACTTTTATTATGATAGCTTCCATTTCGTATACGTTGGCAAGATTTGAAGGATTATTTTAGAAAAGCAGGACAAGTAATTCGAGCTGATGTGGCTTTAAGCTTTGATAATCGATCTAAAGGTCATGGTACAGTCCTTTTTGCTACAGTAGAAGATGCTCAAGCAGCTATAGGTAAAAAAAAAAAAATTACAAGCATGATTTCTTCTTTTTTTTTTTATGATTGTTTAAAAATAACCATCATTTTATTATTATAATAGATATGTTACACAACTCCAAATGGCACGGTAGAACATTGGAAGTCAGAGAAGATCGTGGTTATATCGAACAACCTTTGATGAGAAAATCAAATTTACAACAAGATCATCAAATACACAATAATAATAATAATATAACAAAACAAGAAGTAAGTTTTTATTTATTTATTTTTTTATTTTTATTTTTTTTTCTGATATTTTTTTTTTCCATTTTATAGTATATTCAACCTGGAAGACAATTATTTGTTGGCAATGTAAGCGAATTTAATTAATATCATTGAGAAAATCAAATTAAATGATTTATTATTAATAATAGTTACCTTTCCATTGTCAATGGCAAGATGTGAAGGACTTATTTCGAGCTGCTGGAAAGATTTTAAGAGCGGATGTGGCACAAGAACAAGATGGTAAAAGTCGTGGTTTTGGTACAGTTTTATTTGCAACATTTGAAGATGCCAAAAAAGCTATAGGTAAAATAAATGAGTAAATAAAAATAAAATAAACATGGATGAATATACTGAGTATTATTATTATTAATTTTTTTTAATATAGAAATGTATAATGGATTCGAATATCAAGGAAGACATTTACGTGTACATTTTGACAAATTTGCATCTAATAATCATCATCATCATCATCATCAATATAATAAACAAAAGGAATACCTTTCAGAACAAGTACCTTCAAGGTTTGGAAATACAGAATTCAATCAACAACCTGATCCTGCTGTACTCGAAAGTTTAAAACAAACATATGGTAATAACAATCCTGGTGGTTATGCTACATTTTCTATGGAACAATCACCTTATTTATCAACTTATCCAACTGAAGATAATAAATCAAAATCAACAATGGGTTATACTGATTCTTCTGGATTATCTTCATTACAACAACAACCTTATTATCCTCATGATTTTACATCAAAGTATTATTCATCATCCATGGGATCAAAACAATCTATTTATGATCAAGATATTCAATTGAATTCAACTGGATTTATTGAAAAAGATACAAAACAACAATCATCCTCATTATTCATGCAACAAAGTCCTTCCTTTATATCCCCTTATCAATGGACTTCACCAAAACAAGAAACATCATCTCCATATCAACATTATCAACAACCTTATTATGATATATATACACAACAACAACAATTAACAGATGATATGAAAAGAATGGGATTATCGAATAATAATAATAATAATAGTACAGCTGGCCTGACGAATTTGGGTGATTCAAGAAATGATTTTGGACTTTATGAAAACAAGGATGATAGGGACAATGGTTGGGATACACTAAATGGTTTGAAAATTTGAAATATTTTTATAGATTGTATATTTAGTTTAGTACATTATTATTATTATTTATTATTTTATTCTTATTATTATATTTACTATATGATTCTCTTGCAAAAAAAAAAAGACTTTCCTTTTTTAGGGTATGAGTCTTATTGTAATCAGAGTCAGTCAGTGGCTTTTTGTGCCAAAATAAAAATAAAAAAAAAAATGGGTTCTCCTAACTTTTTTTTTGTAACTCCTTTCTTTCTTCTTTCTTTCAACTTATTTTATATTCAAATGGCCCAAAAAACCTTTGATAGAGCTGCTCTTGAGGTATTCATTCATTCAAATATAATATAAAACTGAAAGATAACCACTTAACTATTATTATTATTATTATTATAGCAACTTATTGTGAAACGTTTCTTTTATGCTCCCTCTTTCCAAATCTATGGAGGTAAGACTAAGTCTTTTTTTTTTTTTTTTTTCTCTAATTCACATAATAATAGGTGTTGCTGGTTTTTATGACTTTGGTCCTACTGGTTGTGCCTTGATGAACAATATTATTAGTGTATGGCGTAACCATTTCGTATTGGAAGAAGAAATGCTTGAATTAGATACTACTATCATGACCACTCACGAAGTTCTCAAGACCTCTGGTCACGTCGATAAATTTGCTGATTGGATGTGTAAGGATTTGAAGAATGGTGAAATTTTCCGTGCTGATCATGTTGTGGAAGCTGTATTGGAAGCTCGTTTGGCTGGTGATTATCAAGCACGCGCTGCTAAGGAAGGTAATGCTGAAGCTCAAGTCTTGGTGGAAAAGAAGGATCCCAAGAAAAAAAAGAAGAAGGGTACTGTGGTGGCTGTGGAACTTGAAGAAGCTGTACGTAAACAATATGAAGAAACCTTGGCTCAAATCGATAACTACAGTGGTCAAGAATTGGCAGATATCATGAAAAAATTCGATATTCGATCTCCTGAAACTGGTAATGAATTATCTGTTCCTCAAGAATTCAACTTGATGTTCGATAGTAGTATTGGTCCTACAGGTCAACTCAAAGGGTAAATATCTATATTATATATATATAATCAGTCTCTCCATATATAGTTTGTTCTTTTTCTTTTCATATCTAGTTATCTTCGTCCTGAAACTGCCCAAGGTCAATTCCTTAACTTTAAACGTCTTTTGGAATTCAACAATGATAAAATGCCTTTTGCTTCTGCTCAAGTGGGTCGTTCTTTCCGTAATGAAATTAGTCCTAGATCAGGTCTTTTACGTGTTCGGTAAATTAAGAATGAATGAATAATAGGGGATCAATCTTAGTAATGACTTTCATACTTTCTTTCTTAGTGAATTCACCATGGCCGAAATTGAACATTTCGTTGATCCTGAAAACAAGGATCATCCCAACTTTGTTGATGTCAAGGATGTTGTGATTACTCTTTTATCCAAGGATGTTCAATTATCTGGTAAAACTCAAACTCGTGACATGACTGTTGGTGAAGCTGTAGAAAAGGTATTACTGAATGATGATAATAATGGTGATTCTGATATTTGTTACTCTTTTTTTTTTTTAAAAAAAAAATAGAAAATCATTGATAATCAAACTCTTGGTTACTTTATTGCTCGTATCTATCTCTTTTTGACCAAGATTGGTATCAAGCGTGATCGACTTCGATTCCGTCAACATATGGATAATGAAATGGCTCATTATGCAACTGATTGTTGGGATGCTGAAATTCATACCAGTTATGTAAGTTTTTTTTTTTTTTTTTTTTTTTTTTTTTTTTTTTTTTTTTTTTTTTTTTTTTTTTTTCTCACTGATATTTTTTTTATTATGATATTAGGGTTGGATTGAATGTGTTGGTTGTGCTGATCGATCTGCTTATGATTTGACTGTGCATTCTCGTCGTACCAAAGAAAAGTTGGTAGTCCGTGAACAACTTGAAACACCTCGTGTGATTGAACAATGGCAATTGGAAATTAACAAAAAGACATTTGGTCCTAAATACAAGAAGAATGCCAAGGCGGTTGAAGAAGCTCTTTTGTCATACACTGATGAATGCTACGAAAAATTACAAAAGGATTTGGAAACCAATGGCTCTGCTTCTGTAGAAGTAGATGGCGTTACTTTTGAAGTTAGCAAGGACGATGTGACAATTGCTCGTGGTACTGTGACTGAACATATCCGTGAATACACTCCCAACGTTATTGAACCTTCCTTTGGTATTGGTCGTATTCTCTATGCTCTTTTGGAACATAGCTGGTGGGTACGTGAAGACGATGAAGCTCGTAATGTCTTATCTTTCCCTACTGTGGTTGCTCCTTTCAAGTGCTGTCTCTTGCCTTTATCTGGTAATGCTTGCTTTGATCCTTTTGTCAAGAAATTCTCTCGTCAACTTCGTCAAAGTGGTGTGTCTACACGCACTGATGACAGTAAAGCTTCCATTGGTCGACGATATGCTCGCAATGATGAACTTGGTACTCCTTTCGCTATCACTATTGATTTCCAAACTGTTGAAGACAACACTGTTACCTTGCGCCAACGTGACTCTACTGAACAAATCCGTGATACTTTTGAAAACATTTTGAAGATCGTCAAGGAATCTGGTGATGACATCTAGATTAGTTAGTTTTATATAGATATATTATATTTTTAACAATTTCAAATAAATGTACAAAGTTTTGATATTTTTTTTTTGCATGAATAAGATGCTGTGAGGATTATCAACTCCCATAGGCGGTGTTTCAATGGCTTGAGGGGTGGAGGAGACCGACCATTTTCTTTCAGAATCTTTCCTCCTTTCTTTCTTACTCCCTTTTCTTCTTATTTTTTTTTTTTTGATATTTTAGATTTATATATATATTTATACGTATATATACATATATTTATAGAAATATATAGATAGATATATATATATGACTGAACCTATACTTATTCCAAAACAATCTAGTACTAGTAGCTCAACAACAGACGATCAGTCCTTGATGAGTTCTCATTCATATGATTCTAGCTATTCATCTCAATCTAACTTTAGCGACAAGGTGAAGCAACACAACAAGGTGAAACGTCAAGGATCCAGAAGCTCCGTTCTTAATTCAACAAAAAATAGAATGAATGAACAAGGTAAAACCAAAGAAACGGAGAAATGATAATAAAATAATAACCCATCATCAATATAGACTCGTCTGGTTTTTCTTCTTCATGGTTACAACATAAAAAGCATTTCATTATACTTAGTAGTGCGGGAAAACCTATATGGTCAAGGTAAATGCAAACAAAACAAAGTGAATTAGAATTCTTACTGACGAAGAAAAGTATTTATTTCTATTAAAGATATGGGGACGAATCTAGGATATCATCCTTCACTGGGGTTATACAAGCCATCATTTCATTTTTTCAAGATAGTGACGATACCATCAAGTAAGTTTTTTTTTTTTTTTTTTTATACAAGAAAGGATATACTTATATATTTGTTCGATAGATCCATCAATGCTGGCGATCACAAGTTTGTATTCTTATTAAAGGAACCTCTTTACTTTGTTGCTATTTCAAGAACTGGTGAATCGGACGCACAGGTATAAAAAGGATATGGATAGAATGTCTCGTCGAACTTATCTTGCTGATGTTATTTTTTTTTTTTTAATAGCTGAAAGATCAACTCGTTTATCTCCATAATCAGATACTTAGTGTTCTCACATCATCTCAGCTGACACGAATATTCGAACAACGGGTCAATTTTGATTTAAGAAGGTTACTTGGCGGCACAGAAGTCTTTTTGGATAGTTTATCAACATCTTTCAACAACGATCACAGTTTTATGCTTGGTGCTTTACAAGTCTTACGTTTAGGACGATCTACTAGGGAACAAGCAGGTCAGATTTTATCTAAAGGGAAAATCAAGGTTGGTTAGGAGAAAAAAAAAAAGAAGAAATGGTAGTCATGATGACCGTCCGCTGACCACCTTTTTCTTTTTTTTTCATACCTGTAGAATTTATTATATGCTATGATCATTACCAAGGGTAAACTGGTGACTTTATTACGACCTAGAAAACATAGTTTGCATCCATCAGGTACAATGATAAAACATGGTTATAAAACATGGAAGGCAACAAAACAAACCATTCATCTTATTTTTATGCATCTAGATCTTCACCTACTATTTAATATGCTTACTGGATCCACTACATTTCATACTGCAGAATCTTGGACACCTCTTTGCCTACCCAAATTCAATTCACAAGGATTTTTACATGCCTATATATGTTATATCGATAATGACGTATCTATAGTGATGATCAGCACTTCCAAGGACAACTTTTTTGAACTTAGTGATTGGAAAGGAAAATTGGTTAAGGTAAGAGGAAGGTTAATAAGAAGACTTGAAGGATAATAACAATTTTTCTATGTTTGTATAGGAACTACAAGATGAAAATATATTACAGAACATCATGACCGCATCCAATCGATTATATACAGTTGGTAAGAAAATTAAAAAAAAAATAATCGTATATGAACTAGGATTTATTTAATTAATAAAAAATATTTTTTTTTTTGTTCTTTCTTTAGATGATATTGGGATTCCAAAGTTACTCCACTTTATGTACAAATCCAAGACTCATATTCAATTCACCAGCCCTGGATGTAGTGGTATTTATACAAAAGATACCAATCGGAAAAGGTATTTCTTTTTTTTGTTTCCTTCAAATAGTTTTACCCATACTAACGACGATGTTTTTTTTTTTGTATTATTTAGACTCTATCGATTATACGAATACGTTTTTGACAGGATGCATTCAAGGTCAAGACCATTAAAATTGTATTATCATCATAGTGATGAAGAAGTTATCTTGGGATGGGTATGGACACAAAGAAAAAAGAAGGCGTGGGCGTTTTGATTTACTTATGGGCTTGATTTTTATGTAGATAACATCGACATTCGAATTATACGTTGTTTATGGTCCGGATACGCCAAAATCAGTCATCATCTCACATTCAAATCAACTGTTAAGATGGATCAAAAAGAATGACGACAATTTATTTATTCTCAACTCGCCTGTTTTTTAGTCTAGTATAGATCATTGATTAATATGTATCGTACATCCGTCTTTTTTAATAAACATTTTGAAAATATCAAAAAACGACTCTTTTTTGTTTTACGTTCCTTTGGAAAATGATGATTCTTCATGTCCCTCTACTCAATATTGTGCTCATTTTTTTTTTGTCTTAATCACCGTTCAATCAGTAAGCCGATACTAGTGCTCACATTATCTTAGTCCTTTCATTTCTCTTCGTCTAGCAATTCTTACCATCATATGAATCCTCTTTCTATTTGGGCAGATGTGTTTATTATAAGGATGATAACACTGATACTAAAGAAAAAAAAAACAATAAAACTGGGAAGCGTTAGGTGCCTCCGGTTTAACTAGCGTTGCCGGATCCGCCAGAATTGATTTGGACTTGAGCAGGTGCAGCTTGCCCGCCATATATCTTTTTGGCACACTCTTCAAAAGCGGTAACATAATTAGGAGGCATAGAATCAAAACTATTTTTCTGGCAGGTAACAAAGCTTTCATACTTGATATCTGCCTGGTCTAGTGGAGCAGCCGTTACTCCGTTTTGATCCATAGTATTAGTGGTGGAACTAGCTAGGTCAGACATGATTACAAAATAAAAAGAAAAAAGGAATACAAATGAACTATTTTCTTTATAGCGGTTTGTTATTTATATTTTTTTCATGCTGTGACACCTCAAGAAAACAGGTTTGATAGGGCGTTTTCTTTTTTTTTTTCTTTAGTTTTCAGGAAGCGTATAAGGTTGATCATCCATGGAGGGGGGGTTCCCAGGGATCATACATCACTTGTATGTGGAGAAGAAGAGAGCGTTTACGCCTTCTGTCGCATCAATGCAGAGGTTCACTCTTTTTTTTTTTTCTCGCAAGTTAAGTGATGATAATGCAGTGGCAGTATGTCTTCTCTCCTTTCTCTCATTTTGTGGCAAAATCTGCTCCTTTTTTTTTTCTTCTTCTCTATTCTAACTCAAAGTCTAGTTCTTATATCTACATTAACACCCCCTTGACCTTTTTTTTTCTGTATGCATTTATCTGAATAGAACGTCACTAGGGAGGATAGAATAGAACATCAGTAAGGAGGAGAACTATACGCCAACTGCATGGATAGATGGCAAGATAGAATAGATGTATCATAGATCGAACTGAATCATCTGTTTCACGATCATCAGAGGAGAGTTTGTAGTAATCAATAAGAAATCAATCGTATTCCTTTAGATGAAGCATTCTCCTCTCTTTCTCTTGATCCTTTCTTGTCGCAATTACATTAAGATAGTTAGTTATAATGTTCATGTTACGTATCATCTCTTTTTCTTTGGATAAAATGATCTTCATGCATGACTAGTCCTTTATTCATCATCCATGCATACAGCTAATTCATGCCTCCAACTCCACTATATGTGAAATGATGCTCTTTAGGGTGACATCTGACAAGTTTTCTGCATTTATTCCTTACAAATGAGTCCCTCTCTCTCTCGTACGAAAAAAAAATATATAAATGAAGGAAAAATTTCGATGACAAGCACTGATAAAAAATAATAATAATATTTCTTTTATCAATTCATTTCTATCCATAATGGTTAATCGTGCTTTTCTTTTATGCCTCTTTTTGGCCTTCTGCATTGCCATGGTTAGCAGTGTTCCTGTGAACTCACAATCAACTGACGTTTCTTCAAGCGACGCAGGTGACATAGCGTCCAAGCTTGCTTCAGCAAAGAAAGCACTTGAGGCTTCCAAACTTGCTACAGGACAAGGAAATGAACTTATTGATGGTCTCTTAGAACTAATCAATGGGATCATAGGTGGTTCTCTTCCATAACCGCATCCTATACCAAAGCGACTATCATTCATTATCAGAATCTTTTTTTAAATACCTGATCATTGTTTAATTTCATCGCAGATCGCAGTTCTCCTATCTAGGCTAGAAAGCATATAATAGGTATATTTACCTTTTTTTTTTTTTTGTAATAAACATAATTATTAGGTCAAATAGGTAGAATTTAGGGTCTCTATGTAGAGTTGAATAAAATATTGGGTTTTCTATGTAGAATTTAGGGTTTCTATGTAGAGCTGAATAGAAATTGGGTTTTCTAGTCCTAATTTGGAAGGAGGCGTTTTGCCCAGAAGCTCGCTGAGCGAAAATTATGCATTGCCAAATAAAAAGGACGTTTGTTTATTTTTACTCTTCTTCTTCTTCATCTTCTTCTTCTTCTTCTTATTTTTATTTTTATCACATTATTGTTCTTTTTTTTTTCTTTCTGTTATTCGTTTATATTTTAAGATAAATCAAAGTAAGGTATGGAAATAATAATAAAAGATTGTCTATACATATTCATTGTGTTCATGAACTGACTGAGTCATTCTTTTTTGCTGTGTATGTTTATACCTTTTAGTTAAAACAAGTGAACACAAGTACCTTTAACCTCTTTTATGCTGTATTACTCATGTTTAATAAGGTAAATCCATTTCATTATGTCACCAACGTTATATGATATTGATCTCTTTTTTTTTTTTTATTTGAATCTATATTCTAGATACAAATATGACGATTAAAGTAAGACACACAAAAAAAAAAGGTAATGATACCGTTTTTTTCTAACCTTTTCTTCTTTTTATACATGAATCATTCCAACCTCTTTGCTATATCCTTTTCTCTATGTGCTTTTACAGACACTCACTCTTATTAATTGTAAGTTTCAAAAACAAGTTCCCTTCCTCTTCTTATTTCTAACTCTACTTTTCTTCTTTTTTTCTTTTATACGCGTTCTTTCGACCTTGATGTTTTTACTACAACATCTGTCCATCTAGGATTATCGTTCTTTCTTCTTCTCGTCCTTCTTACTTGGTATCCTGGATAATGACTATTACTGAATATACGTCTGACAGAAAGAAAGAAATCTAGATACACGAAGATTGATCATTATAGTTTCATGTCAATAGGATACTACGAAAAGTGGCTATCCGTCTGGATCAGCGAAATGGATGAACAGGATGTATTATAGGATTCAATTGGATTTGATTTACAAATCAATTAGAGATATCTTCTTGGTCTTTTTATCTTATTCTGGCTTAAAGCGTTAGTGATTCTTTTTACTATCACACTTAGTATACAATTTACATTCTTTTTGTTTAATAAAATTATATTCATTGTCACTATTTACAATCATTACTTTTTTTAATGTTATCTATCATTTCCTTTCAAACAATTGTTCCTTAAATAAATTAAATGATTGCTGAATCCAAGCTTAAGAGTATCAAAGATGAAAAAAGGAAATATATTATGTAAGTCGTTCTCTTTTTCATGTATTTTTATCACTTTTTCTTTAATGTCAAAAACTAACCTTACTTCTTTGTAAATACTTTACTTTCATTAGTACATTACAACATATTCTTTCTCTCTATTATATATTACTTCGGTACATCGCCATGTACCTAGTCGGACTTTTCGTTACATTTTTATTTATTTCGTTTCCTAACAATTTTCTTTTTCTACCTTCTCTTTCCTTTTCTCCACACTTTTTTTTTTTTTTTTTTTTTTTTTTTACTCATCCGCACTTTGTTCGTGTCTCGATATTGGGTGATGATAGGTAATATATGAAATACAATGACATAAATGGATTCTTATTCTATTATTGCCAATTTAAAATATATATATATATAAAATAATAATAAAATAAAAAAACAGTATAAAATATAATTAGTTACTTGTTTTATAGTTAATACATGACTCTTCTAGTATCTACAATTTCAAGACCTCTTCTTGGTTGGACTCTCTCTTTCTTCGGATTCCATTGCGCAGCCAATGCAATTTAATTATGCACAAGTACTTTTGAAGGTCCTTTTTACTGCTTGGTTACTCTTCCTTATGATATTTCAAAATTTCTTTTCTGCTTGTTTGGACTCTTTCTCTCCCATCTGTCGCTCATTGTGGTGATGTTCTCTTCAATCTCTCTTTGCTACTTGGTTGGACTCTTTCTCTTTGTTGTTTTTCGTATCTGTAGATATTAAGATTGTCGTCTGTACAACCAAACTAGTAAATTTGTACAAAAAGAAAAAAAAAAAAAAAGAGGATCAACCGATATTACATACAATCATTTGCTTCTTTCTTTTTTTTTAGATCCTTCTTTTTATTGCATTGTTATGGATACATTGACACTGGCGCATGATCCAAGGTAATATGTATATGTAAAAGAAGAAAAAAAATGAATAACATCGACGGATTACTACTCATTTTGCTGATTCTTTATTGTCTGTTAGTTATCAAAATAGTGGTCTATACAGTCAAATGTTGAATGGTCATCATTACTTTATGCTTAGCTTTTGGTCAGACGAAGATCATAGTGTATTGATCTTTGTTTGTTTACGGGCAATGGACTTGGTCGAGGATGATCAGTCTCTAGAATCGTTTATGAATGTAGTGACTGAATTTTGTGCTCAAGTAGTTGGAGGGCAAAATGCAACACGCAGGAAATTCAGTTATTGTCTGTTGATAGTGTTGTTTCATGCTGGAGTCCTTGTTAAGTCCTGACATTTGCGGTATTTGGTTTGGAAAGATTATTGAGGATCATATCAATGACTGATAGTGGAGCGCTATACGTAAGACGATACAACTATCTTTCTTGATGATCTGAAATTGTCTGATATCTGCATTTGGCAAGCCTTTATTTCTCTCCGAGCCAACTGTTATGATGACATTGGGTTTACTGGTGGTACAAAACATTCGATGGTGCAGCCAAGGTAACTTGTACATAGAAAAAAGAAAAAGAAAAAGAAATAAACATTGATGGATTACTACTCATTTTGGTGATTTTATCTGTAGCTTGCTAGATTATCGTCTATACAAAAATGGTGATGCAAACATTCAATGATATAGCCAAGGTAACATTTATATAGAAAAGAAAAAAAAAGAAAAGAGAGCATTGATGGATTACTATTCACTTTGTTAATTTCATCTGTAGATTGCAAACCATACAACAAAGCCAAGATCGAATGCCTTCTACGTTGGAATGGCTCTGTTATCTTATCCAATTGAAGTGTCTGTATCAAATAAAATAGTCCTACCCAAAGTGCAAGTCATGATCGTTATCCTGGTGATGGCATTAGTTGTGATTCTGGTCGTAGTTCATGGATATTATCGATTATAGCGTAGTTACTTATCATTATAGTTATGTAGTATAGTTATGTAGTATAGAATATTTGTAGTGATGAAATAAAATTATGATTTCAATAGTATATTTGTACTGATCAAATGAAATTCCTTGTTCTGGAGGTCGACCATACCTATATTTCAACCTTAATAGCGTCCTACCTAGATTTAGTATATTTTTGTCATAGATTTATTGAAGTCAAAATATTTTTATTATTTCTATCCTATCTATTTAGGGGGGAGGGAGTCCTAGAGGTCCTAGAATGCATATCTAGGCTAGAAATTGTATAAAAGTCCCTAGACGTCATAGTAAAGTTTTCTGATGTATAAGGTTGATCATCCATGGATCAAAGGGGGGTTCCCAGGGACCATACATCATTTGTATGTGGAGAAGAAAAGGGCATTTACTCCTTCTGTCGCAGCAATGTAGAGGTTCACTCTTTTTTTTTTTTTTTTTTTTTTTTTTTTTTTTTTTTTTCTCGCAGGTGATGATAATGCAGTAGCAGTATGCCGTCTCTCCTTTCTCTCATTTTGTGGCAAAATCCGCTCTTTTTTTTTTCTATTCTAACTCAAAGACTAGTTCTTATATCTACATTAATGCCCCTTTGACCTTTTTTTTTTTCTGTATGCATTTATCGGGAGGATAGAATAGAGCATCAGTAAGGAGGAGAACTATACGCCAACTGCATGGATAGATGGCAAGATAGAATAGATGTATCATAGATCGAACTGAATCGTCTGTTTCACGATCGTCAGAGGAGGGTTTGTAGTAATCAATAAGAAATCAATTGTATTCCCTTTAGATGAAGCATTCTCCTCTCTTTCTCTTGATCCTTTCTTGTCGCAATTACATTAAGATAGTTAGTTATCATGTTCATGTTACATACCATCTCTTTTTTTTCTTTGGATAAAATGATCTTCATGCATGACCAGTCCTTTATTCATCATCCACCTATACAGCCAATGCATGTCTCCAACTGTCCCTATATGCGAAATGATGTTCTTTAGGGTGACATCTGCATTTACTCCTTCTTACAAATGAGTCCCTCTCTCTCTCGTACAAAAAAAAAAAAAAAAAATATAAATGAAGGGAAAATTTCGACGACAAACACTGATAAAAAAAAATAATAATAATATTTCTTTTATCAATTCATTTCTATCCATAATGGTTAATCGTGCTTTTCTTTTATGTCTCTTTTTGGCCTTTTGCATTGCCATGGTTAGCAGTGTTCCTGTGAACTCACAATCAACTGACGTTTCTTCAAGCGACGCAGGTGACATGGCGTCCAAGCTTGCTTCAGCAAAGAAACCAATTGAGGCTTCCAAACTTGCACTAGACGGTGGACTTCTTGACGCTTTCTTAGATTTATTTGGCGGGTAGGTGGTTTAGTATAATAGCCGCATTCTATACCAAAGCGACTATCATTCATTATCAGAATCTTTTTTTTTTTAAATACCTGATCATCGTTTAACTTTACACTATTTGTATGTTGTTAAGGATAGTCAAAGATAACTAATAAAAGAAGTGGTGACTCAAACTATAAATTGCCCATGTGAAAATGATAATTGTGATAGACCATTGCGGTTTATACTCTAGCAGGTTCCTTATACTGTATGTAGCATTATTGTGGTTGTTCTTGGATGAATGACTACCATACGAGTGGATATTTGTCGAATTTAGGGTATGATCAAGACGAATGTATTCAGATATTTTTTTTTTTTTATTTTAGTTTGAGAGATAAAAGAGATATAAAATCTAATAACAGACTAAACTAGTACTAAAACCGTTCATCTCCTTCTTCCTTTTCACGAAGGTTCATGATTTCCAATTGTCCCCGTCCTTTAGTGTCCGTTTGCAGAATTTCGTTAATGATTCGGTATTTTCCAGGATCCACCAATGCAATCTAGATAAAAAAAAAAAAAGTGTTGGTGATTAATTATACATCCAACACAAATTCCGTAAAAAAAAAAAAAAAAAAAAAAGAATAGATTACCAATTCAATTTCATCTGATTCAAAGTCTTCTTCTTCCCTTGAGGTCACCAATGGGACGATCTTTTCCTTGAGTACTTTCTTGGCATCTTTTCCTTGGGGTAGAGTGATACGGACACGCATTTGAGCACGTTGGATAGGTAACAGTTGTTTTTCTTGGAGTTGTTTGATCACATCAAGAGCCTATGCACGAAGATAAAAAAAAATATTCAGAAAACCAGATTCAAAGAAGAAAGGATATCGATTACCTGAGATTTCGAGCTTCGTTTAGGATTGACACTTAAATGTAAATCCTGCATAGCCTTTTCAATCATAGTAACAGTGTACGGACGTTTGGTTTGAGGGTTGACACAGTTGTCGGTAACAATATTAGCAATATCCTTCCACATTGATTCCAGTTGATTTGATCGTTCCTTATCTGCCACTTGAAGTTCACCTTTTTTAAGGATCTAGTATTACAAAAAATAAATAGATATGGCGAGTCACTATTATGTGCTGACGACTCTGCCAGGAAATATATAGCTTCCTTATTAGATTCCTCATGTGGTTTCTTACCTCTTGGATCACTTTGTCGGTATCGTCAGTCTTGAATGATTTGTTGAGATCATCTTTACTTGCTACTTGACCTTTGGAGACATTCAAAAACACACTGTGGATTTGCAAGACTTCATCCAGATCCGTTTCCCTACAATTGAGAAAAAAAAGCAGTGAAATTAGAATCAATACAGCATGAGACTCTAATAAAAATTCGCATACTTACACATTACTACGCCATTCCATAACCTTATTTTTGTAACAGGCAAGTTCAAATCGTTTTCCACCTTTTCGTAACCGTACTACAGAAACGTTTGTTAATCTATCAAAGAAGTTGAGTCAATAGATCCTTGAGATACAAAGTAAGATAATTTTTTTTTTATTTACTTGATTTGAGAATTGGGTTGTTTAATGGGCATAGTCGGTACACAAAGAAAAGGGAAGAAAGAATGGAGGAACCAAAAAAAAAAATCTTTAGTTTTTAGATTTGGACGGCCATTCAAACGCTTATTTTCTGTCCACGGCTAAATCCGGACTCAAGTCGGGAACTCAAACGAGCCACGTTCAAGCAGGTCGCCCTTTTTTTTTTTGTGTACTAGTCAATCCTTTTTTCTTTCTTTAACTATACCTAATGATAAACGATACCTCTTCCACACCTTATTATACCTAATGTATCCCAAAGCATTAATTCACCAACCTAACCAGAAAAGACGCGCAATACCAATACAACAACTCACGAAAGCTGATTGTATACAGTATCTCTCACAAGCATTTGAGGCACGACTAAGAAAAGAAGTGTCCCCCATTTTGGTGAAGTATTTGACGAAGAACAGTAAAGCGACATTCGAAGACGTATCAAATCATATCAAGGAAACGTATCTCAGAAAGCAAAAGGGAAGAAAAAAGATAATCGGTCTTTATGATGATGTAGTAGAAGCATACAACGAAGGTAACTTTTTCTTAATAAACAGCAAAAGATACGAATATTACAGTACTGAACTATATATGTATACTTATTTATTCTAGTCAATGATACCAAGATAAACCGTGTACAAGTATCTGCTTCCTTTGACACTTTAGCTATTGATTATATTCACCAGTGGCAATCTTTTATTGACGAAAGTTTGGATAACCGAGTAGGTGTCATGTACGAAAAACAACAACAGCAACAACAACGATCATTACCATCAGCTTCAGTAGCAGCAACGTCGTCGTCAAGATCAATTAAATACAAGTATCTTACAGTGTCATGTCCATGGAAAAGTATCTTGCGGTCGGACTTGGACGTCATTGATCAACAAATCATTAACGAAACGATATCATGTGCAAGCGAAGTAACCACAAGCGCAATGATGGACGTGGCTAGTATTGTTAGAATGGATTTACAGACAAGAAGCCTGTAAGTAACTTATTCAAAAAAAAAAAAAAAAAAGGAAGATAGAAATATTTTAACTTCTCTTTTTTTTTTTTTTTTTTTTTTTTTTACTGTTCATATGTAGTGGATCTGAAGTGAATATCTTTGATATCATACCGCAATCAAAATTTACCAAGGAATTAGATGAACCGCTGTGCTTGGCTCCTCCTAAATTAGATGATCAAAAGCGTATCCTGGCAGAATCAATGCTCACTTCAAGTTCGGATCGCAGAATGGTGGATCTATATTCAGCAAATCACCTTACTTATCTCATCACCTCTATGCAAACTTCTCAAGCCACTTCTTCTTCAGCAATAGCATCTTCATCAACGGCAGTAGACTCCACATCAGCAGTATCAGCGCAAAGTATGGATGACTGGAATTTGGATGCATCTTGTACAAATGGTCTGACGATTACTAAGTTTCCTCCTGGGATGGATAATCTTCTGGAACCGCATCTTACCACTTTTTCTACAAACATATTGAATATATACCGTGGTAATATGATACCATATTTATTGGACAAGGCTTTATTGACTCTTCTGCGGTGCCACCTCTCTCCAGTACGGGAACAGCGTTATCAAGAACGGAAGGCAAAGAGGTAAGTCCATCGATTAGATGCCAATCTGAATTGTAAAGTTGTCATTCATTGTCCACTTACACTAAATATGTATTTTAGAGAAGAACCTGACTCAACCCTCAGCAATCGACAGCAATGCACTGACAAAATTCTTCCAACAATGATTATTCTGAAACACCGACTTCGCAAGCACATCAGACGACTGGCAAATTTGGAAAAACGTAACGACGTTGATAAACACTACAGCATCACCAAAGAAAGTCAAGCTATCGATCGAATTAAGCAACTAATTGCTCACAAGAAAAAGAAGAAGAATATGGACAGCAAACATGACACCACAGATGACATGGAAAATGACGAGGACGACGCGGTGGACGATGTGGATAGCGATATGGAAGATGATGCGGACTTTGTTATGGACAATCTTATCGATGAAGACACTTCAATCCCAAGAAAAAGACTGTGTGCGTCAGTGTCGTTTCCTTCGACTTCGACTACAATTGCGACTACCAACACAACTACTATGACCCCAACAACGCCAACAACGCCAATACCAAAATTAGTAGTCTCAGCATCAGTAACAGAACCGTCAATCAATCGACTGAAGAAATTACGATCCGTTTTGAAATCTCTGCTTTGGAAGAAAGGAATACCATTTGATAGTACACCTCACCAATTGAAGATGAAATACGACAACTTGGACCAATGATAATGAAGCTACGGTGCTCATGCAATTATACAAGTTTATATCACCCTATGTTCTACCAAAAACGAATAACGAAATTGTTGATAATCACCCACTTCTCAACTATCCGCTGGCTCTGCTATTAAATACTATTCTGTACGTCACCAATTACGCCAAATTCTGTAGAAAGCTGGTTCCAAAGGTCAGTCCTTCAAAAAACTACGCGGTGTTCCTGAATTCAGATTCTATGTACTATCTATTTTGTTGTCTCAAAGGTAGACAAGGCGGCACCAAGAACGACAAGGCTCCACCTTTCCATGATTTTGGATTCGATATATTCGTTAACGGTGACACCATCTCCAGCGTAACCAAGGCACGTTTATACAAAGATCAAGTTTTTGCAGGCTTTCTGGATCTATCTCATATGCAAGAATTGGCGAAGTCTCGTTCGATGGAATTCGACTACAGAGTGGCGATAACAAGTTTCGGTGTGGCAAGAATCCAGTGCAAGTCCATCGTCAAGCACAAAGACGACGACAACAGTAATAATGATGATAGTAGTAGTAAGAACCCAGCATCGACGACAACAAGAGAAAAACGCAAAGGTGGAGTGGAAAAGGACGATTTCGGAAATATGATGGCGGAAATCAACAAGGATATCAACAAGGACAATTATACGATCAAGCAGCTTCAAAAACAATTATCGACGGCCAAAACAGACATCTCAGCAATAACGGAAAAGATCGACCAAATGAAGCCTCCGAAAAAGAAAAGAAATCGACAAAATCTGGACGATAGTAATGAAGAAATCGACGAAGCCCTGACTCCTACGCAAGATATAAATAGTGGTGAATCGTTATATTCCCTAATCAAGAAGCGACAAGATCTGAAATCGAAACGAAACAACCTTCTACGACTGATTGTCAAAACAAGATGTTCGATTATGGATCATCGAAAAAGAAAGATGAATATATACCAAGACATATTTGGCAGCAGTGACAACAAGGCGATGACACCAACCATTTGTACGACAAAGCCTGATATCGACAGTATTGAAAAGTTTATTGGAATCGATCCTGGATTAGTTACAATGGCTCAATGTGTCGCACTTACTCAAGAACAGGTGAAATATATTCGATCACGTACAACAACAGATCCCGGCAACGCAATGGAAATTGACGATGTTGGCACCATATTCAAGACCAAAGTGAGAAGCATAAAGACGAATCAATTGCGTACCGACTCTGGATTGTCATTATTCTCTCGAACCCTAGAATATCGAAAAAAATGCAATCACCTCCAAGTAAGTAAAAGAATAAAAAAAAGAAATCGCATCAGAAAATACAACAAAATATCTAACTTCCCGTAATATAATAGTGTCAAAAGAATGGAACAAAGTCTGTTCAAAATATCGAAGCTGACTTATCTCGGTCTATGATGAAAACGTTATACAGCAACAATATCGAGAACGAGAAGGAATATCATGGGGTAGGCTTTACTACGCTAACAGCAAAAAAAAAAAAAAAAATCCCACTCATTTTTTATTCTTTTTACAATTACTATTAAATCAGATCAGCAAGCGTAGCAGACAACCATTACTAGACTTTTATCATACAACCAACTGGCTAAAACGACAACGCAGAACAAGATTGTGTCAAACAGAAAAAGCGTACGCCAAGTCAGCCAAAAGTTTATTAGGAGGTCAGAAGGCAATCTGCTTCTACGGTGATGCTGGACGTGGATACGGATCAAGAATCGGTGGCCATACTCGTGGCAGTCATGATGTTTTTATCGGGAAACTCTCTGAAAAAGCTACAGTGGTGTCTATTGATGAGTATCGTTCGTCAAAATTGTGTGCCTTCTGCCACATGCCCATGGTTCATCCTGTCAAGACAAACAAGGACAAATCAAAGAAGATCACCAATTTAGGAACGGTTGTTTGCATCAACCCTGATTGCATCAGCCGGAAGAATGGATATGCCGCCAGAGGACGAGACACCAATGCCTCTATCAACATAGCAATGATCGGATATGAACAGCTCGCCTTTTGTCAAACAATTCAACAATTCGAAAGATCTTCTCTTCATGCTGGAGGTTTGAAAGGGAAGGTAACACTTGTATAGTGTTGGGCTGTAAATATCAAAAAAAAAAAAAAATAATCCCTCATTATTGATATGTCGATTAACTCATTTTTCTTTTTTTTTCAACTCCATCGATGGAAAATAAGTACGCCCTTGTCTTGCAAACATTGTATTTTTATGCACATACAATCACAATCATGATCATCTAAATCATCATTCCATTAATTCAACCATTCATGCTATCATCATACTTCAACTGTATATCATTGATTCGTATTCGTTCATAAATCATATATAGCCATCCTAGTAGCAAACCATCATTACATCATTGGTATCACAATACGATATCTAAAAATAAAAATTCCAAAACATAAAATACTATAAACTATGCGTCTGTTTATTATATAAACACTGGTGAGGAAATCTAAACAAGAAGAGCACCAAAGCAAAAAAAAAAAAAAAAAAAAAAGGAAGGAAGAACTAGACTAATCCATATAATATCTATATATAAAAAGTTAAAGGTGTAAGGATATAAAATAAGGAAGAATATATGTAATCATCTAGGGAGTTGATGGACGGTTTGTTGCCAAATAAGAGAGAGCATCTTGCAAACGAGATTCAGCACCTTCAAAGTCGTGATTGTTGATGACCTTACTGACTTCGGATTCCAAGTTGTTCCAGTTTTCCGCTTCCATCAAAGCCGATAAACAATCTTCCATACGTGTCTTGCAAAGATGTAATTGCCGTAATTTCTCAAATGTATCGTCATTGTTATCCTTGTTTTTCATATCGAGATTTTTCTTGACTTGTTGTATTCCTTGTTGCGTAGCCCTAGCATCGTCTGTGATAAGCTTAATATCATACATTATTCGTGGCATTGATTTGATGACTTGGTCGGTCAGAACACCTACTTGTTGAGATGCCTGTTCGCTGGCTAGTTGAAGTTTTGTGATTAATGTTGCTGTTTCTTGTTCTAGTGTTGGTGATGATGAGGTATCGTCGACTGAATCTTCTTCTTTTGGTGAGTTATCGTCATTGTTTTTCGTAGAGGTACTTAAAGAGCTGTTGATCCAACTCTTTACATCAAAATGGGCATCAGAGAAGGCATTCACATCGATAGCTGTGGACATGGAATAATATAATAAAAAATAATATGTGAAAAGAGGGAAGAAATAAAATAAAAAAAAAAATCAAAGCTTTTTATTTGGAAGACCGATCAAATCATAAAATCTAATCTACCATATACTACATTTCTTCGTAGGATTCATGGGACTTCCAATTGGACAATTGAAGAGTTTTGAAAAGGCTTCCGAGTTTTGAACAACACCATTAATACGAGCTCTTTCGGGAGAGTGTTCATCAGAAAGGATCTACAAATAATCATAATAATACGATGAGCAAACTGTTTGATAAAAAAAAAGTACATAATATTTCTTTACCGCACTAATTCTTGATTGAGGAGTGGCCTTGGTACACCAAGACTGAGCATAGTTCACATATAAAAGTTGTTCAGGAGAAAAATCTAAACCAGGTAAAGATAATTGTTTCTTGGTTTTGGATAGAGTCATAAAAGCATCATAACTGACACCAACACCACCATTATCAGCCAGGTTTTCCCCTAGTGTAAGCTGCACAAAAAATTGTTTAACCAAAAAAAAATCATGAGATGATATAGTTTACTTACTTTTCCATTGACATGATAAACTTTTCCTCCAGCATCCTTTTCAGTAAATTCAGAATATTGATCAATAAAACATGTTTTCATTTCATTGAATTTCTCCATAGTTGCATTTGTCCACCAATTTTCGAGTTTGCCATCACCATCATACAGTTGACCAGAGTTATCGAAAGCATGTGTGATTTCATGTCCAACAACCATACCAATACCACCAAAATTCAAAGCATCTGGCACTTGATCATCATAATAAGGACTGGTAAGAATTCCTGCTGGTACAACAATTTCATTATCATTGGGACTAATAAAAGAGATTTTAAGAAACCATAGTGATGAATAAATACATCTTTTTTTTTTTTTAATCTAAACCTTACGTATAATAAGCATTTGCTTCCATTGCATCCATATCAAAGATATCCTTGTCCACAGGTTTGCCCCATTTTTTCCATTGTTGTCTAATGCCCCACACATTGGATCTTCCTACATTGTCATAATACGTTTTTCTGTTGACAGTCATGTCTTTATAAAATGTTGCGAGTGATGATGCCGAACGTAAATCAGGATAATGGATACTATAAGCGGCCTTGTGACGAATTTTCCCAAGTTTTTCCAAAGCCTTATCCAAAGTTTGTTTATCCAACCAAGTAAGAGATGAAAGGCGTTTTCCCCAAGCTTCATGAATGGTATCCAAAAAAGTCAATATGTCCTTTCGTTTATCCTCACCACCAAACTGAACCAAGATAAAGTATCGTCCTAACATGTCTCCAAACGATAACGAAGTACTTGCAACACAATGACGCCATCGAGGAGGTTTTGTCGTGACTCCAGAAAATAATCCACTATCAATGTCATATACGTAACCGGCCGTTGTTGGATCAAGTTGAGACGATCGGCTGTATATATATCGTACCATAAAATAATTCTTCAGTATATCGGTTGCATCAGGTGTCTTTTCAAACCATTCAGCCACTTTGTCAAAATAGGATGGTGTAGTCACTATGATAGTATCAGGTAAATTTGTATCCTTTGGAGCGAGTTTACGTATCAGTTTCTTCCAGTCCACAAATGAGTATTTATCTTCAAAATCAGAGAAATCCATAGAGTTGTAACTTCGTATAGGATCACGAACTTCTTCTCTATCAAAAAAAAAAAAAAAAGTTAAGTTAATCTTTCCAGGGTTTCAATAGCATAAATAGACTTACATTGGAACAGTCATTCGAGCCAAAGTTATTTCCATATCCACAGAGTGTTGAACAGCTTGTTCTATATCAGAATATGTCAATAACGTCAAGTTCTTTTGAGTAGCAGTCTTCCGGGTGATATCCGATTGATTTGTTCCGATAACAGCATCCACAACTTTGGAGAGACCTTGACGGTATTTATCCATAAGATCAGTTTGTTCATAATAGTCTTTGGAGGGAGCATTGAGAACAAGTTGATTGACTACCATGATATGTTTTGTTGGATGTTTGTCGTCTGGTGCCACTCCAATATCAAAAAGAGGGGCATCTTGATCCATAAGAAGTGATACAATGATATCGGTGAGATCGGTTTGTTGAGCTTGTCGAGCTAGAAATGGGTATATAGGAGTTGGACCCAAGTTGACCAAGGTATCTTCATCCATACAAGCATCATAATATTGTTTCACTTTGTCAAAGTTTTCCCTGTCAATATCTTCATCATCCAATAATAGCTGATCGTCTGTTACTACCTTATTAATTAAATCATCGTATGATCCTTCTAACAAGTCGTGTAGTGTTTGTTGATGACTTAAAGAGATATCAGATAAAGGTGAGGTTTCTATTTTAAAAAAAAAAAAAAAAGATTAAAAAATATATAAACTAATTCAATGTCCGTAATCTTTTAGATGTAAGTTTTCTTTACGTGCACGGTCAGGAGGTAATTCTGTGTGCTCGATCCAGCTGCCGCCTATATATTAAAAAAAAAAAAAAAGTGAATTCAAACGAAAAAAAAAAAAAAAAGAAGAAGAAAAATCATCATCTCATTTTTTTTTTATTTATTTACATGAATATTGATAAAAATCAATACATGGATCAATATTGAAATCTATATTATTTTTAATAGTTTTTGCTACATGTTGACATGATTCTGTTTGACAAACTTCAGTAATATTGTTGGTGGTAATCAAATCAAACATGTATATTTGAAAAAAAAAATAATAAAATAAAAAAAAGAAAGAAAGAAATAAAAAAAGAAAAGTTTTATATTTAAAATCATTCTTTCTCTCCTTAATCTATATAAAATGTCATAAGTGGTTTTCTCCTGCATTTTAAACACTTGTTCGAAGTGACTAGATACAAGAAATCTAACGGGATTTAAAAATGTGTAACCCAAAAAAGAGAAGGGCTTAAATTTGATTGGCTTATGAGGGTTGTGTAAATTTTATTTATTTTTTTTTTTCCTTCTTACTTTCTTACTTTCGTCTCATTCCCTTGGTTCTCTCCTCTTCTTTTTACCTTTTTTTTTTTTGTCTCTCCTTTTTTTTTTTTCCTTCTTCTTTCTTCTTCTTCTTTTTTATTTTTTTCTTTTCTTTCTTTATCTTGTTATTCGGTTTTACTATAGAAGCCTACTGAATAAGGTAAAAAACTTTTTCATTATTTATTACTATTCTTCATACTTGAATCATTTCATCTAGATGATAAAAAGAACTAATATACTTTTCTTTTTCTTTGAAATAGTCAAATATCTTTTTTTATTCTTGATATTCAGTAGCGTGTTTGAAGGAAATCAAGCTCAACAATGGGTCCTGACACAAAACTTATATTGAGCTTAGTGAACCGTATTACTGTTCGTGTAATGTTTTAATATTTTATTATTATTAATATTATTGTTTTATTTTATGATTTTCAATAACTAATCCTTCTTCTTCTTTTTTTTTATATAGTTACCAAGTAACAGTGGAAAGAAATTAGATTCTCTCGAAAATGATCCACTTGTTCAACAAACGTAAGTTTATATTACATTATATTACATTATATTAACTCTTCTTCTTCTTCTTCTTTATTGTCATTCATTGTCTATAGTGGTAAGTTGGAAAAAGAAAAGGGTTGAATTGGATAATTATTAATATTATTTTTATTATTCGATATTATATATAGTAACCGCTTTGATAGAACTTTCCAAGTATCGATTACCAACAATAGCAAGTACCATTGTCACTGTTATTGAAAACATATGCAAGGTATAAAATACAGATAGATAGATAGATATAAATTTATATACAAGTAATAATTTAATCCTTTTTGATATAGTCTCCTTCTATTACAGACGAATATATACCTAGTGATGTTCTTCAATCTCAACTCTTTCTCCTTCGTTTATTCGCGGATTGTATGAATCATCATTGGCAATTTGTACGAAAATCCAGTAAACCACCAACAACTGAACCCATTCACTATACTTCTTCAGATACTGGCAGTAATCATAGTAGTACAACCAATGGAATGCCAAAATCAACAAACGATGGTTTTTTACCTCCTGAACTTCAAGATCCACCAGCATTAGAAGAAGGTCTTGCAAAATATATTGTTTCCATTATGTCTCGTTTTATGCATCAAATGTCTTTTATGGAAGAAAGGGAAAATGGTACATCTCATACAACAAATATCTCAAGGACAGAATATTACACATCAACAAGTGTATCCAGTACGTCTTCTGATATCATAGTAGATATTTATAAAGCAGCAAGTCGAGTTATCTTTTATATCAGTGCAAGCAATTGGCATACCTTATTTATCAAGATTAAAACTAGAATGACATATCTTACTACAACTCTAGACGAAAACCCTAACTTTGCCGATCTTCGATTATTAGAGTGTTGTGCTCTCAATTCAAAACGATTAAGTGCTATCCTTATTGGTAAGTAAAATAAAATAATAATAATAAAAAAAGATTTACTGAAATGAATTGTGAATTGTTATTGATCCTTTTTTTCTTTTCTTTTTCTTTTTAATGATTAGAATTTTGTACTGCCTTTCTTCATTTGAAAAAGACATCTCAATTAATGGCTGCTGTGGTTTTACGTCGGGCTATATGGGGTTGGATCGAAAATTATCCTATGGAATTTATACGACTATGTCAAAGTCAAAAACGTTTAGAAGGTGGCCCTGAAGTTTTATTTGATATTTGTAATACATTGGCTGATACTACTAGAAAGAAGGCAATCCTTTGGCCATTACAAACCTTATTATTGATTTTATGTCCTGATCTCTTATTGGCTGCTGCTATCTCAGAAAGTCGAGGTATTAGTACGAAGAAGGTAAAAATAATCATACAAATATTTTGAATATATATATATATATATATATATATAATATTGATTAATTTTATTACCTTAGACTGTTTTCTTGACTGCCCTCAGAAAATCTCTTAAAGGTGGTCGTACAGCTGATCTTGCTGCCATATGTTATGTTGATATTTGTAAAGCTGCAACTTATGTACCCAAGGATATGTCTATCGCCCTTCGTCACATTGTACCGGATATCGAAAATGAACTCAAGCAAAAATTATTCGATATACAACAACCATTGATCGCTGATAGTCTTGTCTCTAATCTTGGAATCATCATTGATCATCGCTGTTTATTGGCTGATTGTTTGGTGGCAATGTTTCGTCTTAATCCACGTAGTGTTCTTCGAAATCTATTTCCAACATGTCTATCTGAACGTGCACCTACATTATTCAAGATGAGTCTGGTCAAAGCTTGTCTCGCTATTACCTCTGAAGAATATGGATTACCTTGGAATCCTACATCAGCTGCTCTTTATGATCTCATGGGTGGCCCTCTTCGTAAATTACTATTGGATGTGACAAGTCGTGAAGTTGTTGCCAAATCTGAAATCAGTAATCTCACCAACTCGACAACAGGAAGGAAAACAAATATCATTAGTGCCGCAACGGACAAGAAAAAGAAGGAAGTACTACAACGAAACGACACAGGAAACGATAGATTGGAATTGATATTGGATATATTACGACTTTATCAAAATGACCCTATGCTTGCCATACGTGGTGATTGTGAAGATCGGTTTGAACAAAATGCTGCTACAATGGTGGCTATGGCTCACTGTTTACGGGAAAATAGTATAGTTGTTCGAGACGCTGCTGCTGAATGCCTTTTCAAGTTACACTCATCGGAAGCCATATCAGAATGGGGAAATGGAGATCAATTCATGGAAGCATTTTGGAAGATTTCTTCTCAAATCTTGTTTACTGTGGCCAAACAATTACTGGATAATCGGGAAAGGAATGATAGTTTGAAGAAACTATTGGATTTATTAAAGAAACTTTTGATATGTAGAAATGACTTTTTGACTCTTCATCAAGTAAGTAAAAAAAAAAAAAAATTGGAATATATCATCTCATTCCTTATTGGTATTTTTATAGGATATTACTATGCGTGGATCTGATGTACGGGAAAGATTACAGGCATCTATTGGTTTAGAAGTGGCTCTACTTGTCCTATTGTGTTCCGCCGATCCTGATATTTGTGCAGCAGCTACGGCATGTTTTGGTCATCTATGTGTGGAAGCTCATATTACCGAAAGCACAGAAGATCCTCGTCAAGCGTCATTGACCATTGTAGAAAATCTACCTGTCTATATTGAAATGACATCAAACACTGGCATTGTGGCTGGACGCAAATCTCAACAAAAACGAATCAGACGATTATTACGAATGATGGCGCATTACGCTCCAGGAAACTTGGCTGCTTGGGAAGAAGCTTGGAAACGATGGAAATATATGACACCAGCAATGATTCGGCCTCACGAAGAGAATAAGGATGAAAGTGTGGATAGCAAAAAAGGGGCTCAGGCATGGCATGACAAATTACGGGCAAATCGACAAACAATGAATGTGAATGTGACTAATCGAACAGATGGATTGGATGATGACAAATCTACAGAATGGCAAAACTACGCTGGATTCCTGGCATCCTTGGGTGGTATCTGTTTGATGGCAGATGGATCACCTACTTCACCTGCTTCACCTGGTCCACGCTCATTCAACGATCCACCACATTTACGACGTGTTTCATCCCCTTCTGAATCAGCAATCATGGTTGACCGGTTTGTCATGGAAATGGTAGATCTACTTTTATGTGATAATGTTATCGTACGTGAATGGGTGATGGATATTCTTGGAACTGATTTGTCTCCTGCTTTGTATCCTATCATGTTTCGACATTTGGAAACCATACTTGGGAAATGTTTTGGTTCTGATGGTGATCCTTTGTGCAGTCCTCGATATACTCTCTTTGTTGAACAAAACATCAGTGTACTCAAGCTCGTCTTGGATCGTATGGAAGAGACAGTGGATAGTTTATTTACGGTGGACTTTGGTGGACTTATTGATCAGTATGCGAAATATCTCAACAGGCTAGGGAGTAGTCAAATGGCATTAAAAATGAAAATTAGATTCTGTCATCTATGTGAAGTATTGATGGCTAAAAAGGATAGAATTAGCATTCGACAAGAATTCCGACTACGAAACAAATTACTTGAAATCATTGTGGAATGGACTAGCGATTTTTCCTTGGTAAGTAAAAAAGAAAAGAGAAGGTTGATTGATTCTTGTTCTAATCCTTCCACCTTTTTTTTTTTTTTTTGAAGAATCCTGATACTGGTGTTACAATTTCTGCTAATCGCGGTGAAAAGTATCATCGAGACTTGGATTTAGCATGTCTGAAAACAATCGTTGGTCTTCTTCAACAACTACCTTTACAACCCTCCGATTCAGTACATGAAACTGACTCTACTCAAGTTAAAAGCAGGATCTTTTACAAGTACTTCTCCTTCTTCCTCAAACTGTTGAACAGATGCCGATTATCCGAGGTAAGCAACATTAGAGTGATGATGCTGATGATGATCTGTGGTTGTATCAAAAATTGGATCACTCATAATATATTACTATTTTTTTGTTTAATAATAGATTGAAGCAGGATCCCAACATTCTCGAAGTCAAGAAGTGATGATGGTGAATAAGGTAATTGAAAATAAAGTAATGGAAATGAAAGGGATTAGATACTTAAACTTTTATTTATTTATTTTTTTTTTTTTTTGATGAAAAGAACAAGGAAAGTGCAACTTATTTGGCCCCACTAAAGGATTGTACTATTTTGGCCATGTCCAATCTTTTAAGCGCGAATGTGGATGCTGGATTGAAATATTCTCTATCTATGGGTTATCATGAAGATACTCGAATGCGAACTGCCTTTATGCAAGTGTTAACAAATATTTTGAATCAAGGAACCGAATTTGAAACCCTGGCGGAAACGGTGATGACTGATCGTTATGAAAAACTTGTTGATGTAAGTTGAGAAAAAAAAGAAAAAAAAAAGATATTGATGGATAGATACTTATTTTCTTTTTATTTAATGTTAGATGCTTGTCAATTCCGATCTGAATATCAGTCTCTCTTTATGTGATGTCTGTCCTGCTTCTGATATAGATGATGTGGCTAATGTTCTATTGGCAAGTTTCTCATCCCGTGGAAAGACGATGGTATTGCTCAAGGCTGTCATTGAAAAAGAAGTACAAAGCACAGGTATATAATGAGAAAGATGATGCTTAAAAAAAATAGAAGAGGTACGATATTGATGATATATATATATATATATTTCTGTATCCTGGTAGAAAATGAAACTGAACTCTTCCGACGTACAAGCATTGCTACAAGATTGTTATCTGTTTTTGCCAAGACAAATGGTGCAGATTATGTCCAATCTGTTTTACAACCTGTCTTTCATAAACTTGCCGAAAAACCATCTGACGAACGAACCTATGAACTGGATTCCACCAAGGTTGGTCCCAACGAAGATGTATTGAAAAACAAGCAAAATGTAGTCAATTCAACTGAAATGCTTCTCAATGCAATTTGTGCATCTGCTGATAAAGCACCAAGGTAATTAAAAAAAAAAAAAAGGATGAACAAAGGGACATCACCTTAACATTTTTTTTTAATCAATCTTTATTATCCTTGTTTTTTTAGATGTTTCCGTGAAGTTTGTCATTGTATCTTGGTCTCTGTTCGTGAACGATTCCCTGAGGCCAAATATACCGCTGTTGGTGCCTTTATCTTTTTACGATTCTTCTGTCCTGCCATTGTATCTCCTGAATCTGAAGGACTAATCAAGCCTATGACAACCGTGTCTCGTGAAATGCGACGCGGACATTTGATAGCAACCAAAGTTATTCAAAATCTTGCAAATAATGTATTATTTGGTGCCAAGGAAACATTTATGATTGTGCTCAATGACTTTTTGACAAGTAACATTTACAAAGTGACAAGCTTCCTTCGTGAAATTTCTATTGTCCCTACAAACACGACAAGTATGGATGAAGAATTGGAGTCGCGACCTATGGATGAAAAAAGTTATGCCATGTTGCATCGTGTACTTGCTGATAATATGGAACGCATCTCTCGAGATCTTGCTGCTCGCCGATTCCGACATCATGGGGATCAAGAATCATTGACTGCCTGGAAACGACAACTCGACAAATTCTCAAATCTTCTTGCTCAACTTGGTCGACCACCTGAAATTGCCAAACAAGAATTTAATGGATTACGAAGTTATACATTTGCTGCCTCTAATCAACTTTATGCTGAATTCATGCGACGAAATAGTCATCGAAGTGTTGAACCCATCGCCTCAAAAAATATCTTTTATGAAGGTGGCACATCGAAAGCTGGTCGTCGAGTATACTACTTTGTTACTCGGAATGTGACGAATGATAGTATTGATTTTGAATTGTTGACATATTATATGTTACAGGTAAGAAAGAAAAAAAAAGAAGTACAGTAGGCAAAGATATTCATCTGTTTATTTTTTATAGACAATGGAACGTGCAACCAATAAACCATTTGAAATAGTCATCGATCTTACTCTTTTCGGTCCTAGCAACGAAGTTTCCAACCAATGGATTAACCAAATTTTACAACTTCTTCCATTCGACGCATTTGAAAATGTAGGGGCCGTACATTTATACAATCCTAACTCTTATCTTCGAAAATACATCAAGAAACTGACTCGACCTATCACCAACAAACTCAGTAAACGAACAACATTTTCTGTGACTTTGGCCGAGTTACATGAATATATCCATCCATCTGAAGTACGACTTCCCAAATCTACAAGTAAGTATAATATTGATAATGCAAATTAAAAAGAATGACTCATGATTTATTTATTTTTATTTATTTTTTCAGCTGCACTTGACACTGAACCTAGTGCTGTCTTTTACCCTGTCAACAAGTTATCTCAATACAAACTCAATATCCCAGTGACTGTGAAGATCAGTGCTGAATATGTTCAAATCATGACCGTACGCAAACAAGAACTTATCTATGGTGTTAGCATGGTGACGAATGATGTCTATCATATTTCAGAAATCGAAGATGTGACTTTGGGCAGAACGACTGACTCTTCAGCAAACGAGTTCAGTTTCAAGTACAACAAAGGCAAATCTCAACTAGTTCTATCGACTCCTAAACGAGATGCTGTCGTTAGTGTAAGTGAATATTTGATTTAAAGAAAAACTTTGATTGACTCACTCTCTAATATATATATATATATATATATAGACGATTCGACATAGTAAACGAAGATATGAAATGGCAAAACCAACAAATATATCAGAACGTAATATCCGACCCAATGATGTCCCTGGTAGACTATTAAATATGGCTCTGTTGAATATTGGAAGTGATGACCCCAACCTGCGACTGGCTGCGTATAATTTATTATACTCTCTTAGTATGACCTTCAACTTTGATGTTGGCAAACAATTGCTTGATGCAAGAGGTAATTGGAAAAAAAAAGGACGAATTCATTTATTTTGTCTATATATGGAAAATTGATGATGATTAACATAATACATTTTTTTTAAAAAAAAAAAAATTAGATCTTTGTCTACCAGCAAATAGTTCCGCCTTCATTGTCAACATTAGTGAAAAGATTGCAGCAGCAGAACCAAATTTGACCTTGGAATTTCTCAGTGAATGTTTTGTGGGTTTCAACAAATCAAATGAACCTTTACGATACTTGTGTTTGGATTATATGGTGCCTTGGTTACCCAATCTCTCTTTATTTTGTCACTCGGCTGGGGATGAAAGCAATCCAGATTTGGTGAAAACAAAGGATGTGATACGATTATTGATTGACTTGACTGTGGCTCGCACTGATGTAAGATAATAATAATAAAGGAAAAAAGGGGGTAGAAATATGAATTAAATATTTTCTTCTTATTATAGATGTACAAATTGGTTCAAGCAAAGATTTGGAAAACGATCGGGAAAATTGATGATGTTTTAAACTTGGTATTGGATTCATTTGTGCAATTCTCCAATGAACATGGTGTTGGTTCCCCTCAAGCTGAAGCAATGGCTGATACATTTGTAACTCTATCTAATGTAGCTGTTCGTGGCAAGGTGATTTCTCGTCTTCGTAAGGTGCTTCAAAAGACTTCATTCAAACCTACTCGCTCTCTTACAGAACACTGGACTTGGACTGAAATCGCTGTCTTGGTGCGATTTATCTTGATGTTGTCTTTCAACAACCGAGGTCCTGTCAAAAGCTATGTACCTGAAATCTTCCATATTGTCTCTCTAGTAGTTGGTGTTGGACCTACAATCATCCGTGCGTCTGTTCATGGTCTTGTTGTCAATATGATTCAATCATTATGTACATCTATGCCTCTGCCTGAAGTGAATGTCCAACGATTGCAGCTACTTCTCACTGAAGTTTCTGATTCCAAAGTACGACTCTTATTCGGTTTGCACAAGTCTCATGCCAACGCATTCACCATTACACCTGATACAATGAATGATGCTGCTGAACCTATTCAATTATTGGCATTAGAATCTGTTATCACTCAACTTCTTGATGTCTTGAACTGGGGTGCGCCATCAACTGGTAATAACAAAAAGTTTAAAAAACAGTTTTTTTTTATAGGATGGCTGATATTATTCTTTTTTTTTTTTTTACTTTTTGTTTAGATATGGCTAACGTTTGGCGTGCTCGATGGATGAGTTTGGTGGCAAGTACAGCATTCCAATTTAATCCTGCTATCCAACCTCGTGCATTTGTTGTCCTAGGATGTCTTGGTCGTGAAGAAGTCGATGATGATTTATTATATCAAATTCTGGTAGCACTTCGTGGTGCGTTGGCAATCTTTAATGAATCAGATCCAAACTTGGTGTTGAGCATCATGATGTGCTTGAAAAATATTGTGGAAAGCCTACCATCTGATTCTCGTTATTTATTACCACTGTTCTGGGTGGCTGTATCCTTAGTACAAATCAACAATGGACCTACCTTTTGTATGTCAGTGGAACTATTATTAGCTGTGGTACGAGCTTTGGATGCGGATGAATTCTTTACCGGGGATACAATGACAGATGTATTACTGGCTGCTCGTGAACCGATGGCAGATGTTGCTCGTGAACTGGATGAACTATGTGGTGTCAATTTTGAAACACATTTCTCATTTGCTATGGCGGCCATCTTTTTGAAGGGAATGCGATACAATAATGCCAAGGACACGATCTATCAAGCTCTTACGGCATTTTTGGATATCGAATGCAAGCAAGACACAACCGTGGTGGAAACACAAACATTGGGTTACTTGACAAGTTTATTACCATTAGCAGTGAAGAATGAATCATTACGGGATGTGTTACGATTGGCAGGACTGACGGATGATTTGACACAACTAGATAACAATAACAATCGATCATACAGCGGATTATTTGACAAATTGGACATTCCTGATGATACCACCGCTCTCTTGTTGATCTCCATGATGGCAACCTTACTCCATTCTGCGGAAAGTGAACCTGAACGATTATTACTTTATGGTTTCCTTGCTGAGGCTGCACTGTCAATGCCTGATGTGTTCCATTTGGTATATGACTCTCTTTTACCCAAGATGAATCAAGTTGTACTTAGTAGTAACACGCAACCGATCATTGAATCTGTCAAGACCATATTATTGATTGCTTGTTCTGATTCTTCTTTCAACTCGGAAAAAACATCCCCCATGAAAACACAACAAGAATTGTTGAAAGACATTGGTTTTTCTGCCTTGGCTGAACCTGGATTTGGTGCTTCCTCAACAAATGTCATGCAACATTCAAAATTGGCCAGTGAAGTGATTGAAAGAATTATAGCGTAGAATACCATGGATTTATTTAATTTATTATAATTTTTATTTCTTTCTTTGTTACCACTCTCCATCGTAGTTTGCTATGGTGATGATAGCTTTCTTTTTTTTTTGTATTATTATTATTATTCCTTTTTTTTTCTTTCTTTAGTATTGTAGTCTTTTTTTATTTATTTATTTATTTATTTTATTATTATTATTCTCTCATGTCCTTACCCCACCTTTTTTTTTTTTTTATTATTATTATCCATGAAAAGTTTAATGATGATTCTTTTATATATATATTATATACATATACACGCACGCATGCATTTTCCTTTTGTATGAATTTCACATCAACTTTACAAACAATAAAAAAAAAAAAAAAAAAGATCTAATTCAATATAATATCATGGGTTTTTATTAATTTTTGACAAGATATCAACTATAGGGTTTTGGTATATTTCAAATGTGATAGTAATAAAAAAAAAATAAGTGTATCTATTTTCCATCATCCAAAGTCAAGGTATCCACATGTTTGCATAAATCCAATTGGGCATCCATAGATTGTCGTAGTTCTTGAATCACATTCTGACAGAAAATAATCACAGCCTTTTCCAACTAGATTCAAAAAGGACGAAAAAGGATGAGACCAATTTTTATTATTATTATTTGGACTTACCATGACAATGCCTTGTTCGGTTTTTCGAGCAATCAGAGAAGGATCAAAAGGATCAAACACAGTTTCAAATCGAAATTTACATGCCCTATATAAAATATATCCAGATGAGGCATATCATAATAATAATAATAATCACTTACGCTGCAAAGAAACGAAGATTCTCAATCACTCGATAGGTACGTCGGGTATCTTCATGAATTTTGTTGATAAATCCAAAAGGTCTTCGTGAACGCTTGACAATATTGTTGTAAACATGACATAATGTATTCCCGTTCCTATTTTTGAAATATATATATATATATATATATATATATATTAATTCAATGACATCCTGATAAAAAATAAAAATAGATACATACGCAAGATATTGCCAAAAGAGATCTTCATCATCATGAGGATCTGGAATGGGTGTAGTTGTGTCTGTACAATGATCCATTAAAAGTGCATGATATCGCCCTATGAATAATCAAAGTAAGAAACTCATATATATATATATATATATATATATAAAGAATACTATTATTATTAGTTTTTCTATCTTACCAATATCATCATTCACAAAGGATCCTCTTTCCAGCCAAATAGGTATAGTGTTTGTTAAAGAAGTTTGAATGGGTGTATCAGTAGGAGAAGTAGGTCCAGAGGCGGTTTTGACCATGAGAGCTTTGATTTCTTCCGTGAATACAGTAGGAGGACCACCAAGATGATGAGGAGGATTGAGAGCATATTTTTCCACGGTAGATAGGTATTGATGTATGACCTGACGTTCTTTATCCAAATGATGAAAATCAGAAGATCGATAGATATAACCATCTTCTTGGGATTCATTATTCTTGTCTTCTTCATCCAACCGATAAAGAGATTCCAGATCTTTGATGGCCGATAATAAAGTAAGCGCAGATTGTCGTAGTTGAGCCAAAGCAGTGTCGGATAAATCGTGGCGATACATGGTATAGTTCTTTACAGATTGAAGCATTTTGGTGACCGATTGTAATAAAGGTAAGATTTGAAACGTGGAATGATGAGCATCCGAAGTATCCGAGTCCACAGAATGATCTGATAATGACATTCGAGGTCCTGTTACCATGGCCCATGCTGTTAACGTTTGTTGTATATCTTGAAAACATACTTGTAGTAAAACATCCAAGTCGGTTTCTACATCTATTTCCTTCCAACTAGGTGGTGGTTGTTGTGGCGTAGGTGGTTGATCATCTATCTCGTCAGGTTCTTCCGAAAATTTGAATCCAAGTGTTCCTACTCTAATATATATATATATATATATATATAAGTGAGTTTATCCTTTTTCTTTTCTTTTGTTTACAACTATTACTTACTTATTCACAGCTAATTCCTTTTTTGCGTAAAAGTGTTGTAACCGTTCAATGCTTCCCAATGTCAAGACAGATGATCTTCTTTGGGCTGTAAATAGAGATAATAATATTAGTATTATGTGTCTTTATAAACAAACCATTCTCTTTTTTTTCCCTTTTCTTTCTATTTTTCTTTTACCTGAGCGAGCGAAACCTTTGATTTGTATACCATTGACAGGTTTCATATAACGTCTACCAAGAGGACTTGCAGCACGAATGATATTATCTGGACTAGGACTTTCTGGACGCCAGCCAAGTGAAGTGTTGGATTCTTCATGTAAAGTGGGTAATGGATCTATAGTATCAGGTTGAGTTGGGGTATCAAAAGGATGGTATGACATGACGTATAGATGAATAGTTTTGTAACAAAAAAAAAAAAAAGAGAGAAGTAAAAAAAAAAAAAAGAACGTTTCATCCAGGCGTCAAAAAAAAAGAGTTGAAAAGGGGGGAAGATTGATTTCATTTTCCGCACTTCAAATCAGTGTAGGCACATTGTCCATATGCAAACTCGAGACACGCGCCAAAGGAAAGCTGGGTGTGAACAAAAAGAAAAAGATGAAAACGGAAGATTTTTTGGATTTATTATTTTATATAGCATCAATCAAATAGGCAACACAAAAAAGTTAACTTAATTCACTAATACTACAACTCCGATCTATTAACTTTTCACTGGATGTTGTACTACCAATCCCATAACTGAAAGATGTTGTCTTTTTTAGTTAAATAGTATTATTGGATCACAAAGAGAAAATGATTAGATTATTATAAGTTTCAATTATCATACAGCTTTAAAAAAAAAATAAGAGATTTAAACATATATGATTTTTAGGGAGATGAATAGGAATGAATTACCTCATAAAGAGATAGAACAATGTCAAACCTTTTTTTTCCTTGGTTACACGGTCGTATTGGAACAATATATATATATAAAGCATCACTATCTAAAAAAAAAAAGAACAAAAAAAAAAACCTCTTTTTTCTTTCTTTTTTTTTTTTTAACAAAAAGAAGGAAACTCGTCTCTTTCTCTCTCTCTCTACCCCCCCCCCCATTCCACTCTTTTTTTCTTCTTTCTTATATATGATGAAACCTATTTCCTTCCTTTTCTATCTTTTCTATTTAACTGTTTTTGTGAATGCAACAAAACCAGTGATTAGTAAAAATCAACGTTATATTATCACGCTTAAACCTACGACTGATATTGATGATTTTATTCCCAATTTATTAAAGGGTATTTTCGATTTAATTGGTGATGTGATTGGTGATATTGGTGATCTATTGGATGGTGCTCATTTGGATAAACGTACCAATCCAGTTCATATTTTTGAAAGTTTTGATATTGAAGGTTCTTATAAGGCAATCAGTACCAAAATTGAAAAAAATGATCTTTTAGGTTCCATTTTGGGTCATTTTGATGAAATCACTTCTATTGTACCTGATGAAATCATTCAATTTGAATTACCTAAACCTCAATCACTTCATCGTCGTTATTATATGGTAATACTTTTATTATTAAATCCCGATCTTTTTTTCTAAATTTTTCTTTCTTTTTTTCTTTTTTTTTTCTTTTCCTTTTTTTTTTTTTTTTATTATTAGCGTAATTCTCCCATTGAATATGAAAGTCATATCACCAAAAATACTTCTTCCTCTGAACCTGGAAATAGCACAAAACCTCATGTTCTTCAACAAACTAATGCTCCTTGGAATCTTGCTCGTATCTCGGAACGAAAATTAGATACAAAGGCTCCTTATCTTTATCCTGATACTGCTGGGTAACCTCAAATGATATAGTTGTATAAATCATATACTTATCTTCTTCTTTCAATAGTACCGGTGTTCGTGTTTATGTTATTGACGACGGTATCAACAAAGATCACAAAGACTTTAATGGACGCGCTTCTTGGGGATACTCTGCTATTGGTGACGGTGATGATGTACTTATTGGTGGTGGCCATGGTAAAAAAAAAAAAAAAAATGATAACAATAGATACTTTTTTTAGTATAAATATTATAAATATGATTATTAAACAAATGTTCATATCTACATAGGTTCACATGTGGCAGGTATTATCGGCGGTGAACAGTTTGGTGTAGCAAAGAATGTTACCATGGTCTCTGTTCAAGTTCTTAAAAAGAATGGTCAAGGCTCTGTTTCTTCTCTTTTATCAGGTATTCAATGGGCCGCTAAGGATGCCAAAAAATATCCCAAAAAATCTATTGTCAACATGTCTCTTGGTGTCTCCTCTCTTGCTCCAAGTGCAAATACTTTGAATGATGCTATCACTGCTGCTGCTAAAGGTGGATTACCCATTATTGTTGCCGCTGGAAACTCTGGAACGTATGTATAACTATCTCTCATTATGATGGTAAACTTATTTTATTCCTTTTTGAACTAGTGATGCTTGTGACTATGTACCTGCTGGTAATCCTCTTGTTTATACAGTCGGTGCATCTGATAACAAAGATACTTTGGATCCCAAGAGTTGCTGGGGAAAATGTGTTTCTATTATTGCTCCTGGTAAAGAAAAAAATGAAAAAAAAGAAAAAGATACATCATTGAACTAACATCCTCTCTCTCTTTTTTTTTTTTTTTTGTATAGGTGTTAATGTCGAAAGTGATTATATTGGTGGAACGAATGCTACTGCTACCATGTCTGGCACTTCGATGGCTGCTCCTCATGTTACTGGTATTGCTGCATTGATTCTTCAAGATTTACATGACCCTACACCCAAGAATTTATTTGCTGCTCTTACAAAATACGCTACCAAAGGTGTCATTCAACAAAATCAACCTCACACTGTCAATTTACTCGCTTTCAACGATGTCACTTTATCCAAATCTGATAACACTACCACCAAAGCACAACCCAGCAAAAATAAAAAATCCACTCACAAAAAGAAATCTGGTTCCAAAAAGAAGAAGCATACTCCCAAGAAGCATGTTGCCAACAAAGACTAGAATATGTCATGGATTTGATTTAGTTTTACTCTCCTCTTTTTTTTTTATCCTGTACTTTTTATTCCTGTACTACTTTTTATTACAATAAAGAACCCTGTTTTCTCCCATTTAACCGTTTCTCTCCACGTTACACCAAGATCAATCACAGCAGCTGAATACACAATCAATGTCACCATGTGTCTAGAAGGACGGATCATTAAAAACACGTTGACTGTTATGGCATTTCATTTCTTTTCCGTTCGTACATTTTAATATCTAATAATATCTATTTATCATCATCATTATCATCAAGCAAACCAATCATCATCGTGCTTTTTTGTCGGAAATAATATGATGAGGTTAAACACTCACTATTGATTTCTTCAAAGTCCAATAGTCGTTGCGTTATCTTTTCTAATATTCTCAAGCAATCAACTCATCATCATCGTAGTACGCTGATATTTATAGAAATAAAACATCCATTACTGTTTTCATCATCACAATATCGCCCTTATTTGTAACTACATAAAACTTTTATTTATTATAGTGATGTCCACTACAGAAATAAAATCAATATTAAATGTCCTGTGCGCTTTGAAATCGTTTGCGAGTAAGAAAATTCAGTAGAGTGCTAGCATGGAATAATCAAATGACAGCTTCTACGTTGCAACTACATGATTAATGGAGACAATCGTTTTCGGCTATATAATCCGCAAGACCAGCATCTCGATAGTCCTTCAGGCATTGTTCGATTTCCTGCTGGGGTGAAAGAGATTGTGATGGTGATGGTGACGGTGATGATGATGAAGCTGCTGCCTTAGACAATTGACGACGGCAAATATTTATGACTATAACAGCAGTCCTTTGGAATCCAGCAGCAAATTCGTCCTCTATGCATTCGAAGATTTGTCCCATAGTTGGACAAGAGGGTGATGGTGATGGTGATGGTGACGGTGATGATGATGGAGCTGCTGCCTTAGCCATTTGACCACGGCAATCATTTATGACTTCAGCACTAGTCTTTTGGAAACCAGCAGAAAATTCTTCGTCTACGCATTTGAAGATTTGGTCCATAATTGGACAAGAGAGTGATGGTTGAAGTTCAAGAGAAAAACTGATAAAGGAAAGGATCAAGCAAAGGAATAAAATAGTGCGATAAATCATTGATTGTATAAATAAAATGTCTTTTTTTTTCTTTGGAAAGTTACGTATATTTATATCTTTTTCTTTCATGCGATGACTCCTGCTTTAAAACATCAAAACAATGGAACAAGAAAAAAAAAAGGTACAAAGCGATGCAGATCGTACTTGTATATCATGATATAAAAAGCATCCTTCTAAATGATCAGCAGGCGTAGCAGAAAAGGATACAGAGAAATAACGACTCCTTTTTTCTAGATGTTGCAGGGAAAATATTTGGTACATCCTTCTTCTGCCAAAAAAAAAAAAAAAAAAAAAAAAAAAAAAAAAAGATCAGCAAGTAAGGGGTTTGCATTGAATGTTATGTAAAATGTCCTATCGCAAGGTAATGCTCATGATAACGATAACCTTGATAGGATGATACCATCTTCATCATCTTAGGAATTATCAACTCATATGAAATCATACATAAATGGAGAAAAGGAGAACTAGTACGATATAAGAAACAGACAGAGATATATATATTTTTATTAAAATAAACAATAAAAATATGGATAAAATTGAGAATAAGACTAAAATAATAAAAAAAAAAAAAAACTAATTGTAATAATGTTTCAATATACAAGATCGTTTGCGACTTGTTTCCGAAGACATGATCTGACAGAAGCCTGGAGTTGAGAGGGTCTTTCTTTTCCGTTTGTCAAAGCGGGACGCCTGAGCGGCTGACACCGGTCTACACCACTCTTCGAATACATCTAAAACCATAAGAATCTTGTTCATATCCATCAAGTACTTTAATAAATCGTCCAGACTTCCGGGGATAGAGATGCGTTCCAGTTCCAGCATGATATATAATCCATCAGACAATAGTACCATCAGATAAAATGTAATAGAGCGCCCTAAAATAAGTCCACAAAATGGTGAAATATGAATACGATACACATCTGTCTTTTCGTAAAGTCTTACCCACGACTTGCATTCCAATGACTCCATCCATATTGCTAGTATCAATGCTGTTTTTGCCAAATATTGCTACTCTTAACAAATCCTTACATAAATAGTAATGATTGTTACCTTCGCTTGATGCTTTGGCTTCCCCAAAACCAGAATTGTAATCCCAATTTATCCCTTTCAAAGTCGTGATGCAGATATCGGGGCGTCGTTTTGAGATATTGAGTGATTTCTTTCCTTCCAGAGTAGTTTGATCAGTCCTAATTGCAAAGTAGTAGATTTTCTTTTAGTATGAAAGCCATTCCTCTATAATTATATATATATATAAAACTTACCATCGTAAAAATATACCAGCATCAGGGTCATCAAACAGGCCACAAAGCAAGGGATCAGCGTACCTTGTGCATAATTCGTTTTCTTTTACTTCTTCAACAATACCAGTTCGAGGGAGTTTTTCCAACCTAAATAACAATATATTACTAACTGACATACTAACATTTATAATGATACTTACAGCTTTGCAACTGATTTGATGAACTTGAATTGATTAGCAGGAACTTTTCCATCCATTAATAAAAGTTTGCCGACCGCTTGATATCTTGTCATATTTTCGTCAATCACATTCTAATGAATAATACGGTATCAGTCAAATATATATATATTGCTGAACAAAACAAGGTGATTGTCAAATTTTACCTGAATGATATTGATCATATCCGTTACAGTGCCGATGGGAAGCTTTGCCTTCTTAACGCCGAACATATCATTCAAATCGTCCACAATTGCTTCTAGTTGATCTTCGCCAAATATTTTCACCATATCATCAGGGTACCGACCATGTTTCAGGAACAAAATAGAGGAAGCAGCTCTACAAAATATTATAGAAAAAGAATGAGTACTTGATTACAATTTTACGGTTCCCTGTTTAATAACTTACAAAGCATGGTGGAGATGACTTTCTAATGGTAATTTGTGCTTGTGATTCTTGATGGATTCTTGAAACTCATAAAATGCACCAGAAACATCGAAACCATTAACGGTATAACGATCATCCGGCGCAGGCGACTTGAAGGATAATTGTGATGGATCCAATATATCTTCATCTTTTTGTTGTTGTGGTTCATCTTGTTCCTCATGATCTTTCTCTTGTAGGTGTTTTGGTTCTTCATTGTGATCCTGTTCTTGTAGATGTTGTGGTTCGTGTTGTGATTGAGGTTGAGGTGATTGAGACTGATGTTGATACGATGGAAGTGGCGCATGAGTAGCCAGAGTAATATTGTCACGAACGACTATATTGTTGCTGTTATTGCCATTACTGTTGTCATAGATTATAGTCATTCTGTCGTCAAAAGTATCAGCATCCACCTTCTTTTCCTATAATAAATATACGTCAAAAAAAAAAAGAATGTGAATATTCTAGTGTAACTTTCGTCAACATTTATTTGGTTTTACCTTGGTTTCTTTAATCAGACGTCCGATATAACGACGAATTTCTGGTGGAAGTTTCTTGCTATTTTTCAGAATAGAAAGATCATTGATGTACATGCGGTAAAGTGGATTGAGATTCGTCTTTGCTTGTCCAGGATTTGACCAACGACAGTACGAAGAATAATGCCAATCAGCTGCACGAACTTCTTTAAAGAAAGAGGATATTTGGATATCAAGTTCAGCGGGAATAGAATAATCGATGAACTCGTCTGAGAGCATATAGTTCGAAGAAATAGATATCAGATAAAGAAAAGGTGAGAAGTTTTTTTTTTTTTTTTTTTTTTTTTTTGCAGGAACAAAAGACAAGAGAGAGCGCGTGCCTCACACATTTACGTTTTTCATTTTTTTGCCAAACTCCGCCTGTGACTTTTTCCCCTAGACAAATAATATAAGAATTTATTTTTTTTTTTTTTTACTCTCTTAATTTTTCAAAGCAATGGAAATCATTTTGGAAGTTCGAACTTGCCCGCAAGGTGACCCCCGATCCCATCTGCTGAAGGACTATGGAAGGCAGATGCTTTCGCGTTCGACTCTGCTCTTGTTATGACTCGGCAGCTATCCTTGCTGCGACAAAAACCCTCGCCAAGTGGTAACATGATTATACTTTTATGTATTGGTAGTGTTGTTGCTTGGTCACGGTAGTCTACAGACAGATATTACTTCCTTGATGGTAGATGGATGGAAACTTGCCCGCAAGGTGACCCCCGATCCGATCTGTTGAAGGACTATGGAAGACAGATACTTTCGCGTTCGACTCTGCTCTTGTTATGACTTGGCAGCTATCCTTGCTGCGACAAAAAACCTTCGCCAAGTGGTAACATGATTATACTTTTATGTATTGGTAGTGTTATTGCTTGGTCACGGTAGTCTACAGACAGGGATTGTCCATCTACATATATTTCCGCTAATCTTTTTTTATCGATAGGTTTGTATACTAACAATTCCTATTTATTTATTTTTTTTTAATGATAGATGCATAATCAAAGATGACTTCCGTTGGCTATGGCGATACTTGCTTCCTCTCTTAGTTGATGTATTTGTTTAGGGCTCTTCTTTGTATTGACTTCATTCTTTTATTGCCATCAAATAAATCTCAAGCAAAATCAATTGGAAACTATTATCTTCAACAAGGTTTTTGTGTTTATCTTTATTACGTGTCAATAAATATGATATTTTATTTATCTTTTACTTTTGTTGCCTATTATCTCTTCTCTTATGCTAAGATGTGTGAACTAGATACAATACCACCACTGAAGTAAGCCAAAAAAAAAAAAAAAAAAAAAAGGACGATCACTATTGTTATTGATATTTTCTAACCTGTATTTCTTTTTTTTTTTTTTTTTTTTATCCATGTCTCATTTCAAAATTTATGATTTCGTCAAGCTTCTACCATCTACCTCAACAATCTTTTTTTTTCATCCTTTCTATTTTGTATTGTAGATCACCGCTAGCACTAAACGTAAGCCTAAAAAGAAAAAGAAAAAACGTGATGAGAGAAATCTAGATACATGAAAACTTACTACTGTATCTTTTCTGCCAATAGAGTACAACTAGATGATTATACAGCAGGGCTAGTTAATCGCATGCACATACAATAGGATCAAATGGAATGGATACATACAGTCAATAAGGACGAAGATTTAGGTCAATTGGATATACATCATCAAAAGTATCTTCATGATGATCTTCTTTTGGATTGATTCACCTTTTTTTTTTCTTCTGGTACTCATTGCGGTGATTCTTTTACTTACGGCTAGATGTTTTACGTATATAGTATATTATTTTTTTAATAAAGCCATATTCACATTTTTCTTTCCAGTATCATGATTATTGTTTTGATTGTATCATCATCATCCCTTTATCCATCATCGTTCGTCATGACAATACCACATTTATTTTTTATTTTATTTGACATTTGATTTATTACAGTGATGATCGCAACAATAATAAAAAAAGAGTGTATCTGTACAATCACACACATGGGTTCACTTTCGAGGTGGTTATAGGATAGTATTGACATTAGATTATGCTTCATTATCAGCATTAGAGCCAAACACAACTTTGACACATCGATGGAAAACCTCACCAACATTGGAAGTAGTAACACCGCTTGCTTTTACGCAAGAAATCACATTTTTGAGTTGATCATCAGTAGGTTGCGATGGTCCCATGTCTCCTGCTGGGGCTTGAATTTGATCAGAAGGTTTGGCAACACCAGTACCAGCAGTTTGAGGAGTACCAGCTGAAGTAGAGCCTGGAGCGGTAATGGGATTACTGGTAACAGAAAGAACCAAACAAAGGAATAAAACGGTACGGGAAACCATGATTATATTGATATGAGAGAATAAATAAAAAAAAAATTGGTGTCCTGTATTTATATTTTTTTTTTATCATTTTAATGTGAGGTCTCTTTTGAAAATCCAATGTAAGTATGTTCATCTATTTTTTTTTTCTACATTGAATCAAGAAGAAAGGAGATGATGCAGATTGTACTGATATTCCATGATATTAAAGATGAGCAGCATTTCACCCTTGTAATGATCAACATACATTATAGAAGGGGAAGGCTACTATTAGATTTTTGTTTGTATCATGCAAAATAACATTTGTCACAACCTTTTTTTTTTCTAAGAGATCAACAACGTAGGGATTGCATTTTACATCTCCTGGTATTAGGTTACTCCCGTATTTAAGATTGCCAGGATATAGAATCATTGAATGATGCTATGGTAGCATGATGATCATGGTTATGCAGGATGATGCTTAAATAACTTATGATGGTCATATAGCGTCATGATGATCCCAAAAGATCATTGAATTTTGACATAGGTAGATCGATTGCGTTTTACACAAAAAAAAAAAAAGGTGTGGATCCATTTTAGACAAAAACGCCATTGGCGAACCTCCTAAATTTAGAATTCTATTTTGCAAAATTGAATTTGAGAGTATCGAGGTCTTTTTTTTTTTTTTTTTTTTTTACTGGCTTATTTATCTACACTACTTTTTTTTTTCCTTTTGGTAACTTCACTGGTCTGTCTCTTGAATGATTCATCAAAAATGGAAACCGTTATCTTTACATTACAAAATCACAAGCGGGGTAGAAGTGCATCTCTTTATACCTTTGTAGCTCACTTGGAAGTGATCATCATTGCAGCAAATTCACACCAAACAAAGATGAAATCATTCTCTTTCGCTTGTATTAATAGCAATTTATACTTTAGCTCTCAATTTATAGAGCAAAATAAAAAATAAAAATAAATATTATCATTTCTCATCCAATCATGATCATCATCCAATAAAATGACTACCATTGGATTCCTCTCCAAAAAGTAGTTTAATATCATTTAATATCATTTTATCGCTTATCTTGCCACTTTACTATGAAATAATCATCAAAAGGATTTCATCGATTTTTTGAAAAAATGCCTGATGAGCCCCTGACAATTTATTTTTACAGCCAAAAGTTGGCTGAGGAATTTGAAAATTTTGGCTGTGAAATCAAAAAATCCATCTCATTTTTTTCATGCTGCATACAAGCTTGAAGAAAACTTTGACTTGATCTTTCTCATCAGAAGCCATCTTCATCGCATCAAATTTGAACAGAACATAGAACAAGCCATTTTCTTTTACATCTTATGCAATTTATAGATGATCATTGCATTTATGAAGTAAATTAAAAAAAAATGATCGTCCTTAAAATAAGTTTCGCATTTTAGCTGGTGAGTTTGAAAGTGTTATCCATAAAATCCAAAATCTTTTTTTTTCTAATCCTTCTCTTCCTTTCGTTCCTTATTTTTTTTTTTTTATCTCTCTTTTCTTACGGGGCTGTAGTATAGTGTGTATGTTGTTGTCCTCGCCGATTCGTGTTTATCATTAGGTAATATCGAAGAAAGAAAACAGAAAGTGATGTAGATACTAATCTATTTTTTACCATTCCTTTCTTTTTTAGATCCTCCATAGTGAAAGACAATGAACAACTGGATCATACTGGGGTGGATGCATATCTTTACCAAAAAGACGGGTATACATCAGGTTCAATTGAATGGAGATCATGAGCCTTAGTGAAAAGAAAAAAGGCGAGACCGAATTTAGAAACACGTAGTAGTTTAGCCATATCGTATATTATTTTTGTTTTTTTATTTAATAAAAGAAAGGTACGGTCCATATAATATTAAACGAATCAATAAAGAAACTATTTTACTTTTGCCAGTGCTTATAGTTGTAATTTATCATTCACTTATATCTTTTTTTTTTTTTTTGGCTCTCATTTTGCTTGAGGGAGTAAATGCAGAAAACTAACAGGAAGTCGCTCTAGGGATCATCATTTTACAGTACTACGGAGTTGAAAGTATAGATAGAGAATAAGCTATATCTCTGACATGAATAATAGGTGATGATGAGTGGAAGATGATAGCAACAATAACACTAAAACATGAATATCATTTTATTTTAAAAAAACGGAGGGGAGAGATTTACTGAACTGGAGGAGAAGGTGATTCATAAATGACAACCGCGTTATAGACTGCGCGCTCGGCCCCATTAACTACACAAGCTACATCAAGCTTCTCTACACATGCCACAAGTCCTGTGCTTTGTCCTGGGTTGGAAACTGTACCAAGTACGGGTTTTGAAACAACATCAGTCAATTGTGTTTTCACTGGAGCACTACTAACCAGGGCAATGCAAAGGGCTAAAGAAATATATAAAATAAAAATACGGCAAACCATATGTCACGTTGATATTCAACAGAGAAAACTTATTTTTGGTCTTCCATTTATATTTTTTTTTTTTTGGTCATGACTCCTTGTTCAGTCAATATGCAAAGCATCGTTTTCTTTCTTTTGTATATATATATATGTGTTGATGCATTTTGCTTGAGGGAGTAAATGCAGGAAAAAAGAAGAGCTAGATGTCACCCTACATCATTTCATATTTACAAAATGATTTGGAAGGGTGAATAAAGAAATAACTCCCTATGAATCATAGATGATGGATACTAAATAGATGGGTGACGATAACATCAATGATAAAATATGAATATCCATCTACTTAAAAAAAAAATAGAAGGAAGGAATGTAAACAACTCATAGTACTACGCAACACCACTGGAAGAATACACTGTAGCAAAAATTGTTATTATTAGAATGTTATAAACTCCAAAAAAATAGGACAAAATGTAAAAAGGTATTCAATAAAAGTTGGTTTATTATATATAAAAATAAAAAGAAATACATCAACGGCGTTCTACTAGTAATTCATGTTCATCACTACTGCTAACTTCATCACTTGATTCTTCATCCGATCCATCTTCCTCAGATTCAGTCGATTCGACTTCACTTGATTCATCGCCATCTTCATCACTGAATTCTTCTTCACTAGATTCCTCTTCACTGGATTCCTCTTCACTGGATTCTTCTTCTTCGCTAGATTCATCATAAAAGGCATCTAAATCGTAATCACCGTTTTTCTTCTTGACTGCTGAGGAAGAGGTATATGCATTGCCCATGGCTTCCACACCAGATAATGCTACCGATGCACCGCTGCCAGAGAACCCACCACGATCACCACGATATCGAGCATCGAAACTATCACTACCAAAGCCTGTCTCCGCTACCATTGTAGTTCGACTACCAGCCCATCCATCCAATTCTTCTACATCACGTACTGAGGGATCAGGTTGTTCTTCTGGGTAATCAGGTAATGGTTCATAACCAGGTAGAGGTTGATGAGCAAGCAAGGAGAGTGATCCGATGGTATAATCCAAGCCAGCTAGTTGTTGTTAAAAAAAAATTGTAGATTGAGTTCATTTCCATCAAAAGATGTCCTCTTCCCATGGTTAATTTATTTGTTTGTCTTTTTTCTTTTTTTTTTTTTTTTTTTTTTTTTACCTTCCATGTCAGTTTCAACAACAGCGAGTGATTTGTCGTTTAATAAGATTTGTTGAAGATGTTGTTTCAATTCATCAAGTCCAGGCTTTTCTTCAGTTGGAATAGTCAATGCACGAAGGAATCTTGCTCTATCTCTAACATCATAGTTGAGATCATATCTCGCCAAGTTGAGAACATATTGATTGAGTAAACTAAGGGTCGTATGTGTTGGGTTAAGACTGACAAGTTTACTTGATAGTGTAATGATTTGAAGTTTTGTATTATTTGTCTAAAAAAGTAATATGTTAGTAATCTTTGATCCTTTTTCTCATCAAGAGTATATATATATATACCTCGTTTGTAAAATTCTTGACGGCTTGACGTAATACATCAGGACCAACATGAGGTAAAGCTCCAGCATGTTGACCAACCAACCATAGAATATTTGCACGAGCAGTAGGAACCTTGATTGTATCCAATAACTTGGCCAAAGCAATCACAGAGTTCTTGTGTTCACTTGAATGATCCTTGAGAAGTTTTGTCACTACCAAAACTGATTCAGCAACAACCAATTCTATATGTATATTCAATGTAAATGAGCATGTTTTCTTCAATTATATAACTTTTTTTTTTGTTACCATTTGAGCTTCGTAATAATTTCATCAAAAGGCGAAGACACCTATCAGCAGCAGAAGGAACTATAGTGGCACATCTAGCAATAGCTTGAATGGAGGCAGCCACAAAATCCTTGTTTGGACTTTTAACATATTGCTATAATCGAAATAAAGTATAGATTCAGTACAATTTTTTTTTTGTTATTGTACTTTGTCATACCTGGAGTTCATTCAATAATACATGTATATTGGCATCAGTTGCAAGATTAGCAAGAATATTGAGTTTGATGTCACGGATAAACACTGGTTCTGTCGATTGTACATAGAATTGTTGAAGAAAGGGTTCAAACAAATACTAAAGAATAGATGAATGTATAATTAATTTGGATAAAATGCACACATATATATATACAAAAATATTCTTACGGGACGTTTCAAAGACATGGTGGCGATATTGGTCAACACAACATATTGAAGTTCACGATGATTTCGAAGGATTCGTACAAGTGGTTTGGCTACTTTCACAGCTTGAAAGGCAGGGGCCAAATGATAAAATAGTTTTGCAACAGCTAACACAACCTATGATATAAAAAGATTTCATCAGAATTAATCGTTCTCCTCATTTTCGCATCTTTCTTTTTTTTTTTTTTTTGATCTTACCCCGCTATTTCTACTTTGTAATAACGGTATACAGCTCTTAAGAAGTAATTCATGATCCTCATCTAATTCCAATATTTCGTTCCCATTAGTGGCTTCATCATCAGAAGAATCAGTATCAGAGTAGAATGCACGCGTCTTGATGGTGGTGGAAGTTTTGGGAGGTATACGTGATTGATCTTCGCCCTATTTGAAACAAATGAGATATGTAAGTTAATATATTGCAGATAGATGATAATGATGGAGTAGTACTTACATGTGGGTTGGGATTTAAAAATTGATTTCTATATAGATATCAAAGATGAAATATATTGAATAAAACATATAATAGAATAACATCCATCTTCTTCTTTTTTTTTCTATATTTACCTTCCATAACGTAACATAAGACCAAGAATAGCCATTTGTCCCCATTCATCACAATCAGGTAATACACCACAAAGTTTTCGGAAACATGGATGAATTAAATCAAATCGATTAGGACAAACTTCGTTGAATGCCATGATGGTACTGCCAATAGTAATGTTGGATCGATCTTTCAATAAGGTGGCCACTATTTCAATCAATGCATCTTTTTGAGAATCATCCAAACTAAGATAAATAAAGGAAATAAAGATGAGTATTACCAAATTTTTGATAAAAAAAAAAAAGTAGGCTTACCTATAACATTTTGGAATGGCATGAGCAGCTGTTTTGCGAACATATGGACTAGAATCAGTAACACATTTCTTGATTCCCAATAATACAATAGGACTGATGACAGGTACACGAATACCACTCATTACACGTAAAGCCATAGCACGAATGATTTGATTCTTGTCACTCAAATCTTTTTGAAATGAATTGATAGAGAGTAAAGCCAGATCAGGTTCTTGTTCAGCATATCGTAATAAATAAATATAGACCAGTTTTCGTACTTCAATATTTTGAGAGACTACATTCTTGACCACATCAGGAAAGAATTCTGAAACATCACGTCCTTTCGAAATCATCTATAACAAAAATAAATGGAATTAGCCACATTCTCTTCTTTTTGAGTACATTCATTGTTTTTCTTACAGCAATCAGTCTTTTCAATCCATCCAATTTTTCTCTATCATTTTTTGAATCCAATTGTCGTTTAATATTTCGCATTTTTTCTTCAGAAGTGTCAAAGTATTGTGCGCCAGAATCGCCACCACCAGGAAAGCCAAGTTCTCTTGCGTTTTCCACCAATCCTTGAGACATCTTTTGAGATAGTTTGGCTGCATTTTCTGCAAAGTTCATAGCCTTGTTGATATAATCAGATACTTCCATTGTAGTTGATTTGTTATCGTTGTATTATTGTATAATAAGAAGTGAGTAGAATGATAATAGGTGATAATATACTGTTGAAAGGAAGAATACAAAAGGGATGCAAAAAAAATGAAGTATAAAAAGAAAGAAAAGGAATAAATAATATATATTTCTAACTAACAAGTTTGAGTATCTACTAGGTAAGATGGAAGAAGGAAGACTTTGATGGCTTTACAGAATGTTAAACGAGGGAAAGAGTGAAAAATAGATGTGGCCCAAGTGGTGGAAAAAAAAAAGGTGGACGGTGTTTAAAATAAGGATAGTTTCAAGTTTCGTATCGTACATTTTTATTCAAGACGTGTATGTTATGTGTATGACAAAAAAAAAAATCAAAATAAAAGACACCAATAAAAGAAAAAGAGTAAAATAATCCAAAGAATGTATATGTATGTATATGACATTGAGTGAGGCATATAAGGGGAGAGAAAATATAAAAAAAAAAACTATAAATATGTATAAATGACTATTTCTACATATCATCATCACTAGCAGCTACAGCATCACCTTCATCTTCATCACCACTAACAAGTTCATTTTCCTTTTCAGCTTGAGCCAATAGAGCAGCAAAGTCCTTGTCATCTGTTTCAGATACCAATTTGGCTTCCTTTTCAACCTTGAATCTTGCCCATTTATGGCTTTCCAAACTTTCCTTGATAGCATTAATGGCTTTTTCCATAACATTGAATCCAACAGACTTTTCTAGGGCATCTGCAGTAACAACATATAATGGTGCTGCCAAATATGTCACCTTGACAGGTACATCAGGAGTTGATTCATTTTCACCAGCTTCCAAAGCAGCCTTGATAGCCAAAACACCATCCATACCAGTACATCTAAGATCAAGTTCTATATTTCAAAATCCATCAGTCTCTATTTCTTAATATATATATATTATCACTTACGAGCACGGATCTTGACGGGTTGAGGAGTCATACGACGTTTGATGTTGTTGATTAATTCAGTACGAACAGCATCATTCATTTCAATACCTTCGAAAACAGCAGCAGGGTCACTATGTCATACAAAAAAAAAATTAGTCAAAATGGCTCATACTCTGTCATTCTATATATATATGACGAAGGGACTTACGCAATAGCAACTTTGAAGGCATCATAAGCATGACCAAACTTTCTATATAAAGGCCAACCAACAGATTCATAAAGGTCCTGAAGAACAAGATCATGTTTTTCAGCAACATGACGTAAAATGGAATGTACAGCCTTGGATTTGTTGAATTTTTCTTCACATCGAGCAATGTCTTCAGGGGTCACACGACGTTTAGAAAGATCGATATAACCTAATTCATTAATATTTAAAAAAAAAAGACAAGTTGAACATCAGATCAAGTAGGTCATCCAAATAAACAAGTATTGCATCTAAAGCAGTAAAATCAAGTTCCAATGTCTTTTTTTTTTATTCTTACCCTTTTCTTCGTCCACTCTGAGTACGACCACAACTTCGTTACGTCCAACACGAATAAGTTTTTGTACTGATCGAATACGTCTTCGAGATAATTCAGATAAAAGGATCATACCTTCCCGATCCCCATATTCGAGCTATTAAGATATATATAAAAGTCAGTATGTTTATAATGACGTTGTTCTTGATGCTTACCAAACGAACGTAAGCACCCATATCAGCGATTTGTCGAACGTTGACCATGACGACATCGTCGACTTGGGGGAATTCATTTTCGTACATGCGACAGTGGAACTTGTCACTCATTGTTGTATACTGATGAAAATAAGGGATAAAAAAGAGAAAGAAATAGTTTTCTTGCTTTGCCGCGTTTAGTTTTTTTCTTTTTTTTTTTTCTTGGGTGGAAAAAAGTCACAGGTGGGATTTCAAGTCCGTTCATCAGGATTTTTTTTTTCTTTTTGGACCCTGTCGCATACCAAAAACTCCAAGAGTGAAAATTGTATGATACAGGTATAGTTGATCGTTTTACTACTATACTTTTGTATTTAAAAAATGATTTATATCTTAATAATGGATTTTATTGATTTTAGTGAAAGCATCAAAAAATCATGTTTAAAAATTCACAACCTTCTCTAATTGAATTACCGACGGTTGGCCCTAGTGCGGCTTTTTATCGTTCGATCATATATTGCCAACTTTTTCTTTCTTTCAACACTCCTTTTTTTTTCTTTCCTTTTTTTTTTTTTTTTACATTTTTGTCAATCAACAGGATTATCTTTTTTTTTATTATTTTGGCTTGGACATATCTTTATAGAAGTATATCATCCTCATGTCCTTGGCGCCAGAAGTAGCAGATGTTACCAACAATACCGGAAGTTCACAACCAAAGATGGGAAAACGAAATCCAGGACTGAAACTTTCACCTCAGCACTTGCAAACGGCATCATCTAATGGTACTTCGCCTGGTGGATCTCAAGTCAACAACAACAATACTCTACGAGAAAAGATTGGTCATCTCATGGGAAGTGGTAACAGTACAGGATCCAATGGTGCTCCTTCATCAAGTCCTGCCCATCCTGGTTCTATTTCTGCTTATTATGGAGGACCAGTAGAAGAGGAAACATCATTAGCCGCTTCCTATCTTGCAGCTTCACAACAACAAAAGCAATTACAACTTGATCAACAGGGTGACGATACCAACATGGAAAACCAGAATAGTGCAGGTCCATTACCTGTTCTGCGGGCTCCTCCTTTACCACCACCATCAACAGTCCAACAACTTACGGATACCAATAGTACAGCACATACCATTCAACAACCCCTTATGGATACAACAGAATTGGATCCCACTATTCCTCATGATGTGCAGGCCAAAGATCTAGAAATATTGAAACGATTAGGCGAGGGTGCTGCTGGTACAGTACGCAAGGTTATTCATAAACCATCCAATCTCGTCATGGCGAAAAAGGTAAGTGAACATATAAATGGTGTTACAAAAAAAAAGAAGCGGAGGATAATTCCAAATGATTTATTTTTATCTTCTTTCTTTTTTTTTTTTATCTATCTTTATAGTCCATCTCAACTGATCCCGACCCAGCAGTTCAACGACAAATCCTTCGAGAATTGGCTTTTTTAAAGACATGCAACTCTCCATATATTGTTTCTTTTTATGGTGCATTCTTAGATGAAGGTGAAACAACAGTATCATTATGTATGGAATATTGTGAAGGTGGCAGCTTACAAGATATTTATACTCGTGCTCGTGATCGTGGTGGTGTGATTGGTGAAGCTGTATTGGAACGTATTGCTGAATCTGTATGTAAAGGCTTGGTTTACTTACATTCAAAACGAGTCATTCATCGAGGTAAACAAGAAAAAAAGTAAGTTGATCAATCTTATCTCTTAACTTTATTTTTTTTTTAAATAGATATCAAACCATCGAATATTTTGGTGACAAGAAAAGGGGAAATCAAATTGTGTGATTTCGGGGTATCTGGTGAATTGATCAATTCTGTAGCAGAAACATTTACTGGAACTCAATATTACATGGCAGTAAGTGGAATAATGAGATAATTTTTTGACGGTCTACTAACATTATTTATTTTAATCATGATGATTTAGCCGGAACGTATTCAAGGGAATGCTTATGCAGTACAATCTGACATTTGGTCTTTAGGTCTGACATTGATTGAAGTTTCTCAAAATGAACCTGCTTTACCACCTCCTGGACAACCTGATTTATCTATCTTTGAATTATTGGACTTTATTGTTCGACAACCTGTACCAGTTATCAAAGGGGATCATATATCTGATGCTTGCAAAAACTTTGTGGCTATTTGGTAAATGCAAAAAGATAGAGAAGAGAAGGATTGAACTTAACACTAAGTTCTATTTTTTTTTTTTTTTAGTTTGACCAAGGATCCTTATCTACGACCTCCACCTGCAAGAATGTTGGAACATCCATTTATCAAACGATGGGAAAACTGTTTTGTTGACATTGCACAGTTCGCCAAAGAAGTATGGGGATGGTAGTTTAGTTTAGTATGATAGTTGTCTTTTTTTTTTTTCTAATATACAAAAGTTGAATCAATAAAATTGAAAATGTATATATGATCCATATACGTAAACTGTATACATGCTTTGTGTTATAAGGTAAGAACAAACAAAAAAAAAAAAAAAAAAAAAAAAAGAGGGGAACACTTTATTCATTGGGAATAAGATTAAATCAAATGGGAAATATCAACAAATGATGTTGGTAAATACATATACCTTTATTCAATGAAAATATATCATCCAAACAAAATCAAAAGGAAAGAATAAAGAAGAAAGTTGAGTAAGAATAAAAAGGATACAAATGTTTACAATAGCAGTATTCATGGAATAGTCTTTATCATTTACTTGTTTTAATATATATATCATTTGCCAATAAAGAAAAAACAAATAACATTCCATTACTGAAAAACAGATATTGCTTTTGTTGCAGTCAATTTATCTACTCAATTCTGGAGGTCTACTAAGATATTATCCAAAAAAACTATAAACGAAGTGTTTTGTAAATATATATATCTTTATTCAAATCATATACATCCAAACAAAAAAAAAGAAGTGAAGGGGATATGCAAAAGAGGACTGGAGTATCTTCATAAAATCATTGGAGAGGGAAAGAGTAAGAGTGAGAGGTAAAGAAGGTCTTGTCATATATCATCACTAGAATAATAAAAAAAAAAATAATAGAAATGATATTAGTAAAACAATCTTCCCTTCTTCATAATCAAAAAAAAAAAAAAAATAATAATTATTATATTTTGTATACTTACGAAGTTAACACCAATCAAATAATCAGCCAATCCTTCAACAACCTTGGTACAGGAACCGGGTTGAATACCTTCCTTGTAAACACCAATAAGAATAGCTTGATTGGTTTTCACAACACAAGCACCATCAGCTCCCTAAATATATAAAGTTGAATGAGATAAAAGAGAACACAAGATGAAACAGCCACTATCCCATCCTTCGTTTCTTTTTAGTCTGTTTACCTTTTTGGCGTAGATGGAACGGTCATCAGCTCGGAGAGTAAGATACTTGATACCATTGATATGGATTCCACTGGCTTGTATAGCATCAGAGTCACTGAAGCCCTTGATGAGTTCATTGATTTCAGGGGTAGATAACTAAGATGGATAACCAAAGTACACGCGTTAGTTTTCTTCATCTTTTTTTTTTTTATTATTTTATTTTACCTTGAAATTAGCAGAAGCGGCCCAGAGAGTACCGTTCAAACCATAGATAGCAGCTTCGGACACTTGACCAGTGCCAATGAGATTGTTATCGACATATTGTTGCCAAGACATGTTGTATACAGATGAAAATTGAAATAAATATAAAAAGAAAACTAGATGAAAAAGAAATACAAAAAAAAAAAAGTTGGAGAAAAAAAAATATAAAAATAGTTACTGCGGAGAGTAAAATGCACGTTTTTCGAGTGAGTCCAGTCCCCTTTTTCAAGCTAGAAACGCATGTACATAGATATATGTCAAATCATTTCAATATCATGTCAAACCAAAACAAGAAATGAATCATTCATACTGATTGATCTGATTCTTTTTTATCAGAGAAAAAAAAAATGAAAATGAAAATAATACAGTATAAGAAAGGGATTGGCCGAATTGGCGTGACCCACGTCGCGGCGATTAAATGCCTTACAGGACACACACACACACACACAGTTTTATGATGGATGATGACGTTGATGATGACACTAGTGACAAGAAACGATGATGAGCATGATCATGTTAAGATGGATGATGACATTACCGTTTGTTGTTATCATTACTGTTATTGTTGTAAATATGTTCCTACTTGTGCAAAAAGTAATTATCGGCGACTAGGTTCATAATGTGTAAATGAATCATATACTGCAATGTTGTACACAAAAAAAAAAAAAAAAAAAAAAAAAAAAAAAGAGGAAGAAAAGGGGAAACAATTAACTCATCCTTTCAGCATCCCATCCAAGTTGACTTTTTTTTTTTTCTCGGCAGACTGCGGATGAAACAGGTACATTTTTTCTCCCAATGATGCATATATGTGGCAAACCGTGTGTTTTCTATTATTGTCTTTTGACCTGCTGGACAAAAAAAAAGAAATGTGGCTAGGATATCCCTGGGTACCTTTTTTAGTAATCATTCTATTCTCCACTCCCTTTTTCCTTGATTGTACTATTTAATATATAAATATATAAATATATATATATGTATATATAACTAATGATGAGTATGACGATGTCATCTATGCATAGGATGAATAATCAAAGGCGGGAAAATTTGAAGATGCAACTAAGAAAAAAAGGATGAATTCGCTCAGCAAATATAAGTCGGTCAATGATTTGTTCCCGTTGGCTGGTCATTCAATTGAATGTAATTTCTGGATGTATTCATCCTTATCTTCCCCTGATCATCATAATTTCCCGGTTTATTATTGATGAAAAAAATAAATGAGCAACTTCTCCGTAGTCAATGAGCGGGACATGGTTTATCGCATCACCGCAGCTAAGAATAATTCTTGGATGGAATCGTTTTTTTTTTCAAGCCCGGTCTAAAAAAGGCAATGACTTTTCGTTCTGTAGGGTTTTTGATGAATCACAAATGATAAAATAAACGATTTACCTTAGTTAGAAGAATAAAAAAAAACGCACAGCACAGATCACTCGTCTATTTTATTTTTAAACCAATGAATCGAACCTAATCGAAATAAGAGGAAGGGAAGGGATATCTTTTTTTTTTCCCTATCCATCATACCCCACAATCCAATGCCTAGAGAACACAACTTAATAGATCTTCATCACACGCACACTCAGTGGCAAAGTTCATGCCAATATTTTAACCCGCTTGATTTGATTATAAAAGTGTCATCTCTCCTCTCTTTTTTTTTTCTTTCTATTTTTATTCTTCATCTCTTTCTTTTCTTTATTTTATACTTTTCTCAATTTCTTTTATTTATTTTTTTTTCTATTATCATGAGTTATCAATGGTGTTACTCTGCTGGCTCTTTATGGGTCCCATTTGATAATGGAACTCAAAGTCTTATTGAAAATTTATGGCGACAATCTACAGCAGCATGGATCTACGTAGCTTCTTTCCGGGGTCAAGCTTATGTCAATGGACCTGGTCTTTACGTTCACTATGGGGGTAACAATTACTCTATTGCTCGACGTTGCTAAATCAATGACAACAAATCGTTATGACAAATCATTCAATCTGTCCTCATATACCCATATATAGATACACTTTCCCTTTTGTACAAACAATCACTACATATAAATCAATCACTTAAATACACTGACATTTTATAGACTTTTTTTTTTATTTTTCGTTTGTTATAATAAACTATTTACATATATATATAAAATTATGGATCAATAAAACAAGTGGAAGGGTTCAGATCATGATGCCAAGGGATCTTGTTCGTAAGGAATAGGATCGTCCTGAAAATCTATTTCATCCTAACGAAACAAAAAAAAAAAAAAAAAAGAATCATGTTAGCAAAACATGTGCCATCCAATGGTCCCTATTTGTTTATTCTTTTCTTTACAAGTAATTCATTTTTTTTAAGCGGTAGGTTTTCCAAGATAGCACCCAATATTTCCTTGAACTATAAAGACAATGAATTAGTCTTGAAATGAAAGAAAATCATCTTTTTTTTTTCATTACCAATTTCCTGCGTTGTAACCATAATTTTCGATGAGATACTAAGTCTTGATTGATTTTTTGAATTGATTCTGGGGATATCTGTACTATGCCTTGTTCCTTGAATGTCTCTAACTGTGATTTCATTGTTGTATTCAAATTGATAGTTTCTTCCAATAGAGTCTTGGCGTCTTGTGTTTTGGGAGTAGATTTCAATTGTGTCAATTCTATGCAACATGAAGGGTGGTACGTTAACATCATAGTCGTCATCAGGCACGTGTCATCCTATTTTTCTTTCTTATTTTTTTTTTTTTTTTTTACTTACTTTGTCGTCGTTGTCGATTCTCGTTGTTGAGTTGGTCCAGTTGTTGAGTTAACCTGTCTCGTTCCTGCTTCATTGCTTGTCCATCATCACCAGGAGAGTCTTCCTATTCCATCAATATCAATCAATATTTTCTTCCATAGTCCCCAACATATCATCCATTTTTTTTACCTGTTTAATAGTATATATCACTGTTTTTCCAAATGTTTTTGAAACAACCAATTCCTGATCCAAGAGTTTATCGAGTGTTTTGCCAAGCGTTGTCTTTGTATATTTACCTTGAAGGTGATTACACAGGTCGGCTTTCATTCAACAACAAAAAGGATCATGAGTATAATCAAGTCAAGGGTATCATCTTTTCATTCATACTTACTGGCGCTGTAAGGTCGGTTCACCTTTCGTAAAAACTGTAAAACATCTAATATGACATAAGAAAAAAAAAGGGTGAGGCGCAGTAAAAAAAAGGGGGGAAGTCAAATTAATGTTAATAAAAGAACAAACCCATTCATATCTAGACAAGACTTACCATTGTTATCAGTAGAAGAAGATGAACTTGGTTTCTTTTTGGCCATTGAAAGAGAACAAAGAAAGAAAGGAAGGAAAAAAAGGGAAGGAAGAAAGAGCGCGACAAGGGGAAAGCACTTGGCTTCGAAAGACAGGGTCTGGCGATTGAAATTCGCCGCCCGCTGATTGGCTCAGAGTCCACTGATAGCTCATTTTTGTAGTAGTCCATTATGATTAACGACAGACAATTAATAATAGATAATTAATAATAGATGATGAATGGTAAATGATGTGTTGATATGTATGATCATAATGGATGAAATATGATGACAGATGATGATGAATTCTATGAAGACTAATGTATCTAATGAGGGATAATCCTAAAAGCTGGAAGCAAGTCTTCTTATCTTATTAGAATGTTGGTGGTTGATTGGCTCCAATGGGCTATTCTTTTTTGTTTTCTTCTGACATTCTAATATCAAATGCTCTTTTTTTTTTCTTTAATGTTACATTCATGAATCATCCATCCATTATTCATCAAGTATCTTTCCATTAATCATTATCTACAGAAGATGATCGTACTTTTATTCTACAATTATGATATGATGAATGTGTTGGCAACTTCAAATTCCATCCAAAGAAAGAGGTTACCATTCATCTATCATTGCTGTGATTCTTGTCGGGTATTACATGTTACAAAAAGCGCGGATTTGCCCTGTCAAAACCATGTGAAATTAAGAAATGGAGTAAATAGGTTCAACATGTTTTATCATCCAATGACATTGGCAGTATTTGATGATAAATCTTGGGTATTGCCAGATAATCCTTTTTGGAGGATGAGAAAAAAAAAAAGATAACCCTTTCAATTTTAGATCCCATGATGATGTAACAAGAATATAGTTGTATGTTTTTATTCACAAAAAAGGTACATAAATAATATATATATAAACAATGAAGAGAATGAAGAAATGAGAGATGAGGTTTGTGTATACAAAAAAATAAATCTAACTATTGAATTATTATTACTACTACTACTACTAATATTACTATCGTTGATGCAATACATATCGCATATATAATTCATCTACAAAATGACTATGTCGGATACCAGGAGGTCTAACATCGGCAAAGGCTTTTAAGGCATCAGGTACAGAGACACCTAAACGTTCAATCATATAACAGACGATAAAGAAACCAGTCCGATTGAACCTATAAAATAATAAAATATATATATTTAGAAATCCTTTCATACGACGACTTTTTTTTTTCTATTTCGAGTCTTACCCATAATGGCAATGCACGGCAATCTGGACATCTGGTCGCTTTTCCCAACAGTCTGCTGCTAATTTGATAAATCGATCGACATCTTCTCTTGTTGGTGGAATTTTGGATACGGTTCTGAACTTGATGTATTCTATGGTAGTATTGTCAAAATCACTTGTACGATATGGAGGAGTATCCTTGGAAAGATCAATAATAAAGCCAATTTCAGGATATTTTGCTAAAAAGGCAGGTGGACAGTGTTCAGTATCAGTTTGTCGCATTACTTTCATAGCTCTAAAAAGAGAAATACCAATAGGACCACTGGTAATATCTGCTGTACGGGACCACTATTTTTATGTCGAGTTAATCACAAATGATCAGTTTTTCCTCTTTTGTTTTAATAATACCTTTTCATAGTTCTTGAGATCCCATTTATTTTCACCTTTAGTCTTGTTTAAGATTTGCCATTCTCCACTGAGAGTGTGTAATCCACAATTGTTGATCAAAAATTCAGATATAACGGGATTCACTAATTCAGGTTTGACAAGCATAGGCATATGACCAACATTGGCGATCACATAAGGTTCAGGTACACGTTTGAGAGCTTCGGTTGAATCCATATGGGTTGATCCATTGGCCATCAATAAATGTCCACGAATCAAGTTCATATCAGAAGGTAAAATGACTTGATCCTATGTTAACTAGTTAGTCTCAAATTCTTTTTTATTTTATCTTTTTCCAAACACTTTTACCTCACTTCCACCAATCAATAAAACAGCAGACTTAATTTTTTGATAGACTTGACGATCAGGAAAACAAGCACCACAAACAATCCTTTTATAAACTGATGTTCGACTAGCTAAATTCCATTGCCATTGTCTAAATCATAAAAAAAAAAAAGAATAAATAGATTATTTTATCACATTATTGTATTACCTTTTCCTTAAATCATCAGGTGCATCATGTCCAAGTAATCGTCCAATGCTTGTACTATAGAGTCCTCCTCGTCTATCAGCAGTTCTAGCAAAATCGAAGATCCAATCTGGTACCCATCGTAGTTTTTTCAATCCTTTGATTTGTCTTTCATCCATACGATCCTTTGGTGAGATCAAAACCAAAGCTTTGATTCGACTTTGCAAAACAGGGGAGGCAGCGATAAAGGTGGCTATTGAACATCCATAGGAATGAGCAATGATGACTGTGTTGGGATTTCTATATCGATCCAATAGTAATGTTTCAATATCCTGTACTAGAGAAGAGGTAGTATAAGGTTCCCACCTATAGAAACAAATATATATATAAAGAATGAAAGATTAGTTGTCATGATATAATAATAAAAGTCTGTTGTTAATTTACTTTGAAGAAACTTCACTTTTTCCGCAACCCAATAAGTCAATCGCTAATACATGCGCTGTTTGAGAAAAATATTCCAATTGACGTTGCCATTGAGCCACCTATAGAAGAAAAAAAAAGATAAGTATTGATAAATGAAGTACTCATTTTCTTACCTGTCCACCTAAACCATGAATGAAGACGATCAAAGGGACTTTACTTCCTAATTCATGAATAATATGGACGATCCGTAGTTTGTGGTCGTTTATTTCAACAAATTGAGTATGATCGGTAATGATAGACGGTTCAGCTATAATAATAATAATAAAAGTAAGTATCATTCTTTTTTGATTTGTAGTATCATACATAGTTCCAATAGTTGTTTTTCCATATCCCGTTCTTTGAGATCACGTTGGCATAAAAAAAAACTAATACGTTCCCAAGCTCGTCGTTTAAGTCGTTTTGGATCCTTATAAATACAATAAATGCTGGCCAATACAGTAATGACAGCAAAAGTCTTGACCATTTGCCTTTTTTCCATATATAACATTGTTGGTCAAGGAGAAAAAAAAAAGAAAGAAAGAAAAGTGGAAAAACCTTTGGAAGAGACAGAAAACATTGGAATTTTAAAATCCGCCTTTTGCTGTTGGTATTTGCTTTCCTGTGCTGTTTTATTCTTCTTATTGGTAATGTTATCTTGGTTACATTCATTGCCCGATCAAATGTGGGGTAACAATTTCCAATAAACAAAAAGTTGGTATGACTGCAAAGAAAAAAAAAAAAGGTGGATATTCACTTATGCGTTCAAATTACCCTTTTAAGGTAACATGGTAAATCAATAATAAACTGTAAAACCACTGATCTTCCCGAAGAGAACCAAGTCCAATATATAGTTATGAACTTTAATGACGCTATCTCTCAAACAAACGGAGTATTAAAGATCAAGTTTATTTGAGACTTCTTTTTTTTTTTTATATATTTTACCACGCAAAGAGTAAAGTTTTACTTTGACGAATAACAACACGATAGCTTATCGTTTTAACCTTTTTTGTGTTCACAGTCAGATTACCAGATCAATAAAGTTATGGTTGATTTATTCTTTCATTGTTCAATATAAAGGAAACTTATTAGTCATCTCAACCAATAGTGATCATCCTTTTTTATTTTTTTACATTTTCATCATCCTTTTTGTTTGTGCCTTGATGCTTTATCAAAAAATAAGCAGGATTTTATTATCTTCTTGTGTACATCCATGGTAAATGCTTGGGAAGGAAATGCGAATCTTTTAACTCCGCAATTCCTATAAAATTAATCCATTTTTCACTTTTCCTTTCCCTTTCTTTCCTTTTTTTTTTTTTTTTTTTGGTCTTTTCTACCTTTTTTTTTATTTTTTTTTATTTTGTTTTTTTTTATTTTGTTTTTTTTTTAAAAAAAAGAAAGAAAGAAAGATTATTATTTCACTTGAATCCATTATTTTATTTAAACCATCACAAGACATTTTATTGACTACCCCAAATATACCATGGTAATGAATTGTCCTTTTTTTTTCCCACACAAAATGTATCTCACAGAAAAAAAAAATTCAAGCCTCGCTCAATGATTCCTTTTTTTCCTTTTTGTTTAGTCTGATATAAAACACGACGATAAGGTTGTATCACTATCCGAAAAGGGTAGCACTGTCAGTAAAGATGACATTGATTATGACGCACAAAGGTTGGAAGCTTTGGGTTACAAACAAGGTATTTCTTTCTTTTAAATAATCTCTTTTTTTTTTTTTTTTTTTTTTTTTTTTTTTTTGCTAATATATACATTTCCTAGAATTCAATCGAGAAATCAATCAACTTATTCAATTTGCATTTGGTTTTGCTGTGGTGGCTGTTTTGCCAAATTGGTAATGCATGAGATAGATGAAAAAAAAAAGAAAATATCAATCTTTAACCTTATTTTTATATTAGGCTTCTCAATTTTGGTTCAAGTCTTGCTGCTGGCGGCCCTGCTTCTATGTTTTTTGGTTGGTTGATTGTTTCTCCTTTTGTCATGTGTATTGGTTTGGGTATTTCTGAAGTCATTAGTGCTTATCCTGTTTCTGGTGGTGTCTATTCTTGTAAGTTCTTTCATGGAAGATAATACTTTATCGTCTAACAAATTATTTTATTAGGGTGTTTTTTACTGACAGATGAAAAATGGGGACCATGTAAGTTCATTAAACAATCTTTTCTTTGTTCTTACCATATTGATCATCATTTTTTTTCTCTAGTTGTTTCTTGGGTGGCTGCGTATATTAATCTTGCTGGCATGATTGCTACTCAGGGTACTTTGGCTTGGTCTTGTGCATCCTTCATCTATCAAATCGTTGCTATTCAAACTGGTGTTACCATAGATAATCTTGGTGCGTATGTGGGTCTCTACTGTGCTATGCAATTCGTTGCCACTTTCTATGCCTTCCTGGGTCTAAAATTCAGCGGGTACTTGAATTATTTTATGAGTAAGTTTATTTATTGCTTTTGTCAAAAGTATTGACTAACTTTCTTTCTTTTTTTTTTTTTTTTTTACAATATATATATATATATATACATAGTCTTTTGGGTTGGCATTGGAACTGTCATTGTGATGCTCGTTCCTGTCAGTAAGTAAAAGTAGAAAGGATGAATTTATCAATTTTCTCACAATTGTTTCATTTAACTAGTCATGGCAAGAGATCACCTTCAGAATGCGAAGTATGTATTTACTGGCTTCATCAATCAAACTGGTTGGGAAAATGATGGTTTGGCTTTCTTGTTGGGACTCTTACAAGCTGGATGGTGTCTGGTAAATTTATTTACACTAATTTATTTTTAATAATCGAAAACTCACTCTCTTTTTTTTTTTTTTTTCTCATAGATTGGTTATGTTGCTCCAGCTCAACTTGTGGAAGGTACTAAGCGTAGTGATATTACTGCTCCTCGTGGTATTATCTATTGTGTGATTGGTTCTATTGTACAAGGTCTTATTTTGATGATTCCTACCTTATTTGCCATTCAAGACGTGGATGCCTTACTGGGTTCTTCTACACCACTTGCAACTTATTTCCAACAAACTACCAACACACCTTTGTCAGTTTTCTTGATGGTGATTCTTCTTGTTGCCCAATTTGGTTCACTTGCCAATAATGCACTCGCTATTGCTCAATTATTATGGGCTTTATCTCGCGATGGTGTTATTCCATTCTCCAAATTTTGGTATAGATTGAATCGATTTGATATTCCTCACCGTTGTCTTATTTTGGAACTTTTAATTGTTGTCGGCATTATTTTACCTGTAAGTTCTTTTTCTTGATGATGAATGATGAACGATTTCTCATTGATCTTTTTTTTTCTTTTTCTTTTTTGGAATTAGGCGTTTGGTTCACAAGTTTATTGGACTGCTATCATGTCGACAGCTGTGATTTGTGTCAATGCGTCATATGGTTTACCTCTTTTCTGTCGTATTATTTGGAAACCCAAACTCAAACTCGAAGGTCCTTTCAAATTAGGTAAACTCAGTCTTCCTATCAACTATATTGCAGTCATTTGGATTATCTTCTTCAGTGTGATTCTCTCTATTCCTCAAAAGATGCCTGTCACTCCCGAAAATATGAACTGGACTTCTTTGATGATTGGTGCCGTTGTGATATTCTCTCTCTTCTTTTGGAGTATCAGTGGTAAAAAGTTTTACAAGGGACCAATGCAAAATATTCATGAGTAGAACTCTTCTGGTCACCTTTTCCTTATTTACCTATTCCATTATTCCATTCATTATATATTTCCTATCCACTCTTCTTTTTTTGTTTTTTTGTTTTATACTTGTATTATATTCTCGTTTAATAAAAAAAAAAATAACAATTGATGTCTTTTATCTAATTTTTATTTGTTTAACTTTAATGATACTTTCAAAATAATAACGCACAATTAAAAAATATCTTTTTCTCTTATTTTCATTGGTCAGTCAGTGTTGCACGAGAGGTCTTGTCACTCTTTTATTATCTCACTGGCATGATATGAGATAGGACGATCTCGGTTCAATTGACCACCATACAACCCATCCTTATACTATGAATTTTTTTATAACAAAAAAAAAAAGTTTATAATAATCGCTGGTGAAAATAAAATAGAAAGCTCACCCATCATGACGTGTTTAACGTAGCACAAGAGTTATGAAAGAAAAACTTAAGTAGTATTGAAGACGTTCTTATTTTCAGTAATGGGATATCTGTAGTCTAATGATGTGTACATAGCAAAGTAAAAATATATAAAGTTCATCTTTTATTGATATAAAGAAGGAAGAGGTATATGATTTATAACAACTACTGATCGTATAATGTGGGAATAGATATATATATATATAAAAGGGAGCAGCATGGTAAACTAAAACAAATTGACTAATCTAAATGTAAACTATCTACAGTAGAAAGAAAAGTGCCAAGATCATCCGCCAATATATTGTTTCTTTTTTGTTTCTATAGTTTGACTTTTTGACGAAGAGATTCCTTATAGGTTTCAATAGAACCAGTGAAGGGAGTGACCAGACCTTGATTACATTGCCAAATATCTTGAGCGACTTGAGAGATCAATCGAAAATCATGAGAGACCAAGACCACGCCACCGGAGAATTGATTGATGGCTTGAGCAAGAGAATCAATGGATTCCATGTCCAAATGATTGGTAGGTTCATCCAACAAGATGATATGTGGATGTAAAACAGCCAGTTCGGCAAACACCAGACGTGATTTCAAGCCATCTGACAGTTGAGAAATCAGAGATGTTTGATGTTGTCCAGAAATACCAAATCGTCCAATCTGTCTTCTCCAATAATCCACTTCTGTACTTTCGTGAGCAAACTTTTTCCGCATATAGTCAATGGGTGATAAGTCCATTTCCAATTGATCCGCTGAATGTTGAGAATATTTTCCTAGTTTCAAAGCTGTATGTCGTTGTACTCGTCCGTCCGTAGGCATAAGTTCCCCACTCATCAGTTTTAACAATGTAGATTTCCCTTTTTCAAAAACAAAAAAAAAAAAAAAAGAAAAGGTAAGTACTTTTCAATCACTTTTTTATCACGTAGCTTACCAGCACCATTAGGTCCCACCAATGCAATTCTTGAATCCATATCCACAGCCAGTTCAATATGCTTGTATAAAGGATTGGTAAGAGAGCCATCATAAGAGAAACTAACATCTTGAAAGGCCATGACAGGAGGAGGAAGTTTTTGTACATTGGTAAAATTAAACTTGAACGGATGAGGGTTTTCCACCTTTTGAATCAAACCAGCCGCCTCCATCTTGTCAATAATCTTTTGCTTGGATTTGGCTTGACGCACGAGATTAGCATAGGTACCAGCAGAAGCAATGAATTTCTTGATGTGAGCAATTTCATCTTGTTGTTTGGCATAGGCTTTATTTTGATTAATATCGTTTTCTTCCTTTGTTTTCACAAATGTATCATAGTTCCCACCATAGTAGATTAATTTTCGTTGATGAGTCAGATGCATCATGTTGGTGCAAACCCCGTTCAAAAAATCTTGAGAATGCGATACAATGACCAAGATCCGGTTATAAGTTTTGAGATATTCTTCAAGCCAAACACAAGCTTCCAGGTCCAGATGATTTGTCGGTTCATCCAATAAAAGTAAGGTGGGTTTGATAAAAAGTGCACGAGCAAGGGCTACTCGCATACGCCAGCCACCAGACATATCAGCCGTCTTTTTATGCATTTGTTGCGTTGTAAATCCAAGACCAGAGAGTAATGAGCATGCACGTGGTTCGAATGTTGATGGATCCATTTCTTCAATTCTTTCATAGAGATCATCTAGTAATGGGTTATCTGCACCATCTTCTTCACCAAGAAGATCCTCCACTTGTTTTTCCAATTTTGCTACTTGTGCGACAGCTGAGCTAATCACTACTTCCACTGCATTCATATCCGATGGTTCAGCTTCTTGGTTCAAAAGGTAGGTCTGCACACATTATATATACATATATAAAAAAAAACAATCATCAATTTAAAAAGAAAAAAGAAAAGAGCTCTTTTCTGTCCCATCCATACTTTTTATAATGAACTTACATCAATATGATCAGGAATATCAAGATCACGTTCAGCTAATGATGCTAGAAAAGTAGATTTACCTATAAGAATCCATCAAAAAAAAAAAAAAAAAGGTGAGTGATTGTATGCAAAAAGAAAGTGTTTGAGTAACAATCATCTAGCTTACCAGAACCATTTGCACCAATCAAACCATATCGTCGACCAAAGTTCAATTCAATGATTGCATTATCAATAAGTACACGACCATGATAATTAAGAGAGAAAGATTCAATACGTAAATCTCGACTTCGTTCTTGAGCTGTATAGACACCAGTTGCGGTACGTTCAACGTTGATCTTTAGTTTGTTTATTGATAAGTCTTCAGTAGAATTGTTAGTACTTGATTGTGTAAGAGGACTATTTGAAGTCTTGGAATCGGTTTTTGACATTCCTTTTGCTTCTGCCTTGGCTGCTTTAGCTGCTAGTCTTTTTGCTTTTGATGTTGATATATTTTGACCAGTCATGTCTAATGTATCAATAAAAAAATAAAAAGAAAAGAAAAAAAAAAGAGAAATAAAAAAAATATTAGAATAGGATTTGACTCAAAGAGAAAAAAAAAGTTCATAAAGCGAGCACGTTATTGGTTAATCCTTTTTCAAACTAAAAAAGAATATATTGCCCCTATTTCTTTCTGAGAAATTTCTTACTCTAGTAGTTCAATAATGCCTTGTGACATGATTTTTGATGTTTGGGAAGAAAAGAGGATATTCGGCATTTCAGGGCACGATCATGCTTTTTTTTTTTCTATGACACACGAACCGGAATATGGTTTAAAAAAAAAAAAAAAATTGGTTGCGGAGAGTGAATCGATCAGTTTGGTAGATACAGAACTTTGGAAGGTTTTTTTCGTTCCACGGTGTTGTGTTTTTTTTTTCTTTCTTTCTTGTTACTTTTTTCTTCTAACAGATCTTTTTCTTTTTGTATATATTTCCTTCCTTTTATTCTATATTTCCCTTCCAATACTATTTCTAGTATATTTGTATATCAACATTATGGCCGAATTCGTTAAACTTTCAATCTTTGGTACAGTGTTCGAAGTCACCACTAGGTAAAGAAAAAAGTCTTTTTTACTTTTATATAATAATAATAAATAATAATAATAATAAATATAGATATGTCGATTTACAACCTGTTGGTATGGGTGCTTTTGGACTTGTTTGGTAAAATAATAATAATAATAATAAAAGAAAAAAAAAGAAAAAGAAAAAGAATATATTGTTTTTATTTATTTTATTTTTTATAATCTTATCAATTATAATATATATATATATATATATATATATTAGTTCTGCCAAGGATCAATTGACTGGAATGAATGTGGCTATTAAGAAAATCATGAAACCTTTTTCTGCACCTGTATTAGCCAAACGAACTTATCGTGAACTCAAGTTATTGAAAGCTTTAAGACATGAAAACGTAAGTATATTTATTTCGGCTCGGATTGAATTCAACACGTAACTAATTTTATTTGTATTAACCTTATTCCTGCAACTCTTTAATATATATTAAAAAAAAATTAGATTATTAGTTTGAGTGATATCTTTATCTCACCATTGGAAGATATGTAAGTGTACTACATAATACAAATTTTATATATATGTATTCAAATCATGATTTATTATTATTATTATTATTAGTTATTTTGTTACTGAACTTTTGGGCACAGATTTGCATCGATTACTTCAATCTCGACCTTTGGAAAAACAATTTATTCAATACTTTTTATACCAAATACTTGTAAGTATTATCACTAATGAAGAAAAAGTCACGTTATATACTTAACCTATTTTTTTTCCCTTTTTGTTTTTGGTTGTACATATAAACAATAGAGGGGTCTCAAATACGTTCACTCAGCTGGTGTCATTCACAGAGATTTGGTAAGTATTTTAAACAATATTTATATAAACATTATATTTATTATTATTTCATTTATAGAAACCAAGTAATATTCTTATCAATGAAAACTGTGATCTAAAGATTTGCGATTTCGGTCTTGCCCGTATTCAAGATCCTCAAATGACTGGTTATGTATCTACTCGATATTATCGCGCTCCCGAAATCATGTTGACCTGGCAAAAATATGATGTGGCTGGTAATATATATATAATCTATATGTGTCTATTTACTGACTTCCCCCTTTTTTTTTTTTTTTTTGTCATTATAGTGGATATCTGGAGTACTGGATGTATTTTTGCAGAAATGTTGGAAGGAAAACCTTTATTCCCTGGGAAGGATCGTAAGTGGATATATATATATATATATATATATTGATGATCATTCATTCATTTTTTATTTATTTCTTTTAGACGTTCATCAATTCTCTATTATTACTGAACTTTTGGGTACTCCTCCTGATGATGTGATTGCCACTATTTGTAGCGAAAATGTAAGACGAAATTGCATAAAGTATTGTTTTAAATTGACGATTTGATATATAATATATACAATGATAGACCTTACGATTTGTTAAGAATCTCCCCAAACGTGAACCTGTATCATTCCGACAACGATTCGAAGGACAAGATAGTGAAGCCATTGATTTACTGGAAAAGATGTTGATGTTTGATCCTCGTAAACGTATTAATGCTGAAGAAGCTTTATCTCACCCATATCTTGCACCATATCATGATCCTTCTGATGAACCAGCCGCTCCCGAGAAATTCGATTGGTCATTCAATGAAGCTGATTTGCCTGTTGATACATGGAAAGGTAAAAAAAAAAAAAAAAAAAAAAAAAAAAAAAAAGAAAAAGAAAAAGAAAAAAAAAGAACGAAAAGAAAAAGAAAAAGAAAAAGAATGTCAATTCATGTAATTTGTTTTTATAAAGTGATGATGTACTCTGAAATTCTGGACTTCCACAATGTCGATAATGTTGATGGATCTCAATTCATTGGCACTCCTCTCACCGGACCAGTACCTGAAACTCAAGATGGTGCTTTCCAAAACCCTACAGATGCCCAATAAGTTAGTTTTAGTATTCTGATTCCCTAGTATCACGCGCACACTCACACACACACATATATATATATTCACTCACAAGAATTCGACTTGCTCTTCTATTACTACTTGTATGTTGCTTTTTCCTTCTTCTTCTTTTTTTTTAGCGTCTATAATTTACATATACATTATCAATAAACCAAACAAACACAAAATACTGACTGACTGAAATATTGTTGTTTGTCTCATGATGCATTCTATGTTATGTAGAATTGGGAGGCTCATGCTTTCACTTTCCGACGAACTTAAAAAATTGTGCTAGTACAGCCAAAAAAAAAAAAAAAAAATTCTGCGTTTTCTTTTTCTTTTTTTTTTCTTTTTTTCTTTTACTTTTTAGTGGATTTCATTATGGTGGGCTCGGAAACGGCGGTTGAAGACAAACTTGAAAAGGTTACTTTGGAAGATCCTGTTATTGAAGAAGGATCAGATGAAGAAGATGTGAATCCTACTGCTACTGCTGCTGATGGGGAAGGTGCCAAAAAGAAGAAGAAGAAGAAAAACAAAAAGAAGAAGAAAGGACCCAAGACTCAAACCGAACCTCCTACTGTACCTGTCTCGAAAATCTTTACCAATGCTATCTATCCTGTGGGTGAATGTCACGATTATAGAGATGAGTAAGTTATTTTTTCTTTTTTTTGATTAGATTATGCTGACCACTTTCTCTTTTTTTTTTTTAATTTATTTATTTATTTATATAGCAACTTGTGGAGAACAACTAGTGAAGAGAAACGAGCATTGGAACGAGATCAAGAATCTAACTATAACGATGTACGCCGTGCTGCTGAAGTTCATCGTCAAGTATGTATATACAAAATGATTGTTTTATTATATATTGTTTATATTCATTATATTTCGTTATTTCTCAGGTGCGTCAATATATTCAAAAGATCCTCAAACCTGGTATGACTTTGACAGAAATTGCAGAAACCATTGAAAACGGTACTCGAGCCTTGGTGGAAGAAAATGGCATGGAAGCTGGTATTGGGTTCCCTACTGGATTATCTTTGAATCATTGTGCTGCCCATTTTACTCCTAATGCTGGTGATAAGACGGTATTGACTTATGACGATGTGATGAAGGTGGATTTCGGTGTTCATGTTAATGGTCGTATTGTGGACAGTGCTTTCACTCATCACTTTAATCCCAAATTTGATAAACTTGTGGAAGCTGCTAGGGAAGCCACCAATGCTGGGATTCAGGCTGCTGGTATTGATGTTCGTTTATGTGATATTGGTGCAGCTGTCAACGAAGTCTATGATTCGTATGAAATCGAATTGGATGGCAAAACATATGATATCAAACCCATCCGCAATTTGAATGGTCATACTATTGAACCTTACAAAATTCATGCTGGCAAATCTATTCCTATTGTTCGTGACACGGGTGATGAAACCAAATTGGAAGAAGGCGAACAATTGGCTATTGAAACCTTCTGCTCAGTAAGTTTTTTTTTTTTTTCCTTCCAAGAGTTGACTAACTATTAATCTTTCTTTTTTTTTTTTTTTTTTTTTTTTTTTTTTGTCTGTAGACCGGTCGTGGTTATGTTATTGAAGATGGTGAATGTTCTCATTATGCAAGATCTCATGATTCTGGTTTTGTTCCTTTAAGGTAAAATCATTAGATTCTAAGATCAAATCACTCCAACATTATTTTTTTTTTCCTTTCTTTTATTTAGATTACCAAAGGCAAAATCTTTACTGGCTACCATCAATCAACATTTTGGAACATTACCTTTTTGTCGTCGTTATTTAGATCGTATTGGGGAAACAAAATACTTGATGGCCTTAAGAAATTTGACAGATGCTGGTCTAGTGACAGCCTATCCTCCTTTATGTGACACCAAGGGAAGCTATACTGCTCAATTCGAACACACCATTCTTTTACGACCTACTTGCAAGGAGGTAAGGCAAAAAAAAAAAAAAATAGATGGAATTGTGATTGATCTCATTTGAATATTTTCTTTATAGATTGTTTCCAAGGGTGATGATTATTAGTTTAGGGCAAAGTTGTAGTTTCTATTACATTCTTTATTCAATAAAAAAAATATCATTAACATTGGATTTGTGGTTACTGCGGATGATGTTTTATTGATTCATGTATATTTTTTATGAGTTTACTATAGATGAACTTAATGAACATAAAAAGATAATATAAACAATTAACTACGAATAATGATCGGATAAGAGAGAAGTTGCGAAAATTGGAAAGAAAAAAAGCCATCACAGAGAAAATTGACTTGCCTTCATGTCCAGTCTGTATTAGTTTTAGTCCTTCGTCTTGAGATCATCTTTCCTGTAAGTAAAAAAAAACATTGCATCATACTAGAGTATGTTCTACAGAAAAGGTGAGCGCCAAAAAAGGGCGGCAAAGCTATCATCCTCCATACCATCGTTATCTCATAGATCAGTAGATCTAGATATTTTTAATTTAGGATTTTAACCTATCCATCTATACTTATAATGGCATCCGTTCGGCTGATGGAATCGTGAAGTCATCTTGTTTTTTTTTTCCATTCATATAGATGTACACAGTAATAATAAAAAAAAATTTATTGTATAAATGTTGACAAAAAAAAAAAAAAAAAAAGAAAGAAAGAAAAACGGAAAAGAAGAGGACAACAAATCAGTAGTAAATAAGTAATCGATCTATCTAATTTATGTGTAGAGAGAAGAGGGACGATATATGCATGTATGTGTGTATATGTATGTACAAATTTCTAATCTAGTACTTGCGTTCATTTCTTTTCTTCCAAGCCTGTCGAATCACATCAAGATGATCAATCAACTATAATAAATAAATAAAGATGAGTTAAATAACATTCATGAAGTAAAAAAATAAGAGAACTTGCCTGTTCCTTTGTTACACCATCCGCAATACTTTTCATCACATTTGTAACCACAGATTGATGATTGCCATCTGGTTTATCATCACGAAATCGCATGAATCGCCAGGGAGACGTCAAGTGGTACTTTTCTTGAAGTTCTGGATCATAGTTGCATTCAATGATTCTATTGTCAAATCGTCCTGGATTTTTACCAAATGTATCAAACCATTCCTTGTCAGTAATCCCAAGATCCGTAAAATAACTATAATCAGTGCCACCTTGCCATACTAATAATTCAATTTTTGGTTTTTTGCTTGCATCAATAGCACCAGGTATAGTACTGCTTTGTTCATATTGGAGTCGGACCTTAAAGTCAACCGAGTTTTCATTCGCTGGTTTCCATTTGATCCTGCAGGAAAGACAGAAAAAAAAAAAAAGAATGAAAAGAATCAGTAATGAAAAAGATAGTTTACTCGATTATTAAATATTTCTTTACATCTTCTTTGATGTTCCAAGATAATATGGTGAACTGACAGAAGTAAATATTAATCCATCACTACCATGCCGCAGATTGGGCATAATTTGATTGAAGACAACATCGAGATGATAAGTAAATTGTTGTTCCTTGAATTCCACACTTTTACAAGAAAAAAAAGAAAAGGATATTAGATAAACGTGATAATTGTCCTCATTGATTTCTATTTTTTTTTTTTAGATTTACGTGAACGGTTGACTTTTCTTCCTATCTGGTCGTTGTATCAGCATTTTTTGATGTGGTTTTATAATTTCATTCTTCAAATACTATAAAAAAAAAAGAAGAAGAAATCAGTTCGTCATAGTTTCATATATCTACCCATTGATTTCTTTTAGTACCTACTCCAAGTCTTTTTTGTAAATCACGATTTATCAAAACGCGGGCACCAACCATTAAGCAATCAAATAATAAAAACTTGAGTTCCAACTATAAAAATCCAATATGCCATTGTAATCAATAATCATAATCTAATCAAATCTACACCAAAATCCTACCGATCCATCATCTTGTTTATCTAATACAAATTCGCCGTCAATAATAGTATCATCATGACATTTTCGAAATTCTGTATCTTGAGGAATAGGAAAGTACATATTTGTCACCACATGAAAATTACTTTTCCTATCAAACTACCATAATATATATATATATATATATATTAATAATATTCATAATATAATATAATATTACTTACAAGATATACTTCAGGTCCACCCGTGGTTTTATTTCGGGTCAAAAAAGCTAGACATCGGACTCCATCGGATTTTTCAGCAACAAAGTAACTAAATAAAACTTGTTAATATCTATTCTATATAACAATACTAATAATATATACTTACTCTTCCTCTTCTAATTCCTTTAGTTCTGCTGTACCAAAGCTAATGGGTTGTGCACCTGGGAATCTAAATAAAATAATATCAGAAAAGATCAATTCAAGGTATTAAAAAAAAAAAAGATGAGAATAGATAATAATAATAGTAATAAAAGAAAGAGAGAGAGAAAGTCTTACCTATAAGATCTTTGTCCTAATAGACTAGCTATTTTTCTTTTGAGCCAATCACTGTCAGGAACAGGAATACCGGGAATATCTGGGACAGTACTGTGGTTCATGATATATTATGTAAAGCAGAAAGTGAAAAAAGAAATAGAGAAAAGGATAGGTAGAGAGTCAAATGTAATGTGAAATTTCAAGATCCGCAGCAATAGCAAAAAATCAGTGTGGCTTGCCCACCGTCATCCTATCCAGACTGCGACAATTTTTTATATATAAAAAACGCGTGTGGGCCATTGGTTATTTTTTTCTTCCTTTTTGTCTTTCTTTCTTTCTTTTTTTTTTTTTCGTTTGTCCTGACCTCAACGAAAATAACGGTTTTTTTTTATTAAATATATATCATGTTTACAAAAAGTGCTTTCGGTGGTGGTGGTGGTGGATTTGGTCAGCAACAACAACCTACTAATTCTCTTTTTGGTCAACAAACTCAACAACCTCAACAACAACCATCCGCTTTCGGTGGTAAGTTAGTTAATTATTGATTTTATATAATATAAATTCCGAATCATGATTCTTACTTAACGTACTCTCTTTTTATTATAGGTTTTGGTACTACTAATACTACTGGTGGTTTTGGTACTACTCAAACGACAAGTGCTTTCGGTCAACCTGCTCAACAAACAACAAGTGCTTTTGGCCAACCTGCTCAACAAACATCTGCTTTTGGTCAACCTACTGCGGGCGCATTTGGTTCTACTGCTAACACTGGCTCTGCTTTTGGTCAAAGAACTTCTGCTTTTGGTTCTCCCGCTCCTTCTGCATTCGGTACAAGTAAGTTTATTTCCTTTTTCTTTTTTTTTATTTATTTATTGATTCAAAACTCATCATGTTTATTATTCTTTATCTCATTAGCTCAACCTGCATCAACTGGATTTGGTAGTGGTGGTAGTGCTTTCGGTGCAGGTAAATGATAATAAAACATAAATATATAGAAATGTAAACATTAATGGTGATTTCTTTTTTTTTCTTTTTTTCTTTTTTTTTTATATAGGATCGAATACTACAACTTCAGCATTTGGTGCACCTGCTACACAAACTACTGGTGGATTGTTTGGTCAACGACCTGCAACTACTAGTGCTTTTGGTTCAACTCCTACAACAAGTGCTTTTGGTCAACCTCAACAAACTTCAGCATTCGGTGGAGGAACAACAACATCAGCTTTTGGTCAACCTGCTGGAGGTGTTGGAAATCAAGGCACAGCAGTAGCTGACTTTGCTCCCACTCAAGATCGTGATGTAACAACAGGTGTGAATAACTTTTTCCAGACGGTGACTGCTATGCCTCAATACAAAAACTATTCTATTGAAGAACTAAGATTACAAGATTACAGTCAAAACCGAAAATCAGGAACTGCTCAACCTACAACTGGTACTGGATTTGGTGCAGCTACTGGTGGTTTTGGTACACCTGCTACATCTACTCCTTTTGGACAAACTACTTCAGCATTTGGTACACAACAACAACAACAACCAAGTGCCTTTGGTCAACAACCTGCAACAAATGCTTTTGGTACCCAAACTGGAGGTGGACTCTTTGGTCAACAACAATCTACCACTGGTACCACTGGATTTGGTCAACAACCTACAACGAATGCGTTTGGATCTTCTGGATTTGGAACAGGTCAACAAACAGGTGGTTTTGGTGCTACTGCAAGTAATGCTGCAAAACCATTTTCATTTGGTAAGAAAGAAAAAAAAAAAAAAAAAAAAAAGAAAGAAAAAGTAGGGATTTTTTTTTTTCTGTTGAACTCAACAAATATTTTTTTTTAATATAGGTACTCAAAATACTACTACTGGTGGATTTGGTACCACTACTGGTGGATTTGGGCAAACACAACCTTCTACTGGTTTTGGACAAACAAATCAACAACAAACACAAGCTACTGGTGGATTTGGATTTGGACAAAAACCTGCTACTACAATGGGAGGTGGATTTGGAACTGGATTTGGTACTGGGGGTACTACTGGTGGATTCGGAGCTACTGCTGCTAAACCTGCTACATCATTCTCATTTGGAACATCTGCTGCACCTGCAACTTCTACACCTGCTACTGGATTTGGTGGCTTCAATACTACTGGTACTACTACTGGTGGCTTTGGTCAAACACAACCTTCTACTGGATTTGGAACTGGTGCTACTGGTGGAGGACTTTTTGGAGCCAAACCTGCTACTACTACAGGTCAAACAACAAATCTTTTTGGCGGTACTTCCCAAGCAACAACGACACCTTCATTTGGTGGATTTGGTACTACTACTCAGCAACCTTCCACTGGATTTGGAACTGGAGCTACTGGTGGTGGACTTTTCGGTAATAAGCCAGCTACTACACAGCCTACTAGTGGCTTCTCGTTTGGTAATACTCAATCTACGACTGGAGGTGGATTTGGTGGATTTGGTGGATTTGGAACACAACAACAACAACAACAACCTGGCACTGGTTCATTCACTTTACCAGCTACTGGTGGCCTAACTTCATTTGGTACCAGTGGTTTACAACCTGGACAACAACCCATGGTGGCTACAGTGGATAAAAATCCTTATGGCAACAATCCATTATTTAATACCACTACACTTCCACAACAACAACAGCAACAACAGCAACAGCAACAACAACAACAACAAAATGGCACTGGTCAAGTAAATAAAGCAGGACCTACAGCAACTCCTGTTGATGGTAGTGTATCAAAATTGACCACTACTCCTCATTATCCTATTTCCCCTCGTGTTGTGTCCAAAATCAAGTTACGTGGTTTCTCCTTCAACCCAGCCAGCAAACCTACAACCAAGAAGGCAAGTGATTTAGGTGGTGTTAGTGATTTGGAAGTTCTCAAGTCTGGTGCTTTCACTCCTCGTTCTGCCAATCGAAAGGTGGTATTTGATAAAGTGGATTCCAACAAAGTGACCTCTCTCGTCAGTTCTGGTGATGAAGAAAATAAGAGTAAATCAAGTGCTCTCTTTGCTCCCGGTCTTGGACTCAAATCTGCTCCAGAAACTTCTTTATCTGACCAACGCGCTCGTACAGTCAATACCACTTCAGCAAGTCCTCAATCTCCCGCCAAAAGGAATGATGATGGTGATGTTAGTGTAGCAATCAAGGAAGGATACTATTGTTCACCTACGTTGGATGTATTGAAAGCTATGACTCAAGATGAACTGAAAAAAGTGGAAGGATTCATAGTAGGACGACGTGGATATGGTGAAGTCCAATTTAATCAACCTGTTGATCTTTCCTCAGTGGATTTGAATGACATTATGGGTGGCATTGTGGTTTTGACTTTGAAGAGTGTTGCCCTTTATCCCGATATCAGCAAGAAACCTGCCTTTGGTAAGGGATTGAATGTCTCTGCTACTGTGAAATTGGAAAACTGTTTCTCTGTTGACAAGGTTACCAAAGAAGCTATCACTGATCCTGAACATCCTCGATTCCTTTTGTTTTTGGAAAAGCTTCGTCATCGTGCTGGAACAACTTTTGTGGATTATGATGTTGCTACTGGTACTTGGACATTCAAGGTAGATTCGTTTTAATCAAGGGAAATCATTATAATATCTAGTTAGGAATTAGTTTAGTTCTTTTTTTTTTTACATATATTATATATATATCACCCCGTTCTTCTTCCTCTCCCCTCTTCCCACTTTAGTATTTTTTTTTTTATATCCTTTTTAGCTTTATTTTTTTTTTCTTCTTTACATTTTGGATCACCTACTTCACTCTCTCCCTTTCTTTCCCTCCCCACACACACACTTTTCTTTCACATTCACACATATATTTACACCATACACACTCATACAGAAGTTCATTATTTTATCCAATAAAATTTGGAAGATGCATCGTTATATTTGTTTTTGGTGTTGTTTTAATTTTTTTCATTTGGGATATATTCTCGGAGTTTGGGTAAAATGAAAAGGTGGCAAGATTTTTTATTTTATTTTTTTTTCTGCTTTTGTCCTACTCTCTTCCAGTCAAAAAAAAATGTCCATCTTCAAGTAAAGTATTATAGATGCACATTGATAATCAAAAGATACTTGTAATACTAATTATTATTTTATTACCCTTATTATAGTGTCTTCCCTACACTGAGAGGAAAACGACTTCATGACGAACTGTCACAACAAGATCATTTCCTCAAGAAACAACGCGTATTGGACGATACTGCCAAGTAAGTCAAGCTACCTTTCCTTTTCTTTAAGCCATGCTCAACCATCACTTTTATGTATAGACTATCTTCGACTTTACCTAACCACGACAAAAAGGTAAACCCCAATGTTATTTAAAAAAGTATTCCCCTGACCTTTTTTTTTTTTTAACAATGATAAGGCAGGTGATTCTTCCTCCTCGAGAAACAAGGTCAACAAGGTAAACCATCAAATGAAAACAAACAAAAAAAAAAAGATAATATTCTTTCTTTATGAATACGTTATTGATTCATTATTATTATTTTTTAAAAAAAAAAAAAGCTGATCACCACCTTTGTACAGAACCAGTCCATTATCGAAACAACCAATGGTATACCTCACGCTCGACTGCTAGAAAATCTATTTGCTACACCATTGATTGATCATATTATGGACACTTGTGATTTTGATGAACAACAAATATGGAGTTTAGCAGCACTTTTATTCGGCCATCGAAAGGATGACTCACATCGACGACTAAAAAATTGGCTTCGTAGCACGGTATTGGAGGAAATGCAAAAGGAAGGGATTGATTTGGCATTGACGTCGGAAGATCCATGGCAACGAGCATTTCATTACATGTCGTCTGGTCAAGTGATACAAGCATGCGAATTGATCCAACAGCTTGGTGATGATGCTTTGGTGGCCATGCTGGTGGTTCATTTCCAAGAACAAGAAGATGTAGATATCCATCAAGCAGCACAAGAACAGATTCTCTTTTGGCAGCAACAAGATCGGTTTGATTCGCTTCCTCTGTATCAACGGAAAATGTGGTACTGTCTCCAAGGACAACTGGGTTATGTGGATCATCTCAAGGCGGTGGTGACGGAAGGTCTATCTTGGCCTCAATCTTTATTATTATATATCCTTTATCATCGTGATTACCGTACCAATCTGGCATCGGCTTTAATGTCCTATAGCTCTCTTACAAATCTTCCTATGGTTGGCTTACATCAATTACGGACAAAGAAACATACTGCTCAAGTGCCTTCGAGATGTCTATGGTACTGTTTGCTCCAATGGTGGGCATCTTCAAAGAATGATTCTATGTCTTCTTTGCGTCTCACGTTGGAAGAAAGATTTCCTTTACACTGTCGTTGGCTATTACTGATACATGATCCTTCTTTTTTCATCAATGATCTATCTACTTGTGAAGCTTGGAAACGACAATGGACTGATGAACTTTATCAAAATGGATTAGAATATATGGCTATTTTATCTGCTCTTTATATGTCTAGGTAAATATACATATATAATAATAAATCATTACTTAATATGACCTTTTTTTTTTCTAATAGTCCTGAAAGTACGATTCGACAATTATTATCCATGCGAGAATGGGATAAAGAACATTATCTTGTACGACAATTACAAATACCTTCTGAATGGGTGACAGATGCCAAGGTATGAAGTAAAAAAAAAAAAAAAAAAAAAAAAAAAAAAAAAAGAAGAATAAAATATTGATTGTATTTATTCTTTTTTTTTTCCTTTAGGCTGTGTATGCTTACAACCATCATATGTATGATAAGGAAGTGGATTATTATCTTGAAGCTAATGAAACTGACAAAGCTCGTCATGCTATTCTCAATCATATGATCCCAGCGATCTTTTTAAAAGGTAAAATAGGAAATGGAATCAAATCATCTATTTATTTATTTTTATTTTTTATTTTGTATGGATAGATGATCAGAGCGATACGATGATCAACTATCTTGAACAATTGATGAGTCTTTCTTCTGACGATATGACACTCCAACAAACCATCCACATTCTTCGCAATATATACATCATTTTAAGGGATTATCCACACCGCACTCATGAAATAGACACAATGAAAACCAACTTGACCTTGGCAGTACAGAATTTAGCAATACTTCAGAAAGCTGGGTATATTACAGATCCGATGTTTTATTCTAAACTGGCAGGACAATTAATGACGGTTGCTTCCACCTTTATGAACAATGTAAACACAAAAAAAAAGAAAAAAAAAAAGGAAGAGCATGAACTAATGATGTTTTTTTTTTATGAATAGGATGATTTGAATACCCTATTGGAAACATGTCCTGTGGAAATCCATAGTAACTTGAATATGATGGAACTTTTATCTCGAGCCATGACATCTAGTATAGCAAATCAATGATTTTACTTTTTTCTAAAATAAACATGCTTTTTTTTTTTTGTTTGTATCCATTTCAGTCACCGCACAAAAAAAAAAAAAGAATCTGAGGTTTTTTTTTTTTTTTTTTTATTTATCTTTTTTTTTTTTTTTTGTAATTATTATTTCCCTTCATGGTATTACGAATAGGATTATCTCGATGTTTACAACCACGCATAATGGTTATGGGACGACGAATGCTTACGACAGAAAGGCCCAGGTTTTCGACGAATCCATACAGCGAGTCCTTACACAAGCTCAAACAACAAGGCAAGTTAGCGGTCAAAGTGACAGGGTATACGCTTCTTTCGGTGACGGCAGCAACGGCATTGATCTGGCAATCGTATCATTGGTATATTGAATACTGTTCACCCTCACCTCCTGGACTCAACTACAAGGCGCGTCAGTTACTGCATGGCGCGTATTTCCGAGAACAGGTGGTACCCGATCATCGCATGGCAGCCGCCTATTTGGAACATGTCTTGCAGATGTTGGAAGAAGAACAATATCCGAACCAGGATGACATGGTGCAATTACGGTTACGTTTGGCTTGGAATGAGACCATGGCGGGTGAGCTATTGGATGCCATTACTCATTATACTCAGGCATGGACCTCTCTTGTGACAAACAATAATAATAAGAAGAAGAATGTAGTGATGATCACGACAGCACAACAGCTAGGGAACTTGTATCTCAAGATCGGTGATTTAGCCAAGGCAGAGGAATATTTGACATGGGCTTTATATGCACTTCAAGAACAACAACAACAACAAATGACACGGATGAAGATAGATGTGTTATGCTCTTTGGCCAGTGTCTATGCCATGCAACGACAATTCCATTTGGCACTTCCATTGTTTTTACAAGCCTTACAAGCCATCCCAGAACAAGAAGAAAATAAAGATGAACCATGGTTATGTATCAAGGCCATTCTACAAAATCAATTATGTGAAACCTTTTATGGTATGGGCAAGAAAGATGAAGCAATGGGTTGGGCACAAGCTGCTTTGATGTCTTGTTCCGATGGTTTGGCTACTTATCCTGATGTCAATGATTGTCGTGAATGTGGAGCGGTGGTATCCAATAATTTGGGCAAAATGTTGGAGGTAAAAATATACATATATATATTTATTTATATTCTTTCTCATTCTTTTTTTTTTTTTTTTTTTTTTTTTTTGCTAGTTGAAAGGTGAATTGGATCAAGCTTGGACGTATTATAAACAAGCACTTATGTATGCTTCTACCTTGGATGATTCGACTTCTCAAATTCGATATAATGACAATATAAATCGACTAGCAAGAAAGTTGAACAAGGATCAAGATACCACTTCTGCTCAAGATCTCTTACCGAAACAAGAGGATACTACAAAGAAATCAAAAACAGGATGGACTTCATGGTGGCGTCGTGATAATAATAATAATCAATAGTGTAGAAAAATATAGAATAGTATATACAAAAAAGTTGTATTTTATTGAATAAAAATAAAAAAAAAAAAAACTTTGTGGATCACAACAAACAAATAGATTTCAAAACAATAACAACAAAAAAAGGCATAAGCATATGATCAAAAAAAAAAAAAAAAAAGGAAGGAAAAGGGGGATATAGATAGGAAATATCAAAACAACAAGTTTTTTTTTTAAACATGTGGAGAATACAATGAAAAGAATCAATATGTAGATATATATATAAATATATATAAATGAATGTATCATGAGTCATGATGCGGCATAAGGGAGGTATGTACAAAAAAAAAAAAAAAATTATTGACGCATGGCGAATTCGTTGACTTGATGGGTAAGTTCACTATTATAAAAAAGAATCAATATCATGAGAATGTCAAAATCGATGGAAAACAATTTTTTTTTTTTTTTTTTTACCTTGCACGACGTTGCCAATAATCTCGTTCCATTTGAGCTTCCTTCAATTTGCGCTTCAATAAGGTATCGACTTCATGAGCAGGTGAATCATACAAAGAGTTACGTCGTTGTTGACCTTGACGATAGGCATTGACAATGGTGATAATTTCATCCATTTCAGAATTAAATTGTTTCTATTAAAAAAAAAAATGAGTCTTCATTTTAATATACATTCTTATGACTTACATTGAAAGAACTAGGTAAATCATCCATCATATCATAAGGCTAAGGTTTCAACAGAAAAAAAAAAAGAGTATCAATCATTATTATCCATGTTCTTTTTTTTTTTTTTTTTTTACCTTATTCTGTTCCATTTCTTCCAAACTAAGAGAACTACGTGAACTTTGACTACCATAAGATGAGAAAGTATTTGTATAACTTGAAGATCTTGAAGAGGAAGTACCGAAATTACCACCAGGAGAAGAAGAGGATGGATGATAATTGAATGTGGGTAAGTTCATGGAGATGGGTGAAGAAGAATTCGAGCTATTTCGACTAGGTGGACGAAGAACAAGAGGATCAGATGTATGACGATGGAAATGTTCTTTGGAGCTCTGTTTTCCGATCCCAGCCATATCGTGATACAGTGCATCTAGCTTTTCCACCAATTGACGTTGCTTTCCAGAATCAGTTGAAGAAGGTGGCGGAGAAGGTGAATAGGATACATAACCTGCAATCAATGACAACAAAAGAAAATATGCAAAGGATTAGAGATACAACTAAAAAAAAAAAAATAAAAAAAAAAGTATACATTACCATTGGGACGGTATGATTGATGAGGACTTGATAAGTGAGCAGTAGGTGATGGTAATTCTGTTGGATGCATAAAAGAAGGAGGAGAGTGGGATACACTAGTAGTAGGTGTTGTTATTGTAGGAGTCATTGAATGTCGTCTGTTTTGATAGTAAGGGGGTATCGATGTTTGTTGTTGTTGTGGTGAAGACTGTTTTGGTAGTTTTTGTTGTTGGAACGGCAGAGGAGAATGACGTGTTTGTTGTTGTTGTTCTGGGGTACGAGTTGAAGTTGACAAGGAAGTAGCAGGTGACTTGATGTCGATCTTGAAAAAGGAGGCATCAAAACTAAGTTTTCTTCGTCGCGTGGTAGTGGCAGGTTTGGTCATTTGTTTGTCGGAAGTAGGATCACTAGACATGCTGTGAGCACGAGGTCGTCTCTGTCTTTGACCATCATCAGAACTTGATTGTAATTGAGGTGTAGATTTGGATGCAGTTGGCACCACTTGAGATGAAGGTGATTGAGATCGTGAGCGACCAAAGAATTTGCTAATATTGGAAATACTAGTAGAGCGTGACATACTTGTTCTTGACCTAGATCGTGGTGGTCGTTGGATTTCTTCTTCTTCAGCACTTTGATTCATTACTCGATAAGTATCTGAGCATCGTAGTTTCCGTTCACATTTGATCACTATAATAAATAATATGAGTCAGGATCTCTTTTTTTAAAAAAAAAAAATATTATTACCATTGTTCCAAAAGACAGTAGCGAAATCCAATTGTTTCTCTTCATTAGAGGGTCGTTGATCATAAATACAAGTCAAGGATTCTTTTGACCAAATATTGAGTTTTAACCCCTGAGAATCAGGTCGTACGAGAGCCACAATCCAAGGTGAAGATCGAGTTGAATTCAATAAAGAAGGAATATCCATTTCCGAGTCTTTTTCCAGGAGTATTGCCGCCACATTGTTCTACAAGAATGAAAAAATAAAAAAAAAATAAAAGTTAGTTTATATATATATTCTCTAAAGTTGTTCTTTTTTTTTTTTTTTACTTTGATATCAGTTTTAGTATAAGTTTCAGGGTCAAACACATTACTATAAATATTAATATCATTCCAAGTACGATAAAAGGTAGCATCTTGATTCCCATACTGACGAGCGACAGCTTGAGTCTTGTAAAACATATCTACAAATACATCCTTGTCAGCGATAAAAGAAGTCATGGATTGTCTAGAGTAGGGCTCAGTTTGATATGAGAAGATACGAGCACCTTTTTGGAAATATTTTTCATAACCAGTTTCTGTAACACTATCTTGAAAGTCAGAGGAAGCACGAACCATGAAGGATCCAGGAAGATCTATATGTTATATAAAGTTTAGTGTTGTATTCCCCAAGGCTTGTCAACGTTTTACCTGAAGGACCATGAAATAATTCAATATGTTCTAGTCCCACCCAACCATAAAACTTGAAACCACCGGCTTTTTTCTTTTTTTGATTTAAACTTGTCATTGAAGTACTACCAGTCATGTCATCACAGATGTCTGCCCCTTTGGCATGAGGAGATCGTTTGGCCACCATTAACTTGTCACAAAATAAAAAGATGGTGATATGTCGAAGTTTACCAGTCATCTGATTAATTTCGATTGCATCCAGATGAGTTACCAATGAACGACTTTGCTTGATAAGGTGACACTAATAAAAAGTTCAATTACTATTGATGATGATAAAATAATTCAAACTTACAGGAGCATTTTTGATGGAAAGATAAAGATCGTGAGATTTGGTGGCAAGAATAGTAGGTACATCGTCACGAACGGAAGCAATGGTGTTAATCTGAGTAAATGCTTCTGTCAGTTTATCAAAATCAGGATGAGATGTTGATGTATAATTTCGAATGTTTTTGATTAAAAGAGTGTAAGCTGTAATCCGTCGCCAAGGTTGATCCAAAAGATCTTGAAGTGATAGGTTTTTAAAAGAAGGGTCTTTAATGGCCTTGATAATAAAACTTCGATAAGCTTGATTTTTCTGATATTCAGTAGAATGAAAACCTTGGGCATCATTCACCTTGAGTAAGTAACGTCGATATTTGTCCATTTTGCCCATCTATAGTAATAATAAAAAGATGAGAACGATATATGTATGAATGATAAACTTACAAAAGTACAACAAACAGTAGAAAAATCATTCTTGTGATTATCAAGTTCTTTCCAAAACTGCTGATGCAATTCCAAGATTTGTTCCAAGTTGAGAAAGATATTGGTACACATGAATTGTTTCAGTATAGGATGCTTGTCTTGAGCACAAGATAACTTTAATGGTTTAACAATAGTATGAACTAGAGCATGAATCTTGTTAATATACTTTTGTTCAGTTTCCAAAAATTCAAATATAGCATCTTGCCGGTCCTGATCATTATGTTTATACTATAAAGATAATAGTTTGTTATTAAAGTATTTAATTAATGGTAATAATAGTAACAATAATAATGATATGAATATGAACACTTACTTGGTGTTCAAGAGATACTTTGTTGTTATTGGTTGAAGAATGAGTATTAGCAATGTAACGTGTTCCAAGAGTACTAATGAGTTGTTTGCATTGTGTGGTTTGTTCTACATTATAAAAAAAAAATAAAAGAATAAGAAAGAAAGAAAGAAAGAAAGAATTGATTTACCGCTGGCTGTCGATTTTGGAATCACTATGTCAATATTTTGGCCCTAAAAAAAGATAAAAAAAGAAAAAAAAGGGGAATAAGTGTGTGAGAAAATAAGACATTTAGATATATATATATATTTTACCAATGGTTGTTTTATAACAGATAATAAACTTTTATCTTGTTCATCATCTACCAAATATCGTTCTTTACTTGGGATATAATCAGATTTGTATCCAAGGTCTTTGAGTAATACGTCAATAGTCTAAATTATATAAATGAATAATCAATATATCACCATTTTATTATTTCCTTTTTTTTTTTTACTTTTAATCCAGGCATGTGATTACTAAATGATCGTAAATACTGATGATGGTATAATAATAATAATAATCAAAACAAAAACAGAAAAAAAAAAGTGAAAAAGAAAATAAAGAAAATAAAAGAAAAAGTGAAAAGAAAAAGAAAAAGAAATAAAAGAATATATCGTTTTAACCTCCCCAATTCTTTTACCTTTCATTGATAATTAATCGTACTGATTTACAACACCGACTTATGATTGATATCATGCATTATTTGTTTTCCAAACCCATCTTTTAAAATTGTGGCGAAACTAACTGACTAGATAAAGTGTAACCTTGTAGTAAATGTACATAGACATTGGAGGAAAAAAAAGAGGACCGTGAGTTTTTTTTTTTTGTTTAGGGGGATGTCTTTTGAGAAAACAAGAAAAAATAAAAATATGAAGCACATTATTTGTTTTCAGTTTCTATGTGAATATGTGCTACAAGCCATCGGAAATCCCATCCATCCGTCAGGAAAAAAAAAAAAGTCCCTCTCCTTATTCTATCCTACCCGCACTTTTCATTTGTCCCACCCATTGCCATTTTAGCATCGAGATTGATGTGCCTCGGATTGCTACCGAACTTTACTAAAAAGGAAGATGGGAATCCCCCTCTTTGATTTTCTTATTTTATGCATGACGCAAAAAAAAAAAAAAAAAGACAAGCTGAAGGAAATATCGTTTATTTATCATTTACATGACAAATACTAATCAAACAAAAAAAAAAGCCATCATTATTCATATTGTTATGATGATTTATTTCCTTTCTTTTCTTATTTGATAAACTCACATACTAGATATTCATATTATCTCTTTACTGTTTTCTTTTTATTGGTTTCGGAAGTCAACCGAACTGATAATACAATAACAGTAATAACAATAAAGTTTTTTTTTTTTTTTGTGTAAAGATTTTTCCAAATTGATCCTTTCCGAAGTATTATCCCTTATAATTTTATATCTAGAAACAGATATAAGCCGATACCTTTTACTGATATTGTTATTGTTTATATAATATTTGGAATGACAGAAAAGATAATGATTTTTTTTTTGGAGGGTGTTGATAAAAATGACATACTTTTTATTGTTCTTTCTACAAAATGATAAACATACAAATTGATAATATGGTGGGGGGGGAATAAAGTCTAAATCTAATAAAAAAATGAAATTATATATTAAAACTCATTAAGATGATCTGATGATGCTTGATGTCTTGAAGTTGTACTTGGATTTCGAGGAGGTTGACTTCTTGGATGTTTGACAGCTTGAAATTCGTTGACCGATCGTGCATAAAGACTTTCCGAAGACAATGATTTGCTAACACCTGATATTGATGCCTGATCCAAGGATTCTATTCCACAATTGAGCGATGATGAGGTCCCATTTTGTAGATCAACCGCAGAATCACCATCCGCAGCTGATGAGAGGACATCTACCCCTGATAAGTTTGTTGTTGAACCTTGATGTGTATCCGCGTCGACATGATGGTTGCCATGACGATGATAAAATCTAAAAGAATTAGTATGGTTTTCCGTAGTATCATTCAGTGGAGTTGGTAATCGTCCGATAGGTCTTTGTCGAATCTTTGTTTCACCTGCTACGATTCGTATAAACTCTTGTTCATCAAAGTATTTGAGCGCCGCCCAGGTTGGATTCAGAAAGGAAAAAGATTTTTTCCATGATGATAATTGTTCTAAAAAAAAAAAAAAAATTGAACCATTTCATATTACTATAAATGATTTGTACTTACGTCTTCCAATGCCACCTTGATCTTCTTTACCATGTAATGGAACCATTGGTGCTGATAAAGTGCCTCCAGTACCTTGTTTCAATGGTCGTTTTCCTTTTTCCATTCGACAGATATTTCTTGCAATACATACACCAGCCAAAGTAGCAGAATAACCTGTTTTTTCTTCTTTGACATTGGTCACATCACCACCGGCAAAAATAGTTGAATATTTTGGATGATCCAATTGCAGGGTTGGCTTGACGCGGATTCGATCCCAATTGTCCACAGTAAAATCTAGGTTACAACTTATATCAGATGCTTTCAACAATTGACTACACGGTGATGTTCCAGTGGCCAAATAAATCTTGTCAAAACCACTAAATCGACGCCCACTCGATCCAAGAAAGATGTTGTCTTCTCCAGAATCAAAATCGACTATTTTCTCGTTGCATATCACGTTCACACCAATGTTTTGTAGGTATTCCAAAGCTTTCTTTTGCGTTGAGGGACTTGATCGACGAACCAAACTTGAATGAGATTCTACAATAGTCACAGATTTCTTCTTTGGACAACCATCTGGAAATTTATGTAAAGCTATTTCAGCAGCAAGTTCACAGCCCACAAGTCCACCACCTAATTAAAATATATACAAAAGAAGAAGAGAGATAAGTAATGAGTTTCATGTTATTTGTTTGTTTATTTGTTTGTGTGTGTCATCTTTACCAATAATCAAGATATCTTTAGCACTTTTCAGTTCAAGATATTCCTTGCCCAAATCCGTCATTCTATACAAAGCAGAGATATCAAATGATTTCAATTTGGATTGATAAGAACTTCCAGTAGCAATGACCAGATAATCAAAAGGGATCTAATAAAATAATAAACCAGTTTAGTTCTTACATATTTCTTTTTTTTTTAAAAAAAAAAAAGAAAAGAAAAGAAAAAAAAGACAAAAAAATGACTTACAGATTCACCGTTCACATGGACCATCGTAGCATCATTTTCTAATCGGTCAGCAATACCAATCATCACGCGACCATTCTTAACATAAGATTCATGACGTACCCGTAACGAAGAGGCATCTTCTGGTCGGACTAGCATCTAATAAAATAAAATAAAATAATGTTGGTTTCATATAGATTTTCTTCTTTTTTTTTTCCAATGTTTTTACCTTGATCATCCCAGGTGTATATTCAAATGAGTCTACCAATGAAATATATGTCAATGACAAATATTCATCCAATGATTTTTTTTTTACCTACCTTTAGCATCAATAAGTGTAACATGAAAGCGGGACATCGGATCCAAAATGGAGGCAACCGTGAAACCCTAAAAAGAAAAAAAAAATGGTAATGATAAAAAAAGGAAAAAATTAGTTAAAGATGTGAAGGAAAAAAACAATTAGCCGACCTGTCAACTAGGTACTTACCACAAATCCTCCACCAATAATCACTACTCGTTTTTGACAGTTCCGTGGCTGTTGTTCAACGTTTGAGCTGCGATACAAAAAGAATAGAAAAAAAGAATAAAAAAATATAAAAAAACAGGGGAAGTTTAGATGACCAACAAAAATATATTTATATATCCATTTTTTTTTTACATTGACATGTTATGAATACGTTTGAATTCTTCGGTCTTTGCTTCCTATAAAAAAAAAAAAAATAAGTTACCTTCTATATAAACTAATTTATATTCAACTTACCAATAATTGGCATACTTCTAGTTTCGCTTCTTCAAAGATCTTGAGAGCGTTTTTGGCATTGAGTACTGTAAATCGAGAAGATTCATAAGCTTTTTCGGTAGCTTCACGACAAGTAATGTTGATCTCCATGGAAGCATTCTTGACTATAAAAGTTTTCAAAATTCTATAATAATAAGAGAAGGGTTATTATGTAACACAATTCATTTTGTTTTTGTTTTTTTTTTTGTTTGTTTTTGTTTTACCTTTCTACAGCAGCTTCAATATTGGATAAATTCTGTTGACAATTAAGACGAGATAAAGCTTCAAGAAATAATAAATTTTCATGAGCTTGATTTTTTTTCAAGAAAACTTCAAAAGCAGCCAAGTAGGATGGTGATGATAAAATGGCCTCTAAACGTGGTGAATAAGTACAACCTATTGCTCTCATCTTAATTGATGAAAAAAATAAAAAAAAAAAAACAAAAAAACAAAGGAATTATATATATCTATAAAAAGAATAAGAAGAAGAGGAAGAGAAAAAAAAAATAAACTGTTATAAGCTAAAATAAATATAGCTTGACTTTTACAACTCCGTTTTGAAATGAGGGACCAGATAATCTAGGGAAGAAAGGGTTGATCGGATTTGATCCCGTTCATGTTTCGCTTGATCGAATTTCCATCCATTCAAATCTTAAGATTACATAACAAAAATAATAATAAATCTCTTCATGATTGGACTTGATTCTAAAAAGATACCTAAGAGATTTTTTTTAATCTGGGGAAATAAATTTACCATATTTTATATAAAGTAATCTTAAATAGAAGATCATCGAAAGACGGCATATATATATAGATTCTTTTCATTCCACTTTTTTATATATAATACTTGATTACTAGTTTATGATCAATCCATTAATGGCATTCCAATTATATTGTGATAACATCATCACTATTTATTTATATCAACAGGAATTAATCATTCAATTGTCTATAAAATAAGGAGGAAAAGAATTTCTTTTCTTTTTTTTTTTATTTTCTTTTTTATTTTTTTTTTTATTTCTTTCTTCTCCGAAGGATGTTCAAAGCTATTGTCTGTTTCACTTTGATTCTATTGATTCATCAAACCTATGCTCAAACTGCCTGTGCTGCGGAGGCAAAGTAAGTTATTAAGAAAAATACTTTTTCTTTATTAATTCTATATATTATGTTAGTTTTCAAGGTTGTAAAACAATTCAAGAGACAAGATTAGGTACATGTGGTCCTGCTGATTATTCATGTCAATGTACAGCTCATCGATTAATTCAAGAATGTTATAATTTATGCCCTGGTTATGCCTCTCAAGCTAATATTCATGCTGGTACTGTTGAAAGTATTTGTGCTGCTGTACCTTCTTCTTCTTCTTCACTTTCCTTACCAAGTGCATCATCATCCATCTCTTTACAATCAACACCATCTAATGCTGCTGTAGCTTCTCCTTCTGTCTCTTCTCCTTCTACACAACATTCAGCTGCTGATTGTTCTTTTGCTTCCAATTTATCCTTTACTATGGTTCTTGTCTTTGGTATCCTCTTTTGGATTCATTCTCATTAATGTATAAACAGTAGTATAACACATAGTTAGTCTATCATAATAATGATAATAATAATAATAAAAGAAAAGAATACATTCCAATAAAACTGTATCATTAACCCCTTTCATCTATCAACTGTATGCAATGACCAATATTAACCCCTCTATTTCCATCCCTTTCAAAACAATCAATCATCAACATTAAAATAAAAAAAGAAATAAAAAAAAAAACAAAACTTTATTCAACAAAATAAAAAAATCCATAAAAGGTAAATCATCTATTGACTACTACTAAAAATACATACTATACTGTTTATAAATACTGGACTTCAGCTTCTATCTAATATCCGTGTTTTTAATAGTTGTTTTCCTTTTTCCTTATCTAAGGTTGATACTGAGTTATCTCTCCTTTTATTGTCTTGATAGCCAAATATGACTTTCAGGAGCTCATTGTCCTAAAGATCACATCGAATAATAATAATAAATAAATAAAAGAAGTCAAATTGAATGCCCGTTGAATAGATACATACATACATACTCCTTCTTCTCTCCCCTCTCAATCATTCTCATCTATCTATCCTCCTTTGATTCTTACCTTCAATCGAATTGATACTGTTGTGTCATGATATCTTGTTCAATCTACTGGTTGTCATACCGGAAGAAAAGAAAAATAAATAAATAAATAAAACATGGAAAATCAAATCCTACTTGCCTGTGATAAAAAAAAAAAAAAAGAAGGTTAAGCTTGATCCATACTTACTATATATGGGCGTTGATTGATTGATATGATTCAAGTAATCTAAAGATGAGTCAATGAATATCGACTGTAAAACTATCCAGTAACAGAAACATTAGAAAATAACACACGTTTTTGTTTTATTTGTTTTTTTTATCTCATTGAACCTACAATCATCCTTTGACATCATCATAACAAACATACCGAATTATCTATCCATCATCCATAATATTTGAAAGCTAGAATTTGATAGGGTATCAGTTATGCATATAAGAAAAAAAGTCAGTGATTAATGCGATATCTGTCATTGGATTTACCTACTACATTTACCTTTACATTTTTAACACCAGATTCATGCCGGTCTAAATATTACATCATCCAATATGCTTGGTGTTTCTTTCAGTTGACATTTGAGAATGGATCTATATATGATATATTAAATGATCGATTATTCACCACTTGATTAATAATAATGATATATCATGACATGCCAGCAAAGGTGTACAAAGATGTATTGAGGGTATTCAATGTATTGATATCTACATGATAAAAGTAAACTGAATCTTTCCTTTTTTTTTTCTTTTATTTCACTAGTACCTTTTTTGTCCTTTTTATCTCCAAAAGAAATAAATATTTTATCATAAAAAAAAAAAGTACTTTTGTTTTCAAAATATATATAAAGTCAATACCTATCTTTAAATAAATGTTGGAGTCACTTTGAACATCATTCCCATAATGTTGCCCACTAACTGAACAATTGACTACTAATATGTATGTTGAATCCTTTTTACAGTCATATGTGGGAAAAAAGAAAGAAAAGAAAAGAAAAAGAAAAAGAAAAAAAAAGAAATCCTAACTGGGCTTGAAAAAGCATGATTTTTTTTTTTCTTTTTGTCCCAGGAAGGACCAAAAAAAAAAAAAAAAAATAGTCAGGTGAGTAGACAAAAAAGAGATTTGAGTGACACTGGTATGTTTTTTTGTTCTTTATCGATTTCACAATCTAAATGAGGTAAAGCACATGGGGAAGGAAAAATATATCAATAGTTTTTTTTTTTTTTTTTTTTTTTGAAATCATAAGACATATTAAGCAGGGGGGGAAAAGATAATATATAAAGGACGAATTGATTTCATTTATGACTCCGCTATTTCTTTTTCCTTTCTTTTCTTCAGTTTTCTATTTTTTTCTTTTCTTTCTCTCTTTTTTATTTTTTTTTTTTATATTATTATTATTTATGATGAATATTGATACACCACTTACTCCACCAGCTGATCAACATGATGATGATCATGAAATACATAAACCTTCAGTAAAATTTGATTTATCTAATTTACCAACTATGAATAAAGATCAAAAACAACAAGAACAAGCGCCACCATCCCCTTGTATTGATATATGCGCTCATATGGTACCGTCTACTATTCTAGTAGCATTATTGGACCGTGAACAAGAAATGCGGGGACTTGTACGACATAACATGCCTTTCTTTGAAACTTTACAATTACATCTTGGACCTACACAATGGCCTTTATTTGAAGATATTCTCTATCGAGATCGACAACAACTCTCTGATAAAGAATGGATGTCAAGGATTGAACAATTTTTAAATCAAGTACCCTCATTATTAGGTACATTCAAAGAATTGGTTGGTTATGTGGATGATTCAAATGATCAAGAAAGAAACACAACAGCTGGTCTATCTATTACTGGGGTACCTAATGTGGATTTATGTCATATTCGTCAATACCCTGATCGATTAAAGGATCTTCATTCATCTTATCCTCAATTCTTTATCAACTGCCAGCAGGTTCTGTCAGAAGATGATTATACTCAAATGGAAAATGTCTTATTTGCTTCAAAATCGGAACTCTCGGATGGTCGTTGGAAATCTCTTATCAAGAAACTTTTGTCACCTCATCAAAATCTTATGGATCAATTGAAGGAAATCATTGCTTATGAAATCGACGATGATTGATTGATCATCATTCTCTCTTTTTTTTTTTTTATTATTATTATTATTTTATTTTTATTAGTATCATCAATCATTCTCCCCCTTTTTCTCTCCTCCTTTTCCTCCTCTTATGTCATTCTTGCCTTTAGTATAGTTGTAATAAAAAAAAAATCTTTATTTTGAAACAGCTCTTTATTTTGTGTATATGTTTGTTTATTCTTCTCCTTTTTGATTTACGGATTTTATAAAAAGCTAAAATCAGATCGCTCCTAATACAAAAAAAAAAAAATATTTCTTTTCATTACTAGTTCTTCTCACATGATTGCGCCCAAAGGCTGGTTTTCTTTCTCTCACACGCTTTTTTATTGATTATTTGTTATTATACGAAACATATTCAGAAAATATGACGTTTTTCTACTGGAGGAATTTTTCTCACTTGTCAATTAAAAACGAGAGAGAGAGAGTCTCACCAAAACAGGAAGTGCTTTTTTTTTTTTTTTTTTTAAACAAGATGAAACAATGGGATAAAATATATTTAATGAGTTCCAAATTAGTATTAACATTTTTTATTGACGACTTTTTTTTTTTTTTGGTTTGTAGAAAAATATCCTACTCATATCGATTGGTTCAAAATCTGGCTAACAAATATACCATCAATAAATATATAATAAATAAATGAACGGGAATAATCATCAAAAAAAAAAAAAGAAAAAATCTGTTCTATCTATCTAATATCATATTGCCTTCATCCATAAGTCCGTTTCTATCCAATATACTGTCGTATAAAAAAATTTTCTTTCAGGTTGTTAAATAGCTTGTTTAGTCCTAGTTCCTCCATCTTCCATTCTTGAAAATAAGAATGGTCAAATTCAATACGTTACAGTGACCATTTGTCCACAAGAGAGAAAAAAAAAAAAAAAATAATAATAAATTTGAGTTGAGGAGTTTCAAGTTGTGAAAAATTGCTTTTTTCACTTTCTTTTCTTTTTTCAATCCTTTTCCTGATGTTCTAGATTAGTTGATCTTATCGTGTTATTGAGTTCTATAGGGCGATTCCATCAATGCCTTTGTCCATCCTCTTCTTTACATGTACTCAAGGAGGTAATGTCAAACAGAGAAAATATAATCAATTGAACAAATATTTTACTTTTTTTTTTTTAATCATTCATTTATAAATTCCTCTAAAGGTCCAAGGTAAAAAGGCAATGGTGCATAATATTATCTCTCTCTCTTTTCCGTAAGTCAACTTTCTTCGTGTCTTTTTTTTCACATAATTTGATCTGATCCTTATTTTCCAAAGCTTTTTTTTTTTTTTTTTCTGATCTAGACTACTTTACGATTGGATCAACTGGATGGATTTGTAACAAGGACTCTGCTGAATTCCAAAGACAAATCAATGGTGTAAAATTATCTTTTGAATGGTTCTTCTTCTAGTTTGGTTCGTGTCTCTTCTCTCTCTCTCTCTCTCTCTGTAATAGTTAGTATTTAAATTATATATTTATTACGGGTTATATTCTTTTTCAATAAAATCATCTTCATAGTACCAAATCATCTTGGATAAGTAAAACATCTTCTTGTTTATATTCACTTTATCAATCAATCATTGGAAAAATCAAATTTACATGCCCTTTCTTTTCTTTACAATATTTATGATCACATTTGCTAGCTGCGATATAAACATTATACTACGATCTTTGCTACGACATTTCCTTTTCATATTATTATAGCTATGGCAACTTAATATAAATAGTGGATAGAACTTTTATAATTTCTTTAGTTATGTTTTAATAAATTTTCTTCTCAACTAAAAAAAAAAAAAGATATTCAGGTCTTCATTTTATATTTTACAATAATTCTATTACCACTTTGGTTTTTCCAAAATTAAATAAATAATCATCATTGTTGAATAAAAAAAAAAAAAAAAAATTAAAAAAAAAAAATTTATTTTCAATTTTTACTTTCATTTTTATTTCCCCTTTTATTTTTCATTCTATTTTTTATTTTTTTATTTCACTTATTATTTTCGTTTTCATTTTCTTTTTCATATTATATTTTTTAACCTTAAATTTCAAATAGTATAAATACCCCACCTTTTTCCTTTATTTTTCCTTTTTTTTTTTAGTTCAATCAGTCAATATTTTATATTTTTTTAAATAAAAACATCTTTACATCCCTACTTGATTATATTGTGGATTATCTATTTTGATTGGCTCACTTTGTTCTATATTTAAAGTCAGAACAATTACTCTACTTCTATTTTCCAAATTTGGAACAAGACTTTATTTTTCTTTACTTTACTTTTTGTTTTATTTTATCTCTTTTCTTATACGTGTGCTTGCGTAATCAAGTACTGGTGCTCACTATAAACATTATTAACTTTCAATCATCCGTATTACTTTTTCAATTTTGAACCTAAAAACAAAAAAATCACTTAACAACACAAGAGGTGATCATCATCAAACAAAAAACGAATATATGTCGCAATAACGATAAATGATTGGTCAATATTTTAAAAACCGTACAGGCAAAATGTGAAAAAAAAGAGAGTTGCTCGCTAGCAGGATCGAACTGCTGACCTTCAGATTATGAGACTGACGCTCTACCAACTGAGCCAAACAAGCGCTTGTTGAATGTAGACTGATAACTGGATGATAAAGCATAAACACGGAATCGGCGAAACGATATAAGCGATTGGATGAGAGAGGTTATTGACCAGGGACCGGAGGAATGTTTAAGCCGATATGTGATGATTGGACTGAGGTTCAATGTAAAGCATATTTGGAAGAAAGGAAGGAAAAAAAAGGATCTCCTTTTCCCCCCTTCTCATTTTTCTTTTCTTTTTTTTTTTTTTTTTTTTGACTGCTGCATAAAAAGAAGGTCGATCTTTTTTCTTTTTTTTTTTTTTTTTATGATCTATTCATTCTTTTTTTTCTTTTTTTTTACATATTTTTATTTTGTTACTACCAATGGACAAGTTTAATCTGTTTGTGTAATGGCAAGTAATTTTTTTTTTTTTTGGAAAACGCAGCTACACCAAAAAAAGCAGAAAGGCCGGTCCGATTTTTTTTTTTTATTTTTTTTCATTTTCTTTTTCTTTTTTTTTTTTTTTTCTTTTCTTTTCTTTTTATATCTTTATAAAGTCATCATGTCTGGATTCCCTGAAAATACCTACTTTTATATCAAGTCTGCATCTGGTAGTACTGTTGTTGATGTTCACCAAGGAAAACTTGAAGTAAGTTATATTAAGTTTTGAAGTCAATGTGAATTATGTTTCATCCTTATCGCGTTTCCAATATGCTCATCATTATTATTATATTAGAAAGGAACTCATATTGTTATTTGGGAACAGGTACATTTCAATATACTCTTTTTTTTTTTTTTTTTTTATCAACTAGACCTCAATTTTTTTTTTATTGACTATAGAAAACAGGTGAAGATGCCGATAACCAAGTAAGAAAAAAAGAACAGGATTGAATGTATCATTCAATTGTTTTGACAACAAATAAAAAAAAAAAAAAAACTCACTCTTGTTTTTATTATTTCTATTAATTACAGCTTTGGACCTATGATAATGGATTTTTGGTGAATAAGAAATCTGGTCTCGGTAAGAAACTGATACAAAAGGAAAAGAGATGACATTTTTTTCATTTGATTTTTGGATTTGACTCTATCTTTTTTTTTTTTTTAATCTTTATTTATCATGTAGTCCTTGATATTGATGGAGGTAATACTTTGATCCATTGGTTGAATAGCAAAAAAAAAAAAAAAAAAAAAAAGAAACTAATTAATGATGATTTAAATTTTTTTTTCTTTCTTTCTTTCTCTTTGTCTTAGGTGACTTGAAAGTGGAAAAGAAGATTCAACAATATGACCGCAAGATTACTAGGTAAGAAGAGGAAAGAAGAGAAATGGATGAGAATAAAGATCTTATTTATTGACCTCTTTTTTTTTTATTATTATTCTATAGAGCTCATAATCAAAGATGGGGTTTCCGTGATGGATATATCTATACTCGTGCCGATCCTCGTATTGTTTTGGATGTTAAGGGTGGTAATGAAGAAGAAGGTACCCGTGTCATCACTTACAAGCGTAAATTGGAAGATTACCAAAATCAACAATGGATCGTTGAACCTGTATCTTAGTTAATTCTATTCTAATGTTTTATATATCTATTTGTTTTACTTCTTTTATATTATCCCATTCAATAAAACCTTATTCGATCCTTTTTTTTTGTTTGTTCTCTCATCATACTTTTTTCATTTATTATTATAGCGTATCATTCATCATTTCATACCACTCTCATTATTATCAATCACATATTTATTTTTGTCCTTTTGTTTTAGTTTGAAAGAGTTATGTATTTTGATTAGCTACAAACGAAAAGCCAGATACCCTCCATTCATGGATGCAGATCTATTCTATTCTTTCTCTTTTTTTTTTTTTTTTTCCTTTCCAAAATAAAATATCTCCTTTGAGATGATTCACTATAATCCATCACAGAGAATCATACACATAAAAGTATAATAATAATAATAATAAAGATAAAAGAAACAGTTTTTTTGCTTTTTATTGAATAAAAAAAAAAAAAAAGGACAGTGATGTGAGAGTTCTAGAATAAAAAGAGGTGAGGGAATCACAAGTCATGTTTAGGTCCAAACATACTATATTTAATAAAAAAAAAAAACAAAAGGTTAAATAATGCTCATCATTATCATCTTTTGATACTTACTTGAGGACCACCACCACCTTCAGGAACAGTCCAATCAATGTTTTGTGAAGGATCCTTGATATCACAGGTCTTGCAATGAATACAGTTTTGAGAGTTGATTTGTAATCGTTGATGACCTGGATTAGCTTCATCTTCTACAAATTCGTATACGCCAGCTAAATAATAATAGTAATAATAATAATGAGATCACTTCCATAATAATAATGATAATAATAAATATATATTGTTATTACCTGGACAGAATCGACCTTCAGGACCATCATAAATAGCCAAGTTTTGTTCAACAGGCTTGGCAGGATCTCGAAGACGTAAATGGACAGGTTGATTTTCGGCATGATTAGTACCTGTACGAGATACACTGGTTAACAAATCAAAGGAGATGACACCATCAGGTTTAGGATAATCGATTTCTTTGCATTCAGCAGCAGGTTTCAATGTTTGCCAATCAGCATGTTTGTGTCGGAAAGTCCAGGGTTCCTTGCCTTTGAGGATTAAAGTTTCAATACCGGAATAAAGTACACCACCAAGCACACCAAGAGGTCCATTGAAGGAAGGTTTACAATTACGTACTTCATAAAGTTCTTCATACACCCAAGAATTTTTGATCTTTTCTTCATAATTGTCCAATACAACACCTTTTTGTACCTCATTATCAGAAGTAAAGAGTTTTTCATAAGCAGCTTCAGCAGCCAACATACCAGATTTCATAGCAGTGTGAGTTCCTTTAATCTTGGGTAAATTCAAGAAGCCAGCTGTACAACCAATAAGAGCACCACCAGGGAAAACAAGTTTGGGGATAGATTGACAACCACCTTCGTTAATAGCACGAGCACCATAAGAGATACAATTACCACCTTCCAAAAGATCCTTCACTAAAGGATGATGTTTGAATCGCTAATATTATATAAATAAAAAAAAAAAAATAAAGTTAATATCTAATGAATTATACGGAGTTCCTTTCTCTCTCTCTCTTTTTTTTCCCACGATGGCATGTACATAATTTCTTCCCATTAACAATATTTTTTTTTATTATTTTATTTTGTAAACTTACTTGGAATTCCTTAAAGGGACTCATATAAGGATTGGTATAATCAAGACCCACGACCAAACCAAGAGCAACCAAGTTCTTTTCAGGTTCCAAATGATAAATGAAACTTCCACCATAAGTATTGTTATCCATGGGCCAGCCAATGGTATGAGTCACTGATCCAGGTTGATGTTTTTCAGGTTTGACTTCCCAAACTTCCTTGATACCAATACCATATTGTTGAGGATCACTTTCCTTACGAAGATCGAATTTCTTAACCAATGTTTTTGTAAGAGAACCATGACATCCTTCAGCAAACATAGTCACTTTGGCATTTACATGCATACCACGTTCATAAGTATCCTAATCCCAAATAATAATAATAATAATAATAATTAGATAGTTTTCTTTTTTTTTTTAAAAAAAAAAAATAAAATAAAATAAAATAAAATTTTTCCTACCTTGGGTTGAAAGTTCTTGTCCAAACCAACATCATTCAAAGCAACCCCACGAACACTACCATCATCGTTATAAAGAACTTCAGAGGCAGCAAAACCAGGATAGATTTCAACACCTAATTCTTCAGCTTGTTCACCGAGCCACTTGACAAAGTTATTGAGAGAGACGATATAATTACCCTTGTTATTCATTTGAGGAGGATGAGGTAAAGGGAAAGACATGGATTTTGTCAAGAGACGCATACTATCACTAGTCACAGGAGTATTGAGAGGAGCCCCCTTTTCCTTCCATTCAGGGATCAATTCATTCAAAGCGCGAGGTTCCAAAACAGCACCAGATAAGATATGAGCACCTACTTCACCAGCCTTTTCCACCACCATAACACGAATATCCTTATCAGCTTCCAATGCTAATTGCTTCATACGAATAGCAGCTGCCATGCCAGAAGGACCACCGCCAATGATCACTACATCTGTTTCATCTTCAAATACTTCACCACGTCGAGGATCGTCCTCATCCAAAGTATCACGATCCACAGGGATCCAAATGGATCGTGTTTGACTACTAGAGAAACATCGTACAGTTTGAATATATGGTTGACGTACGCGAGGTAACGCCCTTTGCAAAGTTGTTCCACGAGAACCAAGTAATGTTTTGGTTTGAGCACGAAGAGTGTGACGTAAACGCTGTGTTGCTGAATTACGTAACATTATAATGTTTCTTTCACCAAAAAAAAAAAAAATAAGAGTGGGGAGGGATATGTATAAAAAGAATGAAAGAAGTGAAGAGAAATAAAAAGAAAAAAAGAAAAGAAAAAAAAAAGACAAGCTTTTTTTTTCAAGGCGAATTCGGAATTTAAACCATCTAAAAAAGTTTGAAAAAAAAAAAGTTCACATGATTGGACGTCACATCAATTCCAAGAAAGGGAGAAAAGAAAAAAAAAAAAAAGCGGGGCAATGATAAATGATATTTTAGATCAAGATCAATTCACTAAGAAAGAAATATTTTTTTTAAAAAAAAAGTAACTGATGATTTGTAGGATGAATTCGTGATTAGTGGCTAAAGGATTATTCTATTGAAATGACATGGTGATACAAAACTTTTTTTTTTTGTGAAATAGGGTTTTAAAGACATTTGTCATAATAAATGTGATTTTCTACCGGGATCGTTATCTTGAATTTTATTATTATTATTATTGGATCTGACTATGTATTTGATTCCATACACGTTTTTCCAGTATAAATGATCGTCATAGTGATAATATAAATTATTTGAGCTACATATCTTGGTAAATCATATCTTTGAAAACCATCAATCAATAAATATAAACATTGTCCTAATTGATGACAACCATATTGAATAACATGATATTTGTTTTCTAAGAAAATAAGTTGTTGATAGAATAATAACATCATATTGGAAATTACCCCTTTTTTTAAAAAAAAAAAAACCAATGAAATCAATTGTTATGATTTTTACTTTTTTTTTTTTTAATTCATTACCAGGTAAAGGTGTTTTGTGAAAAACCATGATGATCAATGTAAGACATTCCACTAATACTGATAAACATTGTGTCCATATAGTTCTTTCAATAACATCATTTTGTTGTTTCTTCTTCTTTTTTTTCTTTTGATGATGATATATTGAATTGTCATTAAAAGAAGAAGGATGGGCGGAGATGAATTTATTCAATGCAATAGAATACAACTGTAATGATGTTTGTTCTTGTGTTTCCAGAATAGCCAATTCCATCAATGTTAAGCCTTGTTGTACTTTATCTTTCTTCAATACATGATTTATTTGATTCATATTATCATCATTTCTTTTGTTAATACATAATCTTCTTTCAATTTCTGTCTTGACACTAATCATCCATTGACTATACATTATATAATAAGATAAAATAATACAAATAATAAAGATAAAGAAGAACAGAAGAGAGAGAGAAAAAAAAAAGATAGAGAATGCGTTTTTCTGGTTTTTTTTTTTCTTTTAGTTGTTTTTCAAGATCTCCTTTTGGAATGCATCAAGGGGGGCTTACAAGAAAAAAAAAAGGGGCAAAGGGGTTGTGATGACAACAATAATGAGGAAAGATAAACGAATGCCATGATTCATCATTACGATATATCAAAAAGTACTTGTTTTTCAAATAAAATAGTAAAAGGGTCATCTCTTTACTTTTCTTCGAATGTCGCTATTTGAATGATCCTTTTCGTTTTTCCCTAAATAAATAAATAAAAATAAAAAAAAAAAGATACTCCACCTTTTTTTTTTCCTTTTTTTCTTTGAGTATATATGCTTTCACGTCTTTCACAAAGACTTCATCGAACAATGAAACCACTTATTTTTGTTGATTTTGATGAAACCATCACCACCAAAGATACTATTGGTTTATTAGGACAAACTGGAGTGCAATATCATGGTTCACGTACTCCCTGGTCTTTTTTTGTACAAGCTTACTTGGATGACTACAAACGAAAACAACAACAAATATTACAAAAAGGTACAACTCTGAAACAACAAGTAGAATATATGGATCAATTTCGACATGTTGAAAAGGCTTCTTTGGATCGGATATCTCATTGGGGCATCCTGAGTGGATTCACACGACAACAGTTATATCAAGCAGCAGCCTCTCAAGTCACTCTTCAACCTTCAGTACAGGATTTATTGGAACAGGTGGGTCCTACTCGACTTTATATTGTTTCATTAAATTGGTCAAAGGATTGGATCCGTGGTGCATTATTATCTGGACAACATGATTTTGACTTGAAAGATGATCATATGCTTTGTAATGATCTTGTCTTTGATCCCGCCACTCAAAAATCAACAGGGATCATCCAACCATCTATTTTGAATACGTCCGATAAGTTTCGTCATATTGAATCCATTCTTCAACAATCAGTCGATCATCCACGTAGTATATATATTGGGGACTCTATGGGTGATTTGTTACCATTAGGTAAGTAACAGATATAAGAATTTATATCAAACTTACAATTTTTTTTTTTTTTTGATAGTGGAATGTGATATTGGAATCATCATAGGAAAAAATCAACAACTATTAGACACTTTAGCACAAGCAGGAATTATTGTAAAAGAAGGATTAGATTCTTATTCGACAACAAATACTATCAAGGTGGTTTATCAAGTGAACGATTGGCAGACAATATTAAAAAGTGGTATCCTAGCATAGACATCCTGTATTATTATCATTTTTGTATCACTATCACGTCCGATTTCTTTTTTTTTTCTTTCTTTAACGCATATATCTATATATATATTCTTCCATCATCCATATCAGTCAATCAATAAAAAAAAAGGGGGGTCTTTATGTTCTATAGCCTATCCAATCAAATCCATAAAAATAAATTTTATATCATCTACTCTCTACATCAAATAATCCAAACATCACCAGTTTTTATTTCCTTGATTCCAAATAATATCCTATCAAACAATGAATGATCGGTTTGCTATATTGACAGTGTGTATGTATGGGAAGAGGAGAGAAAAGGGAGTATTATATGGAACGACAAAAAATAAAAGATTGTAGGTGTTCAATAAGGATTGTTGGCATTTTTGTGAATGATATTTATTGTTGGTACATAATGGAGGGTTGTATCATGGTAGTTCGTCGTAATAAAAGGTCATGTTGATTTAAGATCGTCGAGACAAAGCAATCACGTTGGTCAATTCGTCAATCTTCTTCTTGGAACGAAGGAAAGTACCGAGCTAGAAAAAATAAAAAATAAAAACAAGTTAGATATACGTCAATGTTAAATAAATAGGAACTTACTCTCTTCTTGGTAAGCTTCTTAGCACGCTTATCCTTAGAGTTCTTGATCAATTCCATAACACGACGTTCATAAGGAGCGAAACCAGCAACTTCACGGACAATGTTGCGAACAAAAGTGGCACGCTTAGAAGCAGCCTAATATTCAGAAGAAATAAGAAAAAAAAAAAAACAAAAAAAAAAAAGAAAACATTAGCATGTATTCTACATTGTATCCATCCATCCATCCATCCATCCATCCATTCATTCTATCGTCATACGTACACCCTTGCGGTTAGAGGGCTTTTGCTTCAATTCACGACGAGTGGTGATGTGACCCTTGTTGAGACCGACAGCGATACCAGACTTTTGTTGAGGAGCCATTTGATATATAAAAATAAAGAGGTGGAAGAAAAGGGAAGAAAAAATGGAAGGGAGAACTAACAAAGACTGAGTCCCCCCCACCTTTGACAATTTCAATTTCCGACCACTGGATACTAGTAGTTGTGGTAACGATTAACATATAGGAAATCTAAATGGCTGCTAATCATTTTCACAAGTGAATACAAAATAAAAAGATCAGTGCTCTCATTATCATCTCATATTACCTGTCATTCCATCATCCAGTCAAACCATTCAACCGATTGTTTTTCCTTATCATTGATATAGATCAAACTACTGATAAGGTAAAACATCTAATTTTTTTTTTTTTTTTTTTTTTTACCACGCTCAACAAGAATTTCGGCTACATGTCCATTGCACTGCATTTCTCCTTATTTGCGCGGTGAACTACCATACTGAGATGAATGTCTCATTTTTTTTTTTTTAAAAAAAGGACAGTTGTTAATAGAACTAATCAATGATCATCCACGAGGGAAGATCCTATTGCAACATAGATGCATTGTTAGATCCAAACAAGTGGTTAATTGAATGACCGAGAACCCGAAAGTAAATAACATCATCTTTGTCGGCAAGAAAAAGAGCCGTGATCAGAAAGGGAGAGATAGAAGACCCAAAAAAAAAAAAAAAAAAAAAGTAAAAGGGTCACATACATCCACTTACCATTTTGGGGTTGGGGGGAGGATGAACACAAAATTTCTCTTTCGGAAATACGGAAAATGTCTATTCATTATATCGGACCGATGTTTTAGTAATAATATAAAAAAAAGGGGGACATGACGTAAATGGACTATATATTTTATTTATTCATTGATCGATAATAAAACAAAAAAAAGAAAAGAAGATAATATACTACAGACTATAGAGATAATAACAATAAATGTAAGAAAGGCATGAGGTGGGGATGTACATAGGATATATAAAAAAAAAAATGGAAAAGTATATAAGGAAAAAAAAATAACTAACTAATAGATGTCAAAGAGAAGTCAAAAAAAAAATCAGAACGAATGTTTACAAAAAAAAAAAAAGAAGAAGGAAATATATATATAATATGCTTATGAGTGTGTGGTGTCTGTGTATGTATATATAAAAAAAAATGAAACTATGCACAATAGTAGATAAAGAGAAAGAATCAAAGTATCAACGTAAAAAAGGGTTATCCTGCCTCTTTTCTATTTCCAAACATCCATCTATAGTTTTTCATTTCAGCCCTTCAAAGTAGTGTAATGATGTATCATAAATAATGTATTGTTGTTATTGTTTGTTAGTGGCGCGATGATTTTTGTCGTCGAGGCACCCGTAAATGAGACTTGGCATGGCGTTTCATATCATGTTTTCGGGCAAAACATTTTTGACAAGTGCTACAGGCAAATAACTTGGGTCGATGAGGATCATGAGTAAGAATATGTTCTTTCATATTGTTGGCACGATTGCTTGTATGATGACAATGAGGACAATGATGAATCTTCTTTGTCTTTTTCTTCAAGGATTGTCTTGTTTGGGGTTCTGGAGGTGTGATGATGGTACCAGTATTTGCCATAAACAAAGGATCGTCTTCTTGCTTGGTAAAGAAACAAGGAGATTGTTGTTGTTGATTCATATTGATCATATATCCATCCATTGATTCCATTGAAGGTGTCATTGGTGAAATCCAATATTCACTATTAGGTGATAAATGTTGTTGTTGAGGTTGAATGGCATAGGTTGTATTGGTAAAAGTAGGAGAAAGCATATGTTGTTGAGGTTGAGGATCAAGTAAGTCACTGACACAGAAATCTTCTGAAGAATATACAATGATATCGTTTGGAGATGATTGAGGTGGTTGATCAAATGATGATAAAGGAAGATAATCTAATAATAATAATAATAAAAAGGAGAGTTAGTTAGTTTTTTTTTTTTTTTGTATGATGATTCTTTTTTTTTTTTTTGATTTTATCATGTTTAGTACCTGTAGCACAAGAACCTTGCCAAGAAGAAGAGGTCTCACTGTCAGAAACTGTTTGATATGGAGATAATAACATAGAAGAAGATGATGATGTTGATGATAATGATGAGCGTGATACTGATGATGAACAAGAAGAAACATTGGAATCATTATTGACTGTAACAAGACCAGGATGTTCTTGATAATGATGATCCATCATCATATTGGGTGACGTAGTATCAGATGCATAAACATATTGAAAATGTTGTTGTTGTTGATAATGATCAGGATATGGTTTGTATAGGAATTTATTGATAAACTGATTAATAGCAGTCATTGATAATATATATAGATAATAAATAAATAAATAAAAAGTTAAAAAGACAACAGAGATAATCAAGTATTAAAAAAAAAAAAAGTGAAGAAAAGAAGAAAAAAAAAAAACGAAAAAGTTAAAAAACTTTGATCTTTATATAGAAAAAGAAATAAGTTCCCCCCATAAATTCTTTATCATACACGTTCCGCAGTGATGTGAGTGACAACCGGTGTTTTAAATTCTCCCTCTTTTTTACATCAGGTTCATAGTATTACCATTCATCTTTAACATCCCAAGTGACAGTATTACACAAAAAAGTAATTCATACGTACATCATTTACTATTTTAAGGAAGAATTCATCAATAAAAGAAGTTATTTTTAACTTGAAGCAATGCTTGGTTTTTTTTTAACTTATCAGCCATACATATATGTTGATGATTTGCTGATTCATCCTGTTGTTTTGTTGTTGTATCAGTTTACTGCTGTGTTATGAAAAAAGCAGGAGGCAAAAAAGAAAACTAAATGGTCATCCGTGTCACTCGACTCATTTTAATGGACTTACCATAAAAGTCACTCATCTTTGATTCCATCAGATTTGGTAAAAAAACCCTTTCCATCGGTGAAAAAAATCTTCCAATAGGATATGTACTACAGAAGGCTTGAAAAAGCCAAGAAAAGTAACTCCCCTTACAGATTCTATTATTACTTTTTTTTTTTAAAAAAAAAAAAAATAATAAAAAGTAAAAAAGTGGCTCATCCTTTTCTTTTTTTTTTTTTTTTTTGACTCATACATAAAAAAAAAAAAAAGCTTAAACCTTAACAATATGCAATTGGAAATCATTTTCAAAAGAGATTAGCTTTTATTTTATTCATATCTAACCATCCTCATCATCATAGTAAGCAGCTTTTCAGTCTTTTGATTGGTCCCTAACGCCACTTACCTGATTAGTGGTTTTTTCACCGTTGTTCCCTTTTTCACCTTTATCTGAAACTCAAAAAAAAAAAAGGTCATCATGATCTCGCACAATACATGTTGTCTACTCCATTCATAGTGTTAAATCACCGCAAGTTATTTCCCTCCCCCCATTTGAGGTCGTGATACAAAATGGTGATTAAAACAAGGTATCAACGTAAGAAGGAAAAAAAAAAAAAAACTATATCTACGATACGATGATTAATCATCTTTTTCACTTTTTGAAAAATAAGTAGAAGGAATTAATGATATTTTTTTTTTGTATTAAAAAAAAAAAGAATGATGATGATGATGATTGATCCATTCGGCGACTTGACCGTTGTTCATCTATGCCAAGGATTTTTTTATATTTATTGTAGTTTTTTTTGTGGATACTAATTTAAAAAAAAAAAGAAGGGGTACGGAGATGTAAAACCGAGAAAAAGCACTGAAAGGGACAACCATCAATGTTTTCTCAGGCTGGCAAAAACGGAAAAAAAAAAAAAAAAGAATTCATTTGAGGTATTTAATTTCGCTCTTGGCAATGGAATCTTTTTTATCTTGGCTTAAGAATGATTATATTATGAATTGATAAAATGACAATAATACAAATAATAATAATAAAAAAAAAAGAAAAAAGAATAATAATCATAATTTATACTTTCTATTGTTTGCTACATAAGCACATGCTTTTAGATATATATATTTTTCCCCAAGTGATGGGTAATAAAAAAAAATTGCGGTATTCCAATTGGATAGTTCATTCATTTCCAAAAAAGTATTTTTTCTTCTGCCAGTCGCTCCTACACACACACCTTTTCTTTCTTTCTTCCTCCCTTTTTTTTTTTTTTTTTTGTATCATCAGTTGCGATCCTATTATTTTATATCAATAAAAGCCAAAATAAACAATTTTTTGGCATTTATATATAGACATACATTCTTTATTTTTTTAATATATATATATATATTCTATTCGATGGATCCTTCTATTCTTGATGCACTTGGATTCTCTACTTTGAAATACCATTGGCAAGTTGTCTTATTATCTGCTGTGATCTGTTGTATCATCTTTGAAACTTCTCGTGTGATATCCCCTTTGTTATTCCCCAAGACTTTTCAATTCTTTAAAGGTGTAAGTTATTGTTTATATCATCTTTTTTAGATCTACTAATATAAAATTATTATTATATATTAGTATAATGCTCCCAATTGGCATGTTCATGTTGTATCAACGATTCACTGTATTACAGTTGTCATCGGGTCTTTCTTTATTATGGGTGATAAAACTTTGAATAATGATAGAGTTTTTGGTTACACATATTGGGCTGCCAATATTTATTCTATATCTTGTGGGTAAGGATCAAAAACAAAAAAAAAAAAAAAAGGAATGTAGAATAGTGTGACTTATATGTATATATAATAGATACTTTCTTTGGGATACCTTTGTCGCTATACATTATATCAAACATCAAGGCATTAGTATGGTTTGTCATGGTATTGCTTCTTTTGCTGTCTTTATATTTGGTTACGTAAGTGAAATTCATCGTGCAATATAAAATAATAATAATCATGATTCTTCCTTTTTTTAATAGAAACCTTTTGTCAACTACTATGGAGCTATCTTTCTCATGTATGAACTTAGTACTATCTTTTTGAATTTCAATTGGTTCATGGTAAAGTTTTATGATGATAATACAAGTTGGATATTAAAGAATATTATCATTTATATATATTCTTAGGATAAAATCGGCTGGACCGGCACCAAGGCTCAATTGATTAACGGCATCTTTTTGATTCTTTCATTCTTTGGAGCTCGCATTGTATTCGGGATTTATATGACAATTCAAATGTGGAGTAAGTGGCAAAATCAAAAAAAAAGAGGGGGAATACTTTTATTATGATTAACACTTTTGATGGGGATTATTTTAGCTGATATTTATGCCGTCAAGGAATTAGTACCATTAAGATGTATGTAAAAAAAAGGATGATTGTGGCTGGAGAAGATGTGAATCTAACTTTCAACCAACCAATACTGATAAAATGACTAATATAAATTCTTTTTTTCATTATTTTATTTGGATAGATATTGTGGTTTATGGAAGTGCCAATTTTGCAACAGTGTGCCTGAATTTATACTGGTTTAGATTGATGATCAACATGCTTCGCAAACGGTTTCCAGGAAATAAGACGGACAAGGAATTGAAGTAGTTATCCATCTCACTTTATTTTATATATATATATATATATACGATATATGGTTTTTATTATTATTATTATTATTTCTTTCACTAACTCAAACCGATCACCTTTTTCTTTTTCTTAGTATATTTCTGCATTCCATTATGTATTTATCCATTCTAACCTACCACAATAAATAAATAAAAAAGTTTTTTTTTTTTATTGACTTTGTTTGTATGATGCATTGCATTACCTGTATATGTTTATATTTAGAAATCCTTACTAATTTACAATATTACGAATTCATTGACCAAAAAAAAAAAAAAGATTTTCATCCAATTATTTGGCACTGGCGCTCTAAGGAAAAAAAAATCTATACAGACTTATCTTCAGTAGTATGGAGCTTGGCTTGCCTAAGCTCGTTATTCAAATAAGGAAATTGTCCAAGCAGATTTCTCTTTTGCATTTTGATCTCGATCTTCATGAAACACAATTTTTTTTTTAAAATAAGAACGAAATGGTGATCATAAGGGAGGATAAATAGGGAAGCATCATCGGGTAATGGATAAACTCTTCTTCCATCATGTATGCTTTCTCTTTCTGGTTCAAATTTTTTCCAGCTCATTATATAACGATCGTCCAAGAATGATGATATAATGAAAGCACACCAGTCTTTGGTACGGTAGAATGGTTTATCAGTAAGAACGTTGAACAAAGTGAAAGATGAATGATTCCTTGTTTGCCCTGTTTTGAATCTCCGTTAGCATTTTTTTGCCTATGTATTTTTTTTTTCTGTTCTATTTCTTTCTTTTGTTTCCCTAACAAAATATAAAAATAAAAAGTAACATGGATACCTATGAATCAATATCAGCATCAAAGACTTCACCGTCATTATCAACTACGGAAACGAGTTCACATCCTGATCCACCTTCAAGTATTCCTATCGATATCGCAATGTATCATTCTTTGGAGATGCGTGCCATGGAACTTTCGTGTCATCTCACGGAATCTGTTCAACAAATTAAATCACACATGGGAAAGGTAACAAAAAGAAGAAAAAAAAAAGATAGGACGATACATGTTATTCAGTTTATTCTCATGATCTCTTCATCTTAACTTTTTTTTTTGTAATTGTCGTCCGGTATTAGATGTCGCAGGGAACCATCGAAGCAGGACAAGTCTATAAAGCAGCGGTTCAAGAATTATCTGATGATTTGGCCACTTGTACTCAAAACACCGTGCAATTGATTACTCAATGTGATGAATTGGATAAGGATTTAGCTCAGATTCAATTACTATCAAAGCAAATGTAAGTCATTTTTGAATAAGAAGTTATATAAATGTATGATATAAACCAAACTAATCTCTTTAAAATATTTATAGAAAACGTGTGGATAAAGGATTAGATAAATTATTACAATCGATATAGTTTTTCTACTTGAAATTGAAATATATATATATTTGTAAGTATGGTCAATTAGTAAGATATAAAAAACACGAAAAAGAATATGTGCAACATGAATCTCATTCTCTTTTTCTTTCTTTTTTTTTTTTTTTTTTTTTTGTTATTTTAGTGTATCACTATCATTGTCAAGCAGCATCATCATCCTGAACACAGAATCAAATGGAATGGACAAAGCGAAAAAGGATGAACAACCAACGAGAAAACAACCATATTATCGCAATAGCTGGAAGGATCTATTACAAGCATCTATTGGAAACGGGAAATCGATTTGTATGGAAATGGATGATATATTCTTCTTCATTGATAGTTATAGTATTCTTCTTCTTTAATAAAATATATTTTTCATATTATCATTTACTAATACAGTTCAATCCGATCATCATTTCTTCTTATTATTATGCACATATCAACACATGAACTTCATTTCTCCATCATCTTAAAAAGAAACCCATCATTTTTATTATATGTATCATTTAGTTATAAAACAAATAACTAATATAAGGGAGCCAAAAAAAAAAATCATCGTTGTAAAATGGTAGGGGGAATAAAGACATGCACATTTTCATCCCAGGCACAGGTAGCGACTTGACCTTCAACATAAAGATTCCAATCGACACCCAAGACAAATTCGGTATGAGCATCGTGTACATCGATCAAATTTTGACCAGGAGGTGCGTTAATATCCCAAAAGCGTACACTCATGTCATAGGCGGCACTTGCAATGATGTTGGCACGATGAGGAGAACACTTGACTTTGCGTACAGCATATTCATGACCAGGAAGACACACCACTTCTCTTGAAGGATTGCGCAAATCCCATACCTTGACTGTCTTATCCACCGAGCCAGTGACCAGCATGTCTTGGTTGTACTTATTCCAATCCACCGAAAGCACCTCATTGTTGTGGGCAAATAACGTCTGTACCGATCGTGGACTCTTGGTATCCCAAATTTTCACTGTTTGATCTCCTGACCCTGACATTAATACTGTTGGATTATATGGTGACCATGCCGTACTATAAACACAATGAGTATGTTCTGTATATGTTTGTAATGATCTTGGTGCTTGAGGATTCCACTATATAAAAGTGTATATAAACATTCAATCCATCTTTTTTTTTTTTTTTTTTTTTTTTTTGGGTAACACCTTACGATTTTGACAGTATGATCCCATGAACCACTAGAAAATACATCTTTTGTGATAAGATTCCAATCGACTGAAAACACTTCTCGTTGATGTTCTTTCCAATTTTGAATAGGGAAATCCTAAATCATAAAATAACACTAAAGAGTTAGGTTCATTCCTATGATAATGATGATAATTACCGTCAAGGTAGCATCCCACATTTTGATAGATCCATCACCACTAGAAGCCACTAATTGATTTTCATTGATTTCACTCCATGCTACATCAAATAATCCGTCCTGTGTATCATATCTAATAAAATAATAATAATGAGATCGATGTCATTCAATCATGTTGAAACTTACACTCTTTCCATCATCACTCCTTCAGGTCCAACACCAAGTAAATAAAGTCGTCCATTCCCTACAAGACCATAATTTGAGGAACTTGCTACTGCTAATTTGTTTTCATAAAACGGACTCCATTTCACCTAAAAAGAAAGATATGTTAGAAAAAAAAAGAAAAAAGGAGAATGGACTACACTACCTGAGCGTATCCTCTCTCTCTCTATCTATATACTTCTTGTTCATTTGACTTTTTTAAAAACTTACTGAGTATCCATTGAAGCCTTCTGTTCGGAATCGTGTAAACATTATATATATTTGTGTATATACGCGAGTGTCTGTATGTGTGTGTACGCGTGTGAATGTAAGTGAGTGTATCGAACTGAAGTCAACGTGTCTAACAAAGTTTCCAACCGATGAAGTGTCTGAGGATTCAACGCACCAAAAAAAAAAAAAAAAAAAAAAGGTGGGGAAAAAGGGAGATGCGTTCAAGTAAACATTCGAAGATTCATGTAGACGCCGGTGATTGAAATCATCCAATTAAGTTTTGTCAGCGTTTTTCATATGAAAAAGCTAAAATCGATCCAACAATGAGAGGACAAATACTTTTTGTTATTTATTGATGAATAATAAAATCAATGGTATGATATCAAATAATAAACTAACTAACTAACTATAAAAATAAAATCAGAAGTAATCTTGATTATACCAAAGTCTATATAAAAGAGAAGATAAATGAGTAAAGAGGAATAAAGAATCGGAAAAAAGAGGGAGAGAGGGAAGAGAAGACGGAAGCATTGGAAGAGACATAGAGTTGTTTGTTGACCAAGAAAAAAAAAAACCAAAGCAAATCGTTGTTGTTGTTGTTGAAATATCATGTTCTAAAAGTTCAAAAGATAAAATAGATCCTACACAATGTCGAATATATATATATATATATATTCACTATCCATCCATTCCAATCCAATCCATTTCCATCCATTCGTTCTGCCGGTTCACCAGCCACAACAATCCATCCGTCCGTCCATTCATTTTGCCAACCTGCCAGTCTACCTGCCTTCCCTCTCCCTTTTGTGATATAAAAAATAAAAATAAAAATAGAATAGTAATAATAATCACCTTTTTCAAGCTTTCATCCACCAAAACCACGCGCGCAGAGTATCACCACCATATATTTGACTAACCAATAAAAAAAAATAAATCCCAAACTAACCTTGTATCCCACCATCAATCACACCATGCCATCCATCAATAGTCCGCTACAAAAGTGTTAGGTTCTGGATTGGGAGCATTGCATTTGCCACAGTAAGTTCGTTTTGCAAAATCTATAGACAAAATAATAATAATAATAATTAAAATGTCATCCCTTTTTTTTTCCAACTGATGAATATACCAACTTACTATGAAATCCACAACCATTGTTTCGACATACCCAATCACCATCTACCACCAAAAAAAAAAAAAAAAGAAAGTTAAACAAATGGAATTTACATTGTTTTCTACTTACTCTTCATTGGAGGGGGTCCACGATAACCACCAGGTCCACCATACACAGGAGTAGGATTTGGTTGAGAAGGATTATATGGTTTTGCTGTATGACATTTTAAACATTGGAATCGAGAAGCAAAATTATGAGAATTACAATTAGGACTATTCAAAACAAAAAAAAAAAATATATATATATATATCAGTATTTCAATACAGGATCATGTTACACTTACCAATACCAATCACCAGCTCGGAAACCATGTCCACCAGTACCAGGAGCCATTGTATTTACAGGAGGACCACCATAACTAGATCCATATGTATTACCAGTATAAGGAGAATTCGTCGAATGATCATAGCCGTAACTACCATGTCCAACAGGAGCAGTAGATGAAGGAGGAACTCCAGGACCACCACCATATGATTGTTGTTGTTGAGGAGGAGGGGCAGGAGGAGCAGGATTAGGATTGGGAGTATGACAACGATAACAAGACATACGAGAAGCAAAGTTTTGGAAACCACATGCAGGATTAGGACAATACCAATCACCAGGACGGAAACTAGCAGGATGATGAGGACGAGGAATATGATGATGCTGATGATGATGATGAGGACTATAAGGAGGACCAGAGGGAGGAATCGATCCACCATGACGATATGTCATACACTTGAGACATTGGGTACGAGAAGAATAGTTGCGGAAGTTACATTTTGTATTTGGACATATCCAATCGCCAGGAGTGAAAGGAGCACCTGCAGGATGACCACCAGGAGGATGATGTCCACTACCAGGTGGATAAGAGAAAGAAGAAGAAGAAGAAGATGTTGCAGGACCAGAAGGAGTGGTGATCACATTGTTGTTATTTTCAGCATTGCATTTGAAACAATGCCGACGAGAAGCGAAATTATGGAATGAACAGTTGGGACAATTCCAATCACCAGGACGGACTTGACGAGTTTTGGATTGAAGAGGGAATGGAGAGAGCATAGAATAAGCAGCTTCAACTACACGTTCACTACTGGCAGAGACTTCAATCACACGATCACTGAGACATCGACCATTCAATAACAAGGCACGAACAGCATCATCATGTTGTGAAAAAATGATGAATCCAGAGAGACTTGGTTTGGTTTGTTCGGTTGCTTGCATCATCCACATTGTTGATGGCCGAAGACCATTGGAAGAAAACCATGCTTCTAATTCACCTTGAGTCACTTCGTATGGAAGGCCAGCCAGATGTACCACTTTAGACTGTTCTTTTTCAAATTGTTGTAAATCAGCTGCTGTATCAATAGGATGAACAAATACATCATTGTGACGGAACTTGGTGAGATAACGTATAATGCTGGCAGTTGTTGGTAAAATATCAATATCAGCATCTTGGATAGATTTGTTGTCATCCGTTTCTTTTTCCTTGTCGTTCTGTTTTGAAATCAAAGGTATTTGGAAGATATCACATAATTCTCTAATAGAAGTGGTACGTAATTGGACTTCAGCATGATGAACTTGCCAACGTTGAATTTCTTGCTTGAGATCAAACATACAGGGTTTTGCCAAGTAGTCAGGTAAATCCAGCTTTTTGTCTCTTGCTTCACGGGATAATTGAATTCGTAGTATCCAACCACCATGAGTCACAAAACAAAAATCAAGTTGATTGTTCACAATATCGTTTTGAATGGTTTGACCCAATATGTCGATGGCTTCTTTCAAAGTTCCTGCATTAGATATCATATCCGAGGTCACACCACTGACTTGAGTACAGAACTGAGTAAGGGGAGTTCGTTCAGGTTTGACATAAATAGTTTGTTGACTTAGGATTTCCATGTTGGAGGACTTTACAATGGCAAACGATATTTCTATATCAAATAATGAAATGAATTATTAATAAATAAATAAATAAAAAACAATTATTATTCGTTGAACTTACGAATGATTTCTGCATTTTCCTAAAATTCATCATTAAATACAAAAGAATTTTAAGATTAGTAATAGTCCAAAAAAAAACTAAATTTATTCTTATTAATTTTACCTTTGTCACTTGAACAGCAGCTGGATTGGTTGGATTTTCATCACAAGTGACTTCCACATGAAGCAACACTAGTCGATCAAAAGGAATAATAGTTTCTTCCAAAGCAGTTTCTTGATTAGAAGCATTTTCATCATTAACTTCTTCTTCTTGTTGTTGTTGCTGTTGTTGATGTAGTGTATCCGTATTGACTTGATCCTTGGTTGTTGTCAATGTATCATCAGGTGTATATTCAGTCGCAGTAGTTTCAATAGAATTATCAATAGAATTATCAATAGAATTATCAATAGAATTATCCACCAATGGCTTCTTGTTCACACTTTCTTCTTCACCATCTGATTCTACCGGTCGTTTTCGATTGGATAACATGTCCATTGTAAAACAAACAAACAAACAAACAATATATAAGGTAAACACAGAAAGAAATAAAGAAGAAAAAGGGAATAATAAAAAAAAAAAAAAAAAAAAAAAAAAACTTTTCATATTCATTATTATGAAGTCCGAATACCATCTGCCCAATCGAATCGTTCGTTTTATTTCAATACCAAAAAAAAAAAAAAAATAATAAAAAAAATAAACTATAACAACTATAACTACAACTTTGGAGATGATTCAATAGGATAAACTTTGGTTAACCAACTCTTCAAAATATCATTGCATTCAGTAGGTCTTTCCCAAAGAACCCAATGACCAGCACCTTCCACAGTAAGCTTGTCAAGATTTGGAATATATTCACTCATTTTTTCAGACATAGAAGGTGGCAATGCTCGATCGAGAGTGGCTATACAGAAAAACAAAAAAAAAAAAAGGGTGTCAGTATTCATTATTACTATTTCTTATTTGAATACTTACCAACAACCATTAATGCAGGCTGTGTAACATTATCGGGTAAATCTACCATAAAAAAAAAACGAATGAATTAAATTCATTCATCTTCATCTCTATCCTTTCTTTTTTTTTTTTTTTTTTTTTTTTTACCTTTGCATTGATTATAGTTGTTGAATGATTGCTTGTACCAGTTCAAACCACCACGGGCACCAGCTTGTTGATACGCCTTGACATAATAATCAAACACCTTTTGAGAAATAACATCACTTTTTGGAACAACAGATCGTCCAGCTTGTAAAGTACCAGTTTGAGGGTCAATCAAAGGATCCTTGGAAGCTTCGGCAATAGGACGGAAGATACGAGCAAAGAAGTTGGCAGTATTTTCATTGATATCCTTTTCAGCTTCAGGAGTTACCAAATACAGTTGATACTTGAAGTTAGGAAGCACTTCCACTACTTTTTCCAAAGGAATATGGACACGAGCAGGTGGTGAATAAGGTGTACAGAAACTACCCACAGCAAGAACACGGTCAGGATAGAATTGTGCAAATCGCCAGGCCACAGCACCTCCCCAGTCATGAGCCAATACTGTCACAGTAGGTAATGCCAAATGATCCATCAAAGCAAGTAAATCTTGAGAAATGACGCCCATGCCGTAATGTTCATGTGATTCAGGTGCTTCCTGTCAGATATACAGTTGAGTTAGCTTGCAATATGTTATCTATGCATCTTTCTTACTGTTTCACCAAAACCACGCAAGGAAGGTACAATCACACGATAACCAAGTTCAACAAGGAAAGGAATCTGTTCACGCCAGCCTGTCATGGGAATATATGAATAAGGTCAGTTTTGTTTCAATGCATTTCATTGATATATTTCTCTCTCTTTTTTTTTCCACATGCTCTAAGTGAGTATTGATATCTTACCGAGCCAACTAAAATATAGATAAAGAAAAAAAAAAAGAAAAGAACCATGAGATTAATGACAAAATACATTGTATCATTTCAAAAGTAACTTACAGATCAGGCCAACCATGGATAAGAAGTAAAGGTTTTTGACTTGAAGAGTTTTCATCCACATAATGCATACGAATACCATTCACGGTAGCATATTTATGATTAAAAGTAGAAGGATCGTTCTTATCAAGAGGCATAATTGTATATGAAAATAAAGACAAAAAGGGAAAAAAAAGAGGACCAATTCGCGTTATTCCTACCTATTTTTTTATAATGAAATAATAAAATATGCTGAGTCAATCTTATTAGCAAACTCCGCGTATCCCATTTTGGCATAAAAAAAATGACATGTTCAGTCATTCACTAACAACAGTAATCATCATAGGTTAAATAGTTGCATCAAAATGAATACATATATACATAGATGTCTACAGATAAGTTTACAATAGTATCTAATAGTTTACAGTAGTGTCTATCATTTACAGTGAAAAAAAAAATTCATTGTATTAGTAAACAAAGGCACTAAGGTTGGTATGAAGACGGCAAGAACGGAAGCCTCGGACCGACTGGAACAATTACCGAAGTGAATGGGAAAAAGCTAAAAAATTCACACCAGATCTCATCATATATGATAATATCTTTACACTTTATTCAATAATAAATGACAGAATTCAAAAATAAGATGTCGCAAAAATAGGAAATAAAAATATATATAGTAAGGATAGATGACAGAAGAAAAAAAGAGTTGACGCATAATCCAAATTGAATACAATAAGAAAAAGAACAAGAAGAAAAAGAAAAAGAGTGGCGGTAGTTCCATTGAATATAAGAGATTTTGAATAATAGAAAAAATATATATATATTTTGTCAACATATCCATTTTTTTTTGTATTTATTTTAATTTACCTGTAGGGAAGCATTAAATACGTCCTCAAAAGAGGCAATAACATATTTTCATATCCACTTTGAATTGGAAACACCAAAGGAAATTTCAAAAAGAAAAAAAAAAAGAAGAGAATAATTAATACACTGTATCATCATCATTGTTATTTAAGGAAACTTACTATTGATGCAAGCACAGAAAGAAAAAGTCCAATAAGTATATATAAAAAAAAAAACAAATAGATCTGAAGATCCGTTTTGGTTATTGTAAGGTTGCAGTTGAGAAAAAAAACTTGTATTGGTACCGATGTATATGAGGGTCTTGTAGTTTGTAAATTGGTTTAAAAATTGATATCAAAATAGATAAAGAAATAAAAAATAAAAAATAAAAAAAAAATAGAAAAAAAAGATAGACGCGAGTAAATGATTCTTTTTTTTTCCAAATATGGCCTGTTGAAAAGAATCAGATAACCATCAATCATCAATCAATGAGTTTTGAAATACTCTACCGACATCTGTGGAAGATATCTGAAAAAGTGGTAATGCGACATCCATTTCGGGAAAACCCGATATTTTACTTTATAACATTACGAAAAGCGTCTTCTTGTGACCTGACAAAAAACTTTGAAAACATTTTGTTCATATATATATGTGTTAAAAAAAAAAAAAAGAAATAACTTTTATTTCATCATTAATAAAATCTACTAACTATAATTAGATCGTATATGGCAAGTCTGATATCATCCCAAAATAGATCTGATGAACCTAGAGAGAGGATTATTCATCAAGGCTGCGCCAACTGGTGTGTGAGGATGATTATTTGATGGTGAAGACGATGGCGCAGATAAAGGTGGGAAAATCGATGAGCTGTCACTCTTGCCATCAGTCTGTCGGGTTTCTTGAATTTGACCATCCGGATATTTGATTCTTGTTAAAGTTTCTGTTACTCCATTCCGTTTTGTGGTGATCACTGTTTCTTCGGTACCATCGGATAGAATCGTTCGTCGCTGTGAAGTACTTGACGATGTAAAATTCCATCTATTTTTCTATCAAAATCAATATAATGAGCTTTTCTATTACCTTCATAGTTGAAATATCATTTTTATATTACCTGATGATCATCCTGTTCCATATGGTATAGTGACGGCTGTTGATCAATACCACCAAGAAGAAGAGACCATATATTATTACTTTCGAAAGGAGACTCTTGTTTGACGATGGACATGACGTTTTGTTGACTTGGTGAGGATGGTTGTGCTGTTGATGGTGTCAAAGATTCTTTCGTGTCGTTGGTATCATTGTTAGTATTCTCGCCGTGTTGTCGTTGTCGTCGTTTCTGAGCAATTCTTCTAAAGTCACTTCCATCCATGTCTTCAATAAAAGGTACTTGACGCCGTGGTTGTGAAGAGGAATCTACTTCCACAAGAAAAGGTTCTTGGATAGATTTGAAGAACATATTGGTGGCTCCATTAAACATATTGTTTAATAATCCTTCTAGTAGTTCTAATTCTGATTGAGGTCCATTGTTATAGATATCACTGTTGTTATTATTGTTGTTAGGTGGAAAAACCATGATTATATTATTAACTTTTTAAAAAAAGTATATTATAGAAAGAAAAAGAATGTGAGCGAAAAATAAAAAAAAAAAAAGTAGAGACCGGGACCGTGATCAAAAGGATTCAAACACCGTTGATGTTGCCAATTGTTTGCCGCAGCATGAAAGAAAGTATTTATTGGACCTTTTTTTTTCACTCCATCCTTTTTTCCATAGTTTTTTTTTATATCACTATGCTTGCTGTCCAATCTCAACCAGTTGTATCTGACCCAACTCCATCCGGAACTTCCAAGTTCACTTGTCTAACTTGTCAAGTAGCGTTTGCGACATCTGAATTGCAACGTAGTCACTATCATACTGAGTAAGTCTTTTGGTTTATCTAATATATGTTATCAATTTTTAACAAATTCCTTTTCTTTTCTTTTTCTTCATTAGCTGGCACAAGTATAACTTGAAAAGAAAAGTGGCCGAACTTGTACCTGTGTCTGCTGAACAATTCATTGAAAAAGTAACAGGTATGCCTAAAACAACTATATAGACAATTGTATGACTAATAAAACTGAAATAGCATTACAAGCACAAGACCAGGAAGAAAGAGAACAAAGTTTTCTTGCATATAACTGTGCCATTTGCAGGTAAACATAAGAAGGGAAAAAAAAAAGAACTGAATGGGTTATTCACCTTTTATTTGTTTGATGATTGATGAATAGAAAACGATATGGCAGTGAAGCAGCTTTCAAAAGTCATTTGCGATCAAGAAAACATAATGAATCCAAACATGATCAAGGCATTTCTATGGCAGATGAATTTATGACTGTTCCTACGAATACTGCGACCGTGATGACTATGGGTGATACTCAAAGGGATTCATGCTTACATTGTCTCTTTTGTGATGAACGTCAAGACCAATTTTCTGATAATATTCATCATATGTCAGTAAGTCATGGATTCTTTTTACCTGATATTGAATATCTTGTTGATGCACAAGGCCTGGTGAAGTATTTGTCGACCAAGATACAATCGGATTATATGTGTCTCTATTGCAACAAAACCTTGAAATCCGCTCAGGCAGCTATGTCTCATATGGTAATAAAACATCAACTTGGACAAAATTTGAAATCGTCATCTCATAGACAATTTTTTTTTTCGGTTGTTATATAGGTGAACAAGGGACATTGTAAAATGGCTTATGATGATACTGAAGATGTGGATGCTTTACTACGATACTATGATTTTGGATCACCATTAAATGAAAACGATGATGATGTTTCAACAACAACTATAGCATCAGAAGAAGGCGAATTAATATTACATGATGGTACTCGACTAGGTAATCGAAGATTATTGAAATATTATAAACAGAAACATCAAACTACATCTACTGGTGAAAAACAACAACATCATAACAGCAATAATAATATGATCGATGATGGTGATGATAATAGCAACAACAATGCGACGATGACTACAATACAAGAAGGAGAATCATTATACAAGAATCGATGGGAACGCCGACATCAACAACGAGCGATATCGTACGGGGATGCACAGCAGTTGAAAATCAAGAAAATGGATAGTATCACTGAAGCCAATTGGAAGAAAATGTATTACCATCACGTTGGAATTAAGAATAATACCACTACCAGGTTACGACTTCGATTACAAGTTCCAATTATATAGATGTTTTCTTCTATTATTTTCGATATGCTATACCTCCATATTATATCCCTTGTTTTTACATCCAAAATAAAACCTGCAGATTGTCTTTTTTTTTTATATAATTGATTATCTATTATTTTTTAGTCAATCCATGATATAACCACTATTCTAGGTCATAGTTTTCATAAGGATAATCATGTCGACACTTTATCAATAAAGTCATAGACACACACACACATATATATATACGTATATTTCATATTGAATTCTTCGTTTGTGTTTATTTTAAAAAAAATGTACATACTAAACTACGAAATCAATATCACCGTAAACTAACCTACTAGACCCAAAGAAAAAAGTCAAGAGTCAAGTCATTTAAAGAGCCTTTTGAGCACGGATACCCTTGGCAGGACGAACGTTCTTGGCCTTGACAGGTTGTTGAGAAGAGATGACAGCGGAAGCACGGGCAAGAGCAGCCTACAAGTGATAAATAAATAAAATGGAAGGTAATTAGTTGATTTAATATGAATTATAAATATATCTAGATCATGATCATCTATCAAAGAAAACATTTCCGATTTCCTCTCTAACTACTAAGAAAAAGATACTTACAGGAAGAAGATCAGCTCTGTACTTGTTGCGAGCAATCAAGTTGGCAACAGACTTGGCAGTTTGGCGACGACCCTTGGCAATGACAGTAGAGTTGACAGACTTGGCAGGGGAGTTGGAAGCCTTCTTGGTCTTCTTGGTAGTAACCTTGATACCACGAGCAGCAGGTTGGATAGCAACAGTCTAAAGAGTATGGTTTTAATATTTCACGTCTTATATTCTTTTTATTTTTTTTTTTCCATTACCTTGTCGTTAGCAATACCAGAGTACTTGAAGGAGTGGATGTTGGTCAAGTTGGAAGGTTCAGAAGAAAGTTGAAGACCGTCACGCTTCACGAGGAAGGAGTTGTTGTTCTTGATAAGTTCCCAGACCAAAGCACTGCTCATTTTGAACTAGAAAATAATAATAATAATAAACAAAAAAAAAGTCAGTACTCTGATTATTTTGCTTTGCTGATGGAAGAGTCATTGGATATTGTATGAGAAAAACAACTATTATGATGAAGTACGGATTTCGTTTTTCATTGTTGTTGTATCAAACTTTTTAATGCTATTTACCGGTAAAATTTATAGAATAAAGGAGAAAGGAAGAAACTCTTTTTTGTTTGAAGCCTCTTGCTAGCGTCTATACTCTGAGAAAAAAAAATTTACCCAACAGTCCTACTCCCAAAATCTTGAAAGGTGGCTTGGCAAAATGACACCTTCCCCTCCAAGCGGAAATAGACTATCCTAAAAGGGAAAATCCTGCAAAAAAAAAAATTCATCTAATGATTCAGTTATGATGATCATTGGCTATGATCCATCATATATCATCTAACGTTCGCCGCCATGATTGCTATGATAGTAATGATTGTTGATGACTGCTGCATTTCTTCGTCGTTATTCAGAATGGATGGAAAACATGGCTCATCAGTAAGGATTAATCTCAGAAGAATGATTCATAAAAGCAAAAATAAAAGTAAAGGACAAAAAAAAAAAAAAAAAAAAAAAAAAAGGGTGGTGCAAAAACCCAATGACAAAAAAAAAAAAAAAAAGAAAAAACTGATAATGATAATTGATGATGATTCATATGATGATTCCATGATAACACCAAGTCCTTTACCAAGTTGTTGTGAATAAATAAGGATATATAGATAAATATTTTCAATTCTATTTCGAGTAAAAAAAAAAAAAAAAGATCAACTAGACAAGAGGGTATTTCTATGCATCACCGAAGAGAGGAACGTATCTATAGGAGGCACCGAATCCACCATCAATCTTGATATCCTGACCATTAATGAATGAAGATTCAAGACTTGCCAAAAAGGCCACAGTAGTCGCGATCTATTAACACGAGAATGATATGATGAAGAAAGGCATATAAGTAAATAAAAGAATGATACATATACATATATATATATATGCGTGTGTGAATAGAAACCTACTTCAGTGGGTACACCAAATCTTCCCAAAGGATTTTGTCTAGTAGCGGCATCAGGATCAATTTTATCCAAAGCCTTGATGGCAGGTACAGTTAAATCTGTGGCAATAAATCCAGGACAAACGGCATTGACTCTGATATTCTTCTCTTTGAGTTCCCAGGCAGCAAGTTTCACAAGACTTAAAATGCTATATATTTTGTAGAAAACAAAAAATGAAGTGAGATTATTTGGGTACTAGTAACTTAAAAGATAGCTTACGCAGCTTTAGAGGCAGCATAGGAAATAGGACCTGCACCTGATCGGTATGCAGCAACTAGAAAAAAAAAAGAAAAAAGAAAAAAAATGAGAACAAAGGTGTAAAAAGTAAAAGAATTGTTATATGAGGGTTACTTACTAGAAGAAGTGGCAATAATGGAACCACCACTTACTTTTTTGGTTTCTGATGTTTTTTCCATAGCGGTAGAAGCATATTGAATAGCAGTAAAGACACTAATAAAAAAAAAAAAAAAGAGGACCATGATAAATATATCTTATATCTATATCTATATATCTTACCTCCAAGTATTGACTTCCATAGTTTTCAAAAAATCAGTCTTTGTTTCTTCATGAAGACGAGCTAGTGAAACAATGGCAGCATTGGCAAAGAATACGTCAAGTCGCCCATAAGTACTGATAGCTTCATCCACGACAGCCTTGACTTGTTCAGAAGAAGAAGCATCCACTATCCTTGCAATACCATCCACATTATATTGTTCACGTAATGTTTGAGCTAACACATGCAATTGGTCATCACGAATATCTGTTACATAGATAGCCTTGGGTTGTTTCTTCGCAATTTCTATAGCAGTAGCCCATCTAAAAAAAAAAAAGGGTTATTATGTTGAAGTGATAAAAGAATACTTTATATATTTTTTTTTACCCAATGCCTGAAGGGGAGTTTGTACCAGTAATAATAATAACATTGTTTTCCATATTATTGTGTTGAGAATAAGAGAATAATGAGAATAAAAAAAAGAAAGGAAACACGAGTGAGAAAATACCCTTTTTATATAAAATCAAAAGGAAAAAGATCGCAGTTACACGATCCTGCTTCTCGATTACCTTTTGTGCAACAATCAAAAAAAAGGGACAAAAAGAGTTTATTTGATTATCTACATAAAAATGTCGTTATGTTCAGTATAGTCATCACGGTTATTTGTACGGCAATTATTGCAGGCTGAAATCTGTAGTTATTTTAAAGTATCCTTTAGAGAAGTCTGTGTATAAATATGTGTGTGTCAAGATAGACTAACAAAACAATACGTATTAAAAAAAAAAAAAAAAAAAAAAAAAACTTTGACACATTAAAAAACTAATTTGCTCGTTAAAATATAAAAGAATTCGTTCAGAGCGCCCAAAAATCATGCAATTGATTGAAGAAAACTGATTCATCACGAGCAAGTCGCTCATTCAAATTTTTCAAAGTCATGAACCTGGTTTTTTTTTTTTTCCTTTTCTTTCTTTTCTTTCTTTCTTTTGTACTTTTTTCCTTTTTTTTTTTTGTCAAGGCAATTATACTTTGACCTCTACAAAACATGATATACGCTTATGATAGCGGATATGGTGATGGTGGTGCAGGTTCAGAGTTTAATCCTCTTGCTATTCATTTAGCTCTCTTTTTTACTATCACTGGTACTTGCATCTCTTTACTGTCAGTCTGGTTACATTGGAAAAACTATCGAAAACCTGTAAGTTACTTGTTATTTAATATATAAACACATCAACTAACTTCCTCTTTTTTTTTTATATTAAGAACCAACAACGTCAAGTCATACGAATTTTATGGATGTAAATTTGTTATTTTCCCCCCTGGGAACAAAACGATGGATGACTAACATATTTTTACCTTCTCTCTCTTTTTTTTTTTTAGGGTTCCTATCTATGGCATCAGTACATTTATATCCTTGATATCTTTGAATACAGCCTTTTATGTAGATACGTTTCGTGATATTTATGAAGCTTTTGTGATTTATGCCTTCTTCAATCTATTATTAAACAAATTGGGTGGAGAACGAGCTTTGATTATTATGCTACATAGTCGACCTCCTTCTGAAAATTTCTTTCCTGGTACTCTTTGGTCTCGTGATATCTATGTGGGGGATCCTTACACCTTTTTATTTGTTAAAAGAGGTATTCTTCAATTTGTCTATGTCAAACCATTCTTGGCTGTACTTACTATGATACTCAAAGCAACGGGGAATTATCAAGATGGCGAAATCTCTTGGTCAAGTTCTTATCTCTATTTGACTTTTTTTTATAATCTCAGTGTTTGTCTTAGTTTATGGTGTTTGATGGTCTTCTTTTATGCAACAAAACAAGATCTGATAGGTTTTAGGTAACATACATAAAGGACATATTGAATGATTGATTTAAATACAATTGCTTTTATTATTTCAATAGACCTTTACCCAAATTCTTATGTGTCAAAGCCATCATCTTCTTTTCCTTTTGGCAAAGTGTCATTATTGCTCTCTTGGTCGCTTTTGGTGCTATCCGTGATGGTAAGTCCAAAAAAAAAAAAATTGGTGTTACTTGGCATTCATCCTTGGCACTGACCTGTTTTTTTTTTTTTTTTCTTCCTTTAGATGGACCTGAGCATATTTCTGTGGCGATTCAAGATTTCCTTATTTGTATGGAAATGGTACCATTTGCTATTGCTCATTCGTAAGTGACAAGTTTATGCATAATGAATAAGGAGACACTAAAAGGGAGAAAAGATGAAAAAGATGAATAAACATGTTTTTATTTTTTATTTTTTTATTAGATTTGCATTCTCCTATGAAGATTATTATGATCCCAATGTACATTCAGCCCGAATGCCAATATTTACAGCAATCAAAGATTCATTTGGTGTTAAGGATGTAGTAATGGATACTTTGGATACACTTCGAGGATCAAAATTCAATTACAAGTCATTTGAACCATCAGAAGGTGTTCCTCATATTGGTAGTAGTCGGACTTCTCGTATCATGGCAGGTCTACGGTATTCGTCAAGTACATCAAAGAAACATTGGTTGGAACCTGCTCCTGCATCTAAATTCCTTAGTACTGGACGTGGCATCAATGATGAAGTAGTCATAGAAGAAGAATCTGAACAATTGGCGTTTGAAGATCCTGATCCTCATGATTCAGTAGAAGAACTTTATGCAGCTAGTCGGTCTATGCAATTTGGTGATTATAATTATCCCGTCATCGATTTCCGAGCACCTTTATGGCGACAACATCGACGAAAACATCGAACAACAGGATATGGTGGTACAGCATCATCATCATCTAAACATTCATTATCTTCAGCTGGTCGTGGTGGTGCAAGAACAGGTTGGTTACATGGATCAGTCAATTCAAAGATCAAGTATATGCCAATCGAACAACGTGAAGGATGTGTGGATGTCATTGTGGAACAAGGAAAAGGGAATTATGTAGTAGTGATGGATTCATCTTCATCATCGGCATCTGAAGATTCTGATTCAACACCATCCCTTCAACAAGACCGATCAAAAAGATACCATGACCAAAAAACAGCAATAATCAACACTCGATACCAACAACCTCAAGTACGTGCTTCACATTCTACTCCAGTATCTTATCATATTCGACCCTCCACTTCAACTTCGTCGACTTCAGTTCCACCCCCTATACCCACAGCAACTTCTTCTGTTTCTCAAACATCATCATTAACGGTATCATCACAACCTCCAACACAACAATATCCTTATGAGCAAACACAACAGCCAACTCCATCACAGCATCAACAACAACAACAGCAACATCACGAACCGGAGCAGAGAGAATACCACGATTGGACAAGAATCAGTACATCATGGCATGATCAACAAACAAATTTATCAACATTAGATTATGGACAAGGTAATCATGATCATGATGATATGTTTATGACCAGCAATGTGTGGAAATAGTATTAGATGGTGTGATTATTATATATCTTTTTGTGTATTTGTTGTATTGTCAATAAAACGTTTTTTATTATCATTATATATAACTTTTTGTCTGCCTTTTTGAAGGTGTGACAATTCGAATATTGGGAATATCGAGTGTATTGATTTCATAACTTTTTTGTACGATTATAGTTACACAAATCAATAGAAACAACAAGATGTTGTTTTCTGTTGATTCTATTTATGAGGATTGACACCCCCTTTTGGTACCTTTCTCCTTTTTGATAGATAGATCAATTAACATAAAAATCAATTCTGCATTGTCAATTTATCCATCATAGATCAAATGAAAAAAAAAGGTATCTTGATCAAATATTCAGTTTGTTATCCTTAATACTCCGCGTAGTCAATTATGAATGATAGCACGTTTTTAAATCATCCCCTTGGAAATTGGGTGACCTTCTTTTTAGGGGGAGTCTGCAGTGGTGTTACCTTGATCCAATATAACTTTTCTTTCTTTTTTTTTTTTTTTTTATTCCTTCTTTCTTTTTTTTTTTTAATTCATCCTTGATTTTTCTTTATGTCAATGCAATCATCTTATCGATTAACATTTGTTTATATGACAACCATTATTAGTCTCTTACTATTATGGTTTTATGTCATGCCTCCTCATGATGATGATCCATATATATTACCCACTAGTATTATTTTATCCAATCAATCATCAAATAACAAAAATCATCATCCTTTCATTTCATCCTCTCAATCTACGGATCGTCTCTGTACACCTCATACTTATAATCAAGGCAAATGGGTTCGTAAACGGATTCATGTCAAGAACAACTCTACTCATTCTTTTCAATTAAATGTGAATTATAATTGTCCATCTCACTTTGCTCATAAATGTTTTGCACGTAATGATATTGAATTACAAAGAAACAAACAGATGTAAGTTTTTCTTTTTTTTTTTTTTTGAATTCTCCTTATGTTTTTTTTCTTTTTGTTGTTAATTTTTCTTTTTTTCTGTAAACTTTAATAGTGCTGAATGGCAATGGCAACCGGATGATTGTGATCTTCTTCCCATGGATGCTTATCCACTTGCCAAACATTTATCTACACATCCTTTATTATTTGTAGGTGATTCAATCACTCAATTACAATATGAAAGCATGTCATGTCTTTTAGGTACCTTTATGACCACTCCTAAAACACCGACAAATATGACAGGAGGTGATAAAAAGATCAAAGTCAGTGAATTAATTTATTCATTACCTAAATCAACCGATGAAGATGACAATGATAATAATAATAGTAATACTATTATTTCTCCTTCCTTGGCTTATCTTCGTTCTGATTTTTTGGTACGTGTTGATGATTTCAAACTTATTCAACCTTTTGAAAAAGAAGGTGATTTATTAGGTGTTGGACATAATTTTCCTTGGTAAGAAATAATAATCGAAAATCCCTCCCCCCCCCTTAATGGATGATACTTTTAAACTCAATGGATCAACCTTTTTTTTTTTTTTTTTTTACTTTTTTTTTCTTCAGGGTTCATGCTTTATCTCGCTTCGACTACATTGTTATTAATACTGTAAGTTAAAAAAAAAAAAAAAAAAGAAAGAAAAGCTATGCTTAAATTGATAGACAAATTCTATTTTATTCACCATCTTTGGGAAACGAAACAGGGCGCACACTGGCATACCAATGTTCGTTGGGGACCTAATACTACCGAAGAAGAATTACTTCAAGGATTTCGAGATGCTATGACTATTGTATTTGACTATTTGAAAAAGGTTGTTCAACCTCATCAACGTGTATGGATTCGAAGCACACCATTTGGACATAAAAATTGTTCTCGCTATACCAAACCTGCCTCATTGACTTCTCCTTTACACCCTCCCACTGGACAACAAGGTGAATATGAATGGCATTTGTTCCCCGTCTTTGATGCTGTATGGCGAGAATGGATCAATGATTGGAATCAAAAACATACATTTGATACTCGTTTTGCTTACTTGGATATTTCGGATATGACAAATCTTCGTGGAGATGCTCACTCAAAACCTGATCGTGATTGTTTACATACTTGTTTACCAGGTAAAAAAAAAAAAAAAATGGATAGGAAAGATCTATGACGATTAATCTCTTCATTTTTTTTTTTTTTGTTAGGTCCTGTGGATGATTGGAATCGTTTATTGTATCATGAAATTGGAAGACATAGTCTGGAACAAGCTAAACTGGAAACAACTAAACTTCAACAACATTCATCATAAAATATAGATTGAATATACTTTTTTTTTTAATCGTAATAATGATCATATACCCTCTCTCTCTTTTTGTATTATTATTTTTAGATTGTTTTATTTTTGAAATAAAGAATGATTATTTACACATTGCAGTTTTATCTTTAGGATTCTAATACTCCTTCCATAACGATAACAACTTACGAAGCATACCAAAAATGGAATATGAATGCGTCTTCATGATCCTTTTTGTTATGACTCAAAAAAGGCAATCGGGATCTCAACATACCCAATAGAAAGGAAAAAAAATGCTGGGGATAATATTTATCCGCTTTTTTTTTTTTCCTTTTTCTTTTTTGTCTATATATTTTTTATTTCTTATCTTCTTGTCTTTCTTTCCTTTTTTTCTTCATCTCTTTTACTTTCAACTTCTTTACATGTCTCATAGTACAACGGCTGACATTGATCCGTCTTCTCATCTGTCACTCTTTCCCACATTGCCTGCCGTTATTCCTCCAACCACTCGACTTAATTTTTTAAAGAACTGGTGGCAACGATCTGCTACTTCGGCTGGTCATGCTGAAGCAAGATTATTACAACGTATGGTACCACGTCTTCCATCTTTACCGGCTTATCAACCACTGAAAGGTCGTTCTGTTCAAGTGCCTGTTGGTGATGCTGGTTATGTAAACACATTCATTTTGACTCCACTCTTGAACAGTACTTCCATTACAAGTCCTTTGGTTTGGGATTACAATACTACTTGGGACCATACTGATAAGAACAATGTAGCTGCTCATGGCAAGAATACTCAAAATCTCGTGATATGTCATGGATATGGTGCTGGCCTCGGTTTCTTCTACAAGTAAATTTAATTAAATTTTCAAAAAAAAAAAAACGAGTAATCCTTTATTTAGAGATATTTATATATATATTTTTCTTGTTTAGAAACTTTTTTGCATTAGGACAAGTCCCAGGATGGAATCTTTATGCTATTGGTAAATTAAAAAAAAGGATGATGATATATGAATGTTGATTTAAACTATCTTTTTTCTATTTATGCTAAACTCTATAGATTGGCTTGGCATGGGACGAAGTTCAAGACCAAAATGGACAATCACTAAGAAATCAAAACAGACATGGGATGATATCGTGGAAGAGGTAAAGGAAGAATAGAAAAAAAAAAAAGTGGATACTTACTTTTTTGATTTTATAGGTGGAAACACATTTTGTACAATCATTAGAAGAATGGCGAAAATCTGTTGGTCTTGAAAAGATGACTTTGATGGGTCATTCTTTAGGTGGATACTTTGCTACTTGTTATTCTTTGAAATATCCTGAACGTGTTGAAAAACTAATATTAGTATCACCAGGTAAATAATATTATTTTTTATTTTTGAATAACATATATAACTTTACTTTTAAAATAGCTGGTGTATCTGAACCTCCAAAAGACCTGATATCTCAAGAACCTCCGGATAAAACCCCTCAAGAACTTTTAGAAAATGAAGCCGAAGAATTAGGTGCAAGTATGCAAGCTGAAGCTGCTGAATCTGCTGGTCAACAACCTCCAACAACAACTCGACCTACACGCCGTATTCCTTCTTGGGCTCGATATCTATGGGATCATAATATCACTCCAATGAGTATTGTTAGAATGATAGGTCCTTTCGGTGCAAGGTAAAAAAAAAAAATTCAATCATTGTTGATGTTCAACCTTTTGCTTATAATCTCAATATTATTGTTGTTATTATTTTCTTCTTCTACTCAAATAGTTTGGTCAATACTTACACTTCAAGACGCTTTGCCCATTTGACAACAGAGGAGCAACATGATTTGTATGACTATATGTAAGTTAAAAAAAAAAAGATGGATAATAAGTTGCTTATGTGTCATTCCCTCTCCCTTAGATATCAAATTACATCAAGTACTGGATCAGGCGAGTATGCTCTTGCAGCTATATTGTCTCCTGGTGCCTATGCACGAAAACCACTGTTCCACCGTTTAGCTAAACTCAAAGTGCCTGCAGTATTTATATATGGAACTCAAGGTAAAACATGATGATTATTTAAGAAAAAGGAAGGGAAATCGGGTTGGAGGATAATGATTAGGTTGTGAATAACATATTTGTTTTTTGTATTTACATAAAATAGACTGGATGGACTACCAGGCGGCTGAAGAAGCAAGCAAGAAGATGCAAGTTAGTACCAAAGTTATCAGAACACCAGGCGGTCACCATATGTATATCGATGATCCAGAAGCATTTAATAGGGTGATGGTGGAAGAAATGAAAAGCTAAACCGATGATGATCCATAGAGCCTTTTAGATATTAGATTGAATCCCTCGCCTTAATTATATATATATATATATATATATATATATTTTATTAGACTATTTTTTATATATAAATAAAATCAAAAATTTATTATTAGATCAGGTGAATGTTAATCGTAGTTAGCGTTTACATCATATATTCCTCTTCAATAAATTATAATCATCTTTTTTCAGTATCATCATTGGCATTATCGTCATTTCAAATATTCTCAGGTTTAATCTTTCATCATCCATTGAGTCCTTTTCCCTTTCTTATCTACCACTTCTTCTATTTTCTTAACTGAAGCAGCAAATCTTTATTTATTTTGGTAATAATGATGATGAATTAAATTATTATTATTATTATTATTATTATTATTATTATTATTTAAAAAAAAAGCAAACTAGAAAATTACTTTCTAATGATAGATAATTGGTGGATATCTTATGAAATAGCTAGATTGAATTACAAGCATCATGGCTCTTCTTAGTTTCTCGTTCTACAATATATGTATCAGCATTAGACATCTGACTACCTCCTAGCACAAAACGTATTTTGAACACTAACTTTTTATTTTATGATAATTGATGATAATTGATGATCAGGAACACGAGATGACGGGGTATGAGTAATGGATGACGGGTTATGATATGATGATTCCAAAGTGTCAAAAATTTCCACTATGTTTTTCTCCAACCTTTCGCAATCCAGTATCGTTATAGATAATTGTAGTAATAAAATGACACAAGTAAGAGTAATAATCAAAATAATATGATGATTTTGATTTTTATTTGAATATGTATACATCGATAGTAAAATATATATATATAAATTAATTCATTTCCGTATCTTCTTCGGCACCACGAATATAAAGTACGTTATTGCATCTATAATACATAAAGCATGTATATAAATAAATATATATATATATTAGGTAAGAGATATAAAATATTCTAATGATAACATGATCTCTTTCTTAACCTACCTAATCAAAACTTCACCAAGAACACCAACACTGACACCTTCTTGGAATTCTTCTGTATTTTGGAGCTATTGTGTAGAAAGTAAATGTTGGAAATTAGGAAAAATATAGGAATCCTTCAATCAAAAGAAAACATGTATATGATTCATTTTTTAAATTTACCTGCAAGTTCATATAAGCATCTACAGAAGTGAGGTAACCTTTGTATTCACCACCCCATTTCAACTTGACAACGACAGCTTTGCCAGTAAGATCATTCAAGAAAGGCTTGGGATTCACAGGGACGAACTATGTAAAATGATGTAAATTCAGTTTAAATATAAATATATATGCTTTTTCTTTTTTGTCTTACAGCTGACATTATATATGGTATGAATAAGAGATTAGAGAAAGAATAAAAAGTTGGAATAGATTTTTTTTTCTCTTTCTCTCTCTTTTGCCTGAAATGCCGATGGCCAGAGTCAAAAGTCACAGTCTCCTTTTCTTCCTTGAGGCCTTCAGTGAGCGGTGTACGAAAAGAGAAGATTTGGCCTTTTTTTTTTTTTTTTTTTTTGCTCATCATCAAAAAAGGCAAAACTTGCTTTTCTTTCTTTCGCGATCAAATATCTTTAATGAACTTTTATCAACACGCAGGTCAAATCATTGATAAACTTGGTCGACATGAAGGCACTATCAAAGGTCTAGTTCTTGGTGATCCAAAGGTCAAGGATAAGAAGAAAATGTATGCTCTTGTATGTGAGACCTTAAAATGTAAGTATGTAAAAGTAGATCGATCCTTTTTATTATTTTATATTCGTATAAACTCTTTCTTTACTTTTAAACTAGATAAACACATTTTGAATGAAATTATCGATACAACGAATATATGTGTTATTGAAAAGAAGGTAATTGAATAAAAAAAAGAAGTGACAGGGACTAATGTAGATTTGGTTTTATAGTTAAAACGTTCTCTTGCTCTTGTTTTGATCCATGATCTATTATTCAGTAAACGCGGTATTCCTGTTAATAGCCAAGCACCACTTAAACAATGTATTACTCGACATCAAGCAAGACTCAAAGCAGAACTTGTCAAGATCAAGATCAAGAAAGGTGCAAACTCGAATATAGATCTACTCAGTCAAAAATCAAAAGATGCAGGTAAGAAGAGATATATACAAGTAAGGGATTTTTCTAATGATGCGATCATTCTTTCTTTTTTTTTGTATCTACAAATAGTACATATTCCTAGATATGTTCGAGTGAATGAACATAAATCCACTGTAGAAAACATGATCAAAGCATTTGAAAAGGAAGGATATACCTATGTAGATACACCAAAGGATTTACGAAGTTTAGGGTAGGCAGATATTACGGATATGTTTGATTTGATATTATTTATTGATCACTATTATCACTTTAGACACAAATCTTTTTGCAGAGATGCCCACTTGAAGGATTTACTTGTTTTCCCTCCAAAGACCGACCTTCATATCCACCCAAAATATGTTGCTGGCGAAATCATCTTACAGGTACAATCAAATCAATATCTTTTTTTAAAAATTGATGTAGACGACTTATTATTTCTTTTTCTTTTCTTTTTTTTTGATCTTTAATTAGGATAAGGCTTCTTGTTTCCCTGCTCATGTAGCACAAATACCTACTAATGTACATGCTATTGATGCCTGCGCAGCTCCTGGAAACAAAACATCTCATCTTTCTGCATTGATGAAGAATACTGGTCGTATTTGGGCATTCGACTTGGATCAACGTCGACTTCAAACTCTCAAGAAGCTCACAACAAAAGCTGGTTGTAGAAGTAAGTAAAACTCAAATAATCGACTGTACTCATCTCCCTGTTTTTTTTTTTTCCTCGCTTCATCTAGATATTGAAGCTATTCATGGCTCCTTTTTAGATGCTGATCCTTCGGATCCTATGTACAACAAAGTGGAATATCTCCTTCTGGATCCATCTTGCTCAGGCTCTGGTATAGTCAGTCGATTGGATCATTTGGTAGATGACGATAGTGGTAAATAAATAACAATGGTTAAATTTTTGATGATATGACTGATGATTATCTACTTTTTTTTTGGAATATTAGATGAACAGAAAAATGCAGATGGAACGACCACGACACAAGAGGAACGACTTCAAAATTTATCAGACTTTCAGATATCTATCATCGAACATGCTCTCAAATGTAAGTTTTTCTTGTACTTACCTCCTGATAATAGTGATATTGATCTTTTTTTTTTTTATCTCTTGTTTACCTTAGTTCCAAATGCAAAACGAATTGTTTATTCTACCTGTTCGATTCATCCTCAAGAAAATGAAAAAGTGGTTGAAACTATATTATCAAGGCACCCGGAATTTACCTTAGCCACCCGTGATTCAGTGTTACCAACTTGGGAAAGACGTGGATTCCCGGAAGAAATGAAGGACTACTTGGGTAATTGTTATCTATAGTGTTGCAAAAATCTTTCCATATGACCAAAAATAGAGAATATATATATTTATATTGACGTTATTATTATTATTATTATTTAGATCAATCCAACTGTGTGGTACGTACTTTACCATCTGAAGATTTGACGAATGGATTTTTTGTGGCATGTTTCGTTCGATCATCATCACCAACTGGTACGACATCTGCCACTATTATCACCAATCACAACAAAAAGCGATCAATAGAAGAAACCGGCGATCAAAAATCAAACTTAAACAAGAAAAAGAAGAACAAGGGCAAGAAACGAAAGGGGCCAATCACACTTTAGGATAGTCAATATTTTTTTTAGACTCTAGAATGATGTTATCAGATCCGGGTCAAAACTTTTTTGACGGCAATCTCCGCTATAGAAACGTGAGAAGGGAAAATGATATTTTTTTTTATCAATATTAGGTCAATAAAGACGAAAGATGTATTATAGATTTGTAGTTGATATATACCTTTTGATTTGAACGACTGTTTTTGACTTGATTACATGATCATCATATTCCTGTAACCTATTGTTATGTCATATGGAGATTGCATAAGCAAAAAAAAAAAAAAAAAAGGAGTGGTTTGAATAGATCATGTATATATGAAACTCATTTTCAATTTCTATCATGTCATACACTTATATCTTGATTCGGGGTTTTGATCTTTTACAGGTTTTTTGTTGTTGGGTTCAACTTTTTGAGTTTCATTATTATCATAACAAGTCTAGGTGCAAACAGAGAACACAGATATCTCCCCGCCTTGAGTAACCTAATCATCTGCGGGAAAAAAAAAACAACCGTGGCTAATTATCATGTTACTTCTTTTTGATTTCGGATCATAATAGAATAAAAAAAAAAAGGAAGGATGATAAGGCAATATTTATACTTACTCTTTTCTCTATTTCCTTTCCTTTTTTCTTGGTCTTTGATGATACAAAACAATAAAAGAAAAAAAATGAAGTCATTTTATACGGAACAATCAGGGGATAGTTAATGATGAATAAACACCGCTTTAGTATCCCGTTTATTCATTTCCAGCCTCAATTGAACTGTCAAATAGTTGTAAAAAAAAGTGACCGTCTATGGGAAAAAAAAAGGTTGCTTATGTAGATCCTTCTGATCTTTTTTTTTTTCCTGTTGATCACACCTATTAGTCAACCTATTAATGTAACGTGAATCTTTTACGCAAGTGAAGAATCATCTATGATCGAGTATGATGATAATTCGAATGAGTGATGATCCTTATCTATTAGAATGGTTACAGTAATAACAAAAAAAAAAGATAATCATATTGTTAAGCGGTATTTTTTTTCTGGGTGATCAAAATTAGTTTTATCAGATTTTTTTTAATCTGATCAAATGCTATTGGTCAGAGTTTGAAATCCTCTGTTTTAGTATAAATATGAGGAGTTTTTTTTTTTTTTTTTTTTTTTTTCCTTTTCTTTCTTTTTCTTTTCCTTTTTTTTTTTCTTCTTCTCCTTTTTTTTTTGTTTTTCTTGTCATCCATTACCTATTCTTTCCTTTTCAAGTTTAGATTATGGAATTAAGGACAAGTACAACTTTCCATATAGCTGGCTATAGCTATGCATTCTTTTGGTGGGGCCTGTTTACTCTTTATTGTCTTGGTCACCAATTCAACCGATGGCGAATTTACTTACATCGAAGACAACAATTGAAACTGCAACAAAAATCTGGTAGTCAGTCTGCATCTAAAGCTACTTTTGATCCTATATTACCTTGGGAACGATGGTTACGACCTTTGGACCGTGTAGTGGCCATCCCTTACGTGACAGAAATGATCGCGATCAAACATATTATTGGTGTGTTTCTCTTTATCTGCATTAACCTGATCTGGATCTTTTTTGCTCCTTTCAAATGGAACGATGCCTTTACAACATACAAATTGGAATCTATCGGATTATTTGATCGTCGTGCGGCTTTTATTGGTATGGTGAATTGGTGTTTTGTTTTTATGTTGGCTTCTAGGAATTCTCTTCTTTCTTCCATGTCTGGCTTTACTTTTGAACAAATGATTCCTTATCATCGTTGGTTGGCTCGTATTGGTTTATTAGAATTCATTCCTCATTTTGTCTGGCGCATGTAAGGATACAAATAAAAAATAAAAATAAAAAAAATAACACTAAACTAGCAGCGGCGATTTTAATATCTTATTATTATTATTCATTATTATTGTTCATTAGGATGCATGGTTATGAAAAGACTTATATCGTAGCTGATACTCTATTTTATGATTTGGAACAAACATCTGGTACCATTTGTATGCTTGGTTTCCTCCTGTTATTTGTCACTTCTTTTGGTTATATTCGCCGTCACTTTTTTGAATTCTTTTATTATGCTCATATCATCGGAATCATTGTAGCCATCATTTTTGCCTGTATTCATGAAGTCATGTGTTTTGTTTACTTTATGCCTGTGGTGATTTTATGGGTAGCTGATCGAGCCTGGCGATCTTATCAATCTTGGTATATTCCGGTGACTCCTATTCAAATCAACCCTGCAGTATCCAAGACTGAAAAACAAGAAGGTATTGTTCGTGTTTTATTTGATCACTCCCGTCTGGCATCTCATTATCATCCTGGTCAATATGTATTTGTTGCTATGGCAAAGAAGGGTAAAGCATGGTGCAAATGGCAATTTGCGAACTGGCATCCTATGACAATCTCTGAAGTCTTCCGTGGTTCTCGTGGTGTATCCTCTTATATCAATTCATCTAATTCTTCTGTAATTAATGAAACTATTATTGCAGATGAAAAGAAGAACCCTACTACCAATATTGAAAATGCGAAGCAAAACAGTGACAAGACAGTAGATATCAGCGATACAGCATCTATCGATACTGCTCAATTGCGACGACGTGGCGCTACTGCTCCTGCTGCATCATCCTCATCGAATATGGTGGCTTCTTTACATATCAAAGCCCTTGGTGGATTTACTCGTGATTTACTTGATCATGCAGATCAGAATCAAGCCTTACATTTCAAGGTGGATGGTCCCTATGGTCCTCGTTTGGAATATCAAGATTACAATGTGTTGAGTTGTTTTGCTGCTGGTATTGGTATCACTCCTGCATTGACTTTGATCAAGGATTGTGTGGAACGTCGTAGTGCTGGTATTGCTTCTGTGATGACTCATCATGTCCAATTGGTGTGGGTAGTACGCTCAAGTGATGAAGTCAAGGCTTTTGCGGAACAAATCGATTATTGGCGTGAACGTGCAAGTGTGGCAATCTCTCCCTTGACTTTAGATTTATCCGTCTATGTAACTCGTGAACCTCTTGGTGAAGAAAATTTGGCTGGATTCGACAAAACAGTTTATGGTAAACGACCCAAGATTGATGAATGTATGAACAACATCCCTGAACAAAAAAGTGTTTTTGTACATACCTGTGGATCCGATCAATTTATGACCACCGTGGTCAATCAAGCTGTAGAAAGAAAATGGGATTATCATCACGAAACCTTTGAATTTTAGAATATATATATATATTTCTATCTCTCTCTCTCTCTCATACATACATGCATACATATTTACATACAATCATCTATATATACTTGACATTCTTTTCATTATACATTTATTTTTATTATACATCCTTTTTTTTTTTTTTTATCTTACCTCCCCCTACTCTCTTTAGTTTACATATTTGTTTAGTATTCCTTTCTATTTCTTATATTTGTATTTCACTTCCAATAAAAATAATACTGATAATAATAAAAATAAAAAAAAAAAAAAAAAAAAAAACTCCCTTCGTATCATTTTTCTTTTGCCGATTTCCTTATTTGAAAAACTTTTTTTTTCTTTATATCAAAAATGAATGACTTGCAAACATTGTGAAAATGGAATAGATAAGTGAAATGAAAACATCATCATCCATTTGGACTTTATGTTTTATATCGAACAAAGGATGATTAAGTTGCTGATGATAGTAGACCTTTTCTTTCAAAATACTCTGTACAAATTCCAATAATACTTGTGAATCTCTTAAAAGTTTGCGTGACATGTATGCAATGTTAGCATAAAACTTACTGTGCCAACAACTCCTGCAACTAGTTACTCATAGAGAGTCATCTTATTTGTTTTCTGTTAAACTATGATGATCATTCGCAGCAATTTGATAGGGTCCCCTTGGATTTTTTTTGTACCAATGCAAACTAGAGATCAGGCGACTCCGGTGTTTCAAATGCTGAAGAGTGCAAGTTTGTTCACTTTTTTTTTTTCGTTTCATTTCTTTTTTTTTTCCCTTTTTTTTTTTTTTGTTCTTATTATTAATATTCTCATTTCAACTATACTTTTATTATGCAAGCCATTGATGATCATTTAACGTTTTTACTTCCTCGTCCAATATGGGTCAATGATATTGATGTGTCATGCTGTAACTCTTGTGGTTCTACTTTTGGTCATCTCCGAAGAAGAGTAAGTGTAATTTATTCTTTTCTCAAGATTGTTTACTTATCACCTTTATCATCTTGACATTTACATATTTATTGTCTTTAGCATCATTGTCGTCACTGGTAAAGAAAAAGAAAAACAGAAGGGAAATTTTTGTGAATGGTCAATATATGAAAGGATATTAAATCATTACTTATTTTTCGGGGAGACATAGTGGGAACATTTATTGTCATGATTGTTCTTCAAGAAAAGTACCTTTACCTCAACTAGGATATGGCAATAAACCAGTTCGTGTATGTAATGGTTGTTTCGAAATAGCATACCTTGTCACTTATGCTATTGATGAGGACCATGGATTATCCACTCAGGTAAAATACAAAAGGAAAGACAGGATGATTTTTATAATTTACTATATCATAATATTTTTTTTTCAGATTCATGGTGCAAGAGGATTACTAGAATTAACAGAAAAGGATGATGGTAAGGAATGAAAATATATAAAGTGGTTATATTATATCTCATACTATTTGATTTCTTGTTTATAGAACAAGATCTTCACAATATGGTTGCTCATGGTGGTATTGATGCTCTCATATGGCTCTGTAGGACTTCTACTAATACAGAAATTCATCATCTTATTACAACAAACTTGGCGATATTAGCTGAAAAAGGTAAATATACCAGTATCATCATCGTTTATCTTTTGTAACTTAATTTTATATATTTATAGAATCCATCCGACCTGTCATCATCACAAAGTGGGCACTTCCTCCTTTATTACAACTCCTTCAGTATTATATGCATTGTGATCGAAATATGAATGACACAAAATTACCACCTACTGCATCGATAAGTTCATCATCATTACCATCAAATAGCGATACACATTCATCAGCACCTATACCAATAAAACAATCTTCGATAGACGATATCAATTTATATACTATTCACTTGGAAATCATCATCAATTGTACACATGTCCTTTATCAATTGGCAAGAGCAGGTAACTCCCTTCATCACTCCTTCATCATCAGAATTTGTTATGTCAAAAAAAAAAAAAAAAAATAGGAGGGATATAGTGAAACTAATCTACTTTTTTTTTTTGTCTTAATCGAATAGGGATTCTCAGTCAAGAAGAAATCATTACGGATGGTATTTTAGATATTCTTTTCTCTTTGACATTGTATGAGATCAAGGATATACCAATCAAAGGAATGGATAAGAATGAAGAGAATAATTTATCTGAAAAACTACAACAACAACAACTAGATGATTTGGAACATGGTGTGACTACACAAGAACAATGGAAGGAACGTGGATTCATCATTCAAAGTTTGGCAGCGAAATCTATTTCTTTCGTCAGTGCAACAGGTAAAATTCGAAAGATCAGAAAGGAATATTTAAATCTGTCTTTTTTTAATTCAATCCTTTTTCATTCTTTCTTTCTAGTATCAAATCAGCCTAGTATGATCGAACAATTAAGAAATACAAACAATTTGGCTCTTGCTCTTGTATCTGATAATGATGAAGTCAAAAAGTATATTGCCAAGACAGTAGCATATCTATCGTTAAGAAATGGTATAAATCATTGTCAGATCCATGTATTATATGATGCTTACTATGTTTTTTTTTTTTATGTAGACAAATATAAACCTGTGCTTCTTGGTGGTGATAAAGTACGAGCATTGTTATCAATACTTGTTGTATTACCTCAATTGGATTCTGGTTTGGATGATATGAAAGACACACGAAAATCCGATTTGGACTATTATTTATATTCCTGGCATGAACAAAAAGGTAGTAAACGATACGATACGACTTTTGGTTCACTAGATCACGCTCCTTACACGGCCGCAGTTTCCCATGTTTGCTGTGCTTTGGTAATAGACAAGGATGACTAAAAAGGAAAAATGACTCACCTTTATTTTCTATATTGATAGGCTAACTTTGCAACCAACAGTAAGTTTTACAATGAACAAAAGAAATCTCGTTACTCAAACCAGTATTTTCTTTTTTTTTTTTTTTTTTTTTTTAAGATGAATCCCAATTGATTCTTATGGCACAACCACGACTTGTTCGCTATATCTGTAATATACCATCCAGCTTCCCAAGTCATATGGAAATACATCGTCATGTGGCAAGATGCCTAGCGAACTTGGCTCTCTATGATGAAAACAAAGATAAAATGCTTGCAATGGAAGAAGGTGAACAAAATCAGATCAACGATTCGTTCAATGTGATACCTACTCTTTTGGCTATGGGACAGAGTGCTAATGTTACTGATGATATACGACGACACATTATTCGTGCTTTAGATAATCTTAGTTCAAACGGTAAGCAATAATAATAATAAAGTGAAATGAAATAATGATTAATTATTTTTTTTTTATGTCTATATTGAAAAGTAGTGGATGAAGCATCTGACAGTAAGAAGGCGCAATTTTGGAAAACCACCTTCCAAGAGATTCAACCTTTTATTGAAAAGATCATGACGGTTACCGACGAAGCAGATACTTTGAAACGGGCAAAATTGATATTACAACGTGGAAAAGATATTATTTCGTCAGAGAATGACTACAACGATGGTGATAACTATGACGAAGAAGACGACTACGATGATGACAAGGGCAACAACGAAAAAACAAAATCCAGTGAAACTCCCAATGGCAGCAACAGTGAAGAAGATGAACAAGCGGAACAACACGAAAATGGAATGTCTAAAACTAAATCCAAGAAGAAGAATAAGAAGAAAAAGAAGAACTAGTATCATTAGTTATGGTATAGATGATTTGATTTGATTCAGAAATAAAAGATACAATTGGTGTATAGGGCACGTGGAGATTGAAAAATCATGCTTAAAAAAAAAAAAAAAAGCTTGCCTTGAGCGTGTTTACTTTTTCTTTTCCAGTTTCCCACCTTTTCTTTTCTTTTTTTTCCTCTTTTGACAACCTTTAACCGTTTTTATCCGTTTGATTCCATTTATAAAGAGACAACGACTTGTCGTTTTATCTTTTATACATATATCTTTTTTTTTTTCTTGAAACAACTATCATACTATTTTTTTTCTATTGACTTATTTTTCTAAAACCAACAATAATGGAACGACAGGACGAGCGTATTCAATATTTTACTGCTCTATGTGAACAATTATATAATCCAAAGTCATCTGAAGAACGTGAACAAGCTCAAAAGATCCTCGAATGTCAATTCCCAACGTTTGCTGATGAAGGTGGTAATGGTATAGCAACACTTCAATCGCCAACTGGTATGGAAAATCGCCCGACATTTGCTATCGCTACTCCAACAGATACTGCATCTGCCTTACGCATCCTATTGGAAAACTCTCCTAATCCTTATGTCCAAACTTTCTGTCTGGCTCGATTGAAACAACTTTCTTTGGCTCAATTCTCATTGTTTAGTGATGATACAAAGATACAACTGCGTAAGTTCTTTTTTTTTTTTTTGGTGAAAAATATCTATGATATATTTAGATTGGAAAATATCTCTCTATAGATGAATGATGATTTCATAATAAATATTAACCATTCTTTTTTTTTTTTTTTGATATCTAGGTACATTTTTACTGGAATATGCTTTTATGCATCCTGATCTGATGCCTTTTATCATCACTCAATTGGCTGGTGTTCTTGCTCAATTGACATTACTTGGTTGGGTCGAGATGGAATCATATAGACATGTTTATAAAGATATTTCACAATTCATTCAGGTAAATTAAATAAATATCATCATATCAAAAAAGGTACTAAATGTATCTATTTGATAGGCAACTATGGAACATCGTATAGTAGGTATGCAAATCTTGGCTGTGATTATTCAAGATGTCAATCCTCCTACTTTTTCTCGAGGTTCTGGCAAGTTTAGACGTTCTGGTAAGATGACATCATATATATATATATATATCCTTCTTATGGCTAATTATATATTCTTTATTATTATTATTTTGAATAGCTGGTGGATTCCGTGATACTCAACTTTTGGACATCTTCCAATTGGCATACAATACTTTGAAAAGTCTCAATGAACGCTCTCTTCCCTTTTCAAGTGAATGTAAGTTTTCAGTTATCTATACAAAAAAAACTCACACTGCTATATATTTATATAATTCTAGATCAGGAACAGCGTCTCAAAGAAGCAACATTGAATGTTTTAGTTCGATGTTTATCGTTTGATTTCAATGGTACTAGTGTGGATGAATCAGCTGAAGATATAGGAACCATACAGGTAGGAAGAAAAGAGATGTAATAGGCTCAGCAATATGTTTCGTATATAATCCATCTGTTTCTTACTCTCATATGTGATTAGATTCCAGCAACTTGGCGACCTATTTTCGAAGATGATAGCTTTGTTCCCACTTTCTTCCAAGCATACGCCAATTCAACTCCTCCGAACTCATCAAAGGTAAAAAAACAAGAAAAATAAAAGGAAAAATGTATAATATATAGAGTTATAATATATAGAGTCATTCATATGGAATTTATATGGATTTATAGGTGATGGATTGTTTACTAGCTATAGCATCAGTTCGTCGGGCCCTATTCACAGATCAAGAAGAAAGATCTAACTTTGTGATAAGCTTGATGAGGGGAATTCGAGATGTGATGATTACTTCACAAGGGATGGACGATGCTGACAACTACAATTCTTTCTGTCGATTACTTTTCCGATTCCGATCTGCAGCTCCTTTGAACGAAATGGTAGATAAACCTGGTTACATTGAATGGATTGGACTGGTGGCCGATTTCTCTTTCAAAGGATTTCAATCTTGGAAGGTAAATAAGAAAAACATGATGAATGAATAATCTTATACTCTTATATGCATTTTTTTTTTAATTCTCCCTGTCGCTCTCTCTCTCTCTCCATATATCTATAGTGGTCACCCAATACAGCATCTTATATCCTTGGTTTTTGGTCTCGTATTGTACAAAGCATGACTTATTATCAATCCTTGGGCAAGGAAGCCGTAGAAAAATTGGAATCCATCTCTTCAGAAGTAGGTATATAATAAAAATGGCTGATGTATTACAAGATTGTTCTAACTATAGCTTGATACAATAGTTAATCGGTTATTATATCACTACAGCTGCTGAATCCGTTTCAACTCGAATCGAAGAAGGATTGGATGGTAAGTATAGAGAAGAAGAAGAAAAAAAAATAAAACATGGCTTATCCCTATGTTTATTCGATGTAGATCCTTTGGATAATGAAGATTCCCTTACTGAAACCTTGAATATGCTTGGTCAAATCTCTCGATGCAAATATGAACCTTCAAGCACTGCTTTGATATCCGTTTTTGATCCTACTGCAACTCAATATCAGGTAAATTTACAAACAAAGAGAAACAACACTTGAGAATCCCGCTCATTTCTTTTATTTTTTATATATATAGGAACTGATTACCAAAGCTTCGACAAATGTGACCGATCCTGAATCTTTCAAAAACGAATTAGAAATCATCGAAACTAAATTTGCCTGGTTGGTTTATATCGCTGCTGCATTTGTAGGTAATCGCGCAGCTTTTCTGAATTCGGACACACTGGATTCTATTGATGGTCAACTGGCTGTCAAAGTGATACAACTTATGGAAGTCCAACAAGCTCTTCAAGCAAATCATGGTAGTACATTTTTGAATCAAAAACTTGATATGGCCTTTATCTACTTTTTCCAACAATTCAAAAAGTCATATATGAGTGACAGCTCTGACAACTCTGAGGTAAGAACAGAATTACAAGAGTACTTTGCTTGTTAATAAATAGTCTCGATATTCATTTTTTTTTTTTTTTTTTTTTTGTGGAGAAACAGGTATACGGCAAACTTTCTGAACTTATTGGTATTCAAAATCAAGGTGGTATGCTTAATGTAATCATGCAGAAAATGTAAGTAATAATGCTTCATACTTTTTCTGATATACTGATCTTGTTTTATTTTGATTAGTGTTAGCAATCTTCAATATTGGGCTGATAACGTAGTGGTAGTACAGCGAACATTGGAACTTTTTAACGAATTAGCATCAGGGTAAATGGAAAACGAAACACTGAGAAAAAAAAATTGGTTATTGATATATTATTATTATTATTATTTTTATAGACATATGGGTATAAGATATTTGCGACAAGTGGAAACGACACAAACGATCCTTCAAAATCACATGTCAGTTGATTTGGCTTTCTTTAACAATCCCAAGCAGCTTCAAAATCGAATGATCTTTTACAAAGTACTCTGTAAGCTTCTTTTTGGTGAGGACAATGTTGGAGAAACCGAATTTTTTGAATTCATGAAGCCATTTGACAAGCGAATTGAACAACTTGGTCCATTGAATACGAATGCTGATTTTAGACAAGACAATGTCAAGGTAAGTTTTCCTTCAACATTACCATCTCAATATTAATATTATTTTTTACAGCGTGTACTGCAAGGTGTCTTTCTGGATCTTTGTGGCTTTATCAACTCTATACAAAATAGACGAAGTTATAATCTTTTCTTTGAATGGTTCAATCCCGATTACACTGGTATTTTACTCCGTGCTATGGAAGCTTGGGCACCTGATCCTATTTGTAATTCCCTCTTGATGTTTTATGCCGAGTTTGTCAACAACCGTAGTCAACGCCTCAACTTTGATCATTCCTCTCCCAATGGTATCCTTACTTTCCGTGATGCAAGTAATATTATCTGCACTTATGGTAATATAAAAATAACGAGTTAATGATGAATTCAACAAAATCATTTGCTGATTTCTTTTTTTTTTTTTAGGTCGCAAGGCTTTAGATTATCAAGTACAAGATGAAAATCTGAAATATGAACATAAATACAAAGGTATATCATTGGTATTCAACATATTAGCACGTTGTCTTGGTGGGCGATATATCAACTTTGGAGTATTCTGGTTATATCAAGACAAAGCTATTGATGAAGCATTTGACATGGCTCTCCGATTGATGACGGCTATCCCATTACATGATTTGACAGTAAGCAAAAAATATTATGTAAAAAAAAAAAAAATACAATCATTTAACACACTTCTTTTTATAGAGTTTCCCAAAGTTAACAAATACTTTTTACAATCTATTGGATGAATGGTCAAAAGATCAGCTAATGGCACTACCTGTACCTCCTTCTCCTGATATCTTTTTATATTTAATGGAAGCATGTGAACAAGGTTTGGATGTGAATGAAAGTATGGTACGATCTCATACATGTGCAGCTATATACAATATTTGTACGTTTGTCATTCAACAGAGCGAAAAACAACAAACCAATCCATCTCAACTCCGGCGTCGATCTTCCACAATGGCATCCATTTTTACCTCATCTTCTACTTCTTCTTCTTCTGCCACCGCAAATATGCTCCAGCAACAACAACAACGTGGAGGATCAAGTGATACTCACTGGCTTCTCGTCTATTTGAATCAATATCCAAGAATTTTGCCAACTTTGATGGCATCCATATTCTATCCCTTATTATTTGAAGACACCAATGATCAATGGTCCCTCTCAAGACCTTTATACACTCTTATTTACCTACAACGTGATGTAAGTCGAAACAAAATAATAAATGGTATAATGATATCTTATTTTTTTTTCTATTAGTATGCCATCAAGTATACCAACGCTGTCATTGATCAACAATTACCAGAACGTCGAGATTATGTGGCAAAGGTACATCATACAAAAAAAAAAAAAAAAAAAAGTCTTGCAAAGTATTAACTTTATCCACATTGATTTAGGGTCTGGCTGGTTTGATGGATGGTATTGAATGGACATTATCAAGTAGAGATCGTGAACATTTTACCCAAAACATATCTGCCTTTATTAGGGATCTCAAACTGAACAACATCACTTTGGTCCCTTTGCTTACTCCACCAACTCCATAAACTAACAACTCATCATACAATATACACTCGAAGAAAAAACAAAATTATAGTGGCGGCAAAGATGGATGTTTATGTAGGATATTATATAGTTGATCACTAATCGATAACAATAAACTATACTTTCTCTCTTTATTATACTTTTTTTTTTTTGTATCAAATTAATAAAACTACCTATCTTCTTCTTCCACAATTATCATAGCAACTAACGCACGTTTTTATCACATAGAAATATGACAATCCTTTTTTGGAAAACGGATGAACGTCAATAAAATGGTAATTTACAATAATGATGAACGAGGAAAAGAAACGACAGCATGAACATCGGTCATATGTTTATCATCATAAGGTATTGTTGCCAATAGGGAATCACATCAAATGGGTCATACCCTCCCTAAAACAGTACTTCCTCCTTTGATCCTTCCCTCATGATCGGTATGGGAAAATCGAAGCCCTTGTTATCAAAATTACCAATTGACACAACTCTGTTATAGTATCTAGTAACAATATTTTATTCTATCATGATCAAACCAATTTTAGCTATAGTGAAACCTTGATCTCTTTACATTCAGATAATGCATATATATATACATGCCTATGTAAATGTGTGTGTTTTTGTCTTAAGCTTGAGGAAAGAAGATTTATTGATGAATGAGAATTATTCTCATGCAACGCATTGTGACAGGTCAATGCCGGAGATTCAAACAAGGTAAAAAGAAAACAATTGAAGGGGAAATTCCCTTTGTCTCTCTTTCGTAGACATATATATTTCCTTTTCCCTTATAATCAGCATGTCATTCTTTGCCGGTAGTACGCCTATGCGACAACAACAAGCCATCAATCCTCAAAATATCATGATGGCTGAACAAGAATTAGAAATGGTCACTGATCTATTCAACCGGTAAAAAAAAAAAAAAAAAAATCCCCCTTGTCAATTACAAAAAAAAAACAAGTCTGTAGTCTCATTCTCTCCTTTTTATATATTTTATATCTTAGTATATCTGATTCATGCTATACCAAGTGTTTCAATAAACAATACGAACAAAACGAACTTTCTGGTCCGGAATCTAGTTGCATCGATACATGTGTCTCCAAGTTTATGGAAATCAATACCAAAGTTGGGGAAAAAATGCAAACAATGGGTCAACAATAGATACTTATAGAAATAGAAATAGAATTTTATATTATTAGTGATGATGGTTTTGTAATAACTCAAATTTATCTTGTAGATTTTTTTTATTATATATAGATTGGATTCAAATAAAGAAATGATGGACGTTAATCAGGTGTATTATAGAAGGATGATGGCTGATGATTTATTTTTCCTGGAGGAGAGGAAGGGAGTATATGGATAAGGAGTGGTGAATAAGGACAAAAAACAAAGGATTAAATCAAATATAGAAGAGGAGTAGGTCATTCACTGAAAGAGGAAAAAAAATAAGGAGGATAGACATCATATGGCCTTTTTTTTTATACGCAAGTAGGTTGGAGAAATAAGGAAAAAAAGCATGAGTAAAAGTGATGTTATATATAAATGAAGAAACAATAAAATCATAGAGATTAGATGGGGAACCCGAGATTGTTTTTTTTTTATGCATATTTTCATTGGTTGTATGATCAAATGTGTATAAATTAAAACTCTTTTACTTTGTTATTTTTTTTTAGTATCTCTTCCTTCTTTTTCTCTTTCTTTCCCTTTCCTTTCTTTTTTCTCTTTCTTTTTCCTTTTTTTTTTTTTCTTTTCCCTCTTTACTGTTTCCGTCATTATTTTTTTTTTCATACAATGACAACAACATCCCTTGATACATTAGATTTGATTAGAGTCATGGAAAATCAAATCGTACAATGTCAACAGATGAATACACTTGATGAAGTAAGTAAATAGGGAGTAAAGATAGTAAACAAGGGGCTGAATTAATGATAATGATTTCTCAGGAATACGTAGGACTATTACAAGAAAGCAAAGAAAAATATCAAGACTTGTGTAAACAAACGGATTATTTACAAAAAGTAAGTCTCTTTTTTATTTTCTTTGTCTCTATGCAGATAACTCAATTTTTTTCCTTGTATAGAAAATCATCATGATGAAACGAGAAAACACAAACTTGATGAAAACTCAGCAACGACTAGAAACACAAGTGTATGCACAAGATCAAGAATTGCAGGGTACAAAGAAACAAATAACTACCTTATGCCGGCGTAACAAAGACTTGGAAACTCGATTAGAATTGGAAGTAAGTTTTTTTTTGTTTTTATTTGTTTATACGATAAAGCAGTAAGGCTGATTTTTTTTTTTTTTTGAAAGTTGAAAAATTATGAAGCTGATCGATTATCGTGGCACCAAACAGAAATGGAATTGACATCCGCCATCAAAAAGTGCTCCTCATTAAATAACAGTCTAAATCCAAGAAGAACTCGTAGTGCAACAGCATCCAACGTTTTTCATGCCCCTTCTTCCAAAATCATAGACGATAGAAACAATTTTTGCCATCATCCTTCTTCCTCCTCATCATCATCATTTATTCAATCAGAAAAAAGCAAGTTCCCAAAAAAAAAAATCATCCAAATTCCTTTTTTTTTTTTTTTACTAAGCTTTCTTTTTATATATGTAGATGATCATAGGCAAAAATTCAATTTGGCCAAGATACAAGCTCAAGAAAGATTGCTGGCAAACTTACAATCAGAATTGGAAACACAAAAGCTATCACATTTGGAGGCTATACAGGAACAATCTGACAAATTGGCATCGGTGGTCAAGGAATTACAAGACATCAAGGAATTAAATCGTACACTGATGGAGGATAATGAAGGTTATCAAATGTTATTGACCGAAAAAACAATGTCTGGTGCATTTCTAAAGGTAAAAAAAAGGAAAAAGGTAGTGATGGATACTAATCATCTCTTTTAATATATAATAGAAAGTAGAACAAGAACAACCCTTTTCTCTTGCTACAGAAATAGGTCGTATGCCTCCAATCCATGAATCATCCATCATTCAAGGTAAACTATAGAAAAAAAAAGTCTTTTTCTTTACTTATTTTCTTGTATTTTAGAGTTGACAGATGAAAACAAAACTTTGAAAGAATCCAACAAGGCACTATCACTGTATATGAACAAGATCTTATTGAAAATTGTTGGTAATCATGAATTAGTGGATGTTTTGAATATAGATGAAGAAGAACCAGGAAAGGATAGATCACCATCACCACCTGTCGTACGAAAACCGGACAATACATCATCAAAACCACAACCAAGGGAACGTCGAAGTACTATTTCTTGTTTTCGTCAATCAAAAGATCAAGGTTGGACCAAAGCACTGAAAAGAATGACTGTGATGGGCTGGAATAGTAGTAGCAATAGCAGTAGTAGTAGTAGTAGTAGTAGTAGTGAGAGTAGCAACAATAGTAGTAGCGATGATGTAGCGAATGCAACCAATTGAATAAAAATTGAATTTTTTTGGACTCTATTGAGACACCATACAATCATCATCAACATACAACAATCACCAGCAACATACAACAATCATCATCAACGTACAACAATCATCATCAACATACAACAATCATCATCAACGTACAACCATCATCATCAACATACAACCATCATCATCAACATACAACCATCATCATCAACATACCAGTCATCACCTTCATACATAGACCAATATATTTTTTTATTTCAATAAAATAAGACAACACGTCTAAATATATATTTATCTTTATTCTATATCAAATAGCTATTCTATAGTATGTGTATGTCTCTGTGTGCTACGTATATGTATTGAGCATATCCTAATCTATAAATGTAAATAAATAAATTAAAAAAAAAACATAAAGTTGTTGCATTGATCCAAGTTGTCAGAAGATATCCCAAAATCTCAGTTTCCATAATATAATCATATCCAACAAAAGAGAAGACGAGAAAAAAAAAAAAAAAAGTTGATTCAAAACCATAAACCATGCCTCTTTTCTTTTCGATATCAATTAAATCAAAGAAAAAAAAAAAGAGTAGGTTACTGTGTTCAGCATCCACCTTTTCTTTTTATTTTTTTTTTCTTTCTTTCTTCTGAATAGTTCAGATTTGGCTAAGTGATATATTCATCATTCAACTATTGAAAAAAAAAGAAAAGAAAGAGTTTTGAAGCAAAAGGTGTTCCTCTTTTTTTTGAAATTCCGGGATGTGACTTGGTGCAGCTTTATTCTTTTTCCAAAAAAGATTCGTCTGTCAAAAACTTTTTTTTTTTTCTCTTTTTAACTTTTTCATTTTTATACCTCTCTTAGACTTGGATCTTTATCATGGTGGCCAAATTGAAAACAAAAAAGTCAATGACAACTGACTATATTGAAAACGTAGTGAAAAAACCTCAAGTATTCTTCACTGCCAATCCAAAACTAGCTGAACAATCTATATCTTTGACAAAACATTATTTTGATACTGGTAATAATAATAATAAAATTGTTATTCTTATTAAATACTTATTTTTTATTATATTTATAGCCAAAGAACACCAAGAACAAGAGTTTTCTCCATTTACTGAATTATTAACAGAAGGTTTTGATCATGATCAGATCTGGGAAGAACTAGCTACACAAAACGAACCTTTCTTGAATTATTGCAAATCATCTTTGAAACATTGGTCCAACCCTTCAGCTTGGAACTCGATCACCTCGGAAGATGAATTGGAACAAGATAATGACGACGATATGGAACAAAGTAGTGGTGAAGAATTATCTCAAGCTGACATGGATCAAGACGATGATATTTACTCTGGAGAAGAAGATATACAAGAATTTTCGGATAACAACAGCAATAATGAAGACGACGATGATATCAATGACGATGATATCAATGACGATGATATCAATGACGAAATTCTCGGTAGTGAATCTGAAAATGATGATGATACTATGGAAGATGATAGGTACAACAAAAAAAAACGTCAATTGAAATGATAGAACTAACCTATATATGTATAATATAGTACAGCTGTTGATACTGGGAAACGATCAGAAGTAGATGATGATTTCTTCAATTTGGATGAATTCAACACATGGACGGAAGAACAAGAAGCTTTGGATATGCAATCTGATCGTGAAGAAGATGATGAAGAAATTGATTTTGACAATGATTTGGAAGCTCTGGATGATTCAGACGATGAAGAAAATGATGATGACGATGAACATGCTCAAGGTAAGATAGAAAAAAAAAAAGAAGAAAATATATTCAACAGTGATACTCAATCTTTCATTTTTTTTTAAAAAAAAAAAAGATATCACATTCAAGGACTTTTTCTTGCCACCTGCCAAACCAAAACGATCCAGTGAACCCAGGAAACAAGTCAAATTTGCCAGCGACAACGAAGAAGAAGAAGAAGAAGAAGAAGAAGAGGAAGAAGAAGAAGATGAAACACCCAAAGTACGTGGACTTTTCGATGAAGATGAAGACGAACAACAAGATCAAATGACAGCTCATGAACGTCAACAAGAACGACTTAAGAAACAAATTGAACAATTTGAACAAGAAAATATCGAAGGACGACATTGGACTTTACAAGGTGAAGCTTCTATCAAATCACGACCAGTCAATAGTTTATTGGAAGAGGATATGGAATTTGATCAATCTGTCAAGCCTGTGCCTGTGATCACTCAAGAAACAACCAATGTATTAGAAGATATGATTAAGAAACGGATTAGCGAAGTAAGTAAATATTATTATATTTCATTTCATTTATTTATTTATTTTGATTATTTATGACAGGGTGATTTCAATGATGTTGAACGAAAAGCTGATCCTGCTGCAAGACCTTGGTTACCTTCTAAACGTGTGGAACTGGAAGATACCCAATCTAAAAAATCACTGGCTGAACTTTATGAAGAAGAATATGTCAAGAAATCTACTGGTGATCAATCCAACGAAAAAGATGAAGCTTTACAAAAGGAACATGATGAAATCTCTGGCATGTTCTCATCATTATGTGAAAAACTGGATGCTTTAAGTAACTTCCACTTTACTCCAAAGGCGGTAAGTTACTTAACTCTCTTAAGATAAATATCCACTCACTTTTTTTTTTATTTATTATTATTATTTAGGCCAAGGCAGAATTGACGGTGGTCAGTAATGCAGCATCAATCAGTATGGAAGAAGTAACACCTGTGAATGTATCGGAATCAACATTATTGGCACCTGAAGAAGTATATGAAAAACAACAACGTGATGTGAAAGATCAAAGTGAAATGGATCAAGATGAACGCAAACGACTCCGTAAGCAAAAGAAGATGGAAAAGCGCAAGGCCAATGCTATCAAGGAAAAGGAACGCGAATTACTTGCCAAATCAAAACCTGCTTCAGCTGGTGGTTATGTGGATAGAGAAAGCAAGACGAAGGCTGTCAAGGATTTGATTGGTCAAAAGAATGTCACTGTGATTGGCAAGGATGGCAAGAAAATGAAGCAAGACAAGTCAATCACTTCGGCATCTCTCTTCTAGTTACATTGTATAGTTTCTCGCACACATTATATATAATATATTCATATACTCATATTTCATTATTCTCATTAAACCCTTTCATTTGTTCTTTTCCTTTTAGTCTACACTTCATTCTCTTTTTTTTATTTTTTTGTATTATTCAACAATAGACGTTGGGAATCTTTCTTTCATGTATTTGAAATAAAACAAAATAAAATAAAATAAAAAAATTGGGATACACATACTCTTATAGATTGAGATATGTAAAGATTTTTTATTTTTGTAGAAAGAATATGTACATAGATAGTCAAGTAGAGTAGATGATGATTCTTTTTTTTTTTTTTTTGGGTTTTGATTTTTTTTTACATAAGACAGTGGGATGATTTCAGCATAGTAAATTAGAATGGAATGGGAAGATAAAATGGGTGATCATATGTGAGACTGTGTTCAAAACAATTATAGATATAAAAAAAAAAAAAGATAGAAAAGGTAATTTTACATCATATGGGGAATAAGAATAAACAGTAAACATGTGATATAAGTGACGGGTATACAAAGATAATCATAAAAACTAGTCAGATCATAAAAAAACGTTTGCAAAAACTAAATAATCAAAAAGAAAAAAAAAGAGTGAAGTGGAGATGGATCCAATCATGGGGTATCATGTTGTAGTAAGGCAGGTGTGAGAGAGAGAGAGATATACAGAAGGAAAAAAAAAAAAAAGATATGTAACAATAATAACAATAAAAAAAAAAGACAAGAATAATAAAGTAGTAATAGTAACAATAATAATAGTAATAAGGGGAAGAAGAAGGGAGTGATCATTGAGTTGCTGTTCTTTTTCTACGCCATTCCACTACATTACTTGATTCAGTAGATATCGTCCGGACCAAAGGTTCACTTGCCAGTTGTTCATCTTTGCTGTCACCCATGACAATTTTGAATCGGCCTTTGAGAATAACACGAGGTTTTGTAGGAAGGTTGTTAGAATGACAAGTATTAAGAGTAGACGCTGACGATGACAAAGTATCATTTGTTGATACATCCGAACATTTGTCAGTGGTAGATGGAGGCTTTTCATATATATCCTTTTTCTTTTGATGTTGTTTTTGTTTTTGTTGATTTTCTCGCTGCCAAAAACGGGAATCCCATATAGGACATCGTGTTGAAGAATATGATGTCATACAAGGCACTGATCCATGCTGGGAGTTTGTCACTTTAGTTGTCAGGTGTCGTAATTGACTATCATCTAAAGTCAAAGGTTGCATCCCATCATCGTCATCATCATCATCATCAGTATCATCATCGGATTCTTCATAATGAATATCATCATTGGTCATGTTGATGTTAGATAATTTAAAGTCACTATAATCATCGATCTTATCTTGATGATTTCTTCCACGCTTGATTTTAATACCAGCCATAAATGCAAATTGACTTGCTGTAAGATCTTCAGTTTGAACAGTCGCTTGAGGTCGTCGTATGAACTTTTCTGTTGCCGCTGCTGCTACTGTACCAGATCTAGAGTAGTGTTTTGAAGAAGGTGGTATCCATTTCTTTGATAATCGAATCAAATGTTTCCGCCACCTTGCCCCTGACAATGGTCCTGTCGTTCTACTGATGGAAGAAGATGAACTGGACAAACTAATAGGAAATGACACTGGTCGTTGACATGACATTATGAAATATAAAAAAAAAAAAAAAAAATACAATAAAATACAAAAAAAAAAAAAGAAAGTGAGAAAAAGAGAGAAAGAAAAAAAAAATGAGGAGACCAGAGTGATTGTTTTATGGTTTGGGAGGAATTTACATAAAAGAATTACAAGTCAGCCCTTAATGCGACTGAGCCAATTTCTCGCCAAGCGCAAAATCGCCTCAAAATTATTCCTTCGGTATCCTTTAGAATTTTCATCTCCTTAAATCTTTTTTGATTTCTACTTTGACTTATCCCATTGATGTCATTTGATTATTCTTTTTTTTTTTTTTCTTTCATTATACTCGTATCTTTTTTTTCCCCTTTTTTTTTTTTTTTTTTTATTATTCCCTCATATTCTAACATAAGAAAATGCAGCCACGCGGTCAAATATGCACGCATCTCTAAAGAAAAAAAAAACGCAAGACATCTTGTCGATCTTTTTCTCGTCTTTTGTTTGGTTTTGATTATGTAAACAGTACTTCTCATAAAAATGCATCTTTTAACTCATCATTGACGATCTTTTTCTTATCCTACCATCTTTCTTCCTTTTTTTTTTTTTTTATCTTGATTAAATCTGGGATCATATGTATTACAACTTTTGACAATAAAGTTTACTCCATTGTATTGTCAAGTTTTCTTTTTAGTTTATATTATATAACAATTCACATTATTATTTTATTGATGATGAACAATGTCTCTATCAAGTATACGCGATTTTTTGAAAAAAGACGCTAAAAAAAAAAGAAAAAAGAAAGGAAGTCTATTCAATACCATAAAAGGTATCTCATTTTTTTTTTGGTGGATATTCTTAGCCAATGACAGAGAGCAAAAAGTGAATATATGGGAACATTTTTTTTTTCTCTTTGTTGCATTGCAAAGGCACCTTATTTATGATTCCGTTTTTAACCCAGCGTGTAGGTTGCGTTTTTTTTTCTTTTTTTCTTTTTTTTTTTTTTGGCTCTAATTTTTTTTTTTCTGTTCTGTCTACCTTTCTCTCTCTCTCTCTCTCACGCACTTACACGCAAACACATACACATTCATATTCCCGTTATTTTCTACTTTTTTTTTATTCTCTTTTCTTTTATTTGACCACTTCTTTTTATTGATATTTTTATCATGGCCTTCAAGGATATTAAGAAGGCAGCTCATCCTCAACTTTTACCAGATATTCCTTCTGATACTTCCAATATGCAAGAACCTGACTCATTCGTAAAATCTACAAGACCAAGTGTAAAAGATGGTAATAACTCTTGTTTGAACTTTTTTATTTAATATCATCATTGACTTATTATTTATTATTTTGTCAATAATACTAGAAACTCTCTTCAACCAATTTTTACCTAAATCCAATGACCTTGAAACTGAACACGAAGCTGTCTATCATTGGAATATTACAGATTGGAAATCCTTGGAAGCAAAAACTAGAAGTCCTGCCTTTCAAGTAGGTGATATATTTTGGTAAGTTTGAAACAAAAAGGAGAATAAGTTATAAGAAGATGACTCATTATATATTTTATTTATAAAGGCGAATCTTATTGTTTCCCAAAGGCAATAACCAAAATGACTTTATCTCTGTCTATCTGGAAGTATCTGATCCGGTGGAACAAGGACTCAAAGATAATTGGCATCATTGCGCGCAATTCACCTTGGTGGTATCCAATCCTGAAGACCCAACGAATTACTATAGTAATAGTAAGTCTGCTTTATATATAGAAAAAAAAAACATTTGACTTATCCTTTTTTTTTTTCTCTCTCTCTTTCTTCTCTTAAATTTTTTAGATGCTGACCATCGATTTTCTCAAGAAGAAGTGGATTGGGGATTTACTAGATTTTATGACCTCAAGTTATTACAACAGAACATGAAGGATGGAAAGGGACCTTTCTTAATCAACAATCAAATCACCATCTCAGTTTTTGTACGTTTGGTAAAGGATGAAACAGGTGTATTGTGGCACAACTTTGTAAAGTAAGTAGGCAATCCAAAAGGAGAAAAGAAAAAGAAAAAAAAAAGAGATTAACAATTTATCCTCCCTCTTTTTTTCTTTAGTTACGATTCACGAAAGGAAACTGGCTACGTTGGAATGAAGAATCAAGGTGCAACTTGTTATATGAACTCTTTATTACAATCACTCTATTGTACCAATCTTTTCCGTAAGGCCGTATATCAAATTCCTACCGAAAATGACGAACCAACAAACAGCGTGGCATTGGCATTACAACGATGTTTCTATAATTTACAACATGATGAATCTCCTATTGGTACTACCGAATTGACCAAATCTTTTGGCTGGGATTCTGTGGAAGCTTTTATGCAACATGATGTACAAGAATTTAATCGTGTTTTGCAGGATAATCTTGAAGTCAAAATGAAGGTAAGGGAGGTTTATATCATGATCATATTCAATAATTTATTTTTATGTTATAGGGTACACCTGCTGATGGAGCTATTTCTGATTTATTTGAAGGGAAAATGAAAAGCTATGTCAAATGTATTAATGTGGATTATGAATCATCACGGGTGGAAGATTTTTATGGTAAAAAAAAACCAATATATATAGATATAGATAGAAAAAATGACTTGTATTCTATTTGAATCTGATAATGTTTTTCTTTATGTAGATATCCAATTGAATGTCAAAGGGTGCAAAAATTTATATGATTCATTTCAAGATTATGTGGCCATGGAAACATTGGAAGGTGAAAACAAATATCATGCTGAAGGATTTGGATTTCAAGATGCGAACAAAGGGGTTATATTTGAAAGTTTCCCACCAGTACTCCATTTGCAATTAAAACGCTTTGAATATGATTATATGCGAGATACAATGGTCAAGGTAAGAAATAAAATATATATATTATATAATATGAAAAATTATATTGACTTGCTTGACTTATATATATATATATATATATATATATAGATCAATGATCGACATGAATTTCCTGAAGAAATCAATCTTGATGAATTTGTATCCAAAGATGCTAATAGAAGTGAACCATACGATTATGTTTTACATGGGTAAGGGATTATCTATGATTACATAAAAAAAAAAAGCAGGAATACTTATTATATATATATATATTGATCTATTTTATTGTAGCGTACTTGTACATAGTGGCGATCTTCATAGTGGACATTACTTTGCTTTGATCAAGACAGACAAGGAAGGAAAATGGCTACGATTTGACGACGATCGTGTGACACCAGTGACAAAGAAAGAAGTCTTTGAAGAAAACTTTGGTGATGATGCAGTGGTTAGTCCTGGTGGTAACAACTTTTCTCTATTGAATGGTGGTCCTCTAAGAACAACAAACAATTCTAGACTGATGAAACGATTTACAAATGCATACATGTTGGTGTATATTCAACGTAGTAAATTAAACAAAGTCTTGGCTCCAGTATTAGAATCCGACATTCCCGAACATCTGAGTAAGTGTTAAAACTAGTATAAATTTATGATATACTAATTGTTTTTTTATTTTTTTTTATTTATATGAATGTCAGAACAACGAATTACTGAAGAACGAGTAGCTGTTGAGAAAAAGAGAAAGGACAAGGAAGAAATGCATTTATATGTCAAGGCAGCTGTAAGTAGATAGAATTTCGTCATACATTAAACAAATCATTGATTTATTCTTTACATAATATAGGTGCTGACAGATGAATTATTTGAAGATCGACAAGAATTTGATTTGGCTACGTTTGATGATCGTCTTTTACAAGCATCACCAGGTGTAGAAATATTCAAGGTGCTGAAATCAGATACAATCGCATCATTTAAAGATACATTAGTGAAACATTATAAATTGGATAAGGACAAGGTACGACTATGGAATGTGATCTATCGAACAAATGAAACTGTCAGAGTAGATCAACCATTTACACCCGACGAAGAACGTGGAAGTAAGAAACAATGTTACTTTTTATTTTTGTCTTGAAAACTCATCTTTTTTTTTTAGCCATGGAAAGATTACGTGAAAACTCATGTACCTCTACACAATTTAGTGGATTTGCTAAACTCTATTTGGAACATGTGGCATCCCCTGCGAAACTATTGGAACTCAAGTCTGATGATATATTGATATTCATAAAGTACTTTGATGTGCAAAAGCAAAAAATTCGGTAAGTTGCTCTCTTTTTATTATCAGATAGTATATTGACGTGATCTTTTTCTATTCAATAGGGGTTTGGGACATACATTTGTTAAATCAAACGAAAGAGTTGGAGACCTTATTCCTACATTAAACAAAATGATCAATCTACCTTCAGACACATCCATTGATTTGTATGAAGTAAGTAGAAACAAACAATATATATATATATATATGCTATAATACTCATTGATCATTGTATTTTTTTACATTTCTAGGAAGTCAAACCATCCATGATCGATAAAATGAATCTGAAGCAAACTTTTCATCAATCCGAAATTCAACATGGTGATATCATTTGTTTCCAAATATCAGTATCAGAAGAAAAGTAAAGTACAATTTTATTGGGAAAAAGAGGAGCAGTTTTTTTTTTATTATTATTATTTACGTCTTTTTTTTTTTTTTTTGATAGAGCATTGGAACTTCAAAGTCAAGGGAAACTTGCAACAGTACGGGATCATTACAGAAGTGTACTCAACCGGGTAATGGTTCTCTTCAAACATAAATTCGACAAACGCGACGGGAAGGAAGTGAAACTTGTGACGGATCGATTTGCGGACTATACAAAGGTGGTGCAACAACTAGCGGAAAAGCTTGATGTCGATTGGAGCAAGATTCGATTGACCTCAGCACATGCAGTGTCACACCAGCCCAAAGAAGTGATACCATTCCGAGCTCGTTTACAGCTGAGCCAAATGGCTTTTGGTTTACCTCGTGCGCATGATTATGTACATGCTGTCAATATGGAATCTATCGCGCCGTTGCCGGTGATATATTATGAAATTTTGGATGTCAGTATGGCGGATCTGGAATCGAAGAAGACATTACAATTGATCTTACTTGGACCTGGTGGATTACGTGAAGAAACAACCGTGGCAGTATTTGTTCCTTCTATTGGCACAGTGACAGACATTATTTCTGCTCTTGATTCAAAAAAATGCAAGTTGGATATCTCACAACCTGAACTATTACGATTATATGAAGTCATGGATGGGAAAATCACGAAAGAATTCTCTTTGGATCAACCTATTGATAATGTGGGTGATAAAAGAGCCACTTTATATTTGGAGGTAAGATTATATTGAAAAAAAAAAGAATTCATTGACTTACTTTTTTTTTATTATTATTATTATAGCGTATACCTGATGATGAATTGTTAATGGATATGGACAATGATCGTTTGATTCAAGTGGTACATTACAACAAGGATCCTAGTCGACTACATAGTGTTCCTTTTCGATTCACAGTCAAAAAGGTAAAATAAAAAAGTAAAAATAAATATAAAAATAAAAAAAAAAAAGATATTTACTTTTTTTTTTCTCAGGGAGAATTATTTGATGAAACCAAAAAAAGATTGCAACAAAGATTAGGTTATGGCAATAAGGAATGGCAAAAGGTCAAGTTTAGTGTGATCAAGAATATTCATTCACTGGAACCTGAACTTGTCTATCTCGAAAAAGGTAATGAGTTATAAGAAAAGAAAAATGAGGGACTAATTTGATATATGATAGATGATCTTATACTTCGTGATACCAAGATTGGTGAGGATGATGCACTTGGATTGGAACATATAGACAAAACATCAAAAACTGGACGATTCGGTGGGGCATTCGAACGAGGCATCTTTATTCGCGGTTGAACAATATGAGTATATCAGCAAATGTTGATATAGTTTTTTTTTATATTATTATTTTTATTGTTATTATTATTATTATTATCATGAACAACGGCGTCAATACACTTTATACACATCTAGTTAGTTTGCTCGTTTAGTTAGTTTATGTTACCTTCAATAAAAATAATATTCTTCTTGATGATGGTACTCGTGTTTGTGTATATTTATTTGTTATTCATTGTTATTTTCATTATGGAAAATGACAGCAAAGTGATATAAATCTAATGATACTACTATTCATTGCCAATGGCAAATATATTTTCCACAAAAAAAAAAAAGAATCAATCTCCCCCTTTTTTTTCCCTACGATTTCCGTTATTTTCAATGTATGTTAATAATAGACCCTTTCTTACTTGTTTATCCATATTCAATGATGTATATTTCTTCTTTGTTTTCTAAATGTAAGAATACCACGAGATAAAAAGCCGCCAAATATGGAAAGTGAGCGCGTTGAATGCTTACCTAAAAGTAAAAATTCATTAAAGTGATCGAAACTCAGCAATGAACAAATGGGCATTTTTTTTTGTTTTCCATTGATGATGTTATTTGTTACTATATTGAGAATTGAGTTCATTACTATATTCTACATCCTTCCGTTTTCTATGATATGGTTGGATACGACTTTAATTGAACAGAAAACAAAGAACAAGATCATGTTACACTCTTCGTTCCCATTCTTCCGTTAAACTTATGCTCCCTTTTTTTTTCAATACAATATTGTGCTACATGATTTTTCTTGGATTTTTTACAAAAAAAAAAAAAAAAGTGGAGAAGAGTCTTGTCACACCAAAGCATTTATCTGATCAAACTTCAAGTATAAATACTGCTTCACTTTTTTTCTTTTTTTTTGTTCAATATCAACATCAATGGTTTCTTCATCATCTTTGCTTATTCTTTTGTTCTGTGTGTTCCAAGCCACATCTGCCGCCAATGCCACAGTGCCATTCAAGCTTCCTTCCTTGATCGCTGATCGTACCAAGATGCCTCATGTTCTTCCCAACATCCCATTGGATTTGGAAGAAAAAGCCATGCAGATCAATGGTCCACTCCCTAAAGAAGAACCTTCCAAATATGGTCTTGCCCTGAATGCCACCATGGATCCCCTAGCCTCTCCTTATCATTTGGAAGCAAGAGATGAAAACACCTCCATCGCCTCCCGCTCCACTGTGGCGGTGTTGAAGAAACATGCGTCCTTGGCCTTCATCAGTTACTGTCGAGCTGTCGTCCCTGGAGGTAAATGGCCAGATAAACTCAGTAGCTGTCCCACTTGTTTGGATCATACCTCTGTTCAAATGATCGCTCCCATTGTCTCTAGTGATATCACCGATGCTTCTGGTTATGTTATTCGTGATGATACTCAAAAAACTATTTACTTGGTCTTTAGAGGTAAAAAAAAAAAAATTTTTTTTTTTATTCCCCCACATTTTTCTTTTTTTATTTTCAGCTTCTTTTCTCCTTTCTCATCACTTTTTTTTTTTTTTTTTTTACGATTTAGGTACCAGCTCCTTTGGCAATATTCTTGCGGTAAGTCTTAAATATATTCAGTTTCAATATATACTCATCTTTTTTTTTTTTTTTTTTTTTTTTTGCCATTTCTATCATATAGGATTTTAAATTCTTCTTGGGTGATTATCCTCCTGTTGGTAATGGTGCCAAGGTGCACAGAGGTAATAAAAACGTTTGCATTGGTTCATGGCAACTTAGCTTTTTAACTGTTTAGGTTTCTACCAAAGTTATATGAAGATTCAAAAACAAGTGCTTTCTGTGATGACCGACCAATTGACCAAATATCCTAAATACCGTGTCACGGTTACTGGGTAAAGCACTTATAATATATAATCCTTTTATATATACTTATCTTTTTTTTTTTAGACATTCTCTTGGAGGTGCTTATGCTACTTTGGCTGCTTTGGATCTGTATCAACGTGATAAACGATTCAATCCCAAGAATATGAATATTATTACCTTTGGTAAGAATAAAAATATATAGACTTATGATTTTTTTTTTTAACATGAAATTGGATATATATATAGGTGAACCTCGTGTGGGCAATCCAGCCTTTGCTGCCTATGGTGTCTCTACCAAGCTCGAAAAGAAACGTGTTGTTCATAACAGAGACGGTAAGAAGAAGAAGAAAAAAAATTATATGATTGAATTCTTTCTTATCAAGCTCAATTTTTTCTAAAAAAAAAAATAGTTGTTTCTCATCTTCCTCTTATGAAGATGGGTTATTTGCACTTTGGAACAGAACATTGGCTTCAAAAGGACCAAAAGACAGTTAGTAAGTTCATCATATGTATGAATAGAAATGTATACTCACCTTATTTCTTAATTAGAAATTTGCCAATCTGATTATGAACTTGAAAACTGCTCAAACAGCATTGTTCCCCGTACCAGCCTTTTGGATCATACCAAGTAGGTCACTATCACATACTTGATTTTTTTTTTTTTTTTTACTCATCTCCTTTTTTTTGTTTACTGAAATAGCTATTTCTACGTTGATATTGATTTTTGTCTTTTTGGTTAATATAACCATTTAATTTAGTTACCCATGTACTTTTTTTTTAGTATAGTTTAGTTTAGATTTTGATGATTGGAAAACTTGTTGAAACAATAATAATAATAATAAATAGAGTCACCAATATATCTTTTACTCTCTCTTCTTTTTTATACTTGTTTCATTTTATTATTAGACATCGATATATGAATGCTGGATATATAAAATAATGAGTTTTACTTGCAATGACAGGTACGATTTTTTTTAAAAAAAAAAAAAGTGGAAAAGTAGCCAAAGCCAATGACTACAAACATAGATAAAAAAAAAAGGTCATTTTATTATATATATAGTGTTTGGAAAATAAAACAAAACGGAAAAGAATATAATACAATAATAAAGGACTACCCGGTAAGGGACAAAATAAATATTATAAAGAAAAACATACAAAGAAAAAAGATAGACAAAAAGAGGGGTATTTGATAAATAGATAAAGAGTAATAAACTAGGCATTGGAGGATGCCCTACGATGAGATCCAGTAGCCATGACAATTGTTGGTCGTTCATCTGTATGATCCGTGTTGTGAGTCAATACGTCCTTAGCGGGAACTGTCGATAATGCTGTTGTCCTGATGGGATGATTATTCCTTCTTGACACAGGAAATGATACGTCATACTGATGATCATCGTTCATATCTCGAAACGAATTCAGTATTTGATTTTCATTCACTGTGATATCGTATGTCTTTGCTTGTTGTTGTTGTGGTAATACTGACAATGAATAAGGTTGACTTGGAGTGCTAATAGTACGTAATTCCCATGATTCACTTCGTAAACTGGAACCTGTGGTTGTTCCTGCTGCTGATAATGAGTTTTGTTGACTTCCGATGCTACTATGTGCTGAATGAGTCCCACTATCCAGACTTTTACTATTGATAAATGGATTGTTGCGTTGTGGTCCTTCATCGTTAGTTGTTGTTGTCGAAAGGTTACGATTATTCAAATAATCTACGTCATTTCCACCCATCCCTCTCATACGACCACCACCACCACCACCACCACCACCACCACCATCGTAATGATTATCCAATCGAGAACTTGCTATGGATGATGGTCTAGAGTTCTTATCCTTGCCTCCTGAAAATAGATGTTGTCGGTATCGTCGCCGAATATACCATCCAATCAATGCTATTAATCCAAGTAGAAAAAGTCCACCAAAGATAAAAACAGGAATAGCAATGTTTTTATTCTTTTCCACCCAAGCTCTCACAGTATTGGCTACAAAAAAAAAAAAATCATCAGTATTGATCATGATACGGATGATATATCACTTACAGAAACCAGATCCTACACATTTTCCAGAACGACAGAATCCAGCTAGACCACATTCAGTACCATCCAAAAACATTCCACTGAGTACCAAGCAATTCTGAGAGTCTAATGGATCCGCACAACTGATACTACACGAATCTTCTTGAAAGGGACATTGTTGAGTGATATTGAGTCGTAATCCACGTGCAGTACATTGTTCATCACGAGAAGTACATACGCCTGAAGCACATTGCATTGTTCCATTTGAGCATGAAGTACCATCAGCATCATATACATCAGGAGGACATTGAGACGTTAATCCAGTACATACTTCTTCTGTATCACATTCAGATGCTGCAGGTCGACAAACAGTATCTTTTGGTGCAATAGCACAATTAAGACAGCATTGACTACTATAATCACTATTAAGAAATAAATAAATAAATAAGAAGATGTATAATAAGAATGAATGCAATATAAAATATAGGTTACTTACTCGCAAATAGCACCAGCTTTCAATGTACAATTCTTGGCAAAACAACATGGACTATCGGTACGTCCAGGATCACACTGTTCACCAGGTTCAAGAATACCATTCCCACACATAGAGAAAGTTGAGTTGTTGATATCACCAGGAGCTACCAAAATAAATAAAAGTTAATTCATATGATCATCTCTTATTTCAAACTTACATTTCAAACAGTATCCAATATTTGGGAAAGAGCTACATATGTCAGTAATGGAACATGGACTAAAATCGTTTGTTGAAACATTGCTTGTAGGATTCATAAGATAAGTTTCGCCAGCACTACATTTAGTAGGACTAAGAGGACAACAAGCACATCCATTTTGACAGGAACATGACTGAGCAGCACAATCATGAATGGCCCCTAAAATGAAATGATAAATTAAACGTCCTTCCTTGAGATTCTACCTTTTCTTACCAAATCCATGACCAATTTCGTGTGCAACCACTTTCCATTCTTCTCTAGTAATAGATGATACTCCAGTACCAGATACCCAATCATATAATCCGTTATCTAGAATTGAAAACAGAAAAAAAAAAAAAAAGGAATTAGATGAATGTCAGAATAAAGGGTTCATCTTTTACCTTCAATTTGTTGAGAAGCTTGATATTCACATAGTTGACTTAACCAAGCAATACCCACTTTGACACCAGTACTAAAAAAAAAAAAAAAAAAAAAAAAGTTGAATATTTCTAATATATTTGTACCGTTTTTTTCTCTACTTACGCGCATTTCGTCATAAGATGCCATAAAGAAGCTTGATCATCTCCCCTTTGTCCTCGCCAAAAGCTAAAATCACTAAGACGATTATTGATAGTATAATAGTTTGAGCAGTCTTGATTCCAATTCATCTGTTGACTTGGTTGTTGTGGACATTGAGATGTTGACATTTGCATATAAATTAATCCTAAAGAAACGTTAAACGTCCTTTCATACACAGCAGAAGCTACATTCCAATCTGTCACCATTTGTATCTTTGCCAACCGAATACCACCATAAGATTTGACATAAGAACAATCAGCTGCTGCCCCCATAAAAGCAACTATAAAGATAAATAATAGTGAGTAAAATATATATATATATATATATATACTTACTTTTCCTAGAATTCGGACATCCTTGACTGATCGGTGCATCACGTTTTTCCAAGTTGGAAACTATCAAGTTTCGTTTTCTCTTGTTCCATAATACATCAGGTGGTATAGATCCCGTCTGTGTTGGTGGACTGCCATCATTGTTGTCATTAACATCGTCTCCAGTGTTCGTGTCACCATTATCCGTATCATTACTGTCGTCATCATTGTCGCTATCGTCATTACCACTGTCGTCATTATCACTGTCGTCATTATCACTGTCGTCATTATCACCGTTACCGCTATCATTGTTGCTGTCATTACTTTGTCCCGACGTATCACCGTTGTTTGGTGATCTAAAAGGCTGGGCACCACTGAGTTTGCGATTGTACGTCAGTTCTTCCATAGCACACATAACATCGTTATAAAAATAGGATGACCAATTGCCGTGCCTTGAATGGTTTCCATGTAATTTTCGTGATGATAATGATGATGAAGTTTGGGAGAGATAATTATCGAATGGTATATTGCTGCTAAGCATGATAGGTGATAAGGAGGAAGAAGAAGGAGAATCGTCGTCATGAATATCAGAATCGCGATAGATGACCATAGGCCAATGTTCAGGTAGATATGGATCATCGTTTCGTTTGTATAAATGATAGTTATTGTTTGTTTTGATGTGATAAATATCGCCTTGATAAGAAAATGCACCTTCAAATAGAGGATATGGATAATCATGTCTAATAAAAAAAAAGGTCAGAAATACAAAGGAGAAAGAGTCTATAATAAACTTACTGAATATCATGACGTATAGTGATTCTTGCCCAATGATCAATATTCGGTGAATGTATCTTGTCAATAGGTTGATCAAATGGAATAACATGACCTTTGAAAATACGAAATTGCTCAGGTGTAATAGCTTGGATCGTTTCCGTACCGTCAGGATGTAAAATAGTTTCTGTTGCCACAGGATGGAATAAGTCAGCATTGGGAGTCAGTTGTAATATGAAAGATTGATCATATACTTCAAATTGTAAAACAAAATTATCGTCATGCTGTAAATGACTATGATGTTGTAAAGAAGATCGTTTAATAAAAGAAGAATGTGGACTAGAATGAATTAGTTGAATCGAAGGATTGTTGATAGGTGCTATTTGACCAAGTCGATTTTGTTTGGTAGAAAAAGCTATAATAATAATAAAAAAAAACAGTATTAAAATAATTATTCATTTAGTAAAAAAAAAAAAAAAAAAAAAAAGAAGAATTTTCTTACCATGATTCTTCTGTAAGAGAAGAAGAATGCTTAGCAAGAATAAAGTCCAAAATATAAAGGTCATGATCTTCTTTTTTTTTTGTTAGAATGTATATAACCAAAAAAAAAAAAAAAAAAGAATTCAACGACAATCAATAAAGTAGAATAGAAAGAGTAAACATGGATTTCAAAATGATATTAACAAGAAAAAAAAAAAAAAAAGAAATGTATAAAGATGAAAAGAAAAGAAAAGAAAGAAAAAGAATATCCTTTTTTTTTTCGCTAATAATAAATTTATTATTCAGGGACCGATTCTATCTATTGTTGAAATATCTTTTTTACTTCATCATCCATTTTTATAATAATAAACTATTTTTTATTTTTGTCTATTTTTTTTTTTTTTCATATGATAGTAAAGATGGATCCCGCATCATCAAAAGGAGTCTATATTAATTAAAAAAAGATCACTGCGGTTGGAAACCAAAACATGAGATTACCATATTTGTTACGCTATTATACTTCTTTCAAGTTTCCCTTACTATCTCAATACTGATTGACAGCAGCAGACAATAATATATATTTATACATATCCTTAAAAAAAAAGAAATAGAATTGAAAATAAAGTAACATTATCTTTCTTTATGAAATAAAGTATTATCACTGCTATAATGACAAATATCGAAAAAAGTGGCTACAACATGTCATCCATTCGCTCATCATTAATAATAAAACTTTTTTTAGAAAAGAAAGGTTAGAAACAAAAAGGGCAATCAATTAAAGAATGATATTCTTTTCTAGTTTTTGTAAATCGTTACCTTTTTTCTTTGATTAAAAAGTAAAATCAACTATAAAAAATAATCATTGGAACATATCCAAACATGAAAACCCTTTGATTCTTGTGTAACATATAAAAGAATTTAAAAAAACAAAAAAATTGAATGGTTGCTAGCAGATTCGAACTGCTGACCGTCTGTGTGTTAGACAGACGTGATAACCAACTACACCAAGCGACCATTTTTGGTAATAGACTTGCATGTTCATCGTGCGGGAAAAATGAAAAAAATCATTCAAGTTTATTCATCTTGGCGGTGTAGATGTAAATTTGATATGAAGTTGAACAAAAGGTGAACAAACTTGAATCTTATTATTGTGTACCTTATGTATGATACCGACTGTAGTATAACCGAATATTGACGAAGACGATAATGATGATGCTAGTTGATGTTAATACTGATGATGGATAATTATCTATCAGTTATATGGGAGAGTAGATACTAATAGTAAAAAAAAAAAAAAAAAGGTCCCAAATAAGGAAGCTGGTAAAGATAGAATAGAGTATAGTTTTTATTTAATAATAGTAGACAAGTAACTAGGAATAAGATAATATAAGGTAAAATATACTGTAAATATAATATATATGATAGGTATAAAGAAAAAAAAAACAAGACTAAAAAATAAGGGACAAACAGAAAAAAAAAAAAAAAGTAAAAAAAAAAAAAAAATAGATTCATCTTAAACGTGAAGACAAGATGGAGAGCTTCACCCGCAAGGAGGTAGGTACCAGAGAAGATGGAGAAGGAATTGTCAGTTTCGAAGATTGACTTGTTGCTGAAGAGATTGAACGAGCAGTTTTCTTTGTTGATACCATTGCTGTGTCATTCACACTATCATGGAGAGACCATGTCTTGATAGTTGTCACTTGTTGTGTTTTACCGACATCTTGACTTTCCAACATGATTTCTTGTAAAGCCAATTCCCAGCTTGATTCTTTTCCATTCACCCATTTCTTGACATTAATCAAATCATTAGCAAGAGACCGAATACAATGCGCGTCGTCAGAAGATATCGAACGAAGAACGTTGTATGCCAAAGGGATCCGTTGTATGGTTGTACTTGTTATCTGTTGTTTTGTCGATAATAAAAAGGTAGGAGGATGGTCCAGTCGAATGCCATTGTTGACATCTTGTTTCAAATTGTTTTGTAAAATATGAGCTAATTCTGTATAGAGTCGAGGGACGGCTACTCGCATGCTGACTGACCGAGTGGGCTTGTTGTTGATACAATAACCGCCAAATGTAGGAAGAGGAGGAAGTTGTCGTGATGTTGTTGCTGCAAGTAATGCCTTGTTGATTTCTTCATCCACCATGTTGATAAGCACATCCACTGCTTGCCACCGTGTACTATAGTTTGCACCACAATCAATAGCTATTTTCCCCAAGAGTGAAAGGTGAGGCAGACATTGATGAGCTTGGTTAGGACCACATTCGAAATATGATTGGTCTTGGAAACGTTTCAGTGAAGTGGCTAATTGAGTACCAGGACGAGGTTGAAGTCGCAATGAAAAAATACGCGTTGCTTCCCGATGACCGTGGGGAATAAGTAAGTGTGCTGTGCCGTGTAGTTGGAAAGGATCTAAGTTAAATTCTGTAAAGTCAGGAACATCCTCTTGGTCTAGGCGTAAAGGAGGTAAATCCTTATATATAATAGTTGTCATTGTGTGAACTAAGAAAAAAAAAAAAAAAAGAAAGAAAAGAAAAAAAAGAAAAAGATGCAAAGGAGAAAAATAAAAAGTAAATTGGCCCATTATCAATGATCGTAGCACAAGAAAACTCCGCTGCTCCCGGGTAAAGGGCAAGCATGATTCTTTTGCCTTTATTGAGTAGCCACACCAAACTATAGATACATACATGAAGGGTTACAATAAAACATCATCAAGATAAGTAATATAATAATAGTAATAATAGTAATAATCATAATACTAATAATATACACTTTATTAAGATAGTAAATCACGTAACAAAAGGCTAACTGGTGGTAAAGTAGATGTTTTTGGAGTAGTCGTTGTTGATGATGATGATGATGCAGTTTTGGAAACCTTTTGCTGTTGCTTTGATCGTTTTTCGTCCACAGTCTGTACCCGTTGTCTGAATTGGTAAAAGATGATTTCCGCCCGTTGTAGAGTTTCTTGAATATCCATCGTCAATGCCAGATCATTGATATACTATACATATATAAGTATTTAAATCAATTTAAATTTTTTTTTTTTTTTGCATTATAATATACCTTTAGTATTTCATCAAAGTTTTTCAAGTAATCGATAATAAAATCACGGTGCTAATATATATATAAAGACGAGGGAGTCAATTCAAAGTACGAGTATAAATATATATATATATATAATATTTACCTGATCAAGAATAGAGAGAGCGACAAAAAGATGAAATTGATTCGACAAATAGTTGGTCCATAGCACTTCCCATAGAGTCAAGGTATCATTCCAAGTAAATTCTCTTTTAAACCAAACCAATAACCAACGGAAACAAAAGAATAGATTGTAACTATCTGTACGTTGTAAATGTTTATAAAGTTGAGGATCCATAAATTGCAAGAGTTCATCCATTGTCAATAGTTGTTTATGCATGCCAGATTGATCCATAAAAAAGTTGGTCTTCTACAAAACAATAGAGTCAGTATAAAATTATAATTATATTATTATTATTTTACCGTTCTGTCCATAAATCCAACGAATGCCCAAAAAGCAAGAGCATCATCATTAATAGTAGCGTACAAGGGAGATAACAAATCAGACATGCCCTGAACATAACCCAAATCCTCATTATAAACATTATAAGCACATAAAATTTCTTTCAATATTTCCAAATTTGCGTTTGTTCCAATATTCACCATGGGATCAGGATTTGGGAGATCTTCTTTTGAATAGAAAGGTGTTGTTCTATCCGTGCGATGTACGTCTTTATCTATGTTGAAGAAACAAGAATTACTTTGTTAAATTCAATTTTTTCCTTCGTCTTCTTCTTTTGTTCATACCGATTCGATGCTTTTGATCTTGATAATGCGCATTTTCTTTGACTTTTTCATTCCATTTTGTTTTCAATTCTTGATATAACTTCCTACAAGTAAAAAAAAAAAAAAAAAAATCAGAATGAAAGAAAAAAAAAGAGTCTTATTAGTGTACCTCTTTTCATCAACGAGTTTTTCAAGATCAGCTTTTGTTGAATCCCAAGGATAAACGCCTAACAAGAATAGCCATGCTTCTTTACGTATAGTAGGATCTAATCCACCACGGAATATACTTTCCAATACAAAAGGTTCACCAACAGATAATTTTCCAGTATGATCAAAAAATGATTTCCAATGATCAAGAGTGATTGGTTTTGTTCTGGTATGTGTTGGAATGGACATATCATTTTCAGACTATGTATAACATAAAAAAAAAAAAAAAGGTAAGTATAGATCGAATTCATAAAGATGACTTACATTTAGTATTTCAAAAGAACCAAGAGCAGTATCTTCTTGTTCCCATTCTCCGTGATGACCCCATAATCCTACATGTCGATATCGGTGTTCTTCAGATAAGTTTTGACTTGATTGAGCTGCAAGACCTGCGGCCCATTTTGCTAAAAAGATACGGGCTGAATCATAATCATCCATAGTTTGTCGAACATTGTCATTATCTTGATATCTTGATAGGACAGAATTTGATACTTGACTTTGTTGTAAAATAGAAGCAGCTGTATTTCTTGAGAATTTAGTCACTCTGGATAATTTTTCGAATAATCCCCATTTCATTTCCTTCAGTGACTAAATATTTAATATAATAAAATGAATATAAACAATTTCATGAATATCATATCTACTTACAGCTATTAGTGGATCCATTTGTGTCATTTCATATGCTTGTGGTTTTGAAGTGGATGAATTTTTTCCTTTCCTTATATAATATAATGTTGTATCTTTTTCAGAGCTAATAATAATGATAATAATAAAATGAGTATAAATATAATTTTTCTTTTTTAAAAAAAAAGAAGAAGATAAAAAAACTTACATTTCAATAGGTACCAATGAACAAAGTCGTTCCATAAATTCATCACCACCCCATCGAGTTTGTTGCCGCTGTTCGTCACAAGACCATTTTCCACCTTGAGTATTTTTTTGAAGTACGGTACTATTACTTTCGTCATCATGAAACCAAAAAGGAGTAGAAGAGTGACCATTTTTAAAGTTGAATATAATACTTCCATACCATTTTGTAAAGGAAGGAGGTCGAACGACTATTGAGTGTATATCTTGAAGAGGAGTAGATAATGCATACTTTGAATGATGTTCAAATCCAGCAGAATGGACCATAATAGTGGAAACTACATATATATAAATATAGAATAAGAAGAAGAAGAAGAAGAAGATTATATAATAATATGACAAACAAAACCTTGTTCGTTTTCTTCAGGATGACTATCAACTTGTACATAAGCTTCTAGGTCTTCAGAAGGAATCAATATTTCAGGAGTCCAAGAAATCAAAAGTAAATTTTCAGGTATTTGTTTTTCGACAATAGAAATATATCCTGGTATAAAAGTTTGACTATTAGCAGAAGGATGAACATAAACTTTTGATTTTGAAAATAAAAGTTTAAGTGGTTTTTCTGATATGATTGAAGGAGAAGGGTCAGTGACAAGAGTTGGATCGTTAATAAACTATATTGAAAATATTAGTATAAATAATATTTCTTTTAAATTATTATTAAAAACTTACAGCGTAATCTTCTTTTTGCATAATATTATATAAAAGAAAAAGAAAAGGGAAATAGAGAAGAAGAAGAGAAGTGGTAGCATCTTTCTTTTTTTTTTTTGTCAAATTGATTCCCCGCGCATTGCTGGTGTCGGGTCACAAGAAAATGCTTTTCGTGATGTTATACCATTGGTCTTTCCCGAAATGGATGTCGCATTACCACTTTTTCAGATATTGCTCTAAGAGATGTCGGTAGAGTATGTCAAAACACGTTGATTGATGATTGATGATTGATGATTGATGATTGATTGTGTCAGCAGGTGAGTTGATTCTTTTCAACAGGCCATATTTGGAAAAAAAAGAATTATATTTTTTTATATTGTATCATCATCATCATAATCTTCAGAGTTAAGTCAGGGGTATACTAATGTAATATTCATATCTTGTGATGTTGATGTGAATTTGCATAATAGTTCCTTTCTTTTTTTTTAAAAAAAAAACATTTACTCTGGTCTTCTTTGTTTATTTTCATTAACTGAGACATTCGATCGATCACCTTTTGTATAGTTGACAAATGTAAATTTGCATAATAATTCTTTTTATTTCTTCTGAGGTATTTTTGCCAGGTTTATTTTATTCCTTGATCAAGTGAGAGATATAAAAAAGTGATATTTTATTCTTCTTTTTTTTTTTTTCTGTTTCTCTTTTTTTTTCTCTTTTTCTTTTAATTTCTTTATCTATTTTGGATTATTGACGCTAGTATTTTTTTATAGATCTCCAGGATTTGCTTTATCATTGGTTCCATCAACGAAGTAGAAGAAAAGCTAGCTGGATCAATGGATATCCGTTTGTTTGAACACAAATCACAAGGTAGGATCAATTACTATACATCATCAGTGGAGACCAAAAAAAAAAAAAAAAAAAGGACAATGGATATTAATGAATGCAATCATTTTCAATTTATCTAGTTGGTCAAGGAAAGCTCACCTGTTCTCCAGGATTTTTATTGTGATCAAAAATACAATCAGCGGTGGAAACGAACAGCAGTTATATACAGCGAAAAGGGAACACATGTAGTCATCAAGCATCACCAACGACAAGTAAAAGAAGAACCTGGACAAAGGCTACATTATACTTTTATGGAAAGGTGGGCCGTGGCAAAAGCTCATATATTGGTGGATTTTTACGAAGACATCATGGACCTTTATTACAAGCACTTGATCTCTTCTCATCCTGGACTGGTTGAAGATGGATATATCATACCTCTGACATGAAGAGAGTTGGTAAGTTAAAAAAAAAAAAATGAAAAACAGACACCCTAGAAATGATTGGCCATTGTTTTTTTTTTTTTTTTTTTTTTTTGGTAGGAATAGGAACCTCCTACTGATGTGATCTCATAGTTATTGTTGTCATCAAGGCTCCCCCCTCTCTCTATCTTATCTTTCATTGAATAAAAACTTACTTTCTTTTTATATATATATATGTAAATCTATTTTATATATGTAACAATAGGAGAGATCAATCCAAAAAGAGGAAAAATGACTCTTTTGTGTTATTTATTAATATATGAAAAATGCCAAGGAAAGACCATCACTAATTTGGATGGTTGAAAAAAAGATCATCCTGTATCACTTCAACTCAATCATAATCGGAGTAACAATCTCTCAAATAAACACCTATTTTCTTTTATTTTTTTTTTTTTATTATTATTATTTTCTGTACACTAAATATCTTTTTTTTTTCTTCTTTTTTTTTTTTTTCTTTTTATTATTTTTATTTCAATAATGTTATTATTTCATACAAATCCAAGAAAAAGATCAACTTTGATAGCTATTACTATCTTATCTATATTAGTTATTTGTATTCAACTTATTCCATATGAATATGATTCTCTATCTTTATCAAATAACATCTTGAATTGGACTGTTACTACTACTACTACAAATGATGACATAGTAAAAGAAGAAAAATTCCTTACTTATTTACCTTATTCAAGATTCTCAAATCAACGTGGTACTTTATTAAATGCTGCTTTATTAGCAAAATATTTGGATAGAACACTGGTGGTTCCTCCCATGTTTTTAGGTTATGCTAATGGTTGGTCTCCTGGTCCTTTACTCTATCCTATTTTAGAACATATGACTGATCCTCGATTACAAGATAAATGTTTTGATGAACAAGGTCAACTTTTACCTGATGAACCAAATCCACCTGAAGAACCTTATTTATTGGGTTGTTCCAATTTTACTGCTTATGCTATGGTACCTTGGAGTTCAGTAACTGATTTGAATCTTTTAACTCGACCTGAAGAAAAAGGTGGACTTGGTATCAAGATTATTGAACGCTCAGATATGTCTCTTACTACATTAAAACAACAATTAAATTTGAAAGATGAAAATGATATGCTTCTTATGAAGGATTCTACGGTAAATAATAAAATAAAATAAAAAAAGATGATTTCTCCCAATTTTACTTATATCTCCTTATTTTTTTTTTTATTTTATTTTATATAGCGATATCAATGGCATTTTTATCAAGATGATGGTGAACCTTTGGTACCCAATCCACGTTATCTCAACGAAGTATCATTAGATCAACTAAACGAATATCAACATCGATTAATACATTTTTATGGTATATTTGGATTTGATCGAATTCGATTAACAACACCTGAAAGTGAAGAATATAGGCTAAGAATACAACAAGCACTCCTTTTCAGTCACCCCTCTATCATGGACGCATCATCCATTATTCTTGAACAATTATTAGATGGATTAGTCAAAGATAAGACGGATATTATACCACTGGATTCAAGTCAAGCTCAAGATCAAGCTTCTTCTAACAAAATTTTACCTCGATTTGTGGCTGCTCATGTACGTGCTGGTGACGCGGATTTCTTGAAAGGATTAAAGGATCGTGTACCCGAATTTGTATATCAAATTTGGGATATTATGACTGGAAATGAAACTATGGTGAATGATTTAATTGGAAATACAAATAACAAATTGATGAACAATACAAAACAACAACATGATAGACCATTACCCAAAGCACCTACTTCTATTAGAAAACAATTAGCACATTTGAATCTGCAGGATCGGCTTAAAAGGTGCACAGCTTTAGAACAAATGATATTATATGTTGCTACGGACGCCCCATCACCAAGAACCAACGCGGATTTAGCTCCTATTTTTGATGCATTTCCTTGTACTTTTGTTATGGATGATTTCGATCGAACTTGGTATGAACCTCTTACTACTATCAAATCTTCTTTGGATCCTCATAAACCTTTAGCTGATCATCTGGTTATGTTTGTGGATGCTACTGTATGTGCATGGGCTGAAAGATTTGTTGGTACTAGAACTTCTACTTTTTCAGTAAGTATATTATTATTATTATTATTATTATATATTTAAATGATTCTCATTAACTTTTTTTTTTCCTATTTAGAATTATATTATTCAATATCGTCATTCTATTGTGGATCGAATTATTGAAAAAGAAGGTCTCGATTCATAGTTCATATATATATATATATTTTGTACATAGAAAAGAATTTCACTTTTTTTTTTTTGTTAGTTATTTATACATTTTTTTTTTATATGACCAATAAAAGAAATATCTTATCTCTCACTATTGAATTCCCAGCATATGATAGATGAAGTTTTCTTTTATATAATATACGTTTTTAACGGTTTAAAAATATTACTGGTTTTTTCCTTATGGATTGCATTTATCTTCTTCTTTTCTGTGCTATGATTAGAAACTTTTTTACATCAGTGTTCGAACATACTTGGTGTTCCAATTTGATTTTCCCTCGCTCTCAAATTTATTTTTTCTTGGTCTATTTTTTTTACTCTCTGTCTCAATTTAAAGTGAATAAACGGTATAGCATGCTCCATTCCCTTGAAAACTTGTGAATCAAACTCAGCATAAGTTCTTCCTGTTCGTGCAACCATTGCCTATAAATATTCAATCTTTTTTTTTTTTTTCTTTTTACGTTCTTTTCTCCTTTTTTTTTTTCTCTTCCCCTCCTCTTTTTTTCTTTTCTTTTTTCTTTCATTCTTTCTTTTTATTTGTATATAAAATGACAGAAATGGTGTTGAACGAAGGGATTCCTCGTAATCCCAATGATATTGCTGCTCTCTTCAATCAACTTCAAGTTACTGTAGATCAGGCACAACAAAAATCACGTCTTTTGGATAATACATCTTCACGTCCGTCTTCCCTTACTTCCATATCAAATATACAACAAGAACAACAAAAGCGAACTTCTATATCTTCTACCACCAGCAAAACTACTGCTACCACTACTACTATTACCCCAAACTCTTCACTTATGACTTGCCCATGTCATCATTGGTTAGTTTCTATGGATTCTGAACACTGTGCAATATGTGATGCTCCTAATCAAGTTATGACTGCCTGGCAAAACGAACGCATCGAACGATCCAAGGTAGTCAGGGCACATCGAAGACAATTGATGGATATGACAGCAACTCAAGATCAACAACAAAATGATATGATGTTATTACAAAAAACCATTCTGGAACATCGTGAAAGTTTGATGACTCGTGACGACGACATATTATCCTTGCAATACGATATTGAACAACTTCAAACTAAATATAACGACGAAAGTGCACAAATAGAAGCCATCGAGATCTCAAAGCAAGCTGCCAAAAGGGAAATCGAGGAGTTGGGTCAACATTTATTTAAAGAAGCTCGTGATATGGTGGCTACAGAACAACAAGAAAAAATGGCATTACAATCCTCATGCGATGATCTGAAACAACAATTGGAACAAACTCAGTTAGATTTGGATCAAGTCACTGTTGATTTACAAGCTCTTCGAATGGATATGGGTAGATGGGGTGATCAACAAGACGAACAACGAATTTTACCGCACATCATCACGTCTTCCAATCATACTGAAAACGACATTGTCAATGATAACACACATATCAACAACGAAAGAACAAGTACAACTACAGCAACAACAACAACATCTTCTTCCTCGTCATGTTCTTCTGTCAGTACGCCAACGTCAAGTCATATGTTGGACAACTCCTCCACCATACTTCCTTCAGTAATACCAACTACCTCGCAAAAATTCCTGATTCGAGCCAAAATGGATCTTGCAGCTTTACAAGAAGATCAATACTTTTTGGATGAAAATTTACAACTAGAAACCTTTGAAGATGATCAACAACTCACAGATTTTCGAGAATTTATGGACAGCGCTACTTCAACGACCTTTTCATTACGCAAATTACATGGATTACCGTTTATCAAGTTGTGTGTGGCTGACGATATAGAACCATGCCTTCGTTTTGGTCCTCATCCCAAGATGACAAATAGCAAGAAAATTTTGGAAGCCATTCAAATCAAAACATGTTTTGTAGAAAAGTGTCCTCCAGGATTTGTACGAGAACAAGCAGCCATATTACGAAAAGAACGATTAGCGAAAAAGGCCAAACCAAGTTTATGGGACAAATTTTCTGTGACTACATCATTATCGACTCCATCATCATCATCATCATCATCACCGTTATCCTCGCCATTATCATCATCATCAACAACAACTACAACTTCACCAGCAAGATCTTCAGATGAAGCTACTATGTCACCTACTATTTTGGACCAACGTCATTATATGTCATGTAGTACTTGTGGACGTCGTGTTTTGGACAATGAAGAAGATCCTTCCATCATGGAGAAAGAATTAGGTTTTCGATTTAGAATCTCTTATTTTGATGAATGGGCTTGTATTGATCGATATTGTGCTGATCGTTTGAATTCTGTGATTGCTTTTTATACCTTTTTACGACAATTGCGACTGGGCCATTACAAAGACCGCTCTTTGATGGATGTTTATCAAGAATGCTCTCGATTACGTCTCGTGATGTTTTTGAGTCGGTAAGTTTCTTTCTTTTTCAAGAAATTGTTGAATATTATGTTATTGACATTTTTTTTTTTTTTTTTTTTTTTTTTTTTTTTTTTTTTTTTTAGATTGGGTGCCCTACCTCCTCCTATTTAAAAAAATACTACTTTTATTAGTTAAGTTCATTAGTGGCTTCCGTATTCCCCGCTCCATTTCTGGTGATGATTCCTCCTATTTATTATGATAGTTATCTTTTTTTTTTTTATTTTGAATAAACATTTGATGTAGAACATTTTTACAAATATAACAAAGAAAATCAGGCCATTTGAAAAATGAATAATAATAACAAAAAGGGAATTCACTTTTACAATAGTAGTAACAACCCCGCCATCCAGTTCTTCCTTCCCCACCAATGAAAATTTTTTTTTTCTTATTCCCAATTTTCCTGCCAGTAAGGGCGGATATAAACAAAAACGGTATGTGATCACTATTTTTTTTTTTCTACTCTTCTTTCTTTTCCTTTTTTTTTTATATACCAACGGAAAAAGAATCATCATCTTCTTCTTTTGATTTTCTCTCTTTTTTTTTAAAAAAAAATTAAACCATGGAGAACAAACAAGAAGAGGATCGAACAATTGGACAAGTAATAAGAAGAGCATCAGTGGCTTCTTGTAGTAATGACAGGAATCATGACAGCCTTGTCATGGACATGGAGAAAACAACGGATCATCATTTGAATGAAAAGTTGACTATTGTTGATTCAGACAAGACAGTGGAAGAAGATCAGAAAAAAGAAAAGCTTTGTCATGATATCGAAGAATACAATCCTCAAGAACAAAATAATCAATCTTTTAGTGTGATTTATACTCGTCATCGACGTTGGTTCCAGTAAGGTTTTTTTTTTTTTGTTTGTCATACAGAAATGTCAACATTGCATTTTTTTTTTTTATAGTTTGACCATGTGGTTGATCTTCACAGGGTTCTTAGCTGCTGCCTATGCACTTCAAGTACCAAAAGGATATAATCAAGAAAATTTAATTCTTGGATTGATTTATGCTTGGTTTACTTTGTATATGATCTTTAATTATATCCCCACTTCCGTGGTCACCAAGCCTTGTGGTATGATGATTCATATCGTCTCGTCTCCCTTGATGCGTCTTTCTTCTTTCGTCCGTTCCCTTCTCTATGTAGCCTTGGTCACTGTCGTGATGGTCGTCACTGTCTTTTCTTTACCTGAAAAACCTGAATCCACTCGTATACAACGTGTCATCAGTCTTTTTGGGATGGGTGTTTTCATCGGTCTATTGGTATTAACTTCAAAGGTAAAAAAAAAATTTAGGCCGTGGGAATGGCGGGCGATAAAAAAAAGGTCTCCACACTTTTTTTTTTCTTTGTCTTTTCTTTTCTTCTCCTCTTTCCTCAACTCTTTTTTTTTTTGACCATCATGTTATTAGAATCGTCGTGCTATTAATTGGAATACCATTTCAGGTGCCATGTTACTTCAATTCTTGTTAGCCTTATTTGTATTCCGTTCCAGTGCTGGTCATGATATTTTTTCTTGGGCTAGTCAATTTGCACAAGGTTACCTTAGTAAGGCTCATTATGGTACTTCTTTTGTTTTTGGTGATACTGTGGCCAACGCCAGTGCATTCGCTGTCTCTGTTTTCCCTGCTCTCATCTTTTTTGCTGCTACTGTTCAAATCTTGTATTACTTTGGTGCTTTACAATGGCTATTGAGTAAATGCTCCTTTTTGTTTACTTCTCTTCTTGGTATTTCTGGTGCTGAAGCTGTGGTTGCTGTGGCATCGGTAAAAGTTTGAATTAATGTCTCTATTTTGAGACTCATCATATATTTTTTTTATTATATATAGCCTTTCTTGGGTCAAGGTGAAAACGCTTTACTTATCAAACCTTACTTACCAGTGTTAACCGATGCTGAAATGCATCAAGTCATGACAAGTGGATTTGCTACTATTAGTGGATCTGTACTTTATGGTTATATTTCTTTGGGAATTGCAGGCGATTCTTTGTTGGTAAAAAAAAAAAAAAAAAAAAGAACTAATTTAATAGATAGATGGTATTCATTATTTTTTTTTTTTTTTGTAGACGTCTTGTATCATGTCCATTCCTTGTTCCATTGCTGTGTCTAAACTTCGATACCCTGAAACAGAAGAACCTGTGACTATGAACAGTATCCAAGTCCCTGAAGAAGAAGAAAAGGCCAACAATATTCTGGATGCGGCGGCAAAAGGTGCTGGTATTGGTGTGACTATTGTTCTATCGATGGCTGCCAATTTGATCACTTTACTAGCTTTACTTTACGCTGTCAATGCAGGTCTTACTTGGATTGGTAATTTCTTGACCATTGAAAATTTGACCTTACAGCTTATTACTGGTTATATCTTTGTTCCTGTAAGTTGAATCGATGATGATAACATCATGAATATATCTAACTCCTTTTATATATATATATATGAAATAGATTGCTTGGTTGATGGGTATTGAAAATTCGGAAGTGGTACCTGTGGGTCAGTTACTTGCTTTGAAGATTTGGGCCAATGAATTTGTTGCTTATCAAGAACTAATTACTACTTACAAAGATGTTCTCTCTGATCGGTCTAAATTGATTGTCACTTATGCTTTATGTGGTTTTGCCAATCTTGGTTCTATTGGTTTACAAGTCAGTGTATTGGGAGGTCTTGCCAAATCTCGTACTGGTACGATTTCATCCTTGGCCGTGTCTTCTATGCTTTGTGGTGCAATGTAAGAATAACAAAAAAGAGTTTTTTTTTTTTTGATATTGACTTTTTTTTTAACTTAGGTCTACTTGGATTTCTGCTTGCTTGGCTGGTATGCTTTTGTAAATAGTATGTAATTTATCCCTCTTCCTTTCACCTTATTCTATCAGTTTCTCCTTTCACTTCATTATATTTAGATTTAGTTTTTTCCTTTTTTTTTTGATATTTATAAACAAAAAAGTCATTACTCTTTATTCTGTATTACTAGAAAATCTTACAATAGATCATCAATAGCTGGAAAAAGAAGGATATGATGTGCACTTGTTGTTAAGATATCAGTTAAGCTTGAATTTTAGGTACTCATTCATGAAATTGGAAATATCATGTCAATTAGGATGGATGATCTTTTTTTTAATTTTCTCTATAAATACAATACTAGTATGTAAGACAAATTCAAGAAAATAATGCGTTTTATATTGTGTTCAAATTTAGTATGATGATTGAGCGAGGAAGGGAAGGACAAATTTTTTTTTACAAGCTTGTATGCAAGATGAAAAAACAGGATAACTTTTTGCATTTTACAGCCAACATTTTCGAATTCCTCAGCGAAATTTTGGCTGTAAAACTCAATTGTCAGGGGGTTGCCAGGCGATTTTTAAAAAAAATCGATGAAATTCTTTTGTATTCGTTGTACATTAGGTGACAAGGTAAGCGATAAAATGGCATTAGATGATGTTAAACTACTTTTTTAAGAGGAATCCAATGGTGGCAGTTGTGTTGGATGATGATCACTATTGGAGGAGGGATGGTGATATTGATATTTCACTCTATAAAATTGGGAAATATTAGGCATATATATACAGTAAAAAGATGATGAATAGATGAGTAAATCAAAGAGAGGAATAAACTTTAAAAATTCAGATGTTGCCCTTTGATGCTGACTTTTTTTTTGCATAAGATTCTTCTGTAGGGAGAAAACGGTGGTCACGACCTGAGTCAAAATTTTTCATCACCTGAAATTCTTACTTTGGAGCGTTTCCGTAGTTCTATTTTTTTTTCTTTTTTTTTTTTTTTTTTTTTTTTTTGATATTGAAAACCATGCCACCAAAGAGTAAACGACCACCACAACAACAACAACATGGAGACGATGAAGTAGAAGAACCTTTTCAAGCTGTTATTTTGACAGATAGTTATGATGATAGATTTCTTCCCATTTCTCACGAACTTCCAAAGGTAAAAAAAAAGAGGATAGCTGTCATAATAATACTTATGGTTTTCTTTTTTTTTCATTTTTCTTTTAGTGTCTTATGCATCTTTGCAATATTCCTTTGATTGAATATACATTGGAAGTATTAGCGATAACTGATGTACGAGACGTTTTCATTGTTTGTACTTCTCATATCGATAAGATCAAGGCATACCTTGAGTAAGTTGACTTTTTGTATCAGATCCAATAGAATAACTTACCCATTTTTTTTGTCTTGTTGTTATATAGACAAACCAACTGGATGAATCCCAAAGGAAAACTCAATATCAAAATTGTACAAACACCAGATGCTATGTCTGTTGGTGATGCTTTACGTGAATTGGATGCTCGACAACTTATTACGAATGATTTTATTTTGACCACAGGTGATCTGGTATCCAATATTAAACTCGACAAAGCCATTGAAGCTCATCGTGCACGAAAAAAGACAGATAAGAATGCGATCATGACAATGGTATTGAAAGAAGCGGCACGTAGTCACGCATCAAGGTAAAGAAAAGATATCTTTATTTTTTTTTGTACACTTCATGATTTTTTTTTTCAACTAGACCCCAAGAAGCTTCCAGTGTATTTGTATTGGATCCTCAATCAAGTAAATGTTTATTTTATGAACCTGTGGCTGCCTTACCCAAGAAAAGTCGAATTGAAATCTCTCCTGAAGTGTTGGAAAATCATCACCAAATTGAATTTAGAAATGATCTTGTAGATCCTCGTGTGGATATTTGTTCAGTAGAAGTAAGTTTAATAGGAAGGGAATGTATTCATGTTATTGATTTTTTTTTTTATTGAATAGGTGCCAGCATTATTTACAGAGAACTTTGATTGGCAACGATTACGTAGGGACTTTGTACATGGTATCTTGACATCAGATATTTTGGGCAAAACTATTTATACACATCTTGTCTCCGAAGCTTATATTGCACATATTCAAAACGAAAGGATTTATAATACTGTTAGGTAAGAAATAAGATCAGAAAAATAAAGAACAAAAATAGACTAATGTTTTTTTTTCCCTAGTATGCATGTTCTCAATCGTTGGGTATTCCCTATTGTACCAGAAACTAATCTTAAATCCGGTGATGATTATGAATTCATGAGTGGCAATATTTATAAATCTCGGGATGTGATATTATCAAGATCATGCATTGTGGATGAAAACGTTCAAATTGGAGCTGGCACTGTGATTGGTGAAAACTCTCGTGTAGCTCAATCTACGATTGGACGCAATTGTCGTATTGGAGCCAATGTTACTTTGGTGGGTGTCTATCTGTGGGATGGTGTAGTGATTGGTGATAATTGTACAGTGATAAACTCTATTTTGGCAAACAATGTATCCATCTTGGAAAATACCACCATCGGAAAAGGATGTTTACTCTCATCAAATGTAAGTCATATATATGAAAAAATATAAATGTACATACTAATCACTTTTTTTTAAAGGTGGTGATTGGACCCAATGATAATATTCCAAAATATTCAAGGCTCAGCTTACTTCCTCAACCTAAAACCAGTATGTTTGATAGTGAAGATGAAGATCAAGATGAAAAGGATGGTATGTTTTTTTTTCTAATCTATCTTGTCAATATTAACTCCCTCTCTTTTTTTTTTTTTTCAAAAATAAATATAGATGGTGAACGTGTCTTGACAGGTGATCATGAACCTGTTTATTTTTGGAGTGAAATTGCCAATGATGATGATGATATAGATATTCGAAATTTGAAACTGGATACTCTTGGTAAGACCAATAATAATAATAATAATAAAAAAGGGACATTATTACTATAATACTAACTGTTATATTTAGCTTATGACATCAATGATCTTGTACTTGAAGATCATGAATTGTCAGAAAGTGCATCTGAAGTGGGAGAATTATCGGATGAAGAGTCAGATGCTGATTCCATTGATGGTGCCTGGAATTTGAATCCATCTGCCAACGCAGCTAAGAAATCCGCCGAATTCAAGAAAGAAATTGCATTGACCATTGAACGTTCACTTGCCGAAAATCATACAGTAGATACAGCAGCTTTGGAAATCACTGGATTACGTATGTCAAGTAATGGTGAATATTCTGATGTACGAGAAGTCGTTGTACCATTGGTCGTAGATCATGTTGATTTGAATAACCCTGTAACAAGTCTGAAAAAGGTATTTACTCAATGGGGTCCTTTGATTGGCAAGGTGACACATAAACATGATGATCAAGTCCATGTTATTTCTCTTCTTCAGGTAAATAGAAATATATAAATATATTATTATGATATTCATCTTTTTTTTTTTTTTTTTTTTTTTTATGATAGAAACATTGTGCTTCCAATGAAGCCTTAGGCAAACTCTTTATGGGTGCTCTTCAAATCTTATACAATATCGATGTCATAGAAGAAGAAGCGGTCATGGAATGGTATACATCTGATATATCAAAATCTGGTAGTCCAACTGAGATCAAGTTACGGGAAAAGGCAACCAAGTTTGTGGAATGGCTTACAGAAGCTGAAGAAGAATCTGAAGAAGAGAGTGATGATGAATGATTATCCTAATGGGTTAGAACATACTTTTTTTTTGTTAGTTTAGATCATTGTTAGAGTAGATGTTGTTTGATTTTTTTTTTTAATAAACATATATACTTTCTTCCTAATATTTCGTATAATATAAAATAATGGGATGCACTTCTGATCGATCGAAACAGTTTAAATTTTTCATGCTGAGAATGTGGATACCTCGATTCATCCAATGGATTTATCTTTATTCAAAGTCAGTTTTTTTCATGTCAGAGGAAAACATTTTCCAGCAACTCTTTTTTTTTTTTTTTTTTTTTACTCTTTTTACTTTCTTTATCATACCATCATGTCAGAGGATCTAGATCCTTTTGAATGTCGACTTCAGTTTATATCTTTATTAAAGAAACTCAATGCTTCACAACAATCCATTCAAAAAACAGCTCGTTACGCAGTTCGGCATCGACAATTATCTGAAGATTTATATAGTTGTTTCTTGGAAGAAATAGAAAATGTAAAGTAGGAACAATGTTAGTATTTTTTTTTTTTGACTCAACTTTTTTTTTTTATCATGTTAGACTTCTCTTAATGCAAGATTAAATCTTCTTTATGTATTAGACTGTATTTTTTCTATGAGTCGAAAAGTACAGTTCATGGGATATATTGATCTGACTCAACCCAATGTATTAAGGATCATCAATGCAGTTGCTCTCTCAAGTAGTAAAGGTATTGTCAATGTGTCCAGCACGAGAAAGGTAAGTCTAATATAATATTTGAAAGCGTGTGTGTTTTAATATTGTATTGATATATATATATATATATATTTCTTTTCATATAGTTATTATCTCATTGGAAGGAAAAACAATATTTCGATAATGAAACAATAGAAACAGCACAACAAGCTCTTATATCTTATGGTGACAGGTGAAAAAAAAAGAGAATCAAGGGATGATAAGCCTTTAGACCATCAAAATTGATCTTCTCTCTCTTTTTTTTTTTTATAGCTTATCGCAGACAAAACGTCAAGACAATGGCAATGTATTCACAAAGGCAGATATACTGAATAGAATGGAACAAGATCGAGAAAGGGTATTAAGAAGAAAATATGTTTTCATAATGATTGATAGATCGGCTAATAGTTTTTTTTTTTTTTTTTTTTTATTTATTTATCTAGCATAAACGTTTACGGGAAGAAATGTGGCGGCGGTCAACGGAAGAATCTTCAGACGCAGATTTTGAACAACTTTGGCAAACTACGGATGGATTCGATGCAAAGATAGATGGACCTGATTTAATGCAACAAAATAAATTATACCTTCCTCATTACCCATGGGATTCTTTATTATTATAATGTTTATATTATTATTATTTTTTACTTGACATAATAAAAAGCGAAAAGACATGATCTATTTGAAATATATATATATTATTTTGTTACTTGACTATTTTGGGGTTATTATTTTGATTGAATAACATCAACGTTTCAGTACATGGGGGTGTTTCTATGCTTGTCATCTATTAGATTACCTTATTGGGTCATTACTTGTTCAGCCAAACATTTTTCCATTTTGTGTACGGTTCTGGAAAAAGATTTCTCCTTTTTCATCTGAAGAGTGGGTCAGCTTGTATGACCTTACCACTCATTCAATATAACATTCTCCCGATTTGTCATCCGTGATGGCTAAATCATTTTTTTTTTTTAATCATAAAAAAAAAAAAAAGAAAGAATTCAAAGAGATCAACTCATTTTATTTTCTTTCTTTTTCTTCTTTTTTCCTTACATAAACATTTTGATTCTTTTTTTTTTTTGTTTTACTTTTTGATTTGAAGCATGATATCGTTACCATCACATGTTGGTGCTGACTTAAAAATCAATTTGGAAACAGATCATATTATTCTCCATGGTTCTCCAGATGAAGCGGCTGGTGTCATACTTCATGGATCTGTTGTTTTGAATTGTCATGAACATATCAAAGTCAAGGGCTTTAGTCTCAAGTTTTCTGGGATCATCCATGTACATTGGGTAGAAGGTAAAGAATGGATTGAACGAATATGTTGTTATTTATTTTATTTTATTTTATTTTTTTTTTTTTAAAAAAAAACAAGGATCATCATCACAACGACATTATAAAGAAAAAAAGGTGATCATGGAACAAGAATGGCAATTTCTTCCACGGCACAAGATACATCATTATGACAAGGGGGAACATCATTATGATTTTGAACTTGCTCTTCCTGGTCATCTCCCAGCCACGTTTCATCATGACATTGGGATGCTTGTGTATGAATTCAAAGCACAGGTGGATCGACCCACCTTCATGACCAATTACAGCGCCACGCGTGAACTCCGCCTGGTACGCACGCCTCAACTGAACTCAGCCTTGTTACAACAATCTCAAGAGATTGACAATGTGTGGGCTAATAAACTCGCTTATCACATTCATGTGCCAAGTCAAGTGTATTGGACCGATGCCTCCATCCCTGTCACTTTTCGCCTCACTCCTTTGATGGATCATCTCCATATCAAGTCTATCCATATGGTGCTCAAAGAATATACTCGTTTTCATGCCGATGGTCATCGTAGTGTAGAACGCAAGGATTTGAATACTTTATGCGATTTACATTTTTTCCATGGTGCAATTGTTGATACTGATCATCATGCAAGACAATCCTGGTCTAAAACTGAAATCATCAAGGTGCCTGTCAATCAACCATACAACCATAACAACAATAAACATCATCATCATCATCATCCTGTTGATCTTGTGCATCCTGATAATCAAGGTGATTTTATCCAGACTTCTCACAAGTTGAAAGTAGTCGTTTCATTATTAAATCCTGATGGTCATGTCTCTGGTAAGTTTTTTTTTTTTTTTATGATATTGTTCTCTTTCTTATTCTTTTTTTTTATGGATGATCATAGAGCTTCGTGTATCCATTCCTATCGTTATCATTGAAATGGTACCTGAAGAAGACATCAGTGTCTTACCTGCTTATGAAGATGCTTGGCGAACAGCTCCTTATTTTCCTCCAAATGATTTGACTTCTGTTGAATCATCATCATCATCATTATCGTCATCATCATCAAACAATACCAATCGTCATTCATGCGCCATGTCAACCGCCTTTTCTCTGCAAGAGGATGATTCATATGAACAACAAGAATTAGATCCTTTACCTTGGATGGGCGTTGATCTCACAAGAGTGCCTTCTTATACCACAGCATTACGAACTGGTCGATTATATAGTTATTCTGGCCATTCTTTACCTAGTTATGATTCTCTGACGTTACCCATTGCCACAGGTACTGCCATTTAAATATATATTCTTTTTTTTTCCTTTTTTTGTATATAACTATTTATAGATTGATATATTTTTATATTGTTTCTACATTTTATATAATAAAGTGTATATTGTATTGTATATGATCCCTTATTTGTCAATAAACAATGACATGTTGATTCTATATAAAGATAGAGTTGACCCTATCACTATGCAGTTCATTATCAAAGATTGCGTATACTAGTTTTATTATGATCACAAAAATAAACAATAATAATAAAGTATATCTAACGAAACACAAGGATATCTATAACAACAAAAAAAAAAAAAAAAGGAGGAAGCATCTAAACTGGAGCACGTACTATCATCTTAAATCCATAATTTCCATCTGGCCGCTTTTTTCTTCTTCGTAGATTTGATAGATCTTGCTCGTTTCCCAGTTTCCCAATCATCGAACCATACACCAAAAATCCCAATCACAGGTAAATGATCACTTGCTCCCATCTAAAAAAAAAAAAAAAAAAAAAAAGAGATGAATGAAAACAATCAGATGACAAATGCTTTGCATCTTTTTTTTTTTTTTTTGAGGAAGATGACTTACCAAACGTGGATCCATGACGGTATCATAATGATAACAAATAGTATTCTTGTCAGTATAGGTTAAATCTTCAAAACCATTCTTGTTTTTTCGTTTAAGTGCAGAGATCCATTTCAAGCCGAGTTTTGGTTTTGTTTGTTGAGCATTTGTGGCTGTTGTAGATAAAGAAGTCAATGTCGGTCCAGAGGATCGGATGAATGGCGTTTGATTTGTTGTTGCGCCATCATTTACTAGTTGGTGATGATCATGCCAGAGAATTCTATCTGTCCAACTAGGTACGCGTTGTTTGGGACTGGTATCATATCGTATGGATACACTGCCTGAACTACCTATAGAATCCGTTGGAGTAATCACAAATGATAACGAAGAGGAGGAGGATGATGATGCAGCTGTTGTTGTAGCGGTAATAACAGGAGTAGATGTAGCAGGCGTGGTGATAGGCGATAACGGTGACGATGATGAAGATGGTGATGATGGGAGCTGTTGATGCAGATGATTTAACCTTGTAGCAGAGGACGGACTAGGTAAAGAGGATGATGATGAGTCACTTGTCGCCACGGTTTCCAAGGCATCAAATTTGTAAGTCGGAATAAAGTTGATTGGATGTTCTTTGAAGGATGCCAATGGAGTGGTACCTAGTTGTCGTTCCACCGAAAGCTGATCGTATTTTAGAAGTGTAGCAAAATCCCTTTTTTGAATGGTATCCAGGACAAATTGTCGTTCGGCATTGATTCGATAATTCGTATCACCAAAGATGAAGACATGATCAAATTGTTCAGTAACACTATGCTGGCTTTCTGTTGATGATGATGATGATAATGCTGATGCGGATGAAGATTTATTGACTGGTATCGTAGATGATGCATTTGATTTTTGTTTTGATGATGTTGTATCATTGTTACATTGATTGGTCGTTTTGGTGGTGTCATGATTATCCTTCTTTTTTATTTTTGATGATCGAGAGAATCTTTTCAATGAAGAAAGGTGGAATGTTGTAGGTGATGTATGTGTACAAGTTGATTTGCCACCCTTGATTTGCAATTCGTGGAGGATCCGATGAACATTTGCATTCCGTTCTGCTAACTTGGTTTGGTGTGCTAAATCATGATAGCCAAAAAAAGAAAGAGTTAGTATCAAATCGAATCATATATCTAAATTGTAAGTACCTCGCAAATGACAATTGATAAAGAGGAAAGATTGGGACCCAAAATCTAGTGATACAGCAACTGCCCCTTTGTTTCTAAATAAACAAATAAACAAATCGAATACATTAGTTTCATTTTTTTTTTTATATATTTTTTCTTACCCAACCATATTAGCCCAACCAGTCTTAATATCAGCACTATGAATATTCTTGACATAAGACGCCACAGGTTTCCAAACAAATACAGCAAGATGGAGAGCAGCCAGAGTTTCACAACGTAATAATTGATAATGTTCGCCAAGGTAATCAGATAATCGTTGTTCCCATACTTCTTTGGAAGGATAAAATAAAGATTCAGAGATATCACGTTCACATTCTTGAGTGCCGATCGCTAAAAGATGGTAAGGATGAGTTGTGCTTGAATCCAAAAACGGTATTCCACCATTCTGACAGTCATGTTCCACCAATATGTTGTTGCTGTCGGGTTGTAAAGTTTTCGCACATCGTTGATTGGCATTTATTGTAGACGGACGAGTAGTCAAGAAAGGTTCAAGATCAATAGGTAAGAGTCTTCCATACATATTCCAAGTACCAATAAAGATTTTGAGTCGATTAGGTTTTGACAAGTTGTTACCGGCGTCTGAATGTGAGACAAAAGATGTGGAGGGATCAAAAGGCGGAGACGACGAGGAGTTTCCTGACTTCAACTGAATGAAACTGGTCAAGGCTTGTACCTTTGCCCAAGATGTTGAAGGTAAATTACTGGTATCTACTTTCAACATGGGTTAAATGTATAAAGGTAGAGAAAATATAAAATAAATAGGAGGGTATATATGATACTAAGAACAAAAAAAAAAAAAGAAAAAGAAAAGAAAAAAAGAAAAGAAAAAGAAAAAGAAAAAAAGAAAAAAAAAGGATCTACTAGGACTTCTTTTTTTTCTCATTGTCTAGAGGGAAACAGGGCAAAATGAACATTTCATATGCCGAAGCAAGATGATTGGTTATTACCACTGAAGTCCAGGGAAAAAAAAAAAAACTGTGGACTGTAATTGAAAAGGCACCTGGACTTTTTTTTTTTTTTTTACTTTCTTTCTTTTCTTTGAGCCTTTTCCTTTTTATTCTATCTTCTCCAGTTTCTTTTATATTACTAAAAAAAAAGCTCCTCCTTTTATCTTGAAATATCTCTACCGTCATGCCTTTGCGGGTTGTAGGAAGGATAAATACACAACTTTCCTATTACTTTTACAATTATGGAAAGGCTTGTGCTTCAAGAATGGTATTTCTTTTGGTGACATCTTTTTGTATGATTTGTTTCTTTTCTTTACCTACCATCCTTCTTTTATTACAAACTGCATACAACAACGCCATACCTATTCCATTATCACTTGATACCTTTGATGGTCAATTTTGGCTATTCTCACCACATATACAACAACAACAACCTGATCTTACACTCACCGAAACAACTGTTCCCGAAGTTATTCTCAAACAAGTTCGTCTTACTAATTTGATACAACAAGTCGACAAAGAATTACTTCTCTATGCCCATCGTTTACAACAAGTTTTAACAACAACATGTATTCAATGGAACCAACAACCGCTCTCCCTCGAATCGATATGTCACCATACAAAACAACAACCTTGCCTTGTACATTCACCACTTTTATATTGGTCTTCTCCTGAAGAATTGGAAAACGACAGTAATTGGTTAGAAACAGTGAATCAGCAAATACAAAGACAAAAAGCATTATCATCTTCCTTCTTTGGATCGCAAAACAATAATAATCATAACACATCCAAGATTACATTTACGCCATTATCTTCTAGAACTTCTACTTCTGGTCTATCTATGCAACCCTTTTCATTATTTGGCAACGTGACACTCGACCTGCATGGTAATATTATTTCTGCTGATTCGATTCTCCTCACTTTTGCTTTACAATTGGATCAAACATCAGCAAAAGATTATACCAATTCAGCTTGGAATGCTCTATGGAACGAAGTAGTCTCCCAACTTGATACCATTACAACTTTTGACAATGATGAATCAACCTCAAGACCAACAGCATGGTTTCAACAAGCTAACATTCGTCTCCAGACATGGTACTACAAGGTAATAAATTATAATAATATACAACATACATCCCCTTAACTTATCTTTTTTCCTATTATTTTTTTTTTTTTTATGCAGTCTAAATTACTACCACTGAAATTCTCATCAGAGGTCCAATTGACCATAGTTGCTTATGTTGTCCTTTTTTATTTGGTATCTACTATGTTTGCTAAATCATCTCAAGTCAAATCCCATTATTTGTTTGGACTGGCTGCCTTATTTTTATCAGCAACAAGTTGTACCACCACTTTGGGAATATTACATCATTTTGGAGTGGAATTGACATCTGTACCTTGGTACTTATGCTTTATTATATGTGGTGTCGCCTCGTTGGAGAATATCTTTTTGATCACTACTGCTGTCCTTGATGCTGGTTGTGATATGCAAGTCAAAGAGAAAATTGCTAGAGGTATTACCAAAAAAAGAATGGTATATGTGTTTTCCCTCAATGTTTGAGGTACTGATCCATTTGTGTTACTAGGATTACAAAGTATAGGTGTACCGATGACTGCCATGTTATTTGCTGAAATCTTGATTCTATCTCTTGGTTGTGCAATGGACTCGGTGTTGGTACAAGAATTTTGTCTATTTGGGAAGGTCGCTCTGTTGGTGGATTATATTTTAGAATTCACATTCTTCATTGCTGTCCTATCTATTGATGTCAAACGTGTTGAGGTAATGAATGACTCATGGAAAATTAGAATTTCTATCCAAAAAAAGAAATTAATCAAAAGAAAGGAAAAAAGGGAGAGGAGAACAGACGGTGATACAGACGTTTTGGTACATTCTTATACTTAAAAACAATCTTCTTTAATTCTATAGTTAACGGACTTGGACGATCGCCAAATATCAAAACGTCTTCATGAACTATCCAACTGTGATATTGATGCCCAACAAAATCCGGATTTTTGCCCTATACATGATTCTATACCTGACAATCAATTCGAACAACCAAAGACTTGCGCCGACTGTAAAGAATTCAAGACTCATCGCACTGTCAATGCTGTTTTGGTAAATAACAAGAAATCAATTGGAACACGAGTTTTTTTTTTTATATCTGACTTCTTTTTTTTTTTTTTTTAAAAAAAAAAATAATAATCTATTTTTGAACTATAGTTATGTGTTGTTATCTTAGGACTCAGCTTATTCCGACAGCCATCAATACCACCTTCTTCAAGTTTGTCATTCATATCACTACCTGCTTTATTCAACCAACGACCATCTGACAATGATATTGTTACTACCGCCAATCAATTCTGGAATGTGATCAATCCTACTCATGATACTTGGAAAATCTCTGTATTACCACCCCATCTTGTAGTTTACAATCGTCCAACTTTTGATACATCTAGTCACTCGAATATCAACTTTGCTCAAGTTATCCTCAATCAAATAGAAGCACAATACAATGCCAAAGAAGATGTTTACTTTGATAATGCTCATTTGATTAGATCATCACGCCAATCTCGTCAACCTCCTTCTCTATTTCGAAGTATGATCTATCGTACTGCTTCAAAGCTGTTATCATGGATGCTTTCTGTCAATATCCCTTTTCTTCTTTTGTGTTTGATGTCGGTGGTGGTGACAATGTGGTTGATGCCTGGATTACGACGTAGATGGGTGGTACCAATCATCAAACGTATTGCCAGCAAAATCTTGATCAAGCTCATGTCTATTATTCAAAATGTATTTACTGGCCCTTCCACTTCTCTGTCCGCCGAGTACGATGCCAATGGTGTACATTTAGGTGCTATATCCGCTCAACGACAATTCAACGAACAACATAAAAGTAACATCACAAGTGTAGATATCAAGACTCTCTCGGGAAAACATGCTGCTGATTTACGACTTTTAGGCACCAATGGAAAACATGGAACCGTTATTTCCTGTGATCAAGATGGACGTATTATTCTATGGGATGCTGTTCGTTCTATTTGGATAGCTCGTTTGGATCGTTTGGAACCAACTCTGACCAATGGTGGTGCACTTTTAGGTGATCTTAATCCCGACTATTACTCTCAACCTAGAAGGATCAAGAAATGGCAACGTGCTTTTGGTGCTTATCAACAAGAACAACTTCAAAGACATCATCATCGCTCCTCTTCTATGAATGTGATACCTGGTTGTGTAAAAATTGATCAAGGGAACCGTTGGGTCATTGCTGCTTATGATGACGGCTCGATTCGTGTGTGGAACGTTACTACTGGTACTTTGGCATGTCAATTAGATATTCCAGCCGATTTGTTACAATTTGCCACCATGGATGAACATACAAATGTAGCTATTTACGAAACAAATCATCATCATCAGCAAAGCTCGATATTTTCATCACCTGCAATTCAAAATATCCGACGAAGACGTATTAACAATCTTCCTTCCTCGACTCTTGAATCACCTCGTGCAACGCTCCCATCAACATGGTCACCTAGTAGTAGTCATGACACATCGTCATCCTCATCATCCTCTTCATCCTCTTCATTTCGCAACAGCAATTCAAATGACAAGAGATTTGGTTTTGAACGACATGTGGATCGTATCTTGGCAGTACAATTTGTTGGTGTTGTAGCTGAATATTGTCATCCTCTAGTAGCTGAATTAGCTGCTCAACAACAATCAATGGCTGGACAATCTATGGATCCAAACACATCTCAAAATTATTTGGTATCTGTACACAAGAGTGGTATGATTCGTGAATGGGATCTTCTTTCTGGTGAATGTATTCAATCTTTCGCATCTGGTCATCTCAAGGAAATCAGCTGCTTACATACTGTGGAATGCAAGGCTCCTCATCGGAAACTAGGTGTTACATGGGTTTTTACTGCGTCCAAGGATGGTACTGTCAAATGTTGGGAACGAAAAATATTGAAAGATGCTTCTTCTTCTTGCTCAGTTGGTGGAACAGATAACAATACATCACCATCGTCTACTTCTTCGTCTTCCTCTTCTACCGCATCACCATCATCATCATCATCAACAACAGCAACAACAAGTTGGATATGTCTTTATTCCATTGATGCTCATGAAGGACAATCTATCACAGCAATCAATACGTCATTACCAGTTGGTGGAATGGGTGTTCTTGTAACTGGTAGTAATCAAGGCTCCGTCAAGGTTTGGAATTTCGAAACTGGTGAACTTGTATGTATTCTTTCAAAAGGTAATCCTTCCACAACAACAAAAGTCAACAATACCAGATATCAATCAAGATCATCCCGCCAACAACAAATATCTGATCATTTCGCCGGCATTACTCAGATTGTGGTGACTCGATACTGCGATGTGGATACTGGACCTGGACTCTGCCGTGGGTGTGATACATGTTTTGGTAATGGATTCTTTATTGCATCAAGTGCTTCCAATGAAACAGTACATGTATGGCGATTAGAACGATCTGGTGGTGGACATGAACACAATTGTAGCTTATGTTCCAAGGATTATCATCGACAACAATATCGTCGTACAAAAAAACCAATCACAACAGGGGAAGATGATCAAAGTAACAAATTAAGTGGTGGTGGTCGCCGTCGACAACAACAGCGAAGAATGTCTCATTCCAGTACATCATCGACAACATCTTCAACTACAGCGACAGTTTCAACAAATACAACTTCAATGGCGCCCACTACAACAAGACGAATTCGTAGACATCGACCTAATGTACGGATGGCAAGCACATCATCTGTTATGGATGATATGGTGAATGGATTATTGGATATTGAACAATTAGCTGGAAATGATGACATTGATCTGACTTCTGTGTTTCTTGGCAAGATTCATCATGTAGCTGGCTGCAATTTGGTATTTTGTGACAATATGGTACTAGCAGGCGTACGAAGGAAATCGACACAACAAAAAAGAAAATACAACACAGTCAATGAATGGCAAGCGTGGTTTGTATCATTACAGTACTATGAACCTCCTTCAGATATGACAGACACACCAGATTTAGTGGTTGAAGATGACAACAATGAACTTTTTAGTATTCCTATCGAAGCGTTTGATCTGGAACCAACAGAACAAGTATCATCATCATCTACAACGAAGTCTTCTATAAATGACGCATCATCATTACCATCAAAAGAAACTTTAGTCAACATGGAACGAACAACAATATGGAAAATGCCTTTCAAGAAAATTATTGGAGCCTTTAGAACATCACCTCTCAAAAAAGATCATGGATCTGACTATGATGATAATGAAGATAATGACGATGAAGATTCCTATAGTGAAGACAGCAATGATGATTTAACAATGGATGACGATATTGAAGCTAAAGAAATGCTTCCATTCTCAACGATCGAACATGTTGTGTCAATGGATGGTCTTGGACTTGCATGTGATTATGGCAATTTTATCAAGGTGGTGTGTCTGGATAGAAGCAAACTAGCTGCTCAACGTCGGCAACAACAATCCATGATGGCGGGTCACCCAATGATGATGAATGACAAGTATTCTATGGGATGGCCAAGTACTTGTGATACAGGTGATCATACATCATCTATGCTCTCTCCTCTCATCAAAAACAATAACGATGGGCTCGGTGATGGTGAAATATGTCAATGCAAGACAGATGGCTCGAAATGCTGTGGTGGAAAACATGGTGGGAATGGAAAATGTTGTGGGGGCAAATCAAGAAAGGGTATTCCATCCTCGACCTCTTGTGCTGTTACTGCTGGCCTCAGTGGTAGTACTGTATATGAAGCCTGTTCAACATCTCCCTATCGTCCTCTGACTGAATGTATCGCAAAAGCAACTTGTTCTCGTGCTGGTGAATGTCATCTTGTATCCTCCTCTACTGCAAAATCCCTTAGGCGCTAGTTGATCTTTTTTTTTTTTTAAAAAAAAAAAACCCCATTTATTACTGCATCCTTACCACATTTTTTTTTTATATACATATTCTTTTTATTCATTTTTTTTTTTTTCAATGCATACACCTTTCCCTTCCAATATATTGTATACATTTGACTTCTCCCTTATTACCGTCATTCTTCTTCTTCTTTTTGTCATGATCATTACAAAAAGGATTATTCCCTCTATCATCCTATTTGGAATCAAATAAAAATAATCTCCATCTACAGTGCGTTTCTATATGTTGTGTGTATGAATATATCGAGAATATAAAATGAAAGAAGAAAATAATTCATAACAATAGAGAGAACCTGATTTTTCGTTTTCTTCTCCTTTTTTTATATTCGTTTGAAGACCAAAAAAAACATGGCGTGATATTTTTTTTTTTGTTTTGTACATACATACATAAATAATAATAATAAAAAAAAGGCATGATCTTTATCGAATGTACAAAACTATATAAATATTATCAAGTGAAAAAAAATAGAATGATTTTTTTTAAATATAACTCAATGCATGAGACAATCCCATACAGTTCATTGTAAGGTATCATCTAATAATAAATCATATCTACTATTGAAAGAAAAGTATCATGATGTTCAGACTAAACATGTCGGACCAATAGAACCAAAATGATGCATAAAAAAGGGGGTGAGTTTAGCAAATCATCACCATCCTTACCAAAATAAAGTCAGCTTAGAATGTAAAATAAAATAAAATAAAAAAATAGCAAGAGATCATCACTCATCATTAAATTCACACAATACAGTTTATTGTATTAGAAACTAGTTGGCTTGCCGTGGATGGAATGAAAAGTACAGATACCGCTTTGAACAGCTTGGCCTGTACGTTCTTGAAAGGTAGTACATGTCTGATACGGAGGTGTGTACAAATGTAAAGAAACAGCACCTCGATTTGGATTGGGATTAGTGATACGATGTAATCCAATGTTATCTCCATTCAAAAAAAAAAAAAAAAATCAGTTTGGATATTTTGATTTTTTTTTTTTTTTTTTTACCATGAACATAGGTTGTTTGATTTGGTAAAAGAAGAGTTTGCTGTAACAAAGTCAATGGCTGTCCATCCTTCTCTGGCCAATCATATAAGGATTCTTGCAAATGACCTTCCAAGATCTTCATAATGCAATGAGATCCGGAATGATTATGGATAGGACTAACATCATAGAAAGGATCAAAAAAAAATTCATTCATCCTCTTTTTTTTTTTTTTTATTACCTGTATTGACCTTCGGTCCATGCCAGGATCATGATATTGAATTTACCATTTCCATCATCGACTAGGTTTCTAGTATAGGGTTGGGTAGGATCAAACAAGGCATATGGCTTCCAATCATCCGCATGATACTTGTCAAAAAGTGTCAAGATCAATGATGGATCCATTGGATTGTTTTGAAGGACTCGATGAATTTCTTGAATTAGATGACGAAGTGAATATACATCGGATTCTTGATGATCTAAAGATTCAAAATGAGGAGGCATGATTTTGAAATTAAAAAAAAAAAAAAAGAGGAAAAGAAAGATATTCTACGTAAATAATATATATAGATGATTGGTTCAGTGATGATTTTGTTTATTTGTAAAAAACTGAAAAGGTATAAAAAAACTAATTTCCATCAGTGGAATTAACAGGTAAAGCAGAAGCAGTACTTTGTTTCATGATATCAAAGACACAAGAACAAGCACGTAAAATTTGATGTTGTTGATCTTTGGTTGAATTGCATAAAATATGATTTTGAATATCCTTGGCAATACCAGCCATCCTACACATAAAAGAAAAGGTCATTCTTCATACACTTTTTTTTTCCTAATTGAGACGTTTCCGTTCTTTTTTTTTTATTATTATCTTATTTACCATTCAAGTTCATCCTGATTCATTGTTGATTCGGGTGTATTTTTGATTTCATCAAATCTTTGTTCTATTCTTGTTCTGTATTCTACAAAATTCGGTTGATGTTGAATATTCAGGCATTGCTAACAAAAGATAATAAATAATCATGTTAAAATTCTACTATATATACATTGATAGAGGCTTACGTAAAGATAGGCCATTAAATGAGCAAGTGGTAATCGCTTAGGATGTTGTAAGGAAGTTAAAATACTATCACAAGTTGCTAAGGCTTGACCAAGTAAGGCCATCCTATGATAATGTACTAGATATTACATAGAGTGAATGATCGTTTTAATATATTGTATTTGATCACTTACATTGAATATTGCTTGCATTTTCATCTTCTTGTGGACCAAGAATGACATCCAGTTGGGTGAATTGCATGGCTCTTGGGTATAATATCTTCATTTGTGATCTTGATATATATTCCTTGAATCAAAATGTTAGAAGTCATACGATGAATGATTCTTTTTTTTGGGCTTACTTGAATAGTAGCTTCGTCCTTCATATCATAATTAATCCAAGAAGATTGAATTTTGTTCACAATAGCATCAGCTTGATCACCTAGTTTCTTTTTTTTTTTTTTAATATGAAAAATATAAGTGTTGCTCATCAAAAAAAAAGTTTTACTTACCTTGGTTAAAGGATCATGTTCAAGTTCCCAAAATCTCATTCGATCCCATTTTGTCAATACTAGTTCTAATTGTCCAAACTGATAATGCATGTAGACATCCAATCGTGTTTGTTTTGACCAAAGGATAGGTACAAGAGGCTCCTGTTTGTGTTGCCGGACTAGTAAAGTAATATCAATCCATCTATTCTTTTTTTTCTTTTGTTCTTTTTTTTTTTTTCTTACTTTACTTTTCCCTACACTAGTATTGCCTAATGATTTTAAAGGTGAACCTTGTAATAACTTGTTCATTTATTCTAATAGATGGCAATGAAAAAAAGGAAGAAATAAATAATAATCCACATGAATATCCAAGTAACTCAGCCAAGAGTTACACACAAAGTAAAAAAAAAAAAAATAAGATGATCAAAAGAAATTGATAAAAAGGGAATCTACAATGTTGGTTTTATTATGGAGGTAAAAAAAAAAAAAAAAAAAAGGAATATCTTATCTAAAATTATTCTATTATTGAAGTCAATATAGAATTATCATCCAAAAAATAATCATCCAGTACAAAATCATCTTGGAAATAGGTACCACCAAATTCGATTTTCACCTGCGGATCTGTAGGAAGACCATATTCTCCAAATAGTTTTCTTACATCTGCCACTGTTGTCGTAGGAGAGTGATCCATAATAATATGTGTGATCTTACCATTTGTCTGTCGAATATTTAACAACCTGGATTTTGTTGACTTGATTTGCTTGTCCTGAGAATCTTCCATGCTGTAAAAAGAAGTATTGCTGGTATGTTGACTAGAAGATGAATCTTGTGTTTCGTTTTGTTGGTTTTGTTTTTCATTTGGTTCCTCTTCATCCGATGAGAGAAGGTCAATAACACCAAGGAAGTTGTGCGTCTTCTTCTTTTCACTTGGGGCTGTTTCTTGTGCAGTTGTTTTCTCCAGTTTCACAGGTAAGAGATCCGTCACTGTCGTTGTTGTTGTTGTTGTCGGCGAAGTATGTAAAGGAGTCGATTCCCTTTTCACTGATGATCTTGGTGGTCTTGCAAATAAATCTACTCGACTACCATCACGCATACAATAATCACGAATAGTCATGTCGTCTTCGAGACTAGAGCCACAGAATGTCAATCGTTGGGATGAAGGTCGGATATTAGTGTGTTTGAAAATTTTATTCTTGAAATGTTCGACGGTATCGTTTGGATTGATAGCGATTTTGATGATAATATCTGAATGCATTCGTACATGAATAAGAATATTACTAATGACCTTTTGTTGTTCTACTGCCGCGATTGCTTCTGGTGTGATTTTCTTTGGTTCGATTTTTGATTTCTTCTGTGGTGGTTGTGGTTGTAGTGGTGTGGTCGAATAACTGTTCTTGAGTTGTTGTGCATGTTTATTATTCATTGGTTCTGGATTCTTTGGAGCTGATGAAATCGTCGTTGATCCAGGAACTGATCGCCTTTGTCGCTCTAAATAAAGTCGAAGTTGGTTCTCGAGATTGGTATCGATCTCTTTAGACTGTGAAGCAGTGACATCGGTACGGGTAGTGATTACGGTCGTAGTGGGATTGTTGGTGGCAAGTTGCTGATGATGTTTCTTCTGTTGCTGCTGCTGCTGCTGTTGTTGTTGTTGTTGTCGTTGCTGATGTTGTTGCTGTTGTTGTATCTGTTCCTGTTGTATCTGTTGCCGGTATTGTTGTTGCTGCTGTTGCTGTTGTTGTTGTTGTTGCTGTTGTTGTTGTTGTTGCTGTTGTTGTTGTTGTTGCTGTTGTTGTTGTTGTTGCTGTTGCTGTTGTTGCTGTTGTTGTTGTTGCTGTTGTTGTTGTTGCTGTTGTTGTTGTTGCTGTTGTTGCTGTTGTTGTTGTTGCTGTTGGAGTCCAGTCACAAACAGACCAGGAGCAGGTTCAACATAACCGAGATCAATCAAAGAATCGCACTTGATTCCATACGACTGTAAAGACCGTTGATCATCCTGGAGAAGTTCGCCCATGAAGAATAAGCGTTGGTGCTGGGTAAAAAGACGGGCTTCGATTTGTTGAAGACATTGTTTGATACTGGCAAGGGTGTTGTTAGGCATAACATTGATCACCATTGTTGATCCACCGTAAACGCGTATGTATAATTGGAATTGAGTAGGGCGAGGGATATCAAGCTGCAAAATTGTTTCGTTTGGCATATTGTAACTGGATATGGTTCGGTGACAATCTAAGGTCTGGCCATTGTATAAGAGACAGAAACGATCGGCTACCAGATGATTGATACGCTGAATAGTTTCATGTTCACTCACTTCAACTGGTATAATATCGTGTTGACCTGTGAGTATGTACAATTTCATGACACCTCAATAAAAAAAAAAAAAAAAAGAAAAGAAATAGTCCATAAAGGAACAAAAAAAAAAAAAAAAGAAGACTGCAGCAATATTCAGCAATTAGATTTTATCGATGTTTTTGAAATACCGCAGAACCAGATCATAGCAACATCCTTTTGATCCAAAGTAGGTCAATCAACTAGTACATCTATTACTTCAAGATATGTCCAAGAATGGAATGATCTTTTGATAATGACAGTAGCCATATGATAATGATATTGATGAAATATTCTACTAGGAATAAATGAATTCTTCCTCCTTTTTTTTTTTCTTTATGGTTTTGGATTACTGCTCAACATGATCCATAATATCATTGGATGTATATCATTCCTTTTTTTTTTTCTGTCACTGATACAGTATTAGATTTGCTTCAAAACCAGTACACTATCTTCCTATTGATGCTTTGGGTTTTACATCTATAATACAATACTCCTCATTAAAAGCTATCATAAAACCATCAAAGTAAAATGATCATCGTTCATTCAAAGAGTGTACTATATTTCTTCAGATTATATATCGAATCCATCTCCTCGAACGACATTGGATAGGAAGAAAAATCAAAATTTTATGACGAACCAGTGATTTTATGATCATATACTTTTGAAGTAATATAGGGATTATTAATGACTTGTATTTTATTAGTGGATTGTGAAAAGAAAATTATTCGTTTTAGTGTATATAGGAATTTTATATTCTTTGTATATAAGTATTATAATAAAACATAAGACCGAATTTGTATGAAGGGTATCAATGAAGACGGATAAACTAATTAATATGCAATAAATAGAGAGTAAGAGGTAAGTGAAAAAAAAGGGTATAATACTATTATGTATGTTTCCATAAAGTAAAATGAAATAAATAATAATAGGAAAAAGGGGGAGAATAAAAAGTAGAAGAATAAGTATAAGAATATATAAAATGAGTTTGGTAGATCAATCACCATCCATTTGCCGCCATCACGTTGTTTGCTTCATGCTCATACTGTGTCAATTTCGAGATAAGTTGTTGGGTAGCCTGATTCCATAGTGTGATATCTCCTATTGGAAAAAGGAAAAAAAAAATGAGTCATCATCTCATATATTTTAGTTGCAAGTATTTTACCTTGTAAGTAAATAAAGTTCACCTTGAAATGACGCCCATGTTGATGTACCATATGACAAAGAAACCATAACCTTGATAATGAAGTGTCATCAGCAGCAGAGGATTCAAGTTTTAATGTGCCGTTCCATACAATTTGTTGATTGGGGTAGATATGACCACGTAATTTTCCATGAAATTGTTCCTTAAGAACTTGATGAATCTTGCCAGCTACTTCACATTCATGTTTTCCATGGTAATCAAAACTAACCAACTAATAAACAAGATCATCAGTTTTTTTTTTTTTTTTTTTTTCCTTACCTTTGGCTGTTTCTTGAACCAGGGAGGAAGAACATAATCCAATGTTTTTGACCACCAATTTGAAAAGGCAAAAGTGGAAGAATCAGAAGCTGTAGTGATATTTGTTGGTGCATCAGTAGTGATAGTGGTTGTTGTGGTATGGTTGTTAGAAGGCCACCAGGATTGAAACACCGAGGAGAGAGAACGAGAAGAACGAGAATGATCAGTGGTTGCAAAAGACTGTTGGCGATTCAATTGTTCCATCAAATTATATGTTGTTGATAGTCTTTTTGCTGAATCCAAAGATGTAACTGATTGCTGCGTAATTTTACCTTTTACATGAAGGGAGGCTAAACAAACGTTACTAGCATTCAGAGATAAAGGAGGCGTGGAAGATCGGCGATGATGTTGCTGTTGTTGTTGGTTTGATGCACCGATATGCTGATGAGTACATATTTGAGCTGAAGTTAATTGTTGTTCTTGATAAAACCATCGTGGTCCAGTGGACGGCGTTGCTGCAAGAGAAGAATGTACGTTTTCTTGTTGCTGAGGACATTGAATGCATGGATCCCCATTTTCAGTTGCTAGTGCATGATCGCTATAAAAATAGAATATAGAAATAAAAGGAGTTAGAATATGTCATGCATAGGTACAATTTCATACAAAATCAATCCCCCCTCTTTCTTTTTTTTTTTTTTTGTATCGTTCTACCCACGTTGTCATGTGCATACCCCTTCGTACTTACCATCGATCCCATATCTGTTTCTTGTTGGATACAGAAGAGGAATCCAAATTCAAATCCATATCAAAAGTAGCATTCTTTGGAGTGGGAGGCATATCAATAGTACGAGTACAAGATACATTTGAAATGGAAGAATCATAAGGAGTGGCTAAGCTGCATCTTGATCCTACATCATCACTTCCGTGGCGACTATGCATAGCACTGTTTTTGTTTCCTAGTAATGCTGAACGAGCGGTACTATTCTCCAAAGGGTATGTATGACGACGAACCGATGATGTGGTAGAGGAAAGGTTTTCTATTATCATGACAATAAGAAAAAAAAAAGAGTCAATACCGAGAATAATAAACAAAAAAGCAGTATTACTTACCATCAATATGTTTTCCTTCTTCTTGTTCCAGTCTCTTTGTTCTTTGTTGTAACAAAACAAATGTAAGTTTCTGTAAATTGGGCCTAGAAAAAATAAAATCAATATATTTATTTTCTTTGATGGAGTTTGTTTTATGTACTTTTGAGATGATAATGCTTGGATGATTTCTTCTTGTTTCAAATCACGCCATAAGACCTTGAGGGTTTCCCAGATACGACCTTCTAAATCCAAAGAGTGATTGATAACCGGGGCATCCAATAAGCCATGTTTCAAAGGATCAGATGGAGGAATACCAGCATGTGGTGATGACATAGAAGCTAACCATGGATGACCCAGGATTTCATTCATCTATATATATAAAAAAAAAAAGAAAATAGTAAATAAAAATGAATTTTAATAACAACGTATGTTCAACCTGCACTACATCAATCAGAAACAACACATCTGCAGTGGGGTGTTTTTGTTTTTTTTTTCTTTCCCCTCTTTATAGATGCATATAAACGTATATAAATAAAGTCTAAAAATACCCAAACGTTTGCTTCATGACCCCTTTTTTTTTATTTATTTTGGGAAGTACTTGCCTTAATTCTTTTACTTGGATCCACCACTAACATTTTCTTGACAAGGTGTTTAGCATCATTAGATACAGAAGTAGGTAAAGGACGACTTTTTCCAGACTTGATTTTTCCCAAGAGGCGACCCATATGTTCATCATCAAAAGGCAGATGACCAGATAATAAGGCAAATAGAATGACACCCAAAGACCAAACATCAGCACAAGTGCCATCATAAGATTTTCCCTATTGATAAAATCAAGTTCAATTTGTCAATAGGAATAAACAAAAAAAAAAAAAAAAGAAGAGAAGATGTTTATCTACCTTGACAATTTCAGGACTAGCATAATGAGGAGATCTAAAAAAACAACGAAATAAAAGTCAAAAAGTTTGGAATCAAAAAGGATGTTTAAGTATAATTTTACCCGCAACTTGTTTTTAAGCTTGTATTCATAGTAGACATTCCAAAATCAGCAATCTTGATAAGTTTTCTTGTCTTGTCTAAAAGTATATTTTCAGGTTTCAAATCTCTATGACTATCAAAAAAAAAAAAAAAATTAAAAATAATAATGAAAAATATATATTATTATTATTATGTTCGGTTATTTACCAAATATGATGAGCGTGGCACCATGCAAGAGCCGAGACCATTTGATAAAAAAGAGATTTAGCATCATTTTCCTTGAGTTTTCCCTTTTCAGCCAAAACGTGGAAGAGTTCACCTCCTTGTAAATATTCCATAACAAAATAGACATATGAAGTATCTTGAAGTACTTGTTTAAGTTCGACTAAATGAGGATGATGTAATAATTGAAGGATGGCTAATTCACGTTGGACTGATTTGGCGGTAGTTGAAGAAGATGATAAATGACTACGTGCAATCATTTTTATAGCCACTTTTTCACCTGTATATTTGTTGATACCTAATTTAACACGTCCTAATAATAAAAAAAGGGAAAATAAAAATAAAAATTAAAAAATAAAAGAGAAATTCTATTGTTCCTTAAATAATAATATATATTATTATACCTGAAGCACCACGTCCAATGGTTTTTCCTAACCAATAATCACCAATTTCTTTTTTAAATGTTATAGGTTGTTGAGAACGTTTTAAATCAGATGATAATTGTTTTGTTCGACGTGTAATAAAAGTCATAAAAGTCATCCTTTTTTAAATAATAAATAATAGAGCACGAACACGAAAAAAAAAAGAAAGAAAGAGAGGAGGAAAAGAAAGAAAAAGATAAATGAAAAAAATAAAGAAACGGTCGGTTTTAAATTTTTAAAATAAGGAGTGTTAAAAGAAAAAAGGGACTTGGCCAATCAGATGAATCGTTTCCAAATATGGATATACCCAAAGACTTTTTCTCCTTGTTTGGATTTTATTATGCAAACTCTTTTTTTTTTTATATGTAAACCTTTTGTCAGTTGTATCACATGTTCTACAGAAGTATGTCATTGGAATATCATGGTTATATTTTTCCCCTCTTTCCTTTTCATAATTTAAAAAAAAAAAACAATCATCCTTTTGTCCCTTTCGTTCCTGATTCATTATCATTAAAGTAAAGTGACTCTTTGATTATCCTTGTAAAAATGAATTTATGGACAAATAGAAAAAAAGTATATTATTATAACAAAAAAATAATCATCTATAAATATTAACTAAAAAAGGCAGTACAGAAAAAAAAAAGAAAAAGAATATTCCCGTCCCATAAAAAGATAATTCAATTCATACAGATTTCAGTAAAGATTCAATTATAAATATCCCAATAAAGAAAAAAAGGAAGAAATAAAACGTTGATCTACCTTGATGACGTGAGGTAACATGCTCTAAAATAAAAATAAAAAAAAAAGTAAACAAACCATCCTGTTTCTATCTGCACTTGGTACTTTTATATTTTTTTTTATTCACATGAATTACTATCAATAGCATGATGCCACTAACTCAGGCAAAAATGGTTTCCATACGTCGGTCCTGTTTATCTTGATTATTCTGTTCGCCCATATGATGATTCCTCGTAGCTATAATTCTAATCAGTGTTGATTGCCACCCAAAATAAATGCACCTATTCTACATCTTGTTGCATGATAATTCATTATACATCATTGCCTCTTTGATCAAATTATGAATACAGATCGACATAATAACGTTGGTTCCTGCTTGATTGGATGCTCGATTCGAGATAAACATAATCAATCCCTCTATTCCATAAAAAAAAAGTCTTGTTATCATATATTATCATATATATATATATATGTATATTTTACCTGGAAGCTTGTGAATATAGATGGCTAATACTACTTTGAATCCCAATCATACAGTAACCGTGTCTCTTTTAGATAAAAATCAGATTGTTCTTGATGAATGGGTACCATAATAACCTTGATGATTCCAAAAATACATGTTCTACTAATGTATTGTCAATTTACATCGGATGTTGTTGAATAGTATGTTTGTGATAATAACAAAAGGATAAAACAGTATAGATCGGGTATTGTTGTTATGCAAAAAAAAAAATCACTATTGTTGTCAAATAGTCGGTTTGTTGGCATCCAGTCTACAGTATCACAAATATGAGTTGCAGTAAGTATACAGAAGTGAACGATACGCGTCAACAATACAGTAAAGTTATTAGAGCATCCAAAAAGAAATATATTTTACACCAAGTAAGGTTGATGAGGAAAACTTTACTTCTGCAGCTGGTAATAATAATGAAGCCAATAAGGAAAAGATAAGAACGCCCGCACCAAGAGGACAGACATAAAATGCCCCTTTATCAAGAATACTATCACCTTGAATATCATCACTAGAAGGAGATTTACGCCATTGGTCAACGAATACTCTATAAGGGCTACAAAAAAAAAAAAAATGGGAGAGGAAAACGAGAAAGAGAGAGAGAGTTGGCGGATTTTGGAAATGCTTGTCAACAGTTTTTTTTTTTTTTTTTGTGTTACCACCAACTATACATGCAGAAGAGGATAACATGATAAGATATCATCCTTCCAAATACGTAGGATTTGATCATCTTATTAGTTAAGAAGGTATTGAATTAAAAAAGAAATAGAAGGAAACAAACCCTTCCATATAAAACCAAATCAAAGAAATCCTTGACTTTGAAATGTATTATTTGATATAATATCTATTTTAATACATCGTTTCTTAGTCATTAAAGAAAAATACTGTAAGTAACTTATTTCTTAATGCTTTTTTATTATGATATTTGTCTGATGTACCCAACTTTGTCCACACGGCTCTTTCTCTCTCTCTCTTTTTATTGTCGACAATATAAATAAAAAAAAGGGAGTAAAAACTGTTTCAAGAAGGTTTACCTAAGATACATATCGAAACTTTTTTTTTATTATATTCCACTCCTCACTATCCCTGATACTCTCCCCTTTTCTGATATCGGGTTTGCTTTTATATATGGTCATTCTACTTTGATAAATACATCTTCTTGAATACTATATACGTTCTTGATTGATAAATCTATTTACTTCTTTCTAGTTGATCCCTTATTGAAAAATAACGTTTTTTTTTTTTTTTTTTTTTTTTTTTTGGTATTTTCATTTCATTCCAATCTTTCCCTCCTTTGTTTAATAATAATAATAATAATGAATGATGGTTTCCATGATACTTTTTTTTTCTTTTTAAGGAAATCGGATCACTCAATCCGATGATTCCATCGCTGTTTGGATTTCATGATGTTGGATTGGGTGGCTGAACAAACCACTTTTTGAATTTTTTTTTTTGTCTTTTTTTTTTCTCACTTTTTTCTTTTTCTTTATTACTTTATCACCATACATATATAGATCATGGTTAGTTCTGATAGTGAAGATAATGTGCAAGTACAAATCCGTGAAAGAGACAAAGATCAAGAAGATTATATCAAACCTGCTCTTCTTGTAGAATATGAAAAAGGTAAAAAAAAAAAAGGTGAATCGAAAGTACGTGACTAAGTTATTCCTTTTTCTTTCTTTTTATCAAAAAAAAAAAAAAAATAGAGGTGGAAGAAGAAAATAGACGACTTGCTGAAGAAGAAGGTGACGATGAAACTGAAGAATCTGATGAAGAATCAGTAGATGAATCAGATGAAGAAGAAGACGAAGATGCAGCTCTCTTGACACCTGCCATTGACACTCAGATCTTACGCACCATTGCCGCCATTCAAACAAAAGATCCTTCTGTTTACGATACCAACAAAAAATTCTTCACTTCTGAACAATTCGATGCATCCAAAAAGCAATGGCAACAAAAATCTAAAACCAAAGATAAGAAGGTCACTTTAAAGGATTATGAACGAGAACTATTATTGGAACATGGTGGTTATGTGGATGAAGAACAAGAAAACAACAAGGATCGATCTAATGATTTGACTCATGTGGAAGAACAGGCTCAATTGAAAAAGGCTTTCCAGTTGGCTGCTCAACAAAATGATTCTGACAACGATAATGATCAACGTCAAGATGATAAGGAAGATTCGGACGATGACGATGGATTCTTGGTCAAGAGAGAAAAATCCAAATCTGAAAAAGAAGCCGAAGAAGATGATTATCGTCAATTCTTATTAAATAATTTAAAGGTAAAAAAAAAATAACTAATAAACTAATATTACAAGAAACTTATATATCATCATTTATAGGAAGATGAAGCTTCATCCAAAGCTTTTGCGGATTGGGAAAATTTCAAGGAAAATCCAAATGTGAATGCAGATGATGCTTTCTTGATTGAGTAAGTCCAAAAAAAAAAAAAAATAAGAACAAAGCAATTCATACTTTTTATTTTGATAGTTATGTCTTGAATCGTGGCTGGGTGGACAAGAAAGGCAAACAAAATCCAACTTATAATGAAATAGTGGACGTGGACAAGGATGTGGATGAACAATATTTGGATGATGTTGATCGATTTGAAAGCAAATATAATTTCCGTTATGAAGAAGCGTAAGTGACTGATTTATTCTGATGATTGTATACTCATGACTTTTTTTATAGTGAAGGATCTCGTATCGTAACTCATGCCCGTGATATTGGTGATTCTGTACGACGAAAAACCAACAAACGCAAGGAACGACGTGAAAGACTTAAAGCCGCCAAACAACTTTTGAAGGAACAAAAAACGGAAGAACTCAAACGATTAAAGAATGAAAAACGAAAAGAAATCCATAACCGTTTGGCTGAAATTCAAAAGATCACTGGGACTGGTATCTCTGGTTTGGAACATATCAACTTCGAAGAAGATTTTGATCCTGAAAAATACGATGAACAAATGGCCAAGATATTTGATGATGGTTACTATGATGCCAATGATACTGAAAAGCCTGTGTTTGAGGATGATGATGATGATGATTTCAACTACGATGATGATGAACAATATGGTGAGGATGATTTGATGATGGATGCTGATTATCTCCCTGGTGGTGAAAAGTATGAAGAAACAAAGAAGAACAAGAAGGGCAAAAAGCGAGCACTTGAAAATGACCAACAAGAGAAACCCAAACCAAAGGATGCAGAATATAATAAACTTGTGGATGATTACTACGCATTAGACTTTGAAGATGTTATTGGTGGTGATCTTCCTACTCGATTCAAGTATACAAAGACTGAACCTGAAGATTTTGGCCTGACTCCTGTTGAAATCCTATTGGCTGATGATAAGGAACTGAACAAGTATCTTAGTATTAGAACAATTGCACCGTAAGTAAAAAAAAAAAAAAAAAAAAAAAAAAAAAAAAAAAAAAAAAAAAAAAAGGAAAATCAGAAACTCAAGTTCTTTTTTTTTTTCTTTATGTAGTTACCGAAATGAAGACAAACGAAAAAGTGAAATGAATACTTTCCGTAAGAATAAACGAAAAAGATTACATGAACTTCGTCGACACATTGCATACAAAGAAAAATTATTGGAACAAAACGCACCTAATTCAGACAATTCCAAAAAGACCAAGAAATCCAAGAAAATGGTGTCCAAAGATTAGTACCTTCCCTCTTTTATAATCCCTCTTTAGCATTATTAGTTTCTTTTACCATAGATTATCCCCTTCATCATGTATCATTTCATTCTTTTTTTTTTTTTTATTTAGATCTTCCAAACATATCTTTTCCCTCTTTATATATATTATTCATTCTTCTTGATAAATAAAGTTGTAAACTGTAGATTATTCTTTTTTTTTTTTTGGCTACAAATTTTTTAATTATGATGAAACATTGAAATAATTACGCGCTATCCATTCTGGATTGATTGAGATAGTGCATGTATACTTTGATATGCTGGCATCCTTTTGTAAATAATCAAACAAATTTGGGGAATTTAACGATCAATGGCTAACCCAACTCTCGTTTCCTTTTTCGTCAAAATTTATTTCTTGTCGTCGGGGGTGAAATACGAAGTGCCACTGGATTGCGCTGGAAGCCTGTAATCACGAGCACTCACTTTCATTTTGGATATTGATTTTTTTTTCTCTTTCTCTTTCTTTTTCTTTTTTTTTCTCTTTCTCTTTCTTTTTCTTTTTTTTTTCTCTATTTATTATATTATTTTATTAAAAGATGAGTGGCATTACTGCTGAAGAAAGAGCAAAATATGGTGAAATCTTCCAAGCTCGAGGTCAAGTGAACGGTTATATGTCTGGTAAAACATTAAATATGAACTATCAAGTTCATAGTCATCATAAACGACAACAAAACCATCTCAATATCATTGATTCTCCTTTTTTTTTTTCTCTTTCTCTCTCTCTTTTCTTTTTTCTTTTTTTTTTTAGGTTCTATTGCTCGAGATGTTTTACTCAGTTCCAACTTACCACCTAATCGACTTGAACGTATCTGGTAATAATTGAAAGATAAAATAATCGGATGATAGATGATATTCATTTTTTTCATTATTATTATTAATTATTATTATTGTTATTATTAATTATTATTATTATTATTATTATAGGGATCTATCTGATATTGACAAAGATGGCAATTTGGATTTTGAAGAGTTTTGTATTGCGATGCATTTGACTTTTGATTGTATTAATGGTATGGATACACCTATGAGTCTTCCTCCTCAGTTGATTCCTCCATCCAAGTCTCATTTATTATCCTATCAACAACAACAACAACCTCTATATGCTCAACAAACAGGCTATGTACAACAACCTCAACCTACTGGATATGGATACCAACAACAACCTCAATATACTGGCTATACACCTTCTCCTCCTCCTCCTACTGTTGAATTCAGTTGGGATATGACTCCTCAAGATATGACCACCTATCAAAATATTTATTCAAAATATGCAAATGATACCGGCAAAGTGAAATGTAAGTATAATATATATATATTTGATCATATACTCATGTCATCTTCTATGTATAGTTGGACAAATGGAGGATTTTTATAGTACACTTGGATTATCTCGAACTGATTTGACGAACGCCTGGACATTAGTGGATGTAAACCATACACATGCATTAACACAAGATCAATGCTTGTTATTCTATCATATTCTCAATCAACGAACCAAAGGAGCAACCATTCCAAAGTCTCTACCACCTGATCTCCATACAGCATTTGCGGGTGAATATACAGCACATTTGGGTGAACGACAAGATGACAAAAAAAAAGAGAACAAGAGTGCGAAATTGGCAGATAGTTATGTGAATCGACTTGGTGTGGCCAGTACCTCTCTCAGCGCCAAGGGTTCATCGTTAAAACAACACGAATATGATGAAGAAGATATGTTGAAAAGGGAATTGGCGGAACTCAAGGAACAAGTCAAACAAGCCGAAGAAAAGAAATATAAGCAAGAAGAAAATGAAGAAGATCGATCTTATGAATCCTTTGCATCAAGACCTCTACGGGATCAATTTCAAGCATTGTATGATTACAAATTACGTCAATTAACTGACCAAGCTGATGTTGAAGATAAGGTGCGAAAACAAGAAAGGGATATCGAGGCGGCTCGTGACGCTGTACGTCGTCTCAACCGGATTGTGGATGATGTACGTGACAAGAAACGAGAATTGGAATCTTTATTGGAAGAACGACGTGCTGAAGTTCAGAAAACTTTACGTGCCATGAATGCTTAGTTTAGATCTTCTCATCCATTGATGATGATTATTATTATTTATACTTTTCTGCATTGTTAGTATGAATGACTGTTTCCCTTTTTAGTCTAGTCTTTTTTTTTGTTATCCATCAAATAAAAGATTCTTTCATTGTCACATCACTTTATATGTATATTTCATTTTATTTTTATATTTAGATGATTCAAAATAGAAACGTTAAGGTTTTTTTTTTTTGTCAGTTGGTGAATAACCAGAGGATCGATGATGATGATACACCACATGATCTTGACCTATTCTTTTTTTTTCCTCTTCTAAACAAGTAAATGTCAGATCGTCGTCGGGTAAAAAAGGATGGAGGGTTTGTCAAAAGTAACATAATGAGGGTTGATTTGGTCTCCGCATTTGTGTATATGATGTTGATTCACGTGGAACAAGGTCAAACAAAAAGGAAGTATGATTTGTTTTTTTTTTTTTAAAAAAAAAACAAGAATATCATCAAGATATAACATGTTCATTTATTGAAGATAGGAAGAAATAAAAATAATACAAACATACATAAAAAAAAAGGTGGAAAGTTGTACAATTGTCATAAAAAAAAAAGGAAGATAAGTATATACAAGATCAAAAAAAAAGTGGCACCAAAAAAAGAGAAAGAGATGTACAGAATATACAAAGTTGAAAAAAAAAATAAAAAAAAATAAAATCTAGTCTAAAGGGAAGAAGGAGGAGCCAAACCACAAGCAATCATCATCTTTTGAATACTACGTTCATGAGATTGAATATGTCGTTTCAAATCATGTTTACGGGCAAAACGTTTGGTACATACAGTACAGGCAAAATTCTTGGGTCGATTGGGATCATGAGTCAAAATATGTTCCTTCATATTGTTGGATCGATTGCTCTTACGTGGACAATGAGGACATTTATATTCACGACGACGAGCAGCAGGCTTTCTCTTTTTTGTTGTTGTTGTTGTTTCTTCTTTCACCATTTCTTGTTGTTGAGAGTTTTCCAAATAACCAGTTGGATCCAAAAAAGAAGAAGAGGATGGTGATGGGGAAGAAATATTCCAAGGAGAAGAAGGGATCAACATCATATCATCCATAGAGAAACAATAAGGTGATACCATATTGGCCATTGGTGTGGTAGGTGAACAAAAAGAAATATCAGATTCATAGGCAGATGATGTTGATAGTAAACCCAATCCATCTTGTTCTTGATCATCCATCAAACAAAAATCTTGTTGAAAAGTAGAATTAGGACTACCAGTAGGAATCACAATAGCATTATCATGTACCAATGAATCAGCCGCTGAAGAGAAAGAACCAAATGATGAACCTATCAAAAAAAAAAAAAGTTTAATTTTTTTTTTTAATTTTAATTTGGCATTATTGTTTTTATTTTATTTTATATATATTTTACCATAATTATCATCCATAATAGCATTTAAAGGTAACTGTTGTTGAGGAATAGGAATAGAATTGGGATCTTGTATGAGATCATGATTCATTGTGCCAAAGTCAAACAAAGTTTGAGAAAGAGCTACTTCAGGTTGTGACTTTACAGTCAAATTGGAGAAACAAACATGAAGACTGGACATTATAAATAAGATAAAATAAAAGGAACGTGAACAAAGCACAACCAAAAAGTATAAAGTAAAAAAAAAAAAAAAAAAAAAAAAAAAAAAGGACAAAGAAAAAAAGAAAAAGAAATGAGAAGAAGGTGTTTAAAAAAAAAAAAAAGTAAATCGGAAAGGGGGTCAGGGCCAAATTATATATGAAATCGAATTCCAAATTAGGAAGTTGCTCAGCGGTAAAGAAAGAAAAGGCAATCTATAGAGTTATGTCTACCCACGTAAAAAAAAATGGCTCGTTTCTAAATGGTAGCAAAAACGCCAAACCCTCTACACCGGATTTCCATTTCCCCTTATTTCTAGCCAATCAAATTAATTTATTTTTCAACATTAAGTACTATAGGGCTGAGGGAAAATCCAACATGTTAAAAAGAACGTCATTCGTGTAACTCATTTTTGGGGGGGGGGAATAAAGAAATTGACATAAAGAAATTTCCCTAACCCTTCTGTATCACCAAGTAACAAACACTAAACAACGTGGCAAAATCAAACACCGATCGGTCCATTTTCCTTTTGATCATGATTTTTTTTCTTTTTGATTTTTTTGAAACCAAAGGGAAATCAGAAACAATGAAACCCTTGTATATATGATATAAATCATTATCTTTTTTTTTTATTTTTATTATTATTATTGTATTCTTTTTCTTATTTTTTTTCTTTTTTTAATAAACATTATATCAATGTCAAGTCAAAAAAGTCAAGATCCTATTCTTTTTCCTAAACAATGGGTTGCAGGCATGGATGTAGATGTGAATCCATCAGCTAAACGAAAAACATCTATTATTTGTACTATTGGACCTAAAACAAATAATATAGATAAATTAGTAGAATTAATTGATGCTGGTATGAATATTGTTAGAATGAATTTCTCTCATGGTGATTATAAGGTAAATATAGATAAATAAAAATAAAGTGTATTATTTTCGGGAAAACTCAACTCCATTATGTAGTATCATAAATCTGTTTTGGATAATGCTAGAGCTGCTGGTGCATGTAAAGTTGTTACACCTCTCACACACACATAGACATATTTTCTAATGCCGACTCTCCTTCTTTTTTTTTTTTTTTTTTTTTTTTTATCAACCATGATATATAGTACGACCTGATAAAGTGATTGCTATTGCTTTGGATACAAAAGGACCAGAAATCCGTACGGGTATGATGCGAAATAATGAAGAGTTACCTATCAACAAAGGAACCGAACTTGTTTTTTCAACAGATGATCAATATGCAGACATATGTGACAACAAGATTATGTATGTGGATTACAAGAACTTACCCAAAGTGATCGATGTTGGTAAAATTATTTATGTAGATGATGGTGTACTCTCATTCAAGGTATTGGAAAAAGGAAGTGATCATGTCAAAGTAGTGGCTCTGAATGATGGTAAATTGGCAAGTAAGAAAGGTGTGAATCTTCCCAAGACTGAAGTGGATCTCCCAGCGTTATCTGACAAGGACAAGAAAGATTTACAATTTGGTGTAGAAAATGGAGTGGACATGATCTTTGCCTCTTTTGTTCGTCGTGGACAAGATGTGAAGGATATCCGTCGTGTATTGGGTGATAAAGGGAAAAACATCAAAATCATTTGCAAATTGGAAAATCATCAAGGCTGTCAAAATTTTGATGATATCTTGGCGGAAACAGATGGCGTGATGATTGCGCGTGGTGATATGGGGATTGAAATTCCTTGTGAACGTGTCTTTATTGCTCAAAAGATGATGATCGCGAAATGCAACCTGGTAGGTAAACCTGTGGCCTGTGCTACTCAAATGTTGGAATCCATGACTTACAACCCTCGTCCTACGCGTGCTGAAGTGTCTGATGTTGCCAATGCTGTTCTTGATGGTGCTGATCTGGTCATGTTGTCTGGTGAAACCGCAAAAGGAAGTTATCCAGTCGAAGCTGTCAAGACCATGGCAAATACATGTGAATTGGCTGAATCGGTTTTATGTTATCCTCCTCTCTTTAATGAATTGCGTCAACTTACGCCTTGGCCTACCGAAACCACTGAAACTGTCGCTTGTGCTGCTGTATCTGCTGCTACTGAACAAAATGCTGGTGCCATCATCGTCCTCTCAAAATCTGGTCGTACTGCTCGTTTGGTGGCCAAGTACCGTCCTTCTCAACCTATTGTAGTCGTTACTCGTGATGAACAAACTGCTCGCCAATCTCATCTTTGTAGAGGTGTGTTTCCATTTGTCTATGTGAGTGAACCTGAAAAGAATTGGGACTTGGATGTGGAAAATCGAATTCGTTGGGGTATCGTACAAGGTAAAAAATATGGTTTACTCAAATCAAATGATTCTGTCGTCGTTGTTCAAGGTAAAAAAAAAAAAAAAAAAAAAAATTGGAAGGAAGAAAAGAAAAAGATAGGAAGGGAATATATAACTCATTGTTTGACATCTTTTTTTTTTTTTTTTTAATATATAAATCCAACACCACATTGATTATATGATTTCTTTTTTTTTTTTAAACAACAAAAGGGTAAGGCATAGAAAAAGGAAAAAGAAAAAAATTATGGTAGATAATATATAACTAATCATTTGATATTATCCTTTTTTTATGTATATACCACCTTGCTGATCCATAACGTTATGATTTGGTTTTTAAACGGCATCTGTTTCTCTTTCTCTTCATTTTTATTTTTCAGTTGGAAAGGTGGGCTGGGCAATACAAATACTATCCGTATATTGATTACTCCTTAGTTTAGTCAGTATCAAATCATTTTTGTTTATTAATAAACTTTCATTATTGCGTGTGGAGTTTTAGTTAAAAATCTGTGGACTACTGATTCGATGGGAGGACGTGGATTTTTATTTAAAAGATGTGAGCTATTGATTTGATGTGAAGGTGTGGACTATAGATCCTTTGGGAAGATGTGGACTATTGATTTGATGTGTATTCATGACGATGGTTCTGTTGCTGATCCGGATACGGTGATGATAGTTGGCAATGCCATTTTGATTAGAGAAGAGAGCCTTGACTGAATCTAATGCCACTGCACACACAAAATAAATAAAAGAAATTAGAAAAAAGTAAAATCGTGTCATTGAATCGAACGCAAAAGAAGTAAAAATGGCTTACTTCAATACTCGACGGATGTAGAGTAGCTATCTGTGGTGATCGACATGACAGAAAGAAAGAAAACGAGTTTTTTTTTTTTTAAGGGATGTCAATTTTGATAAATCTATGTGGGCGCATAAATTTTCAATCCCCACTTTCTCCCCTTTTCTTTGTTTTCTTTGTTTTCTTTATCCTTCTTTCTCTTTTCTCTGACAACATTCTTTTCAAAAATAAATATACTCTTCAAGTCATCAAATCATTACTCTTTTCGAAGAATGAATGGCTTTGTTTACCAGAAAGAAAAAGCAAACTCCAATAACGCACGAATGGATGGTGGGAACCAAGTCGTAAGTATTATTGATAAAATAGAAGGCTGTAGCTGATAAAATAAAAAAGACATATGGACTATTTTATAACCACTAACTAGTTTTTTTTTTTTTTGAACTAAAAAACTGACATAGTTATCTTTGTTGATGATGGTATATTTTTATTTGATAGACTATTGACAAATTGAACGCCGGCTTCAAAATAAATGGACAAGTAAAATGCAATCAATGCGACACATGGAAGTCGGTAGATGACTTCTACCAAGATGTTAGTAACCTGTATACATACAAGTGTCGTGAATGTTCCAAAAAAAAAAAAATAAAGGTAAGGTTTAATATAGGAAAGGCACCATCTACAAAAAATTGACTACCATTTACGTTTTCATTTTATTTAGTACCACCAGACTTTAATTGAACAATCAATCGTAAGTGTTAGTGCTCCCCTAAAAAGAAGCAAATGGATGAATGATTCATACTTTATTTTTTCTTTTTTTGTCTTCGCTGACCATAGAATGATGATGATTCCACTTTATTCTTGCGAAGAAAAATTGAAGGAATATTAAAACGACAAATCAAGATTCATCAACGTCTACGAAGTTATACAATATTGTGCAGATCAATATTCCTCTTTTTGCAATATTTCAAGAATCTCTTTTTTCCAACATCTGAACATCTTTTTTTTTGATTATCAGGAAGATTTTATCCCGTGGTTGCATTATATCGCGCAAAAGTGTCCCAACATTGAATATTTAGAGATCACTGGAAATGGAGTCCGTGGCGACCCTCGAAAGGAGGAAATAAAGTTAGCGCAAGTCGTAAGTATTATTGATAAAATAGAAGGATGTAGTTGATAAAATAAAAAAAAAGACATATGGAATATTTATTTATTTATCACCCTTCTTTTCATTATAGGTATAAATAGAACGCGACATATGAAGCATCCTCTTGAAAACTCAACCGTAAAGAACAATGTATAGATCGATACTTCATCAAATCTGAATGGCGTCAAAGATATTAAAGTAGTTCAAGATCAGTCAAAGTCAAGCAAAAGCAAAGAAGAATCTGGAAGCCAGATTGGCCGCAAGTTGGAATAAGAATCGATTACGCTTAAGAACAATGGATTATGCTTACAGATCTGAAAAACAAATGGGCCAACCATGTGGAATAGCTGGTAAGATTGGCAGACTAAGACTATTTTATAACCACTAACTAGTTTTTTTTTTTTTTTTTGAACTAAAAAACTGACATAGTTATCTTTGTTGATGATGGTATATTTTATTTGATAGATTATCGACAACTTAAATGCTGGCGGCAGCGCAATTGGACAGATAAGATGCTGCCAGTGTGACAACTGGAAAATGGTGGATGAGTTTTACACAGATGGGCGATATCTGTACAAGTGCAATCAATGCCCCGAAAAAAAAATAAAGGTAAGGTTTAATATAGGAAAGGCACCATCTACAAAAAATTGACTACCATTTACGTTTTCATTTTATTTAGTACAATAAAACGAGAATTGAACAATCAATCGTAAGTGTTAATTCTCCCCTAAAAAAAAGCAAATGGATGAATGATTCATACTTTATTTCTTTTTTTTTTTATCTTCGCTGACTATAGAATGATGATGATTCTACGTTATTCCTTCGAAGAAAGATTGAAGGTATATTGCGTCGACAAATCAAGATTCATCAACGTCTACGAAGTTATACAATATTGTGCAGATCAAGAACATCCTTGTTTTTGAATATCTTTTTTTTTGAATATCTTTTTTTTTTTTTTTGAATAAATTTTTTTTGAATATCTTTTTTTTGAATGTCTTTTTTTTGAATGTCTTTTTTTTGAATGTCTTTTTTTTGAATGTCTTTTTTTAAGTGTCTTTTTTTAAGTGTCTTTTTTTGAACATCCTTTTTTTTAAACATCCTTTTTTTAAACATCCTTTTTTTTAAACATCCTTTTTTTTAAACATCCTTTTTCTTGAACATCCTTTTTTCTTGAACATCCTTTTTTTTGAACAATCAATCGTAAGTGTCAGCACCTCCTCCTTTTTTTCAGCATCTCAAGCCATTTTTTTTTTATCATTGACAAGGATGATGTATTATTTAAACACATACCTCTTTTGGTCGGGGAAGGTATGTGACAGGGACAGGAATAATGACGACACATCCTAGGTGGATAATATTATCTTTATATTCTCATTTAAATAAAGGCGTATTTTGCCGTTTTCATTCATATTGTTTTAATCTAGATTGACTTATGAAAATGGATCATTATTATTAGGATGAATTATATAAACTTTTTCTTATTATTTAAATTTTGATAATCTAAGATAGTAGGTTTTTCACATTATAATAATTCCCTTTTTTTCTTTATCAGTCAAACAATAAGTGAAACCTTGAGATTTGGGATTTTTTTGTAGTTTATGCAAATTGTTTTTTGTGAGCGCCGTTATAAACCTACCTACCTATCAAAGACCTTTTTTCATCAGCTGTCTTTTTAGGGAGGGAAAGAGTTACACCATTCATCCAAACAACCCAAAAAAAAAAAAAGTTCACACATTTTTTTTTTTTCGTTTTCCTTTTTATTTCTCGTATTTCTTTTTTTTTTTTTCTTTTCTTTTTTTTTTTTTTTTTATTATTAAATTAGAAAGAAATGGGTGCTCATCACAGTAGAGAATTCATTAATGGAGAAAAACGACGACGAAAGAACAAAAACAATAAAAACGATAGTGATCAAAAGTTAGCACGACATACAAGTTATACAGATAACAATAGCATATCGACTTCACCAAAATACAGTCCGTTCTATAGACGGACCAACTCATCAATCACAGTACCGTCGAATCCCGTCAATCCTGTACGACACCAAGTTGTTTTATCAGACCAAATCATGCCATTGTCTTCCTTAATGTCCATTGCCAGCCATGTTCATAATGACAATAAACATCTCAGTATTCAATCCAACAGTACCTATCGACGGAAAAGTACACAAAAGGAATATGATACCATCAGTATTTCAGGTCTGACGAGTGATGATGACGATCGTACCAAATCTTCCTCTTCTCGCTCAGCCTTATATGCAAGCTCCATTGACTCGGCAAGTTCTATGCAGACACCACCTTCTCATGTTTTACATCGTCAAATCTCCTTCAGTGATCCCATCAAACATCATCCTAAAAATGGTCCTATTGTCTTTGATACAACTATACAAAACGATCATCAACCTCACATTCAACGAAAGGATTCGATGCGACCATTACGTGTTTTTGATTATGGTCACGAAAAGGAATACAATAGGTAATTAAATTTTTTTTTTTTTTTTTGTGTGGAATGAAAACTCATTAGAATATCCTCTTTTTTATAAAAAAAAAAAAACATAGGCAATTACGACAGGTAATATGATATGAAATCATGTGTATGTGTGATGATTAAATATGAATCTTTTTTTTTTTTTTTTTATATATAGCATTATGTTCTCAAACAAGTGTTTGGAGGTAATATTCAAACAACGTTGATCAATCCGAAGCGTATATTGGATAGTGGATGTGGTATTGGATTATGGACTTGGGAAGTGAGTCAACAATACTTGAACTGTGATGTAATTGGCATCGATATCCATTTACCAGATCAACAACCTGGACCATGGGGAACTACTATAGCATCGCAACAACAATCTGAAGATGGTAACAGAAGAACTTTTGTAACGGCAGGAAGCAATATTTCATTTGTATATGGGGATGTTATGAAACCATTACCTTTTGATGACAACTCCTTTGATTATATTCATCAATTGGAAGGTGCGATGCTTATTCCTTCTGATCATTGGCAACCTCTCTTGACGGAATTCCATCGGATACTGAAAGTGGGTGGCAAGATCGAATTAGTGGAACACGGTAAAAAAAAAAAAAAAAAGTCATTTATTCTCAGTTCTCATTTTTTTTTTATTTAGATATTGTTTTCAATAATCCTGGACCGGTATTAACAATGATGAATGAATGGTATCGAATGGCAACTTGTGATATTGGTGTTAGTGTAAGTGTGGACCGAGAAACAATGAATAAAATGTTATCTTCTGCTGGTTTTGATGAAATTCAAGTGATTGTTCATGACATTCCTATTGGTGAATGGCCCGATGACCCTGGTAAAATGATCCAAACAAGGAAACTCCCCAGATTTTTCTAATTTTTTTTTTAATAGTACAAAAACAACATGGATTTCTTTATAAAGAACAAATCAGAGCCACTTTCAAATCAGCTCAACGATGGTGGATAGCAGAAACTGGAATTACTCAACAAGAATATGATCGTGTATGTGCAGAAGCCATGGAAGAATTCGAAGATTATAGTAGTAGTGTTACTTGGAGAATTTATACCGCCACCAAATCGTCACCCCCTTCTTAATTTGATTCTATTTGTGTCACACCCCCCATTTCTTATAGTTTTGAAAGCTGGTCTTTCCTCTTCCTTTTTTTTTTTTATCATTTAGTTTTATGCTTCTATATATATATTCTGTGTATGTTGTATGTTTTTATGTATATTAATATGAATCAAATTATCTTATACCAATTCAATACTTCTTAATAAAACCAACAAAATAAATATATTTTAACAATCAATTTGTATCATGATGTACATCCTGTAGATATGACGTAAAATAAAATAAAAGATAGGACGGGGTATACTTTTATGCACCGTTTCCTATGGTGTCACGACCATTAAAAAAGGAAACTAGAATGTGGGTGGAACAAGTTTCCATAGTAACCATACGTGTTTTCTTTTTTCTTTTCTTTTTTGTGCAAGTCAGCTGCAATGAAAGTCTTTTTTTTGACATTTTTTTTTCTTTTGTTTCTATTTTTACAAAAAAAAAAAGATCACCTGTATTTCTTTTAATAAATACCTCATCTCTTTTTTTGGCGCTTATCTTTAATCTACATCGTGGGGTATCATCATAAAATAAAAAAAAAATTATACAGTCCGATTCCTTTTTGGGTATAACAAACAAAAAAAGTCCTTTGAAATAAGCTCATCTATTTTTTTTTTTTTTTTTTTTTTACGTAGCAATGAAAATGCTTCATCAACGGATCGATCGCCTTTCATAAAAGGAAAAATCCCAAAAAGAATGATAAGCTTTATTTAATATACAACGGCGAATAGTACCTTAAATTGGAAGTTTGTGTACCATCTTACAAACATGATAGGTGACAGTAATGATGACATTAAATGATGGATGAATAGTAATGACAAAGATGACGAATGGACCATAGCAATGACAGTGTATTGCGAATTGTGTGGACTACTATGATGGTACGATTAGTTACGATAGGGGGAAGCGTTGTCTAGTCCAAAGATTTTTTCAATTTTTTTTTTTTTGATTTTGCAGCCAGAAGTTTCCTCAGCCAAATTTTTAGCTGTAAAGATCGTCAGGGGATCACCAGGTAAATTTTCGAAAAATCTATGAAATCTTTTGGTACTCGTCATAGAATACGTGGCAAGATAAGCAGTAAAATGGTATTAAATTACTTTCTTCGGAGAATCTAACCATGATGGCTTTTTTAGATGATGATCATTATTGGGTGAGTGATGACTGAATTGACTCTTTTTTTTTAATTTACTCTATAAACTGGGAGATAAGTTACAAGTTGTTATTGAGATAAATGAAAGAGAATATGTTCGGGTATGTTCAGTCCAAATTTGGTTCAATGATGGATACTTTTGAGAGAGAAATGAAAAAATAAAGTTTTCTCTTGAATGCAGAATGAACAAATTGAATAACTATCTCCGTTCTTGCAGTCAACAACCACTCAGCTAAAATTTTGGCTGTAAATATCCATCATCATCATTATCAACTTTTTTTTTCCACATTGACTCTTCCACAAGGCATATTTGTCACACGAATATTTATTGATATAAAAAAAAAACAATCTAGCGGGTCAACAGCAAAAGGGATTGTACATTGGATTTCCGTCTTCGGTCCACTTCGGGTTCACAGTCTTGATAACAAATGAATCGCCAACAATGAAGAAAAGGAAGCATTTGTAAAGGAGTATCATGAACAGCACCTAAAGCATCGTACTCAGGATCCCAAAAAGTCAGACCTTGTATCACATGTCCATAGCCCAATCTAGTCAAGACAGTGACACGATGTTGATGAATCCATGCCTTGTTACGATGTCGTTGACGTGCTTTAGATTTGCGCAAGTAAACAAGTTCATCCAAACCACCAGTATAATCATCATCATCATCATCATTGTTGTTGTTGTTGTTGTCATTGTTGCTGTTGTGGCGTATAATCGGCTTGTTTTTCCGAACCCAAACCCATCCATCATTTTGTTGTGAAGTCTTCTTTTTGACCATATCTGAAAAAGGAATAGTCCATGAGTAAGAGACAATACACCAGTCATCATCATCATCATCAAGCTGTTGTTTGTTTTGACAAGAGGTGGCACCTAACCTAGGGAATTCATCATCGTTGTTCAACCAATCAAGATAATCCATCCGGTATAATCCCACTCTCTCTGTTCCAGTCAATTAAGTCTGAAACAGCAAAAACAAAAAAATAAAAAAAAAAAAAAGGTGAAGTAAAGAAACAAAAAAAAAAAAAAAATCCATGTTTTTTTATTTGTATACTGCGGCAATCTTATAATATAAAAATAGACACTAAACTCCCAAATATAGAGAAATTCTTCATTGACGTTCTTCTTCTTTGACGGTGGTTTCGAAATCCAACTTGACTGCTTGATAAAACTTATCACTAAGTAACACTTTTGCTGCGGCCATTGTCATCGCTTTGGCTGCCCTAATACTATCTTGATGTGCTTGTTCTGTTTTGGCTTGAGCGGCGAATTCCTTTGAATGAGTAGAGACACCTTCTTTGGAATGAATAGAAAACATAGGATGGATGGATGGTACTGAGTAGCTGACATTGCCCTAATAAAAGAAAAAAGGAAGTTATGAAGCAACCATCGTTATCATCATCTACTCTTTTTTTTTTTTATTACCATATCCGTTGAGCCACTTGGATAGGATTCTTGTAATGTTCGATCAGGGAATACTACACCAGTCTGTTTCATATAATGAGCATACGTATCAGCTAATATACTGTTTTGTACCACATCTCGAGTAGCACCACGTTCAGTCCATTTATATTTAACCTGACATCCAGTTGCTTTGGCGGCAGCTTCGAAACATTGTTCTACCTTAGTCTTGATTCTATGGATATCACCGTATTTGTGTGTTCGTACGTAGAACCAGGCAGATGTATGATCAGGAATGATATTTGGCTAGATAGTATGTAAAAAGCAATGAGTTTAAGAAAATATCTATACATATATATATCCTTTACTTACAGCAGCCCCACCATTAGTGATAATACCATGAACTCTATCAATGAGTAATAGCAAAAAAAAAAAAAAATAGATTAGAGAACAATAAAGAAATGAAGGAGTCATCATACCTATCAGTAGGAAGTAATTGTTGTCGAAGCATACTGATATTATTGTAAGCTTGAACCATAGCATCTAATGCATTGACACCTTCCCAAGGGGATCCAGAAGCATGAGAAGGTTTTCCAAAGAATTCCACAACCACATCTTGAGAAGCAATCATATGAACATATTGGGCATCCACAGGACTAAGAAGAAATAAAAAGAATTAATTTATCATCATTCATAAAATAATTCATCATCATTAAAGCTTGATATTCCCTTTTTTTTTATTATTTAATCTTACCTAGGATGAAGCATAACACAAATATCTACATTATTTTGGAAAGCCTTTTGATTGACCATTTCAATCTTGCCAATAAAAACTTCTTCAGCTGGAGTACCAAAGAGAACCACCCTACCTTTGGCAACATCCTTTTCAAGTAATGCCTTTAAACCAATGGCTCCAGCAACACCACAAATAGCAATCAAATTATGTCCACATCCTTGTCCAATAGAAGGTAAAGCATCATACTACAGAAAAAGAGAGAGTGAGAGTTAGGAATTTAACATTGGTTTGATATATATATATATATATATTTACCTCTGAGCATACACCAACTCTTTTACCATCACCATTACTGTATTCAGCAGTGAATGCTGTGTCCATACCATAAGCATGTCGAGTCACCTTGAACCCTTTTCCTTCCAAATAATCAGTCAATACTTGATGAGCATGGTATTCTTTCATACCAGTTTCAGGATTGGCATGAAGCTAATAAAATATATATAATAAAAAAATATAAGGTTAAAAGTCAACGAAGGTAAAAAAAAAAAAAAAAAAAAAAAAAGAAAAAAAAAAAAAAAGAGGGTCTGTTTACATCTAGACTAATTTCTCGAAGTTCAGACGAAATATTGTCAATGGCTTCTTTCACAATGGCATCGGCTTTTTCATAATCACATTCCAGATCAAGATGATTCAATGCCTAATGTTTGTTTGTTTTTTTTTTTCGAAGTATAAGAATAAAAAAAAAAAAGAGAGAAAGAGAAAAGGGGGTGGGTTCAGTGGTTGCTTTAATAAAAAAGTCGTGTTTTCAATATCCGCGCGATTCATTTTTTTTTTTTACCACTTCTAGAGAATCGACATAGGTAGATGGTTTGGTATAGTTACTTGAGGGATATTCTTGTTTTTCATGGTTAAGACACATATCTGGGATATAAAGAGAGAAAGGAAAAAAAAAAGGAAAAGAATTAAAACAACAGAAAAATTACTCATACTATTTAAATCAAAGTTTTACCTTACTATTATATTTTACTCACGCTTTTAAAGAAAGTCGGGTGTAATTTACCATAAGAGGTTGTTGTGGGTAAAAAATATAATAACAAAGTAATAAGAATGGTTCAAGATAACAAACTTCTTTTTTCATGATTGATATCACTCTATCATGTTAAGAATTAATCATCATCATTACTATCATATAAATGAATAAATAGATAATAATAATAAAATAGGAATCATGCAACTTCATTTAGAATCAGCATCAAGTAAAATCATTAAATCATCATTATAACTTTATTATACAATTAAGAAAAAAAAAAGCAAAAACATATACATAGAAACAAGGTAACAAAATAAATACTATTCTAATATAATAATATCAGAATGATTATCCAGTCGAGGTCGTTTTTCAAGTGGTTCATCTGTTTTCGAGAATCCATCATCATCATCATCATGGTAATCATCATTATCCGGCTCCTCGGACAAAATCAGTGGTGATAATGCAGTGGGTGATAAGGGTTGTTCTTTCAAAGTCAGAGGTGAAGATGGCCGATACGATGATAAAGGTGGATGATTCTTCGGTGGTTGATATTGATCTTCAGTTTGATAAGTACCATCTTGTGTAAGGATAAATCGAGTATGCTCAGGATATGTTGTAAGAGCACGTTTTAATGGATAATCGATATAGAGTTCCTAAAAACCAAAAAAAAAAAAAAAATTAGTCCATTTTATCTTTGATATACTTTCTTTTTTTTTTTTTTTATTCTCTTCATACCCGAATTCCCCTAATATGAATGTAACATAAAGGACAAGTCCATTGTTGTTGCTCTTTATGACATTTGAAAAAAGAGATGGCATCAAAACATGAGGTATGTCGACAGAAAATGCTTCGTGTTGGATGTTGTATTTTCGTTAGCATAATTGGATCCATCAGTGAGATATATTCGTTGCCCATCACCAAATCATCATCATCATCATCAGAATTATTATCATCAATATGCTGTGTATCTATAGAAACCAAATTATATATCTTCATTAATATCATTAAATTCATTTTTGATCCATAAATTACCTTCAAAGAATAAGCGACCACTTTCTAGAAATAAAGCTTCTACATTGTCCAAAAGCCAACGAGCTGATGGTCGATATTGATCCAATAAATAGGTGGCATCACGCTGAGCTTGAAGAATATTTTTGCTTGTTGATAATGCGGTGGATATACAATTAGATGCACTTTGGGTGTATAATTGACATGTCAGCTATATATATATATATATATATAAAGGAAGATATAAATAAAATAGCATATAGTAAATATTGTATTGAAAGCTTACATCAATATTCGACTTTTCCCAAACACTACATATGGTAATATGTTTGATAGTAGATGAAACAAGAGTATCATCCAATGTAAAGCATAATGTGATATCTTTTGATTCTTGATCTTTGAGAGAATTCCAATCTAGTTTATCAGTGATATCAATATATTTGAAGTTGTTGGTTACGATTTCCTAATATAAAATAAATCAATAAAAATATAAATAATAATATAAAAGTCTTTTTACCTTGTCCTTTTCAGTCCAACATTCAATATCATTGAATTTCAAAGATATACAATGAGGAAAAACAGGGTATCTTGGTGACATCCAAAGATATAGATGAAAACGAAGATTTCGATCCTTTGATGTTGATAAATGCCGCTCTAGTTTTTGCATATCGATGGTGTAACGATAATTGGATGATGATTCAATAGTTGTTGATAAAGAAGGTTGTGTATCCAATCGAATTAATTCTTCCCAACGTTCAAAAGATTCTTTCGTAGGTAATTGATCATAGGCAAAATAGATAGTTCCTTTTTTATTAGATATTGGTCGACTATTTGAAAAGAAAATATTAATAATAATGAATATCATTTATTCTAATTTGATAGATAACTTATTTTTACTTTTCTCTATCTTGACGACACGCTTGTTCCTTGGCTTTTCCAAAAGAGTAGCCTGGGTATATAAGATCTAACAATAGTCGAGCATGATCTTGCTGTTTGATTCTGGCCGAAGGTTGTTTGATGTTGGTAAGATCATGATCTAAAAGATATTGATGTATTGTAGTTAGTTTCGGTTTGTTGTATAATAGTATGTTTGCAGGTTCCTATTTAACAAAACAAGAACAAAGTGTAAATAATATTAATTAAAAAAAAAAACAAGCCACAATATATGATTTACCATGAAGGTTTCCATAGACTTCGTTAATGAAGGTAACTTGAGTATTTTTCCAAGTTGTCGTATTTGAGAAATAGTAAGAATATGACATACTGGTTTTAACCTTTTACGTTTCTTATGCCATACTACGCCCATAAGGAAACGTCAAAAAAAAAAAGAGAAGAGAAAAAAAATCCCGGAGAAACAAAAAAAATAGGTTTTTCCATTCTGGAGTGGGCTTCAATTCACTTACCTTTTTTGGCCACATTCAAAAAGAAAAAAAAAAAAAGAGAGAAATAGGCCTTGAACTTTGTTTATGATTCATCCAATCAAACTCAAATTATAATTGCAAAAGGGTCATTTCTTTATTTGACATATTCATAGAAGCAAAGATAACAATAATAATTTATCTTAAATGATCATCTTTACTTTCTTTTTTTTTTTTTTTTATTATAGTTATTGGATCCGCTTCCCAAGTTTAGGCAAAACTATTAAGCTCTCCACGGAGTACAAAACTTGGAGGGGGCCGACACCCAATATTCTTTCCAAAAAAGCGGAGATGACGGTGTAATTGTAATGAATAAGAAGCATCAGGGCGAAAAAGAAAAAGAAGTAATAGTATGATGATGATATATATTTTAATGCATGTCATACAATTAAAAAAAAGTATTAATATACAATAGAAAAGGAATCATACATAAACTTCTTGTTTATTTAATAATAAGTCATTCTCATTCATCTTTACTTGCACCGGTAGATCATCAAAGGTTTTTCATAATAATTAAGTCAACTAGAACCAAAAACAAATCATCTCATTTTTTAATTTCCGACTTTGATTTTCTCTACTAATCTTGATATATACAAATTGAAAAAAAAAAAAAAGATGTGGAGAAGTATAGTGAATCAGGATTCAGGAACATAGAATGAAGGTGATGATGATTAATATAATTGATTTATTAATGAAGATGATTTTAATAAACAAACAAAAAAAAAAGAAAAAAAGAAGTACTCAACTAGGATTTCATGAAAAGATAATCTCAATTTCTTTTTGGTATTTAAACTTTCATCCATCATGTTCATGACAAACGGTTTTACATTTTTAGGCATCTGCCAATCAAAAAACAAATTTCTCCGCTCCATCATAATAAAGGCGGATACATACCAAACACACACACAGACATACACACTACATCAAAACCACTCACCTGTGAAAGAAAAACAGAACGATTTTTTTTAACGGACTTGCAAAGTTTTTTCCGCTTAAATCGACTTTTTTTTTTCTTTCTACCGAATTTCAAGTTTTTTTTTTTTTTCTTTTCTTTTCTTTCCTTCTCTCTTTCTTTCTTTCTCTCTTTCTCTTTTGCCGCGTTGGTGCTTTTATTCCCATTCTTTTTATTTTAGCTATTACTTTGTATCTGGCGTTGTATACAAAGCATTATGTCTGTACAGGAACAGCATTTGAATCAAAAGTTCCCGTCGGACAACGACATTCCTTCACCACCTACTTCTGATAATGAACACGACTTTTCCCTTACAGACTTATTACAACCCACTATGACACTGGACCAGATAAAGATTATCGAGATGGCTTTGGCAAAAATCAAAAGTAAACGTGATGCGTTATTATCAAGTGAACAACAAGGTAAACTATTATACAAAATAAGTGATGACAACACGTTCTTCCTTTTTTTTTTTATCTGTCACTTAGAGTATGGTTGAACTGATATATAAAATACTTTTTTTTTTTGTAACACCCAACAATAGGTGGTAGTACAATTCCTTCTTATGATTGGGCTATGGTTGCGAAACAAATGGCTAAAGCTTTGACCACTACTTGTCATAAGCAATCTATCAAGACATCCTCCTCCAATATGCTCTCCTCTTCCTCCTCAATCATCACACCTCCTGCATCTACAACGTCTTCTTCTACAACCACGACTGATAACTCCACTAACAAAATCACGACGCCCAACACCTCTTCATCTGTCACGACCGAATCACCTTCTAAGCCACTAAACCCCGCGTCCACCTTTACAACTCCTCCAGCTTCTCCTCCGGCTTCTTCCTCATCGACTTCCATCAATGATTCAGTTACCGACAATAAACCAACTTCTGTAGAACCTATGACTGAAATCAAAGATGGTGTAGAATGGGTCAGTTTTGTATATTCTCATCATCGTGTGGTTAGACGTTATCGTATTAGAACGGATTTGGATACTGTACAAGTTAGTGATTTAGATGAAAAATTTAAAAGTGACAATTGTGTAAGTATAGATAATATTATATATATAGATATATTGATCATCCATTGTTTTTTTTATTATTATTGATAGGTTTATCCAAGGGCCAATTTACCAAGAGAATCATATCAAGGAAATCGATGGGCTTATGAAACTGAATGTAACACATTGGGATGGAAGTTAGCTCATTTGAATATGGACGAAATTGCTGGCAAACGTGGCTTGATTCAAAGAGCAGTAGATTCCTACCGAAATAGGTATCCAAGTATGCGATCTCGTAGGGTGGCACGACAAGAAAAACTTTTAAAGGGAACTTTACGAAAACGGAAACAATCACCAACTTCGGAAGATGATGTAGATGGTCTTCCTTGCAAGGTATCAAATATTCATTCCTCATCTAACAATAATGATTCAACAACAACATCATCATCATCAACAACAACAACAACATCATCATCATCAATAACGTCATCCTCATCATCAACATCCAAGGCCACTCCATGTTCAAAAATACCCAAGATATACCCCTGTCATGAAAAAACCAAGGCTCATCCGAAAACATTGACGATCGAGGATCATGGTGTTAAATGTCGTGTTCGTATCAATATTGAATCTGTTGACTTGAACCTTATCGATGACAACTTCCGAAGAAACAACTGTGTATTTCCTCGTGCTATGAATTTGACCTCTTCTAATAATTTGACTCAACGACGACAGGATGAAGCAAAATGCAATGAAATTGGATGGAAATTGGTAAGTATCATTATGCAAATAAAAAAAAATCTGTATTGTATGATGATTAACATTCTTCTTCTTTTCATAGGCTTGGCTCAATCCCAAACATTTGGCCAATAAAAAGAATTTACTTCAACGTATTCTGGATATTTATCGTACAAAATTTGTTCCACATTTGACTCCTCGACAATCACCACGCACACCTAAACAGTCTACACCCACTGAAAATAAACCAACTCCTTTGACAACCGAAGCATTAGCAGCACATCATCAACAACAAGAACAATTGGCAGCAAAGAATGGATTAAGTAACAACAGTGTTCGCTATGTTTGCAAAAAGAAGGAAGATGATGATGATAATGATACGATTTATACTGGAACAACCGACTCTTTAGATTTTAGGGATTGTTTCTCACCTCCTCCAGAAACGACCACCACTATGGATGATCTCTCTACATTTGATGATCCGCTTTTGGTACCTATACTAGCTACGGACCTTACTGATTTCAACACTTTGACTGTTCCTCCTCCACCTCCTATGATGGGTGACGAATATTTTGAATCGGTTTTGGATCCTTTGGCATCTCCTCCACCACAATCTCTTTCTGCAACGTTGACCTCTTCTTCTGATCTTATGGATGATACAAGCTGTCATCTTAGTGTAGGTAGTTGTCAAAATTCTCCTCCTCATCGGTATACTTCCCTTGGGCCTTTATGTGAAGATACGTTTATGGATCCATTTGTATTGACCACAGAAGATCATTCATCTCATTCTTCTGCCGATGTATATATGTTTGATACCAAGTCTACAACATTTTCACCACTTCCTACCGATATTTTTGCAGCGCAAGATATGGATTGGACTCCTGATGTAGAGGATTGTATGTTAGCGGATTTACATTCGGATGTTCTAGTACATCAACTCTTTTTGGCTTGATATTTTTCATTCTTTTTTTATTTATTTATTTATTTATTTTATATATAGAATTCTTTATTTCTCTTCCCCCCAAAAAAAAATCACATTCATTTACTTTGTACAGCATATAGTTTGTTTATTCATCTTCCTTTAGTTTAATGATTTTCTTTTTTTATTTACTTCTCTCTTTATTTTTTTTTTTTTTGTATGTATTATATATATAAATATATATATCTTTTTGTTCCCAAAAATATATTAATAAAAAAAAAATAACCTTTTTTTTTTATTTATCCATGTCTTCGGCGCAAATATTTTACCGTTCTTACCCTTCGGCCCATTTTGATAATAAAAAGTTGCTTATGAGAATGACCAAAAGGGACTCTTTTTTCAAACGCCGGACTGGTTCCAATCTATACAACAATGTAATTTTTTGCCCCATCCTTTTCTTCCTCTCTCACACACACTTTTTTTTTTCTTTACTTTTTCTTTTCTCTATAATCCTTTATTGTGATGAGTTTCGAAATTGACACGGTCAGTTATGCGTTATTGACCTCTATTTTTGGAGCCACGGCATTCATGTCTCTACGCAATTTCAAGGGTCCTGATATTCATCCTCTCTTACTCAACACACAGTCAGATGTTTCTCGTTTACGTCATGCTGGTGAATCTGCGATTTATCGTTCTCGAATGTATCCCAATGGTTCTCCTTTGTTGTCTATTTTTGACCGTGGTATTCGTACGTTATTGGACTTGTATGAACAAGGTGGACAAATTAAACAACCTCAAGCTCCCTTTTTAGGTCAACAGAATCAATGGGTAAAAAAAAAAGACGTGACAATGGTACAAAGGTTTTGTCAATATTCATTTTTTTTTTTGTCTCTTTCTCTCTCTATCTCGTTTCTTTTTGTACTTTATATATATACATAGCAAACTCACGGTAAGTAAATGACTTTTTTCTTTTCTACATGGACAAAAAAAGGGGGGGCATGGTTAGGGCCTGAAATAATAATACAAATGAAACAATTGTATTTTTATATTCTTGTAGAATCGATAGCACAACAAGCAAGGTACGTTTATGGTGGTTTACGTGAATGGACAACTTTAGTACCAAGATCTGGCCAATCTTCTTCATTTGTTGGTATTTATGCTTATAATTCTATTGGTAAGTTTTAACTTTGAAATAATGTTAAATGATACTTATCTTTTTTTTTTTTTTTTTTGGTGAAATAGAAACAATGACATTGACATTAGGTAAATGAAAGTTTTTAGTATTTGTTTATATATTCATATGATATAATTCTTATTGTGTAGCTTGTCATAACAATGGCCTTGTTACTGTACCAATGGGCGCCAAGTCATCCTCCTCTCATGTGGATCATGTTATCAAGACAACTGGATTACAAGTGTTGGCTGTAGACCGTGCTCATGTCGATCAGGTGATGTCATTGATTAAAGGTACTAGTGTTCAACTTTTGATTATTCTGGATGACATGAAGGATATCTCTGGCACTTCTGTTGAAGTTGTATCTCTTCAAGATATTGTGAACAAGGGCAAATCATCCACTATTGAAGCCGTACGACCTGGTAATGATAGTAAAATTATGGGCGTGTTGTAGAAGATAACTGGACAGTTAACATTCTCTTTCTATTTTATTTCTTAGAACCCACTGATATCGCTAGTATCTACTTTAGTAGTGTTTTGGTAAGTCATATAACTTGAGTTTTATTCATAGTTATCTAATTTTTCTTCTCTATTTTTAAAATAGGATTCAGATCCTGGTGTTATTTTGACTCATAAAAACTTACTCTCCAATATCGGTAAGAGAGAGTGAATAAAAAAAAAAAAAGGATAAGATATATATATATATATATATGTATAAAACAACTAACGGTGAGGTTTTTTCTTAGCAAGTTATTTGTTGATCATTCCTCCTCAAGAAAAAATTACTCACAAAGATCGATTGATGTATAATCTCCCACTTGGTAAAAAAAAAAAAAAAAAAAAAAAAAAAAAGGGAATATTATACTCATTATATTATTTTTGGATTTTTTTTTTTTGGTATGATGATGGTGATGATATGGATATTTAGACAATGTGTTTGGCTTTGTATTATCTTCCATGTTCTCATTCTTAGGTGGCTCAATTGCTTTTGATAATGAATATTCTGCCAGTGAACATTTGACTTCTTATCTTGATCTTGTGGTAGCAGCCAAACCCACTGTTTTTGCAACGTAATGGATATAAATATAATAAATTAGGTAAAAATGACTCATATATTCTTCATCTTCCTATTATAGTGGATCTGGATTCTTTGAACTGGTGCAAGAACATATTGATCAGCATTATGGCAATTCCTTCTTCTTCCGACGTGGATATGAAAAGAAATGTTCATTCTTTGATGAAGGTCGATTAGTGACAGATAGCAAATATGATATGTTTGTTTTTCGAGATATTCAACGCAAACTGTTTGGTGGCCAGCTACGATTGATTTACCTTGAAAATGGTATATAATACAAAGGAATGAAAGTAAAAGAAGTATTGATAACATTTATATATCCATTAGATGAAAGTGATCCTCCTGTTGCTCCCTTTTTACGTGCGGTATTGGGTACTCAAGTACTAAAAGTATTTAATAGTGCGGAAACGAGTGGAACCATGACGGCATCAATGTTTTATGATTACAAGGCTGATCCTCTATCGTTTGGTGCTCCTTTGCCTTGCAATGAATTGAAATTGATGGACTTGCCTGAAAAAGAACTTTATTGTGATGATACTCCTAATCCTCGTGGTGAAATCTGGATTCGTGGTAACAATGTGTTTCAAGGTTATTGGAATGATCCTACAACATCAGATGAAATGGTAGATGCGGATGGATGGTATATGACTGGTGTATTGGGAGAAATCCAACCAAATGGTACTTTGAAACTATTGGGTAGAAAATGAAAAAAAACAAATAAATAATATATATTCTATTTCGACAAAATAAAGATAATCTGTTTTTTCCTCTCCTCTTTTTTTGTGTGTGTGTCTCTTGTTCTAATATATCTGTTTATTTGGATTATGAATAATTGCAATCAAATATTATAAAATATGTCATTTCATCATCATACATATATATTGACTTTTTTATAAGATAGAAAAATCCCTTTTGATGAGTTGTCATGCTTAGTAAAAAGTATTATGAGGGTCAATGCGTACATCGCATGGCTTGGCTGCTGAATTTCAATTTTCCGATTTCCCCGTATTCCCTTGTCTTATAACAAATTAGAAAAGAAGGGGTCTCCTTCCTCCTTTTTTGTTTTTTGTTTTTTTTTTTTTTTTTTTTTTTTCGTTGTTGTTCGTCTTTTTTTCAATACATCCTTTTTTATTATTACACTGCTGTTTGTATTATCAACATGAAGTTATTCCAAACTGTTCATGATTTCAACTATGAATGGAATCTTGTATCAACAGCACAATGGCAAAAATACCCAAACGATAATTGTCCTCATGTTCAAGCTGTGGATGTATTGAATAGTTCTATTGACCATACTACCGGCATTCTTACTACTGAACGACTTATTACAGTTGTACAAAATGTACCATCTTTAATTCGAAAGGTAAAAAAAAAGAGACAGGATTATCACTGTTGATATTGAATATATATGTTATTTAGATTCTTGGTACAGGTACTACTCAATATGTTCGTGAAATTTCTATTATCGATCCCAAAGCCAAGACGTTGACTATGCGTAGTATCAATTTAACCATGGCTAACTTGTTAAAAGTGGAAGAAACCATTGTATACCGAGAACATCCTGATGACCAACAAAAGTAAAAAAAAAAAAAAAAAGGGAATAGATAGTATTAGTTGAGGAGGGTTTCTTTGTTACTCATATTTTTTTTTTTTTTTTGTAGAACACAATTTACTCAGCAAGCCGCGATTTCCGCGGGCAGTATGATGTCACGGTGGGCTAGTATTATTGAAGATTTTTCCTTGAAACGATTCCAACAAAATGCTGCTGTAGGTCGTGAAGGATTTTCAAAGGTACTCGAACGATTTGTCGTCATGGCTGAAGCGGCAGATTCAAACAAAGCTGGTCTTGGCCAATGATTCCCCTCAGATTGAACTTTTGGAAACAAATCTTTATATATATTGTATACAACTTCACGTGCAACAAAAAAAAAAAAAAAAGTATTATCTTTACCCTTTTACCCCAGTTGGGTTATTTTGATTTCTTCCTTTCCTTTTTCCTCTCCCTGTATTTAGAAACCATATCATCTTTTTATTTTTATATGATCACCCTTTGTACACACACATACGCAAACGCATACAGCATACAAACCTACATTCTACTCCTCTCATACACAACATACACACATACACACTCTCTCTCTCTCTTTGAACAAATAACAAAAGATAGTTTTACTATTAGATTTATTCCTTTTTTTTTTTTTTTATACAACCATTGAAATAAAGAAACATTTGTCTTTTGTATCACTCTTTTTTTTTTTTTTTTTATCTTAACCCATCTCTATTCCATCAAATTACCATTTTTGAAGGATGCTTACTGACACATTCAAAACAGTCGGTTTTGCACTCCGTCTTTACTTTTTTTTTTTTTTACCCCATTCTTTTTTTTCTTCCTTTTCTTTTCTTTTCTTTTCTTTTCTTTTCTTTTCTTTTCTTTTCTTTTCTTTTCTTTTCTTTTATTATTATTTTTTCTTTCTATGTCTACTATGAATATCCTTCAAATATATGAAGATGTTCTTATTAAAAACATTTCACAAATTACAACCATCGAAGCAGCTTTACGGTCCTTGTAAGTTCTATCGGAATAGACTCGGTTAGGGGAAAAAAGGAACACAACTGTACTCACCATTACTTCTTTTTTTTCTTAGGTCATATATACTTCCAGGTATAGGATAACGTGATTCAATTTTTTTTTTATTCATGTCATATTATCAATTATTCATTTTCACTATATATATATATATATATATTGTATGTACAGGAAGATTCCAGGATGCAGAGTTGACCTCACAAACATGTAATTAATTGAAAAAAGGAAAGCTTATATAAAAGGCTAATATTATTTCCCTATTTGCCGTTTTCTTTGGTTTTAACCCGATCATTCAGTATATGCAGGATTGAATTTGATTGGATTATATCACAATTCTATTTTACGACGAGCTGCCAACGATATTATCCAACAGTGCAAAGTCACCAATATTGAAGAATCACAATTCAATAAATATACAAGATTTTGGAATCATCAGTCAGGAACACATCGCATGATTTCAAGAATTCTTTCAATCATTGCTTATACTCAAGTTTTGATGGAAATGGGATTGTTACGGAAAAGATCTCACAAAACACATTATCAATGGATAGCTATTTTGGAAGCTATCAAGTAAGCATTACATATTTTATTATTTATCATTACAAAACTTATTTTTTTTTTTTATTATTATTATTAGAGCTATTTTACGATTAACATTCTTTCGTATTACAAATCATCGTATGATATTATACCCTCCTCATTTAGAACGGGACATTGAACCTGCCAAATTGGATCCTGGACGACATCATGAACTTCAAGTACCAACATACCATTGGACTGGTCGACGTACAGGCAAGGAAGTACCTTTTATATCAAGTACAATAGGTGAAACAGGATCAAGTTTTGTGGATGTAAATGCATATTTGATGGCCAAGGTATTGACACCAGAAAAACTACGCAAACCCAAACAAATGGTCCATGTGATGTCTTCCCTAGCAAGATTTGGTGAAGTGGCCTATATTCTTCGACCTTTGATCTATGTATTAGGTATCTTAGTCTGGGGTAGACGTGCTTGGAAACCTTGGTTTTTGTCTTTGGTTATTGATCTGATGTCCATCTATGCGATACAACAAAGTAATGGTTCCGATCAACACTCCAATATGATGCCTTTAGAAAAAAAGGAATACCATCGGCGACTCAAATCTTTGATGTTTTATATTTTGAAAGGTGCCTTTTATTCTCGCATTACAAGGTAATTTCAACCCAACTCTTTTCTTTATATGACTCACTCTTTTTTTTTTTCAAAAAAAAAAAAAAAATATGATGATAGACCGAAATTAGAACGACTCTGTAATCGTCTTGAAAATAAACCTCTTGTCAATATGGTTTCTGGTAATAATAATATGAATTATAAAAGATCATATCTAAATCATCATTCCATTTTCAAAAACTTTTTATAGGTGTCCTTCGTGATTATTTAGTATTATGGGAAAATATTTACTTTTATAGCTCAACTTCTTAATAATATTTAGATATAAAAAAAAAGAACTCAATAAGAATAAAATACATGTGTTTGATATCTTCTTGATGATGATGACTTGATATGTTGGTGGGACGTAAAAATAATGTTTGTCGAACGGGGTTTTATTTGGTTTTTTTCATATTCTCCTGTTTTTAATTTTTTTCCTTTTTCTTTTTTTTTCTTTTTTTTTTTCTGTGTGTGTGTATATATATAATTATTCTTATCTAAACATTGAAATTTAATGTTGACTCACTCACCAATACAACTGGTTTTGATTGCCTTGGGTAGTTGTTTATTATTGTACTATATATTTTTATCACCGTCCAACCAAGGATGCACAGATGATGATTTTGGCGGGTCCAAAAGGAAGGGCTTGGCTTACTACGATATGGATCACCCAATAGAAAATACTACTGTCAATACACGTATGGACCATGTCTTGATCCTGACACCATTTAAAGAAGCAGCTCAGCATATCGAACGATATTTTGATAATGTAAACAAGTTGACGTATCCACATGATCACATCTCGCTGGGGTTTCTCGTTAGCGACTCGACGGATGGTACGATAGAAAAACTTCAACAACGTGCACAACAAGCCATGCAAACTTCACCATGGGAACGGTTCCATCGTATCAATATATTTCAAAAGGACTTTGCTTATGAATTGGCATCCAATGAAGATCGACATGCTTTCTCCGTCCAAGTCAAACGACGACAGATCATGGCCAAATCAAGAAATACTCTCTTATCTGCTGCTTTGACTCAAGAAATTGACTGGGTGCTATGGTTGGATGGTGATGTGGTAGAATATCCTCCATCCTTATTGGAAGAACTCATGGGCTTGGACAAGGATATTGTGGTCCCTAATTGTTATTGGCATTCTTATAATGAAGAAGGTGGTTATGATCGAAACAATTGGCAAGAAACTGATCAAAGTTGGGAATTTCAACGTACATTGAAATCAACAGATGTTTTGGTAGAAGGTAATTAAAAAAAAAAAAACAAAACGGAAAGAAATGATGAAAGATAATTTAACCTTCTTTTTTTTTTTTTTTTTTTTTTAAAAGGCTATAATGAATTGATTACACATCGAAAATTATTATTGGATATGCGATTTGAAAATGATGAAACGGATTTATTTTATACGGTACCATTGGATGCTGTTGGAGGGACTTGTACTTTAGTCAAGGCAAAAGTACATCGAGATGGTGCGATTTTCCCATCATTTCCATTCCAACATCAAGTGGAAACTGAAGGAATGGCAAAGATGGCTAAGGCTCTTGGGTATGAAATCTTTGGCTTACCAAATTATTTAGTATATCATTATATTTAGATAGAATAGTGATTATTATTATTGATCGGAGAAACTTTTGGTTTTTCCGGGTATTTTGAATAAAAAAAAAGAACCTTGTATATTTTAGTCATTTCATTCATGCTACTTGATCATCATCATCTGTTGGGTAATATATATAAAAAAAAAGACATCTTTGATTCCAATGCCCGAATGTTTCACGATTCGTTCCGAACTCTATCGTCATTGGCTCATGGGAAGCCTTTTTTCTTTTCTTGGTTCCATATTTTTTTATTTTTTTTTTTTTCATTCCCCACAACTTTGTCTCGCTTTTCTTTTCTTTTTTTTTTTTTTCTTTTTTTCTTTTATTATCTCGTCCATATATTCTTTATCTTCCAAATGTTAAATTCAAATAAAAGACGGTCATGGATACTTGGCTGGGTTCCACCATGGCATAGAAAAGATATGGACAAACGATCAAAACAACAACAACACTCTACTTCTTCACGACAAAAGGATAGACTTCAACGATCAAGTGATACAGATGATCTGATGCATTACCATGGTAACGAGGGTGTTTTTTCATATCCTGCTTCTGATCAATTAATGGATCCTGGTTATGCATCTCCTCCATTATCATCTTCTAGCTCGTCCACGGCAAGTACTTCTAGACGCAATACCAAAGCCTCTATTATGGATTTCTTTCAGCGACGAAAAAGCAGCTCGACTTCTTCCAATATGATTCCAGTAACACCAAAACAACTATCCTCCGTGGGACCTTTGTATACGCCTCTTACAGAACGAAAATCCATTTCATACTCACCTCCTATCTTATCCGCAGCACCGCCACCAATACAACCTACAACAACAAACAATCAATACCTTTTACCAACTGCTCCACCAACATCATCATCCTCATCACCGCCTTCATTATTACACTTATCTGTTAACAATAATAATCAGACATCATCCAATATCACTCCAGCATTATCATCATCCTCATCTCAACAATCTATAGCACCACAAGTTCCATCACAAACATCAACAACACCACTTCAACATCGATTTCCTTTTATTCATTGTCATCATGAACATAACAATACATCTACTTCTGTAGCAACCACAACCCAATACAACGATGAAGCCCATCATCAACAAAAGAGTCATCATCATCACTATCCTTCTTCTTTATTCTCATCGACATCCAATCAACCAACATCATCCAATCAATCTCTTTCTGTGAATAAGGAAGGTCCTCTTTATGAATACAATATGGATATGGAAGAAAATTTGTCCAATATGGATGATAGAAAAAGGATCACATTGCGTCATGATTTGGTTCGACTAGCTTTAGATGGGTAAGGATCTTTTTTTTTTTTTTTTGTTATCTTTGATGATGTATTTACATATATATCCATATGTATAAATATGTGTGTGCGTGTGATTTTTTTTTTTCCTCTTCTTTGTTTCTGATCTTGGTTTCTTTTTTTAGATTATTTAAGAGTCCGCTAGATCCTAATCAGGAAGGTGAGAGACAGGTGCTTCAAATCGGGTAAGTCAAAATATTTTTTTTATTTTATTTTAGTTTTGTACCTGATTCTCGTTTGTGTGTTTTTTTTTTCCCACTCACTTTTTTTTTTTTTTTTACTTGATATAGATGTGGTGATGGATCCTGGTGTAGTGATTGTGCAAAAATGAATCCAAATTGGTTTATTCTTGGTATTGATGATAAAAATGGTGGTCCACTAGGTTCTGCTGGAAAGAAAATGATGATGGCGGGTCCATCAGCAAGTACACTACCATCCACAACATCCATCTCAACAACAACTACTACTACAGCAGCAGAAAGAACAACATGTGGTGGTAATTTTTCTTTCATTCGTAGTACAACCACGTTGGTCGATAGTTTGAAACAATTTCCTGATAATCAATTTGATCTTGTGTATGGACGATTTTTGGCCTTGGCTCTTCCTCCCAAAGAATATGAAGCACTGGTTGCTGAGTGTTGGCGTGTATGTAAACGTGGTGGTTTTGTTGAATTTACTGAATTGGATATGAGGATCTATGGAAATCCTGGTGATAGTACTTTGATCAATTGGTTAAATCAACAAGGTAAATAATATTATTAAACTAAATCATTTTTTTTTTTTTAATTTTTAATTTTTAATTTTTTTTTTTTAATAGTGATGTGGTCTATGGCAAAGAAAAAATTGGATTCAAGATTACCAAGGCATTTACAAGATCTTTTTTTTAAATCATTAGTAGAAGATCAACAACCTGGAAAACGACAATTACAAAATAATTATCAAGTCAAATATAATTCATTACCACTTGGTGTTTGGGGTGGACGTTTGGGTGTCATGTTTCGTGATGATATTCATGATATTTTGGATGCTTTGAATGTAGCCACGACTCCTGATAAGTATGGCAATGCAATGACCGAAGAGGAATGGCTGGCCACCTCGGATACTTTGGATGATGAATTGGAAGCTTTCATGGCGTTTATGAATCTGTATCAAATCTATGCTCAAAAAAATGCCTGATCTTCTTCTTACATATTCATCCTGTTTATTATATTGTTGGTATTTTCTCTTTTTTTTTTGGATCATCCTCATATATATATGTATATATATATTTGTATAGTTTCTTGATTGGTCTAGTTTTATTATCATTACTATTATTATCATTATTATTTATTCTTATTATTCTTATTGTTTATTATTATTTGCATCTATATCTTTCTTCTTACTGCTAATCCGACTTTTGTGAAATAAAAATAATGGGTTACATTGATAGTACTGAAACCCTTCTACTTTTTATCAAAAAAAAAAAAAAAGAAAAAAAAGGGTAACACCCTTTGATGCAATGATGATTGTCTTCATAGGAGTTTCTCAAGACAATGATTGTTGATGATCTTTTTCCATGTTATCAGATTACTTTCACTCTTGTCCAATAATAAAAGAGTTTTACTTCTACCTTTCAATGTATAAAATAAATGATCTTTATTAAAACAAAAGGGATGCATGATGTACATAATTATATGGAATGAAAATAATACAATGGAGTTCAAAGAGAGTCAGGATGGGTACCGGTAGTATGTAAAAGAGACTGTACAAATTCCTCAAATACTGAGTCTTCGTTCCGGATCATTTCCAGTAGTTTGTCAGGTCGACTGGATGTGTCTATTTTGGTAATGAGTTGTCGTATCTGAGGGTACTTTAAGAAGGATCGAACTTGATCAGAATGACCCAATTGTTGCAATTGTTCGTCTGTGAGTCGTGTTGATTCATCCTCGTCCTCATCTTCAACTTGATTGTTCATTCCTATTGCATTGCTTTCAAATTCAGGCTCTATCATAAAAAAAAAAAAAAAGATCAATCAAGACGAGTCTTTACCTTTTTATTTTTCATACCTGGTTGTGGAGTAGGTTGTACAGGCTGACAAGGAATCTCTACCAAATGATAAAAAAAAAAAAAGTAAGAGAATGATTAGTAACTCACACTATTTTAATCTTTTGTTGTACCTTTATGACTTTTATAACATGGCAAAGAGCAACTATGATCAGAAAGAAAAGAAAAGAATCCTATCAATATTATTTTTGTAAGAGTATATAACTTCTATTAATAATGACTTACTAAGGTAGTCTACATGTCGAACATTTATATTTGGAAGGTAAAACCTGACAGATACCACATTTGTCCATTTTATATATATTTTTTGGTGAAAGAAAGGGAAAAGAGTGAAAAGGGAATAAGAAGAAAATTTTTAAATCTGACTTCCAAACTACAATTGGAGCATAAAAAAAAAAAAAAAAAAGAGGATGTGTCTATCATTTCTTTATTAAATATATAAAAAACTAGTCTATCGTAATCTATTCTTTATCAAACGTTCCATTTCATCCACTACATCGATTGTCAAACCAAGTCTTGATGGAGTATCCACCATTGTTGTCAAGTTTTGTCGAAGTATATTCAATTTCATTTGAATAGTAGTTCCCCAACGATCAGGTGAAGTAAGATCCAAATCAGATTCACCAAGTAACACTTTGAGTACAGTAAGTTTTCCTTCCATAACAGCAATATCCACTGCACGTCGTTGTTCGATAGATTCAGCCCAGTTGACCCGCCAACCGGATTCCAAAGCCAATTTGATGAATTTCACATCACCATCACGTACTGCCTTCATCCATACATAACCAAAATCATCCAGTTCAACTTCTGCTAAATGAGCACCAGCACGACAGAGCATACGGACCACTTCAGATCGTTTCCACACCAAAGCTTCGTAAAGAGGAGTATGACCAGATCGATCACGGATATGTACAGCAGCACCATGTTTCAATAAGAATTCCACTATTTCGATATGTCCTTCTCTACTTGCCACATGCAGAGGTACCCTTCCATCATAATCCACACAGTTCACATTCATATGATCACCCATACTTTCATAAAGAGATGTCAGTCCATCCATATCGTTTGTACCAGCTGCTGAACACAAAAGAACTGGGCCAAGGGATCGTTCGACGAGTTGTTGATCTTCATTAGAAAGAGTCAAATCTGGTAGTGCTAAGTATTTGTTGATATCATCCTTTCTGTCATTGTCACCATGATGTTGCTGTTTTGCTGCCCATTTGCCTTGACCTATCCAATCCATGATGACTTCCACCAATGCATGAGTACGATTCGATGATGCACTAAACTTGGTTTGGAGTGTACGAACTGTGAGTTCCCCTCGTAGATTTTTGGTCATCAGTTGTCGAACTTTGGCAGGATCATCAGGTACACGTCCCAAAAGATAAGAGAGTTTGGTAAGAGCACATTCAGGTGTCATGTCAGCACCAGCAACAACACCCACCTTGGCCAATTGCTTCCCAGTTGCATAGACATCCGTCACCAATCCTTTTCGACATTGAGTACAATTGACAATCACCACACCACGATCACTTGCTTCCTTGAGTGCTTGAAGTAACTCTGGTCTTGCTGGTGCATTTCCTGCTCCATATGTTTCTAATACTACACCTTCAGTCGGTGCTGCTAACATCATTCGCACAGTCGTTTCGTTAATGCCTGGGAAGAGACGTAAGGTGGCAACATTTGGATTCAATTTAGTACTTGCAAAAAATTTACTGATTTCAGTAGGTCGAAGAACAAGTGGCCATCGTACATCTATGAAATATAAGTACATTAGAAAATCATGTACCCAAAAAAAAAAAAATATTCATGCTTACCAATATCGATTCCAACATCAACCAAGGAAGGTAAATTTGGTGAATCAAATGCTTCAAAATCCACAGCACTAATCTTGCTTGTTCGATTTCCACGGTATAATCTTTTACCAAAATACAGACTGACTTCAGGAATAACAAAGTGACCAGCAATTGTCAAAGCTCCCAGTAAATTTTCCACAGCATCATTTCGTACTTCAGTCAAAGGAACTTGAGATCCAGTAATAATCACTGTTTTTCTATGAATTGGACAATCAATGTTAATATATTTTATATTTTGGTAGACAAAAAAAAAAAAAAAGATTCATTCATCTTACCCTAATTCTTCTAACATGAAGCTAAGTGCACTAGCAGTATATGCCATGGTATCTGTTCCGTGAAGAACAATAAAAGCGTCAAAGTATTCATAGTTGACTTCAATATCCTTCGCAATCCGAACCCAGTCTATATAATCAACATCAAAAAAAAAAATGTTTAGTGCTATTACATAATTATAATCAACATTATTTACCTTCCATCGTCATGTTGCAGGAGTCCAATAAGGGATCGTATTCAAGGATGGAGTATCTTGAGAACAAAAAAAAAAATCAATCATCTACCCCATATATCTTCATTATTTTTTTTTTCTCCTATTAACTAACCTGATTCGTTTTCCATATAAACTGATAGGAGTGATTAAGCTTGGTAGTTGTTGAATAATAAGTTCATCCTTTTGTTGTGATGATGATTCATCTTTCACTCGAGAAATAGAACGTACTGTATTGGTAATTTGTCCAAAAGAACTATCCATGATTGGTGGCGAAGGTGAGGTCAAAGGATCTTGTTGCTGAGATTGGTCGGACTGGAGACTATCCACACTATCACTAGAAGATCTTCGACTCATTGTGCTGTAACCATAAGGATTCCTAGGATCATGAAATCTTTGCACTCGAGATAAGGACTTGGCCAAGTAGTTTGGGAACTAGAAATAACCATTAGAAGAAGAAAAAAGAAAGAAAAAAAAAACGAAAAGACGTTAACAAGAAAAGTTGAGTAATTGTGATCTGTTATCAGGATTAATATTATTTTCCTTACTGGAATATAACCATGTTCAGGTGTGTGTTTCATACCAATGGTACCACCAGTATATATGACAAGGACACGAGAGAAATCTATATGAAGAATAAAGCATGAATACTTCCTCGGAACTCGTATAATCGTTATTTTTTTTTTTTTTTTTTTTTTTTTTTACCAGGTGCTAACATGTCATGACGATCAGCATTCAGTTGATGTCCAACAGCAGCATTATCAAAGACATGATCTTCGTCCAAAGTAGAACGTCGTTGTTGTGTAGGCATACGAGGTGATTGAGGTGCCATGATAACGATAAGGAAAAAAAAAAAAAAGAAAAAGAAAAACAGAAAAGAAGAGGGACAATCTGGGACAAAAAAAAATCTTTTTTTTTTTTTTGATGCCGTCGGAATGAATATCCCCACTTCCCACGGGCCTTAATTTTTGACACCATGTCTACCCGTCCTTCCAAGTCAAAAAATAATAATAAATAATAAAAAAAAAAAGAGAGGTGTAATCATTTGTTTATTTTCATAAATAACTTTAAAAAATCTAACTAGGTCTAAATCTAAAATTCAAATTCACATCAACACAGATATGAACAAGTCATAGCTAAACTTCTTTAAATCCAAAGTAATAGGATCGTTTCTTGCCAATACAAGATCCATATCACTTAACCAGGATTCAAATGCCGATTTGACATTATGAGATTCCTCCGTATCATCAATCGATTCAGGTACGTATTTGCCCAGTAGTAATTTCTTGTGCACCGTATACATATCCATTACTGGGATTACCGATTTCTTCCGTTTATTGCCAGATTTCTTTTCTTTCCTTCGTTCCAATTCACTATTAGCTGCATATTGACGAATTTGGGAAATCATCGTAGTAAGTATCAGTTTCAAAAGTGGATCCTTGAGATCTAAAAAAAAAATTAGAATATTAACAACTTTTTTTTTATCATTCACAAAAACTTTACCAGATTTCGAGCCATTCCCAGTAAATCGAAGTACATCACTAAACGTTAATGACAAGGCGCTCTTGTCTACAGTAGGTTTCTTCACCTTTCTTGGTCTTCCACGTTTAACAACAGGAGCTGTCTTAGTTGGAGCAGTGGATATGACTGGAGTTGTTGTAAGAATGGTAGCTTGTTCGGGAGCCTGTTGTTGAGTAATTGGTGAAATGTCAGATGGTATTGTTTTGAAATCATCACGAGGTAATGTTGGTGTCGCCATGGAAGTCGTTGTCACTAGTTGTGATGATGATGGTACTGTTGTTGTTGTTGTTGTTGTTGTACTGGTCATGGGTGTACTCTCCAAAGTTTCGGGGGCAGATGAAGTAGATGGTACGTCGAATATTGTCTGCGGAATTGACTGAATAGTAAGATCTTCATTGCCAGATGATTGTGCTTGTGATGATGTAGCTGATATAACAGAACTGTCCATAGTTTCCACTGAATTAGATATTCTATTAATAACAGGTTGTTGAACAGATTGAGTTGATAGATCATCATTTGTATTTGTCGTTGCCAAGGTCTGAGTTTGTGTATCCGGCATCATGATAGATGAACTTTCCAAAGCATTGATCGTGTCAGACAAAGGTATTGCTTGAGATCCTGTTCCTTCAGTAAGTTGGTTTTCGGGTTGCGTAACGACAGGGATGGATAGATCTGGAGAAACTGCATTTGTTGATTCATGCTGGATATCCACCTTTGTTGAATTTGGAGCACTAGTCAAAGGATGAATGGCGATCTTGTAACCTTCTTCTAATAGAGAATTCCAACCTTTCAATTTTTCGACAGTTTCTTCTAAAGTTGCTGACTTTTTGAGTTTGGTTCGTAGTTGTTTGAGCTTCGTTATCTTATCATCATCCTCTACTCCATTTTTGTTGGTAGTGTCCGTTTGAGATACTAGCTGTTTCTTATGGTATTCTTGGGTGACCATAGCATCCAATAGTTGATATACTTCTTCCTTCAATCTTGCTTCCTATATTTCAAATCATGACATCAGTAAACGTTGTTATAAAAGTTTCCATTTGATCCAACTTACTTCAATTTGCATTTCTTGTTTTTCCTTTTCCAATTGTTCCTCCAACTCCCTTTGCTCCCTTTCCCGTTCAGCTTCTTCGAATTCCAATTGTGCACGTTCCATTTCTTCCAATTGACGTCGCCTATCATCTTCTTCAGACTAGATAATGTAATCACGTTAGTGTACTGTGATACAATAAATAAATGTATTCTTTATATACCTTGACTTCGATTCGCCTGCTTCGTTTTCTTGGTAACAAATCCAATTTCCTTGCTTTTTCCAATTTCGCTTCTTCACGTAGTTTTGCAGCCCTCCTTGATTCTATCTTTTGTATGATAACTGAACCATGCTCTTGCAAGTTTTCCGCCAAATGTCGTTCCAGCGCTTTGGGTGAATCGAGAGAGAACTTGTTCATCCATGTTCGCCATTCTTCTTCTGTCTTAGCAATCTATTCAAACCAAATCAAATAAATACAAAAATTGAACCCAACTAACCTAAAAACAGCGCATTTACCAGTTGGAATGTATAATCGGTTTCCTTTTTCCTTGGAGATAATTGGATTTCCCTGTACAATCTACTACCTGATGAAATCAAAGCATGTTATGAATTTCTAGTATTACAATCTAATTATCTAATATTCAAAAGAGTTTACCTCCAAATATCCAATATGACCAACCATCAGAATCTTTGCCCATGGGAAATGCACGCTATATATTCAAAATTAACCACAAAGGAGAGTCAGTATCAACTACATTATATATATATAAGGTGCTCTTCGCCTTTTTTTTTTTTTTTTTTACCATATCTTCGGAGGCAAGTTCGTTCTTCCATATCAAAGCAGTTCCAGTTTCAAAGATGCTGTCGACCAAATCCTTTAATACATAAATCTTGTCTACAATACTTAATCGAACAAAATCAATGCTATCAGTATAACGACCAAGGATATCTTGAACCCTTTCATCAAGAGAATGATGATACAAATATTTGTATATGTACTGAGGATAATTGTTTTCACTATTAAATACAATAAACAGGTCAATTCCTTATCACCTGAAAGTTTTTTTTTTTCTTCAAACAATAATAAACCTACGTGATCTTATTTTTTTTGTCATCAGAAAGACTAGCTAAAATAAGAACAAGAAGCTTCGCCAAAGTGTGTTGTAGTTTAGTTGAATTGTTGAATTGATCAGAAATTACAGATGAAGAACCCAAAACACTAGATTCACGTGAAAGTACTTCGTTGCTATCGTTAAAGCTATTTTGATTGTCATCAACTGATAAGTTTTGTTCCGCCATATCGTCAGTACTGGGATCGGGTCTAAAAAGAAGTAAGGATTCCATGTGATCTATACTAATAGAAGGGAGGCCAAGTTGATGTTGGAATTGTGTCAAGAACTGATATATATAAAGGAATTTCCAAGAACTATGAAGGATTTCCTCTATGAAAAAATAAAAAATAAAAAATAAAAAATGGTGAGTTGTTTTTTAATGAAATAAACATGGTAGACTATATTGTAAAAAGGTTATCATAATGTCATTGTTACCTGGAGTAGACGCGTCTGTTACATTGATAACCGAAGTAGATTGAGTTGGCTTTTTGGATCGTGGTGTAGTTTGTTGATGCCTCTTTTCATTATATGAGCTGATAGCTGATTTAGCTTTTCTAACATGTCTTGAAGACATAGTATCTATATGTATAAAAGATTATGATCACTTTTTTTGTTAGAAGAAATGAATTGGATAAAAGAGAAAAAAAGGAAAGGTGAATGAAAGTAAGCGGCGTTGAAAAAATGATTGGGTCAGTCACAAGAAAAAAAAAATTGGGCAAAATCTGAGTTTGGCTGGTAACTTCCTCCTCTTTCTCTTTCTCTTTCTTTCTCTTACACCTTTTATTGTTTATTTATAATATCATGGCCACTACGACCAGTTTGCCATGTCAAAGTATTGCAAGATGTTATGCTGACGTTAATACCAAGATGCCCGAATCCTATTGGGATTATGATAATCTTCAAGTACAATGGGGGTAAGAAAAAAAAAAACACAAAAATATATAAAAAAAAAAAAGAAATACAAAAAAAAAACAAATAATCTTTATTATTGAACATCTCAATTTAATTTATACATGACCTTTTACCTTAATTAGATCTCAAGATAGTTATGAAATCATTCGCAAGGTGGGAAGGGGAAAGTACTCTGAGGTATTTGAAGGCATCAACATCACAAATAACGAAAAATGTGTCATCAAAGTCTTAAAACCCGTCAAGAAAAAGAAAATCAAACGGGAAATCAAGATCCTTCAAAACTTGGCCGGGGGTACTAATGTAATCGGGTTATATGATATTGTACGGGATCCATTGGTAAGGCAATGAAAGAAAGAAAAAATGTATATTGGGGAAATACTTAGCAATTTGTTTTTTCTAGTCAAAAACGCCAGCTCTTATTTTTGAATATGTCAACAATACTGATTTCAAGCTATTGTACCCTAGATTTACTGACTTTGACATTCGATTCTATATGTACGAACTACTTAAGGCTTTGGATTTCTGTCACTCAAAAGGTATCATGCATCGCGATGTGAAGCCTCACAATGTTATGATCGATCACGAGAAACGTCAGGTAAAAAGGGGAAAAAAAAAAGAAAGAGAATAATCTAATGGAGAATATCAAATGGTAAGCGTAAGTGCTAACATGATACTGTTTTTTTTTTATTATGAAGTTACGATTGATTGATTGGGGTTTGGCTGAATTTTATCATCCTGGTACTGAATATAACGTTCGTGTGGCATCAAGATATTTCAAGGGACCTGAATTATTGGTGGATTTTCAAGAATATGATTACAGTTTAGATTTGTGGAGTTATGGTTGTATGTTTGCAAGCATGGTAAGAATAATTAGAAAAATGAAGAAAAGAAGGAATTATATCAGATTCTTATTATATTACTGTTTTTACTAGATTTTCCGCAAAGAACCTTTCTTCCATGGACATGACAATTATGATCAATTGGTTAAGATTGCAAAAGTACTTGGAACAGATGAATTATTCGCATATTTGGACAAATACGACATTGAATTAGATCAACAATATCATGATATTCTTGGAAGGTAAAAAAAAAAAAAAATGAATTAGGAATATGATGGAATTAATCTGACGATAAAACAATTTATATCTGATTTAGATATCCTCGCAAACCATGGTCGAAATTTATCAACAGTGAAAACCATCGTTATGTATCAGACGAAGCCATTGACTTTTTGGATACCTTACTTCGCTATGATCATCAAGAGAGGCCAACTGCCCAGGAAGCCATGAATCATAAATACTTTATTCCCGTAGTAAATCAAGCAGAAAAACTTGAATCATCACCATAGTATAGTATTTCTTTTTTTTTCTTATTATTATTATTATTATTTTATATTTTTATTTATCTTTCTTTACTTTTATTTCTCAGTAAACTTCATATTCATTATATTATACAATTTTTAGTATTATTCATTATGAATTTTGTTGAATGGACCTATGATGCTTCATTTGACCTTTGTACACCTTGAGTTATTTTAAAGTCCGTCGTCTTTCTCTCATGCTAGCATTTTCCTTTTCTTTTTTGTTTATACTTGCTTATCATATCACCTTATTTTATATCTAATATATTATTATTATTATACCATTTCATTTGATTCTTCTAAGAATGCACAATTATTCACCTTGTTTTACATCGATTATATCGCCATGTCATTTGATTCTTACCGAAAAGCACAACTACATCTACAAGAAACAAGAAAAACAATTACTATACCACAGTTAGACAAAGACACCTGTATATCATATCTCAACAAAGTATTCCAAGTATTAGTACGCGAAGATTTACATAAGCTATGGACAAACAAAAAGAAGAAAACCGAATCCGAGATTCTATCAAACTATTGTCAACAACAAGAACGAAAGCGAACAATACCAAACCTTTACAAAAAGACTGTAGAACTGTATAACCAAGGTAGTATACATATACATATATACATCTATTGCAATATTAATCTAACTTTTATTTAGAAAACTCAACCGATTTTTCCAAAGATACAATTAGAGCAACTGCAGACTCGAAAGCTATACCTTATGTTCGCCTTTATAAAGAATTTGTGAATAAGAACGCTGCCAATATATTAGAGGAATTAAAAAACAACGATAACAACAACAACAACAACAACAACAACAACAATCAAGATAATGAGGATAATTTTATTCACAATACCATTACTTCTCAATTGAACACAATCTTACGACCTGATTTGTCTGACTTGGAGAAAAACATCATCCATCAATCACTACTGAAGTCACAGAAGATAGTTACCAATATAATGGCGGATATCTCAACTTTGGTTTTGTTAGACCTTTTGAAACGGACAACGTAAGTAAATAGTGATCATGAAATACTAGTCATATACTCATATTCTCTTTTTTTTTTTCTTAGTGGTCCACCTGTAGAAATAACTAGTATTCTACCTGAATGCAAGATTACCAAGGTCCTTCCACCACCACTGATCTCTCCTCCTTCTTATGATGTCAAGAAACTCATGGCTAGTCACAACAATGCCACCAAAGCTGAACGACGTCTATTTGAACTGTATACTGCCGGCCATTTGATGCATCTGCTGACCTCAACTCATAACCCTCAAGAAACCTCTCTTACTGACACTCCAGGCCCTTCTACTTCTTCAAGTCATGATTCCAACAAGGATGGTATATTGAACTGGAATTTGGACTTACCGGACATCACCAACCTAAACCTTACTGATATGCCACCTGGATTATCTACCATTATTCAGCCTTATTTAAATACGTACGCCATCAATTTAAAGAATATATATCAAGGTGATATAGTGGATCGTCTGCTATCAAGAACTATTATGACTGTTCTTCGGTGTCGGCTTATTCTTCCAAAAAAGGACCAAAATAAGAATGAATTGAAAGAAAGGTAATGCATATTGATGATTTGATGATGATGATGGATGGTTCACATTATTAACCTATCTATATATAATTAGAAAATCACAACCAAAAAGTCCCAAGAATTCTTTTACATTCAAGTGCCAAATCAGACGCCACAGCAAAAGAATAAAGCGGTTGCAACAATTTGACAATATAAAAAGACCAGACGTTCTTCAGAAGGAGCAACAAATTCTCGAACACTTGATGCAATCCTCTATTCTCAAGTCAAGTACTACTGCACAGGTTAACGTGGAGATTCCTTTGGTGGACGATTCTGATGCTCAAATGAATTTGGATGTTACTTTGGTGGATGTTACTAGTGCTCCGATGGAAGTGAATGCTCCTGAAACCATTCATGTTAACCCCTCCTACAATCGACTGAAGAAAATTGCAAATTTTGTGAAGTCAATTCTATTCAAAAAGAACATCGATCAACCGTTAACTGTCGAGGATCTTAAGATGCATGCGCCAGATATGGAGTTTAACGATGACGAAGCCAATTCTGTACTCCTTTTGTATCAATTTTTCTCACCATATCTATTACCCAAGGTATACGATGACGATGTAGATCGGCATCCCCTTCTCAATTTTCCTCTTGTTACGGTATGCAATCATATTCTTCGCTCAACTGGAAACGAGAAATTTGTAAGACGATCTGTACCGGTTGTAAAACATTCCAAGACCTATTCCATTACTTTGGATCCAACGAGATTATATTTGACTCTGTGCTCGTTGAAAGGACGTGTTGGCGGAACAAAAGGTGGAAATGTGCAACCTCTACATTCGTATGGATTCGATGTTTTTCTTCCCAACGGTGACATAATAAGCAATATTACCAAGTCAATCAAATTCCAGGATGAACTATTTGGTGCTTTTTTTGATCTTCCAACCAGGCGAAGACTCTGTGCGAAAAAGACTGGCTTTATCTTCTCCAATCGAATCACAATCACTAACTATGGTGCGGTGCGGCTACATTCCAAGAAAGAAAAACCAATTGACACTGATATCAAGCCATCAGCAACCAACGTACGACGAAAAAGAAAGTTATCTGAAGAGATTACAATGCAAGAAAAGATAAAGTCATTGGACGCTTCCTTATCAACACCAGCTGAAGAATTGCGCAAGTTGAATAACGAAATAGATGAAACGAAGATGAATATTATGAATATCAACAAACAAATTGAATCCATTGCCGACACAACACATGATGATCTGGAAGACCTCCCAACAAAAGATTTTTTAATTAAACGGCGGGCAGAAAAGAAGCGACAGCGTGACGATCTACTTCGACGGAAGCTTGTTGTATTACGGAAGATATCAGCTCTCAAGACAGAGAAGAAGGACCTCTTTGACGAGTTTTATTCAACTGACACGACAGATGTTAGCCTATCCTCATCATCTACTGGTAACGAATGGGAAAATGGAAGTATTTTTGTTGGATGTGATCCGGGTCTGGCAACCATGGTCCAAGCTACAAGTGCTGACGTCAAGAAAGTAATGTACTATTTGGCAATCAACAATCGTTATCAACCATTGGAAACATTAGTAGAAAAGGTGGATAGTGATGGCGATGAAAAGGAAATGCTTACCTTGAAGAAATACTCAATTACCAGTAAACATCTCGACGATCAGACCTTCTCCAAACGCCATCGCAAGGGAATGGAATTTAGAAAGAGACGAGATCATCGAAAAGTAAGTGGTTCCAAAAAAAAAAAAAAAAAAAAAAAAAAGGATGTCAATAACCTATTTTTTTTTTTTTAATTACTAGTCTCAAGCTCAAGGTGTGCTTTCCGTCAAGGAAGTAGAAAAAAAGCTAGCTGGATCAACTGATGTCCGTTTGTATGAAACAAGTTTACAAAAAATCATGACAAACCATAAGGTAGGATCAATTATTATACATCATCACGGAGAACCAAAAAAAAAAAAAAAAAAAAGACAATGGATATTAATGAATGCAATCATTTCAATTTATCTAGTTGGTCAAGGAAAGCTCACCTGTTCTCCAGGATTTCTATTGCGATCAAAAATACAATCAGCGGTGGAAACGAACAGCAGCGATATACAGCGAAAAGGGAACACATGTAGTCATCAAGCATCACCAACGACAAGTAAAAGAAGAACCTGGACAAAAATTACATTACTTTTATGGAAAGGCGGGCCGTGGTAGAAACTCACGTATTGGTGGATTTTTAAGAAGAGGTCATGGACCCTTATTACAAGCTCTTGGTCAACATTCTTCTATCTTCCATACAGATGAATTTAGAACGACAAAACTTTGCTGCCGTTGTCATGAGCCTATCTATCATCCGAAGAAAGCTAATGGAAAATTAAATCTGGGAACTGTTATTTGTCAAAACCCTGATTGCAAAGGACGCCAAGCTGGAATGATTGCTGAATCACGAGACACAAATGCAAGTATGAATATGATCATCACTGGATTATGGCAACAAGTTACTGGCAAACTTCCTCCATCCTTCCGACGGTCAATCTCATCAACAGAAAATGATAACAACAATATTGATAAGATATTCCAAACCTTGATCTCTTCTCATCCTGGACTGGTTGAAGACGGATACATCATGCCTCTGTGCTGAAGGCAAAACTTAAATTGTACCCTAAAATTCAAGTTTTGCTTTCTCTCTGCGATTCCCTTATTTGTCCAATGTCTAATACAAAACTGGCGTAAGTAGGGTTCCACAGCGCTTGAGCATTTTTCTTTTTTTCCCTTTTCTTCCTTTTTCTTTTTTTTTTTTTTTTTTTTTTTTTTTTTTACTTTGGAATTCCCAACGATATTGAAATATGCTCACCACCAATCGACATAGCGATCAAGAATCAAATACTTCAACATATACTAATAACTCAAAAGGAAAGAAACAAGAAACCATGTAGGTATACCATCTTTATGTTGCCCAACCTTTTTTTTTTTTTTTTTTTTTTTTTTGCAAGTCAGGTTATGAACTCATCCACTTTTTCTTATTAGACCATTTAGAAAATTAGTGTCTGAAAAAAATAAAGAAATAGATGAATTGGAACAAGTAAAAAATATACTTCAACAACATATGCCACAACTAGTAAAAATGTCTTCTTCTGGTTCAATAGAATATTCAAGAGCAGTGATAGTAAGTTTTATAATAAAAAAAAAGAATATGAATATGCATGATTTTTATTTATTATTGAAGATCAAAAAACCAAAACCATTTTAAACGGATAACAATAGGCATTGAAATTACTTGGGGATTTGATGGATGAATGTATTTATGATGTATTATCTCAAGTACATCGTGATGTGAAGTTATCTAAAAGCAAATGTCAATCATGTCAAACAAAGTAAGTAATAAAAAGGATTTATTATTATTATTATTATTATTGATGGTGATTTATCATTTTATTTATTAGATGTCGTTGTTATGGTAATATTTCCCTTTTCCTGAGTCGAAATAAATAAAAATGATGGATTGATTCATTAAATACATATCTATTTATTTATTGACAGTTATGGAACCAGGCTATGATGTTTTTGGCAACAATTTCAATATGAACAATATTCCACCTCATGAATGTGTCAACTGTCACAAAATGATATTTACCAATAGATATGCACCTCATCTGGAAAAATGTTTAGGTTTGTCAGGTAGACATTCAAGTCGTGTTACAAATCAAAAGTAAGTGATTAACAAGGAATCATATTTTCCTTAACGGTTACTATCATTATGTATTTATTTTTTATATCTTGTTAAATATATATATATATATATATATAGTGAAATGGATGTACAAGACAAGAAACGAAAATTGGGCAACAATGTAAGTTTTGTAACATCTTCATTTGTAATTGGTTCATCTCATCTGACTCTTATGATTTTTTATTTATTTATCCAAGCTCAAATATAGTGGTAAGATTATGCAATCATGTTACCAAAATTCACCCTTTTTGAAACACTTTTGTTCTATACATCTTTGTTTTTTTATTGTTATTATTAGTACCTTCAGATACTGAACTACCGCAGTCCAAAAAGGTAAGAATCATGGAAAAAAGATGATATAAAAATTATATGATAAAGGAACAGATATCATATTAATTTACTACTTTTATATATTACATAGAAGAAAAGTATGTTTTATTTTTCCAAAGAATAATTTTGAAAATTAACTATTACTTTGATTTCTTTTATAGGACATGAAGTGTCTTCATGATCTATTAACAGCAACCTCTCTTCAAGAATTTATAGTATGATTTTTTTTTTTTAGTTTATTATTGATATATTGTGACTGATTCGTTGAATAAAAGCGACATGTTGATAGTGATGATCTTGTTACCTTTTTTCATTTTACTCTTTCTCTCTTTAGCTGGGCATGAATATCCTTAGTTTTCGGGCAGTGAAAGCGTTCCAGCCGTGACTTGAGCCAATTTAATTTTTTATTTTGGTTACTCGCCCCTTGATTTCAAATTTCCCTTCTTTTTCTTGTCTTCCTGCTTGATAGATAAAAAACGTCCATTGTGTACCTTCTCCTCTCCTCTACCCTTCTCTCCTCTTTTTGGTTGACACTGCCACCTTTCTCTTCTCTCTCTCTCTTTATTTCTTTTTTTTTTTTTTTTACCTCCCCTCTCCTTCCCATCATTCGTGATAAATAGACCCTTTTTTTTTTGCCTTGGTTCGAATATTTTGGTACACTCCTAGTGACAGTCGAACGAAGAACGAAACAATGCCTTTACCCGTAATATCCAGTCGTAGCTCCTTTATCGAACCTATTATTGATACAACCATCATGACTTCCACATCAACCTTAGAAAACGCCACTACTACCACTTCTACAACTATGACCAGTTCAGCAGCAACACCAACAACGACAACAACTGGCGAAGAAAAAATAAATCATATCCCTGCGATACAAACTTTGTCCACTTCAATGCAGTCTTCTAGTTCATCTGAAAGTTATACTGATGATTCTACCAACGGCACTATGGATCTGGTTCATACGACACCGTCACCACCATCCTTGGAAGCCCAAGTCAGTCAAACAGACGAAAACGATCTATTATTACAACCGGATATTCCTTTAGTATTAGAAAGTATGGAAGAGAATCATCTCAGTGCTACCATGTTGGCTTTGTACGAGGTAAAATATATGAGTATCAAGAAAAAAAAAGTGGGCTTTATTCCTAATAAAATGTGTTACTTTTCTTTTTATCTCAATTTACTATGAGCAGGATCTTTTGCCAACCAAGGAAAGTTACGATCGTCGAATGGGTTTAGTACAAAAGATTGAACATTTATTGAATACAGAATGGCCTGATCGAAATATCAAAGCAAATCTTTTTGGGTAGGACATGAAATAATTTTTTTTTATTGGGAATACTTTTATTTATTTTAATGCTAAACATTTGTTCATTTTAATATATACAACACATAGATCTTCTGTCAATGATCTAGGGACAAATCTATCCGATGTGGATCTTTGCATAACAACTCAATGGAATGGATTACGAAATGTACGAGTATTAGCCAAGTTATTTAGGAGGTGTAAGTGAAATAAAGGATGATGATAAGCAGCTGACAGCCTGACTTGATTTGCTCAGGCAATCTAATTTTTTTTTTTACTGATCTACTCTATTTTTTTTTTTTTTTCAAAAATAGGTGGTATGCAACACGTTGTTTGTGTCCCTCGCGCCAAAGTACCTATCGTTCGACTGTTCGATAAAGAATCGTAAGTGAGGAGAGAAAAAAAAAAAAGGTTTGGAAGGGAGAATATGATGGAAAGAAAGGAGAATAATGTGTGGGGAAATGCGACTTTTTTTTTGTGATACTCACACAGCTAATGATACTCTTCTTATTCAAAATTAGTCAACTTGCTTGTGATATCAATGTTAACAATACTTTGGCTCTACAGAATACCAAGATGATCCGAACTTATGTAGCTATTGATCCTCGTGTTAGACCACTTGCCATGATTATCAAACATTGGACAAAACAGCGTATGTTGAATGATGCAGGTAAAGGAAAAAAAAATAGGTTACACACATTATACTTTATTGTTTATTCACGTTTTTATTTCCTTTCTTTTTCTTTTGGTAGCTAATGGTGGAACCTTATCAACTTATACATGGACTTGCATGATCATCAACTTTTTACAAATGCGACAACCTCCTATTCTTCCTGTGTTACATCAACTGAAAGGTGGCGACGACGCAAAGGAAATGTTTTGTAGCGATGCGGAAAAATTACGTGGATTTGGTGAAGCCAATCGAGAAAGTTTAGGTGGTTTACTTTTTGCTTTCTTTCGACGATATGCTATTGAATTCGATTATGATGAGCAGGTGGTTTCTGTACGACATGGACGTTACCTAACCAAACGGGAAAAAGGATGGCACATTGGACGTAACAAGACAAGTTTATGTGTGGAAGAACCTTTCAATCTCACTCGTAATCTTGGTAATTCGGCGGATATTCGATCTGTTCAAGGAATCAGAATGGAATTGAATCGAGCTTTAGAAATGCTTGTTGCTGGACTTTCTTGGAATACCATATGTACTCCTTATCAAGTACTTAGTTTTGGATCCTCAACTTCTCTTGATACCAATCCACCTATCTATTATTCTTCAACTGTACATTTTGGAGACAACAACGATAACACTACATCATCGAAACAATCATCATCATCATCATCATCATCATCATCATCATCATCATTTTTACTATCATCAAGACATCATCAACCTGTATTTCTACCAACAACTTATTTATCTGATGTCAAACATCCTACTGAACTTCACCCTCATGAACGACGTAAAAGTATGACTTACACCCAACGTCCTCATGATTTTGATCAACAATCACTCTCCCATCGGCTTCATACCATTAATCAAGGTTACCACAGGCGAAATGGCACTTCTTTACCAGCATTGATGGAAACAATTCCTGCTCAATATGTAAGCACAGCAACAACAGTACCATCAACAATGATACATCAATTGGCATCTAATGGCAATAATAACCATAATAATAATAATAATACAAACAATACAGCATATGTTACCTCACCATTACCATCACACCATCAGGTCATATCCTTATCTTCCGAACAACATAGAACAGTAGACGCTATATTTGCAAGATACCATCGACATCATCCACAATATCATTCTTCTCAGGATATGTCATCACAACATCAATATCATCAGTACCAGAATTTGCAACAACAAAATCATCATCATCATATCCAGCAGCAATCATCACGGAGTGGAGGGAAACGAGGAACATCTTCACGACGTCAATCGAACCAGAGCAACAGTAATAATAACAACAATCCCAGTGACTGGCCCTCTATATCCGAACACCTTTCGCCATCCAGTTCTGCCACTTTACAAACAACTCAAACCAATACTCAACGACGCCGTCGATGGTCCACAGCGAAAAAATCACCTAATTCCAAAATAGATGCAACACCCATGTCCAATACAACCTCTACCATAGAAATCAAATTACCGACAAAGGAAAGGACCATGGCCGACATTGTGAAATTGGAAGTGAATAATACGATTCGAATGGATCGATCCATCGGCAACAAACATGTTCGAACTTCAGCATCAACATCATCTTCATTATCATCATCTGGCAATCAGAGGAAAACGAAACAGAATCATGCCAAAACATCATCATCATCAAGATCAAGGAAGAAGACAAAAGACTAACTCCCATCTTATTCATTTAATTATTTACATATATTATCATTTAGATCTCCTACCCTCTACTCTCATTTTATTTAACAGATATACATGATCTCTTCGTTATAGTTTCTCTTTTTTTTTTTTACGTTTACGTTTGATTGGTTCAGACTTTGGTTTACTCTCTCTTTCAATAAAGAATGCATTGAAAACAATCAAATACATAAATGACTAGGCTTTTTTTTGTTTTAAATTCTCCTCCACTTTATTTTAGCAGTGAAAATTTTGGTAAGAGCATCAACTGGCAATATTCTTAAAAATCGAACAAAATATCATTCTGATACTCAGTAGATGCGAGGAGCATTGTGAACAATGAAAAAAAAAAAAAAAAAAAAAAAGGCAACAAAGAGAAAGCATATTCACTCCCTATTCAATCATCCATCATCAGGGACAGTCATCATGATAGATGCTGCATATTATAGTTCCATTTTTTTTTTTTTTTGCATTCATTTTCAATGAAATACATTTTACAAAGAAAATTTATCATTTTATTCTAAGCAACAATCAAATCATCGGTTTCTCTGTTTCCAAAAAAAAAAAAAAAAGATTTCCTTTTTTAATGAGATGATAATGTTTTTGCATTGATTTGTTCCTAATATTGCCTTTTTTATAAAATACTATCCTCTATAAATATGAGATTCATCTTTGACATTTGAAAAAAGAAACTATACTATCATTACTTTTCTTTTTTTTCTTTAAAAAAAAACATTTATTGATTAACACTATAATGTATTTTCCTCGTATTTGGTTCATATGCTGCTTAATCTTTGTCATGATTAACCACTGTCAATGTTTCTGTATTCGTAGCAATCTTGTAGCACCTACTAGTATGCATGTTATTCAACGCGATGGTGCTGGAACTGGTGGACCTGGGTAAGTGATTTTATAAATTTAATAAAAAAAAAAAAAAAAGAGATTACTTTTTTTTTCGGATGATTGTTTCATTTTTTTTTTTTTTTTTGATAGACTCTATGAGGTTGATATTGGTCCTGGCGGATCCTCTTGTTGCCATTTTAGTAACACTGATTGTAATTTCAAGGGTACGGCTGATGCTATTGTTGGATTCACTGTAAGTTCCATTCTCTTGAATCAATGATGATTTATTTATTTTATTTTATTTTTTATTTTTTTAGTTCACTACTTGGATAAATAACGAACGTGTAGGTCCTTTTGAATTCCATATTCCGGCTGGTGGTTCTTCTGAAGTAAGCGGTGATGCTAATCAACCTACTATACATACCTATGATCAACGTGGTCAGCCATACAATTATGATGGTCCACTTATTGGCGATCGTACTTGGTGATTCACTAAAATAGATTTTATGATAATCCTTAGATATATAACATTTTATAAACTTAAAATATTCCTTCCAAACTTTTCAAAACAATCATTTTATAAATTTGACTTTTGTTTTGTGTGAATGTTGAGATCACTGGAAATAATACAATGACTTTGAAGACAATGATAATAAAAAAATATCTCTTTTTTTTTTTTTTGTTTTACAAAGGAAAAGTATAAAGACATAACGCTACAGATATTTTTCAATCATCATCCTTCATTAGAATATCAGTTAAAAAAAACGATGAAGACTCATTTCCGTAGTAATCACGAAAAAAAAAAAGATGAATTGGGAAAATGATGAACAGACAAAGAAAAGTTTCAATCACAAGTCTCCTTATGCAATCATCTGTAATTACATGCATTTCCAATTCAAGATCATAAAACGACAACATCTTTATAAAGATAACTTATTGTTCTATTATAGAAATAAGGATCCATGGAAAACAATCAAAAAAAAAAAAAAGACTTCTCCTGTGCACAACAGGTGTTCCAAATTTGATTATTCCTTTCCCTCGGCTTCATTATTAAACATTACCTTTTATATCAAACAACATCTTTATCAAGGATGATTTTCTATAAATATATGTATTTGATTTACATGAAAACTCATAACTGTATTATCATCACCTTTTTTTTTTTAAAAAAAAAAAAGAAATCATATTCAACTTGCACACTCATACATACGCGATGTTATTTTCTTCTACTTGGTTTTTTTATTGCTTGATTGTTCTTTTTTCTATGGTCAGAAACAGCCAATGTTTCTGTATCCGCAATGCATTCAATGCACCTACTCAATTAATTGTTGCTCAACTTGATGGTTATGGTGGAACCCTTTACGAGTAAGTCAAAAAAAAAAAAAAAAAGGATGGAGAGAACAAGGTGGGACTTTTTTTTTTTATTGTAAACTGATGATCATCTCTTAATTTAGACGATTTTCTGCAGATATCAATTATGGTCAAGCTTCTTGTTGTCATTATAGTAATAGTCAATGTAACAAGGCAACTACACCTGATGCCGTTATCAATTTTGAAGTAAGTATTTGAATCAATGGAACAAAATGATGGACTAATATATATATATATATATATAATAGATGTATGTTGTGGTTGATTCTAATAGGCGTACTGGTTATGGTAACATTCATATTCCTGCTGGTGGATATGCCATGGTCAGTGGAGATCCTGATCATCCTACTATTCAATCCTACGATCCACATAACCAACCCTTCCAAGGTTAACTTCAATCGACTTTATATTTGATTTTTTTTTTCTGATTCATTCACAAATAGAATAGACTAAAATCATCGTTTTTTTAAGAACAATAAATATGGATCTTTATCAAAAGAAAGAAAAGTTTGGATGAACATTGATTTTTTTTTGTTAGTTAGTATTTTGACAATGGTGGATGATTTTCGCTTGTCATTTCCATAAAAGATTTCGTTCTCAGTAGCCAATAAAATCCTGCCTGCACTTTCTGCCTGTGTATAAATATTAAAACAATGTTGACCCTTTCCACACTTTTTTTTTTTTTATTTATTTATTATCATTCACATTATGAAACTGGTGGGTTTACTGCTTTGTATGATTGCTCTTTGCTCTCCTTGGGCAGATGCTTTATACTTTTATCTCGAAGGATCTGAAAAGAAATGTTTCTTGGAAGAACTACCCAAAGAAACAATGGTAACTGGTAAGAATCCTTTTTTTTTTTTTTCATCTTAACTTTGTTTTTATTATTTTCATCTGTCTATATCGAACACAAACATTGACTAAACACTCTTTTTTTTTTTTTCTAGGTACTTATACAGCTGAACAACTCTCGGATACCCAAAACAAATGGATTATCAACCATCAATTAAAGATCGATATTTCTGTGGAAGAAATCCCTCAAGGTAATGTGGTTGTGTCGCGTCAAGGTGGAGCCAAGGGTAGATTCACTTTTACTTCTGCAGAATCTGGTGATCATTCTATTTGTTTATCTGCTGCCCCTACTTCATGGTTTGACTCTACAAAGACTGTAAGTTGAAAATATTATTAAAAAAAAAAAATAGAATGGGTATTGACTTGTTTTCTGTGTTTTATTTTTCTTGTAGAGAATTACCTTTGATATGGATTTTGATGATCCAGCTGGAGATGGACATGATCATAAGGAAACATTGACTGGTAAATATACTAAAAAAAAAAAAAAAAAAAAAAGGAGAGAGAGAGAGATCATATCTTCAGTGTCATATATAGTATCTTAACTTTTTTTTTTTTTAGATTTGGCTAGAAAGGTGCATGAATTGAATGAACGCGTTCAAGATATCCGTAGAGAACAACTTTCTCAACGTGTAAGTAGAATATAAAAGTTGAATCTACTTATTTATATATATATGCACATGTGTGGATAAAAAAAAAATACTTATTGTTGATCTTCTCATAGGAACGTGAAATTGAATTCCGGGATCAATCTGAATTGACCAACTCTCGTGTGGTATGGTGGACTGTAGTTCAACTGATTGTACTTGGTGTTGTTTGTGTCTGGCAAATGCGTCATTTCAAGAGCTTCTTTGTGGCCAAGAAGTTGGTATAGTTTAGCTTTAGTGATGTTTGTATGTTGGTAGAAACTCCATATAATAAAGTAAAATAAAAAAAAAAAAAATGAAATGCACTTGTTCATGTTATACGGTTGTCTTTCTAATGCATATACACATATTGAGTGATCTTTTATTTTTTTATTTGATCATTGTAACAGATGGTTCCTTTTGCACAAGCTCATCATCTTACGATTAAAAAGAAAAAATATTCAATTGTTTATAAAAAGACAAGCAGGGGAGAAGAATGAGATAGGATAGTTTTTTTTTTTTTTTTTTTATTTTATTTTCTTCTTTTTGTACTTTGATGCGTAAAATATATTGAAGGTAAAATGTTTACAAAAACATCGATCATCTGCAGAAATAATAATAATAAATGAGAATTGTTGTTATGGCTAGCATCTAGACTCATTCTACATTCCATGTCAATCAATGATGACGAATCCAGACAGTTCCCAAAAATGATTTGAATTGAATTTGTTTATTTATATAGATTGATTGAATGGAAGACACACAGAAAAAAAAAAAAAAAAAGAAAAGAAAAGGACAACTATTCAATAGTGAAAGAGGATAATGTAGAAGGAAGGGAAAATGCAAAGGAAGAAAAAAAGGCCGGGATGATGGGTGGATTGTAAAATGTTATTGAAGAATAAATAAATAAAAAAAAAAAAAGGTTCATAAATGAAAGTAAAAAAGTTTGCATACGAAAGAAGAGTGCAATAATAAAAGACTAATTGAATAGGAGGAGAAAATAGACAGATAAAGATATCGATCAAACTAATGTGGGAGGTATCACAACATAAGAAGGATTGGAATAAAAAATAAAAATATAAAGAGGTGTACACGAATGGAGGAAAAAATAAATAAACACACACAATAGAATCCAATCATCATCATAGTTCCATGTGCACACCAACATCCATCAAGAGGGGATTATCTGAGCTTTCTGTAGATCCATTTTGACTTTGATCACCTAATTCTTGTTCCATCAACGTTATACCACTATTGGGCAAAGGAGAGTTACTCATCATAATAGCTGATGATGTCGATGTTTGTTGTTCGTCCAAATATTGGTTTTGTTGTTCTTCTTGTTGTTGTTGTTGTTGTTGTTGTTGTTGTCCAGAAGAAGGTCGACGTTCTGATGGATAAACAATGGGTTGATTGGGTGCCAACATATGTCGATGATGATGACGTCGATGATGATGATTGTTATCGATATTGGATGGAGTGATTGTTGTACGTCCAGCCAAAGCTTGTGGATGAGGATCATCTTGAAGTATTCCCATAGTCATTGGTAAAGGAGTAGCGCCAGTCATCAAAGTCATTGTACCAGGACGACGATGTTGTTGAGGTCGAGTACCTAAAGTAGTACCCACTGCGGCAATAAGATCAGATGCAGTTGCTATGGTAGTATTTGTTGTTGTTGTTGTTGTTGTACGAGATCTTGATCCATTTGTTGATGGTGTAGTAGTAGCATTTGTTGTAGTAGTTGTAGAATGTCCATTTGTTGTAGTATTATCTTGAGGAGGTACAGAAGAACGACGTTCAACACACCACCAACGATGACCATCGGCCCAAGCTTTAGATTGACAAGCTTTGCAACAATATTTGGCTTTACGGCAACGACGACATTTAGCGAATTCACGAGGTTGAGTTTCCCATTTTCCACAAAGCATATTTGCACAACGTCTGGTTCCACCTTTTGTTTCGTCCTTACGGCAAGCATTTCGCATGATGACACCAGCCCAATATTGAATAGGATTTGGATGCAAACGATGACAAAAACGTTCGACGACGGAAAAGACATTGCGATCATAGTTGGTGTGGAATTGATTTCGGATGTGAGGATATTTTGAAAGATAAGCCAATAATTGTAATGAAAGGAGAATATCTTCTTCACGATAAAATACATTATCAATAGTAGGTTCCCGGGGATCTTGCCATGTAGGTACAGATTTCGTTGATTCCCTGTTGATTCGGTTTCTTCGGCGTTGAGCAGCATTCATCTTGATATAAGGAAAAGTTGATTTTCGAAGAATACGATGTTGTTGACGAGTTGATTGAGGACGTCCAGATAAAACATTATTATCATCAGTATTGGGTATCAAAGTATGGTTGTTATTGTTGTTATTGGTTGAAGTAGTTATATTTGTGGATGGTGGAAATGATGGTAATCTTGTTGTATTGACTACATTATTATTTAAAAAAAAAAAGATGAGTAAGATGATTCATATACACATCAATTCCTCCCCTTTCTTTCTCTTTTTTTTTTTTTTTATCACATATCCCCTTGATTCCAAAACAAATAATAATAATAATAAAATATAGTCGGAATACAAACCTAAATGATGAGAATCCAGTATAGCTTGTTCAGATAATAAACCATTAAGTAATTCTTGATTATGTGAAGTGGATGATGATGATGATCGTACATTGTTGTTGTTAGTAGTTGTTGCTGTAGAATTGTTATTATCTTGTCGATCAGTTTCTTGCCGTACCAATTCCAAAGCTCTTAAGAAGTTTTCTAGTACACGCAAGACAATAGGAATCATACCAGCTTCCACCACTTTTGTTCGAATTTGTTCAGTACCTCGAACACCAACATTGACCACACATTGAAAAGCCAAAGACCATTTCCATAAACTACGGCGTTCAGGTTCAAGATGCTGCGGAGACAAAATACGTACTAGTCGTTCTAAACCACCATCTAATACTAATATTTCTCGAATACGGGGAGATGTTGAAGTAAGATAGGCTAAATGAGTCAAAGAGTTAATCATAGGTAAACTAGCAGTACAATCCAAAGCTCTTCTATCATAAAGAGCCGAAGTGATGCAAACAGCCGCTTTGTTATGTGATGGGAAACATAAGTTGGGTTCCCTCATTTGGTTGATGTATATATATATAAAAAAGGGTTGTATTTAAAAAAGAGTTATATATATATATAATAAATAAATAATATATATATAAAAGAAAATATATGTAAGAAAAAAAAAAGGTAGATAAATAGATGAAATAAGATAAAACTGATGAAGGGGAGATAAAACGGTTCAAGTGAAGAAAAAAGGAGTGAGAGAAAATAAAAGAAAAAAAAGAAAAAAAAAAATAAATAGAAAAAAAAAAAGTCTTGATGAGTAAATAATCCCCCACTTATCCCCTCTCTCTTCAATACACTTTAGAGAACCAATCACACGCCAACGGATACTAAAGAACTAAGCCTGAGTTTGAAATGAACTGTATATAAAGTAAAAGTCATCTTTTTTTTTTATTATTATTATTATTATTATTTCTAAAGTTTTTCATTAGGTTGATATGATGTTTGTGGAATGGTTGGGGATGATTGACTATAAGCAGGAGGAGAACATATTGATTTATAATTTGATCCATTCATAGTAGAAAAATGATGTAAAAGATTATATCTTTCATCAAATTCTATAGTAATTGCCTATAAATATATAATCAGTTAATCCTTTGTCATCGTTTGATGTCTCTTAATATTAAGGGGATGATGTGGTAGGAGAAAACTAAGGAGGACTAAAGTCTTTTTTTTTTTTTTTTAAGGAGGATGAAATACAACTGCAGGAAGAAAAAAAAAAAAAAAAACTTTACATAGTAAGCGGACTTTTGGTAATGAGTACTAGAATTTGACCCGGGAGATAGTTTGGAAAGACGGAAATTGATACCTCGAACATTTTCGGTCGCGTTCATGCAAGAACATAAATGTATAATAGCATGTTCAAACTAATTATTATTATATATATATATATATAAAGAAAAACATTTTTTAAAAAAATGAAATCTATCATATTTCTTTTTTTTTTTTCTTTTTACTTTTTTTTTCAGTCGTCTACGCCAACCCATCAATATACATGAAAATGAAATAAGAGTAAAAGGGATCACCAAGATAAAATAAAGATGATGAGTATAATGAATAGATCCAATAACAGTTAAAATGATTAAAGTACTAAAAGAAGCAATCAATGCTGTAGATGTTCCCGAAGAAAGTGATGGTGGTGGAGGATTATGTTGAGCTACTTCATTAAAAGCTGTCATTGTTGATGCAAATTCTTGAGCTGTCATCTAATATATCAATCAAATAAATCATCATCATCATCATCATTTTCTCTTTTTTATATTTTTATCTTACAAAACCATCTAAATCAAAGGTATATTGATTATCAAAATGTCGATGAGACATGACACAATGAATTGACTTCATGATAAAAGAGGAAATAATAACGCGTGTTATCAATTGAGTGGCAATCGGTAAAACAAGAAAACAAAAAGAAAAAAAATTACAAAAAAAAAAAAAAAAAGAGAGAGAGATTTAAATAGATAAATTTTTTTTCTCTTTTTTTCTTTTTAGATGAAATCAAATCAGGGGTGGGGAGCAATATAAAGGTATGGAACGTATTATCTATTTTTTTTCTAGGAGGATTGTCTTTTTTATTTTTGGTAGTAAAAAAAAAAAAAAAAAAAAAAAAAAAAAAAAAAAAAAAAAAAATAGGAGAAAGTGACCCACAGGGATCTTTCTTCTCTGAATACTGCATTGTTTTTTAGGGTGGTAATCATAACTTCCTTTTTTGGTTGTTTTTGAAATACCGCCACTTTCTTTTTTTTTGGATCTTTCACTTTTTTTTTTTTTTTTGCTTTCATGTCGATCTCTTTTCCTTTCTTTTCTTTTCTTTTTTTTTTGTCATCACCCCTTTTCTATTTTCAATCTATATGTACCATTTTCTGTATTCAACGTTTTAGTTTATTAGTCTTTTTACTTTCTTTTTTTTTCCTTCTCCTTTATACACTTGTTGATATCATATCTTTTTCTTTATATACTTTTTTTAGTGTACTATCATCAAGAAGCATCATCAGTCTACAATCAACAACTTTTAGTAATTACATCATCAACATTATTGTTTATTATTGACATTTCAACATAAATCAGTATTACCGACTATATCAATATCATCATCCCTACTACTAGGCAATAACATCGGCAAAACATCAATATCGTCAATATCATCAACAATTATTATTATTAAAAATATTATTCTTACTTATCAAAAACAAACCATCATCATTTTAAACAAGTATTAACAATAACAATCAACAGCATCTACAACCCTACAATAAAAGATCATCAACATTATCATCAGTAACAGCATATATAATGGCCGTAGACTTGATTCCGGGCGAATTTTCTCCATTCACTATAGCGATTGCAGTTCTTAGTGGCTTTATTGTATTCTTTGGTTATATATCGATGTTTCTGAAGGAAAAGTTGTTTCTTTCCGAAGCTTGTAAGTATTTGTTTTTGGATAAAGTTTAGGTCGGAAAAAATTCATTATGTCCACTTCTCAACCTTCCCCCCCTTTTTTTTCATTGACTGGTTTTTTTTTTCTTTATACATATATATATATATATAGTTGTTGCATTGGTGGTGGGTATTATCTCGGGACCTTTGGTGACAAATGCTATCAATCCTTATACTTGGCAAGAAAATGACGAAATCACGAAACAGCTTACCAGGTGCATCATTGCTATTCAGGTATTCTTATTTATTATTATTATTATCATTATTATTATTGGTTAAGAGTTGACAGTAACATGATGATTCACTTTTTTTTTTGCTTTATCCATATTAGGTAATGGCTGTTGGTATAGAGTTGCCCAAGTAAGTCACATAAACCGATTCTACCATCGTCTTCTTCATCGTAATTCTATCTCTCATCGTCAGACTATCATTTTCGTCAGTCTAACATCATCATCATCATCGTCGTCATCATCATTAAACTATTATCATCGTCATCATCATATCATCATCATCATCATCATCACACAGTCATTATCATCATCCTCATTTCATCATTATTTTGTAACACACAGGCGAAATAATCATGCATGCATATTTACTTTTTTTTTTTTATCTTTTCTTTTTGTCTTCCCATAGACACTATCTCAAGAAAGAATGGTTGACCATGCTGATGCTCTTGTTTCCAGTCATGATGTTTATGTGGCTCGTTAGTGGTCTCTTTATTTGGGCTCTAATACCTCCCGTGTCCTACGTAAGTTATCAAAAAAAAAGACAGATTTCGTCCCTTTTTAATTTGATCTTTACTATCATCAGCTGGAGGCCCTTGTTATATCCGCATGTATTTGTCCTACAGATCCTGTAAGTATGGAATTAATTAAAAAAAAAGGAAAATAGTCTACAAAACCGTTTACTTTTTAATTCTCAGGTATCTTATCTTTTTTTTTTTTTTTTTTTGTGGGTGATGATGAATTGTTTATAGATTTTGGCAAACTCTGTGATTAAAGGTAGATTTGCTGAAAAACATGTCCCTTTTCATATCCGAAATGCACTCTCAGCTGAAAGGTAATATATAAATGAAATGAAATTGATTAACAACTAATTAGTATTCTAACCTTTTTTTTTTCCTCTTACATATCCATTCTTGTATAATATAGTGGCGCTAATGATGGTATGGGATTTCCTTTTTTATTTTTGGCTATTTTCCTTTTGGGAGAAGATACTGTGGGTGTGGCTGTTGGAAAATGGATCTATGTTACCTGTCTCTTTCAAATTGCTCTCTCTTGTGTTATTGGCATTATCGTTGGTTATATTGCTCGTAAAATCTTACAATGTTCGGAAAAGCAGTAAGTTTATCAAAAAAAAAAAAAAAAAAAAAAGGCATGAAAATTCAGGGATCGGGTATTAATCTATATCTATTTTTTTTCTTTTATGCAAATGTTTCAAAAGTCATCTTATAGATAAACCGTCTTTCTTGTCATTTGCAATTGCTCTAGCTGTAAGTAAAATTATTATATATTATTATGTATCCACTGATTTACCTTTTTTTTTTTGTTAGCTATTCTTGATGAGCATGACTGGCTTTTCTGGTAGTGATGATGTACTAGCTTGTTTTGTGGCTGGAAATGCATTCTCTTGGGATGCATGGTTTAGGAAGGAGACCGAAGAGGCTCATTTTCAAGATGTTATTGACATGATGCTAAATTTGGCTATTTTTGTTTACATTGGTGCTATCATTGTAAGTTAGATTATATCAATCCAATCATTATGATTATTATTGTATTAGATGAATCATTTATCTAATATATATATATATTTAATTTAAGCCCTGGAATGACTTTGGAAATGTATCTCTCGGATTAGCGCCTTGGCGATTGGTGGTACTTGCTATCTTGGTTCTTTTGTTTCGAAGGTTACCTATTGTACTTTTACTCAAACCTGTGATGCCAGCAATGAAAACATATAGGGAAGCCTTGTTTAGTGGATGGTTTGGTCCTATGGGTGTAGGTGCTGTATTTTTATCCAAAATTGCAAAAGAACAACTGACAAAAGTGTATGGTGAAGAACCTATCTCAGTGCAAGTCATCAATCCGGTAGTTCTTTTTATTGTCTTGTCTTCTGTCCTTGTCCACGGTACAACTATTCCATTATTCAAACTAGGGAAGAGGATTAGATCACGTACATTATCTATTACAAGTATCGGTAGCGGTGCAAGTCAAGTCCTCCATCTGCCTAAATTCCAACAACGACGAAGTGAAGACGATCTATTACATCACTATCATCATCCAAAAACGTTAGAAGCAACAATGACTGAATTACAACGCAATACATTATTCAATACCATTCATGGTGATCGAACATTAAGTAATCGACCCTCTTCAACAACAGCCATCATTGTTAGTGGAGACAAGTGTGATGAGGAAGATAACAAGGCTATGATACAGATACATATTCATGACAATGACGAAGTAACGACAGAAAAAGTGAATGAAAAAGAATTCATAGTTGGAAAAAATAGCAACAAGCATTCAACCAGTAACTCTTCAGCTTCATCCACTTTATCTTCTTCACGATATGAGGATGATATGACAACAGATGATGATGGTGATCACCGGTTGGACGCAACAAGGGAACAACTTGGTAGCGATTGTCCTCTTTTTTTGGGTGCTGGGACCTATCGACGTGGAAGTAGTGCAACTCTGGAGACACAAGGCATTCGATTTTTGGAACCAATCAAGCCAAGAATGTCATCACAAACAAATCTTAGTACGATGGTAGAGAGGAATGATACAAGTGTATCTAGTTTCAAACATTGGATAAATAAACATACTAAGGATTCAACAAATGAACGATCAATTAGCACATCATCAAAGTCAACAAAGGAGGAAAAGAATGAAACATCAAAACAACAACAACAACAACAACAGCGTCATCAGCATAGTGGATTGCGCCATTTATTAAAAAGCAATAAAGAAACAACAGATAACAATGATAGGAACATTGCCACTTATTCCCCAAATCTATCGCAACATGAAAAAGAAAATGACAATATATCCAATGAATATCCTTCTATTTATATGATGATGACAGCCAATAAGCATACTCAAGATATGGTGAATAAGAAAGGATCAATTATATAGATTTAGTTAAGTGTTTTATTTAGATGTATGTAATAGATTTATACACCTTTTTTTTTTATTTTTATTTTATTTGTTTGTTACAATAAATAAATGAGTGCCTTTTTTTTTATTACTGTTTTTGATTATATATCATTTCATTTAGGTTGCATTTTTAGGGAGCCTCAAAAAAATCAGGGTGTAGTACAAAAATGTCAAAGAAGTCCGCTTCTCCCCCTTTTTTTTTTCGTTTCTTTCCTTTTTGCTCTCCACATTATCTTTTCCTTTTCTTTCCTTTCTTTCTCTCTTTATTAAATTGTATATATATATTCTTTCCTTTTTATTTTTTATTTTTTTATTTTATCAATACTAGTCTTTCTATAATAGAATGTCAACAACATCTAATGATGGAAGATGTTATCGACATCGAAAAGATCTTGTTAACAATAGAGCCGAAGTTCTTTTTGAGTTAGTAAGTTTTTTTTTTTCTTCTTATTTTAATAAGTCAAATTAAAGAACTAACTGATATTTTTTATTAAAAAAAAAAAACAAAGTCTTTGGATAAAGTATCTACAGTAGATCGTGCTGCCATTACTCATATTTGGTCACTCTTCTCTTCTGCACCAAAGAAACAACGCGACTTGATCTTGAAAGGTATTCTCTCTGTTTGTTGTATGCCTCAACTCTCTTTTATCTATGAAACATTACAACCTTTACTTAGAATTGATTTTGTAGCAATATTACCAAGGTATAAAAAAAAAAAAAAGAAAAAGAATATATATTAATCATACTAAATCATTTTTTTTATTATTAAGACATGTGAACTTTCAAATATTTAGTTATCTTGATGCTACTTCTTTATGTTATGCTGCTCAAGTCTCTCATTCTTGGAAATCAATTGCTGATGATGAACGTCTTTGGTTTATGATGTGTGATCAACATACTGGAAAGAAATGTGCAAAATGTGGATGGGGTTTATCCAACAAGCTTCAAACAGCTTTATCATCTTCTTTAAACAAAGGTATTACTCTCCAACAACAACAACAACAACAAGAATCAATCTTATCTGCTATGACCACTTTACGATCCACGACAATGACATCAGTAAAGAAACCTTATACACCCATATCATCATCAAGAAAAAGAAAACTTTCTTTGGTCTTCTCTCCTTCTTTTATCAGTTTGTTCCCGAAAAAGAAAATATTATCATCATCATCAACCACCTCTTTTACCGAATCATTGAATACCGACATCGATCCTTTACTCAACCAACGACATGATAATTTCAACATTTGGAAATCAATTTATCGTGAACGTATGTTAGTAGAACAGAATTGGCGACAAAATCGATTTATTCAGCGGGAACTATGTGGACCGAAGAATGGCGTGATCTGCATTCAAGTTTGCGACGATCTTCAAGTGATTATGATTGGATACGATGACAAAACAATTCATGTTTATGATACCACTCAACAACAACAACAACAGCATAATATACCAACAACAATTATGAAAATGGAATCAATGATACACTGTTTTCAGTTTGATGAAGCCAAATTGATTGTTGGTGAATTAGATCATTCAATTAGTATTTGGGATTGGCGTCAAGGCATAAGAATTCGTAGGTTGCAAGGTCACACAGACGCCATTGTTACTCTTCATTTTAATTCCCGCAACATTCTCGCCACCGGTTCCTTGGATCACACCATTCGGATATGGGATTTTCAACAAAGTCAAAGTTATGTTTTACTTGGTCATGACACAGCCATTCGATCTCTTGTATTACTCCAACATCAATCACAACAATTATTAGCCTCTGCAGGGGATGATGCTTCTATCCGTATATGGGATTTGACAACACAACAATGTATTCGATGCTTGACAGGTCATCATGGCGGCGTTCGGAAAATCGTTCCCGTACCCTCATCAAGTCAATTATTGAAAAACAACAGCCATCCACTTATTCTATCATGTTCCACTGACAATACTATACGCTTATGGGATATCATCACAGGTCAATGTCTTCGTACAATGTTTGGTCATATGGACCATGTTACTAGCCTAGCATGCGATCCATTTCGTATTGTGACTGGATCAAAAGACAAGTCTTTACGTATATGGTCTTTGGATACTGGTGAACTTCAACATGTATTCCATTCTCAAAGTCCTGTCAATGCTGTGGCCCTTTCCTCTTCTGGTATTCTTTCTGCATTTGGTGGGTCTGGTTGTATTTGGGACTATAGTACTACTATCAATTCAAGATGATTTGCTGCTTGGAATTAAAAAATTGCATTGCGTGATTGATTGACCGAATATCGTTTGGATTATGCCATTTCTTTTCTTCCAATCAAAAGATAGACGTCCCCCTCTCCTTTCCCCCCCCTTTTTTTTTATCACTCTATTTTTATACCCAGCATTTATATATACACTTATTATTCATCCGTTTTCTCCAGTTAGTTGTAGTTTATATTGCTTATTTTACCCTATTTTATACTAGATAATCTGTTACACACATATACAATTATCCCTCTATTCGAATAAATCGTTGTTCAAATATCATTATTTCTTTCTTTCTCTCTTTTTTTTTTTTTTTTTTTTTTTTTTTTTTTTTCCTGTCATTATCTTTGTTTGATTCTTACCATTATTAGTTCTTGTTGAAATCTAATCTGTATAAAAACGCCCTGCAGCTATTCTTCAAAGTAAGACTTCATCATTTGATTATAAATTGCGACTTTTTTCTTTCTTTCTTTCTTTCTTTCTCAGTGATTGAATCATATCTTTCTTCCCTCCCCTCTTTCTTGTATATTATATCTATTGTATTATTCATCAAATTTATCACTATTTATTTTTATTTTGTAATTTATTTCTATTCTAAAAAAAAAAAAAAAAGAATATCACGTCATATGATGAATCCATCTCTTGTATCTACTACTGGCACCACTTGGTCTTCTCATGTAGATGTATTGAATAAAGTCATGGATCCTATTGATATCCTAACAGATGCAGAACTTCAAAACGAGTTAGCACTCTATGCCAATGCTCAATTCACTTTTGATACTTTGCCTGGTGCTGCCATTGAAGACAAACAAATGAAATCATTGTCTGGTTTCCCTATGGATCAACAACGACAACATCGTCAAAGACCTCCTGTGCTTGATATTTCTCTCGCCAATCAAATCCATAGTGCCAATTCTACGCAAAAAGGTAAAAAAAAAAAAAAAAAAAAAAAAAAAAAAAAAAAAAAAAAAAAAAAAAAAAAAAAAAAAAAAAAAAAAAAAACTAATTTTAAATGACACTCAGGCGGGAAATATATAAATTCTAATATACGATTTTTTTTTTTTGACTCTTTCTTTCCTTTTTTTTTTTTTTAATAGATCCTTATTCTTCTGTTACCTCTTCACCTTATGATCAAACTCAACAACATTACTTTACGCCAGTATCATCATTACCTGGATCACCCACCCACAAGAATCATGGTGGACGCCATATGGATCCATTATTATCATTCATGATGTCGCCTACAAATAGCACTCCTGAAGAACCAGTGACTCCAATGGAAACATTATCTGATCAACTTGATGGTCACAAAACAAAGAAAAAGTCAATAACAAGACGTACATCTGCAAAATCTAAAGAAACCAATGATAAACCCCAAGATGTATCGTTGGAAAAGGTTAGTCAAGCTAATGAACAGCAGGACGAAGATTTAATCAAGTTGGATAAACGACGCCGCAATACCGCTGCTAGTGCTCGATTCCGAATCAAGAAGAAATTGCGTGAACAAACCTTACAACGTACGGCATGTGAAATGACGGAAAAGGCCAAACGTTTGGAAGCCCGTGTGCAAGAATTGGAACGTGAAATCAAATGGCTCAAGGAACTGGTAGTAGCAAAACATGATGCTTGAAATATTTCTATCCATACATGTCCTTTTTTTTTTTTTTTTTTTTTTTGTTTTTGTGTGTGTTGCCTTTTATGATACTTCTCTTAAGATGATTTTTTCCACATTATGATTTTTATTTTTATATGCCGAACTTTTATGAAAAAAATATATGCCTATATGCCTTTATGTCCCCCTTTTTATAAAATAAATTTTTTTTTTCTTTTTTCAAATTTTTGTTACACACGGAGATGGACTATTTGAATCGGCGGCCTTGTCCACCAATGAAAGATGTTGAAATGGCTCAATTCAAAGTAGAAACAATCAAGAAGAAGGGTGTTTGACAGCTTTTAATTCAACATGTTTTTGTCGCTCGATTGATTGAATATTTTGTCATTGGTTGGTTCAACAACCGCATGATCAATTGTAGTGGAGAAAGCATGTATTTGAATTGAAAAATGATGACCAGGTCAACCTTAAATGACCCCAAAATAGATAGATAGGGACATCGAGAAACGATGCATTCGATATGTCGAGAGGGGTATGTCTGATTTTTTTTTTTGTCATCATCACCCCGTTGTCAGCCATAATATCAGTTATCATCCCATCTGTTGCTATCTTGTTCTTTGGTTATAACTTGGAGATGTTATTTTTGATGATGATCAATTAATAAGTATGATGATCAATGTTATAGGTAGTAGTGAGAGCACCAATTCTATATATGATAGAACGAAAGTATATGTATAATAAAAAAAAATAAATAAAATCAGATAAGGAAAGATATGATGATGATGATCACAGTTAAGTGATAATCAGAGAAGATAAAAATATAAAAGTAAATACCAAATTAACTTGGTGATTTGACATAGAGTAAAATAATATATCCTAACACATCCATCATAGGAAATACAATAACATGGAAAGGCATTTTTATTACAAAATGAAATAATACTCTCTAACTAAATAATGATCCTTGACATGTTGGATGTCGACGACGTTGAGGCACTTTTTCCTTGATAGCTGAGATAGTCATCAAATGTCGCATGGTTGGTCTTCCATGAGGACAATTCTATAGGAAAAAGTAAAAATAAACAAGTATATCAATAAATGAAATTTTTCTTAAAATAAAAAAAGGAGATTACCCAAGGTTGATTGATTTCACCCATATGTCGAATAATCTACCAAAAAAAAAAAAAAAAAAAAAATTGAGTCCAACTCTTTTTTTTTCTACCTTTTTTTTTTTTCTTTTATTGTTTTTACCTTGATCATTTGTTGTTTGTTTAATGAATCACCTATCATGACTGATTTTCGACAAGCTCTTGAAGCAAACATCGATCGGATTCTACTACAACGTACCATTTCCCCAGGTCTTTCGCTAATAAGATAAACAAGTTCACTGATGTCTAATAATAATAAGAAGAAGACCAGCTCTTTCTATTTAGTCATATTTTCCTTCACTTTTTTTTTTCTTTTTTACCTTTTTTATCTAACATAGTATTTTTACTGAATGGTTGTGATAAAACAGAGATCCGTTTTGTTGGTTCACCATTCTCATCTATTTGTATATTGAATCCATTTGCCCTAAATATATTCATATTATCCATCACCAAAAGTTCTTCTGATGCCGTTAAATCGATAGGTTGAGGTCTATATATATAAATCATCGAATTTATTATTCTCATCTAACTTTTTTTTTTTGACTTACCGAATTAATTGTTGTCCATTGATCTGTGTCGATTGTTGTAATGTTTCAAAATTGTATTTTTCATCAGCAGCATGTTGATCAATAATAAAGAGATCATGATCATCCAAAAGTCCAATGATAAACCCAAGATTGAATTGTCCAAGGACTTTAATACGTGCAAAATCTGTTTTGTTGATGACTCGATCCAATGCCGCCGTTGCTACTTCGTTGTCGTCAGAACGAAGACTTGCTTGTTTCAAAGAGGATGTCAATTTTGCCATATTCCTATTGTCTTGTTCCGTAGTTGCCGTCTCGCTTGTTGCCCTCCTTGATATTTCATGCAATTGTTCTAATTGTAGTCCAATAGTTACACATTCGTTCATAGAGTGCCATAAACCTCGCATTGCTGTTGTTGAAGATCTTATATCAGAGTTAAAGTCACTATCATTCGTTGCGTCTTTGCTGAAGTCCTCAATTTCTTCAATATCATCAATATCATTATTATTATCATCGTCATCCATTCCATTGTCATCTTTGGTTGCATCGGGTAGTCCTGCATCATCTTGAGATTCATCGGTAGCTGCCATTTCATCTCGTGTATCAGAGTCATTCGTGCTTTTCCATAGAGAATGTGTTCCTTTTGCTCGCTTGACGTAGTTAAGAAGGGTACTAGTGCCCGATCGTTTTCCACTTGTTGCCCCTATAGATTTCCTTGTCGATGTTGTTGATGATGAGGATACTGTTGGTCTATATGCTTTTCCAGATTTATGTGCAAACGATTCTAAAAGTGCCACGTTCAAAGTAGTAGAGGTTTTTTCCGAAATAAGATTGTTGTTACCGTCATCATCATAGTCGTCGTCATTGTCGTTATCGTCATATCGTCTGCCTGCTGCTGTTGATGAGGAATTATCATTTTGCGAAAGAAGTGGATTGACACCAAAGGTTGATCGACTTGGTTCCAATTGTTTTCCTAGTTCATACTATCCAATTGAAGATAAAATTTAAAAATCAGTGCATGTTACCAAAGACAAGTTCCTTACTAAACTATTATATATAAATAAATTTACCATGATGATTTCCGCTAATTGATGTTCTTGATGTAAAAAAATAGTGCGCTTATCGGGTGTGACATTAACATCATAAGAATCTATCGTAAATATCAAAGATAAAAATAAGTATCCATATATCCACTTGCTATTGTCACATTTTACCAGTGGGTATTTTGAAATTGGCAACTACAAAAGGGTATTGATTCGAGATAAAATTTCTGTAAAGTTCATTGAATGCCTTTGTCATCTATGTCCAAAAAGGGAAAAAGAAAGAAAACAGAGATGTGAGTTGTGATAGTAATAAAAATTGTTTATGAATTTGATGAGATATCTTAACAATTAATTGTTTTCTTACCCTTGGAAGATGACATGGTCGTCCATTGATATAAAAATATTGTCGATCAGATTTTTGCCTACCGTGACCAAATTGTGGTTTTGATATGAATCCAGTGACTAAACCAAACCTAATATATTATTAGTAAATATTTATTCTGCATTTTTTTCTTCTTTCATGCTTTACTCATGATCCAATTTTCTGCTATGATCTTCGGAAGAAGTAGATGCCACCAAATCTATTTCAAAAGAGACAATCTGTGTCACCGTCTTTGCACCAAATACATTTGTAAGGTTTTCGCGTAGTGTTAAATTCCCGTTCGTTGACATGACCCGCATTTTCGAACTAAAGAAAATAATAAACCAATATATTGGTAATTAATATGATCATCAAACAGTTGTATTTTTTTTTTCTTCTTCTTCTTTTAGCTCCTACCCTTTGGATGGTTGATTGCTTGCCACCATCCTAATACCAGCGGAAATGATAGCATAAGTTTGAATAACAGCAAGGGCTTTACCATATTCTCTTTTGATATTTCGTTTGAATTCACGTTGTCTTACTGGTAAGGAGTGAAATAAGTTGTGAAGTTGTATAGTTGTACCCACTGATCGTGCTACAGATGTTGTTGATATCAAATGTCCTCGATGATCGTATTCCAATCGTACACCTTTGGGAGCTTGTTCCTTCGTTGCTGTGACAACCACCAAGTTTCCTAAAGCGCATAATGATCCAAGAGCCTCACCTCGAAAGCCAAAGGTATCCATTCGTTCTAGATCTTGGAATTCGGTCAACTTGGAGGTATGATGTTTTAAAGCTAATATGTCAATAAAAATAGTAAAACATATGAGATTACATATATCTGAGATAAGGAGGTCTTTTTTTACTTTACCGAGATTTTCATAATTGGAGGGATCCACACCAGTTCCATTGTCTATGACTTCAATACCTTCTAGTCCATTTTCCTTGAATATGATTTCTATAAATAAGAATAGTTGAATTAGTGAGAAAATTTGAAAACTAAAAAAAAAAAAAAAAGAAAACTTTTACCTATTGCAGTAGCTTGGGCATCAAGACTGTTTTCTATCAATTCTTTCATTGCTGATGATAAATCGAGAACAACTTGGCCTGACCATATTCTATGTACAGATTCTTCATCAATAGGTTGAATTGACAGACCAGCCATGGTAAATAATAATGAAAGAAGAAAGAAAGATAAAAATAAAAAAACTGGATAGACACCAAAAAAAAAATTTAAAAGTCAGATAGAGTTTTGCGCGTCAAAGACAATGTCATGCGCCGCGTCCCAAAGATCATTATCAATCAAATCATCATCATATATGAAAGTAAGAATCAAAGTCTCCATAGAAAAATAAAGTATAATACGCTTTTATTACAAACTTTTCAACATTTTTTCCTTTTTCACTTTCCAAAAACCTAATACAAAATTCAATCTAATCAAAAATAAATCCTTTGCCATTTGTACTGAATCCGTGATCAAGTTGACCTTGCTTCCGTCTATTTCATGCCAATTGACTTGGACTTCTACAATAGGGATATTTTGAGATTGGGCAATCATCAAGCATTCAATATCGAAGATCCATCTTTCTACATGCATATTGGGGAAGATAAGTTGAGCCGCATTTCTTGTGAATAACTTGAAACCGCATTGTGTGTCTTCAATTCCTCTAATACCCAAAGTGTATACCAATGTATGGAAACCACGCATGAGTAGATTTCGAATGAATGATCGCTAATCATAGAAATAAATAAAAAAAAAATAAGATAAAAAAAAATAACTTTCAGTACAAAAGGTATTGCTATCTCGACCCATTTTTTTTTGTTTTACCTTGACTACAGCTTCAGTAGATACTAGATGAGATCTTGATCCAACTGCAATACCATAACCATCTTGATTAACAATAGATTTGAGTTGTTCTTCCAATTTGATAATATCAGAGAATTGAGTAGCACCATCAGCATCCACCATAAGACAATATTCTCCACGAGCACATAACATTCCCTATATAAAAGGAAAAGTATTTTAGATATTATTTTATAACATGATTTATATGTCTCTTACTTGAGTGACAGCACCACCTTTTCCACGATTCTTTTCCAAGGGTAAAATGCGAATATCCACAGACTGGTGTTGTGTTGCAAAATCCGATGCTACCTGAATAGTATTATCTCTACTACCATCGTCTACAATGATAATTTCATAGTTTTGTTGATGATCTTTGGATGTTTTCCTTCGAGTTTCCATAAAATCGACTGTTTCTTTTAACATGATGGGTAGACGCTTGCTTTCATCAAAAGCAGGGACAATGATTGAAAGTAAAACGGATGCATTATCAAATATACTTGGTGTTCGTTGTCGTTGTTCTTTTTTTTCTTTCTGATTCAGAACTGTATAATATTTTTCGTTTTCTGTTGGTTTTCTCGGTGATGGTGAACAAACTATAAGAAACCCAAGTACCTGAATAATAATAATAATAGAAGATCAGCTGACCTATATTATCTTTTTTTTTTCTTCTTATCAATAGATTTTACCAGGAAGATACTGATAATTAAAAGTATCAGTAATAAAAGTAATAAGGTCATCTAGTTTGTATAAATGTGTCAAAAGAAGGGGAAAAGAGAAAAGAGAATATAAAAAAAAGAAGATGTAAGCTAGAAGTCCACTCTAGCTTTTGGGGATTTTCTACTTTTTCAATAACCGTCACTAAAAGGAACCGCTGGTTCTGGATTTGATTTCAAATGCCATTCATCAAAGTTATGCTTTATTAATAACAAAGATAATCACCATAATCACCAATAATCACCATAATCACCATAATCACCATAATCACCATAATCACCATAATCACCATAATCACCATAATCACCATAATCACCATAATCACCATAATCACCATAATCACCAATAATCACCAATAATCACCAATAATCACCAATAATCACCAATAATCACCATAATCACCAATAATCACCATAATCACCAATAATAAATAATAATAATAATACTGTAATAATAATAATAATAATAAAAGTAGGCTAGATACCTTGAGCTAAGAGACCTAAGTTGTAAATGATATAAATTGGATCATGCGAGCTTGCCACCGACAAGTAACGGCCATAATGAGAAGGAGAGACATTTGTAAATACTTGATCAATGGCGGAATAATGAATTGTTGTTGAATAGTTTGGCGGCAGCACAGGAGATAAACCTTCTTGACGAAGACTTTCCACCAGGGGGTTACCATCATGCACTGAGAACGACACATTGAAGTCACCACCTATCACGACGAGGCCAAAATTTTGATATGTCGATATATTTGTCAAACAAGCTTTCACTAATCGAATAATGTCACTAGCATGTGATCTTGGTGAGGCGTATATTGATACAATTGCACAGCCATCAACGAGCACACTTGCCAAACTAATAGACCATCCATCGCCTTCTTCATATGAATTGTACTTGTATGTAACCACTTGAGAGTTCCTGACAAAAACACAAGCACCTGCCGCCTTTCTTGTACTACCATCAGGAATAGCCAGTGCACCAATTTTGAATCCAGGAAGGAGAGAATTGACATCATCGGTTTGTAGCAGCCAAATCTCTGAGAGAAGAATGAAATCGCATCCAAGGTAGCATACGTCGTTCGTTATCAAAGACTTATGCTTCAATAAGCTTTGCACATTATGAAAAATAAATCGTACATCGTTGTTGCTGCGTGGTCTTTCCAAAATGTCGAATTTCATTTTTAATGTCACAGTTTGTTGCCTGGTAAGTTCAATCTTCAAAGGATCGTTGTCTTCCATAGGTTTTGGTGCCACAAAGGGAGTATTGATCAAAAATAATCCGGACAAGGATGTCGCTCGGGAGCAAGCCACATATTTCGCAGATCGAAGACAGTTTCTTGGTAAATCAACAGCCACTTTTGTGTAGGTAGCACCTTGTGATTTATGGATAGTCATTGCTTGCGCAGGGGCAACAGGGAATTGAGTTCGTACAATATTCAGCCCATGAGTTTTGTCGAGAGGATGCGTGAGAGGTGTGATTGGTGTCCAATTGTTTTCCATGGCGTTACTATAAGTAGTTCTGGAACGGCACAGTCTTCCCGATCGTTCGTCATCAAATTTAATCCAAATTCTGAGAGGCTTATGTAACGCTGCTGTCGATACGTGTTGACCAAGATCGACCTTTTTCAGAATTCCTATCGCTCCATTTACCAATCCATCCGTGGTATCGATGTTGTTAGTCACCATGTATCGCCCACCAATTCGTAAATCCAATTCGTATGCCAAGCCGTAAGTCCTTCCATAATGTAATTGCTGCACCGCCAACAAGGCCTGGGTCAGAGAAGTGCGGTTTCTTGGAGTGCCACTTACTACATCACTTGCAACAGATACATAACTTTGCGTTCCCAAACTTGACAGCGCCGCTTTGTTCTGAGCATCCACTTTTCGGTTGGAATAATAAAGATGAATACAGTCGTCGTCGTTGATGGTGTCAGGTGATGATGCTGCATATCTTTTTCCGATTAGATCTTTGTCCTCTTGAGTCATAGCACCAATAGCCATTCGATTCAAAGCGTTGATAAAATCGATATCGCCACGTTGTCGCATGATTTCAGTGAGTCTATGCACCTGGAAGTTTTGCCACAAAAAATCATCATCACCTTGAAACAGATCATCTAAGTTTCGCATCCTAAAAAAAAAAAAAAAAAAAAAAAAAAAAAAAAAAAAAGGAAAGAAAAAGAAAAAAATGTTAATAATCTACAATTATAATAGTTGTTCAAAATCACAACACTTACGATCTTGTATATATTGGGCGATCCATCACTGGTGGCAGTTGTAAGAGGTCACCAAAAAATATTACAGAGCGTCCACCAAAGATGGCGTTGTTGTCGAATATTTGTCGCATTCTTCGGTCGATCCAACTAAGCATTCTTGCCCCAACCATACTTATTTCGTCAATGATAAGTACCTTCACGTCAGCCAATTTCACCCGCATTGATTGTAGTAAATCACCAGAGAGGTCATCCATTACAAATTTGGTCGGAAGACTAAAAAGTCCATGGAGAGTCATACCGGAGATGTTGAATGCTGCTTTTCCAGTTGGTGCTGATAAAAGAACGCATGGCTTGTCGAGCTGCCTGTCGAGAGAAGAATCGTACTTTCGAATGAGTGACTGAAATAGGGCCCCTATAAGCATACTTTTTCCTGTTCCTGCTCCACCTGTCACAAAATGATACATAGGCGAATCGGGCTGATGACGAACATGATCAAGCGCATGATAGAGATATGATCGTTGAGCGACGTTGAGTTTTGAGACCACAGCTTCGTATTCATCTATGGACCATCGATTAGGCGGCGTAAAACGTTCACTGTATGTGGATGGTGTTGATGATGTTGATGTTGATGATCTTGGTCTGTCGTTCGAGGTTGTCGTTTCAAATTCATCCACAAGTTCATAGTCATCAAACTCATCAGTGTTGAGTGGTCGATTTTCATCTTCCTCTTCATCTCCTTCCCGGTCACTTGCATCACGTTCGGCGTTTTCCATCATACTGTCGATTGTTTCCTCATTCACTGCATTGAATTCACTGAGATTTTCGTTGATTGCGTCGTGATTTTCCATATAAACGGCATGATGGTCAATATCTACAACTTCCACAGATTCGTCCCTCCAAGGCCAAAATAACATGACTGTCGCTCTAAAGTATTCTTCACTATCCACATTTTTGTTTGCTCGGTAGTATCGTATAATCAAAGGGGAGCCACGCTTTTGTAATGACTTGGATCCATCCAACAACAGCATAGTAGCATCAGGCATCACAGTTCCTTGATCTTCATTGGGGACGTTCTCATCATCATCATTATTGTTGTCTTCGTCACCACGATAATCATCATTGCTTTCAGGATTTGTTGATCCAGTTCGTTTTGTAGTTTTGATCTTGTACCAAGCCGCAAAGTGAGCTAGACATACGTGTTCCAATTCCAAAGGTCTTTGGGAGTAGTAGTCCAATATATTTTTTTGAAACCAATCAGTAGAGTTGTCGTGTAGTTTTTCCAGGGCAGCTTTCGACTTCATCATCCGTCTTCTTTTTTCAGGCAAGGCAGTTGGTATATATATTGATCCAGTGCAGGAAGCAGACATTGGTATTTGAAGAATATTGTACACAGCTTCTTGTACCGAGACTTCGCTACGATTGTAGTATCCAGATGCGACCGATTTCAAAACTTCCCGTACTTCTTTGTTGTTGGCCACCATTTCTTCATAAAGCGTATCCAAAAAATTGCTGAGACCACGATCCGCTTTGTTAACATAATCAACCACATACTCACAGCAGGCATAGGCGTCCAAAATCAGTTGAATGTCCATATTTGCGCGATGCATTGCAAATATTTTTTTGTTGTAGTTGTTGATATAAATATCTTGCACACGTCGTTGTATGAACACCTTTTTGTTTTTGATTCCAGATCGTATTGCGCGAAGATATTGATCCAGATTAAGGTTGAGTGATCCAAGGAATTCGTCGAAAGTCGAAGTATTGTTTTCAAGGAATCTGTCGTTTTCCAATGTCCCACGAATTTGATTCAATCTTTGTTTGTCAATAGTAGTATTTTCATCTTGATCCAGAGGGTGCAGGATTCGCGTTTTATCCATTGGAAAGAAAGGAATATTGAAGCGACACTTGATATCACGTCTCCTTTTGGACTTGCAGGTTCGAGTGTGATGATGTTGTTGTCGTACGATGATTTCGTCGTCAATAGTTCCAGTTCCCAGTCCATCGCAACAAATCATTTGATCCACAAAACGACACAATGCAGCTTCATCCAAGTTCAAATTAGGAGAATCCTTCAACCAGAGCAACATATGTAAATGCGGCGACCCACGATGCTGGAATTCCACCCTGTAATACCAATATTTAAGCGGATAATCCTTAAAGGGACCATGTTCGTCCTTCCATGTTTGCCGTAAAATTGAAGTCCGTTTGTCAAAATGCCGGGCGCAAGTAACAGGATCGCTTTGAATCAATCTGGCCTTTTCACTGTAAGACAATGTAGCTGCTTGTTCATGGGTAATGATTACTTGATCCATCCGTTTGTTTGAGCATCACCAGAAGTTCGGGCCATTGAGTTTCTGCTGCTGAAAGAGTGACAAATAAAGTTGGGACACCACATTGTCGCATTTTTGCCATCACAATCATTTTTTGCTTCTTCCAGTATTCTGCTGAGGACCGTATTGGACGTAACACCTTGAAAGCTTGATCCTTCGCCATAAGATCTGGCACAAAGTTGTCGGTAAGTAAATTGCTGACAGTAATAGGTCGATTTTCAATAGAGTGTTGTCGTATAATGATTTTTTGGCTGCTTTGAAGGGTAAGAAGCATTCGTTTTCTGTCAGCGAACAATATGTAATCATGTCGACGAGCACCACGACGATCATATCTTCGAATGATGGACTTTGTCATGTCAGCGTAGGATACGTTTGTTGCTGGATGTAATCGAGCACCACCAAAAATTGACGGAAATGCCAAGTATTCACTATCAACATCTGTTGCTATTGACAATGGATTATGTCCTTCAGCTGGCGCAAATCGAATACCTTCATCACCAGTAATCAGAGTTTCCGAACCACCAGGATTGATAGGTTGATCGTCGTCAGCAGGGGAGTCACCAGAAGCCGTCAGATCGCCAGAGTCATCATCATCATCATCATCAACATCAGAGTCACCAAAAAGATCATCCAATTCAAAGCCATAATCACGCCCCGTCACCGATTGAACGCCATGATCTCGATATAGATCTGTTTCACAGAGTATACGTGCCGCTTCATGCACAACAGCAGGACGAATGTTTCCTTCCACATATGATCTTGCAAAAGACATCTTTCTTGCCAAACGGACATGGTAGATGCTGGTATCTTGTAACGGTCGAGGTATTGCAGTCACAACGCGATTTACAGAAGCAGGAACATTGACGATTCCGCCTTTTGCACGATATTGTCCAGTCGATCCAAAAACTGACCATATGGTTTGGAATACATGTCTAGCAGCAACAAGTCGTTCTTCTAGCCGAGTGAGATTGTTGAGTGGTTCTGGAATTGAAGCAAATTGAAGTCCATTGGCTAGGCATAATCTTGGTATCCTTTTCTTCCTAATGGCTGTAATGCATGTTGCACAGAAATAGACAACATCATGAGGTACATTAACCGAAAATATCTATATAAAAAATCCAATAACAATAACTGTCAGTGAATCACATTAAGTGCACATATGTTTTTTTTTTTTTTTTTTTTTTGCGTTTTTAATATTTGCTTTGTTTTGTGTTTTAAAATTACCTTATTCACATCTTCTTCATCGAAGCCATAATCAAACACTCTTGATCGTCGAGCGATTGTCATAGATTCCTGGTACCATAATCCACCACAACATACACAAATACATGTCGGTCCTTTGCAGATATCATCATTATATTTTCCCAATAGTTCTTCCCACTGATAATAAAAATTAAAAAAAAAAAAATAGGTAATTGGTTGTCAGCATAAATAATAACTTTATTTTTTAGTGTTCATTTTACCTTTTGTCGATCGTAATTGGCAATCTCAACGGGATCTAGTCTGAGACGAACTCGCCTAATTGAAGTTGAAGCTGCTGGCTGGTCTTGGTCAACATTAGCTTGTGCTTGAAACGATTGTTGTTCCTGTTGCTGCTGGGATGGATTCACAATTATGCGGAGGGATCTAATCTGTTCGTTGAAGGATATTGATTCATCATAATGGGAAAGAGATGGACAAGATTGATGTTCTCGATGTTGGTTGGTCATTAAAAAGTATGAAGAAAAGAAAAAAAAAAGGTATAAAAAAAAGTATGAAAAAAGGAAATAAATCAAAAGAAAAAAAAAAAAAGAAAAGAAAAGAAAAAAATAAAAAATCCAAAAAAGTAATTTTAATTTCTCGCTCCTCAGGGCGGAGAACTACTGGTAGGGAGGGACTATAGGGTAGTTACCCTTTAACGAATGGATGTTTTTTTTCAATAACCGACCATGAAATGAAGAAAACGATGGTCATGAAGATGATGTCCAAACATTTTTTTTCAGAATGTATCTAAAAGGGTGAATATACTTTTTGTTGAATTTCGTAGCGATCACAGCCATTTTGATGCACTTCATTCATACCAGATGAGATTCTTTCGTATCTCATGAGGAATCTTAGGAATCTTATACTCAAACTCATCAGAATTACTTCGTTCAAAAGCAGAAACATCACTCTCTCCTTGACAAATTCACTGGACAAAAAAAATTTTTTTGACATCTTCATCATGATTGTTTTCTTCATACCATCATACAAAAGGTGTTTATAGTCTGACCTTAAAAAAAGACGACGAAACCTTCGTATTTTCTGTACTACGTAGAAAATCCAAAAAGTGTAATTTTTATAACCTTTCTTTGGCCAATGATTTGAACACACACTCTTCTTTCATTCCCAGTTCCATTTCAATGTTTGATCCCAGCACGTCAATTTTTTTTTTTTTTTTTTTTTTTTTTTTTTTTTTTGTTTTCCGTGAATTTTAGATCATGGGCAAAAAGACTAAAGGAAAGCGTCCAGCTTCTGAAGCTTTTGATACTCAAGAAAGTCACTTGAACACTACTGAAGATATAGGTAAATAATAATAAAATATCAATATGTTTGGCTCATTAGTTTGACTATCATAGAAACGCCAGCTAAACTTCAGCAACCCTCTACCAATAAACTTGATATGAACCTTACCTACACAGATATGAAAGTCAAATCATTGGATAAATTTCGTAAGTAATAATAACAGTAATAATAAAAGTGTTTGACACATTCACTAAAATGTATACTTCCATAGATAAAGACCTACCCAAAATTGGTGGTACCATCGATGCTGATCAGTTTATGGCCGCTCGTATTCAAGAAGTTAACCAAATGCAATCTTCTATCAAACAAACAAGGTAATAAGAATAATAAAAAGATAGAATATTCTTTTTAAAACAATGTCAAACGATTCACTATTTGTTTCTCTTATTTTTTTTTTATAGTGCTGTCTTGAAGGTACCAGGTTTTGAATTTATCCCAAGATTTTTAAGAAGACGGGCGGCTAGTCATTTGACCTATCATCTTCGTGCTAGAGATAGAGCAAGATTATCTGCAAAGGTAATTTGTTTATATATTATCTTTTTTTTTTTTTCTGTTTGATGGACATCTTGACTTTTTTTATTATATATACATAGCTTGCTAGTGGCAAAATCATCCAAAGGAATTTTAGAAAAATCAAATCAGCAGTATTAATGGAAGAATTAATCAGTCGGAAAAGTATGTTTTATAAAGTAAAATGATTTATTTATTTATCAATTAACAATGATACTTCTTTTTTAGACAAGGTGAAATGGCTAGGAACACACAAATGGCATATCAAACGAATGAAAATGGAAAATTGGTGGGGATATAGACTTGTATGTGATTAAAAAAAAATAATGAATATTTTATTCATGTTTGATATATACTTCTATTAGGCTGCTCATCCAATGTATAAATCTAGAAGAATTACATATCGATCCTTTACTAAGATGGCCTTGTTACATGATGCTTCCTATTTTGGTTGTTTACAGCTCTTTGGTTCACAAGAAAAAATAGTGCAACTTTTAAACAAGCTAACTGATCCTCTCCTTCCTTCTGTTGGTAGTGCAAGGTAATTATCTTTATATACTGATTGAATTGGGTGGATTTATACTAACTAATATTATTACTTGCTAGATTCACCAAAGGGATTCGAGTGGGACATACATTTTGCTATGAACAAGGTGGATATCCAAATCAACTTATATGTCCTGTTACTTTTCTATGGCAACCCATATTATCAACAAATGACAATGCAACTTTATGGCTTTGGATTCATCCATCAACTTTTAGTACAGTACAAGACCAAATATCCAAGACTGCTACATCAATGGGTTTACATGATACGCAAGGTAAGTAACTATGAACAAAAACAAAAAAAAAAAAAGATCACATTCTAATATTTATATAATCCTCTTCTTCTTATGATAATATAGTGAGATTACAAGATTTACGACATGAATTTTCTAGATTTGAGTTGACAGGTCCTCGTGCTACAACTCTTTTACAAGCAATATTAGATCCAGTGGATGAATCATGTCCCAATGCTCAAGTATGGCGAAGTTTACAGCATTTTCGATCTGGATGCTGTATTCCAAATGGTTCTGTGATAGGTCTTACTGTGCAAGATCCTCGATTAAGGTAAAATAAATTTTTTTTTGTTTTATCTTTTATCGCTATTTTATAATATACTTACTTTTTATGGTTATTCAATTTGTATAGATTCCCTCAGAAACCTCTACCCAAGTCATCAATGGTATCATCTGAATCTTCCTTTGATACAACAGACTTGTCTTCAAACTGGTCCGAAGTAATATGTAGATCTGACATTTGGAATGAAACAATAAGACATGAATGCACTTCTTCAAAAGTTCCGGAACACAAGTTACTAAAACGACGGGAAATGGTAATGTATATCGAAAAGAAGAACAACTGCTACTAGAATCAAATCTATACAAAATACTAAATAGTGATTTTCTCTCTCTCTTTTTTTTTTCTTTCTGTCTAATATAGGCTCTTTTACCTGGTGCCAAGTTACCATTTACAAAAGATGATTCAAAAATACCAATTTTACTAATTCAACGGAATGGACCTCTATTTGATCGACCAAGTCAAGTATCTGTAGCGCGAGTAGAGCATATTGAAGGGTGGACACTGATTTTACCTAGAGCATTTGCCCTTCCATTCTGGCGGTCATTGGTATTCGCAGGTGCAAGAACAGGTGGACTTTACGATATACACAACATGCATTTCGATAGTGGATACTCTTGTTTTCCTTATGATTATCCTACCACCAAAGCGTTTGATGATCATCAGTCAGTCATTGGAAAGACAGCAAAACAAAAATGGGAACGACAACCTCCAGCAAAACGACTCAACTATAGTAAATTGGATATAGATTCACCTTTTATTATACCTTTTAAACAGTTATTGTTACCATCAGCATCACTAACCAATGACGCCAGCAATAGTAAGAATGATGATTACAATCAAACCTATGGTCATGGTGCCCTTTTACAGAATGACAAGCTTGTGGCAATGATTATGAACAGTAGAAACATTGGCAAAGAATCAGTAGAAAGACAGATTTTAGATTTGATGATTTCTAGTATGACTACACGGGGTATGGTGACAACAGCAAAACAGCAACAACCTCTTTTATTGGAAACAATGATGGTCAAGACTCGAGTAGTTAGCTTACATGATGGCACTTTGGACTCAGGTGCTAGGATTTATTTGGTGAAAGATGAGATGGTTTATCAAGATTATGTGACTAATCAAAAGAATATCAAGTCTGAAAAACCCATCAATGTAAGATAGGAAATGAACTCATATCAGCTTAGAGATCTTTGTTTTTGATAATTCTTTTTTTTTTTTTTTTTTTTTGGCTAAAAGCCATTACCAGAAGATCTTATTGGATATGTGACAACTGGACGTTATTCTTTATTGACCGGAAAAGGACAAGGGATTGGTGCTTGTTCTGCGTTTGGACTTTATCAATTACAAGAGATTGACTCAAGGTAATGAAGCGTAACAAAGGGATGCCATCATGATAATGAACTCATTCTTTTTCTTTTTATTTATTTATCTGTAGGCAAAAGAGACTGAAGAAAAGATTCGTCCTAGTTCGTAATTTGACTTCAAGGGAATACAAACCAGCCATTCTCTACATAACATAGATATTTTTACATACACTCCTCATACCCTCTATGTTTTTGTATATAATAGATAGATGTAGACTCTCATATTAGATATTCAATAAAAAAAAAAATGACAAAGATCAAAAAACAAAACAAAATACAAATTTACGTTCGTTTTATCAGAATGAGTTTTGATCCATCCTTCTTTCTTTAAATCACTATCAACAACCATCAATCCTATTTCAATGAATACGTGTATAAACATTCTTTTTATTGATGATCAAAATAGAGGGCCGTTTGAAGCGGTACACTAATGCGATTGTTGTTTCTAAACTATGATTCCCCCTTATCTTAACAATTGACTAGTAAGACGTTCTCTGGCAGTTTGGTATGCTTGTGATAAAGTTTGTTCTGTAAAGGGAATATCCACCATATCTAGTCGAGGTTTTGACACACGGCCAACAATGGCATTGGCATCTGTATCCAAAATAATACTAAATCAAACAATAAAAAAAAAAAAAGTGAGTATATTCTCTCTCTCTCTCTATCACATTCATCTTTTCATATTATTATTATTATTTTACCCTCTATCCACAGTTTCATCTAAACAAAGGGCCACCAAATCCAAATTATCCACAATAGTTCGTTTTTCCACTTGATACCTACATCAACAAAGATAAAAATAAGTTGTTTGTATCATATTGTTCCCTGATTACCTTAACAAACTAGAGACGGCATCATAAAATGTATTGAACATGCTTAACAAGATGAGTTCGTTTTCTTCAGCAGTTCCCACAACGTAAAAGTAAATGTCAATGTTCGATCGATATAACACTACTTGATTATCATACAAGATGATTTCGCCTAAATAATAGTTAGTTAATAAAAGAACAAAAAGAAAACAAAAAGTTGAGTTCATTCTAACTAGATGAAAAAAAAAAAAAATTACCTTGGGACAGTCGTGTTTTATCAAATAAACCTTTTTCAAATGCCTTTTGTTCCTTAAGAGTGGTGTGTTCAGACCCATAATATTTAGCTAAAACTCTATTTCCAGAAGCATCAAGTAAAATGACAGCATTGATGGAATGTAAGGATAAATTAACCATGATAAATAATATAAAGAGAAGAAAAAAGAAAGGAAAAACAAAAAAAATTGGTTTGATATATTTGTATTTTGAATATCCGCTACGTGTGCCAATGAAGGCAAAATCTCTACAAAAGTAAAATACAAGAAATCTAAACTACGATATCTACCATAAAACAAATTCTTCATCACTAGTATCATCGTCCATGTCATTGAAATCGTTGAATCGTTTTCCATTGGGAATCAGTTGGTTTTGATGGTGGTTATCTTTATCGTTCATGGTTACCGAGTTCTCCATGGCAGCCAAACCTAATCCAGGACCATCTGTGAATTGGGATAAAAAGTCCAGTCTTTGTTGTTCTTCATTCAACAATCTTTGTCCTTCCTTGCTCGAACCAACCATTCCATCAGGCATACTGAGACGTCGACCAGATAAAAATTTAACTTCATCCATCATTCTTGCTTCATCACCACTGGCACCATCATCACTACCACCACTGCCAAATTCATGGTGGAAGAGGTAGTTCTTTTTCGTACTTGAGTCTGTCTGTTTTCTAGATGACTTGATAGTGTTACGTATCTTTCGTCGGCAGAGTTCAATAGAGTTTTCAATTCGTAGGCGGTTTCTAATCATTGCAATCTTTGGCCATGTTTGTAATTGTCCATATTTCATCAGTTGTGATAATCGTTTGTCATCAGGGTCAGCCAAGATATAAAACCAATCTGTAATACCTGCTTTTGGCTATATTTCATATCATCATTAAAAAAAAAAATAAGTTCTTTTTTCTTTTTCTTCTTTTTGTCTTTTTTTTTTTTTTTTTTTTAATGATTCTTACCAAGATGGTAACATCCCCATCAAATTTTTGTAACCAGATAGAACTCCAATCTTGATTCAATAATTTTGGTAATAGATCCAAATCGCGTAATACCTTGAGCCACTTTGATAATTCTAATTTCAATACTTGTTCCATTGTTGATGCTAAAAAGCCGCCACGCCTAATGAGAAAAAAAAAAGATAAATTGAGTTAATCTTGTTATCACGTTATTTTTAAAATGTAAATATTACCATCCTTTTCCAGATCGGTGAGTAACAGGTCGTCCAGGACTACCTTGATTGGCATAGAAGAAGATATGAATATGAGGATTGACTTGACTGACTACAGTATAATTGACATTAAAATGATTGTGTAAGGCTTGAGCAGGGATATCAGTACGTAAACTTCCATCTTTGAATCGATGACCATAATTATAGGGAACCAGACGATCAGAATTTGGTACTTTTTGCATAAGGACAACAGGATTCAAAATCTATAATAAATCACAAAATAACATTAGTTATTCTTTTTTTTTGGAAATAGATATACTTACTCCAGGAATAGCAGCAGAAGCCAATACAGCACTCCAAATAACACAATTAGGAGCAGTGATATAATTCAATAGTTTTGAAGGAGAATGTGCATCATAGGGAATAACAGATACATTAAATATTCGACCAGTTCGGTCATACGCTTCCTTGAATGTAAGAGAACCACGCGTAAACCACATAGCATCACGACACCATTGTTCGGAATCAAAAAGTGCACCAGTAGTTGCATATCTTCTTAATTTTGTTGTCCAAGAACCTTGAGCTATTTGTATTCGTTGAGCCAAATCAGGAACAAGTACTTGTCTTAATTCGTCATCCGTCCTTGTACAAACAATGGCACCCATCAAGGACCCAGCAGAAGTTCCAGTAATAATTGATGGTAAAAGGTTTCGATCCAACAGTGCCCGAATCACTCCCAAATGAAAATAACCAAAACCAGCACCACCGGATAAACAAAATGCAGAACGACCATAATTCTTGGAATATAATCGAAATGCTAACCGTTTGTCTCCATCACTAATGTGAGGACTGGAAGCCAAGGATTCAATGGATTGTGTCACTAACAGAAAAATAAATAAATAAAAATAAGTTTTTCTGATCTTTTTCTAAAAAAAAAAAATATTATTATTATTACCTTCATTGACATAATCTTCAATAAGATATTTTGTACCCAAATAAGTATTACTGTAAAGCTTGGCATTTTCAATTCCAGCAAAGTTTTGTTTGAGACAAGCGTAAAGTACATCTTTCAGATTATTGGCACTTTCAGGATCGTCCCTTTCACGGTAGAGTCGTAAGTGTTTGATTACTTTTTGAATCAGTCTATAATCATAATATCCATAAGCTGGTGTTGACTTCCATTCTTCCTTGTTCATATAATTATCGAGATCTTTAGCGGCACGACACCATTCTTCATAAGAGGTTGAGCTTCGTAAATGATTTCGTAAGATACGTCGTCGACCACGCCTAACATGATACATAATATGAGATTAATATGAATTTCTTTCTTTCTTTCTTTTTTTTTTTGTTAATTGATTTACCAACTAAATAAACTTTCCCAAATTCGTACAGTTTGTCGTAAACCTAGGTATAAAACAAGTTCAACAAACATAATACTACCAATAACCAACTAATATATAATATAGAAGGAATACTTTAGTTATTATCACTTTTTATTTTTTTATTTTTTTTTTTTTATTTTCTATACTTACAATAAATGGATATTTCAATAAAGTATGTGATATTCCTTTGGGTGTTCCAATGTCATCTTGTTTCTTTTTCTTCTTTTTATCTCTTCTTGGTTTTATTGATCGAAGTGGAGGTACTAATTCACTTGAAGCTGATATATATTCTGGACCAGAGTCATTTTGACCAAGAGGATCTTGAGATAATGCTTGAAGAAAGTCAGCAACATGATCTTGGTTAACATGTTCAAGTGAGAACTCGGGAGGAGGTTTTATTGTTGATGGTTTCTTCTTGAATCGTAAAGTTGAATTTTGTAAAGGTTCTGATTTTGACTTTATAGGTATTGGAATAGTATTTGAAGGTTCACTATACCTTGACATTGTAAATTTATTGTTCATATATATATTATCAAGAAAAAATAAAAAAAGAAAAAAAAAAGAAAAAAGCAGGAGAAAAGAAAAAGAAAAAATCCTGCCTTCATTGACAATAAAAAGCGGAATTTGATTTCATATCCCCCAGTTCAAAGAAAGCAGTGTGTGATCAATTCATTTTTCAGACTTCAGTTATCATTGATAGATGTATTGATGATTTCAGTAACAAAATTAAAAAATAAAAATTCATTGAGTAATATGTTATTTTAATATATATATATATATGTTTTTATTATCAAAAAAAAATATTATTAATATTAATCATTTCTATTAATTATTGTTAAAAAAAATAATAAAAAGTGTAGATATTACACTAAACAAAGTAAGTATGCTGCGATGGGTGTTCTTTAGGCTGCGTACAAAAGTCATGAAGGAGTTTTAATCTCTTTTTCATTTATTTTTTTTCCCTCAAAAAAGTGTATTTTTTTTTTTCCTCTTTTCCCTTCTTCTCTCCCTTTTCGTAGCCAGGGGACCTTTTTTTTTTTTTTTTTTCTTACCAAACTGTAAGTTTTTTTTTGTATGTTTGTAATAGAACCAAGTTTTTAGGTCATACTAACTGAACTCATTTCTCCTTTTATATTTATTGAATATAGTTACCTTTTGTATTATCTTTTATTATTATTATTATTTTATCATCATCTGAATAGAAAAGGATATAATTTAACAATCCACTATTCTTGGCAACAATGTCCAATCACCACCAGTATTATGACGGATATTCTCATAACAAAACAAATAGTACTACTTCTGGACCTTATTCTAATGAACAAGTAAATAATCCTCAAGATGCTTATCAAGGAAATACAGTTTATCCACAAAATGTAAGTTGTATTATTATTATTATTTATTTTTTATTATTTTTTTATTATATTATTTATACATCCTTTTTAGAATTATGGTTATTATAATAACAATAATAGTGAACAAAATGGTCAACAATATTACAACTCACAATATTCAACCAATCGATATTCTGATACTTTGAATACTAACTCTGGAAACAATATGTATTATGGTGGTCACAATAGAACTTCTTCTTATGGAAGTAACGATGGTTATGGTTTCAATACTCAGCCTTATCCTCCTTCTCAAACCTTTCAACCTGCCCCTCCTACACCAATGCCAAGCCGAAATTCTTATACGCCTTACTATGGTAATTATGGTCAATCTGACTCTGGTATAACTTCTACTCCTCCTCCTCCTCCTCCTCAGGTTCCTGTACCTTCTACATCGTCTTCTTTATCTATGCCTCAACCTACCAACTATTCAATGCCTCAACATTCTACAACCGAACCACAAGCATCACTTGTATACCCTCCTCCTGATTATCAAGTCCATAGAACCCCACCTGAATCACCTGGAGCTCAGTTCAATACTACCGACCAACAAACAACCCCTCCATCAGTTCCACTTCATTCTCATCCTTATCCACCCGTTGGTTACAATCGACCTTCATCTCAAGATTATATTAGTACTTTCCGTCAATCTCAAATTCAACAAACTTCTAGTACCACTTCAACACCATCCTCCGAATCTACTCAAACTCCTCCACTTGGGCACCAAAGAACTCCTTCTTCTATGCGGAATATCATACACAATACCATAGAACGTCCACGTTATGCAATGAGACCTGCTCAAATTGATGTTACTGATGGTTCTTCTAATCAAAATGAAGAAATACCTTTTATTCCTGTTTCTCCTGATACTAGTGACGATGAAGATCATTCTCCAACTCCAATTGAACGTCAACAATTATATGAACGTCAGCAAGCTGCTCTTCAACGTCAAATGGAAATGCAACGACAAAGGGAAGAAAAACAACAATTACCTCCTCCTCCTGCCACTCCTACTCACAATGTCATTGTAGAACCAACTATCTTACAATCCTCAACTCAATATATCAAAACAGATCATACTTCCCAACAACTAAATGACAGACAAAATGCACCTTTACCACCTCCACCTTCGCCACCTGCTGTGCCTCCTAGACAACGACCCAATTCTTTATCCTCTGATCTGGATCCTTCATTACTTTCTGGATTATCTCGTGCCTTTATCAGACGGATCAAAGCTTTGGAACATGTTCGAGAATTATTTTGTGCCAATGAATATCCTGAATCTTTTACTGGTTCTGAAGCTGTGGTAAGTAAAGAAAAAAAGAAATTTGGATGGAGAAAAAAAAATAAAATAAAGAAAGTTACTAATTAAGGATTTTATTTTGGTGACATATTTAGACTGCACTGCGCAATATTCTCGGTGAGAAGATTCCGGAAAGTTACTGTATCAAAGTTGCCAATGCTCTTATGCATAGTCGCCCTGGTTTGTTTGATCCTGTCCATTACTCACAAAAATCTCTTATCACTGGTACTGTCTACAACTCTCCTGATGAACTCTATACCTTTGATGAAGATGCTGGTTCTGATGATGTTCCTCATGGTGTTTTCACCAGTCTTACTAAATGTTATACTTATGATTGTTCTCCTGATCAAGGTGGTTGTTATGCTCCAAGATGTCCAAATAAACAAGAAATCTTTGAGGAAGAATTTTTGGTAAATATATAAAAAAAAAAAATGAATTTACTTTAATATTAATCAACATATTCACTCGATTCTATCTTTTTCCTTTTTTTTTTTTTTTTTTTTTATTCTAGTCTGGAACAAGTTTATCCCGTCAAGCATCTATCAAATCGAATGCTTCAGGCAATACAAAGACAGTAAGACCAAATAAAATATAAATAAAAAAAATCAAGAAAATTCCATCCTAATTTTTTTTTTTTTTTTTGGATTTTCATAGTCATACCCTCATACGGCATGGGCAGAACGTGCTCCTCCAGAACTATTAGAAAGTATTAGCAAACGTGAACGTGACCGTCAAGAAGCTATCAATGAAATGATTTACTCTGAAGAAGTATACCGCAATGATTTGGATACTCTACATGATGTAAGTTTATATATAAATATATTTATATAACTGACTTGTTTCTTTTTACTTAGTTGGTCGTTATCCCTCTACTTGAAAGTAATATCATTGATGGGCAAAAACGAAAACAATTTGTCAAGGAAGTATTCAACAATTACTATGAATTACGTGATATCAGCACTGCTCTTTTCAAAGATCTTTTGGAACTACAACGACGATACGATCAAAAATGTGTACCGATGATCGGTGATATTATGGTACAACATTTCCCATTTTTTGAAAAACCATTTACGACCTATTGTCCTCATGTCCCTTTGGCAGAATATATTGTTGGTATGGAAGCTCAAGAAAATCCAGAATTTAGCAAGTTTTTGACTGAAGTGGCGAAACATCAACGAATGCGTCGATTAGCTTTCCGTCACTTTTTATTAAACCCTGTGACTCGAATGCAACGTTATAAGCTCTTGTTATCGGCTGTGTTAAAGAAGACGGATGAAGATCATGCGGATTATACCTACCTGAATCGATGTATTGAAATGATTGGTGAAGTGGCTGCCAAGGCTGATGCTCAAACTGCTGCTACAGAAAAACGGGTGGAAATTTTACAAATTGATGATGCTCTGGTATTCAAGCAAGGTGAAGCTTATGAACTTCAACTAGTGGATATTCATCGCAAACTTTATCATCGTGGTGAATTGAAACGGAAACCAACCAATGTTGACGTGTCAGAAAAATCTGATATTCATGCATTTGTATTTGATCATGTCTTTTTAATGACCAAACACCGAAAGACTAGTACTGGTGATGAATATCGCGTTTGGAAACGACCTATCCCATTACAAATGCTTTTTATTCAAGGATCTGCTGATTATGCTGGTGGAGGATCAACTATACGTACTCCTTCAGGGGGAGGACCTTATGGTGTTTATACTGGTTCTATTCCTGGAGTGACTGGTGGTAGTGGTGTATCTGGAACTGCTGGGGCTATCTCTTTGACACTTTATCATCTTGGTCAACGAGGTGGTGTATATACTTTCTTTTGTAGTACAGTAGATGAAAAGCAACAATGGATCAAGGCCATTGAAGACGCCAAGGCTACTTTGAAACGTCGGCAAGGTGATAACGATGTATTCGAATTACGTACTTTGGATGATTCTTCTTTCCGATTCATCAGTTCTACTACTGCTTCTGGTGGACAAGGAAAAGTGACCTGTTCTGTTCCTTTCGGTAAGTAATCATAGTTTATACATATATACATATATATATATATATATATATGTATATGTTCTAAAGATTGACAATTTTTTTTTATTTAATTTTTCTTCTTGTAGTGACCATTGATCATGAATACAAGGTTGCTATTGGTACAGATGCTGGTGTATATTTCAAAACAGTAAATCAGAACAATTTGCGACGTGTGATTAATTGTGAAAATGTGACTCAATTGGCAGTAATGGATAAACACCATATTCTACTTGTTTTGGCTGATAAGACATTGAAGGCTTATCCTGTGGATGCACTCAATTCACCCACTAATATTCGATCTCCAGAACGACTTGCTCAAGAAATCGCACAACATGTTAGTTTCTTCCATGTTGGATTTTGTAACAACCGGGATTTATTGGTCTACAAGAAAAAGAAGAACACATCATCCACATTTTCAGCATTGGAACCTATTTGTGATTTACGTGATCCAAGGAACGAAAAATTACTGACACAACGAACTGGTTTCTTGGGTCAACGATCAAGCACTTCATGGTTCAAAAAATACATGGTAAACAAAATTTATAAATATATAGATATATGAAAAATGACTAATATTTAATATCGTTTTTTTTTTTTTTTAGGACTTTTACGTTGGTGCTGATGCTACTAATCTCCATTTTTTGAAATCAAAAGTGAATGTTGTTTGTGAACGTGGTTTTGAAATTATTGATCCTGAAAATCTTAGTGTGGCTCGTGATATCCCCGATCAAGAAGATCCTCAATTCAATTTTGTCCAAAGACAAACTGAACCATTGAAACCTTTGGCTATGTATAGAATTCAAGATAAGTTTTTACTCTGTTATAACAAATTTGCTTTCTATGTGAACAATCGAAATGGATCTTTGGTAATGCGTGGTTCTGGAAGGTAAGATAAATAAAAAAAAAAAGACAAATAAAGATATTTATTTTTTGATTATTACTGTAGATCACCACTTTTATGCGAATGGGAAGGCAATCCTGATCATATCGTATACCAACATCCTTACATTGTAGCTGTTAGTAGTCAATTTATTGAAGTTCGACATGTGGATACTGTAATTTAAAAAAAAAAAAAAAAAACAAAACAGTTTTGGGATTATGTTGATTGAATTTTTATCTTTTTTTTTTTTTTTTTTTTTTTTTTTTAGGGCGAACTTGTTCAAATCATTCCTGGTGACAATATTCGATTGACTTATTATAATGGTGGTGGAGATATGCCGATAATCCATGGTTGTATGACGCATTCACAGAAACCAGATACTCAACATGTATTCAATCTATGGTTAGACCCGGAACGAGCAAATAACTCTGGATACCCATCAAGGAGACATGTGTTTAGTTGAATTAGTTAGTTTGAATCCTTATTATTATTATCATTATTATTTTTATCTTTTTTGTATGTGTTATTATTCAAAGAGAAGGAAACATTTTGTTTTATTTTAGTTTAGTTTATTCCAATTTGAAAAAATAAAAATAAAAATAAAAATATATCTTGATGTGCTATGACAAATAGTTACACTAGGATCCACGTATTTCACCCCTCCATTTCGATATTTGAAAAAAAGGAAAATAGTTTGAACGGACATTGAAAGAAAAATCAAAAAATTACGTTTTGATCTCTACCATTCTTTCTTTGTTTTTGCCCTTTCTTTCTTTCTTTTTTCTTTTCTTTTTCTTTTTCTTTTTCTTTTTCTTTTCTTTTTCTTTTCTTTTTCTTTTTCTTTTTCTTTTTCTTTTCTTTTTCTTTTTTTCTTTTTCTTTTCTTTTTCTTTTTCTTTTTCTTTTTTCTTTTTCTTTTTCTTTTTCTTTTTCTTTTTCTTTTTCTTTTTCTTTTTCTTTTTCTTTTTCTTTTTCTTTTTCTTTTTCTTTTTCTTTTTCTTTTTCTTCCTTTTTTTTTCTTTTTTCTTTTTATTGTATCACTATTATATTGACACTAGATATGGAATGGCTTGAAGTATATAATCATCAGTTCAAAAATTCATTCTATGTCAATCAGGTAATTTGATTATATATATATGTATAAAAGTAAGGCTGAATCTCCATTTCGTTGTTCTACTTTAGGAAACTGGTGAATGGAGTAAAGACCGACTCCCAAATACATTAATGTATGTAAGCAAAGAATGAATGATTGATATTATATTGACTGTCAATTAATCATTGCTTTTTTATTATAATTATTATTATTCTCTCTTTTTTTTTTTATCTTTAGTACAAAAGCAAGATCGGATACTGTTTGGTTCATTCAGAATATGAATTGTTATTATCACTCCAAAACAAATCAATGGTCGCACCATCCTCCTTCTTCGTCTTATCCAGTCATACTACTTTCGAATCGTTTTGCCATGGTAAATATCGAACAATAATAAATAACAAAGCTGCATCCATACTAATCATTTTATATGTGTAACCTTAGGATCCATCTCACAAAACTGACGTTTCTTTACCTATATCAAGTCATCCATTATCTCTCGAAACAAATGAACGTCAACAATCTAATTTGAAAACAAAATATCATCAACATACTTCAAGTTCAACTCACACCAATAAACCGTTTGCCCCTTCTTCTCTTGTTATCAACAATGTTACGAATCATCATTCAGATCCACCAATGGCCAAAAAACAAGGTTCATTGCTGCAGGTAACAGGAATCACTTGATATTTGTCTTGATTTGTTGTTTACTTTTTGAACTCTCCTTGATTTACTAACTCGTTTTTTTTTTTTTTTTTTTATCTCATAAAATCAGCTTTCGAAATCTTCCATAGAAGCGACTTTTAAATCAAAGATCTTTCCTCAAGTGCGCAAAAGATTTTATAGATCATCATCATCCATATGGCATCCTCCTTCGGCAACATGTCTTGATGTTAAAAGTAAGTCAAAAAGAATGACAGTGTTATTTTTATTTTTGGAAAAAAAAAACAAAGATGTTTAATATATGATATGTTTGTTTATATATAGAAGAAGAAGGTACAACACTTATGCATCCTTGTCCCTGCCACTCTCCGAAGCATCAAACACTAGAGTAAGAAAAAAATTCAAAATTGTCAAGGAGCAAAATCATTGTGTGACAAATATCTCAAATATTGCCTCTTTTTTGTTTTTCTTGTCCTTGGTGACGTTAGGATCACTTCTTCACCTATAATCTCTACTTCAACAACAAATGATAATCATAACAGTAGTTGTCAAACATATTCTTTTGAAGAGTATGCAGCAAATCATTTTACAATTCATAAACGAGGATTTTTGATACGAACTCCTATTCCATTATCAGAAATGATATCTTGGACAAAAGTAAGTTAGTAAACAGATAATAATCATATTATTATCATCTTGAAGTTTTAATATCTTTTTTTTTTCCTTAGTCATCCATTTACAAACCATTATTGGTTTCTCCAAATAGAAAACACTCCAAAAATGCAATCCACTGTTTCAAACTTATTCAGATGATTATGGGCGATCGACCAAGACAACAAACTAATCTATCCAGCAACAACAATGATAATGACGATGATGATGTACAGGATATTCAGGCGATCCTCCGATATGGGCTTACTCAGGGACAACAAATGCGGGATGAAATTTATGCACAATTATGCAAACAACTTGACCAAAATCCTAGGTCGTAAGTTTACATATATATATAAAAGAAAGTAGTACATAAGGGAGGTAAAGAGGAGTTTTATTGATTGACTGATTGATTTTTTTTTTTTTTTTTGATGATAGATCAAGTTGCCAAAAGGGATGGGAATTACTCTCCGTACTTTGTTCCACCTTTCCTCCATCAAAAACATTGGCATTCTATTTAATTCCATTTGTGCAACATCATCTCACAGAAAAGGAAGATATGGATACAACGCTCTCTTTTTGTACTTCTTACCTACTTCTCAAAATTAAACGTATATGTCAACAAGGTGCTCGTGAAAAAGTCATCAGTAGAGCGGAAATCCAGCTGGCTAGGATGGCCGTGTCTTTACCATCAGAACAACAACAACAATCATCCTCTTGTTTTATGTTTGGAAGATCCTTGACTATGATAATGAAACAACAACAACAATCTCTCAAGATACCTCTTATTGTTCCTTTTTTGGTAGAAGCCATTAGTAAATTACATGGACATTCTGCTCAAGGTATTTTTCGTGTTCCTGGTTTGACTGATCTAGTGACAGCGTTGCGAGTCCGCATTGAATCGGGCTATTATGATGATGATGATGATTTGAAGACATTATGTGGTGGTGATCCTGCTGTACCTGCCTCTTTGCTTCGACAATGGTTACGCGAATTACCTACACCTTTGATCCCCATGTCCTTTTATGATCAATGTATTGACGGAGCAAGCGATATTGATACTGTCATGGATATTGTTGGTCGTTTACCAGATGTGAATCGACGGGTATTATTATATATCATTGGATTTCTTCAGGTAAGACCAAATATATAGATATCTAGAATATCGAATTGATAATTATTTTTTTTTATTATATTAGGAATTCTTGGCACCTGATGTTAGAAAGAATACTTTAATGACAGTTAACAATTTGGCCATGGTGTTTGCTCCTAATTTTTTAAGATGTCCACTTACTGACGATCTGAACTTGGCTTTACAACAATCAAAACATGAACAACGTTTTGTACAGACGTTACTTTTGGGAAGCAAGGTGGATATGGATCGACAACTTTATAATTAGATTATTATATTTAAAAATCAGTTTTTTTTTTTTTGATTTATTACATTACTATATTATCATCTTTAATAAAGAAACGGATAATCGGGTTGATCTTGGCTATCCTGTGTAATTTTTCTTTTTCTTTTTTTACTATGCAACAAAACTGTAAACCTATCCAATGGATTACGCGGTATGTGAAATTGGGCACTTGGGGTGGGGGATTCAAATTTGTTTCCATCGTCTATATATTTTCTTCTTTTTGACCATTCTTTTTCTTTTCTCTTTCTTTTCTTTTATAGATCATGTTGCAATCAACTCTATTTATTTATTTATTGATATTGGTTTTCCTCATATTGATCATTGATGCACAAGATATTGGGTTTGATCCTTCTGTAGATCACTTTGACACTCATGCTGTCCTTAATAAAGGTAAACCAAAAAAAAAAAAAAAAAGAGTTGAATTGATTTTTATTTTATTTTATTCTTTTGGAGTAGATTTAGATAGCTTGTTTTCTGTTGAATACCATCACTGGTATAAGGTCGTAACGAACCATGCAGCTAATCAAAAATATGCTCTTGTATGTTGTGGACAAGACACCTCACATCCTGATTTGATCAACCAACATTACGATGCCATTATCAATATTCCAGTCAAAGCAGTGGGTATCGACGGTGCATTCAACGTGTTACCTTTTCTCGAGGTAATAAAAAAGTCATTTTTTTCACTGTATGATCCATTCATAAGTATACTTATCATTTTCTTTTTTTTTTTTTTTTTTTTTTTTGGTCTTGTAGCTTTTACAACTTCAAGATACCGTGCAGTATATCAATGGATACGAAAATGTCACGTCTCCATGCTATCAACACTTGCCCAGAGAATCTCAAGATTTGGATATGATGTTTGTTTCAAATGATGCGACTGCTAGTATGGAAAAGAATGCTGCTGTTGTGTTTTCTGCCAATGACAATCAATTGACTCCACTTGCGGTAAGTCTTTTCATTAAAAAAAAAAAAAGGATGAAAATAATCGTGACACTAGATTAATTTTTTTTTTTTTTTGAATATAGAAAGCAAGCTGGCTTTTATACACGTCTTTATTTTATGACAAAGAAAAGGAAGCCATGGAGATTTTTGGTGCGATTCAAAAGCAATATAATTGTCATGCCTCTAATCTTTCAAAAACACCACATCGACCAGCCATTGCATGGACATCCTATCAACAAGATGAATGGCATATGTATCGGGATCCCTATTTCAAGCAACTGATGAAGGATGCAGGTAAATAAATAAATATAAAAAAAAAAGGTATAAAATCATTCTTTTTTTTTTGGCTAATCAACTCATATATATATATATTTCAGGTGCAAAGCTAGTGGTACCTTCCGATCCTCTTCAATTCCATCAAGATATTCATCATGCGGATATAGTGATCGATCAAACGGATTTTAGTAAGAATTTGGTGAACACAGATGCTACTTATGAAGACTGGCTTGATGCTGGTGAATTCATTGCTGGAACAGTTAGTTTTGATCAACCATTTATACATCACAATACTTTGTATCGAGTAGATGGACTAGTGGATGAAAAGGGATTTCTTGATTGGACTCAACGAGCAGCTGCACGACCCGACTTGGTATTGACAGGTACTACTTCAAAAAAAAAAAATCAAAATTGAATTGTCATCTTATTCCTTTTTTTTTTTTTTTCTCAAACTTGATTAGATATGATTCATCTAAGCTATCCACTTTACAATCGATCTTATCAATACGTTTGGCTACGTAATTTCGCCAAAATGGATCACTCTCGAGTCATCACACCATCAACCTATTCTTGCGTGAAACCCTCGATGGCATCATTGGAGACATGTTCATTGCGTCGTGATCTATTCCCAGAAAACGATGCTTCTTCCTCTTTTCGACATCCTGGCAACGTGGGTTTGATTCTTGGCATCTTGGCAACTTGTGGACTGACTGTAGCGGCGATTGTCTTGTATAGAAATTGGCGGAATCAAACCAAGATTGAATATTTCCCTCTTACCAATTTTTAGAAAATGGAATCTCATCATCATTTGTAGTTTTAGTAGATTAGTTTTAATTTTATATCATTCAATTTTATTTTATTATTTTATTTGTATGTGTACTGTCAAATAAACTGAATTGATTCCCTCTCAATCTGTTTACAATCTTCTTTATCATCATCATCATCAACATCATTATCATCATATTAAGGATATTATGATGTACCGTTCGTTATTTTTTTTTCTGAAGTAACAGCATAGACGAAACTGGAGATGTAATCCATGTTAGGAAAAAAAAAAAAAAAAAAAAGAGGGAGAATATTCCCTTTTTTAGATATCCAGTTGGATTGACCTAAAGGAAACCAGATAAAAAAAGAAAGCTGGAATTTTTAATCCTGGGAATATCGAACCAAAAAAAAAAATAAAAATAAAATCGAATGATGTATCCATTGAGGAATAGGTCATTTTATTATAGAGATCTAAATAGATGTTGGTATATTGTTGAGAAACCAATGAAAAAAAAATTATATAATGCGGGATTGGTCATTAGGAGAATTAAAAAAAAAAAAGGAGGGGTTTGTCTATAGATGTATCATGAAAAGAAAGATCATCTAAAAACAGGATAAGGTTCGATATCTGTTGGATGATGAATAAAAGAGGAGGAGGTAGAAGACATATCAGAAGCAGGATCCTCGTCCAGTAAAGAAGGAATACGTGAGAGATCGATATGACGACGGCGAGTTTTCTTATAGGTGTGTTGTGCCACACGGGCTTCAAACTCCTCTGCATAGTTCTTGGTAGGATCAATAGGTTGAGGTTCTTCCGTCAAGTACCCGAGTTCATCAAAGAATAACCGGATACTAGTGGTGCATATGTGATTACTGTTATCCGTCGTCGTTTCATCCGGTGTCAAAATCATAATATCCGTAAGATTTTCTTGGGATAAGGAATCATCAAGCCAGCATCCATCATCCTTCTTCTTTTTTTTGTCTTTGCAAATATCATCATCATTCATTGGGGAATCCTCTGATGTTAATGTTAAAAAGGAGAAACAATTATTGTCATTCATCCTTAGGTATAAAAAAATAGATAATGAATAACTATTTTGACTGGTATCATGGACAAAAAAAAAAAAAAAAAAGAAAGAAAAAAAAAGATCAAATGGGACTAGTTTTCTAATAATTTACGGAAAATCAAGGAACAGACCAACAAAAAAAAAGCCATTCCTTCATTGACATATCCAATCAATGGTTGTTCCTTGTCCTGCCAAGTTCTACTGCGATCGCGGAGTCTTGCGCCCCAAATTTCAGTTGCTGACGAACCTTATTTAAATAAACCAATGAATAGGATTTTCATTTTTCTTTTCTTTTGTTATCCTTTTCTTTCCCCCAATTACTTTTTTTTTTTAAACCATGGCCCCAATTGCCTTTTATGATCTTGTTTTGGACACTCCTAATGAAATCTGGAGTCCTAACACGTTAAAGGCTCGTATTGCATTGAATATCAAGGTAAGTGAAAAAGAATGTATTTTTTAACTCGTTACTAACTCTTTACTATTGTACATAGGGTCTTGATTATGAAACAAAATGGCTCGACTTTTTTGGTATTCATTCTGAAATTCCAGATGTCACGTAAGTTGAGAAAAAGTACATTGAAGAAACGCGTCGTTCATACGGTATATACGTGTGAATATGAAACCAAAAAAAAAGTGTTACTCATACGGAATTACTAACCTTTTTTCTCAAAATAGGAATAATGGTAAACGGCCTACTGTGCCGGTGATTGTTGATCCTCAGCATGATGACAAGGCTGTACAAGATTCGTGGGAAATTGTCAAATATTTGGATAAGACTTACCCAGACACTCCTCCTTTGATTGTTGGTAACAATGAAGCCCTTCAATTTTTCTTTTACAATTATTGCAATACCAATATCCTTTTTCCCGTATTCAAGTTGTGTGTTTTAACCATCCAAAAAAGATGCCCCACTACTGCTATTCAAGAATGGTTCCGAAAAGATAGAGAAGCATTTTTCAAGATGACTTTGGAAACTTTTGCTGGTGACGAACAAGTACAGATCGATGCCATCAAATCTGGTTTGGCATTCATTCATACCACTCTCAAGTCATATCCTTATTTATCCGGTGAAAAAGGTAAAAAAAAAAAAAAATTTGACAATATGGGAAATAAGTGAAAACTTGATATAAAAATATTTTGTTGTTATTATAGTTGGATTCGCTGATGTGGTCTTGGCCTCTTGTTTTAAGATGTTATCTGCTCTCAGAAGTGACCTATTTGAAGCTACATTTTTGAATGCTTATCCTGATACTGTGCTGCGCGATTGGTGGAATCAAATGGAAAAGTATACAAAGGACGCCCCTCCTGCCAAACCTCACTTGTGAAACGTATATGAATGTTTTTCACTATAGTCAAACTTGTACTTTAGTTAGTTGATCTTTTCTTCTACATCCCGACATCCTCCAAGTATCAATAAACAATCTACTCCTCTATTATCTTTGAAACTATGCATATATTCTCTCTCTCTCTCTCTCTCTCTCTTTTTTTTTTTTTTTTTTTTTTTTTTTTTTTTTTTTTTAAGCTCGCCTCATTGTTATATAGCAACGGTGTCCTTGTTTTCATGTTTCTGAGTATGTCAAAAGTCTAGGGTTCAATTTTTTTTTTCATTCTTGTAGTTTATTCATATTCTATGGATCACTTCATGTATTTATAAAATAGATATATCTCATTCTATCCTATTCAAGTCTAGTCTAGTTCCATTGTATCCAGATAGAAACCAAATGACCTCATAAAAGAAAAAAAAGGATTACAAAACTAAATAACTCTTTTGTATGAAATCATCTGTCATGATTCCTTTAAACAAAACAAGACTATAAAGTAAATGATTATCATGAACACTTATCATCGTAACCATCGTCCATCATCCGTAGATATTATCACTGGAACGATCAAAAAAAAAAAAAACCCCCTATTGTGCTATATGTGGTGAACATTATATGAACCATTTTGAGATTAAAAAAGACATAAAAAAAACAATGTTTATTAATAACTTGATATTGAAGAAATAAAAACTAAGACTAACTACATCACAGAATTTTCATAAAGGAAGGATCAATGGACAGCTTCTGCAGGAGGTGAATGTTTCGTATACTTTTCCATTCGACGCCACCATTGGCGAAGGACATCATCGGGATACGCATCCAAAAGAGTCTGTTCAAACAGATCACTTCTAAAAACAGAAAACATCTTGTACAATGCAGCCAAGGTCACATCTGAAAATCCAGCTGTCAATATGTATAAAAGGATAAATGTTAGTCTTTCACTTTTTTATTATTATTATTATTTACGTTTTTCACCGGATAAATAGGAATATGATTTGAGAGTAGTATGAACTAAACCTAATCCAGATTTGATATTCTCCACATGGACATTTTCATCATCACCAGCAAACTCTTCCAAAGTCATGTTGAAACTTTGTTCTCGTGTTTGACGGAACCAATTCTGCATTTCCTTCGTAGGGCATTTCTCTACTACAGTCAATACACATAATTTGAATATTGGGACCAGGATGTTAGCATTGGCATAGTTGTAAAAGAAAAATTGAAGAGCTTCATTGTTGCCATGGATCAAAGGGGGTGTGTCTGGGTAAGTCTTATCCAAATATTTGACAATTTCCCACGAATCTTGTACAGCCTTGTCATCATGCTGATGATCCACAATCACTGGTACTGTTGGTTTCTCACCTGTTTTCCTATTTTGAAAAATAAAATAATCAAGATAGAAATAAAATGTATATAAGTACACAAGTAAATATTTTTTTTTTCTTTCTGTAGATAATATAATGACAACAAATACATAGATGTATTATTGTATTTTTCTTCAATAACTTACGTGATGGTTGGAATAACAGAATGTACTTGAAAAAAGTCAAGCCATTTTGTTTCATAAGAAAGACCCTAAAGAGATAAACATATATGATTTAGACTAACATTACTGTTATATATATATATATATATTGAAACTTGCCTTGATATTCAGAGCAATACGAGCCTTTAATGTATTGGGACTAAATATTTCATTAGGAGTATCTAAAACGAGATCATAAAGTTCAATAGCTTTCATAATGTATAAAATGGTTTATAAAGAAAAAGAAGAAAAACGACATACTTGTGTAAAATAAAAATAGAAAAAAAAAAAAAAAGAAAAGAGAAACAAAAAGAAATTGTACTATTTGACCTGAGTTTGGAATCGTTTCGCTTGGAATACTTTTTTTTATGCAAAAAAAAAAAAAAAAAAAAAAAAAAAAAAAAAAAATAAAGACAGTTTATTAAAGTAAATAACAATTAATATATGTCTATAATAAGAATCCATTGGTTGCAGGATGTTTCATAATCATCATTCAAAAGAGAGTTGTCCAATTTCTTTATCAAATCTGCTGGAAGTGTAATTTTCAAGATCACCAATAGAAACCCAAGAGCTAAGAGTTTGACTTGAGAGCTTGAGGTTGTTTGGTAATCAATACATCCCACCGCCAGTTTTGAGCAAATCCATGAGTAAGGATAATTCAGCACAGACCGATACCAACACAAAAATCCTAGAGTCCATATTTGACAACCAGAACCATGAGCAGAAGACTTATCACTGGCTACTACCTTCTCCTTTTTTCTTTGAATTTTTTAAAAAAGCCATTTTTTGACGTCTAGCTATTGAGATACTTTTTTTTTCCATCAGGTACAAGGTAAAATCCTAACATATATTTTTTTATTTCACCTAAATACGCTGGATACATCATCCAATTTTATCATTCATTTATCCATCATCCATATATCATCACATATCATCCATCATCCTGCATCATCAAAAAAAAGATCACACTTTGATCAGTTTGAATTCCGTTTTTTTTAATGGTGAAATAGAATAGTGAAAGAATACACGTAAAGGTGAGATAATAGTACAAATCATAATAATAAAATAAAAAAAAAAAAGATAGAGGAGAGGGAGAACGAAATAGTACTACTACAAAAGAAAAAAAAAATACAAAATATAAACTAATTGGTAACACGAATATGACCAGAAGTCCAAGTATCGAAATCAGCTTGCTTTTTGGGATTGCCAAAGATATGAAGAGCTCTAACGGTGATTTCATAAGTACCTTTAGGCACAGGAATAGGTTTGTTGCCAGACTTGTAGTAAGAACCATCCCATGGAATGGATTGAGCTTGTTCGGTAGGATTCAAAGTATTACGGGCCAAATAAGTTTGATCAGGGAAAGCCTTGCCAATGACCTTGTGGGACTTGACATCCACTACATCACCTTGAAGAAGAGCTGTACCAGAAAGTAAGCGAGTGATAATATAAGCTTCGGCTTTCTTGCTACGGTTGAGCACAAAGGTTTCGTTCTTTTCATAGGCCACTGTACCATTGCTATTACTAGAAAGATAAGGGAAGTCTTGATCAAAGATGGGTAAATCCTTTTGACGACCTACTACACCAAAGTAAGGAATGGACAAATCGAGACCATTCTTCTTGTTGCTGGACTTGAGTTGTACATAACCACCATACATGATATGTTGCTTGACATCCGTATGAGGAGGGATCACTGATACCTTAACCTTGACTGACTTTCCAGGAGCAACTTTGATGGATTTCTTGGAAATACGTAACTTGGCAGCAGCAGTGGTATAGTTGATGGGTTGAATATAGGTATATCCAGATGTGGCGAGATCATAAGGAACAACACTGAGAGATACATTGTTGCTGATTTGGTAAGACACAGTCTTGGATCCATGATTGGTGATGGTGAAAGTTTGAGTCTTATATTGGTTGGATGAAGTATCATTGAAGCTGAATTGACCAGGAGTAATATGAACATTTTGTTGAATCGTGTCATAAACTAGAAGAAAGAAAAAAAAAAAAAGACGATGAGTCAAAATACGTTTTTTTTTTTTTTTTTTTTTTTTTTTTTTTTTTTTAATTCTTCTCTTTTAGAAATCCTTTTCCTTACCTTGAATAAGACCAGCACCTTGACGGAGAGGAGAATCGATTGCCTTTTCACCATTTTGAACAGGAGCCTTGTAAGCATAATTTTGGAATTCTTCCATGATATAGGTACCCTTTTTGTTTTTACCCTTTGCAGACTTCAAATAGAGAGCAATAGAACCAGATAAATAAGGAGTAGCCATACTAGTACCAGACATCATACCCCATGAACCCAAGTAACGAGGAAGAGTAGAATAAATATCACCACCAGGAGCACCAATGTTGGGACGAAGATCTAATTCATAAGAAGCACCAACACTAGAGAAGGAAGACACAGTTTTGGCAGAGGCAAGTGGTACAGGAGATAATTTTCCATCAAAGGTCAATGAGACTTTTCCTTTCTTGATAGCAGCAAGAAGAGCTTCACCATCTTTTTGAGCAATGCCCATAACAGGAACCTTGGCATCAGGAGCAGAGGGAGTAAAAGCATCACCACCAGCATTATCATAAACAACAACCCCAATGGCACCAGCCTTGGCCAAGTTAGCTGACTTGATACTGAAAGTGCAAGAACCACGTTTGACCAAACCATAGTTACCTTTAACAGTAGCAGGAATAGTGGAAGGATCACAAGCATCCTTGGTACCACCAACAGCTTTATCACCAGCAACAATATCACCAGATGGGAATTTACCACTTTGACTAGAAGCATATGCTATAAATATAATAAATTAAATTAAAAAACAAAAAAAAAAAAGAATGAGTATCATATAGATAGCGTCAAAAGAGTCTCTATTTCTTTACCAATAGCATCAGAGAATCCAGTAGCCTTGAATTTGTAAACCAAGTTGTGAGCATTATCAAAGGAAGCTACGGAAATAACACCTTCTCCAGTACTGGGGGAACCAACAGTAAAAGCACCAGATTGACCAGCATTACCAGCAGCAATTACAACTAGATAATATATCAAAAAAGAAAAAAAAAGATAATGAATACAAATGTATAATATATATATAAATATATTTTACCTGGAACACCCTTCTTTGCAATTCTTGAGGCAACAATAGTATCAGGACCTTCACTCCAACCACTGTTATCACCCAAACTCAAGGAGATGATATCACTTCCAGCATCGTAAGCCTTGAGCAAAGCCTTAATGATAATATCGTTACCAGTCGAACCAGTACAACCAAATACGCGCCACATACCCAAAGTAGCATCAGGAGCCACACCAGTGAAATTCTATATATCGTTATAAAATTTATATATAGATATATAAAGAGTTATTACAAAAAGATAAAAAAAAAAGACTATTTTTTTTTCTTTGATGACTTACAGCAGATGAACCAGCAACGATACCAGAAACATGAGTTCCGTGACCTGATTGTGTATATAGATAAGAAAAAAAAATAAAGGTGGGAATAACGGGATGATGAGCATCATGCATATAATTTCCATTATTGTTGTTTTTTCCTTTTTGTATATTCTGTTTTTACCTGAAGCACCAGAAGCAGCACCACAATTATCCAAAGGAGTAGGACCAGGTCGAACAATAGGATTGGGTTGATTACTATCATACTTGTCACCAACTAAATCTTCACCATATCGAACCTATCATAAAAAAAAAAAAAAGGATGAGCCGAATGAATAATAAAATATGTATGATCTTACTTTGTAACCTTTGCCAAAACCACCACCAAGAGCAGGATGTTTATAATCCACACCAGAGTCAATGATACCAACAACAATACCTTTACCAGTATTTTTCAATTCCTTATGAACACGGTCCACTTGAGTCAATTGATGAGGAAGAATGGTTTGAGCAATATTTTCGTTTTGGTTGGTGACAGGAATAGCGGTGAGTTCAGGACGTTGAATGGCACGTATGGGATAGACAGCAGTGACGTGTTCGTGGTCAAACAATTCTTGAAGTTTTTCATCATAGCTAGAAGCTGTTACTAGAGAAGGGTTAGGGTCATGTAAATTGAAGGAAAGACCATGAAACAAGTCATGTTTAAATTGTTCGTGTATCTTGACATCATGTTCAAAAGAGGTGGACAAAGAATGAACAAAAGGATTGGCAGCTTCTTGGTTGGCAAATTCTACAATATAACGACCAGTAATAACATCATCAGAAGGAGATGCTTTATATTTACTATGATGAAGTAAAGCGTCAGTGGTGCCTTGAAGATAAAAAGTAGCTAAAGCAAATAAAGGAACGATAGAAATCGAACTTGGTTTCATTTCTTATAGGAGTTTGAAATCAACCAAGGAAAGGGAAAAAAAAAAAGAATGGAAGGGAAAAAGAAAGAATAGGAAAGATAAAAATTTATATACTAATAATAATATGTAAGGGGATAAAGAAGAAGATGAAAAAAAAAACAAACAATAGTTTGAGTTTTTATACGAAAAACGAGTTGGTTGATAAAAAAAAAAAAAAAGACTTCAAGTAGTTGACTCTTTTTGAGGCAAGTTATCCCTTTTTTGGATTCTTTGAGTAACGTTGTGTATTTTTAATTATTATTTTGTAACAAAAAAAGAACTCATAGAAATCTTCTGCCGCATGAATTCCTCTATTTATCATTTTTTACCAAAGATCTATCAATCTTCATTGTCAAAGTTACGGCATTTAAATCTAACGCGTGTTCTATCACCATTTGAATACAACATGGTTCTTATCATGGATCAATAACTGTGGTTTACTTAATATATATAAAAAAAAAGGAGTTACAAGAAAAGTATGGATATTTTTTTTTTTAAAAAAAAAAACTATCTTCTCGTCAAAACATGATCACTATCAAAGTAACTTTTTTTGTTAAAAAAAAAAAAAAAAAAACAAAGAAAAAAAAAAAACTCGATGATCGGCAAAATACTTGATGTGCCGCTTCAACAACAAGAATTACCCAAATTGGTTGGCAATAGATCACGTTATCATCCCAAAAATAATACTGCTATAGATGATGTTGAAATGGTACCACTTATTCCCACCAATCATATGCATCTCAGATTACAAATAGATAGTTACATTGACAAAATCTTGATTTATGATTGAATGGAAGACTGAATGAGCCGTGAGTTGACAAGGTGATGATTGAAATGAATGGTGATTGAATGGATGGTGATTGACAGCATGAGGATTGAATGGATAATGATTGAATGGATAATGATTGAATGGATAATGATTGAATGGATAATGATTGAATGGATAATGATTGAATGGATGATGATTGAATGGATGATGAATGAAATTGAGTGATGGAATCATGCTAAAGATATGAACATAACCATTGAAAGAAAGAGAAGGAGATCCAGGCATTGGTAGTAAAAATAATATTATACAATATACATATGTGATATAGATTTGTATTGAAAGGGGCAAAACTTTATCTCATTGGAAAAATGAACTCCGGTAATTCACTACAAAATGACTGGAGGAAGGTGATGGTGAGTCAGATGAAAACAATGCCGTAAAGTTCATGCCTTATTGGGTCAACAATTTCCCCCGCTTTTTCATTTGCTGTGCGGAGTCCAACCTTTTTTTTTTAGTATACATAATAAGCTTTTTTTTGTGGGAGATCTCATTCAAATATAATCTTTCTCTTTTTTTTTTCTTTCTTTTTTCTTTCTTTCTTTCTTTTTTTTTTTATACTGAAATATGTCTATAGAAAAGATAGAAACTACCGAAGTACATACCGAAAAGTTTGAATCTAGTTGGGGAAAAGACGTTGAATACAATGGTGAAACAGTTGACTTTGTTGAACCAGACGCCAAAGAAATGAGAAAGTTACTTTGGAAGTTGGATTTGCGTATTGTTCCTTGGTTGTAAGTTATCTATAAAAACGATTATATTATTTTATATTAAAATGTTATTTTGATTTTAATAGAGGTGTTCTTTATCTTTGCTCTTTTTTGGATCGTGTGAATATTGGTAAGAATTATAATATGAGAGTTGAAATATATTCTAAAAGGTGACCATATATTTTTTTTATAGGTAATGCAAAGTTGGCTGGTTTACAAGCAGACTTGAAAGTTTCTGATGACGTTTACAACTGGGCACTCTCCATCTTCTTCATTGGTTACATTATCTTTGAAATCCCTTCCAATATGATGATGAAGAAAATTGGTCCCAATCGTTGGATTCCTTTAGTCATGATTGCTTGGGGTGTTACCATGGCTTGTATGGCTGCCATTACTAATTCTGCTGGTCTTTTAGCAAGTCGATTCTTTTTGGGTATCACAGGTAAAGAAGAAAAAAAAAACTATATCGGATGCACGTAGTTTGTTTTTTTGTTTTTTTGATCATTGTTGTTATTGTACTACTTTTAGAGGCTGGTCTTTTCCCTGGTGCTATTTATTATTTATCTTTATGGTTTACTCGCCAAGAACAAGCTACACGTGTTTCTATCTTCTTTAGTTGTGCTACTGTTGCTGGTGTAAGTTACTGTTATCTAGAAACAAACATCATATACTGAACACAATTTCTTTCGTTATTTTTTTTTTTATTTATTTATTTCTAGGCCTTTGGTGGTGTTTTGGTAAGTAAAATATGAGAGAGATAAACAAAGTTGATTGACTTTATATATATATATATTTAGGCTTATGGTATCATGCAAATGAATGGTCTTCAAGGTTTAACTGGATGGCAATGGATTTTCATCATTGAAGCTCTACCAACTATTCTTTTATCTGTAGCAACCTACTTTATTCTTCCTGATCTTCCTCACCGTGCCAAATTTATCAATGAACGTGAACGTGCCATTGTACTTCATCGATTGAAGAAGGATGCTGGACCATCTACTGAAACTCACTTTTCATGGAAACAATTCTTTGCCGTTTTTGTGGATTGGAAGGTTTATATGCATTCTTTGATCTATATCTGTGGTGCCACTCCTCTCTACAGTCTTAGTCTCTTTTTACCAAGTATCATCAAAGGAATGGGTTATACAGATTTGGCTGCTCAGGCAATGTAAGTGATATCAAAAAAAAAAAAAAAATGGGAGGGAAATTGAGTGAATACTGAATAAAAGATCGTTTTTTGCTTGATTTGGTTTCTTCCATTAGGTCTGCACCTCCATATGCTATTGGTAAGATATTTTTATACATAATTTAAATCAACTTTGGTCTAATTTGAATTCTTTTTTTTTTATCATAGCTTGTTTCTTTACTGTGATGATTGCGTTACATGCAGATAAAAAACGTGAACGGGGGCTTCATATTGCAGTACCAGCATTTGTTGGTATGATTGGTTATCTCTTACTAGTGGTATTGAAGGATCGGGGACCAGTGGCTATGTACATTGCTGCTGTGATCACTACTACTGGTGTCTTTTCTCATATCCCATCCATGTTATCTTGGTTCACAAATAATATTGGTGGTCATACAAAACGTGGTGTTGCTAGTGCTTTTATTATCTCCATCGGGGTAAGAATCATAAAAAAAAAAAAAAAAAAAAGAGAGTTATCTAATCCTTTTTTTTTTTTTTAAAAAAAGAATGTCGGGGGTGCTATTGGGGGACAAGTATATAGAGCAGATGATGCACCTTACTATTCTCGTGGTCATGAAATTTGTCTTGGATTGATGTGTGGTGCTTGGGTATGCTCTTTACTCTTCAAGTTTTTGTTGGAGAGAGAAAACAAACGTCGTGATAATTTGACACCCGAACAACATGCCAAAGAAGCTTCTGGTGAAGAACTCTGTGATTTGGTAAGAAAGAATAAGAAAGACTAATGATATCTTCAACTCACATTCTTTTTATTATTCCTTTGGGGTTGTTAATAGCATCCTGACTTTAGATATATCTCTTAGTTATAATTTATACTTTATTTATTATTCTATCTTACATGATTATGTTTATATATTACTTTTATTCCCACACATTATTATAGTCTCTCTCTCCTCCTACTGTATTTTTTTATATATGTATTTAGTTCATTATGTATATATAATTTATACAAAATTACTAATAAATAAATAAAACAAAAGAAACATATACTGGAAGAATGATTATGCGGTTGTAGCAAAAAAAAAAAAAAAAATGAAAGGTAGGACAAGAGTCGTGGCTTACCAAAAAAAGGCATACCTTGTTAGCACTATGTGGATGCATTGTTTTTTTTTTCTTGAAATGATAAAGGGGTAAGTACGTTCGCAAGGCAGTTCTATTGGATAGAATTACTGTATTGCAATGCAAGTACTTTTTTTACATGTAGAAAAAAAAATGCAAATCTCATTGGTCAAATAAACCTATAATAAAATAAAAAGAATAGTTGGTTGTTTCCATACGTGTCATTTATCGTCAACAGTGATGCATGACTTTTCAAAACGGATAAATAAAAGACAAAATTCCGAAGATAGGGGTTTTTATTTATTGAATGATCATATGATACAACGGGTCAAAAAAAAAAAAAACTACATGACAAATGTATGGTATTCTAACTAATTCTATGGATGATTTGTAACCATCAATCATACAGGACGGATTCCATAAAGAGTCATTCCTCGACACATATTTCACGATGATGGCGTTGATGCTGATATTGATGATGATGATGATGATGTGGATGATAAAGTTGCTACGTTTGATGGTATATGATGATATTTCTTCCTTGAATGCCGTCGTTGTCGTTTCTTGTTCTTCTTTGTAGTTGATGGAAGCACTGGATAGGTGAGTCGATGATGGCGATAAAGAGTTTGCAACAAGACATTTTTATATTTGGGCCCCACTAGATCAGGAGTATGATAAGCCAATCGATTCATAAGGTTCACAGCACTCTTGTATTGTCGTTGATCGCAGAGGGCAAGTAATACGGTACTCACCATGGCATGATCAGGGACAATGCCATCTTTTTCCATTTCATCCAATAAAGTCATCATCTGATCGTAATCCTTTTGTTTTCGAGTCATATGTAGCAAAATGCTGTAGGTGTAAGCGGTCGGGCTATGTAGTGTTGTTAGTTCCTGACAGAGCGACCATGCCAATTCCATGTCGTTCTTCTTGACGCAAAATGCCACAAGACTGTTGTAAAAAGGCCGTGTTCCCGTCAATCCAAGCTGATGCATTTCCTGACACAATTGAATCACTGTCTTTGTTGTTTCTGCTAGCTGTTTGGTTTGTTTTTGTATTTTTTTGCCGGTCTTGTTGCCATTGTTTGGATGAATAGACGACTTGACAGGAAGTCGTTGTGAAAGAAGATTAATCAACATGGTGTAAATGTATATCAAATTACGAGATTGTCGACCAGACGGTGGATGGAGCTTGTGATAGACAAAAAGGGTATCATGAAGGACGTATAAACCACGCACATGTTGCTTGATATAAAGGACCCGTGCAAGTTGATGGAGAGCTTCATGACTTGGTAATGTTCCTTGTGTTTCGAGAAGTCGTAGGTAATATTGTAAACACATATCAGCTCGTCCTTTCTTTGCATACTGAATGATGGCAATAGAGGTTGTGGCATCTCGTTGTTTCGATAAATAGTGCGAAGGAAGCGTTGTATCAACGTTGCCATTGTTGTTGACGTTGGTATTGGTAGTACTATAAGCACGCATCATGTATTGTTTCCCCAGTAATAATGAATACATGGGGAAATTAGAAGAGTAACATGGTGTAAATGTTTGAGTATGATAAAAGGATCCAGTTGTTGATAATCTTGACCAGATCAATCGATTGTTGGTTGTTGACCAAGAGAATCTTTGTTTTTGTCGTAGTCTTGAACAAGAAGAGCAAAGAGATGATTTTCTTTCTGATAAAGACGTAGATAAAAACAACAAACTTTGAAGCAGACGGTCTATTGATCTACTTGATGACATGCCCCAAGAGGTCTGTGTTATTATTTAAGAGAAAAAAAGAAGGAGAGAGAGAAAAAAAAAAAAAAAAAAGAGAGAACCAGCGACTATTGTTTTTTTTTTCTCTCATTCGATAAAGCTCTTATGCGGAATTTAAACCGTTCAGTCACAAAAATAACTTAACTATGAGCAAACAACGAAACATCAAGGAAAAAAAAAAAGAGCTTCAGGAACAGGATAAACTCATTAGAAGAGATAAGGAAGGGGTTCATTTTTGTCATCATCAAAAGAAGGGAGTTAATGAAAAAGCGGAAGATGCATATCGAAGCGAACGTATCAGTTGAAATTAAAAGTATCCCCACATAAGATTTAAATAACAAATAAATGAAAAACAGTGAATAATTTTATTATTATTATTATTATTTCATATCGTGTCATGCACATAAATATTACATTAGATTATGATTATGATTATTATTATTTTTTTTTTGTTAAAAAAAAGGGTATAAATCAAGTTGAAAAGAAAATTTTTTAGATCATGGACCCATCTACTTCATAAGTCCCGATGATTTTACGATCCCCGGTTCGACATCGTACTCTCCATTTACCATTGGGTAATTTGAGATAGAAATTAGAAAAGACATTACTTGTCAATGGAGTAGCCGGTGAAGAAGAAGAGGAAGATGTGAAATAATCATGTTCATATTCCCCTGATAAAGTGTTACAGGAAGATGACAATGTTGGACTTGATGCTACAGTATCATTATAGCTAGCATCATCTTGATGATCGTTCTCTTGAATTGGTGGAATGACAATAGATAAATTGGGTAACATACTTATACGTCCACGACGAGATAAATGATTCTTTCTAGTAAGAGATTCAGGCATAATGATGATTGATTAATGAGGAACAAAAAAAAAAAAAAAAAAAAAAGGAAAAAAAAAAAAGAAATCACACCATACCACTTGATTTATATATCATACTCCTTTTCTTTTTTTTTTTTTTTCATCTTGTTGCTGCTTGATTTCAAAATAGAGTGCTGTTTTGTTTATGTTATTAGCCATGCATAAAGCGTGTAAAAAAGAAGATAAAGATCGTCGATAAAAAAAATATTTTAACTTTGGAATGCCCTCGTCCTTCTGCAAGAGTATTAGCCAACATTATTTTATTATATTCAGTGAATGAGGGGGTGGAATTCATAAAAAAAAAAAAAAAAACTAATGAAACAGCTAACTAATCAACTACCTAATCCTAGGATAATCTTCAAAGTCTAAACTTGGGTTGAATCCAATTATTGGCATCCACAAACATTGCATACGTTTCATCCGTAATTTTTCCGGTTTCCTTCAATACATTGATGCCAGCCATGAGTCCATTCCAAAAGTTAACGCCCTTGATGAGATCCCCCTTAATATCTTTGCAAGTAGTAAAAGTTGTTTCTGCTGATGCCAATGCAGTATTGTTGTCGTTTTCCAAAGTTTGTTCCAAGTAATATTTGGCTACAATACCCAGAGCAACATTATTGTCCGTCAAAAAAGGAAGACTAAAAAAAAAAAAAAAAAACGGTCAATGATTCCATTGATTTTTCCTTTATCTATTTTACCTATCTGATATTTCATGATAATCATTTCTTTCCTTCTCCACCAATCCATTCATAAAAAAGGATAAAGTCAACATTTCACATAAATTTCGATAACTGCGATTTAGAGCTTTGACAAATCCATTGAATACTAGCAAGTCACGATGAAAGGGTCCCGACCAAGGTGCATTCTAAAGTAGAAGAAATAAAACAGATATGTACAATTAGTAAATAAATAGAAATAATCATAGATAAACCTGATATATTCCATACCTTGAATTCCATTGGTAATAACGACAATGTACGAGAAAATAGCGTAATATGTTGTTGTTGTTTTTCTGCAGGGATATATATAAAAAAAAAAGTTGTTCAGTACCTACCATAAAGAATATAATGCCGAAAATTGACAGATGAGGCGTATTCCGATCTTATCAACTTACCATCACCAATAGGTTTGCCATAGGTCTTGCTAAAAGGAAGGGCTGTAAGCACACCAAATCGGACTAGTTCAAATGCTGTCAAGTAAGCCTCTTGATCAGAAAAACTAGGTTTGTTGAAAGTTGATAAGGATTTGGAAAGTGCACGACCCCAAGTAGTATATACATGTTTTGATGATGTCAAAAAGCTATTGGCAAAAAAAATATCAAGAAAATAAAAAATAAAAATAAAAAATAAAAATATAAAAAAAAATAAAATAAAAATCAATCAAGAATATATAAAGAACCTTGCGATACATATGCATACATATCTTGTACTACTTACTCCCGAATTTCTAAAAGTTTCCAAAGTACATTTGCTACGATTTCATTCTTTTCTACAAGGATCTAAAGAACATAAAAAAAATAAGGAAAAAATTAAATACAATGACTTGTATTGAGATTTCATATATATATATATATATGATGGATGACATACATGTTCAGAATTATTTCGCGCAATTGTTTTGGATGCTTTTTCATCGTTTTCTGTTGCCTTGACACAGAATGCAATATCTACTTGGTCGATCTGCAATAGAATATTATTAGTTTTCAATCTTTTCATCATTTTTCTTTTTTAGAACCTACCTGTTGATCCTTCATTTCTTGTTTGATTTTTTCGTTGTCGACATTCCAAGTACTTGTTTTTTCATAAACATTGTTCAAAAAGTTGGCATTGTTTTGACTTTCTGTACCTCCTTGTCCAGGTTGATGATACATGATTTGTTCTGTTGAAGGTTCAAACCAGAAATAGCATGCCACTTTGCGTGATTGGAAGAATTGATGTAATGGTTGAGTCAGTAAGCTTAATGTTTGTGTTCTGATACTAAGAAGTTGAAGCAAAAAGTTGCGATATTCTGTCGTTTCTCCATTGTCCAAAGGCGCATTTTCAATCAAAACCCCAGAAACCAAGTTGTTGATGACCTATTATGATAAATATAAAAATAGAATTGATTTTTCTGTATTTTTATTCTTTTTCTTTTTCTTTTTCTTTTCTTCTTTTAAAAAAAAATTGACTTACCTGAGGACCAATCAAACCACGCATCAAATAATAATATAGTTCATCTGGAAGTCGATAACCGATAAATTCGTGAATATCATTTGGAGCTTGTTCGACATTTAGAGGTCTGACTTCGCCTTCATCAGTAAGGATCAAATGATATTTGACAGCACATCGTGTACGACAAAAAGTATCAATATAACCAGTTTTCACTACATTGGGATCATCAGAATAAGCTTGAACAGCATTAAATCCAGTCTTATGCTGTTTGATCAAATCTTGTACACCTGAACAAAATAAAAAAAAATAATAAATAAGTGATATGAAAAAAAAGTATGCTTTTTCATTTTGCATCTTACCTTTGAATGTGAATGAAATAACTGACAAAGGTGGGAAAGTAGGGCAATATTCGAATCCCGCGAGTATACAAATGTCCAAAAACTGTTCTTCAGATACATGCAAATCGTTCAATACCGTTTTTTTGTTGACTGTTTGATAATTTCCTTTCTACAAAAAAAAAAAAAGATTAGATATGAGTCATATTTGATCCTATATGTTTCTCTTTCTATCATCACTTACTGTAAAATCAATTGATGTAATGATTTTGTCAACGTTCCACATCAGTACTTCATCACCACCATAAATTGCATTGATGATTTGACGGGGATGATTATGCATATAAGCAAGCTATTAAAAAATAAAAATAAAAATAAATGAGTGTTAATTTATCATTTTTTGAAAACAATCTATCTATTTATACCTGAGCCCATGATGAATAAGGAGCACGAATGAATTCAATATTGTGCTGTCGTAGAATATAAAACACCAAGTTGAGCACGTCAGGAAGATGAAAGCCACCACCACTAGCGAATTTTGACAAGGCTGCATCGTTTTTTCCTTTTTCATAGAATTCCCAAGCTACAGCACGATGACCAGGACGAGTATCTTCACCACTGAAAGGTTTGGACTTTCGAATAATGGATAGACCAGGAAAAACAAAGATGGGTTGAATATGATTTGTTCTATGTAAATTAAAAATATGGGATATAGAAGTTAGCCACCAAACTATTTTGAATTTGATAGATTAGTCTTATTACTTGAAGTGTTCTAATTCTTTTTCAATGGTATGTTGTAGAGTCAAAGGTGTACCACCCATAGCAGATAAACTTGGTTCCTTGATTAATACCTTTCGTAACCAGTAATTACCATCAATACCCAATCTAGTTCCTTTGAGCTGTGATACTGCTACTGTTTCGATTAGTCGTCTTTCCCCTGTGAATACTATAAGCATAATAAAAATAAAATGACAAGATTACTTCGTGAACAAACAAAAAAAAAAGGTCTTCCTATGACAAAATAGTCATCTTCTGTTGCTTGCTAAATAAAGAATGGCATGATCACTGTTCTATAGACATACTTTCAAAATGGCGAATAGGCATTGGATTATAAGTTTGAGAGGTGAAAAGAAAAAAAAAAAAAACTTTTAGTGAGAAGAAAAAAAAGGAGAGAAAGAAAAAGTAAAGCTGGACCGCGTTTTTTCTATTTATTTTTGCTACAACAATATTTTTCACTCCGCTTCCCCTGCTTTTTCAAAAGCTTGACATTTAGCACTTGTTGGTGGTGGTTTTCAAAGTCGCTTCCATCCTCTTCCTCTCTTTTTGGTTGATTCATCCATTTTTTTTTTATTTATTGATCATCCCATTTCTATTTTTTTTGTTAGCTTCAATTATCCTTTCTTTGGCCTATTCATCAAACATTCAAGTATCTTTTTACACTTCGTAACTCGGTCAGAAGTGATCATCATCGTACCAAATTTAAACTGAATATAGACAAAAGATATTCTTTTTCAATAGTATTAATAGTAATAATTTATATCGCATATCTCGATTGATAGAGTAATTTAAAGACGAAAACGTCAATTCAATCATCCCTCATCCAATAATGATCATCATCCAATAAAATGACAATCATTCAATTCCTCTCTAAAAAATAGTTTAATCTCATCTAATCCCATTTTATCGCTTATCTTGCCATATTATGTGCAATGACCACTAAAAAGATATTATCAATTATTTGAAAAATCGCCTGATGATGCCCTTATGATTGATATTTACAGCTAAAATTTAGCTGAGGAATTTCAAATTTTTGGCTGTAAAATCCAAAAGTTCATCATTTTTTTTTTCTTTCCTGACATCAAGCCTGGGAGGAAACTTTGCCTTTCTCTCAGAAGTCATCATCATCAACACATAAAATTTGAACACAAGACAAATCATTTTCTTTCACTTTATCTAATGTCATTTACGTTTGCCATATCTCTATCATCATCATCGGTGTGATATTTTCAACCTCCACGAATAAGCATCCTCAAGTTGTCCCTGCGATTTAATCAAATCATGATTTTCAAGTATTTATTGACATGATATTTCGTTTTCCTTGGAATAGATAAAGAGAATAATAAAAATAAAAATACTAAAAATAATAATAAAATAAGGGGGGATAATATGATCAATACAGATAAAAGTTCAATATAACAGTATGAATAAAAAAAAATAAAATGAAAAAAAAATAAGAGAGAAAAAAAAAGATTATTCACGACTTTGACGATAAATAGATTCTTGAGTCACTTGAATTTCATCCAGTTCTGGAGCTAACTCTGATAATAATTCTTGTGCTTCCTTGTAATAATTAACTTGAGCATGGACAAAATCGGCCAGATTACGAAGAGGTTCAGGCTAATAATAATAATAATAATAATAATAATAATAATAATAATTCATCATGAGTTCATCTTTTTGATTTTTGTTTTTTTTTTTTTTTTTTATGTTAACTTACATTTTCCAAAGCGATCTTCATCAAACTAGTAGCTTCTTCCACGGCAGCGACAAATTGATCTTCAGCTTGTTCTACTTCCAATCGTGCAGCATCAGATCTTTCAGGACGGGCAGATCTGTAACGAGCTTTACAAGCATCAAGAGATAATCGTACAGATTGAACATTACGTCTGGCTTTGTTGGCTTGTTCAATAGCTGTTGCAAGGGTTGTTTGCATAGGTTGATTGAACTTGGCGATAATATCTTGATCCATTTTGACACGAGCATTACCCACCTTTTCATTGATTGTGGCCAACTTAAACAGAGCTGTTCCAAGAGGTTCTTCTACTCCAATAGCTTCGGCACCTTGACCAGCAACACGAGAAATCGCATGAGATAGTGTTTTGGGATGTTGTTTGGCTTCGTCTTGTTGTACTTGTTGTTCTGTTTGAGCACGTTCAGCAGGAGATAACGCCAAATTTTGGAATTGACTTGCCATAGTACCAGTTAAACCTACAAGAGTTTCTTGAATTTGTACAGGATAATCATATGCAGGTTGATTATAAGTGCGAGCAACTTTGAGAAGATTCACATGGACCGAACGGAGAGCATCAACGCGCTATTATCAAGTAATGATAAAAATATGATGATGATGTTAATATTAGCTCAGGTCTCTATTGTTTCCATCCTCTTACCTTTTCTAGATCCTTATACTCTTGAGGAAGTTCGGTGATGTCTTCAGCAGTGCCAAGTCGTTCTTGAGCATACTATAAAGAATTAAACATCATTAGTTTCAATCATATTTCTTTATCAAATCAAATAGTTAAAGAAAAAGATAATAAAAAAAACACTTGTTTACTTACTTGTCTTACTTGACCAAAACCTTTGCCTAGTTTTTGAGCAAAAGGATTGAATTTGGAACTAAGGTTCGCGAATCCATCTAAAGCATTGTTGAGTACCAAGTTCGGATTGATAGCAGAAGATGAAGGAGAAGTAGGAGCAGCAGTATTGTTTTCAGCATCTACTACTTTAATGCCTTCAGATCCTGGTTGAGCCATGGTTTAACTATTGTAATAATGAAGTAAAAAAGAATATAAAAAAAAGAAAAAGAGAGGGAAAAAAAATAGATAAAGCCAAGAGAGACGGTGTTTCAACTCAATGACGTCGGGTGGAAAAGGAAAAGGTTCTGTGTGTTGCAGGTTGGGAGAAAAAAAAAAAGCAGGATTTTTTTTTTTCTATCTCTCTCTCTCTCTCTTTTTCCTTCCTTTTCACTTTATACCTTTTTTTTTTTTTTTTTTCTTGAACTCACATGGATGGAGAACGCAATGCTCAACAGCAACTCATACGTGGAATGTATAGGTTGAGTTTCTTTGTATTCCTCTTCCTGTTCTCCATTCCATTTCTTAGTTATCCCGAAAACGATCCCGACCATAATTGGCCTTCTACAGTTGAAGAAGTACGTGAAGCACTACAATTGGAAAAAGAAACAATTGGCAATGTTACTTTTGGATACAACGTCTCTCATGTATGTCAAAAAAAAAAGAATTCTTATTCTGTTGTTCATATTCCATCTGATTTTTTTTTTCTACTCCCTTTTTTAGCCTTTACCAGCAACAATGAGCACTCAAGTTCAACAACTTTATACCACTGGTCAACAAGAGACTAATCATTATTATCACAATGTTACTGCTATATTCAAAGGTATATTGAGTTTAGTTTAGTATATTTATGGAAATAGTTTTAACTGAATCATGTCTTTTTTTTTTTTTTTTTTTTTTTTTTTTTTTTTTATTAGGCTCTTGGTCAAGTCAAAATGTTACTCCACATGAAAATGACATTGTCAACAGGACATTATTACAAACGAATCGAGGCCAATTTCATGTTGACAATGGTGGTACCTTTTCTCTCAACATCAAATCCATTAGAACAAAAAGCGAGAATATCAATTATATCCAAGTAAGTACTATTATTAATAAAAAGAACACATTTTGTCTGATATCCATTCAAATTATTACTAGGGTCATATACGACTGAAGGATATGGATAAATCTGATTCTGGTGCCTTACTGCTGGCAGAAGGGTTTCACTACTTGAACAATGGATCAATATACCTTTTGGGTGCTCCTGATGGGTAAGTCAAAAAAAAAAAACAATGAATCATGAAATTGATCTTCTGATATTGTCTCATGTTCCTTTCTATAGTCATAACATTCAACTTCAACATCTTTTACACATGCTTCCCACAAAAGAATCATTGGAAACTACTCAAGCTTTGATTACTGAACATACTGAAAAAAGAATTAAGGAATTAGATCAGCTTGGATTGCGTGATAGTCAAATTTGGGATGAAGTAGAAGGTAATATAATCTATTTATCATCAATGGGTCGATATTTTGTAACTCCTTTTTTTTTTTTTTTTCCTATAGATCATCCAATATCTGTAGATTTCGGTTGCAACTTACAAATCTTTGGTCAATTGTCGCCCATCCCTCGGAATATCAAAATGTCACAGTTATTGGAATACGAAAAAGGTAGTAGGAATAACAATAATAATAAAGTGAAAGTTGTCACGAGTCATTAGTATCCAATGATTTATTCATATTTTATTTTCAACCAGAACTAGAAAACCCTCAAGGTATTAGTACTATCCAACCACCACCATTACAATTGTCGAGTATCATGTATTCACCAGATTGTGGTCTTGGTTTATCTATTGAAAACGCCAGTGGCATCAAAATTGAAGAATACTTTAGCAAGACTATCTCTTATGCGACTATGGCCACCATCCTTGCGATTCTACAGATCTTTTTACTTATTCATCAAATGGAATATACTCCTACACCTTCAGTAAGGAAAATATATTATACATAAATGACATATTCATATATTATTTATTATATATATAGAGTGTTTCTAATGTTTCTTACTGGACCATTGCCATGCAAGCTATGATGGATGGATATATCTGCTTACTTCATTTGACAACTGGTGTGGTACTAGATTCTGTCTTTCTTCCTTTTGCATCAGCGGCTTTCTTCAGTTTTATTTTGGTATCTATCTTTGGCATGAGGTATCTTTTAGTCATTTGGAGAATACAACGTCCTGAATCTGTCCGTACAAATCAATCATCACCTACTTCTGGTCCTCAAACTACAGAAACGACTGGATCTCAACAACCTGTATCATCCTCAATACAATCTCATATGGATTTTAGTCGATTATGTAAGTAAATTTGAAATTAACCTGACAGTTTTGGTTTCATATTATCTTCTTTCTTTCTTTGACAATAGATGCTATTTTACTTTTTGGTTTGTTCTTATTCTATCAAAGTACCACAAGGTCTGCCTTTATACAAAATATAGTCGTAAGTGTACTTGGATTTGGGTTCTTCTCTTTTTGGATTCCTCAGATCATCCGAAACGTCAGTAGAGGATGTCGCAAGCCACTTAGTCCTCGATATATACTTGGTATGACGTTTACTCGTTTAGCCATCCCATTATGTAAGTAATCATTACTGAGAATACATAAAGATTATCCTGTTATATAATTAGTATACCGACAACATTTTTTTTTTTTTTTTGGTTTTTCTTTTATGTTTAGATTTCTATGCCTGTCCTCGAAATATTATATCACAAGAACCCTCTTTTGGTGTATGGGTATTGGTAGTATATGTACTGATTCAAGTATGCATCTTATTCCTTCAAGATATTCTTGGCCCTCGATTCTTCGTACCAGAAAAGGTAAAACAATTTTATTCCCTTTTATAAGAATAATAACGAAAAAAAAAAAAAGGAAGAGCCCACTGATGATCTTTTTTTTTTTTTTCAGTATCTACCTCAAACTTACAATTATCATCCCATTCTGCCACCTGAAGACGAAGAAACAACTCATGGAGGAGATTCAACTAATAAATCAACACAACCCAGGGACTGTGCCATTTGTATGCTATCTGTGGATACTTCAAGTACTGCTGCAACTGGTCTTCATGTATTAGGAAGAACTCAATATATGATGACACCATGTCACCATTTGTTCCATACGGATTGTTTAGAAAAGGTAAGCGAAACAACAACAAAAAAAAGGACCATTTCTGATGTATGATTTTAAATATTTATCCTTTTTTTTTTATATATATATTTGATATATCTATATATATAGTGGATGAGAATCAAGTTGGAATGTCCCGTGTGTCGATCTTATTTACCCTCTTCTTAATCCAACCTTTTTACATTGTTATTATTTTTTTCTTCTTCTTCTTCTACAATATATTAATCCTGTCTTATATTATTGTTTGTTTATGTTTGTATATGAATTACTTCCTCTCTCATAAAAACGTTGATGACCTTTCTGCTAATAAAAATCAATACCAAATATTCTATCCATTAACAATAATCAATATCACGTTTCCTGGATCATAATAATGTTAGGATATCATCATAAGAATCATCATAAAGACTAGTCACGAGAATCATCATAAAACACAATTGTAATTTTTTTATTGGCTTTTTTTTTTTATGATTGGACCATGATGATTGTCATCACATGCCTTTTTACTTTATTTCTTTCTTAAACCGTTCCACCGTTTTCTTTTCAATACTCGAGATATCTTCAGGATTTCGATCAGCCTTGACCTATAAGCGGCGATTCAAATCAAATCAAATGTCTTGCATTAGTTTTTTCCAATTCATGTGGTATGAAACCAACTACTTACATCAGCCTCACTTTCGGTAGCATTCTTTTCATTCCATTTGGGTGCATTACTAATGGTAGAATCATCATTATTATTCACTATTAAAAAGGAGAATACAAAAAAATGAGTATGAGATCCATTGTTCTTTTATATATATATATAAAAAAGATGCGGTAAACTTACGATCATCCTTACCATTGTCTACTGCACTAATCCCCCCCCGTCAATAAAAATAAAATAGAATTAAAAATTCATTCAAACTTGATGCTTTTTTCATTTTTTCTTCTTCTTACCGTCCAAGCGTCGAATAAGGTCGTACCATGTTGACAACAACAGTTTTTCGTACGGTAGAAGAAGCACGAGACAATAGCATTGTATAGAATAATATATTCACTAATCCAAAAGTAGAAGAAAGATTTAAAAATGAAATTACCCATTAAAAAATTTATATAAATTCAGCTATTCTATAAATAATCATATGATTGTGTATGTTTCAGAAAGAATCAATAGACAAAAAAGAAAAAGTTGATTTTTTTTTCTTTATTAGCAAACAAAAAGGGAAAATATATATATATATAAAGAAAAAAGGGCACGCACACACAAAAAGAAGACAGGGACAAGAATAAAATATATAATATAGAATAATAATAATAAAAAAGAATATAGAAGAAAAGAGATAACGAATATATAAATGACAAAATCAAAAAAGAAAAAAGAAAAAAAAAAAAAAAGAGAAAACAAAGAGGGAGGGAAAGAGGGAATGAAATCAACTATATATGAATGAATACATCACTAGAGGAAATAATCTGGTGTTCTTCGGGTAACTTCAGGTTCACCACGTCTAGGTGCAGGATCAAATTGAAGGCTATAATAAAATAAGAAAAGTAAAAGAATTAGAATCAATATTTTTATATTTCCAATGACTTACAATGTATATTTCAAATGTTCATCAATTTCCATAATAGCAGCTTGATTTCCACAACGATAACAGTAATTTGGAGCACTGAAAATAGTAACTACATTTCGATCATGACACCAATTATAACCCTTTATTATAGAGAAAAAAAAAAGGTAAGTAAAAATAACAAATAAATGAAAAAAAAAGTGATGTATTACCTCCATCACCAATTGATGAGCTCTTGCTACCAAAGTCAAACCATTGTTATGATTGAATGTTTCGGCAATGTCTTGTCCAAAGGTGTAACCTGCACCACGAGGAGAGATGCCCCAGCCACAACGATCATCAGGGTCAGACCACAATAAATCACACATTGGACCTTCATGAGGCACTTCTTGGAATCGATCAAGAGCACGGATTTGGTCAAGAGAATCAATAGAAGGTGATAAACCTCCATGAAGACAGAAAATCTAATCATAAATAAATAAAAAAAAAAAGATGAGTTCAATATTGTTATTTTTTTTAAAAAAAAAAAGAAACATACTTGATCTTCAATAATGGCAGTCAAAGGTAGATAATCAAATAAATCAGTAAACATCTTCCAAACAGCTGCATTTCCATATTTTCGAAGACATTCATCATAAAAACCATAAACTTGAGTGATTTGACGAGATTCATGATTACCACGCAAAATAGTAATTCTGTCCTTGTAGCGTACCTTAAGAGCCACCAATAAAGTTACTGTTTCAACTGAATAATATCCTCTATCTACATAATCCCCCATAAAAAGATAATTGGTATCAGGAGAATTGCCACCAATACGGAAAAGTTCTTGTAAATCGTGGAATTGACCATGGATATCACCTGTAATAAATAATATCAATATCACTCTTTATTATTATATATTTTTTTTAATAATAACTTTACCACAAACTGTAACAGGACATCGAACAGGTTGAACATTGGATTCATTAATGAGAATTTCACGAGCCTATAGAAAAAAAAAATTTATCATCATTTTGATATCATCCGTTTAATGTTTTTGTTCCTGCCTTACCTTATCGCAAAGTCGTTTGATATCAGCTTCTGATAATTGTTTACATTCAGAGAGTTGACTAAGCCAACCATCTACATCAGCTACTGAAGACATGTGAGTAAAGATGATAAATTTTGTATTGTATTTATATATATAACTGTGTGTATAGTGTGTAATGTGGAGTAGAAAAAAAAAAGAAAAGAAAAAAAAAACAAAGAAAAAGAAAAAAAAAAAGAGTAAAAAGAAAAAGGTCCACCTGAAAAGGAGTGAAACTATAATAAAAATAAAATATTAAACATTAGAAATATATATTTTAATGAGAAACCATTTCATAAAATAAAATACAAGTTATATATTTACCTTTGGGGGAAAAAAGGAAGACGGACGAACGAAAAGGAGAGTTGAAAAAAAAAAAAAAAAAAAAAAAAAAAAAGGAAAAAAGGGAAAAAAAAAAAAAAGATACGCTATGATCGGAGGCTAAAAACAAAAGATGACCACTTCACTGTACAAAGCTAACAATTCCATCATCACCACAATAATAATAAACAATAATTATTTTTTTTTTAAAAAAAAAGATAATATATTTGATCATCAAGTCAAATTAATATTAATAATATCTCAATACAAACTGAATCGCTGATTCCTTATGAAGAAAAAAAAAAAAAAAAAAAAAAAAAAACACAAAGAGGGACTTGTTATTTCATTGGCCGCACTGCTGACGTTATGTGTGTGTGAGGAGTGAATCAAACAAAAAAAAAAAAAAAAAAAGAACTGGCCCTCTTCCTTCTTTTTCTTTTTACTTTTTGTCTCATCACACAAAAAAAAAAAACTTACCATTTCTGCGGGACTTGATTTTTTTCTATCTTTTGACTTGTGGTAAAAGCGCGTTACTTATCCCTTCCCCTTTGAAGAACATTACTATTTGTATTCATTCTTTTGTCTTTGTTTTTGTTTTTGATTCTTAGAATTTTTTTTTTACATTGGTGACCTCTTTCTCATCTATGAACGGTCTTATGAATGAAGTTCCTGATAACTTTAACAAACATGCTTTGAATAGCATGATGCAGGTAATATATAGTTACTATTCATCTCCCAAAAAAAAAAAAAATACTAATACTTATATTTGTCTTCTTTTATTTCTACGAAAAGCGTGCAAAACAACTTCAACTACAAGGTGCTAATGAAGATACCAACCAAGAACTGGCTCACATTATGACCTTTTTACGAAGTATGAAAAGACAACCTCAACCTATGAGAGTGGAAGCTTCTTCTTTGCCTATGAACAACATGAACTCCAATGGTAAAATAGTTTTTTTTTTTTTTTTTTATCTTTTTTCTTTTCTTTTTCTTTCGTCTTATAATAATAATTTATTTATTTTTTTTGTAGAATTACCCAATGCATCGTCTTCTTTTACAAAATCACAACTTACTACTCTACGACATCAGATCCTCGCTTTCAAACTCATTTCGAAAAACATGCCACTTCCACCTCATTTACAACAAGCCATTTTATCACCGATATCACAACAACATTCTCCTACTTCAGACAATAACAATACTAAACTACCTTTAGAACATCACCACTCCTCTGACGAACCTACTCAAGTATTCAATGCTTATACCTCACCTTACACTCTGATACATCGATCAACACATACATCTTCGAATCGCTTACGGCCTCACCACCAACGTTTATTAGTTCCCAGTATCACACCTCTTGGAGTGGATTCTTATTCTATTATCTCTGAAAGGGAACGTCGAATGCAAGCAAGAATGAAATACCGTATGGATGAATTGGAAAAATTACCTAGTAACCTAAACGATCATACCCATCAACATCCATGGTCTATAAATCAGCAATCTGATCACTCTAGCACCAAATTACGAGCTGTGATCGAACTCAAGGCATTAAGACTCTTGTCAAAACAGAAAAAGGTAAAACTAAAAAAAAAAAAAAAATAATTCTCATGCATTTATGATATATATATATATTATCTATATAGCTCCGTGAACAAGTGATTCATGCTGTCGACCGATCAACCACACTTTCCACATCTGCAGACAGACTGGCTTACCGACGTATGAAGAAACAATCCTTACGTGAAGCTCGTATGACAGAAAAAATTGAACGTAATCAACGATTGGAACGTGAACATCGTGAGAAGAAAAAACAAATGGATTATCTCCAATCTATTTGTGATCATGGACGTACTTTGGTGACGGGACATTATGAACATAAAGCCAAGCAATCCAAATTAGGTAGAACCGTCTTACAATTCCATGCGCATATTGAAAAAGAAGAACAAAAGAAGATGGAACGATTATCCAAGGAACGTATTCAAGCATTGAAAAATGATGATGAAGAGGCATATATGAAATTGATCGATCAAGCCAAGGATACTCGATTGACTCAGTTATTGAAGCAAACCGGTGGATTTTTGGACTCTTTGACATTGGCTGTCGCTGATCAACAAAATGATCCTGTACATGGGCGTCATCATGAAGATGATATGGATCGTACTGATACTGTAAGTTCTCTTGGAATAATATTAAAAAATGGACCTTTTTCTTTCGTCTTATACTCATTATCATTTTATAGACTGTTGATGGTAAACAAGATTATTTCCAAGTAACTCATCGTATCAAGGAAGCCGTTATTCAACCTTCTATCCTTGTTGGTGGTACATTGAAAGAATATCAGGTAACAAAAAAAGAAATCATTTAATGAAATATTCTAATTTTTTTTTATTTATTAGCTCAAAGGACTTCAATGGATGGTATCTCTTTACAACAATCATTTAAATGGGATTCTTGCAGATGAAATGGGGCTTGGGAAAACGATTCAAACTCTTAGTCTTATCACTTATCTTATTGAATACAAGCGACAAATGGGTCCCTTTTTGATTATTGTGCCATTATCGTATGTATAAAATGATATTCTTTGTTTCAATTACACGATATATAATATTCATTTCTTTTTTTGCCTTTCTTTCTTTCTTTTTTTTTTTCTTTACTAGAACTTTACCAAATTGGGTATTAGAATTTGAAAAATGGGCACCTTCCATTACTAAAATTGTATACAAAGGAAATCCTCAAGTTCGTCGACCATTACAATACAATATTAAACAAGGTGATTTCCAGGTGCTTTTAACGACTTTTGATTACATTATCAAAGATAGACCGGTACTATGCAAAGTGAAATGGACTTATATGATTATGGATGAAGGTCATCGAATGAAAAATGCAAATTCCAAATTGACCACTGTACTTCGACAATATTATACAACAAGATATCGTTTGATTTTGACTGGTACCCCATTACAGGTAATAATCTATATTAAGAATTCTTTTTTTTTAATTGTTTTTTTTTTCTTCTTTAGAACAACTTGCCAGAATTATGGGCATTACTCAATTTTATTCTTCCCAAGATTTTCAAAAGTCTCAAGAGTTTTGAAGAATGGTTCAATACTCCCTTCTCCAATCAAGGTGTACAAGACAGAGTGGCACTTAATGAAGAAGAACAGTTATTGATCATCAAACGACTTCATAAAGTACTTCGACCTTTCTTACTTCGACGGTTGAAACGGGATGTAGAATCTGAATTGCCAGATAAGGTAGAACGTGTGATCAAATGTAAATTGTCACCTTTACAATCAAGGATTTACAATCAAATGAAGAAACATGGTATTCTTTTTACTGGTGATCTTGAACGAGGGTAAGAAGAAGAAAATAGAAATTTTTTCAGATACTGATTTTTTTTTTTTTTTTATGTAGAAGCAAGAATGGGGTCAAGGGACTTAACAATACATTGATGCAATTACGAAAAATATGCAATCATCCTTTTGCTTTTGAACAAGTTGAAAATGCGGTAAATCCTTTACGGCGATCCAATGAACTTCTCTTCCGTGTGTGCGGCAAATTTGAATTATTAGATCGTATGTTACCAAAATTAGAACGAACTGGTCATAGGGTAATAATAATAACAATAATGCAAATCCATTTTATAGATATGTAACTGTTTATTATTATTATTTTTTCTTTAGGCTTTGATCTTTTTCCAAATGACACAAATTATGAATATTATGGAAGATTTCCTTGCATATCGTGGTTTTAATTACCTTCGATTGGATGGTTCAACAAAGGTAAAAAAAAAAAAAAAAAGGATAATGATATAGATTGATTTATTATTATTATTAGGCTGATGATCGATCGATGATGCTCAAACAATTCAATGCGCCCAATTCTCCTTATTCTGTGTTTCTTCTTAGTACTCGTGCTGGTGGATTAGGATTGAATTTGCAAACAGCTGATACAGTGATTATATTTGACTCGGATTGGAATCCCCATCAAGATTTACAAGCTCAAGATCGTGCTCATCGTATTGGTCAAACAAAGGAAGTCAGGATCTTTAGATTGGTATCAGCAAATACAGTGGAAGAAAGTATCTTGGCTAGAGCTAATTACAAACTGGATATTGATGGCAAAGTGATTCAAGCTGGTAAATTCGATAATCGAAGTACAGATGAAGATCGTGAAGCATTTTTGGTAAGTTCATTGAAAACAGATATCTATTTAGATGATACTCATATTATTATTATTATACAGAGATCCTTATTGGAAGACAAGAATGATGATCAATCATCTGATGATGATGATGAAATGATGGATAATGAAGAACTGAATCAAATCTTATTCCGAAAAGACGGTGATCTCGAGGTGTTTGCTCAAGTAGATGCTGACAAGGAAAAAGAAGATCTAGAATGGTGGCGACGAATAGGTGGTACTGGAAAGCCAGAACGATTAATTCAAGAATCAGAAATCCCAGATATATACAAGCAAGAAGATTATACACCTTACAAACGGGATGATACAGAATATGGACGTGGTCAACGTGTACGAGATGACGTCCAATATGTTGATGGATTATCAGATGATGATTTATTCCTTGAAGTAAGAGAAAATGCCAAAGTTACAAAATAGAGTGTTGGAAACTTATCTTTTTTTTTTTTTTTTGGTAGTCTGATGATGATGAACAAGAAGGAACAAATACTACTCGTTCTCCTAGTGTACAAGGAACAAGAAAATCAAGATGGAAAGGCAAACCTCTTCTTGAAGAAGATAGTGATAGTAGTAGTCCTCGACGTGGTGGTGGAAGACGAAAACGTGAAGATTCTACAGATTCTGAAGGACCAAGAAAAAGAGCTGGTCGTGTCAAATTGGATGGACCGATGGTAATATATATATATATATATAAAAAAAAGAATAGATAATCTGATTTGTTTTATTGATGTTTAGCCAAAACGAGGAAGAAGATCAGCACATAATGACATGAATGGCCCTGATACAGTTTCACCCCGTGTTAGAAAACAAATGACAGAAATCTTTGAAAAAGTATATCAAGCAGCTTTGGAAGCACGTGAAGAGGATGAAGAGTAAGTTTTCTTTTTTTTGTATGATTATGATATTGAATTTTTTTTTTTTTTCTCTCTAGTACTTATCGTGACCTTAGTGATTTATTCATGACGTTGGTGGATAAATCTGAATACCCGACTTATTATACAATGATCAAAAACCCTATTTCTATGGAAATAATTCAACAACGTATTCATTCTCCTTATTATCGAACCATTCAACAATTCCGGGATGATTTTTGTCTCATGTACAACAATGCAAGAACATTCAATGAAGAAGGATCTTATGTTTATGAAGATGCCAATACTTTACAGGTAAAGCGGAGTTCTAACATATCTATATGTTTCTCATTTTTTTTTTTTTTTTTTAGTCGATCGTTGAAGCCAAATTAGAAGAATTATGTCCTGGTGGTGTGATGCCTTCTTCTAATGTAGTTTGAAACAAACATTGATATCTTTTATTATTATATTTTTTTTCTATTTTTCTTTTTAGTTTAGTTATTCTTCATCATTTTTTTTTGTGTGATATCTGTATATATATAAAATATACAATTTTTTTTTTTTTGGAAACAATAAGAGAAAAAAAGTCAATTAACGAAACCAATCATCTGTTTTTTTTGTCGATCCGAAGATCCTTTTTTCGCACAGTGACAATCCAATGATTTCATTGGACAAGTTTTAATTTTTTTTTGGGGCCGATTGGAAAAAAAGAAAAAAAGAAAGAATCAAATAGTTCCTCTTTTCTATTTTTTTTTTTTTCTTTCACTCTTTTTTTTTTCACTCCTTGTGTATATATATACTTGTTTCTCTTTATTTGTTCTATTTTCGACCTATTTTTCTCTTACATTCTCTTTCTATTTTTTTTTTTTATTATTTTTACATTGACACATTTACATTCTAATACATACACATATATATATAATATATAGTTGTGTATATATATATATATATATTCAACTCATGACGACATTACCAAGTCCACCATTATCACCCATGACCTCAACATATACCCCACCGGATTTGATACCCAATAGTAGGCTATATCGAAAAAAGGGACGACACCCAGATCGACGTAGGGATACATTTGAATTATTACAAGCTCTTGTAGTGGAACATCAACGACTAGAACAACAAGAATATGAAGCCATGTTACAAGAAGCCCCATCTATATCTTGCAAACCCATCCAACCTCCAAAAGGCATCCTTGTCAACAACCATATACCCTCTCCGCAGTCACCCCATGACAATCAGGATGATCATTCACGTTCCACAATCTCAATACATGCATCCTCCTCCTCCAAACGTCAATCTGTTGTACGATTTGCTCCTGGACCTCCCAAAGTCTATAGATACCCCAAATTACCTGTTCAACAAGAATGAATTTATAGTATATAGTTTTGATTTGTATCATACATTTGTATCTCATAAAAAAAAAAAAAAAAACTTCATCTCATTCATAATAAAAATATCCATTCTTTATTCAAAAAAATATCTATATATCTATTATTTATCCAATTCTTCCAAATAGTCCCGGAATAGATCTTCCCGTAAAGTTTTAGATTCAATGTCATGGTAACGATCATCATGTTCCAATAGCCGTTTTGCATCCCGCCATCGCATTGGACCATGGATTTTTTCTATCAATAATTGTCGATAACGATCCTTGTTGGTTTCTTTTTTAGATAAAGTCTTGATGTGATCCTTAAACAAGGTTTCACGTAATTTGGATTCCCGGATCGCCTTGAACCTTGGATCATCCTTGGCTTTGCGTCGAAAATCATCCCAATACATCTTATTGGTTGCTATGTCTTCTACCAATTTCTTGAATTCTTCTTCTACTGATGTCTAATGGGCGATCCATGGATTGACATCATCATGCATATACAACAAAAAAAAAAAATAATAATAAAAAAAAATTTTTTTTAGTCAACATGAAACTAATTGTCATGAAATGGTTTAGCTTGTTTTTTCATATGCATCTTCGGAGTTGTTCTTTTCTACCTTTGGTTTTTCGTTGCTTTTCTTTTCAAGGGCTAAAAGACGACAGTAATTGTTGAATAATGTTTTTCGTTTGTTGTGAGGTTGTACCACTATGCAGAAAATATAAAAATATTAAACCTTTTATCTTTTTTTTTTTTATGTATGATTTACATTGATATCTTGGATCTGTAATTAGTTTTGGTAACTCCTTTTCCCAGCTGGCAAATGGTGAAATATCCTTTTCTGTCAACATTTGCTAAAACATGTATAAAAAAAGTTTAGTTTCTGTTGTTGAAATTTGATCAGTGTCCCTTTTTTTTCCTTACCGTAAAAAGTTCTACTCTTTCTTCTTCTGATACTTGATCTTCCCCTTTATCAGATGATGATTCTTGTTGTTCATGTTTCAGAGAGTCCTGATTGAATTCATCTTTTGTCTCTAGCTGTACTTGTTCTTCTTCTTGATCTTCTTCTTGTTTTTCTTCTGATTCTTCTTGTTCTTGATCAAGTCCAAGTGCCGCCAATTCCTCTGGATCCATGTTTGCCATTTGCCACTCGATATCTTCTTCTGTCATTCTAATCATATAGAAAATAATAATCATTAAATTTATTCTTTTTTTTTTATCATGATTTTCTTTTTTATTATTTACTCTGTTGATTGTTCTTCAGGTGCGACTTTTTGTCGTTTGACATCCACCGATTCAATTGTATCATGTTTCCGTTTCATCTCTTCTTGTTCTTTTTCTTCGTTCTTCATATGAGCAATAGGTTCTTCTAATTCCAGTGGCATTTCCCATTTGGATGTCTTGGTTGTTTTGTCATAATAGAATTCCGTACCATCGTCTGTCGTCACCAATAACCAAGTAGTACCTGGAATCTTTTTCCTATAGTATAAGAAAGAAAGAAAGAAAAAAAAAAAAGAATCAGTTATTGTTCCTTTTTTTTTTCTCAAACTCGTTCACTTATTCTATTCTTTTTTCTTTTGTATATATAGATCTACCTTGCTTTTTTGGGTTTGATTGGAGATGTTGTTGTTGGTGGTGGTGGTGGTGGAGTTGCTGGCTGACTAGGTCGATCCCAGGTAGTTTGTTCGGTCACAGTATTGTACCAATAAGGTCTACCACCTTGAGTATAATATTCTAACCATCCTGGAGGTAATGGTGGTGGTACATTGATTGGACGCGCTGGTGGAGGTGGTGGTGGAGGTCGTTGCTAGTAACAAAACATATATATAAAAAAAAATAAGAATATGAATATCAAGGAAAAGAGAAAGATCAAGGATAGGAATTGAAAAACAATCAAATATCTTTCTTTTTTTTTTTTTTTTTTTTTTTTTTTACCATGAAAACTCTTGTTTTGTCCGAATTAGGGAGAAAAAAGGGTAAAGGAAAGATGAAGACAAAAAGATTTTCAAAGGCCGTCTGACTTTTTTGATCAAAAAATCTTTCCTAAGGGCAACGTCATGTTTTTTTTTTTTTCTGACTTACGCACTGTTGCGGGAGAGTGACAAAGAGGGACGCGAAATAAAATATACGTTACGTTGGTCTTTTTTTTTTTTTTTTGTTCTTTTCTTTCTTTATATTCTTTACTTTTTTCCACATACACACAAATAACATATTCAATATGGTAAAGAATATATTATTTTGAAATACACATATATATTATCTATATATATATAGCTTTATTCTTCTAAAGGAACTAGTTTTTGTCGTCTTTTTTTTTTATAATGGATGATACTTACTGATCTTTTTTTTCTTCTTCTTCTTTCTATTACTTACACCTAGTCGATTATGCAATATAATGGTGGCTCTGTAGTAGCTATGGTTGGCAAGAACTGTGTAGCCATTGCTGCTGATAAACGATTGGGTCAACAATTTATGACTGTATCTACTGATTTCCAAAAGATCTTTCAAGCTTCAGAAAAAAGCTTTATTGGTTTACCAGGTTTAGCTACCGATGTCTTGACCTTGTAAGTAAAATATATATATATCTCATATTTACAGTGTTATTATGCTTTTTTTACTATAATTGAAGACCATCGTATAGGCAAACACAATACTCACTCTTTTCTTCTTTTCTTGTTTTATGAATATATCCAAACTTCTCATTTATGATGTTATTGATATATGAAATTACATTCACCATAACAGAGCGGAACGATTTCGATTCAAAGTAAACATGTACAAGATGCGTGAAGAACGGGATATTGAACCAAAGACATTGGCACATATGGTATCATCAACGTTATACGAACGAAGGTAAGGAAAGGATATGGTGCGTCATCTATTTGATATGAACTTAACTTTTTTTTTTTGAATAGATTTGGACCTTATTTTGTGGAACCAGTGGTTGCAGGATTAGGGAAAGACAATCAACCTTTTATTTGTTCCATGGACTTGATTGGATGTATCAATTTTGCAAAAGACTTTGTAGTAAGTGGCACTGCTGGACCTAATCTTTATGGTATGTGTGAATCCTTGTGGGAGCCTGATCTTGAACCTGAAGATTTGTTTGAAACCATCTCGCAAGCCTTACTCAATGCTCAAGATAGAGATGCTCTTTCTGGATGGGGTGCTGTTGTCCATATCATGTAAGTGTCATTGTTTATATATTCTTTACCTCTAACTTTTTTTTTTTTTAGTACTCCTGACAAGATCGTGACAAAAACCTTGAAAGCTCGCCAAGATTAAAAATCATTTATTATACTTTTATTCTTTTTTATTTTTTTTTACATATATATATATATCTCCCTTTCAATAAAGATTGTGTACTGATTCTATCAAAAACCATGCTCTTATGTTTTTACCGTCATTGATTTGTCTTTATTGATCAAGATCATGATCTTTTTTTTTAAAACTATAATCATCATTTTGTCCATCAGTGCCCATATCGATTTAATAAAACTATTTCATCCAACCTTGTTATATAAAAAAGCAAGAATTTATTGAAACAAAAGGGGTAATCAAATGGAAAAAGAAGACTGGAATACATACAATTTGCAAAATAGAAGTAAGATTACAATAAAATAATGTAGAAGAAAAAAAATAAAGTAATCCAACAAAAGATATATAAAAAGTAGAATATCAAAAAGATCAATAAGAATAAGAATAATAAAATAAGAGACTAAGTAGAGAGAGGATTGGGACTGACAGGAGTCATGGGTGTGCTGGAACTACTTGTCAATCGATTGATGATCGACATTCTTTTTCGTCCATGCGTAGTCAAACCTTTTTCTGGTTTTGTAGGTGGAGTTTCTGGAACACCAAGTTCAATAGCATGAGTGATAGCCAAGTTTAATCGCTACATCCAAAAAAAAAAAAAAAAAAAAAAAAAATGAGTGGAATCGAATTCTATTTCATCCAAGAAACTTACAATAGCTAAACGATATTCGAAATCGTAACCTGAGAATGATAATGCTTGCTCCCATAAAGCTCTTGCACGCTTGAAATCTTCAAGAGCCCACAATGTGATACCAGATTCCCTATATACATATATATATATATATATGTTACGATAAGAAAACATAAATCACACATGTAACTAGTTAAATAAACCTTACCAATAAGCAAAAGGTACGATCCATTTGGAATATTTAACATGATCCTTGTGATCAATGACCCAATTCAAATGAACAATAGCATCCCTAGGACGATTCAATGAATTGAGAATAGAAGACTTGATGACTAGCAAAGTACCACGTTGATCATAATAATCAGGCACAGGGGCATTAGGAGCCAATTCAATCACACGAATTTCATATTCTTGCTTTTCTCGTTCATAAATGGCTTCCAAAGTAGTATCGATCAACACCAAACATTGTTCCAAAGCTTGTTCAGACATCGTAGGGAAACAGTTCCACATGGCCAAGATTTCCAAGGCTGGCAAGCTAAAGTCCATATCTTGATATCCACTTTGTTCGAAAAACTCTACCTTACGGGTCACATAGTGTTCCATTTGTGATTTCTTTTTCTTATCCATCAATAGTTTGGGTGCTTCAGCAAACGCTAGGATGGCTTCGGTTCGATTGCCCATCATTTCAGCACATGCGCCATAAAAGTATTTGACAAAAGCAGGTGAATGATGTTTGTTTTGAAGTTCCAACAGTCGTTCAGATGCACTTGCCCAATCCAATGCCATTGCACAGTTGAATGCGATTTCAAACGTAGCCAAATGTCCCATTGTGGTTTCAGCCCATGCGCCCTGACTTACTTCATAGGTGTAAACAAAGGATTGTGTTGAAAGCGATAGATTTTTGGCAAGTCTTGATACACGACCGGCAAAATATAAAAAGAAGGCGGAATTGGGATATGTTTGTTGAGCATCCAATAAGCATTCAATAGCAGGTTGTACTAATTCTTGAGTAAGCAGTTGTGGCGCAAAAGATGTAAGGATAACATAATAGGATAATAACCTAGGAAAGAAGTGTTAATCAAATAATACCTCATTTATTATTATTATTATTTAACTTACATCATAGATGCCAATGGTGATCGAATACGGCGACCTTCAAGACACAATTTCAAAAGAGCAAATCCAAGATGTTTGTCAGCTTTCCAACCAAATGCAGATACAATACGAAGAATTTTGGGTGGTAATGATGATAGTAAAAGATGGACAGATCCAATACTAGAAAAGAGAATAAAAAAAAAAGAAATTCGTTATTGTCATGAATCATCGTATCCACAAATCATAATATATTTTACCCGAATTGAATAGCTGAAATGGTATCTTGATCCAAATATTTTTGAAAATCTTGTCCCATACGTTTATATTCTTGCCATACCAAACTGTAACTGCTATAAGCTAATATTTCCCAAAAAAAAAAAAAAAAAAAAAAAAAAAAAAAAAAGTGAGAATAAGGAACAATGCTTTTTTTTTTTTATTACCTCTTCGAAGATTCATTCCCATTTTCAAATATCCTACTACAGTTTCTTGAGTCAAATGAATGATCCCCATCAATAAACCACATTCAGCCTTAATAACATGAGCACGAAGAGCACCATTTGATATGAAAGTAGGTTGATTGTTCATTTCATCTTGGTTGAGAGGTCTTGTATTGGTTGGTAAATTGGTTGGATTGGTTCCCATCAAGTTGGTGATATAATGTGATACTGTATCTTTCAAAGGCTTCTTTGCTGAGGCAGCTTCTATTTGAGCATTGGCGAATTGGTATGTTTCAGTCAAGGTAAGAATAGCGTTTTCTGCGTCTTTCGGGTCAGAGGACTAGTATCATTAACAATAAGATGAGGAAAAAAAACAACGAATCGTGCTATTATCATACTTACACTAATAGCTACAATCATAAAAAAAAAAGATCAAATTGTGTTAATGATTAACTATGCTTGTTTATCCTCCTTGTATCACACTTTTTTTTCTTTTTTGTTTAGTTTACCTTTAATGAATGCCATACATCCAAGTCCCAAAGCATAGAGAGGATCACTATCATAAAATAAGGGATATAGTTAATTCTAATTAATACATTTGTTTTCACTTACTTTTCCGACCGAGTACTAAAGATACTTTTAGCATCAGCAAACTTGTTGTTAAAGAAAGCTTGCATTCCTTTAAGCATATTTTGATCTATCATCAACAAAAAACATTAATGAAAAAAAAGAAAAAAGACGATGAATCATTGGTTGTATCTTGACCTTTTTTTTTTTTTTTTTTTTACCATATTTCTCTTGTTCACGAGGTCCAAGGGTATTTGCAGAGACAGATTTCAAGTCAATTTTTCCAGGTACAATGGTATTAGTTTGAGAATATTCTTGATCTTGTTGTAATTCCTTTGGTAATTCGGTCGAGGTAGTAGGAGCAACCCCAGGTGTAGGAGGAGTGACATAATCAGCCATGTTCTTATCAGCAGGAAGTTCAAGGCTTTTACGTAAAAGATCGGTTTGCAAAGTTAACTCAGGTTTCTTGTTGGAAGGAGTATCACTGGAGATATCGCCAGGGACAGGAGTACTAGGTTCACTTGTATCATCACCAGTAGATGCCGTAGCTGAGGTATTGACATCAATAGTTAATTCTTGTTTGCCATTATCATCAGGTTTGCTTTCTGAATCCTCTTCTCTAGTTACTTGTACTTCCTTCTGTTGTTGTTGTTGTTGTTGCTGTTGTTGTTGTACTGTTCCTTGTAAAGCACTAATGACCATAGATAAACCAAGAGCATCACCTTCTTGTAAACCTCCTCCTTCTTCTTCTTCTTCTTCGTCGTCGTCGTCTTCTTCTTCTTCTTCATGACTTTCGCCTACAGCATCAGTAAATTCGTCTTCTTCTTCTATTGCTACTTTCTCGGTATCTTCAGTTACTGGTGTTTCTTTGGCGGAGTCTTCTTGTACTAGGTTGGTATCCTTGTTGACTTTAGATGATATTTCGTTTGTTGTTTCCACAGTAGAAGTATCCGTCATGATATAATAAAATGAAAGTGGGGAGTAAAAAAAAAAAGAAAAAGAAAAATAAAGTAACAAAGAAAAGAAAGAAAGAAAGAGAGAGTGAGAGATTGAAAATTGAATGTTATTTCTTTTTTTTACTCGTGTCACATGTTTTTTTTTTTTTTACACAAAGTGGTACAAAAGTGAAAGTTCTCTTATATATCCAACTAAAAGAAAGTCAACGATAAACTTTATTTCTTCTTTACATTTAAAAACCTCTATCATCATCATGAACTTTATATATATATATAATAGATTTGATTTTTCTTTTTTTTTTTATTTTTATTTTCAAAAAAAAAAAAGAATACAACAATGTAATATCAAAAAAGAGGATAATAACAAAATTAAGGAAGTACAACATACTTTTGTAAATGATCAGGAATAGCAGTAGCAAGATTCTTGGATTCAAGCCATTGACGACCTAAATAAGATATTAAAAAAAAAAAAAATAATTGAGTGGGGTTCATTTTTTTTTCTATCAACTCCGTCCAAAATCATATCAACTTACTGAATAAACGAGATTGATATCTATAAGCACCATCACATAAAACTGTAACGATTTTCTTGCCTATTTCACAAAATAAAAAAAAAAATATTGTAAACTAAATAATAGAATAGAATATTTTTTTTTTTACCTTTTCCAAGTTGTTTAGCCATTTCAACTGCTGCTACCACATTTAAAGCTGAAGAAGCACCAACATAAATACCTTCTTCATGTAAAAGACGATACACCATCTTGATAGATTCTTCATCAGGAATAGTCAAAGCACCATCAATCAAATCCACATCAGGTGCCAAATTATCAGTCACACGTCCTTGACCAATCCCTTCAGTAATAGAACTACCAGATCTTTCAAATAATTTCTTGCCACTAGTAAAGTAACTGAATAATACCGAGCCAGGAGGATCAGCAATAAATACTTTCACATCATCACCTTTCTTGTCTTTCAAATATCTAGCAGTTCCTGCTAAAGTACCACCAGTACCAGTAGCACAGACAAAACCATCTACTTCTCCATTAGTTTGAGCAAAAATTTCAGGTCCAGTGGTTTCAATATGAGCACGACGATTGGCTGTGTTGTCAAATTGATTGGTCCATACAGCATTTTCAAGTTTCTCCGCATGACGTCTAGCTTGATGGTTATAATTTTCTGGATTATCAAATGCAACTGCAGGTACAGGGTAAACTTCAGCTCCAAGCATACGTAAAAGATCAATTTTTTCTTGAGACTATCAAAATATAAAATATAGAAAAAAAAAGTTAAAATAAAAATCATTCCCATCATCATCATCATCAATTATATACCTGAGTGTTAGGCATGTAAATCACGCATTTATAACCCTTGGCACGGCAAACATGAGCCAATCCAATACCCTAAAACAGAGAACAAAACAAAAGGTAAGTATCAATACTACACAGTAAAAAAAAAAAAAAAAAAAAAAAAAAAGAAAGGAGATTATTATATCAGTCTAGTTTTTCTTTTACAGTATTTCCCGCAGTGCCTTCTACAACAGTGCCTCCAGGTTTAATCAATCCTTTTTCTTCAGCATCCTTGACAACGTATAGTGCAGCCCGATCCTTGACAGAACCACCTACAATAGTATAATAGAAGAAATTAGTTCAATTATATATTTCATTCATTTTTTTTTAATTTACCAGGATTCATCCATTCAGCCTTGCATAAAATATCAGAGCCAACTTCTTCACTAAGATGGTTCAATCGGATCTGTCAATAAAAAAAAAAAAAAAAAAAAAAAAAGAAAGAGATAGAGAAGGTTCAATTTTCATATGACATAATATTGTCCCTGCATCCTTTTTGCTTCACCATTCTTTGTTCCAATGACACCACTCTCTCTGTATTAATATCAACTGAATATAATATTCAAATTGTTACTTACCAAAGGAGTATTACCAATAGCACCAATAAGACCACGAGTAATCTATTCAGTAAAAGTAAAAGAGGAAGAATGTCAATACAAATCTTTTCATTCTTATTATATATCATCTTACTCGAGGAACAACAGCAGGTTTGACTGAAGTAGAATATGCACGACGAGCAGCCAAACGTAAGTGATTCATTTTTTTCTTATTTTGAAGGATTAGTAAGAAAAGAAAAAGAAAAAGAGAAAGAAGGAAAAAAGGAACGAAAAAAAAAAAAATAATCGATGGTGGGGTTCCTAAGATTGTACCGTTTAGTGGCTAGCGGATTTTGAACCCAATGACGTGATTCATGTGGATCTCTTGATGTTGCATTCATGGATGGAAATACCATCAACTCCCTTGCCACAACGTATCATTGATGGGTAAATAAGTAAAAAGAAAGAAACGAAAAACAAGATGTCATCCTTTGATGTAAATATTAAAAAATAAAACTATACTAATAATAAAAAAAAAAAAGAAGGTTTATAGAAATCACCAAAAAAGGAATAACAGTACACTTTATTCAATTATAATTGACGGAATTCAAAGAATAAGATGGCGCAAAAATAGGAAATAAAATATCGTAAGGATAGAAAATAAATGACAGAAGAAAAAAAATATAATTGTCGCATAAATCAAATAGAGAATATAAGAAAATAGATATCATGAAAAAAAGAGTAATCAAAAAAAAAAAAAAAGGAAATCCACCAATTGAGTTCACCAAGTTAACATATAAAAAAAAAAATAAAAAAAAAATGAGTAATACTTATCCAAATAAAAATATTTCACTAGCTTACCATTTAAGTGTAACGAGATCGCCGTAGCGAAAGTAGGATGGCGATAACCATCCCGGAAATTGTTGAATTGTTAAGTTGTTATATTAATTGAACCAACGGTGCTTAAACCATTAAAGAATACTTGTAAATAAAATTATAGACAACGGTGATTGAACCATTAAAGAATACTTGTAAAGAAAATTATAGACAACGGCTATTGAACCATTAAAGAATACTTGTGAAGAAAAAGATAGGCAAAAAAAAAAAAAAAAAAAGAAGGCAGACAAAAAAGAAGGCAGACCAAAAAGCAGGCAGGTAAGATGAATATAATGTAAAGAAATAAAAAAAAAAGTTAAATCAAAGAGATCCTTTTATAAGAAAATGAATCACCCCTGCAATTATGAGCTAATTTTAGTAGATAAAATGATGAGACAAGATGTAAGCAAGTTTTATCATCTTTTTTAAATATTAGCAACATTTCTATCTTTATATTGTATCTAATTCATCATCATTTTTTTTTAGTATTACCAACATTTCTCTCTTTCTATTGTATTTAATTTATCATTTGTCTTTTTTAGTATCTACTTTATTATTTTTAGTATCCACTTCATCATTTTTTTTCTTTTTTTTAGTGTTAGCAACATTTCTCTCTTAATAATAAAGTTAATTACATAGATGTTCTACATTAAATTCTATTATTACAATATTTATGTACTAAGTGATACATGGTACTGACTTGTTTTTGTCGTGTTTTAGTTTAATGACTAGATTCCTTTTTTTTTTTTTAGTTGTTCTATTTTAAATGGTAGTATGATTGTGTACAGCGCATTTATTATTGTATTTTTTAATTTCCATTGATGTGATGAATCATTATTATTATATTGATTTATCATGTTGGCTGATAAAAGAGTGTTTTGACATTTTTCAAAGAAAAAAAGAAAAGAAAAAGAAAATGCTGTTCTGTCAGAAGGTAACTAGAATGAAGTATTTTGTATTTTATCAGAAATTTGTACAGTGATTGACGACAATGTTTCATCATCCATCATACAATCGGACAATCATCCAACATATAATCATCCATTATCACATATCATCCATCATACAGTCATCCATCATCCATCCTGTAATCATCCAATATACAATCATCCGTTATCACATATCATCAATCATGAATCATCGATCATGAATCATCAATCAATTGATACCTAAAAAAGAATGGACAACACCCAAAGCTGCTAAAAATATGAAAAGCCTATGTTACTTTTCTTTTGTGTCTTTTATTATTAATAAACAAGTTATCATCAATGTGTTGTGTGTTTTTAATGTACTCTACCGCCATCTCTGGAGCGATATCTGAAAAAGTGGTAATGCGCCATTCATTTTGGGAAAGTACGATATTTTATTTGATAACATCACGAAAAGCATTTTCTTGTGACCCGACAAAAAACTTTGAAAACACAGTATAACATCAATCACAGCACATAGTACAATGATATAAAGATGAAGAAAATTGAAATGAACATTAGTATTGAACCATATACTTTCAATCGTCCTGTTTTTATTTTAAACTTACCCTTTTTTTTTTTTTGTCTTTCAATTTGATGAATTGGCTAGAAAAGTCCTATCAATAAGAAATAAATCATAACAATAAAAGGAATAGATCATGAAGAAAAAAAAAAAAAAAAAGGAGAGATGTAATGAAAATGTAAGTTTGCGAAATATAATCATACTTTATATGATGAATACAATACTGATGGCATGATATCTCGTTTACAATGATGAAATGAATAGATGAATGATATATAGTGATAGGATAATGGTGGAAAATGATGATATGATGGTAGGATAATAGTGTAATGAATGACAATATAATAAACAAATGATAAAAATATGATTTTATTTAAACGAGAATAAAAAAGATAATAAAATATAAAACACTAACTAAGATATTAAACTACTGAATAAACTTCCAACTTGTCATTCTTTGGCCAATAGAAAAGCTGTTTTTAATATCTAACTGCTCCTATTTTATTCTTGTCGTATTATCTATATATTATATTTTACACAGAAAGAGTATATAAAAAAAAGATTAATTCATAGTATGAGAGACTAAGAAGAAGAAAAAAGAAAGAAAGAATAAGTATAGAGTAAGTAATATAGTAACTATGGAAGTATAATATGTAAAGAGTGACTTTTAAGTATCTAATATAGATTAGTAAAGTGTCATTATGTATAATGGTAACTTACAATGTTCAAAGAGTCATTGGTTAAAAAAAAGTAAAAAAAAAGCAAAAGGAAAAAAAAAGTGAGAGAGCGCCTAACTTTTTTCTTGTCAGAGCTTGGTCCAACTTTTCCATTGTCTCCACAAATTTTTTTTTTTTCAATCTCCCACATTTTTTTTTGATCTCGATCACCAAACTTTTTTTTTTTTTTTGAGATTGGAACCTCCAGACTTTTTTTTTCTTTTGTTCCAACACACCCCACACTGAGACCGGACTTTGAATATATACCATTTATGGAATAACCTTATGTTTGTTTAAAAGAAAGTAGAATATATAATAATAATGAATTAAAACTATTAGCAAATGATAATAATATGAATAATATCAAATGATAATTTTAATAATATCATTATAGTAATAAGATGAATATTACTGTAGCATCATTTCTCTTGTAGTATGTGAATGAATATTTATTCTTCAATAAAGATCAAATTGAAAAGTCAAATAAAATAATCATTGTTGTTTATTGTTTCACTTCTCTTTTTGTAGTAACAATAATAAAGAAGGATGCTATATTTGTAGATAGATAAAGATGAAGAAGATCAGAAGGATGAGTAAGTGCATGAATAATAATAATAAAAAAAAAAAAACGAAAACTAAATAACAACAGAAAATGGAGTGTTTGACATATACATAATACAATGGGTAAAAAAAATGGAGTGATAGGAAAGAGTTGTTCATTCTACAGCATCAGATATACCATCTTCCAGAATAGCAAAGGTACATTCATTTTCAGGCAGAGAAGGAGAGTCATATATCTTGCAAATCCGATTTTCACCACGGCCTTTTCGAAGGTAAAGACGAGTACATGAAGCATGAGCAATTATATTTCCACCAGCTGGTTTCTTGGGATCTGGATTAAACATAGCTGCACCACCATCTACTTGAGCTACTACTTGATTGGTAATCACAACGGCCACACCAAACTAAATCAATCATCATAAAATAAAATGGTATCAGTATCCAGATTCAAATAAATATTCCATGATATTTATTTATTTATTTTACCTCATCCGCTAGCCGTTGTAGTTGTCGTAAGAATTGCGCCAGATGTGTTTGTCTTGCAGCTAATTCACCTCGTCCAGCATAATCCGTACGGTAAAGAGCCATTGCACTGTCTACAATTAATACTGAGAATCTAGTCATTGATAATTACACAAAAAGAGAAAAGGTATATGAGAATTGACTTCAATTTTGTACATAAACCTTTCATCCTTTTTTTTTTTTTTTTTTTTTTACCTTGCTTCTGACATCATGGCAGCAGCTTGAATCAAAAGGGAGGTTTGATGATCAGTATTATATGCACGAGCGTAAGCAATATTGTCCAAGGTTTCTTCGCCATTTAAAGAGAATCTAACAAAATAAAACCCACAAGATATATATATATATATATATATAAACAAAATCAGTTCTTTCCCTTGTCATCATTTAATATTGTATATTAAAATTACCTTTGAGCAATAGATAATACACGAGACGGACGGAATGTGCCTTCACTATCAATAAAAAGACATTTGCCTTGACCACCACCCACTGAGACTGGTAATTGCCCTGTCACTGATAACATATGGCATAGCTGTGATTTCCCAGTTCGAAATTCCCCAAAAATTTCTGTAATTGATCCAGTTTCAATCCCTCCACCTAATGCACGATCCAATTCCTTGCTTCCTGTTGTGATGGTCACAATTTCTTGTCGCCGGGTATGTACTTCCATTGCTGTCGTAAAACCTAATGCTACAACCTTGGAAGCTTTAAAGAAAAAAAAAGGTGAGATCATAATATATATATCATATTAATATTACCTTCAGTTAAGAGTTTGTCAGCTTTCGTTTCAGAAATCCCTTTGATGGCAAGTAGTGCTTTCTTTGGAGCGTAAGCAACAGATTCCGCTGTGAAAAAACCAGCTTCTTTCAATTTTTTGGTATCACTTGCTGTAATGCCTCCATTTCCCTAAATAATAAGTTCATTTTTCAGTATCATACTATCATTTCTATACTTTTTTTTTTTACTCTCTCTATTTACCTCAAGGGCAGAAATCAAAAGGGGACCATATTCACCATCGTCTTCTTCTACACTGGCTTGTGACATTGGATAAATCGGATGAAATTGGATAAAGGGAGTGTATATGGAAGAGATGAGGAGGGTAAAAAGATGAGTGTATTGTAAGTAAAAGGAAGAAAGAAAGAAAAAAATAGTTGAAAATGGAAAGGGGAATGACTAAAAAAAAAAAAAAAAGGCGGGTCGCCCTCACTGCGCCAAACGCGTTTGAATTTCGCTTCTATTAAAATACCGCGCGTCTTTTCTTTTCTTTTAAAACCAATCATAAATCAAATATTTGGCAATAAAATCTATTCATATATCATCCATTATTTCATCCTTCTAATCTCCATCATAGTTCATCCATTATCTACCCAAAGGTATTTTTTTTTTCTTATGATCATATATGGTAATGGATACAAAGGCATTTATTGGTTTTACTGGTTTAACAAAATAAGAAATCAAATTTATGTAAATAGTATAATGTAAAAAAGTAAATAATAAAAAAAAAAGATTCCCTTCTACATCCAAGGCATATACAAGTATACTAGGGGACAAATAGTGTAGTAATAAAAAAAATGATAAAGGGAAACTATTAGTATACAACTAAACTAACATCTTAGTTGGCACTGAGAGATTGTTGATGGACCAATTCACTATAAACACCATTGAGTTTCAATAATTCGAAATGAGAACCTTGTTCGATCACACGACCATCCTTGATAACACAAATCATATCAGCACCTTGAATAGTAGATAGACGATGAGCAATTGTGATTGTTGTACGACCACTATCCTTTTCATCCAAAATCTTATCAATTGCTGCTTGTACCAATTTTTCGGATTCACTATCCAATGCACTAGTAGCTTCATCCAATAAGAGAATCTTTGGCTTTCGAATCAATGCACGAGCAATGGCAATACGTTGTTTCTGTCCACCAGATAATTGACCTATTAAATAATAATAAAAAAAAGAAAATAAATAAATATACATTGATGATCACCCTTTCTTTTTTTTTTTTTTTTGTTTTGTCCATCTTCTATGACTTACTTCCTTTATCACCAACACGAGTATTATAACCTTGAGGTAATCCCATGATGAATTTATGAATATTTGCTGATTTACAAGCTTCTTCGATTTCTTCTTGAGTGACTTCCTTGTGTTCATCGGCTCCATAACGGATGTTGTCAGCGATAGAAATATCAAACAGAGTAGGTTCTTGACCAACTAAGCCCATGTGACCACGTAAATTGCTAAGTGTATATGAATTTGCATTGTGATCATCCACACGAACATTTCCATTAATAGGGTCATACCAACGTTGAAGCATACCGATCGTCGTACTTTTACCACAGCCGGATGGACCTGTAATGATTTCAAAAAAAAAAAAAAAGATCATCCATCATTTCTTCTTTTGTTTGACTTACCGACAAGAGCAATAGTAGTGCTTGATTTTGCATTCAAATTGAATTCACCATTGAAAATAGGGACATTAGGACGAGCAGGATAACAGAAAGAGATGCTTTCAAAGTCAATGTTGCCATTGATTGTTTCAGGTTCAATACCTTCCAATTCAGGATCAATCTTGGGAACACGGTCCATCACTTCAAAGATAGCAACAGCAGAATCCTTGGCCTTGGCGAATATAATGGTAAATGAAGAACTACGACCAATTCCTTGACTCGTCAAAAGTATCGCCATGATCGCAGTAAGCATATTCAGAAAGTCAATCTTGCAATCATCCATCAAGCGTACGCCACCATAGAAAGCAACTGCATAGGAGTATAATATGATGCCCTGTTGAATACCATATCCTACAGAAGAAGTGATCGCCTTCTTGCGTGCCATCCGATGAGGACGTTCAGTAGCCCTGAAATATCGATCTTCAAAAAATTGCTGACGATGAAAAGAGGCAACAGTTCGGATTTCCTTGATAGCTTCACCAGCCACTTCACCACATTGTTCGTTCACCTTTTTAGTTTTGTCTTCATAACCACGTTGAATCTTGGTGTCATAGGCACTAGCAAAAGCGACAAACGGGCTCATAGTGAGGACAATCAAAGATAACGTCCAACTACTCACAAAGGCTATCGTAAAACCTAAAATAAAAAAAAAAAAAGGTCAAAGTCAGATAGGAGAACAAGAGCAAGGGTATTTTTTTTTTTTTTTCCATTTACCTGTAATCAGTGATGAGATGATTTGAATAATATCACCCCACGTTTTGGTCACCAATTCGTTCACATTCTTCGCATCTACAGCAAGTTTGGCAGTCAGAGCACCAACAGTATGATTATCATCATCAAAAAAGCCAGTTTCTTGACGGAGATAAGCTTGAAGGACTTTGCCACGGAGACGTTTAGTATAATATTCACCTGCATATTCAAAGCCGATGATCTGCGCAGCGAATCCAAAGAATCCACCAATACCGATAAAAAAAAACAATAGAGAATAAAGATTGGCACCTTGTATTGGACCAGGAGAGATATCATCGCCTTTCTTGAACATGAGAATATCTAGTACTCGAGCAAACAGCAAAGCAAATGCAGGATAAATAGCACCAGCAATAGAAGCACCCAAGATACCCAAAGCCAAAAGAGGCCATTCAGGGCGCATATCCATAACCACTCTTCGTAGAGGCGTTTTTTGCTTGGATGTATACTTCTTTTCGGCCTTTTGTTTTCGAATCTTGAGTTCATAAGCATCCATCGAACTATGACTAATCAACTTGTTTAAATCATCAACACTTGGTATATCCGTCAGCACCTCTAATTCTTGTGCCTTGTTCACTTCAACTTGTTCTTGCAATAAAATATCGTCATCTTCAAAGTCACTTCCGTTTTCCTTTTTCTCTTCTATAGCAATTTCTTGTTTCTTGATTAATTCAGCATAAACACCACCTTGAGCTAAGAGTTCATTGTGAGTTCCTTGTTCAACCAAATCACCTTGATCCATCACCACAATAAGATCAGCATTTCGAATAGTAGATAAACGATGAGCAATCACAATAGTAGTACGATCAGCAGAGGCAGCATCCAAAGCCTTTTGAACAAGACGTTCTGATTGAGTATCCAGAGCAGAAGTAGCTTCATCCAATAATAAGATAGAAGGGTTTTTCAAAATAGCACGAGCAATAGCAATACGTTGTTTTTGACCACCAGAGAGTAATCCAGTTCCACCAATCATAGTGTCATAACCTTGAGGTAATTGAGTAATAAACAAATGACAATTGGCTTTTTTGCAAGCTTCCACCATTTCGTCATGAGTCACTTCACGAGTAGCACCCACCATTAAATTTTGCTTGATTGACATATTGAAGAGAACAGGTTCTTGAGAGACAACACCAATTTGACGACGTAACCAAGCGACATTATAATCCTTCAGATCCTTGCCATCCAAAAGAACTTGACCTTCAATAGGATCATAAAACCGTTGTAACAGAGAGATACTTGTACTTTTACCAGAACCAGATGGACCTACAAAAGCCACCGTCCTACCATGCTGAATCGTGAGATTGAATTTCTTGAGTACGGTAATGTCAGGTCGAGTAGGGTAAGCAAACTTAATGTCACGGAATTCAATATCACCTTGAACCTTTTTAGGAGTCAACCCTGCTTTGGAATCAGAATCAATGTAAGGAACACGGTCGATAGTAGTAAAGATACGATAAGCAGCGCCAGTAGCAGTTGATACGGCAGAAAGGTTGAGTGGAAGTTGAAGAAATGCGATGGAACCAATAAGCATGGAAAAAAACACTATCAAGATTTGAGAAGCACCGTATTCACCAGCGATCACCAAACGAGAGCCATACCAGAAACCTAAAGCATCAGCACAAAAAGTAACAAAGAACAAAGTGCCAGCACCAAAGCCCATAGCCATACCACGTTTCAATCCAGTGTCACGAGCATGCACCAGTTCATCGTCGTAACGTTTAAAGAATCGATTTTGAAGCGAAAAGGCAGACACAGTTCGAATACCAGAAAAAGCTTGTTCTGCAATAGCACCGGCGGAAGCATATCGATCTTGAGCAAGCTGTGTATACTTCTTTGTAAATATACCCATACATGCAGCGGAAGCAGCTGTCAAAGGAATCACGGTAATCATCACACCAGCCATTTTGGGACCCTTGACGAATCCAATAATAATACCAACCAAAAATTGAGAAATAGAAGCAATCAGTAGACCAAACTTTTCAGAAATGCCATCTTGAATGAGTTGAGTATCAACAACCAATCGAGTAGTCAATGAACCTTCTTCTGCTTTATCAAACCATCCAATATCTTGATGAAGAATAGAATGCACATACAATAATCGAATACGTCTAGCTTGTCGTTCTATTAATATATAATTATTTTTTTTTTTTTTTTTTAGTATGAGTAAAATATTATAATTATCATTTGATACTACCTCCAGTCCAGACCCAAAAAGCATTTGAAAAATAAGCAGCACCAAAGGAAGCGGTTCCCAGATAAACATAGGTAAGGATGGAACCCATAGTACTATTGAGAGCCAGATTCGATGGTTGACAAACAGCATCAGGCATTATATTTGAAGAGGACGTAGATTGTACTTGGCTTAAAACATTACCAAAAATAAGAATCATAGAAGGTTGAACAGCGCCAGTACCAGCCGAGAGGAGACAAGCCAATACAATTAAAAAAATATCTAAAGGAGTGGCGAATCTAAAAAGTCGATAAAGAGAAATACCAGGTTCTTTTTTCTTCTTTATATCCTTGTCAGTAGATATTTCCTTGTCCAAATTTTGTTGCAAAGGGAGTAATTCAGATAAAACGTTCTCTTTATTGGAAGGAGAAGATATGATCGCGTTTCGGTCACCATTCATGTCATGTGATGTTGTCGATGGTGAAGAAGACGACATGGCTAATGTAAGGAATGTATTTTTTTTTTTTGTACGTATAGTAAATAATAAAATAAAAAAAAGTAAATGTATGTAGTCTTTTAATAGAAGAAAAAAAAGTGAAAGAAAAGTGAAAGAAAGAGTGACAAACGACTTGATTTATAAGGAAATCGAATAAATCTTTTGATCTGCGGCGGAAGATGAAATGGTAAAAGAATCAATGAAAACTCATTTTCAGTCCTATTTTTTCGGCACAATTTGAATTTTTAAAATAGAGTAAAACGAAAATTTCGGTAACTATTGCGGATACGTTATCAATCAGCAGTAGAAACATATATATATCAAACTTGGAATATCGTTTAGTAAAGTTGCCTAATGAAGTACTTGTAGTTATTTTTACCGAAATGACTTCTAAAATAAATTTACAACAGGGGAAAAACGATCATCATCAGTAATATCAATTCTTTAGCGTTTCAAGAAAAAAAAAAACAATATTGACATATGAAACTTTACCCTTTGACAGTAAAAGACCCAGATTTGATTTAAAAAACTCGTCATCTTAATGATTTTAAAAGAAAAAAGGTGAATGAGATCAGGAATAGGAGGAATATTTATATAAAGAGGATTTTATTGACGTTCAGATGACTATCAGAAAGCGAATAATAATAAAATATGGGTACAACAACAAGAGTAATAAAAGTAACAATAATAAAATGTCTAAACTACAACTATAATATACTATAAAATAAGGTAAGCGGAAGAAGATATATCATTCATAAGAATCCTAAGTATTGATTGCTTCCATTTTCTTTTGTTCTCGCATCCTTGCTCGTTTTTTGGCCAATTCTCTTGAATCCTTGCCACAATATACGACATTTCGAAAGAATTCAGGAATGTAATTGATATAAGCATCGTAAAAAGCTGCACCAAAGGATAGTTTGCCATGATTATCACCATTGACGTTCGAATTGTAGTAGAATTGATCATCACTTTCTAAAGCTCCTTGAGTGCTGAGTCCCCGTCTAATTGAATCTTGAGGTCCAAAGTACTTAGTCATCAATCCCATAAATACAGTCATCACCACACATTCTAATAAGAGAAAAAAAGAAAAAGTCAAATGACAACATCCAATGTATATATATATATATATTTATATATAAAATATCATTTACTTACCAATAATCACTTCAAGACCGTTTTTCACTGCTTCTGTTGACCAAGCCAAACCATCACTTGAATGAGATCCATCAGTACCATGTATAACACCAGCATAAGCGAGACCAGACAGTAACAAAGTACCAATATAAAAGTTGATCATAATTGGACCTTTGACACACCAAAAGAATCCATGAGCAGATATCCGTGCACGTTTCCATTCATCTTTGTACACAGCCAAATAAGTGAAGAGTGCTGAAATAATCAAAGACAAAGCAATGAAGTTGATAATGGTAAGATAAACGTGAGCACCTTTAAAAGAATAAGAATCGGCACAATAACGACCTTTCAATTCGGCGAAAATAGAGATGAATGCATCAAATACTGACCTATGATCACCCAAAAAAAAAAAAGAAAACAATAAGTACGCATGTATGATGATGATCATCATCATGTGCAATTATTTCATTTTTATCCTTACCACAGAGGAAACTGGTAAACTAATATATCCGTGATGATTCGATAATGCATTCCCCATCTTGATTTGCTATAGAAATAAAAGAAAGAAATGAGGTGAATAAAATGAAGAGAAGAAATATATCAAACAAAAAAAAATATAAAGACTTACACATGTATTTTGATCAATGGCATAACAGTAGGATGAGCTTCTTCCTTGACACCTTCATTTTCATCACGATAAGGTCGAAGATAAGCTTGTAGGCCGGTATATAAATTATAAACAGCAAAGGCTTCGAATAAAGTAGCGAAAAAGATAATGGTAGTTGCATAATCGTAACGTAAATAAGATATCCAAGCCAAGGTAGAATAGAAAGGAGGGAATAATAATACTCTAAGCTTGTGTCTTTGTATTTCTGGTTCACTATATTTCAAATGAAATAATAAATAAAAAAAAAAGAGTTAGTCAATCAAATCAAGAGAGAAAGAAAAGAAAGAAATAGAATATCACTTACTAATAGTTTCGAAGATGTTTAATGATAACTGTAATAGATATGATCCAAGTAATGAGAAGACAAAGAAGACAAAGAAGCCAACCCCAGATATGCCAGTTTGCACTAAAATAAAATAAAATTAGCTTATAAAGTTATACGTTTGTTTAGTAAATGTCTTTCTTACCTTGGATCGTGTAATAAGTCACTCCAGGAGAAACCAGGACGACTAAAAATAAAAAAAAAAAAAAAATAAAAAAAAGAAGAAAAAAAACCTCAGTATACCACCAATGAATAAAAAGAATATTACATACAAGCCTCCATCTTGAGACAAACCAGGTGTAGTTGGACAACTGATTTCTTTATTACTATCCATATATACTAGTAAAAAAAAATGTATAAAGAAGAAGGAAAAAAAAAAAAGAAAAGAAAAAAAGCCAATTTTTTTAAAGATGGAATAGAATTCACGCCTGATTTTCATTCGGTAGTTCATTCGGCAAAATGCTTCGGGGTAACAAACAGTGCCTCAACATAGCTGATGATTGCCAAGAAAAGGTCCAACCATGTGTAACCTGAAAATCATCCAAACAAAGACAATTTTTCGATATATAGTTTAAATTATTACCCTTTTTTAAAAAGAAAAGAAGGGGGATTATGAAATGAAAAAAAAAAAAAGGAAATAGCATATTATTAAAACAGGAGACCCTTTTTATATATAATAAAAAAAAAAAAAAAGATCCTTATGGCCTTATAATATTTGTCTCTATTAGGTCATTTGGTGCTACTTCCAAATCTAGAGTCAACATCTAACAACAAATGTTTATTAAAAAAAGAAATGCAAGGCAACACGGAATCTTAATTTTCACATTTTGCCAAGCTAAGGTGATCAAAAAATAGTAACTACCATGGTAACCAAGAAAATAAAGTTTATTTCTTTGACATGTAAACCTCTTTGACTTTAAAAAACTAGCATAATTGAACAAAAAAAAAAAAAAAAAAAAGGAAAGGGACGGAGCATCAAATATACTAAAGGATAAAAGAATTCTTTATAATAACTAGAACATTATTTCTCGGGGAATTTGGATAAAACATAATTATTGAAATCCAAAAAAAAGGAGAAGTTATCTATCTTGCTCTCTCTCTCTTTTTTTTTTTTTTTTTCTCTAAATATATAAAATGGATTCTGACAAAATCTCTCGTAGATCTGCATCCATCATTTCACCTAAAATCCATCCATCCCCTTTTTTTATAAGAACACCTATTAATAATCATGCTTCAGCAAGATATTCTGCTCCTAATTTTGGTAAAATAATGATTGGAAATCAATCTCCTTCTTGTTCATCGATTAGAAGTAATCCTTTAACAAGTGTTCCTGCTGTACCATCCATACCAGGCCATCTTTTACATCACCAGCAACAACAGCAACAACAGCAACAACAACGATCTTCCAATAATAATAGTATCATTTTGCCTGGTAGTTATCCTTCTAGTGTCATGTCTCCTCGTCAACATTCATCCTATCAAACAGCTGGTTATGGTACAAGAAGGAAACAAGTTCCATTATTTCAGGGTAATCTGGTATTGGAATGTCCTGTTCCTACTCAATTATTAGATCAAAGTGCACGCAAAGAAAAAGAATTCAATCAAATGAGATATACAGCTGTAACTTGTCAACCTGATGATTTTCCTGCTGCAGGATATACATTAAGACCTCGTTTGATGAATAGACAAACTGAATTATTTATCGTTATGACCATGTATAACGTAAGTTCATTATTATATATTTAATGTGGGATATTAATAATTCCTTTTTAGGAAGATGAGGTCTTATTTTGTAGAACAATGCATGGTGTGATGAAAAATGTAGCACATTTATGTTCAAGAACAAAGTCAGCAGTATGGGATACAGAAGGTTGGAAAAAAGTAGTAGTTTGTGTAGTAGCAGATGGTCGTAAAAAATGTGATCCAAGAGTATTAGATGTCTTGACAACCATGGGGGTATTTCAAAAAGGAATTGCAAAGAATATGGTGCATGATAAACCTGTTCAGGCACATTTATTTGAGGTAAAAAAAAAAAAATAATATATAAAAATTGTATTTTATTTTTAATTCCTATTTCTTTCTTCTTCTTTTTTTTTCTTCTCTTTTTTTTTTTTTTTTTTTTTTTAAAAGTATACAACTCAAGTATCTGTTGACTCCGATCTCAAAATAAAAGGTGCTGATAGAGGAATTGTACCAGTTCAAATCCTTTTTTGTCTCAAAGAACAAAACGCCAAAAAAATCAATTCTCACCGTTGGTTTTTCAATGCTTTTGGTCCCATCTTACAACCCAATATTTGTGTTTTATTAGACGTTGGCACAAGACCTGGTAATAGTTCTATTTATCATTTATGGAAAACTTTTCATCGTCAAGCTAATGTTGGTGGTGCTTGTGGTGAAGTTTGTGTTATGAAGGGCAAGGCATATATGGATCTTCTTAATCCTTTAGTAGCTGGTCAAAACTTTGAATACAAGGTTTAAAGAAAAAAAAAAAAGAATATTTTTTTTTATTTATTCATTATATTATTATTTTTATATTGGCTAGATGTCGAATATATTAGATAAACCTTTAGAATCAGTGTTTGGTTATATATCTGTACTTCCTGGTGCGTTTTCAGCTTATCGATATGCAGCTATACAAAATGATTGTTATGGTGTGGGACCTTTACAAAAGTATTTTATGGGAGATACGCATGGAGCTGAACCACGACAACAACCTGGAGGAGAATATGATATCTTCACTGCAAATATGTATCTGGCTGAAGATCGTATTTTATGTTTCGAACTTTTGGCCAAAAAACATGAAAATTGGGTACTCAAATATGTCAAATCTGCTTATGGTGAAACCGATTGTCCTGATCAATTATCTGAATTCATCTCTCAACGTCGTCGATGGTTAAATGGATCCTTTTTTGCAGCTGTTTATTCTATCTATCATTTTCCAAGGATTTGGAGTACAGATCATACCATTTGGCGCAAGATATTACTGACGACAGAATTTATCTTCAATTTTTTCAATTTATTATTCAGTTGGTTAGGCATGGTAATATAATATATATTTATACATTGGATATACATGAATACTAATATTCTTCCTTTTTTTTTTTTTCAACAGGCAAATTTTTATCTTACCTTTTACTTTGTAACAAAATCAGTGGCTTCTGAAAAAAGTGATCCTTTTGGTGATGGCTGGGGTAGTCGTATCTTTGAAATGTTACGATATCTATATATATTTTTATTCATAGTATCTTTTATCTGCTCTATGGGAAATCGGCCTCAAGGGTAAGAAAAGGATTACAAGAAATGATGACTTTTTTTTGACTGAACGTTTCTCTTATTGTTTTTATGTTTGAATAGCTCCAAATGGATGTTTACAATCTCTGTATTAGCTTACGCTATTATCATGATATACACCTTATTTTCTGGTGTTTGGTTATCTTATCAAAGTGTGCTGGATGCAATGCAAACAAATGAATGGAATGAAAAAGGCTGGACTGCACATTTTTCCCTATTGATGGCTGAACCTGGTTTTCGTAGTGTATTGATATCAGCAATTTCGACCTATGGACTTTATATTGTGTCAAGTATACTTCATCTTGATCCTTGGCATATGATTACAAGTTTTATTCAGTATCTTCTTCTTTTACCTACCTATGTCAATATACTTACTGTTTATGCTTTTTGTAACACACATGATGTTAGGTACGTTTAGATTTATTTGATACTATTGTATTCATTTTATTGATTATTATTTTGTATAGTTGGGGAACAAAAGGGGATAATACTTTACCAATGGATTTGGGTGTGGCCAGTAAAGTGACAACTGAAAAGGGATTCGATACAGTGGAAATGGATATAGTAGATGGATTGGAAATGATCAACATGAATTATGATCATGCTCGGTCAAATTTGGAAACTAAACAGAATACTGTGAAACAGGTATATCCAAATTTGTTTTTTATTATTTTTATTATTATTAAATTCCTTTTTTCTTTTTCTTTTTTGTAGAGTCGCCCCCCTCAAACCAAACAAGATGATTATTATCGTGGATTTAGGACAAGATTGGTTTTGACATGGATTGGTTGTAATGCTCTTTTGGTTGCTTTTGTGACAAGTGGAAGTTTCCAATCTTTACTTCCTAATAGCCATCAAAGAAAAACACCAGCCGAGTATGAAAATGATATGGCTATTGCTTATACTGGATTTGTCTTATGGGTCGTCGCTGGTATTTCTGGTTTTAGATTTATTGGTAGTTTCGTTTATCTTCTACTTCTTTGCTTTGAACGTTAGTAGTTTATTATTATCATCATCAAATAAAACTTTTCAAGTATGCTGATGTCGGGGTGCCAAATGATCATTTTGGGTAAAATTGGTCTTTCTTTTTTTTTTTTTTTTTTTTTTTTTTTGTTTCTCACTCTTATACGTTATGGGCAAATTACCCGGTCTTGTCAATTACTCTGATGAAGAAGATCAATCGTCCTCTTCTTCTGATGAAGCCATTCAACAACAACCAACTAAACCAGTATCGCCATCACAAAAGACAGACGACCGATCAATACAACAAAATCAGTATGTTCAGCCATTACCACAACAAAATCAAAAAGAGGACCGTTCCACGACATCAAAACAAGGTAACTCTACATATATATATATAAAAGAAGGTTGATAGTTGTATATGCTTGATATTCATTCTTTTTTTTCTCATATCTACACGATTTTTCTTTTCGTCAAATAGTTTTAGAAGGTATATACATATATATATATATGATACAGAAATAACCATGAATGATTCTCTAATCAATTACTTGTCTCTTTTCCATTCAGAACCCTGCTCTAGTACAGACATGCCTTCTACACCTGAAACGACTTTACCGACCATCTTGGCTAGTGATCGATCTACACGATTAAAAACGATTCTTACACCAGCACCTATTCCTGGCATCGACAATTGGGGTATACCATCTGAACCTGACGATAAAGTAGATCCAGATCGATTGGTAAAAAAAAAAAAAAAAAAAAAAAAAAATATAATATTAAAGAAAAAAAAAGTAACAAAATATGGAAGTTTGATGTTGTTTTAATCATTTACCAATTAAATATAGGAAAAGATCCAACATTTTTTATCATTACGACAATCCGGCCATCGACTAAACGACCATTTACAACGCAACAAAGCCTTCCGGAATCCACGGATTTATGCGAAATTGGTAGAATTTGTAGATTTAGATGAAACAGGAAGCAACTTTCCCCCAGATCAATTTGATCCCAAAGGATTTCCTGCTTCTTCCTATATTGATGGTATTTTGGAAACACAACGTCGATTGGCAGAAGAAAAAGCACAACAACAACAACAACAAGGTCGATCTCAAATCGCTTTTGTCCCATCCAAACCATCAACAACAGTGGACACTTCCGCCAAACTTGCTGCTGCCATGGCCAATGCTGCGAAAATCGCCAACAAGATCGTCAAACCTGTTCATCCTTCATCTACATCCTTGGACACTCAAGAGCATACCAACAAAAGATCAAGTCATCACAAATGGGATCGATCGGATGAAAAACGAAGGCATCATCACCATTAGTTAGTTGTAGATAGTTACATTTTATATAATCTTTACTTCTCCCTTCATCGTTAGATACTTCACTAGATGCCCCTCCCTCCTTTTATACAACTTTATTATGTCTATAAAAAAACAACAACTATTTATTATATAAAAACATCAATATACACAGGGAATGAAGAGAATGCAATTGTTAAAACTTTCATGGTAATTCGTCGGGATCCAATGTTTGTAAATTTGATAGGTATCGGGCAAATTCATGCATGGACATACGATTTCCTAATGATGTAGAACAAAAAAAAAAAAAAAGATGATAACATTAGGATGAATGATAGTGGAAACATTGGATGAAGCTTACCTTGACATTCCTGAATAATCTTAGACCATACTGGATTACTGGATAATAATTGGCTGTTTCCCATAATGATCAAATGTCTAACAACAAAGATAGAGTTATAAACGTTGCTATTTTTTTTTCATCAGGGAATCGCTTCCTCATTTTTTTTTTTTTTTTTTTTTTACCGTTTGGCTCTTGTCAAAGCAACATTGACCCGTGGATGATTATCGATAAATCCACTACTGGATGTTCGGACAGTGGATAAGATGATAATTTCTTTTTCGGCACCCTATTTAACCATCAAGAAAGAAAAACAGAAGAAAAAGTGGGTTTAGTTGTTGATCCTTTTGTATACATGGAAGTATAAATCTATATTTATTGTTTTACATACTTGGAATGCGTCCACCGTTGATATCTGCAAATGATAATATGGTTAGTTCCACTCTATATCTTTGTTTTTTTTTTTTGGATTATACTCTGTCAAAACATACCTGAATGTTTTGGGTGGAGTTTTGTGTATTATTGTTTCCCAAATAGGATTGAATCTTGTCTGCCTGTTCTTTATCTATAATATCAGAAAGAAAGAAAGAAAAAAAAGATAATGATGATTAGATGAAACCATTCGCTAATTAGTCCTTTTTTTTTTTTTTTTTTTTTTTTTTTTTTTTTTTTTTTTTTTTTTTTTTTTTACATAAAGAGATGATCCCAATATCCGATGGTGCTGTTCCTAGTTGTTGTAATCCCTTGATCGCATGCGCGGCAATAGCGACCTCATCTTGATTCCAATATGAGTTTCCAATGGATTTTTGTTCCTATTGTTAACATAAAGAAGTGTAAATAAGACGAATCTATCCAAATTTATTCTTTGTCTTATCCGATTTTTACATTTCCAACCACATCGACAAATAGTAGAGGAGGAAGACCACTAATCAAAGGAAGTCGTGATTCTACCACTGGACCATCCAAAAGCTGTCGATCATAGAAGAGATTGTTGCTGATGGCAGAGATTTTGGGATGGCACTACGATAATAAATTATGGATGATCAATAAATTGTTTCAATATATTATCAAACTGATTGGTTGTGTATTATTTGCTCGCCTACCCGATATTGAGTTCGTAGCATGATGGACTATATCATATACATAATGGAGAGAAATAAAAAGTTTAGCCTTCAACCAAAAAAAAAAAAAAGTAATATCTAAACGATAATATTTGTTTTCTTGTTGTTGTTACCTGTGTTCCCATCTATTATATAGCACAAAATAAAGAAGAAAAATAAAAAAAAAAAAATTAGTCAAGATTATAAAGTTAAAAGTAAAAAATTACCTCTATCAATCGACTGAAAAGAGACTTATCCAATCCTAGTCCAGTAGCATTTTCATCGGCTTGTGTAGCTACAGTGGGGGGTAACTAACATAGATTGTGAATCAGTTATTTATTATGTTGATGCAGTTTTATTCCAGAGTTACCTGCTTAGGATCTCCAATCATCACCATTCGGCTACATTTGAATCGAGTAAGAGGTACCATCGTCAAAGGTTCCATCACTTGTGAGCATTCATCCATCAATATAAAAGGATAACGAGATTCACTGAATATTTCAAACATGGATGCACTACAAGTAGTTCCTAAAGAAAAAAAAAGAAAAAACATATCAGATCAATCCTATTAACCTGAACTATCCGAACTTACCAACCACATCGGCCTTTTGAACTTCAAGCATATTTTCACATCTTCTAAATCGTTGAATAGCACTGGCAATAGAATCTATGTCTTCTTCCGAGTTTTGAGGGTCTTCCAACATCTGTTCTAGTTCCTTGATTTCTACCAAAAAAAAAAAAAAAAAAAGATTTTATTATTTGTGAGGTACGATACAAGACAATGATCTATTTACCTTCGTTTCCAGAAAGTTTTGCTTTGACTGTGTAGGGTAATAGGTTTTTTGCGATCTTTTTCAAACTACAATCAAATGAATATATATATAAAGGTTAGCTTGAAATCTATCATTATGGTATCCTTCTATCTTACCTTCCAACCCGAACGAATTCATCATATCCCAATGTTGCCAAGATCTATGTTCAAAAAAAGTGACATCACCATTAATATATATCGTCTTCATTTAAAAAAAAAAAGTCCATTTGTATCTTGAAATATAGAAACTTTTCATACCGTAAGTATTCGATCCACAGCAACATTCTGAGATGAAGAAAGAAAATGTCAAGACATTAGTTTATGATCCGAAGTATTCCTTTTCCATGTTCTAGAATGTACTTACAGTAAAGCATGAAATCATGATAGGAAAATGAATTTGATCTTCAGGTTCCCGGTGTTGATTCGCAGTATCGATAATATCCCGGATAAATATAATCAATGTAGCTGCCAAAAAACTAAAAGAAAAAAAAAAAGACGAAATAAAAAAGTTTTAGTAAGTTCATCCTAATATCTTATTTCTTTATGGCTATATACCTCTTTCCAGATCCAAAAACACCTAAAAAAAAAAAAAAAAAAGGAATGCATAAATACATTAAAAAATAGGTTAACCGGTATTAGTAAATTGCTATTGTATTCAATATTTTGTTATTTCTGCAAGTATTTTTGTTTCCTTACCATGTACCAAAGTAATTGGATTCTCAGCTTTTTCATTCCAGCCAGGGCATATAATCACTGATTTCGCAACAGCTTGAAGAACACTAGATTAAAAGCAACAACGAATCAGCTGGTGTTTTTTTTTATAAGTATTATTTCCTTTTTGATGAATTAATATGAATGCTTACAGTCCTTGATCTTCATTCAATTTGTATTGTCGTATTGTATCATCGATTTTTTGTTGTACATTGATATTATCATAACTGGTAAGAACAATAGCGGCGAGTTCTGGTGTTGATAAAGGCTCTGATTTCTTTTTTCGTGATGATGATTTGAGAATATTTGGTAAGAGGGGAAGGCGATCCAAGCCATCTTCTAAAGAATCTATAATTTCGGGCGAAATGACATGAGCAAGTTTAATCTACAAATTTTCTTCATTCATACTTTACCTAACATCATAAATTCCGTTCCAGCTGATATAGTACGAAGAGCAAATACAGCATTGTTTATGGAGGACATTCCAGTGGCCACTCGAGCATCCCGTGGAGTAACGCAATTGATCTATAATATATAATAAATTATCACACATAGAAAAAAGGTAATTAACTGTACAATATTCACATTGCACTTCCACTGAGTTGCTATTACCTCGATGACACCATTGGATGAAGGACCGTAAAATGTACTTCTTGCCAAAAAAGTGGAACTAGAGTCAAAGGCTAACTCCTTGGAGATCACCCAAATGTCATCTACAAATTAGAATCATTAGAATTATGATCATCATTCTCCTTACTATAGTAAAATATTGATGATTTACCTTTGCCATACTTGTAAGAGTTTTCCCGATTTCTAATAGTGAGACAAAAACTTGATCCAGCAATTGAGCGGGAGTTGCTACAAATCAAAAAGGAAGATAATGTCAGTATTAAAAAAAAAAATACGTTGAATTCATATTTTCCAACCTACCCTTTCAAGACACAATCCTGATAAAAGCTTAGACCTCTGGATCTAAAATGGCGTTCCAAGTTTTCGGATTTTGCAGTTGGTAAGAGAGCATGAAAGTGGAGGGCATTATTCATCATCATAATCTAAATACCAAAAACGGATAAAAAGACCAATGTTATCATTCAATTGGTGAAGGATGATATTACCTGTAGATGCTCGTGTATCATTCTTCTAAATATATCCTTGTATTGTGAAACGTTGGTCTATCAAATGTAAAAAGAAAATAAAAATGAGTGCCCAAACCATTCCTTACATCTATCCATCCTACTTACAAATTGAGTAGGTGTCACTTTGGTTCGTTTTGGAAGTCGTTTTGATTTAAGTACAGCTGTTGTTTTTTCTAATGTGGGGAATTGGATGACTAGAGGGACAGATCTAGATAAAGATAAAAAAAAAAAAAAAGGAGAGTCAATATCATTAACTCCATAACAACTTTCTATCAATGACTTACATTCCTTCAGCACAAGGGACCCTGAATCGCTTTAATGGTACTCGGCTATTACTAAGGTATTTTCAAACAAAACAAGGAAATTGAGATCATTTGACGAGGGCTCTCTTTTGCTGGATACTAGAACGCTTACCTTGTTGACGAACTACATGTTTCAGCAGAATTTTGGTCTTCTACAACAACACAAGATGCTGGCATAAACGATGATGATGATGATGATGATGATGACAAAGAATTCGAAGATCTAAAAGAAAAAAAGAACAGTTTAATATCCATAACCTTGAACTTATATTCCTCCTCTTCTTTCAGACAATTACATATATTCTCTAGATGATTTGGTGGGTAAATTCGAGCTTAGTGTTGAAGAATTAACCTGATCATTGTTTGTAAAACTGATGCTAGTCGTTGACCGTGAGTTTTCGGACGTTGAAGAGTTTGCTGTTCGTTTCGATAATCCAACTCGTATGCGTTTTTGGTTCGGCTAAGGTAATAAAAAAAAAGAGATTCATGTTTAGCCTATCTATATTGTTTTTTTTTTTTTTTTTATGTTCGCAACTGACGCTGGTTTCGGCAGGAACCCTTCGTTTGATGATATCGACCGGTAATGAATATTCAGGAAGATTTTGATCAGTTTCGTCCACAGTGTTCCGTCCTACTTCCCTATATTGTAGATCTTGATCAGGCCATTTAAGTTCCTCCCTATACTGTTGTTGCAAGGATCCAAAGTTTGTCGAGCTTTTGTTGAATATGCTGTCAGATGTTGGCATCGTTTTGAAAGTACTATTCAAAGATAAAAATAATTTATTAACATTGATTCACGTAAATTATGAGTATTCCTTTTCCTATTTTAAATACCTTGATGATAGTTTGTCTTGTTGAAGAGGAACAGTTAGTGACGAATCCAGTTCGGTTGAACGATGTTCTGTTTGGTATAATCGGTCGGTCGTACCGTTGGCATTTTGCAGTGGTATTGACTGTGATGGGGCTGGCTGGAATGGCGTTGGTTGGAACGACATTGGTTGGAATAAAGTTGGTTGTAATAGAGTAGGCATTTCTTCTGTAATAGAAGTCGTTACTGCTTCTTGATCAAGAGACTGTTGTTGTTGTTTATTGGTGGTATCCGATACACTAGAGTTGCTATTCTGTCGTGGTTGTCCTACTACTTCGGTTCTACTTTGTGCTCGAGGCTGTGATAGATTTGGCTGGTTGAATGACAAGTTTGATTTCTTCAGCCTTCGCCTAGCAGCCCTATAATCAGTTTCTTGTGCAGTTGTAGTTGCCATCACAATCTCAGTAGGTGAATTGGGTAAGTGATTCCTTTGGATTATATGCCTTGTCGTATTCAGTGAAGTTTCTGTTGATACAGTGTTTGTACTAGGTTGTGGTTGTTGCTGTTGTATGGAGAGGTCTATATCTATAGATTCAACTGTTACAATGTGCATATCAAATTCTATTTCATCGCCAACTGAAGGTATCCCACTTTTTGAGAATTTTCTGTATATAAAAGAAAATATAAATGTCAATCAAATTCCTGCCGTTTTAACATTTTACTCCTTAATCATGATTTACCTGTCAATATTATAACCCTTTTCATCAGTGAGAACAATCTATTATAAAGAAAAAAAAAAGGTAATAAATAAACACTCGACATTACACCAAGTTAATAATAGTAGACCTACTTTTCTGTTCAAGCTATAATATGTGATTGTTCCTAAGTTGAAAATAGTTAAAATCAATAAATCACAGAGCTGTAAAATAATTCAACAGTGCTTACCATCTTGCCAAGTTTTGTGTTTTTTCAATTTTTGAGCCGTAAATAATACAATAAATCGTGCAGTAGCGCCTTGTAAATCGCTCATAATATTAGTTAATCAAAGTTGAACAAGAAGTGCTTTTAGACAAGGAAAAGCGCAGTGATCTAGTTTTTTTTTTTTTTTTGTCTGGTTCGCTTCATTCTCCGACGCGTCGCGTCTTTTGTCAAATCTTATTGGTCAAAGCTAAACACAAACAGCTCTACAAAAGAAGAAAAAAAAGTAACAATATGATAACACAATAATAAAAAGAAAGCTACAAAACGATTAATATATTCAGTTCTGTCTCTCAATAGAAAATACTATTTTATATTATAGTTTTTTTAGAATGTCCCTGAAACCCAGAAGTAAGGTACCTTAAGCTTGCAGGGTTGCATGAATTGGATTGTATGTGACTTGCTACCAAGGATTTTTTTTTTCGTTTCAATGCGGACTTTATTTTTGTAGTAGTCAGTGTACTCGGTTCTACCCCTCTTCCATTTTTTTTTTAAACTCTTCTTTCTTTATTTCATTCTTTTCGATTGGTGAACCTTTTTTTTTTAATATGGCGACCTACTTTTCCTTGGGTCCATCCTGGAAGCGGTCGCTTTACACTCCTGGAACACGATATCTTTTACGTCGATCGTTAGCAAGTACAACAACGGAATCAACGACAAGAACGACTAAACCAAACAAACCAATGCTTCCGTCCTATGACTCTAAAAAAGTAGAAGAAGGTTGGTACGATTGGTGGGAATCTCGCGGTTTTTTTACTTCAAGCAGTGCGGATTACTATCCTACAAAGAATAACAACAACAACAAGGAGTTTACGATGATTACACCTCCACCCAATGTTACAGGTTCACTTCACATTGGACATGCTCTCACTTTCAGTATCGAGGATGCACTTGTTCGGTGGCGAAGAATGAAAGGCGATAATGTTAAATGGATTCCAGGAACTGATCATGCTGGTATTGGTACTCAATCAGTGGTAGAGAAAATGCTTATGCGGGACAGACGACAAACCAGGCATGATTTAGGTAGAGAAGCTTTCGTAGGTGAAGTATGGAAATGGCGACGAAAGTATGGGGATCATATTCTTCAGCAAATACGACGTATGGGTGCTTCAGTCTCTTGGAATGATACCTATTTTACCATTGACGAACCTCGTTATCAAGCTGTTCAAAATGCCTTTATGCAAATGTTCAAGGATGGTCTGATATATCGGGATACAAGATTGGTCAACTGGTGTTGTGCTTTGGAAACTGTGATCTCTGATATTGAAGTATGTGTAGAACAAAAAAAAAAAAAAAAAAAAAATACCAAAAAGGGCACAATAAAATATCAATGCTAATTTTTTTCCTTGTATTTTTTTTTCTTAGGTGGATTATATCGATATTCAAGGTAGTACCTTTTTACAACTACCTGGCAAAACGAAAGGGTAAAATAAGAAGAATCTCAACTCAAATAGAACAAATACATTATATTAATAATCTTCCTCTTTTTGTAGCGTTGAATTTGGCGTATTGCATCAATTTACCTACCCCGTTGTGAACCCTTCTCCTGGTGGAATTGAAAAGTTGGTGATATCTACAACAAGAATTGAAACAATGCTTGGTGATTGCGCCATTGCTGTACATCCTGATGATCCTCGCTACAAGGTAACAAACAAAAAAAAAAGGAATAGGTAAATTGAACATTAAAAATCGTAATTGTCTTTTGTATATTAGGAACTTCATGGAAAACAAGTGTATCATCCTTTACTAAAAAAGACATTACCTATTATATGCGACGAACACTTGGTGGATATGGAATTTGGAACCGGTGTTGTAAAAGTAAATGAAAAGAAAGATGATAAAGATAGGGAAAAGAATGAAAATTCTCGATCAACTCTTAATCTTTTTTTTTTGATATATTTAAACTAGATAACACCTGCTCATGATCCAAATGATTACGCCTGCGCCAAACGACATAATTTACCTATCGTATCTGTTTTTGACAAGCTTGGGAAATTGAATAATAACTGCGGGATAGAAGAATTGGTTGGCCAAGATAGATTTGATGTTCGACAGACTGTTATCGACCGATTGAAACAATTGGGTCATTACCAAGGCAAGGATGATAAACATGCTATGCGTATTGCTGTATGTTCGAGATCAGGCGATATTATTGAACCTTTACTTCAACCTCAGTGGTAAAAAAAAAAAATGGATTTACAAGTTTGATGACCTTCTTATCATTCTTTTTTCTTTTGTGTACGTGGGTTTGTCAATAGGTATGTCAAATGCAAAGATTTGGCTTATATATCAAAACATCAAGTTGAATTAGGTGCTATGAATATCTATCCTACTCATCATGTACAAGAATGGTATCGTTGGTTAGACAATATTCAAGATTGGTGTGTTTCTCGACAACTCTGGTGGGGTCACGAAATTCCTGCTTATCAAATTGATATACTAGATGATACAAAGTCGACAGAAGGTAAATTACAAATTACAAAAAGAAAAAAAAAAGAGAGAAATGTTAAACTGACTCAATCTATCGAAATAGAACTCTGGGTTGTAGCACAGGACGAAGACAAGGCAAATATGGAAGCAACTGCTCTATTACAGAAAAAGGGTTATTCGTCAGATACGCCATATCGCCTTTTGAAGGTAAACTAAAGAACAAAGGATATGGAAGAAATATTAGGATGCTAATACTCCTTTTTTTTTAAAAAAAAAAACTTCTGTTATTATATAGGATCAAGATGTTCTTGATACATGGTTTTCTTCAGCTTTATTACCTTTATCTGCTTTGGGATGGAAAGGAAAATCGAATGAATTATCAATACCAGTAAGAAGAAGAAAAATATACAGTTTCAGCCAGCGATCTGTCAACTGAAAGTGACTTTTTTATTGATAGGAACGATACCCACTTCAAGTTATGGAAACTGGTTTCGATATTCTATTCTTCTGGGTGGCACGTATGGCTATGCTTTGCAATCATTTTGTCCAATCACCTCCATTTCAAGATATATACCTTCACGGCATGGTAAGTATATCAAATTGAGTTATGTAAGATCGAAACTGTCTAATACCTTTTTTTTTAAGGTACGTGATGCACAGGGCCGTAAGATGTCGAAATCATTAGGAAATGTGATTGATCCTCTTCATGTCATACAAGGTGTAGATCTAGATACTTTGAAAAGTAACCTCTACAGTGGCAATCTACCAGAAAAGGAAATCGGAAGGTAACACGGAGTTTCGGTAAAATAGGTGCCGAGTGGATCCGAAACGACTGATTTTTTTTTTTCACGTTTTTTTGACTTTTATAGGAGCATTCGCAATTTAGAAAAGGAATATCCAAATGGTATTCCCGCTTGTGGCACGGACTCGTTGAGATACGCTTTAATCGCGTATACGCAGCAGGTAAAGATTAAATCAACCAGAGATTAAAAAAAATTATAGAAACTCATATTTTTTTTTATTTTTTTATTTTTAGACACGGCAAATCAATCTTGATATATCCAATGTGATCCAAACATCTTATTTTTGCAATAAACTATGGAATCTCTTCAAATTTGGTCTTGGTCGATTAGAAAATGAAGATTTAGGATCTAATCATGCTCTTCCGGCAATTGAACAACTTTCTCTTGTCGATCGATTTATTCTCTCCCGGATGGCCGATACGGTGATGAAATGTCAACAAGGATTTGAAAGCTATCGACTATTTGAAGCAGCCGATGTCGTACGACGATTTATTGTGGAAGATGTATGTGATGTTTATGTGGAATTCGCAAAGACAAATTTGAATAATAAGGATATGAATTATCATGAAAAGGTAAAATTTGATGTCAAATGGTTTTATTCGTGTGATGACTGTTTCATATTTATTTATTTATTTTATTTTTATTTAGATTTCTATACTCTCTACATTAAGGACTTGTATGGATGTATCTTTACGTTTGGCTCACCCATTTATGCCTTTTGTTACTGAGGTAATTTGAATTCATTTATCAAAGAAATCGGCTATGAAATCTCATCATTTCATCTGCAATAGGAATTGTGGCAACATATGAAAGAAAGAGTACCAGCAATGACAAGTGTTGATCGACCTCCTAGTATCATGTTGGAACAATATCCCAGTCCACAGCTATTCTCACAGCATTATGACGAAGATATTGAAAAACATTTCAAGGTAATGTTTATAAGAATGGGTGATGATCCAAACTAACTGATTTTAATTATTCTTTTCCATTTCCAGGTTGTTTTATCTATTATCCATGCGTCAAGATCATTGCGCCAAGGTCATCAGATTAGTATTGGCAAGGAGCTACCATTTATCATTTGGTGTGATGATACGAAGCTTCATGATCCTAATGGACCTCTTCAACTTTATTTGAATGATATCAAGAAATTTGTCAAGGCATCATCCATTGAAATTCAACAGCAAGATGTAAGTCAAAATAAAATAAAAATAAAAAAATACGGTTCTTATTTTTCTCTTTTTATTATTATTATTATAAGATACCATCTACTGGTCAATGGACTGTGAAAGTTATCAATAGTAATTTGAAAATCCTTGTACCCACTGAGGAAATCATTCGTGCTCAATTAGAAAAAGCAGCTGCAAATGGATCTGATCTTCAATCTGCTATCGCTAACAAGAATAAATTATTGAACAAGAAATTGAACAAAGCCAAACTGGATTTGGAAAAAATCAAGGAAAAAATGAATAAACCTGGATATGATCAAGCTGTACCTGAAACCGTGAAGGAAAAGAATAGGTAAAAAATCAAAAAAAAAAAAACAAATTCAAACAATATTTGAATGATTAACCAATTCTTTTTTTTTTTTTTTTACGTTGATCCAATAGGAAACGACAACAAATGTTAGAATTAGACTTAGAGACCTTAGAAAATGATTTGAAATTGATGTCTTTGATAAAAATAAACAACTTCTGATTTTTTTTCGGCGTGTGCACCGTCTTTGAATTTCCGGTTTCCTATTTTAGATGGTTTTGAATGGGAAGAGGTGCCGAATTTCTTTAGTCGGAATCAATTTAGTACTCAAAACTTTATTCAATCCTATTCAACGTTTTTTTTTTTTTTTGATTCATATTTTTCATTTTTGTCCGATAAACCCATTCGTAATATAAGAAATCACATTATTATAGATTGAATACGAATTACCCTTTTTGTATTTGCAGCCCGGGAACATCCTACGTATTCAAATCAAATCATTGAAATAGTTTACTCTAACTTATTGATTTAAATCAAATTTCTTTTCTATATATATATGTTTATGCATTAGAAAGTAGTAATAAAAATTATAAAACTTCCAGTAATAGTAAGTAGATCAAAAAAAGAAGGCATATATGCCTATTGTCTAGTCAATTATCTGCACTCGGCGCGCAGATAATCGAATCATTTCATTGGACCGGAACTCGGCTATCCGTGTTTGAAAATCCGCACCTCTTTTAAATACAAAAAGGATATTTTTTTCCTGATCTCTTTTTCCTTTCTTTCTTTCTTTTTCTCTACACTTTTTTTTTATACATATATATATATATTATCTTTTTTTTTTTGTATTTTTATTAATATTTTGTTTTAACCATATACGATGACAGGTTCACCTCCATCGACTGTATCTTCAACGCATACTGTACAAGGTGAACGTACTACTCAAAATGTAGTCACGACTACTACTACTATTCATACCAATGGCTCCAATTCAAATTCATTAGACGAAAAACATATTTCTGACATTGAAGAGTTACCAATCCAACAAACAACACAGAATAACGATGGTGATTCCAATCTTGACGAAAAGAATGGCAAGAAGAAAAAGAAGGAAAAGAAAAAGAAGGAACCTTCTGTACCTATTTATCGCCTATTTCGATTCGCTACTGCTGGTGATTTAGCTTTGATTGCTTTGGCCTGTATCTTCTCTGCTGGTATTGGTGCTATACAACCTGCTACAATTGTTATCTTTGGTAACTTCCTTGGTCAAGTACAATCTACCTTTTCTGCTACAATGATGCCTGGTGCTGTATGTGAACCCTCTAACAAAGGTTTGGATGCTACTATGGGCTTGATTCTCACATTTGTTTATATGGGAACTGCGGTTTTGATTGCTGCCTATCTTACAAATGCTTTCTGGGTCTGGACTGGAGGTAAGATAAAAAAAAAACATCGTTATTTTTATTATTATCATGATTTGATGAACTAATCCAAATTTACGATCTTTCTTTTTTTTTTTTTTCCTTAAAAAAAAAAAACAGAACGACAAACACGAAGAATCCGTACTGCTTATGTTCACGCTATCCTTCGTCAAGAAATGGGTTGGTTCGATAAAGCAGAAGAAGGTTCATTGACTACTCGATTGGCTGCAGATACTCAACTTATTCAAGATGGTATTTCTGAAAAATTTGGTCTCTTTGTTGCTGCTATTGCTCAATTTATTTCTGGTTTTATCATCGCCTTCGTTAAAGGTCCTAAAATGGCTGCTGTTATGCTTGCTACGATGCCATTGTTAGCTGGTGCTGGTGCTGCGATGGGTTATTTCATCACCAAATATACTCTCAAGGCTCAAGATTCTTATGCTGATGCTGGATCCGTTGTTGAGCAAGCTTTTGCTGGTATTCGTACTGTTTCTGCATTCTCTATCCAAAATCGATTCTTCAAGCGTTATGATCAAGAATTGGTCCATGCTCGTGACGTTGGTATTATGCGCGGTCGTGTTCTTGGTTTTGGTTTTGGTACTTTTATGTTTATTCTTTTCAGTACTTACGGGTTGGCTTTCTGGTATGGTTCTCACTTGGTGATGGCAGGTGAATTCGATGCTTCTCAAGTATTGATTGTATTCTTTGCCATGATTATCGGTGCTATCGCTCTTTTACAACTACCTCCCAATATTTCTGCTGTGTCAAGTGCTGCGGGAGCCGCATACAAGATTTTCGCGACTATTGATCGTGTACCTGAAATTGATTCCGACTCCAAAGAAGGATTGACTCTCGAAAAGGTTCATGGTGACATTGAATTCCGTGATATCAAGTTCGTTTATCCTACTCGACCTGACATCACTATTCTCAAAAAGCTTAATCTCAAGATTCATCCTGGTATGACTGTCGCTTTTGTTGGCCCATCTGGTTCCGGTAAAAGTACAAGTATCTCTCTGTTACAACGGTTTTATGATCCTATTGAAGGTCAAGTTCTTTTGGATGGCAAGGATCTGAAGGATTATAATGTCGCTTGGTTACGTCGTCAAATTGGTGTTGTCTCTCAAGAACCTGTTCTCTTCAATATGTCAATCAAGCAAAATTTAATGATGGGTGCTACTCGTGAAGTGACTCATGATGAAATGGTGGAAGCTTGCAAAAAAGCCAATTGTCATTTGTTTATTACTCAGTTACCTCAAGGTTATGACACTATGATTGGTGGAACTGGATTACTCTCTGGTGGTCAAAAACAACGTATTGCTATTGCTCGTGCTATTTTGAAAAACCCTTCTATCTTATTATTGGATGAAGCTACTTCTGCTCTGGATACTCAATCAGAACGTCTTGTTCAAAAAGCTTTGGATGCTGCCTCTGCTGACCGTACTACTATTGTGATTGCTCATCGTTTATCTACTATTCGAAATGCTGATCTTATTGTGGTGATGGATCAAGGTGATTTGGTTGAACAAGGAACTCACAATGAACTCTTAGCTCAAGGTGGTGTTTATGCTGAATTAGTCAAGAAACAAGAAATTGCTCTCGGAGAAACCAACTTTATCGAATCTGAAATAGATGAAGACACTTTGTTGAAACAAGAACAAGCTGAATTGGAAAAGGCCCAAGAAATTCAAATTGTTACTGAAAAACGTGGCTCTGTGGATCTTGTTAAGATGAACAGTCGTACATCCGCTGTAGATGCCTATGAACTTAAACTCAAGAAAGAACTTGAAGAAAAGAAATTGGCTTCCAAGCAACGTACTCCTTTCAAACGGGTCATCAAGCAAATGCGTCCTGAATGGCATTATCTTGTCACTGGTGTTATTGGTGCAGCTATCGCTGGTGCTGTGTTTCCCTGTTTCGCTCTTGTGTTTGCTCAAGTTTTGAATATCATCATGTTTAAACCTCCTTCTGAAATGGCTCCTGCTCCAGTTCAAGGGGCTAACTTGTATGCATTCTTGTTCTTGATTATTGGTATTGCTGCCTTTGGTGGTTTCTCTGTCCAGTTGATATCTTTTGAAACTGCTGGTGAACATTATACAAAACGTCTTCGTGGTCAAATCTTCCAAGCCTACTTGCGTCAAGAAACTGGTTTCTTTGATGATGAAGAACATACCGTTGGTGCTCTTACTTCCAAACTTGCTATTGATGCCAAGAATGTAAATGAACTTGTCACTAAGACTTGGGGTGATGTTACTCAAATTTGTGTCACTGGTATCACTGGTAATTAGAAAAGGAAAAAAAAATAATACTTGATAGTTTGTTTTGATTGAATATTGACAGTTGGATTTTTTTTTTTTTTTTTACACACTCATAGGTCTCGCCATTGCCTTCTCTCACAGTTGGACTTTAACATTGATTATTCTTTGTATGGCACCCTTCATCATGTTTGCCACCGCTTATGAATCCAGGATCCATCGTGGTTTCGAAGACAAGACAAAAAAGGCTAACGAACAAAGTGGTGAAGTTGCTGGTGAAGCTATCAAGGAAATCCGTACTGTCGCTTCCCTTCATCGTCAACAACATTTCGAAGATCGATTTTACAAGGCAACAGAACGTCCTCACCAATTGGCTCGCAACAAGGCAATCACTGCTTCGTTAGGTTATGGTTTACATCAAGGTATCAATATTTACACTAATGCTGTCGCCTTTTATGCTGGTATTCGTTTGATGGATAATTGTACGATTTCTTTCTTGCAAATGTTTGTAAGTACTAAATATTATAACTTTTTCCGCGTATAATATACTAACAATCTCCTTTCTTGTTAAAAAAAAAAAAACAATTAGACAACAATGATGGTGGTCATGATCTCTGCTCAAGGTGTTGGTCGTGCTTCTGTCTTCACATCTGTTTTCGCCAAAGCCAAGATTTCAGCCATTGCCACCTTTGAAGTGATGGATCGTACTCCCAAGATTGATCCTGAATTGGAAGGTATTGAACCTGAAACTATTAATGGCAACGTTGACTTTGAAAATATTACCTTCCGTTATCCTGCTCGACCTGATGTTCCTATTTTCAATGGTGAATTCAACTTGCATGGAAAGGCAAACACTACTATTGCTCTTGTCGGTAAGTCACTAAAACCTATTGATAGTTACTGTGAAGATACTTATTATTATTACTTATTCAATTCAATACAGGTCCTTCCGGTTGTGGTAAAAGCACGACGATCGGTATGCTTCAACGTTGGTATGACCCTCTTAATGGAAGTGTTCGTGTGGATGATCATAATGCAAATTCGTTTACTCTTGGCAACTTACGTAGTCATATGGCTTTAGTTGGTCAAGAACCCACTCTGTTTGATCTTTCTATTGGCGACAATATTCGATATGGTGTGGAAGAACATAAAACTGTTAGTCAAGAAGAAGTTGAAGAAGCTTGTAAATCAGCAAATATTCATAAATTCATCATGGGATTACCTCAAGGTTATAATACTCGTGTTGGTGATAAAGGAAGTAAGTCATAGAAGATGGACAAAAAAAAAAAGGTGATCATCAATGTATATTTATTTATTTTCTTTTTTTTTTATTTAATAGGTCAATTATCTGGTGGACAGAAACAACGTATTGCCATTGCTCGTGCATTGATTCGAAAGCCAAAGATTCTCTTATTGGATGAAGCTACTAGTGCATTGGATAGTGAATCCGAAAAATTGGTACAAGCAGCAATTGATAAGATTTTGGATGAAAAGGATAGTGGTCGTACAACAATCACAATTGCTCATCGTCTATCTACTATTCAAGGTGCTGATATGATTTGTGTTATCAAGGATGGTCGTGTGATCGAACAAGGTTCTCATTTCGAATTATTGAAACTCAATGGTGTTTATAGTGAATTGGTCCATCAACAATCTCTCAGTGCCAACTAAGATGTTAGTTTAGTTGTATATTATCATTCTTTTTTTTTTTTTGTTTTTTGTTTACTATATTATTTGTACTCTTTATTATTATTATTATTCTATTACTATTAGACCTTTGTGTTACTATTTATTCTTCCTTTGTTATATATATCTAGGATCTAGATGTAGAAGGATTCCGTTTTCTATTTTATTTTTTTTATTTTTATTTTTTTGCATTGCTACATATTATCTTATTTTATCAAATCAATAAATACCTTTGTGTTTTATTACCCTACTTCCTTTATACTGAATATACGACATTGAAAGATCAACAAAACATGAAACAATTTTGGTTAAAAAGAATTTTTATGCTCACTCTGTATGATTATCATTTTTCCACTTTGAGGGTTTTTTTTTTGAAGTCAACCGATGGTATTTGTTTGTAAGGGGTTCATAGGGGCAAATCTGTAGATCACTTCCTTTTTTGGCACCGAGATTTTTTTTTTTTTTTTACCTTATTGTTGAAACAACAGGTAAACAATCAAGCAACAAGTCGAAGCTCTTTTTATATATATATATATATGATGATGGTGATGGTGATGATAGTGAATATTGTGATGAAGATGAAGAAGAAAATGACGATGATGATGATGAGATAAAAAGTTTATATAGATGATAAATATTATAATGACTGATGATTGTTAATAGACTCATTGATGGATTGGGATTTTTAGGCAGTAATGAGATATTTTTTTTTCCCAGGGAACAGGAATAAAAAAAAAAGAAGGTAAAGTTATAGTTCCGAAGATATGGAAGTGGAAAAAGAGAAAGTCTTTATGGATGAAAATGAAAAAATATATATAAATGTCTAATAACGGAATAAAAGATTGGGTTACACTTGAGGGAAATCATGAATGAAGGAAACAAAAAGATACACGCGAATTGATAGGACACCATGCGAGCGGTTGATGAAAAAAGTATATCGGATGTTCTTTTATCTTTTGGAACTATGACAGAAAAAGTATTTTTTTAAATCTATAAAACGAGGTTTTTTTTTCTTTTTAAAATAATAAATGATATTGGCGTGATTTTTATCTCAATTGTATCAATAAAATCAAAGGATGACGCCTCCTTTCATCATAAGTACTATTATTTGTTTTGGACAAAGGTTTTTTTTTTTTTCATGAGAAATTATAAGGTTTCAGGTACAAAATTTTTATTTCCATATCGATTATTCTAAAAAAGTAAAAAAAAAAAAAAAAAAAAAAAAAAAGGAAACCCATATTTATTATATTTATTTATTATGATACTGTTAATGGATATTCTTTTTGTTATATGTTCATTGTTCATCATTGAATAGAAAGGTCGATCTAAAAAAAAAAAAAAATAATAAAGATGATTTTCATCTTTTTAGTAATTTATCAAAATTTAATAGCGGATACTCAAATAGACTTCTATTTTGAGTTTAGTAAAAAAAAAAAAAAAAAAAAAAAGGTTGGTTGACAGATCATATCAAACCTAACGTTTTTTAAACATTGGTTAATACCTGTAACCGCCCTTGAAACATGCTTGTTTATAATTGAAATATATATAAAAAAAAAGAAAGTATTGAATATATATATATATGTAAAAAGTAAAGGGGGTATATAAAAGGGGGGGAGCAGGAGAAAGAAAGAGTGGCGTACCTTTCTATAAATCACCTAGTGGGTCTTTGTGCCTTAAAAAGTAACAACTCAAATAGAAATTAAAAGAGATGATCGGTGTTTATAAACGAATATGTTAAATGGTATGATTATAGAATAGGAGAAAAGATATACATAATTATATATATAATTATATATAGTTGTAGATCTTTTTTTTTATTTTATTGATATCAAGGGAATTCATTCATCATCATCATCATATAGTTATATATCGTCATCATTATTATTATTATTGTTTAGGGGATATTATATAGATATATATATTTAAGGAGTGAGGGAGAGAGAGAAGTAAAATGATAATGTGTGTGTATTTATTTTTACTTCATCCCCTTTTTCGTGAACAATTAAAGCCTTTTCAGTTGGCTTCAAACACCGCTTACCCTACATTTTTCTCACCTTTTTTTTTTTTTTTCTTTTCTTTTCTTCCTTCCTTCCTTCTTTTTTTTTTTTTCTTCCTCCCCCCATTGTTTTTTTTTATATACCATATTATCTTTTTTTTTTTGTTGTATGTTGAAAATTATATGAAACGCATATTCTTATTACTTTATTAAAAAGAAGAAAACCGTATAATCATACAAGACATTCCCTACTTTTTTTTATTTTATTTTATATATATATATATCATGACTTCTTCCCCTATTCTTTTACCTACTTCACCTATCACAACTCCTCTATCTCCTGAACTTCTTCCCTCTCATTTTGTACAAGCTCTTCATGACTTTTTTCCCGCTAATGCGCCTGCTGACAATGTATCTGCCTGTTTATTCTTCCAACGTGGTGCCATCATTGAAGTTTACAATCGTGACGAATCGGGATGGTGGGATGGTGTTACTGACGGACTTCGAGGTTGGTTTCCTTCAAATTATGTGGGCCGATTAGGCGAATTACAACGTCACTCTACTGATTATGAAGATATACAAGATACAACTCAACTACAAGAATTTGAAGCTTGGCGGCGACGTTTATTATCTTCTACAACTGGTTTGATTGAACCTTCCGAAAACATATCTGTGCAACCTTTATCTTCTATCAACCACGCTACAAATGTCAGCCATTCTATGGTAAGTTCAGAAACAAAACTATCATCTTGGTGTAACCATCACATCGCGTGCCTTAGTACCTTTTATCTTTGATAAACATGAACTAATTTGTTTGGTTATTTTTATCTCTATAGTTACATCGATCTTCCTCCCAATCATCAAATGGTTCATTCAATAGTGATAAACAACATATATCAAATCGTGTTGAGCTTGCAAGGGCTTTATTAGATGAAGATCGTCAAAAATCAACAAATGCTACCAAGAATATCAACAAGAACTATAAAAATACTCTCAATTTAGATTACTTATTGGAAGATGTTAGTAATCGTATTTCAGATTTGGTAGAAGATTGTGATCAACATCATATAAATAGCAATATTCAACTCGTCATTTTTCAAGTTGTCTCTTCTATTCGATCTGTATTGACTGCTGCAAATACGGTTAGCAAAGATAGTCCACTATTGATGACATATCCTGAATTGGCTCGTCAACGAAAAAGTGTTTTGGCTTCCCTCAGCAAATTAGTCCTCAAAGGAAAAGAATTACAAGCTCTTTATCATGTCAATGATGATCAGCAAGTACGACTTAAGGTTCAAGAGGATATTCCTACTTTGGCAAATCAACTACTCATGGATATGGCCTTATTCGAAAATCTATTACGATCAATCACCCCTTCCTTTCCAGCACTCAGTGATGATGATGATGACGACGATGACGACGATGATGATGATGACGACGATGATGATCAAAGCACTCAAGGCAATAATGATGATTCCACATCTAACAAATTGACACATACGCTGGACGACAACAATTACACACAAAATACATTGACTTCTTTAGACTCTTCAAACAATTTACGACAACAATTAGTGGCTGCTCGACTTTCAAGTGCATCACTTATTGCTCAAGTAGTACCTCTTCCGGATGCTCAAAATATCATTCAAACAATCTTGGATCATCAAGCAGAAATTGACGAACTTATTCGCGCATTACTGATTACAGTGGAAGAATTCTTATCTTCTCGACAACGGGCAACTCATATGTTGGAAATGACAAGAAAGGCTGTAGAAGCTGTACGAACATTTTTAGCTGTGGTGGAACATGTTTGTTCAAACGTTGGTGATTTGGATTACAAACATTGCTCAGTCATTCCGGAAGATCCCCATCTGGTGGCACTCGTTTTGGCCAAGGAGGCAGTTTATAGTTCAATTACGAATCTAGTAACAGCAGTGCGTGCGCTTACGGGTCCTAAAGGGCAACACTCTGATGATTCTGACGATCTATACCATTTACAATCAAGCTGTGAAAATGTTATCCGAACAACAAATGAATGTGCTTCCTGCATCCGTACATGTCTCTATGTGGAAGATCCATCTCTTGATTTACCTCCCCTGACTGCTTCTTCTCTTCATGAAATGAGAGATCGTTTGGAAAACTCGGTGGATACAAGACGAAATCAAACTCTTAGTATTTTGGGTAGAAAGGTCACAAGTCTCAATGCTTTACAACGACGATACAACAGCGAAGGTAGTGGTGATAGCGACAGTTCATCCATCACAGTGACCAATCACGATACTAGCTCTCATGTTACCACGAAATCACATACATTAACGGAAACAACCGATTTACCACCCACACCAGCTGATACACCAACTGTATATACAGATGATAACGACAAAACTTCTTCACATACAACAACAACAACAACAGTGCAATCTAATCTTCATAATCAAAAACTGCGCCCCACTGCTATGATCAACAAAGTAGATAAGGATTACGAAAATGATGTGGAAGATTTGGAAATTCGCGAACGCCAACCTGCAGCTTCATCCTCCGAACCATCAGCATTATCATCCGCTGTAGCCCACGATATTTTAGACGGTTATCAACGTCATCGTACTCAAAGTATTCCTTCCGTTTTATCTGAAAGCAGCCAATCTCGATCTTCTACGGGTAGCCGGTCCACACGATCTCATCATGGCAAAACATCAAGATCTCATGCTCCTCCAACACAAAGAAGATCCCAAGCAACCACACGATCATCCCTTACTACATCTGTTGGATCAACAAACAGAGCGTCAAGACCCTTATCCCAACGATCTTCAGTAGACTCTTTCAACATAACGCCTATGACTACACCTGAGGCCATGAGTCCTGTTAACGAATATGATGATGACATCCCACTTGGACACCAACTTCCTGGAAAAGCTGATATATCACAACAACGAAATTCTCGACATCGATCTTCTTCTATCAATGCACTTACCGTTTTATCTCATCCAGTTCAACAACACTCTCCATTATCGTCATCACAAAGGTTACCTTTACCACCTATTCCACCATCTCCAATGGAACCTCCACCTGATCTGAAGTTGACAAGTAGCAAATCAACTCCAACCTCTGACAAGTCAGCAACTGTATCAAAATCACGTCGCCCTCGTGGTATGAGTGTCACTGCATTCCGTATGTCCATCAAACAAAAATATGATGAAAATCAACGTGCTTCCAATGGATCTTTGGCCAAAGAATCAACTGACAACAAGTCCATCGAGCGTGTCTCTTCTCAATCGTCATTACAATCTGCAGATCGAAATTCAGCTAATGAAACCAAGGTAACAAGCAATATATATATATTATATATATATATATATACTAACCTGATTAAATATTTTTACTTGTAAAGGTGGATCAGGAACCTTGGTTCTTGAAACAACGAACATTCTCTCCCGATGAAGTGATCACCAACGCTGACGGCCATTTGACTGGAGCAACCATAGAGGCATTGGTAGAAAAATTGACATTGCATGAAATGTCTCCAGGTATTTTCTTTTTTTTTTTTTAAAAAAAAAAAAAAGAATATAAATAATAATAATTGGAAGGTAAAATTAAACTGATATCAAATTTTTGTTTTTCAATAGATTTGGTGTTTACTCGCGCATTCTTTTACAACTTTCGTTTGTTTACAACTCCTGAAGCCTTTGTGGATTTATTGACTCAACGCTTTCGACTGGCACCACCACCTGAAATACTCCAATCTGAGGATGATTTGAATTTATGGAAAAATCGTGTCCTTGTTCCTGTCCGTTTACGTGTTTACAATGTGATCAAGACTTGGTTGGAAACCTACTATCGCTATGAACAAGATGATGTGGAAGATCAACTTATGGCCTTGGCCACTGAAGATATGCAAGAAGCTATGCCTGGTCCTGCTAAAAGAATGATTGATTTGATTCAACGAACAGTAAGTTGACGGCAAAAAAAAAAAAAAAAAAATAGGAATTAACTAGGTTTTTTTTTTTCTGTAGTTTGAAGTTCGTGGTCATTCCATTTCACACCGAAAAATGTCTTATGCCATTTGTTCTACAACTACTTCACATACATCTACACTTTTTGGTGTCAATAATAGCAATGTCTCTATCAGCGAATATAATCCATTACGACCTCCTTTACACTCTAAAACATCCTCCAGTCACTTGTCACTATCCTCTGGATCATCTTTGTTCTCTGATCTCTCCTTGTTTGGCAGTGATAGTCATCATAGTAACTCATCATCTTCATCATCTTCTGAACAATTCAATTATCCTCCCATCAATCTTACTCGGTCTCTTCGTAACGCACTTCGAAAAGCTATCAACCAGAATAATCTCAATTTGGTACATGTCAACGATTTTGACTGTATGGAATTGGCTCGACAATTTACTTTGATGGAAAGTGCCTTATTTTGTCAAATTACTCCTTATGAAATGATTGGTCAAGAGTTCAAAAAGAAGGTTGGTCAAAGCACCGCTATTCATGTCAAGGCAATGATTCAAAAAAGTACTCAAGTGACAAGCTGGATCTCTGATTCTATTCTACGAGAACAAGAACCAAAACGACGTGCTCAAATGCTCAAATTTTGGATCAAGGTTGGAGATGTAAGTAGATTAAAAAAGAGAATGGTGAAAAAAAATTAAGGGATATGATTATTTAATGATCATAATTTTTTTTTTTTTTTTGTATTGATAGTGCTGTCTTCAAATGAACAACTACAACACATTAATGGCAATACGCTCGGCGCTGGATTCGACGAGCATAAGACGACTCAAGAGATCATGGGATCATCTATCAACAAAATATAAGGCCATGTTGGAACCAATTTATAGGGCGACCGACTCCTCACGCAATTTTGCAGAATACCGTGCTCGATTGAAAACAGCAGTAGCTCCTTGTCTTCCTTTCCTTGGTGTGTATTTGACCGATATGACATTTATTGATGATGGTAACAGCAATCATCGAACCACACCCTCTGGTCATACAGTAATCAACTTTGACAAGTACATCAAGACAACTCGTGTATTGAACGAAATCGATCAATTCCAAATCCCTTACAAGTTATTGGAAGTCGAGGAAATACAACGTTATTTGGCAAGATGTTTGGAAACAGTGGAAAAAGATGAACAAGTGTTTTACAACAGAAGTGTGGCTTTGGAACCTCGACAAGAAGAAATGATCGTCAATGATATTCGTCAAACTATTAGTCACCTTACCTAAACTTTCTTTGTCATTTTATTATTATTATTATTTATCATCATCATCATCATTACTTTTTGTTATTATTTTGTCATTCATGCAATCATTGATTTGATTACTTCCCCCCACTTTTTGTATATTTTCCACCTTTACTCCCTATTATCTGAAAAATGTATATATATACTTGTTTTATATTATTATTTATTTATTATTATATTATTATTTATTATTATTACTATTTTACTTCTGAAATAAACCGTTGTTACTTTTGATCCTATTTTATTTGAATGACGTGATAATACATAGTAACTCATATGTTTCATTATCTTTCTTTAATATCAGATTACTGTCATTTACTGGTTTTTTCCATGTGAAGCGCGTTTATTTTTTTCTTTTTCTGCGTTAAGGCTAGAGGCCCGTTTGCATTGAATATATTTGCGGTGATCAGTATTATATGTGTTCTTTATAATGTTTTTATTATTGTTATTATTTAGTTATTTGTCTTTCTTTTTTTTTTTTTTTTTTTTTTTTTTTTGGTTGTCTAAACTACAACCAGGTCCATGATCAAACACAAAAAGAAGATAATATACATAAAACAGAACAGGAGTTAGATCACTAGTTAATCTACTTGTTTATTCAATAAAACTAAACAAAATATAGGTATTAAACATACAATACTAATTATAATATGGATTCTATTTATTTGTTTCTTTCCATTCGAAAGGATCATCCACACCCACCATTTCAATCACAGTATTGAGTATCACTTGTAATTCGGACACAAAGGTAGAAGAAGCCAAAAGATACACACCAAAGGCGGCAAAGTTGGGTAAGGTGTCCACGTTCAAATCACGTCGTTGAATCCGCATCTTTTTTTCCACAGCAATGCTAAATCTATTTCTTGCTTTATCGGGAGTCAGTAGGAACGGTGGATAGGACATTTTGGATGAAAGAGAGCCTGCTGTTAATTTTAATCCCACCATGATGGATGATAACTATAAAAAGAAAAAAGCATGAGATCAATACTGAACACTTATATATACGAGGTTGATTTGACTTGCGTAATCTTGTCGTTCTTTCATTAATATCGTCGAGATATGATCTCTCCAATCATCATCAATGGATCTAGCAGCATAGACCTAGATTGAAATGAAAATCAATATAAAAAGATCGCTCCTTTTTTTTTTTTTTTTTTTCTTACCATAGCATCCACAAGATCAGCCATATTCTCTACTCTATCTACCAGAGTAGTGTATTCCTTCAAAGGAAATTTACCACGAAGAGAAGGTTCGAATTTGGATGTCATCAATAAAGCACGTTCATCTGCGATTTGTCGTTGGACTTCCACCATCCATTTCCGGAAAGTTTTTCTTTGATTTTCGGTTGGTGGATTTTCATGAGGGACCATATAAGAGGATGTTAATAGTGAATACATTCTTCCAACTTGCGTGATAGTGATTGCCAATCTTCGTCGTAATTCCACTCGGCCGTTGACTTGACTAGGAATCATATTTAAGATGGTTGCTCCAAGTATACCAATTATTACCAGAAGCATGCGCTAAAGAAAACAGAAAAAAGGAATCAGATCAGTCATTACTTTTATATATATATTCCTTCTTCTTACCTTTCCAGCAACAGTATAGACTTCATCATGATTAGAAACTTGATCTTGAATATACTGCATTTCATAGATAGTCACTAATACCAAAGTGACAATAGCCACCATATGGAGAGGTCGCATATATGGCGGACCAAACAAAAAGGCATATTGGAAAAACATAAAACACACAAAACATAAAACAGAAAGACCATAAGGATTTCCACGAGAGATTTCCCAGACCACGATACCCAGTACTCCACCAATAACGGTACCAACGAATCGCAAAAGACTTGACAAGTAGAACATGCCAGCCATAGGGAAAAGCCATAATACCAAAGTAATCTGAGCCCAGCGACCTTGCCATTCATTGTACCATCCAACATCTTCTCTTCGGTAAGCAGGAATTGAGAGTAAAACAACAGCAACTATATCAAAGTAAAAAAAAAAAAAAAACCAAATTAGCCATCCATCCATCAAACAATAGATTTATAAAAAAAAAAAAAATTACCTGCAGTCTTGAAAGCAAAAAAAGTATTGATAGAAAAACACCATTTCTTGAACAAATGTAATGAGAAGAAGAATCGTTCGATCTTGTTGGACGGAGGATAGAGGTCAGGATCCAAATGTAAAAACTTGGCTTTTTTTCTTGATTTCTTCTCTTTATAATTTTTAGTATCTAAACGAGAGGATGCGGCCAAGTTGTCATCATCCAGAGCATCCGGTCTTGTTCTTGTTCGAATCAAACCTTGATCAGATGATGTTGGATTGTCGCCACCATCCTGAGGATCTAATACAGATGATTGGAACCATTTCTTCAGAGTAATAGAAGGTAACCAGAATCTTTTGGAGGGTCGGTCATGTTCGAGTTGTATCAAGGTTTCAGCCAGTTCAATGATATTGGTACTATGTGCTTTGAGATTCATTTGATAACAGAATAGTACATACAAAAGACCATAGCGAGGATCTTTATCTTCTTGTAAATGAATTGTTTCCAGAAAAGTGATCATCCCTGGTGTTGCAATTGCTTCCATTTCTGCCACCAATTTGCCAAGTCGATCCAAGTTATTTTTGTATTCCAGTGTTGTGTTCGTCGTATCTTTTTCGAGATCGTTGTCATTTGTTGATTTGTTTTGTCGCCACCTCTTGAATATATTGAACCGTATGAATGGCCATAGAAACGTAGTGGTAGCTGAACGTGGTGAGTTTCCAAACTTGCTAAATCTATCACTGGTTGTCATTAAAATAACGTGACAGAGACTGGCCATTTCCGTGTACAAGGGAATCAGATCTGTCAGAGCATCATTGAAAGCTTGACGTTCTTGATCGGTCACAATATAGGTAAAGGCATCCTGTTCATTTTCAGCATCATCAAGTCCCAATCCTTCTTTCTTCTTGAGCAAAGAAAATCCAATACCATGTAAAGGGGCACGCATTTGTTTCACTATTCTGATAGAAAGAAAAAGAAAGGGGAAAAAAAATTGAATTCGGTTTTCTATAGTGCTCTACTGGTATTTTTATTTTTATTTTCTTTTTTTTTTTTTTTTTTTTTTTTTTTTACTTACTTTGTGATTTTGCTGCAGTCCTTGGATGAAAGGTAAGAATACAATATTTCACGCTGTACAGCCCTTTTGCTATCAATCAATATCAGTACAGAATCAAGCATTTTTGAATGTAATTGACGTAATCCAACATGGAGCGATGTTTTCGAGAGTGAGACAAAGGCGTCCGAGTGATCCTTGAAAAATGAATTGTACTCGTTGAGGCTATTTGAAAGGCAAATCAAATAGTTGGTCATTGTGTCTTCTGGCCAGATCAGCACTGTCACTACTAACGTGATGGCGGTACCAACTGCAATAGGGATTAATATAGCATACTGAAAATAAAAAATGGATTCGTTAGAATATACACTAAAAATTCTTGTTTATAGTTACCATCACCGCAGGTTGAAATCCAGGTATACTGCTTGCACTTGTCATTGTCATCTTTGCATAAATAATAGGGAACAAATATAAGTTTTTACGTTGGTAAATATAATAACATGTATCAAATCCGTAGATGACTTTACCGTCAAGATAATACAGGCGAAGATGCAGGCGAAATTAGCTAAAATGATGAAAAAGAACATAATAGCGAATAAATGAATAAACAAAACAAGAAACTTGATGATTACCTTTTGGAAAGTACACCCGAATATAGTTGACGACAAAAGTACCAAAAAATAAGAAAACAGCCAATACAGCACTTGAGGCAGCTTGAATTGGTTCTGATTCCAAAGGATTTCTTGCTAGATTTGCCAAAAACATGCCCTAAAACGAAAAAAAAATAATCATTAATCATTCTAGTGTCCATCAATATGTTAGTATCCTTACCAAAGTACACCATGCCGCGCTAAGAAGAGATCCTACAAATCATACATGAAAACAAGGGGTCAGCTGAGTTCTTTATCTTTTTACGTGTCAGGCTAAGTCCACTTTCTACTAACATACCTGCCGTTCCATACATGATTGACTGAATCCATTAAGAGGTTTCAGATAAAGAAAAAAGAAAAAAAAAAAGGAAACTAGTTAGTTGGTATCTTCCAGATATCGAATTATCTACGCTTACTTCCAATACCACTCCAAGAGATCTATTAGGAAAGTAAAAGAGACAAGTAATAACAACGAAGAGAGTGCCTGATCCAATAGCTTGCTTTGTTGTTCCATCCATGTTCATAATAAAGCCAATCAATAACGATATGCATACCTTGGTAGTTTTTCGTACAGCTTCTAAAGTGGGTAATCGGTCTTTTATCCTTTTGGTCAAAGAAGGAGATGGCATTGGTTCATTGCTGTTCATAGAAATAGTAGTAGAATCGACCATTATCACCAGAGATTCATGTTCGTATTATGATAAAAAAAAAAGAAAGTGCAATGAAGAAAGAAAGAAAGAAAGAAATAGGGTGTGAGAGAAAAAAATAAAAGAAAAGAAAAAGAAAAAGAAAAAAAAGGAAAAAGAAAAAAGAAAAATATATATGCATGCAAGTCCGAAGATGTGTACAGATATTTATTACAGTCTATCATCATAACCAGTATTTTATAAACTACAATCTATTTAAAGCCTTGCTGCCTTTTGTTGAGCCTGTTGTTCTTCGTTTTTGATCCATAATCGAATGTCCTTGCGTAAGATTTTTCCACTAGGACTCTTGGGAATAGCTTGCACGAAACGGATACCACCTCTCAGTTTCTTATGATTTGCTACCTTGGCCTATAACATTATATAGAAAATAAGTCATCATCATCCTTCTTAGATATCATCCTTATCTCTTTTAGTAACTTACAGCAACATAATCAGATAATTCCTTGGCCAAATTAGGGGTATCTTTATTTCCAGGTTGCAATACAACGTACGCACGAGGGTATTCTGTTGCTTCCTTTGAATTGTAAACGCCAACAACAGCACAATCAGCTACCTTTTCATTTCCTAGCAAGATGGCTTCCAATTCAGCAGGAGCCACTTGCAAACCTTTGTACTTGATTAATTCCTTGATACGATCCACTATATAAAATTCTTTTGTCTTGGAGCTGAATACAGCGACATCACCCGTTCTCATCCATCCATCCTTGGTAAAAGTCTTGGCATTGGCTTCTTCATTGTTCAGATATCCCTTCATAATAGAAACACCACGAACAAGCAATTCACCAGGTAGATCATGACCCAATTCTAATCACACAATAAAAAAGAGGAAAAATATATAATTATTTCTTTTCTTAATCAATCAATCATTTCTCTCTTTTTTTTTTTTTACCATTATCATTTTCATCTACAATCTTAGCTTCATTGTTGGAAACCAAAACACCGATAGATCCAGAAGCGCTTTGACCAGCTCTTTGTAAAATGATTCCACTGGTTGTTTCTGTCATACCATAACCTTGACGAACAGTAGAGGGTACAGCACGAACTAAAGCGTTGATATGTTCATCACCAAGAGGAGCAGCACCTGAAACAGAAGAATAAGTAATAAAAAAAAAAAAGGATCCATTTGTAAATCAGCACATGTTTTCATTTTTTTTTTAAAAAAAAAAAAAAAGACTTACCAGAACCCAATCGAACAAGAGAGGACATGTTATATTTCTTGACAATAGGAGATTTGGCCAAAAGAACAGCAATGGGTGGAACAATGTTAGCAAAGGTGATCTTGTATCGTTCCACAAGTTGACAGAAGAGTTCTAGATCAAATCGCTGCATCACCACCACAGGAATCACCCGATAAAAACTATTCATCACCATACCAGTCAAACCATAGATGTGATAAAAGGGTAAAAACGCAACCAATCGATCATCATCACGGCTGTTGTTGTCAGGATCAAAATTCAAATTCACTAAGACTTGGCCAACGAAGTTACGGTGAGTAATACAAACCCCTTTGGCCACACCAGTGGTACCACTTGAATAGCAAATAAAAGGAACATCTTCAGATGGATTGATACCTTGAAGAGGAGCCACTACACGACGTTGAGGATCATTGGGTAAAAGAGAATAGAAAGGTTTGCATCCATTGACTTGTTTATCACCAAATAAGAATATACGTTCACGAGAAAGACCAATCTTGTCACACACTTTTAAAAGCACAGGTAACAACTCAGGTACCGTGATCAATGTTTGCGCACCAGAGTTGGAAAGTTGATGCTGAAACTCATCTACATATATATAAGGAGTAAAATCAATCGTCAATCCTTTTCATCACCTTTATCCAGTCATCATCTATCATTATCTCGGATCAAAATTACCTTCGGTATAGCCTGGATTACTATTATTGCCAATAAAAAAAAAAGATGAGAAAGAAAAAAAAAAAGAAAAGGTTTACTTACCCGGGAGTAATTGTACATCCAGTAGCCATAAGAGAAAAGTAAAGTATGACATGATCATATTGATTTGGAGCGAATACAGCTACAGTATCCCCTTTTTTCATACCAAGATGATCAATCCAACCAGCAGCAAGTCGACTAGAAATATCTTTGACTTGACCATGTGTCAAAGTTCTACCAGTAGGACCATCAATAGTTACTACAGTATTTTCAGCACCAGGCTTTGTATTGTGTTCATTATCTTGAATTAAAAAGGAATAAATATCAATATCAGGAATCGGTATATCAGGAAGATGTGATTTATAAATCATGTTAATTAAATAAATAAATAAATAAAAATAAAGGATTAATATACAATGAAAAAAAAAGTAAAAAGAAGAAAGAAAAGTGGTAAAAAAAAAGGTGGGGTAAATCTTTTTTATGATAACGAGATCTAAACTCCGTAACAGTGGGAAAATGCTTACAAGAGATTTTTGGCTCGAAAAATACAAATGAAAAAAAAAGGGGATATGTATGAGCCAAATTTTGATTTCCGGTGATCCCATCCAAACAAAGCATATTTCTGATAGTGAATTAAGGGGAAAAGTTTTCATACCATGATGGGATATGTAAAAATGAAAAAAAAACATATATAAAACAGGAATATTTTCATGATGATGATTTCTTTTTCTTTTTCTTTTTTTCTTCTTCTTCATCATTCCTTAATTTTCAATGGGCAATAAAAAAGAAGAATATAGTAGTTTGGCGGTGAATACTACGGAGTCCAATTGTCCACCATCCCCATCCACTTTAGTTGCTTCACGGTATATTGATTTATCACCATGGATGAAAACAGTTTTACCTGTATTAAGTTATTGTATTGCAAGTATCTTGATGACTGTTACCAACAAATATGTGGTGAATGGTAATTTCAATATGGTCTTTTTCCTTCTTTCTGTTCAGGTAAAAAAAAAAAAAAAAAAAAAAAATCAATTCATTTAAGGTGAAGGATGATTGATTACCCACCGGTCTTTTAATAGTCAAGTTTCCTTTTTTTTTTTTGACATAAATAATAGAGTATCACCACTGTTCTTTTATTACAAATTTTTAAATTCTTAAATTTTATTAAATATCGTGAATTTGATATTGATGAGGCAAAGAAATGGTTTCCAATTGTCCTATTTCTTGTGGCTATGATTTATACTGGTTCCAAAGCATTACAATATTTAGCCATTCCTGTCTATACTATTTTTAAGAATTTGACAATCATCCTTATCGCCTATGGTGAAGTCATTTGGTTTGGTGGTACCGTCACTTTTTTAATGATGGTCTCTTTCACATTGATGGTAATAATAAAAAAAAATATATATGTATAAGAAACACAGGATTGACATTTTATTTTTATGCAGACTTTGTCATCAGCTATTGCAGGATGGTCAGATGTTAGTATTGCCATCAACACGTTTGTACAAGCAGATTCACTTGTTTATAGTAATACTATGATTGGTTATTTCTGGATGGCCACCAATTGTCTCTCATCTGCTTCCTTTGTATTGTATATGCGCAAAAGAATCAAGATCACTCAATTTAAGGATTTTGATGTGGTGTTTTATAATAATTTATTATCCATTCCCATGTTGATCATCCCTAGTCTTTTATTGGAAGATTGGTCTACAGAGAATTTGAACTTCAACTTGTAAGAAAAAAAAAAAAAAAAAAAAGGGAAAGATAGAAATGATGTTTTTTTTTTTTTTGTATTAGTCCAGCAGAAGAACGTCAAGTTAGAATTTGGGCCATGATCTTTTCTGGTGCGTCCGCCTTTGGCATGTCTTATGCGTCAGCATGGTGTGTACGTACAACATCATCTACCACTTATAGTATGGTTGGTTCTTTGAATAAATTACCTATCGCCATCTCTGGTCTTGTCTTCTTTGGTGATCCTGCCACTGTAGCTAGTATTTCAGCTATTCTTATAGGTAAGTGAATCATCATCATCAAAAAAGGAAGAATAGCAATTGATGATCCTTTTATTATTTTCATCATAGGTTTTGTTGCTGGTATAGTATTCTCTTATGCCAAAGCATATCCTCCACAAGATGTCAAAAGAGGCGAAAAAGGATAAAATGAATCGATTGATAAAGAGAGTTGTTAATTTTTTTTTTTATTATTTCAGTTTAATAAAGATAATAAAAGAGAGGAAAAAGTAATGTTTTTGTATCTACAAAATGTCTAATCTAGAATCGTAATAATGATATCGTCTAACTGCTATTAAAAAAATATATAGGGAAAAGTGATATATATATAAAAATAGGATAAATGTCAAAAAAAAAAAAAAAGAATCTTGATTTTCTTCATTTCTTGTGTTGAAGAGCGAGGTGTACAAAGTATTGATGGAGTCTATTATCACGAGTTAATTCAGGATGGAAAGCTGTTGCCATAAGATGACCTTGACGAACCGCCACAATAGTTTCAGCATCAGTTTGTCCGACCTTGGATTCCAAACGAGATAAGATTTCCACATCATCCGACTTGACGGCAGTGATAATAGGCGCACGAATAAACACAGCATGGAAAGGTTGGTTTTCGCCAAGAATAGTAGGGAAATGGAGCATGGTTTCGAAAGAGTCCTTTTGTGTACCAAATTGATTGCGATTGACACAAATAGATAATCCACCTAATAATTGTTGTCCACCCTTTTTCGCTCCAGTTGCTTCATCGGCAAGCATAATCATACCTGCACAAGTACCCCAAGTTGGTTTGTTACGCACAAATGTACGTAGAGGTTCAAGTAAATTGCACCGTTCTGCAATCAATGCCATGGCTGTAGATTCACCTCCTGGAATAACAAGACAATCTACACTGTTGAGTTGTTCTTCAGTTCTTACGGCAAGAACTTGTTTTACTGATGGAATGTTTTGAAGCATATGTATATGTTCGATAAAGGCTCCTTGTAAGGCTAAAAAAAAAAAGATAATGATAATAAATAAAACAAAGTTCTACCCAATTCCTTCTAATTATTTTTATTTTATTTTCTTACCCAAGACACCAACAATGATAGTAGGTTGATCTGTTACCATGATAATTAATTCGGCAGGTAAAATATAAAAAAAAAGGGAAAAAAAAGAAAAAGAAAAAAGAGAGCTTTTAAGGGAAAATAACAGTGACTCAAGATTGTGTAAGTCCGTCTTTATCATTGGTCAATTCTCTTTTCGGGAAATGGACCTCAAAGTGTGGGAAACAAAATCATTGCAAATGACAGGTCAGTGCCTTTTGTTTTATAAAACCTATCCTGTGGTAAAATAGATTTGGCGGGCAAAAGGAAATTAGTTATAAAACTGATGAACTATTCATATTCATTATTCAACTCATTGTATAAAAATATATTTAACAGAAAAGAATTGTTGATCGTGAGAAAGTTAATAATAAGTTACTGTAGATAATATCATTGTTGGATGAATATGATACAATTGATTACTGTATACAATAGTGAATGGCTCATATATACATCTGCATCACAGTGAAGTGAAAATACACACTATACTTGATATATTTTAATATCATATGCTGCACACTATCCGATATCTTATAATCTCACTTGAAAATTGAAAAAAGACTTGTTAACATGATCTATCATTCACCATCATACATAATAGATCGTCATATAATCTATCATTTTTATTTACAAAATATATTATAATGTACACTATGTATCAAAAGTAGTTTCTAAATCTAATATATGCCATCTTCATCTTCTATTTCGCTTGCCAGGATGCCATCTAATATTTGGTTTAAAGAGACAACCATCCAATTTCATTTTTCTTGCAATATAAACCAAGTTTCTTGCATCGTCCAATCCAGAGTGTTGATGTCCTTCGAAATCCATATTCAAATCAGCTAGCATACGAGGAATATTTTTTGCTTTCTTTTGTTTGTAAAAGTCTTGATAAAGTTTTCTTATGTTAATCCAAGGTTGACAAAAATATTCAGGTCGTTTTTTCAATTGACTATGATGACATTGCTTAGTGATAAAATCACGAATATCAAACGGACCATCTATATCAATCAAAAAAAAAAAAAAAAAAAGGGTAAAATAATATAATATATTAAAAGTCAAGATTTACCTGTGACAAAAGAAGCTGATTTATCTTGGAATAAAGAATATTTCGCCATGAATTGTTGAAAATCATCCAATACTTGTATAAAATCAGGACTACTATCAATTGTTTCCTATAATGAAGATTAGAAAAAATCATCAGTTATAATAATCGGAATAGAGTTAAACTTACTTGAGTAATTCCTGTCAAATTAATACAAAACTTGGATAGCGTTGGGTTAACACTGGGTTTGACATATGAACGGAACTCATCCACCTAATATTTATGCAAAAATCATAACAAAAAAGAAAAAATAAAAAAAAAGGAAGAATCATGTTATTATATTGTAAGAAAAGATAAAAAAAAAAAATTATTTTCAAATTAATTAACTTACAATTTCAAAAGATTGACCATCCACTAATACCACAGGGAATTCGATAATTTCATTGGGATAATCAAACCCTCCATCGGCTTCACACGTTGCTTCCACGTCGAAAAAGAGATAATAATCGCATGGCTGTTTCTTTAGATCTATCCTATAAAAAAGAAATAGAGAGTAATATGTTAACTGTTGATTACTTTAATAAATTATTTTACCTTTTTGTTTGAGACTGTTCGTTCTTTTCCTTATTGTCAATCTTTTTCAAAGCTTTTCTTAACCGTTTCTTCAGTTCAGGTTTGTGACCCTTTGTTTCTAATCCTAGAGCTTCCAATTTTAATCGAAGTTGTTCAACTGTTGTAAGTGAAGTATTTTCATTTGTTTCTATTGTCTCTATCGGGTCTATCATCTATAACAAAAAACAAAAAAAAAAAAAAAAGTATACTAAAGGAAAAGGAAGACAGGGAAAAAAAAAAGTTGTAAGTGGCTGAAATCTATCACCGCCATTTCAAATTTGACTTTATGCTAAAAAAGGAAATACACAGAACACTTCATTCAATCAGGAGGTCAAACTTATTCATTGTAAAAAGACTTGACATCAAATAAAATTGTATTTTATAATAATACATTGAAAAGAATCTATCATCTAATTTATCTTACCAATAAAAACAAGAAGAAGAAGATGAAGAAAAACTCTATTAACTGTATAACAGTAATTCATGCAGTCAGGTCCATTCTTAATCGATTCCATTACAGTGTACAGTTGATATGGACAAAAAAAAAAGTTTACACTTATCATTTTAGTTAATAAAAATTAAACATCACGTTTATAAAATCATCAAAGAATGAACAAATTTACTAGACAAGAAAGGCATTAATATGTGAAATAAAGTATACATACAGACAAAAAAAAAAAAAAAAAAGAAAGAAAAGAAAGCTTGTTGCATTACTGGATTTTTCCTAGTGAATTGCGTTTATTTTCTTCTTTTCTGCGCTATGATTAGAGACTTGTTCGCATCAGTGTTCGAGCATACTTGATGTTCCAATTTGATTTTCCCTTCTCTTTCAATTTGATTTTCCCTTCGCTCTTAATTTGATTTTCTTTTCACTCTCAAACTGATATTCCCTAGTTCTCAAATTTTATTTTTTCTTTGTCTGTATCTTTTTTTTTTACCCTTTTATCTTAATTTAACGTGAATAAATTGTATTGTACTCCCTTAAGTTGAATGTCCATGAAATCTAAAGCAACTTTAACACTGATGGAAGATGGTTCAATCTCCGGCGCAATATACTCTTTTTAAGTTCTTATTTTTTTGGCTCACACACTTTTTCTTTTTCTTTTTCTCTCACATTTTTTTTAACGAAATTCTCACGTTTATCATGTCAGACGAAAAAGTTGCAACTGTTGCTATTGTAGGTGGAGGTCTTGTTGGTGCCTTGAATGCTGTTTATTTTGCTCAACGTGGTTGGAAAGTTGATCTTTATGAATTACGAGCAGGTAACTTCTTATCAACAAAAAAAAAATCTTTTTCCCCTCTATAACTTTCTATGCTTTTATTTGAATTAGATATGCGTTTACCAGAACAAAAGAAAACACAACGTGGAAAATCCATCAACTTGGCATTATCTGAACGTGGTCTTAGTGCTTTGAGGGCTACAGGTCTTGGTCTAGCTAAAGTGATATTGGACTCGGCTGTTCCTATGCATTCCAGAATGGTTCATCTTGGTCAAGAAGGTCGTCAAATGTCACAATCTTATTCTATTCACGGTGAAGTAAGGAAATATATAAGACAGAGAGAGAGAGAGAAAGAAAGAGAGATACGAAGTACAAAAGTGAATATGTTATTCTAATGGATTTTTTTTGTTTTGTTTAATATAGCATATCAATGCTGTTGATCGTGCTCGATTAAACGAATTATTATTAGATGCAGCTGAAGAATGGTCAAATGTTACTATCCATTTTGAACATAAATTGAAGAAACTTGACGTCGAAAAAGGTACTATGGTGTATCTAGTTGGGTAAGGAGTCAAGAAAAAAAAAAAAAGAAGAAAAATATCAACTATTTAATATATGTTATGCTTATTCATCTTTATAAACAAATAGGGCTGATGAATTTGAAGTGACAAAACAAGCTGATTTTATTGTTGGTGCTGATGGTGCTTATTCCAAGGTCCGTGACCAAATGATGAGAAAGATTAGGTAAGACAAAAATAATAATAAAAAAAAAAAGAAAGTATGATTCTCGAGAAATCACTATGGGGTAGTCTTAAATTTTTGTATTTGATACAGAATGAACTTCCAACAAGAATATATCGATACTGGTTATTGTGAACTTTATATGCCACCAAAGATTGAAAATGGAAAACCAACTTATGCATTGGATCCCAATCACCTGCATATCTGGCCTAGACATACATTCATGCTGATTGCATTACCAAACCCTGTAAATAATAATGATGATCATGATGTTTTTATTTTTCAAAAAAAAAAAAAAATACTAATCCATATATTTTTTTTTTTGTATTTCAAAAGGACAAATCATTTACTTGTACTCTGTTTATGCCATTTGACATGTTTGAAAGTATCAAAACTGATGGAGACTTGATGAAGTTTTTTAGAACAAATTTCAACGACGCTATCCCATTAATTGGAGAAGAACGATTGAAGGATGATTATCGTCACAACACACGAGGATCACTTATCTCAATCAAGACATCTCCTCATCATATAAAGGACAAGATAGTCATTGTAGGTGATGCTGCACATGCGATGGTTCCCTTTTATGGACAAGGTATGAATTGTGGTTTCCAAGATACTGAAGTACTTCATCAAGTGTTGGACAAACATCATGTCCGTCCTGTATTATCTCGTGATGGCTCCCATATTCCTGGCCTGATGGAAGCTCTTTCATCTTATTCTGAAGAACGTGTCAAAGATGCTCATGCAATTTGTGATCTGGCCATGTATAATCATTATGAAATGCGATCTGCTGTCACTTCCGTACGTTATTTGGCTCGTAAGAAATTAGAAGGTTGGATTCAACGTGTGATGCCTCAATGGGTGACACCTCTCTATTCTATGGTCAGTTTCTCAACTCTTCCTTATTCTCAAGCTATTCATCGTTGGCATCGACAAAACTTTTGGTTAAATGTGGCTCTTGGTTCGGTTACTATGACAATTACAGGTGTTTCAGCTTGGATGCTTTGGCGCATGGTAAAATCCCCTTCGAATGCAAGACAGTCTCTTCCTTCTCCTACATCGTCTGTTAATGTGGCCAGTTTGGTTAATTCTGCTGCTTCTTCTACTGCCGGAGTCGTCAATGCTACAGTAAGTTCTGCTACTGCTGCTGGTGCCTATGTTGGATCATCGTTGGGAATCAATGGAAAAACTCTTAATCAAGCTCAAGATAAAGTGAAATCAGCTGCAGGATATGTCTCTCAATGGTTATGGAAATAGATGAAATATATTTAGTACACATTTATATATATATGTATATATTATATATTTGATTTTTGTATTAGAATGAATTAGAAAATATGTATATGTATTATATATTTGTATGTTGAACTGGTGAATAAACAAATGTCGTAAACCAAAAAAAAAAAAAAAATATTAATGAATAAAGTGTATACACAATGAAGTAATAAAATGTATTATATATATGATGTTGGTGATGACAGTGATAATGATAATGAGACGTGGTAAATGAAGAGTGATAAAAATAGGGAATACTAGCTATAATAAATAATGATGTTTCAGTGATTGTTCCAAATGAAGCACATTGTTGACGCATTCCATCGGTGATTCCCCTCGTAGATCCGGTTCTTTGCCATCATAAACTTCAGTTGGATATAAGCTTGATTGTTGTGATAAATAAACAGTCCGCATACTTATATTTCTTGCCCCTTCCAAATCCCAAGCATGTTTAGATACCATATAGAAATTCTAGAAAATAAAGATGTATTGTTAGTCATCTTTCTTCCATTACCGGTTCATTTTCTTCTCTTTTTGATAATGATAAATTTTGGTTTGTCATGAGTGTTACCTCTATTTTTTGTGTCCGTCTGACAGTTAAACGCATGACTTGAGCATATACCTTAGGATGAGGTTTTGCCACTATAAATAAGAATTGAACACCTCTCCCAAATGGAGAGAATGAATTGGAAGATTGATCAGTGACATCATATTATATAAATGTACTTTTAGTTTACCTTCAAGCTCATCACAAGCCATAATCCATACTCTATCATCATCCAAGTTGCTACCATTTCCATGATCATCACAAATCACGTTATGTTTCTTCAAATAATTCCAAGTATCCATCTTGTCACTTTGAGTGATTATCCATACATTCCATCCGTTCCTAAGCGCTGTTTGTAGAGCCTCCAACGAGCATGGCGAAGGGGTAAGATCTGTTCTAAATGTGTTGATGATCAATTCCACTTCTTGTTCCAATGGTAATCTGCCCAGTTGTTTGTATACCGATGAGGTTAATGTTCCACGTAAGATCTTCAACAATGAGCGATAGAGACCAGAGTGTGAGGCTGCCAAGTAAGTCATGGAGCTTGTCTGGTACCATTCTTCAAATAACGTAACTGCGTCCTCTCGGTGTGTTAACCCTGCATGTTCCCAAGTATGCCAGATTGCATTGATGACATTGTCGAATTGAACTAGAGTACCTGTAACCAATACAAATAAACATAAAATAGATAGAGAGAGAAAATATCAGTCGATCTGGTATTTTAGGTAATGATACAAACAAGTTGGTTGTTTATTATAATATTTTGTTAAATGTTTACCTAAAAAGTCAAATGCAATAGTTGGCATGTATAAAAGACAAAAAAAAAAAAAAGAAAAAAAAAAACAATAGAAAAAAAAAATAACAATAACAAGAAGGATAAAATAGGTAAAAAGAGAAAAGAAAGAAAAGAATAAAAATGGAAGAATGAAGGGTGAAACCCTTATGCGGATTTCAAAACACCGCCCTCAGTTAATTTAATAATCAAGCAAAGAGAGTATGATACATATCTGAAGCCAAAGCATACGATACTGATGTGGTAGGATGATAATCATCCCACCATATATGTCTATTCTCATCATTACAAATAACATGATCCTTTACACATGGTACACTATCACTTGTAAAATACTTGCTATTACCATTAAAGAGTTTAGATGCTGCCCAATGAGCATCATAATATTCCACTGTCGCATCTCCATACTGATGGTTGAATTTTTCTACCATTGCTTTTAATCCATTGTTGTACCTAGCAACCAAGTCAGTCATTGCCTGTCTTTGACTTTCATACCTGATCATCGATGATATAATTGGCATATGATCAACAGGTATCAATCCCATAATCAATATTTGTCGTGCAGCAAAAGATGATGATGATGATGGCATATGATAAAGTGTTTCTAATGCTTCATAAAGTGATAATATTGTATCATCTATATCTTTGTTACGTAATGATTCTGTTGCTTGGTTTTTAAATGTTTCCTCTACATCGTTTGTGCCAATCCAAAACGTATATAATGTACTATCAGATGGTTTTTGAGGTCCTCCACTTTGTCTAAATAATTCAAGTTGTTGATGAATATCAAGTGTACTTCTCCTAACAATTGACTATATATAGAGAGAGAAAGAGACTTAATATATCCATTTTAATTTTTTTTTTTTTTTGTATTTGTTATTAAACCTTACGTTATCCACCGTTGCCCCTGAATGAGCATAATTGAATAAATTGGAGCCTAACATTTTTGCTATATATTCCAGGCACATAGGACCATTACTATATCGATCAGGCTATAAAAAAAAAGGAAAAAGGAGCGAAAAAAAAAAGAATTGAGATGATTTGTTCAAAGTTTATCTAGTAAACCTACAAAATAATGATTCGTATAATATTGCTGGTCTAAAATAGGCTCGCTGATGATAACCAAAGAAAAAAAAAAAAAAAAAAAAGGAAAAAACAGATGATTTTTTTTTAGCAAAAAGATTTCACTTGTTCTATATAGATGATTACCCGTTATCCGAATATGAATCACCAAATATATAGACATCATGGATTGGATGTTCATAACAAGGCTGAATGTCTACCCAGTTAGGATAGAGTTGTGGATCATGCTCACAATCGATATTGAAGCGTGCAGACACTATCGTTGTAAGTATCAATAGTAAAACACCAGTTATTTTGATTACCATTGAAGACAAAATTAAAAAAAAAAAAAAAGAGAAAAGAGAAAAAGTGTATTTCCTATTTAAACTTTTTTTTTATCACCTTTTTCTTTTGAAAATTGAGTAGCATGAAACATGGTTAAATTTAAAATATTTGAACCGCACTTCGATTGTTGTTTCCGGATAAACATCCTCCACTCCCTTTTTTGGTCTACCCAATGGTTAATGCATTTATTGATCATACTTCTTGCAATAGGTATTATTGTCGAATGCGTTCCGACCTTGTAATTCAATTTAACCATTCGATGCCGAGTTCATATTTTTCTCAGAATGCTTATATATATAAAAATGGATTATTCCTATCAACTTGGTAAATGATTCATCATCATAAAAAATTAACTTTTTCTTGCTTAGTGTGTCTATGCTCTCTGATGATTGTTCTATCCATCTTTCTGTCAATTTGAGACTCCGGGAAAAGCAGGCTACAAAGCTTGTACACTGCATCTTTTTCTTTTCGTTTCTTTTTTTTTTTTTTTTTTTTTTTTTTTCTTTTCTTTTCTTCTTTTTATTCCCAACTCTTTGAATGGCGGATGCTGATCTTTCTGCTCGACAACAAGCTGAAGGACATAAAACTCTATTACTCTTAGAAACTGAATTCAATGCCAAACCTCGAACAACAGTACTGAGCATCCAAGGTACCCAAATCCGTGCTCTTGCTCAGTTTCCTTCGTTATTCCAAACATATCCTTATCCTATGATTCTCAATGCTGCCATTCTCAAATTAGCTGACTGGTTTCACCATGGGTATATATACAAAAAAGAATTATTACGCGTATGTTTCTTCTTTTTACTTACTGTTATTATTATTATTATTATTTGAAAAAAAAGAAACAACGTTGTTAGAATGCATATTTATAAAGTATTGGAAGGCGTATCTAAGGACCATTTCACCAAAATCATCAATGTGGACGAAACTATGCGACGGATCATACCAGTACTAGGTAGCAATGACCCTACTGCTCGTGCTCTCACTTTACGGTAATACCTATTATGGAACAACAATTGACACGCCAAATCTAACATTGTACTTTCTATAGTGTTCTTGGTTGTATGGCGATCATCTTCAAGGATAGTTTGGATGTGCAACATGGGTAAGAACAACATCAGAAAGCCGAATACATAACGTATATATAGATCTAACTATTCTCTATTTGGATTATTTATGGGTGTTGTCAGACTTTTACAAGGCATACAGAAATCAACTGATCGTTTTGAAACGGAAGCTGCTGTATGGGCTTGTGATCAATTCTGTGCTCGTTCTACGACATTCCTCTCCGTTATGTTTATCAGAATTCAATCGAAACTTGCAGGTAAAGATCTAACAAAAAAAAAAAAAAGAACTATAATGATATTTTTTTTCGCTCACTCTTTACGTTATATAGATCCAACAACTTCCTTTGATATCCAACTCAAATTGATCAAAATATTACGACATATGCACAGTGATATCGTCATGTCAAGACAGGTATTCCAACAACTGTAGAAAAAAAAAAAAAAAGAAAACCATGCTCATTATTTTTGTCATTTTCAAATCATAGGCCAAACAATTATGCTTGAAATTATTGGAACAACAAAACTCAAATGAACGACTTGTTATAGTGGTATTACGAACATTGACCAAATTACTTTCAGTGGCTCTCATTGATCAACAAGAGCAGGTAGTTATATAAATATCATCACAAAAAAAAATTTTTTTTTATCTTTTTGACTAACAGGTAACATGATTTTCAATTTGACAGATTGATCGGTTACTCATCTACTTGTTGGAAGACAATCGAATAGCCATTCAACAAAGCGTTTTACAAGATCTGGAATACCTTAGCCGCAATGATATTATGTTTGATGCATCACATGTTACTGTAAGTGATTAGAAGGATTATAAAAGAAAGGGATTGAATCTGGCTGATTGACTATGTTTAGGCATTACTGAGAGGCATTGCCGCTTCACCTGCAAGTTCGCCAAGAGTACAGCAAAATGCTTGCAAATGTGCTGAAACTATTGTACGAACACACCGAACACTGATAGATCAAGTTTTACGACAGCCTTCTTCATCAACAGAGCGACAAACACTTTTAGAAATTCTAGATTCCTGGCGAACAAAATTAGATACTTCTATCCAGCAACAGCAATATAATATAGCAATAGGATATGCACAGCTTCTTGTAGTGATTATTGAAATTTCGGCAAAATCGACAACAACCGAAGAATTGAATGACGCCATGTATGATGCGTCTTACAATGGTGAATCTTTGTTTTATGACTATAAAATCTTATTGAAACACGTGGCCAGTCAAATCTTTGAAATTCCAATGGATTCTCTTTACAACAACGATGGCGATAGATGCAAACATGGCCGCTATTCTTACCGAAGGGTAAAGTACAAAATGATGAATACAATGGAAAAAAGGACGGATTGGGAATGGAACTTACATTGATATTCAACTTTTATTTTTTTTTCTTTTTTGGGTGATAGATCAAAAAATGGATGGATATTCGATCAAGGTTACTGCTATTATTGAACAATGGGGATGGAAAAGATGCTTTTATAGAAGGATTTAACGTGATGTTACATCATACAGGTAATCATAAAAATGTCAATAAGAGAAGATTATGAATATTTATTTTATTTTAGAAAAACAAGTTGGATCTATTATACTATCTTATTGTACATCGATTGTCGAGACTTGTGTTGATCTTTCCACGTGGTTTCCTTCTCTTGCATTCGAATCTTTGGAAAACAAAATTGATTCACCAGCTGTATTTGTAAGTTAAAGGAATGATATTGACGTGATGATAATAGTGATCATAGTTGAAAAGGCGACTAATGAGATTCTTTTTTTTTTTTTTCAGATGAACATCTTACGACTTTTATTTCGCACAGTGCCAGCCAACAAAACAATAATGGAATCTACTCTATTATTTTTACGACGATTCGGTAAATGGGACGAGAAGACGTCAAAATATAACACAAATGGGTGGAACCTTTACCTAATGGGCATAGAGGCCGGTATTTGTGGATGGTATTCCGTCATGCATACTGTGATGAATGATCTACAGAGTTTGGTAAAAAATAAAAAAAAATTGTTAATTAGCAAAAAATGAATCCCGTCTCTATCACTTCTTTTTTTATTGATAATTCGCCTTTCTTTTGATAGGTTGAATCGGATGGCTGTTTATATTGGCTCTCTTCACTGTCTCTTCTTGGTTCAGCGGAATGGTTACCGGCTCAAGATAATGATGATGATATCCCTTTGATGATGAACAGGACAGTTGATTTACATGTGGCAGCCCTGACAAAACTAAAGGTAATAATCAGCAATAGAAGAAGGATATGAACTAATGCATTATATAGGCATTCAATGCGATCACAGGTCGAGCCAGAATTCAAACTTGGTTCCTTCGATTACGGATGGAAATGGTGCATGCAATTGAACATTTGCTAAAAGTATTAATGGAAACGCGACATGGCAATATCGATGAATATAGAAGATACAAAATGGTAAAACTTTTTGTATTTGCCAATTGTCCAAAGATACTTATCCAACTTTTTTTTTTTATATATTGTTATTAGATGAACAATTGTGCCAATCACTTTCGACAACTTGCTTCACGTTATGATAGCGCATCTCAATATATGACGGATGATAGCATGTTGACATTGATGGAAGATTATAAAATTAGTGCTCTCGTTTTGGAACATGCGTCAAGAGCGTGTATCAATTTTAGGTAACCAAACCAAGCAAACAAACAACAAGATTATCTCATCACCTTTCTTTCTATTATATATATATATATATATATATATAGTAATGATTCCTTTTTTTACACTGATCCTACCCTTTTATCATTACTCTTCAACAGTGATAACATCACCATGCCATCTATATCCATCTCATCAAGATTAAGAAGATTCAGAAAGATTTATATGGATGTTTTGCAAGAAGTGGTCCAATGGGAAGAACAAAAGGAAGATGAAAATGAAAAAGTAAGTTTAAAAAAAAAAAGGAAAAATGATGGAAAATGACGAACTTTATTGTCTTTTAGCATTACTTGGATGTCATTGAAACTTTTTGTCAAACCTTACTGGCCACACCCATTATTTTACCACCTTCTTTTTTTCAACCCTAGTTAGTTTAGTTTTTTTTTTTTTATTGTCTTCTATTATTTTTCCATATGACATGGTTACATTCATTTTTTATTATTATTGTTTCAATCCAAAAAAATAAATAAAGGCATTATTTCCTGATGATAGTTTCGATGATGTTTTTTTTCTCAAAATGTCATTCCAAAGAAAAAAGGAGACCTTTTTAAGTTGGAACCTGTTTTTTTTTTTTCTTTGACATCAAAAAAGAACGAATAAACATGGTATGCAATGTTTTGTTTACAACAGGAGGGAATCTTTTTTTTTTTGATGAATTATTGTCTATTTACAAAAAGTGTGTCACCTTGAATAAAAATGGTTTAGACTTGTGCTACTTGAGCTAATACAAGAAAGACGTTGTGTCCATTGTGCGACATGAACCAGATGATGATAAAAAAAAATGAGTTCAATGTTTTATTAAGATGGAGTAGGGTGGTTTTACAAAAAAAAAAAAAATAGATGAGACTAGCGAAATAAAATGATAATACAAATATCACAATATAACGAGAAAGAGGGAACTAATATCGAGAGGTAAATGCTAAAAAAAAAAAAATGTATACAGAATGAAATATATAAAATGAAAAAAAAAGATCAGTATCTTGAAGTATGTCTAGCTACTAAAGGTCTTGAGGGTCGAAAGGATGATGGTAATGATGATGATGATGATGATGATGGTGATAATGGTGATAATGGTGATAATGACGATGTTGATAGCGTTGTTGATGATGTGGTTGCTGGTAAACGGGAACTGAAATGAGAACTACGTCGTACCTGTAGAAACCAAAAAAAAAAAAAGGAGTTCGTTGAGTCTAACAAGATTACCCTTTTTTTTTTCGCTTTGCATATTGCAGATATTTTTTTTTTCTCTCTCTCTTTTTTTTTTTTGTTGTTGTTCCTTTCTTCTGAATCGTTTTCAATTACTTACAGAGTACCCAGATGGAGGAGACATGGTAGAAGTTGCAGTGGATGATGATGATACTGGAGTAAAATAACCACCATAAGGAGAATATCGGTATCTTCCTCCGTTGTCCATAGTCAATGATGATGGAGGCATCATATTATTACTTGATGAAGATGACGAATGGTAATATCTTGGTATCATTCCAGAAGGTAAACAGGGTGTTGTTGGTGTTGTTGGTGCTGAAGATGTAGTATGATAGGATGAACGGCGACGAGGGAGATTTCGATAAAGATGTTGAAGAGTAGGATGTTTTGATGATTTTAAATAAGGTTGTTGTTTGTTGGAAATTTTCATTGTTTTGGGAGTTGTTGTTGGAGAAGGAGAAGGAGAAGGCAAAGAAGTTTCTTGGTATTCTTCTTGTTGTTTTTGTGCTATTTTCAAAGTATCCGAAGGCTTATGGGTTTGTAGAGGTTTCAGTACTGGCTTTTCTTCTTGTTTTAACAAGTTTTTCATTTGAGTAAACAGACGATGTTTTTCTTCCTTGAGTTGCTTGATTTTCAGTTCAACTTGTTCAGAGGTCAAAGTAGATAATGATGAAGGTGACGACGCGTCCAGCGCGGTAGGCGTAGAGCTATTAGAAGGAGGTAAGGAGGAAATAGTAGAAACACAATCGTCATCATCTTGCTGTTGATCATCCAATTCCATATCATCAGATTTTTCCGTTTGTTTCAGTTGATATTCCACAGGTGGTGAGGGTAAACCATGATCCAATAAGGCTACAGACATACGTGGTGATGAAGAGGAGGAAGAAGAGATGGATGAAGTAGGTGAAGAAACTTGAGGAGTAGGTGTATGTTGTCGTTTATGATGAATACGTTTGCGAATAGTAAAACGAATGGCTTCCAAGTTGACAGGTGGTTGGAATGAGAAAGTATTTGGATAAGAAGAACGATCAACAGACATGACCAACGAAATAAATATAATGAATGAAAAAAAAAAAAAGGGAAAGAGAAAAGAAAAGAAAAGTGGAAAAGAAATTTGAAAAAGTAAAAAAAAAAAAGAAAGCCTTTTGTTCTTCCATCACTTTCGAACTCCGTGTGCTCTCTGATTTTTTTTTTTTTACAGTTTGAATACTTTAGCTGTTGGTCATGTGGTTTGGTTAGTTTTTGGAAGGGTTTAAATACAAGTGAATACTGTATAAGGTTAGGATCATCATTGATGAAAAAAAAAAGACAAGCTCAATAACTAAAATGACATATACATATTATAAACAAATAAATAAATAAACAGATGCGATTACTTACATATACAAATAATAAAACTTTCTTTTTTTTCTCTCTCTCTAAAGAATCTATAAAAAAAAAAATGAAAAAGAGTCCAGACCAAAGGTGGAAAATACATTCCTTCCCTTCTCTCTATATTCATCATATTGGTTCACTTTCTACTCCTTTTATTCTTTCCTATTAGCTATTTTATACATGTTTTATTATTACTCGTCTATTGATGACAATCCAACTTTTTTTATAGAAAAAACAGTGAATCATCTTCATATAGATATATATTTTCATTCTTTTTTTTTTATAATATATTAATTCATTGTCATCAGACCGCGAAACTCCTGTATTGGATAACAAATCAATTACAAGAGTATTAATAAAGTCGGATTATTTTTCCTTCTTGGCCCGGTTCAGGAATTGCAATACCTATATAAAGAGAGTATGCATGCTTATACGAGTCGAAGTTATATGTAAGTTAAAGAAAAAAAAAAAAAAAGAAAAAAGTAAATAAGACTGGGCTTTTTATAACCAAAAAAAAAAATTCTAATAAGTGGCTTATTGCTTTGTGAAACTCAGAGGTTTTTCAGGAACATCTACTGTTCTTCTTCCTCCGACATGAAAAAGAGAGCCAATGATAAAGTGATTACAATATTATAATAGTTTTTTTTTTTATTTTATATGTGAATATATTTTTTTGATGACAAGGGTATAAAATATCGAACGGATAAATAAAAGGGTGATGTATGTATATGTATCTATATATATATATAACTGATGAAAAATGATATCATTTACCAAGATGAGCCAGCTCTCGATAAGGTCTAGTAGGAGGGGGATAAGGGCCAAGGAATAAAAATCGAAAAGTTTTGTTGATGATGCGTTGCCATTTTGGTTTTCGTTTTTTCTTGTTGATACGTAAAGAGATTCTTGGAGAAGGTACCGATGAGGATGCAGTAGATATAACTATTCGATAAGGTTTGAGCCAGGGGTGAAACATGACAAGATCCAAAGAAGCACGGGATTGTTCTGGTGCCAACATTCTTCTTAATAAATCCTTGACATCTGCAATCAAAAAAAAAAAAAAAAAAAAAAAAAAAAAAAAACTGGTATCAGCATCAAAACGCCATCTATTTTTGTTGTTACCTTCTGATAAATGATCTGGTATACTGAAATCTGCATGTAACATTTTGCTCACTAATTTCCGATCATCCGTTGCTTTGAATGGATAATTACCTACTAACATTCTATAGAGTGATATACCCAACACCCATACATCTGATAATCCACCGCTGCAACTTTGACGAATAAACATTTCAGGAGGAATATACTGCGGATTTCTATATGAAAAGTAAAAAAAAAAAAAAAAAAAAAAAAAAAAAAAAGATCATAAGTATCACTTGCATATGTATCCTTATTATTTTTCATCATACCCAGTAAAAGGACAATGAGATTGTTGCCCATTCGATAAAATAAGTCGTATACCATGGACTTGATCCTTTTCAAAAATAGCTTGCATATAGGAAGGTATATTTGTTTTCGATTGGAATCGATAAGTTGCTTGTACCATTTTTGAGAATTTCCGTTTGCATTGAAGTTCATTTCCAATCATTGGAGAAGAAGATCCTATTTCATCTGATGATTGACGTTGATGATGCCAGATTGTATTAATGGTAAGTGGTGGTGATCCACAAGAAACAACTGATCCATTTGAACTGTTACTACTTGTACTGGTCCGTTGTGGTTCCTGTTGTTGTGTTTCTGGACGTGATGATGAGGGTTCATGCTCAGATTTTGACTTTGTTTGTACTGAGGGATACGCTGATGATGAGGTTGATGATATTGGTGATGGTATGTTGGTGTTGAGAGCAGAATCATTATTCGTAGAAACCTTTGAAGTCATGATCTCTGATGATTCGTTTTCTTCAAGGATGGGATCCAAAGGTCGAGAACAAGTGTCAGATAAAAAGGGACTGTGTCGATAATGATGTTGTTGATTTTGAAGTGCAGTAGTAAGAGGAGTAAAGGCGAAAGGTCGATGCTATATAAAAAGAAATAATAATAATAAAAAAAAGAGAGAGAGACAAAAAAAAAAGGAGAGAAAGAAAAAAAAATAAATAGAGTGAGTTTCAGATCGACTTGTGAGGAATCAAGGGGGGGAGGGGAAAAGGGGATCATTATATTGAAGGTAATCATGATCATAATAAAAAGATGCATACAAATACAAATAAAATGATTTAATCTTCTTACCTCGAACATAGGAGCCAATCCGGCACCTGGAGTTACAGTTGTTGCTTCAGAATGGGAAAAAAGAGTAGGAAGTGGAGGTTGATCAGGTGATAACGTTCTCCAGTCATTGGAAGATATTGAAGTTGTTCTTGTTGACAAGGTCGTTGTTAACGAAGGTGTTGAAATAGAATGAGTAGTATTGTTAGTAATATTGTTGCTATTTGAGTCTAGTGTCAAGTTTTTCAGCCATTGTTTGTATTTGGATATAGATTTCATGAGAAGAATGTACCAACCATCAAGATAAAGGAATGAATAGTGAAAGGAATGGAGAGGAAGAAACGAAGGAAAAAAAAAAAAGTGAATGTACAAGATGAGAGAAGGATAAAAAAAAAAAAGGAAAAGAAAGGTAATAAAAGAAAAAAGGTGAAAACTCCCCAAAAGTCAGGACGGAAGGTCAAATCAATGTTAATAGGCGCGAGTTTGGCTTACTTTTACGGGTTAATATACAAACTGACTTTTGAGAAGGAAACGAGCATGTGTTAGAGAGAATCAAAAAGTGGCGTTTTTCTTTTTTTTTTTTTTTTTTTTTTTTTTTCTGTTTTGCCACTTAAACTGACTGGCATTTCACTATGATTTCTTTTTTTAGATCTAGTCAATAAAATAGGAGAAATATAGGCATCATAATAGTACATTCAATATATGAGATGATATCTCCGTCGTACTTTCTATAAATGACAATAAATTACAATGAAAGAAGGAACACTTTCTTAGTTCCTTTTCATTAGCTTATATAGTTAATACATCAAAGGAGAGAGAGAGAGAGAATAAAAAAAAAGGGATAAATGAATAAGAAATGAAATAATATTTTTTTTTATTTATTTATTTCATTCATATATCAGATCATTATAACTAAAAAGGAAGGTTAAACGACAAGCCATCATAATGTCAACTAGGGTAACATGGCCAAAGGGTAACTAGTACCGTTGATGATGGATCATAATATAAAAACTGAGTGTTAAAATAACTTAATGACCTGCAGCATATGAAATTGACACTTTATTTTTACTTTTTTTTTTTTTCTTGTTTCATCCTTCCAATGTGTCACCTCGGTACACTTTTCCCACTCCATCAGTACTATATAAGCAATCAATATTTTCTTTCTTTCTTCTCTCTCTCTCTTTCTTTTTTTTTCTTTGTCCTTCTTACTCCTGTTAATTTAATCGCCGCTGCCAATCATGCCTGTAAATCAATCATGATCATCATCTCTTCAATGTTTACTTATTCATTTCTTTTCATTTCCCTTGATTATTTATAGGATCCAAATTCTGCCTTTTCCATTCAAAATTTATTATGCGATGATAATGCAGATGATGATCGATATACAAGATCTCCTTCTTATCAATCAGAATCAAGTGCATCTACCTCACCTCTGACACCCCCAGGTACTACGTTCAAAATGACATTCCCCGTGTATTCGGAAACAAAAAACAATAACAGTAATGATCATTATTCGTCATCATCACATTATTATCAACATCAATCTTGTTGTCGCCTGACATCACCCCCTACTGTCAAAAATACGACAATATCTTCATCACCTCCTTCATCCCTTTATCATCGTCATCATCCTTATTTGACACCTCCACCACATAACAATTATATCACCATCAATAGTGATCTTATTTGTGCACATTATTTACCAACGCATTCATATTCATCAGTCAAAGCTAAACGTAAACGTGCTAGTCCTACACAAATCATGATTCTGGAACATGTATTTGAACATACTGCCTTTCCTTCTACTGCTCTTCGAGAAGAATTGGGTGAAAAATTAGGTATGGAACCTCGCGCAGTACAAATATGGTTTCAAAATAAACGCCAATCAACAAAGAGGGAACAGTGGGATTCAAATTTACAATCATCATCATCATCATATCATCATCATCATCATCAGCAACAAAAAATTTAATTCAACTTTAGTCTCCATCAAGAATCCTTTTTTCTTTTTTTCTTTTTTTACTTTATGCCGCTTTCTGACTCAGCTCTTTACCATTTCCCTCCATTGTTACCAAAAAAAAAAAAAAAACAAGCTGAGCATCATTTTTTTTTTATTTTTATTTATATACTCTTGTTTCCTTAAACAGTTTACATACCATCTTACACCTCCGTCTTCCTGTACACGTTCCTTCAGTTTTATTAATAAGCATTTACTCATTCACTCATTCCATACTTGTATTCAGTCATTCATATATACATTCATTTCTTTATTCTTCCATCTACTTTTATATCCCTTTGTACTCTCCATTTTATTACTTTACTCATATTTAGTTGTTATAATCATGTAATCCTTCTTGCAATAAATAAAAAGTCATCTCTTTTTTCCTTTTTTTTTTTTTTTTTTGTAACATGGAACATCCATCATCTTCTAACTTTCAATCATCGCGTATCATCCTCAATGTACCATCATTAAAAAAAAAAATAGATGATGATTGTTGATTGATAGAAGAAACAAATGTTCTTTTTTTTTTTTTATCCATTAGGACCCAGCAGTGATGATGTTACACATCAACTACAAACATACTTAATTTCCAATGGTTCTACAATTGTATCCAATGAAAAGAAACTTTCAAAACGTGACCTATCCATTGAACATTTAATGCCTGTTATGATGATTTTCATTGATTATGTTATATGTCATTGATACCGATCAACATTGTATCATCATCATCATCATCATCATCATGCTTCTCAACAAAAAAAAGGAAAAGGAAAGATCAATGATTTCAAAAAAAAAACTGATGTATTAGATAAACGTAAAGACGATAACAAGAAGAAATAATACCATTTGGTATTTTACCTTTTTCTAAACTATTTCCCAAAAACAGGTCAAAGTCATCTCTCATGATTTAAAAAAAAAAAAAAATCGACTCATTGAGTTAAACTATATTCATCTACAGCAACAGGGGTTCCTAACCCTTTCATCATTGATTGGGTCTCCTCGGTAAAGGGTTGGGTACCAAGTTCTCGTTACCAAGTAACTAATCCATAAATGGTAACGAGTCATGGGCGATCCTTTATGCAGTGCAATGATAAAATAATAATAAAGAAAAAAAGAAAACTCTTTTTAATAAAATAATTTGCATCAAAATCATTCGATTATTTTCAACTCTTCCCAGCCTATTGGTAAACATTCAGATGATACACAATATGTGTAATTTTCCTTTCTTATTATTTATTTTTATCTTGGTCGTCTTCCAATCATAACATGCCACTTTTGATCGAAAACAATTTTCGTATCCTTGTTTCACCTTCCACATGTCAAAAATGTGTTCTTATTCTTCTTCTTCTTCTTCTTCTTCTTCTTTTCAAGATATTAAAACCATTTGGTGTAAAAAAAAAAAAAAAAAAAAAAAAGAAAGCTTATCTTTATCCTCCGCTTTTAGTTATTGATGTTCTATTTTTATACTTAATTCTTTTCAGGAAAGTAGTCATTTATGCAAGTCCCCAAAAGAAAAAAAAAAAAAGAGAGAGAAAACATAACAAGAACCAAACAAGTCAATCAGGGTACACAGTTGGCGTTTTCTTTATATTCGAATGAGAACTTAATGATGAGCTCACATATCTTTCCCGATCCATTCCAGTTTTTCATTTTTTTTTTATTCTTATTGTTACTCTTTTTAGCATAAATATCTCAACTTTATTATGCTAAATATGAAACTTCATTTATTTTTGTTTCATTTTATTTATAAAAAAAAAATATCGAATGGTAAATCATTTCATTGTAAAAGAATATAGTGAAACGGGAAGCTCTCTCCCCGCCCTCATTTTTTTTTTTTCTGCAGATGAACTCCGTGTTACCTCTTTTGGGCATTTTTGCAACCCAACTTTTACCGTTTGTCGGATATACGGATGACATTTTTAATAAAAATAATAATAAAGAGGATCATCTTTGTTACCATGGATCAATAAGAATAACTTAATGATTCTTAACTATAATTTTGAGATTAAATAATGTAAGAGATGCCTTTTTTTTTTTTTTTTGTAGTGACTAAGGGAAAAAAAAATATGCAAAGATGATTAGTTTTCTTTTTTTTATTGATGTGACTTTAAATAAATAGAGATCAAAAAGTAAAACTAGAACTAAAAACACTATCTACCACTAAACTAAATGTATCGATCGTCTAGTACATTGAATCCAAAAAAAGTCAATCATTCTATCCAAAATAAGTATCGTACCCAAGGTTGATAACTTGTTGTCTTTCCAATGATGATAATCCAAATCATGTGCCATATTGTTCTAGTACCACAATCGATTAAGAGCAAATACCTTTTTCCGATCTTAATAATAGCCAATTATATAATAAAAGTAGTTTCATCAAACATCCCGTTTTCCTATCATCCATACAGAAGATCATAAGTTGTCTCAGCCAAACGTTCCCTTCTTGTATGTCTGTTTCTTTGTTTGCCCATTTGTTGAACATCCATCCAAGAGATTTTCGTATAGCTGTCTAAATAAATGTAATACTAAAAAAAAAAAAAAGGTAACGATACAAAGTCTTACCTTTTCAAGTCATAGATCCATACGTTTATTTTGTGCTTGCTTGTTGCTAGCTTCATGATATTCCGTATAATAAATACAATATGATACTTTTATCAATAGAATAATAAATATCGAAAGGAAAATGATCTATACCAAAGGTGAGTACTATATATATCATGTAAAGACGATTCCAGAGGAGGGCGAGAGAATAATAGTGTGACAGGAGCAGAGAATGGTATCGACAAAAAAAAAATCATACCAGATCAAACGTGGTTATATACATTGTATTTAAACGACTACTACCTTTCTCTGATAAATAAATCATCAAATGAGAAAGAAAGAATGAAAAAAAGAAAGAAAAGTAAAAAGAAAAGAAAGCAACATGGAATAAGGTTATTTAAATCTCCGTCCACGAGTCCAAAAAAAAGAAAGGTTGAAAAACTTTTGATAGTACTGTCTGATCATGCATAGAAAAAACAGCAGCACTAAATAAACATTTTTATATATTGTCAGACAATCCATCCATCATTTAATAGAATATATATATATATTAATCAAAAGCGTCCTTCGACTGTGTCAAATCGAAAATCCTATTCCATCTTTATCCTGCATTCAAAGCAGGGGCAGGATCCGACCTTTGCTTTCTTGCTCAAACTTCATCATCATTGCACCAAATTCAGACTGAACCTACATGAAAACATTCTCTTTCATTTACATTAATAACAATGTTATACCTTACCTCCCAATTTATAGAGCAAAATAAAAAAATAAAAATAAATATTATCATTTCTCATCCAATCGTGATCATCATCTAATAAAATGACCACCATTGGATTCCTCTCCAAAAAGTAGTTTAATATCATTTAATATCATTTTATTGCTTATCCTGTCACTTTACTATGAAATAATCATCAATAGATTTCATCGATTTTTCGAAAAATTGCCTGATGACCCCCTGATGAATTTATTTTCACAGCCAAACTTTGGCTGAGGAAATAGACAATTTTGGCTGTAAAATCCGATCCCAGTTTTTTTTTTTTTTTTTTTTTTTTTTTTTTTTTAATAATGGATCCGTCTATATTTGGTGATTCCGTCCATTTCATGCAATACACATATCTTCATTTTTTTTTATTTTATTTTATCGTGATAGTTTACATCATTAGTGAATCAATGATCCTCTCCTCAATCATCACATTACTTGTCGCCATAGAGACTTGATCATACTTTTCCAATCTTTCATGTCGTTACCTATTTGCAATAGATGATCCATCATCCATCATCAATCAACACATTCCAAGCGACTTCCAAGTGATTTTTCTTTTGTTTCCACTATTACCATATAATAAAAAAGAATCAAGACCATAATCCAAGAACGCATATATACACAAAAAATAATGTATTGATGAGAATGCATTTTTATTGAATGGAGAGAGGAAGTAATGCTGATAATAAAAAAAAAAAAGTCTATGTATAAATATGAAAGATAAATAATAGGTAGAATGTGTAATAATAAGAATAATAAAAAAAGAGGAGTATATATCTACATAACGGTATTGACACGTCTATATTTGTTGGAGCCAGGCATTGTATTTTTGGGACCTTGTGAACATAACCTTTTTACTTGTTCCACAGCCTTAATATTTTCCAATTGGATAGCCTTGTTGTATATGGTCAAAACATCCTTTAGTTGTAATGGTTTCAGTTCACCGCCTTTGATAAAAGAAGCATTCAAAAGTTGAACAGCATAATCTAATTCATTTGCTCTATTGTTCAAATATAAAAAAAGGTCAGCAAGAAAGTTGATCTTTTTTTTTTTTATTATTTATTATTTTACCTTGCAAGCACACTAGCCATCAATAATACCAAACTACGTTGTTGATCTAAAGTCCAACCTTCCTTGATTTGTTGTTGATGTCGCTCTAATTTCATCTTCTTTTGTTCCATCATGGTCATATCACTAGTATGTTCATATGCTTGTGATGCCTTGGTTTCCAAAAATGCTTGATAGTCATCCCATATTCTCCATGCAAGAGCAGTATCCTTGGTTTGATAGCAATGTCGTATCATGACCTTAAAAGTTGTTGGGTTGGGTTCCACATTATATTTGGAAAAGAGTGAGTCATAGAGTGAGACACAATCCTTGACCTGTCGTTGTGTCACATGAGTGTTCAAATAGGCTGTCAAGAGTGTTGTTGTCATTTCGATGGCTGGATCTTCTTGTTGTGTCATATAAGAGAATATTTTTTTGGCCTCGTCCACTACTTCTGACCGTCTTGTCGGTGCACTATTTGGTACAAGCTGGTCGATGGTATTGGGTACTAGTGCTGATGATGATGATGATGATGATGATGATGTTGACGGAACTGATGATGATGATGGAGGATCGTAATTGGCATAAGACCAAAAGAGATTGGTGAAAGTTCGATGATCAGGTTCTAATTGATCATGTTGTAGAATATGACGGAAGATTTCACGAGCTCGGCCAAGATCTTTCTTTCTTGCACAAGCTCCAAGAAGAGTATTGTAAGTAATCAAATCTGGTTGGAACCCATGTATTTCTTCCATTTGTTGTAGCAAACTGAAAGCTTCGTCATAATAATCAGGTCGTTTGGCACAAGCATGGATCAGTACGTTAAAAGTGACATCTGTTGGATAGAGTTGAAGTCCAGACATTTCTTCAAACAAATTCAAAGCTTTTTCTACTTGACCATCCTAAAAAAAAAAAAAAAAAAAAAAAAAAAAAGTGTGAGATAAATCTATTTCAACATGACTATACCCATTCATTATCTTTCATTTTTTTTTTATTATTATTTTTTAGAAAATACATCTCTAGTAACTCACCTTTGCACAAGCATGTAACATCATTGTAAAAGTCACTTCATCAGGTTGATGATAGGAGAGTCGCATTTCATCAAATGTTTTCCATGCTTTGTTGATTTGTCTTGATTTCAAACATCCATTGATAAGGTTGGAAAAGATAGGTTGTGATGGGATAGTGTTGAGTCTTTTCATTTGATCGAAAACAATAAAAGCGTCATCCAGTCGAGATGCTTGCACTAAAACCTTGACTAAAGATGAATAACTGTATACGTCAGGAGATAAACCAGCATCACCAAGTCTTTTGAAAACGGACACCACTTGATCTACATCATCCACATTTGCATAGGCATCCATCAAATGATTATAACAACGTAAAGAGGGTATAAAGTTACAATCCTAAAATACAGGTATACATTATTAGAGAAATAATTCATTTTCATTTATATCCATTTGTTATACCTTCATCAATTGAATTGCCTCTTCAGCTTGTTTCGGTCTTCTCGCCAATGCCTAAAAAAAAAAAAAAAATAGACAATGATGAATATTCAGTTCATATACTTCCCAATCCCCATAATGTACACACACACAAAAGTTTATTTTCTTACATTTGCATATATCAATTGTTCAAAATCATAAATCGATATATCTTCCAAAGACTTTGTTGATTTCTTATCGTCTGTTATCGCCATAACCGTTGTTTCCTGTAGACCTTCGTCCTGTTGACAAGTTGTCTTTGATGATGTCATGTCGGTAGCCATGGTAGTACAGTCCTCCAAAGTGTTTGATATAGTAGATTGTAATTCAGGTGATGTTAACTGTTGTTGTTGTTGTTGTTGTTGTAAAAGGCGTCGGGTATCTAAGAATTTAACACGAAGTTTTTCTAAATAATCAGGACTGATCTTTGGTTGCTGCTGCCGTAGTTCTGCTTTGGGCATTGTAGAGAGATCCTTGTAAATGGCAGCAATATCTTGTTCGTCTAACTTTCCAAATGGCACTTTTTCCTATTTAATAGATCAACATGATTAGATCCTGTTGCATAAATTGTAATACACATTACCATTTTCTTTGCCGTTTCCAATTTCTGTTCTAATTTACGAATATCGTCCATGACCTTCTTGGTTCCTTCATCCTTCAATGGCGATCTAAAAAAAGAAAAAAAAAAGTTGAATTTAAAAGAAAACATGTTCGAGACAACATTGTTTACACTTACCTTGAGACAAAAGACCGGTAGGTATATTGATGCAGCCTAATAGATCTAAAGACATGTTTCAATACACATGCCTGGTTTTGCATAACTTTTTTTTTTTTTTTAAAGGGGAGGTAAAAGAATTAAAACAAAGGAAAGAGAAAAAAAAAAAACAGGCAAGACTGAAAAAAAAATTTTCTATTTTCCAAAGACTGGGCTGGTTCACAAGTAGACTCTCGGAGCGGGAAATCCTAAGTATGATTGAATTGAACAGCAAAACAACAAATGATGACAGAAAAGACAATATAAGGAGAGATAAGAAAAAAAAAACAAAAAGAATCGATTTATTGTATGACTATGTACAAAATCTATTGATAAGAATAACAAGGATATAAAAAAAATTAAGATCTAAATCTATGCAACAAAACATAATAAAACAATGTATAAAAGAAAAAAAAAAAAGAGAATCTATAGTTTGCCGTCTTGTTTTTCTAATTCATGTTTCTTTTCCAATAAAAGTGCAAGTCGTTTTTCCTAAAAGATCGAATTTAAAAAAAAAGTAAATCACTCTTATCTTCCTTATTCAGACTTTTATCATCTTTTTTGATTCATACCTTTGTTTTGATCTTATATGCTTCAAGTAAATAAAAACCAGCTGCCCCTCCAGCTAAAGCACCCATTGATACTGCAAGAGCTTTTCCAACTTTGGTCATGATAATTGGGAATGGAAGTATATAAAAGAGTTTAAAAAAGAGAAAGGAAAAAAAAAAAAGAAGAGAGAAGAGACGAAAAATTTGGAAACACACGAAACCCATTTCTAAGCGGTAATTAAAAATAAGATTTTCCAGGGCCTTCCAATCATAATGTAATTCACTGACCATGCCATTTGACTTGACGGTTTTGCTGATCATTTTCATTATTTTGTTCAAAAAAGAAAGTAAAAAAAAAAGTGCTTCAATTTCATCAAGTGCCTCACTCATTCCATGATCAGAACTTCCATGTGATCACTTGTTGTTTAGTATCTAAAAAAAAAAAAAAAAAAGAATACCAACTAGAGAAATGATGTTGAAAGAAAAGTGGATGGGGGATGACCATCATGCAAAAAAATGACTCCTCCATTCAAAGGCCGCAGAAGATGATGATGATGATTCAAATAAAAAGTTCATATGCTTGCATTTACAAAAATAAGGATAATCCACTTTTGAAAAAAAAAAAAAAAGGAGAGAAAAGGTAAAGGTTAATGATTGGTTAAAAAGTAAATCAGGGGAAGAACGATTTTTTGTTAAAGAGGGGGATTGTTTTTTGACTAAGAAATGAAGCTCACTCTAACCATATCCAGACCAAGACACATCAAACATAAACAAAAACAATAAAGTGGAGTTATAAAAAAAAAAAAAAAAAACGAGAATAGATGGAATGCTTCATGTTTATCTGTATATTTAAGGGCCAATTCAAGTTTGATGTTTATTTATTTATTTTATATATATATATAATATATAGAGGAAGACAAAATAGATATATTGTTAGGTATTATATATCTGATAAAACGTTTCTAATGGATGGTAACGATATGGATTGAATAAAAGGAGAAGAATGAAAAGAAGATGTTGTAGTACTAATAGGTGGTAATGATAAAATGGGAGGTGGTGGTGGTGAAATTTCGGGGGAAAGCGGTAATCCTTTCATTTTAGTTGCTTGAGTGGCCAATAAATCCAAGTTACTATATGATGATTTTGATTTCTTGTTTCGATGTTGTGATTCCTGATTGTTATAATCATGATGAGGGTAACGTGTGTAAATGGATGATGGTCGTTGATGTGATGATGATGATGGATGCTGGTCGTCAATTTTTGAAACACTAGCATTTGATGGAACTGATGGAGAAGATAATGAGATAGGTGATGAGATAGGTGATGATTTCCTTTTTCTTGGATGTTTATTCTGTAAAGCATTTTCCTGACGATGATGATCTACAGGTAATGCAATAGTAGATGCCACGTTATTATTATTCTCGCTATTGACAACTTGAGTGGGGGATCGTGGTGTTGACTTCACTGATGATGATGATTGAGAAGAAAGCCCCTGATGATAAACCAATAATCGTTGTCTACATTCAATAATAGCTTGTTGTTGTTTTTGAGCTTGTAATGTACGACCCATACCAATATTAGGTAAAGGTAAAAAATGACGAGACCAGCTATGATCATTTTGTTTATGGGAAGGGTGATGATGAATGGTATTGGTTGTGGCGGGCGATAGGTAACGTGAGGCGGCGGATAAAAAAGAGGAGAAGAAGGAGGTAGATGACGAGGAGGCGTTGCTAGGCAACAACGGAAACCATTCCAAATCAATATCCATGCGTTTTGGAGTGACGGGGCGAAGAAGTAAGGCGTTTGTGATGGCAAATAATGGATCGGCTACACGGTTGATTAATTCATCATGAGTCAAAGTACAAAGTTCAGCTAGAGCAAACAAATGTAAAGAGCGGGCAATCATCAATACATGTTGTTTAGATATGTAGCATCTATTTTTTTGATCACGATAAAATTTATGTGGATGTTGTTGATAAAGAGTAAAAAATAATGAATTGATATCTTTTGGAGAATGATGAAAGAAGAGTCGATAAAGATCTTCTATAGAAAAATAATCCAGAGTAGATGATGATGATGTTAATGTCGTAGGTATCATATATATATAAAAAGATGATGATGAACCATATTCACCAAGTAGTAATGTTTGTGTTTTCATTGATAAAGAAAATGTAAGAAAGAGAAGAGTTTCATCTTTTTTCTAAGGAAAACAAAAATTTACATTGTAAAAAAAACTATAATAAAAAAAAAAACATTTTTTCTTATTTATATCAAATTGGTTTTTTTTTTTTTGGGGAGAGTGTCCACTTTTTTTTTCCCTCCCTTTCCCCCCCTGAATCTTTTCTTTCCTTTCGATGCCCCTGCTGACACTCTTCATTTTCAATATAACTTCTGTGTGTGCGTGTGTGCTTCAAGTCAAGTGCCTCAAAATGCCATCATTCTCCTGTGCTGTTTCATGATCTCAAGGGGTGGAAACTGACCATACTAAATAATAAGGGGGTTTGAAGACACGGAGCTTTTTTTTTTTTTTTTTTTTCTCAAATTGGGCCAGTATGTATAAGTTATAAGCACCGACACGCGCCCGATCTTTCAAGGTGACGATCTTTTTCCTTTCTTTCCCATTTACTTTTTCTTGTTTTCCTTTCTACGCTCCTTTTCTTTTCTTTTTTTTTTTCTTTTCTTTCTTTTTTTTTTTATTTCTTTGTCATTATACAATGTCATCTGATGAAGAAGACTTGGACTTGAATGATGAATCTATTTCTCAACTGGATAATAATTCTGAAGATGGGGAAGTTATGGAGCAAGAAGGTGACAATAATAAACTCATAGTATATAGTTAACAACCGGACTTCCTGGGGCACCTCAACTGACATTTTTTTTTCCTATTTTATACTTTCAGACTTATTAGATCAACCATCTACACAAGGATCTCCAGCACCTCAACAAGATATTCTTACAAAACGAAATATACATTATCAATTACATCCTGATGCCATTCATTGTAAATTTTATGATATTGTACCCATTGTACGTAAGAAAACATATATACGTATCAACATATCTAGGTTTTGATTTGATATTCATCTTTTATTTCCTTTTTTTTATTATTATTAATACTAGGCTTCTGCTGTTCATCCAAATGCAATTTATAGTGTGGCTACAACCAGGTGCTTTCGTTGGGTATTGACAGGTTCTGATGATGGTTTTATCAGAAAATGGGATTTTTTTGCTTCCATGAATGGTAAGACTCCTTTGACTCAAGCACATCGGCATCATTTGGTGGACTCTGTCACGAACGTAAGTTTATTTTATTTCCTAAAAGAATTAGATCACATTGTTTTTTTTTTCTCTCTTTTTCTATGCATATTTTGTCTTTTACTCATTTCCTTTTTTAAAATATATATACATAATATATCTATTTTATATTTATGATATATATGTTTCTTTTTTTTTTTTTTTTTAGTCTGGAGTTCTTAGTTCTTGGTGGGAAAACGAAGAACAACCTGGTAAGAAAGGGAAAATAATATAATAAATGGATTGATTTGATATATGATTAACATCATATGTTTTCATATTAGAACCTATTATCAAGACAGAACCAGGAGAAACAACGGAATCAAGTGAGGATATGGCAACTACTCAACCTTCACGACCAATCACCACATCATCAGTAACATCATCATATGCAACCGAACCAAGATTGTCACCTGCCTTCAGCATGGATATGCAATCTGAAGCATTATGGTCAGTTCAGGGAATGGAAAGTGGTGCCATCCAATTGATCACAGTACGACATGAAGAAGGAAAATGTCATCATGTTTTTAGAAAACATACTGCTCCAGTTTCTGTGCTTCGAATTGTCCCAGATGAAACCGGCATCATTAGTGGATCATGGGATAAAAATGTTTTGGTAAGAAAAATAAATAAATAAATAAAAGATTTGTTTCTGATGCAAAATTCAATATTGGGAAAATAGGAATGGGACCTTCATACCGGCAACTTGATACGCCATTATTCTGGTCATATATCACAATTAGCAACAGCCCATTTTCAACCCATTTTTACTCCTTTCGTGACACCATCGAAATCTAAAGACAACAAATCGACTAACGATAAATCCAGCCAGAATGAAATATCATCTACAGCCAACAATGAATCTACAATGGATACCAGCATGAATGAAGAGAATGACATGGATGATGATAATGCCTCATTACTTTGGGATCAAAAGAACGTCAATATCTTTTTGACAGCAAGTATTGATGGACAAGTACTCATTTGGGATAGGAGAATGGAAAAAGAGGCCTCAAAAGTTACTATTCCCAACAAAACGCCACCTTGGACACTCTCAGCCTGTTGGGGGACAGACGGATCAAAAATCTATATTGGACGTAGAAATGGAACAGTGGATGAATGGGATTATACTGGTCAAAAGTTACTGCAATCTTTTCGAATGCCTGCCAACTCTGGACCTGTTTATCATGTTACTGCTATGCCAAATGGAAAACATATTGTCTGGTAAGAAATATATATATATGAAATAGTTCATTGTCACTCATCCTTTTTTTTTTTTTTTTTTTTTTTTGTTTTTCTAGCGCATCCAACGATAATATTCGACTTTGGAATACTACCATAGAATCAAATTATACAATTCGACATAATATAGACTCGTCCATAACAAAACCATCTTCAGTGATTCCTTTTGTTATTTTACCTGGTCATCACGGTGGTATGACCTCTCACGTTGGTAAGATAGAAGATGATTAAACAACCTAAAAAAAAATCATGCTTTGGAATTACTTTCTCTCTGATTATTCTAATTCTTTATCCTTATTATTATTATTTTTTTTTTGAATCTAGTGGTGGATCCAACATGTCGATATATGATTACTGCATCTGGAAATCGTGGATGGGAAGGTGGATCCAATAACCTATGTCTTTTTTATGATATCTCCCCTATCATGTAGTTTTTTTTTTTTTTTTTTTCATTACTCTTCCTCTGTATATATCCCGCTTACTGATTTATCTAATTGTATAATAAAATCAATCAAAATTGTATATCAAAACGATGTTATAAATTATATTTTGTAAAATAAACATATATATATTGGAACTGATGCTTTTTATTTCTACTTTGAATGAAGAGGATGAATATTTGAATCATAATACTAGAGATTATATATAAAATAATGATAAATGATATATGAATAGAATATAAGGAAAAGCCAAGATGAATAATACTAATATGATGATGATGTAATAATAGATAAAAAAAAAAGTAGGGGGGATGAAAAACATAGGGATAAACTAGATAGGTACAGTAGGAAGGGATGGCATGGATGCAAAGACGCTTTGACCTGATTGATGAAGATGAGGTTGAAATCCTTGATTTCCAATATAATCACGAATGGTAAACATATCAGCAACAATGGTCAAAGCACTACCAGCAATCGCGGCACTACAGTAAATAGAAAAGATAGTTATCATAAGAATACTAAGAATGATAGTTATATTGATGTTTGATTATTTTTTTTTTCTTACGAAGAATCCGGTGAAGAGGGTTGAAGGGTAAAGGTCCGATCAAAAGAATAAGGAGTCGCTTTTTCATCTTCCTTGAATTCACCATGGATCGTCAAGACTAAGCCTGCGATTGTTTGATGAGCATCCATTACAAAATCCTTGGTGTTGTTGAAATCATGAATGGTAGGAGGTAGTCGTTGTAATGTTTCTCCAATAGCCTCTTGTCCAATAACCAATCCTTTCGTTCCTTGTTCTAAACCACCAAATAAATAATAATGTTAATATATATATATCTGTGAATATTATGCCCACATACTTTGCTTTTGTAGTTTCAAGTTTCTATTCAAGCTAGTCCATTCCAAATTATCATCGTCGGTCATCAATTTCTTCTTTTCTTTTCGTCGAATCTTGTTATGACTACGTAATCTGAGTAGAGTAGAGATTGAGAAGGTTGCTTGTGGAGCATAGATCGCTTTCAAGGCGCCACGCTGACTAGGTGAGGCATCAAATGTTGTAAAATAGTTCATCACAAATGGCATGGCAATCAAACGTGTTTCTTCAGAATCAAAAAGATTGTGTTTGGTATCCAAGGGTAAAACTTTACCAGTTTTCAAAATGGATTGTGTCTCTTCTTCAGACAGATTAACAGGTTGACCATCCAATAGTACCAAGCTAGGGAAACGTTTCACCATATTGCGAAGATAACCTCGATCATTTCCATATTTCTTGATTTCAGATTCTACTATAGGATTACCACCCATGACTAATTCACGCAAGTGAGGTAATTTACCAGTACCAGAAAGGGCCTCCAATCCTTCAAATGCCTTGATGCTATTACCTTGTAATGAGAGATTTTGAACATGAGGTAAGTATTGAGATACAGTCGAGATTGATTGTACATTGTGTAACCGGTTGTTGGCAAAGGAAAGTGTAATGACATCGTTTTGGAACATTTCACTTGCCAATTTCATCAAAGCAGGACCAACCACAGGTGACGCACCATTCGCTCCAGGAGGTCGAATACCATTCTTCTTCAAAATAGGATCTGCATACATAGCCTCTAAATTCAGATATCCCATGCTACTGTTCCATCTTGATTTCAAAAAGGTACGTAATATATCCATTGTTGTTTGTTTCTTATTGTCATTAGATGTAGATAGAGGTGTTGCTGCTGCTGTATCCGTATTATAAAGCCGAATATGAAGTTGTTGTGTTCCAAGCATATAGCCATCCAATCTTGTCAATATACCAGCAATTATATTCCCATTCACAGTTAATAACATATCTCCACCTTCCACCTTGCAGTCTAAAGGTTGCCAATCCTTCTTTGACTTGATTTGAAGAAATTGAATCACACCAGCTTCAGTACCAGGTTCAAATCCTTGAATCTATGTTAGATTCCCCAATGAAGAAAAAAAAAAAGATCAGTGTGAATAGAAAAAAAAAAAATAGAGTTCATATACATAATTAATATTATGATTCTTTTTCTTACCAAAACATCAACACGTTGCTCTATTGGTGCTTTGACCTTAGGTTTTTTGCCAATATAAGGAGAACTAATTATATATGTAAAAGGAAAGCAAGTTAATATATCGTTATAATATCCAAGATGTTTGCTTAATCCATTGTTTCCCTTCTTTTTTTTTTTTTTTAAAAAAAAAAAAATGATAATACGACTTACTATCGTTTCGCTTTTTTCTTTCCAGATTCACCCATAGCAATATCTTGATCGTCATCCATATGAGTCTTTCTTCTGCTAGCAGTAATGGTAACTTCTTTTCCTTGTAATCTTGCTCTTGATGCCAAGGACATTCCACCTTTTCGTTTTGAGACTGATTTCCAGCTACCACCACCTTGTCCAGGATCGTCATTATTGGTCATAGATGTGGCAGTAAAAGAATTCTTTATATTAGTCGGTGACTGGTACTTCGAGGGCATGGATCCACCAAACATGGCTGCAAGACCTTTTGGTGCTGTCTTGGTTGTAATCGTTTCTTTGGATTGATCAGGCACCATTGGTATTCTTAAAAAAAAAAAAGAAAGAATAAAAAGAAAAAGAGATAGCAAAAAAAAAAAAAAAAAAAAAATTGTGCCAAAATGACAAATGTAAGCCACGGTTTGAATGTCCGGTCTTTTATTGTCTTTAGGCAGTAAGAAAAAAAAAAAAAAAAGACAAAACAAATTGAAATATCCAACACATTGGGATTATAAAAAATCAATATAAATAAATAATAACATTAAACAAAATAACAAGAAATTTTAATTTCTACTATTAGTAAATACCAGTAGCAATTGCTTCGCATTAGATAGAGGAAGCGGGTGATCAAATCACCTCCTCATGTTCTTCTCACTTTTGTCTTGTGCAGTGGATTTGGATGTCACCTGGCCTCACACACTACCATCTTTTGGTATCATCATCACCATAGTATAAACTTCTTCTTTTCCCCCCCTTTTTTTTTTAACCAAATCATCTCATATCACACCGTCATAAGCGATCGGGGCGTGTCGGGTAAAAAAAAAAAAAAAAAAAAAAAAAAAAAAAAGGTATAAAAGAATCTTATAGTATTTTCTTCTTTCTCATTTTCTTTTTCTTTCTTTTTATCTTTTTCCCATTAGTTTGCTTCTAGTTTTTTTTTTTTTCTCATGTCTGTTACACCACACTTGGAAACAACACCTAGAGTATATTATAAAAATTATGTAACCGCTACTCCCAATTATGATTTATATCCAGGTTTAAGTCGAAGGTTAGGGAATGGATACGTTCATCAACCATCACCACCAGTACGAAGACAACCGAAAGATACTAATTTTATTAACATCAATCTTCATCAACCTACAAAACGTAATACTAATATTTCAAATGGTACAATGACTACAACAGTCACTCATCAACAGTTAATAGCGCAATCATCGTCACTTCAAGATAATCATCCATCATGGGACCTTTATCCATCAATCCTTCGAAATGTAAGAGAAAAAAAAAATACATATAAATAAATGATCCCTCTAACTATTTTTTTTTTTATTATTATTATCAAGGTGGAAAACTTTGGAACTGATCAAATGAGACGACAACTTCATGCCATGGAAACCACAACTATGTAGTACAAGGTCTCTCCCTCACATTATTGTTTTTGTTTCGTCTTTTCTTTTTTCTCACACATTCAAACTACATAAGAAACATCCCCCAAATCCATTATATAAATATTCACCATTTAGTTATTCTATATTATGTATATAAAAAAAAATTAAACATGATTTAAAATAAAATAAAAAAGATATGTTCTTTATCAAAAAAAAAAAAAAAGTAATATGAATACTATAAACTGAATTATTCTAAACTACATCATCATCCTTTTATCATCCTTTTATCATTCTTTTTATCCTTCTTTTTATTATTTAGTCATAACCTACAAATACAATCGGGCCTTCTGTACTTGCCACTGATACATAAAAAAAAAAAAAGTGATCCCAACGTCTTCAGTGATATCATTCAGTCATTGTATAACTTTCCGAGGTTTTGGTTTGTTGAGTGGCTAAGGATTGTTGTTGAGATGGACGTCGTAAGAAAGATGGTAGAGACCAACGATCGAGTCGATGAATGGAAGAAGAGGATAAACCAAAAGGATGATTCTGTTTATCTTTGCTGTTATGACGATTCATATCCTTTTCTTGAAGATAATAACCATCGATATATACAGAGTTGTAATAATCACGATCTCGCGATTCAAATTGAGATTGAGACATTCTTCGTTTGGTATACTTATCTACTTGTCTTAAATCATATCTTCTTTTAAGAGTATCAACAAGTCCCATGATTAATTATTAATCTATACTATTATGTTTTAATCTAATAGAAGAATAATAAAAAAGGAAAAAGGAAAAAGGAAAAAAAGAAAAGAAAAGAAAAGAGGAAGAGAAAAAAAAAAGAGGAATAAAAATAGTTCAAGAATAAAAAAAGAAAAAAAAAGTTGCTCTTGACCCGTTCCCCTTCGATCTTATCATGCCTGAATATATATATATATATCTGCATGAGGAGCAAAGCCCTGATAGGCTGTAACCAAATCATTACAATATTCAAAACTTTTTTTTTTTGGATCGTTACCAAAAATAGAGTCTGAGCTGAAAAGGTTCTGATTGGTTTGAAATACCGTCAGCAAATCATATCTTTTTATTTTTCCCATTTGACGGTCCTCCTTTTTTTTTTTATTATTTCTTCCTTTTCTTTCTTTTTTTTTTTATTCTCATTCAAATTAGACATGTCCAACAATTATTCTTACCCTCCTCCACCTCAAGGCCAATACTATCCTCCTCCTCAACAAGGTGGTTACGGTGCTCCTCCTCAAGGCTATGGTGCTCCTCCTCCAGGTGGCCAATATTATACTCCTGCGTAAGTTTTTGACAGTAACTCATCTATTTTTTTCTTTTATAATAACTCATCTTTTATATATATAGTCCTCCTCCTCAAACTATTGTTGTTCAACAACAACCTCAAAAACATGACGATTCTTCTTGTTGTTGGGGATGGTAAAGAAAAAAAATTATTATTAAATGAATCAATCCTTTGTTACTAATAAATATCTTTTTTTTTTATTATTATTATTCTTTTGGATCAATTATCAAAAAAAAAGCTTGGCTGCAAGTAAGTGAACAAAAAAAATAAAAAGTTTAATCAGAGATGAACGGGAAAACTTGCCGCGGTCATTGAATAAGAAAGCTGAGTGCTCTCACTTCTTATTCCTTTCATCGGATTAATGTATATATATATCTAACTTTATTATTCTTTCTATCTAGTGTGTTTCTGTTGTGCTCTTGATGCTATTTGTTAAGGATTCCTTGATGCCTCTAATTTTCACTCGGTTATTTCCTGGATTATCCCTTTCCACTCCCTTTCTCCTTACTATTAACTACTTTATATATACATTCTAGTTATTCTCTCTCTCTTTATTATTTTTATTATTTTGATCATCATTCATCATGTAACACACACAACTTTTCTTCATTTTCTTTTTTCTCCTTTTTTTTTTTTTTACGTATTAGTATAATTCATTATCTTGGATATATATCTTTGAAAGTAATAAAAAGAAATAATAAAGAAAACAAAATCAAATACAAAATACTTCAATGTTCTATCACAACAACAAAATAGATCTTGAATTAAAAGATGTGCCAATGAAACAGTACCCACCTTTTTTCTATTTCACTTTGCCAAGGTCCCACCAAAATTCAGCGGTATTTGAATGATTCGGCAAGGATGATTCGTTTTGGTATTCATCTTTTTTTTGGACCTCTTGTCTTTTCACAACGTGTCTCTTTTTCTCTCTTTTTTTATGCAGTCTTCTTTTTCTACTGATCATGACCCTACTATTATCAGAAAAAAACGTAATGCTATAATAAATATTGAAAATAATTTATTCATCATCATTGACTATAATACTTACTTATACCTTTTTTTTTTTGTAGGTACATTTGGAGAGACAAACAATAGTATAGTACCTAGCAAATCTGACTTTTGTTTTACTCCTACAATCTTACCTCATCAAAACATTTTCAACATTGATTCTCATCCATCTACTTGGAGTGCTTCTTCATTAACACATAGATACCAACAACGACTCAAAGCAAGACGAAACAATGCTTTATGGACACATCACTCACCACCATCACAACAACAACAACAGGCACTTATTGCATCTCAACCAAATCATACCTCTCAATATCCTACTCAACCATTACAGTCATGGTCAAATTATCTGTATCATCGATCTTTATCTAACACTATTGTGAATTATATCCAATTGACATTTAGTGTAGTGATACTGTCTACCATTGGTTATATTCTCTTCCAACTGATCTGGACTTTACAACAGGATTTTCAAATTAAAGCGGATGAATATACAACAGGTAAGATAATACATATATGTGGAGTGATACTGACTCTTTTTTTTTTTTTTTATCGCTGAAAATGTATGATAGCATTGATTCGAGAAATACAAACATGTGCTCATCAATATGAAATCAATCTATGTCATCCTGAAAGTAGGATACCAGCGATGGAACAACAATGTGAAGAGTGGTTAATTTGTAGCAATCGAATGCCTACTCAAGTAACAAGGTAAGAAGGACGAACGATATTAGGTCTTATATTTCTTAACCAATCTTTTTTTTTTCTTTTGGTACTTCTTTAGAACAAAGGTATCTGCTGAAACTATAGCTGAAATATTCAATAGCTTCTTTGATGCTTTATCATACAAGACAATGGTAAATATATATATATATATATATGAAAAAATATAATAAGATGAGCTGATTTTTTTTTCTTTCTGTATCCATAGTTTTTCTGCACTTTGATGATGATTGGTTATCTCCTTATATCAAGTTACACCTTCCGGTTCTTCAAAAGACTTCCAACTGATCCAACGACATTGTAGCTATTTATATCATCCAATTTTTTTTTATTATTATTATTCTAGTTTTTTCCTTAAACTCTCTGTACAAATAGTCCATCTCAAACATTTACATGTTGTATATTCTGATATTACATTTATATATTTGTCATCGTTCATTTTATTTTCTCTTCTATTATGAATAAAGTTTTGTTAATACATACACTGTACGAATGAGTCCTTACGGTAATTCAGATGATAATCCTTGATATTGCTTTAATAATGATGCATATTGTAAACGACAAATGGACAAATCGAAACTTTATGCAAAATATAAGGAGAATCATTAAAATATTAAAGGCGGAATTTCTACACAAAAAAAAAAAAGGTGGACCAAGCCACTCTTGATTTCAAGCAGTTTTGTGTAGGAGCGAAAAACTCAAAGTTATAACTGTTTAAAATTTTTTTCTTTTTTTTCAATTTTTTCTTTTCCCCTTCTTTTCTTTCTCTTTTCCTTTTAATACTCTTCCAGGTATGTAAGATTGATCTAATATGTGATGACAACATCGCTATTACTAGTATATATTTATCATTTTATCGGATTCAAGATTTATAAAATCAATACGTACTGATTGATTCTTCTATTTTTTTTAACATTTATCACTTGATAGAATGCCTCACTCGTTCGGTCGTACGTATCTATTTCAATAATATATTTGAATGATATAAGATTCAATATATGCTTACTTATTATTTTTTTTTTTACATACTTTGTGGTGGATAGTTCGTGCTCGTACCCGCCACATGTTCTCCCGTAAGTTCCGGGAACATGGTGCCATTCCTTTGTCTACTTACTTGAAGACTTACAAGGTGGGTGATATCGTTGATATCAAGGCCAATGCTGCTGTGCAAAAGGGTATGCCCCACAAGTTCTATCATGGGTAAAGTATTCCTTTCTTTTTTTTTTTTATGGTTAACAATCGAACTAAACATTTTTTTTTTAATTTGTATTTTAAAGTCGCACTGGTGTTGTCTACAATGTCACCAAGTCTGCTGTGGGTGTGATCATCTACAAGAAGGTTGGTAGTCGTTACATGGAAAAGCGTGTGAACCTCCGCATCGAACATGTCAAGCACTCCAAGTGTCGTCAAGAATTCTTGGATCGTGTCAAGGACAATGCTCAAAAGAAGATTGAAGCTCGTGCTGCTGGTGGTAAGTCGAATGGAAAATCTAGATTGGATAAATGTATGTTGATCACTCTTTTATTCTCTTGTTTTATTATATAGTCAAGGTTAACCTTAAGCGTATCCCTGCTCAACCTCGTGAAGCTCGTCATGTCTCCACTGCTGACAACGTTCCCCAAACCATCACTGCTATTCCTTACGAAACTCTTTTGTAAACGATTCATTTAGTTTTTTTTACCATCTTCATCATTCACTCTTCTTTTTATTTATATATATACTTGATTTGTGTTTCTTCATTCTTGTTTGGAGCAAAATAAACGAAAAACAAATGTGCTTTTTGTTTGAAATATTTATTAGTCTCATGATGTGTATTATTCCATTCATAAATCATCACACTTCCAAATTATCAACTAAAACATCTATAGCATGAACTCAGTATTCTTTTATTCTTCATAAAACATCTGACTACAAGGTAAGATAAACCATATTACTAGGGAACAAAAGAGAATGGATGCTATCTATTCACATTCTTCATTCGTAAAGGTTGTCGGTTGATGTTACTGGAAAGTTTCAAAGTAGATACTGCTGAGCAATGCGATCGTAGGATGGAAGGTTGATTACGGTCAATCATCACTATGCCTTGTGTATCGTGCCAAATTATGTGATGAGTAGGGTTCATCCAAGTAACTTCATCATCATCATCATCATTATGCCTCCATGCACAATGTTTGGAAAAATAAACACACAGGGCTTGATTATCATCTTCTATCCTATCATCATCCATGGGTGTCATATCACGATTCATTACCAAAAAAAAAAAAAAAAAAAAAAAAAAAAAAAAAAAAAACAAGCGAAAGAGAGACGATTTTATTCAAAAAAAAAAAAAAAAACAATCTATTTGGAATTTCCTTTTCTAGGTGCATTCTGGTTCAACCACTGTTTTGCTTTATCTAAATCTTCTTGTTCAGTTTCTATTGCTTTGATACACCAATCCAATCCAAACATATCATCCGTGGAAGTCCGTAATGTTTCTGCTAAGAATCGTATCCTTGTCGTTTTGGCATCCACACATAAATATAATACTGGTAGTGGTTTCGGCATGGCTAACTGAATGGTGAGTTTTTGAATCATTGGAATCAAAGTACTGGCTGCAGTGGTAGCATCTTGTGGTGTTTGAGATCCTGTTGCACAATACTATATAGATAAGATATGAGTTCCCTAATATCATTCTCCCTTTTTTTTTTTTTATTTTACCTTGTTTTGACACCAAGCATTACCACATCCCATAGTTAATTGACCATGTAGTTTTCGAGCCACACGTTGAACTAATTTGACATTGTTTGGATCATCTTCCGTCACCCAAAATGGACCAAAACAATATTGACAAAATCCTAATCGATTCTTAGATCTTGGTCGAGTACATTGTTGATTGCAACAAAGAGGAGGTAACTTTTGATTTTGTCGATGGACTTCATGGATCTTGGCATGTACAGGTACATCCTTGATGGTGATTGATTTCATACATTTTTGACAAGTGATTGTTCTAGATCCGCAGTAACTTTCATGACCATGTAATCCAAGTAATCTATCCCGTGCATCTGTGGCTAATGGACCTTGTACAACCAAATTCTAAATCAAACAAGAATAAAAAAAAAAAATGAGACGATGATTTCTATTTAATCCAACTTACATGACAATAGCGACATAGAATTAATCGTTCGGAACAAGTGGTTTGACGATGTTTGGCAAGATCTGGTAAAGAAGGCACCATAATATGTTCTGCACATTGATCACAAGAGCGACTTGTATGAAAGTAATCCATATGTTTGGTCTTAGCATCAAAAGAATCCCCCGTGACTGAGCACTGATCACAATGCCAATGTTGTTGCAATAGATTGACATCATCACCATTCTTCTTGAACACTTGGCCACATCCCCATGGACATAACATATTATTCCGCTGACAAAAGCTTTCGTGTAATGGTAAAGTTCGTTCAGGTACCCAAGCTTGACAGTTATTGCATTGTACTTTTCCGTTTCGATCGTCTTCCATTGTTAAATCGTTTGACTCAGATGGTGATAATGTGGCTTTCCATGATATAACACAATCACTGTATCCATATATTCCCACATATATGTTGTCCTTTGTTGGTTCCAATTTCAGTTGTCGTTCTTTATCTGATGACAAATCACCCCATGTATAGTTGTCAATTGTAGGTCGTTCATATCCAGCTATCACATCTATATTGAAAAAGTAAAATGATTAGTAAAAACTAATATATATATATATATATATATATCGTTACTTTTTTTTTTTTTTTTACCTGCATCTCCGGAAATTACCTTGATAGACATATAGAGACGAGAAGTTTTACGTGTTTCCAAGATCCAATAATAGTAGGTATTTCGAGAAATAGTAACATCATGTACTTGTTGGTCCAACTTGATCCATTCAGGTTGTTGTTGTTGGGAAATCGTAGTGGCAGAGGTATCTAAAGTGGTAGTAGGTTGATAAGATTCCAAATCGACTTCCAAATCAGTATCATTGACACCAACAGCTTGATCAGGTTGCAAATCGACAACAAGAAAAGGGTATTGATGAGATCCATAACGACATGTCAGAGTTTGGCCAATAGTGAGAGTATTGTAATGTTGACGCAAGTGAGCTTCGAGCGCAGCACGATAATCCTTTATATCTTGATAATCATTAGTCAGCGGTCGTAGCTTTGTCCAAGTTCCTTTTGGTAATTGTTTCGATTGCACTACGATGCGTTGTTGTGAAGTGAGATCAAGAGCAGATATCATCCAAGGAGGAACAAGAGCAATACCATCTTGACTTGAGAATTCTTTGACACCACCATGAATGATTTTGTTAGAATGATGAGGATGTCGAAGAGCAAATGTCATGGGAGAGGGTAGATCAGCACCGTTTGCCAGATCCAATAGTTCCTGAAGTGAAGAACTAGGTAAAATAATTTTGTCACCATCATTGAGACTAGGATCTTCCTGTACTATAAATGGTTTTGTCCACTGAAAGGTCATTAATATTTACAAGTCAATTGAGGAAAAAAAAAAAAAAAAAAAGGGAAAGAGGGAAAAGAAAGAGAAGGAAAGGTATGGAAACGAGAAAACGTAAGAAAAAGAGAAAAAAAGGCAATCGGCTAATTCAGTATCCGCTTGGCTGACTCAACCGTTTTTTTTTTTTTCTATACTCAACCGCTGCATGATCGATCGATGTATTTGACTGATATAAGAAAAAAATGATGCAGAAAATCGATGACTATTAAACATGTTTTTTCTTGTTTTCAGTGAAAAAAAAAAAAAAAAAAAAGACACATGCTTGATATCGTGGTACAAGTGCCTGATGGCTCCTCAGTTTCTCAAAAGGATAAACTTATTTTTCCATCTCCCCCCTTTTTTTTTTCTTTTTCTTTCGCATTAACTACGAAAAAGATAAAAGAAAAAAAAATAAAGTACAAGCATTTGGTGGAGATAAACCCATTATTATGATGTTGAATTCTACTTTGACTAGTCATCTCAACTCTAATATGGAACCTTGGCCAATGGATGTTTCGATAGCCAGCCCAACCATAAAAAAGGAAACATCAGCATTAAAAATACTTTTAGTGGACGATAACCCCATCAATTTAAAACTATTACGACGTAAACTTTCGACACTTTTCAAAATTCATCATATGGATTTGGCGTATGATGGTCATCAAGCATTACAATTATTGGAACAAAAACTATACGATGTGATATTATTGGATATTGATATGCCTCGATTGAATGGTATTGAAACAACACGGTCAATAAGACAACCAATAAAATCATCATCATCACCTCATATATTAGAATCCAATCGTACTATTCCTATTATTGCAGTGACCACCAATGATTCTTATGAAGAACGACAATTGTATCAAGAAGTCGGCATGGTACATCATTTGAATAAAATTGATAATTGTTTATATTCATTATTTATTTATTTATATAATATAGGATGCATGTCTTGGTAAACCAGTCAACACTAGTCAATTGAAATTCCAATTACTTCAACTTTTAGATGATTCATTATCATCTTCTGTAATTATCTAGTTTATTATTTATTTATTTATATATATATATCACCTCATTATCCTTTAGTGTACATAGTTCTTCCTTTTTCATCATCATCATTATCATTATTATGACATCTTCTTCATACTATCAATAAAAAAAAAAAAGAATCCTTGTTATTACTTTTTTCTGATATGTACAAGTTCGTTTATGTATGTAAAGAAGGAAAACTTTATTTTGATCAGTTGATGGGGAACAATATTTTTCCCATGAAATCCATCATATAATTTCCCGCCTTTGTATTGAACAAACAACTAAACCCCATGATACTTCTTCCTAAAATAAAGTTTCTACGCATTGCCCATTTCCCGTAAAACATAACATAAAACATGTTTGTATTCAAATACTATAAAATAATCTTTATTATGATTTCTTTCTATTCATATCATCACTAAAAGTAACAGACTATCAACTACATATATAAATTCCTTTTCTTGTTTGATATACCTTGTCCTGAGTCTATACAAAAGGAGAGAAGAAAAAAAAAACAAGATCAGATCCCATGATTGTTATCTCTATGATAAAATCCTGTCACCACCCTTACCTTCCTTCCAAACCAAAATAAAAAGAAAACCGATTGTAAAGAAATGACCCTATGATAAAACAATTGGATCGACAATGACCTTTTTGTACAAGCCCATCTTGTCCTCCCTATATCATGTTAGTTCTACCTTCAAACCAACACATCAGAGATACTTACGTGTGATCCAATGCCAAAGTAAGAACATCATCAGATACACAACAACTTCCTTGTCGCTTTGGACCATAGCTCTTTTCGATTGTACCATAATATATCAAAATAATGTCAATAACAAAATGGGCAGAATCTTGTCACCTCAAACTTCTCGTTCCCTTTAAAAAAAAAAAAAAAAAAAAAAAAAAAAAAAGGATATATTAGTTCACCGTTTGGTTCTTCTTTTTTTTTCCACTTACATTTTTTGTAATGTTCAGCGAGATTTCATGATATCTTCCAAATCAAAAGGATCGTGTCCATTGTGCAACCAAGAGTATTCTACCAAATAGTTACCAGTACACTTTGTATACTTAAATTTACATCCAACGCAGTCTTGACAAATGTTTCTTTCCTTTGCCGTTGGTGTTGATGATGGTGTTTTCCTTGAGTAGTGTGATCACAGAGGTAATATTTAGTAAGAATCCTATGACGTATAGATGGCGTCGATATTGATGCTGGTTCTGGGTGGATGTTGCGGTAAGAAGATCAAGGTCAGAAGAACGTATATATATATATATGAGAAAGTAAGGTTAGAAAGAAGAAAAACAAAAAAAAAGCGCTTGTTTTTGAGACTTACCTCTAATAAGAGTAAATATTTGCTAAAAATATAATAGAGAAAATGAGAAGAATATTGTAAAGAGATTGGAATGATTCGCGTATAAAAAGGAAGGAAAGGTTAAAAAACATAAGAGTCATTATTTTTTTTTCGACTTCAATCATCATATATCTAGAGTATAGATTCAAATAAAAGAAAGATGAGATCAATATCATATAATGAAATGAATTTACTTTACTAAATATTCAGGTTAAAGATACTTACGTTCACTTGGTTTAACTAGAAGGTATAAACACACACGGCAAAAAAGAATGATTCAGCCAGTTCATGAATACAATGAATATGTATAAGAAGTACTTTTGTTTTTATTATTATTATTATTATTTCCATATCTTGCCTTGATTTGTATTAAAGAATAAATGTAAAAAAAAAAAAGAAAAAAAAAAAAGACAAAAATAATACGTGAAAGCTTTTATCGAGGTTTTTACAGCCAAAATTTGGTTGAGGGGTTTCAAATTTTGGCTCACAAAATGCATATTGTCCATCTCGTCAACGATTAAATCTTCAAAAATATTCATTTATACCATTGTATTTATCATCTTGATCATCGATTATCGTCATCAATAAGAAAACATATAGTATGATGGTTTCTTTTATAGATACTAACTAACCGATATTCTTAACTAGCTTTCTTTCACTGCCATTGGGGGAGATTGTCTTCTGATGATACATTCCATACCGTAATATCATCATCTCAGTGATACTTCCTTTTTTAGATATATATGCCCTTCAAGGTCAGTGATTATGAATAATAATCACCTTTCTTTTTTTTCGATAACGGCGATGATGGTGATGACAATAATGGTAATCCTTTTATCGCTTCATCTCATTAATTGTCCACAGCAATAATAAAAAAAAAAAAAAGGACTGCTGTAAATTGTTGTCTTTATTTGGCATAATGATTATGTAAAGTACCCAGGACAATCATCTTTTTTTTTTTTTTTATTAAACTCCACAGGTAAATTGACAATACACCCTTTTTTATACTTTTATTACCTATAATGGAGTGAAGGTAGAAAATTGAAATATATTGGATGAATGATTTTCCTCATTCAATTTGAAAAAAAAAAATAAAATATTAGGCCGCCTGCCATAAAAGGTGATTCATGCGTTACGGTGTTTTCATCTCCGAGTTTCTTTTGGCATCATCCATCCATTCCAAGTGACACATTATCAAGGATAATGATCGGAGAGTGAACCGAGGTGAGGAATCACTGGATTCAAGGAAAAGAAAAAAAAAAAGGTTATCATGGTACAACTAATTAAAAAGGTGTACAAATATCCCAAAGAAGAATGATAATAAATATATATTATATTTCCCTTTTTGCTAGTGACAACAAGTAAAATACGTACTTTAGTAATAATAATAATAATAATAATAATAATAATAATAATTATGAAAGATTATCATCATCCATTACCGCATGATTCAAGTGAGGTAACCCGACCATCATCATCATCATCATTCTTATCCTCAACTATAGAGTTATCAATCATCAGCAGAAAATAAAATAAAATAAAAAAAATAAATAATAATATAGTAATAATAATCTGAATCGGGTGACTTTATAGGTAGTACGAAATGTCCAATAGCTGTAGATTCATGATTCAGGGCGAGTGGATATGGAATCCATCTGTTACTAGTTAAACATGGATTCATGAGATGAAGAGCCTGCCCCATATGGGAATCAGGCTTTTTAATTTCTTGATGACCTTTTTTAAACATCATTATCAATTATATCCCGCTCTAATATATAAAAGACGATTCATTCCTTTTTTTTTTTTTTAATATTACACATCCTTTGTACATTGATCACTACTCTCTTCTTTTTGCATTCATAGCATCTTTTGTTTTTTTTTAAAAAAAAACAAACAAACTGTCATTCATCTTGTATATTTCTATCATAAACCAACAATGATCCTTTCTGCTTCATCTCTTTTCATCCTGGTGATGGTGATGATGATGTCTGTGTATGGCGCACCCATTGAAAGTCGTGGCATAAGCAGTTGTTACAAACATGCCATTTTAACATTGTAAGTTTGAGAAGTAGATCTATTTTTTTTTTTTAATGTATTTCTCTAGTTATTGGATTCCTAAAGAAGGGGACAAAGATATGTTAAACGATGGACAAACGGTCACGTTGAACGGACCTAAAACAAAGACATTGAAAGGTAGCAATGGTAAGACCATTGCCAAAGTATCCAAAACCACATATGAGGTTAGTATCTACAACAACTATAACAATAATGATCATCCATTTACTTTTTTTTTTTTTTTTTTTTTTTAAATAGAAATTCCAAATGGAAGGGACAGGATTATTGAAAGATGGCAAGATGGTGAACTTGGGAGATAGCAAGACACGATTCCAGACGGTGAATCGCAAGACGGATCCTTATGGAGTGGGATCGAATGAGAATTCATTAGTGCCTTGGGTCAGTGTGGCATCCAATGATCTTCATCGTGGCACGAAACTATATATCAAAGAATTGGATGGCATCAAGTTACCAGATGGTAAGACACATAATGGATGTGTGCGTGTGGATGATCAAGGTTGGAGTTTCGGGAAATGTCAATTGGATTTCTTCACTTTACAATTCTCGGCCTATAAAATCCTTGACAACAAAATTCCAGGTCATGTCACCGTCTCCCAGAAAAAAGATTGTAAGATTCTCAATTATGTCACTAGTGAAGTCAAGGCCTGGGCTGAACTCACATAAACAATCACAAAAATACGCTGTACTTTATATATATATTCATCCATTCGTACATAACATATATTATATATCTATTCAAAAAAAAAATAAAATAAAAAAAAGACGACTTTGCATATGTACAGTAGTTTTTCTTTATTTTATTGTTGATGCTGCTTCATAATAAGGCATAAACCAAAGAAGAGAGAGGGGGAATCATTGTGAATTATATATAAAAAAAAAAAAAGAGAAAAGGGGGAAAACGAAATATAAACTAAAATATGATGATGCGTGTATGTGTGTATATGTGTGAGTGAGTGTGAAGAAGTGCCTATATACAATATCAATAATGATGATGATGATCGAGAAGGGAATTCAGAATATATCGTCAACACCATCAAATATTTCTGATGTTGGGGTAGGTGGGGATCGGATAAAATGTTTGTTAGAGACGGTGACAACGGCGGTTGCTGATGTTGGTTTTGTATGTTTGAAAGTTGATGATTTCTTGCGTTTTTTCTTGGGAATCCTTTTTTTGCTTGTATCCATCTTATTTGTAGATCGTCCATTGGTTGATGCTGGTACTATTGCCTTTTTCTTGATCTTTCTTGCTGGCCATTCCTGAGCAAAGACACGTACATGACGTTCACATCTTGGACATCGTTGAGGTCGCCAATCAGTAAAAGCTGCACTGGGGCTCCAAGTCCACGTTGCTAATTCATTTGCCACTGCCACATCCACTGCAGAAGGATCAGATATTGGTTCTGGTTTCAATGCGCGACCACACGCCACACAATTCAATTCTGATTTGCCATCATTGTGATTGTTCGATCCTGTTGATAAAGAGCCAGTTTTCTTCGTATTTGTGGTACCAGGTGATGGTGATGGTGTGGAGAGTTGTTGTAATAATTTATCTTCATCGCTATCGATATCTGAATCCAAAGATAAATCCGAACTACAAACTGATGATAAGTCTGACACATCATCCATGAAATCATCCAATTCTGATAGTTGCTCATCATCAAATAAAGAATCCAAATCATTCTGCCATTTTGTCGTTGATGCCTTTTTCGTTTTTGTTGACTTGGAACTAGTTGCTGTTTTTATTGTAGATGTTGGTGTGGTACGTTCAATTTGTTGAGGTGATAGACCTACAGCAGAATCGGCCTTGGTATCATTATCTTCATCCAAAGAATTCCATCTTGCAATGTCACTTTTTCTTCTGACTCGGTCCGTTGCATCCCTATGTATTTCTGGACTAACAACCACTGTGATTTCTTCCTGTTTAGGTTGTATCTTGAGGTATTCGGCATCTAGTACGGCATTACACAATATATCCAAAGGACTATCAGACGCTGATCGAGAGGAAGGACTATCCATTTGTTGCTGCTGTTGTTGTTTCTTGTCATCATCATTGCAAAGAAAGTGAATACTCATAACTTGAGGTCGTTCTTCTTCATCTTCATCCAGGACTTGTTCTTTGATATCCTTTAACGATGTATTTATACCATGAATATCTGATTTTTTGATGATAGTTGTTATATTGCTATTGTTATTGTTTTCGCCATATTTGTCATCCAAATCATCATCACCATCGTCATCATCAGTCAGTATACCAATTAGTTGTTCCAAATCGATCTGACTTGTCCTTGACATATCTAAAGAAGTTCGCTTGTTCCTTCGAGATTGATCAGCCAAATAGTCTATATTCCCCCCAAAAAAAAATAACAAGTATATTAACTTCTACGTATACATAATATATATTATAATATATACTATATCCCTTTTACCATCATATAAACCGGATTTCCTCTTTCTTGAACGTGATGTATGTGTTGAGTCATCTTCATTGTCACCAATCAAGTCGCTATCCTCCGTTTCAGGTGTAAAGTAACCGGTACGTCTTCTAAACAGACGAATAAAAAAAAATAAAATAAAATAAAATAAAAAATTAGCTTTGTCTACACTTTCCCATATTAATCATATAAAGCATGACGAACACTTACGTTTCACAAGTAGCACATCGGCATTCACAATTGTTTTCACCAAAATAATGTTTCCCGTAAAAAGCTGTCAATTCTTCACCACATTTGATATCCTTGATGATTTTGAAAGTGATTGAATTGTGTCCAAGAGAGATAAACTATAATAACAATGAAGAATAAGTATGAATTGGAAAAAAAAATCAGGATAGAAAATAAAAAAAAAAAAAAAGGTTAAGATTTATATTGTAGTACCTTGGCATTGGGATCACAATCATGCTATATAAAGATAGAAATGGGGATTATAAGATATCATAATAATAATAATTATGAATGAAATTCTTTTTGACTTACATTAACAAATCTTGCAGGACCAAGAAATAAACAATTGCATTGTTTCCTTGTAGACCACATAACACTAATATCACGGTTGCCTTTTTTTAATTCGTGTTCTTGATGAGGTTCCAAATGAGCAATCATACCAGTACACAATCGCATTTCATCACCTAACATCCAATCCTTTGTCACTGTCACACATGCTTCTACACGGCGTCCTGCACCACCATATCTTCTTGTATCAGCAATTTCAAAACCAGCATTAGGCATGTACCTTATATATAAATGTTAGTATATAAAAGAATCAATCTATTATTATTATTACATGTAAAGGTATCGTTTCATATGTTGAATAAATTCCTGTTGTTCTTTTGTTGATTTTGTGGCTAGATAATGCTTGAAGTAATCCATTCTATAAAAAAAGAAAAATCGGAAAGAAAGGGTGAGAATGCAAAATATAAACAAGAGAGGAATATTTAAAAAAGCAAAAAAAAAAAAAAAATCGGCTTTTTTAATTTCCATACACCCGCAGACACGCCCCTCATCGAATCAACAACATCCAAACATTTTTCCTTTTTGCATCCTTCGCCCCCTTGTTTCTTTCGAACTATATATATATATATATAAAGGAATAATAATAAGAATAAAAGAAAAGAAAATGAGTCTAAACTGATGCGTTACACATTCTATGGCCATATGCTTTTTTTTTGAATACCGTTACACCTGTATTCCCCCTTTTTTTTCTTTTCTTTTCTTTATACTTACCTAACATAATTCCATTCTGTTTAAGAGAAAAAGAGAGATGAGAGTTCAATTGAAAGATAAACAAGACATTGAAGAATACTAAAAAAAAAAGAAGAAAGAAAGGATGTGATCCGATAAAAAGAGTACCTTGTTTTTTTTCCCCATCCCCCTTGTTTTTTTTTCCACTAAACGCCCTCCTTTTTTTTTTCCTTTTGGTAAACAACAACAACAACAACAACAAGTTACTAATAGATTGATAAACCCATCAAAAGATAACGTCAAAAACGTCATTCGACATGCTTCCGACCCAATAACCTAAAAATAAATAAATAAATAAATCCTATCACCGTTTTCTTGTTGACCAGAAAGTATATGAGGAATGATTCTTGATAATCCGATAGGTTGGACATACATATAGTAGTTTCAAAGGTTTTTTTTTTCCCGCCAAACGCCACTCGTTGTTGTTGTTGTTGTTGTTGCTATATACTCTAAACCCATAATAATAATAATAATAACTTACTGAAGTAATTCCTTGACAGCTTCATTTGTTTTCCCTGTGGTCAATATATTGTCTTGAATAATTTTGAGTACTTTATCAGAACGTATTCTTGGTCGCCGGTGATCATTATTTAACTTGATAGTGTCAAACCATAAAAACTGAGCATCAAGAAAGATGTCACTGAATAGATCGTCAAACTTGGATAATAAACAAAAGTCCATAGAAGTAGGTAATAATAATAAAAAAAAAGAAAAGAAAAGAAAAGAAAAAAGAAGAAAAAAAAAAGTCGTATTTACAAAGTAAAAAGATAATTCATTCAAAGTAGTACATGAAATAAAAAAAAAAAGTGATAAAAGAGTATGAAAAGAAAAAGAAAAAGAAAAAAAAAAAAGGGAGCCCTTTTCCATTTTCTTTTTATTTTTCCCTTTATTCAACAGAGTTTCCATGTGATTTGACCAACGTTGAGTCGGCGAATCAAACTCAAACCATAAATACTTTCTATACACCTTTTTTATACAGATGCATTATACAGTGTCGCACCTGAACTCGGAGTATCCTACTACAATGCCCATGAAACCTTTTCTTTTCATTTTGTGTGTGTGTGTGTGTGTGCAAAAAGTTAAAAAGGTGAAAAGGAAGATAAATATTGATAATATAATAAAAAAAAAAAAGACATATATTGATAATACATCAAAAGGAAGACAAGAATTGATAATATAATAACAATAAAAAAAAAGGACAAGAATCGATAACATGATAAAAAAAAAAAAATTCAAGCAATGGTAAAAAAAAAAAAAATATGTAGATAATGGTAATGATTTTATTTTGAATCATAATAAAAGTAGACAAAGGGATGGTAAAATCTGAGACAATGTAAAGTAATGAGATAATGTGAGGAAGGGGAATTTTGACGAAGGGTGAAATCAATGCTGTCATACGTTGGTGCGCGAGCTTCCAGGATTTTGAATATCACAGGAATCATATCTTTGTGTAGGGTGAAGGATGGCTTGATGTGATGATAGTTGGAAAGGAGTAGCTGCTTATTGATTTGTTTGCCGTATCTTGATAATCAGTTGCTTTCTTTGTGTTCATGTTCAAGAATGTCAAGTGTGATTCACAGACTGGATAATCTTTTCCTACTAAATCATTGTTTCATAATCAATATCCCAAATCTATTCTTACCTTCAGATTGTTCAAATAATTGAATAGAAGTATCAAGAAATCATCTTTTTTCCTTGAAGCTTTGACGTAGGGTCACCTTGTCTTCCTGGAAAAGAATATATGCGTTGTTATTGTATTTCTAGGACCAGGTTCGACAAAACATTACCTATAAATATATTTATATTCAGCATCATACTAATTTTATTTATATCAAAATTCTTACCAGTTGCATGGACAAGGTAAACCTTGAATTATCGGAAGGATCCAAGCGACGTAAGAAGCGGGATAAAGGTTCATGGTGTCATGAATGTGGCAGGAGAAATGGTATAAAATCAGTAACAGACAGATAGATAAGACAGTTTTTCATTTATTATAGAAAAAAAAGTGATGAGAAAGAATGCAAAAAAAAAAAAGAATAGTTTTTGCTGTTGAGAATGATAAAATTATTGATGTCGCTATGAAAGACTATAATAAAGAATAAGAACGTTTCTATTGATACGTTCAAACGCAGAAATTGAAAAAAAAAAAAAAAAAAAACGCGCTTCACATGGAAGAAAAAAAAACCCCCCAATTTATTCTCTTTCCAAACTTAAACTTTTTTGAACTATGAGAAATGATGTCACTATTGATAATTCCATTCTATCATGTGGTTCATCTACTACGATTTGATGGGATAAATCGAAACAATTGAGGATTGACATGGGCGCGGTCTTTCTATTTCTTTTTAATTCTTTTAATTCTTCTTTTTTTTTTAATCTCTTTTTCTCCTTTATTGTTGTACCTTATCAAAAACATGACCATCACCAAAACCATCACTCAAGATAAACAACAACACTTCAAAGGTCCTATCTTTGAATCAGATTCTCCTGAACCTACTTTACTCAAAGTCACTAAACTGGATCCAATGTAAATATATAAATTTTAAAAATTATCTCATAAACTTATATTATTGATATAGAAAAGACTATAGAACTCAACCATGGAAAAATGGACTAGGTACTACTTCTGAAATAGGTATATACCCTCCTGAAAAAGATTTCACTTTGGATTCCTTCTTTTGGCGTTTTAGTATTCATACCATCAAAGATAATTGTTATTTTTCTTTATTTCCTGGTTATGATTGGTAAAAAAAAAAAAAGCAATAATAATATATAAAATCATCATTCATTTTTTTTTTGTTGATCATCTGATTTATAGTACTACCATTGTTCTTCCAAATGAAAATAATGCTACTTTCAAATTGAATCATCAAGATCGTGAAAACTTTAGTACTATCAAACCTCTTTTCCCTTATACTTGGCATGGTGAATGGTAAAGCAAAATAAATAAAAAAAAAATAAAATAAAATATATATTCATATTGTATTGATGATAATATAGGGAAACTCATTGTAGAATGAAGAAACAACCCGTAACAACTCTTCAATTCATGATCAAACGTGACCTTGGCAAGGCTCAATTCTATGTGGAGAAGATTGGTCAACCTGTATCGAATGAAAGTGGAGAAACTGGTAAAAGACTGATTCTTGGTGTATTTTGTCTAGTGTATGTAGTGGAAGGTCATGTTAGGATTAGTTTGGATGATAGTACACATCAGTCGCGTGTTCCCATGATGGCTGGTCAAACGCTTTGTATTGAACGTGATGAAGATGCTAGTCCTACCAATATGATGATTCAAGCCTCAGATGAACAAGGCATTGTGGGCAATGATGATACTGGTAAGATAATATTCAAGGGAAAAAAAAAAAAAAAAAAAAAAAAACTAAATATAGATTTTTCTTTTTCATGACAGATGCCAATGTAGTTATTATTCAAATCTCAGAAACAAAACAGCATGAAACTTCAAGTATCAGTACAACCTCAGAATATTTTACTTCCCCTCATTCCACCAATAACAAATTCACTGGGACCCCTTCTACAACTACCACTCCTATTACTCCATCATCAACAGCAACAACAACAACAACAACAACAACAACAACAACAGCAATGACGGAATATGATGCACCTAGCGCTAGAAGACGAAGGGATGGAACACACGAACGACGACGAAGTTCTCTTGTTTTATATGATGATCAAGGAAAATCCGCCAAACCCAAACAGGATTTAGTCCTTGATGACGATTCGACGAGTTCTACAACGATAATAGCTGATATCACAAAATCTGAAAACAAAGAAACTTCCTTAGATGCCAAATGGACTGATCAATTGAAACAAACAACAACAAGTATTGATGAAGCTGTACGAAGAGATAGTGTGGCCACCCTATTACGAGGTTCTTTGGATCCAGCACAAATGTATGTTCCTCCTACTGCTGCTTTGATGAATAAAGATACCGATGTCCCACCTCCTGTGGTTCGTGATCGCTTGGTGATTGAAGACTATGCCGAACATACTGTTAGTACTGCATGGATAAAAATGATTGAACAAGGACTTTCTGAATGGATTCGATTACCAGTGATCATATGTCGTGGTTCTGATGATGGGTAAAAAAAAAAAAAAAAAAAAAAAAAAAAAAAAAAAAAAAAAAAAAAAAGGTAGATATGTTGTTTGTTGATCATCCTTTTTTTTCTTCTCTTTATTTTATGATTAGACCTGTTGTTGGTATTACGGCGGCTGTTCATGGCAACGAACTTAATGGTGTACCCTGTATTCATCGGTAAAAGAAAGAAAGAAAGAAAGAAAAAAAAAAAAGAAAAGAAAACTCACCCTTTCAAGTGAATGGATAGCGTGGTATCTGAAATTGATGTGCACAAATTGAAAGGAACAGTGGTGGCAATTCCATGTGTCAATGTGGTAGGTTATCTCAAGTTCCAACGTGAATTCGCTGATGGCCGTGATTTGAACCGTCAATTTCCTGGAAAAGAAGATGGCTTTTCTTCTCAAGTATATTGTTATCAACTGATGCATAAAATCATTTCTCAATTCAATTATCTGATCGATTTACATACGGCTAGTTTTGGACGTATCAATTCTTATTATGTCAGAGCAGATATGGTAATCAAAATGGAAAAGGGGGAAAAATGGATCTAATCTTCTATTCTGCTATTAAATTTATAGAACGATATTGCTTCTGCTACTTTGGCTCATTTACAACAACCTCAAATTGTACTTCATAATTCTGGTCAAGATGGTAAGAATAGTATAAAGAAAAAAAAAAAAAAGAGATGAAAAAAAATATATGGATATAGAACAAGTGACTCATTTTTTTTCCCAACAGGTACATTACGTTCAGCTGCAAGTGCTCGAGGAATCAAAGCCATCACGGTGGAAATCGGCAATCCACAATTGTTTCAAAATCAATATGTTCAGGTAACAATAGAAAACAATCATATTCTATACAAAAAAAAGTTTATATATCTATTTGTTTTTTTTTTTATGTTACTACAATGATTAGTGGTCTTACTTTGGTGTGATGAGGATATTGGATCATTTAGAAATGTATGCATTGACCAAAGAACCCAAAGAAGATCAAGACAATAGAATGAGTCAAGGACCACCTAGTACGATTCTTTGTTCCAAAGGATTCTGGATTTATACTCGAACAGGTGGAATTTTGGAAGTATATCCTGGTGTTAATAGTATCATTCGAAAGGGTGATACCATTGCTCGAGTTAAGAACATTTTTGGCAATTTGGTCGATACTTATTTTGCTCCTTGTAGTGGCATTGTAAGTTAAAAAAAATCATCATCATCATCATTTATCATCATTCATTTTTTTTTTTTTTGTATAGGTGATAGGAAGAAGTTCCAATCCCGTGGCAATGGCAGGCGATCGTATTCTTCATTTAGGTGTTATCAAGAAAAAGGGTGAAGTGTTACCCAAAGAAGCCAAGGAAAACTATTAATGGTAGCCCTCCTTTTTTTTTTTTTTTTTTTGTGTCATGGTGACCAACTCATTACTGATCTCTCTTTCTTATTGGCTTAGATGGAAACTGCTGGGATATGGAATTGACGGTCGTCTGAATTTAGTTATAGTGTTTATTTTTTTGTTGACTTTTCTCGTATAGTGTGATAATATGAACCGGATTTGAAAATATATGCGTTTATTATATCATCTTATTAAATGATTATTATGAAAAAAAAAAAAAAGATATAGGATATAGGTTAGTGCTAACTAAGGAAAAGTGGCATGATGATTTGAATAATGACATGTGTGATGATTTGAATGGGTGACATGTGTGATGATTTGTGTGATGATTTGAAATGATGAGGTATGACTTTGAGCGATTATTTGCGTGATTATTTGCATGAACAATTTGAGTGATTCATTTAATGATGTTAATAGAAGATGATGAAAAAAGATAATTTTTTTTTATTTACACATGATACAAAAAAGAAAAAGGGATATATTGTTTGCATCAAAAACGATTGGAGGAGAATGAGAAATGTGGATGATGAGGAGATATAGAAGAAGAGGAGATAGGTTTTAAACTAGAATGATGATTGAGAGGAGAGACACGGCCCATATAAAGAGGAGATCTTACATCTTGTTCTTCGTCGTAATGATCATCATCGGTATGATGAAAAGAGGAGCAAGTGGAGGAAAGACCTGGTGAAGGAGAGGCATCAATGGTGGGTATAGAGGCCAAATCCACATGGCGTTGTCTTCGACGATTATTATTGTTAAGTTGTTGTTGTAATGATTCTGTACGTTGTCTATATTCAGCTTCATAATCGCGTGTTGGATCTAAAGGTTCAGGTTCATCACATACATAGCCCAGTTCTTCGAAAAAGATCTTGGTAGAAGCAATGATATGATTGTCCTTGTCACAACATGTTTCTTCAGGCATCAGTGGAATGATTTGAAATAAATTTTCTTGTGTTTCATAATCATCCATCCATTCTATTTGATCATCTTCTTCTTCTTCATTATAATTGTAGGTATTTGAATCGTCATCAGTCAGTTGGATAAGTTCTAAGCCTGGAATAAAGTAGTCTTGATTCATGATGATATTATATATTTATTGACATGAATGATAATAATAAATAAATAATAGTTAAATCAATAATAATAATAATAAATGGGGTATAATGCGTTATATAAAGAGAAAAAGAAGAGAGGGGAAAAAAAAACTTTTTATTGAGCGCGGCTTTTATATCAATAGGAAATCAACGGGAGAAAAAGGAATTTCAAGATGTATCAGCCAATCAAATTCAATTCTGGGATTGGCTTGAAGATAGCTTGAACTGATAACAGGAATGAAATTTGAAGATAAAAAAAAATCCATTTCTATTTTTTTTTTTTTTTGACCTGATGCCGGAGCTCACATTCACAATAACCAAAAATATCTTTATAACATCATGATCAAATGAGGGAATTTATAAAAAAAAAAAGATCATTTTATTTACAAACATTTGCTTCCTATGAGTCAAATAGGGAGATTATCCCATTCAAGATAAAGGAACAGAACATATAATTAAGACTTTTTCTCCTGAGAGATATCGGCACTTTAAAAGAAACAAACTTTTTTTTTCACCTCAAATATACCCCTTGTTTATTTCCCATAACAAGCATTGACCAATAATATAATAAAACATACGACTTTTTTTTTTTGATGAGCGTGACCTCGTACCTCTTTTTTTATTCACACACACATATACTATATATATATCTTTACAACAAAAGATTCTTTCTAATACTATTTTGAGCTTCTAAATCTAATCCAACTACACTAATCAAGTAATTTTGAATGGATCCATAATTGTTATTGATGTAATCGATTAAACCTCGAAGATTCTATGATAATATATATAAAAAGAAATACAAATCAGTAAAAGTCTTTCAAAAAAAAAAAAGGAAACGGATATTTATTTATGATTCCACTTACTTTTGGTGAAGCATCCAAAAACTGTTCCGACAATCCGGCTCGTTGTATGTCGTCCAAGAGTTCTTTATACACAGGTCTTAGTCCAACTTGGGTCTTTGCATAATCCTGCACAATCACATCTTCGGGAACACCACATATAGATAAGACTAAAAAGATCACCAATCCCGTCCTATCCTTCCCAATCGAGCATTGTACATGAATCGGGTAGTTGGTTGGTTCCGTAAATACCATCAATGCCTGGCGCAATTCCGTACTACAATAGGTGACAAACTTTTGATACAGTATTTCCAAGCCCAAAGGATCCAAAATAGATCGTGATATCATATATGCTGCTTTTTGTTCTTGTCGAAAAAGAATCATCAATATCAACTTACTATGGCAAAAAAAAAAAAAAAGAAGGTGAGTTTTATGATGTCTTTAAAAGAAAAAAAAGAGTATTACATCTTGATCATAAATGTACATGCTGCAAACACAAAATATCGTTTAAAATTGTAACCGACAAAGTTGACACATATCTTTTGCCTTGGTGATAGTTTTTGTGACGATGATCTTTCGTACTAACGTCAGACAAAGAGAAAAGAAAAAAAAAAGAAAGTGAGTTCAATAACATTTATGTTCCAATCCAGTTCTTATATTGTATAGTATTGTATATACGAATGAGGGTAATGTAAATATATATGAATGAGTACTTACTTTGGTCAAAGTATTAATATTGGGAAAACATTGGTCTACTGCTGATCCTGCTTTACCTTCCAAACTAGATTATAAAAAAGAAAAAGTCATATTGTCATCATTGAGTTTATTCTTTCTACCCTTCACCCTCTTTTTTTTTTTTTTTTTTTGTTACCTCGTTCGCAAGTCAAGTATTGTCTTTGTGTGGTATGCAGCAATAAAGTCATCCAATTCTTGTTGTGTCATATTATCCAAAGTAGCCGAGCGTGTCAACATGCCTGGTTTAATATAACTAGTGTAAATAAGTATGATGTAATAGGTACGTTCACTTCTTTTTTTTTTTTTTTTACTTTACTAAGTATTCTCTAATTCATTGTAAGTAGATACACCAAGATCACGAAAGTTGGTCAAAGCTGGTTGAAATACATCATTGATATCATTGGTCATGTTGAAAGAGACAAACAAAAGAAAAGAAAGAAAAGAAAAAAAAGAAGTTAACCTCCTTTTTTTTTTATGGTCCTACCAACGGAAAAAAAATTCACCGAATAAAGGTACAATAAATTCTTTTTTTTTTTTTTTTTGATAGTCAAACAAAAGAAGATGTGTTTTATTATTTTATATAAGAGATTAACTATTTTATGATACTAACTATAATAACAATAATGATAATAATAATATACAATCTATGAACGTTTAATGAATCCAAAGTAAACGGCCAAACCGCCGATAAGAGTACCCATCATAGTAGAGAGAACATGAGGACCAGTCAAGGAGGAAAAAGAAGAAGGTTCCTTGATTTGATTAGAAGGTAAAGCATAGTACTTTGCAAAGTAATCATTTTGAATCCATAACAACTTGTTGAAAGCGGCCAAGGCCTTGGCTTCAGTATCACGGTCCAAATGCAAAGACAACAAGCCACCAACCAGAGTGGATTCCACATAACCCATCAAACAATTAACATGAATATAATCCACATTGATCTTGGATTTCTTTTGAGGTGTATCGGTATGAATCTTAGCCACCCAATCCAGATAACGTAAGAATCGATCATCATAAGGTCCATCCAATAACTTGTTCAGGTATCGACTCAGGAAATCTTTACGGAACTTGATCTGTGGATGATCCAATGTCAATGCTTCCAAAGTTGTTGCTGTCTCGCCTTCAAACCCTTCATTCTTGGGAAGGAAGAATCGCTTGGTCACATCATACGTGAATAACTTCTTATACACTGCATCCACAACCACTGGAATCAAAGGACGTACTTGCTCAGCAACCGCTTGAATGGCCTTGATGTCAGTTTCACCTAATCAAAATAAAAAAAACATCAGTGTTCTTCTTTCTTTTTTTTTTTAATTCTGTCTTACCGAATTCCATGAAATCAGCAACATAGTCAAAACGATATTGTCCATCGTTGTATAACTTGGTGTCATCAATATGTTGCATGTTTAATTTATTACTGTATTTGATATAAAAAAGAGTATGTTGCCTTTAAAGGATTATAAACAAAACAGAAAAAAAAAAAGGGAAAGAATAGGATTCATTTCTTTTATATCCTTTTAGAAATGACACCCCTGACCGAAACCAATGGAAAGAAAGAAAGAAAGAAAAAAAAGTCGCCCCACTTTCCTTTTCGAGATAACAAACAAATCAATTCATATTCCGAGATCGTATCCGAAGATGATAAATGATAATAACAAGAATGTATATTTATATATATATATATGTAAATCATTAAATACAAACAACATCAAAATAAAAAGATATAATAGCTAATAAGGGAGGAGAGGAGAAACTATATATGAAAAAAAAAAACTATAACTAGCCCTGAGGTTTTTGCTGTGTTGTATCGTAAGCACGGATAATCTTTGTTTGATCGGTTTCATTTTGAGAGAAAGCATATCCCCGATTGCGTTTGAGTCGTTGAATTCTTCGTACCTTATTCACAGCTTGTCGGAACCTATCCATTCGTGGTCGATAATCAGGTAAATTGTATTTTTGAATTTCTTGTACAAAGTGATAGGGAATCGGTCGATACATTCTCTTCAAACTAAGAAAAAAGAACATTCTTATTAGTAAAAAAAAAAAAAAAAAAAAAAGAAAAAAAAAAGATCATTCAAACTTACTATTTCCAAATGAAATCCCGAAGATTACAAACAAATGGTACCAAGATAATAAATAACCAAAAGTTGACATTGCCCCAAAGCATAGGTACCATACCATCATATTCAGGGAAAGTACTGACTGAGATCGCTCGTCCAATATATTCAACGACAGGAAGATAAATAAACCATACAACCATAGATCCTAAAATTGCAATTGCTGTATACTTGGTCCAAACACTATTTTAGAAAAAAAAAAAATAAATGAGTCAAAAAAAAAAGCATTTCTTTATATCCGATTCGTTCCGCTTGGTTCTTTTCTTACTCCGTAATCAAAGCAGCTTTCCAAAGAATACAAGCAAGTGTAGCAGTAAATACACCTGTGCCAACCCACCATTGACCTCCATTGATACCATTAGGAAATACACCATCAATATAAAATGCACCAAGACCAAGGAAGAACAATAACTAAATAAATAAATAAATAAAATAAATAAATGTCATCCTTCATCAAATCATAACTTACCAAAGAATGATATACAGCATTGGCGATCCAACCCCAGAATCGTTTTTGGTTGAAGAATTCATTGCTTTGACCAAGCATATACATTTGAGGGTATTTATCCAACATTCTTGCGGATACGATTTGATCAAAGATACCAACAGCCAAAGGAGGTAGGAAAGTAAAGATCACATTAAAGCATGACATGGTCCATGATTCATATAAAGTTGATCCAGAAAATCCATTGTAAAACGCATACTAAAATAGAAACAAAAAAAAGAAAATCGGATTAGTCCATTATTTTTATTTTTTGTCCTTTTCATACTTACCCAAAATTGAGTTAAATACAGAGCCACATTCTTATAAAAGTAATAAAAGATCATCTTGGAAAGTCGTTGATAAGCCCAAGCACCATGTACCAAAAGAAGTTTTTTCAAGAATCGGAATTGTGAAATAGCAAAATCAGCACTTCGGGCTGCTTGAAGACCTTCTACACCACTAATACCCACACCCACATGAGCAGCTTGAATCATAGATACATCATTTGCACCATCGCCAATTGCTAACAGGATAGAAGTATCATATTTCTTGACCACTTTGACCACCAATGCCTTTTGAAGAGGGGATACACGACAACATACCACAGCTTTACAAAGTACAGCCAAATCGAAAAAGATCTTTTCTATATCCTTTTCCAATGCAAATGTCAATGCACGACCATCAATCACTAATGCCAAAGGCTATACAAATAATAAGAATAAAAATGAATGAGTTTATCTATTTTCCTCTATTGATTTATTTCTCTTACCTCCATGTCTTCACCACGATTCATCACTTCAGTAATATCTTTGAGTTTCTTTTCCAAAAAATTTCTTGTATCCCAATGATTATCTTCATTGCAAACAATAAGTGACATGTCTTCATTCAACAATTTACATGAGTAACCAATATTGATAGCCGTTTCTTGTCGATCCCCTGTTAACACCCAAACCTTGATCCCGGCTTCTTGTAATGTATGAATCGTGTCAGGTACACCATCTTGAAGTCGATCTTCAATTGCCGTTGCACCAAGTAAAAATAGATCCTTTTCAATCATTTCAGCTACACGATCCAATTCTTCTGCACGATTGACAAGAGTTGTCGCTGCCTTGTCATAAATTTGAGACCATCTTGCATATTCTTCTTCAGGAATTTCTCGCATCGCAATACATAAAGTACGAAGACCTTCTGTTGCATAATCTTCTAAATGAACTAAAGTTGCTTCCACATAAGGGTTGCTTTCCGCCAATCGTTCCAAAATCACTGTGTCTGCACCCTTACAGTAAAGTTTGATCTTACCGTCAGGTCCTCGAATGATGGCTGACATTCTCTTTCGAGTTGAGTTGAATTCACAAATGTTGAGTACCTGATATTCCATGTCCCGACCAAGAGAAGATGTCGTAACAGAATTGGGTCGTCGTGTCTATATGTCAAAAATGCAATAATAATAACAATAACAAAAAATAATAATAAAAAAAATAATAATAACATATTAATGGATTATTTCAAACCAATTTTTTTTTTTTTTTTACTTACATGAAAAACATAACCTAATTCACTGGCTCCTTTCACAAGAGCACCTTCATCTGGTGAGGAAGCTTGATAAACAATTTCAGTTGTTCCTTCTGGTCTTTCAGGAATCACGGTATGGCAAGTAGACAATAAAGTAAGGAATTCATTGATGACGTTGGCCATGGCATGTGACTTGAGATGTTCTTGTAGTTGGACAAATGTATATTGAAGGGAAGGATCATCATCACCTTCTCGAGCTTGTTTGTCAGATTCCACTTTGTCAGCATAAGAAAGGCCAGCAATAGAGCATTGACGAAATTGCATTTCATTACAAGTCAAAGTACCAGTTTTATCAGAAAATACAAATTTAACCTTGTGAAAAAAAAAGAAAATGTCAGTTTGATTTCTCATGACACCTATTTTTTTTTTCTTTTTCATTTATTTACCTGTCCCAGTTCTTCAATAAGACTACTACTTCTTGCCACGGCAGGAGTATCCGTCAGTTCATAATACATATCCAAATCAGATTCAATCAAGTACGATAAGACAAATTTAACAATTTCCATGGTCACCATCAAACTAGATAAATAGTATTAGTAAAAATTACATTCATTTCCCTCTTTTATTATCATTATTATAATTACCTGATAGGAATAAAACTGTTGAAGAGAATCAAAAATGTCAAAATATCATAACCAAATTCTTGTCCTTTGCTTTCTTGATGGATAGGAAGATAAGATAATTCTTCACCTCGAGTAGACTATAAATACAATTGAAGTATTAGTAAGAAAGGAAAAAAAACAAACTATAAACATCTACGCATTCACTTACAGTAAAAAGCATTCCACCTATAGCACCACCTATGCTCATCAAAACGAGAATGGTAAACAAGTACAAGATATTACGATTGGTAATATGAGTGACATTGGACACTTTGGAAGGTTTTTTACTACGATGAAAATATAATGAAAAGGAGAAATAAGTAATGTAGGCATAATTCTATTTTTTTTTTTTTTGACTAACCTTGAGTTCAACATCAATTTTGTTTCATGACCAGTAAAAACAACGATACCATAAATCCAATCAGTATTACGAAGTTGAGCACCACGAAGTAAAATTTGAGAAGGATCCAAAGCATAATCCCTTGTTTTGCCCATTTCTTCAGCAGATGAAGTAGTCAATACACCATCATAATTGTAAAGTCGATTATTAGGTTGTTCAGATTTGATCACACCTCGAAATTGACATGCATCCATAGGAGTCAAAACTTTGGCAGTTTGTGGTAAAGCTTGCTTGATCTTTAAATTCACTTCCCTATAATATATTCATATATTAATAATAATAATAATAATAATAAATATTAGCGTGATCATCCATTATTATGACTATTATTATTGTTTTTACCCATCCAAGTTGCTAGTTTCAATATAACATAATCCTTCAGGTTCCGAACTACTGATCAATACTAAGTCGGCAGGAAAGTTTTCCCCGCTTTCGATACGTAGCATATCACCCACACGGACATCACGCCAAGATTTTTCAACAAATTGATTTCCAATCAATACTTTACATTTCTTTGCGTTCAATTCAGCATCAGATCGATGAACACCCTGCCAAAAAAAAAAAAAAAAAAAAAAAAAAAAAAAAAAAGAAAAAAGAAAAAGTCAGTCATTTGTATAGATTATTCATTCCCCTCTTTAAATTACCAAATCTTCTGCAAATTCCTTGAGTGCTGTGATGAATAACACAATACATAATGGTACTAAAGTAGTCCATCTTGAAGTAGGAGATACACCAGGAATTTGCTATATATAAATATTTAAAAAGAATAAAAAAAAAACATAATTTAGATAATCTTCATTCATTACTTTTTCTTTTTTTTTTTTACCATATTTCTTACTATTTACCTGTATTCCAGAGACAAATAAGAAAAACACATTGGCATATTTGGAAAACTCTTCATATAAGAATTTGGGGATAAATGAAATAATCGTATATTTTGCTGTAAATACTTTGTTGCTCAAAAAACGTTGTTGTGCATTCAGTTCCGTATTGTTGATATGAATAATACGTTCAACACCACCAGGACCTGTTCCAGAAGCTGTAGGAGACTTGTTCAATATATTTTGAATAGATTCCTTGATGGACGATAAAAACGGTTGACTGGATCGTCGTCCACTACCTGCTTTACGACGTATAGCACTTGTAGATGGATGAGGAGGACGACGAGGACCATCAGGAGGCCCAACAACAGAAGGAGATTGGGTATGGCCAGCAATGGCAGCTTGATGACTCAATAGTTGTAAATCGTCTTCGTCATCAAAAGGTGTAGAGTCTTCATATAGAGAAGGGGCTAAAATAATAACAATAATAATGAATGGTAAGATGAATATGTTTATATATATATATATTATATTTGTACAAGTATTTACCATCAGTTGCAAAAGTATCTGTTCGTTTGAGTTGATGAGCACCTTGTAAATGAGCAGGAGCAGCAGCTGAAAGAGGAGGATTTCTTGGTTGTGTTGGAGTAGCTGGTGGATAAGAAGGAAAGGAAGAAGGTGGTGGAGAAGTGCCATGTTGTAAATCTATTAAATCCGATCCATAGTCAGAAGGGGAATAGTGTTGTTGATTTCTATGTGTTAATTGTTGTTCGGTTGTTTGTTGAGGTTGATGAGCATCTTGCCAAGGCTCTGACAAGTCTTGCAGATCGTCAAAAGGATTATGAGAAGCCACTTTGAATAAGCAAGAATATGTGTAAATTTGAAATTAATGAATTCTTCTTTTCGTGAAGAAATAAAAAGATGTATTTAAAACAAAGTGGTTGTAATTAAGGAAAAAAAAAAAAAAAAATGGAAAAGAAAAAGAAAAAATAGAAAAAAGAGTTTTTGTACTTACCGTGAATTCGCGGAGTTGTATCTCTTGCTTCTTTTAAAGTTTGACCTCCTCATCATATGTAGGAATGACCATTTCAAAGAAGAACTTCTTTATTATACTAAGAAAGTAATGTTTTTAATAATAATAATAAAAATGATCATACTTATCTTTTACATATATATAGTTATTCTGAATGATGGGCTTCTTTGGACCTTCCAAAAAAGAATTGGTGATCGGCGGTTTAAAATTAACCTTTTTTTTTTCTTCCAAAAAAAAAAAACTTTCCTTTTTGCTTTATTCTTTTCCCTTTTATGAATAATACTGCCATTATAACAGGTGCAACGCGTGGCATTGGACTTGCTATAGCTCATGCCTTTGCCAAACAAAACAAACAATTGGTGCTTATTGGACGTGATGAAACTCGTGTTGCTGCTGTTCAAGAGCTTTTCCAAGAAACTTATGGTGATGGCCATGTTGGTATAGCCTTGGATGTTTCTAACAAAGAAGCTATTGATCAAACATTGAAAGACTTGATTAAAGGCAAAACTATTGACCTACTGGTGAATGCTGCTGGTAACCTCTTCAAAAATTAAGAAAAACCTGTTATATATGAACGTGAAATGTATCTTTTTTTTTCTCTCACAGGTATTTCAAGAGACGGTTTACTTTTGCAAACCAAAGAAAAGGACGTGCAAGATATTATTAATACAAATTTATTAGGGACTATGTATGTAACACAGCATATTGCAAAGGCCATGATACGAAAAAGACAAGGTAGGTGAATTATAATTGGGTAATGAATACTTATTACGTGTTTGCTTTTTGGGTGTATATGTGTGGATGTGATTTAGGTGGATGTATTATCAATCTTTCTAGTGTCATAGGTCTCTCGGGAAATCCTGGTCAATGCATTTATAGTGCATCTAAAGCAGGGATCATAGGTATTAATAAATAAAAAATATCCATATCCTTCTTACTAATTCTTTTATATATAATATAGGTTTTACCAAATCGCTCGCCAAGGAACTTGGACCATTACAAATTAGAGTGAATGCCATAGCACCTGGGTTTATAGAGACTGATATGACAGCAGGTGAGAAATATATATATATCTTAGGTTAACAATTGATCTCAAGTGTTCATATATTTTATTCTTTATTATTAATATTACTGTTATTATTTTTGGTAGGGATTTTAGGTCAACCAGATAAAAGAGCAAGTGTTCTCGCATCAATTCCATTACGACGGTTTGGTCAAGTAGATGATATTGCTGAAGCTGCTCTTTTTATTGAAAGATCAAAATACATGCATGGACAGGTAAAAAAAAAAAAAAAAAAAAAAAAAAAAAAAAGGATGATCATTGACCATTTTTTTTTTACATTTATTTTTGTTTTATTTATAGGTTCTACAAATTGATGGTGGATTGATAGTCTGATTATATGATGTCTACAAGATGGACTCGATTGGGATTTATTTGAAATGGAATGGGATTGACTTTATTAGAATAGGTTAGAATAGTGTGTATAGAATTACCAATAAACTATCGGATATATAAAAATATATTTGATAAAACATGTTGATATACAATGATGATACACGAATATGTCGATTGGGAATTTTCCTTCTTTTGATCACTCTTTAATGTCAATTCTGAATCAAATAGAAAATAATGTTGGAAAACATCATTTCCTCGTTCAATGATACATCGGTTTCAAGCAAAAGAGTTAGATTCTGTAATTCAATATATATATACAACATTGATATCTCTTTATTTCACAAAATCAATCAATATATAAAATAAAGGCAACTAATTTTGTATAATCTAATCTACCAAAAATAAATACTATACTACGGAAAGAAATTCCTTGGGTTGCAATTCAAAAGTTTGCCAGAATTCATGAGAATCCAAACGGGGAAGAATGCCACTTTGTTCAATCAAAGAATTCAGAGTTTGTCCTTTACCCCATATCTGTTGTACTTGATGATCATGATCCAATAAATCCTGAAGTGTTTCTAATTGATCAGAAGAGGCCCATGTTGAGAAGAGTTTGAGCCAATCATAACATCCACCATCCGTCACTATCCATCGTTGTCCCATTGCATTATTCTTTTTGAATCCTATATGTACTGCCAATATTGCTCTAGCTACATCCTTGCCATGAATAAGATGTAATTGTCTAACCAATAACTTGTTCTTCAATGCATCTTTGGTTGGAAATCGACTCACCCAATTCTTTGGTTGCCTAGAATTATAATAAAAAAAATCATTACTTTTTTACTGTCTCGCTTTTTTTTTTTTAATTGATTGTTACCTTTGCGCACCCCATAAACCAGCAAGATGTAAAACAGTTCCTTGTCGTTCTAATAATACTTGTTCAGCAGGCATACGACCAGTATCTTTTGATATATCTAAAGGAGAATGACGATCATTGGTTGGATGGGTGAAGGGTCGTGTGGAAGACAAAAGAATCCATTGTGCTGTGGGTTGAATCTCATTGTAGGCAACCATAAGAGCTTTCATCATAGCTGGGTCTTTAACAGGAAAGGTTACCAACACAGTGTCAGCCGCCGGGAGTGTATCGACATGGACAGAAGAAGGATCATCACCAAGGGACCATGTAATAGTATTGTTGCGACCATCACGCGTAGTAGCAACGTATGAGAATTCTTTTTGTTCTTGAGCTTCTAAAAGTTCGACAAGAAAAGTGCCTGACCAACCTAAACCGAGAATAAGAAGAGAGACCATGAAAAGAGAGAGAGAGAGAAAAAAAAAAGAAAAGAAAAGAAAAGAAAAGAAAAGAGATACTAACCCCGGAATTTCTCTCTATGAGGACTTCCAAATTTTGGTTATAAAAAATCGATCATCATGAAGTTGATATGAGACAAGACAAACAAGTAACAATTGAGAGTATAAAAGAATTTATTTTTATTCATAAAATCTAAAGGAATGAAGGAGAGGCAAAAAAAAAGGAGAGTAACAGAATTATACATAAAGCATAAAAAAAAAAAAGAAAAATTCAGTATAACAGACCAAAAGGCACCAAGTCATCATGTAGAGCAGTTCTTGAGATAATATTTCAATTCATATAAGCTGTTGGCCACCAATAGTACACTATACAGTTTCTTCCATGTAGACTGAAGGCCAAAGAGTCCTGATCCATCATGGATTTGAGATAGAATGGTAAAATCGTTTGTGATACATGAACATCATTGCCGCCTTGGTTATTGTCATTTCCATTGAATTCTTTTCACTGATAAGGCACTAATACAATGCTTGATACTGCGAGGAAGATGCTGTAAAAGTGGGCCCATAGAAGTTGCATTCCTCTATACATTTCTGTTCGAAGCTCGTTTTGATTCATTCGTAAATAATGTAATCTGCTACTTTCAATTCGAACGTAGTTATCAACCAACTACTGCTGGAAAAATTTGCCGTATTGTTGAATGTAGTATCCATTTCGTAGCATCAGCATATAGGCACAATACCTTCGTAGAAAAACCTTTGTTTCAGAGCCAGTTGAGGATTCACAAAAGCATATCGTTTTACAAACAATGCTTCATAAGATCCAATAGAATAGGCATGACTTGTAGATAAATAACCTTTTCTAGTTCTTGAGTCGCATTCTTGTGATTATTATAGACATCCAAATATTGCAATTTCAGGATATGCTTGTTGATCATACCGCTTTCCAAGTTCTTTTTGCTCCGCTGATAACCACTTGGAGGCTCCCAATGGGTTCGTCACGATGTTGATCAGCTGTTGTCGTGAGATTTATAGTGTAGTTGTCGCTGTGGATAATCCTTTGCAAAACTTCGATAGTTTCCAGCTTCAAATGGGATATCACGCTTGTTCGCCGTTGTAACTGATCAGAGGTGTGGTGGAAGCAAGTCTGCGGCAGAGAGAGAAAACAGAAGAGAGTTAGATAATGTTAACGATTTGTTATGTGGTCACATAACCTTTTTTTTTTTTTTTTTTTGTTACCTTAGAATTTCTTTGACACTGGATTTGCCTTTCCTTTCATTTCTTTGTTGGTATCATAGAAATAAGATCCATAGAAATACATGTACTCAAAACTGAAAAGTACACCATAAAGAATGATACATCAAATGGAATCAATCCTATTGACACGTACCGAAGTAGTTGGAATAGAAATAAAAACGTATTTGAATAAAAGTACTAATACCAATTGATATACAAAAACTAAACGAAAAGAAAAGAATAAAAAAAAAAAAGAACTGAGAAAAAAAAAGAACCAAATCCTCAAGAAAGCGGTGTCCGAATACTTTTCATCATGTACCTTAGCTTTATCATTTCCCTTCTCAAGGTACCTAATCAATCAAAGGATTCAATATACTATGATAATGAAATTAAAAAAAAATATCAAACGTAATGTTGCGTTTGATGACAAAACACAGATATTGATTGGATGTAATCAATCAAATCTAAAAAAGGAACAATGCGGGGATCTTTTTTATCATCTCGAGTCGGTCAATGAATAGAAGAATTCAAGCAAACCAACACCTTTTTTCTTATTTTTTATTGGCTATCAATCGGATGTCGCAATCGAAAGCTAGTTGCCCCTCATCCATAACCTATAAAATTCAAAAAATCCTATTTTCTTCTCTCTTTTATTCTCTTTCCCCTAAACTCTATTTTTACACCCTTTTTTTTTATATATACGTCAAATGGCTAATACTCCTCATGGTGGTGTCCTCAAGGACTTATATATTCGTGATGCCAATAAGAATGACTCTCTTCGTATTGAAGCTAAAACCTTACCTTCTTTGGTTCTGACTGACCGACAATTGTGTGATCTCGAATTGATTTTAAATGGTGGTTTCTCTCCTCTTGAAGGTTTTTTAAATGAAAAGGATTATAATGGGTAAATCCAAAAAAAAAAAAAAAATAAGCTTGGATACTTAGACAATATTGTTTTTAGTGTTGTAGAAAATATGCGGTTAACTTCTGGTTTATTATGGTCCATGCCAATTACTTTGGATGTGAGTCAAGAAGAAATTGAAGCTAGTCAAATCCAACCTCAACGTCGTATTGCCCTTTTGGATCCTCGTGATTATGAAGCTTTGGCTATTTTGACTGTGGATGATATCTATGAACCCAACAAATCCAAGGAAGCTGAATATGTATTTGGTGCTGATGATAGTGCTCATCCTGCTGTCTATTATCTTCATAATATTGCCAAAAAATTTTATGTTGGTGGTTCTTTAGAAGCTATTCAATCTCCTTCTCATTATGATTATGTTGCTAATCGATGTAAGTAGAATAAATGGGTGGGAAAGTTTTTTTTTTTTAAGGAAGAAAAAAAAAATCAAGGTTTTTCTAATTATTCTCTTTTTTTTTTTTTCCTTAATAGATACTCCTAGTGAACTCCGTGCTCATTTCAAGAAACTTCAATGGACTCGTGTAGTCGCTTTCCAAACACGTAATCCTATGCATCGTGCTCATCGTGAATTGACTGTCCGAGCAGCTCGTCAACGTAAGGCCCATCTTCTTATCCATCCTGTGGTTGGTTTGACTAAACCTGGAGATATTGATCATTATACTCGTGTGCGTGTATACAAGGCATTGATGCCCAAGTATCCTAATGGTATGGCTGAACTTTCTTTATTACCTTTGGCTATGCGTATGGGTGGTCCTCGTGAAGCTGTGTGGCATGCTTTGATTCGTAAGAACCATGGTGTAACTCACTTTATTATTGGCCGTGATCATGCTGGTCCCGGTAAGAATTCTCAAGGTGTTGATTTCTATGGTCCTTATGATGCTCAAGATTTAGTGGAAAAGTTTAAGGATGAAATTGGTATTGAAATTGTTCCTTTCCAAATGATGACGTACTGCCCCGATTCTGATGAATACTTACCTGCTGATCAAGTTCCTGAAGGTGTTAAGACTCTCAATATTAGTGGTACCGAATTACGTCGTCGTCTCAAGACTGGTTTACCTATTCCAGAATGGTTCTCTTATCCTGAAGTTGTCAAGGTTTTACGTCAATCTCATCCACCTCGATCTCAACAAGGTTTTACCATCTTCTTCACTGGTTTACATGCTTCTGGTAAAAATGCTATTGCTCGCGCATTACAAGTATCTTTGAATCAAGAATCTTCTCGGTCTGTGTCTTTATTGATGGGAGAAAATGTGCGTGCGGAATTATCCTCCGAACTCGGTTTTTCCAAACGTGATCGTGATATTAATATTGCTCGTCAAGCTTTTGTTGCCGGTGAATTGACCCGTGCTGGTGCCGCTGCCATTGTTGCTCCCATTGCTCCTTATGATGATGCTCGTAAGCAAGCTCGCAAGACCATTGAAAAATCTGGTGGTTTTTATTTGGTCCATGTTGCCACTCCTTTAGAAGAATGTATTAAGCGTGATCGTGATGGTGTCTATGAAAAGGCCAAGAAGGGTGAAATTAAGGAATTTACTGGTATTGATGATCCTTACGAAACTCCTGAAGATGCTGATTTGGTTGTGGATATTACCAAGCAATCTGTATCTCAAGCTGTCCATGAAATTGTTTTATTATTGGAAAAAGATGGATTTGTTGGCTCTGCCTAGAAATAGGTACAAATTTATGGGGGAAATTTAGTTAGAAAAAAAAAAGTAGTATAGAAAGATGACTGTGTCATTTTACCCATACTTCTTTAAATGTAGACTATTTTTATTTATATATATATATCAATTTTTATTTATTTTCTTTTCTTGTTTTATTAGTATTACTATTTTTTTTATTATTGTTTATATGTATTTTGAATAATAAGAATAAAAAAGAAAAAGAAACTTTATTTGTTTGTTTGAATTATATTAAATTTCTAATCGTATAAGTTCTTTTTTTTATAACCAGAAAAAAAAAAGAATTTACTACTGATTCTCTCTCTATATGTCATTTTGATTTCTGCCCTTGATTTTTCTGCCAATGAGAGTGAAGGATTTTCGAGTGGTTGCATTGAAACATGGGGCGGGGGATAATTTTTATCATTTGTGCATTTTTTTTTTTTGTTGTTATTTTTATTTTTTTACTTTTTTTTTCTTTTTAACATCAATACAATGACACCTTTCTCTTTCATTGTGTTCTTTTTCTTCTTGTTTTCTTTTTGTAAGGCAACTCAAGATGTGATTACCGCTGCTGCCATGGCTCGAAGATTAGTAAAAGATACTGGTAAAATAAAAAAAAGATATTGTGTGAAATTCACACGTTTTTAACTGTTTTCATTATTCTAGGTATAGGTAGTATGTTGACTCTTATGGATGCAGATGTGAATGAAGAATTTCAAGGTAATGATATGATAAATAATAAAAAAAAAAAAGAAGAATATTCAATAAAACTTTATTCCTTCTTTGATAGGATTTCCTTTTGGATTGATGGAATATTATGCTGATGGTTGTACAGAACAAGACAATGGTGATCTTTTACTCTTTATGTCTGATTTGCAGGTAAAAAAAAAAAAAATCCATTTGATATGAAAATCCTTTATCTGATACTCATTTTGGTGAGATAGATGAATGCTAGAAATGCTCGTCATGCTGAACAAAAAGTAGGATTTACCATTCGAGCATTGAAAGAATACAATGATCCTATTGGAAATATATCCACACCTGTACAACAACCTCGTTTAACTTTGGTGGGTGAAGTGGATCATCTACCAGAATCATTGGTATGTAATGCATATATATATGTATATGAATGATAAGATATTGATTATTAATTATTATTTATTATTGTTTATGATAGCGGAAACAAAATATGGCATGTTTTAGACAAACTCATAAAGAGGCCAGTGCTTGGTAATCAACAAACAAGAACAAATAATAGGAAATCCATTTATTTTTATTTTTATTATTGTAGGGATCAATTTCATGATTTTCATTTTTATAGATTCAAGGTACATGGTATCTACTATGTTGGTGGATTTGGTGGTATCAATTATATTGGTTGGATCCCTCTTCATTTGTACCAAAAAGAAGCCAAGACCCTTTCATTTCATAGACAGGATCCCCTTCTTTAGTTATATATATAACAATAAAAAAAAAAGATAGGTTTTAACTTTTAGTTTCTCCAAATGATAATATTATTGATAGGTTAGTTTTGGTCAATAAGTGAGGTAAAAGACTATTCTTTATTGATGTATATACAATGATTTATGGAAGACAAGATGAATTTATATGAAGAAGAACTAATAATGAGGTCTTTTAGGTTTGTAGTTTCTTGATTTCAGATTCTAATGTTGTTTGTTGATCTACAAAATACAAAACAAAAGAGTGAGTATTCTGTGAAGTGTTTGAGAAAGAAAGAAAGAAAGAAAAAAACTTACAGCGTGTATTTGACTTGATGATATTCTTATCCTTTTCAAGAAAAAAGACATTGGAAGTTGGTACTTTACGTTGGTATATTTTCTAAATCAAGTTGAGTATTATTAAGTTTGTTTAAATATTATTAATTATTTTTTTTTTTCTTACAGCAGTTGATCGTAAGTGAGTGAGTTCAGCCGATAATACTTTGGTTTCTTGAAGCTAATATAGAGAGAGAAAGAGAGGGTAAAAAAAAAAAAAGTAATATATATAATTATATTATACCTTTTTCTCTAATACTTCTTTTTCAGTCAACATGATATCGAAAAAGAGAAAGAAAAAGATTCAATTTTTTTTTTTTTTTTTTTTGTCGGCAAACACTGGCAGCACATCCGAAAAAAAAAGAATCAGTCGGTGATCAGAATTTATTGGTGCAATCGATTTTTCATCATGTATACAGTTTGTCCACTGATAGATGACGCAGTTTCAGAAATAAGATGTCGCCAAAATAGGAAATAAGATATCGTAAGAATAGAGAATGGATGACGGACAAAACAGATAATGGATGGCGCATAAAAAAAAAGAAAAAATCGGACGAGAGGAAAAGTAAATTGGAAAAAGGAGGGACAAAGGAAGAGCAGAATTGAAAAAAGATTAGTAAACCGAATAGAAGCATCATACTTTTTTTTTTTTTTTGGGACTTACACTGTAGGCGTCAAACACGTTTTCATTACGTGGAGGAGGGTCTTGCTAAATATCCAGGTCTTGCACCAGACTTGACCATGTTCATGAAGAGACTACGAATGTTGCGAGCAGCATTAACGTCACGCTGCCACACTGTACTGCAGTGATTGCACACTAGTACAGCGTACATACGTGACGTTGATTCCAACTCTAGTCTCTCCATGTCCTTATGCCCACACCGAGAGCAAACTTGAGAAGTGTTATATTCATCAATATCAATAAGTATCAGTCTTCCTTGGCTATCGGCTTTTTTCAGTAGATTTCTGCATTTATCAGTTACTCCTGCGGGTTTGCCCTTGAATACGTTGCGTCCGAATGTTGAAGAACCAAAAACAATTACCGGGACCTTGGATGGATGATGAGTAGCTTCAGCTTTTTTCCATTTTCTATGTGAGAAAATTAAAGATCAGTATGATTTTTATGTGTATTTTCGATCAGACAAACTTACGACTTTATTGTGCTTCTTTCTTCGTTGTGAGGGTGTCTTCTACTTCTTCTTCTTCTTCCTCCTCTTCGCTGTCTTTGTTGTTGTCCTTGTCTTTGTTGTCGCCGCTTTGTTCTCCGTTTTCGTCTTCGTCTTGTTCCATAAGGTCTGTACTTTTCAACGCCATCGACGAGTATGTTCACCATCTCTGCATCTACGCGCTGTCTTCCTTTGTAATTTGAAAATTTCAAACCACGAATTTCATTTTGGTCATAAAATTCTTTCATTGGGTCCAAGGCGTCCAACGTCGTGGCGATGTAATCTTGTATCCCCTGCATGGTTACAGTACGGTGCGTTGATATGGTTGACTCTAGTACTTGTAGTGATGATGTTTTAGTTAAATTGATTCTCGCTGTGGATTTCTTGTAACCTGCATCAGTATAATATTGAGCCAAGCTAAATTGCCGTACTTGATGAGATTCACCTATCAAAAAAAAAGAAAAAAAAAAGAAGGTGCATTAGAAAATAATAGTAAAATAATGTTTGCATTGTCATAGATCACTTACCGACAGGCACAGTGGAGAGAGTAGGATTAACAATAGCAGAGGAATCAGTGTGGCTGACAGCAGTAGGTGTGTCAAAAGGAACAGTATGACTGACATCAGTAGCGGATACCTGGTGATCTTGAATTGAGCCAATTACAGTGACTTCAGCTGAATTATTGGTATTGACGGCGCCCCCAGCAACAATGTTTCCAGCAGCAAATACAGAGCCGCGAAGTAGTAGATTTTGTCCAACAGTAATATTGCCACTTGAGGATAAATTACCACCGATGATCATATTTCTTCCCACCTTGACGTCTTCCATCGTCGTAACATCACCTTTCACAGTCAATGATTCATTCGTTTCAACAGTACCACAAGCCATTAAACTGCCAGTAACCATGTTCTTTCCAACCTTGATATTACCCCCAGTAGTGAGAGCATCCTTCACAGTCAATGATTCGTTCGTTTCAATGCTACCAGATGTCGCTAGACTGCCAACAATCACAATATTCCCAGGTTCAATCAAATCGCCTTGATGATCTATATTGCCTGTACAGACTACACCTTCCTTCTTTGCTAAATTAGACGCATCCGAAGCCAGAGACGAGACATTTGTCGCAAGTGATGATATACGTTCAGAAATATGAGAATTAGTGCCACTAGAACACGAGTTTCTTGCCAGTATGGAAACATTCGAAGCTAGGCTTGACAAATCGGTAACTATTTTTGACAATGAAGCAGCAGTATCCGTGGTAGCATGAGGAGCACCAGTAGAGTCATGTCGATGGAAGGCGGCGGCGTTAGTGGAAGTATCAGTAGGGCCATGTCGGGAAGTGGCGGTAATGTGAGAAGCATCGGTACAGTCATGTTGATGGATGGTGGTGGTAGAAGTATCGATATCCGTGATGGCGTGACTAACATCAGTAGAGTCATGCTGATCGGTGGTCGTGGTAGGAAAAGCATCATGGACACCTGTAAAAAAAAAAAAAAAAAAAAAAAAAAAAAAAAAAAAAAGGTAAATAAAGATGTACGTGTTTAAAATTTAATGCCACCTACCCTCATTGTTCATTGCTTGATTATAAACTGCATCACTACTACCATCACTAGCAACGTAGATGCTTGTAACTCCAGGATCGGCACCCCATATCGTAAAGTACTTCAATTCCCATTCTTCAAAATCAGCTGGTACCAATCGAGGCAATTGTTGCAAAGACATTGGTCTGTCATATGGAATTGAGACCGCAAACCCATCCGTCCAAATAAATCCTGCGAAGACCATATCATTATGTTTCTTTATTTTCGAAAGATTCAAAACACCAGAAAGAGTTTGCTCGCCATTTCTGTACACATCTAGACCTGGGGTACGTAAAAGCGACAGCCTAACCTGGTTGGAGATCTTGATATATTTTTTCATGACTGAAGGTTTTGGCACAAGATTAAATAACCGTTGCTGTTTTACGACATGGTGTAGCTCAGGTTTGAAACAATCGTCAAAAAGTTGATCGTTGTTATCAGGGTCATTCAAGTAAATTTTGGAATTGTTGATTTGATGTTTAGTATCCGTGATGATCGTTTCCAGGTTTTCCAATGATTCTTGAGACAGATAATTGAGTCTAGAGTTATCCAATTGTTCGTCGTTATTGATAGCCTTATCTAAAAATCGCGCTAAAGATGACCGTCGCCGTCGTCCCATGTGCTTGAATTCTTCTAATTCCCGAATGACGCTGTAACACCATGACCGTGGAGCACTTTGCATTACCAGACTGGCAACGCGTATTTGATCCTCGTTGAATGAATTCATATACTTTGCAATGTTGAATCCGTACTTGCTAAATAAGTGACAATGGCCTGCAATGTATGCTGGTGTCAACGATGGTAGATCATTTTCTTGAATAATGACTGTGTTGCTCTGTTCGCAATAGTGATGAATGTCATGAAGCACTTGTCTATTTCCCAGATCGTTGTTGGCGTAATATCTTCCCATAGCGGCTGTATATTGGCGATCAATCATATCGTACATACGTTGCTGTTCCATCAACCGGTCATTGAACCCTTGTATTTGCAATGCCATGGCTTCCAGGCTTCCTACAATATTCAAAGTGTCCAAATCATTGTTTCCAACTAAATCATTATCATTGACTGCCTGTTGTTGCACAGGAAGAGAGTCCTGTAAACGCCGTATAACATGATCACCAAAAGATTGATTGATATCACCAGAGACAAGTTCCTGTAATCCTAGATTTGTTGCCACTTGCATTATAAGACGCACAGAACGTTGATGACCAATGAGATTTGCTAGTAAAACCTCTGAAAGACGTATGATTCCAGGTAGAAGTTGTAAATTGTTTGAGGTGTCTAAGGTTTCCTGTAATTCTTGTAACTGATCTAGCCCATTTCGCATAAGAATTCGCATCCCATTTTGGCGGTTTACAATTCGTTCTTGGAGACTACGATAAGAGCGTTCCAGCAGGCGGCGACTTGTATCCATATGCGCTTCCAAGTTGGCCAGATTATATATCACTAATAGATCAACACGGGCTTCATCCAAAACTGTAGCGACGCATTCTTTGAGGACATCGTTTTCACCATCAGAAAGTATTTTTGGTAATCGTGGCGGGAAATCAGGATTGTGCATGACAGTTTCAAGAATATATAGCCCAAGTTTGTCTGCATCCACTTTGCTCAGAGTCTAGGAAATTGAAAAAAATAATAATCACAAATTCCATGTGTTTTCATTTTTAGTCTTATAACCTATCTATTTATCGTCACTTACTTGATCTTGAGATTCTTGTTCTTGATGTTGAGGTGGTTGAGATGGTGGCTGACGTTGATGTTGTTGTAATTGATGACGAACATGTAAGGAATATTGATTCGCCATCCACTGTGTCATGTCACTTTCGATTCTATTCACAAAGGCCGAAACATACTGGTCCAATAGTGATGAGATGACTTCGGAATATCCATTGCCGCCATGGATCTTTTTGACTTTGAATCGTTGCACCTGCGCTTCAGTGGGGTTCATGCTATTGTATTGTCGTCGGATTTCTTCTGCCAAATGATGATCGATGGTGTTGTTCGTGGTGATGGTGCCGCCAGTAACGATTTGAAATACCGAATAAAAAAAGCTTTTGGTGAAGATTTGTTTGTTGATGATTTCTCCATCATTGAGCTTGTGGTATACAAAGTAAGTTATAAAAAGGTGTAATTTCACAATAACATCGCGAGCATATGTAGCCACATCGTTCAGTCGATCAATGAGTAATTGTTTGTGATCAGGATTGTCAATAGATAATAGTGAGTTCAGTCCAATCTTTCTACATACGGTCATTGTTTGTCCCACTTGCTGCCGTAGTCGTTCTTTTCTGCTTGGCTGTCGGAACGGGCATAATTTGCTTGTAGATCTTGAGTGAGAGTAGGCGGTGTCAAATCGACGTTTTTCTAGGCATACCGGGCAGGGTGTCAGAGAGTGCTTGGATGATGATTGCTTCCGAACAATGGACGCTTGTTTTTTCTTTGATTTTTCTTGCCGAGTTTGTTGTCTTTTACGCTTGTTCCCTGATAACTGTTTTGAAACTGTTGAACGTGTTGCAGTAGAGGAAGAAGCAGCAGCATAGTTGTCGCCATCATGGTCACCATCATCACCTGTTGAAGTAAAAAAAAAAAAAAAAAAGTTAAGCCAGTAGCCTCACAATAATATTTTTTTTTATTTCTAATATTTCTTACCTTCATGATCTTCACTGTCAATATCACTATTGTCATCACCGTCAACATCACTATTGTCATCATCTTCTTCATCACCTTGATGGGGTTGCTGTGCTATATTTGTAAAAGGCAAAAAAAAAAAAAAAAGTAACTCAGTAACAAAAAAAAAAAAAAAAAAAAAAAAAAAAAAAAAAAAAGACAACATTGTTGTTTCAATTGTGATCACGCTTACCGTTACGTTGTTGTTGTTGTTTAAATAGTTTCTTATACATAATGATTTCGTGTACAGTCATACCATCGTAATGCGTTCTTTTTTCAATCAATTGTTCCATGGAGTATAAGCATCCTTTGGTGAAAGAGTTCAAAAAGAAAAAGAAAAAAGCGAAAGAAAGAGAAGCAATTAAGGATTTCGCTTGTCAATATGCGCGTTGCAGTCGGAGTTATTTGTAGAAAATCATGAGTCATATACCTATAGCAAATAATATAAAATGAATATATAATGTCTTTTTCTTTCTTTTTTAGTGTCATCTGCCTTACTTTCTATGCAAAATAGAAAAGATGTCTATAGTAGTAGCGATAGGAAAGGAAAAAGAAAGTATGAGAAAATAATTTACATAACGCTGAGCCATGGATTGAGGATTTCCTTTTTTGGATATTCAGTTACGGCTCATATTCGTTCGTAATCTTTCTTTACTATAGTTATTCAAAGTTTAATGAATACAAGGAATAGGAAATAAGTGATAAAAACATTCACTTGAAAGTGCTTATTCTAATATCATTATCATCATCATCATCATTATGATGTTAATCAATAAAAATCAATTCAAAAAAAGCAACTTAAACCTATGTGATTTCTTACGATTGGTTAATTTGATTTGCAGGATTTTTTTAAACTGGCTCCGACCAGGTAGACATATATAAAATAAATCTTTTTTCTTTCTTTCTCTATCTTTCTTTTTTTTTTCTTCACTTTTTTTTTTTTTCTTTCTTTCTTTCTTTCTTTCTTTCTCTATCTTTCTTTTTTCTTCACTTTTTTTTTTTTTTTTTTTTTTTTTTTTTTTTTTTTTTTTTTTTTTTACACGTTATTAAACGAACATCATGGCTCAAGCATCCAACAGAGATTTGACTGAACTTATTATGCGTCCCAATACTGGCACAGTTGGTAAACAAGTACGTGTACGAAGCAATTTCTTTGAAATGACAAGTCTTCCAGCTCAAAATATACAACGCTTGAATATTCAATTCCTACCGGAGGGTACATCTCTACCTGTTCGAAGAAAGTTGTGGAAATGTTTTGAAGATAGTCCCAAAGGTCGAGCTTTCCTCAACAAGATCAAACCGGTCTTTGATGGTCGTGCAAATCTCTTTTCTCCAAAACCTCTAAAGTGTGGTGATGACAATCTTGGTATTTCTTTTGAAGTAAGTAAATAAAAAAAATGACGTATATTTTATTATATACTTATTATTTCATCCCCAACTTCATTATATTTTTCTGATCACTCTTTTTTTTTATTGGTTCATTCATATCCATCATTTTTATTCTTGTTATAGGTCAACCTTCAACAAGGAAATCGTTCTAGAGGTGTTTTCAAGTTAAAAATCAAGCCTGTAGGTGTAATCAACATGGGTGAATTACAATTACTTTTGGATGGAAAGTCTCTTATTACCAGCAACTGTTTGATGGGTACGTAAAACAAAAAAAAAATATTATAATTATCTCCTTTTCTTTTCATTAACTTCTTTTCCCTTTTTTTATCTTTTTCTTTTTATATACGTGTTTTTTCTCTAAAACCGATCAACAGCCATTAGGGTCCTTGAGACATTGTTTCATCACTCTCCATACATGCATTATACAACGATGGGTCGATCCTTTTATACTCTCCAAGGTAAACGTCCTTTACGCAATGGTGCTGAAGTATGGCAAGGCTTCAATCAATACGCTCGCCCTACTCAAGGTAAAGAAAAAAAAATCCTAAGACTTTTGTTAATATTTCATTCTTTACTGTTTATAGGCAAAATGATGGTCAATATTGGTGTTAGCTCCATCGCTTTCTATCAACCTGGCCCTCTTCATGAAATGTTACCCAAACTACTTGGCCGCCGCAGTCTTGGTGAACTTCGTCGTGGTATTCCTGATTCTGAACGCATCAAGGTCGAAAAAATACTCAAGAATCTCGAGGCTGTTGTTGTCCATCGTGGTGCTGAAAAACGATTGAAGTACAAGATTAACAAGCTCACTCCTACCTCTGCTGAAAACACTGTATTCAAGGATGATACTGGAAATGAAGTGACCGTTGCTCAACACTTTCAAAACACTTACAACAGACATTTGGCCTTCCCTTTCTTACCCTGTATTGTTGTCAAGAAGAATACCTTTTTGCCTATGGAAGTTTGTGAAGTAGTTTCTGGTCAATGCCCTGTAGAGACACCGAGTGACTATCAAAAAGGTGAAATGATCAAGTTTACTTGGAATACACCCAATGTGCGTGCCAACTTGATCAATCAAGGTTTCAACGTACTCGACTACAAGGACGATCCGTATATTCAACAATTTGGTGTCAGCGTCAAGCCTGATATGACCATGGTCAATGCTCGTGTTCTTCCGGCTCCAAAGATCTCTTATCATGCTTCAGCTAGTTTTACTCCTGTCGGTGGTACTTGGAGTCTCCGTGGTAAGAAATTCGCAAACGGTGCCACCTTGGAATCCTGGTCTGTTGTCAATTTTGCAAGCAGTATCAATGATGGTTCGGTACGATTTTTTATTCGTGAACTAGGTCAAATGTTCATTGATAAAGGTTTGGTAAGTTGGTTTCTTTTTTTATTTATTTATTTATTTCAAGAAAAGAAGAAAACATGGTTTATACTAATCTTTCACCTATTATTATTTCTTTTATGATTAAAAATATGGAATGTCATCGATCTTGAACTATAAATTACTCATGCTAATCCTCAAGTTATCAACATTAGACTTAGAAAGCCATTGAAGCCTCTGTCAAAAAAAAAGGAAGGTAGGTAAGGACAATGGAAAAAAGAAATCAGTAGGTACAAGAACAGGATATTATATTCGCTTTTTGAATGACACGATGGATAATATGGACCAGTATCCCGGATTTAAAGGGTATTATCTTGTGATGGACAATGCGCCAATACAACAATCTAAGGACATTGAAGCAACGATTACCGAACGACAGTACAGATGCATTTATCTTCCACCATATTCCCCGGAGCTCAACCCAATTGAACAATTCTGGTCTGTGGCAAAGAGCAAACTGAAGCGGTCCAATCTTATGGATGATGAAACTTTATCAGACAGGATAGGTGAAGCTTGTAGTTTAGTTACTCGTAGTGATCTTACTGGATTCATCACACATTCTATCAATCGCTTTGATGATTGCTTGAACAAACGTCCTATGTGATACTCTTTTTTTATTTTTTATTTTTTTATTGTTTTAATAAAGCATACCTTTTATTCAAATATACTTGGTGTCTTTTAATATTGTGTTGTATTTTTATTACCATTCAAAAAAAGAAAAATGTAAGAGTACCTTAGAACGCCATGGTAGATTGGACGTATTCATGCGACAAGTAGATTTTCAAAATATACGCCAGGTTAGCATCAAAAACTCCGCCATCCAAAAATCAAATAGGACGCCATTTTTTCTCCCCCCATGCGCCATCTAACTCTGGAAACACTATAAAATCACACGAGAATTTTTACCTTTTTTTCTTTTTTACTTTCTCTCTTGAATTAATTCCTTTTCATCATGACCACAGATCCTATAGCTCAACATTCTATCTCTATTTCTGCCTATATGAGTGGACATACTAGTAAGATATCCTGTTAAAAAAAAAAAGAACCTCTCATTTTTATTTTTGTTCTTTTTTGATAGATGCTAATCTTGCTTATGTACGATATTTTGGAAAAAAGAAGTCTGCTATCAAAGCCAACTTTAAATCATTAGATGCTTATGGATTCACTATTGAATATGATACTCCGGAAGAACAAGGTCTAGAAACTGTTATTCCTTGGCCAACCAGTTCTTCACCCCCTCTGACTACACGCGACCAGGTCAGACCATTGTTAGAATCCATGGCAAAAGAGGCAGAAGAAGCATTAGGCATGGTAAAGAATATATATATATGTAGAAAGAAAGAATGATTTCTCACTTTATTTTATAGCCTAGTTCATTACAAGGACCACCACCTATTCAAGCTATGTTAAAAGCTCAGGCATTGGAGGAAACCGAACGACAAAAGGAATATGAACGGCAAAGGAAAAGAGATGTATTTTATCATGCAGATAGGTTTTGGCAGATCCCGATCATTTTAGGTATGTGTCATCTGGGTTATTTGGCAGCAAGATCAAGAATAGAAACTGGTCCATGGTATGCAGCTCAAATTCAACAGATCATTGGTCTTCATGTGATTCAATGGATGTGGTCTATCTCAGTGGGTTTACATGTGGGTGAATCTTTAATTGCATGTGGTATTTGCCTTCATCGTGGATGGTATAGTTCTGGAAATATTCTTCGATGGACAATCAGTACTTTCTTCTTTGGTTTCGCCTCTCTATCAAAATTATTGAAACATGGAAGAGATATGGCAAAATTAGATTAGTTATATATATATATATTAGATTAGATCATCAGTATTTCTTTTTTTTTTTTTTTTGTATAATATAAATCAAAAAAGTGTATATATACACATTGTATAGTTTTATTTTAGGGTCGGAAAGATATGATGAATATGAGTCATCGCTACATTTATTTTTTTATTATTTTAAAAAATTGGTTTGCACGAGTAGTTAAAGAATATACAAAAAAAAAAAGGGAAAGACTATACAAAAGGAAGGGCTATTATTTAAATGAGTGGAATTAGTATATATATATACACAAAAGTACGTACTGTAAAATAATAATAAATATATAAAACAAAGGGAGAATCGTAAGGAAAAAGGTACAAAAAAAAAGATGGAGAAAAATGATAAATAAAGTGCAAACAAGAAACTAGAAGAAGTATATCTATCTAGCTGCAGTGATAGCAAATTGAGGAGAAGCATTTCCAGAATCACCCATCAAGACAATAATATAAGTACGTTTTGTTTCCAAATCGGCAGGTAAAGTCACCACTTGTGAACCCTTGTTCAATAGAAAATCAGAAGCAAGTTCCCATTCTAAATCATAATAATAATAATAATAAAAATATTTTAATGATGATAAATGATAAAATAATATATATTAACTTACGAAGATGTTCATTAGGTCCATCTTTTGGATCAAGATAACCAAGTTTAATGGTTCCTCTGAAAAAGAGTAAAAAAAAAAAAAAGTATAAATACATATGAAACATCTCATACTTTTTAACTTACTTGTATGTATCTGGAATAGGACCTCCGGCAACGTTTTCAGTGTCCCTAAGAAAAAAAAAAAGGTCAGCTGAGACAGTACAAAAAAAAATATAATCTTTTTTTTTTTTCATCAAATCATTACCAAGTAATAGTGTGTTGAGAACCAGCACGCCACTTGGTAGAAGAAGTTGGACTTGTTCTAAATCAAATATATAAAAAGGTAGATTTAATACATTGTATTGTACATTGAAGTTCTTACATATGAGGATTCAACACAATGGCAAAGGACAAAGTAACAAATGTCACCAAGATAATAAGAATAGACTTGAAATACATAATAATAGATTGTTTATTGAGAGTTTTTCTTTACAAAATAAGATGGGAAAAGAAAAAAGAGAAATCAAAAACAAGACAACTCTATTTAAGTAAACTTTTCGGTGGTTATCTCAAACATAAAATCCAACCAATGGGAAAACAAATCAAAATAATTCCTTTCTTTACATTCCTTTTTGTGTTGATTATAGTAAACGAAATGATATTTTTAGTTTTAGTTGCTATAACAGATGATGATGTTGGTAAAAATAAAAAAAGAAAACAATTTTTTATCGATATAAAAAGAAAGACTAGTGTTACTACCGTTTGCATGAACTCCGATTCACCTTAAATAATTTTTAAGCGTGATCATTATTAAAAAACTATACATGATCCCTTTTTATTTTATTTTATTTTATTTTATGAATTCTATAATATTCTATTTTATGAATTCTATAATATTCTATTTTATAACATATAATCATTGATTTGATTTAATAGAATAATCATCATTATTTATTTGATAGTTTCAATGTGATTGGAGGGAAAAAAAAAAAGAACAATATAAAAGACACTTTTTTTTTATTTTCTCCTTTCTTTCTTCTGCAATTGCTTTTTTTGGCTGCCTTTTATGTTGGTATCTTACTTCTTTCTGTTCACCTGGTCACATGCGACAGAATATTGATTCTTGTTTCTCCTGTTTTCCTTCGTTGTTCTTTTGGTTTTGTTGTGCCTTTGGTTGTTTGTCCTTGCGTCTCTTCTGTATTTCTTGTTGTTTGGATTTTTTTTTTTTTTTTTTTTTGGTAAGTATAATACAAATAATACTTAGTTGATCATGACAACTTAAACCATTTTACCATTTCTTTTCTTCAACCACCGAAATAGGTAGATCCCTTAAAAAGGATTTATTGTTTACATTGATGACAAGCTCATAAAGATAAAATATTTGTATAAATAGTATCATTCTGTAACAATTTCAAGCCACCTCCATTACTACCATGTTTACAAATATTATATCAAATGATGTCATTACCCTTATGACAAATAAAGACTTTTTATTCGTTTATAATATCTCTTTACGCCAATGGTCCCTTTTTGGTGGTTGGTAATCCAGTCAAATGCTTTCAATCTTACTTTACCGTTTATGGATAAGCCAACTGCCGAATCACTTCCCCCCTTTTTTTTTAGAAAAAAAGAGAATTTTGAGGGATTTCGATCATTTTGTATTTCCGCACATTTCTTTCTTTTTCTTTTATTTTCCTCTCTCTTTTTTTTTTTTTTTCTTCTTCTTCTTTTTCCTTATTTTCTTCCTCTCTTTACCTCTCTCTTACTTACTTCCTTTATGTGAATCATGTTAAGTAGAACAAATAGAATATACATCATGATGTTCCTGAATGGTGGCTTCTTTGTCACTGAAATAGTTATAGGTTATTACGTTAGTTCCTTATCACTGGTAAGTTAGATTTTATGCAAATTATTTTTTTTATTATACTTTATTTCTAACAGTAACATAAACACTCCTTATTTTTTTTTTTGTATAGATTGCAGATTCTTTTCATATGTTGAATGATTTGATCAGTTTAGCTGTAGCTCTTTGGGCAATTCGGTTAGCCAAACGGCCAAATCCAAATCAATCAAAATATTCTTATGGTTGGCAAAGAGCCGAAATATTGGGTGCTTTATTAAATGGTATAAAAAGGATGATTATAAAGAAAGGATATTCATTCATATTTATTATTTATTAGGTGTCTTTTTATTGGCTTTATGTTTTACTATATTAATGGAAGCTATTCAACGTTTTATTCATATGGAACCAATGACTAATCCTATTATGGTCCTCATTACTGGAGGTGCTGGTTTGGTGGCAAATATTCTAGGTCTTTTCTTATTCCACGGTAATATGCCGAAAACAACAACAAATATTTAAATTCATGAATTTTAACTTTATACTTTTTTTTTTTAAGAACATGGTCACGGTCATAATCATGCGAGTGATGACAATGCCGATGTAGAAAAAGAACATCATCACCATGATGATGGTGGTCATTTGAATATGAAAGGGGTAAAGGGACAAAAATCAATGACATTTTTTCTACTCACCTGTATTTTTTTTTTATATTCAAGATATTTCTTCATGTATTAGGTGATGCTCTCGGGAATGTTGGAGTGATGGCTGCAGCTTTATTTATTTGGCTTACACCTTACTCTTGGAGATTTTATATGGATCCTGCCATTAGGTAACTAGATGAATAAAACAATGATTTTCATCCTATTTATTTTCTTTTTTTTTAATTTATAGTTTGATCATTGCCATCATTATTTTTATGTCTGCTCTTCCTCTTGGTAAAGAATCATAGATGACATAGAAAATCAATTATTTATACTTTTTTTTATTATTATTTTATTTTATATTTAGTGAAAGCAACCTCTTTTATTTTATTACAAGGTGTTCCTCGTAGTGTAAAATTGGATGAAGTCCGTGAAAGTTTACAACAAGTATGAACAATCCCTTCTCCCCTCTTTTTTTTTTTTTTTTTTTTTTTGATGTTTGTTTGTTTTGATTTTTTCCCCCTTTGTATGTTCTAGGAAATATTAACCTAACTTTTTTATTTTATTTGTACTAGATTCCTGGCGTGTATTCAGTGCATGAACTCCATATATGGCAACTCTCCGACACAAAGTTTGTTGCTTCATTACATGTATTATTGACCGAAGACACTTATATGGAACTGTCCACACAAATGCGACAAACCTTACATCGATTCGGTGTTCATTCGGCAACTATCCAACCTGAATTTTTGAACAAAAATGAAAAACATCCTCTTCAACAGATACCCAACTCCACCGAGGATATACTCGAAGAAGATTGCGATATGATGGAAAGTCAAATTGATGTAAGAAAGTTTTTTTTTTTTTTTTTTTTTTTTTTTTTTGATTTGGATGATATGTGATATCGATTCTGACAATTCTTTTTTATTGTATATATATAGGGGATCAATTCAGATTCTACTACTTGCCTATTACGATGTGTAGAAAATGATTCTTGTTATGAACAGGCCTGTTGTCCACCATCTTATACTCAGTCGTCTCTGACAGATCCAACCTCTGGCAATCGTCCTTCTCCCTCATCATCCATAGATTAATATAATAGACATATATATATATCTTCCTCAACTCACTAATGCGCATTTTTTTAGTATAGGCTATTTTTCTTTTTTGAATCATATTTTGTTTTATTATTATCTTTGTGAATACATATTGAAATAAAGTCAATCAAAATAGAAAAGAGTTTATTAAAAAAAATAGTACATAATGTAATCAATTCAACAACAAAAAAAAAATAAGAGATAGTACAATCTAATGTATATGTATTTATGATGGATCATCTAAATTAAGAATATATATATATGATAAAAAGGAGAAAATATCAATTAAAGATCTCATCTTGTCGTTGTTCTACCAGGCATAGATACGGATTCATAAGTCGGTAATGAACCGGAAAAACTGTACAATCGATTGGATCTAACTGCTGTAGTGTAAGACGGAACACGTGAGAGATCAATGCCTTGCCATGGTAAAGGAGAATCGACATCCGTTGTTGTTGCCGCCGTAGGAGATGATGGTGATGATGATGGAGATGGTAAGCCGCTAGTATTGTTTTCATCACCACTTGAAAGTGAAGAATGAGCCATACTTGCGGCTGCATTTGGGATCGAAACAGCAAGAGAAGGAGGTAATTGACCAGAAGCAATCAGTTGGGAAATGGTAGCAGGATCATAAGGAGCAGTTCGCCAAGCATCTTCATAAGCTGGTAATGCATTCGCGTCTTCTTCTGCGGAAATGGCTGCTATGATGATTGGTATGGCTGCGCGTAATTCTTAAATAATAATAATAATAAAAATAAAAAAAAAAGTAAGTTTCACTTGATAATTCGTTTCACTGACAAGATGATCTTACCTGATATATGACCATCTGCATTCACCAATGTCACTGTAAACTTGAGCTTATGTTTTACCTTGATCAAATCATTGACGGTATCCATCATCAAATGGTTGGAGGCTTCATCAGGAATAACCATAATTTCAGTCTTGCGATAAATTTCACCTTCATGTTCTGCAGTATCTTGATAGTTATCATCACGGTGTACTTTAACAATACGAGTTTCAGTCTTGCTATGATCACATGTAGAAAGTGTCATATATTCCTTCAGAGTACAAGTAATGGACCGAATCTTGAGATCAGGAGCAATAGGGATAAATTGGAAAGTGATTGGTAACATACCACCCATTGTATAACATTTACTTGGCACACTAATGTCGTAACTGAGTTTGTCAGCCCATACATTGGAGATCAATACAGATTGCATAAGTTCCATGGAAGTAGGTAACATAAGTCGAGATACTTTGAGTGAACGTTTGTCAGTATAATTGATAGAGAATGTTGGTCGTTCTGCTACAGCTTTAAGTCGATAATACACCTCTCCTAAGTCATGATGAATGGTTTCTGGTAAATCACCTGGTAACGGTAGTTCAAAATCCCTATCATTCAAATTTGTGTTATATTAAAAAACATTATCAAAATCTCTCTTTTTTTTTTTTTTTTATCTTACCATTGATAATGATGTTCAGATAAATGATAAGTTTTACGTGTTTGTGGCATAAAACTCCATTCGTGTTCCAATATCGTTTGTTCTTCTTTGTATAACCTTTGATGAGATCCAGTGCCTATTTTCATTACACGATAAGTATCTACCTTTATAAACAAAAAGTCTTTTATTACCTTCTATCCAGTTCACTTTAATCTTGCCAATAATCTTCAAAGTAATAGACTTAATTTTGGTGTTTTCATGACAATCCAAAACAACAGACCCTCGTAACATGACACCACCCGATTCTTCCACTGAACCATGTAATATAATATGATCAGTTTCCAAGTTGATTTTGAAGTCTGCACCTTGTACTAATTGAATAGGATGTACCATGCTACATAAAAAATAGAGAATATAAAAAGATAAAAAAAAAAAATAAGGAAAATAAAGCAAAATCATGATTTTAAGTGTCGGCGCTCCAAACAGACTGTGAGAGAGTTTCAGGATGTACATGGAATTATACTAACAAAATATAAAAAAAAAAAAAACAAGATGAAAGGAAAAAGAAAAGAGAATAAGAGAAAAAGTGTAACCAATCTGATATTCTCATCATTGTTACATAGATCATATATAAAAATAAGTAAAAAAAAAAAAAAAAAAAAAAAAAAAAAAAAGAGAATACTACTCCACAACAGTAAACTTTATTCCACTAATTACATCAAAATCAAATGTTAAACCATAGGAGTCAATTGGAACGATTTGATTGGATCATTTCACAGTCCGTCTTTCATAGCTTCCTCTTTGGATTTGCCTGTCTCTTTTTGCTCCTTCCTTTATTTTTATACATCACACCATGACTGTAAGTTTTAATCCAAATAATCATTATCACGACGATACACGCAAATAGAAAAGAAAAGAGAAAACAGACGACCAAGGATGGATGGATGAATTAAAAGAATTGTATGGATGGATGGATGGATGGATGGATGGATATATTCGACTGGAGAGATATACGTCATGATCAAATGTTGGATATGCTAAAACCCGATCCCGTGCTAGTACTCTCATCCTTGGTCGATCTTTTTTTTTTTTAACGTTGCGGAATCTAGTGAACATGAAGAATGTCGAAGATTGTACTAATCCTTTTTTTTTTATTTTATCTAGTTGGCCGTTGATCTTTTACATCCTACTGAAGAACACGAAAGACGTTCCCACAAGCTCAAACGCCTTGTGCAATCTCCCAATTCATATTTCATGGATGTCAAGTGTCCTGGTAAGTTATACATAGATAGAGAATAAACGTGATTCAGATATTCATTCCTCTATATATATATATATATACGTATTATAGGCTGTTTGAATATTAGCACTGTGTTCAGCCATGCTCAAACTGTTGTCTTGTGCTCTTCCTGTGGTACTGTTTTGTGCCAACCTACTGGTGGTCGCGCTCGTTTGACTGAAGGTTGTTCTTTCCGTAAGAAGGCCAACTAAGATATATTACCCCCCTTTATTTATTCAATAAAAAAAAAGTTAAAAAATATCTATCTATTGTTTTCTGTATATATAAATATTTTTAATAAAAAAGAGGAAGATTAAGTCGAAGACTAGTCAGGAATTGTTTGCTTCTGTGATGATGTAGTGATGGGTTAATGATATTGGGTGATGATGGTTGGTATGATAGATGATGATGACAACTGATACGAAATGATGATAGAATGAGTATGCTGATTGATGAGCATTGGTTTGATTGTTATGAGGATCATGCTAGAAAAACTGGTGGTGACCAAAAGTTCAATCTCAACTTTTTTCCATTTCTTTTTTTTTTTTTTTTTTTCCTTTATGCTTTTTTTTTTTTTTTTTTTTGTTCTTCAATTAACAAACTTGTAATAATGTCGATATCAAATACATGCAATAGTTCAATATACTCTGCTTAGTTATCCCGAAGATTCTCTTGCCAAGATCTCTGTGATAGGAATTTTATATTATCAAATGACAGCAGTATGATTTATATTATGACAGAAACGTTCTAATTTTGAAGAATAAAATGTAAAATGATTTTTTTTTATTTCAAGATATCTATTTTGGTATGACAATATAAGAAAATGACTGAGAGGTTTTCATGATGTTGTATGGGAAGGCTGATGTGGTGGTGGTGGTGGAGGAAGAGGAGGAGAAGAAGAAGATGGAATAGGAGTAGACGGGGAAGATGCGAAAGCAGGTGTACTAATATCTGAAGGAATGTCTTGTTTCTTGTCCATCATGGCAGAGTCCAGTGGAGGAGAAGACACGCGATTGTTTCCATAATGGCGCTGGGTTGGTGATGATAATATAGGTGATGATATCGTTGATATTGAAGGTGGAGGAGGTGATGTCACTTGTAATGTATTTGGTCTATTTTGATTCTTCTTGTTATTTCGATTTCGCCATCCACCACGACCACAACATCCGGAATAACAAGTCCAAGCGAGGCATCCAAGAAGCAAGAGACATAGTACAACACCTACTGGGATGGCAATATATTTGTGTGTCGATAACCAGTATAACGCTTGTGAGGCTATATGTTGATCAAAAAAAAAAAAAAAATTAAAAGAGAAAGAAAATAATACTTAAGAGTGAGTGATGATGATCATAACAAAAACGAAAATAATATCGTCATATTCTTTTTTTTATTGTTCTTACCTATACTGCCTTCATCACAACTGCCATCTTTACAAACACCATTTGCACCACATGGTGTTCCATTGATAAAACCACCACTAAAGACGAGACAGCTAGAACCAGCACCATTGTTGCAGGACAATGAACATGAGTTGCTACTGGGACATGCTTTGGAAATATTCAAGGAAGAACCACGATGTAGGCATTGATCATCTCTAGATGTACACAGACCGGTAGCACATTTTAATCCATTCCCACAATCAGTACCGTCTTGTATATATGTATCTGGAGGACATGTTCCTGATGTACCAGTGCAGAATTCTGGAATATCACATGAAGTAGATGCCGGTCGACATTGGTAGGTACTTGGTTGGTATTGACATTGATTACAACATGAATCATTCACATCACTAATATTCGAATAGAAAAAAAGGGTTACCCAGATGAATAAAAAGTAGATGGAATGAGATTTCATAAATATTAAAAAAAAAAAAAAAAAAAAAAGTTCAGTACTCACTCGCATACAGCATTGTTGATAAATTTACACGTAGTTGAATCACAACATGAGCTTGTTTGATTGCCAGGATCACATTCTTCACCTTGTTCCACGATACCGTTTCCACACATTTGTAATTGTTTAGTGATCCGTTGTCCAGGGTCTAAAAAGAAAAATAAGCAGATGATGTTAGAAAAAAAAAACATATTTTTTACAAGAAACTTCATTTACCTTGCAAACAGGATCCGATGGATGGGAAATTCTTGCAAATAGTAGTAACAGAACATGGACTGAACTCTTGAGCAGAAACGTTACTTGTTGGATTCATGATATAAGTACCACCAGCATCACATACAGTGGCACTAAGAGGACAACATGTGCATTGGGATCCACTACAAGGGCAATTGGCACTATTACAATCATGACTTGCGCCTAATCAAAATTAAAAAAAAATATGCATTGAATACATTTGTTCTTTTTTTTTTTTTTTTTTAATTCTTATTTCCCTTAAATCTTACCGAAACCATGACCAATTTCATGAGCAATCACTTTCCATTCATCACGAACTATACAAAAAAAAAGGAAAGGAAAGAAAGAAAGATTCATAAATAACAAGATGGTTGCATTTGCTATATCAATAGAAACTTACTAATAGACGAGACACCAGCACCAGCAACATATTGAGTTTGTCCACCTGATGTCGTCTGAGAACTGGCTTCTGATTGACATAGTTGACCGACCCAAGCAATACCAACTTCGACGCCAGTCCTATACAAAAGGTAAAAGGACACAATTATATATATATGTGTGTGTTGTTAGTGAAGATAAAAATTTATGTGTTGCCTTGATATAGATAGTGAGATATACTTACGCACAATTGGTTAGTAAGTGCCATAAAGCAATACCATCATTACTCATAGTACCACGCCAACGACTAAAATCACTAAGTCGATCATCCAAGGTATAAGTATCAGAGCAGGCACGATTCCAAGGTTCAGCAGATGAAGGGGTGGTAGGACAAAGTTCATCCATGACAGTGATATTGACGAGACCAAGTTGAATATTGAATTGTCGTTCGAATAATGCAGATACTGAGTTCCAATCTGTAATGATTTGTATTTGTGCTTGTTGTTTGGATTGATAGTGTTTGGTATAAGTACAATCAGCAGCTACCAAAAAAAAAAAAAAAAAAAAAAAAAAAAAAAAAAAAAAACTAAATGAGTTTACTGTCATTAACATATTTCCTAATTACCTGCACCCATATAGGCAACTATGACAAGAAAGAAAGAAAAAAATATAAAATAAAAAAAAAAAAAAAAAAAAAAAAAAAAAAAACTAATTAGCATCTTGTTTCTATTTTTGTCAACTTGAACTTACTTTTCTTTGTTGTAGGGCAACCTGTCGTAGCCCGCTTAGTAAAAGACGATGGAGGCATAAATAAACCGTCTAGACGAGAAGCAGGATGACCAGGTCGAAGGATCATATCATTGTTATTATTTTTGTGAGTTGACATATAAGGAGCATTATAGTTCAGTCTATCAGTAGCGCATTGAGGTGAGAAAGAAGAAGAGGCATTGTCAGCCGGTAGGTCAAATTGTTCAAGTGATACCAAGGAAGTGTCGGAGTCACGATAAATTACCATCAGGCTTTGATATTGTTGCTGTTGTTGCTGACTTACTGTTATCATTGGTGTTACATCGTCCCTTCTTTTCGTCTTATTGTACATGTCCGTTGACTTGATATGGTAAACATCATTTAACATTTCAAAGCTGCCTTCGAATACCGGATAATTTGGGTCCTTGGTTCTACGATTTCCCAATGCAGTCATTCATATTGAAAAAAAAAAAAATAATGTTAGTTCATACATAATAATAAATAAATAAATAAATAAAAAGTCTGATACAACTATTTATGCATATACTAAAAAGAATGTATCGTGCTCTTTTTTTTTTATTATTATTATTTTTCGGTCACTTACAGGTCATGTCGAAGGACTAATCTTGCCCAGCCTAAACTATCCTTATCATCATTGTTTATTTGATCAAATAAAGGAAAAATCACGCCGAGTTTATCATATTGCCATCGTCGATTGGAAATAGAAGGACGATAAACATGACCTCGATAAATTCGAAATTGATGAGGATGAATTGGTTCTGATTTTCCGTCATATACAAATGTTGCTTGAGGGTGAAGAAGATCCAAGTTTGGAGTGAGGTGAATAGCAAATAACTGGTCATATGCTTCAAATAAGAGTCGTATACTATCGTCATGTTGAATATTGGTAACAGTATGATTGTTGTATGCATTTGTTAATGTTACTTCCATGTCATTGCTACTTTTCATATAATATAGATTAGATCTTGGAATAATGTCAACCTTGACATTGACCAAAGGTTCAATATGATTCAGTCGTCTATTGTCGAGACTATGTCCTAAAAAAAAATGACATGAACGTATTAGGTAAAGCCTATTTTTTTTTTTTTTAGTTTTTATTTTCAATAGACTCACCTTCAACAAGGAATAAAATTATTAGTAAGATCAATAATGTTTCCCATATTCTACAATTTGAAACCATTCAATAAATAAAAATAAAAAGAAAGAAAGAAAAAGGTAAAAATAGTGGAGAAAAGCATGCTTTTTTTTTATTTTTTGCTCAGGAACATATATATATATTCATGCGCCGCTAATAACAACAAAATTGAAACCATCTCAAAAAAAAAAAAAAAAAAAAGATTGAAAATAAAAATAATCATTGCATGATAAAGAAACTATCATTGTAGTTATAAATTATCACTGCATGATAAAGAAACTATCATTGTAGTTATAAATTATTACTGCATGACAAAGAAACTATCATTGTAGTTATAAATAATCATTGCATGATAAAGAAACTATCATTGTAGTTATAAATTATCATGCGTATATATGTATAGAAATATCTCACAAAAAAAAAAGGAAACATATAGTATTATTAGGGTAAAAAGTGAGAATAGTACTTTTATAAAGGGTTTAAAAATATATGTATGTTTTTTGTTTGCCAAGACCAAGATGTACTTGAGAATATTTGTATTTAAACTTTAACCGAAAAAAAACAAAAAAAAAAGATCGTAAAAAGATGATGTTAATACTGTATATATACAAAAATATCATGTGACTTTTTATACAGAAACTCGGAAGATCTACTCTTTTTTTTTTTTCTTTTCTTTTGATTTTTAATATAACGTAACATGATCCATCTTTGTTATAACACACGTTTTTACTATAAATCATATCAATGGATCAAAAAAATTTTATTTTATTTGATTAAACTTTTTTTTTTCACTGATTCACTTGATCGAACACAAAAAAGTAAGCTTTTACAAAGAAAAAGGGGACACTCACTAGATTGATTGGTGGATATCAAAAGAACTATAATCCTTTAAAGGAAATCTCCGTGGCGGTCGTTCAATAACAAGTCATTTTTTCATCACGCTCTCTCATTTTATACTTTCTGTCTCTCTCTCTCTCTTTTTTTCTTTTTTTTTTTTTATATATATAATAATATTTTATCTAGTTGATAACATGAATTCATTTCTTTCTTCTTTTCTTTTTTTTTCCTTTTTGTAATATATTTTTACATATAACTCCTTTTTATTATTATTATTATTATTAACAAGATAAAAACAAGAAATATGCGTATTGCTATTGTGACTGAAAACTGGCTTCCAAAGGTGGATGGAGTAACTCGAACATTATCAAGGTTATTGGAACATTTACAAGCCAATGGTCATAATGTATTATTACTAGGACCTGAAAGTGGAATGACGGAATTTGCAGGAGCAGAAATCTTAGGTACTTATGGTATTCCTTTTCTTCCTTATCCTGAACTAAAACTCAATCTATGGCGACCTGCTTTTACGGAACGACTTTTATCTTTTGCCCCACAAGTGATTCATATTGTTGACCCTGTATGGTTAGGTCCAGCTGCTTTGTTTATGATTCAACGTTATTTACCCAACACTCCTATTGTATCTTCTTATCATACAAATTTGGCTACGTATTGTCATCATTTCGGTTGGGGTTGGTTTACTCCTTTGATGTGGCGTTGGAATCAATTTTGTCATTCTCAATGTCTCTATACTGCCTGTCCATCTCCTTCAACAAAACGAATGTTGGAATTACATGGATTTGATCATGTTCGTCTTTGGCCACGTGGTGTAGATATGGATTTATTTTCTCCTTTACATCGATCTCTTGAATTACGGGAACAATGGATGGGTCTCTCTTCTCTGATGGATGATAACAAGAAAAAGAATCAAGATAAATGTGTATTATTATATGTTGGACGGATATCATTTGAAAAGAACATTGGATTATTATTGGATGCCTATAAGGAAATGGATCATTCAAAATGTCATTTAGTATGTGTGGGACATGGACCTGCTTTTGATGATATACAACAACAATATTGTATTAACAAATCAAATCAAGATGGGGATAGTGTACTTCCTATTACATTTACAGGCTATTTACAAGGAACTGATTTGGCAACGGCCTATGCATCGGCAGATATGTTTGTATTTCCTTCAACAACAGAAACTTTTGGTCAAGTAGTATTAGAAGCAATGGCATCTGGATTACCGGTGGTTGGTTTACAAGCAGAAGGGATCTGTGATCTAGTTGAAGATGAATATTCTGGACTATTATTGGATGGAGATGATGTGACAGGTTATAAGAATAATATGGAACGATTAGTGAATCGACCTTTGGAACGACAACATATGGGAAAAAATGCTTTGATGGCTTCAAAATCATATACCTGGCCTGCCGCTATGAATCAAATGGTTCAAGTTTACAAGGATGCTATTGGTGATAGTAAAATTAGTGATGATAGAATAAATGACGTAGTTAGTACAGTAGATAGACTTGATGATAGTGATAGTGGTGTAGAAGAAGATTATTTATTGATGAAATAATAAAACAACATTATGATTTACCTTTAAAGATAATGATGGTGTACAATGACCTTTTTTTTTTTATTTTTATTTTTTCCTTATTGAATATATATTTGTGATGTACTACCAAATGATAGTTAAAAGGGTTTGCATAATTTTTGAATATATGTATGTATATGTATGTACGTATATGCATATATGTAGTGATCCATATCTCATTTTTAAAGTTTTTTTTTTTTTTTTTTTTTTTTTTTTGATACATTCAATATAATCGCATCCAACCGAAATATATAAAATTTGTAATCGTTTTCTTAGGATATCCCTTACATTTCTTTCTGTCAATTAAAATAGAAATAGGAAAAAAAAAGACCGCGCGCGCGAAAAATCAAGTATATCTTTCATTTGTTCGGAGTCCTTACAAGTAACTGATGATGATGATGATGTGTTTATGTGCTAAAAATAAAAAAAATAAAAACAAAAAGGAATTTCTCTTCTTTTTTTTATTATTATTTAACTATTGAATCAAATCATTCTATATCATATTAAAATATCTAACAATTCCATATGAATATAACATAATAATATATTTTGATTTATATATTTAATACACTAAATACTTATAGAATCTCATCAATGAAAAGAATAACCAATGAAATGACGGTAAATTCGCGCGCGTATGGGTAAAAAGGGAAAAAGATGCTCCAATTCGTGTAACCTATACATTGGGCGCTAACACTTGATTTGGCAGTCAATAATGGAGTTTCTTTTTTTATCACACCCCCAAATATTCAATTTTTTAATATATCAAAAATCTTTTTCTGTAGATCCTTTTTTTTTTTTTTTTAGTATAACTTTTTTTTTCTCACTATAGGATTTAATACTAAATAACTAATCATATTTTATGTTACTCATTTTTAAATCAACTTCATCATCATCATTATTATCTATATATCTATAAACTATCTTGTTGATGATACCTTTCTTTTTTTTTTTTTATGTTGATACCATATTTCTTTTTTTCGATCGACTCAATTCGTGCAACGTTGATTTCGTGAGATGGGGAACAAAAAAAAAAAAAAAAGTGTATTCGTCATCCATGTTGTAGTACCATTCATTAACTCTATTAAGATGTTGTATCAAAAGCTTGTCATTGGATCGGCGTTTTCCATGTAGATAATAAATGAAAAAAAGAAAATTTTTGACTGACAAGCAGAAAGAAGAAGACATGTGTTATTTCTTCAAATGGAGTAACAGAAAATCTACTTTCATTATCAATGAACAGTAAACTGATCATCTTTTCTTTTTTTTCTTTATATATATTTTCTTTTGATAGATAAAAAAAAAAGAAAAAGAAAAAAGAATAATTTACAATAAAAAGAATATCATTACAAAAGAAAATGGTTTAATAGAAACTTTTTTATTTGTTAAGTGATCTATGATGGATGAAAGGTAAAAATTTCAATGAACCTAAAAGGGAAACTAAATGAAATTCCCCTGGTGGTCGGATCTGGAGAGAGTGATATATTCACTCTCAGCATATTAAAAAAAAAGGTAACTTCCCTTTTTGTTAGTTTAGGATACTGAAACACTCACACACACACACATTGACCCGACTCTTTTTTAAGCTAGAAATTGAAATTTTTCTTTCTTTTTCTTTTTTGTTGTTTCTCTTTCACTTTTATAATTATTTTCTTTTTTTTTTTATTTTGTTATATATATATTGTATTATTTTTTTATATATATTTATTATTATTATTATTATTATTATTATTATTATTATTATTATTATTATTATTATTATTCAATGGAAACAAAAGATATGTCAATTATTAAATCATCACCAATACAACAGAACAAACAGACACACTCAACTGTAAAAGGTAATATTGTATAATTAAATAAAATAAAAAAAAAGGACTAATCCATATTTTTTTTCTATTCTTTTTTTTTTTTATATCTATATAGTTAAAGTATATTATACTTTTAGAGGAAATACATCCACGCGTCTCGCCACGTTTCAAATGACAATGGAACAACAATTTGATGATCATGATATCTCATTTGTTACTATTCCTTTAAAAGATTGCTTATGGGCCATATGTTCTTCAAGGTAATAATAGTTCTTTTTAAAATGAAAAAAAAAGATGTCTACTTATTATCCACGTGTCCTAAATTAAACTTTTTTTTTTGTTATGATGATGAAATAGTCCTGACATGGTATGTCATGATCATGATCTATCTGTCTATACTGCCAATTTCCAAGAATCCGGTCTTAACAACAAAGATTTAGTTTGGGAAGGTCACGGTTTAATGTCTTGGGTTATGGAAAATCAACATGTCCAACAAATCAATATTAATGGAAAGTTTACTCAACATACTATTGATGTCCTTATTGAATTACAGCCGGTAATAAATAAGATTTCATTTTTTTTTTATTTTATTTCATCATTTACTGATCTTTTTTTTTTTTTTATCATCATCATTACCTTGATCATTAGACTTTGAAATGGTGCAAAACAGAATTTTATAATGCACTTCAATCACAAGACTTTGATGGATTCAAAAATGCTACGTCTTCAATCATTCCTTCACAAACTCCTTCTTGTAACTGTGGGATTTATGCAGCTTTATGTACACAGCAAAAACAACAACAACAACAAAAGCAAGAAAAACAACAATGGAATGAAGATAACGATCGGTACTCTAAAAGAAAAAGACTTACACCACCACTTACACCATCATCAACGATTACAAATGAATCACCCACATTACCTCCTATTTCTACGACGACAACAACAACATCATCATCAACAAATCAATCTATGACTCGATTACCTCCACCTGCTGGTATCATCGCATCTGCTTCATTATCCCCACCTTCTTCATTATATCGACCAGAACCAATCTTACCATCACCAGAATCTTATCATCGTCGATCATCACCTCCTCAAGGATTTTTAATCAAAGATGATCAATCACCACCGCCAACTCAACATCTTCCTTCTCATTACCACCATCCTTTGCAATCGGAACCTTCCAATCGATCAGCATTTACTTCTACTGTCTATACAGATTATTCAACCTCCCCATCTATCAAGAATCACCATCAACAACATCCTCTTTCTCCTCCATTGGGATCTACATCAAGCAACATTCCAGTTATCTATACCCCAAGCAACAAGAAACGCAAAAAGTATCCTCCCATGATTATGCCTGCTAATAACAAGAAATCATCTACTCGACCACATCAAAGGCAACAACAAATGCAACAAGTCAGCACATCTGTACGTACTTATTATGAAGTCGATCGTGATGATCATGGTCAATATATTCTACCTGTGGAGATTGATTCCTGGACGGTGGTGAATTTAGGTACCGTTGTATATGATCGTCCTGCTTATCATAATCAACGTTATGTTTATCCTGTCAATTACACTGTCAGAAAGTAAGTGATATTTTGAATGATCCCTCTTTTTTTTTTTTTTTTTTTTTTGATATACACCATGTTAACTCATCTTTTTCTTTCTATGTAGATGGTATCGAAGTATGGTGGATGCAAAAAGTGATACTCAATATACTTGTCGTATCTTGGATAATGGTCGTGAACCTAAGGTAAATCCCTTTTTGATCCTTTTCTTTCAACCATCTCACCTTCTTTTTTTTTCTTCTTCTTTTAGTTTGAAGTGACTGCAGATGATTGTCCAATGACCTATTCTGGACCTACTCCTACCACCGTTTGGACCATCATTGTCAGGTAAGGAATAAATTATCGAAATGAACTGTAATTCCAAAAATGGTGATGATGGCTTTTATTTATTTATTTATTTATTTTTTTACTTATTTATTATCCTTTCTGTTTTTAGACGTGCATTTGCTATACGAAATCAAGAATATGGTCATAATCCTGTGGGTCCCGACTTTTTCGGTCTTCGCAAGAATACTATTGCCAAGATGATTCAAGATTTACCTAACGTTGAAAAATGTTCTCAATATGTATGGCAAACATTTGAACCAGCAAGATTCAATAAACCTGGTAGAAATCGACGTCGATTGGATACTATGATCTCTGGTTCTATTCTCGGTGGAGTGAACTATAGTTTGACGAGTGGTCGATTGAATACTGTAGCAAGTCATCAACAACATCAATTACAAATTCAACAACGTCGATTATCTTCTGCTATGGGTATCACAGGAACTATTGAAGCCAATCAAACAACTACTACTTCTTCTTCCTCATCATTATCACCATCATCTTCACCATTATCATCCTCCTCCTGCTCACCACCTCCTCAATCATCCTCCGTTACTGAAACAAATAATAGTAATAATAGTAATAGTGGTACAGATAGACAATCATCCATTCATTCTCATCATCACACTCATCATCATCATCGATCATCTTCATCTTATCTACAATCACCTTCTTCCTATCATCCTCCTGCCCCTATCGAAACCATATGAAAAAATGTTATTACCCTTTGACATCATTTCTTTCTTAATTACTCTTTCATCTTAACTATTATTATACTTAATACTCATGTTTATTATCTTTTTTATGACTATATATATATTTCATGTACTTCTATCCTTTCCTTTTTTTTTTACCTTATTATGATCTTCCTTTTTTGTATGTCATTGTATTATATACTGTTTTGAATAAACAAACTATTGTTTCCCTCTTTCTACTCACTTTGAAATATGATTTGATTCTTTGGTTTGATCATTTTCCTAACCTACCCCCGTTGATAATCGTGTTGTGTTACACTATCAAGTTGCTGGACTTCTTTTTCTATTTTTGGACGACAACCACTCAGACTCGATACCAGCCAATCATGATGCTTAAATATATTGAGCGGGGATGTTTCAAAAAAGCGAAAATGTAGATAACACTTTTTTTTTTTATTTCTTTTTCTATTTTCTATTATACAAATATACATATTTTTTTTTTTTTTTTTTGATTCCCATGGATCCACCATTGATAGATTTAATGCCAGATGATATCAATACTCGTCAGAAAGATATCAATACCGGAAGTACCACCACTTCCAATAATATTGACAATCTGTATAACGAAGATGACGGTGTAGCTGCCCCTGATGACTTATTTACCACTCCAGCTTCTACTCATGATATCAATGTAGATACTCCTTTGACAGATAATGACTTGGATTCTACTGATACTGAAGAAGGTAACGACCAAGACACTGAAGAAACGGAGGAAGAAGGTGACGCTGAAGAAGAAACAGAAGGTGACGAAGACACTGAAGTAATGGATGATAGCACTTATGAAAATTTGCCAACAGAAGATAAATTGGAACTGATGGGACAAGGTTTAGATGAGGACGCGCTACTGGACAACAAGGTGACGGAATTGCTAGAAGAAGAAGACGGCCCCTTGACCTCCTCTGATACGAAAGATGAAGAAGAACAAGAAGATGCACCTGTAGAAGAAACATGGGATATGGAAGGTGATGATCAAGTGGAGGAAGGACATGCTAGTGTAGATGAATCATTAGAAGCTGGCGACAATGTCAATACGTCTTTCGATGAAGAACAAAAAGAAAAACTGGATGATATGGAATCACCTTGGATCAATGAAGATGGCAGTGATCAAGAAGCTGAAATTCAAGAACAGGACGAAGAAGATGTTGTAGAACAAGGAACGGTGGAAGAAGTCGATACTGGCCATTTGGAAAGTACATTGGAACAAGCTCTAGATGCATTGAAGGAAGAGGAACAATCATCACCATATATCCAAGACAATAATACAAATTTGATTGGTGGTGATATTCTTGATGATGGATTACTTCAAACCAATCATACACTCGATCCAACAACCTCGCATGAACAACAAAGTACAGCTATAATTGTTGGTCCAGAAAATGGTGATATGATGGATATTTCTTTATTGTTATTTGTCGCTGTCTGTATACTTATTTGTTTTAGACTTCCCCACGTCAAGGTAATTAAAAAAAAAAAAAAAAAAAAAAAACAATCTTTGAACTACTCATTTATTTCTTATTGTTATCATGATTAGCGTTTCTTCACCAAGTTACTTAAAAAACAAGATGCCTCCTCTTCTACACTTCCGGTAAGTAACATTATTTATATTCGTTAAAGATATTGTAGATCTGCCTAAAAAAAAAAAAAAAAAAAAAAAAAAAAAAAAAAAGGAAACTCATTCATTTTGCTTTTTTTTTGATAGTACCATACCACTTACAACAAGGAACAAGATTGATAACCCAGAATCATCTCTTTCGCCCTGTTTTTTTTAATAACAACACAAACATATACACCTCATATATATATTACTATCATACTTATTATTATCATCTATTTATTTACATTGTATTTCTGACTATTCTATAATAAAAAAAAAAGATATCATCTAATTTAAACTTGATTATTTTTATTCGTTCACAGTTATATTTTTTTTTTTTTGATTTATCTGAATAATTAAGAAAAGGAAAAACACACATTCTCTTTACGATAATATATCCGTGGTTGATGAGCTATGTTGGAGTTTTTTTTTTTTGAAGGATTAAATTTCAATCTGATCCTCGTAGTTTCCTTCCTCAGTGAACAAACAACCCGAATCATGAATATATGTATATATAAAGGAGGAAGTGTTTCTCTATCATATTAGTATTTTCTCTCTTTCTTTTTCTTTTTTTTTTTATTATTCTAATTATCATCCACTTTATTTTCTATCAATATGGTATTTTCAAGCAAGACGTTTCTTATGATTGCTACTCTTTGCATGATGATGGGCACGCAAGCCGATGTGGTACCTGAATTACTGAATGGAGCAGCACCTACGGTTGCCAATGTCAAGTCAAGTCTTGCACCTCCTAATGATCAGCAATTGTACGACGTTTTCTTTGCCAAAGGATACCGTATCTATCAATGTAATCCTGAAAAGAAACGATTAGAACATTGGTACAATGTACAAACACATGCTCTTCTTTATCCTGCAAAGGGTAGACAAGCTCCTTTTGATATTGAGGGCAAAGCCATCGGTCAAATGTTTGCTGCTCCCCTCAATCAAACTTTACAAATGTAAACCTTTACTATTTTTTTTTTTTTAAAAAAAAAAAAAAAGAATCCATCCATTGACACTTATCTTTTTTTAAAATATGTAGGGCTGATCCTGATCCAGAACATCAATATATCGCCGCTTATTATTATCCTGATGGTTCATGGTTCTCCACTGGTCATCCTCCCACCAATACTATCCATGATGAAGATCGAAAAGAACGTGGCGATGAAGGCGTGAATTTGGACGATCACTTGGCCGAAGCCGCTTGGACATCTACTGATGGTTACTTCTCTCATGTTGAGTATGCTGTGCGTCTTCATTCTTTGAATGGTACTCATCCTGCTCCCAATCAATGCCAAGTCAAAGGTGTCGTTGTTAATCAACCTTTCACTGCCTTTTACATGCTTTATACAGGACCAGAAGGCATGAAGGCCATACAAAATGAAATTCATCTTTAAGGAAAAAAAAAAAAAAACAAGACTAGGACTAGTATCATCTTTTTTTTTTTTTTTTGATGATAATTATTTACATTCCTTCAACTTCCTTGATAAACTTAAATAAAGGCTTCTTTCTCATTCCTTTTTTGGTAGTTTTTGAACATCAATGGGAGTTACAGAAGAACAGGGTAGGTGCGGGGTATGAACTGGTGAAGCAAGTTGAGAAGAAAGTCCTTTTTTTTCCCTTTTTCTTCCACAGAGCGCGCCGCGTTCCCCTTTTTCCCTTTTCTTTTTCTTTTTCTTTTCTTTTTAAAAGTTCGCGTTTTTTTTTTCTAATCACTTAATTTTATTTACTTTCTATCATTAAAACAACATGTCTGATCGTCCAAGAAGAAAAAGAAAGCAAAATAATACAACTGTCGCCAGGTAATCAAAACAAAAATAATAATAATAAGAAAAAAAAATACAAAATAATGAACTATTTCTTTTTTTTTTTTTTTTGATCTTTTGAACTCAACATTTATTTTTTTATAGTAATGTCCATTATGTCGGCTATGTCGAAGATGAAGAATCAGTAGAAGCTATTATGAAAAAGTTTGAAGAATTGGATCGGATTCAACGAGAATTCTCTAGTATGGCAGTGGCCAATCCTGGTACTCCTGAACCCACAGGAACACATGTAGATACACCAAACACACCACAGGATCATGAAAAACAACAGGGGGATGATACAACGGAAAGTGCAAACAAGGACGATGATGTCGTTGGATTGGACAGTACATTGAAAGAATCACAACCATTGACGGAAGAACAACTTCAAGAGGTGTTCAAACGAACATCTGCTTTTACGGTCAAAAGTGCCATGATGGATACAACTGTGGTGGACGATATGGATGCTATGGAATTATGGCAAGTGGATTTCACGGATGGTAATACCGATGAAGTCTTTGAAGAAGAGTAAGTCTTATCATTTTGTTAGAAAACAACAACATCATAAAACTTATTTTTTTTTATTAGTGATTACATTCATGTGGACGATGACTTTTGGGATATGGAATTTGGAGAATCACCGCGAAAACGTGGAAAACGAAGTGTTGGACAAGAAAGACGATCTCGAACAGGTCAACGACGAATGGGTGGTAGTGGTGTGGATCGTGAAAAGATTTTGGCAAGATACAAGGTGATGCAAGTTCAAGTACAAGATCGTGATGGCAGGTTTTTCATGATCAAAAAGCGGGTTAGGTAAAATCCCTCTTTTTCTCTTTTGGTGTGATCTTATTCTTTTTTTTTTTTTTTAGTGCCATTGATCCAAGTTTACCTACATATGTACGAATTCCTGGTACTCCTATTCCTCGATCATGGGCTCATACTATTATGCAAATGGAACCCTTAGTACATAAGAATCCTCCTATTGGTTCAAGGTAATTTGATTTATATAAAGCTAATAATACTCATTTTGTCTATGTAATTTATAGAGCATTACAAGTACGAGATATATTGTCAACCGATTTGACTACATTTGGCAACGATTTTACAGCAGTTTATATGGATCCACCACTTTTATTACCTGATGAAGAACCTACTCCTGGAAAAATTCATATTGATGATTTGGTAACAGATGTCATTTTATGAGATATAATCATTGACCCTTTTTTTTTGTAGGCGAAACTCAATGTACATCAAGTGGTGAAGGCAGGGTTTTTATTTATATGGATTGAAAAGGAATGGATACGTGAACTTGTTCGAATCACCAAAGATTGGGGGTTCAAGTATGTAGAAAACTTTTGCTGGATCAAGAAAAATGTCAACAATCAAATCGCTCGACAACCATTCAGATACTTTAACAAGAGCAAACTTAGTCTACTGATCTTCCGAAAAGATGGCGATACTGAATTACGACATCAACGGAATCCTGATTGTGTATTTGATTTTATCAAGCCTCGTTTGCCCAGTAATTACTATTATTGAAAATTAAATATCCTTCACATCTCATTTTTCTTTTCTTTTTTTTTTTTTTTAATAGATGAAATCAGTGAAAGTAAACCATCTTTTGTCTATCAAATCATCGAGACTCTCTTACCTACAGCTGTATATCATCCTGAATCCAATCCAAATGGTGACCGATTATTGGAATTGTAAAGTGCTTTTACAAATCATATTAGAAACTTATTTTATTTTTATTTTTATTCTAGATGGGCTAAACGTGATCAACAGAGGACAGGTTGGACAACTATAGTGGAGAATCATACATCAACATAGTCATAACAATTACTCTCATGCAATCACTACAGGATCCTATTCATATTCAATGCACAAAAAAAAAAAAAAAATAGCTAATCCATTCTATCTTCATTCTTTCTCCCTCATTTAGATTAGATACATCATTCACAACTGTTGTTTATTTTTATTTTTATTTTTTTTTTATATTATTACAAATAAATCAACACAGAAACTGTCCTGTTTCTACTTATTTTTTTTTTATTTATTATTGTCAATTATGTATTCTAATCCAACCATTGTACTATACTGGGCTTGATATCAAATGTTCTATAACAATCATATATATACATATAAGAAAAAGGTGAGAATAGATCATCCTTTCAACAAACAATGATGGATCATATATATATATTATTTCTAACTTACCAAAAGGTTCCACCACTTGACATAACTTGATATAACATTCAGGTCGATGATTCTCCACATCCATCTTGTCCAACTAATCCAAAATAAAATAAGTATCATTCAAAGTACAAAGAATCATCTTTTTTTTTTTTTTTATTTTTATTTTACCTCTTTTCCAATTTGGCGTACATCCAAAGCAAATTGTAATTGAATTTTTTCACTATCTGTCAATGTATCTTCTGATGGTTTTGTCAACCCAGTTTTTTTGCCCCATTTGATTTTCTTCAAAGCATCATCTTGTTTTTTCAAAATCGCAAGTAATTCACTAATGATCAAAGTATATCTATCACCAAAAAAAAAAAAAAAAAAAAAAAAAAAAAAAAAAAAAAGAGATGAATAACCGAATGTCTCTCCTTTTTTTTTTTAATACCTAAAAATCACCATATCAATTACAATAGCTGCCCATGTTTTTTGCTTATTGGTATGTTGAATCCATGGTCGATTACGTTCCACAAAAGTCACAAATGGTTTGAATAGATGGGGTATAAAATACGAAGGTTCTGTCGGTGGTGCTTTGTTCGTATGTCGGTAATGACTGATGATCCCTTTGACAAGTTGTAGAGATTCCATGCATCGTCGACTGATTGCTCCAGTGATACGCCGATCTAAATCTTGAATTGTCGATGTTTCCAATGTTTGTAAAAGTTCGTCCATACTCTCTGTATAGCAATATCGAAAGAGAATAAGTAAATCGTAAGCCTTTTTTTTTCTTTTCTTGTTGATCTATTTTTTTTTCTTCTTACCTTTGAGAAGAGAAATATCTTGAATATCGTTTGGTAGTTTGGGAAATATCATATCGCTAGTCAGAGTCTTCATCTATAAATAGTATGTGTAATACAAAAATGTTAGCTGTAATCATGATCTTTTTTTGGATTCATTTTTTTCTTTTCTTCTTTTTTTTTTCTTGTCAACTTACAACACTAACAAGATTTTCGATATCATTGGATAAAACAATCACCAATGTTTCATCAAAGGGTTTGATCAGGTCGCCACTAGTGGTAGGACTACTACCAAGAGAGGATGAAGTTCGCTGTTCACCATCATTACGATCATCTTGCTTGTTAAAAGTTTGCTCAATGACTTGAGTAGCCCAAAGATTGTATCGACAAAGTAACTATATAAAAAGAGAGAAAAAGAAGATCAAACATCAGATTAAATTTTTTTTTTTCACAAAGATCTGTGTAATTCATTTGCCTGTAATGTCAATTTCCAAAACCGATCAGATAACACATATAGGAACACATTGTCTGCCCAACATTTTTCAATGGCTTGCGCAATCGCCTTGGTACCCGGTAGAACCAAATCTAACATTTATATAAGTGTCAATACGTTGTGATTTTATCTCCCCTCCACCTAGTCTTCTCTAACTATATATCCAAACTTACTGGTTTTATTTGTAGGGGATTTTGATGTATCTAAAGCCAAACCTTTTTTGGAATCCACTAAGTGTTCTTCCACATCGGTGACGATTTCCCTAAATCTAGTAAGATAGAATTCAGTTAAAGAGTTCGAATTTCTAGGAAATATATGAGCACATTTTACCGAAGTTGAAAGTAAACAGGAAGTTGCCATCGTTTCATGAAAAGAGTATAGCTGGGATGATTTCTGAAGTAGAGAAGTGATTTCTTGCTGATAAATAAGTTTTCTAAACCAGAAATGAATTGAATGGAAGAGGTGTAGTTCTAAATAATAATAATAAAAATAAAAAAGTGTGATGTGTGAGAGTTGCGTTTGCTAGTACATTTTCCCTTCCTTTTTAGATCTTGATATATTTTACCCTATGACATGCATCCGTTTGACCAGCAGCATAAATTGTTGAACATCGCTTATGAATATGTTCTACTACTTGTACCCAAAGAGAATTAACCAAGATCTCATAATTTGTTCCTTTCAAAGTGCGTTGACTGATATCCAAAATAGGTCGTAAATCATTGCTGGCAAAAGATAGGATTTTGTTATACATGATGACGAGAGGTTGAGAAAGATCTTGTGCTGACAATGTTGATGATGATCCATTGTTGTTCAATCGGGGAGATTCTATAGCTTGGCGAGTAATTGTTTTGTCCAAAAAAGGGCGAATGAATTCTTCACGTATAATACTTTCGGCCACATGGGTTTGATCCACAAGTGCGTAAGTTCGTAAACACTGAGTTAATGCTTGGCGTGTTGATCTATCGATTTGTCCATGTAGCATATTATTGATGGTCATTGATAATGCTTTTGAAAGCTTTTGTTGTAAAGTATCCTTAATTCGCGTGATTCTCTTTTGTGTAAAATAGATAAAAAAAAAAAAAAAAGGAGTGAGTACTTCTCATGGATTCATTTCTTTGTCTTCTTACCCATTCATTTTCGATCACAAAAGATAGATGTTTTCCACGATTAACCAGATGTTGCATTTGATTGAACTCTACTGCCACTCGATCTATTTGCTTTCCCAAACTACACAAAGAATAAATCATCAAGTAAGTCTTATTAATACTTTCCCTAGTTGAATATAATTACCTATCTTCAGTTTCTTCTGCAACAGTTGTTCCATCTGTCAAAGTAGTTGCCATAGTAAGACCAGTTCCAGCCTTGTCCTTGGAAATATCCGCGTTGATTTGTAGCAAGTCTTCAACTTTGGAGACTGATTCATGAATATTCAGTAATAATTTCAAACAAGTCTATAAAAAAGAAAGAAAAAAGAAAAAGAAATTAGATAATTTTTTTTGATACTTTTTTTGTATTATTCCATCGTACCTTCTTTTCTCGTACTCGTGCACGATGTTCCAATTGTTTTTCAAGATCGTCCATGACATGCTGGAAATGAGATCGTACACCCTATATGATAAAGAAAAATGAATAAACATGATACTGAACAATACGTATATAATAATACAAACTAAAATATTATATCTTTCTGTACAACAATTTACCTTGACTTCGACTTCCATCCGTACAAGAGGTGGCTGTAGGTTTTCAATAGCTTTGTCGACACCTTTCAAATTGGTTGATAAATTAATAAAATCTTGATAATCACGGTTGATCAAGTCTACTAGTTCTGTTTTCAAAGACTTGAGATGACTATTCAATTCCATTTTTAAGCGTTCCAATCCTAAATGTCGACGACTGGATAGAAACCGATCAGGATCAAATTCTTCAGCGGTAAAGATATCTCGTTCTATTGTTTGTTTCGGTAATGGTTGAATAGACTGAATAAAAGTGTCGTCGTCATCTTCATCGCCAAAACTGAACATGATGCTAGATAAAAGAAGAACAACAGAAAAGAAGTAGAATGGAATTGAAAACGAATCCCCACTTCTATCCAATCGCATCGGACTAAGTTATTTCCCACCTAAAAAAAACCAACAAAAAAAAAAAAAACGGTGTTTAAAAAAGAATTGATGAGTGATCACTAAAAGGTATATGGAGTATGTATGTACTTACGATTAAAAATTTCCTTCTAGCTCAAGGGCTAGCGGTAGTTGCATCGACCAATCCAGGATGTACACAGCGTCAAAGTAAGCAGACATTTTGTTGTTGTTTCTACCTTCATCAATCAAAGTGCAAGAGCATCGGAAGGGTGCAGGTGAAAAACCAGTGATCAGTTGTTGTTCAATACCAATCATAATCCTATTTGTGGCTGCATTCATACTTTCGTTCAAAATAATCAGGATTGTCACATGTAACGGCACCATAATTTGGCGATACTTTTCCTTTGATGGTTTTTTTTAGGATGATGAGTACGTTGATGATACAAAGAACACAACTTTGTTGATCGAAATTCATCAGTATGACAGACGACAGCATTTTGACCAATGTTGTGGATGAGTTTGTTTTGTGATCCATGTGCATATCCCTTGATCTTTGTTCCGTATGTATTGGTTGACTTTGTTTTTTTGCATGTTGATCAGCATTGTTGTAAGAATAAAATGAAGACAATCGTTGTTAGTATGACTTGATTTGTCTATGTTTTAATAATAATAATAAAAAAAGAAAGAAAGTTAGATCAAGCTTTATCTGGTACAGTTATTACTTACAGCATAATTTTCTTTGACCTTTGTTGTATCAGTAGTAGTCGAAATATGAGTTGATTCCTGAACCTTCAGCATATTAAATCGGAAGTCTTGATTGTTTTTTTGCTTCTTCAGCTAAAGGCGTCAATACTTCAAATCTGTTTGATAGAGCTAAGAGGAAACCAACCTGACTGGCCGTCATTGTCGCAGTAATGAGAAAGGTGACCATACCAGGATCACAACCAACGTATTTGATAGACTTGTTTGATTGTTTACATTCCATGAATTTGACCGATGATATATCTTCAGGATGAACAACGCCTTTGAAATTGTTCATTGTAGGTTCCAATTTCGATGATTTCAATCCATTGCCAGCATCATCTTGATATAATTATTGGTATAAAAGTAACCACAGAGTTTCAGTATCAGATTTATATCCTTTCAGACACCGGATCCCAACTGGTTCGTACCTTTTGTTAGTTTGAAAGGTTTGCTTGACTTGCTCACTTGTTGATTGTTTGTTGCGATTATAGCCTATATCTCATTCAATTGTTTTGTCAATCGTGTCGCAAAAGTTCTTTTGATATATCTTGTTACTTCTTTCTTGTCAAGTTAGGTTATTTAATTGAGTTCGACACGGTTGTTGTTGTAAACATGCTTTTGGATATAAGTTTTGGTTGTAAACATTGGGTTGAAGTTTCTTTCTTGCCATTAAATTAGGTATAGATAGAAATGAGAATGAAGAAGAGTATAATGTAAGGTATTAGAGTATAATAAGATAAAAATGAAAAGTAAATAATAATAATAATAAAAAGAAGAAGAAGAAAAACAAAGAGAAGGAGAAAAAAAAAGAACAAAGGAACAAAGGAACAAGGAAACAAAGAAGTGAAGGAACAGTAACTTTTTCTTTTTTTCGAGATATCGGAATCTAAATTTATGGCATATAGCATGGATTACGTGAATGAATAAATAGATACAATTACAAAGCTTTTACTGAATAATAAAAAAAAAACAATATGAATATAAATAATTTTATTAAAGAAGAAGAATAAACTATATAATAAGACTAATAAAATTATATCTTAATAAAAAAAGTCAATAAAAGAACCAAATGAGAAAAAGACAAACCAAGATAGTCGTATTATGTGTCGTACAAAAGAGTGATGACAATGTCGATGGTGCATGTATAAAGCAATGAAGAAACAAAAAGAGTAGGATTAATTTATTTTCTACAAAGCATTTACTTTTTTTTTTTTTTTTTTTTTACCATTTTGAATACCATCCAACAATAAATGAGCCATTATTATGTACAACGTGTAGGATAATATAATTCTTGGTTATTCAAATATCCCATCCACACTAAGTATGATCAACATGTTTTCCAGATAACTAGTTCAACTTTTGATGATTGATATTCTTGAATGGACGAATAAAAAAGAGCATATATTAGTTCCAAAACTCATTTACAACTACAATATATTACGATATCCAAAGAAAATATTGAGCATCTAGTTATTTGGTGCGGGGGTTGAAACTTTTTTTTTCCCTTTCCCTCTTTTTGTTTTCTGGCTTGAGTGACAGATATTCTCACTCTTTCTTTTTTCTCTTCCTTCACTTTTTTTTTTTTTCTGAACAACATGCTCAGGACTAGTTTTCTTAGGTTATCAACATCTATCAAGACCTATGGAAACAAAAAACGATCTGTTATTATTTTATGTCAACAAGCTTTATATTCCACTAATCATTCAGGTAAAAGTGAAGTCCAAAATAAAATAAAATAAAAAAAAAGAAAGTTCATACTAACATATTATTCTTTGACCAGGGGTAGAATTCAAGGAAAATAATATTCAAGTGAATGGAATATCATATCAACGGGATGACTGGACCAATGTAACACCTACAGTACTTTCGAAAATGGAACGCAAACTTCATTTACAACCTCGTAATCCTATTGGTATTATTCGACAACTTATCGAAGGTCATTTTAGTGATTTCAAGACGTTCAATGATTTATCACCAATAGTTAGCACAAGACAAAACTTTGATGATCTCTTGATTCCAAAAGATCATTCTAGTCGTACGAAATCCGACAATTACTACTTCAATAAGGATACTGTACTTCGAGCACACACTTCAGCACATCAACTAGAAGGATTGGCATCGGGAGCAAACAAGTTTTTAATCAGTGGAGATGTTTATCGACGGGATGAAATCGACAGTTCACATTATCCAGTGTTTCACCAAATTGAAGGACTTGCCTACTTTGATTATGATCGTAATAAGCCTATGGATACTGTCAGTGCCATCGAAGCTGACCTAGCACGCGCGAACCCTATTCCTGCCAATATTGAAATTATTGATGACACTGTGATTCATCCTGGTAATCCAATGCAAGATCGACATACTGATCAGGTGGTGACTCCTTTGGTGGCTCACCTCAAACATTCTATTAACAGCATGATTTGTCATCTCTTTGCTGATGAACCTAATCTCAAGGTCCGTTGGATTGAAGCTTATTTCCCTTTTACCAGTCCTAGCTATGAAGTCGAAATTTATTACCAAGGTGAATGGTTAGAAGTACTTGGAACTGGGATAGTACAACAGACATTATTAGATAAAGGAAGTAAGTAGATGGGATGGTAAAAAAAAAAAAAAAAGAGTCATTCATGTATTTTTTTTTTTTTTTGTATTGTCGATAGATCGACATGATACTGTTGGATGGGCTTTTGGAATGGGATTGGAAAGATTAGCTATGGTACTTTTTGGTATTCCTGATATTAGATTGTTTTGGTCTCAAGATGAACGATTCATTGAACAATTCACGCCTGGTCAAATCAACAAATTTCAACCATTTTCAAAATATCCTCCTTGTATCAAGGATATTTCATTCTGGCTTCCTTCTACTGAATGGCATGATAATAACTTTTGTGAATCGATTCGTGGTGTAGCTGGTGATTTAGTTGAAAATGTGAAATTGGTAAATATTTATTATATGGAAATGATGATCATCATACTAATTAAATCCTTTTTTTTTTAGATTGATGACTTTGTTCATCCCAAAACCAAGAAACGTAGTTTATGTTATCGTATTATGTATAGATCAATGGATAGGAATGTTACCAATGAAGAAATCAACGAGATTCAAGACAAGGTCCGATCCACTGTTGAACAAGAATTTGGTGTTGAATTACGCGAAAAGAAATAGAGTTAGTTTATTTATAGATGATAGTTTATATTACATGATCGAAAATAAAACAATAAAAGTTGTTATATCAAGGTTTTGTTAGGCACGCGCGGAATTTGAAGCCGATGAATGATGGGGGATTATGCAATCAATTTACCGAGATGAAATATCATTTACCTTTCCATCTTGGTTTGTGTGCCAAGAATAGATTTAATAAAGAAGGGTGCTGGTGATAAGGTTTGTTTTTCTTTTCTCAAGGTTATTTTTTTTTCCACTTTTACTTTTTAATATAGATGGTCCAAAAAAGAGATGGAAGTGGCAGGATAAAAGAGGAAAATGGAAATTTGCACCAACCACGGCAATCACTTTAAATGACGGTTTCACATGGGCAAATCAGAAAGATAATAATAGTAATTTTTTTTTTTAAACAGTTCATAACGTCATGAGATACATAGAGGTGGGGGAATGTGCATGAGATCTCCTCAGCATTATTACTGCTACACTCGCACCGATGCATGCTTCCTTGTGTTCATCGGTAGTTCCAAGTTCCGAGATTTTCAATTAAGATGATGAATTAGTAATGGATGAATGGATAGTAATTTGAATGGATGATGACTGAATATATGAATAGATGATGATTAAATAGATGATAATGGAATAGATGATGGTTAAATAAATGATAACAAGAATAGATAATGATTGAATGGAATGATTTCTATAATGATTTCTATGAAAGACTATGAATATCATCGAGAAGGAGCTTCAATTAAACTTTGTTAGTTAGGAGATTTACCCTTTTCAACGTGGGTTAATACTCAGATGTCTAAAAAAAGAATAGAAAGCTTTTTTTTTTTTTTTTATTTTATCCATTTCAACAACCCTTGATTAATAAAGGATGACAAATAAAAAGTGGAAGGATTTAAAGGGTGGCTAATAATAAGGGCTCATATTGTTACATTGAGAATCACTAAGCATAACAAAAAGTCAAATGTTACCCTTAGAAGCATTTGATGAATGTTTGCCACTTGTGCAAATAAGGTAGCGCGGTTCAAAACAAAAAAAAAATAATAATCTATTTTTGGCTTTTAGCACTGTCACTTACCTGGTCCAAGATTTTTTTTTTTTTTGATGTGAATTATGGTCTGATGCAGGATGTTTTATTTTCCTTACCAGCCACATAGCAGTAAAAAGTATTTTAGGTAACGACAGATGTTTTATGTACAACGATGGCTTTATATATACAAATAGGTGTACTAACAATAGACTCACTTTGTTGCCACCCCTCTTTTTGGTTCAACTTTCGGACTCTTTGTGTAACTTTATAGTATTGTGCTTCACAACTGTAAAAGTTTCTGATTTTTTATACTTTACTTCTCCTATTACTCCTCTTCATTTACGTCGTATAACAATCATCCCATAGGATCATCATCATCAAATGATATAAAAAAAGAAACAAACTGAATATTAATATATATATATATTTATAAATAATACTTTATATTCATCTACTGAAAAGATAGAGTCTAACCAAAAGAATTAAAAATAATATCATCCAAAAAAACTTTCCCTTTCTCCTTATTGATTATTTACAAAAAAAAAAAAGTTTAATTTCTATATGAAAAATGCAATCATAGGTATTTCAAGCCCAGTAATCAAGCCCAGCAATAACTATCAAAAAGTGAAAAGGTAGATTTTTTTTTTTACTGTGTGTTATAAGGAAAAAGAGTAATATAATAAATGATTATGAACTGAGAGGAAGTTCAAAAAAAAAGAGAGTCAATGGGAGATATTTTTAACTTTTTTTTCTGGCACATTTATTCTTTGTTTTTTTTTCTTTCCCTTTCTTTTCCTTTTTTTTTTTTTTTTTTCTTCCTCTCTCTTTCTCGTCTTTTATTGTTTTTTTTTCTGATTTCTTTTTTTTTTTTATCTTTATTTTTTATCTTTATCTTTTTGTCATGACCATTTCATCTTCCAATCATGGTAATCATCAGAATAATGCAAGTTGGGATTCCTATATGACATCTTCCTCATCATCATCATCATCATCCATGATTGTACCTGATGATTTATCTCTATTATCTGTCAGTGATATTCTTTCCAATTATCAACATGACACGGATCTTTTGAAACACGTTCTAGAAGCAAAAGCTCAAGAAGATCGAGTAAGTAAAAAAAAAAAAAAAGTAATTGATTTATACGTGTAATGGATCACATGGCACTTTTTGATATAATCCTTTTTTGTACTGATGGCGATCAACTTTTATTGTTTCTATATAGAGAAAAACAGCAGAAGAATTTCGTCAAGTAGAAGAAGCAAGACTAAAATACAAGTATGTTGATTTTGATATGGATGAAATTCAACAAGGATCCTATTCATCATCATCTACAACAAATCAAAACAATTCAATGATGGTGCATGATGGTTCATCTTCAGGTAAAAATAAAAATAAAATGGATTGTCAAAGGTGGATGATTGTATTGGATGATTTTGTTTTAACTTTTTTTTTTTTTTTTTTCCAACAATCAATCACCAAAATAGTCTACAGTCATCAAGATACAGCATCCACATCTTCATTAGGTATTCAACCATCACAACATCAATATATGCTGGGTGATCAGTCATCAACATTTTCTGATTCCTCTTTGGACACAAGGCAATTATCTCAAGGACATCGTCAAAATTATCAAGAAGAATCTTCCCAACCTCATCTTCTGCTATCATCTCCTCCACTTTTGATGATGGATCAAGATATACCATCTACTTATATGAAAACAAGTGATCCACATCATCATCATCAGATATCATCATCTTCATCATCATCGTCATGTACAATTGAGGCCATGGATTTACCACTCTCATCAGTGATTGTCCCTTCTCATGAATTTGCTTTGGACGTTCCTACTACTTCTTATTCTTTGCCTACCTCTTTGTCACCATCTTTGATGCCCATCAGCCAACATCACATGTCTACTTCTCCTACATTGAACTTTTTACCTACTACAGTATCATCCACATCTTCAGTTAGTTCATTAGTGGGTGACCTTTCACCATCTACTCATCATCATCATCATCGTTATCGACAAGGATCAAGATCACCTCCTATGGAAACAACATCAGGATCAACAAACATTACATCATCATCATCACCTTCAACAAGTAACATCAGTCACAAGACAATTGAAAAGAAAAAAGAAACTCTAGACAAAAACGACGACAATTATCTACATCATCACTACCTGGATTTTCTTCAAGTACACACGTTTTACGATGGGCAGCAACAAAGAAAAAACCTCCTGTACAACCTCCTATGGTGAATGTCAATCAAGAGCCACAAGTACCATTAGATCATGATTTAGTGATGGAGGCATTGCGAGCGAAATTGATGCGAATACCATCTATGAATAATAATGATGACACTGCAACTACCACAACAACAACAGCGAATTCTTCTTGTTCTTCTACTACTTCTCCATCATCATCATCATCACCTCCACCTCATCCTGCTACTACCACTTCTTCTTCTTCTGTTACTCTTCCTGCACTTCCAGAACCACCTCGATCTCCCCCAGTAGATACTCAACCCACCACTGGTATTTTATTTTTAGATCTGAAAAATAAAAAACCAATCCGGCGCAAGAAATCAGCCTCCGTTACTCATGATTGCCGTCACCTTTGATCGCATTTTTCTCTCCCTCATCTTTGATCTTCCATTATATACACTCTCTCTGTCTGTCTTTCCCTTTATATACATATTTATGCATTTATCTTATTCTTTTTTTTTTTTTATTATTATTACTATTTATTATATATATATATATTTTAGTTTATTTCTCTGTCCATTTTTCTTTTATGCATTCATTTTTTTCTTTTTCTTTATACATATGATCATATCCATCATTCATCTATTCATTCATTATATACATGCTTTTCACTAAAATCCCCTACTTTTATTTAATCAAATAAAGTCTATTTTTATCATCATTGTTATAAAAAAAAATCTATCACTATTATAAAATCTGATATAATAAAAGGTATAAAAACATATTGTACTAAAAATAATTCATGTTGGTATAACCGTCAAGTTCTATTCCAGGGGCAATCAAGTACCATTCTACCAATCAATCATCATCATTCTTATTATTATTCTCTTTGAGTGTGTGTGTGTGTGTTCATGAATGTCACGTATATATTGAATTCAAAGTATCCTGTTCCAATTTTTTTGTTTCTCCAGTATGTAATAAAAAAAGTGTCGGCATGACCATTTATTCGTTCCATCGAATATGAAGTTGGCGGATTTTCAAAAAAACATGTCTTGCCAATTTTTTTGTTGTTGTTGTTGTTTGGACTTTTTTCTTTCCCTTCTTTTTCTTCATAGTTTCAGCCTCCCCTTGTTATTATGATCCGGTTTTTTACTCATTCCATAGCAAAATCGAATATAATAAAATTGCGTATGTTTAGTAGTAAAGCTAACCCTTCTTCAGTATGCAACGATAATAAATTGGAAAACAACAAGAAAAAAGATGCACAACAACTGCCATGGAAACCAACCAAGAGAGTATCAAGAGTCACAATGGAAAAGATCAGATCTCTAGCAGCAATGGTAAGAGTCAAAAAATAAATAAAAAAGGAAAAAATATGATAGGTAAAACTTGTATATACTTGGTATTAACATTTCTCTTTTTTTTCTCTTATTGATATATAATGAATAGTATCCTGATCACTACAATACCGTGTCACTGGCCACCGAATTTAAAATATCACCTGAAGCAGTGAAACGAATCTTAAAATCAAAGTTCCAGCCGGATATCTTGACTGCTGAACGACAAGAAAAAAATCGATACGCTGCAATGGGTATACGCAAAAAACAGATACAAAATAAAACTATTACCTTTCCATCTACGATTCCTCGAAACAATACCTACAATAGAAAATACAATGATGTCAAACGTCAATCATCATTATCATCATCATCATCATCTGCATCATCTGCATCTGCATCATTATCATCATCATCATCATTATCTGCTTCATGGAAGAAACCTTAGTGATAACTCCTAGTGATAGCTTTTAGTGATGTTTACCTTTTTTTTTTTATCATGTAGTCATCCATTCATTATATCATGCATTTAGAACCAATAATAAAAGAAATTATCAACATCAATACCTCACCTTTTTGTTTATATGTGTTTGTATGCTTATTTGTATCTTTTGGATTTTCACATTGCATTTCCTTTGATCACTTTATTACTTTTATCTATCCTACGTTATACTTAGACTCAATGGATTAAAAAAATGAAAGACAGTGAGAGTATATCATATGAGAGAATGGGATAAGGTATTGCTAAGCATCATCATCATCCTCTCTCTCTTTTTTTTTTTTTTTTTTTTTTCTTGTTTTGTCTTTATATATCATTTTATCATATTAGAATGTTATTTGATTGGCTAAAGTAAAAAGGGTCCGTGCGCATGGCATCTTAATGATGCAAAAAAAAAAAAAAAAAAAAAAAAAAGATGGTTGAACAAGTTCATGTAGGTTTCTGGTCCAAAAATACATTCAGATGCCGTCGATACCAGTATATGTCTTCGATTGTGCCACCATCCAGGAGAATTAGGAATGAAAAAACAGTGTCTCACTTTATTTGGCAGTAATCAAAAGAGGATTTCACGCGTTAACCTTACTCCCCCTCTTCTCCTTTACTAAGTAAAGTAAAAATGATCAGCAATAAACAGAAGATCATCCTTTCTAATAAATTACAAAAACATCATAACAATACATGTGGGAAAAGGGGAAGAAGGAAAAAAAAACGATTAAACTCAATTTCTTTTTTAAATTATTATTATGATGATTAAATAGGATGATGATTTTTTTTTTTGGATGATATCCTATTATGACAATGATGATGCTATTTTGTTATTGTTATTGTTTTTTTTTCTTAGTTTTCTTGGTTGTACTGAGTTTTGCTTGGTTTCATATCGCAAGTCAGAAAGCCGTTAAAAAAAGAAACAAGGAATAGAAATGGTTATCGCTCAGGAACCAAAAAGGATTATCCACCCCCCCAAAAAAAATAAGCCTCATCCCATTTATTTTATATCTTCTTTTACCATTTTTTTTTTTCATTTCATTTCTTTTTCTTTTCTTTCTTCATCATATCCTTTTTTTTTTTTTTTTTTTTTTTTTTTTGAAAAAAAAGGAAGTATTTTAATTGTGCAGTACTACCTCTCTTTTTTTTTCATTATCCCTTCTCTCCCCTTTTATTAATCCCTTTTTTATACCATCATTATCTTATCTCAACTTTATCTATTCAATCTAGAAAAGGATTCATTATGGGTAATCCTATAGAACAATCAGAGGATGTGACACTTGATATCCTTCCACAACAACAATCATCATCATCACCTCCATTATCATCATCAGCAGCATTTGCTTCTAACGCCATTCGTCGTAATGGCAGTGTACGACGAGCCAAATCATTGTCACGACCTGAACGACAAAGACCTCGTCAAGGGATATTACGTTCAATCACTACCGTCACGAACAATGTCCATGGCCCCGGATCATCTCGCTTGGCGACTCAGCAGGTTTCTAACCAACACCGCCAGATTATTTACCAACAACAACAACAACAACAACAACAACATCCATCAAGTCAACCTATGTCTGATCATTTAGCCCAACAACTTGAAAGACATCGTAAAGAACATCTTCGTCAACAACAACATCATTTATTAAAACAAGATACCGATGTTAGCTTTGATTCTTCTTCTACTTTGGGTGATAAGTATAGCGGAGACCGAAAGAAGAAAAGCAAGAACGATGGAGGAAGTGTGGTACGGACAGGTTGGTGGGCTTGGTTTGCCTTTCTTGCCACGTGTTGCTTTCCAAGCTGCTGTATTCGTGTATGCTTCGGTAAATCTAATCCAATGATGCGACAAGCTTGGCGTGAAAAGGTAAAAAAAAAAAAAAAAAAAAAAAAAAAAAGAAATATCATTGTCATTATTAATATACAATGAGCTATTCGATATATATGTATATAAAAAAAAAATTGACTTTCCGCAATGGTTCTTTCCCCATCTAAAATATTTTTCTTTTTGGTCTTTTGGTTTTACTTACTGACTTTTTTTTTTATTTTTATCTTACGGGTTTTTAATCATTCCATGGTTGTACTGAATGATTGGTCATTATAGATTACTCTTGTATATATTATTATTCTATTGTGTTTAATATTAGCTTATCTAACTTACGGCTTAACACGAACTATTTGTCCGGATGCTATTGATTATTACCCTCATTCTACGGTAGTTTCCGGTAAACGCGTTTCTTTGGATACTACAACAAATGGATACTATGCTATTTTTGGTCAACTTTATCCAACAGACTTGACGGAAAACTTTTTCAAACAACATAATCTTAACTTGACAACAGATTATGGTACAATGGACCTTGGCCCTATGTTTGATGGTGATTTATATGGTGATTGTGCTTCTTTTTTCCCTTCTGACTTCAATCGAAGCTCTATTGATCCCTGTAGACTTGATAACCCTTATGGTAAGTTAACATTATTTTTTTATTATTATTGTTATTTAGTGGGGGGTTCTGCATATTGTATTGATCATCATTTTTTTCCCTTTTTTTTTTTTTATTATATATATAAATTCACCATATAGGTGGAAGTTCTCTTGCTACTACTGATGGTTCCTGTCTCTCTTTGTCTGCTTTACAAGCTATTTATAATCCTATCGATACAATCAATTTTGAATGGGATGAATTTCGTGATCCAATTCCAAATTCTAATTTAGTATTAATGGGAAACTATGGTAAAAGAAAGAAAAACATGGGATGATGATGATGATAATAAACTGATCATTTTTTTTTTTTTTTTTTTTTTAGTGGTCAATTTAACAAGATTCTTCAAAAATTATCCAGAAAATACTTTTGGAACTCAAATCGATAAAGTACTTCATTCAGCTATTAATAGAGATAGTTCATACGCTATGCTTTATTATCGTCATGGAAATGATGCTATGAATTGTGCTATTGCTCGTTTTGGTGTTGGTGTCATGCAAACCGATTCAAGTGGATGTATTGCCTCAAATATTATTATGAACTTGATGTTTGCTGTTATCATTGCTATGATTGTAATTCGTTATTCGATGGCTGTACTATTTCAATGGGTTATCTCTCGTCGATTGGTCAAACCAGGTGGAAGATCCAATTGGTTGGCTTGGCGTTCAGTTCAAGGTGGAAATGCCGATCCTGAAAATCATATTCGTGGTCCTTACAATAACTATACATTACGAAATCCTTCATCTTACAACGTTAATTCCACAATGGGTCCCCATAATAATGGTAACAATACCTATCAAGTACCTCGGTATCCAACTCCTCGAAACTCCATGTTTAACTCGGTACCTTCATTACAACGACCTCATTCAACTTCTACCACTTTAGCACCACCACTTCCTGGTCATCAACGTGATTCTTTGGCAAGCATCACTGCTCAGCATGCAAATGGTTATCAATCCACACCTCGTCATTCATCTTCTAATCAAATACAATATCAATCTTCTTCTACTTTGGCTTCTTCACCATCTTCCTCTATCACTGCTGGTGGTTCATCTCCTCACCGTCAATCTACTGCTTCTTCTGAAATAGTTCAAACAGAATTGTATACATGTATGATGGTTACTTGTTATTCTGAAGGTGAAGAAGGATTACGAATTACTATGGATAGTTTGGCTGAAACAACATATTCTAACAAGCACAAGGTAAAAAAAAAAAAAAAGACCCAAACAAACCAGTGATTGTAAATACAGCTTTATTGACGACATTTTTTATTATTTATTATTTTGAAGATCTTCTTTATTATTGCGGATGGTCTAATTGTTGGAGCTGGTGAAACCAAATCAACCCCAGATATTGTTGTTGATATGATGGATATTGACGATAGTATGGCCAATCCGAAACCCGTTAGTTATCTTGCTATTGCCGATGGTGAAAAACAATTGAATATGGCGAAAGTCGTAAGTTTAGTAGGAAAAAAAGGGGGATAAGGAGGAGGGGGAAATGGAAATTGAAATATTAATTTTTTTTTTTTTTTTTTTTAGTATGCCGGTCATTATAAAGGTGTACCTTGTATCACCATTGTCAAATGTGGTACTCCTGAAGAACAATCGTCTCCAAAACCTGGTAATCGAGGCAAACGTGATTCACAGGTAAAATCAACAACAAACATGCAACTGGAACGAATCGTTATTGGCTCTTTTTTTTATACATATATATATATATATATTTTACTTATTTTTATTTTTCTCTATCTATTTATTTTTTTTTTTAGCTTATCTTGATGTCATTTTTCCAAAGAATATTATTCAATGATCGATTATCTGAATTAGATTATGATATATTTTGGAAAATGACTTCGTTGATGGGTGGTGATGTGACTCCTGATAAATTTGAATTACTTTTAATGGTGGATGCTGATACCAAGGTATTACCAGATGCATTGACTTATATGGTGGCTGCTATGGCGAATGATATTACCATCATGGGATTATGTGGTGAAACAAGAATTGCAAACAAGACTACATCATGTAAGTCGACTATCTATTTTATCACATCTGTACTGATTTTATTTTTTATTTTTATTTTTTTTTTTTCTTTAGGGGTGACTGCAATTCAAGTCTTTGAATACTATATCAATCATCATTATGCAAAGGCTTTTGAATCTTTATTTGGTATTGTCACCTGTTTACCTGGTTGCTTTAGTATGTATCGAATCAAGGCACCAAAGAATGGAGCTTGGGTACCTATTTTGGCCAATCCTGATGTAGTATTGGAATACAATCAAAATGTAGTGACGACATTGCACGAAAAGAATCTTTTACTGTTGGGTGAAGATCGATTCTTGTCTACTTTGATGTTACGGACTTTCCCTCATCGACAAATGATGTTTGTACCTCAAGCCATTTGCAAAACTGTGGTACCCGATGAATTCATGGTACTTTTATCTCAACGTCGTCGATGGATTAATTCTACTGTACATAATTTAATGGAACTTGTCTTGGTATCCGACTTGTGTGGTATTGCTTGTCTCTCTATGCAATTCTCTATCTTTGTTGATCTTATTGGTACTTGTGTACTTCCCTGTGCTGTTGTTATGACTATCTATTTGATTGTGAATGCTGCAGTATCTGGAAATCCTCAATGGCAATCCATTGGACTTTTAGCGGCTGTACTTGGTTTACCTGGTGTTTTAATTGTCATCACTACTCGAAAATTGATTTATGTCTGCTGGATGATCAGTAAGTATATATATATAATTTTATATCGTATATCATCTCACCTTTTTTTTTTTTTTAATATAGTTTATATTTGTGCCATTCCTGTATGGAATTTTATATTACCAATCTACTCTTTTTGGCATTTCGATGATTTTTCTTGGGGTGCTACACGTGTGGTTGTGGGTGAAGAAAAAGGCAAGGCTGGTGGACATGATGATGCTAGTGGTGTATTTGATTCTTCTCGTCTAGTCATGCGCAAATGGCAAGATTGGGAGGCCGATCGTACTGGCAATTCAAAACTTCGTGCTTACAAAGATCAACGTCCTTATTCTACTTTGTCAACTATGAACTATTCTTCCTTAGGTCCTAGTACTCTCTCATCTAATTTGTCTGCTCCCACTCTTGGTCATCCTTCACCTTAGTGTGACAATATTTCTCTCATCTATATATACATTTTTTTTTAATCCTTGTTGTATCATTTTGTGTTACTGTTGTTTATCGTATTTATATAGTTTATATAGACTTTACCTTCTTTTTTTATCCCTTACCATTTTACTCTATACATATTACATATTCTTGGTGTTAAAACCTCTATTCTTTTTTATTAGTATTTTTTTTTTTTTTTAGTGTAATAAAGAAATTACATTGGTCATTATTATCATTCTTTTATCATCATGATTAGATCATCATCATATAATTCAACTAATATATAATCTACTAGGGGTGGTCCCTGGGAAAAGCTATAGTACTTTTTTTTTTTTTTTTTTTTGTTTTCTTCCAAATTGCGCCCAGAATGTTGTGTTTTTTTCCCATCATGTTAGAGCCTAATCAGCACCCCCTTTCTCCCCAGTGTTTTGAGTCTATTTGTCCCATCATTGCTTCCCAGCATTCCCCTTAATTTTTTTTTGGCCATTAAGATTGGGCAGCTGGATCCCAATCTGCCTAAATTATAACCTAGTTCATGACCAAGATGACTGTTGTGTGGGCTGGGGGGAAAAAGGCGAAAGGATCTAGCATATCACAGGAATAAACAATAATGGATGATTTTATTTAATTGATGCTAATAATCATATTCGTTCAAATGAAAAAAAAAAGATATCCATCCATCTTATACGATAATAATCATTAACATTTTATACTATGATTACATGCTTCAAATCTGAAGTTAATCCTTTATTTTTTTTTCTAAAATAAAAAAGTATATTAAAACGCTCAAATGACCAAAGGGAACTTTAGCAGACCATTGGGGGAGAAAATTTGCTGCGTTTGGGAGAACCGGACCCAAAAAAAAAAAAAAAAAATTGGAACGCGACACCCTAAATTTTTTTTTTTCTTTCGCGGCCCTTTCCACCCTTCCTTTTTCGCCCATTTCTTTCTCTTTCTTTCTTTTTATATATCTTTATTTTTTTTTAATTCATTTTTTGCCCATTATCCAATATATGGTCATGAAAAAATCGGTATGTCTACAGATCCAACAAACTCTGTCATAGAATCATCAACGATTGGATCTAGATCGACCGTGGATTCCTCTTCAGATGGCAACAACCATGCATTAGACCATGAGCGCATTCGTTACTTTGCTAACATGACTCTTGATGAGCTTTACCAGCATTGGCACCTTTCTTGTACTTCCTCATCAGTGACTTCAAGCAATGCTGACAATCTCCATCCATCAGTATCCCCCAGTCAAGGTTAGTATTAGTTGAATTCTATCTAACCGTTTGAAGATATTCGTCTCTGACCACTTTTTTTTTTTTTTTTTTTTTTTTTTTTATAAACTATTATAGAGTTACATTCACAATCCTCTCTACAACCAACAAATTCAACTAAAAATCAAGCATTAGAAGATACCCACCAGATGTCGATATTAGATATACCCAATGTATTAGCACCTATTTCACCATCAGCAACACCACCAACAGCATCGGCAATATCGTCAACAGTACCAGCAACAACACCAACAGTATCACCAGTATCATCAATTATACCAGTATCATCAACATCGCAAATATCTAATATTCAGCCAACGAGGCGCAGTCTTCGCAAACGACAGGAGATTCAACTACGCCCTTTTACTATGGAACGACAAAGATTTTGGTCACTTATTGGAGCCAAAGATCGGTCTATTAGGAGTACAAATCGATGGTCTTCACCGTCCATCCCTGCAGTGGCAAAAACGACATACAAATCATCACCATCTAAATCACTTTCATTATCAAAACAATATTCTTACCAATTGGACAACGACAACGATGACGATGATGATGACTACTCTGGTGCTATCTTGTCTGACGATGACGACGATGATGATGATGACACTGTCAATATGTTCGATGACTTGCCTAGTGATACGGAACTGGATGATCTTAGTATTATCGCAACACAGCCATCTATTCGAGAACTTGATCATGTTAATGATTCTCAAACCTCGGAAGACAGTGACACAGCAGTACCACTTTATCGAAAACGAAGACGATTCCAGATTCCAGAAGATAGTGATGATGATGAACAACAAAAACAACAACAACAACAAGAAGAGTCTAGGATTGTCAAAACTGTTAACAAGGAAACGCCATCAACTCGAATTCACAATAATGCTACGGACATCTTTGATATACCGCCATTGGACCCTTTGCCATTGACATCTGGACAGAAACAACATCAATTAGTCAAACCCATGATCACTTACAAAAGACCAAAGAAATCACATCGATCAAGGCAACGACTTGGAACACATTCACATTCACATCGGATTATTGCCAATCACAACCATTCCAGTTCAACAACACAGCGCAACAACAGCAATACTTCAACACAAGGATCTCGAGATGTCTTCGATTTTGTTCCTTTGGATGATTTGAATACACGGCTTGAAAGTGATCATCATCATGATATGAATGGATCTATAGGAAATGGGACGAACCTTGAAGATCATGAAGACAGTGACAATGATGTTATCGATCCACTTATTATGCTTGATACTATAGGCACGGAAGATACAGAACCATCATCATCAACAACAATACTAGGAACTACCCAATCAGCAAGATCTGGACAGTCAAAACGACGTAATCGTGGCTCCAGCAACAACATGGATGATAACTTTATTGTGGACGCAGATGACGAACGGGTACATCGTCGACGGAACACGACATTGAATGAACTTCGACGCAGTAAAAAATCTTTGAATGGAATCCTGCCTCATTCTTTTCTCAAGGTGTACAGCAAATATCTGGAAATGGAGGAGTATGATCGTCATTGGGGATCAAGAAATCGACATAAATCTTCAACAAACAAGCGGAAATCACTGTCAACACAAGAAGCTCGCCATGATGACGAAGATGATTTTGATGCAAATAGTATTCATCCAGAATCGACAGCAACAACGACAACAACAACAAAAGCAACTACTGGATCGACGTTAACTCCAGTATATCATGATGATAACAGCAACAATGCGACTGATGATCTGGATCAAGAATATCAGCAAAAGGAAATGACTTTTGGCTCTTTCGATGATGACGATGGGGAACGTGAACAATATCAGCTGGAAACTTACAATCACTCTGAAGATACTTGTTCGCTATCGCTGCGAACTGATGATAATAATATGACACCATCCACTACAACAACAACAACTACGACGATGATGGATCTGGATGATGATGATGGTATAGCAGGAGAGACACCTCATGAACCCACTTTGGAACAGCAACAAGAACAACAACGTTGGATACAAGATGAATTCACCATTGATTGCGGGGTGGCTTCTTTGCGATTAGGTGCAGTTTGTGGCGATGCTTTGAATTTTATCAGTGACGATCAATTCTCTATCTTTGAACTCAACAATCCTTCGTGCGATTCAGTTTATGTTTTTGATCAACCATTCTACAAAACGGATTATTATGTTGACTCACCCAAAATGGTATCCTTCTTTTATAAAGCATTCCAATCATTTTACTGTCTGTGGCAACAACATCAACAACAACAAAATGACAGTAGTACGAATACGATCAGCATCAACAAATCTTTGGAGAAGGACAACCGAACAGGATTGAGGTTATCTTTGGGATTTTTACGCTTTGTGTCGACTTGTTTATCTGGCAAGACGTTCAGTACTGATGAAAACAACTCTTCTTTGACGGATCATCCAATCTCAAGTATGATTCAATTCCTTCTTGGCGAAATGGATATTCTTCTCGATCGGATGTTGACGGTGATTGGTTGGAATGATGATACTGGACTGGCAGAACCTTTAGACATCGATCACCCACAACATTCAGCTATCATTCAGTATATCTTGCTGTCATTGATTTATTGTGTTGATTGGGCATTTAGACTACAAAGACTTTCTCTGGTGGCAAACGAATCAACAATGGATTGGTCCATCAAAACAACAATACGTCGACTATTATTTTTCTTATTTTCTTTGGGACCTTCGTCAGCCTCGATTGGACCTCCAGCTACTTATGTAGTCAATGTGCGTGAACCTTTGGTGATGGAAGCTTGGGTATTGACTTTACAAGTGATCAACAATGAAAATATGGATGATTCTATTCTCTGGTCAAGTTTACAAGATTATTTGAAAACAATATCAACCGAAGTAACCGACAATGGTACGTGGAAATCAATGACTTTATGGGACAAGCATGAACTGACATGGCACTGGATATTGACTCTAATAACATTGCGGCAACTACAAAAGTAAGTTCATCTATTTCTTGTGTTATGAAGGATCCATTTATTTATTTATTTATTTATTCTTTTTTTTTTTTTTTTTTTTATGATTAGAACAGATGACGGTGTGGTCAAAGTGGTGACATATTCTAGTCCATCTGATAACACACAATTTTGCCAATGGGACTTGATACGACAAATCTTCAAAGAAATTGGACAACAGCGGTTTATGATTGAAAAAGAGAATGACACGACATCAACGCCACGGTTGATGATTGCCGACACAACGCAAACTCGACTATTTTACGTATTGACTTGTATTCGTATTGGGTTTTGTCGATGTCACTTGCTTCTAATGCGGTCTCAATGGGACGATAAGACGATTCAGCAGCTATACAATTTGATCCAATGGCAAGGATTACAACTTTTTACCGGCGATCCTCTTCGACCACTCCAATCACGATATCAAGATCACGAGACAGCAAGTCAATACTTCCCTGTATGTTTTACTCAGTACGATGGAAATGTGATGGAGGATCAGATCAAGACATTGGATACATGTGGAGTGATCTTTTGGAAAATGCTTGCAGTTGGATTACATCGAAAAGTCAACAAGATCATCACCAACACGGACGATAAGGAACATCAACTCAAGGAACTAGAACGATGTATTGCGCGCATATCACCTTCTTATCTTGTCGTTGTAGGCCCAACATTACCTTTAGCTCATATAATATCGAAGCCGCTATCATCATCAATTATCTCTACCTTCCAACATCCGGATCCATTCATCGCATTTGCTTATCATTATGCTGTCAATATCATCATCATGCATGCTACAGCTCAACTAGGTGACAATTCCATGATTTCCAAAAGCAACATTGTCTTTCAATCCAAACTTGAAACTCAAAAAGCCTGGGCTCAACAAATCATCCATGAAGTCTCTCGAATCTACGGTCTTATCAAGAAAAAGTGGGGTCTTCATTAAATTCTTATTATTATTATTTTTTTTTATTGTTTTGTTGTAGTTAATTTTTATCTATTGATTCCTTCATTTATGTAGATTTTTTTTTAGTCATCATCATAATAAAAATATTTTTTTTTAAAAAAAAATGAACTTGTTTTTATTGATATAAGCAAACAAAAAAATAAATAAATAAATAAAATAATTAAAGAAAAAAAAAAGAGGGGATCTATATTATAAGTGGGATATATATATAGAGACTAATGACGTGATAAAGTGGAGACATCATGATTTTCACAACACTGTCTGACATTGACCATGGCATCCATTGATTCATCCGAATCATCATCATCACCTACACCATGTTCACCTTTCACTTCTTCTGGGACATCATTAGGATGATCTTGACCATCGTTGTTGGATTCCATTGTTGAAGGCATAGATGAGAATGAGGTATTAGTATCTGCATCATGATAAGGGTCTACTTGAATAACATCTTCCATCATGGATTCTTCACCAGGAGGTACAAGTAAATAGGAAAGAGACTAATTTTTTTTTTTTTTTTTAAAAAAAAAAAGAGTATTTCATGAGTCATCTATTTGTTTAGATCATTATTTCTTTTTCTTCTTACCATTCGCCATAATTCATGTCTTTCTAAACTTGGTGCGGTTAACTTTAAATCTCTTTTGGCTGTCTTGATCAATAAACTAAGTGGAGAAGCACCCATGGTATCATTACTTGGAATAGATGATACACTTTCAATAAAAGCTAAAAAAAAAAAAAAAAAAAAATGAGTCGATTTTTTTTTTTTTTCGTTTATCCCCAACTTACCACTTTTTGCTTTTGATTCATCTGCATCCATCCCAGGTTCATGCATACTCCAATAAAGAGTTCTTGTATAAGGATGTACCCAAAAAAATCGTTTGTGTTTATTGTCTGAAATACCACCACCCACATGTTTTCTTGTATGTTTCCACATCCATTCTCCAATCATGGTTTGTGTGATGGCCGAGATTAATTCCACATTGGTTTGCTTGTCGCCCATGGAGAAAAAGGATGGTGTCATTCCTCGTTGATAAGAATCACTTGAATTCATCGTTGAGATGGATTGCATGGATGGCTGTCTCATACGTTGTTGCATCGAGGGTGTTTTGCTGTAGGTAGATGTTTCTGTAATTCGTACGGTACCAAAGGATGGAGAAGGTACTGGTAAATGTCGTTCACTATCAGTGCTACCACCACGACGTTGAGATGCTAATGCTGATAATTGACTGTTAGGTTGTTGCTGGGTGGATGATGAGGATGCCGTTGTCCTTCTCAATGAATTAGCCGAAGCTGTTGGTCGCAATCGATTATTACTGTTAGCTGGTGTTGAAATAGATGGTTGTAGTTTTAGGAAACCAGATAGAATACCACGGCGTGAAGAGTTAGTGGATGCTGTTGTATTTGTTGATGAAGTAGACGTTGAAGGTTTTGGAGAGGGAACTATCGAAGTATTTGAGCTGCGTCGAGGTAATGGACGAGAAATGGTCAAGTTGTTTTGTGATGGTGATGTTTTCACTCTGGCCAAAAAGGATGACGATGACGACGATGGTGGCAACGGTGGTGGATATGCCTTCCTCATGCTGTCTTGAGAGTTCCGTTTGTTCCTTTCTTCCACTAAGGCTTGTTCTGCATAGTTTCTTGCCATTGTATCTGCTTGAGCTTGAGTCAACAAAGTGCTTGTTCTATCACGTTCCTTTTTCAAAGCTTCATCTAATCGTGCTCTGGCCAATGCTTCCGCTTCTGATCTGCTTATAAAGTCTGCTTCCTCTACTTGTCGTCGTGCTGCTACTTCCATGCGTTCCTTTGCCAATGCATCTGCAATGCCAGCCTTAATAAGTGCATCTGCTTCTTCCTTTGAGATCATGTTGGAGGTATCTATGGCTGTATCAACGTTGTATTCTTCAGTATCATTCAAATGTGTCGTTGCTTCGGTTGAGGTCAATTTGTCCAAGGGTATATCAGAGTTATCAACATTATCCAAATGTGTCTTTGTTGTAATCAAGTTTGTGCTTGATGTGTTCTGCATATTAGGTCCCATCGGTTGCAAGATATCATCCGTCAAGAAAACACCGTCGTTTCTGTCTTCAGTCATTTCGCATTCGTTACCATCCTTAGATGTTGAAGGGACTTGTTTGTTGTGATGCTTCGGTTCAGTAGCTGTGGCGTCAAGATGTACTGTATCTAATGGCACATGATCATTGTCGCTAGATGAAGTACTTTGTTGATTGGATTCTATGGTTGTTTCAGCTGGAGCTTCGCTTTCAATGCAAGTTGAGGAAATGGTCAAATCCATTGTTGTTGTTCCTAGGTGATTTGGAGTTGATGATAATGTTGATGATAATGGCAATGGTGATGGCGATGATGAGGGCGATGATGATGGCGATGATGAGGGCGATGATGATGGCAATGACTGTGACAATGGTTTTGAATTTTCTTCTTGTACTACAGCTGTAAGTTGAGACTGTACGGTATCTTGGTATTCAGTAGAAGTATCACATTTTTTGCCGGTAATGTCTAATGGAGTCGTTGTCGCTTGTGCTGATATCATAGTCGATGAAAAGATGCTTTCTTTATCAAATTGTTTCGTTTCTGAGTTGCTGCTATTATCAATCTCTAAGGTCGATGAAAGTTCAGCCTTGCTATCTTGTTGCTTGTCATCGGTGTCTGGTATCGGCCGACTAATTAAAGTTGAAGCAGGTTGAATTTGTACACTGTCGCTAGTGGTTTGTGCTGTTGATGAAGAATGTTGATGATTGAGCGGTGAGCCTGGAAGTGGAGTAGTCAAACCTTGTTGTTGATCATCCCGAGTCACCTTGCTATCGATTTCAAGAGGTGGTTGATAGATTCCTTTTGAGCCAGTTTCTTCCTGTCGGTGTACAGTTGTTGCCAGAGAAGGAATGGGTGAATGTTGCAGGGCTACAACGGTTTCAGTAATAGCGTCATCCTTATCTAATACCGATGGTGATGATGAACAAGGCTGCTCATTTGAAAATCCAGTTGAAGTAAAATGTTGAAGTGTCCATGTGTTGTTGAGAATGGGAAGACTACCATCCGTCTTGTCAGAAGAATCGTTGAGGGTTTTTTGATAGGTGATGTCTTGAAGAGGTGGTACCTTCTTTTCCGGTAATGGTATTTCATGAGTGTTTACCCCCTTGTCAACATATTGTTTCTTGTTAAAGGTTTGTTCCAATTCCGAAGAAAGAGGTTTGAAGGAACCACCAAATCCGCCTAGTTGCAATTCCATATCCAAGCTTTGTCCTTGTGTGATTGGTGATAACTCTAGTTGATGTCGGTCAACTTCATCTTCATCATCATGTTGATCCAGTGAGCTAGCGTCATCCAATGAAATATTATCGCCATCTGAGAGAGAGTTTTCATCCATACTGTCTACCATTTCTGTATTATTTGTTGATCCTTTACTTGCCATTGTTGTTGTAGTAGTAGTAGTTGTTGTTGTTGCTGACGATATTGCTTTCTTTGACAAGCCGCCACGTTTGCGTCCAACCTTGGTTCTATTAGCTGAGGATCCTTTCTTCAAAGAGGAGCGTCCACCAGAATTGCTATTGTTTTGATTACCATAATTGAGAGCATCCTTTTGTAGTTGTTCCACTGATTCTTGAGCATCTACTAATAGTTTCTTGAGTTCGATCTTTTCCACTTTTTCCTTTTGAAGCGTATTCCGTAAACTTGAGATCATCCGATGAGCGTGAGCTAGGGATTGTTTCATGGTTTCCACTTCCAGAGCGCGTTGTGACGTAGAGGTCAAATTAGATACATTGGTCGATGACAGTGAATGAGTGATAGTTGCTGTTGTTGGTTCTGTAAGATCAAGATCTAACTGGTCATCTTGTTCTCCATTGATTGAACCTTTGCCATTGAGAAGATGTTGACTATTATTGTTTTCCACGGTTGATTTGATCGCTAATTTTGCCTTGCATATTTTGAGTTCAGTGTTAACATCTTCCATTCGTTTCTTGAGCTGGATCATATCACGTTGGAGAGTACCATTGTTGCGTCTCAAGAGTTGTTGTTCATGTTCATGTTTGGCTTTAATTGCATCCATTGTTGATTTTGCCTTTTCTTGTTGGGCTTTTAATATATCCACTTGTTCTGTTGATGTACGTAGTTGTTTTAGTGTTCTGCTGTAGTCAGTATTGAGTTTGGTCAAATTCTGGTTGACTTCCTTTAAATTGTTTTGAAGATCTTGATTGGTTACTTCGAGATTCCAATTGTCTTCCTTAAGTTTTTCTATTAGGAAAGAAAGAACGAGAGAAGGAGTGAGTACATTCAAAGCTAACTAACCAACCAATATAAGGTACAATTATCAGATAACTCCTTACCTTCGATATCATTCTTTTGCTTCAAATGCTTTTGTGCTATTTCTTTGTCTTTTTCGCTATCAGACTTCATAATTTCCAGGTCCTTGATAAGTTGATCCTTTTCTTGAATAACCAATTGTAATTTTCGAACTTCATTAATCAATCCTTGAGCAATATCGGTAGCAAAAGCCATTTGACTATGATGCATGTTATTTGTTGACCCCTTGGCGTTTGTACCTTTTTGTGAAGTATCATCGGTATTCTAGAAAAGAAAAAAAAAGATAGTAATGCGCGTTCAGTTTTGATTTTTTTGTTAACATATGTCAACTATGTCGACTAATAATAATAATAAACTTTATTTATCCTTTTTTTTTTTTTTTGGGTTACCTGTACTACTGAATTTTCTTTTGGTTGTGAACCTCGAAGGCGTTGGTTTTGAATCATATTGAGTCAGTAATACTAAAACAAAAAGAAAAAAAGGTACATTTGAGTTTATAAGAGTATGATTTATTGTTAAAAACTTACCTTGGCATCAATAAAGATGTAACAAGTAAATAAGATAAAATAGTAATAAAGAAAAAAAAAAAAAAAAAAAAAAAAAACAAGGAAAGAAAGAAAAAGAGAAAGAAAAAAAAAAGATCTAATTTTTTTTTTGATTGTCTCTATAGCCAAGCAAGGAGATAGTAAAAATCAAATATATGAGGAGTTCAAATATCCAAATAGAGCATATTGGCGCATGCTAGAATAGCATGTTGACCTGAGATCAGTTAAGGTATCACAGAAGATCATTTTTCACTTCCTTTCCCTTCCTCTATCACGTTATTGAAATAACAATAATAATAATAATAAAAAACATGAATTTTTATTTTATTGATGTGATCAAATAAAAAAAACAAATATAAATAAAGATGATAATAATAATAATAATAATAATCTATATATCTACAATTCAGGTTCATTTGCTCGAACAGAAATACCAACAGATTTTAAATGATCCTTGACAGATTGAATAGGAACCTCGTGACGATGGAAAATACCTGCAGCCAAAGCAGCTTCTACCTTTGTTTCTTCAAAAACTTGTTCAAAATGACCCACATTACCAGCACCACTAGATGCAATCACTGGAATACTAACAGCATCCTTTACATCATTAATCAATTCCAATTCATATCCAGAGTTTGTACCATCACGATCCATACAATTCAGAAGAATTTCACCAGCACCAAGAGCTTCACATGCTGTCACTAATTGTCGTACATCCAAATCACGACCTTCGCGTCCACCTTTGACAGTACATTGATACCAGCAGTATTGTTCTCCATTGGGTCCAGGTTGACTTGCCTTCACAACGTGATGAGTAGTTTCACTAGGATCATTGACATAAACACGACGTGGATCGACAGAAATCACTACAGCTTGTGCACCATAGGCCTTCGCAATAGTTTCAATAGCACTCTTTCCATCCTTTCCTCGAGCCAAATAATTTTCTGCAGCATACACAGCATCACTACCAATAGACACTTTGTCGGCACCAGATCGGAAGTATTCACCAGCCACTTCAAACGCAGGATGCACCGTACCATCAGGATCCACCACATCACGGATACCACCACCGATAGTCAAAGGCACAAAGACAGTTTCTGAGGTACGTCGAAGTACTTCAAGCATAGGGGTGTCACCAAGAGGACAGTTACGGAAACTAGTAATGTTCAAGAAAGTAACTTCATCAGCACCTTCCTCAAAATACCGTTTGGCCAATTCCACGGGTTTTCCCAAGTTGCGCACATCATCACCACCATCTGCTGATTTTTCACGTACATCATATTGATCACCTTTGGTCACCACAAGATCACCACTATCATTGGCACGTACATCCAAACAGGCAATGATTCTCTTGATAAATCTATCCTTGGAGTTCACAGTAGGATCCTTGATTAAAGTCACTTCACTTGCATCTACCACACCAGTACCAGCCAAAAAGGATTGAAGCACACGTAAACCAGCATACCCACTCTTTTCCGGATGAAACTGAGTCGCAAACAGATTACCCTTTTGTACAGAACTAATAAACAATTCATCACCATATTGTGTCGTAGTCAAAGCCCATTCCTTGTGTTTGTCGCTGTTATAAGGTACCGCATAAGAGTGCACAAAGTAATACACAGAGTCATCCTTGATACTGTAGCTGACATCTTGCTGAGCCGTAGAATTGCTTTGTTTAAGTACTTGAGCACCATTCCATCCCATATGAGGTACTGCTTTGCTTTGTCGATCGAATTCCTTGGTAATTCCTGGAATCACACCTAACCCGGGAATATCGCTTTCATCTGATCCTTCAAACAATGTTTGCATACCCACACAGATACCCATAAACGGCCGTCCAGACGCAATGTATTCCTTCAAAGGTGTCGCGTAACCTTTCTTGTTCAATGCTTCCATAGCATGTCCAAAAGCACCCACACCAGGAAAGATCAATTTCTATATAAAGAATAAAAAACCCCACATATTGTCAATATGGATATCATTATCTTCTTGAATCAGTTCATTCTTTTTTTTTTTTTTTTATTATTATTACCTCGGCTTTCAAAATATCGGAAGGTTCATTGACGAATTGAATGTCATAACCTAAACGGTTTACAGCATTCACCAAACTACGAACATTTCCAGCTCCATAATCAAGCATATATAATCCAGTCATTCTGTTGTTATTGTTGTTGTATATGTGAGTAGAATTCAAAAGAAAAGGGAGAAAAGAAAGAAAAATTGAATGGATTAAAAAAAAAAAATGAAAGTGTTGGGATACAAAAAAAAAAAAAGTCAAATTGACTCATATTTCGGTCACCGATGTTAGGAAGAAAGGCGTAGCCAAATTGAAAAGATAAGATCAAAATGAAATAAGCAGAAAAGCTTTTCATTTTAAAGTTATGTAGGAGGTAAAGTCCAATTGATATGGGATTTTGAATACAGTACGTTTATTATAAAGAAGGTATACAAATGGGGATGGATCTAACTAGAAAGTATGTGTTAAATATGTCTATAATAATAGTAATAAGAAGACCAAAAAAAAAAAAAAATAATAATAATAAAGAGAAAGACAGAGAGAAAGAGGAGAGTAATCTATGTTATACTTGATCAAACGCAGCATCCACATGTTCTTGACGATCCAATTGATATTTGAAAGGTGATCGATCATCTAATCCATGACGACGTCTAACAGTAATTCCTTGAGCACCAATGTATTTTTTGATTTCATCCACAATAAACACAGAACTAGTAAGAAGTGTGATTTTACAAAGATCGTACAAAGATAATGCATCGGTTTGGAAAATATTTTGGAAGAATGGTAAATAAATCACAAATAGTTGAGATAAGATAGAGCCACCCACAGCCAAATTAAACATACGGTTGGAGAATAAGCCAATCTTGAAGATGGATTGCTTTTCAGATCTACAAGCCAATGCATTGAACATGTCGAAAAATACAAAAGTAGTAAACGTCTACAAAAAAAGAAAAGAAAAAAAGTCATCAATTCATGCTAGCAAATTCTTTTCCTTTTTCCTTTTTTTTTTTTCTTACCATTGTCGTTCCTCTCCTAGTAGGTCCATCATCACCTAATTCACTGATATATACACTCATAGTACCAATTACTACAATGGCAGCTGCTGTTAATACCCTTGAAATTAATCTTTTGGTAATAATGTTGGCTGATCTTGCACGTGGAGGTTTTTTCATGATTCCAGGATCCACAGGTTCTACGCCTAATGATTGAGCTGGAGGTCCATCCATGATAATATCTATAAAAAGTAAAGAGATAAATATAAAACTATTTTTTTTCTTTCTCTCGACATTATCAAGACTTACTAATCCATAAGATTTGCATTGCATTCAAAGGTGTAGATAAACCAAACAAAGTGCTCAAGGCAATCAATGATAGAGCAGAAATACTTGTACTGAGTTGAAAAGTTAAAAAGTTTTGAATATTGTAAAAGATAGATTTCCCTAATGTTTATATAATAAGATCGATGAATGAATGTGAATATTGATTATTATTGTTTTTTTTTTTTTTTTTTTTTTTTTTTTTTTTTTTTTTTTTTTTTTTTTTTTTTTTTTTTTTTTTTTTTTTTTTTAATTACCTTCCTCAATGGCATGTAAAATAGTAGAGAAATCATCATCTACCAAAATCATATCCGCAGCTTCTTTGGACACATCTGTACCACTCTTGCCCATAGAAATACCAATATCCGCCATTTTAAGAGCAGGAGCATCATTGACACCATCACCAGTCATAGCTACAACAGCACCAGTCGCTTGATAAGCACGAACAATAGCTAATTTATGTTTTGGAGTTGTTCTTGCAAATACTGATACAGAATGAATAGTTTCTTGGAGTTGACGTTCTGACATGAGTTCAATATCTTTGCCAGTCAAGCAGCTCCCTTTGACATTCAGAGGAATACCCAAGCGTCGTGCAATTGAAGTGGCAGTTGCTTCGGAATCACCAGTAATCATGGAAACTTTGACACCACCTTGAACTAAATCTTGAATAGCAGAAGCAACTGTTGATCGTGGAGGATCATACACTGCAAGTAATCCAGTAAAACACAAAACTTGATCGTTGATACCGTAAGCAGTAGCTAGAACACGTAAACCATGGGTACTCATTGCTGATGCATGTTGAAGTACTTCATCCTTGAGCTGATTTGTAAAGTTGAGTTGCTGGTCATTGCCATAATAGGTTGTACATTTTTCCAAAATCACTTCTGTTGCTCCTTTCATATAGTTGCAAACTTCACCGTTCATATTCTTACAGGTGACGGACATATACTTTTGTTCCGAATTGAATGGTACTTCTGATAGACGTTCGTAACCCTATTAATATAATATACAGAAAGTGAACATTTGAGTCGATTTATATCATACTAAATAAATTTGTTTCTTCCTTACCACACGTTCATCTTGAAACCCACTACGAATTGCCACATCGAGAAGAGCGATATCAGTAGGTTGTCCAATGTATTTCCCATCTTCACTAATATTAGCATTGTTGCAAAGGTTACCGATACGAAGTGTTTGACGTAAAGCCATAGGAAAATGAGTTGGAACCTTATTTTCATAGTCGAATACCGCTTGATCTTGCATTGTAAACACCTTTGTCACCGTCATTTGATTCACAGTCAACGTTCCTAGAAAAGAGAAAGAAAAAAAAAAGGTAAATAAAATGTATTCTTGTCCAAAGATCACTGACTTTTTTTTTTTCCTTCTTACCAGTTTTATCAGCACAAACAATATTTACAGATCCAAGAGTTTCAACAGATGGTAATTGTTTGACAATAGCACGACGATTTGCCATTCGGATGACACCTAGAGCTAAAGTGACAGTAACAACAATAGGTAAACCTTCAGGAATAGCAGCTACAGCTAAACTGACTATGACATATAAAAATAAAAATAAAAAAAAAAATCAATCAAACCATATCCATCAAGGTTTCATCATAACTTACCACCAATAGTAAACATTTCCAACCAACTTCGTTGTTGTAATAGACCAATGATAACAATGATACCAATAACACCAAAGGAGAAAATTGATAACTGTTTTCCTAATTCATTCATACTAATTTGTAAAGGTGTTTTACGCACTTCCACTTCTTGCATCAATTCAAATACATGACCAAATTCAGTTGATTTCCCAGTAGCCACTACAATACCAGTTCCACGACCTATATGAAAATAATAAAAATAATAATAATAATAATAACGATAAATAAATAAATATAAATAAATATATTTTGATTATTCATTTTACCATTTCGAACCAAAGTACCCATAAAAGCAATATTGTCCCGTTCGGATAAAGCCAATTCTCCATAAGAAGTCAAAGCATCCACCATTTTACGTCGGGGTTTGTTTTCACCTGTCAAATTGGATTCATCAATTTCAAGATCGACAGTCTATCAATATTAAAAAAAAATAGTATATATTAATATTATTATTATTTCTATATTCATTTATCATCACTTACTGTGATTAGACGACAATCTGCTGGAATTCTATCACCAATACTAAATTGAACTAGATCACCAGGAACAAGTTCATTGCCTAATACTGTTGATAATTGACCATCCCTAATAAATCATAATATTCAATTATTCTATTTCAAAGTTTCAATATATATATATCTTTGTATATACCTTATAAGATGACAATAATGAGGAACTAATTTGTTCAAGGCTTCCAAAGACTTTTCCGATTTATATTCTTGTACAAACGCAACTATAAAAAAAAAATATAATATAATCAACGATTAGTTAAATATAATGATGTCTATCATCCTTTCTTTTCTTTTTTTTTTTTTTAATACCAGTAACAACAATTAAAATAGCCTATGGAATCATATTATATATATAAAAAAAAACGATCATTAGTATCAGTTCTAACCATCTTGTTTACAGTTAGTTTACCATAGTAATACTAATAGCATCATCCATTTGTCCCATCAATACTGAAACAAAAGCAGAACCAAGTAATAACAAGATGAGAGGATTTTCACTGAAGGATTTGAAGAACTTGATAAGTAAAGTTTCGTCTTCCTCTTTATCCAATTCGTTCCAACCATAGATTCCACGTAAGCCAATCACATCATTATGTCGAAGTCCTTTTGATAAATGTGTATTAAAGTCGGATGCAACTTGTTGTACAGATTGACGAGCTGCTTTGGCTGATGGTGTTGTTTGAATTGACCCAAGTGTTGACATCGTATAGTTTTTTTTTTTTTTTTTCTGTTTTATTCTTTATTCTTTCCTAAGTTGATAATGTATCGTATTAGAAAGAGAAACGTCTAAAAAAAAAACCTTCTTGTCAAGGATAACAACAGAGAAAGAAAAAAACAAAACGAAAAGAAAAAAAGAAGTTGTAAAGATGGAAGGAAAAAAAGAAGGGAAAAAGAGAAAAGGGGGAAAAGAGGTTTTGTCTATAAAAAAGGGATAATAAAAAAACACGGCGGTTTTCTATTTTTTTCGTTTTTTTTTTTTTTTTTTTTTTTTTTAATGATTGAATTGACCTCTCATAGTCATCCAAGGAAGCTTCTCTCTTGGATTCAATCTCCGTACTGTGGGTACACTTTATTCAATAAAAAATGACGGAATTCAAAGAATAAGATGTCGCAAAAATAGGAAATAAAATATCGTAAGGATAGAAAATAAATGACGGGGAAGAAAAGAGAGAGTTGACGCATAACCAAATAGAGAGTATAAGAAAATAGATATCATGAAAAAAAAAGAGTAATCAAAAAAAAAAAAAGGAAATCCACCAATTGGGTTCATCAAGTTAACATATAAAAAAAAGAAGAAAGAAGAAAATGAGTAATATTTATCCAGATGATATCTTTTTATTCACTTACAATTTAAGCGCGAACGCCTAAACATGTATCGAGATCACTGCAGCAATTTCTCACTGCAGTGAAAGTAGGATGGCGATAACCATCCCGGAAAGCGTTGTGTTAACAACATTTTTTTTGTTTGAAAAAAAAAATGGGCGACCCCAACCACGCCTAGGCAAATAACGACCGAGGTCAACCCAGAGGGGAAAGAAGCGGAAGAGAAGAGAGGCCAGAAAGGAGGACAGACGGAAAAGATGACAGGCCCAAAAGAGAAGGCGACCCCAACCACGCCTGAGCAAATAACGACCGAGGTCAAACCAAGAAACAGGCCACAAGAGAGGACAGACGGAAAAGAAGACTGGCCAAAGGGAAAGGACACGGAAAGAGATGACAAAGGAAGGGACAGGCAAGCCCAAAAGAAGATAGGCAAGCCCAAAGAAAAAAAAAAGAAAAAGAAAAAAAGAATTTCAAGAAGAAATAAAAAAGGATGTTCTTTTATAATAAAACAAACTCCCTGTAAAAGAAAAAAAGACAAATCACCCCTGTAATTATGAGCTTTTTTAGCTATGAAATCAAAAGGACCTAAATAAATGGTTTCAAAAAGAAAAAAGGAACTATTATGCAAATTTTGATGTCTATGGGAAAAAAGATCGATCGATTGTATGTTTCAGTAATTAAAAAAAAGGAACTATTATGCAAATTTGGTTTTATCATCTGTGGGAAAAGAGATCGATCGATTGTATGTTTCAGTAATAAAAAAAGGAACTATTATGCAAACTTTGATGTCATCTATGGGAAAAGAGAATGATCAATAGTATGTTTCAGTAATAAAAAAAAAGAACTATTATGCAAATTTTGATGTCATCTATGGGAAAAAAGATCAATCGATTCCATGTCTCAGTAATAAAAAAAAAGAAGATAAGGACCCGAGTAAATGATTTAAAAAAGAAAAAAGGAACTATTATGCAAATTTTGACATCATCTATGGGAAAAGGGAATGATCAATAGTATGTTTCAGTAATGAAAAAAAAGGAACTATTATGCAAATTTGCTTTTGTCATCTATGGGAAAAAAGATCAATCGATTCCATGTCTCAGTGATGATTTCAAAAGATAAGAACCCGAGTAGATGGTTTAAAAAAAAGAAAGAAACCATGTTTCAGCGCTTTTGTATTATGTAAAGAATCGATCATCATCTATTCATGCCGCCATCCATTCATGCCATCATCCTATTATCCTATCACGTACCAACGTCTAGTCGTACCTATAAAAATATATGTGAAATAAAAAGAATGTATCCAAAATATAATAATACATCAAAAAGAATCAATCACATTGACATGTAACAAAGTAGTTGGAATAAAAATAAAAATTTTATTGATTAAAAGTATAAAAACTAACGACTACTAATTGATATACTAAAAGTCAATACAAAGAAAAGAAAGAAAAGAAAAGAAAAGAAAGAAAACAAATCAAAAAAATATGAAAGAAAAACGGACTTTGAAAACCACTACTATCAGGCCAATCATCATGATGAATCAACACTCTAATGATGATCCATTATATCAATAAAGAACTTTTGTTTCATTTTTTAATATACTTTTCAAATAAAGTCGCAGTATTTTTTATTTTTTTTCCATCATCATCACCAACATCGACCCATCATTCTATTATCAATCACCTCTACCGACATCTCTAAAGCGATATCTAAAAGAGTGGTAATGCGACATCCATTTTGGGAAAGTACGATATTTTGTTTAATAACATCACGAAAAGGATTTTCTTGTGACCCGACAAAAAACTTTGAAAACACTGTATATTTTTTTGAACCTCTTTTTCTTCTTTATTTTTTTTTTTTCTTTCTAATTGAACAATGGCAAACCATAAATGTGTTGATTATAGTTTATATCTTGTGACAGATAGTTCTCTTGTACCTTCTAACACCACTTTACTTGATCAAATAGAAAAAGCATTGGAAGGAGGTGTCACTCTAGTTCAGTTACGCGAAAAGGATATGGATACTGGTCCTTTTATCGACTTGGCCAACAAAGTTAAAACATTGACTAGACGTTACAATGTTCCTTTTATTATCAATGATAGACTCGACGTGGCTTTGGCCGTGGATGCGGATGGAGTTCATATTGGTCAAGACGATATGCCAATGACAGAAGCACGGAAGTTATTGGGTCATGGCAAGATTATTGGTGTATCTTGTAATAATGAACAAGAAGCAAAAAAAGCAGTTGAAGAAGGTGCTGATTATATTGGTATTGGTGCTGTTTGGTTTACCTCGACAAAAGAATTGAAGAAACAACCTCTTGGTGTTGATGGTGTTCGACGTAAGATATTAATTTTCATATTATTATTATTATTATTATTGTTAAGTTTTAGTTACTGATATATATATACATTTGTCATAGGTATACTTGAATCTATTGATGGTTATAAAGGATACTCAGTAGCTATTGGTGGAATCAATTTGAATAATGCTGAAGAATTACTTCTTGGAGGAAGACCAAAGAGTGGTAGTTATACTTTGGATGGTTTGGCTATCGTATCTGCTATTATTGGTGCTGCAGATCCCAAGACTGTATGTCAAAATTTCACCTCTATCTTACAATCAACTAATACAAAACAAGGTCTGGCAGTCCGTAACACTGTGACTCATATCCTCGAACAATGGAATCAATCTATAAAGAATATCCACACAACAACTCCGATGGTACATCACATTACTAGTAAAGCCAAAAAAAAAAAAAAAATCAATGCATGATATTTTATTTGAAACTGACAGACCTTCTAAATAGACAATGTAGTAATTAACGACAATGCAAATGCAACTCTGGCTATTGGTAATCGATTCAAAAAAAAAAAAAACGAACTGCTGATGTTTTGTTTCTTTTTTTTTTTTCCTTTGATCATCAATTTACAGGAGCATCACCCATCATGTCTACTAATCGTGTAGAAATGGAAGAATTAGCCAAGGTGAATGGAGCCATGGTATTGAATATGGGTACTTTGAATGACATTGATACTATGATTTTAGCAGCACAAGTCAACAATCGTCATGGTAATCCCGTTGTTCTCGATCCTGTTGGTTGTGGTGCTACGACATTTAGAAAACAAACAGTGCAGAGATTCCTTAATGAAGCTCGTATGACAATCATCAAGGGAAATGGTGGCGAAATCTTATCGATGGCGAATCGTGGTGGTCGTAGCCGAGGAGTAGACTCATTAGGAAATGTGGATGAGAAGATCGCAATACTGGCTGTAAAAGAATTGGCCCAACAACATCGTAAGTTTGGATAAGCTTGTTTGGATGAACTTTTTACTGTTGGTAACTCTAATCAATCATGTCTCTTTTACATTATATAGAATGTATTGTGGCTATGACTGGACCTATTGACTATATCTCGGATGGAGTACGTACATATGCTATTGAAAATGGAGATCCAATGTTGGCATGCATCACGGGGAGCGGCTGCATGGTTACTTCAGTTGTTGCTTGCTTTGCAGCAGGTAAAGTTGTACAAAAAAAAAAAAAAAGGGGGCAAACATAGATGAAGATTTGATATGTATTCATTGTTCTTTTTTTTTTTTTTATTTATTTATTTATTGATAATAGCAAACCGATTGGACTATTTGATGGCTACTATTATGGGGTAAGAAACATTGAAAAGATATAAATATGGAATGAATATAGTGACATTTGTATATTTTTTTTTTTTTTTTTTGGGATAGCATTCTTGTGGTGAATATCGCTTCGGAATTAGCAATGCAACGAAAAGATGTTCACGGCCCAGGAACTTTTCGCTCAGCTTTGATTGATGAATTATACAATATTACACATAAAACACCTAATGTCTTGCAACAACGCGCAAAAATTCGATTTTTATCCTAGTATTAACCAATAGATCCTTAGATTATGATTATTCAGTTTATATATCGTCATTTAGTTGTAGTTTAGAAAAGGAAAAAAAAATAAATATTATGCATTTTCTGTACTCTACTGTTTAGTGAAATCATGGCGTTCACTTGTTATCTAATAACATCATCTTTTGAATATCTTATTAATAACAAATAAAGACTTTCTTTGCATTCAACTCATGCCCTTTATATGCAATACCTCCCATTTTCTCCTATAGACAATGAATACAATTTTGATTATAACGTGAAATGATCATCTGTGATGGCTAGTATCATTAATCATCAAACATCAGTTATGATCATCATATGTGGACACTGTTATAATGGATGGACAAGAGAGAAAGAAAAAAAAAAAAGGAAGATGTCGATCATGCAGAATTCATAGAATCTATGACGAGGCACCCTGGGTACCTTACGTCTGTCGATCCATGAAAAAAGGCAGATCATAAAATGAGAATGCAAATCGGCATCTTAAACCAAAAGAGTCATGCCTTCCCCTTTTTTTTTCTCTTCCCCTTCTCTCACTGTCTATCTTCACCACCATTATATGTGATGTATTTCATTTTGTTGACGTTCCCTGCTTTCATCATTCTAACTCTATCCCTTATCGTCTTTTCCTCCCCCCCTTTTTTTTTTCTTGTGATTCCTACTCATACTACCACTATTTTTTTTCCTTTTTACGTTTAACTTTGTCTAAAAAAAAAAAAAAAAAAAAAAAAAAAAAAAAAAAAAAAAAAAAACAACCCCTTACAGATTTGATATTTTTATGTGGATTGATCGTTTTTCTAAATATAAATGTTACCAAGTTACATAGACCCTATAAATTATTTTATTGTGAGATAAATCACTATCTGGTTCTTGTCTTTTTTTCCTTTTTTTTTTTTTTTTTTTTTATCTGTTGTTGCTGTTTGTTCTAGTTTCCATCCTTTTTTTTGTTTGTATTACTTGACATACTATTAATATTATTGTATATCATGGAAACCAAACCATCACATCCACATTCATCATCTATACCATCAACATCATCATCATCATCAATTTCCTCACCTTCAGCAACAGCATCACCTTCTACAGACATTACCTGTGATCAAAAGATTGAATTTCATGAAGAAACCAATGATAACGTTGTAACAAACGGATCACCATTTGTACCGCCATCATCATTATCATCCACCGAACCTTGTACCACTCTTGTCATCACTACTGCCAGTGATTCCGTTGACACTCTGAACAACGATAATAAAGAAGATCATGTCAGAAAGACATCTAGTCCACCATCAGTATCACTTCAACGATCAGCAACTGATTTTTCCACACCATCAGCTACTTTAGCTCCACCTCATCCTGTTACTCATGATACTAAAACAAACAAACCATATTCTATTTTTTCAAAACGACAAAAAGGTATGATTGTTATTCTGGCCGCCTTGTCCAGTTTTATTTCTCCTTTTTCGGCCAACATCTATTTCCCTGCTTTGAATACGATACGCATCGTAAGTAACTCTTTTTTTTTTTAAAAAAAAAAAAAAAAGCTACATCATCCATCATTCATCTTTTATCATAGGATTTGAACACGACGGCTGAGATGATTAGTTTGACGGTAACTGTGTATATGATCTTCCAGGGTCTCTCACCCTCCTTTTGGGGAAGCTTATCTGACAGCTGGGGTAGACGGCCAGTATATCTGATGACTCTATTTATTTACGTGTTGGCATGTATTGGTTTATTCTATACACCAAACTACACAGCCTTATTAATATTACGGATGTTACAAGCTGTAGGATCAAGCTCTGTTATTGCTATAGGGGCTGGAACAATAGGTAAGATATCTATAGTAGATGATGATCTCTCTTTTTTTTTCATTTTATTTTGTTATTATATTTGGCCTGATTGTTATTTTTTTTTGTGTGTGTGTGTGTTGATTAGGTGATATTGCTGGTCCATCAGAAAGAGGTGGTTACATGGGTGTATACGGTCTTGGATCTATGTTAGGTCCTATCCTTGGTCCTGTTTTGGGTGGTACTATTTCATCTACCTTGGGCTGGAGGTATTAAAAAAAAAAAAAAAAAAAAAAAAAAAAAAAAAAAAAAAAAAGAGAACGATTACCATTTTTGAGTATCATTTTCTTCCTCTCTTTTTTTTTTTTTTAAAGAAAGTAAACGTGTCATGATGATGATGGTTTAATTTTTTTTTTTCAGATGGATTTTTGGCATTCTTGCCATTTTTACAGGATGTTTGCTATTGGGACTATTTTTCTTGTTACCAGAAACTCTTCGATCACTTGTAGGGGATGGGTCTGTCTATGCTAATCCTACGCCATACCAATATTTTACGGAACGACATCGAAAGAAAAAAGAACAACAAATGTATCATAAACATACTCAGAATGTACGCCGATCAAGTGTGGATTCAGCCTTTACAGTGCTTGGTCATCATCATCCATTGGCATATGAGGGAACAGCACTTCAGCAAGAAGAAAAACTACCTACAAGTACCAGAGATATTTTTATTAATCACAAAAAAAGTCGTTTTCTTGTACTTCCGAATCCATTCGTATCATTAGCATATCTCATGGAAAAAGATGTAGCTGTGGTGTTGATGTATAACGCATTACAATATGCTTCCTTTTATTGTGTTCTTACTAGCCTATCTGGTCTTTTAAGCAAGCTCTATGGATTGAATGAATTTGAAATTGGATTTTGTTATTTGGCCAGTGGACTAGGAGCTGGAATGGGTTCTATGGCATCAGGAAGAATCATGGATTGGCAATTTAAACGACTTGCAAAGAAAATGGGAATGGAAGATCATGAATTGAAAAGGTAAAAAAAAAAAAAAAAGAAGAAGTGATCGACTAGTCAAAAAAGGAAATCGCCACTTTTTTACACTGATACTTTTTTTTTTCCAAATCAGAGGGAAAATGCCCCTTGAATTCCCCTTAGAGCAAGCTCGAATGAATTTTACTTGGGTCTATGGTATTTTCTTTTGTATGGCCATGATCACTTACGGTTGGTGCCTTGAAATCAAAATTCCTTTGCCTTTGGTACTTGTTTTCAAATGCATCAGTAAGTAGAATTCTTTCTCTTATCTTTTTTTTTTTTAAAAAAAAATGGTATTGATATTGATGATCTTTTTTTTTTTTCTTAAAAAGTGGGATTCTCTGTCACAGCAACTCACAATGCAACAACAACTCTACTGGTTGATCTTTTCCCTAATAACTCTGCTGCCATTGTTGCATCGAATAATATTGTCAGGTAAAGAACAAAGAAAAAAAAAAACAAAGGAGCCTTTGATATCAAAAAAGGGGATATAATTATGTATCTTTTTTTTTTTTTTTTTGACTAGATGCCTCTTAGGTGCTGTAGCAGTTCTAGCGATCAATCCTGGTATCTACGCTTTGGGCATTGGATGGATGTTTACTGCAATTTCTTCCGTACTGTTTTTATCTCGTGCATTGATCATCATCGAGCTCAAGTTGGGTCCTAAATGGAGAGTACAAAGAATTGAAAGAATCGAGACAGAGAAGAATACAGTATCCACAATCCATTCATCATGAAGCCCCTTTATGTATTGGAGTAAAGAAACAAAATAGTTGAAATTTTTTTCTATATATGTTATTAACACACACACAATGTAATTTTAATTTCAAATAATCTTTTATATAATATATGCTCTGGTCTCTATTATTATTATTATTATTATTATTATTATTAATTTGATGATGTGAGCGTAGAACGATATGATGATGGATGATAACAAATGTTTGAATGGTAATATTTGGATGATAGCAATGAATATTGATGAGTATTGGAGACAATGATAAAGAGTTAAAAAAAAAAAAAAAAAAAGAGGTATATAATTTTATTACAGAAGAATGTAAAGCAGATATTGTAATGTATGATATGAAACTACTAATACAACTAACGCTAACTACCAAGAGAAGAATCATCACGATAAAGGCCAGATGCGTGGAACAAGTCAATCAGAAAGAGATCTAACACTCGTCATTTGAAGTTGATGGCCAAGCTGAGTCAGGTTATTTCTCCATTCAATCGATCCAGTTCGCTTGTTCCAGTTGAATCTGTCCTGCCGTAAAGTGATAACAAAAATGAAGAAGAAAATGTAGATTACACAATCTAGATCCAATAAAAAAAAGAAAAAAAGAGATAAATAGAGAAAGCAAATATCCAAATATCAGACTATATACAAATAAATGAGAAGGAAAAGAATAAGGTATTAATTCAAATTAGATTAGTATTTTCGCTCTTGCT